GTCGCGGTAGAACCTGTACGGGATGCCGTCTGGCCCTGGCGCGCTGTTGTGCGTAGACGCCTTGATGGTATCGAAGATCTCCTCCTTGGTAAAAGACGAGTCCAGGCTTGGGTTAGCTGTATTCACCCTCCGGGTTTCTTCGGGGAAGAGGTCTAAAAAGGCGCTGTCGTCGGTGTCGTTGATATCGGCAGCTCTGTCGAAGATGTTGTCAAAGTATCGAGCTGAGATGTCGCAGAGAGAGGAGGTGTCGGTCTTCACTCGGCCTTGGTGGTTCCGTAGGGAGTGGATCTCCATCTGTTGCTTGGATTGTTCGACCCGAGCATGGAGCATCGGGTATGGCTCGTTAGCTGGGTAGGCTTGCCAGTCTGAGGCTGTTGCCATGAGGGCCTCGCGGCGTCTGTTGTCTGGGTGGTTGGAATCTCGAAGTGCGCGGTTTTTGGCTTCCTGTTGGATGGTGACCTTAATGTTTTCTTTCAGGCATTGCAGCTTCAGGCTGGGCTTCAAAGGACCATATCGCTTCAGAATGGATTTGACGTGGAACTTGAGCCAAGCAATGTACTCTGTATCAAAAACCCACCAGGGCATCCTCCAGGTGCCTGGGCCTCTGTCTTGTCGCTGGGTGAGGTTGCCAAAGTTAAAGACGAATTGGACCGCGTGGTGAGAGGACTTCGTGATGTTGTGACCCTGCTTGTTGGTTACCAGTTGTGTGGATTTGATCCACTGTGAGAGTGTCGAAGAGATGTGCAGCTGATCCAGGCGCCTGCCAGCTCCGCGGCTGTTGTTGGTGTGAGTGTAGAGGCCTTTTCTGTGTTTGCTGATTAGAGTGTAGGTGTCTAGTAAGTCCCAGTTAGCTAAGAAGTCCTTAAGGTGAGTCGTCACTTTTTCGCCAATCCTGCCGTCGTTGGAGGCGACCGCGTTCCAATCGCCTGCCGCTATCAGGGGGTATTGGCAGGGATGGAGGCGTAGATAGTCGTCTAGTGACTGGTAGAACTGCCGGTTAGTGAAGGGGGAGGCTCCCTGCTCGTTTGGTGCGTATACGTTGATCAGCGATAGGTGTCTGTCGGTGCCTTTGATGTGCACGTCGGCCAAACACAGTCTGTTGTCTAGGGCTGGGAAGTATTCAAAAACTGTTGTAAAGTTTGTGATGGTGACGTTGTCGGAATAGACTAGCCCCACGCCGACGCTTCTATTAGAAACACCAGCTGTGGAGCCGAGGAGGGTGTAGTGTCTGCCCCCCGGGTAGGGCGAGTTTGAAATGATTTGTTGAGCGGTTTGTAGGGAGGAGTCCACCCAGTTCGTCTCTTGAAGAAGGACGAGATCGGGGTAGTGAGTAGTTCGAATAATGTTTACAATGGTGTCGGGTAATCGGTTAAGCGCTTCCGCCATCTTAAAACCGCCGATGTTAGCCGTGATGACTTTAACATTCGGAGATTTCATTTTGGCCTGGGTGCTCTTACATGGGGCTTTAGAAGGGGTGGTAGTAGAGGTGAAAGACATGCTTACTGGTTCTGCCCCGGTCGGAGCATTGTGTCCACCTCATGGAGAGTGGTCACCCTAGGGGGGTTCGGGGGACTGTTCGGGGGTTCTACAATCTCGTCTACCGAGCTGAGTGTCGCACCGTCGTGGAAAACTTTGAAGTGGCATGTAGACAGGAATGTCGGGCACCTCCCGTCAATGAACTTTGCTACCTCCTGAGAAGGCAGCCAGCAGAGTCTGTTCTCCGACCTGTCCGGGTTCAGGATTTGCACCGGAACCTCGCTCGAGGCGGTCTGGAAGACCGCAATGTGCTTCTTGCCGAGCGTGGTGTGAGAGGGCTCGCCAGAGAAACTGGAGGTGGTGTGCCCTCCTCGGGGTCGGCCCTCGTGGATACTTCCGGGGGGGGGTTGTGTTTGGTTGGTCGTGTTGGGACTGGTGTGGTCGTGGGGAAGGCCGTTGTTGGTGGCCTCGGTGTTAAGCGGGGTAGCGGGGGGAAGAAACTGGGTGACATCAGGGGCTACTTCAGGGTGAGCAAGTGCGTCAGGCTGGGTGTCAAAGCCGTTCATGGATACGTCAGCCTGTTCCGTTTCCTGGTCGTCGGGAACTGTGTCTTCCTCGGAGGCGGGGATGTTGATGGGTAGATTCTGAGTTCCATGCTGCTGGTTCGTAGAGGGCAGCTGGTTAGTTTGCTCGGTCTCTTCGGGTGTGTCCTCTCCGGTTTTGTCGCTCAAGACTTCAAAGTTGTAGTAAGATCGGAGGGGCTTCTGACCGGTGGGTTGGGGGGACGTGTCTCGAGTCCGTCTATGTCTAGGGGACTTAGTGCCGACGGTCTCCCACTGGTGAGTAGCAGGCGTGTGGTGGAACTTGCGAGTTTGGACCGGGGGCTCCACGGTGGATGGGGCATGGATGGAAGCAAGGGCTTTACCTCTCTGTGGGAGGGTACCCTGGTGAGCGCGGGTGCGGAAGATCTTGGGAGTGACCATGTCTTTCTCGGGGCAGGCCTCCCGGATGTGCTTAGTGCTCTTGCACTTAACACAGATGTTATCGCCGTTGGCGAAGTGCATCTTGATCAACTTTGAGCCGGTAAGCCTAGCCTTGGTGGGATCCAGGTTGACGAAGAAGTCGGGGATGGTCTGGGGCAGGGTGGAGCCTAGGAGAGCACGAACTGCGATCACAGGACCCGAGATGTTCTGATGGTTGGCAGAGGTCATCAGAAGGGTGCCACTCAAGAGGGAGGAACCTGGAATGGCCTGATCAATGTCTACGTCGAACTGGTTGAGAATAGCGTTGAGGTGGATCTTGAAAGCATCCTCCGTCTGACGCTCCATCTTCATGTACGAGGGTAGGTTGAAGTAGTAAAGTACTCTTCGTCCAGCAGGGTTAGCCGAGCCCTTCCTCATGATGCGATAATCTTGAGTATTGGCCTCAACAATGAGACTAACTGTCTCCAGAATGACAGCCATTCGTTGTTCGTGGGGGTCAGTGAGGGCGTCCGACGTCAGGTAGTGCCAACCATTTCCCACTTGGTAGCAGTCTTCAGGGTCCTGTTCTAAGTTAATCTGGTCGATCAGGTGGGGGACGATGTCTAGGTTGTGCCTGGACAGGTCAAACTCCGCCAGACCAACCTGACCCTTGATCTCGTCGAACTTTTCGATGACGCCCTCGAGGACACTGATGGTGTCCTTCTCGTCGACTTCAGCGGCGTTATCGAGGTGCTCGAGGAACATGGAGATAGGAAGATTCCAATCAGGGGTGGCGGAGCGGTCAAGAGCTCTTCGGAAGAAGTTTTCCTTGCTGGCTACATAGGACACGTTGAAACGGCCGGAGGTATGCCTACCATTCGGCGCCGCAAGGGGCTCCGAAATTCGCTCCTTGTTGAGGTTGAATTTGAGTGTGGAGGGGTTCGATGTCAGGAGAGCCTTGACTTCGGCCTTGCTCTTCCAGGCGTTGAGGGTGATATTGTTGTCGTTTTTTTTGTCGTTTTTGTCGTTTTTGTCGTTTTTTTTGTTGTTTTCATCGTTTTTGTCGTTTTTTTGGATTTTTTCAATGTCGGTTTGGTTGGGGGTTTCGGTTGAGGTGGCTCCATCACCTCGCGATAAATCAGGAGGTGGGGGGTTCGGAGCGCCCAAGGAGTTACCCGCCGAAGCTTGGGCTTGCGCTGTTTCCATGGTGAACGTTTTTTCTGGTCGCGCTCGATTAATAGCTCTGTTTTGTTAGCTATAAGTACAGTACATACAGTGTAAGTTTTTTTTTTTTTTCTGCATATACATTCATTTAATTATAACTTTGCTGTGAAAGAATAACCTTTGAAATGAATGTACGCTTACACGAATATTACTAATTAAACACGTTTAGTGTCATGGTCCAACTTGGCACGTACCTATTTCCAGTAAAAAAATCATAAAAAAACCTGGTTCAGTCCGTGTTGTATGTTGGTCCACATAGCTTCGCGTGTTTGTTCGTTCATCGGGAAAACGCCACTCCAGTCTCCAGTTCTCTAATCTCAATCCTTCCATTGCCCTCTTCATTTGCATTGCCTTTGAAAACTTCTCCTTGTGGTTCTTCTTCGTCATTGGTTTGGTTCTGCGTCCCCTGTGGTGACTACGCGCCCTGCTACGCTGTTCTCTCGGTGGCCTCGGCCGCCTTTTACGCTTGCTACTGTGTCTACTCTCGCTCATCGTGAAGTGCTGGCGGTTGTCCATCGTAGAAACACATCTGGGCTTCCTTCAGGAATTGAAGCAAACCCTGTTGGACATGTCCCAGGGTGGCGTCGTCCCCTGAGTACCGGAGGGATCTCTCCATCTTCCAGATCCCATAAGCCAATTCCCGCAGATATTTGCGTGTCTTGACTTGTTGATGTTTCCGGGGGGCGTCACTGTTCACATGCCCTGGGAAAGAGGGGAGTACTCCACATTTCGACTCGGTAAAGATCCAGTCCTTTAGAGAGTCCACTGACGGAATCTTCATCCTGGTCAACATGGAAAGAAGAACTTCGCACTTGCAGAAGATATGCTCGTGCAGATCCTGAATGATGGCCTTATCACAGAGCCCGCATCCTGGATTCTTCTTGGTGAAAACGTGGTCGTCAGGGTATCTCCATTTCACGAGCGGAAGTCGAGATATCCGCATGAGGTGAAGAACTTGTGCTTTGTTGGCGTCGGCGATGTAGTGTTTTCGAAGGTCATGCATTACCTCCTGCCAGACCATGTCGTTAGTTATTACAGCCCATCCATCCACCCAAGTAGGTGTACTTAGCTTTCGTGTCTCCTGTTGGAACTTTAGTTACACTTTATATCAAGATTAACATGTCTCTAGAATGGCCAAGAATGGTTCCAAAAGCTTCATTTTTTTTTGTAATATGTACATTGAGACATTTTTATTGCCCTAACTCATTTAATATTCTCATTTAAAGCCTCCAGGGACTTTTTTTTCACCCCTCGCTACTCCGTCCCCACCTGCATGAACTGCATGAACCTAAATATTTTCTCTCCAGCATCCCTACTTTTTTCTACTCGCAACACAACATGGTCAAAAAGGAGCAGACCGACTCTGCAGACACATCCGGCACTCCCGCGTCGACTCCCCGTCGATCCACTCGTCTGGACAGTCTTTCCACGCGTCCCGGCGTCATTTCGGGCTCTTCACCTCTGTCTCGAAATGTGACGCCGTCTCCGTCGACCTCGGGCACTCCCCGAGCATCTACACCTGCCAGCGGGCTGAAATTCAAGCCGAAAAACGTGGCTCGACGAACCAAGGCCGAGCGAGACGCAGACGCCCCGGTGGTCAAAGAAGAGCCTGTGCGAAACAGTCGATCTGACCGTGGAGGCCGAGGAGGCAGAGGAGGCGCTCGAGGAGGCGCTTCTGGAGGAGCTATGGGCCGAGGAAGAGGCAAATTCGACAACATTGTCACCTCGCAGGCCCAGGGACCACTTGCAGCGCCTCCTGCGGGCTACGGATCCACTGGAGGAGGCTGGGGAGGTCGAGGAACCACTTCTGCTGGTTTCTCACGAGTGGGAGGGGGAAGAGACAGCCATTCGCCTCTGATTCGAAGCCAGTCACCCCAGGTCAAGAGCGAAGAGGGCGAAGACGGAACCCCGGTGCCCGGTTCGTCTAATGGCCGGTCTCGTGAAGCTACAGTTGACTTGCATGATATGCACGACATGGCTATCAGTATGGGCGAACAGAAACCCATTCCCGGCCACATTGAGCAGTATTTCCCCATCCGAATCGACAAGCAGGATCTGGAAAGTGTGTCTGCCACCGCCGCGGGCTTTTCTTCGCTCTCTGTCAAGGACTCTCTGCTGAACATGGTGGAGGAGGAAAACAGCTCTGGCATCATTGACACGCCCAAGGAGATTCTGGAGGTGTCTCGAGCGCTGGAACAAGGCCGGTATATGGCTCCCGAGCAGGTGGATGAGGCCCGACGGGCTGTGATTGACTCGGTGAACATTTCCAAGGAGTTTGGACTGGGAGGAAGTGACACCACCGAGATGGAGCAGAAACTGTACCTGTTCCAGCTGCCTCCAATCATTCCTTCCTTCCAGGCTGCTGAGAAAGAACAGGTTGATGTGGACATTGAGGACAGTGAGGGGGATAGAGAGAAGGAAAAAGATAATGAAGAGGAGGACAATGATGTGGAAATTGTGGCTAAAGACACGGTTGAGTCCGACGAACCATCCATCCCATCTCTTCCTGAAGGACAGGTGGGCAACCTGCGTCTGCATAAATCCGGCAAGCTGACCATGGTCATCGGCGACATTGTCATGGATGTGACCCAGGGCGTGCCAGCCAAGTTTCTGCAGGACATTGTGGTGTGTTCGGCCGAGGAAAAACAGGCCTATTTGATTGGCCAGGTTAAGAGAAAGATGGTGGTTACTCCTAAGCTGGATGAGCTCTTGTAGGTAGGGGTATGTTGCATGTATTAATAGATTATAAGGAACGGTAATGAGCGGCACCGAACGGAAACGAGTGGCCGGATGTCACGAGTGGTCAACAACAGGTTTTTGTAGCATTGGTCAAGCTGTTAGTGACAATCGATAGATCATTCAGAGCTCACCAATCCATAGTTTGGGGATACGTATCCTACAGTAATGAGAGTTGATGTCTCGAAACGCTGGACACCCTGTTCTCCGACTAGTATTGCACAGCTACGGAGATGTTGACTGGTGCCAACCACAACCCCTGGCTACGACAATCACCTCCACACCCTTACACGATCGTTTTAGTCATTTATTCATTATCGTTAGCTCATTAAGTTGTTCACTGCCAACACCATCATCATTTTAGCAAAGTGGTGGCGTGTGACCAGGTCACTGGATCCACTGGTTTCCTATGCCATTCGTTCCAACTCGGTCAGGCACGCCTCTTTACACAGCAGCCTTCTGATCACAATCACCTGCTGGTCGTGCACAGACGCCTCTTCATGGCCTGGCCACTGCCACCATTCCGTAGCGTATCCATACACTCTGTCCTCATAGAGGATATGCTCTCCACACACTCCACAGGACGTTCCTACCTGAAACGACAGCTGAGCGTCTTCAAAGTACTGTCTGCCCATCTGATGAACGTTGAGATGTGCAATTTGCTTGTCTGTGAGTTGGCCATCCTTGGCTTTGAAAACCGACATGACAATCTGTTCAATCAGCGTAGGAAACACCTTTTCTTCGTTGACGACGGTGATTTCGCGATGCAGCATGTGTCTCTTTTTGCCTGCGGGACTTGGGGCACCTTTGGGAAGAGGGGGAAAGCCGACATTGGACGCCTTGAGATTTTTGAGCTTCTTGAGCTTCTGAATGTCGGACGGCAAGTACTTGAGGTTGACGTTTCCACTCACGTTGAGCGTGTCGAGGTTGGTGAGGTCTCTGATTCGAGGCGGAACCGACTCCAGGCAGTTGTTGAAGACGGACAGATTCACAATATTAATCCCGTCAAACAATTGAGGTGGCAAATCTGTCAGTCTGTTCTGAGACAACATGACCTTGTAGGACATGGCCAGAGATGCCGTACAGGGGCTGTTGTTGGTCTTAACCACATTTTTGAGCTCGCTAAACTCCTTGGGGAGTTTGTCAAGGTTGCGAAACATGAGATCAATGTTTTCGGCCTCCTTGTCAGCACACTGAAGAAGGTACTGAGCAGGAGGAAGAGTGGTGTCCACAGGCGCGGGTTTATGACGTTTTTCAGGACTGGCAACTTCAGCAGCTATTCCTGCCCCGGTTTCGCCAAACGAACCAAGAGAGTTGTACGAGTTGAACGAGTTGAACGAGTTAAGGCTCCGGGTGTAGTTTCTGTAAGGAGTCGTGGGAGCAAGTAGAGACGGACGTGAAGCTGTTCGAACGGGAGTAGAAGAGCTTTCGGCCGCACTCTGTCTCTCCAGCTTGGCCACGGTGGCCTCTGGTTTATCTTCCGTGACCGTTCCATTGCTCTGGAGACTCACGATATGGCTTTCTGACTCCCCTTCGCCCTCCTCGTCTCCGCCTTCCTCCTCCTTGTTCTTGCTTCTTTCAGTGAACTGAATGCCGCCCAGAAACCGCTTTTTTCGGACCGGACTCGACGGCAGGTCGAACTGCGAGCTCCAGCCCTCTCTGTCGGACCATAGACTGCCTCCTGGACTCGAGGGTTGTTTGTCTGTCTGATCGGTTGGCAGGAAATTTGACGACTCAGATGACAAGTTGTCGCCGCCGTACTCGCGCTTGTCGCCCGTGCGCTTTGAAACCACGTGACTCCAGGTGTTGTCCACCGAAAACGGCTGTAGAGAAGACATTTGTGGTAGCCGGTCCAGGTGTTCAAGTGGTTTACAGTAGCTACTCGGTAAGGTATTACTGTAGCGCGTTATAGTGTTTCGTGATAGAGTTCACGGGTCGGAAATGAGTCTGGTAGGGTACAATCAACAAGGACTTCTTGAGAAGATGACCCCGATAAGGAAAAGTTGATTTAAAGCTGTATGTTTCTTCTCCGGTTTCCATTTTCCACCATTTCATTCCATCCACTACTTGCCGATTTACAGACGTCCAAAAACATTTGCTTGGTACTCTGAACCTTGACAGGGGAGTCGCGTGGGTGTTATTACATGTTGATAAATGGTGAATTGGGGTCTGTAGATATGGAGGAACAACTTGTAGGCCTATATATTGGCGATTTTGGCTTCTATCTCATTGTAATTCGAGCCCTGCCAGATGTCTCCATAAGCCACCAACTCGACCCAAGAAAAATCTCACTGAAAAATACAGTTGTGACTTCCAGATGCGGAGGAAAACTTGATTGTTGATTTGCCGATGGTGTGGGGGGGCTACGGGGATTTTGAGTATATCATGGTGGTCCTGGAGATTTCCCTGTGTCTGTGGTTTTGTTGTCGTCTTTCTCCGCCTCCTCGTTCGACTCCACGACTCGTTGTATGTCCAGCCCATTCAAACTGATCAATTAAACCTCCGAGTGCGGTAAATGGTTGAGATGCATGTTATCAGATTTGCACGAGTCGCAGTAATAGGGGACTGAGTCCAAAGAAGACGTGGATTTGAGGGGAGAGGTTATGTTCTTATTTTTGCGTGTCTAGTCACGTGTAGGTGGCAAAAATACTGCACCTAGTAGACACTGACTCCGCCTTCACGTACAAGTAATTAATTTATTTTGTTTTTTATTTTATACTTTTATTTATTCATTTTTTCTTTTTTTTCTTTTTTTAAGCCCGCGGGAGTCTAAAGAAAAGTAGCAAGTATATACCTGCAGATAGCAACGGACTCATAGGGAAGATGGTGCACTGCTCGACCCTTGTTCGATATATCGTGGGGTAAATGTCGAGTTGGTTGCGGTTGTGTATATCAGGCAGTATCCTCCCTTGTCGTCTGAATTGCTTTTTGGGCTTATCACATGCAGGAGTCGAATTTCAGGACCTTTTTTTTTTTTTCCTTTTTTTTCTAATTTTTTTTTTCTCTTTTTTGAATAAGGTCGTATGCACCCTGGTGGCTACAACTATTGTTTAGAACGGCTAAGTAGGATGTCTATATACTCAGGATGGAGGATGACAGCGGCGGCTGTATTGACACAGGAATATACAAACAGGATCAATCGACCACAAATGACCAAGGAGAGCACAGGACCCCCTCCAAAAACACACAAGTACCGGAAATCCCGCACCTGTAGCATCCTTGACACTGGTTATGACATGTCTCTCAGTTAGTCAACTATACTCAACTAATGCGACCAAGTAATAGCGTGATGCTAGTAGGCTATGATGACTTCGAATAATGACGCGATAGGAAGCTGGTAAATTATCGTCCACATACCAATTGTTGAAATATATATCCCCGACTCAGCTCGATCACTGAAAACGCTATATTGACATATTCGGCCACCGTCCCCATCTGGAGTCGAACCCACGTCCACAAACCCTCCACCAACCTTCGACTCACCACTCACCACATCAAATCCATAACCCAGAAAACTGTCCAGATCACACCTCCACCACAGTCCGCCATGTACCAGCAACCTCCCCAGCAGCAATATATGGGTGGCCAGATGAACCAGCCGCCGCCCAATATGCCCCAGATGGCACCCAGCGGCATGGCACCGGCCAACTCCAACGACCCCAACGTCATGCCGTTGAAGCTGACGGCAGAAGACGACAAGCTATATTCGTGGATCGTCGAGCTGATGCACGGCGAGGGTCGCGAGCAGGCTCTACTCGAGCTCGGAAAGAAACGAGAGCAGTACGAGGATCTCGCCCTCATCCTATGGCACTCGTTTGGAGTCATGAGCACTCTGCTGCAGGAGATTATGAACGTGTACTCCCTGCTGACGCCTCCCAATCTGTCCACTGCCGCCAGCAACCGGGTATGCAATGCCCTGGCCCTTCTTCAATGCGTCGCCTCACACGCCGACACCCGAACCCCCTTCCTTGTGGCCCACATTCCGCTCTTTCTGTATCCCTTTCTCAACACCACCGTCAAGTCGCGGTCGTTTGAGTACCTGCGGCTGACATCGCTGGGCGTGATTGGCGCGCTCGTCAAGAACGACTCGCCCGAGGTCATTTCGTTCTTGCTGTCCACCGAAATCATTCCCCTGTGCCTTCGAATCATGGAGAGTGGCACCGAGCTGTCGAAAACAGTGGCGATTTTCATCGTCCAAAAAATCCTCATGGACGACATGGGCCTCAACTACGTGTGCCAGACGTTCGAGCGGTTCACCGCGGTGTCGCAGGTGCTCGCCAACATGGTCCAGCAGCTGATTTCACAACCGGCCTCCCGACTGTTGAAACACGTGGTCAGATGTTATCTCAGACTGAGTGACAACGCCAGAGCCAGAGAGGCACTAAGACAGAGTCTGCCCGAGCCGCTGAGAGATGCTACCTTCAGCCAGGCTCTGAGAGACGATGCCGCAACCAAGAGATGTCTCGCGCAGCTGTTGATCAACTTGAGTGATAGTTACGAGTGAACAACGAGCAGTGCAGCTGCGACTTGTGAGCGGAACTCACAGTCCTACCACGAACATCGTGCTGCGACTAGTGACCACGACTACAGGTGTCAAAGCTGACCCATAGAGCAGTTGAATACCACTCAGCAACCCGGTTCATGAACCGCGAGCTTACTGCATCATCGAAGACCAACAAATCGCATAATAGGTCACCTGGAACAGGTGGTGACCCTAAGGGGAGCTGGGAGTGGCCCGTACGTACGGTACAACGCCACAGCATGTAAAAATATATTATCTATCTACACTAGACAAGGCCCGTGAACCGTGGCATCTGATTGAAATCAGACAGACATATTTCCATGATAGACAGATATGTCCATCTAAATAACTCATCCTTGCGCTTTCAGCGAGAGAGCTACCATCTCTCTAAAAGGAGCTCCTACGTGACAGCTACGTTATCACCGGAACGTCAAGTCACTGAACACGAAGTAGTCGAACCAACACGTAGCTAGGGTTAGTCGTAGTCAAATAGAATGTATGACTAATGATGTTATAATGCTTTTCTTGCTTATATAAGTATGTAATTGTACAGAAAGAAGTAGCTACTTCTGAGTCAAAGGGATGTAACGAGGGCCCAAGTGCTGGGATACAATACACCGGCACTGTCTGAGCCTCGCTGTCATAGCAGCTCGCTCTAGAAAGTCTAGTCAATCATAAATACATTGTTTACAAGGAATGAGGTTGATGCGGAAGTTGATGCACGTGGTGCTGCTGTATCTGCTGGGCCCCCGTATGCTGAGTATGGGGCTGTGCGTGGGGTTGTGCGTGGGTCTGCTGCTGCTGGCCCTGGTGTGTCTGAGCCTGCTGCTGTGTGTGACCCTGCGCGGGCTTACCCTGCTGCTGGCTCTGACTCTCCTGCTGCTGCTGCTGCTGCTGTTGCTGCTGCTGCTGTTGTTGTTGTTGTTGCTGGGCCGCCTGCTGCTGCTGTCGTTGGGCCGCCTGCTGGGCCCGCTCCTGCCGCTCGCCCTCGCCGCTCACAGGCCCCACACCTGCACCACCGTTACCAATCGCCCCGGGATGGGGTGTCGACAGAATCTTGGGCTTGCGCTTCCGTTTCGACGTCTGCGGATCAATGCCCTGGTGAGCAACATTGTGAATGTGGTCATGCCAGTACGACGGGATCCGCGTGATGAACGTGCAGTATTCACTGGGACAGTTAAAGTAGCCGTTCTGGTCACGCTTGGAATGCACAATCGTATTGGCCGGAAACTCGCGGAACACGTTGGACGCCCAGATGGTCGTCTGGATCTCTGGATAGTGCCGGTTGTTCTTGTGCGTCTGTCGCTCGGCCACCGTCTGGAACAGCTCGCCGCACTTTCGGCACATGTACAGCGACCGGTTGTGGATGTGTTTTTCATGACGCTTCAGTTCAGACGTGTTGCTGCACTGCGTGCCACACTCGCGACACACCACGGGGCCGTTGTTGGTAATAGGCACCGAGTTGGCCGGCGACTTTTTGTTCTTGCGCTTCTTCTTCGGCTCACCAGGTGCCGCAGAGGGCGTGGAGTCTGCCGAGGCGGCAGTAGCGGGAGCAGTAGAGGCAGGAACAGAAGAGGGTGCAGCTGGTGCCACGGAAGGAGTCTCATTGTGTGCAGGTTGCTGACTGACGCCCTGCTGTGGAGTCTGTTGGTGTTGGGCTTGCTGGTGCTGCTGAGCCTGTTGATGCTGGTTAACACCCTGCTGTTGAGTCTGCTGTTGCTGATTAACGCCATGCTGTTGATGCTGTGTCTGCTGATGCTGTGCCTGCTGAGCATGCTGAGCAACGCCATGCTGCTGCTGAACACCCTGTTGAACACCCTGTTGGACACCCTGATGCTGCTGATGCTGCTGCTGTCCCTGAAGCTGGCCCTGATGCTGAACCTGGGCCTGGGGATGGGGATGCTGCTGTTGCTGCTCTAACTTCACCTGCTGAGTGGCATGCTGTGCACCGTGCTGTGCGACACCATGCTGTGTCTGCTGCACAGCACCAAGTGCCACTGCTTGTTGTCCCTTCTGACCCTGCACCCCGGGCTGTCGCTGCAACAACTGCGGAGTGGTGCTCTGGCTAATCCCCTGAGCCTGCTGCTGGGCCTGGGCCTGCTGCTGGGCTGCAAGCTGATGATAATGCTGCTGCTGTTGCTGATACTGCTGTTGCTGCTGCTGCTGCTGTTTTGTAGTCTGAGCCTTCTGCGTCTGTTGGTACGCAGCTTGCTGCTGCTGTTGAGCCGCCTGCTGGGCCTGAGTATGAGCAGTGTGTGCCTGCTGAACGTGCTGTTGCTGCTTCTGCTGCAACTGACGAGCCTGTTGCTGGGGAGTCAGGTTCTGAGGAGACGCACGCTGTTGAGAAGCGCTCAATGCGTGTTGCTGAGGCGTTGTTAGCACGTGCTGCTGTGCGTGGCTCTGCTGCTGTTGCTGAGCATGAGCCTGCTGAGGAGTCAACGCATGTTGCTGCTGGGGCGTCAGATGGTGCCCGGCCTGGATTCTGGGGGTGGCAGCAGCGCTTTTGGGGGTCCCGACGCTCGCAGTGGACGCTTTGCGTCGCTTCTCCTCCAGCTGGGCCTGCTGTTGCTGCACCTGCTGGAGATGAGCCTGGTACTGGAGATGTGCCTGATGCTGGTGTGCCGCCGCCTGCTGCTGTTGCAGCGAAGTGTATTGCGACGCGTCGCCCTGGAGATGACTGTGTTGCCGCTGTCTCTGGTACTGCGCTTGTGCGAGCGCTTGGGCCTGTGCCTGAGCTTGTGCCTGGGCTTGTGCCTGAGGGTGAGCTTGGGAGGTGTGCTGAGTCTGGGGAGTCTGTGCCTGCTGCTGAGCCAGTTGCTGAGCATGGGTCTGTTGCTGCGCATGGGTTTGTTGCTGAGCCTGGGCCTGGGTCTGGGCCTGAGTCTGCTGCTGCTGCTTTTGTTGTTGAGCTTTGGCTTGGGCAGCAGCTTGGGCCTGCTGTTGCTGCAGGTACATGTGATTAATAGACGGCAGGTTGTTCTTCTGCTGCTGGGCCTGTGCCTGGGCCTGTTGCTGGGCATACAACTGCTGGGCTGTGGTCTGGCCGGCTGTGCTAGCCTGACGTTGTGCCTGTTGCTGAGCGGCAGCTTGTTGCGCCTGCTGAGCCTGAGCCTGAGCCTGTTGCTGAGCCAACGCCGCCTGCTGCTGCTGCTGTTGCAACTGGCTGATCGAAACGTTGGTCTGCTGCTGCTGAGGAGACGCCACCTGCGACATGGACACGCCTCCCATCATGCCATTGATGGAGTTCTGGCTCTGCCGGTGCATCTGGTGGAGCTGATGTTGCTGCTGCGCGTGTTGCTGCTGCGCGTACAGCTGTTGCTGGGCCTGGGTCATCTGGCTGAGCTGGTGTTGTTGCATCTGCTGCTGGTGCTGATGTTGATGCTGGACCTGGGCCTGGTGCGCCAGCTGCTGCTGATGGTACTGGTGCTGCATCTGTTGCTGAGAGTGTTGCTGTTGCTGCTGTTGCTGCTGTTGTTGCTGTTGCTGAGACTGGGCGCCATACATGGCCGCGTGTTGTTGCTCCTGTAACTGCTGAAGCTGCTGCTGTTGTTGCAACTGGTAGTGCTGGCTCAGCGGGTGGTGACGTTGCTGCTGGGCCGCGACATCGGTCCGCTGCTGGCCCGCCACCGCTCCAGGGACTCCTGGGGACGGCGTAGCGTTCTGGCCCGGAAGGGCCCCTGAACCGCCCGGTCGCTGCTGAAACTGCTGGTAGACACGCTGCTGGTTCATGCCCGGTCCGTGGTATCCAAGACGGCTGTTGAGGGTGAGTGTCAACTGCCGGTCGCTCTGTGTTCTTTTCACGCACTCAGGTCGTTGCACCTGGTGTACTGGTTTTTTTTTTGTGATATCGCACAATAAACGTGTTTTTGTGTTTTTTTGAGCAATAAGCTTCTCGTCTCTCGTCCAGCAGCACAACCTTTTTTAGACTTTTCGTTTCCTCCCGGCCAATCACAAGAGCGTAGCAGCGTTAGGAACCACGTCACCACCGGAATGAGGGGGGTCTGGTGGGCACGTGACCTCGCTGGACGGCACCCCGCGGCGTCTTTTGGCGTCCGCTCCGTCTTTCTGCTTTTTTTTTTCGCCGCCCAAACCCGTCTCTATTCCTTCAGAAATATAACGAAACGGTAATTTATCAAAAAGTGAATTTTAACCTGGCACGGAGAATTAACAAGGGTGTGTTCCCAACAACCCGCAGATATGGCGATAGTGACGGGGACAATTAGGGGGAGGAATCTCGGGAGGCCCATGGACACAAGAGGCTGAATAGGACGAATAAATGCGAAGAAAAAAGGAAGAAAAAAAGAAGAAAAAGGAAGAATAAAAAAAGAAAAAGGTCCAACATGCCCATTGCTCACGTGACCGGATCAATTCGGATTTTCCCGCATTTTCCCACAGATATTATTCACCCAACTTCCTTCCACCTTCACTCTTCCACTGTCACCCACCATAACAAAGCAAAGTCTATGCGGATCTCAGATTACACCGCAATAGGGTTCCATAGACCCAATCGACATCGAACCACGACAGGCTATGAGTGGAGGGAGATGGGCGCTGAATGGCTGATACTGGACACGTGACATTGAATTGAGTCACAAACGACGACGGAGAAAAGAAATCCACCCTTGAGACTCCCCTAGCTTCCCCCAATCCCGTCCATGTGATGCTGCACATTGTTCACATGTTACCCTATCTTAAACTGAACCAGCCACCCACACGCACCACCCACTAACACCTACAGTAACACCTACAGTCACACTTAACACCAATTATAACCTGTGTCTGACCCAGCCAGCCTTCCCTCTCAGATAGAGCCATACGCATAGACGCAACTTGATGTTTGCTAACGAACCTACATCTCTGTAGGGTTACCCTGGCCCTTGGAAGGGTCTGCTCAGAGCTCGTAGTGGAGAGTTGGATCTCGTTTGCAATTGGTTGGTTTTACGGAAAAGATGGTATTTTTGCAAAATCGTGTGAAAGCCCCGCTTTTCCGCCCACTTTTCGCTGCAACCACACCTCCAATGGCTCCTTTCTCCCCCCGCCATATCGTATATCTATACTGGCGATCACCATTAATTTTAGCTGTGGGAGTTTAAATGGGCTGACAGTTTTTTCTTTCCAACATACCGCGAAGCAGATCGGAATGTTTTGATTTGAAGCAAAAATACAGGGAAAAAGGGGAACAAAAAGACTGAAGAAACCAGCCGGAGCTTGGTGGGCTTGGGCCATGAACCACACTGGTCATATTCTATCTTCCCTTCCATCTATCACCAGCCCTGGAAGGTTCCACTAACCTGCGTGTATACTCAACAAATGTGAAGGCTAAATAATGAAAAATTGAGAGGGCAAGTGGGACAGCTCAAAGGCAGTCCAGAAGACGATGCAACCATGGAAAGACTTATAAAATATATACCCAATTTCGAGGCTCCAATTTTGGTACCTCTTTCTATCTAGTTATCTGGTTGGGCCTATTTAACACATTCCAAAGCACATTCCACTGACGAACAAAGTTTCAGCTGCTTGAAATATTTGACTTTCAGGGAATACGTGTCTGAAACTTGGAATCAGGGTTCGTTGAAAACATGGTGGCACGTGATAGAGATGGAAAAGAAAACAACCAGATATATATACATTACTAACCAATTGTATTATGGTCACGTGATACATGGATTCCATTGCTAATTCTCAAGGGGACTCAAATGCGTTATATTAGACGCCATGATAGAGACAAACGCGTCGGGTCTCCTGAACCTTATCTTGATGGAAACCCTTCGGGGCGCATTAGTGGGTAGTTGCGAGCGTTAGACACTACTGTACTTGTGCTTGTACTGGTGGCTACAGTGAGATGATTTGTGGTTTCGTACTTGTACTGTACTGTACTGTACATACTTGTACTTGCAGATTGCTGGAGTATTGAAGGGTATTGTTCTGAAGGGTTTGGCAATCGACTCATGACTGAATTTAGTTGGAAAGATTGCAAGTGGTCTGAATCGACCAATTGTGTATCGGAAATAATCACAAAGCCTGCAGAGTCAAGTCCACCGGAGCATCAGCGGGCATGCTACAAGAGCACTTCAACTTGCCAAAAGTCGCCTTAATTGGACCCGAAAGAAGTTGGAATCAATTGTCCTGCCAATAATGTATCTGTTTCGACGTTGATAACCATTTCCCCTCCAATTCGTCGTCAAAATAGCCACCATACAAGCCGATCCAATCTCACTCAATGGTGGCTCACAATGGAGACCGACTTTTCTCATTCAGCCAGCTAGTGAAGTGTCTTCTACAGTCTGAGAGGGATCCATGGTCGTCCTTCTTTCACCAGAGCTGGCAATGTACAGTAGCTGCAAGATTACTACAAGTACAGTATGTAAGGTACAGTACTCACATTGTATCTTGCAACACTTGATACGGTGTTTCAGCTGAGCAGTGACAATACGGACCTTCCTGATGTAAGTGGATAGTAGACAGATGCGAGCTCCGGTCTAACACAGTAGGTACAGGACATACGTTACACAGCAATATAGCATTGATTCAAATTGTGAGTACACACTGCTCTCTCCATACAATCAGAGCTGGAATGGGTTTCAGTATCTGAATCTGAACCATGCTCACGAGGGAGAAGAGGGGAGCCATTCTGAAGCACGTCATCTAGTCAAGTGAGAGTTAAGAGCATGTCTGACTAGCAATGATATTAGATGTCTGGTGCTCAATGTAGTCCAGTATGTATATACAGTACATACCATAGTGTGATCTCTTGACTACAGTACGGCCAAGTGGAACAGCGATGGCACGGACACTGAGAAAATGAGAAGTGCGGTTAGTAGACTTTCCAGCTACTCAGAATTTCGACACTGATCAGTAACAACGTCTCGGCTGACTCTGTAACCTGATCCTCCCGAAGCATGTGTCCTGTCTGGCTTCCGTGTCCTGTCAGTCTTCAGAAAGCTGTATCATCAATACTGCATCAGCAAAATGTACCCATTCCATCTTCTGAAAGAGATTATATGAGTGAACACCAACTATTCACCATACAGTAGTTCATGGTACAATACATTGTCGTTCTCTCTTGTACTAACCAAGAACCCCGGGTTTGCTCTAGGAGATGTGAGGAGGTTTTCTGTTGGTGATCTTTTCTGAACTTCAGAGGTAGAGACAGACTTGTGAGCTGAGACAATCCCAGACACGAAATAGACAGTCAGATACTCTTCAGAAGAAATCTCGCCAGAAAAATCGTCAGAGCGTGGGTCAGAACAGGCTCAATCGCTCCAGCATCTCCACAGGAGTCCAAAGTGTCAATCCCAGACTCTCAAACGACATTCAAGGCTGACCAGAAACTGCAGAGAAGGCGATAACGGCGGTACTATCGTTGATATTTGTGTTCTATCCAACATTGATGGTCGTTTGTGTGTTGTAATATGGGGAGATTGGGGGCAGTTATAACTTCAAGACTTGTCCGTCCTGGTTGAACTAACTGTTTGTTGGTTCGATATGGAAGTCTAGGAGATTCACAGGTAGTTAATGGCTGTCTTTTGCCCCTAGAACACCATATCTGAACCCAGCAGACCAGCCTCCGATCGAGGCGTTGCCGACTGCTCCTACGAGCCTGTCGGTAAGATTGCAGTTATCCGAGCACAGGAAAGGGACACAAGGGGTCCTTTGAAAACATCCGCGTCATGATGTACCTCGACAAGCCCATACCCAAGGCTACTCCTTAGCCTATCCTGACGAAGAGGACGGGAACAAGAACCACCAGGAGGAAAGAGAGTCAATGGTTCTCTAAGATGCGTCGGCAGCCCAGAAGTCTTCCAACTCTGTCGAGGACCGAGTAAACAACTTCTCAGACTCTGAGCGACTCATCGAACTGCTCAACAGCTCTACTAAAGTTCATGTGTTGATAATCTTGACCAGAATGACACATGCTGGGCTGATTGAAGGGACCCACCACCACCACCGTGTCGAGTCAGATGGGCGTAGAGTCCGTGGAGTTCAACACTTGAAATTTCGTCGGAAATTACTCGTTAGACTGACTATCTCAAGAATGGCAACAGAAGAACATGGCTCTATGTTCTACTTGTAGCTATGTGATGAAGGAAGCGAAAATCTAGAGAGCAGGTTTCTGACTGATGGCGAAGAGATGGAGAATGATTTATACGAAACCAGTTGTTTCCAATGGCCAATTGGTTCATTATAATTTAATTCATCGAGTTTGGATTAAATCTGGGAGAGTTGAATCCTCCAATATGGGTTCAAGGAGAGAAAGAGGCAATCTCAAGGAGGAAATATGGTAGGAGAAGAATTGGGATGAGTTTGTGTGGAGAAATTTGTTTGCAAAGTCGAGCCAAGTATACACCAGTTTACTTGAATGTCATCAGATCAAATATGGGTGAGTTGGAAACTCGTCCAGTTGCAAAAAACAAAAAAACAACAGCCTATGGAGATAGCCAATACGTAAAGAAGTTGATATCCATGCTTTCCTGAAGAGATGATCAAGGAATTCTATAGAGAGATCTGTTTGATTTAGTGGGATCAACTGAATTCGGCTACAGAATCCCGGTCGGCTCAATAACTGGGGGGTTGGGGGGTTGGGTTGGAGCCCTGGAGATTCGCTCGTCTGGGCGTTGCCGAGCAGACAGAGACGGGTTCGTTCACAACGGGTTCAATGATGGCTCAAGTAGTTGTATAATGCGCTTGAATGGAAATATTTACCTGTTCACTGTGGAGTAGAATCTCGAACTGCACAGTGACATCTGTGATGGTACAGTACCCAGAGTGAGCAGCACCACTCAGACGAGACAGAAACGGAGGGATTGAGAGTGACAACACGGGCCCCAAGGGTGAAATCGAACACAGAAGGGTGTTTGATGCGATTTGATCGGCTTTTTCAACACTTTCATGACACTATTGGGGTCGATTATGGCAATTTTGGAAACCTTCCAAACAGTGAAGTAAAGGTCTTTAATATTTGTTGGGTGGTTTGTTAACAAAAAGAGGAATAATAAAAAACAACAACACAACACCAAAGAAGAGATGCACCTAAGATTTTTTTCCAGTTTTCATCACTCAACTCCAGCATGTCCACATTTCCCATAGATTTCACCCGAATTGGGTCTCTTTTCTCGGTCGAAATCTGGCCTCCAGATTTCTCAAAATTTGTCACTTGTTAGTCAAGGTGGAAACTCTGCTTGTATTTGCTTTTTCCGATTCCTAACTCGGAGATTTGCCCGGAGACTCGGGGAGAGCGATAGAGCACAGGTGCGAGAGAGGGAAGGGGATTGCCGTGCGTTGATTTTGACTCAAATAACACCTCGGTGCTCTTCTCCAGAATACCCCGCACTCTATGGTATGATTATTCCTGTTATTTTGATCCCCTGATTGCTTCCTGTTATTGTGGTAATATCGCTCAGCTTCAGATGTCCATCTAACGGTGCTATCTAGACCGATATCGCAACAACGAACCCGGTCGGAGAGCGGTTTCCGTCGAGCACAAGGCGTGATTTATCATCAATAAGCCGGCAGCTATTTTTTCTCTCTTTTCCCTGTTTTTCCCTCGCATTTCTCAGCTTTTTCAGGCCCGCTAAAAAAGCGGATCCAAACGAGCCCGTTAGCTTGGACCCAGCCGCAAACAGAGTTGGAGTGCCTTCTGTATGCATGCTTTGAAATCAAGACCCCGAAGGTTTGACATGGCGAACAGATGTAGAGGTGGTATTTATCTGATGGCAGAGAGTGACACAAACGTAGGGCATGGCCGTCAGAGCTGGCGACAGAGCTGGCGACATAGCTAGCGACAGAGCTGGTGACACAAGTGTCATCTGGGCAACAAACCCATCTTTTATCCCGTCCCTGGCAAGTGATCTTCAGCATGGTCCTACAGTAGTACCGACACTGGTGCACTCTATAGCGATAGGTACGAGGAATCGGATGTGCGTACGTACAAAGTGCGCTTCCATGAGGCTAAGGCTGTGGATGCATCGGACAAGTGACTTGTTTCGTTAGTGTAGTGTGTGTGGGAGGAGAGTGTGTGTGCGGGAGTGCAAGTGGAGGTGAAATGTTGTGAAAGGTTGTGAAATGATGTGTAAAGGGAGGATAGGACGGGCGGAAAAGACCGCAAGCTGTATCATTTTGAAGCTCTCGGGCCCGCGAAGCTGTTTGCGGCATTAATGTCTCCATTCGAGCTCTTTTGGCGGACTCCAGGTGTCGTTTCTCTCCAACTACAAGTACTCATACAGTAGCCGCAGCCGTAAAGACCTCAGCCACTGACTCAACACCGCGGTTGCTTCTGGAACGGTTTGAAAGCTAAAACATCTTTAGGTGTCAGATTTTGGGAGGGTTTCAGATGGTGCGGATTGTGCAAAGTGGCAGAAAAGAGGGCGCAGGAGGCGGATTTTTGCGCTTTTGAAGACACATATGGGTTTTCCGAGCCCTCGAAACCATCTCTGGCCGTTTTCCCCGTCAAAAACCCCCGCATTTCACCTCCATCGTCGCTTCTGCTGAAGTCACCAGGTACTCCCGCAAATAAGCTTCATTCGCCACTCAAACCGTCCTGCCTTGAGATAAAAGTGCAACGTTGTCCACCAACGAACCCTGACAAGCCGCTAATCACTGTACGACGAACTTGAACGACCCAGTCGACGATTTCAACGTACAAAGTTCCTCCGAGAGTGACACAGACCGACGAACGATCGCACACAGACCGACAGCGACCACTCAGACAGTCCAGACATCAGACATCAGACTGAACACAACCAACAAGCATTGAACACTGCCCTTCCACCAAGTTCGACACGCAGACACAGAACCGCTCCAACCGACACAGAACCGCTCCAACCGACACAGAACCACTCCAACCGACACAGAACCTTTCCAACCGACACAGAACCGTTCCAACCGACGCACTACTGTTTCTTGTGTCTACAGCATCCACTGCATAATAAAGTCATACCAGCAACAACAGCACTATTCCAGCTCGTGGTTTTTTTTTTTTTTTTTTGATTACCACAGCCACCTCACCTAGATATGTACTCAGACTACAACATTCCTGGTGCCATGCCGGCGTCCATGGCCATGCCTCCGTTCAAACAGGAGTTTGACTACGCCCAATACGACCTTAACCAGCCCCTGCCCCCGCAGCAGCAACAACAGCCTATCGACCTGACCCCTGGAGGGCCCCTCCCCGTCTCGGATTACTCGACGTCGTCATACACCCTGGACAACGACTCACAGAAGCGAAAAATGTCCCCGGGAGAGTCCACCAGTGACGGAGGCGCCGACGACGAGTCTCCAGAAGGAGATGACGGTGAGGCCGACCCCAAGAAGCCCCGAAAGCCCGGCCGAAAGCCCGAAACCACCATCCCCGCGTCCAAACGCAAGGCTCAGAACCGGGCTGCCCAAAGGGCCTTCAGAGAGCGAAAGGAAAAGCATCTGCGCGACCTGGAAACCAAAATATCTCAGCTCGAGGGCGAGACGGCAGCCAAAAACTCGGAAAACGAGTTCCTGCGCTTCCAGGTCCAGCGGCTTCAGAACGAGCTCAAGCTTTACCGTGAGAAGCCTGCCGGCACTTCGGGAGCCTCTGGAGTCTCTGGAGCCGGAGCACCCGCTTCAAACGTGCATTCGGCTCCCATCCCGGAGATGTCGTCCAAACCGTTCACGTTCGAGTTCCCCTCGTACAACGTGCCCAAGCCGACCGATGTGGAGCGAGAGGCACGCGAGCAACTGCAACGAGAGCAGATCCGAGGCTACTTGCAGCGCAAGCCCTCATCTGTGGCCTCCGACACCACTTCTCCTGCATCTCAAACCTCGTGCAACCAGTCTCCCTGCACCAACCCCTCGGCATACACTTCGCCCCAGAGCCAGAGTGGAAGTGTGAGCCAGCAGAAGCCCCTGTTGGGTGCTACCATCGCTGCCATGAACGGCAAGCCCGACCCCCATGCTGTTGACTTTTGTGCTGAGCTCTCCAAGGCCTGTGTAAACAAGGCCGAGCTGCTGCAGCGATCCGCCACAGCCAGTGCATCTCCCACAACCTCCAACACGGTGGTACCGTCCGCAGCTGCACCGGGTAGCACTCAGCAGTCGGCAGGCCAGCCCTCTGTATCCACTCCTACCTCCTCCACAACTGCCCCTCCTCAATTGTCTGCATCTGTCGCTACAGCCGGCTCTGATCTTCCCGGATCGGACTTCCTGTTTGACATGCCCTTCGACATGGACTTTATGTCGTACCGAGACCCCGTTTCCGAGACGGCACATCTGGACGACTTTTCGCTGCCCGAGCTCACGACAGAAACATCCATGTTTGATCCTCTGGACCCCCATTCCAGCAGCGACGTTATTTCTGGCAAGCCTCTGTCTACCATGGGCGCTACACACAGTGGTGTCAACAACGGACAGGGAAGTGGTGCTCCCGAAGTCAAGAAGGAGGAGGATGAGGACCTGCTCATGTTCTCCAAGCCCAAGACGCTCATGAACTGCACCGCTGTGTGGGACCGTATCACGTCGCATCCCAAGTTTGGCGATATCGACATCGAGGGCCTGTGTTCGGAGCTGCGAAACAAGGCAAAGTGCAGTGAGAGTGGCGTCGTGTTGACGGAGTTGGACGTGGATGGTGTCCTGTCAACGTTCCAGTAAGCGAAAGCTGAAGAAGTTCGCTCCTGGTTCAAATTGGAAATAGGTATATGTTCTCCCGGAGAACATCGAGGTGTAAGTCGGCAGGGTCGCTTCTCGGCTACAGCCATGTTTATTTAAATACTAACGTGTATAGTTAATTGTAATAAGAGAATACGAATAGTGAGAGAGTTCAGATGTATACGGGTCAGTGGGTCAACATTTGCTTCAGACTCTGGATGAAGATTATATATTCCTTTATTAATGGGTTTTCTCGATACAGACAATGGGGTGGAATCTCATAACGCAAAGGATCCCATGACGCCAAAGCAAGTACCGGTCCAATTTGTACTGCCAGTAGAGAGCATCCCAAACAAGCAGTCGCAGTCGCACTCATCGATATGCATATGTGCTACTTAACTGTACGAGTACTGTACAGTACATACAGTACCTGTAGTGATTCACATTCAGTCATACAGTGCAGGAGTACTTCCGCTTGTCTCACAGGCTTTGTCCATGTGCCAATGAGTCAGACAGACACTTGTGCATGAGGCAGAGCACACACATGGCTTCGTTCAATCTGCTGATAGGTCGACATTCTGGGATCTGCTCAGGTTGTTCAGATGACCACCTTCTTTTTCACCCCCTCTCCCTGTACCACCAGGACCGTTTCCGAGACCCACGTGACCCTCAAACCGTCGCTCTTGACTTTCCCCAGGCTCTCCACCTTTGCCGGCTCAAAGCTCGGCGTCTGTTTATCCCTGTATCCAATTTTGCCCACGCTGGCATAGAGCAGAATCTCCACCTGTCTCTCCACGACGTTTCTTGACTTGCCAAACTTGACTGATTCAGAGTAGACCCCCTGGGAGGAATGGGAAGAGTTTGCGGAGTTACCGAACAGCGAAGAGAAGGTGCCTCCATGGGTTTCCATCTGCCAAACGACGACACGTGTTTCTCCGTCGAAATCGGGCCCAGGGACGCTATTAGACCCTATTCCCGTGAGTCCAGCAACCATTTTTCCATCCGGAGAAAAGACCAGGCCCCACACCGGAGCAGCATGATTGGAATTGAATTCCTGGGGGTCAAGATAGGCATACTCTGAGCCGATTCTCAAGTCGTAGACAATCAGAGAACAGGTGTCGGTGACCTTAATATCCAGGTCTCTGTTGAGTTCAGACAGAGAAGATCTTCGTCGAGACACATTCTTTTCAATCATCACAGCAGTGGCAGTAGGATAAATAGCCACAGCCAGACGTTGACTGGGCTTATGGAACGTGACAATGTACGGAAATGTCTGTGTGATTTGAGACAGTAGAGCTGTGACCTTGGACTGCAGAGAAACGCCTCTCTGGAGGGTCGAGTGACGCAGCAAGTCCGGATTCAGCATTTTGCAAGCAGTGTGCATCACAAACGGCACAAACATGTCCATGGAGGAGGATTTTCGGGTGTGGCTGAAGAAGCTGGAAAGCACATCGATAGCTGTGATTCGCACAACTAACGGCTTGTCGAGGTTCTCCAGCAGAAACACCAGAGCAGTGATCAACAAAGGAGCGTTGGAACGAGTCACTCTGTTGATGACAGACCAGCAATCAGACGACAAATGGGCATGACGAGCCAAACAGCTAATCACAGCTTCAATATCGACAATGTGATCCAGTCCAGGCTTTAACGAGGGCCACAGCTGATGCAAACAGTCCAGAGAAGACTGCTGGATAAGAACAGAGTCCGTTTCCATGCCATTGCGCACCACCTGACACACGTGACCTGTGTACTCTGGCAATCCAGTCACCCGTGCAATAGCTGTAATGATGTATAGCGAGATACAGGAAGAAGTGGGGTCTGCAGGGTCAAACAGCAGGTTGCTATTGTCACTGTAGATGGAGATAAGCAGCGATTCCTGGTCGTATCGCAAGTCCGAAAAGAAGGCCTGTAGACACTGCTTGGCTGCTCTCTTCAGTCGCGACGAGCTGTGCACTGCTGTATGAGCTAGAGCTGTAGCTGAGGGAGTCAGGAACCCTTTAACAGAGGTCAATGGCTTCAGAGTAGTCAGCTGAAGCCTCTTACCCTCCTGGGCTTCGTAAACTGTGTCAGCCAGGGCTGCAACGATTGGTAGGAACACTGCTGTCAAGTCATGTGACACGGAAAGCAGTCCATTATCATAAACCCATGCTCCACAGGTTGACAATGAGCCAGAAACTGTACTTGAGGGAGGCAAGCCCGCCAGCAACAAATAGAAGGGGTCATCGTCTCCATCTTCAATCTGTGGACTAATTGAAGCCAAAATAGACCGACAAACCTGTACGTAATTCCCACTCTTCAGAAGAGGCTCCAAGTTAACAGCCCAAGAGCCAGCACTCTCAAGGCCGCTGTCTCGTGAGTCGACGAACATCTGGCCATCCTCCCCAGAAGAACACAAGCAATGCAGCTCGATTTCCCAGTTCTCAGCGCTCAGCTTGTCAGAGAACTCTGCGTTGGTCTCCAGGCTCCACAGACGCTTACTGCCATCCAGATACTTGACTCCAAGCACGTTGGGAAGGTTCACGTAGGTGACCAGCTTGGTGATAGCTGCATGGTTGCCTGGAACCATGTACTTGAGCTGGCCCTGGGAGTCGATGATTCCTACTTCAGACGACCCAGAAACAGCAATATAGCTTCTGGGAGGCGCAGCTGCATACGGGACGCCCACTGACACAGCTGCAGCCGCGGCAGAACCTGCAGCTACAAGACTGGCCACTCGGAACTCTTTAGCCAACTCGAACAAGTGGATTATCGGTCCTGTGAAACCTCTGATTGTCTTGCCCGACTCAGAATGAACAATCGAGCCGTTTGAGAGGCCGATAAGGGACGTGGCCGAGTCAATGTGGGTACTAGTGGCGCAGACATCACCGTTTTGATTGAGATTGATGTTTAGAACATCTGCCAAGGGGTGTTCAATCTCTTCCTCCTTTTGTTTCGTCACCTGAATAGCACGCTTCTCTCCAGACCAAGTCAGCGGCCACTGAGACACATTGATACTGTCTGTCAGTGTCTCCCCATTTTCTGTAAACAAACCAACAATCCTGCTTGTTTGGCAGTCATAGAAACAGCAGTCGAGCGTAGATGCACCTTCAGGAGCATCCACAAGCTGGGAATGGCCGTTGGAGACCCAGAAAACGGTGTGTTTCTTGGTCACAAACCCGAAAGACGGCGACTTGGCACTGGGGTCCGTCACAATCACCTGTTTGACGCCCTCCAAGTCGGCAGAAATCTCCTGGTGGATGCCAGGCTCGTCATCTTCTGTTTCCCACTTGACGAGCGTCCATCCATTCTTTTGCACAACCACCCAGTGCGAAGACCCGATTTTTTCCACCAACAGGCCAGGCCCATAGGCCGAGTCTGTCAACCGTGACTCGTACAAAGACACAGGCATGCAAACCCGTGACTCGTGCATATGGTCCACTATAGACCATGCGGAGATGCTTGCATTGCGTTTTCCGACCGTCAGAAAGTCACGATACTGCTGGAAAGGGGCTGCCAGGGGCCATCCCACCGACGAGGGCAATGGTACCAGGATTTGGGCTACCTCTGCTTCCGTGTCGTAGTTTTTCCACTTTTGAAAAAGAATCGTGTTGGAACATCCCCAGACCATGAGATAGTCCCCTGATTGGCTGAATCCGCACACCACAAACGGGGCCGAGATTTTGGTCACGGGAGAAACCCGGTTGTAGGGCTCAAAGATGGCCACCTCCTGGCCTGACGAAATCGCCAAGGTCGGACTTGCGTCCTTCGCAACCCACTCTAGCCATCTCATGTGTTCCACGGCTCCGTCATTGTGAAAGAGCGTCATCTGCCGGGTCCACAAGTCGTCCTGTCGGATGAAAAGACGCACCGACTTGTCCACAAAAGCCACCGCCAAAACCGACCCGTCAGCAGACAGCTCGCACGCCAGAGCATGCGATACCGAGTCCACGCTCACCGTGTTGGCTATGCTCATAGTTGGACGAAAGGGTGTTGTATTGTAGTGTAGTAGTAGTGTGACTTGGGGTGTGAATCTGCGATATCATGCAGCCTAATGCAGGCGTATCGGAAGCGTGAAATATCCGGCCGAAAATCGGAAAAAATGTGGAAAAATAGCAGATAAAATCAGAGTCTCCTGAAAGAGTGTCTACAGTGATGCAGCACTGGAATAAGACTGTAAAAATGGTGGCTGCTCTGCTCTGCTCACGTGATTCCCCTCCTCGTTGGTATCGAAAAAGCAGACCTACACTCATCTCTGAGACTGGTGAAGTCAGTTTACCCAATATACATGCCACCAAACAACTTTTTACACCAAAAGATAGCCCTGAGTCGGGAAAGTATTTCAATGTAAAAATATCAACAAATATCCGTACCAATGAAACGACAAAGTGCCGTCCCGTTTTCCCCATATGGCCCCGAAACCTTCCGTGGTGGTGATATGTTCACGTGACGTAGGATAAAGAAATGTCAACAACTGATGGTGTAGACAAGAAAACAGCTAGTTACATATATTAGTACAGAGCCCCCCGCAGTCGGATAATAATGATACCCATTTTGAGTCATGGGTGCCGATATGGGTCGTTGCTAGTTCAGGGGTCAGTGCCCTTCAAGGTCTTCCTACGAGTACAGTATGTACTGCCTACACTTGTGGCATATCTCCCTTCTGTAAATCGTATAAATATAATAAGTATGTGTCATTGATATAAGTTATGTCCTCTGCTGGTGTTGGTACTCTGGTAGTGTATGCCATCATCTTTTAGGAGGTGTGCTCGGAAACACAAGACTATGTCCTCACATTTCCTCCAGAAGCCGAATCCCCCATAGCCATATCACTCATGGCAAACAACAAATCATCGTCCTCGTCAAACTCTAGACCCGGCAATGGAGCCACCGAGTATCGCTTCTCGCCTCGTCCCCGGTCGTGCTCGGTATAATATCTAGAGCCCACCACGCTTGGAGAAGCTCCTACAAGATCATATCGCTCCAACGCCTTGTAATGAGAGTTATCAAGCTGGTCACGCTCAGAGTACGAATGAGCCTGGGGACGGGCACTGGTCCGCTGCTGCAGCTGATGGTACTCGCTGGTATGCTGGTCCGCCAGCGAAATGGGCTGCATCTGCGTCTCTAGCTTGCGAGGCGATGGAGGCACCGTCACGGGCCGGGGAAGGCTTGAAATCGCCTCCAGGTTCGCCTCGCCGCTCAGTTTGGACCGCACGTACGGAGGACTGGGCTGGTGGTGGTAGATTGATGACGTGATGCTGTCGGCAATACCCGCGTGCGATCCCTTGAGCTGCTGGAACCGCGCCAAAGGATCGCTGCCCTTGCGGGGAGACGGCAGCGAGTACGGGGACCCGGGTTTGATCGAGTCCACCATCTTGACAAAGTCGGACACGTCGGTGGGATCCTCAATGTCGATAAAACCCGATCCAGGTTCCATAAGAGAGGAGCCCGAAGACATGGCCGACTCAGCCGAGCCCACCAGCATTGAGTTTCGACGCCGCGTGCTGCTGATCGAGCCTGAACGGTTCCACTGTCTTGTACCGAACGATGACGAGTACTTGGGCACGGACCCGGAACGTGACGACCCTCCGGACGACGAAATCGCCTGTTCGTACGCCGAAGGCGTGTACCCAGGCGTGGTGACCACCCGTGCGTTATTGGTGGAGGACGTGGACGAGTTTGAGATAGTTCTGCGGGGGATTCGGAGCGCCGCAAGGGAGGAGGATGAGGGGACACGCGCAAAGGGAGGTGTGGAGGGGCTAGCCGAGGTCGCTGCGGGACCAGGCGAGCCCTCTTCACCTCCCCAGCCACCAGAGCCCCCTGAGCCTCCAGATCCGCCGCTAACTCCTCCACTCACTCCGCCAGAGCCTCCAGAGGTGCCAGCAAGACCCCCTCCAGTTGCTCCAACTCCACTAGCGCCACTGCTCCTTCTCCTCTCCATGTAGTCTGTGACAGATGACACAGAGGTGGGAACAATGGCCGCCCCACTCACTCCCACGCCCTGAGAATGCGAATGTCTCCGTGGCAGGCCCGTGATGTAATGCAAGTTGGGGGCCGCCATGGAGGGGTGTTTGACCGGCGGGCTGGGGGGCACCACGGGCTTCTCCTCGTCGATGCGCAGGAACTGTGATGACAGCATGGCCTCCGAGTCGTCCACGGCAAAGTTGCAGTTGACCCGGTAGCTCACGCTGATCTTGAAGACGCCCGAGGGGATTTCCACGGGGTCGAACGAAAAGGTCTGGAGATGCTGGGATTCGGAGCTCCCAGCTATGAGTTTGCTCAAGCCAACCCGCCCACGCGAAGAGATGGGCTGTGAGCCGTTAAGCACCCTGCAGCCGATGCGCAGCGGACTGGTGCTCAGTTTGCTTTTGCTAAGCCGCTTTTGCAGCGTCCACGCTGGCAGCAGCCTACAATAAGTGTACAGAGAGCGGAACAGCAAGATGCACTTTTTGTAGGCCATGGGGAGCTCTGTGGACGACGCTGGGGACGTTGTAGCTCCTCCTGCTTGGGGGTCGGGTCTCTGAATCTCAATGACCCACCGCTCCAGCACCACCTCTGTTTTCCTTCCTCCAAAGCTGGCGTTCCACCGTTTGCCAAAGGCGTCTTCTAGCACCAGCGTCTGGTTGGGCGAAAGATGGCGCATGTCCAGATAGGTCTCCACGACCACGGGAGGCATCTTGTCCATGTTGTAGATGTCGATGGTTCGCCACAGCTTGAGATCTTCACGGTAGGCCTCCAGCTCGTCTGTTTCGAGATTGAACCATTTGTTGAGTTTGTGTTTGTCGCCGCTCTGGCGCTGTTCACGCAGCCGGGGGTTGAGACGCGCCTGCACCACCACCTGGGTGGCCTTGGAGAAAAAGTTTTGCACCACCTGGTTGAGTTTCGACTTGGATGAGTGCGACGACCCGGACGACGTGCCTTGGAACGACATGCTGGTTGTGTCTACGACTTGTGAGTGCTGTTGTGTCTAGCAGCTGTTGTCTGGACACCAGAATGCGTTTGTGGTGTGGTGTGTTGTTTGTGCTGAGCTGTTTGTGGTGTTTGTGGTGTTTGTGGTGAGCTCTTCTGCTGAGCTGTTTGAGCTGTTTGAGCTGTTTGAGCTGTTTGTGCTGTTTGTGTCCGTGTTCGTGTCCGCAGTTGTGCTTGTGTGTGTGTCACCGGTCTGGAGGTGACGCCACAGAAGAGTGTGTCTGGTGTCAGCGGCGTGTGTCGGTCTGTTTGTGTCCGTCTGTTTGTGCCACTCGCAAAGAAGAGAAGAAAAAAACGGCCGGCGGTCTCGTCACAGGGCAGTTGCTCCGAGTGAGTCAATAACCAGAATAATAGTAGGAGGTTTGGCCAGTCAACCTACTTTCAGGCCCACATCAACATGGCCTTGCAGCCCAGACGCACTACGAGGGATTGTCACGTGAACGGAGCCAGTCTCGTGATACTGCCTCCCTGCTACCGCAAACCGCCGCTACTTGCCAAACCCGTCTGCTGACCCGGTACCACTGCCCGCCAACCAGACACAAAACGTGGCCACCGCCCAGCTCGCGCCCGCCCGCGCCGGTAATCAAACCAAACCCTTGCATGAGAAATCACCTCTGATAACGTTAAGATACAACGTCTCTATAAGGGGCAGTATGACAGGAGCTACAGGAGCAGGTGGCGTCGAGTTATTTACCCACATGGCGTATAGACTGGAGCGGGAAAGAGAGAGAGAAAGGGAGACGAAGAAGCATGTGTGACTCATAAACAGTTTGATTGCAGCAGACCCATTTCCCGCCAACAACCCAGTATCCACCCAGTATCCGTCACTGTCGGTATCCACCTACTACAATCTATGTACAGTATGTACGTACAGTACTTGCACTACTTGTAGCACCAGTGACAGACATGACTCATAAGGGAAGGTGGAATGGCGAGATTGAAAGGGGAAATTGCGGGAAATTGGCAGAAAAAGAATGTCCGGGGGGAGTTTCCCTAGCCGAATCTACCAGCGGCGTTTCGAATTTACCAGCGGCGTTTCGAATTTACTAGCGGTTTTTTTTAAAAATATTTATAAAATATTTTTAGGCCCTTTTTCATTATTTTAATGCTTTTTTGCCCCCGATTTTTTTAGCCATATATAAGGTAACCCCTCAAGTCTCCCCCCAAACGCACAGCCTACATTATCTGCTATCAGAGTCTTTATCAGAACATGAGGTGCATTTTAGACTCTGATTACGTCACCGAAAGCCACGGTGTCGTGAGCCGGAAAAAGGACCAAAAAAAGAGACAGAAAAAAGGCAAAGAGGGCGACCATGGGGCCGGTCACGTGACCCAATTCTCCCCCTCCCCCCCTCCGCGTGTCACATGACTTGGACGTCTCTCCGCAATCTCCAAAGACGTATCTTCCTGCCGTCTGATCCGGACACTCCAGTCACAGGATCCCCAGAGTCTATTTTATGCGCATCAGATTAGGTCTGTTTTTAATATCGGGCTTATCGTTGCTGGGAAACGACGGATGCGAGCGCGAGAGCAAACGATACGGCGCACATAGTCCCGGGAAAATGTGCAGACATCGGAGAAGGGCCCATTTTAGAGAGCGGACGATTCCGAAGCGAAAGCAACTCTCGTGGTGGCAATCCGAGTATTATTGAGCGAGATGGAAGCATACAATTAACGAGGCTAGTTGGATTAGTTATAGTTGGGAATTTGTTAAAGGAAAAAGTTACTGGGGGTTCAAATCCAATGTTGCAGAGGTGGTGAAGAAGTAAAAGTTGTATAGAAATGTAGCTGGAAACGAGGACTATGAAAACATGTAATAAATTATCATTCTTGTCATACAAAAATTCCATTCCGTAGCCATAATAGCAAAAAAAATGTCCTCCCTTTTTACTTAACTTTACTTGGAAACATGCATATATGACCAGTCATCATTACCACACTATGGCGACTCTACTTTAACACCCACCTCGCGCTTTTCGACTCTTCTTCCTTCACATCACTCGCCCCAAATCCAACAACACAAACACAACAAAGCGGCGGACGCAATCATGTTCTGTCTCCAATTCGGCGTGGTGTTTGTGTGTGGATGTGGTTAATTGGTGTCACAAGCTGAAGTCAGTTTGAACTGTTCTCGCTTCCTGAGACTACAGATTAAGAGTATGTCGAATACACTTTACTAAGGTGGTATCGGATTCTAGTCATGCCCAGAAGCCTCTAATAGTTTTCAACTGCATCTCACTCGGACAACTCCAATTCGCGGAATATTGGTCTTATCAGAGTGACATTACAGAATCACATTAAATCGTGATAAAAACAACTTGAATCGTGATAGAATCAGTTGAAATGGACTTGAATTGGATAGAAACAATGAATCATCCTTTTGAGCAGGTTCCCTAGCTGAATCATCCTCCTAAAGCATGCTCCTCAGCCCTTCACGTGGACGTTCTAGCCATCATCATCCACAGAGCCCAATCACACCTACTACACCAAACTTGCAATAATCCTTCACTATATATCTTACTAACCAAAGGCCACTTATCTGGCCTGTTCGCTCATTAACAAAGACGCACTTACAACGAGCCCACAAATCCAGCAACCAACTCGGCCACTTCCTCATCACCCGATCTAGCCTTGCACTGCACCACAACTCCTGTTCGCTGCGAGGCGGCCATCTTGATCTGCACAATCACCTTCTCGCCAGTCAGAGTCTTTCCAAACAGCTTCAGAGTATGTGTGGAAGCCGAGGTGACCTCATCAGACGACTCCAGAGGAGTGAGAGACAGCTGTGAAATGAGAAACTGGACAGCTTCCTCCAGACCCTTGTATTCGGACAGAGTGGCAGTGTCAACCGCCTCGGTGTTGGCCAGCTCGTCCCACAGGTGGTCAAACGAGCCGATGAAGCCACCCTCGAGGTAGTCGCCAGCACCCAGCACCAGGTTCTCAATCTGGTACTCGTCCTCGTCGCCGTCCTCAGACACCTCGCCGGTGGTCTTGTTGATGTCATGGAGAGTGAACTTGAGAATGTTCTCAAACGATGCAACAGCAAGATGGTCCTCGGTCTTCTCGAGGGCCACGTAGACGGTGCCGTGAGAATCGGGACCAAGCTCGTCCACAGGAAGAATGAACTCCTCCACCAGCTCCTCGCTGTCGTCCTCAATAGACGCCACCACTGACACGTTGCTGAGCTGTGCGTCGGGAAGCGTGTTGTGCACGTCGTACTGCAGCACCACGTGGCTGGGGAAAATGTGTTTGATGGCAGTCACGACAAACTCAGTCTCGGACTCGGTGAGAGCCACCGCAAGAGAAGACTTGAGAGGAGTGCCAAAGGCTGCCAGATCGGGAATAGCGGCCAGCTCGGCAGCGTACTTCTCGGCACGCTGGATAGCGGCCTCGTGAGAATTGCTCTTGGACGCCAGGTTGGCGGTGGTGGCAGCAGCCGCAGAAGCAGGGGTGGGTCCTCCAGCTCCGCCGTTGACCACAGGGGTGGCCTCGGTGGTCTCTCTGTGTGCCTTGAGAGCAGCCTCTCGGGCCTCCTGGTCGGTGATGAGAGGCACAGAGGACATGTCAAAGGGCGTGTCAAAGTCGGCACCGGACCCAGTCACATACAGAGCCAGCTTGTGCTCCAGAATGGGGAGAGAGAATCGCGACTCGGGCGAAATGTATGCCTTGGCCTGGGCCTGGTCACCAGACTCGAGCAGCTTGAGCGCAATGACAGCTCGGTCTCGCACCTCGTCGGTCTCATCCTCCAGAGATCGCTCCAGCAGCACCTTGACGGACTTCTTGACAGAGGTGTCATCCACCAGCGCGAACTTGGCCAGTGCAGAGACAGCAGCTGCTCGAATGAAAGCGTTTTCAAGCACGATTCGGTTGTAGATGTACCGAATGTACACTGTGGGGTTGGCGGCGGCAGGGCCCTCCTGTCCGAGAGTATGCAAGACGGAAACAACAATCTCGGTGTACTCGCAGTCCTCGATGAACTCGCACAGAATGCCGAGGGCGGTGTCTCTGCAGTCGGGCACGTACCGGATCATGTCAAACAGCGCGGCAACCACGGCAGCCTTGTATTGGGCACTGCCACCATCGTTCCGAAGGGTGTTGCCAAAGAACTGCAGCATGGTAGACTTTTTAGCGTGGAACTTAAGCGCTAGCGACCGGACAGCATCGATGACCACAATTCGGAATTCGTCGGTGATGTCGGACATGAACCCGCTGATCTGGGTGACCAGCTTGTCGACGGAGGCCTCATTGCCGGTCTTGAGCAGCGCCGTGATGGCGTAGGTGGCGATGGACCGGTTAGAGTCGGTGATCAAGGGCTGGATCTCCGCGTTGCACACGGCCACGGCGCCGGGGTTGGTCATCGCGAACCGGTTGAGGATTCGGATGGCTGCAAACCGGGCAATGGTTCGAGGAGACGCCAGGAAGGCCCGCAGCGACTCAATGGCGGAGGCGGCCTCCTTAGGGCTCACGTCTCGGAGGGTGAGCACGGCCTTGGCGGCCTCGAGGGCGACCATGTCGGATTTGTGGCCGAGATATCGTTCCAGGAGGGCCACGAGCTGTTGCCGGTGGGCACCGTCGTTGGCAGCCTTGGCGATGAATCGGATGAGCATGACATTGGCGTTGGGCGACTGCAGGTGGGCCGAGGCGCCGGAGAACTGCTGGATGAGCTTGATGAGGGCCATTCGGTCGTGTGCTCGCAGCTCGTACAGCAGCGACAGGGCGTGGTAGGGGGCCAGCACGGCGGGGCCGGGGGCGTAGTTGGGCAGGGTCACCGCCGGGAAGTTCTTCTGCGACGTGACCGCCTCCTGGACCTCGGCGGCCCATCGGCGAATGGTGTCCTTGGCGATGGGGAGCAGGTGGTAGGCCGACACGAGGGCGGCCGACGACACGGAGGTGTGACGGTCGACAATGGCCGTTTTCATCAGCCGCTCAATGCCCTGCACAAACGAGCCGTCAATGACCCGCGCCAGTGCTCGGATGGCATTGGGTTTGTAGATCAGGTCCGACGAGCCCTGCACGTCTCGGGTGATGGACGAGGTGACCATAATCACGTCGTTGTTGGACAGAGGCACCAGCTCCTTGATGGCCAGATACACAATCTGCCGCAGCGACGGGTCCTTATGGGGGAACAGCTTGGACACGGCGATGAACAGACCCGTGGCCTCAAACTCACTGAAGGTCTCGCCGATGGTGAGCAGGTGGATCAGCTTGGCCAGCAGCTTTCGGCACTTTCGCGCGTTGATGGGCGACTCGGCAAACGCCCGCTGACACTCCTGGTACACGGTCATCTTGTCCAGCGCGCCCGACTCAATGTCGTCGTTTTTCTTGTAGCTGAGCGCTGACATTGTGGGGAGTGGTGTAGGATGACAATGTATGTGTGCTGTGTGTCGGTGTAACAACTGTATCTGACGTGTTTCTTTCGTTAGGGTTAGGGTAGGATAGGTGGAATGGATGGGAGGAGTGGTGCCGGAGCTGTGGGTCGAAAAAGGGCACTTTTTTGGACGGCAAAATAAATTGGGCAAGGAAAAGAAATATGAAATCGCTATAATATGTGTTTAACCCATTTTTTTCTGCTTTTTACACCCAGCGAGCGCCTTTTCTGAGCCCTCTGATCTGGCTCTATGTACAAGTACAGTACATCCGACGTGCGGTTATACGGTTATACAGGTAGAAGTTGAAATAGACCCTGAAAAAGTGAAAAAAATGGGGAAAAATGTGGGAAAAATTACATTAAATATAACACAACATTGTCTTTGAAAGTAATAATTTTGCGGATTTCTATCTCCCCAGAATTACCATTTAAACCGATCCTCCATCGCGCCAAAACACCCTAATTTATTGTACGGCGTAAATAAAGTTTCGAGACCCGGTGGTGAAATATTGGAGATGTGGAACAGGACGTTCATGGGTGTATAATCGGAAAAAATGGGGAAAAATGGAGAAAATGAGGAAAAATCAGAAAAAAAAAAGGGAAAAAATTGGAAAAATCACAAAAATCTCAACGATCTAAACATGCCGCCAAATTTCTGAGACTCTCGGAAAAATCAACCACATTCTCCAACCTCTCCCCATTCACCTCCTCTCCTGCAACTATCAAAACTCCTGCGCACTCATGTGATGCAAAACCAACCAGTTTTGATCAAAATGAGCTGTAAATTTCACAGTAGAGTCTCAAAGACGTGATCATCACCAATCACCAACATCCAGTCAATCGACCATCTTTTCACCCACCTGATCCAACTGTTGTACAGACTCAGTTCTGAGACAGTTCTGAGACTACGGCGAAAAAAAACATAAGGTAGACACAACCAACAAGTCTCTATTGTTTTTTTATTTTTTATTTTAACTATCCATATTTACCATCAACAAGCAAAGACTGCTTCTGATAGAAACAGGTATATACCACTGAAACCGCCCCTAAAACACACACTTTATATATACCCCATTAATTATGAAGATACTTCACTGAATACCATCACATTCAGCACAGAGCTCAACTGCAGCAAAACATTAACGACCCCACCCCGTATCACTCATCATGACGCGTAGTTGCCGCAGTCGCTACGGATAGTTCTATGGGCTGAAATTGATCGCTCTCTCGATCATAGTTCGGTCTTCCCCCCACCCTCCTAGTTCTATCGCCTTCTTCTCGCCCGCATCGCCATAATCGGCCGCTTCACCACATTCCACTTGACTGTGTCCCAGGCTTTGGTCACAAAGTGGTCCTCCTTGTTCTCAGATGGGTCTTTGTAGTTGTAATCTGCAGCAAAAGTGTTGCTGCCCCCACCTCCCACGCACCTCCGCTTCCGATTCTCAGGATCGCCACTGACGGGAACATAACTCTCATCGCCAACCTCGCGATGGAACTCGCAGGTCGCAGCATGTTCCCCTCTCTGTCCACAATCATAGCACGAGTTCAGCAACTCCGAAGAGGGAAGACACCGCAGGTGCTCAGGGACCTTGCTCTCAACGGCGTACTTCAAAATGCCGCGAGTGCCGTCCGCCAGCTTGCGCACCTTGTACTGTGGCAGAGTGTGCTTGTTTTTGCGCTCGTAAACAGCACAAGCGTTCCACTGGTTGAATGTTGCAAAGGGATTGTAGCTGTCGATCTTGTTCTCCTTTCGTTTCCGCTCGACGACACTGTGGAACTCGGGTGTGATTGTCTTGGCCCAGAAAAGATCGTGAGCGTCAATGGCGTGTGGGTCGTCCATTACTTTTCCGTCCGGAATGGGGCCTCCATCCTCAGGCAGGGGGGCGACAGAGGGAGCGGGTAGAGAGTGACGTTTGCGACTCTGAGATTGAGCCGAGGAAAGACTCTGTAGATAGCTGACAGGCTGTCCAAGGCCCAGACTCGAGTGTCGGGACTGATAGGGCCGGGTCAGCGAAGACGACTGTGGCTCAAAGGGGAGATGCGCAGGAGTCTCCTGATGTGAGTATTTTTGGAAATCGCCCTGGTAGCTTGGGCCAGAGGGAGTTGGAGGAGTTGTTAATGACAGGCTTGTTCCCACAACTCGGCCATTCTCGTCCAGCTGGATTCCCTGATAGTGGTCTGGGCTGAAAGGGTAATGGGATTCAGAAGGCCGGGATGAGGCCTTGGTCGAATATAGACCGTCAATGTAGCCAGTCTGTAGGGGGGACGACTTCTGAGAAGATCCAGCGGTAGGCTGATAACCACTGGATGGCAGAAACCTCTGGTGGAGTTCAGTGGGCGACCCAATCGAGTGGCGACTGGGACGGGAGCCGTGAGCGATTGAAGGACTCTGGGCATAAGTGTAGTTTGGTTGAAAGTAGGTTGGTTGTTTGAAGTCGCTTCTCTGAGCGTGGCTGTCTGTGTTGCGAGATGACACTGTGTTAGCGGTGGTATCACACTGAGGGTAACCAGTCGGGTTTCACAGTCTCTGGTGCCACACAATCTGGAGACACAGAGACTAACTAGTCGGGTTTCACACGTCAGTCTCTGATGACACAAAAATCCCGGGGTATCTCCGTTCTCGTGTTGCGGATGAGTGGGTTTTTGTGCGGTATCTGGGTCTGGTTTTTTGGTGGAATCTGTTTCTGGTATCTCTCATGATTCACGTGACACATGGAACGATCAGACATACTCACTTGAGCAAATCAGTTTGGTCACTGTAGCACTGGGTGGAGAGTAGGAGAGAGTTGGTTTTGAGTGGTTGGGTTGTATGCTATGTTTTTATTTTATTTTATTTTATTTTTATAATAACCTGTGTTAGAGTACTGTCCTGAATTTAGTTAATAAATCTTAATTTTAGTTTGCAATGTTTTAAATTTAGTTGGACCATTAAAGTGAATTAAAATTGTTTGTACGAGGACAGAAGGGCCAGTTGAACTCGACCAATTCCCAAGATATTAAGACCAAAATACAAAGACGAGCAGTTTCCGTTGCAACGACCAGAATAACCTTTTCGGAATTGCTCCATCTCGTCCACATCCCGAGATATCTACCCTCCCCAACTCCCCGACTCACCCTTTACAACCTTCAGGGTAGCATTCAAAGCCACAACTGGAATAATGCCGAGTTTTGACGTAATCAAACGCAATTGGAGCCGTTCGAGATTGCTTAGAAACTCCGATTATTTGCAAAAAAACAACAACAAAAAAAAAACTGCTCCGAATCTCTCAACCTCCCCTTCTCCAGAGACCGCAACTCTTCCTCCCCGCATCTTGAGTCATCTCAGACATGTGATGTTTGCAGACATTATGCACGGCGTTTCCATGACACGGGCCGGTGGACGGAGTCCGACGACAGCTCGCCAGAGCTGGATAATGGCGGTAAAAATCCGGAAAAAATCGGAAACGATTGGCGGAGCCCATTTATGGCCGATTTGATTTACCCGGAATTGGTCGCATTTTTTGTCCCCGTTCCAAACAGACATCCATTCGCCACGCTCATTGGTCCAAGCACGCCATCGGTCCCAAACCCGAGTCATCACGTCATACATATTATATTAACCTTGTCTTATCAATCAGCCTAAAAAAAAATGAGCCACAGCCCAAAAGTATATGAGGACGAAGATGGGCCGTTTGACAGCGACCTATCGTCCTCCATCGCCATACCGCTCACCGACATGCGCTCCGACTCGGTTTCCAAGCCCCGGTCGGCAGAAACATCGCCGCTGCTAGACCCGTACAGAGTCAGCGACGTGACCGAACTGGACCTGGGTGCCGGCTACAACACAGCAACCAATGAACCCATCTCCGACAAGGCCCAGCTCCACACCCTGTCGCTCTCCAGCACAGCCCTGCTCATTCTCAACAAAATGATCGGAACTGGAGTCTTCTCCACCCCCTCAGGCATCTACCAACTCACCGGCTCGGTCGGCATCTCTCTGGTGCTGTGGGTTCTGGGAGGAGTTCTGGCCTTCACGGGCCTCAGCGTCTACCTCGACTTTGGACTGCGAATTCCAAAGTCGGGAGGCGAAAAAAACTACCTGGAACGAGTCTACCGTAAACCGCGATTTCTGTCCACCGTCATCTTCGGCACGGAAATCGTCATGACCGGATTCTCGGCCGGAAACGCCTACGCGTTTGGAAAGTACATTTTGTACGCCGTGGGACTCGAGGACCCGTCCGACGGAGCCGTCCGATCGGTCGCCTGTCTGGCGGTCACCTTTGCATGCCTTCTCCACGCCACCGCCCCCAGACTGAGCACCCGTCTCAGTAACATTCTCGGCGTCTTCAAAGTCCTGGTGCTCGTTCTTATTGTCTTCTCTGGGGCCCTGGCTGTCCTCAACTTTGTCGATATTCCAGACAAACCCCACAACTTCTCAAACCTATGGGAAATCGACCATACCGTGTCCCCTGGTCTTTCTGGCTCTCCTTACGCCCTGGCCATTGCTCTACTTCGAGTGGCGTACTCATACAAGGGCTGGGAGAACGCCAATTACGTGCTGGGACACGTGAAAAATCCCTCCTACACCCTCCCTCGCGCAGGAACCGCGGCAATCTCCATTGTGACAGTTTTGTACTTTCTCTGCAATCTGGCTTACTTTGCGGTGATTCCCAAGACCGACATTGCCAACTCGGGAGTCATTGTCGCGGGCGAATTCTTCACCCGTGTGTACGGACACTCACTAGCGGCTAGAGCTCTTCCTTTTTTCGTGTCGCTTTCAAACATTGGAAATGTGCTGGCAGTGTCTTATGCTCATGGAATTGTAAACTATGAGGTAGCCAAGGATCACATTTTGCCGTTTACGTCCTTCTGGACGTCGCTCAAGCCGTTTGGAACTCCCGCCGCAGCGTTCCTGCTTCATTGGCTCATTACGGTGGTGGTTCTGGTACTGCCTCCTGCTGGAGAGGTCTATGAAATCATCATCGACATGTATACCTATCCCGGCACGATTATCAACATTTTTGTGGCCGCTGGACTGCTCTATCTGCATGCCAACCCACTGGAGAACTGGTCTCGAGACAAGTACTCTTCTCCTATGATTGTGACTCTGGTGTTTCTGGTGCTGCAGCTGTTTATGACTTTCTTCCCCATGATCCCTCCTCCCCAACACAACGGCCAGCTACCATACTATGCTGTTCCTTTGCTGGGATGGTTGGTGGTGCTGTTTGGTTTCGTGTACTTTGCGGTGTGGAGAAAGACGGAGAGACCGAACCTGTTGGCTGCCAAAGTGAAGCAGGAGGAAATGGGGGAGTTGGAGGAGCAGTAAGAGTTTGTGAGGGATGAGACGAGAGACTCCTTCTACAAGACGATAGAGATAAGGAGTACTCCATTACTACTCCATTATTTATTCTAACTAGACTTAATGAATTATGACATGACAAGGAGACCGTGAAACCATTGGAGGAATTAACCGATGAAAACGACATCATCTCACTAACTAAACCTCTAGAACATGACTTTTTACCGTTCCACTTAACACTTATCTGTGGTATGAGGATGAAGTAATAAAAAATAAAAAATAAAAAATAAAAAATAAAAAATAAAAAATAAAAAATAAAAAATAAAAAATAAAAAATAAATAATAATAAATAAATAAATATTTTTTTAAAAAAAAGGTAAAAAAATAAAAAAATGTCACACATGTATCATTGACTAAATTGAAGTGTGTATTCTCGACGGAGAATCGTTCCAGGATCCAAACGATATCGAAACACAAATACATTGTAGACACACCATTGACATGAGCGAAACTAGAGCGAGCCCAATTTTATCCATACTGAAGGTTCTAACTGCACTTTAGTTGAACAAAAATTGGTGCTGGGGGTTCTAATTCAATCTTCCAAAAGCCTCAGAGATATCAAACCGATACCAATCGATAGAAAATAGCTGTTTTCTAGACTAAGATGGAGGAATATCATCTTTTACCATTCAAATTTCCGAAGTTGGACCACATTTGTACAATCACCGGACCAAACTTTGTTGGAATTCTAGTTGGAATTATTACAGGGTTAGTTAAGAGTTAAGTAAGTGTATTTATATAATTACCCAATGCATTTACTTATTATTAGTGTGTCTATGTAACTTGTACTTGTATAATGATGAGTGACTTTTGTCACGATAACCTGAGGCGGCGATAGTTATGTATGAAACGAAACGGCACCGAAGATCGGTACTCCGACCGAACAGTGGCATTCTCTAGCCACATACCAGCACCATATCCATATTTCCACCTTGTCGAACAAATCAGGGACAGTAGCTGTGACAAGGCTGCCAGTATCTCCAGTCAAAAGCAGACATGAGTCGTGCAATCGACTAGGGATGGTAATGATTGTAGACATGCTGGATGGTATTGAAGCCAGCGAGTCGTGAAAAGCCGGCGTATCATCTGGAGCTGGCGATCGACTTTTTGTCAGTCTACTAATCGAAGATTAGCGAGCAAGCAAGCTAATCGTTTCAGATCCTTCGGTAATTCACAGTTCGATCTCGATCAACTCGGACCGTAATGCTCAACTCGGACCGTAATGCTCAACACGGACCGCAATGCTCAACTCGGACCGTAATGCTCAACTCGGACCGTAATGCTCAACTCGGACCGTAATGCTCAACTCGCTTCACTCGTTCACTCGTTCGCTCGTTCGCTCGAGTAATCAATCGGCCACCAACCCAACCCCAACTCCCTCCCTCAAAACTCCCTCCTCATCCGGCCTTCCTCTAACCAACCCCTCCTCCTCACCCGGTCTCAGAAACTTTTGTCGCAATCTGCCCTCCATAAAAGACTCATACTCTCCGCTCGAGTCCCTCTCGCTACAGCAAATCTCCAACGGCCAATCGAGATGAGGTCGAAAGTTGGCAGGCACCTGCTCACAGATATCCACAATGTCCATTTCCACCCGCTTCAACTTGTCAAACAAAGGCAAGCCAAAGTACATGATAGCAAGATAGTAACAGTAGAGCAACAGAGCGTATGGGTTTCGCTTTCTGCACAATCTCATGAGCTCCGGAGCCTTGAGGGCCCAAGTTGCCATATTGTCAAAGGAACCGTCCTCCACCACGGCAATATACGTTTTGCTAAATCGTAGCAGCTCGTATCCAATCACGGCCTTGCTCTCCGAGTCGGCAAAGTGCCAGATTTTCCACATGTCTTCCTCGCGCGGCAAGAAAAACGTCTGTTCGCGATCCCAGCAAATAGGCAGGGTGTATACTCCGTCCATGCTTTCTGCGAGGTCGGTGACGCTTTTGCCGATGCTGACGAGGTCCGCCGACGCCGTTTCGCCCGACTCCTCTTGTTCAAAGCTCAAGATGGGCACCACGTTGGGCAGGGAGGCGGCGTGGATGTAGATGGTGATCGAACAGACGACGACCGCGTCCATGAGCTCGTCAGTGCAAGCGGCGTACATGCGTGCGACCTGCTCCAGAGTCTCGGAAAACCAGCTCATGTTCTGCATCAGCTCCTCCTCGCTCTCCGACGCTAGTTGCGGCTTCTGCTGGATGCTCTGATTCACCTTTTGGATCAGCCACACTAGCCGCTCCAGCGCCACGTAGCTCGTGGCCATTCCACGATGTTGTTTGAGCTCCGGATGCTCTTTCAGATCCGCCGTCATGTGGTCCAGGTGTTCTTTGAGCACTTCTCGGCCCACCTCGATCAGCGAGATGGTGATGAAAAACGCCGTTGGTCGTTTCGTCTGTGCCAAAATACTCTGCAGAGTCAGCGACTGCAGCCGCGACGGACGCTGTGTCACCCGAAGCCGATCGAGATCGGGATATTCCATCGTCGAGGTTCGTTGCTGGTGGTGCAAGGTCGTGGTAGAGCACCTCCAAATGTAACTTTGGCGACGCCAAGAAAGTTTAAATGGAAATAGTGAAAAATAAAGAAATGAAAAGAAAAGAAAATTGAAAAGAGAAGAAAATTGAAAAGAAAAGAAAATTGAAAAGAAAAGAAAATTGAAAAGAAAAGAAAATGGAAAATGCGGGAAAATAAATACGGAAAAGTAAATACGTCAAAAAGAAAAGAAAGAGGACAAAAAACAACAACAATTAAGTGCCGCCACAGTACGACAGTACAACTGGGCTACTCGATAGTCGATCTGACTGCAGCTGGAAACTGGTTCGCATTACTTTCACATTTAATGATACTGTCACAAATATTTATCACCATTATGTAGGACCATCACCGACTGTTTTGCCCCCAGAATCCCCTTTTCGGAGACCTTGGACAAAAAGAAATACACAGAAATGATCCTACGAATGAGTCAAATATTCGGATCCAAATAAACTAATCCGCCGTCGCTTGAAAACCCGATTTTGGTCTTTTTCTTGGCCTTTTACATTTCTTTTTTCCCGTTCCCCATTTTCTCCTTTCTCCTTTCTCCTTTCTCTTTTCTCTTTTCTCCTTTCTCTTTTCTCCTTTCTCCTTTCTCCTTTCTCCTTTCAGCTTTCTCCATTCTCCATTCTCATTCTCCATTCTCCATTCTCATTCTCTATTCTCCATTCTCCGCCCCCCTCCCCTTTTTCCTTGCCCCTTTTTCTTCTAATCTCCTTCAGCTTAGACCGAAACTAGTCGATAATATCGCGTAAACCCATCCCACCTGCGTTAGACCAGAGAGGAGGGGAACGAGAAGGAACGAAGAAGAGACAGATTATGTAAGCGAAACCGCCGACGATAGACAAAGTTTCTTCCCCCTCACCTTTACCCCGGTCACGTGACTGCCCATGGCTCCGGCCAGTCTGTTTTTTGGAGAGTCTAGGCTTTCCTCCTTATCACCACCATACGGAGGATTTAAAAGGGGACATGAATCAAGCAGAATTAAAGTCTTGGTGATAAATAATACACTACAAAAAAGAATATAAAGGCGAATTTTAGAGAACGAGGAATGACAAAGCCGGTTTGAAGGATAAAAGACAAGAGATGGAGTGTTGATTGTATGAAACAAGTTGGGGAAAGTCACGTGAGAATTCGACTGGAAGTTATCGCGTTTATTCAGACAAGTCTGTGGTGACTTAGATGGAGGTTGTTGTATGGATAAGGGTGAATTGGTGCAATTGAGAGATACCTTTGAGAGGAGATATCGAATGGATTGTATTGGAAGAATTGTTTGGCATCAGGTGATACTCAGATTACCGAATATGTGGTTCAATTCGAGCCGTTGTTGTCGTTTTTAGGGGGACTCTCTGTTTCACTGTACATAGTGTGTGTTGAACATGATTTTTTCTGAAAATTTGGGGGTTGTTCGGATTGTAGAGTTCAAGTAAAGAATTTTATTGAAGTTGGATTATTTTTGGCATCAATTCATAATGTCCTAATGGCTTGTATCTTCAGAGCGTTGGTGGTGGAATTGTGAAAACTGCGCATGCGAGCCTTCAGAATGGAACACATTGGATATTTCGTGATCTAATTAACATGTTCGGTTCCAGAGTTGATAATTATGATAAAAACAATCAGGGTTTTCCAATAATCAAGTCCAGTTGTAATTCTGTTGTGAATTGGGCAATATAGGATGATTTTATTCTTCACTTCTCAGACGTTTAGTCCTCGTCTGGAAAGCCACAAAAGATATGAAATGTCGGTAAAAAAGTACATCTATCTACTAGAATTTTTGTAAAGTACAGAGAATATACAAGTCTCCATATTAATTGATATTATTAAAAAATCTTTCCTATTTCTGGAGCATCCTTCCGAGTTGTAAACTGTACGTTTAGATTCGCTTTAGTCTTGGTTCTCGAGATACTGAGTGAAGAACTGACATAATATATACATCAATCGATTCAGGATCGAATGGGGTGTGCGAATTGTGTAGTTGGTTCCATTATTTGTTCATTTATTTGTTCATTTATTTGTTCATTTATTTGTTCATTTATTTGTTCATTTATTTGACTTTTTTTTTTTTTTTGACGAGAAAAAGTTCCAAATTTTTGGTGACGAGATCAAAAATAGTATGGTAATGGGAGTCGCAATTGTCTTCTGATTTTGGCGGTATAAAGCGGGCTATAAGACACAACATTGGTATTGTTTGGTATTTTTTCGAGTTGAAAAAAAAGTTGAAAAAAAGTTGAAAAAAAAACAAAAAACAATCCACTTTATCCCCACTCCCGCACCACCTACAAGTCTACAACCTGATCATATAAATAATGCATTTTCGCTAGTGTCTATTCTACATCTAGTAGAGGCAACAGAAAGACGGACAGAAACAGACAGTTCCGAGTCACGTGGTTGATTTCCGTCAACATGAACCATCTCTGGTCACACGGTTGTGGCCGTCGACATGCCACCTTCGAGATGCGGATATCTCCGTTCAGTTCTCCTCCCATCACTCCCGCAACCACGGATGATCGCGAATCTGTTCAACGGTGGGCCGCTTGTTCACGTCTCTGTTGAGAATCATCCGTATCAAGTCCAAACAATCATCGGACATGACAAACGGCACCCGCAACTCGCCCTCCAGAATCTCATCCACGTTATAAAAGGGATTCTCCTTGTACACAATGGTGTACAACAAAATGCCCAGAGCCCACACATCCTGAGGCCGCCCCAGATAGGGGTTGCCACTGAGCACCTCGGGGGCGGCGTAATCAATAGTGCCCACAAACACGTCAAAGGGGCCGTTCTTGACATATGCCGCCGAGCCAAAGTCGATCAACTTGAGAAGCCCCTTGCCGTCGAGAATGATATTCTCGTCCTTAATGTCCCGGTGCACGATTCCAAGCCCGTGTAGATGCGCCACGGCAGACACAATCTGGCGGAAAATAGATTTGCACTCAGCCTCGGGCATCTGCGGGTTCAGTTCAATCAAGTCAAACAAATCGATGCCGGGATTGCCATGCGCCTCCATCTCTATATGGTAACACTCATCATCCTCCAGAAAGTCGACCATGCCCACAATGTTGGGATGCGGAGTCTGGTTGAGAGCAGCCAGAATCTTGATTTCAGATGACACGGTGCCAAGCTTTCGATCCCGCACCCACGTGTCCACCAAAATGCGGTCCTTGACCACAGACTTGACCACAATCAGACAGGCGGGATCATCGGGGTACCGCGCCAGCACCACCCGCCCATAAGCGCCTTCACCCATTTTTTTCACAACCCGAAAGTCCGCAAACTTGCGATCCCGCTTGTGGGCTCCAATCTCGGTGACTCCTCGAAGCTCGGAGATTTCCGCCGCAGCCAGAGTCGACGACGAGCCATCGGCCTCGGAAACAGAGCCGTCAGCCTCTAGAGACCGCGTTGAAGCCAAGGACTTTTGCGACTCGTTCTTCAGACCATACACCGACTTTTCCCGAAGCTCGCTGACAGACGTGTCAGTGTCGCCCAACGAGCTTTCTCGAGAATGGGCCATGCTGGAGCTTCCGCCGCTGGAGTCGCTTCCCGAATCCTCCCCCTCGGTTCGCTTGCGCTCGTTCAATAGCGGCAACTGAGACGGAATGGAAAAAATCTCATGGGCCTCTTGAATGTGGCGCGAAAACGAAATCCACAGAGAAAACTGGCTCGTGGACGCGACGCGGAGCTGACAATCAATTTTGAGCGTGGCACCGTTCAAATGCCGACCATCAATTCCAATCGATGAAAAAAATGTCATGCGTTTATCGTCGCCAGAAGATGCCATTCGTCGGAAAAAATGCTCCGGATAAACCATGCCCAGGCCCAACGAGTTGTTGCTGCGCTTGATCTCGTCAATGTACTCGCTCATATGCGGCAACAGGACGGAAATGTGTTGTCCAATCAGAGACCGCGACTTGCTGCTATGACCAAACAGATACTGCACAAAAAAGGCGTTGTAATCGGTGATGTCAAGAGTCGACGAGTCCACCATCACCATGCCCGACATGTGCGGCAGAGAGGTGATGTGAAATGTGTTCTTTTCCTTGCGCACAATGCACGGGTAGTCGTACGGTCCGGCTTTGGTGGTGTATGAGTAGGTGATGTTGGAAAGGAAGGGGTGGGCGGCGGCAGATTCGCTGGAATCACCAGAACCGACAGGACCGACAGAACCGACAGAACCAACAGAACCGTTGAAACTACCACCGTCCTCATTTCCATCACCAACACTCCGAATCAACATCTTTCGCTTGATATCGCCGTAGGAGGCCCAATCATGCTGGCCAAACAGAATGTTACGATCTCCACCAATGGTCTCCACCACCTCAGGGTCACGCTTCTTCATGACCACCTCCACATGATCGCCAGCAACCTCCTCGGCCACCCAGATGAGCGCGCCCTGCGACTTTTTCACCCAGATTGACGCCAACGACTCTTGACGGTTGCCCTTGACCACAGGAATGACCATGCCACAAATGGCCACCGAGCTGGGCTTGGTCAGTGCCGCAGCCAACTCCGCGGTCAACTCGTCCCGCATGTCGTCACGAGCCATGTTCAGAATCGACGTGTTCCGCAGCTCAGCACGTGACACGCCAAACACCAGACAAGCCACGTCGTTGACGGCCCGGATCTCATACGGAGCCTTGTCGGCTGTCGTCACCACAACCTGCGACGCCGAATACCGCGCCATGGTCCCGGTCAACAAGCCGAGACCAGTGGTTGACTTGGAAGAGGCCAAGTTGGGCGTGGTCACCGGAGGCTGCAACTCCACGTTGCTGGGTAGCCAGGAGCCCGCAGAACTCACGCCGCCACTGCCACTGCCCATGTGACCCGCCGAGCCGCCGCCCATCTGTTCCGGGGCACTCGACACGTCCAACATGGTGGCACTTCTGGTGATGGGCTGAAGAGCCTTGTCTTGGAAAGGTTCGGCCAAAAAGTCCAGCAGCTTAGCCTGCAGAGAAAGCGACGAAGTGTTGGTCAGCGTCCGGGTCCGCTTAATGGAGGGAGACGACGACGCCGGAGACGAGCCCGAGGAGCCACTCAGGACCTCTTTGGAGAGCGGCGAAGAAACCGACCGAGGAGTGTGATGGGTCAGCTGCTCCAGGAGCTTGGGCGCGAGATTCTGCTGACTCATGCGCTTGGGCGTGAACGACAAACCCTCTTCGTCGTCCTCGGACTCGGACCACGACGTTGTTCGTGGCTTGAGTGCACTGGCTTTGATCGGAGATCCGAGCAGAGTCGAGTCGGCGTCGCGCGATTCGCCAGAAGGTTCCCCGGGCTCACGCGACCCATCACCTTGCGACTCAGAATCTTGCGACTCCGCCGAAACTTCCACCGCAGACGCCACTGGTTTGAGCGCACGCGACTGCATGCCGTCGGCCGGCGCGTCGTCCAATTCACGTGACAATTCACGTGACGTATCTAGAGGGCGTACGCCCTGGCTCAGCGATCTGCGCGTATCTCCATGTCGGTTTTCCAGCAACGAAAGCAGTCCTCTCAGACCCTGGTCGTCGCCACCAGTCTGCCGTTTGGGCAAGGTGCTGAAAAAGTCCGTCATGCTGGCGGTCGACAGATTGCGCTGGATGGACGAAAACGGAATGCCCATGGCGTGTGTGTAGGGCTCAACTTCATGCTGATGGGAGACAAAAAAGTCGGTCAGGGCTGACGACGTTTCTGAAATCTCCGTCGAGTGTTCTCGGAGGAACTGGATGGCTCGCTTGATGAGAGCCATGCGGGAAGAGAGCCCGGAATGGGACACGTAAGCGTAGGAGAAGGATTGCAGGGATTCTGCCGCAGAGGAGGAGTTGGAGGAGAGCATGTTGGAGGGGAGCTCGATTCTGTGTTAGTTGGTAAAGAGAAAAGAAGCTAGATGCGAGAGCGAGGTTGGTGATATCAGCAGTAGGTAGCGACAGGGCAGTAGTGGTGTCAACGACAGGGCAGTGTAATGACGACAGGGCAGTGTAGTGACTGCAGCAGAAACGGATAGACAGTGCACGACCACAAAGCCGTGGACGGCTCCCACAAGTCTGAGACAGTACACCGAAGCGGGCAATATTGAACGACATTTTTCCGAACTAGAGTAAGTTGAATGTCGGAACAATCTGAACTTTCTGAACGTGCCCTTAAGGGTGTCTCCACTGTCTCTTCTGTCTCGAAGGCTGAGTCGTGGCTGTGCGACGTCGCAGGGCTCGACGATACGCCGTGAACCCAGTACAGAACATGTCGCTGACCGACGGTGTCGCTGTAGGGGGAGGGGGCTTTCGGGCCGGCTGACCCGACCCGACCAGCTCAACGGAACAACCACAGCACAGAGTTGATGTAGAAGTATCAACAAACGCCAGAACAGAGCAGATTGTCAACACAAGCCAGCTTCGGCGACTCATCGTCATACGCCATCAGGCTGTTGGCGACTGGCAGCGACGGTTGGCGACCGTTAGCCAAACGTGCCCATGTTGTCACGAGGCCACACCTTGCCCACGACATGCCCACGACATTACCCACGACATTACCCACGTCATCACGACACCACCCACGTCATGCCCACGACACCAGCGGCGATGTAACCATACCACCACTGTCATGTCCATGACACCACCCGCGTTGTAACCACACCATCACCGTCATGCCCTCACCTTTGGCTCAGACACCTGGGGCAGCTCTCGGACCACCCAAGACTCCTTATAACTCACCTACAAGGCTTCTCCTCACACTTGACCCTTACAATCTCATCCAGACACTCGTCTCCACACACCTGTGGCATTGTAGCGCCGGCTTCATTGTGGTCGGTGGGGGCCATACGTGTATGTTTGTGTAACAAGGAGTCGGTTTTGTGTAACGAAAAGGGGATCAGGTTTGCTGTGTCCTTTTTCTTGTCCTTTTTTCGTTGTTTTTGTGTCGTTTTTGTGTCGTTGTTTTTCCACGAGATTTTTCCGTCACAATTTAGGTGGTTGAGATGTCAACTTGTATGCACCCAAACTTTTTACACCACCGCTCAAACTTATCGAACTTAGTGTATGGTGCGACTAGGATATGGAGAGAAATGTATGGCCGGGTTTTTTTGTAAGCGGGCCGAGGGGTGTGATGAGTCAGCAAAAACGCTCTATAGTGCCACGTGACTCTGACTAAGCCACAGCTCCTCCCCCTCGGCTCGTCTGACTCATCGGCTCGTCTCGTGTTCTGTCGACCCACCCACCCAGACACATGATAGACGCGCATAATGGGGCGGGAGAAACGAACAAAGAACACGAGAGGGGATGGTAACTAAGCAGGAGGAGGAGCAGACTAGCCGCGGGTGGGGAGTATGCTTAACAAGACGTTTGGATTTGGTGATCAGTCGGCGGTTCTGACATATCATTTTCTCCCCTCCTCTTCTCTCCCTTCTCCTCAAATTTACGACAACTAATTTAGTTGAAGGTTTAGTCAGAGTTTTCTGTAAGCATTGCTCGAGAGTTTAAATGAAATAAAATAGATGAAATAAATTAGGATTAAAAAATAAAAAAGGAAAATAAAGAAATGGGTAAAAATGAATAAATAAACGAAAAATGTTGTAGGTTTTTTTAGAGTGAAAAAAACAGTGATGAGCTCTTTCACGTGATAATAAAAAATCTAATGACTTGCCGGATGAATTCCATTCAAATAAGCCCACAAAAGATAGGCACTAACATCACCCTGTTGGTCGGTATTACAGTAGGTGTTTTTTATTATTATTATTTTTCTATTCTTTAAATACCGAATTTTGGTGGAAGCAAGCCAAAAATATTATCCGACCGGCATATCGGATGAGCACGTGATCTCAGTAATAATTGATTATTTTCTGGTAATTGTATACAATCAATTTCTTCCAGAACAACCCTGCATTGAGGTAAATAAGATAATTGGAACAACTAATAAAAAAAAATCATGATAAAATCATAATAAAAAAATTACAATTTAGTGAACGCGAAAATGGTGCGAAAATGGCTCGAGAATAGACAGAATCTCGAAGAGACAAACCACAGGACTATTTTCTGGCTTCTCAGGCAGTTTTTTTGATACAAAATATTTTCTAAGTTTTTCTTGGATTTTTCTTGGGGGGCTGAATGATCCATTTTCCGAATCAAAAGATGGAAAGGAATTCAAGATATTTAGTCGATTTTTAGTCGGATGTAACATTCCCCATTTCTAGCTACATTCTGTATCTCATTGGCATATACATCATCTTCCGCGCGGATTTTATAGACTAGTTTAGGGTGGGGGCTGAACAAGTATACATACTGTATAGATCAAAGGACAAGCTCAACCTCGAACCCAATGAACTCTGCTCACGTCACACACGCACGTGCGCAGAAGTTAACTACAGGTTCCGTTACATAATCAGCATTAAATAATTCGTATCACCTAAGCAATCGGGTGATTACTAAAAAGCAATTATAGAGGGGTATGGAGCAACGGGTGATTAGTGGGACCACACAGCAATACGGTCAAGGTCATCTGATGGTCCGCAAATGCCTCGTCACGTGACCAGACTTTACGTGAGTGGGTGGGGGATCTTAGTCATACTTACGTTAGGTATGAGACAAGTGGTACGGCTTAACTCGCTCAATTTTTGTCAGATTTTGGTGATTTCAACGGAAATCGACTTTTTCAGACAAAACTTGACCATATATCGTTATAGCACCTAGTCCTAATCTCTTCCTCAAACCCCAGAGAATTACTGTCTGTCCTAGAGTTTCATAGGTGATCTACAGATTTCGATCGAACTTGTCCATTTTTTGTCGGATTTCAGAATTCTTGACAGAAATCAACTCTCCGTCGTCACATGACCTATTTCCATCTACCCTCTTCTCTCAATCGTCCCTCCAACACATTCAAAATCGCGTTACAAATTTTTACTATAAAATTCTCGGTGAAATCCGTAAAAAACCCGGCTCGGTCTATTCGCCTCGGAAAACATACAAAGCAGAATAAAAACCAGTTTTAAACCACATTACAACCATAACTGAACACTTCCCATATAACAAGATTAGTAATATATCCTCCCTATCAAAATATACACTAAAATTTCTACAAATCACTCCTAAAACGGTCCCTCTAAAGACTCTAACAAATTGAAACCAACTGTAACACTCCCAAAACGAACTCTCTCAAAAATAATTACCAAAACAAACCTTATTGAATTTACTCTATTTTGCCTAATTTGTTTTTCCTACAAAAAAAAATCGTCGAGCTTAACTATGAATAAAACCATCCTCCAACCAGCCAATAAAGCGGGGGTATGTCAGCAGAGAAATATCCCCGTGGTCGTTGCAACCAATCACGTCCATTAAATATACCCTAACCCATTGCCTTTCAACCCGGGTTGGCCTAACCCTGCACCGCCACATGCGCCATGCGCCACATGCTGGCAGCGGCCCAAGTCACGTGTTTTTCAGGCCATCCATGCTGAAAAAACGATTGGCTCGGGTCGAAAGATGGCCTGGAGAAACCGGCTGACTCAGAACCGTGCCGAAAGCGATGGAGAGGTCCGGCGGGTTCGGGCACGTGACTCTCGCACACGCGTCTGACTAAGCCCCGGCGCCGCTCCGCCGTGCCGCTTACTAAAATGCCAGCCTCCCACCAATCCACCGCCCCTAATCCCAAGTCCACTGCCCAACGCTCGACAGCAATTGGTGCATGGTCGGGACCATTCTGCTGCAAGGCGATTGGCTGGATTTGCGTCAGTGGAATTCTGACACCACCTTTTTGAGGAACCTTGTTTCGGGGTTAGGGCATAGAGCCCCAGTAGCGTAACCAACCCTAGTCCACTTACTGCATCGGCCGACGTCTCTCGCTCTTTTCAAAAACAGCTCTCCCAGCTTTTACACTTTCCCACACGTCTTATACACAGAACAAGTTGTGCCAACAGTTTGGTGAGTATGAGCAAATATCGACGGCGATGAGCAAATTGAGAGCTGAGACGACATGGCGAACGTCGTGGCTGGACAGCGTGTTTCTCCCCCCGTGTGTTTTGACGTCAATCGAACCTGGCTTTGGTTGCGGTAATGGCCGAGGGTGATTGGCTGGAGGATGCGGGAGGATGGTGATGATGGGTAGGGCGCTCGGTGTGATTGGCGACGGTATGAACAATAGGGTGATGACCAAACCAGTGGGATGGACATAACAGGGACAGGGTCGTGGGCCACAACATGGATGATGTCACCGCATCACGCTAGTTACACTAGTGGGATGATAGCCACGACCGAGGTTGTGTGATGAGACACAAGGCTCATGTCGTGGCCGGTCTCTCACCGAAAATCACAACCAATTTGTCTCCCAGTCCGATCGATGATGCCGTGTTCTTTTGTCGCAGATTCCGTGTCGTTTTCGGTGTTTTCTGGGTGCTCTGCTGTGGTGGGCAGAATCGTGTGGTGGGTACGAGGAAGAGAACTCTCCACCTTTTTGATTCTTCTTGACCATTCTTCTTGACCACCACTAGTTGCAATCGAAGACACCGACAAAGGACACTGAATGGCGCCGATGACTCCCTAGCACAATGGCCTGATTTCCACCCAGAATCCCGTTTGTGCACAGACCCAAGAGTCACACATGAGCACAGAGTGACACAAACACGTCCGCCAGCGATGACCACGAGCGACGATAGAGACACAGCAGATTCACACTCAGACCCGGGCTCGGACTCAGATGCGATCCATTCATCCATTGATTCGGTCCCCCTATTGACAGCTTCCGATTGGCTGGGAACATCTGACGTTGAAGTACAACCATATGTCGGGCGTGCGGGTGTCATATGCCGGGTGTGCGGATGTGGCGGCGGTGTTATGTTACGTGGTCTCAAGTTGGGTTGATCTCTTTCTCAGGTCGCCATATGTTCAATGATGCGTGCCATCTGGCAGGGCAGCAGGCGCTTCCGGACGCCTCACCTGTCCAACGCTCCTCGTGACACGCACTCGGTGCGCTTCTGTTCGATCTTTACTAACCTAGCAATGCTCGCCTTCAAGTCTCTCCGACCCTCTGCTGTCTCCCGACTGGCAACCTCCACCCGAGCTGCCCACGTCATCTCCACCCCCACCCTCATCAACATTGAGAAGCGATGGGAGTTCATGCCCGCCGAGGAGCGTGAGGACATTGTCCACCAGCTGACCGAGCGACAAAAGGTCAACTGGAGCGACCTGACTCTCGCCGAGAAGCAGGCCGCATGGTACATTTCCTACGGCCCCTGGGGCCCCCGAAAGCCCGTCCACAACCCCGGTGACCAGACCAAGATCTTTGTCGGCATCGGCATCGGTCTCGCCGCCTCCGTCGCCATCTTTGGCCTCTGCCTCGCCTTGCAGCCCGCCGACAACGTTGCTCTGCGAACCCAGTCCTTCGAGTGGCAGGAGAAGTCCAACGAGATCCTCAAGGAGGTTGGCGCCAACCCCTTCACCACCTACAACCAGATCCAGTCTCCCTCCAAGGGCCCTCTTCCTGATGAGGATGAGGATGACGACGAGTAAGGGGATTAGACGACTAGCTGACTCTCAAAGTAATTTGAAAATTGAATGCATTGCAAAGCAATCTGCGGATTGCTGTTTGTAGTGGGCATCTTTGAGCATAGCTCGATATGCCCTGTGTAGATCAACTGTCGAGACTGCTTCAGAGCGCTTCTTGAGAGCGCATCTTGCGAACACAGCTGCGAGAACAGTTGCGAACACATGTTGACATTGTAGATACACTGTCGAGATTGCGACTTCGAATACTTGCTTTCGATACGCTTTGTAGCTCGACTGGTGCTTGTATTTATCCTTAGTTCTGTAGTTGATGTCTAGACCAGTCTTTGGATTCCGTATGAGAAGAGCATTCGGGGCGGTGAATGACATGAATGACAATGTCGTGAATGACAATGAGATGAATGACAATGTCGTGAATATAGTACTTCGGCTCATGACTCGATCTTCACTCTGTTCATGACTCTGTTCATGACTCGGCTTAGCTGGACTGGGCTCGCTCATGACTTGACTTGATCTTCACTCGACTTAGCTGGACAGACTCGCTCATGACTCACGACCATCTCCGTTTCTCCTTCAGATTTTTCTCGTCCGACTCCGGCTCGTACTAAGGTGCCTTATCCATGCACGGTTTCTGGCTCTATTAAGTCGTGTTGTAATCATTCACCACCTTCTTTCTTACCTCTTCCTTGCCTGACAGACTGACTTGCCCGACAGACTGATTGACACGACACAGACTGACTGGCCGACCAGACTGATTGACACAGACACAAGCAGCAGCTGTGCTGACCTGGTCTTCTGACACAGACAGTCGTCTCACATGGCACCAAAGGGGACCGAATAGACGCGATCGAGACAAGGTCTTTCAGAGACAGAGCTGCCGCTACGGTAAGGACAACGCTGCTGACACAGACTGTCAACGAGGAACACAGACTGTCAACGAAGAGCTGCTCTCAGATCCGCGGCCATAGCCACCACGGAGCTCTCAGTTTTCTCCGCTCGTGCGTTGTGTCGGTTCTGCCGCTGGTTCTGGTGAAAGTTCTGGTCATGAATCTGACCGTGGATCTAGTCTTGGCTCTGGTGGCGGTTCTGGCGGTTCTGGCGGTTCTGGCGGTTCTGGCGGTTCTGACAGTTCTGACAGTTCTAGTCATGACTCTGGTGTATAGTGCCACTTCACCACCTTTACCTCCAAATTACCCCACCCATGACCCCACACACGTCATCTTTGCCCTGACTCTTCCACGCACACCCTCAAGCACGAGAGGGCGCAAAGAGTGCTTGGGTGCTGTGACTGAACTGTGACTGAGCTGATGCGGTGAAAAAAGTCGGTTGAAGTCCCTGCCGTGCTGTTCCAAGTATCGTGTTACTCTCAGTGCAATCCAACCTGACTGCCTTGTACTGCTCGTTGTGCCATTACTTTCTCATGAGATGGTACAGCACCCCTGGACCCTGTTCCAAATGCAGCATCTTCAGTCTTCGTCGGTATCTGACGGCGGCGCGTTTCCTGCTGTACCGTGTCATCGAGAAGGGCTCGTTGGCAGACAAACCAGTACATACTGTACTCGTAACACATTGTCTGGCTGAGTATGGCCTCAGGCTCTACTTGTCAGCCAATTCGTTGCGTTGCGCATTTGTGAGTGGACGGATGTCACTGTCCTTTTCAGGAATGGCTATGGCGGTGTTTAAAGGTCGTTGACCCAGTTAGTACCATTCGTGACAGTGTCTGTGACTAACACATCGATGATTGTGACCACCCAGTCCTTACAAGCTACTTTTCTTCCGTTGCTCGCTCTCTCCTGACCGTGGTCTCTCTTCCCTTGTTCTTTGCAAGAGTCCATGTCGTTAAACGAGGTCAACCTACATGATCTGTTTTCAATGAGCATGACAACTGAGTCCAGGCTCATGAAGGACTTGTGCAAGTACGAGTACAAGTACAAGTAGATGAGCTTCGTGTTTGGGAGCCACTAGTGATATTGGCGTGATTGACCGAGAGCAAAGGTTTTATCCGATGTCGGTGGAGGTAACGGTTGTGGAGGGGTGCGTTATGGAGTCAAATTGGGTGGTTGATAATGATATTAGAGAGGGAGGTGCTTTCTTTTGTTTTTTTGGAGGTCCTGGAAGAAGAGGTGCTCATAAAGTCCCCTCTGCGATTACAATTACGCGTGGGCAGCTCCTAGGACTTTTCATACACTCAATCTTCTTGCAGATCTCCATCTGGAACTGGTTCTAGTTTTAGTACTGGTGCTTGTGGTGTAGTGCATGCTCTTACATGCTGCGAAGTACAAGTGCGCGGCCTATTCTGAGACCATGTGACTTGAGGTTGGCTTAGGGGCAAGAGATGACTTCAAGTACAGTACTGTACAGTACTTACACGATACGAGTATCTGTTTGAATTCTCTCCAGACTGTTTCAAATCCTTCCAGACACACTCTACAAGTATCAGCCCAAACTGACAATGCCGAAGTGAGTACAACTACAACCAAGGAGGTATGGAGATGGCAGGTATTCCGTGCTTGTACTTCTCTTTCTCTTTCATCTTTCCCCCCATCAAGTCTCCACTCTGTGGTGCCTGTATTGCTGCTGTTTTTGGTTTGCTGCTGTTTTTGGTCTGATTTTCTGACACTTTTTGCAGGGTCAAAAGTAGTGTGAAGATTAGCGTCGTCTTTCAGGCGATTCCATCCAAGTAGCGTCTTTTGACGTCTTTTAGATCCTTTTTGGAGTGTCTAGATAATGTCAGATGGTTGGGGAATTTTTGATTTTCTGAATTATTTGATTTTCTGATTTTTCAGTACTATATTTGTTTTTTCAGTATTATATATGATTTTATTTGACTTTCTGAATTATTAGATTTTTCTGAGTTATTTGAATTATTTTGAATTTTCGGAATTATTTAAAAATCTAAAATATTTGTTTGAGATAAACCAACCTGTCGAGACACCGACTGAAGAACCCGTAATTCTTTATACAAACATAGATCCTCCTTCATATTCCTTCGTATTTCTACATTGTATTTTTTTTCTTTTTTCTTTTTTCTTTTTCTTTTTCTTTTTTTTCTTTTTCTTTTTCTTCTTTTTCTTTTTCTTAATTTTTCTTAATTTTTCTTAATTTTTAATTAAATTAAATAATTTTCCACCCTCCGATCGGGGTTTTGAATTAACTTGGGCTGCTGCTTGTGTTACTGTAATTTGTTAATCTAACTGAAACCTAACGGAAAGTCGACGCTAGAAAATGACACAGACAACGCAGAGACCAACAGATAATACCACATGACTCCCCGGATTCGGGAGATCAAAATGGTACTATTTTCGCCCCCACAATCCCTCTCCTCACCAATCCACGTTACGTGCAATTGCTTCTTTCAAAAACAGCCTTCGTCCAACCTACCTCCTGAGTTTAGTTTGTTCATGTGGGAGGTGGTGCGTTTTGGGGCGTGATTGGGGACCCTGGGGACATAAAAAGGACCCGGAAAATGGCCAGAGAATGGACCACGAGAAGCTTCTAAAACACCTTATCAAGCTGAGTCAGTAGGAATGAATGTCTTGTTTTTTTCTTGTCCAAAGTTTCTTCTCTGCCAGAAAAAAAACATAAAAAAACAGAAGAAAAAAAAAACACTTTCCGAGAAAAGCAGTTAGAGACGGGTAAGACAGGGTGTATGCTAAAACCTACTTGAGGAGTGGGAGCGGGAGATAGATTTGACGGGGCGTTTTTGGGCGGAAAATAGCGGAAAATGGCGGAGAGTGGCGGAAAATGGCCAAGGAATCGGAGAAAAAGTCGGCCGAAAATTCTTCACTGCGCGAATTCCATAAAATGAGCTTTCTCATTATTATGGATCCCGCGCTCCTCCGTCGCCCTGGTACTGTATTGTATGTGAGCTCGTTTGTATGGGAAATGTTAATCCAAATAAAGTGCGTCCCAATTAGCCGGCCCGGACTTGGATATACGGGGTTTTTGTTCTGATGCCAGGGAGTCGAGATGGAGAGTGTTTCCGGAGGTCGGAGTAGTTGTAGTTGTGACATGAGGTGTGTCGGTTCAGGGGGCTTGATTTGTTCTCCTTTTTTTATTCCGATTCAACGCTCCAGGCAGCGGCGATTGGCGTCTAGTCCCACTATTGCTATCAGCCCTCAGACTCAGACCCTCACAGTGAATATGCCAAAACCCTATTGCACGTCGTGTTTGATTTCACCTCACACCACCGTGCAGTCACCAACGGAAGTAGCAGCACCCCCACAACATGTCGCGAGAGGTGCCCAACAACTCGCTCGGGCCTCAGGGCATGGGAATGCAGCAGCACAATTGGCAGAGCGAGGTGTCGCCGGACGAGAGGAAGAATCTGATTATTATTCTGTGAGTGTGACAGAGCGATAGAGCGATAAGAGGGGGGGAGGAGAGTGAGGGCGATGGAAGTCGATGGCGATAGAGAAGTCGATGGCGATAGAGAAGTCGATGGCGATAGAAAAGGCCATGGCGATAGAGAGACCGTTTGCCGTTCAGGAGCTCACGAACTCGTGCACGAGGTGCGGTCTGATAGTGACCATGACAGTGACCATGTCGCATCTCAGACACAGACACAGAAGGGTCGTGATAAGGAGATTGAGAGTGGAGCAGAGTAACGGCCGATTCGAGGAGCCCAGATGGAGCCCACGGAGTCCACAGAGCCAGACAGCAGCTGGACTCGTGTCGTTCAGACGTCCAGTGTGATACCAGAGTTAGGAGAAGGAAGAAGAGTCAATGGCAGCGGACAACAGAAGAGTAAACGACAACCGAGCCAGTGATACAGAGTCGGTGACAACAAAAGAGCCACGGACGGTGTGATGGTATGAATGAAGGGGCGATTTCTCTCTTATTTCTTGCATCCATGTTTATTATCGTCTGCCGGTTATCTTGGTAGTGTTTATTTCTGTTTGGCGATGCCTGACCTTCTGGGAGTATGACCTTTGAAAACGCATCCTGACGTCTGTTGATGACTGACCTTTGGCCAAACTCCCGAATCCTAACCTCTGTTGTGCGTTCGACGAGATTGCCGACTTCTCTGATGACGAGTTCGCTCATTCCTGTGCTGTCGAGCTCGTGTTAGACCAGATCGACGTTCTCTCAGTCATTCCCGTTGCGACCTTTAGCCACTCACTACCGTATACTAACCCAGCGTCAAAGCTATCAAAGCTCTCGGACCCACTTATGCCCAGGAACGGATTGTTCCTCTGGCTCGACAGTATGAAAATCTCATTTTCATGAATTCCATCAGCAAGGTGAGTACAAGTCGCCGTTCTAATCATGGAGGACACGGCTCTAACCCCCAATCATACAGACGCCAGTCTAAGCACGACCACTTATTAAAGACCATCACCAACGTCTAGTCTAGTATACAATTGCTGCACCCTTCAAGGTGCTCTGTCTTGCCACTTACTAACCCAGTCTGACTACATGAACCAATGCAAAAACAAAGTCAAAGAAATCTCCGACACGGTCATGCAGCACCGTGGCCGGCAAATGGCCCAAGGCCAACAATCCCACCAACAAAACCCCCAGATGATGAACTTTGACCCACAGCAAATGCTCAAGACCCAGCAGCAGACGCAGCCCCCACAGCAGGCGCCCCAACAACAGTCGCAGTCGCAGCAACAACATCAGAAGAAGGACGACTTCCAGTGGGGCGACGGCGGCAGCTTCCAGAACTTCTTCTTCTCGGACAGCGGCCAGGGCCAGCAGCAGAATGCTCCGCAACAGCAGCAGGGCGGCAACATGGGCGGCAACATGAACGGGCTCAATCTCGGTGGCATGAACATGAACATGAATATGGGCCAGCAAAACCAGCAGCAGCAGCAGCAGCAAACGCCCCAGCAGCAGCAAAACACGCCCCAGCAGCCCAATCAGATGATGAACATGAACATGACCATGGGCATGATGCCCCAGGGCCAGAATCAGAACCAGGGCCAGGGTCAGGGCCAAGGTCAGGGCCAGAGTCAGGGACAAAACCAGGGCCAGGGCCAGAACCAGGGCCAGAACCAGGGCCAGAACCAGGGCCAAAGCCAGAGTCAAAACCAACAACAGAACCAGAACCAATCACAAGGCCAAGGCCAAGGCCAACAAACCCAAGGGCAGCCACCAACACAAGCGCTCATCAACTTTCTACAGGCCCAGGGCATTGCGCCCACGCCCCAGACGGTCCAGATGTTCCAGTCGATGCCCCGCGAGCAACAGCAGCAGTACATTGCGATGCACCGCAAGCAGCGGGCGGCCCAGCAACAGAAGCAACAGGCCGCCGCTCAACAGCAGCGCATGATGCAGGGTCAGGCAACTCAGGGAATGGGAGCACAGGGAATGGGAGCGCAGGGAGGAATGGGAGCGCAGCCGCAGGGGCAGCAGGGACAGCCCCAGGGCCAGAATCAGAACCAGGGCCAAGGACAGCAGGGTCAGCAGGGTCAACAAGGTCAACAAGGCCAGCAAGGCCAACAACAAGGCCAGCCAGGTCAACCCGGACAAGGAAACATGCGAATGTCTGCTGCTCAGATCCAGGCCGCTGCCCAGATCCAGGCCGCAACCCAGGCGGGCCAGGCAGCAGCGATGCGGATCGACGTGCGAAACCTGCCCATTCCGCAGCAGATTCTTGACGAGATCCCCGTGGTGCCCAAGGGTGTCAACACGTGGGCGCAGATCCACGAGCTGCTCAAGAATGAAACGATTCCCAAGTCTGCCATGTCCGCCATCAAGAGCGCGCACCAGACGCACACCCGGTGGGTTCAGATGCGGATGCGACAGCGACAGGCCCAGCAGCAGCAGGCTGCGCAGCAGGGAGGAATGGGAGGCATGTCCCAGAGTCAGCAAGGCGGAGTGCCTCAGGGCCAGCAGGTTGGTCAGCCACAGGGAGGTCAAGGAGGTATGTCTGGTGGACACATGCAGATGAAGCCCCAGGGCCAGGCACAGGGCGTTCAGCAGCAACGGATGATGCAGCAACAGAACCAGGGCCAAGGCCAGGGCCAGCAGCAGCAGCAGCAGCAGCAACCCCAAGCTCACCGCCAGGCTCAGCATATTGATCTGACCGGTGGCACCGGGGGTTTTGTGTCACCGCAGATCAAGACCACGCCCAATATGGCATCTCAGCAGCTGCAAAGTCAGCAACAGCCCCACGTCAAGACGACGCCGCAGCTCCAGCAGCCCGCCATCTCCCCCATGATGGCCACAGCTCCCCCCGGAGGAGCAGCCACGGCGGCAGGAGTCGCGGCAGCACAGGCGGCGACCAAGAACCCCACCGCCGCCAATCCCGCAGCAGCGACAGCAGGTCGCCCGGCTGACGGCACAATTCCGACCATGCCGGGCACTCTACCAATCAGGGAGGCCGACCGGCAGCGACTGCAGCAGATTTATGAGGAGGCATCGCGGATCCCGGTGCAGCTGCACAACTTCAACGACCAGCTGTCGCCCGAGCAGAAACGGCACATTCAGGAACACATCCAAACGGTGCACACCATGTACCAACGGATCGACCAGCTAGCGCCCATGTTCTTTTTTCTGTCCAAGAACCCCACCGCGACCCAGCGGCTCATCCAGCTCAAATGCATGTTCAAGGAGCAGCTCGAGGGTCTGCGCCAGGGCAACTATCTCACCACGCCGCAGATTTTGGAAAAGACAAAGTACGAAATCAACCGGTACTTCACGTTTGTGCGAGACAACCTGCAGCAGCGGCGACCGGGAGGTCAGGGTCAGGGTGCACAGCAGCCGGGACAGCCGGGCCAGCAACCCGGTATTCAGCCTGGTGTTCAGTCTGGGCAGCAGGTTCCTCAACAGCTTGGTCAGCAGCCTGGTGTTCAGGGTCAGCCTGGACAAGGTCCTCAAGGCCAACCTCAGCCCACAGGAATGCCTCCTCAGGCTGGCATGAACATGAACATGCAGAACATGATGATGCAGAAGCAGCAACAGCAGCAGCAACAGCAAGGAGGCCCCCAGATGATGGGCATGATGCCTGGTCAACAGGGCCAGCAGGGACCAGGACCACAGGGCCAGATGAACCCCATGATGCAGCGAAAGATGCAGCAGCAGCAACAACAACAGCAGCAGCAGCAACAGGGAAATATGCCCGACCAAGCAGGCCAGATTCCCCAGCAGGGCGGAGTTCCCCAGGGACAAATGCCTCCTCAGCAGACTCAGATGCCCCAGGGAGGTCTTCCTCAGGGAGGTATGCCCCAGGTGCCTCCCGGTCAGCAGCCGAATGCACAGCAACAGCAGTTTTTCATGCAACAGCAGCAGTTCCGGCCTGGCCAACAAGGCCCCGGAGGTCCTCAGCAGGGCCCTGGCCCCCAGCAGGGTCCTCAGCAGGGTCCTCAGCAGGGTCCAGGCCCCCAGCAAGGTCCCCAACAGGGTCCTGCACCTCAACAGGGTCCTGGAGGCCCCCCTCAGCCTGGACAGCCCGGAAACTTCATGTTCAACCAAATGTACATGCAGGGAGGGGCCCCTGGCATGTCTCAGGGCGGTCCTCCAGGTGCTATGCCACAGGTAGGTCCCGGTGCGATGCCACAGACTGTTCCTGGCACCAACCTCCCTCCCGGCGCTGCTCTTCCTCTCGGAGCTTTCCCTCCCGGAGTCACTTCGACTCCTCCGCTGTCATCCACGCAGCCCGTCGCCAAGGTCTCGCCCAAGGATAAGCGAGGTGGTGCCAAGCCCGCGGCACGGGGCAAGAAGGTGTCTGCCAACAGCACACCGATTCCGGCGGCGGCAACCACCCCTTCAGGTGGGCCCGGCAAGGCGTCGCCTTCGGGCGTGCCGACCTACTCGGCCACCGGCCCCAATCTGGCACCCGACCAGCTCAAGATGCCCGCCACGCGCAAGCGCAAGTCCTCGGCCGGGCTTGACGACAAGCGCAGCCCCATGCCGCCGGCGAAGAAGGAAAAGCTGGAGGAGGCCAAGGTGCGGGAGACGTCGGAGATTGCCGCCAAGAAGGAGCAGCTGCAGCGCGAGAACCCGCTCGGCTTTTTCATCTCTTCGCTGGGCGAGGCGCTGGACGTGCCTGCCGAGGAGATTGCGGCGTTTGGCGGCGTCTCCTTCAAGGTGGGCGGAAAGAACCCGTCGGCGCTGGTGGCGGGCAATCCTGGCGTGGTGGCCGCCGCCGCCAATGGTGTGAATGGAACGCCAGGTCCTGCTGCCGGTCCCGCCGTCGCTGCCGCCACCGCTGCCGCTGCGGGCTTCACTCCTGGCACGGCAGCAGCCGCCGGAGCCGGAGCGGGCTCTGGTCTTGGTCTGACCCCGTCGTCTCTGCTTAAAACGCCCATGCCGTTCGACAAGGGCACAGCAGCCAGCACCGGCGACTTGGCGGGTTCCACTGGCGGTGCTTCTTCTTCGTCCTCCATCGAGACGGCCGTGGCCGCGGTTCCATGGACGGGTCTGGTGTCTGCTGCGAGCCTCAAGTCCGCATTCCAAGCGCTGGAGTGTTTCAAGGTGTCTGAGGTGCAGTTCCTGACGCCGCCCGAGGAGCACAACAAGCTGCCCAAGAGCAAGGAGGTCAAGACAGAGAACCCCAAGGACGACAAGGTGCCTGTTCCTAAGCTCAATGGCGCGCAACTCTTTTCCTCCGGCGACAACATGTGGGATTTCGACTCCATTGCCAACGGGGTCAGTCAGGAGGATCTGGACAAGGAGTTCTGGACCTTTGAAATGTAGAAAAGTAATTTATTCAGTAATAGAGTGTTAATGTTACCCAAGTGAGAGAGAACAAAAACGTGGAGCTTGTCATAAGGTGACCAAGGCTTCATTGAGTATTGAATATCCATCAAGTAGAATTAGCCAATGTTCCAACTGCTTGGGGTTAACGATAATGCATGAAATTCGCAATATCTCAGAATTTTGTATGGTAGCGTTTAGTTTTGATTATATTTTAGTTAGAAACTGTCAATCTCTCTATCTATTCATATTCTCATTATATCTCTACGACCTCTGCATCGCCGGATTTGCACCCCCAGCACCATTTTTCTTTCAACTAAACGTCCAACTATTTTGACTTTGGTAGTTACATTTGTAGTTTAAAATAACGCTGTTTTGCCGGAGACACATTCGAAGACAAGTTTCGTAGTGTTGCCAATGGTTGGTGTATTTAAGAGATTGTTTAAGACAGGACTGTATGGAGGATTGTTCACAAGTAGTACAAGTAGTCGAATAAATCTCAACAGAGCTGGCAAAAGAAGGAGCGCACCAACCATTGATGCCTTGGTGTAGGTTGGCAGGTTAGGAGAGTGTATACAGTGCCATATATACCTAGGTATCGGAGAAGAGACGAAGATTGCTAGTACTTGTACTTGTATACAAACAGCTGTTCCTACAAGGACGTATCTGATCAACTACTCACCGTTCATAAGGCGCAAATCAGCCCGAAAACAGGAGTTGGACCGTTATCCAGTGCTAGACAAGTAGAGAAGGGTCCTGTACCATAGGAGTAGGATAATTGAGGGTGTTGGAGTCATTTGACAGGCTATCCGATATGAGAAGAGTCGATACAAGGAGTCAATTACATTTTTCTTGTTCAAATGTGCTTCACCTCGTGTATGTGGAATCGAACTGGTACTGAAAATCACGGGTGGTTCAGAATACAGGTGACAAACACGTAGAGCGCTCATCAGCATGTCGCTACTTGTAGCACTCTTGGTAGATCTGCTTGGTGTACTCGCGTGAATTCATCTAACAGAAGATGGCACTTTGCACCTGATGGAGATCATGTCTGATGAGTGCTCTCTGAAGGAATACCAACCAACCAACATTATGCGCGGCGACAAACTGTGGTTCGAGTAACAGAGAGTAAATCCAGGAGGATATCTTCCTTCCATCTTTTTCGGTCAAATGACGAAATGGCCGAGACGTTGAACAGTGACTGTATCATAACCCCATCTCTTATCATTGACCTGAGATGAGGTTTTGGATCCTGAGCCTTTGATGAAGACATGTAGAAGACTACATTGTAGTCTGGATGATGAAAATGTTTGAGAGAGTGAGAGAAGTTCAGACAAGTTGAGAGAGCCCTAGTCGGAGTAGTTCATTGACTGAGTTGAGAAGGTTCTGTTAGGAATATATGGCGGCCTTTTGAGAAGACTGAAGAAGAGGTATATGAAGAATTGACGAAAAGCTGCTTCCGAATCTGTTTCTCAAGTGTTCACTCGATTCGGACCAGTACTTGTCGAGTTGAGTGTTCTCTTGGCTGCTGTCCAATTCATGCTCCAATACTGTAGAGGGATCCATAACTCATCAGAGACACTTTACGAACCTGTTTTAAGAGAGACGGTGTTCTTAAAGACTGAGTCTTGGGGCCCCAGAAATTTTCAAATCTCTATCATGAGTATTGCGTGATTTGGAGCGAATCAGTGTTGTTCAACACAGTCGCCCTCCTGCCCAGGTAAGTCAAATCATATTACAACTATACATCAGCTCTGTTGGCTCATGATACTTGATCCTCAGTCGCTCAGTTCAACACAGACTCACTTGCATGCCTCCAAACAAGTCACCACTAAAGCCCAAAACTTGTTCAGATCCACCTCCTCAACCACCGTCAAGTGACCCCCCACTTGCTCCGTCAACATTCCTCTCTGTTCTCCCCCCACAGTGACATCCACTGTCACTCTTCTCTCCTTCGTAACAATCCCGTTGAGTAAAACAGCCACAGAAAGAGGATCGTGAACAGGAGGACCGTCCTTGAAACCAAACTCGGACTCGTATGTCTCCTTGAAAAAGGTCATGAGTTCGAAAAACATCTGGCTCACGTTACCGCCGACACTCTTGATCTGACTAAGCACCTCTTCGGTTGCAATGGCCGTGTGAGTCACGTTCAGTGGACAGAGCACAACCTTCGCAGCGACGATCGGGTCGCCGAGCACCTGGCTAGCTGACTCGGCGTCGCACCAGATGTTGAATTCCGCATAGGGCGTCCAATTGCCCATTCCAAATCCTCCTCCCATAATGGAAACTGTTTCCACAAGATTTTTGACATCTGGAAAGCGGTCAAATAGCGCTGAAACGTTGGTAAGTGAACCAGTAGCAACAAGACACGTGCCGGGGTTGTTTCGGATGGCGTTTGCCATGGCCACGAGAGTGGAATCAACATGAGGTTCGATTGTGCACGTGATTTCCGGCAACAGAGACGTTCCATCCAAACCTGATTCACCATGAATCGAAGGAGCAAATGTGGAGGGAGCAGTTTCGTAATGGCCACGGGAACACGACGAAGGGCTGTGCGACTGGTTGGATTGGTCATGTGACCCACCATCGCCGCCACCACCCCGTGACTGAATTCTCTCGGCGCCCGGATACACTTTGATTTCCGAATCTTGTCCGATTGCTTTCAGCACGGCCATGGCGTTGACGGTTGTCTTTTCCAACGGCGCGTTTCCGAAAACGGTCGATATTCCGAGCAAGTTGAAGGCGGGTAATTTCGCCGCTAAAAGAATCGCGACGGCATCATCGTGGCCTGGATCGCAATCGAGCCAGATGGGTATCATTGTAGTTGTGTAGATGGTAGAGTTGGGTTTTGGTGGTTCTGGAGGAAGTGCATCTGGGGTTTGGGAGGATTTTGGATGTTGAGTGGAGTGGATTTTGGTGATATTGGAGAGTAGGTGGAAGTGGAGAATAGGGGAGGTCAGGAGGAGTCGAATGGTACCATATATAGAGATATGAGAGGGTCTAGGAGTGATTTTAGGGTCACATTTTCGTTTCTTTCCGGTTAGTTTTTAATAGGGTTTAAAAAAATAAATGAATAAATTCGGCTTGAAAAAATATAAAAATAATAAGAAAAACTAAAAACTAAAAAATGAAAACTAAAAAATAAAAATAAAAATAAAAAAAACAATAAAATACAAAAAATAAAAAATAAAAAATAAAAAATTAAAAGAAAAACTAAAAAATGTCCCCGGAATGAGTTGTATGAAACAATTCAGACGAGAAGAAAAATTATATTAAGGGAGATAGGGTTGATTTCATCAACTACAAGTAGGACTTTTTTTGAGCTTTTATTCGCAATTTAAAGCATTTTCGACGACGTTTTATTGTTTTATTCAGTTTTAGTCCCAGTGTGAATGAGCCTCCGATTAATTTCGCAAGACGACCGCGTGCGTGTATACAAGAAGCATATTGGAGAAGAGGCGGCTCAATGAGATGGAGGTGGGCTTTTAAATATCCAATTTGGGCTTTTGTCGGAGAGATAGAAGAGTGGTTTATTGTCTACAGAATGCTAAGTAAAAGTTCACTATCCGGGGCTGGTTATAGTAAGAACAGTATCGCTTTTGTCATTTGGATCAGAACCAGGAGAAAAAAAAAAAAAAAAAAAACCCAAGAAATGATGTCAGTCAATATCTGAGAATCATCAAGTTCTGTTACTGGAGTCTAGTAACGCAACCGAGCGAAAATCCTGGGGATATCAGTATCATATACTCAGAGTCTCGAGTCTTTGTTTGTCCACAGTCAATTAAAGTACCAAGTAAATGACAAGTAAAGTAAATCATTATAAGTAAAGCAATCTAAGTAAAGACGTCCAGTGACGCCCACTGTACCAATTCAAGCGATATGACGTGGATTTTTTAACAGACAGTTATGCGAAAGACCTCAGAAAAATCTGAGCCTCATTGGACTCCAAAATATCACAATATACTTGACGTTTGACTGCACAAGATATCACAGGAGGAATACTTCCAACAGGTGTCCATTGTGAAGTGATCAATGATAGTTGTTATATTGTAACAAATGAGATTGACTTATTCGATTACAAATCATCTTCTGTGTGTCAATTGATACCGTTACTGAAGTTTTCACGTAAATCTGGCAGCTGATGTACCCTCCTCAGATAATTCTAAACAAAATTACTAAAAATTACCAACTATATACTTGGAAATATACACAAAATTCCAGCCGATCCCAGAAAACTAATTATATCAATACCACAAGTGACTAAATCAGATAATTCAACCAAATTGCAATAATGCCCCCCCTCCCCAGGATCACCACCCGCCCGAATTTGGTATCACGTGACCTCGGAATTCCCAACGTTGAGCTTTCACTTCCTTCCTGTGTCTACTTAGGACCCTCAATCCATTTATCTCCACCAATATTCACTCTATCATCTCCAAACAATCACCATTGGCCTCTCCAGCTCGGAAGTACTCCTTTTTTCAACTCTATGGGTATATTAACAACCTCATATTGACTAAAGAATGTACATGGTTAGCAAAAATCTGTTCCTGACAGTGTCAGCACAATTAAAACAAAAGCAACAACTGGAGTGGCAAGAACACTTCAGAAACATGACTAACGCTGCTGTGTTCCTGCTCCAGAACCTCCAACCAGTCGTTTTTCTTATTCATCCAACATCATGGCCCGCTCACCTCCTCTCAGCCACTCGGGATTCCACTCATGGGCCTCTTCAAAGGTCTGACCAAAGTCCGGAGGACACTTTCGCGCCCGGAAGGTCTCGGCTTGCTCCCTTACGTACTCGATATTCGGCTGGGTCGAAGGTACCGAGGCAATGTAGACGACCACGGCGGGATCGTCGCCGGACAAATGATTGGGATCCACAGCATGAATACCATCGCAATGCCACCACACAGAATCGCCCGCAGACAAATCGGGAATGCTCACAAGCCGTTTAGTGAGTTCAAGATGCGGGTGACTCTTGTTTCCGAGACATTGACTGGAGATTGACTGAGTTCCGGGGAAATAGGAGGGACGAGTGAACTTCCAGTTGGCAGCAGAGAGATATCGGGCACGTGCAGCCTCGGCTGCGTCCCGTGACTTCAGTGTCGCACCGTACTTGGCGTCACTGGAGTCGTCCTCTGGAGTGCCCGGGGTGGTGTCTGGGGTGGGGAGGCCGTCGGAGTTGGCAGTCAGGTTGAGAGTCGGGTCAGTCGATCCGGTTGCCTCTCGTACCAGCTCCTCCTCGCTTCGAATCTCCTCGAAAAACGGTCGCAGAAGCAAATACACCACTGCCAAATCCACTCTTGGATAGAACCAAATTCCGCCCTTATTTTCGCCCACGTCAGTCAAACAGGTCCAGCCTTGAAATGTGCGCAAAACAGACGAGTGGGCGGGCCCAGGAATAACGTGCTGCTTGCAGGTACTTCTTTCCTTGAGTCTGTAGAGATCCAGACGTTCAGGATGACCCGAAAAGACGTCGTGGTAAAAGTGGCGATAATCGTCATCCAACCACCGGGAAAGAGAGCCCGCGTCAATGTGGGGTCCCAGAGCAGGATACGTAGACTTACTGGGCATGGATCGAAGCGCATCTGCGTAAGTTAGAGGGGTCGCTAGAGTGGAGGTGTTTTGTTGAGAGTTAGTTGACATTTGTTGACCAGGCTCTTCCCAAAGCTTATTGAGCCATTCCTGCAGAAGTAAATGGTTGGGATGAGCCCGCAACTTTACTTGAGCTTCAGTCCAGTAAAGCTGCTTAATGTGAGGAGCCTCCACTGGCCATCCGGTGATGGCATCCGAATGCTCCGAGAGAAACGTCTGCAGCGAATGGTTGAGTTCACGTGACTCCGATTCACTGACCACATTCCGCACAATGAAACAGCCCGCCCGCTTGGCCCGGGCCACGTGATCCGCCCCGACGGCGTCCCGTTGGATCTCGTCAAAGTTGAGCTGCGGAATCGGCTCTGTTTCAAAGCTCGCCAGCTCCTTCAAAACCCAGCGCCAGGACCGCTCCAGCTGGTCACGTGAGTACTGACCCAGCACCTTGTCAGCGGTCAACTCGTGCAGTTTCTGCTCCTCGTCGGTGTACCACGAAGGCAGAGAGTCGTAGTCCTTCCAGGTGTTCCACTTGTCGAGCATCTTGAGATAGATAGAAAATGAGTAGATTGAAAGAGGAGGCAAGGAGGACTTCGAGGCTGGATTCGTCACACTCAGATATGAGTCCACAGACACCCCAGACTCCCCCACAGACCTTTTTATATCACCACTATCAAGCTTATCCCGAACCCAATGGATCGTTAGGTTCACACGGCGCCGTGGGCCGAGCTGGATGCGGTCAAATCGGCTCGAAAAACGGGGAAAGCTGTGGCTGACGGTCGATGCGCGCTTGGCGGAGATACCCTGGCGGAGTTCCTTCTCTTAGTATGCTTGCTAATGTCATAAACGTCAAATCTAGGTTTAGACCGACCGTCGGAGAAGTGTCAACATATTGGGCGCTGGAGAAGAGCTGTGGCTTGAAAAGTGGTATCAACAAGTTCGGAATGACGAGACCAACAAAATGCACTTTTCAGAATCTCAATATCTTCCCCCGATCCCCACACTGTTGTCCCTCTCTCGCTTTCCAGGTAACTTTCACATATCACCCCTATCAAAGACAAATATATACAGCCAGTCGCAATCTGTAACATCCACGGACGCAGATCCCCGGCTCGTATTCCTCGTCACGTGACCTCTAGCGCGCCACCGAGTTAGCCGGATTGAGTCTTGGGGACTTGGTGGGTGGGGAGAATGCTGGAGTGAATGTCCGAGACGCCCAACCCCCGCCGCCGGAAAAGCCGGAAAAGCCCGGAAATGCAACGGAAAAGTCACGTGACTTGTCGCCGCCGCCCCCTCCCTGGTTCCGGTCACGTGACAATGTCGTTTTTTGCAGTCTCCGTACGACTTTATTTTTCACGATCCCCGTCCGTATCTCTGCACGTGGGTTTACAAAAAACGTGTCTCAAAAGACGCCAGAGCTGTAGTGACTCAAGCCCGGAGGCCATGACTCTCGCAGCTGCTTGATCTGTGCAACGGATCCGCTTGACAGCTGCAATCCTCCGGGGTTGGCGTGGTAGCAACCTAACCAGTGGGGTTTGACAAGGTGGAGGAGACGCCAAGGTGGAGGAATATCCGGTATGGTCACGTGAGATATACCATTTTGACGGTCTCGTGACGGTGATTTTGGTCCTGCGGTCTGTTTTTCCATAGCTCTTTTGTGGCTCCCGATAGGTGTGCGTTCTCTCCCTGTCCATGATACAGTTTCCGGGGAGTCCGTGGAAAAATGGCGAGCCATTATTGGGGAGATATTGGGGTGGGAAAAACACGGGAAAAATGCTGGAAAATCGCAAAATACACGTGGTGAGACAATCAAAAAGTGTACAAGCCTGGGGGGTTTTTGCAGTCGCATTTGCGGGTCCGTTTAGCTTCCCTCAACCCAGAGATCATAGATATACAATTTTGGAGATGGTTACCAGCGACGCAGACTTTTGTGCACTACACTATGGTGTATTTGGGTCGGTGAATCGTGCCATAGTGGCTCTCTGGGTCTTTTCGGGGCTCTATCGGGACTCATAGAAGGCGTTTTACCCTCTACCAAAGTGACAAGTGGCTTAGTCTAGCGGTTTGAGAAGCGCGCATTTCGATTTTGATTTTTTGTTTCGGTTTAGCAAACGCCGGAAAGTCTTGGAGGAGTTCCGTGGAGCTCTGTGTCGTTTAGTGGAGGAGGTGGAGGGTGAAAGGGTTGGTGTTAGGTAAGCAGCCAGAATGACAGCTATTATACGGCGCGATAAAGCTGCGGGGTTGGGAAAAGATCCGCCAACAAAAAAAGACAGTTGTCTGGGTCACGTGACAACAACCCCCCTTGCTCTGGCTGCTGTATTACTGGCTCTAGCGGGGTTTAGGAGCGTATGGGAGCTGGTCAACAATTTTCCGTAGAGTCAAGATATCCGTGGAGGGAGTTGATACGGGGGTTCCGCGGACGCTGGAGATTGCCAAACCGCCCAGATAGCGGCGATATCCGTGAGAAAGTCCGAGATAGGGGCTAAGATGTGCGTGGAGAAGAGATGCAGGGCGCGAAGTGGATTGCAAGATGTTGAGAGGAGATGAAAGAAGCGGGGAAGTGGGAAGCTGCTTTATAAGACGGAGGAGAATCCCAAGATGTGACTTTGGAGAGGAATCGAAGTCTTTGGCTGATTTTAGACCCGACAATGTGTTGGGGGGGTGGGGTTATGTTCTGTAAGTGCATTTGGTGAGAGTTGTAGAGGAGGTGAAGAGACAGATGGTTTGGAGAAATGTTTAGAGCAATTATCTGATCTTACAAGATATATTTTGAGTCATCAGGCTGTTTAGCGCAGATTTCATGTGTATTATTGTAGAGAAAACACATGACAGTGGATTTCGATGTGTTGGGGACTGAATATTGATCCTATGGAGACTATAATGGAATCAAATTGATCTAAACGACGTGATTAATACAATTAAGAACTGTAGATGTTTCTGAAACAGCTCTAAAGCGTCAGAAATGTATGTTGTTGAGATATGAATGGTTTGCAATCTTAGCCAGAGACCTGCAGTATTGAAAGGAGACAGAAACACTCCAACAACTTGAGAGATATGAGAATACCGACAATAAGAAGAGTTTTTAAAAGTCCCCATTTTTATATCACGTGATTTACCACCAATGGCGTCACGTTTGGAAATATGAGCACCTCTCAGTAATGGCTGTCCTGGACGTTGGAGATGCCAGAACGGTGCCGAAATCTACATATTTGTTGTCATGTGACTCCTACCACGAAGAATATCTCTTCTATTTTCAAAACCGGGCTTTGCGACCTCTTCTGCAACACTCTGCAACACTCCGGGCGGCTAAAAGTCCATCTTTCGGGCTGTGGACAATCTCCGATGCCGGAAAAACATTTCTCCGTCTTAGATATTGCTCTGGAGAGATCCACTTGCACCCTGTAATGTCTCACCAATGTCTTATGTCTATCAAAGGTACGGTACTGTAGGAAGCAAGCAGCTACAGGACCTGTACTGTATGGGTCTGTAGAGTTGAGAGAGGGGCTGTGAAAGGTAATGGAGACAAGTACAGATGATCCATACCGTATAATGGAATGTACATGTTGCCATTGAACTCTTGTATGAGTTCTGGACCGCTCCAACTCGGTCCCCCCGGTCTTCTTGACTGTTTCAGATGTATTGCGCGTATCCTCCTCACCGACCAAAACACATCTCTGTCAACGCACCTCAATATATCGAGAAATGCAAATTGGAGAGCGGTCTGGACCACCATTCGAGTCCACTTTGCATTCTACAACTTTGCACTTTCTCGACTAACATATCCCAGTTGATACATTGACTCAATCTTCGAGCATTTGCTTTTTCCGTCGTCGTTTCTTTTTCTGAATCGTACGTTTCTTTTTATGGCACTAAAATACGAGCGGGATCGGACTTCCGCCAGGGCAACGTATGTATTATTGCGCCAGCAACATGTATGTCTGATTTTGTTCGTCACGATTCGGCTCAACAACGATCTGAGCGCGCTCAAAGGCACCTGTTGCAGTCAACTACATATCAAGTACGATGCAAGTAATTAACGCAACACATCAACAAACCACCAACTCAAACTCAACTAAACGGTCTCAAATAACTAAACGCTGAGAAGTGATGTCATGTCGGTCACCTTGCTCACCCCCTCAATTAAATAATCCATTTATCTATATATACTACATGACCACTCTATATGGCCACTTCTATTGTCCTCCTTCATAAATATACACGCGCACGGAAGCGCTGACTCCTTAACCAACGTAACCACAAGCATCTATCTCTTACTTAGACAAGACACATGCTCCAATAATGACAATGGAGCGTTTGTGGTGTACCATCAGTGCCAGGAAATTACACACATCGGTGTCTGGGGTCACTGCTGTCGCTCGCAGCGTCTCGCTCGGTATGGCCTGTGACCAACTCATCAAACTATGCTCACCAAAAGCTGACTTTGTCTTACTTAGTAGAGTCGTTTGATTAGTCGGTCACACCCCATCTCACGAATTAAAACCAAACGTGGACGCAAAACTAGCAGTTCCCATCTGATCCCGCTTGAACAGATAGTCACTGGCAGCATCACCTTCCTCCCAGCCCCCAACACCCATAGGATATCCGCTCATGTATGGCGTAATGGGCATAATCTGACTGAACCGATCTGCACTCACTTGCTCCTTGACAGTGGAAGTGTAGTGTCGAGCAGCAACAACGCACTGGTGGATGAGCGAGTACAGCCGCCGAGCGCCATCACTCATGTCCTTGAGACTCTTGACAAAGGAATCAAGCGTCTCCAGAAGCTGCATATCGCTGCCAGCCGTCGACTCAGACGGAAACGCCCGCAAATGCATGAAAATGACAAAATACGGAACCATGGGGTACGCAATCATGAGGAATAATGTACTGAGTGACTCAGCCATGGACGAGATGCCCGAAGTCAGGTAGCCCATCAGCGACAGGTACTTTCGAGCCGCATCCAGACACTTGTCGTAGTTGGAGCTCGAGTTCACGTCCGACGATGACGACGGGCTGCCAGCAGCATTATTGGCGCTAGGAATGCTGCCGAAACCAACTCCTTCGCTGTAAATCATGCAGAGACAGTTGTAATAGAGCGAATGCAGCTCAGCTCCAGCGTTGATATTGCCCTTGGATCGGAGGTTGTCCAGATTCTGCTTTTCAGCAAGCGTGGGAGGCCGGTACCGGGATGGAACTTCGAACCACACCTGGTCCAGCTCCTGCTGCATCTGGGCAATGAAGGTCCGCTTTTGAATCGCGCTTTTTCGGGCCCCAGCCACGCCGTAGAGATTCTTGTAAATCTTTTTCAGGCACCGGCTCAGCCGAATACCGCAACGGAAAAATACGACCGAATCCGAGTACACACGCTGGTACGGCAGCTCGGTCATGCAGTCCGAGTCGTCCAGACACGGCGGACGGCCCATGGCGACCGACTGGTACGTGTCCTGCTGGTAGACGCACCAGAATAGACACCGGTTGATTTCGAGCCGATGCGGTGTGTCGCCCACGTCTAGATGCAACCCAATCCCCTGAGCCATCCGCGTAGCATTGCCCATGAGAGAATAGGACTGGGTGAAATTGCCGGAGGACTGGAACTGAAACGACATGAGCAGCAGGGCGGCGATGCACATGCGGTTGGAAGGCAGGGTGGTCGTGTTACTCAGTAGCGAGAAGGCCGCGTTGTAAATCTTGGTCGACCAGGTCGCGGTACGGCCCTGGAGCCTGCTGATACCATCAAATCCAAACCCCATGACCAGCAAAAACGCACAAATCTTTTCGCGTGACACGTGCGCCGTGTTCTCGTCGTACAGCTCTTCCATGGCCACCAATAGCTCCTCCTTGTCCATCAACGGCCAGCACGTGGTCGAAAAGAACTGGTCCACGTACCGATGAGCGTCTTCCTTAGCTGGCAGCAGTGGCCGGATGTGTTCCAGTGGACACGACGTTTTGATGCCGGCAAAGAAGCCCTGGATCACCGTTTTAGGTGTCTCGCCGTTTTCGCCGGTGCTATGCTCCTCAGGCAAGAACTGCTGCGTCTGGAGCGACACAGCCATAACCGAGGGCTCGCCAATGAGATGACCCTGGCCGTACTTATCCTCGATGAGCGTGGCGCGGAACGAGTTGGTGTTGACAGATGAGTAGTCCTCGTCGGGCTCGCAGATGATCTTCTCCATGAGAAACTCGAGGCGGTTGAGTTTGCTGAGCAGTGCCGAGTCGCCCGTTCCGGCGGAAGCAGCGGGAGTGCTACTCTGTAACGCCTCAAAGTCCTTGCGGCCCTCGCCATATGTGCACTGGATGTTGTAGGTGAGACACTGTAAGCACGCGGGTAGCGTGCGTCCGCACTTGATTTTTTTATGGCGACAGTGATCGCACGAGCGGCGCGATTCACGGTCGTTCTGGGTTAGCTGATGAAGTGGACAAAGAGCATTGAGAAATGATCACTGCTGCGACAGCAGGGAAATAGAACATGGAAAAATGAGGAAGAAGGAGTGACAAATTGTAGACATCTTCGAGGTGGCATCCACATCCAGTAGATGTCGCCCAGATGTCAGTTCCCGTGGAAAAACGAGAAGCTCCGCATGAGTGATCTTCTTGCCAAGAGTAACCAACGTCAATACAGTGAGGTAAATACGGAGAATGTGATACAGGAGCTGTTTGGAAGTGAATAGTGGGGAGAAGTCTTGGTGAGGCTGTCGTTGCTGGTGAGACGAGATCATGAATGGCAACAATTGGTGTGTATATGGTCGCGACTGTGGGGGTAGTGGTAGGGAACGGATGCCGCGTTATCAATCAGTGATGGTGGCTAGAGTGGTAGCAGTAGTGGGAATCAGCAGTAGATTGCAGTGGACAGAAGACAGAACCACTGACTAGACGGAATCACGGACCAGCGACGTCAGTCCAGCGACCTCGGACACCAATCACAGGTGGCTGTAGATACCAGAGCAGTCCGCGCTAGGTAATCAGAACTGGTTTGACTAAATAGCTGATGATCAACATCAAATTCTGTCACCATAGTGGAGTCTCACCACACTGCTGTCACCACACCGTTGTCACCATGTTGCAGTATAACCACACTCCTTACTACCTCACCACCACTTTAATCCTCCACACTCCCCAACACCACTCCACCTTCCTATCCAAGCAAACACAACCACGCCGTCGTCGTCGCCGCCACGTGTTCCAGCCCCCAGACCTGTCTGTGTCGATTCATCCTCCCCTCTTGTCCCCACTCTCTGTGTCTCTTCCTCCGGTGCCACCCATTGAAGACCACGACACGGCGTCGTGGTGCACCACTTTTTTGTCAGAAGCCGTTGTCAAAAGCCGTCTGTGTTTGCGTCACATTGGGGCCAAAGTGCATAAATAGCTCCGGATTCGCCGCCCGAACCTCCCGTTGCTATGCGTCCCCGCACCGGCTCGCCGCTGCCAAATCTCCCGTGTATCGCCAATACTCACAGTTACTCTCCTCACAGGGGCCATTGGTGGTTGTCGACAAGAGAGGGTGTCACCGTGCTATTATACCACACATAGACTCTGGTACTGTGGAAATTACACTTTTGGGCCCAAAGTCTAAACCACGCACAGAACCAAACACAAAGCGGGAACAACAAAAAAAAAACGGGACAAAATAAAAAAACGAGACACAAAAAAGTGGGAGACACAAAAAATTGGACACAAAAAAGACGAGACAAAAGAAAATAAAAAAACGGGACAAAAAAAAACGTTGACCGTTTCCTACTACAAACAACAACAAGACTGACACATGGAACAGCACAGAGATAGTCAGATTGCATCCAGTTGACAGATGGCGGCCGCCGAGAACAAGACAAGAAGGGACGGGATTAGGATATTATGTAATCACATAACTGGGAATCACGTGCCGTCGCCACGAGCTGGAAGAACAACAAACCAACAACCAAGACCAACAAAAACCAACAACCAACAACCAACAACAAATGTTCACTTGTTCCGCTCGTTGTTCTCCCTTGTCCTCCTCACCCCCTCCTCAACTACCCCCACTCCCCGCCTCTTCAGTTAATCCGAAAGGTTCCAAATTTTCCGGCCTACCAAACTCAGTCGTCTTGTGGAGTCCAATCTGACCAATTGAAAGCCGCAAAATAAGAACGGGAGATAGGGCAGGGTGGACTTGGACACGAGAGAGACCCAATCGCCTGGCTATCTCCCTGCACAGCCCCTCTCGAGACCCTAGGTCTCCCGGGGCCCACCGATAACTTGTTATTTCACTGCTATATGTCTCAAACCCCTCTCCCACCCAGTAGTTATGCATGTATGCCATGTCATGTAGACGCATGCATGGTCATGCAAGGGAGCGTCATGTCTTGAAATGCAGAAAAACGCACAGAAGGGCGCCTCCCCTAGCCCTGGCGGGGTCGCCATACAAGCGGTGCAGATTCTAGGCGGGGAGGTGCATGCAGCTGTACGTAGGCGAGATATATTTTTTGTTGGTGACTGGAGATGTCGAAGACGCAACATTTGAGGATCCCACGAGAGGACGGGGGTTTCGGGATTCAGTCGGAACGGAAAAAAGCTGCCGCTACTCGTATCGAGCTATACGACGTTGGAATTGTCCTCCAAATGTGCTCAAAAAAGCAACGATATGGGCGAGCACGAAAGTCAGAGTTGGGTTTTGATTTTCCTACAGCACTATCTCCAATTAAGAAACCACAAAGCGAAGGTCCAGCTCCGGGAAGATGCACCGATGGCAGGTAAAAGCAACGATCGGGTGGACTCGGGGCCAAGCTGATGACGTAAACGGAGATGCGGAGATGGTGGACAGAGATAAGAGAGCACAATGAGGAGAGAAGGGGGGGAGGGGGCGGCCTCCTCACGGGAAAACCAAACAGTCTGGAGGACTCTAGGTGCGATAATCGCAGACTAAAAACCGGAAGAACCAATGTATGTATGTACCTGGATGTTGTAACCTTGTCTCTTGTGCTAAAACGGAGGTCAGCCCATATTCAAACTCTCCAAGTACAAGTGCGATAGGTGTACAATAGACAGTTGCTGTAAATGATTGGGACAGACGGGGTTAGTTGGGGCGAAGAACGACGCTACCGCGCTCACGTGATCTACAATATGAACGGCTCGCCTGCTACTGTGGTTAAGGCACGAGTTGCTCAATTTGCCCTTTCCTTGTCTTGCTGTTTTCTTTTCTTCTTGTTTTTGTTTTTTGCTTTTTTGCTATTTGATCAAGCTCCAATTTATATGAAAGTGAAACGCCGACGAAATTCTTCACTCTAAACAAAGATGACGATCATAGACGCTCTCCGAAGCTAGTCCTGATGTCTATACATCTTGTCTCACTTAGTTTAGCCGCGGAGATAGAGGAGGGGGACCTGGAGGGAGCTGTGGACGGTGATTCGGGGGCACACTTGGTGGACGAATAATCCGTCGCTGAATTGGTCAGTGGACGGCTCATCTGATATTACAGCGTTCAAAACGTCACGGCTGTCAAAAGTCATTCTTGTCTCCGTCTTCTTCCGACATTCTGGGCTCCTCCTGCCCCCTACCAAACCTCCGAGATCCATTCTAGAACCTCTTTAGCTCCAAAATACAATTCTTCCAAGACTTGGACCCCGCTCTCGGTTCTTTGTGTGTCCCTATGAGGTTTGATTCAGCACAAAAACCCACAGAAAACAGAAAAAAAGCCGTCCGAAAATCCGCCGATTTATTATCATTATTGCACAGATAAAGCATCTCCAGGTCCAGGTCAGCTGTCAAAGGAGTTTGACAACGTCGGGCAAGGAGTCAGCCATGAGTCAGGAGTTACAAATAGATCCAGGGTTAGGGCTAGTATTAGGGATTGGGCTAGGGCATTGATTGTGGGCATATATAGGCAAATATTCTCCCATTCTGTCCTTCTTCGATATTGCTCCCAGGTCGCCTTCTCTCTCTCGTAGCCGTTATATCTCCTCGTAATAATAATTCACAAAAGAAAAAATAAACCCAAAAAATAAACTCAAAGAATAAACTTTTTCGCTTACCAACATCTGTGCAGAAAGTTGTAATACTCAACACAATCACATCCCGTTTGGGAAGTGGTGGTGAACGGGCGGGCGGTTGGGGTGTGTGGTTTGGGCACGTGATCTGGTCATTACCCACGTGACGTCATTTATTTTAAATCACACGTGATGTGATCATAACCCACGTGTGGTCTTGCGCTCATCATTTCTCTATTTGCATACTTTTTATTGTTCTGTCAAATATTCCCACGCCAGAAACGCACCAAAGTGCCAAAAAACATGGACAGGGCTCTTGGTTCGCCTCTATACGTGTCAAGAAGGTCTGACGTGTGGAGATGGCGTATTCGGAACAGCAAAAAACCGGTGTCGATCCGCACTTTTCCGAGCTAGAGGGGGGTAGAGGGGGGGGTCTTGCACGTGATATGGGGGGGAGGGATGTTGGTCTGTTGGGTCTTTCACGTGATTCGAGGGGACAAACTGGTGTCTCTGGGAGTCTCTGTCTGAATGTCTCTCTACAGGACCCGCTCGTGATCTGATCTAGTTTAGATCCGATTGACGCTACTTTAGCGTGTGTTGAGTGTTCCAAGGACGTTGGTATGGACGGTGGGGGATGCAGAGAATGTTAGTAGACTTGGTGGGGATTGTGGGGTCATAGTAGTCTGAGTTGTCTCAGTTGTCTGAGTTGTCTGAGTAGTCCAAGTGATCTGAGTGGTCTGGTCTGTTTGGTCTGAGAGTCTGAGAGTCTGAGAGTGGTATGAAGCACCCAGCTTGCGCAAATGGAAACATATCGCTTGGCCAAGTATATGACTGGACTCTCCCTGTTTCAGGCTTTGCAACCGTATCTTGTATGTCTCATTTCAGAGTGAAATGCGACTTTCATGTTCCTCACTAGCACAAGCACTGTCTCACAGGATACTGTTTCATGTCTCATGCTTGTCGAGTGAAGCGGACGGGAATGGGGAGAGGGGAGGTGGGGTTTGGTTGGTAACGTGACTCCAACACAGATGTACATGGGTTTCACGTAACCCGACACCAGGTGCCCGTTATGTCAAAACGTGGTGGACTACTTTTTAGCGCAAGAGCAGCAGTTTTTTTTTTCATATTGACAAGGTCAAATTGATACTTTGACCTGAATGGAGTCTAAACTACCAATCTCCCGTCTCAGATGATCTGCTCCATGTGTCTGGAAAAAGAAATCCCATCCTGTAAGGGTATTTGTACGGACATGAAACCTGACAGGAACACAGCAGCACCAAGACAGTCTAAGACAGTCTAAGACAGCCTAAGACAGTCCAAGACGCCCTAAGACACGCCCCTTGCTGGCTCAGAGGTCGGTGGACATAAATGCATGGCTAAAATAAACGGTCTTCGGTCCGTTGGGTGTTTAGTAGCAATTTATCAATATCTAGTGTGGGATAGTTGGTATGTGGTTTTAGGATTGATAAGGAGAGCACAACTTGGCCTATCCAGACCATTCTTTGAGTTGGTTATCGCGATGGCATGAATCAATGAAGTTCATTTATACACTTGTTGTACCTGCTGTCACCGTTTTGGTCTCTATAGATCCGTTCCAGGTCCCTGAATCTACATTCAGGAGATTCAGGAACTTGTGGGTTCAATCAACTGCAAGACGATCCGAATCGACGATCCGAGTCGACAATCCACAAAGTCGAGTGTCCAGAAACATATCGAAACCGGCTTTGCACCAGAAACGTACCCCCAGGCCCCTGCGTGGGTCTCACCCAGACCCCGATCGTCAGTGGACTCTGAAAAGGGTTATGAGCGGGCAGGAATACACAAAAACAAACATTACTGGTGTCAAAAGGAGGAGAAAAGTGAGACAAGTTTCCCTGTCTAGAGTATTTTGTGCTACGGGGGGATTTGAAGGCAAGAGTGTGAACTGTGCGGTATAGATTAGAGCATGGTGGGACGGTTTAGCCGAGAGGAGGTTAGGTGTGTCTTGGAACAGTTTTAGGGGATGAATCGTGGTGCAGTGCTCAACTGTTGAAAAGATTGTGACATTCAGACGGCCCAAGAGTGGACTTTATGATCTTATCATTATTCTAACGACAGCTTTCCGACTCAGTGCTGAACATCTCACCAAGATAACAAAGTGCAACCATCGTGCAAAAAAACTGATAACAAAGTCGATTATCGTTCCAACAAAGCTCATATAATGATTCACCTTTCGAGAACGACCAAAAATGAAACTTCAAGAGGCTAGAACTGGACCGAATCTACAAGTAGCTCGTCATTCACTCGCTTAGACTAGCGCTTAACTACTCTCAACTAATGTGGAAGAACTAAATGCCAACTAAAGTCTATCAGTTTCAACAATTATCTCAAAAGTCAACAAAAGTCAACAACTCTTTCAACTAAAATAAGAAGGTATTCATACTATCATCGTCACGTCGTTTTGGGCTTGCCGGTGCACTTCCAGACATGGTCATCGTACTTGGAGCACGGAATCAGATATTTGCACTTGAGACAGAGGGTCAACGGGTCGGAGTCCATTGGATTTGGGCCGATGTGGTTCAGTGAGAAGCTGAAGCAGACTAGGCTGAGGCAGAGGTCTTATAGGCACAGATGTGGTCATGTGAATTGTCATAAAGATACCGCTCGTGACCCCAAAACATTTGGGGGTCTTGACACGTGTCTTTGGGTAGTGGGGGAAGACCCTCTCTCTAGTCAGTGGACAACGACAAGTCCAGATGTTGACGTTGCCAGAAGTTGAAACAACAACGGGAACAATACCATTGGATAGTTTCCGCCTAAAAGATTGCGACCGTTCAACACCCATGTCTCCGTCGGTTCTCAATGGTGGGTATGAGCGCTCTTTTTCATCGTGATGGTAGCTCTGCTTCCCTCTCAATAGCTCGAGATTTTGTATGGCACAAGAAGATGTAGAGTATACCAACGAAACAGGGCCTCGTCCGGCGGAATCAAACGCCCATTGATTCTAGGCACTCCTTTGAATCTCCATCGGTGGCTGTCAAACCTGGAGTGTGGAAGGGGACAGACGAAGAGGATCCCGGTGGTCTTTGGGGGCTTGAGGGAAGCAAATCAAAGTGAGATTGAGAGGCGGAGAGGACGATTCAGCAAAGAGGGCGATTCAGCGGAGAGGACGATTCAGCGGAGAGGACGATTCAGCGGAGAGGACGATTCAGTTAGCTGATTGCGGTGAGTTAGTCGAAGCCCGATCGTAAGAACACCTTGATAAGCCTGTTCCATGATGTCCTTTTAGGCCATAGTTCTGGCTGATTTGGTCGGATAAGGGCTCGTGGCGATTATTGAGGTGTGGAAAAGTAGTTCGGTTCTCCTGTTGAGGTAGACACTGACTCAACTGTAGTTCTTTAGTTGAATATTACTTGGTTTTAGTTGAATATTCACTCACTGGAGCTTTAGTAGAGACCTTCACTTAGCCTTAGTTCAGCATTTACTTAAGTTGTGTTGATCTCTCAGTTGGCCCGGAAGGACATCACAGGACGGAAAATGAGGCTCCGGAAATTAAATGACACCTGATGATATAGACAGTTACAATACAGACTTGTACATACAAGTAAAGTACAGTACAGTACGTATATTGTGAATCCGTGTCTCTTTCAACACCACCCAGAATCGAAACCCCGGTCAGCAAAGGTTGAAGTTTTTCCCCACTAAATCTGAACATTTCTAACTAATACTGAAGAAACCAAAGACCACCACATCTCTTTCAATATTAGTCAATATTAGTCAGACAAGAACATTAAAAGCCCCCCCATAAAACCCCCACACATCACGTGACTCACAAAGTACGAAAATTTCCCGCGTTAATCCCCAGCACACTACACTATGTACTCTAGATCAACCGCTTATCAACACACTGCCAAACTCAATATCCTCCATCTTTCATCAACACCTTGAAATGAGACGCTCAGCTCGAGTGCAGGCGCTGGAAACCATCAAACGGCGCAAATTGAGCAAACTGCAGGCAGAAGGAAGTCATGTGACCTCTCACAACACTCCAGATCACGTGACGCAGCACCCTTCGCCGCCCACGCCGGCTGACAATGCGACAACGGTGGTTGGTCAGAATGGACAGAGCGGCAGTAGCGACGGCAGCCACGCCCAGAGCACCCACGTGACCACCAGTGGGCCGAATGGACACGACCCTACTCCCGCTGGATCGAACGGACATCAAGTCACTACCAACCTCTCCGCCACCGACGCTCTACCGCCACAGCAGTTTCGAACCACTCGGGCCCAGGCCAAGCTACTGAGTCAGCAGAGAAACAACTTCAATGCGGTGCTTATTCCGCAGACGGATCTTAGACCTGTCAATTCTCACATGACTCCCAAGCTGGATCAGTTCAAGTTCAGTCAGAAAGCCAAAGTTCAGTCAGAGTCGGAGAATACAGTGAAGATTGAGGATGAGTTGGAGTCATATGACTTGTCACGTGACATCAAAGCTGAGGAGAAGTCTGCGTACTTTATCAAAACAGAACCTGTCATCCCTCCCCTCATATCTGACATTGAAGAATGCCACACTTTTGCAGCGCCACAAGAATTCAACGTGCAAGACAACCCCGAGGTGCTTAGTCAGCCAGGTCCACGGGGCTGGAGCACCATTTACGCCCGTGTCAAGAAAATGCGTGCTCTGGTCAACGCCCCTGTTGATACCATGGGTTGCGAGCGTCTTGTGCAAGATGGAGTGCCTGCCAAAGTACAACGGTTCCAGTTACTAATCTCACTCATGTTGTCCTCGCAGACCAAAGACGAGGTCACGTGCCAGGCCGTTTTGAACCTGCGCGAGTTTCTCAAGTCACGTGACCTGCTCTTGAGCGTGGACGGGATTCTGAGCATGTCTGTGGGTGAAATTGACGGTTGTATCAGCAAGGTGGGGTTCCACAACCGCAAAGCTGATTATATAAGCCGTGCTACCGCGTTGTTAGTCAAAGATTTCGGTGGAGATATCCCGCCCACCATCGCTGCTATGACGTCGTTACCTGGGGTGGGTCCCAAGATGGCTCATCTTTTGATGCACAGGGCCTGGGGTGTCAATGAGGGGATTGGGGTGGATGTGCATGTTCACCGACTTGCCAATATGTGGGGGTGGGTCAAGGGCAAGACTCCTGAGGAGTCTCGTGTTCAGTTGGAAAAGTGGTTGCCCCAGGAGCTGTGGGTCGATATCAATCCAACTCTTGTCGGTTTTGGACAGACGGTTTGTCCTAGCAAGGGCAAGAAGTGTGGGGTTTGTATTGTTGACAAGGGGTTGTGCAAGGCGAGACTTGTGAAGGGCCTGGAGTGGAAGGAGGAAAAGTGGATGAAGGAGGGTTATCGGAAGATGATGGTCGAATATGAGGGAGTTGAGCAATGAGAATGAGTTGGAGCTGCGCAGTCAGAATAACTAAGTAAAGTTGTCCAGTCGCCCCCATTCATTGTTTTTTAGATACCCTTTTCCACGGACTGTAATATAGATATTTATTGATGCCATGAGACGACAATGGTATCATTCAAGTTCATCTAACTCGGTTCGTGACTTGGATCAGCTAACGAGTGGTGATGGAAGATCAACTGACAAGTAGCGATGGAGTAGATTTGGGGTGTACCAGGTTGGTGAGTCCTGTGCTTTGTCGTCTGCTTGACAGGAGGATATCAGAAATCTTCTTGTTACAAGTCCAATAGAGACCTGAACTAATGGTAGAGATTTGACACAGTCACGTCTGGTTGATTTGACAGCCTCGTGTCATTGGTTTCACGCAAACAGGTTCACTCAAAGATGCACCGGGTCCTGTTCCCCTCTTGATCTACATATGGTGTTTTACCATTGGTCAAAAGGAAGAAGAGCTCATACACGACTCTATTAGTAGTACATACTTGTCTGTTCTTTTCTACTCAAATCACCAGCTTCGTTCTGGCCGTCCGGACCTGCCCTTTCCATGTGTTCAGACGGAGATTTGGGGATTAAATACACACCTGGATGGTGTTAGGAAGGAACTCTTGATCTGGAGAATCCAATGGCGAGTACCTTTCCCGACTAATGTCCAAACTGAGAGTTCTGAAGGACTAAACAACACCCATACCCAAGCCTTTGTAGATCACAAGAAAGCAGTAGACATCTTAGCTCACTGAGGTCATTTTGGACTGTTTCTATTGTTGAAGGGGGAAGGGGCTACGATAGCGAAGCTGCCCTAATAAAGCTGGGAAGTCCTATCCTTCCTACAGTACTCGAATTCCTGTGCTATTGTACAACACTCGAAGTTGTATGTTACAAATCGCCCCTAGAAACACCCACAGATTCTCCAAGACGCCAAAATCAAGAATGGAGCTAGTAACTCTCGCCACAGTTGTTCAATAACCTTCTCAAAATCTCCATTTCCGCCATCTCCACCGTCTCCACCATCTCCACTTTCTCCTTCAATCGGTTAAGCTCGGACTGCCTTATCAGACCGATAGGGTTTGAAAACCTGCATAGACGAGGTGGACAAACAGTCACTTAAATACAGCATTGCTGATCAGCTACAACGTTCAACATTGGTCGGCGTTATTAGATCACTGTCAGCTCTAATTTGCGACTTTCAGAATCCCTCTACGATCTCTGTAGCCCAACATAGCCCCATTCTCCCACTGTCACCCCGACTACTTTGTCAACTCTAAATACCCCCCCACCTCACAAACATCGCCTATTTTTAATCGTCTTTTTCGCCACAGATCCACTTAAACTCTTCTTCTTCACCGCCCAAAGACACTCGTTTCCAACACCGCGCACTCCGGAATGTTACTACAACTGCTCTCTTCCATCTTGCTCGCGGTTTTGACGTTCATCATTCTCGATTGGCTGTTTGAAATCGACACAGAAACCCCACACATCGCCGGGCTGCCAGCAAAGAGAGGATATCCGATCGTGGGAGCAGTCTTCCAGCTCGGCAAGTCCCATCCGCTCACCTACCGAAAATGGAGCGAGGAACTGGGCCCGGTATACCAGGTGCGGCTCGGCAACAAGAGAGTTGTGGTGGCCAACAGTTACGCATCGGTCCGCGAACTGTGGATCACAAACATGCGTGCCAACATCTCGCGACCTGAATCTTACACGTTCCACAAACTGCTCAGTAGCAAGGATGGCCCCACTATCGGCACAACCCCCTGGGGCGTTTCTGCTCGTCGCAAGAGACGCGCAGCCTCCACCGCCCTCAACAAACCAAGTGTCGCGGCATACACCCCAATCATCAATCTAGAGTCGTACAAGTGCATCCGACGGTTCCTGCGGGACTGTGGAGGCATTGAAGGGGAAGTCGACGTGTCTGTTGGGTTGGCCACCTACTCCCTCAACACTTCTCTGACCTTGAACTACGGCATCATGACAGCTGATTTCGATTCGACATATTTGGCCGAGGTAATGGACATTGAAGAGCGCATCCTCCGACTCAGATCCACCATGCACAACACCCAGGACTACATCCGGTACCTGCGAGTTTTCTCCCGAGGCTCCACTGTGGAAGCAGCAGAGTGCAGAGAACGACGGGCCCAATACATGACCAAGTTTCTCAAAAAGCTCAAACAAGAAATCGACGACGGAACAGACATGCCGTGCATTGCCGGCAATATTCTCAAGGATAAGGAGTCAAAGATCACCGACGCCGATCTCCGGTCAATTTGTCTAACCATGGTTTCTGCTGGCTTTGATACTGTTCCGGCTAATCTCATTTCCTGTTTCGGCCACCTGTCCCATTCCTACGGACAAACCATCCAGAAGCGAGCTCTTGAGGCCATTGACCGCGCCTATCCCGATGGAGACGCTTGGGAAATGTGTCTAATGGACGACTCAAAAGTGCATTACATTGTGGCTCTCTGTGAGGAGACGGTTAGATATGGAAGTGTGGTCCCCATGGCTCTGCCTCGACGCACCATCAATGACATCCATTACCAGGGCGCTGTTATTCCTGCCGGTACAATTCTCTTCATGAACGCGTTTGCAGCTAACTTTGACGCTACTCGGTTCCATGATCCGTTCAAGTTTGACCCAGAAAGATACCTTGATCTTGATGGACGGTTGAAGACGGAGCTGGGACCTGCCCATTTCGGTTTCGGAGCTGGCTCTCGAATGTGCTGTGGCATCCACCTGGCGCGAAAGGAGCTGTATGTCGCGCTGGTTCGCTTCATTCTCGCTTTCCGCATTTTGCCGCCAGTTGATCCCAAGGATATGATGGTCAATGATCCGGTGGAGATTTTTGCTCAACCCGAGAACATGACTACGAAACCCCCACCCTTCAAAGTGAGACTGCAGGTGAGAGATGCAGAGAAGCTGGATCGGTGGTTAAAAGAGACCAAGGAGGGGTTGGGGGAGACCTGGAGTGTTGGGCACGATTAAATTGAATGAATCCATGGGAAAATCCAACTCATGAGTAAAGTCGGTGTCATTTTTCATGGGGTTATTTTATTGATTTATCAGTTACGGACTCACTCCAGTCTTTATAACCTGCCCTGGTGCAGTATCAGGAATGTTACTTGTGGGTTTTATCACCCCGATAGAAACAGACGCCTAATGAATAATGTATATAGATCGATAGATGACGAGGTGTCATCCCTTGTCTTTGTGATTTTAACGTGCACTTGTACTCTTGTATTGAATTATGGAGCTGTCTCTTAACATTCTAGCAACAAATAATTCTCTTCAATGGTTAGCTTTTCCGTCGAAACCAACTACTCCAACTTGATCAGGGCCTCCTGTTTCACCTCAAGATCAAACACCTCCAGTTTAATAGCCACTCCTTTCTCCCTAGCTTTGTTTTTCTTTTTCTTTTCCTGCTTCAACATTGGCTGCCTAGCTTTCAGGTTTGCTGCTCTGCTCTGATTTGGTTTGACACACTGGCTCTGCTTAGCTTTCTTGTTAAGCTGTCTCTTGTATCTCTTGCCCCAGTTTCGAACAGTTCTGATAGAGTCCAGACCCTTCTCAGCTCTATCCAGCGCCCTTTGGGCCTCTGTCACTCGACTTTTGAATGACTCGATTCGGAGTTCTCTCATGGATTTTCCGATTCTGGCTCGCAGAGGGACTGGAGCTCGGTTCACTGCAGTATTTGAATGAGCAGCGTCGGAAACAGTCAGGTTTTTGGCAGGCATCATGGCAGCGGGAAACCTGGGCGGCTCAGATGATTTTTCATCTGCTAGTTTGAGTCTCTTTCTTTCACGCTCCTCTTCCTTGTTCAGCTCCTGGCAGAGATGACGTTGTCGCTTTCTAACCCAGGAGGTCACCCACACTTCTTTCCCCTGTTGTCGTTCCTCTTTCGCTCTCTTTTGGGCACGTGACTCGCAAAAGTTGGTGTCGACAATCTTCACCTCGGTCCACTTGGTGTGGGTAGCACGCTGGATCCTGGGTGGTATCACGATGGACTGAACTGGAGCATAAGTTTTTTCCTCGTACTGTAGCGCTGACTCAAAGAGATTATGGGGTAGTCGTGGAGAAGTGGAGGTCTGCTCAGAGTCATACCCATCTGATATATCATTGTCTGAATAAGAACCTAAGTCCGTAGTAACTGAAGAGTCACTCTCAGATAGGTCTCCCGGCTCAAGAGTTGCCTCTTCAGGCAAATCAGCGACAAGCTGCTTGAGTCGCTTCAACTTGTCAGTCAGATTGAGACACTCCCCATATTGTACCACACGTGTGTTGTTAGGAGTAAGCACTAGAACATGGGGAGTTCCACAACCATTAGAACTATCAAACGCCACCTCCAAGATAGCTCCAATCATTTCCTGTCTGTGAATGGACTCGAGTCTTCCCTGTTCAACCCCATAGACTGAAGTGCCGAGATTGTCAGTCATAATGAGACCCATAGTACCTCCAAAAGGTGATTCGGCGGTACAGAATGAAGACTGGGGGATGCTCTCGGTAGCGAGGAGTCTTCCAGAGTTCCCAGTCTTTGCAGAACCGGTTTCAAAGAAATCCTTGTGTCCTATCTGAGGTGCAGCATGGTGGATGTCAGATGCCAGGTCAGCAACACGTAGAAAGCCTCCCTGAGATCGCAGCACTCTCTGCAGCCACTCAATCTGCCGCTTTAACGGGGCTGACGTGTTTTCAACGTCACACACGGTGAATCGGCGTTTTTGTATCATGTCGTGAATACTTGGGTTGTAATTGGTGGTAGGAGTGAGTCTAAGTAGATTTTCAACTGGACCAAGTACTTATAGTTACCATGGAGTTGAAAAAAAAACCCACATGTATCTAAATAGATGAGTCACGTGACAACTATATGAGATTAATGGAGTTGGCCATACTTTTAACGGAGCTGGATAAACTGTCAAACTACCCTCGTTTTATATTTTCAACAGCTTCAAAGAATCTAGCAAATGTCAAGTAAATATCACTTTTCAGTTGACATTAACGGTCTCTTAGTTGGGAGTTTACTGAAAGTTTAGATGGTACTGTACTGTACTATAGTGAAAAAAAGAAAAAAATGTCAAACAAAAAAGTGAAAGAATATCAGCCGAAAAAATGTCAGACAAAAAATGTCAGACAAAAAATGTCAGACAAAAAATATCCGACAAAAAAGAATTCAGAAATGCGATTATGGTATCAAACTCGGTGAAAAACATATTGAAGGGCCTTTTACACTCTTTGATCCCGCCCTACTGTCGTCAGTGAGTTCTCATGATATGTTGAGGTAGCCTACGATACTGTAGCTAAGACTAGAGGCTAACAGTAGGTACAGTGCACATACTATACTACAGCTTTATGAGTGTATCAATGGGGCTAATCATCGCACCGATTATTAGCTGAAACTATTAAAGGGCCTCTTCGCACTCTTTGTACCACTATTCCCAGATTTTATCTTTCTATCTCTTCAATTGCGTGTTTTAAAGCAATTTGTATTTACTTATAGATTGTCAAATAACTCGAGACATTTACACTTGGAAGCAGAACGACAATGTTGGAATTACTTGGACAAATTACGGATTTTCCAAACATAAACCAAATTATTCTATACTCACCGGAATAAGAACCTATTTGCTCTTTTAATACTGCACTTTCCCACTAATTTCAAGCCCGCCGGTTTGTGTGGTTTTTATTTTTTTTTATTATTATTTTTATTATATATATATATATATTTTCCTCTGCCCTTTCCCCGCATCTCCTTTTAACTTCAACCTCCATTCGAGTGCAGTAACATCACCACTTACCCAACACTCACGTCTCTATCTGCCTCATACCGCCGATTGACATGGCGCCGCACTCTTACTCCGCTCTTCCCGGGTACTTTTGCCAGTCGGAAATATACAGCAGCCCTGATTTTTTCGATTGGAAGGACCCCAGGGCCCACTTTGGCCTCAAGCGATCGTGGTCCAGACTCCGAGAGGAGGTGCAGGAGCTCCAAAAGACGCACGGAGCAGAAAACGTCAAGGTTTTATTCCTCGCCCGCCACGGACAAGGCGTGCACAATCTCGTCATGGCTCAGTACGGCCGGGAATGGTGGGAAAAAGAGGGCATGAATGCCCAGTATTCAAACGGGGAATACACCTGGGGCCCAGACCCAGAACTGACCGAATTGGGTATTGAACAGGCCCGCGACGCCCATAAGGCGTGGAAGCAACAGCTGGAGAGCTTCGACCCGGTTCCGATGCCCCAGGCGTTCTACGTGTCACCCTTTTCTCGTGCCTGCGATACCCTCGCCATAACATGGGGCTTTGAAACAAAACATATCCAGCCCCGGGATGAGGAGAGATTGCACGTGATCTACAGAGTGGCGCAGGGCGTGGAATCACGTGTGCCGACGTCTGTTGATACCGGAGCTGGGTCTTCCGATGTCGTGATTCATCCGCTCCTGCGAGAAACAATTGGATTCAACACGTGCGACAAACTGCGACCTATAGAGTACACCTTGGATCGGTACCCGAACTACGCCCTCACTAAACACCACCCGGCTCCACCGTCTGGTGAAGACAGTGTTTGGACTGAGGAGCATCGAGAAACGAATGAGGAGATGCAGGAGCGGCTGACGGGGTTTTTGGAGAACCTGTTTGATACTGATCCCGCGACCTACGTGTCGATTACTTGTCATGCTGGGGTCATTAGGAACATGTTGGCGGTGTTGGGTCATCGAAAGTGGTTCTTGCAGACTGGCGGGATGGTTCCAGTGGTGGTACTTCGGGAGGAGATGTGAAGACGTGGTCAGAAACTTCGGACTTTATCTTCACTTGTCCCTGGCACTATAAACTGGCACTATTTTCTCACATTTCCGACCACCCGCTGGCTTTATTCTCTGGCACTATTTCTCTAACACTACATGGTCATATTACCCAAAATAGTCACTCGACTAACACTTCAGTTCCAACCAACTCATGGTTTTAGTCTGAATCAATTGCTAAATTACTCTCTTTGCCGATCTGACCCAGTTCCACCGTTGTGTGATATGAGGATTTCGAGTGCCGCACTTGGAACTTGGGGCGGAGTATAAGACTCATTATGTCATATTACCTTTGGAGAGGGATGAACCTGGTGGGTTTTTTGTGCACTAGAAACGTACATCAACTTTCTCTGGTCTCTGTAGCCGTCTGTAGATTAGTTCTGGGTGTGAGTCTACTGTGTGTACAAGAACCGAACTATACCAGACCGGACATTGTGACAGGGACAATTAAGAGAAGTATGATGGTCGGATGGTCTCTACAGGTACAAAATTGCCACTTTTAATTTGTTGATCTCTAACGTGACTTTCAATTCGATTGCGGTTTTCCCATTTCCCGAAATCCACAATTCCAAATCTGGGCTGGTACGATACTATACAGGCTACTTGTATTGATTGGGGAAAAGGATGAACGACGGACTCGGGTGTTTCTTTCTCCGTTTTCCGATTCCATCAAGGAAATGAGACTGGTTGGCGTGACCACGTGACCAGCTTGAATGTCTAGGCTATCTTCAAGGGCAGCTGTACTACAAGTACAGTATGTACTGTACCTACAATACAAGAACCACATGGGGTTAAAGGACACCAGATCTTAGGCTGTAATTACCGATACGTGATACAGAAAAGAATCTGGGGACATTCAATTGGAATAGTCCGATTTCAAGAAATTCAATTGTTCAGTCGATTGGTTTAGCGCATTGACCCCACTACGAGTCACAATGTGTCTCGTATTCACGATCGGCCTGAAAATTGAGACCCAGATGCATGTTTTGTGCGAATGTACAACCACCTCTGATGACGTGGATTGAGTGCTCTTCACCAGTCTCCAACACAGCCTCCCGCGAGTCGACTCCATTCGTCTAGTCTACAGAACACCAGGTTCATTCTGTCTATGTTGTGCAGTCCTGCTCCCCAACCAACTGCAGACTGGGTTATTTCTTTCGAGACTCTGCAGGTGCTCGAGAGATATCTGTATGGCGAGGTGCTCAACATGATCTATGACGACGCCGGCCTGTTTCTGAGCTTTGAAAACAACTACAACTGACCTGGCCTGTATCAATTGGCTGTAGATGGATACAAGCGCGGAATGACGGACATTGATCTGGCAGAAACTCTGGAAATGGGCACGAAATGTTCAGAAGGCTCACCTCAACCACTGCAAAACGCTGACACCAGAGGGATTGGAGTTTCACACAGCAGTGAGAGAGAAGAAAGGAGTGCAGCCCAGATGGAGGCGTTTATGGAGGACTCATTCAACGTGGGGTGTAATTTCGGTCCGAGGCTTGCTTTGTGATGGAGTACTAAGAAGGATAGAGTCTCATGTCGTTCCTGCCTCATACAGACTCTACTTGACTCCACTTGGGTAATTTTTTTATAGTTAGGTGACAAAAGACGTATGAACTAAACAGAGAGTAAATAGTTGAGAAATTAGTTAATAATTCTTACAACAACGGATAATTCCGCGGGAACAAAATGAGACATCAGACATTAAAAACAATAGAATAATGCATACTAAAAGTAATTATAATAGTTTGTAGTGCTTATACTTGTAGCCCTTCATCAATCCACGCGCTCGATGGACTTCTAATGATATCTCCACAAGAACTCCTTCGAGTCTACAAATGAGAAGGACATGAATTGATGAAAAGAGACCAAATCGAGTCGAGATTAATACCATTCAATAGCCAGAGATTAGATAATCACAACGGTGTGCTTTATTTCCCGAGCCGATGACTACACATTGAGTGTCGGAAGAACCAGTCCATGTGAACTGACGAATTGGAGTTCATTCATTTCCTTTCGAATATCTCACGACTCACGTGAACACCAGAGTGTCTCGATCATATAAATAAATTACTTATAAATAATGCGGTTCTACCTACTTGCTTGTAGGTAGCAACTTCCTCCAGTTCCTCATTCACATTCGAGTTCTCAAAGACCGTCGAATCATTAAGAGCTCCCTCCACAGACCACCCCGACCGGGCCCCTCGTCGAATTGGGACTCCTCCTCATCACGCCTTCTTTGCATTTCTCTTGGCCACCCACCGAGGTCCCCATCTATGCACAGCCATAGTGCAACCATTACTAAGCAGGCAGATGCCGCCAATGAGTGTGAAACAGCCTCCCTGTCCCAGGCTCTGAATCATCCGGTCCACCGCTGCAATCATTCCAGCGGCAATAATGCACCGCACAAAGTTGACACAACTCATAGCAGAAGCGGCCTTTTCAGGATAAATGTCGACCAAAAGAGTGGAGGCAAAGTTGAGATAGGAAATGGCGCCAAAAGAGACAAAAAAGGTGAAGACCAAGGGACACACGTATTGCACCTCGTACTCAATGGTCCATCCGTAGACAATGATTCCTACTGCCAGAATGGCCGACATGGGCAGGCAGAGAGTGAGTCTGGCTCCATGAATGTCGAATTTCGATTCGTCGAGTTCAAAGGTCGAGTCGTCGACCTCAGATTCGTCTTGCAATCCTCTCTTGACAACCTCCTCCTGTCTCCATTTGCCCAGACACTCCTGTCTATACTTTTCCAACTTTTTGCGATAGTAAAAGTTCATCATGATTCCGGATACAAAGGAGCCCACAATGGAGCCCATTCCGTTAGAAATGAAGCCCAGACCGATTTGCAGCGAATTGAAATGGTACACGTCGGCCAGAGACGAAGCCAGAGCTGTAGTCAACATGAACCAGGCAGCATAATGAAGAGACGCCGCAAACAGAATGAGTAAAACGTCTGGTTCTTTCAAAATGAGCAGAAAGGAGAGATACTGAGGCTTAGTCCGTGGCTGTAGTGTATCCATGTCTCCTCCTCCGTCTTTATGGATTCTTTTCCTCAATCGAGGAGACACTCTCATCCAGGGAGATCGATGGATCCAGTACTCGGGATAGATTGTGCCATTTCCCACAAACGATCGTCTCGTCTCAGACAGAAGCAAATAGACAGCCAGCAGAGTGCAGCTGCTGGCAATCACCAGAAACCAGAAAATGCTTCTCCATCCTAGCCCCTCGGTCAACCCTCCTCCAATCAGAGGTCCGAATCCGCCTCCTAGCAGCGCCCAGCCCTGAAAGATGCCCATAATCTTTCCGCGGTTGGTTCGGGTGGTGATATCACCAACTACCCCGGCTCCTAGACTCACAGTTGCAGCTATACCTGCGGCCTGAAGACATCGCAGAAACATCATGACTCCATAGGAGTTGACTAGAGCCAGGCCGACGCAGGCTCCAATGTAGACAATCAAGCAGCCAAAATAAACAGGCCGCCGTCCATATCCATCGGCAAGAGCTCCCCAAACCACAGGCCCTAGACCCTGAAACAAGTTGTATACAACCACCGTCAAGTTGATGAGCTCAGTACTGACATGCATCTTCTTTTCGAGAATGGGCATGGCAGGAAGATAGATTGGGCTTGAAAGCGACGAAAAGAAGGCCGCTGCACACGCCACGGAAATCAAAATGAATGTATCACTGCCGTCAAAGATGGTGTATGGCGGAGCCACTGTACTGTGATTACTTATGCTGTCCGGGTCGGGCGATTGGGATTTGGACGCGAGTTTGTGATGGCTGTAGTCCTCCTGAGGGTCGTGGTCACATGATTTGTCATATGACTTTCCATATGACTTTTCGGGTATCTCCTCCTCCTGCTTGTGGTTCTCCTCATCCACCATCTCCACCAGCGGGTCTTTGTCGAGCTGAAGACCGTCCTCCAGACCCTTTTCGAGATCCGAAAGATGATTCATGGTGCGTAAAATGTCGAAAAACGGGTGTTTTCTGAGCGGGCAAAATGGACCTACAGAAAATGGGATCCCCAAGATATTTATGTGGGGAGAACAGCGCGTTTGAAAACCTTGGAAATTGGCCAAAAATGACCCAATCAGGACGCGAGAAAACCCAATCTGCTTGGAACAACGAGACAGATCTAATGGTGCCTCCTGAAACCAATTTGAACCAACAAAACAGACCCCATATCGAGAACGTCAGATATCTCGGAAACTCAAAAAGTGACTATAAACCTTGGCGCGAACCTTGCGCAAACAAGGCAGAAAGATGAGGTCGTGTGGGACAAGAAAAAACACAATAACGGGCCGGACACGCGACCGGGGATTCACGTGATTTTTATTGTACATTGACAAGAGCACCAATATCACGTGACTGTCTTTTCCGGTCCCGATTTCTTCTCTCTCCAATGCCCTCCTCCACTCGCTCACTAATCATGTGGCTTTGGGTGGGCCAGAAACATTTTTTATCCTGCCCGATGATGCATAAAATACGCAACTTCGGGCCATATCGCGGGGGACTTTGGGGGCAGAAAAGGCGAGATAATAGGTAATTTTTGGTATCGTTGTGCTTGCCTATATCACGTGATCATTTTCCGACTTTCAGTTTCCCGATATCTCTACTCTAGCCCAACTTATATCGACCCCACAGTCAAATTAAATTACGGCATTGTCCGGAATTTTAGCGGCCGTATTCGCTCCCTTAAATAGCCGGTATCGGGCGGGGTAATGGGTTCGACGTACGGCGGGTCTCGGGCGGTCACGTGATGTATCATTACTCGTGCGGCCATCTATATTTTTGTGGAAAGGTGTGATTTGGGGTCCGCGAAAATTCTTGCTATTACTCATTACTCAGCCTCATACGGCAGGAGCGTGAGGCATACATGCTTTTTCAGGCTCCCACCGCAACTAAAAATGAAGGTGGAGTTTCGGAGTCCGAACGCCGAGTCGGAGCAGTGAAGATGGGGATGTAAAAGTGGCGGTGGAGGGATGGTGTAGATGAAAGGGGGGTATTGTGATGATCGCAATGATTATGCGAGTGTGCTGGAGTTTTCATAATTACGATTGGATGAATATTGAGGGAGTTGGAGAGGTTTTGTTTGGTGACTCTTTTTGGAGAGTTCGAAGAGGTAGGTTCATGGATCTGAAGATATTTACTGACAACTCGGTGAATATTGGAGCTAGAGAGTAGCTGAAAGTGGGAAAATGTAAGGCTCAATTGGGGGAGTCTAATGGTATTAATTAGAAATAATTTCGTGGGGTTATTATCGATCTGTAATTCCTTCAATTCCCCCCACCCCACCCGAAATTAAAGATCGTCACCTTGGCATGTAGAGATTAAGCACGTGTGATGATTGTGAGTTGGGGAGGTTGGTTGGAGGAGGTTGGGTGGAAGCGTCATGCGGTGGGATGACCAAGTTCGGTAGTGGCGAGGTGTTGCTCATAACCTGTAGCCCGACGATAACCCTGACTAATACGGAGTGTAAGTATAGGTGGAGAGGTAGGAGTCCAGCCGCTACCACTGCTTGTGGAAAGCAGACGGACGAATGAGAGTTTGATTTTTGGAATTGTTGAAATGTCAGCTTGCGGACGGTATAGATTTATCGTCATAGCTCGACTTGAGTCCGACGTTCAGCTAGCGTAATGTTCTTACTAACTTAACAAAGTAGAGCTGCGTTGTGAGAAACAGTCATGGAAAGAAATATTGCGAGACAAGTGTGTGAAATTTCAGTGTCAATGCAATAGTTTTGCAACAATAACTCCAAATGATTTCTTTCCATGATTGTTTCTCATATATTGACTCCCTTTTACATTGACTTCCTTTTTGGTGTTGATTGACTTCCTTTTACAGCAATTTTTCGTCTCTAGAAGAGTTCCTTGCTAACAATTTCTAACTAAATCCCAACTATCATATAACAAAGTCAGTTAGACACCAGAACAGTCACGAGAGATGGAACAGAGAGAGTGCTGCTTGGTAAACGGGCGCGCCTTCCAGAAACGACCTCAGTAGATGTACTGTACTGCACTGTACCCCCAGATTCCCTTCCACTAGGATGAATAACAGCTCTCGGATGTGGAACTCGAGGCTCTCAGAGAAGGATCTCTTAACAATCCACCAAACTAGCATCGCTGATTCTGCTATAAGTATACCGCACGAGAATGTACTACTCAGTGACGTACAAGTGCTGAAGTGAACTATATAGACCTGTCATTCTGATAAATCTAGCACAATGGTGTCTTTCATGTCTAACCTTTGCGTGACAACCGTCATCGATTTTTTTTTTTTTTTTTTCTGCATATACATTCATTTAATTATAACTTTGCTGTGAAAGAATAACCTTTGAAATGAATGTACGCTTACACGAATATTACTAATTAAACACGTTTAGTGTCATGGTCCAACTTGGCACGTACCTATTTCCAGTAAAAAAATCATAAAAAAACCTGGTTCAGTCCGTGTTGTATGTTGGTCCACATAGCTTCGCGTGTTTGTTCGTTCATCGGGAAAACGCCACTCCAGTCTCCAGTTCTCTAATCTCAATCCTTCCATTGCCCTCTTCGTTTGCATTGCCTTTGAAAACGTCTCCTTGTGGTTCTTCTTCGTCATTGGTTTGGTTCTGCGTCCCCTGTGGTGACTACGCGCCCTGCTACGCTGTTCTCTCGGTGGCCTCGGCCGCCTTTTACGCTTGCTACTGTGTCTACTCTCGCTCATCGTGAAGTGCTGGCGGTTGTCCATCGTAGAAACACATCTGGGCTTCCTTCAGGAATTGAAGCAGACCCTGTTGGACATGTCCCAGGGTGGCGTCGTCCCCTGAGTACCGGAGGGATCTCTCCATCTTCCAGATCCCATAAGCCAATTCCCGCAGATATTTGCGTGTCTTGACTTGTTGATGTTTCCGGGGGGCGTCACTGTTCACATGCCCTGTGAAAGAGGGGAGTACTCCACATTTCGACTCGGTAAAGATCCAGTCCTTTAGAGAGTCCACTGACGGAATCTTCATCTTGGTCAACATGGAAAGAAGAACTTCGCACTTGCAGAAGATATGCTCGTGCAGATCCTGAATGATGGCCTTATCACAGAGCCCGCATCCTGGATTCTTCTTGGTGAAAACGTGGTCGTCAGGGTATCTCCATTTCACGAGCGGAAGTCGAGATATCCGCATGAGGTGAAGAACTTGTGCTTTATTGGCGTCGGCGATGTAGTGTTTTCGAAGGTCATGCATTACCTCCTGCCAGATCATGTCGTCAGAAATGCCCCCGTAGTCGCTTCGTTGAGTCCACTTCTTCGGTCTTGCAAGTGTGTGTGGGAAGTTTGGCAAGTCGGGAGATGAGGTCTTGTGAAACATGAAGTTCTCTAGAGTAAGTGGTCCCATGCTCCACCGGAGGTGGTCGATTTCCGATCGATCTCTCAGGCCGAGAGTTGGCTCTTCTTTCAAGGTTCAACTAAATGTTCAACTAAAAATCACAACATGAACAGATCTAACCCAACTAAAGCACCCCGAATTATTGATCTACAATATCGTATCCCCTAAAACAATAATCCACACGCTAATATCGTGCCCACTGAACTGATCTATACTACGATAACCCCGCAATCCCCGTAATCTCTGGCAAGACGTCAATATGGCCATTCGGTAAAGTACTGGTTCAGGAAATCAACTATTTTAGTTTGAATCTTCAAAACACCACATCTCCTTCAATATTGTTTCTATCCAAAAGCAAAAAGTTCCATCACGTTTCAATTGTCGTGTTGTAGCTCCTGTAAAGATTCGAGCCAGATATACCCCAATCCAACTCTTCTGAAGACCCCCAAATACCAGACCCTGTCATGCAGCTCGGAGATGGGTAGGTTTAGCACGTGATCCCGAATACAAGACCAATGCAACCAGTTTCCACGATAAAACGAGCTCAATCTGGGCGCAAGGACTCTGGCGACGCTACTTGACTTACTTGAAACCCAACTAAACTCTTGAACCGTTTATTGGGACACCCACAGTCCCGTCCTTGTTTCAACAAGAATACCAACTATTACAGCCAAGCTAATAATTCTCAACTATTGAAATCACCAGCGAAAATCTCAGAGGAAACATATAAATTAGATTAAAACAATTATAATAACAGTAACAGCAAGTCATGACTCATTATGGCTGGAAGTATGGACCATTGTAGTGGTCATTCCACCAGACTCCTCCTCATCAGGCCTTCTCTCTGAAGGTCCATTCACACCCTGGGGTGCGAATGGCTTATTCGTCGGCGTCGTCGGCATCGTCCTCCGTCCGCACATACAAATACTTCATCAGATTCATCTCATCAGTCCATCGTCGGAACCGCTTGCCATAAATGTACAGCGGAATACCAAACAAACACAGAAAGATCTGGGCTCCTCCATATGCCAGAAAGACCGTCTTCTGACCCCGCGACTCCACAGCCATGGTGTTGAACAATGAAAAGACAAAACCAAGCACGTTCTTAGACACGTTGAGAGACACGAGCGCCTCGGACGCAAACATCTTGTACGAGTCCACGCAGTAGGTGATGGCTGTTGTCGAACCCAACGAGCAGCCAAAGCCCAAAAGACCGAGGAAAATACAAACCACGGCCCAGTGGTCACCATCGTGAGTGGCCCAGCCGTAGCCCATAAGGCCCATCGACGTGGTGATCATGACTGGCACAATCATCACAAGACGGAACTCGGGCTCATAGACGCCATTGTTGTGCCGGCACATGATTCGCACAAACATGTCGGAAATCTTTCCAGCCACCGCAGAGCCTAAACAGCCGCCAATGAAGGTCGAAACGTAAAGCAGACCAACAGAAGTGAGCGGGAAGTTGTACGGCTGAGACGAAAAGATGTGCGAAATCGTCTCGGACACGACAATCAACCACACGACCGACATGGAGTACACCAGTGTTGAAAACATCACCGGAGGATACAGATAGAGAACGTAGGGACGTAGGGAGATCATCCACAACTTGTCCTGGCTTTGTCGGCCAATGTATGGCTTCAGGGTCTGAATGTACGACTTCTTAGGCACGTCTTGAGACGCCACAGAAAAATGAGACGCGTACGAGAGGTTTCGGGAGATGTAGGAGGGTCGTCCAGGTGCACTAGTCGATGGTCCAAACCCAGGGAAATCGCCATCTCCTTCCTCCTGATCCTCCACAGCAAAAGAGGTATGCTTGGGGCCGTGGTGGTCATGTGGAGTGTCGTGATCGCGCAGAATTGAGTGCTTCTTTACCATAGGGGGTCGAGGTGGCGTAGAAGAGCCCAGAACGCCATCTTCGGGGATGGGCAGATCCACCTCGGGTTCGTCGGCGGGAGGAGCCGTTGATTCGTCAGCAAAGGAGACTTCCCGAGTGAGTGCGGGAGCGGTAGGGTTTGTTGCATCCTCCCGAGCCTCCTTGTCGGCTGCTTCTTTCTCAGCGTCCTTCTCCGCTGTCTCCTCCATCTCCCTCAACTCCTCATTGGCCTCCTGGACGTTGATTTCATCGAGGAAATCACGTCTCATACTCTGCCGCGAGTTCCAGCTCATGAGTGAGTTTGCTCTTGCCTCCTGTGCCATCATGGACTCCTCAAGGGACCGCTTGTTGGGGGTAGGTGCCCGAATGAACCATGTGTCGGGCACAAAGAAGAAAATGAGCACAAAGTCCATGCCCACAATGATGGCTAGGACCCAGAAGACCCAATTCCAGCCCTTGGCGGAGATGATGAACGCCGACACGAGAGGAACAATGTTCTTGCCGCCCAGCATGAGCAGTGTGTAGATGCCCAGTCGGTAGGCTCGTTCGTGCATAAAGTAAATCTCGGCGATGGACGAACTGGGCAGAGACTCGGTGGGGGATGCGCCGATACCCATGATGATTCGTGCACCAATCAATGAACCGAACGACTTTGCAGCACCACCCCAGATGGCGCCTCCAAAGAAGATGAGGCACGAAATGAGGTAGATCATGCGCTTGCCGTAGATGACGGCGGTGGGGGCCAGGATTGCCGATCCCACGGCCATGGCCAGCATGAACGCGCCAACGAGGTAGGAGAGCGTGTTGAGCGTCACGTCAAACTCCTTGGCCATGATGTTGAAGCCCGACGCGAGAATAGGGGTCTGGCCTCCGGAGATGAAGGAGTGGAAGCCGATAACGAGAAGAGCAATGTCACGGCGCCAGATGGGCCAGTTGAGGGGGTCGTTAGGGTCGTTTCGTGGCTGGGGAAACAGCACGATGCCTCCGGGGGTCTTCTTGAGATCCGACGAGTCGCTTTCGGACGACGCCTTTGCCCTGGCAACGGTGGCGGGATCAGTCACGACGCCCGAGGGGGTGGTGTCTGAGCTGTCCCCCTGGGTGGCGTTGGCGGCGTCTGCATCTTCACCTACCCCATCGCCGTCGTTACGGGTCATCAACTTGCTCTCCTTGTCTCTGTGACCCATCATCACGACCGTGCCTGTGACCTCGCCGCCGTAGTCCCGGGGCTGTAAGATTCCGAGTGATCCGAACATGTCACTGGGATGTTGTGGTTGTTGTGGTGGTGTTGGCTATGTGTACTTGTGTCACTGTCGTCGTATGGCAGTTGTCACTTCTTGAATGCCACGTCCTTGTGCCACGCCCTTGAATGTCACACGTTCTTGAAAGTCACGTCCTTGCACTGGGCGATACCGTACTGTACTTAAAGACACGGTGTCGACTGTCGCTGAAAATGACTGGCGATGAGAAAGATGGACGGACTGATGTAGAGGACACGTCAAAATTAGCCCTCGGTCTTGGCTCTATCAGTCTATGCGATATGCAGTGGAGGAGTGGAGTGGAGTGACGTGGTGAATGAATGATCAACTGAGGCTGAGGCGGAGAGTGTCGACTCGCGGGCAAAAGGAGAATGTCGAAGGTCTAAAAGTCGGGGCAAAAAATGTTCCACAGATCCGTTTGTGGAGATGCTGTCGACGTGGAGATACTGGTACTGGTACCGAAGAAGTATGGTACTCGCACAGTATTAATATTGCACTCCTCCTGCTGTATGCACACTCAGGGATAAGGTCATCTGCAATGTTATTTAGAGATTTTTGAGCGATAACTTTAGGAGAAAAACCTAGATCAGAACGGCTGAGCGAAAACACATAAAAGTCGACCGAAAATCGACCAAAAACGGGCGGAAAGTAGCCGGGGAAAGGTGGTCACGTGACAAACCAATCCTCCCTGAGTCCAATAATGTTCTTGGAATCGCAATCCGTCTACTAGAACTTCCTTTTCTGGTCTCCTCCATTCGCCCCCCCCCACTTGTATCCAAAAATAGAGCTAATTGCTATAGTATGTACACACATGCGGAAACAGCCAAGAACAACAACCAAGTCCAGGGGGGATAAATTATCAAGGGGGGAGACCACATGAACCAAACACGTGGTATGACGTATTTCGGACAGTATTGTAAGCGGAGGTATTGATTGTTGGTCACGTGATTCGGTGGGTATACGCTGAATCTCTCTCTACATGGTTGGTGGTGATGACGTCAGTCTGAATAGGGGTCCAGTTTGAGCTGAAGTGGGTCGTCGATTTTGATTTTCAAAGTCTTTCTAGAAACATCTTAATCCCGAGAGTATTTTGGCGCCATTATTTCCCCGATATCTCGCGTTCTGACCGCCTATGATTGACTCTTGTCACCCCTCCCACCCCCACCACGCCTTGTTATCATCATGACGTCACCCGTACGCACAAGGGTTCCCCGCAACGGTCTAAACAATGTCACGGAATCCAAATGCTAATACAAGAATGTGCGAGCATCTACGAGCATCTACGAGCATCGCACTGGATTGCACTTTGGGGCCATTGACGTCTCCAGCTCGTATCGCTTCTTTGGCGGTACATGTGTCGGCTTTTGACCCGGCGTTTGCTGCCAAGCCGGCCAAAAAGTAACGTGAAAGAAAAGGAAAAACGGTACGGTTCTTGAATCAAAGGAATGCAGGACTGAAACAGACGTGATGGAATGCGGGGTGAAGAAGTGAGTACATGTTGGAGTAGAGGCTGGTGTGTGGGTTGGACGTGTACAAGTAGGTACAGAACAGTGCTATAATTGCTGGACATACAGCACTCGTCTGTAGCCCATTTGTTCTAGTCTGGCGGCGTTAGCCAGTAGTCCCGCATGACGTACTCTGGATGTCGAACTGGAACCGTCAAGTCCGCAGTGTCGATAGTCGGAGCTATCTTTATACAATCTTGTACACGCCGTCCTAATACCCCTACTTGTAGATCTACCCTCCACTCTAGCTCTACTGTTATGAGCAATGTCTCATAGAAGACAGTCAGAGGACACACTTTTGATTACTGTCTCACAAGTTGGATTTCCATCATTGAGAAGATTGCAAGAGGCAAATATGGTCTCAATACCTACTATCTGCTGTCAATACCCACTGAGTGCACTTATAATCTCTGCAGAGGCTGTGAGACTTGTTATGAGGCGTCAGTAGAAGTGGAAAACTCTAGTTGGGAGAATTACTTGGTAATAGTTGAGTAAAAAAGTGTGCTGGGGGTCCTTATCAGTCGAACCAGACAAGCAAATACAAAACAGACTACATCAGTTGATTTGAAAGAAGTACTTTACCTATTAAAAACCCAGTTACAGAAATACTTACTGCTCTTCTGGTGTGATATATTCATTCTTTGGTTGCTTCTCAAGTAAATCCAGTTGAACTTATACTTAAGTTTGTCTAACCCACTAGTTATGGATGTCCGTTCTCTAATGCACTCATAACTCGCTCAATATCAGAACCAGCGAAAACCAAGAAGGTCTGAAAAGATTCAAAGAGTCAGGGGAACAATTTTGGTACCATTTTCGTCCATTTTCTTCTCGAGATTTTTGTTCCAAAGAAAGGTCTTGTCGTGAAAGAACTCACTAAAAGAGATTTAGATCCATCCCTTGGCTGGTCCGGTGATGTGGGGAAGGGTTAAACTGGACTGGCCGGTTAGTCTGAGAGGTGGGACTGAGGAGATTGGTCCGAGGGGTTTTGCAGAGACTGGTGGCAGTCCTGTTTCTTTGCATCATCTACGAACGCTTCATATTACAGTCTGTATATTGGGTACATCAAACTCGATACTATTTACTCCTCCTCCTTGACTTTCTCCTCCGCCTTGACTTTCTCTTCATCTTCTGCCTTCACCTCCCCATTCTCTTCCCTATCCTTGACATTCTCAATGGCCTTGAAACCTTCAACCAGGTCCACGGCCGACAGCTTCTGAGCCAGAGGAGCGACGAGCGAAATGGCCCGATCGACAGCCACCTGGACTCTCTGAACAAGAGGAGGAGGTGAGCCGGTCACAGACAAATCAGAGAAGGAAATCGTGGCTTCCATGGCGTCGATCTTGATGTTGGCCGACTTGCCATCCTCAGAAACAATGTACGAGTCTCCAAACTGAGCTTTCAGAATCGAAGACAGCTGCAGAACTCGTTCGTCGAGAGAGGAGTTTGAGTGGCCGTCTTCATGGCCATGAGAATGGGCACATTGCTTGGAAGACATCTTCACCGACGCTCTGGAGTTGTCCACTGTCAGCAAAATGGCCAGAACAGCGTCGGCAATGGAGTCGTTGAGACAGGAACCCACCCATTCAATGGTGCAACTTGTGGGAGTGTGTTTCACTGTGACCGAGTTCATCACGACGAATGTGGTTCCCGCAGAAGTGTCGGAATCACCCTCAACCTCTTGTTTGAACTCCTCCGCAACCTCCTCCTCCTTCTTGACCTCCTCCGCGGTCTCATCCTTGACTTCACCCTCCATGGTCACATCTTCTACCTCCTGTTTCACCTCCTTGTCCTCCTCCTCCTCAGCCACGTCGTCCTCCATCTCCTCAATCTTAACGTTCTCCGTCTCTCTCATTTCCACGTATCCAAACATCTGTTCGAGATGGTACTTGACCAGATCCACTCCTGCGTTGACCGTCACAGTCTGTCGCTCCAGAACGGAAGAGGTTGACAGTCCAACGTGTTCTCTCAGGTCAGCAACGCCCATGAGTCCGTAATTGAAGTCTTTCTGCACAACCACTCCAGAAATTATTTGACCAACATGCGGCTTTTCCTCGGCCATTTTGCCAACCGTCTTGGCCACCTTCACGCCCTTGAACGCGAGCTCGACTTCTTCGCAATTTCGAGGATTGTAAATGGTCTTCTCTCTAGGACTGTTCTTCAGGCCTCGATACTTGGCCAAAAGAGCAGCCTTGAGACGCTGCATGTTGTTGAGCTCACCGTGGACCAGAATGATGTTTTTGGAATCCACGAGATCGATGAACTCAGAGTTTTGCTGGAAATCCACGTGGGCAGCAAACGAGAGCTCCTCCACCGCCAAACGTCGCGGAACCTTCAGGTCCGGATTCTGAGCTGAGGGGATCTCATTAGGCTCGTTGATAATCTGTTTCGCCATAGTTCCTTCAACCGAGTAACCCGTCAAAATGAGCGTGTTTTTCGGGTCAGGTGCCCATCTCTCCAACAGAGACCTCGAAACACCGCTCTGCAACATTCCAGGAGACGCCACCATCACACAGGGACCCATGTCGTCGAAACGGTCCAAATTCTTTATGTTTTTGATATACTTGAACCGGAACGGGTTTGTTTTCTGGTCTCGGAAACGTCTTCTGATGTTGTCGTTCATCATGTTGATGTAAGTCTGGTAAACAGCGATACACTTTTTGGCCAGAGCAGAGGCGTAGTAGATGGAGAACTCCTGGAGGTCAGGGTGGGCTTCCCAGTACTCATCGAGAATGAGAAGAATCTCCTGGGCTCGTCCAAGAGCAAATACTGGTAACAAACACTTTCCGCCCTTGTCTAGTGTGCTGTGAATCAGTCCCGTCAGTCTCTGCTCACGTTCTAGACGCGGCAAGTGAGTTCCGGTGCCGTATGTGCTTTCACAAATGAGAATGTCTGGTTTCATGGGCGGCACCTCGGCCTGGTTCAAGTGACGGTCCTCTTCTCGAGAGTAATCGCCGGTGAACAGCACCTTGACGCCACCGACTTCTATCGTGTACATGGCTGCTCCGAGCACGTGACCGGCATGGTACGCTGTGAACTTGACTCCGTTAACCTCCATGGTGGAGTGGTAGTCGATGGTTTCAATTTTGTTGAACGAGGCGGTGAGGTCGGCCTCCGAGTAGAGATCTGGGTCCGATTCGGCTCCAGAGGTGACTCGCACAAAATCGGACAAGAGCCATCTGTAAATACCCTTGGTGGGATGGGTCATGAATACCCGGCCCTTGAAGTTGGTCTTCTGCATCACATAAGGGAGAGAAGCAGCGTGGTCCAGGTGGAAATGTGAAATGAGAAGAATGTCAATGGTTGAGAGATCGAACTCGTCGTAGAAAGGCAGGGAGGCGAGGCCGGAATGGGCAGGATGCACGCCGGCATCGAGCATGATAGTCTTGCCTTTGAACGAGATGACGTGACATGATCGGCCAACTTCTCGGCCACCTCCGAGCGCCACGAATGAAAATGTGTCGGAGTCGTCGGTCTGGGTTAGCGGGAACTGAAAAGAGGAGCCGTGAGTCTGGCCCTGACAAATATTTGATATATCGTAGACAAATGAGATCCCAAAGAGCCGTAGTCGGATTCAGCACTGGCAATTCAGTCAGTACCAACAGAAGAAATCTTGAGCGATCAATAACTTGACAGTGGCTACTGCAGATTTGGTGGTCGCCTGTGGATTGCTGTAGGCAGAACGTCTAGTCTGACATGCTGACAATTATCGACAAGATGTAGGGGATTTTTAGGCGACTTGACAATGACAATAACGCAGAAGTGGTGAATTGGGCGGTCAGCATGGAAGAGTACTAGACACACCCTCATACGGGGGAGCAACCGCTGGGAGATGGGTCAGTCTAACAGAGAAGAAAACGCCGCAGTATTGTGAACAGAGAGCACGGAACTGCTTTTCACGAGTGTAGGGGGGATCGTGGCTATTCAAGTGACACAGACTGAATGGTACAAACAACCAAGAACCATAAAATCGCCACACAAACAGCCTCGGCGTCTCAGTACATGAGCTGACCTTTCTGAGCACGAGGTCTGCCCACGAGTAGAAAGTGGCCCGCGAGTAGCAAGTGACTCACAAGTAGAAAGTTGCCCACGAGTAGAAAGTGACCCACGAGTAGAAAGTGACCCACTCTGAAGCACATGATCTGCCCACTCCACCGCGCCATCCTCCACCTGCTATCGTCTACACCTGGACGGTACTGCACGTTAAGTCACCATACCTCCGTCCCCATGAGACAGGCTGTAGTCAGTGTCAGACTGCAGATCACATGATTGGTCACGTGACCTGGTCCCCTGCCGCTCTCTCTCTCTCTCTCTCTCTCTCTCTCTCTCTCTCTCTCTCTCTCTCTCTCTCTCTCTCTCTCTCTCTCTCTCTCTCTCTCTCTGCCAGTCCATCCATCCATTCATCGCTAGTCATCCACTCAAGTCTACGGCGGCGGCCTGTACCGCCATTTCCTCCGTCCGTGGTCATATCTCTCTGCGAATTGTCGCATTTCGTCGCGCTGGGCTCCACGTGGTTGGCTCCAACCGTCCAACCATCACGTGACTTCAAATACTCACCTGCGATTCGCGTTTTTCAGCCATGATCCGAGTTTCAACTGGTTGTTCTGTTTGGTGGTTACACACTGTTTTCGAAATGTTCACAACTTAATGTAGTCTCGCAGATGAACTTTATTTGGCTGGAGGAGACAGGACAGATGGGGGCCCAAAAGGGATTATAGAGATTTTTCAGAGATGGGGAATTGTCTGTGGGTTTATTATAGCCCTGTTTTGATCTGTTTTATGTTTTTCGGTTTCTTATTTGGTCAACTTCCAACAGTTAATGTTTTATAGCTATATCTCTGCCAATAATAAACATAATAGTCCCCTAATTGCACCATTGTCTTCTTGAGATTCCCAGGAGTAATTTGATACCAAAATTGTTTATGAAGAATTTCAATCACCAACATTTAGATCCCTCATTCATCTGAACTCAGCACGAAATAGATCGACCCGACGCAACGCAACATCACCATAATTAAAAACTTGGGCAAGGTAATTTCCGAGCCGCACGGCTAGGGGTGGTGTTTCGAACTCGCTGAAAAAAGGACCAATATGAACGACTTTAGAATCAGCGTGTACTCCAGGGCCGCTGAATCTTTTCAGTCCAAAAAACCCACCTGTTGTGATAATAAATTCTCCATTTCTGGACACCCCAACATGTTTGACGGAGGACATTCGCCGTTATAAGATGATATACGTGATTTATCACATTGATGGCTCGCTCCACAACACTCTACAGTACCCATCCAATCCAAATAATTCAACTATACACAATATTAATGCTCTGTGAGTTCCTCTTCACAGATTTCTCTAGCAGGGAGGAAACAAAAGACTGTCTCACACAGTGGGGCACATTGCCCAAAGACAGCGCTGCGCTCCTCGTGCTAGCTCACCAAGACTCGTTACTCGTCTTGGCCGTCTAGGCTCTTTGCTTAGATGCCGAGACCCATACTTCTCGCCATGGCCTTCATCTGAGGATTGTTCTGTACCATGTTCATCATCTGGCCCATGTCAGGCATTCCTCCAGGGAACATGCCCTGCAGAGCACTCATGTCAGGCATACCACCTCCCATACCGGGCATTCCACCCATTCCGGGCATACCGCCCATTCCAGGCATTCCTCCCATGCCGGGCATTCCTCCGGCTCCTCCGCCCATCATCTGCTGGGCCCGTCTTTGAGCTGCAGCCATCTGGGCAGGGTTGTTCTGGGCGTTCTGCATTCGTGACATCATGCCGTTCTTGCCGCCCATTCGCGACGCCATGGAGGCCATCATCTTCTGCTGCTGAAGCACCTCCTCGACTTCCCGGATGGAGGTTCCCGAGCCCCGGGCAACTCGTGTGATACGAGAAGGCACCTCCTTGAAAATGGATCCATCCGAATCCAGCTCCTTCTGGTTCATAGAGTCGAGAATGTAGATCATTCGCTTGATTCGACGGGTACCCTCTTCGTCGGAAATGGAAGACGCCATGCCCGAGAGTCCCGGAATCATGCCAGCAATGGAGGACAACGATCCCATCTTGAGCATGTTGCCCATCTGGTCTCTGAGATCCGCCAGTGTGAAAATACCCTCCTGAATGTGCTCCATGGTTTTCTTCTGGTCGAGATTCAGACTCTGCATCGTCTCCATGAGACCTTGGAGGTCGCCGATACCGAGCAGCTTGGAAATGAACTGCTTGGGCGAAAACGCCTCGAGATCGTGAATGTGCTCTCCGGTACCAATGAAAATGATGGGGGTGTTTGTGGCTGCCACCGCAGAAATAGCTCCTCCACCCTTGGCGTGTCCGTCCATCTTGGTGAGGATGATGGAACCAAAGTCGGAGGCGTCCTTGAAGGCACGTGACTGGGGCTCGGCGGCCTGGCCAATGGAGGCGTCGAGCACCATGATTGTCGAGTCCGGTTTCACAGCAGCGCCAATATCCACCATTTCCGTAAACAGTTCGCTTTCCTGTCGATGTCGTCCGGAGGTGTCGACGATGATGATTTCAAACTTCTCCTTCTTGAACTTGGCTACTCCCTCGGCTGCCACCGCCACGGGGTCTGTTTCTGTGTACGAGCCAAAGAAGGGGATCTTGGCCTTGGTGGCGTTCTGTTTGAGCTGGTCAAACGCTCCAGCTCGGAAGGTATCGGCACACACCAATCCCACCTTGAAGCCTCGCCGCTGGTAGTAGACAGCCAGCTTGGTACATGACGTGGTCTTTCCGGATCCCTGCAGACCCACAAACATGACCACATTGGACTTGCCCTTCTGCGGCTTGAACTTGGCGGCAGAAGCAGCGCTCTCGTCCACCCCAACCAGATTGACCAGCTCGTCAAACAACGCCTTTTGGATCACCTTCTTCTTGGAGGCACCGTTGGGCGTCGCCTTAACACTGTTCTTGACCTTTTGTCGAAGCTGTGAAACCAGCTTGATGTTCACATCGGACTCTAGAAGAGCCGAACATACCTCCTTGAGCATCGCATCCAGCGCCTCGTCAATATCGCCGCCCTTCGACAGGTTGGCAAACGCGCCGTTGATTCGTTTTCCGAGGTCTTCAAGAACCATCTTTAACGACTTGTACTTGTTCTGATCGTGACCACTGTAGTAGTGACGTAGATGCAGTAGGCGGGTCTGGGTGATCCGGTAGGGTAACTCGATAGAGTTTGACATAACCGATAACGTGAGATGTTGGTATATGGGGTCGACCCGTTGTTGGGAGATCACGTGATCCTCGAGGGGGTTTACGGGTGATATGTTTTTTGGCCGGTATTTTTTTTGTTTTTACCGGTATTTTGTGTTTTTTACCGGTATTTTGTGTTTTTTATCGGAATTTTCCATTTTTCAGATTTTTCCATTTTAAATTTCACCTCATATTCAACGCGCGTTTTATCACACTGTGACGGATTTTGTCACGTAGAAATGCATTTTATTTACACCATTTAATTCCCCAACTTTCGCTCTATCCAATGGTATACATATCTCAGCTGTCTCGGATATATAGCATCTTCTGAAGACCCTCCCCAGGTTCTCCTCTACTTGTAGTTGAAGTCGTCGCAATGGCAACTACTTACATGGGACGATGAGAACACCCACAGACAGGCTGGATTCAGATGATTTTGCAAGCAGTGCGGACTTTTGACCATGCCTCCAGAAGTCTCCAAGTTCACGGAGACCGAAACAGATTCTGTCAAGGAGGCCGTCCTGGAAGGAGAGGCATGTGCACATATTGTTGAAAATGATTCATGTACCGAGACGAAGAGCGAGGCTTATGCGCATATATTGTTGAAAACAACCCAGGGAGCGAGACAGAAGGTCCTTTCCTACGATCAGATCACTTCGGTCTGGGTTCAGAGTGGCTTTCCAGCCTGATTATGGGCGGGTGCTAAAGCTGACCAAAGAGAGAGAATTCAAGGCAAAGAAGAACGTGTGGATGGTGGTAAGATGATGACCTCGATTGCGAGCGTACAAACAGGACTTTACGCGGGGTTGTATGTCATGTTACTTCTTGACCCAGAGCTCCGCGATCTTGTTCCCAATTCCTATATAGCCGGACTCCAGTCGACTGATTGTAGTGGAGTGAGTGATACTGGGCAAATAGTTGAAATATAATCTTGATGAGACATGTTCATATTGGGGGTTATGTGATTCTTTTTGTTGCTATAGCTATATTAGATGGTGTTCTTGATGCTACTCACGTAGTACATACTACACCGTACGATTACTTGACATTAATTGTACTGAACTGAACTGAACTAATCAGAAAACTCGCTAAAGAACTTCGATTTGTCGTTCATCAAAAAGAACACTTGTGTTTCAGCGTAACTAGAGGACCAATATCTACCATTGAGGCGTCTACAGTAGAATTTCTCTCATGAGGTTGTCTGGATGTGGTGATAGAAGGGATATTGATCTAGAAGGCCTAACTCCGATCCTAGAAGAAAGTGAAACGTAGACAGTTGTGATTGGTATACCATCCACTTTGAAATGGTGCCAATGGTGTCTCTTACTGTCTTATGACAAACCTAGAGCGATTCTCTATCAATCAATCCTGTTTTTTCTACCTGTTTTCATACAAATATGTCACATATTCACGATAGTTGCTGTTGTCCTGTCCATGGTTTAAAACCTGTTGTTTTTTTTCTGCATATAAGTAAAGTTCAAACTGTGGTCTGCCACCCTTTGGCCATGGAAGCGTGAATTTATGGTGATTCCGGGACACCAAAGGCTAGATAGTTCATATTACTTCAAAATGTGAGATTTAGTATTGGTTTTGTACAATTTTCTTTCCGCTAGGAGCTCTAGATCCCAAGATATTATCCCCTAGGTTGATAATCTCCTTAACTAATTCCCAACTAAGTTCAAACTGCTCTACTAGAAAACGAAAAGTTAGCATTTCCTCAGGTTATTCCAGTTGGACTATCGTCCTTTCATTCTAGATATCCGAATCATGGGGCCAACCAATACCCACTCGATCTTCGAGATTCTGTCAGGATCCCAATTCGAACTCTCCGGTTCTAGATTGATAAAGGGTTGATACTAGTTCAGTTCAGCTCGCAAAAGAACTCAGCCAATTCGTCCGATTGAGTAACAAGATCCTCCTCCACCATCTCTGTGCCGTAGAAAAGCCATCTTGGAAAAGTAATTGTCAACTTGATGGTGTTTTGATATCTTCTTTGCCCATTGTTCAAGACTCATATCGACATCAAGTATCGTAACTGTAGAACTCACAAGTACAGTACAGTATGTACTGATGCTGAAATGGAGATGAGTTCCACAAGACCCTTGAAATTCCTAGAACGTTGCTGATCCGTCACTAGTGGCTCACACAATTGGAAGTTGACGCCGTTTCAGACACTTTATGTCTTCGAAACTGGATATCTCAGTCCACGGCTTCTTGCTGGCCACGAAAACCAACACACATTTCTTCTAACAAGACAAATCGCCCCCAGGCTAGATTCACGGGTTTCTCTTTTGCGCTCTTCCTCTTCACAGCATCTTCAGGCTGCTGAAATTGGCTTCTTATGGGGTACTCACTTGACGTAGTTCAACAAACGTTTCCGGGTCGACCAGAGAGTAGAGATAAGTCTGGATTTCAGAGAGCAAAAAAGGTAGTCCGTTGGGTCTCTTTTTATCACAAGAGCTAGTCCCTCTCGATGCTCCTGATCCCTAAACTAACCTGGAGGCTTCACATTGTCTCTCCTAAAACCCATATCACCCCTTGGTCCAACTCTTCAGCCAACCCGACAGCTCTTTCATCACCTCCTGAAGCTCAAATTGCAACTCTTATCCAGCCCCCATCCCACCTCCAATCTCACCGAAAAATTCTCCAGATCAGTGAGATTTTTATCTACCCCTTGTCAACGTATTCATCCTCTGAGCACCCCAACTCCTGCACTGTCCTCCATTAACCCACAATTTCAAAGTCCTCATACAGCTATCCCTGCTGAGATCTAAGTGTTCTTCAAAACCAGCTCAAAGAGATCTCAACTGTTGCAGCAGAATAACAGTTTCGCCACCGATTTGGTACCAATTTCCATCCGATTTTTCGCCCTCGTTGATGTTTGGAGTCTAGAACTGTGTGGGACTCCAGAAGACATAAAGGAACAGTGTCACGATACCAATTGTTTCCCGAATAAGCTGGTAGACGGAGAAAATAAACGTTGTTAGACGTCTTACCAACTTTTATGGACTATAAATAATGTCCATCAGCTCTCCGATCTCCTAGGAAAGTCCCACTACTCTCGTTTATCATCTACCTCCACATTATCAAGGTTCGCTCTATGTCACCGCTTAGCAATTTTAGGATGCATCAATTGCGGCCAATATTTCACAGATTTGGCTGAAAATCGAAAAGTAGCTATTAGTTCATCTTTATGGCCGATTTCTCGCTCCTCAAGGACAAATTTATCAAAATTCCCCTTCCACGGCGAAATCAAAATCCCCCGGTTTGGCGTGGCAAATAAAGTTTAGACATGCACATAGCTGCATAGATACACCTTCCCACTCCACATCATCATCACCACAACATGGACTTGGTACCAGGCAAACTGCGCTACCTGTGCATCTACAACCCGACTCTGGGGACCACGCAAAAGGAGTTACACAAACAGATCCTTTACTACCACTCGGAAGATGGTCCCGTGTCTGTGAACGAGCAGCTGCGGGAGATAGGTCTGGCGCAGGGCATGGTGGAGTTCAGCAAGGAGCTGAGTGGCGGCGAGAGATTGACGCACGTGACCTCAAAAAAGACGAGGACCTTGGTGGTCAATCTGGAGGGCGACATCTGGGCCGCTCTTTGTGTCCATCTGCCTGTGGAGGTCAGGAATGGGGTCGTTGGGGAGTACACCATGAAGGGGTTGAGTGGAGTTGATGTGATGATTGGAGAGTTGAGACAGTGCTGGGGGAGATGGAGGTTATTTAACGAACATGATGAACGTGACGTGAGTTACACGAGTCACGTGAGTGGCTTGAAGATTGATCTGAATACAGATCAAAGGGCTTCCAATAGCACAGGGTCTCTCGTTGCGACGAAACCCAAGAGCAGCTTATGCAACGAGGTAGTTCCTGACGAGTCACGTGATGGTGAGGAGACTAGTGACAATGTCAACAGCCAGTCACATGATCACAGCGATGCTGACCAGGAAGGTACCACAGATCACGACAAACCTGAGCCAGGAGACACCTCGACAGTGGTCCAGACCAATGGGTCGCGTGAACAGTCGCGTTATGTGCCGGAAGGTGCTACCAATGTTGGTGTTGGTGCAAGCGAAACAATTGAACCGGAGAGTTCCAGGTCTGATGGAAAGGCACATGATAGTTCACGTGATGAGGAAAATGGCAAATCTGATACAGTTGTTGACAATGGCAAAAAGTCACATGACCTGTCTGCATCTCAAATAACCCAGGGATCGACCACATCAGACTCGCTACGTTCGTCGGATGCTCTCTCCTCCTTTTTCAATGCCTTTTCCTCCTGCTGGAACCCCAATCTCCACTCCCGAGGCATCCTGGACTCCATTCCATACACGGAAATCGACCGGATCAAACTTTCCGAAGACACTACTCAAGTGATTGAGGCTGTTCTTTCCAAAGACCCCAACCTGGTTCACTGCAGCATCGCCCGAAGCGAGTCACGTGACCTTGGTAATCGCACGCAGGGCCACTCCAAAATTGTCTATTCCTCGTCACCCTGTTTCCCGCTATCTTTTTGGCTTCTGGAATGTTGCGACATTGGCGACGAAATGGCGTTTGCAGAGGAATCCGGGTTTGTGAGTCATGTGAGCATCCGCAAGTCACGTGCCCAACTCGCAGACTACGCCTCCGAGAACCCCAGTCCTAGTCCTACTTATATTAGTAAGCTAGGCACCTTGACTCAAAGCACAGTCTCCACTTTGACATCGTGGAACCCCTGGAAGCAGCATTACCCCAACTCGGAAGAAGCAATTGCTCCAGAAGACGATGTAGAAGATGGCAAGTTTGTGGTCAAGGGTAGAGTTGCGTGCACCAAGGAGTATGGTGTTTCCTACCTAGTCGTCTACCAGAGGGCCCCCTTAACTTTTGCCTTACTCTACAAAGACACTACAGACATTGTCTATCCCAATCTCAATCTCAAGCTCGCCTCTTTGGTGGAGCCTGTGGTTCGGGACATTGAGCGTGGTTCTGGAAACCCGCATTACCCTAAACTGCTCGCCTCTCCGGACCCCTTTTACTACATTGTGGTCGACTCTAAACAAAAGACGCTGACCACGAATCTTCGTCACGTGCCGTTCGACACGGAGGTGGTCAATTTTGTGAATCCCAACCCAGACCCTCACAATTCGGAGGTTGCGCATGTACATGCCCAATTTGGACGGTTGATGAGTCAGCAGGAGGCATTTCTGGGCCACGAGAAGCTGGCCAGGTCTAATCAGAACTGGTGGTTCTATTGGACCCGGTTGCCGGACCAACGGCAGATATATATGGCTAGAAAGTGGCTGAAAAGCAAGCCTTCTGCTGATGGTCATAGTGTGGTAAATGCGATGGGAAAGAGTGCAAAATTGTGGTTGGATGGGTATGTCAAAACTGGATTGACGTAGTGTGTCTTTGGGACCACTTGTTCACTAAATCAGTTCCACTCGACAACCTGTACTGCGCTAATGGTCCATGTATGATATTCAAACTAATGCATCAACGAACGGTTGGGTGGTCACATGAACTCATGTGACTTTCTGCTAACTCCAATGATATTACAAACAATGCATAGACTCCTAAAAGTCTCAGGAATCGTCATTGACTCTAGTTTCATTGTGCCATGACCACTAGCTCCAGTCACTTGCATGTTGGGATCACGTCAACTGCATGACTGTTGACTTCTGGTTCGCACTGGTGGTCTGCTAATTCTAGCATGTTGAGTCGCCGCCTCAGGGACTTAGTTGGGCGCTGAGGGTGCTATTACCGTGATTTGAAAGCTTGTATATCATTCAACCGTGTATGGTCTTACCATTAAAGAGATATTATCAAACTATACATCTCCACCTATAGATCTGGACGTCATAGACGGTAGTTTGTGTCTGGGATCACAGCTGGAGGAACTGACGAAGCTGGAATTATAGCTTTATCTTCAGTTTCTTTTCCTATAAATTATCCTTCCATTCTTTTATAATCACATCACTCTATGGCACATTTCATCTTCTACAGTTGTGACTGTACTCGAAGTTGTACACACTGAACATACCACTTCGTCGACTTCCCCTGATAGCTAGACAAACAGACTCTTCAGAATGTAAAACAGTCCAGTCCGATCCTTGGCTAATCCTTCTCCGCAACTAAATCAGATCTCCAGCTAGTTATTACTGTGCTAGTGAATCTAGCCGTGGATTTTCAGCTTAGTCTTAGGAGGAACTCCTCGATCGTAGTTGATTACTTGACAAACACACAAACAAGACTGTAAATATCTCGGCCAGTGTTCTATGAAAACAACGAATTTCCAACTACAAGTTCTTCTCTCGCTCCTGGAAGCTGACTAGGGGTCATACTGACTAGCAATGGTCACCTGCCTCCTAGCCCAATATCTCCTCTATACTCTGGAACACCACAGCTACTGAGACGACATAGACAATATCTAGACGTTCAAGTGTTTTGTCGGAAAATTCCAAAGTCCGTTTTTCGTTTTCTTGTCTATATATTTTTCTGTTCCCTACAGTACATCTCTTCTGGTCAGGATATTGACACTTCTGCTTAAGTGACAGCCACTTCTTCCCACGTTACTGGCACTTCTGGTCACTTGACCGAGCTTGCTGAAACTGGTCACGTGTCAAACATCGTTTCCGGACACTCTGGGGTCGAAACTTCTTCCCAGGTGGTTTCGGGTTCTGTTCACGGCGGCCTTGTCCAGACTACCACTCCTTTTCCTACCTTTCCCATGACCACCACTGTCTACGATTTTGACAACTATTTCTCAGACTTACCCCAACGTTCTCATTCCGGTCAATCCTACCTGGAAGTCCGATTTTGAGTGTCTCTACCATCTGTCTCAGCAGTGTCCCTGTCTGCAGTTCATCGGGGTCACCACCTCCTACAATGTTGCGCCTCTGTTTGCTCTGGAGGGCTCCATTTACCCCGAGATTGAGCCTCCGTTTCGAAACTGCGTCGGCTGGGTTCTCAAGCCGACCCAAAAGTGGGTTGGCATTTCCTCCAATAGGCGATTGAGTGAGGTGAACAAGACTCTTGACTCTCAAACCCAGCAGCTCAACGAAATGAAGGTGATTTCCGAGAAGCCCCAAGTTATGCTCTCGTCCGAGAATTTGCCAGATTCTGCGAGGGGTCTTATCAGAAGGCCATGTCCAAAAAGGATCCGCAAACTATTCGAGACCGGGCCACCAATATCCCCTCCAAGCGTCTGCACTTATGAACCTCCAGGACCAGACTCGTGGACTGGGATGGACCAAGGAGCTCCGATCTAAGGCTCTTTCTGGCGAAAATGAGTACCAAGACAATCTTTCAATCGAGAAAGATTCGCACTCAGACATTGCCGATAATCATGGTCTCTTCAAAGGCAAATCTGCTAACAAGAACAATTTTGTTCGCAGCGATGGGGCCAGTCATGATATTAGTGCTGGCCATTCTGAAATCGATACTGACAGGAACCATTCTTCATATCACCCGACTAACATGCACCACTGGGATGTCTTCTCCAAGTACATCCACAAGAACGACCTGAAACTTTCTGACAGATATGATTCTAGAGACAGACGACAGCTCGATTCGGAAATTTTCAACTCCAACTCGAGACACCAGTCCAGACCCCGTGACTCCCTTCAACACGACTCCCGACGCTCTAACAACTTGTAACGTGCCCAATCAGTGAGCCACGCCTATGACTAATACGACTCGGGGTCTAGATATGACTCTCGTCTCGACTCCGAATGGGACTTTGGCTAGCCACTCACGTGGCTCACGTGGCTCACGTTGCGCGTGTGACTACAGTAATTCATAAGGCTCTGGTGACTCCCGTGACTCCCGCAACTTCCGCAACTCCCGCCACCCACGATATCGATCCAGATATGCAGACTCCCGAATCTACGAGTCTAGATGTGGGGATGATATTATCCGATCCAGATAGTGAGCTGATAGCAACAGCTATTATTTCTAGTTTGTATTGTTTGGTGTAATTGATTGATTGACTTGATGACGAGAGTGAAGTTGAGGGAAAAGAGGTCGTACGGGCAAGATCCTATCATGTCTCTTCTAAGTATGTACTGTAGTGTAGTGGGAAAAAGATATCTGGCTTTGTTATTATCAGTTTTGAGAACTATCAACGCGATTTGGTCTTTTGATTTGGCTTTCTGATTTGGTCCTTCTTGGTTCAGTGGTCTGTCTATTGTTCACCCGATTATCACCACTCCAAGGAGGAGTTGAACGGACCTGCATCTGAACAAAGACAACTACTTGTAGTTTTTCAACTGTATACCTTAAAATCGAAGAACAAAAATCAACGCCATCGAGAAATTTGGGCTCGCGCTAATTAATAGGAAAATAGCGCTAGGAGACTCAGTAGAGTCGATTTGCTTCGGCTCAAATCCCGATGGAGCATTTTCATGGCCATTTTGGTGATTTTTTGGAGAATTGTTATCAAAAAACGCGAAAGTGGAAGATTTTGAGTTTAATAAAAGTAAATATATGGAACATTTGAAGGCGTTTTTGGAGGCCATAGTATGGCACAATAATGAAAAGACATTGGTATTTGAAGTCCATGATTCTTCATTCATAGAATTAGGTCCCATGACAAAAAATCTGACTTTGAAAACGAACATTTTCAGCTGAATAGGAGCGTCCTTTATGTTGTCTTCTCGTTGACAGAATACTTCCATCAATAATAGACGGTAGACCGGTGTAACTTCTCAATTGAAACGTTTAAAAAATACTGGCCCAATCAGAGACTTTCTTCTGCTAATCAAACTCAACAATATATATATACATATCAGAAACCCAGCTAGTAGTTTCCAGACAGGTCTGCTCCGAGTAGACGTGCGAGCTTTAGCTCAGCTGCGAACAGCAATCACTCCTGCTAAGCCATTCACCGTCGAAGTTGCAGGCTGTATAGAGCTGTTTCTGCGTATCACCTTGTCTCCAACCGCAATCTTGCTTTGAACTGGGAGCAGAACTTGATGACACGGACAAAAGATAGCGTTTGCCGTCGTTCTAGCATCAGCCAGGGAAACCAGGTAACAATCCACACCATGTATCAATGACCCTCACCAGTCACTCGGTTCGAAATTTTGAGATTCTCGTAGTCAAGTTGGTTAATCCAAGTGACTACAAAAGAGATTTTCCTCAATAAATCCATCGACACTAGTTCAGCAAACTTCTTGGCTCCAACGTAGTTGAAAACCACGTTTCCTAGAGCCACAGTCTCTTGTCGAGTAATAGTATTCCAGTCTTTTTCGGACAGTGACAATTCCATAACCGTAGAAAGTTTCTTGAAGACATTTTCAAGCTCATTTTCACTCTTAGTCTCGCCCAGTCATTCAATCACAAGTCTGCCATTGACCAGGTACCTCTTGATCGTTGGCATACTCTTCTCAAGCAGTGCCAATGACGGTATGACCTGAATTGGGGGCATCTGCATCTGCCTTAGGGGCGTATTTGACATTCGGGCTGCTGTTAAGCCAGTCGACCCGGTAACAAGAGTGGCGGGCAACGTGTAGATAGTGGTGGGGTTTTGATTAATGGTTCTTGTTTCTTTCACATCTCCTCTGGCTAAATATTGGTGGAAACCCTCAGGCAGACGGGGCTAAGACGACCTGCTTACACTCGTGACGACCTTGGAGAGGAGAGTTTTCAAAACGGAAACTTGCAGTGGGTTGGCCTAAGCGAGTTGTTTGCAGTAGTATCTATCACCTGGCTCCATCTTGCCAAATCCATATTACAATATGTTTAAAGACCCTACTTGGAGAGAATAATCGTGTGTCGCCGACATATTACCGCTATCTGTCGCTGGAGATCTTCTTTGGATTCATCTGTCTCTTTGTCAGTATTGTTCATAACTCCCCATCTTTCCACTACAGCTCCTCTAATACATTCTACAAGTTCATAACTCTTCATTATCTATTGCTCCTGCTTCACCTGTGCTTTGGGCTCCTCAGAAGCCTCCTCCTTCTTCACCTCCAACATCTTCCTCTCAACTCCTTCAACAACCAACGGTCTATACTTGCCCAGAACCTGCTTGAAACCGCCTCTCAGACTCTCATTCTCCTGGTAAACCTCCTCAATGACATCGAGACAGTAGTCTCGGGTAGGAGGACGCAGCATGATAAGATACTTGAGCGACCGAACACCAATAACCGACCGATCAGGGTCAATCAGAAGATGCTTGAGCTTACTAACCAGGCCGTAATCGAGCTCGGGAAGCTCGCCCACCAGTCTGATGAAATACTTCCAGTTGTCGGGATCAATGGTCTGAACAAGAGTGTCCATGATACGGGAAGCATACTCGTAGTAGACAGACGTGGCTGGAGTAACTTTACCGTACCGGATCAGCTCCGAGTACCATTCTTCGTTGAGCCAGGTCATGACGTCCTCGAAATTCGCTGTAAACGCCGTAGTGGCCATGTTCAACAGCTGGTTTCGAATGTGAGTGGAAAGTTGGACCTTGAGAGAGTCGGCAGGCTCGGTTTCGGGGTCATAAGCAAGACCACGGCTCAACAATCGACTCAAAATCACCATCCACGAACCGCCGGTCCATTCGTTGATAGCCAGCTTGGAAATGGCATTCTTCTGGATATCCAGCGACTTGGCTGTTGCCACCGCTACGTCCTTTTGTGTCAAAAACCGCGACACGATTTCGGTTCCGGCCGTAAGCTTTTCAGACTCTGAAAGGGGCTCGGGGGGTGGCAGTTGGAAAGTGACTGCTGAGTCGGTTTCGGTCTGTGAATAGTCGGAAGAAACTCGGGAGTCGAGCGAGGAATCACGTGAAACAGGAGAGTCGCGTGATTCCATGGAGACGTCGCGGGATCGAGAGCGGGAACCGGTGTTGTGCGACTGAGCCCGTCCGCGAGATCGGGAGTCGTCCCTCTCGTCGTCGTCGTCTTCACGGGACCCGGACCGGTAGTCTCGCGACTCGCTTCGTCTGTTCTGGATATCACGTGACTCAGATCTGGACTTCTTGGCCTCTTCCTTGGCCTTTTCTTGTTGTTGCCAATTGTCCCATCTTTGCTTCACCACTCCAACTCGACTTCTAAGAACCGCTTCGTCTACGCTCAGCAAACCGGTGAGCGCGATTTGAAGCGCCAGTTGCTGGGGTAACGTCCGGGCGTCGAAAGCCACCAACGGGTCGTTGGCAGGAATCAGAGTGAACAGAGCGCTATATGAGTCTGCATTGGGGGGCATGGTGGTGCTCATGGATACAGGAGTAGGTGTAGATGCATTGGTGGTCGGCTCCTCCGTCTTCTGGCGCTTGGTCACGTGATCGTCGACTGGGGCCGGTCGTTTTCGGCCCACCTCGGCCAGAAACCGTTCCATTCTGTGTCGCAGCTGCACGTGGATCTTGTTACGTAAGCAGTGGGTAACCAGCATTTTGAGCGACTTTTCGCAGAAGCGAACGGCGAGTTTGGAAGTGAATTTCGTCTCCATAGCCACCGGGTCCACCGCCAACACCGTTTGCAGAATTCTGTTGCCGTACTCGGGTCTTTGTTTGAGAATGGGGGCCAGAGCAAACACGGTTGCTGTGAAAATGGGTTCTGCGATTTTCTGGTTGTCATGTGACAAGTCGTCACCAGTGAGGTTGCCTAGGAGGCGGTCCAGACTACCCTGGCCCTCGGCCTCGAGTGATCTGTGGATGAGCGGGTGGTTAGGCGGCACCATGCTCATGTTGGCCTCGGCTGACGGCTTTGATCTGGCGGCCAGACGCGGGTCAGCAGGACCTGATTGGCCCCGTGACTGGACGAGCACGAGCTGCTGGGCAAATTTGATGCATGCTATTTCGACCGAGGGTGAAGGGTCGTTGCTCCAGATGGACGTGATCCGCTCTTTGAGGGAGGTCAGAGTGGACCATTCGGAGGAGAGTTTCGGGTTGAGGGAGACCGCGGAGAAGACCAGGGGGTAGATGAGGGCGGAAAGGAGAATAGGGGTTTTGGGCTGGGTTAGTGGGAAACGAAAGCAAAGGCCCGAGGACCGAGGACTAAGCGGACAACAGTAGGACGTAATACAACGAATACCAGAGTTTGAGCGGACAATCGGGAGTTGATGTCTCTAGAATAGTAATGTCTCTGGACAGCACCATATCTCTAGACAACATCAGTCTCGACAGCAACTCCTCTCTAGATAAGACATATGTCTAGAAGACATACATCAATCCTAGACAGCAGTAACAAAAACGGTGCAGTCAGAGGGACAATATCCATAGTTGCTCTGGAGGCAGAAACAACTGAAATAGACAACCAGAGCTACATGTCCAGCCAGAATTGACCAGAATCCACAGGAGTCAAGCAGTAGGAGGCACGCCTGTCCGAAAATTGGAGAGAAACACTGGATCTGTTGGCACTTCTGAAACGCTTCAATTCGCATATATAGCTAATGAAGCATTGTCAGTGATGCAAAGACGGTTCCACTGACTAAGTAGACAGACATTTTCTATAGCGAAAGACTGCGATGCGCTAGGCTAGATCGTCAACCGTCTGTCAGTGGGGAACGCAAAACGGCCAAAAACCTCCCCTGCCACGTCACATGACCTGATGCGTGTCTCTCCGTCTAGTTGCTATGTCATTTTTGTCCCAAACACATGTTCTTGTCCTTGACAGCATTGGGATGGTGGACCCAGAAAGATGCAATCAGTCGATGATGACTCCAGGAGCATACTGGGGGGCCACCAACACGGTCGCCGAAGTTCTACAATAATGGATAAGAGTCACGTGTGGAAAAGTGTGACGTCTGGATCTGTGTCGATACTGGTGTCGTTGAATCAGTCCACGTTGTCGAGAAAACAAACCCCGCAAGCTAAACGTTGAGTCGATCACGCAGTGGGTCGTCTGTCGGATCAACGTCCAACTCAGAGATAGTACAACGCCATAAACTAGACACAACGGCCATTACAGTTGACAATTGCGGTTTGCGTCGTTGTCACAAGAACAGTCATGTGACTTAAAAAATGCTGAGGGCAACCTCAGGCAGGTCAGGGTCACTTGATCTTGTCCAGTCCCTACAGTCACATAGTACTCACCTCTCCATTCAGCAACTTGTCCACCACCGTCAGCGCCTTGAGCGCCAGCTCGCGTCGTTTCTCCAGCGCCAATACCGACGCCAGCGCATCAAGCAGAAAGTCCGCCAGCCACTGTTGCAGCTCCTTCTCGGGACGAGAAGCCAGCTCCAGTAGAGACGGCACATACTGCTCGTATAGCGCGGCGTCCTTGGCGGCCATGTCTGCGACCTGGCCAAGACTCGCCAGCTGTTCTGTTAATGACATGGTGATCGAACACGGTTGACAAACGGTTGCAAAAGGATCGAAAAACGATCGAAAAACGATTGGCAAACGATTGACAAACGATTGGTACAATTACTGTCTTGTGTGTGGTGTCAAAGACAGTGTGCAGTGGGCGGGAGAAAGTTGAGTTGGGACTGGCAAACTTTATCTGGACTGTATTTCATGGGTGTGAGGTGAAACGGGGGGAGGGACCAAGAATGGGATTGGCGAGGAGAGAGATGAAACGGAGAATTGAAGGATGTTTATCATGGGATTTTGAAGGAATGTGATGTTTTGGGCGTCAATTTGGCCAAAATCGAAGACACTCTGGGGAAATAAAGCTGGGTGTTCTACATGAAGATTACAAGAGTTAATTGAAGAGAGCATATTGTACGAACTCTGGATGGTCAGAATGGTCAATACTGGCAGCGTCACTCTGAAGAGCTTTATACACTTGTACTGTATTAGAAATTCCAAGCTGATCTCAATGGTATTTTCAGATTTCTATTAGACCAAAAATTACCACAATTGGAGTGATCAGAGTGCAAGTATAATTTCGACGGTATGTACTCTTTTTATGTTTTATATTTTATATAGGATGTAGTGTACACAGTGTACTTAGACTGAAGAAAATTAAAGCACGAGGACGACTACAAGTAGTTGTAGCATCTTAGAACGAGAATATACAAGAAAAAAGGGAAGTGGAAAAGAAAGATTGTGTTCGAAATGCTTCCCGGAAGCTACCAATACAGTACTCATTAGCGTCTTTGCTTCACTCCCGCCAATAGCTATGTTGGATCGTTGAAGCAGAATGCGACTACAGTATGTAGGGTGGTGTACCAACCAGACAAGATGTACTCGCAGTATGTGGGAATGGTAACGGACAAAAAAGGAGCTGGAAAAAAAACAGAAACTGGACTTTATGGTATCAAAATGATCACAATGAACTCAGGAAACCAACTCCAGAGGTCACGTGAGTTAGAAGGCGAAGACCACACCCAATATTTCTCAGGTCCAGCTGCTGAGCGAAGGAAGTGGGAATACTGTAGCATAGATTCAATCAACTATGATTTATCATAAAACCCGCTATGTATTTTCCCCATAAGTTCCACTTTAAAAAAACACACTCTGTAAGCCCCAAAAATTTCACTTTTTTTCTTTTTTTTTCTTCCCCTTTTTAACGTCATTCTGACGAGCTAAGATCGAACATACACTGCCTGCCAACAAGAGATCAAAGGGTCCTTCCAGTCCACTAAGAAGTGTCCAGAAACAGACCAAATTTTGACAGAACAATAATATATCGCGGATATTAAAATTAATTTCCAATTTTCAGCCAATCAAACGACCCACATTTCGCTAACAGACCCCGCAGACGTAACAATATATACGAGTGTACAGTATATACTGTACTTGTACTTGAGGCATGTACAGTATCAGTTCCAGTAAACACGCCACAGTATGGGAGAAATTATGGGAGCTGATGAAAAGTGCAACACTGACACGAATAGCACAAAAAGGGGAAATACCTCCCTCAGAGAACCAATCTCCACTCACCTCCAATACCCAGCTACCATCTTCAAAAATGCATGTTTTACCCATACCTCCATTTCTGTCCCTGTTCTGGCCACACCAAAAAAGAGAACCTTCCCATCCATTAACTCTGGCATACAATCATCATTTCTGGTATTTTTTAGACCACACACAATCATGTCAATCAATATCCTTCGTGACCGGCCATAATTACTCTAATAACGTGATACCACCCGAAAATCCCACTCAGAGCCCCCCCTGATCTCCCCTGATCTCCCCTGATCCCACCAGATCAATCTCTCTATCCCTAACCCAAGCGCATGTAGTATGCACAAGGTCGCACTCGTCTTCTCTATTTGGCGATGTCAATGGGAAATGGAGAGAGCAGGAAACGGGGGCACAAACAAGTGACATAAACGCATGCACAAACGTATATAAACGAGCCTCCTGAACATGATACCCTGGTCAACTACCAACTTACCCACCACCAACCACAATGCAACTACCCCCTCGGCCAGACTTTGACATTGCCACGCTGGTGGCATCAATAACGGTCCCGGAAACCGAGCTGGTGCTCGGTCAAATGCCTCTCGGTGCTCTCGAACAACTATATCAAAACAGACTGCGTCTGGCCATTCTGTTTGGAGTCAGAGTAGGAGCAGCAGTCCTGACCCTCATTGCCATGCATCTGATCAGCAAAAAAAACCGCACCAAGATCCTCTTTTTGGCCAACCAAATGTCGCTTATCATGCTCATTATTCACGCGGCTCTGTACTTCCGCTTCCTGCTAGGACCCTTTGCCTCGATGCTCATGATGGTCGCCTACATTGTGGACCCACGGTCCAATGTTTCCAACGACATCAGTGTGTCTGTGGCCACCAACGTGTTTATGATGCTGATGATCATGTCCGTGCAACTTTCTCTCGCGGTTCAAACTCGATCAGTTTTTCATGCCTGGCTCAAGTCTCGAATCTACGTTACCGTGGGGCTCATCTTGCTGTCCCTCGTCGTCTTTGTCTTCTGGACCACTCACACCATCGTCTCGTGTATCGTGCTGACTCATCCGACACGTGACTTGCCAAGTATGGGCTGGACACGGCTCGCCTCCGACGTATCCTTTGCCTGCTCAATTTCCTTTGCTTCTCTCGTGCTCCTGGCCAAACTCGTCACCGCCATCAGAGTCAGAAAAACCCTGGGCAAAAAACCCCTGGGATACACAAAGGTGCTGGTCATCATGTCGACACAGTCACTCGTCGTGCCTTCTATTCTCATCATTGTCAACTACGCTCTTCCCGAAAAGAACTCGTGGATTCTCTCCGGAGTGGCCTATCTCATGGTCGTTCTGTCTTTGCCCTTGTCTTCCATCTGGGCCACCGCAGTCCATGACGACGAGATGCAGAGCAATTATCTCCTGAGCGCGCTGAAAGACGGTCACGTGCAGCCCTCCGAATCGAAACTCAAGACAGTTTTCTTGAACAGACTGAGACCTTTCTCGACCACTACAAACAGAGATGACGAGAGCTCGGTGGACTCCCCGGCCATGCCTTCTCCCGAAAGCGACGTCACCTTTCTCAACACAGGTTTTGAATGTGATGAGAAAATGTGAATTGACCCAGAACATTATGGAACCTTTGAATGCCGCCCCATTTCGTTAACAGCTCTCACTCTAACCCTTCTGCTTATACCTTGTCTTAACTATACTAATGAATGAATGTGTGGATAGAGAGGTTGTAGAGTTGAATTTTTTTTCTGGTGGTACTGGACCCCACGGACCATTATTTTGAACTCGCTTTTAATAATCCAGCACTCTTTATAACTTTGGACCCTAGAGTATAGTGACTCGCTGTTACGAAGAGATTGGTGTAGATATCTACATAACTCCTTCAAAATTGCACTGATTAGAGATTTGAAAGTTGCATTAGAGACCGTTTTTCAAGACAAGTTCAGAGCTATCTCTGGATCTATAATCTCCTTACAAAAGCACCAAAAATCACTCCAAAGCACCAAAAAATCTAACGTTCACCAGCAGAGGTGAGCAACTGGCCTACTACACCAAAACCAACATCAATATTTGCACAAACTAGAAACACTACAACTTCCACTCGGAACATACCCAGTATCTCCACCCTCCGCCAAAACTCACCCTGGAGCATTGAAAATTCGTACACTGATTAAACGGAACTTTTGAACCTTTTAAATACTCTTGTAGAGTCATTTTTGGCTAAAATGTCTACAAAACAGGTTATACATTCTCAGTTCTCTCGTTACCGCCAGACAACTCGTATTCGTATCGTACTACGCCCGTAACCATGGTTACACGACATGACAACAAGAGATTTTTTTTTTTTTTTAAATTCGCTGGACCTCGGCTCAGTAGTTACTCTCAGAAGACACTCAAAGTGGAACTTGCAAGGGTTGAAAATGGCTGAAATCTTATCAGCATACTATCAAGGCGCTTATTTGAATCCATGTCGATTTTGGACCCTCCTCAAGCATTTCTTCATGAGTTAGAACGGTTCTTTTTTCACCCCCAAGACAGCCAAAACAAAACGCAAAACCTTAAACCGACGATCCTGTTTTTTTTTAAAAATATATATATATATATTTTATATACTATTTTAAATACATCTCCAACTAAACCCAATAATACATTAGACGAAACGCCCATATTCATAAGAAAATATCAAACCGACTTCATGTTGGTTACAGGGTACTGGCTACATATATAATGACAAATAAACCATGGCAAAAACACTTGTACAACCCCAGAAACGAAACTCCGATCAAATGTCAACTACTTTTACACTCTGTATCGTAGATAAATTAGTGATATAATATAGTACAAAAGAAGCTCTGCACCAGCAGACGCTTCTGTTAAAGACAGTGTCCTCCTCAGCATGCACCCAGCTACAAGCTCAGGTACAACAAGCAAAGACACAACCCATTCGTGAGCAAATGCAACCGATACGAATGAACAACCCCGTGAAACAACACAAAGAGGGCGAAATACGCCAGAAATGCAAAGGTGGCGTAGATCGCTCTCTTTGACTGCGGAAGACGGATCATGATGCCTCGGGACGCCGTCAGGACAAGCAGCAGAATAGGCAGAATGGCAGAAACCTCGTGATGAGACTCCAGAGGCGTGTGCCACTTGTTGGCCATGTTGTGCAGCCACACCACGAGGGTGGGGGCGTTAATGGGCAGCAGGAGCACCAACAATAACAACAACGAGTGCGTGTAGTTGATGAGATTGCGGTCGATGACAACACAGGGCTCAGACTTATTGTCTTTGTCTTCCGACTGCATCAGACGTCCGACTCGCGCTTTGCCAGCACCCATAGCCATCACCAGAACAGCTACCATGAACGCAAATTGATGCGGCACGATTTTGAATACCAACAACAGTAGAAACGAGATGGTGACAATGCGTCTCACTGAAAAGGGAGACTCCGGGGCGATAGGAGCAAGTCCTAGCATGTAGTAGCACTGACAAACCCACAGAGTAAGAATCTGAAGCAACCAGTGCAGAACCACAACGATGCCAGTAGCGATTACCAGGCTGACGGGACCCAGAAACCACAAGTGCGTGCCATTGAGCCCGAGGAAGAATTGCCCGGGCTGACTCATCTGCGGGTACAGAAGAGACACCAAAACATGCGGAACAAACGGAATCGCGCACGATCCCGCCAGAATCCACGGCAGCTGGAAGTCCACAAACACGTCCAGCGCGTCGCTGAGGGATACAAAGAGCTCTGTCGTGGTCCATACCCGCAGCTGGATCATGAGCAGACACAGAAAGACAAACATGGGGAAAATGGCAAACATTACACGGTAGAATCCGAGAAAGCGGCCCAGCGAGCCCCATAAGTCAATCTCCAGTGTCAGCGACAGCGACTCAGACGATCTCGACGACGAGTCGGTCCACAGATACAGCTCCGTGCCGGAGACGTCTCTTCCCTCTGCCAAAGGCATGTATGGAGCTCCACCATGAACAGCAACACGTGTTCCCTGCTCATAGCCACCACACAAGTTTGTACTAAACTTGGCTTCATGCAGCTGGGCGGAATACTGCATAAGGAGCGGGGCAAACAGAACGTCGTGCTCGGAGCCCATGCTCTTTTTCGCCTCACACTGGTATTCCATGGAAAAGGAGTCCGAGGTGGAGAGCCGGATAGAAAAGGCGACCAGAGAAGACCAAAAGTGGGGCAACGAGATTTTCGTCAACAAAGCCCGCTTCTCGGGTAGCTCAATGGTGAATCGGCCCACCTTGAGTACCTCCCACCATGTCGGAGCCGCGACAACGGCCATGTCTGAAGGGAGAGCCATTTCAGCAAGCAGATATGAATCCGACGAAATAGTTTCGGACATGGTGTTGTCGATGACCACCACGTACTGGAAGCCAGAAAGGGAGGATGCGTCTAATTGGATATACTCAGACAGAGAGGTGGACGAAATGGCGCTATCGACAGGTATGTCGTTATCTTCCCCAGTTTCCTCCTCCTCTGGAATCTTGGCGCCGGTGGCATACTTGATGGAAGAAGGCATGGCAACAGCTTCCCCAGCGACATTGGCACACACAAGCGTGTCCGTACCAACTCTCACGCCCTTTGACTTGCTCCCGTATCTCAAAAACGAGAACCCGTTGGTATCCACGTCTCCAGTGTTGGTTCGACACACGAGAATGTGCAAATCTTCCAGTGGCATGTTGGTTTTAACCAACAGCGATTTCCCCTTATCGACGGGCATGGCAAATGACCTGCTCATCTCGTTGATCTCGGATGCCTTGAGCACGGGAAACTTGAAGTAGCTCTTTGTCTTGACCAGCTGGTTGGGCGAATGGTCATTGATGATAATATTGGAAGTGGTGGTGAGGGGGGTGTTAATTGAGACGAGAGTGTCGAGAGTCAGTTTAGATGACTCAGACGCGTTCTGTGCCTTTTTCTCAACTCTCTCCATTCCAGAAAGAAAATACTCCTGAAACGTGTCCAACCTCGTGCTCACCTTTTCGGTGGTCTCCCCGGCCACCACTAACAACGTCTCAGCCACGACTCGTCGCAGCTGATGACACCAAACCATGGCTTGATGGTCGATGCTCATCCAGACGTCCGGGATGGACGTTGTAGCGACAGCAAAGCCGTTGGTCGGTGGAAGGAAAGTGTCGACCGAAGAATACTCTGCCGGAATCATCTGATCGCGAATGCCCCCGGTGACAGACACCAGAAGAGTGTCTTCGAGCTTGCCGCCAGGAACGGTCTCGGTTTTCCAGAACTCGTTGACGTTATGGTACAGACCGACGATGCCCTTGTCGAACGAGACTGGGGGAAGCACGTGGGGAGTGGCAAGCGTGAGAATGGTATTGATGGACCCGTGGATGTAGGAGTCCAGAGTGACCATTGTTCGGGCCACAATGCCACCCATGCTGTGGCCAATGACAATGACCGATGTGGGGGGGTTAGGGTGGGAGGAGTAGAGAGAGAGAATATATGCAATAGCCTGGTTGAGGTACTCGGCCTGATCGATGACGGTGGTTCCGTCGAACGCCGTGAGATCTTCTTGGAAGTTGACTGTGAAGAAGTCCAGCGGGAGGTCGTCGGGCCACTGGCTGGGAAGCTTGCCGTTAGACAGTGGTCGTTCGACGGCGTCCCTCCTGTCGTCACCAGACATGTCCCGTGCGGTAACCGCATCGCCCAGTCCCCTGACACCCTCTGTGTCACTCTCGGTATCTCCAAATGCAAAGGTGTTGAGTTTTTGTAATGCTGATTTCGGCCTGGCTGTCGAGCCATTTGCCCAAGTGTCTGCATCTGCGCCCGCTCGGCGCGGGTCGTGCCAGTACTGGACCGCGGCCTCGCCGGCTATGCTGCGGATCTGGCGCATGCTGCCTCCGTTTCCGGGCACAAACAGCACCGGGCGTCCACCCACCTCGCGGCTCAGATCCACGTCCAGCTCGCGGTACAGATGCAGCGAGTACTTGTGTGCCAGCGGGGTCTGGGTCGTGTTGAAGCCCGTCATGGCGATCATGTCGGGCTTCATGTAGCTCATATGGCACGAGTTTGTGTTGGACGAGTGCGTCGCCACCGTGGCCCACAGCACCAGGGCCAGCGCTGTTATTGCCAGCGCTGGGAACGTAGCTATGTGCATGGGGTGATGAAAGGGTGTTGTGTCGGCTGGTTTGTGTCGGTTGGTGTTGTCGGTTGGTGTTGTGGGTTGGTGTTGTGGGTTGTCTATGTGTCGTTTGGTTTGTGTCGTTTGGTTTGTGTCGTTTGGTTCTGCTTCTGTGTCCGTTGATCTGTCTGTGCGTCTCGACCGTACCTGGAGCCTCTTTCCACCGTTTTGCACCTCTTGCGTCCACCAAGAAGCGTCTGTGTCTGGCTAAGTATCTGTCGATGTGATATCGTGAAGTATTAAGTTGAGCCGCTGTGGGCCCAAAGCGTAACTTTAAAAAAGAAAAAAGGGAAGGAGGACAAGAAAAAAAAAAGAGTCAAAAAGTGACAGAAACAGACGAGACTAACCAGCAACTTTATGACCATACAGCAGACATAGGCACGGCTACAGCACCACCTCCAAAACGCCATATAATAGGGGGGAATCGGGCGGGAAAGACGAATCTGGACAATTTAGACGGCAGATAAAACACCGACCCATTTTTAAATGGCAAAATCTCTCCCGTTCTACCACTCCATAGTCCCCATTTATCCTACATTGTATTGTACACAGTATCTACAATGTAGTGTACCACACCCAACGTTGCACTATATATAGCAGTTATGATAAGAGGTCTACAAGACGACCGTATGAACGAGTAGAAGAACTCCTCGGCTCGTCTGGCAGAGAAAATCGACACCTCTGACAACCACAATCCATCGAAACACCTACCAAGGTACAAACACGTGTTGCAGTACGACTTCAACTCGACATGTCTGCAGCAGATTCAAGGCACCAAGTCGCTCGTACTCGCACCGCCATAATATGAGTACGCCTTGGTTGCAATTTTTGCCGTCATAAATCAATTCATGTTACACAAAAACGGCGCCAGGTTGCACCGACGCAATCAGCCCAATTACTTGTAGTGCTCATCATGCAATCAAAGCTTGGGCGGCTCTATCGACTCCATCTCCAGATCTCGAGACACGGCTCAAGGGCGGGACGGATAAGATGCAAGTCTTTCGGGGTCGGAGCCAGACGGAGGAATGCAGTCAACTCGGGCTGTAGTAACGTCAGAAGGAAAATAAAAGTACCAGAAGAATCAGCACATCACCACGAATACAATGATACCAAAAAATCACCCTCTTGAAATACAAAAATCGTCCCAAAATCATCCTCAAGCCAATGCTTTGGCTCAACTCTACTCGCTCCGCCAAAAAAGCCAAAACCGCCCAGCTTGAGGCAGTGCTAACCAGCCGAAAACGTCACTCAACAGGGAGCTAAAAAAAAGGGGTTGGAATTTGCCCCGGTCATGACACAAACACGACCCGGACGCGTCGTCAGATGTCCGCCAATACAAGTGTATATGCCATTTCGGGTCACGTGTTTTTACCTTCCCCCACCGTCCCCCTTGCCAATCCTCCACCATCTTAAACCAAGTGGATCCAAACGGAGACGTTGGAACCCACATGGTCAAAAACCGTCGAGATGCGCAAGCTTCGCCGCGGTCACGTGATCCCTTAGGAGAACTCTCTCGTGCGACTCTCCCCATTCTCTGGTCTCTGGTCGTGTTTTTTCTAGGTTTCCATGCCCACGTCAAGATGTCAAGCAAAGCACTGTTACCCGACGGGCTTGTGCGTGCGGAAAAGGACATTTCGTCGTCATTGGCAGCTTCCCAAACGTGTACAAAAATCTCAGAAACCAATATCGCTCTGGGGGTCCGAAAAACAACCTTCAATACACCCCAACGCCGTCCAAAGTGGCCGACCCACTCCTTCCCTGGAGAGTTTCAATACCCGAGCTGAAAGACCCAATTTTGCCCAGAAGGAAATTCTCAACATATCCCTGGAACGGGAATCGCGTTTGGAATCGATTGGTAAACTCGTTATCTCAATAGACCCGGGATTTCGTCTACAAATGCACATTTTATCCGCCCCCTCTCCCGCTCATTAAACCTCCAACCTAATCTCCACGACAATATCACGTTTCCACTCGACCAAAACCCGCCGTTGCACGCAAATGGCGCCAGTTTGAGACCCACCACGTATCCCTTGATGGGCTCCTAGACCAGCCCAACGGACCTTTGTCCACACGCTCTCCTGGAGACACTAATAGCCACTACCGTATTAGCTCGCAACTTTGATCTGAGATGAGCACTGCGCGAGATGACAGATGAGACCATGCCAGGGGGCGGAACAATGTCGTAACAAGAGGGAGACGACATGTTCGGATGCACTTAGCCAGTTCCAGAATCGATGACTAATCAACACTTCTCCCAATTCCCCATTCACACTTCCCTTGCAGCTTATCTCATTGCACCCCACTTGGCCCTGTAAATGCCGCACAAACTATCGCTAGTGCCTACTGCTGATAAGAAGAGGGTTTGGAGACGATGGGAAGCAGCCGGCTGGAACGTGTACAAGTCCCCATTTTGATCACGTGATTCTTTCTGCCCCCGGGTTCGTCCGATCCTGGGTTTTTCCGGGTGACGTCATGCATCTCTCTACTCTCTGTTGTCCCCCCCTCGCTACGCCTACGCCTCGGCCGCGGCTTGGCAGGTCTTGGCAACGCTTGGCACGCGCCCTATTGCACCCAAAGTTTCCCGCAACCAGACCCAAACAGTCCAGCTCGCCCGATTAGGTCGCCGGTGCAAGGCGGCCAAAGTTACTTTTGATCAGGAGAAGGGTTTTTGAGGAGTATATGGCGGTTTTCCAACCTGTTTAGCTGGTTTAAAAGTTGTGTTTGGTTCAATTTCTGCCCTATTTCCTCTTTTTCAGCATTATCCGGGCCAAATTTCCACCTCTTTTCCCTTTATTTCCCCCCCTACTTTCTCTACTACCGTTTTTCCACCTCCCCATATCCTCCTCCTCTCATTGGCTGTGCTGCCAGCCGTATGTTGTGAACATGCAACTATCTGCGCATTTTTTTTTTTCGCCAGCAAGCTTCTATACGGACCTGCATGTCTCGCATAGTAGCTTTGGGTCACGTGACGCGAGCCGAGTGGGGAGCAACCCTGAGATATTTGCTCTGTGGGGTGGGATGGGTGTGTCGGGGTAGTAATTTATGTTCATGTGATGGGGGATCTGAAGAGTGTATTTTGATGGTATTTGAGGTGCGATTCCGATGGTGGGTTTTTTAGTCTCGTTGAATGTGTATTTTCCAACTACCGGGGCATTTGTAGATTTGTGATCAAGTAAAATGGCGCAAAATTCTTAGGGTTTAGTTGGCGAAAAGTAACTACCGATATCCGGGCTACAGAGATATAAGACCGCTCTTATGATCAGCTCATTTCGGTCGGTACACAAGTGAGCGTGTTGAGGCGGAAGAATGCGGCATTAACTGGTGGTAAGGCGGCAGTTGGTGGTATAATGGGTTGGACCGTGGACGTTGGGCGGACTGGACTAATCCTGGATTGGGCTCGGTCCAAGTTTAGTTGGTATTAGTTAATATGGCGGCCAGACCGGGAGCAACAGAGGGTCTATATTGAGAAGCTAGAGAGTTGCAAGAGTTGTGAAAGTTGGTCAGAATGTTGTAGGGGGGCTGGATGAAGGATGTCTAGGTTGTCTGTTTGTTTTTTTCCATAGAAGTTTCCGATATATAGGCAGATTTGGGCTTTACACCGTTTTCAATCTAGTTAGAAATGCACCCACCGAAAGCGAAAGAGAATCGGAATATGAGCAACGGAAGAAAATAGCAGCAACTGTTAGGTTGAAACAGCAGAAACAGTTCTTTTGACACAGCGGAAACAGATATTTTGCACCATTGACTGCGCTGGAAGATTTACCGAAGGATGACGCCTGTCATGGTGAGTTGTGTGTTGCGTGGTTTGGAACAGCATACCCGGAGGTACGAGTCAACTTATTGGAGGAGGCGAGTTCCTGAAAAGAGGTGAAAGGGTGTGAAGACAAATAAGGATGGGAATCATGAATTACTTCTTGACAGGCTTCCGTTTTACGCCGTTTAGTAGCTGAATTGGTGAATATGGTGGAGAAGGAAATTTGTTGGAATTTGTTGGGTATTTGTTGAAACAAAAGTTGTGCTGGGGGTTTCAATTCGCTGCTAGAGGAACTTTAGAAAATTGGAAAGTATTCTATTAATGTAAAAAGACATATGTTTTCAACAAAAATGTCCAAAAAAGTGCCTCTTGTAGTACATTTATATTGGTTAATTGTGCGTTTTGGGATTTGATCTGAACTAGAGTTTGTTGACATTTTAGAAAAGAATTGCTTATATTTGTTCAGCGTGTTGTTGACTTTGATCTTGTACCAGTACATACAGTACATATCAGTGGCAAGAGGGCCTCTGGAGAAGGAACACAATGAAAATCGTAGTGAAAGAGCCGAAACTGCTCCTCCTCTGGTAAATTACTCATCATTTCTTCACTAAACGTTCAGTCACTGTTGACTGGCTGGTGATAGGTTCATGGCAGGACTGGGAAAGGAGAAAGCTAGCAAAGTCGCAGATATGACCTCCGTTAGTTCCGTGTACTCCGTGACTCCGTGACCCCGTGACACCGTTGACTCCATTGATTCCGTTGACTCTACCCAGACTGTTCTCTTCCTTCAATCACGCACCTGGGAAAAAAAAAATGTTGAAGCGAAGGGATAAGAAGACATGAAGATAGGGGCGAAGATGACCAGAGCAATGAAATTGCTTCAATCTATCTAATGGCTCCTTCTCGACGGTTCTTAACAATCTCTCTATGTGGCTCCTTCATGACGGTTCTTCACTTGTTTCAGCCCTTTAGTTCACTCCACTCTTACTTCTACTGCTGAAGCACTTCTTTCCCCTATTCTGTCGTCGTCCTTCCAGTGTTCGCCACTCGTTCTTCCGTATCAGTCCACGAAATGGGATATGTTTCCGTGCTTCTGGCTGTCTCCTCATCTCTTCTGTGGGTCTGAGAGTAAGTCGAAACACCAAGTCGTTCATCCTACATGGGAATGCTGACTCTTCTAACTAGATAAATAGGTGACAAAATGTAATAAAAGATATACCATTGGACCCAGCGCAACTCGAGGATTGGGTATATACGCCACTTCAACCCATTGATTAAATTTTTGTCTCAGTTGTCCCATTCCAGTGAGATATTGTACGATACGACATAGGATAATGACTTATTACTACCGAAAATCCACCAAATATTTCGATATTGTTTGATATATACAAAAATTAGGAGATGAAATGGAGACGATCAAATTCATTTAGATAACTTGATACCTTCTCATACAAAATAATGGGATATATGCCGTTCTCAGCGGATTTACAATACAATGCCGCACACACCTACAACTCCAATATAGGATGACAAGGAGTACTACTAAGTACATTAAAGGATGGTCAATCATTTGGATTGCTCTAGGAAAATACTTCTCTCGGTTTTTGTAGCAAATTATATGGGCTGTTTCTGGGTACCAATGTGTTCTCATAGACTCCTCGCTAGCTGTGGACATTTGAAGGCTTGAAAGAAGAAAAAAAAGTACATGATTGGAATCATCACCTTTCAACAGATGGAATGATATTGGAAGGTCGACATTTTCGTATACAAAATGTCAGAATAACCGAGGACTTCATTCCCAGGGTGAGATGTAGGAGGGTGGTGACGATGGGAACAAGACAGAAGAAATAAAGGCTTATCAGGTAATTGTGTCGAAATTTCCACCAAGAGTTCTCAATCAGGGATCTGCGGTTGTGGCGTCGTCTCACTGCCGCTGATAGTGAGTTGATAGTGAGTTGTTAACCCACTGAAGACTTCGTAGCTCTTTTTCAACATTTTCACTTGGGCTTAGTTGTAGCTTCTTTTATTTTCAAATATATCTACATCTTCACTTGGACTTAGTTGGGTCAATTAGTTTAGGTCAAGTGGAACTGCAATTAGTTCAAAGATCAACACAATTCCTCGAATATTGGCCAGATTCGGAAAGTGCCACCGCCAGAGGATGTCGTGAATTCTCAGCTGCAATAAATCTCGACAATATTCTATAAATTGTTCCGATAACGTCTTCAAAGGGGAATCTCAGCTTCACTCTCACATTCAACACAAAACTTTCATTTACTTGATTTGTAGTTGACTTACTTGACCCTGCATTTGATTTACTTGACTTTGCAGTTGAATTACTTGGCATTGTAGTTGACTCACTTGACACTCTAGTTGACTCACTTGACACTGTTGTTGACTCACTTGACCCTGCAGTTAAAATTACTTGACACTCTAGTTGACTCACTTGACTGTAGTTGACTACTTCACTATGCAGTTTACCTATTCACTAGAGCGAGAAGTGGGCCTATCTGACGACGGAAAGAGGAGAAAAAATCAGAAAAATCGGGTCTCTGCGATAATCGACTTTCTGAGCCCGTCGGATCCTTGGATCATGGACTAAATTTTCTCCAATTTACCCCAAACCCCAAACTTTGCCGCCACCACCAGTTGCAGCTCCAATGCACGCCTTAGCAAATCTACCACCAAATCAATATATAAATCCATCGCCTCTTCGATCTTCTCCACACCACCAAACATGATTCGGAACGTTGCGCGAATGACTTTTTCCCGTGGATTTGGCCGCGGAATCCCCCGATGGGGCTTTGCTTCCGGCCCGGTGGCCCCCGTGACAGCCCAGATCCAGCCCATGGCCGCCCGATTTCCTTTTTCCACCGCTTCTACCGTCTTCCACCAGCACGGCGACGGATGCGGATGCCCGTCACACAAGGTGCCCACGGTCAACGAGACCGGAGCCAAGGACGCCCAGGACGCCAAGGACGCGGAGCCCGCCGGCGAGGTGACGCCCATGTACCAGATTTCGTTCACGTGTAAGCGATGCGACACCCCCTCGAGCCACAAAATGTCGCACCAGGCGTACCACGGCGGTACGGTCCTGGTCCAGTGTCCCGGATGCAAAAACCGGCACCTGATTGCGGACCATCTGAAGATATTTTCCGACGAGCCCGTCACCATTGAGGATATCATGGCCAAGAATGGCGAGAAGGTGACCATCAAGCAGCGCGAATTCCGCTTCAACCAGGACGGAGGGGATTTGGAGTGGGTCAAGGAGTGAACGGGAGCACATGACGGTTTGTGAATGGCTGTGAGCTACACTATCTAGGATTGTGTGAATGGGATCTGATGCAGATGCGACTGGCGACTGGCGACTTGACTGATTGGTGCCATACAACACCAACTGTCTCTCAGTGCCATTTTGTCCGTGAAACTCTACACTCTCTCCCAATTGTATATAGACGATGTTAATTTATAGCCAGAAATGGCATTAGAAAGGTCGGTGGAAGGTACATCTGTAGAATGAGACAGAAATAATAGCTGTTGGTGTGAATGAGACCTGTTTGAACCACGCTTATCGCTCTGATCTGTCCACACCACCGGTCGTAGAGTTCAATTAGACGATTGTCATGAACACACTGACTCGATAAATGATAGAATCACATCTGGTGAATCACTAGATTTCTCCACAATCTCTTGTCTTTACCGTCATTGACCTTCCGTTCATGATTTACCACTACAAGACCACTGCAATCTCACCAGAAGCCCACCAACTGTGTAAACCAACAGTCTACATCTCCAAAACGAGCTCCTAGACTCAGCAGTTGATTGCAGTCCCCACCTCCAGCATTTTCGTGGTGGATCTCATCAATTCTGGGATTACTTTGGTCCAGGCCAAATCAGTGATAGACCACCAAAGAGTTTCATTGGGTCGTGAGATGGTGGGTCGTGAGATGGAGTCATATAGTAGAGTGCAAATATGATGTCACTCGTTGGTCTCGTACTCGTATACCGAGCCGAATACGAGTTGCCGAATACGAGTTGCCGAATACGAGTTGCCGAATACGAGATATAAAGAAGATGTTCGATCCGACCACCGACCTGTTCGATTCAGAGGGGTTCTATAGACGTCCGGACTAAGTCTGTCACGTGATCCCCATTGACATTGGCTCTTCTGACTGGCCCAGTAGACCCATGCTCCTCCCACTTTGAACGGTGTCACGGGATCTAAATAACCCATGTATGCTCCTCCGACGCTGAACCGTATCACATGATCTCATCACCAACTCGTGTACAGTACTCGACTCACGTGAATCTTCCGCTACGCTGAAACGGACCAGGAGATGTTGGGCGCCTGCTGGGAACCGTCACATGATGTCATCTGCCGGTAAAAGTCGTAAAAGTCACATGATCAAATGGATATACTTGTGCGTATCCAAATAGGAGCTCACTTGAAGCAGTCCAGCTCTTTTTGATGGGTAGACAGGGTTAGTTAGGGTAGCAACTCCAAAGTTAAGTAAAATTTTCCAATTCTAACTATATGTCATCTAAATTTAGTTGACATGAAACATAACATTGTGAGAGAATCACTTGTAAAAAGAATTCCGTCTCGAAAACCATATATTTTCTACAAAATCACCCTTTTCAACTACCTTCAACTTCTTGCGTAACTCCACCAACCCGCAAATCTTCAATCCATTCACACTTACTTATTACTTGACATTCCAACAAATCCTAACTAAAATGATATTTTGTTTATAAAAATAAAACCCAAACTTCACCTTGCCACTTCCAGTACAAACACACTCAGACACAGATACCCCACGCGCCACCAGACCGGTTTAATTTTGAATCACGTGATCATTATCCATTATCCCACCTCCTTTTAAACACGTGATCTCCCTCCCCTTCCCCTCAATGATCACGTGCGTACAACACAACCACTCGGGAACACATCTGCTGTCAGGAACCTCAGCAGGAACGGTCCAACTGTGGAACGCCGAGACCCACAAACACGTGACCACGTTCGCCCAGGAACATGCGGTCTCACGTGATCTGCGGGCGATTGCGATCTCCCGTGACGGCGAGATTTTCGCGTCTGGTGGCGACGACAGACACGTGATTGTGTGGGACACGGCGCGCGGCAGCCTCGTTAGCCGGCTTTCCGACCACCTGGGCCATGTGACTGACGTCAGCATTCCCGGGTGGTCACGTGACCTGCTGTTTTCGGCGTCGCACGACGGCACGGCCAAGTGTTGGGATTTGCGGGCGCGGAGCAGCCGGGCTCCGATCCAGTCGTTCAAGTCACGTGGTGCCATCAACGGCGTTGCGTCGCCCGCCGCCGGGTATGTGGTCACATGTTCTTCCGACGGAAGTATGTCTGTTTACGATGTTCGGGCCGGTGAGCAGGCTGTTACTACGGTTACCGGGGATGTTGTCTCCGGCATGACGGTTTCTCTGTCTTCGCCGTTCATTGTAGGGTTGGGTTCACGTAATGTGTTTCTCTGCGATCTCGGGACTGGTCTTGAGTTGGAGCGGAGGGTTTGTGGGTCTGCAACTTCTGGGATCAGTTTTTTTGACAACGATTCAAAGGTGGTAGTTTCTGCGGGACACGACTTGTTTTGGTATCAAGTTGGGGGGGAAAAGAGTGGTCGGAGGAGTTTGGGGGGGAAAGTTGGCTCATTTTCGGTCGATAACAGGAAGGGGACCAAAGAACTTGCTGTTGTGGTTGGGGGGGAGTTGGAGTGGATCAGGGTGGACGGAAGCGAGGGCCCAGGCGGAAGCGAGGGGCCGGAGGTGTCGAGTGGACAACCCTGAGTTCTATTACGACAGGCTTCCTACCATGGAATTGAGAACAGAGAATGAAGACCAAGTCTTTCTATGTTCACTTACCACCGTTCACTTGGGTAGAAGCAACAGCAGTCCAGTTTCAGAGCTGAGTTTGGTTGTCACCATTCCGCCCTTAACAAATCGGTTCTTGTGTCATCTCACCTCACCTCCTCTTTGACAACCACTTCAGATACCCCCTCATCGATACCACTCAATCGACGAATAAAAACATTCAGAGACAAAATGAAATCCTCATATGGTATGGTAGTCCCTCGCAGAAACCACTCCGACCACTCCAAACCGGTGAAATTCCGTCTCCTGATTAACCCTAGTCGAACCGACAGTCACAGGAGCCACACAGACCAGGTACCTTGCTGATCTTTTTCTTCCGAGCCTTCAAAGATACTCTCCACGACTCTACTCTGTTGATCACGTGATCGTGCCAATAGACCCGTTCAATCAGCTGGGCTTCCCCAACGGCCCGGTCCAACTTTTTCACTACAGTACATACTGTACCCAATAGTCCTTCCTGCGGGCGTGGTGTAAGTTTGATTGTCAACTATAATTCCAACTATTATATCTGATCCCAACTAATGTCAAGTATAATGCGAAAAGAAAGAAAAAAGAAGGAAAAAAGGGATAAAAACAAAAAAACTCATTCAACTCACTTTAATCACCATTCAAGGCTCCTTCATCACCCATAGCCTCCACTCTCTCTTTCTCTCTCTCTCCAACCCTCCAAGTTACCCTACCGACACGTCGCGTCCCGCACCTTAATTAATATATCATGTGCGCGCCTCTTTTTCACCGTCTTGTCACCACCACAACTTTACATCACACAAAACGACACAATGGGTGAGTAATGAACAGAGGGGGCGGAAGGGGGCAGGTATTTGTGGTCACGTGACGCAACAGACGACACAGAGCTGGCACCTTTTGTGGCGCGGGGCGTTGGTGGCGTCGGAGGTGGCGTGGAAACAACGATAGAGTGGGTATTTGCGTCGACCACCGACTTGGGTGACAGATCACTGTTGTCTCCTATCATGACATGGGCTGTGTGTTGGTTTCCAGAAGAGAGCTGCAGTGTTGGTTGACCTCCACTGACACTGACCATATCGCTGTGTTCTACTACCCTCAAATGGCTCTATTCACGTAGGCCGATTCCGGTTGCCACCCAGACTCTGATTGGATCACTGCCGGTGTGGTACTCCGGTGGTGCATCTGTGTCAGTGTGTCCATGCTCAATCTGTTCTGTTATCTTACTAACTCAGATTACGACGGAGGCTTCACTTTCGACTCCCAGGGCGGCTCACAAAAGCCCGCCAACAGCGGCAGCGTCATCCCCGTGACGCTCAAACAGCTCAACGACGCGTTCAACAACTCGCCACCGGCCGGCGCGTTGCAGATTGACGGCGTCCCATCGCAGCACGTGGCCCTATGCGGCAAGATTATCCTGCTCGAAAGCAAGCCATCCTTCTTCATGCTGACGGTCGACGACGGCACCGGGTCCACGGACGTGCGGTTGTTCCGAAAAGGCACCGAGGACGACGAGAACAGCGAGCTAACCGTCAAGGAGGGCGACTACATCTCCTGCGTCGCGGCGCTCAAGTCGTTCAACAACAAATGGATGGTCAACTCGTCCGGGGTGGCGGCCGTGACGGACTTCAACCACGTCATTTTCCACCAGATGCAGTCGCTGCAGACCCACCTCAAGGCCACCGGCGCCAAGCCCAGTGGCGGGGCCGACGGCGTCAAGAGCGAGTCCAAGTCCGGCGCCGATCTCTTTGTCGCCGACAACAGCAATGACGCGCTGTTTGAGATTGTACGCGAACTGACGGTCATGTGTCCTGACGGCGTCCCCACCGAGCAGATTGCTTCTGTGGCCAAGATGTCGGTGGACGAGTCGCGGGACAAGTTGCAGGAGCTCATCACCGAGGGACGCGTCATGGAGTGTATGGACAATCACTACATGTGTATTGCATAGATGGGGGGGGGTGGTATATTTACTGTTACTGGGATGTGTGAGGGGTGCCACCGTCCCAGAATGACGAGAGGGCCTTTTCTCATGAGCATTTGCCTGACTGCTTCTAGTGGTATATACTATTGTGCGGTGTATGTATTAATTGATTTGATTTAGATTATTTTTGTAGTAATAGAAATTAATTCAATAGAAATAAAAATATTGAGTTAAAATTGGAAATAAAATAATTATTAAATACAAAAAATAAAAAATAAAAAATAAAACAAGACAAGTTTTGGTGAAATGAATAAATCAGGAAAAAATTCTCACGCTCACGTAATCGAAAACCTCAATCAAGTGTAGAGAACGTAGCCAAGAGTAACACGCTATGAAAATGGGTGGCACTGTGATCATCCCTGCTCGATTTTGCACACTTTGAATATAAAATCTCCCATTTTCGCTTACGACTTGTAGCGGCAGGAGAGGCTAGGTCTGAAAGGGGGTTGAAGGGGAGCGTCTTCATGAGGTCCATTGGAGTGATTTTTTTTTGAGACTGAACAGACGTTTGAAGCCTTCTGGAGACCCCAGTTATATCAGATTGATCAGTTATCCCGAGCAACAGAGCAGAGAGCACGTCTGGGTGAGGCTGAAGAGTGAGATGTTGGATGTTATAGACGAGACAGAACAGTAGACAGCTCTCAAAGGTAAACAGTGAAATCTTCGAATGCCGATTTGGAACTTATCCAGTTTGAGCGGTTGAGTTGATAGTCGATAGAGTGTTTTGAGCGCTTCCACTGTTGTGATCGAGCTGAGTGCGTGTGTGCTTCCACAGTTCCGTATGATCTGAGTGTGTTCGATATGGTCTGAGTCATAGATTGTGTTACTGAGGAAAGTGTCAACTCTGTCGGTCTTGTGTGAAGTCCCGGTTCTCATCAGTCTCGGTTCTCATCAGTCTCGGTTATCATCAGTCTCGGTTCTCATCAGTCTCGGTTCTCATCAGTCTCGGTTCTCACCAGCTCTGGAGTCTGCTGTAGCACAATTGAGAACCTGTAGTCCCAGAATGTCACGATAAGTGAGGTTCAGAAGTAGTTTGGCCGGTATCAATTGGTGCCTATTGGTGTGATATATATATCGTGTTGGAGTTGCCGTTTCGACATTGTCGGGGCTGTGGCTTCTGACAGGGCGATACTTGTTGGGTTAAATCTGTTGTAGAAGGGATATTCAACAATGGAGTTGACCAAATGTTTTGTATCGGTCTAGGGAGTATAATGATGTAGTTTTTGTTGCAATCGATTCTAGTTAAAATGAATATTGAGTCTTTTGTCTGTAGTCTTGTATCTGGAGTCGAGACATGATGATATCTGTCCCCAACGAGCGGGACTGAGGAGGAAGTGGAATCTGGATGTAACCATTGAAATTGAATATACACTAGGCGTACTTGTATCTTTTAACCTCATGTCTTGGAAGAATTTCACCCAAGGACTTGGAGAAGTCGAGTCAGCGAAGCCAGGAAAGACTTTGAGAAGTCAGTCAGATGGACGATGCGGAGCTCAGAAAAAAGAACAAAGGATTTGGAGGCGTTTTAAATGCTCATTTTAATGTATTTGCGCACTTTTTATCATTCTTAGACGGCTCTAGGTAAAGATGAGTGCAAGTTTGGATGCCTTAGTTCTTACTTTCAACATTACTTGGAATTACTTGATCCAAGTGGGGGTTCTAATCAGGGTAACAACAATTGCAGAGTTGAAAATAGTATATTAATCGAATCTCCGTATCCGATTTCTCAGCCAATTTTCAACTTCAGTGAACATTGTCTGTCAAAATATGAGATTATCATTGTATTTCTCCGCCGATTGAGGTATTTTAGTTGAGAGTTTACTTTAGGAGAGGTCACCAAAACCCAACTCCAACTGCTCGAAATCAAGCGTCCTTCATTGATCAACTTATGCGAATCGACTCTACAACCGACTCTACACATCGACTCGATACTACTCCAGTCACTGATGATGTTTTACGGACCGCGAAATGCAATTGTTTAACCAGATTGAAAATCGATCGAGTTAGATCAAATTGTTCACGATGTGGAACCCCTAACACTCGCAGATTCAGGACTGAGGCTTTACAGGATCGGTCTGGACGGTCTGGTCGGTCTGGTCGTTCGGATCTTCTGGTCGTTCGGATCTTCTGGTCGTTCGGATCTTCTGGTCGTTCGGCTCTTCTACAGGGCACAACCTTCACATCTACACTCACAGCTCACTCCGTTCACTGTTCGCCGTTCACTGTTCGCCGTTCACTGTTCGCCGTTCACTATCCATTAATTACTTCGCCAATCCCTACTTGATCCACCGCCGAATCTCGTCATCGCCCGCGGGCAGATTGTCCAACTGGTCCCACCAGGGAAACAGCGCCTGCTCACAAATGAGCCGGAACCAAGGGGTGAAAACCAGCTTGGGATCGGCCATCATGTCCTTGAGTCCCTGCTGCGACACCCACACGGTATCGCGGACCTCGTTGGCCACCACCTTGAGCTCGGGGTCGCCCCGGACAAACAGAATGTAGTCAATCTCGTGCTCGCCCCAGGGGCCCGAGGAGGGCGCGGCGTAGTGGATCCGGGTGAGGAAATGGAACTTGTCTGCCGGAACGGCCTTGGGGTCGATTCCCAGCTCGTGCTCAAGCTTCCGGACCGCGGCGTTTTTGGCGCCCTGGATCCGGGACTCCAGATCCAGCCCGCCCATCTCGCTGGGCACCGCCAGAGGATGCGAGCAGCACGTGTTGGTCCACATGTTGGCAAAGGTGATTTTTTCCGCCGCCCGCTGCTGCAGAAGCAGCTCACCGCGGTCGTTGAACATGAACACGGAAAAGGCCCGATGCACCAGTCCGTCGTTGATGTTGTCCATCAGATGACAGCACTTTTTGGACGCGCCGCCAATCGGCTTGTCGTCCCAGTCCAGCACCACACAGATCTCGTCCATCAGCTTGATCTGCTCCTCGTCGTGGCCATCAAATAGCTTGGCCGACGAGTCCGACGACTCCGTGCTGGGCCGGCTAGCCTTGGACACGTCCGCAATCGGCGCCACCTCAGGAAACTGCTGAGCCACAGAGCTCACGCTGATACTCTTGATTTTGTCGCTGTAAGACGTCGTCATGGTCACGATGGTGATATGGAGAAATGGTCACAATGTGAGATGGAGAAATGATACCAACGGTGACTCCAGTCAACTCTATGACAAGTGTAGTGCATGTGCATACTGCTGTCAAAGTCGAAACAAGGGGGCCCAAAAACGCGCCGGAAACGCGCCAGAAATGGCTGATTTTGATATCCACGTGATCCTCTAGATCCAACAACTAACCAGATTACCTCCATTTTCACCTACGATTTCCACACCACATTCTGGAACCACCCCAATCCCCGAGAAAAAAACCCTAATTGCATCCCCATTTTGGAACCCTAGTTTGGAACCTTATTTTAATAAAATTTGGGACCATCGAACGGTTCATTCTCGTATGTCTCGTATCCGTCGCGTCATCTAGTCACGTGAAAAGTCGGCGGGAACTATCGATCTAGTCACGTGATATTCCACACTAACCTCCCGTTTCCCCGCTTTCCCGTTTCGGTCACGTGATTACAACCCCCCACTCCCCCTACTCCATCCTTTTTCCCTATGTACATTCTCCCAACTTCTGGTTGGACAGAATTCATTTGTAGGTTTTCACTGGTAGAAAACTGACGCGCGTGGGAAAGCAATTCAGAATCTGTGTATGAAAGCGAAAAACTGTTTGATTATTTTTGATTTTTTTTGGTTTTTTTGGTTTTATATATCTTTTATTTCTCATCTTTTTTTTTGATCTTTTATTTTTATTTTTTTGACGAGTGAAAAATTTAAACTTTGTCAATACACGTCATATACAAGTACAAGTACAATATCCAACTCCTGATCGCAACATGAACAGAAATCAACTACAACTGTTGGTAATCTCTAGAGAGTCACGTGACCAGGCTTCAGTCTATGTGTTGTCCACATTTGTGGAATCGAAATAGGTGAAATTTGGTAAAACAACGAAGAAAAACGAAGTCTTTTTCTCTTATTACCCATTTCCCCTTGACGGTAAAGGAATTCTGATTATACCATTGGATTCTCCTGAGTCCTCTCTTCAAATCATGTCCATATTTCGCACATGACTAATACATTTACAATCTACACTGGTTGGAATTTGGTATGTACTATACTTTTCTGTTTCACGTGACCGGTTGTAACACTGATTCACAGTCAGGTTTGGTCAGTTTGGGCCCCAGCAACGGGCAACCAAACCTGTCACCATGTGAAACAAAACAACAGAAAATCTGAAACAAACAGAAACATATATACATCTATCTGATTAGGTAAGCTGAATCCCTTGCCCACGTGCGCTTCACGTGACCTGACCCTTAAACACACGATACACGATATATCTCCTGCCACGTGACCCATAAACAATATTTCCCTCCCACCCCTCCACGTGACCACCGCTGTCTCCATGTTTACCTCGTTCATTAGACTTCACAAAAGGTGATACGGCATATCAGCACTGGTTCGTCCGGAGCGTTTGTTGAACTCGGTCAGATTAAGAGCCAATGGAAAATTGAAAAAAAGAATTGTATTTCTGGTCACGTGAGGAACAAAATGCACTTTTTGGATAGAGTCTGCGACCTTCACTTCGTCCGTCAAATGGGTCTGTATTCCGTCTCCGTCAATGTCCCCCCCCCCCCCCTTCAAACTCTATTTTAACCCCGGGTAACTGACCAAAATGGCTGCTAAATAAAGTGTGTGAAATATCACTACGTGGTTTCTTCAGATCAGATCAAAAATGTCCAAGGTGAGTGTGGCAAATGCGCGCGGGGACCAGGCGAGGTCTCGTGATTGGGCTGATGGGGTGTGTGCGACGCGCTCTACTCCGTATCTGCTGATCACGTGACTGCGGCCGGGAGGGGGGCTACTGAAAGTCGTGGTTTGTGTTGCAGAGTGTGTTTTTGTCACTGAATGTGTTGGTGTTGCAGAATGTGTTGTATTACAGACTGGTTTTTAGGACGACTTTTGGCGAGGATGTGGCCAATTTGAGGGGCGGGGTGTTGTTAGGGGGGTGTTAAATGGGTGGGTGTGTTTTATTTTCCTATTTTTCCGAGTTTTCCTATTTTTCGCAATTTTCCGATTAATTTCGGCGAAAATCGGCAAAAATTGGACAGGATTCCATGCTTTTAGGAGTTCCAACGTCGTTATCACCTCTGGACTCTTCCTGATTGGATTGTGACTCCGTTTGAGGCTCTGGGTCGACTCTGGACTCGGCTCTCCTCAGCTCTCCTTAGCCCTCTCTCAACTCTCATCTATCATCTCTCCACCTTCTGCTCCCATAGTCGTGTTCATTCTCCATTACATCATCTAACACAGCGCCTCGAAAAACCTTCCAAGACCGAGTTTGAGTCCCGCCAGACGGAGCTCAAGGCGACGCTCGACGCCAAGGTCAAGACGCTCAACGCAGCGATCGACGCGGTCAAAAAGACTCAGGGCAACGGCAAGAACCCCGCACTCGACGCGCTGCACGACGAGCTCAACGACATCAAGAGCCAGCAGAATGCCTTCAAGCAGGGAAAGCAGGGCGTTTTTGACGAGATCAAGACGATCGACCAGCGCATCTCCGGGCGAATCAAGGACGTGCAGGCCGCCAAGGCCAAGCTGCCAGTGCGAAACGCCGACGAGGTGGAGAAGCGAATCGAGCAGCTCGAGGACTCGGTCGAGTCCGGCCAGCTGCGAATCCTGGACGAGAAGAAGGCGCTCACCGAGATTAGTCAGCTGAAAAAGTCCAAGGCTGCGTTTGCCAACATTGCCAAGATGGAGGAGGCCATTGCAGCTGACAAGGAGACCGTGGCTGGCATCCGGGCCGGCATCGACGACTCCGAGTCGAAAAAGCTGCATCTGCGGGCCCAGGAGATCATCAAGAAGATTGAGGAGTCGCGGGCCGAGCGAAACGAGCTCAAAAAGTCGCGGGACGCGCTGTACGCAGCCCGAGACAAGGCATTTGAGGAGAAGCACGCCGCCAACGCCGAGCTGCAGGCTCTGCGGGACGAGTACTATGGCGCTCTCAAGCAGTACCAGGACCAGTACGCTGCCGACATGGCTGTTCGACGGGAGAAGGAGAAGGAGGAGCGACAGGCGTACGAGAAGGAGAAGCGTCTGGAGCGGGCCAAGGCCAAGCTCGAGATTGCGTCCACCCCTGCGTTTGGCGTGGAGATCGTCGAGACCGAGAATCTGCTCAACTTCTTTGAGAAGGAGTCCGGCGCCTCCCCGGCCGCCGAGTCTAAGGCCTCTTCTCCCTCGCCCTCCATTGACCCGTCCAAGGTCATCAAGAAGGACGTGGGCACCTTCATGGAGGGCACCGGCGGCAAGCGGGGCAAGAAGACCCGAGGTGCCAAGGCCGGCGACAAGTTCAACCTCAACCTGACGGTGATCGAGTCGCTTTCCGCCCTCTCTATCGGCATCCCCGGTTCCAAGTCCGAGGTGCCCGAGGTAGTGGAGCAGCTCAAGAAGAAGCTCAACTACTACAAGGACAACCAGGACAAGGTCACCAAGGAGAACATCCGAAAGGCCGAGGAGGAGATTGCCAAAGCCGAGGAGGATGTTGGCCAGGAGCAGGAGGAGGCATGAGAGTAGCAGAGAGAATACTCTATTCCACAGGCTACGCTGATTGTAATAAAATGATTAATACAGAGAATGTTAAAGTGTAGGAGTCAATTTTGGCGCAAAATACGACCGGGTTTTGTATGATGAATATCGCACCGGCCCAGCGGTTTCAGTAGTGGCGTCAGTTGCGCTGTTGGTTCAGTGGATTGACGATATTCAGTGGTTGGAAATGAGTTGATGTTGGATATAACACGAGCCAGTCCACGACGGAAGATGCTAGAAACTTGAAATTAATACCAAAAATACAGTGTCGTCACTCGCTCTATACTCAGTCGCCGTTTGAAATCAACTTACAATCGTAGTGCCGCGCATTTTAAACCCCCGATAACACTGCCATTGAGACACAAATAGCACCGTTGAAATGCCCCCCGTTTCGCAGACTCCAAAAATATACTTTTCTTCCCCATATCATCACTGCCACGTCCAATTCAACAACCCTTCAACAACACTGTACATTGAGTTTGCCTCTAAATTAACTCTCGTATTCGCTTCGTATACGAATACGAATACGATTTCGGGAGTCGAAAAACCCACATTTCGCCGACACAATGAGACTTTTTTTGTTTTATAGAATCGCTGCGGAATCTTCTTCGGTTACATGACCAGGTGGATCTCCCAAATGGGGACCAACATCCGAATACGACGGGAAAAAAAACCATCTTTGTCTGGTTTTCTAATTTCCGAGCCGCACCGATCTAAATAGGAAAAAGTAGACCTCGTAAATGTTTGAATACCGTTTTAAACAGGGCTCAAGAATTTTCGTCGTTTGTGACTACACGTTATCTCACGTGATTGTTCCAACAGCTAGATATATCATACATCAATTCATTTGTCGGTCAACGATATGGATATACATGAGAAGTCAGATGGCCACCTCTCCCGTCTACATAATGAACTTGAGGTTCACATCGGTAGGATGAGAGGCACTCAATTGCGGCTTCTGTGAATATTTGCCCCGCAGAACCTCCCGCATATTGTTCAGCAATGACAAATAGCTCTGGTTGGGGTCACGTGTCATAACCTCGATGAAGGCAAACGACATGGCGCCGGTGGCGGTGCCGCCCTCCATGGCGTCGGCAGAGGTCTGGCTGTCCTTGCATCCGGAGATGGAAATGGCGTCACAGGGTGCCGTCTTGGTCTGTTTGGCCCGCTGGTTGGCTCCCGAGCCAGTGGTGGCCTGTTTGACGGTTCCCATGATGGACGACAGAGCGCCTCCGATGTCGCCCCGGGCGTAGGACGACACAGCACCCAACAGGCCTTGTCCGGCCTCCTTGGCCAGGTTGGGCTCCTTCAAAATGCCCTTGGTGGAGTAGACGTAGGGCAGATCGAGGGCTGTGCCTGAGTGGCACGAGTCGAACAACGCGGTCAGGCGGCATCCAGGAGGAAGCGACTTGACAAGAATGTCATGCAGCACGTCGTCGATGATGGATCCGGCCCGTTGGAAGTCCACGGGATAGATGCATTCGTCGTAGCCATCGTCCTCGTCGCCGTCGACATCCTTTTCCTGGCCGCCGTGGCCCGAAAAATGAAACACCAGCGAATCGTTGGGCTGCGCGCCCTTGACCAGCCACTGGCACGCCTGCAGAATGTTCTGCTTGGTGGGGATCGACCGCTGGTCGCGCTGGTCGTCGGTGAGAATCACCATGTCGTCGGGCTTGTATCCCGCCCGCTGCACCAGGTACCGCTGCAGGTTGTGCACGTCGTTGATACAGCCTCGCAGCGCGTTTTTGGAGCCAATGTAGTTGCAGCCAATCAATAACGCCTTCTTCTTACCCGAACAGTTGGAGTACTGGAAATGGTAGCCCTGGGTGCCTCCAAATGCCTGGTTGCCCTGAGGAGGCATGTTGTGATTTCCGTGCGGTCCGGGCGGTCCGGGCTGTCCGTATTGTCCTGGGGGCGCCTGATTGCCCATTCCGGGGTGTCCATATCCTCCTCCGCCGCCCCCCTGGCCTCCAGGAGGACCTTGAGGAGGTCCATAGTTGCCCCTTTGCCCAGGAGGGGGTCCCTGTGGGGGTCCATAGCCGCCAGGACCTCCCGAACCTCCGTATTGGCCTGGAGGAGGACCCTGAGGAGGCCCATATCCACCTCCCGAACCTCCGTATCCCCCTCCAGGACCTCCATATCCGCCACCATACTGGCCCGGAGGAGGGCCCTGGGGAGGTCCATAGTTGCCGCCGCCGCCGCCATACCGGTCCTGCTGGTTGTATCCGCCATATCCGCCGGGCGGGCCGCCGCCATAAGTGTTGCCGCCTTGTCCTGGGTAGCTCATTTCGATTGTATAACTGGTAGTGATGGCGGTGATGATGTCACAATGCCATTATGCATGCGGATTTTAGGGTTCGGATCGAAGGTAGGGTAACTGGCTGATTGTGGGGATGAAGAGTGACTGGGGAGCTGGGAGCTGGGAGCTGTTACGGGGAGGGGTGTTGTATCACGTGGCCGTCGTTGGGTGGTCACGTGACTTCTTATTTCCCCGGTTCGGGGTCTTTTTTTGGCCTGGTGCCAAGAGAATGTGTGTAGGGCTGAGCCGAGGCTGAGTCATGTTCTAAAATTAGATGATGTAATATTTGGCAGATGAGTGGGAAATTGAATAAAAAAAGTCACGTGGGTCACGTGGGTGGGAAGGGTGTCACGAGGTTATGGGGATGGGTCACGTGAGGTTGGTATGTAGATGTTTCTCTGGCAAACGCGGTTTAGAGAAGCGTTGAGGGTTGTAGGATCGTTACTAGTGAAAATCGTTGACAATTCGGACCAAATAAGTAACACAAAAAAACAACAAAAACCAACAAAAATGTCAAAAAACAACAAAAATGACAATCAAAAACCAACGTGTCAATCACAATCAATTGACTCGATAGGAACATTCCAAATGCCTTGTTGACTACTTTTAAACTCCAAATGTCTCAGGAACAGAACGTCTGAGCGATGAAAGGTGCGAAAGGTCACGTTACTTATCACGTGAGAAGGAAAAACAAGTTAAATAATTGATGTTTGCGATTACTGGAATGCTAGAAACAAGTGTTTGTAGGGTATCAATGGGCGAGTCTTGTAGACACCAGTAGTAATTGTAAGAATATTCAGATGTCTTCCATGGGGGTCAGAGGATGGTTTGAGGGAAGTAGACTATTCTAAGTGACTCTCCAGTGATTCTCCAGCCCAATTGTAGTATTATGATGAACTCTCGGATCGATTTCCGTTTGATTTGAATGTTTTATCGTCTACTTGTAGTTGTGCAGTTGCAATTGTGGTCCAGACATTCTGATGGTGCTGCGTGGTCGTGCAAAGAACAGGAGCACCGAGATTGCTTGGATGTTCTAGTGCTGCTGTTGTTTGTGCTACTTCTAAAGTTCGTGAAGTTGCTGACTCGACTGCCACCACCATCGACTCGCACGGAAGACACTGCTTGCCCCACATCGCAGACCTACCGTTTGGCCCTTACTGTTACCCGCTGCATTATCACCATGTCTTTGTGGTCATGGTGTCTTTCCACCCCCTCCCGCAGATGTACTCCATAAGGTCTCCAGAGAGCATGAGTCCCGCGAAAGGAGCACCGCGAAAGGAGCTTGGAGTGCAACACAGTATGAGAGAGAGTGGCAAGTCTTTCTGACACCAAAGCATTGTAAAAGGGTGCAATAATGGAGGTGTTCCGGAGACTTTTGTCACTAGCACCATTCCTGTCTTCTCAACTACATTGGTCCTCCCCCATTGACAGCGGTTGGCACCGACCATCCCGTGTTCCCCATCCCATGTTCCCCCAGGCTTGCATTGTGGGACACTGTTGAGGGTCTGTCAGGGACACTTCCGGTCCGGGGCCATTCGCCGTTCTCCAAGTCCCACCTTTCCTACATCTTGGGCTAAATCAACTCCAGCCACTCGACAGACTCGCGCCGCAGTTAGTTCCACGTTTTGGCCAGACTTGTAGCAACATGCTCCCACATTCCGCGGCATGGTGCGAATCAGTACAACTGGTCTTCTTGTCGCAACCCATGGCAATCATCAGACCCTTGTCTGGCTCACTCACTTGACTAACGGACCAACTTGTCTGACGGACCCACATGCCACTCCTACTCCGCTCCTCTACTCATCTACAGGTCGCTCAAAAAGTGAATGCTCTAGAATATATGCTAATTAGTATGCCTCTTGGCGTTAGTGGTGGCGGGGTTGCTGGAGCCTTGTATTCCAGCCCATTAACAGCGGTCTGAGTGTTGCTGGTTGTGTTACTCGGCGTGGACAGTGGACCACCTGCGGTTCTCAACTACTTGAGCTTATGCATCAACCCCACTTCCTCTCCGTCGTCGTCGTCGTCCTCATCCTTTTCCTCATCTTCCGCGTCTAGTCTCAAATGGTCATCATCATTGCCGGTGCTCTTGATGGTCACCTTGGCCTCCCTCTTGGAGATTGGGGTTAAAGGCATTCCGACAGCGGCCTCCTCATCCGGGGAGTAGTACGAAGTGTCGACGTGGTACTCGTCCACCTGGGGGGTGGTGGGGACGACTTCGGGGATATCGTTTACGGTGGCGACAGTCACATCTTTCTTCATGGCCACCCAGATGGCGCTGCCGATGATCAAGCCTCCTCCCAGCACACTCCACACGTCTGGCCAGTTGTTCCACAGCACCTTGTCCCACAGCAAGGCCCAGACAATCTGAGTGTACGTAATGTTGGCCACCTTGGCCGCCTTTTCTCTCGTGAGCGCTCCAGTCATGCACAGCTGGGTCATGAAGCCGCAGAGCGCGAGAATGACAATGAAGGCGGCCTGGCTCCATGTGTGCGGCAGTCTGATGCCCTTGCCGGTGTAGACTAGCGCAATCAGACTGATGAGCCAGCACCAGGTGGAAAAGTACTGCACGTTGACTGTCGGGTGGGCTCTGTCGCCTATGGATCGGATGGCGACAAACGCGGAGCCTCCACCGAGAACTCCGAGCATGGAGAAGCCAATGGAGCGGAGGCGGTCAATGGGGCGCACGCCGCTGGTGTCTCGTGAGCCGGTGATGAGCTGGAACAGGAAGACCGGTCTTGCAATCAGAATGACTCCGCAGAAGGCGACCAAGCCTCCGAGCGCCATACTTCGGGTGAATTTCTCGCCCAGGAACATCCACGCCAGAAGAGAGGTGGCCACAGGAGTCAGAAACGTGAGCACTGTGGCGTCGGACAGTTCCAGGTAGTTGAGCGAGTAGTAGAGGCCAAAGACCCCGAAAAAGCCACATAGGGCCCGAATGACCAGCAGGTGTCTGACCTCGGGGATTCCGGTGATGAACTGCAGTCGTGGAGGCAGGTTTTCCTCCTGTTGCTTCACTTTGCGGGCATACACCTTGTGCTGGCCCCACAGCACCACTCCTATGGTGAGTGACATTCTGAGAAAGAGAATCTGGAAGGCGTTGAAGTCGTCGTCGGGGTTGTTTCCGTTTTGCAGCAGTCGAGCAGTCACCGCCATGCCGCTGGAAAAGAAGGAGCTCATCAGCGCCAGCAGCATGCCTGTGTATCCTTTGGTGAGAGCCTCGAACTGCGTCAACAAGTGTTTGGCAAGCCGTTTGACGGTCGTTCGGGAGTCGTCGAGCGTCATGGTGCACCAGAAGAAGCGTGAGTATGTGAGTGCAAGGAGTTATCTTCTCCAAAGTCTCTCTCTCCACTGTCACTTCGAGATTTTCTGGGCTGGACTTGAGAGTTTAACGTTACCTTTTGACATATGGTTTGGACGGCAGAGTTTGAAATTCGGGGGTAAAATGCAGAATCGGGCGATTTTTGGCGTCGGAAAACGTCGGAATTGGTAGAGACGATGTTTCTGAGTCGATTGCAACTTGCAGATTCACCACACCATTCTTCCATCCCCAGTTATCCACACTTTGGCCACTTTCAAACTCGCCTAAAATAAACTTCCGCCATGTGCTACTATGCACAGTATCTGAGTGGCTTGTCTGAGAGCCTGAGTCACAGAAATGGGTCAAGACATGCAATGTTTGCCAGACGGAGACACGGGGTGTGGTCAGTCACGTGACGTGCGGCGGGTGCCCCCCGAGGTCTTTTCCGGTCACGTGGTTGTATCCTACTTGCACCTCTCCATATCTTGTCTCAATTTCGGATTAATTTGAGAGACTTTTTTTTTTTTTTCGCCTCTGAAATTAAACTCTGGAGGCTGCATCCCGATATGGAACCCTGGGTTGGGGGGGGATTTTTTACGAAAATGTTGGGGTGGACATTTCTCGATGACTAATGGGTAGATTGAGAGAGGATATTGTCACGTGTGTGTGCGTGTGTTTATCTCGTGACTCGGAACAATCTGCCGCATTTTTCTCCCGCATCAATATCTCCATTACTCACCGACTGGTCGCTCTTTTCCTCTCACAGTATAACCGTCTACTTTATGATAGTCTGTTCGGTGAGGGGCTAAATGGTGCTTTTTGGTCATAACACCCGATCTAATGCCCTGATTCAGACCATTTGACAACGAGTCTATTGTCCGCGACGTCACGTGACCGCGCCAACCACGGGCGTGCGTTCTTTTTGGTCTTTTTGGTCTTTTTCCGTCTTTTTCCGTCTTTTTCCGCCGGTTACAAACCCCCCGCCGCCGTTAATCGTCCCATGACTAACAAACTCTCGTCTCCGCGTGGACTTTTAGCAACTCCGTCAGCTTGGGTGAACCCTCGGTGAACTCTGTCTCTTCTCCCTGCGCTCGTATGTGCCGTTTGGAGTTTCGCATTTTGACATGGTCTGGTGACTTCATTTCTCATCCTACAGTCGAGAGACCACGTCCATTGTGATGGTCAAGAGTGGACGAGTCTAATGGTACTCATTGCGAGCGGATTTGGGCGGTATTTCGCCAGATCGAGGGATTCGCAAAAGTCCAATTTCCGGATTTAAACACGTTCGGCTACAACCTCAGGCGCATTCCTACAGCAACACGCGTACCGTGAAGTGTCTGAGCCTTGCCTAGGGGCGCTTTTGCTCCAAGATTTAATCACCAGAGCCCCGGTCGGAGGGGGCATGTGTGGGTCTCGAGATACGATGAACATACGGTAAAACGACCGCCCGCTGGTGGTTCGTCTTGCAGAGAGCTCTTTAACTGCGTGTGTCCGATTCAACGAGACTAGATGATCATGTCTCGTACCCCCCGTATATCACGTGACCCATACTCATGCCACCCACGTATAACCACTTCGACAAACTCGACTGCGCCTCGTCTCAAAAATCGTCTAGCTCTGACTCTAGCTCGGGATGCCAATTGTGGGGTCATGAAAAGAGAAGAAAATTCAAACGTCTATTTAGACGGTAGGTTTTGCGCAGCAGAGCTGGGTTGGGGTGTCACGTGATTGGTCATGTGATTGGATGACACGAGACCAATGCGTCTCTGTCGGTCAAGAGCTCCAGGGATGATTTGATTGAAGGTAGGGTAGTACATACTGTACATGGCTAATTGCTCGCATAATGATGAAATGAGAAGTCATCACGTGATGAGTGGAACCAGCTTGGTCGTAGACGAGATGTCCATCCTGTAGATGGGTTTATCCACTGATCTAGAATCTCTTTCTGGTGTATGTTACTATCGGAATGTGCTGTCCCTAGAAGTGAGTTGTAAGTCGTTACATTAACTATATCTAACCAATAATACTTATGAACTTCAATACTGTAGACGAGAGGAAACGATATATATATATATATAATGTCTCAGACGTGAACAAGTATATAGGAATACTCGCTGGAGTTGGAGCTATCCATTGGTGCTAGAATAAGGTCATTATATGCATCTTCGGTGGTGTCCACAGAGATTTTTTGATTTTTTGATTTTATGTATTTTATTTATTTTATTTATTTTATTTATTTTATTTATTTTATTTATTTTATTTATTTTATTTTATTTTATTTATTTTATTTATTTTATTTATTTTATTTATTTATTTTATTTTATTTATTTTATTTATTTTATTTTATTTATTTTATTTATTTTATTTATTTTATTTATTTTATTTATTTTATTTATTTTATTTATTTTATTTTATTTTATTTTATTTTATTTTATTTTATTTTATTTATTTATTTTATTTATTTTATTTTATTTTATTTTAATGCTAACTATGATCGCACTCAATACATACTTAGCCTTAGTAACTCACTTATATCACTGGAGATTCCTCTGTCTAAACCACCCATGAGTTCCCTCGAAGACGGATATTCTTCTGGTATACACATTTTTCCAAAATGGCTTTTATTTCTTTTTCTTTTTTTCAATTATCTTTTTTTTTTCAATTATCTTTTTTTTCCCAAAAACTCCCCCGGAAATTATGCTTTGGCCAAACTTGACATTTAACCATCACCATGATCCAACAACGTCTGTTTTCGACCGCCAGAGTATGGCGACAGGCCCAGAAAGCTGCTGAGTCAGCGCCCAAGGAGAAGTCGAAACATGTGAGTCACGTGATTCTCGACGTGCGCAGCGCGATCAAAGAGTGGAGGAGGCCGCGACTGATGATGTGCTGTGGAGCTCTGTTGTGGCTACCCCAACAGGTGGCGGGCGATTGCAACGATATGGTGGCACGACACCACCACCCATGTGGTCACAGCACCAACCCTGACTATGTGGCAACACCCTTTCTCAGCTATTCAGAACCCTCCATCACATCTCAACTCTGAAAATTCCAACTCCACCCCAACTAACCTAGATCACAATCTATCAGCAGTTCGGAAAACCCTTCTTCAAGGTCTTTGCCGTGTCGCTCATTACTCTCAAGGGCCTGCAATTCTCTCTGGGCTACCTGGAGAACGAGGAGAAGGAGCTGGCCAAGTAGCCACTGCGCGAGCCGGACAAACGACCACCTGTCGTAGACCAGGGGCGTTTATAGACATGTAAATAGCTGATATATCTCGAATTGAACTGAAAATCACGTGATATTGGCGTCTCGTGGAAGAAAGGCACGTGAGATTGTGTTGTATTGCATAAGCATGATACTGATACTGGTGGTTCAGAAAAGGAAGCCGGTTTCAATGAGACTGGTCTCGGTTTTCTGACATTGATATTGGCGAAGCTGTTGGCGATAATGTCAATATCTAACTTCAGGTAAGAAAAATTCTGAAGCCCATATTCTACTGAAACAACTACAGTATAGCTACTGTTAGTAAGCTGCTTTCTTCACCATTCCAATGACCAAGCTCTGGTGGCTGTAGCATTGGAATTGATCGAGTTATGACACACGAGATGTTCAACAAAATTTAGTTGAACTTAGTTGGGTAAAAAATCGACTGGGGGTCTTAATCTGGGGTTACAGAAATGGTGAAAGTGTTGAAGGACTATTATTCAACTCTACCCAGACAATTTCTAAACTAATATATAAATTGGTATACTATTGTCATACAGATATGTAGAGTATTCCCGGATTTTATTCGCGTACGATAAGTAACTGTAGTTAGAATATTAGTTAGGACTCAATAAACTGTTAATAATACTTGAAAAGAGACATTCTTGTATATGCAGGAATAAAAGATCGGAGTCACGTGACAGATACTACGCCCTAAATCAAATCAGAGTCACATGATCACTATCACCTCCAATTGCTACAAGTACAGGTAGTATTCAAAGAGTACAATGTTGTACATACTATTTCTATGATAGATACAAGACATGAATGGAGTGCAACGCAGGCTGGTTTTGAGTCACGTGAGAGGTCACGTGAAATTTCCCCATAACTCAAGCTCTCCCCATACCGTGTCCGTTTGGGGCACATCACTCCGCTGAGCTGTCACCCCAAGTCAACAGCAGCCCGCGCAACCAGTACTTTGCAGTTCCAGTATCACGTTTCCGGAACGTTCTGATCACGTGATTTTCTTCTCTCCACCTCATTGTGATCACATAAATCATTGCCTTCCTTCTCCCTGTTTCTCACACAACTCATCGTTGTCTTCACCTCCGCCACTATTGTTCGTGGGATCTCTCCCTCTTTTTTGCCGGTCCAAGTCGCAGCTGACTAATCATCGCCAAAGCGGCAGTAGAGGTCACGTGGATGATGAAAATGAGCACCAGTGTGTAGATGATTGTTCGTTGCATGTTGAATGGAGTTGGAGTGGTTTGCGGGGGTTTTGTCGGATTCTTTTTCGGATTTTGTTTCGGGGGTGTGTCGAATTTTGTCGAATTTTGTCGAATTTTGTCGGATTTTGTCGGATTTTGTCGGAATCTGTGTCGGATTTTGTATCGGAATCTGTGTCGGAATCTGTGTCAGAATCTGTGTCGGAATCTTTCTGTTTGTGTAACTGGCTGATTCTGTCAGGATCTGTATGTCTGTTTCTGTGGACTGAGGGATATATGGTGTTGTTATAGTAGTGGGATTTTCGACTGTATCGCGTGCAAAAAATTAGGGTTAAACCGTTATCTAAGCGAAACTTTATATCTGTACTATGAAAGTCACGTGAATAATGGTGTTACGTAAGCGAAAAGTTGACCATTTAATCACAGGTCATTTCCTGAAATTGTCATCGGAATCAAGACAACTCCAATGACAAATTGATGCTGTAGAATGTGAAGAATAACCATTAGAAAGAAAAAATATCAAAAATTGATGTTGGTTGTAGAGTTGAAGAATAGCCATTAGAATAAAAAGATATCTGTTTGACCAAGCCATTAATAGCACCATTAGAACCCTCTCATTCGGCTCGTCCTTCCGGTATGGTGTTTGGAGTGCCCCGATTAGTTTCAGGTGGCGAATCTTCACTTTTGGCGTACCTGTTCTATGGGTACAATACTTGTAGTAATAAGTGACAATATCAAGTTTAAAATCACGTGAGACAATCACAGGCTCGATTTCTGGACTTTTACGAACTACTGTACAAGTACAGTTTCCATTGAGGCTCAGCTACAAGTCCAAGTACAGTATGTACAGCATCTCAGTTGAAGATGTATATTTGGGGGTTTCTCGAAAGATTCAGAACCGCGCAATAATACAATGTTTGGTAATACTTGTTTTTCTATATACTGATAGTTGTACCAAATTATTCATTTCTGTTGCCAGCTTACGTTGAAAAGATCTATTGTAGAAGTTCAAGTATGTACGAGTATTCGCAGCAGAGTATACACATGGGCTGAACAGGCGACCTCACCTACAAGAACGGTCCCCCAGACGTGTTGTTGAAGGTAATACCCGGTCGGGTAACACCTGGTCCTTTCCTCACATAGTGATGAGAGAATCCAGTTTGGTTGTAGACGAGATATCCATCTTGTAGATAGTTTTATTCACTCTCATCTAGAATCTCTCATCTAGAATCTCTTTCTGGTAAATAAGCAAGCACACGCCAGAAGGGTGTTTGCTATTATCGGAACGTGGTGTCCCTAGAAGAGAGTTGTAAGTGGCTACATTAACTATATCTAATCAATAATACTTATGATCTTAATACATGTTAGTATCGTGCATGCCCCCTGCAGCATGTATGCGTATAGATGGCGTAAACTGCATACAACGTGCATATATATGCACCTGTTTCCCCACATTGGTTTAACTGCTGAGGCGGCAGTCTGTGCTCTTAACTTCTTAGATACTCCTCTCTTCTCATCCGACCTCTTGGAGTTGACCCGAAACAAACACAAACGACTCAGACCGAGAGACTCAGGCACAGACGTGACACAGGCAGAAACAGAGGCATAAAGACGGTTGGAAGACAGAAACAGAGACATAAATATCGCTTGGAACACGGTTGGTTTGTGTCTCCGATGGCGTTACTATTCGTGTCTCCGTCTGAATCGCTGTTTATGTCACGCCTCTGTCTGTGTCTCGCCTGTCTGTGCCACGTCTCTGTCCGTACAACTTGCCACCCCGTTTTCGTCATCTGGGCTCCCTCCATTTATCCCGCGACGGTGTCTGCGCCCATCACTTTTCGATTACTTCCGTCGTTGGGTTCGTCTTTTGGTCTGTCGTCACTACCACTCTCGTTATCTCATCTCAATTCCAGCACTTTACCTCATACTGCGGCTGTTGTTTCACAACCGTGTGCTAATATCTTGACCCTTTGTAAAACTCAGCCTCCTGCGCGACAGCGGCCTCGTCACTAATTCCGCTCAAACCAATTACCCCGTTCGGGTCACTTCTCTCTAATCTCTTACCTACAGGGCCCTTACGGCGGACCCAACGCTTTGTCACGGCTTCAGCGCATCGTATCTTTGTTTGTTGGTGGGATGGGTAGACGGCGGTTCAAAGCAGTATAGAATGGAGGTGGTGTGGAGGCGGATATGGTGATGGTGAAGCGAGTACTTGGACCGTCCTAGTTACATGAGCACTGTGATGAAACTATGTGTCCACTGGCATATTTCACCCCCCCCCTCCAGATCCGTCGACAGGATCGCAACCAGTAATACAGCTTTCGAGAATCCTTATCCAGCCACGAATCTTCAGAGTAATTTCAATGCGTCGTCAGGTTGGATCTCTGTCTTCGCTCATGACACTGTCCGCAACTACCAAACTGTGCAAGGGGCTCACTCACCTACCGAATCACCACGACCCAGTGTCATTTCTTTGGTACTCAGTCCAGTCTCTACTCTGCTTAGCATCGACTCTATCAGTTCATTTCAAGGGCGACTGTCACGCTGACTTACAGTCTTCGTCTACCTTGTACTTGACTGCTTCTGAGGTGGACTTCCCTGTGCGAGTATTGATTTCCAGGGTCCACGGTCCGGCGGCTCTAGTCGTCGATTCACAGAGGCTCACAATGTCTAGTCTAGGTCGATTCCTGTCATTGAACTGTCATTGAACATCCCCCCCCCCCCCCCTCAAACACAGACTTTTCTGTTGGGTCTCCCCTTTAACTGCTGATTTCTCTGCGCCTGTACTGGCCAACGCACATGTCTAGACACTGTGGATGTGCTGCTTATCTTTGGCTTTCGACGTTCAACAATTTGATAGATCTCTACATTGACATTCGGCCCTTCTCCGGCACTCACTCAGGCGATGCGGTCAACGTTTGGCACCTGCGATACTTGACTATGGTGGAACTACGATACTTGGCTACTGTACGCCTCTACGTTCGTGACGATGTCTACATTTGTACTCTCTCCGACGTCCTACGATCGTGCGGTTGTGTCGCATAAATCATTAATATAAACATTTTCCCCTAAGCCAGGTCCTTCTTCAGTCTGTTGGCCACAGCGTCGATAAACTCCTCGGTCAGCACATACGAGGATCGGTCGGTCTTGCCACCGGCCAGAGCCAGATCCTTGGTCATAATGCCGTCCTTGTCAACAGTGTCGACGGTGGCCTTCTCGAGAGCCTCGGCAAACTTGGTCACCTCAGGGGTCTCGTCGAGAATGCCTCGCTGGATGAGGCCTCGGGTCCAGGCGAAGATGGAGGCAATGGAGTTGGTAGAGGTCTCCTTGCCCTGCTGGTGCTGTCGGTAGTGTCGAGTCACGGTGCCGTGGGCGGCCTCGGACTCAAAGGTCTTTCCGTCGGGGGTGACGAGAACAGAGGTCATGAGACCGAGAGAGCCAAAGCCCTGGGCAACAATGTCGGACTGCACGTCTCCGTCGTAGTTCTTGAGGGCCATGATGAAGCCTCCCTTAGACTTGATCATCTGGGCGACCATGTCATCAATGAGTCGGTGCTCGTACCAAATGCCGGCAGCATCAAACTTATCCTTGTACTCCTTGTCGTAAATCTCCTGGAAAATGTCCTTGAATCGGCCGTCGTACTTCTTAAGGATGGTGTTCTTGGTAGACATGTACAGGGGCAGCTTCTTCTGCAGAGCCAGGTTGAATGAAGAGTAGGCAAAGCCGGTGATGGACTCGTCAGTGTTGTACATGGCCATGGCGACACCAGGGGCGTCGTAGGTGTACACCTTGATGACCTGCTCGTCGCCTCCGTTAGCGGGCTTGAAGTTAAGAGTCAGCTCACCGGCGCCGGGGATGACGGCATCCTGGGCCTTGTACTGGTCGCCGTGGGCGTGTCGACCAATGATGATAGGCTCCTTCCATCCGGGCACAAGCCGGGGGACGGCGGGAATGACAATGGGCTCTCGGAAAACAGTACCGCCGAGAATGTTTCGGATGGTACCGTTGGGCGACAGCCACATCTTCTTGAGGCCAAACTCCTTGACTCGGGCCTCGTCGGGGGTGATGGTGGCGCACTTGACACCGACCTGGTACTTCTTGATGGCCTCGGCGGCGTCAATGGTCACCTGGTCGTTAGTCTGGTCTCGGTACTCGATGCCCAGATCGTAGTACTTAAGATCAATGTCGAGATAGGGCAGAATGAGCTTGTCCTTGATGGACTTCCAGATGATTCGGGTCATCTCATCACCATCGAGCTCGACAATGGGGTTCTTGACCTTGATCTTGGTGGACAGGCCTCGAGTAGCGGTGGTGGACATGGTTTTAGAAAGGGCTAGCAGCCGGGTGGTAGCTGGAGTTAGCATGGCTGGCAAGGGAGGGTCTGTGGGGGTTCAACGTGGGGTTGCATGGTGTTATATGTGCGAAGAAGAGTCACCAGAAAGTTTCATCCAAAGCTTAACCTTGCTGGGAATGCCGCGATCGCACCGGCCGGTGGTAGGGTTAGGGTTAAGGCTTTGGGATGGGGCGAGGGTTTCAGGCGGGGCTAGGGCAGGGCTAGTGCAGGCAGGCAAGGGTAGGGTTGACGCAGGACTACAGCGAGCAGGTCCGGCTCGGAGCCGATACTCCACACGAGCCGTCATTCAAACCTACCAAATCACGCCGCACCTCTCCACAGATGACAAATCAGTGTGTACCAAACTTGGTGCTCCAACGTCTTTGCTGGACATTGGGAGACACAACATGCACTGTGTGACACGGTGAATATGAGACGCAGGAATTGACACAGTGACGGGAGAGGAGTTCCGAGAGACGCCGGTGGGTGACTAATCAGACATTGGCTAATCAGATGGTGACTAATCTGCGGGGAAGCAGCACAGATTATGCCATTGAAACTGGATTATTAACCACGCTGACTGGACCCCAATTGGTGCTCGCTCCTGGGCCACTAAAAAGGCCCCTTTTTCGGGTTTATTTTTTCTTGCGGATCACTCGGTCAAACTGTGCGTCTTACAGGTCGGAGCTGCATCCTAACATGCACCAATAACCGGAGTCTAGAGGTCCATCGGGACAGACGCGGAGCTCCCGAACAATGACGACAGCGAAGAAATAATCAAGAAAATGGGGCGCAGTAGGCCAATTTCATCGGCAAATATCGTTTTTTCGCCAAAATTCGGTCGGAAATTGTCCAAGTAACGACATTGCGAATGTTGTGCCCATCACGCTGCCAAAGTCGTGCCCATCACATAACAAAGTCGTGCCCATTACACTGCCAAAGTCGTGCCCATCATGTAGGCCAAATCGCACCACTTTGTCCCTGTCGTGCCCATCACACGACTCGTGTCACCCCACAACATTGCCTATCCTATGTCACTCCACAACAGTGTTTCTTGTCATGGGTAAAATTGAACTCGAATCGCATTCAAATAACATGATACAAACAGTCCCTTCTCATCCACTCACAGCTCCAGCTGCGCTGTCGCTGTGCATTCATACTCACGGTCTGAAATTTTCGTAGTCACACAAGAATATCGCCTAGCAATATTCGGATCCGATGTGGAGAAAGCCTAAGGACACACCCTCTATATATACCTGCTGTCTAGCGTCGGTGACAAGTGTAATGTAATATAGGCTTGGTTGGGAGGAAGGGAGGCGCACAACCTTATTTGGCGAGAGCGAGCAATACCACGACAGAGCAAGTATCGTGAGGGCGGCCTTGGGATGGGGTCACGTGACCGTACCCGACGGCTTCGGTGCCTCGTAATTGCGGCTAAGCCATTCTCTTCTCTTTCGTTGCTTACTAATCTGTTCTGATCCCTGGCCACGCTTCTGAATCAGCTACTCATAACTCATAACACTCCAGAAATTAAACTTTGGCGGAACTTTTCGGATAACCCGAGCGCCGGGGTGCAGGGTGACGCCAGTCCACAGAGCGCCCACAGACACGTACAGCGGTCGAGCGCGGTTATCTGATGACATTTGAGGCGTGAGTCATCCATGGTTCGAAATTTCTAGGTTAGGGCTGTATTTTGGAGAGATGTTAGGGCTGTGGGGGAGCGACGGGTTAGGGGCATTATCCGGAGTTTTCCGTTATTCCGATTAGAGTTGGACTAGCACAAAGACAAATTATCCGTGTCAGACACACGGCGCCCTAACCTGGGCGAAATATAGACCCTAACCCTGAAACAGGAACCCCCCACATTAGCGGAGTTAACGAGCCCGCTCCACAGCTTATGGGGAGACGTGAAGGTGGAAAATTGGCCGGGTAAAATTGAGGCTTAGAATAGCTAGAGGACAATTGGCTAGGGGTTAAGTCCAGGGCAAGTGGTTTGGGCTTGGGGGATCCCCTGTTCAATTCATTTCTGCTACCCTTCCAGACCCGGATCTGCAATTATGCTTTTTGTTGGGATTTTGCCTTTCCAGGCATGTATATACGAACCCCAAATATAAGCAGGATGATTGGCAGCTGGGAGAGTTCGGGTTTAGCAGTTATCGATTATGTAAGTGCAACGTGAAGAGATTGCGTAATACTTATGTAATGCAATTGAGGTCGGGTGATTATCCATGTCCATCCGCTTTTGCCGTTTATGGTGGGGTCATCCTTCCCGCAGTTATACACTACAGTATTTGTACTACTTGTAGCTCAAAGCATCGCGCTAGATTCAACAGACTAATCACGACATGGGTATTACTTTGGTAGTGTTGTTTGCATTACATTGGTGGTGTTGGGGAATCACTTCGGTGGTGTGGTGGCATTACATTGGTGATGTAGTGGCATCACAATGGTCTTAGGAGTAACACCATGGTTGTGGTCTCCCCATTAGCCATGTCGCGCCCATCATTAACCATGTCACTCGTATGTAAAAAATGTCCAATGCTAATCCGTATTTTCTGCAGATCACATGACAATCGTTTGCCGTTAGGTACAGTACTTCATAAAACCAATTTTCCGACAGGGCCGAGTCGGAGCCGACACCGACACTTCCTCTCACCCGGCTTATCTGACACTATCTCTCATGCCATCACATCATCTGTGTAATCCGACGGATACATCCGGAACGAGGAAAGTTTCATTTTTCAAAATTGAGTTTGGGCGCATTGCTGTGAATGAGAAAATGATGACGAACGTAGAGAAGTCGTCATTCACGTGATTGAATTACGTAATCACGTATATGCCCCAGTCAGATATAACTGTTGTTGCATTCAGCAGCTTTCCCAATTTACTAACTCTCTCCGTATTTTCTCGAATTTCCTCCACCTACTCAGCCGGATAAATCGGGTTAATTCTGAATCAATGAGCAACATACCTTAGGTAAGAGTTGCTCGGGATTAACGAACAGTCCCCCCACCCTCCATTATATAGATCAATTGCTCAATAGCCACGTGACTTCACGTGACTGGATTGCTCACTCCATGCGTGCTCTGAAACATCGATAGAGTTCTTAAAAGTAGTAACATGTGCGGCTTGAACACTAAATGTGCGGTTTACCTAAATGGACCCGGATTGGCTACATCGTGCTTAGTAATGGATTATTAAGCGCAAAATTTTTGTGGCGGTGTAAATGTGGCTGGTGTGGCGTGTTGCGGGATATTTATACGGGGGTGGAGTGATTGTGGAAAAAGAAAAGGAGGTGATAATTGAAATTTTGAGTTGATTGGTGGGTCGTTTTAGGGGAAATAAGAGCGGATTGGTGAGAAATTGTGTGTTTATGTTTTTGAGAAGAAGTTGAGAAGTTCGTAGAGTGGGGAATGGTCGGGGTAGGAACTAAATGACGGGACCGTTGTACTCACAAGACTCTGGAGAGTCCATTGATGGTATTATTTTTTTCCGGGAGATTGCTTTTTCGACTATTTAGTCGTACTCCATTATACCAGCCGTTCCTTCATATCAGTCATAACATGTTAATGTGATGCCTGCGACATGCTAAAAGTACAAGTATCGGTACAAGTACAATAGTGTGATGTCGATAGTGATAGTGTAATGCCATTACATGGTGGATGCCGTGACCGTGACACCCGCGACGTGGCCGGTGTAATGACCTTACATGGTGGATGAAGTGGTCATGTCGCGTGCCGATGACTTCGCTCATGTCGTAGGCGCTCTCTACATTGCTGAACTACAGTCTCTCAATTCATACAATAGGTCGAGCAGAACTCTTTCATCGTCAGGTTAAATTTACATGCAATCAATGCGACTAGCCTCGGGCTCGCTTGTTGTGGACGTACACAATGCCGAAGGGGGCAAGGAATCCAGCAACTGGGTTAGTATAGTACGGAGCAAAAGGTCTGAGCTGATATATCGGACTGTGCACGGCCATGGGGTATCACACCAGCCATTTCGTGGGTTACTTGGACCATGTCATGCTCTTTACATTCACCATCCAGATCATGACTGGGAAAATGAATGTCGTGGGCATTACCTTCCGAATAGTGGTGGCCCCATCCGTCTCGTCGTGGGCACAAAAACTCGGTGTGGTGGGCACATGCATCTCGTCGCGGGCCCCGTGTGGTCATCACATACACCTCGTCGTGGGTACGACATTGGCCATGTGGTGACCACATTGGGTTTTCAATTTGGCACGAAATCATCTAGAATTGTCGTCCAGAGACCGTTGAAGCGGCGCAACGCAGCTATGTCGCCGTCTCACGCATCTCCGACACCTGCGGTGCCGGCTGGATGTAGTACTCACGGAAGAAACCAAAATGCAGGAAGGCGTAGGGGATCTTTCGGTTGTGGACCTTGAAGGGCAGGTTATGGTAAGGGCCCTCGGGGTAGTGGACAGATCGCACCTTGGTGGTGGAGAAGTTTCGCTTGGCCACGGTGTTGGCGGATCGGACGGTAGCTCGGAACATGATTGCAAGGGTCGTGTCGTGAGGTGTAATGGAGTGCGTTGTGAGCGACACAGAAAGGGTGGTGGGAGGTTTGAAAAATAAAGTTATGGCATGACTTGTCTTTGCTGCAAAATGATTGGCCGTGGCAAGGCAGAAAACCTTAATATCGGGGGTTACCCGGCCCACCAACAGCCAATCCACCACCCCATTTTTACATCACCACTGTTGCTTCTACACCCTACACAAAACCACACAAAATGGCTGCCCCTATTGCTCCTATTGTCGGCTCTCTCAAGCGACGAATCTTTTTCGATATTACCACTGGTGAGTAACGCGATGCGGATATGACGACCTTCAATGTGGTCGAGACACACCCGAGATGGTCAGAACACACTCGGTGTGATTCCACGGCAAGAGTCGTGTAACGGCGATAATACCCGATGTGGTGGCCGCGATCAGGGCCATGTGGTGCATTACAAGAGCCGTGTGACGCTCGTGTAATACACTCTACACTGCCTTTCCACCAACATACTAACCCAGGTCTGAGTAAGTACTTACACGATATCCGAGTGAATGAACGACAGAGAACGACAGATGAATGGTAGATGGACGACGGAAGGAACGAGATTATGCGACAGATTTTGGACATGGCTGAGGTGACAGTGCGTGCCTTTGGATGACTGGATGCTTTGGACACTCTGGAGGTGAGGACGACAGTAGCCTAGTATGGGACAACATGTGCCCAGCAATGGTACGACAGGCGGCTAGTAATCGGACGACACGTGTACCATGTCTTGGGAGGAGAAGAGATTTTTGATCTGCGTCATCCGATCTGTCAGCAATGGTAGATCTGTGATTGGTCAAGTCCCAGAACCCGACAGTGGATTGCTAGAGAAGTCATTGAGTCGTCAGACGCGTTCATTCGAATTTTCAGAGTCGTCATAGAGTCGTCACAGGCGCCATTTCGTCACAGGCCAGTTCGAATCATCATCTCACTCATCACCAAGCAAAGCGAGGTGATAAGTACGAAATACTAACACAGCCCTTGGATTCTCCGCCGGTGCCCTCTGGTGGTTTGGTTACCACAAGCCCACCGTTGCTGCCAAGGATGCTTGGTACGCCGCCCGTGAGCAGGAGAAGAACAACCAGTAGACTGCATAATATATGACATATTGATAAGAAACGACGAGCGTAATCTTAGTAATCTTAGTAATCTTAGTAATCTTAGTAATCTTAGAGTGTACGTCAGTAGAAGCGCGAAATGAGGAGATTTGTGAATGGAAATGGGTTCATTCGATAACCAGGGAGTGGACTAGTTATTTCTGATTTTCCACAGCTTCTTTCTAGTCCAAGTTGTGTGCATGTTTTAATGTTCACTAAAATGTTTGTTTTTGTTGACGAATTTTGTCGAACTTAGTTAACATTGATTGGAGCGTTAATGGCAACCCCAAAACTACTCCAAACAAATAATGTGGGATTAAAAATGATGCCCGAATCAAACTAAATCCGATCCCATTGTCCAAATTTTCTCTCCAATTCCCTGTCAAAAGATCTTGGTAATTTTCGGCAATCTTTATTTTTTTTAAAAAAAAAAAGAAAAAAAAAGTCATCATAATCCAACTACTCCTCCAGTTTTGGTCATATTTATATAAATACTATACCATTGTGTAGCCCCTAAAGAAATCAACCAATAGTACTTCTCAATTTCATCCAAAGTTATTTTCAAGAATTATTTTTAATTTTTTAATTTTTTAAATAAAAACCTCCCTTTTTTATTATTATTCTAATGATTCCTCAAATTAAACTTTCCACATGCATATACTCACCTCCTCAACCATGGTAATGTACACATCACCACTCCCACATTTCCACAAACCAAACGGCTCCAATCAGCCAGGTCCTTTGCATATATCTCTTCTGCTGACGTAAACGACATCTCTGTGGTCGGCTTATTAAGCAATTGACGTCTTACTAATCTCAAACGACCAAAATCCGTCGTCAAGACCGCCCTCAAAATCACCATCAATATCACCATCAAAACCGCCGTCAAAACTGCCGCCCCATCATGTCCTCGCTATCGACTCTCCTAGATATTCTGGACTCGGTCCGCGGCAAAAAATACCTCATTCTGGACCGGTGTTTGGCGACGCAGATTTCGCTTTTGTGTCCGTTCTCAGTGCTGACTGAGCACGGCGTGGACAAAATATTCTGGCTGCAGGACGAGGAGTCGCTGCCAAGCAACGACGTGGCGGTTCTGAACGGCGCCAAGATCGCCTACATTGTTGCGTCACGTGACCCGCGCAGCGGGGCGATGTTGGCCAAGCACCAGCGGTCGGTGGCGGCCAATGTGGAGACCCACGTGATCAGCGTTCCGCGGTCGCTTTCGTTGGAGGCTCTTCACCTCGATGTGTTCTATCATTCGTGGGACATTCCATATGTGGCATTGGATCCTGATCTGTATACGTTGGGGCTGGGAGTTGTGGATCACGTGCCGCTGCTGACGCGGGAGGCGAAGCAGACGTTTCCGGGCGCGACTCCCGATTATGTCAGCGTGGAGCTGGCATCGCGGGCTCTGTTTGCACTCCAGCAGCAGTTTGGGTTTGCGGGGCGGCTGTTAGCCCGCGGCAACGAGTCGTCGATGAGTCAACAGATCATTCGGCAGCTGCAGCGGCTCAAGGACGATTTCGAGGTCGAGGCCGCTACTTCCGGGTCACGTGAGGCGCAGTTTCTGCTGACCAACGACGCGCTGTTGGTTGGCGAAAAGGTGGAGCAGATCATTCTCATTGATCGCCAAGACGATCCTCTGACGCCGCTTTTGAGTCAATTGACCTATTCTGGCCTTATTGACGAGTTCTGGGGGCTTTCCGAGAACGGAAAAGTTGAAATTGAAGAGTTGATCCCATCCCAGGTTACCGCATCCTCGTCTTCTTCGGCCCCGGTGTCTCAAATGTTTCTCAACGATACCCTATATCGGGATTTGCGAGACATCAACTTTTCCTCGGTGGGGTCTCGTTTGAACGCCTGCGCCACCTCTTTGCAGTCCGACTATGGCGAGAGACACAAGGCCAAGACGGTGAGTGAGATCAAGTCGTTTGTGGGGCGTCTTTCCGGACTCACAGATCTCCACACCAACCTCAAGCTCCACACCCATCTGTCAGAGCTCATTATGAAACGGCTTCAGAAACCAGAGTTCAACCGGGTGTTGGAGATCCAGCAGAACCTGGTCGCCGACTCAATGGACTTGACCAAGTTGCACAACATGTTGCAGGACTTGATTGGAGGCAACGCCGAGCTCGACACGGTGCTCCGACTGCTCTCGATCGAGTCTCTGGTGAACGGCGGTATCAAGGAAAAGACCCTGACGTCCATCAAGAAGGAAATCTGCCAGACGTATGGATACCAACATTTTCTCACATTCCAGAATCTCCAGAAAATGGGACTGGTGGTCCCCAAACAAAACACCTCTTACTTTGGCTACAATGCCAAATCCCAGGACTTTGCGCTCTCCACCTTCTCGGCAAACTTCTCCGCGCTCTCCAAATCTCTGGGCGTCATCTCGGACCAACAACAGGAGGTGGATGAGACCGATATCGCCTCCAGCTACTCGGGATACGCGCCCATTTCTGTTCGCACCGTCCAGTGCGTTGTAGACAAGAAAAGCGTAATTTCCAGAGCAACAAAACAACAACTGGAGACGTACGAAAAGACGGGGGGCTGGGCAGGCGCGACGGAACTATTGCCAGGACTGCCGCTCATCGATTACAGCTACACCGATACCGCCAAGGACGGGAAAGAGGAAAACGAAAAGAAGGTGAAAAACTTTCTGTCCCGTGACTTTGTCAAGAAGAAGACGTTTGTGTTTTTTATTGGCGGGGTCACGTGGGCCGAGATTAGCGCTCTGAGACTGTTGGGCAAGAGTGTCAAGACGGAATTGGTGGTGGTGGCCACGGGCGTGATCAATGGTAATGACTTGGTCAAGCCGGCTTATTAATGGCGTGGCAAAACCGGATGTTGCGAGTCATACACCAACTGGTGTGAGCCCTTCACCTCCTCCCCATCCGTCCTCCTCCCCCCTCTCTCTCTCTCTCACCACCTACAGCCTATCTGTATAATGTCTAAATAATGAATAATGAATCACGATTTTACCATCACGTGAAATCCCAAAAATGGCGTCAACTCATCATACTTTGCATTTTACTGGTATTTTTCGGGTCACGTGACTAGTAACTCACAATCACGTGACGAGTAATTCGCAATCTCGTGACTCGTCCGCGGTTGCACGGGCGAAAAAAGTACTTAGACTCTTACACCACTCTTTATTGCGAATCGGAAAAGACACAAAACTGTCGCAGAGATACCAACTGACACAAAAGATAACCAGCTGACTCAGCAGATATGAGAGCTGACTCAGACTGATGACTACACGGTGTGTATGTGTTGCGGGAATTGTTCTGGAGCAATTGCTGACAAGGGGTCTACCAGGTGTGACAGAGATGGTATATTTGGATGTACCGAGACGCCACGTCACCTGAGACTGACTGAATGTCACCAGATACTGACTTGATATCACCAGATACTGACTTGATATCACCAGATACTGACTTGATGTCTCCAGACACTGACTTGTTGCCACCAATGGTGGTTCCGTGGTATTGCCACTACTGTTGTGGTATTGCGGCAGATGATTCCGTTCATAATTAGGCATGTTCTCCGTGTCCACGATGCTTGGATATCTCCCCTGTTACTCACCTCATGATACTTGCCGCACCACTCGACTCATCACACTCCTCCCAGCCGTTGGCCATAGGTTCAAAGAGCCTCCTTCGTTTGGTATATATGAGTGTCTCCAAGACATACTAGATATACCTGACTTCATCAACTCTTCTTCACCTGCCACTTTTCTCCCATGTTCCTCGTGCCACCAGGCACTAAGTATCATCCATTGAAATCACCATTCACCCACTTGGGCACTCGCTCTCTATGGTTTCGAAATCACTCCCAGAAACACGCTGATGGACTCCGTACGGTCTCCAGAACAAGCATTGATGTGGATCGATAGAAAACTAATGCTTGAGGGCAGCAGCGAAGGCGTGAGGGAGTTATAGATGGCTTTCTTTGGGAGGCTCTCAGTGTGATGTTGATTACAGTACTGACTGCGATACTGACTATGGTGCTGGAAGGAAGCTTGAGCTCTCGTCAGGTGCTACTGTCAGACAGTCCACGACCTCGCATTTCTCCTCCACACTGCCGGTGGGCTTGCCATTATCACCGCGCACTTGGTGCTGCCCATTGGCGACGCTTCCCGGAGAGCCGACTTGATCTTCCGGGCGTTAGTGTGGCCGACATTCTTCGCAGCTCACTCCTCTGAAGCTGCTCTTGTGAGTCTCTGTGCACAGCTCCATGAGGAGGATGCTATCCGCGGCTCGTGTATTCTCCTCATGGACACCATGGATGCGGTCAATGTCTGTCTCGATTGTTTGTTGCAGCCCTGCTAAAAACCTCAGTCTACAATACGCACACACATGTGTCCCACGCGCACGACTGGTTTCTGACTACAAGTGCGTTCACACATTGCTACGGAAGATGATCCTATTAAATAAGTGATGCGGTTGGCGGAGTCAATTGGCGATACAACTGACGTATCGCCACCACCGACGGGGGTAATGCATTTGACGGTTGTATATCACCACTACCGACGACAGCTCGGGCATCTCGCAGAGCACCTCCAGCTCATTTCGTGTTTCGTTCGCACGACAGTACTAATATGCTTTCTCAACACCCATTAAAAAAGTTGAGCGGCTCGCGCTGCTCACCAACTCTTTATTCGACATCCACAACCAACCTTAGGCTAAACGGCAATGCCTCGTCAGTCACCGTCACCTCTTCCTCACCCACCAACTCTCCAACCAGCTTGACGAGATTCCCCCTGGTCATCTCCTCCAGCTCCTTGGGCGACGCCATGTATAGACTCTTGGAGGCCGTTCGCAGCGACGGGTTCTTGACCTTGGTGGCGGGATTCTCCTTGAGGCGCTCGATGAGGTTCTCCAGCGTCGTGCTCTTGGGCACGGCCAGCCGCAGCACCTGCACGCCACACACCGGGCAATCGGGCCGCTTCTGGTGCTGAAATGTGTACGTGTACACGGAGTTGTTGCCCGAGTACATCATGTAGTTGTTGAGGAACGGTACGCACGTGGTGGCGACCTTGAACGCCTCGTTGCAGCTGGAGGCCGCAATGATGGCGTTGGTGGATGCAATGGCCGGAATGATGTTTTTGATCACGCCCTGGGTGAGCTGGTAGGTGACTCCTTCGATGCCAAATTGCTCCGCCCGCGCGCGCGCCTGCTCGAAGATCCACGTCACGTCCTCGACGTCATCGTTGTCGGCCTTGCGGTCAAAGTGTTTAGGCCACTCGAGCACGCTGGCCCATTCGATGCAGTGCTCCGGGAGCCTGGGGGTGTTTGCGATGGTGCACATGGGAAACGTGGTTTGGGGCGTCAGCATGTCCAGCGAGCACTCGTAGCAGGAGGTGATGGTGGGCAGAATGACTCGCGACTGGCCCTTGAAGCCTTCGGTACCACCGTCGATCAGCGGCTTGAGGGTCTCAGGAGAGTCGCCCACCAGCCCCACGAGCGTGGCGTTGATCCAGCGCCGCGCCTCGATGGAGTCCAGGCCGCAGACAACGAGGGTGAACTGCATGTAGAAGTCGTTGTCAAAGTCCTGGATTTTGCCAAAGTGCGGCGTCACGTGCACGCCGGCGACTCGGCGGTTGATGAACTCTGCGGCGACCTCCGACTTTGGCTTGCCCACGTCCGACGGCCGGAACAGGAACTGCCGGTTCAGATTGCTGATGTCGATGGTGTCCATGTCGATCACGTGGATCTTTTTAAACCCAGAGAGGGCGAGGTTTTTGAGAATCTCGCAGCCGAGACCGCCAGCGCCAATCACGAGGATGGACATGTCTGCCAGCGCGGTGATCACGTCCGGCGACGGCGCAAACTCCTCGTCCGAGAACGGGCCGGACGTTGTGAGAACGGGAGAGATGGAGTATGGGCTGTGTTAGCAAGGGAGTCAGGGTACAGACAACGAGGCGAGCAACATAGGTCTGGGAATGGTGCACAACATGCCAAGTCATACGTCGTCACGACTAGCACAGACAATATGATAACGTCATGCCCCACATCGCCACCCCAAGCCGTAACTATGGAAATGACAGAGCACCAGCGATACCATTGTCACGTGACCAGATATATCGCCGTGGACGTGTGTGTATGTGTGTGTGTGTGTGTGTGTGACAATTGCTCGCTGTTTGTGGCACACAATACACTTGGGTCCTGGATCCTGGCTGGCTTCCGGTCTGTCAAAGTCGTGGGGTCGCGGGGCCGCGGAGTCGCGGGAGTTTCTGGACCACGGGACTTGCTGGATCACGTGACCTTGTCATGTCGCACATGTTTGTGTATCATTCGCGGTTACATGACCTCGTCTCAGTGTGTCTTTGCTCATACTCACTTTCTCACGGCAGTCATTGTTGAGAATAAGTTAGGGAGACTGGTCCAGATCTGATCATGCAGCTCATGCATTCTACATGTGGGGTTGTGGGGGATGTGTGTTCGATTCTGGGTTGTGTATTAGGGAATTAAAATATTAGAAAAATGATAAGAAATATAGAAATATAAATATAGAAATATAGAAATATAAATATAGAAAAATAATAAAATAAAAATAGAAATATAAAAATATTAAAAAAATAGAAATATAAAAATATAGAAATATAGAAATATAGAAATAAAATAAAAAATAGAAATAGAAAAAATAGAAATAGAAAAAATAGAAATATAAAAAATAGAAATATAAAAAAAAACAGAAATATAAAAAAAGAGAAATGTAAAAAAATAGAAATATAAAAAAAAAAACAAAAAAAAAGATTGAAAGAAAAAAAGGGTATTGATAGCTTGTAGATACGGACTCGAGGAAAATGTCTATCAGTTTTAGTCACACAAAAATCACGTGACACGCTAATTAAATAGATCTTGTCATCGTTCGTGGTTACATGATTCCTGTTGCACTACCGACTTATCGTGTCGTCCCCATTACCGCCAACATGTGTCGAAAATACGTCCATGTGGTGCCAACTACAAAGGCCACATCCCAATGCCATGCCTCTACAAAGACCCAACAATGTCGCCAATGTCATTTCCCCCGACGCTGGTCATACACAAATAATCAATCACATACATAATCCTTCGCTCGCTACTCTTCCACAGGAGAAGGCTCCACGTTCCAAATTCCCTCGGCATAGTCTCGAATGGCTCGGTCGGAGCTGAAGAAACCCATTCGAGACACGCTGACAATGCTCTTTCGAGCCCACTCCTTGGTGTCCTTAAAGTCGTGGTTGATGGTATGTTGGGCCTCGAGATAGGCGTCAAAGTCGTCAGAAACCAGGTAGTAGTCCCCACCGTACTTGATGGAATGGAGCAATGAGGTGTAGATCTCGGGGTCGCCCAGAGCGCCGGACTGGATGAAATCAAACACCTGCTGCAACTTCTTGCCCACCTGGACTCCGCCATATTTGTGCTTGTGACGAATGTCCTCGACCTCGTCGGCGAGATGACCAAACAGGTAAATGTTGTCTTCACCAATCTCCCGGGTGATTTCGACGTTGGCGCCGTCGACCGTGCCGATGATGAGTCCACCATTGAGCACAAACTTCATGTTGGAGGTGCCGGAGGCCTCGGTACCGGCAGTGGAAATGTGCTCCGAAATGTCTGACGCCGGAATGATAATTTCGGCCTTGGACACGTTGTAGTCCTCGACAAACACCACCTTGAGCGAGTCGAACATGTCGGGGTCATTGTTGACCACCTTGCCCACGTCGTTGATGAGCTTGATGATGGTTTTGGCCATGTAGTAACCGGGCGCGGACTTACCGCCGAAGAGAGAAACTCGGGGAGTCATCTTGCGTCTTTCTTCGGGCGACATTTGCTTGAGCTCCACGTACCGGTGGATCACACCGAGGATGTTGAGTTGCTGGCGCTTGTACTCGTGGATTCGCTTGACCTGGATGTCAAACAGATGGTCCGGGTTGAGAACCACGCCGGACTGGCTCTTGACCAGCGCCGCAAGCTTCTCCTTGCGCTTGTGCTTCACCAGCATCCACTGACGCTGGAAATCCTCGTCGTCAGCAAACTTCTCCAGATGTCGCAATTCCGACAGGTCCTTGACAAACCCGGAGCCAATCTTGGAGGCAATGAGATCCGACAGCTCGGGGTTGGCCTGGTGCAGCCATCGTCGGGGAGTGATTCCGTTAGTGACGTTGATGAACTTGTCGCCGCCGTAAACAGCCACAAAGTCCTTGAAAATCGTCTTCTTGATGAGATCGGAATGCAGCTCGGCCACGCCGTTGACCTTGTGCGAGCCAATGATGGCGAGGTAGGCCATTCGTGCCTGCTGGGGCTGTGACTCCTCGATAATCGACACCCTGGACAGAAGCTCCCGGTCGTTGGGGAACTTGGCCTCGACCTCTTGGAGGAAATACAAGTTGATGTCGTAGATAATTTCCAGGTGACGGGGAAGCAGGTTCTCCAGCATGGGAACAGGCCACTTTTCCAGCGCCTCGGGGAGAACTGTGTGGTTGGTGTAGCCAAACGTCTCAACCACCAGGTCCCACGCCTCCTTCCACGGCAGCTGCTCGAGATCCACAAAGATTCGCTGCAGCTCCACAATCGCCAGAGTGGGGTGGGTGTCGTTGAGCTGGATGGCAATCTGCTCGGGGAACTCACGCCAAGGCCGCTTGCTCTTCTTGAACCGACGCACAATGTCGTTCAGTGACGCCGCCACCCACAGATACTGCTGCTTGAGCCGCAACTCCTTGCCGGAGTCAAAGTTGTCGTTGGGATACAGCACGGCGGAAATCGTCTCGGCACGCTGCTGCTCGGATACGGAGTTGATGTAGTCTCCGGCGTTGAACTTGGCGAAATCAAACTCCTGGGCGGGCTTGGAGCTCCACAGCCGCAGGTTGTTGACGTTGGCGGTGCCGTAGCCGGGCACAGGGAAGTCGCTTGCCACCGCTCGCACCACGTCGCCGCCCTCCCAGCACCGTCGGTGAACGCCCTCGTCATCGGTGTAGTGCCGAACATAGCCGTAGAACATAATGTCGACGGAGATTTCGTTTCGGGGGATCTCCCACGACGAGCCGTAGGTCAACCAGTAGTCGGGTTGCTCCACTTGGTAGCCGTCGATGATCTTCTGCTTGAAAATGCCGTACTCGTATCGTAGACCGTAGCCCCATCCGGGGTAGTTTTCCGACGCCAGCGAGTCGACAAAACAGGCGGCCAGACGGCCCAGGCCGCCGTTGCCGAGAGCAGCGTCGGGCTCCTGTTCAATCAGATCCTCGAGCCGGAAACCAAAGTCCTTGACACCCTCTCGGGCATATTGCTTGGTCCGGGTGTTGAGCATGGCATTGTCCAGAGCCCGGCCCATGAGAAACTCCAGAGAAAGATAGTAGACCCGCTTGGTGTCGGTCAGAGTGTGCTTCTGCTGGGTTCTGTTCCAAGCCACCACCAGACGGTCTCGGACGGCTTGAGAGGCGGCCTGGTAAGCGGCCAGATCGTCACAATTGTAGAGAGATCGGGCCAGGGACGTCTCCACATGACGAACAAACTCCTGTTGGAACTCTTGCTTGTCGCCGAATTCACCTAGCGAGAACTTTTTCCAGATCTGACGGCTCTCCAGCGGAATGGTGTTGTCAATGTGCTCAATCTGTCGCTGTGTGAACCCAGTGAAGGTTCGTCGGTGACGGTTGAGCGGCTGGATGGGCGATTCCTGGCCCATCATTCGCTCGTGCGAGGGCGAACGCGACCGCAGAAACGGGTCCGAGCCGGCTCCAGCTCGGTACGAGGTTCGTTGGTCTTGGGACATAATAGGGTCACAAGAGCTATGTCAGAGTCACAGAACCTATGTCGGGGGTCACAGATGTTGTGCTGGGGTCACGGAACTTGTGTCGGGGATTACGGAACCAATGTCGGGGGTCACGGAATCAATGTCGGGGGGTCACAAGGAAAATGTCGTGACTCAAATTAACAGTAGAATTTAACTGTTCCTGTCACTATCACTGTCGCTGTCGCTGTCGCTGTCGCTGTCGCTGTCTGTGTTAGTGGTGGTCGTTCTGTTGCCCATCCAATACTCACTTTTTCTGTTTTTTTGTTGTTGTTTTTTATGTAACAGCCTTCTGATTGCTGTCGTGTTGAAGCTGTCGAGTTGAAGTGGTGTTTTTTACAAATATCCAGACACCTTCCCCTCTTATATGTCCTTTCCCACTAACCACAAGGTCGTTGAGGTGGTGCAAAAATAAGGTTTCTAGTTGCTATCTTGCATAAAAGAAGTAAGCATTGAACCTAGACTATCTCAACCGATTCAAGAGCAATTGGAAAGATAAACGCACAGTGGGACTCTCCTCAATCACGTGATCACATTCATATAATAATATTCCACAATATATCTCTACAACCTCGATTTTCGCACTGCCGTCGGATTTGACACCCCCTCAGATGGGCCCAGAATTGGTCTGAACTTTATTATTTAGAAACTCAATTGTAAACCTTATTTTACCCTTTTTGTAAAAAGCCTAAAACTTCTCGAGTATTAAGGTTCGGAGCCACGCTAGACCAGAGCATCCTCAATTCTCTCAAACGTCCTGAAAAAACCTCAAACTAAACGCCAAACTAGTCTTAATCTCTCATTTTTTGACCCGGAAACCCCCTCAGGTATTTTTAAGCTATTGTCAACCCACAATGTCTGTTTTCCGTCTTTATGCACGCGGCCAGAATCAGCTGAGCCCAATGACGTAGGTTCAGACAAGGAACAATGCTAGAGACGGAAAACGCACACTCGATAGAACTGCCATTTTGGGAACAATGCCATTGTCAGACCGGCCCCGCCTGGGTCCGGAGACCTTGGTCCTGATGGGGGGGCGGGTTTCGGTCCCGTGACTTGACTTGACGGGGCGTCCCGCGGGGCGCCCAATTCGCAGTTTCGAAGACGTGTGCTGATCCAGTCTCGCTCCTCGCGGGGCTCTCTTTAAAGTGCTCGTATTCTGTCGTACCTCGGCTCGACGAGATGAGTCTTTAAAATTGAGGCTAACTTGGCGCTGAGTAAGCAGATTCAAATGCTGAAACTACAGACATGTTCATGGGATCGCGACGAACGCAGGCATGTGCTTTTTTTGCCAATATATCTAGTATTCACCCAATTGTCTTGACTCTTCCTCATTCAACAACTTCCGGGTAACAAATTCAAAAGCAAGCATATTGCAACCCAGTTCTGGTAATCGGAACAGAATCGGGCTTCCTAAAGCGGCAGAGAGCAGCCGAGCGAAGATGCCGAATACGGTCATGATTTAGGCACAAGTATCGGCGGTTGGTCCTCATAACCTCGCTCATAACCTCTCGTAACCGTACTCAGAACCGTACTCAGAACTGTACTCATAACCGTACTCAGAACCGTACAGTGCTGTACTCATAACCTTCCCGCAACCTTTTCCATAACCTTACTCGTACTAATAACGCACTCTTAACCTGTGGTGGAAGCAGCCGGCTCGGAAATTCAGTGGCAGAAAAAGCACCGACTCTCCGACCCATGTGGCCCTTCGGTGCATATCGGCCCACATGCTCTTCCATCAGATAACTTTACGGCCGGCATGCGGCTCAAAACCAGGTTGGGCCGCCAGGTGTGACACGTGACAAGTCACGTGATTACCTATCTAAGCGTTATTATCTCTGGGAATGGAATGTGTGTCTCACTTGAGAGCATAGTTTCCGTGGACCCGCACGTATAGAGGAGAGTTTCCGGTCACGTGATGCATGGGTGGATGGATGGCGTATATTACGGGTGTCACGTGGCCATACGTAGTATGAGTGTCACGTGATCTTGCGGATGACATGATGTCTCATCGGCTTTTTTCTTGTTTTCTGCCAAACAAGAGAGAAAGCATATATCGGTCAAAAATACATCGAGAAGTCTCGCGATTGGTATTGCCGTATTTGTCTCTGTTACACCATCCTTCTGGCACTACCCACAAGCTCATATCTCTCACCGTTCGTAAACTATGAGGAGATTTTCAAATCACCCCATACCGACCGTCAGAATTAGGCCAATGGCACTAATTGGTGTCTCAGAAAACAACCCAGGGCAAGATTAGCGCTGGACCGGCCGAGCCTTGTGATCCATTTCTGTATGATGAGGCCCGATACGATGAGGTGATGGTACTGTGTATACTTGTAGAAAGAGTTGTGGACTGATAAGCAGCAGAAATGTGATGGAAAATGGTTTCTTTTTGCGACAATTGTTAGCCGAGAAGATTATTGGGTAGACAGGGAACAATTTGGAGGTATTTCTGAGTCTCTGGAAGGTGATTTGGGGCATATTGTCCATCTATTTTTTATCCGGTCTACAGAATTATAGAAGTGGTTCGCATTAGTAATTAAAGATGACCATTTAGTAATCAAAGATGGAAATTCGATTCCCTCGAGTCGCGTGAATACAGCAGTGTGATTTATATGATTGGGGAATCCTCAGAACTGAAACTATTAAAAAATCATGTAAAAATCCATAAAATACCCAACTCACTCAGTTTTCATTCTAGGTGGATTTTGAAAAAAACAAATGGTTTCAGAGGAGCCATTTTATCTTTTTTAGCAACTTTTCAGGTCTCTCTAGCTTTTATTTGAGTCCCTGACGTGGTCATTTTTTTGTGATATGAAAAAATGTTTGAAGATTAAACCGAGAATGCAGCAGAAAGGAAGTTGTACAATGGAGATCATAATCTGAATCGTTGTGGGTCAAATATTCCGTGTGACTTTTTTCATCTCATTCAGATATCTCTGGGGGATTCTGAGTGGCATCGAATACTACGGTATTCTTCAACATCTTTGAGAAGACCAAGAGATGTTAAACAATTACCAAAAGATGTTCATCCTGGTATATCAGCCACGGGGGTTTGATTTCCATCTGTTTCAAGCAAATATGTTTGATATTTGGATATATATATATATATATATATATATATATTTTCCACAACTTCAATCAATGGTCACAAAAGAAAAAAGAAAAAAAAAAGAAAAAACAAGATCAAATTCGAAATTTGAAAAGGGAAAAATACATTTCAAATTAAGATTATCTTTTTGGCACCAAAAATCAGCAAATTTTGCTTCAAATTCGTCGTTTTGGCACCTTTTTTCAACCACTTCCATTTCTCCGTTTTTCATCCCCAAATTTAACCTCGGCCCCTATTCTTGGTCCAAGCTAATGCAGAACAGAACCGGGGAACAGCCGCGCAACCACGACTTGCGTCACGTGATGGGACCAGAAGTGACTAGCTTCCATTTTCTGAGACAGTCACATGCCAAGAATCTCCATCTGACCAGTCACTCCGACCAGTAACTCTGACCAGTCACTCCGAGCAGTCACTCCGAGCAGTCAGTTTCGACCGGTCGAACAACCCGATATATATAACCCTAACCCTTAATATGCATACATTAGCCACATTTGCTGTTGAAGTGGGGCGGAAACCGTCAATGTTGAAAACTTGATTTTATGTGGTTATAAGGGTATAAAAATGGAGCCATTGATGCGCTCTATCCAATGGTGTTAATTATATTTCAATATCTCGACTTTGTCACATTCTAGAGTGATTCTAAAGTTTGGTCGGATTTAGCGTTTTTTAAAAAAGTATTCACAGATTTTGAAAACAAAATACCAAATATACAAACATAATATTGTTACATTCGCCCGATCCTACTGATTCCAAAGACATCAATATCATAATTGTCATACCATTTTTTCAACCACAAGAAAAGATTTATTCCTCAAATCACAAGCGAATCAAACTTTAAAATCCACAAAGATAAACCCATCACAAATCCGCCAAAAATGAAGATATCTGAAATCTGAGAAATCAACGCCGTTCGCAGCCGTCGCTTGCCAGTGGATTTCTTTTTTTCGAAATTCCCCGAGCTCAATTGAACCTTTTCCACTCATCTGAAATAAAGTTAACCTTTCTGACAAGTTTGAAAACCCACAATCTTATCTATCTCATCTTCTTCATCTGTCATTCACAACCGGCTGCAAAAAATGCGTTGGACCAACATGCTGCTGCTGGCCTCGGCGGCTGTGGCGGAAAGCACGTTCTGGGTGTCTCCGTCGGCCGAGCAAAACTGTGTCGGCATCTACGCCGGCTCAGAAGAGTCCCCCGCCTCCATCTCCGTCTACACCCCCAAATTGGACAACTCGTCGGTCATAAACTTCATGGGCCACGAGGGCTGGATGGCACTGGCCATCTACAAGTATGAAGATCTGCCCTTCATCGGTGACATGGGCCGCAAGGAGTGGGGCTACAAGTACCACTGCAACAGTATGAACGTGCAGTACAAGCTGTGCACCCACGACGAGATTGGGCAGTATATCGTGAAGCAGAACTACACCGGCAACACGATTTTCACCACCAAAGTCGACCTGCTGGAAGATACCACCTTCAATTATACCGTCAACGAGACGGGGCTGTACTGCGTGACGGCCCATCCCAATAATGAGATGAACAAGTTCATGAGCACCGTCACGGTAAAGGATGGCAACGGGCAACTGTCAGGTTATGACTACAACAAGTTGGCGTACCACGGAGTCATGAGTGGGCTGTGGGCGGCGACTCTGATTGGATACTTGGTGCTGTGTTTCTTGCGAAAGAATCTTCTGCCGGTCCACAAACGCCTCCTGGCCCTGATTGCCGTCAATCTCGCCGTCTCCCTGCTCTGGACCATCTACAACGCCATCTACAACGCCCAGGGACCCACATCGTTCGTCAAGACCCTCGTTGTCATCTCCGCGGTCATCTCCGCCCTCAGATGGGCCCTGTCAATGTGGCTGGCGCTGTATGTGGCCCACGGAATGCACTACTTTTCCACGCCGCTGATCCAGAGCGCGAAAAAGAAGGCGGTGGCGGTAACTGCGACCTTCTGGGTGTTTGAATCCATCGTCGCCTCCATGTTCTATCTCATCGGCATGGTCCAGGGCACCTATGTCCGAATGGCCATTGGCGCCTGCCTGTGTTTTGTGCTCTACTCCACCCTCTACATTTTCTACAATATCTACTCCTGGATGAACCACACCCAAAAGAGCTATATTGACGAAAACATGAGCGTGCAGATTGACCAGATTTCCAAGCTGCGGGCCGTCTACCTGGCCTTCTTGCTCCTCTTTGCCTTCATGGTCCTGTTCAACATCATGGTCCTCCTGCGAGGAAGCATTGTCGGTAGTACTCTCAACCTCATTCAGACGACCAATATCGCCTGGGTCAATGAGTGGAAGTACCGGTGGTTTTTTGTGCACGACTGGATCGAGCTCGCCAACTTGCTCGTCGTCCTAGCGGCCCTGTGGGTCCTGAGACCATCTCGATACTTTAACCAGATGATGGACGGCAGTGGCCAGATTAGCCAGAAGGACTACGACGAGTTTGAGCTCGACGAATATGACGAGGGTGTTTGAGTGGCATACCCAGTGATTCACTGATGAACGAAAAGTAAATAATAGATTATTAGCAGCGCGTGGGCGAGGGAAGGAGCGGAGCGATTGTCAGACACTGTGAGTGACAAGAGCGAGAGCAAAAGCAGCAACTTCCCGGCATTGTAGACAGGCAAGAGCAGCAAGCCCGACGCCGTAGGTTCCCTCTCCCCTGACTCCGAGAACACTGAGATCGACTCCAGAGACTGTGAGGCCACGCCAGTCTCGTTAGCTAGACACAGACAACGTGTGTACAGACTGCTTGTACGGTCAGCAGGCAGTTTCCGGTTCAACTACAGCACGGCATCGTGACGTACAGTGCAGGGCAACGAGAGATTGAGCAGCTGAAAATCCGGAGGCTGAATGTCTGCATACAGAATTGGACCCATCCATAGGTGGTGAGAGGGCAAGACTGTCACAAACCATTGAAGACACGAGAATGGTGTTCTCATATCAGCACCCTCGCCGCTGCCCTAGGACTCCGATGCAGCATTGGACTCGTAGACGTACCAGATACCAGTCTTCGACTTTGCATCTGCGTCGCAAATCGAAATCTACTGCACAAAGCTTTTTTTTTTTTTTTTTTTTTTTTTTTTTTTTTTTTTTTTTTTGTCTGTGCGCCTTAAGCTGGGTCTCGCATGAACGATTCAGAAGTGACTCCGAACTGTAGGCTGAGTGGTCGCCGTGGAAGTGTTGTAATTACGACGGCTTTGAATGATCTACACAACTTGTGGTGTTCTGTGGCATTGCATCAAGCCAACCAGAGAACTTGCTGACTGTGTAAGAATCAACGGTATCTGTGATTTTGCATCCTTTGTCAGCGCCGATAAGACGGGGCCACGAGCAAGTCACAACGACGCAGGCGGGCGAAAGGTATACCTGCGGCTCGATGCCACTGTCTAAATGGAGTGACTGTGGTGGCTCCAGTTGTAGTGACACATGTGCGCGGAGCTCAATCGTGTGGAACTCTTGTTCTGTAGCACTTGTGGACCAATAATGGCTTTCTCTCTTTTCAGATAATCAAAGATTCTCCTCTTGGCGGTAAGAAGCGGGCTGGATGCCCTTTAAGACGATTTTTGCCGTCAGATCGCTTCTGATGGTTATGACTCCTGCCTAGAGTTTCAGCTCCCTCTCAGCCGCCTCAGCCGCTCCCATCCCCCCTCTGCCTCGGTAGCTGTCGCTGGAAGGCCATAACAGTGGCCAAAACAGTCGACTGATAATTTGTAAGAAACAAGGGCTCTGGGCTACCGGAATGGTTTCTCCCGGACACTCGAACTCACTCACGATGTTCACGGCGACCCGTCCACCCGCAGCATCAGCAGAAAGTTGAGTCTTGGCCGATTTGGCCAGTCGTTGCTCCTTTAACATTGTCGGCTCTTTGGTGGTCCTTTTTAGAGAACGAGGAAGGGCAGTGGTGGCACGCCATGTCGTTGGGTGTCCGGAAACAACGGCTGAGACTCGGTGACGATACTGTGTCTGGAAGTGGGAGATCTTTGTCTGTGTCACCGTCTGACTCTTTCCGATCTTGATCAGGTCTTAATCTGATCTCCGTCACTATAATACTCACGTTGCGTCAGCGAGAGTGTCTGTCTGTGTGCATTCATTATGTGTCCTTGTAGCTGACTTGGTGACACTGTTTGCGTCTCTCGGTATTCCGTGTCTGTATCTGTTTTGTTCCCTCTGTTGGTATCTCTGTCTGTGGCAACATCTAAATCTGGGTCACGGTCGATAGGATGTCAAAGATGGTACATCTGATTCCCTGAAAGACGAGCACCGATGGAGAAGAGCTGGCAGACATGCGTATCTGTCTGTGTCATTGTCAGGGGGTATCAGGGATGATGACTGACAACTGTATCTCACTTTTTGTGTCTCTTTTCTGTCTATTTTCAGGGTCTGTTCGTGTCACAAACATTTTGGAGTGATGTGGAAGAAGAGAGGTGGAGGACCCGGTGCCCTCAAGTAGGTGACGACAGAATGGACGTGGTGGCCACGACTTGGTACAAGTGGTGACGACAGAAAGGATGTGGTGGCCACAACTTGGAACATGTGGTGACGACACGGCGGATGTAATGAGAACCGTCTTGACGCGCGAAATACCCACTGACGTCAATTACAGTACAATACCATGGTTACAGTACATACAACAGAGACTACCCCATCATAGCATCTCACGAAAACTACTCCATTGCGGGATGTCGGAAATATTTTCCATAAATCTAAAAAAAATCCAATAGTTAATAAAAGTCACAGATTAATTGTTTCTGAATTTTACCCAAATTATTTCAGTCATTTTCCATGTTCGGTTTTTTAAATACCAAAGAAAGAAATTCAATCCTACCCAACTCCTTCAAAAATGAATATTATGGAGAAATTTGTTTTTCAGTGGATACATCGACCCCTCCTGAACGGTTCAATATCTTTTTCTTTCTCCCTTTTAATTTATTCGAATTTCCCTGTTTTTAATACAATTCTCCGAAATTCACACTACCCATGATTCACACAACCTGTAATTCACATGACCGAAATTCCCCCGTCCGAAAATACCCACATCCCACCGCCATCGTATTGCCAATTATTCTTTCGTATCTTGCCATCAGGCTTCAGTCTGTTTTTGTCATTCCACTCAACCCCTCTGCTTATGTAATCGCATATAGTTCAAGACATTGCCTGGTATTCCGGTGCACACCCCGATTGGAATGTATAGTGGCCCAGTTGTCTCACGACACTGCTCGTATGGTGGGCACGACAAAACAGGACGACACAACCAATGTGGTGGGGGTGACCCTGCCGATGTGGTGGGGACAGCACGCCTCACGTGGTGCCCACCTACGTAAAAGTACCGTACTGTACAGTACTCGCCAATGTGGTATTCCCACCTGCATCGTTTGTTTACATTCGGCGAGCTGGGGAATGATATCTACCTGATAGAACGATATCCGGCTTAACGTAAAAAGCCAGTCGCGCTCGTAGCCAGACTCGTGTGGTTGGCGCGACAAGGTGCATGTGGTGCTTACAGTGTCAGTGTCGGGGCTCATCCTGGCTGTGTGGTGGCCATGACAAAGACGACTGAGACGGTGTCGTGCGTATGCACTCTCTTGTAGCGCTGCGTAGTGTTTTTGTTTTTTGTTGGGTTTTTTTTTTGGATGGTTTTTGTTGGATGGCTTTTGTTAAAGCCGAAGCCGGCACGCGCAACTCCAAAACTCTCGTCACGTGACCGTTGGCTGACACAGAGGAGGCAACAAAAAAAACGCGCACATATTTCCCATGCGTGGTTGCACGTGGCGCGGTTGCTGGGTTGTTTGGGACTCACGTGACCGTCGGCTGACTACTCATACTCATGTTTGTTTTTTTGCTATGCTGTTCCCAATTATGTTGCACAAGTCAGGCAGCGGATGCAGCAAGGGGGCATGGAACAATGTACCAATTGAGTGGCGGGGTGTTTTTGACAACCGAGTTACATAAGTACAAGTGCAAGTACGAAGGAGAGTAGCAACAAGGAGGCTGAAACGGACAAAAACCGTCGTGGGAAATTACGCCAATTTACAGTGGTTATGTCGGGTTAACCAGGTGCATCAACAATAGCATTGGTGCATGAACACAGGCACTGGGGCATAGAGGCATAGTGCCATAGCGACATATCAGTATATAAGTATAATCCGATAGGGGCATACAGATATATTCAATAGACTGTTGTCATGCCTTTCCGACTTTGACAGCTTGTGTGTTCGCACTCGCACTTTCACTCACTCTCTCACTCACTCACTCAGTCGCTCACAATCTGTGCAATGCAGAGACGGTTTCGGCTGCATCATGCACATGCGGGTCACATAGGGTTTAAGTCAAAAGCTAATAAGCGCATGGGGCGATGATGCAGTGGACCAACCAGGGTGCCAGACTAGTAGCAGAGGGAGGTGTGGAGATGAAGGCGACTGGGGACTAGCTGACTTAAACGCGGAGAAGGGCGCAATTGAGGGATGTTATTAGCAAGCACACACCTGGTCTCCAGCCACCCGTGCCATCATTCCAGCCGTGTTTACAAATCTAATGCACCTCAGCCTTGCGCAGTGCGGATGACACGCACAAGAAGAATGTATGGTACTGTACTTGTAGTAAACAATGCGGATTACGTCAGCACAATGCAGGGAGGGCGCCAGACAATGGGAGGGGGGTTTGTGGCCGGGAAAAGCGCGAGAAAAGGCCAATTGGTGGGGCGCTAGGAGGGAAGAGCTGTCGCTTATGTATATATATATATATATATATATATATATATTTATTCTTTCCCCCCGCCAAATTCCCGCGGCTCCCAAATCGATCCATTTTTAGCAGTTTTGCAGATAATCTCCCAATATTTGCTATTTTTAACAGGTCGAAATTAGTTGCCCTGACTACTAATTGCTGCAACAGGGGCTGTGTTCCCCGACCCTCCAGCCATCAAGGTCGAAATAATGCGTCGGATTAGGCAGGGATGGAGGAGATATCCACGTAGCTGCATCAACTGCATCCAGAGATACAAGAGATATGTTGCTGTTGCTGTTGCTAGTCCAAGGCGACAGGCAGCCAAGCAGGCACAACACGTGTAACCTTGGAGTCATAAGGGAGTATAAGGGGGAAGGGAAATGGTCATAAGTCGTAGAGGTGATGTGGCATTATGGGGTCGTGGGGTCGTCTGCTCAACAGCGTCATAGCGCCTTCACACCATCGCACCATCGCACCAGAGCACCATAATGTTCAGATGCATGTCTCAATGGACTCGGCCTTCTGGTAAAAATAACCCCTAACCTCCGATTTTTCTGATACACGAGCTGCAGTGGGTATTATTAGACACTTGTCAGGCGACACTACGGCAAGGCGACGTCATTGGGGCCGAAAATAATGGGCGATAGTGCCTGTTTCATGGTGACAGCTGTCAGGGGAGCTACCCGTGGCGGGTCTGGCAGAGAACATTCTCCGGTGGGTCGCGGCAGAATATTCAAGTATTTTTATTTTATTTTATTTTCATAATTTTCATAATTTTCATAATTTTCACAATTATTTAGCGAATAATTAATGGCGGTGATGGGCGAGCGGCGGTGACTGGTGATAGCGGTGATTGGTGATAACGGTGATTGATGATAATACGGTAAGACGAGAGTAGCAATGAGCCTCAATCAACAACAAAAAGACATGGTCACACCCCCCACAACCTGCAAAACTAAACCGCCATCCATTTCGCCCCGTTTCGCCCCGTTTGGCCTCGTTTGGCCTCGTTTCGCCCGTTTCTCCACTCCATGGTCTCTACAGTCAATTCCAGCTAATCTGCGCGCCCAACTTGTTTGGGAACCTGGTAAATACTCAACTCCCGCCACGACAAGATGAAATACAGCCAACCACTCGCACTCGCGGGCCCCGTTGCGCGAGCTCTTGTTCAACAGACGTACAACTGATACACGTCTGTTTGTATTTCAGTCTCGGTTTTGCCTTCCCTTGTTTGAACCTAAAGTAAATGCCTCCGAGGCTAACTTTATGCTAAAACCTTATTATAGGAAATGTAAACCCAAAGCTTATTTTCCCACCTCCATCACACAACACCTCTGACGAGATTGTGTCTTCTTCACTAGGGACGGTGTTTTGGAGGAAAGCGATTTTACGGAGATTTCACGGCCACAAACAGACTACCAACGGCCCCCCAGCGATACAGCCAAGCCAGCGCTACACACACACGCCCCCGAATCGACCTTTTCCGTCGCCGTTACATCGACTTTCGGACGACCAACCCACCTCTCCGTCCTTGTGACCCCCTCGACATTGACACTGTGCTCTCCCCCCGCGATATTGCCAGTGTAATTTGCCACCATGATCATATTCAAGAACGCCCTCCTGCTGGCGACGTCGGCCGGCGCCGCGCTGACGTACTGTTCGTCGCAGAACTCGGGCGAGTCGTTCGACTCTGTTTTCGGGCAGTTTCAGAGCAACGGAGCGTGTAGTGACACGTGCTCCGGGTACGCGTTTGCCATTTTGCAGGGCCAAAAGTGCTGGTGTTCCAACATGGCGCCGTCAGACACCACCTCCGTCGGCTCTTGCGACGAGGCCTGTGCCGGCTATCCCTCCGACAAGTGCGGCAACATGTTCCAGGGCCTTTTTGGGTACATTCAGTTGGCCCAGGCGTCCGGGACTCTTGCTGTTTCGAGTTCGACGACGAGCACAAGCTCAAGCACGAGTTCGACGAGTACTACAAGTTCCAGCACCAGCACCAGCAGCACCAGCACTAGCTCGAGTACCAGCAGCACCAGCTCGAGTACCAGCAGCACCAGCACTACAGAGAGCACCAGCAGCACCAGCAGCACCAGCAGCACCAACAGCACTTCTACTTCCTCCACAACGTCGTCAAGTACGACGTCTTCCAGCTCTTCCACCACGTCCACCACGTCAAGTACGACGTCTTCCAGCTCTTCCACCACGTCCACCTCGTCACCATCCATTTCCGTGCTCACAGTGGTGGGCGGAGAAAAGACGGTGACAGTGTCCAACTCGGACAGCACGTCCACGCCCGCCCCGGCGTCGACAACGTCGTCCGAGTCGCCGGTAGCCACGTTAGACCCCCAGTCGAAACACAAGGACGGCTTCTTCGACCACAAGGGCAAGGTGGCCGGTGTGTTCACGGTGGTGGGCATCGTCGGCGCGGCGTTAATCGCCGGACTCATCTTCTTTCTGTGGCGACGCAACAAGAAGAGCCGCTACGACGACGATGACGACGACGACGACGAGCTCACCGTGGGCTCCGGCGGGTCGCCCACAGGATCGCCCTGGCGGTCCAAGGCCGCGGCGGTCGGCGTGGTGGGCCGAAGCCAGTCGACCCGAACCACACTGGGCGGCAGCGACCGCGGACCCAACGGAGGGCTCGCCACGTCGCCGTCGCTGGCAACCTCAGGTAAGCTGCGCATCGACGAGTCGTCCGAAACTGGCTCTCATCACATGATGCGCGAGCAGTCCGAGTCGTCGATTCTGGGCTCCATGGGAATGGCGCAGCATGACGTGCCCGACCCATCTGCGGCGCCGGGACGGTCCATGGCCGCCAACATGTCCCAGGTCCACGAGGTGCCCGTCGTTGACCAGCGGCTAGACCCATCGCAGATGGTGCTGCGCTACGACGGCGTCGACGAGTCGCGTCATAGTCTACAGGACGACGCTGACTACAGCAGGCGAATTCTAAGGGTCACCAACCCGGATTACTTTGGCTAGCGAGCGAGCCGCGAGCGAGCTGATAGCGTGCCATCCGGCTGAGCGCAGCTGAGAAGAAGTTTCAACTATCGCCAGGTCGATTCGCCAATTAATTTAACCATTCGATTCGCCAGTTTCACCAATTCAATCAACGCTCGCTTGCCTTCCGTTACACAACCCCTTCTTCCCACCATCTCTGATGCGTTCCGGCCCTTCATGGCCTTTTACACACCGCTCGGTGTCCCGTCACCCCCACCGGGTACTCCCCCTCGTACATGCAGCTTGGTACGCCGCCTTCTCAGAGACGCTTGCACGTGATCGCCCCTTGGCCGCCACCGCGTCTCCTTGTGGTGCCTTCCGCACCCTATTTATTCTGCATTCTTCACCCTAATTCGCATTCCTTCCCGCGGCATGTATGAGAAAAATAGATTGTTTATCCAAATCTTTGTATGTACTGTAATAGTTTGCGATAGTTTGCGAGAGGTTATGAGCTTCTAAGTGAAGATTTCTACTGAGAATTATTTCCGTGCCGCCGACACCAAGTGATGTCGTTGTCGTAGCGTTTTTGTGGGCTCACGTGACGGAATTATTAAATAAACAGAACGGAATCTCATCGCTCTCTCAAAGGGTTTGGTCACGTGACCCCTTGTCATAATCTCTTTTTTGTGAGGTACTTTTTATTATATATATATATATATATATATATATTTCTGCATATAATTTTTAGTAACATTTTGTTATGTTAAGTAATATATCAAGAAAAGTTGCTGAGAGTCAAGTGATATCAAGTAATTGTAGTTAGTGCTGATACTACTGATAAAACAACAACAACAACAACCAGAAAGCATCCAAAAAAAAGAATAAGAGCACCAGGAGTATCGTTGGACCAGATTATTCCAAAAAAAATATCCCTCCATTTGCCAACCAGCCAGATATATAGCCATTTCTCCAAAACGCGCCATTGACAGTTTCGGGCAAGTCACTCAAATGGCACTTTGATCGACTTCTCAGAAACACTCGCAATCTCTCACATACGCTCTCACGTGACACCCACGTCCCAGACACGTCCACAACCCCACGTCCCACGTCTCACGTCCCATAGCTTCAGACGAACACTTGTTAACTTCGAGACGCAGATCTAAACATGCCAATGGTGGTACGAAGGAATTCTAACTATGTGTTTTTTCTTCTTTTTCTTCTTTTTCTTCTTTTTCTTCTTTGCTCATTTATTGCTTCTAAAAATACAGAAAAATTCTCAGGGCACCATTTACCACGTGATATATATACAGCTGATTTCGTTTATTTTTCTCGTCGTTTCTTCTTCCATCTTTTCTGTCTTGTCTCTGTTTGAGAGTTCCCTTTGCGTATTTAGGGTTTTGTGAAAATGCTTATCCCCAATTATAAAGTTTGCTACACCATAAATAGACTTTGTCTCATCTTCATTGCTGTTGCATGGATGGATTGGTCGAGTGAAAAATATAATTTGAATTTTTCAGAATTTTTCAGAAAATGGAAAATCTGGAAAATCTGGAAAATATGGAAAATCTGGATAAAATCTGGATAAAATTTGGAAAAGTCACTGAAGTTATTGAATCATGCTGGCTCTTTTATCCTATTTTGCAATTTTCTTTTCAATTTTTTTTCACATTTTTTCCACATTTTTTCTACATTTTTTCCACATTTTTCGTTTTCCCACCTTTTCCCTAGTTTATTGCCATTTCCCAAAAACACCAAACTCTACTCTGTTTGGATCTCCAGCCGATCTAAGGTACAGGAAAAATGTACACAAAAAGAGTAGCGCGCTTTCTGGGGTTTTTTTAACAGCCACTTTGAGTGACACAAAGAGCCGCCGATCGAAAACAGGGCCAAAAAAGACCTTTTTCAGGTTGTGGAAAAGATTTGCTACTTGTCAAAAATTACAAGTGTGTTCCATCTGCCCTCAATCGTGTTGACCGCTTTGGGAGGTGGAAAAGTTTATTTCTGGATTGGGACTCGCACAAAAAAAAGAAAAGAAATTAAAGTAAAAAATGGACCAGTCCGGAGTCGAACCGGAGACCTTCCGTATGCGAAACGGACGCGATAGCCACTACACTACAAGCCCAAGATCTGTTGTAAAAGATGTGATAATACTAGCAATGGTGAAAAGTGCGAATTTTCAAAAAAATGCCAATATCGACCGAATCACATTATATTTCGGGCTGAAAATCCGACCGAATAATATCCCGACATTAGCAGAGAATATGAGTGACTTACAAAAACACTCAAACCAAAATTGAGTCCGCTAATGGATATTTGCGGGGATGGATCGTGCGATTGCGGGAAGAGCGATATCTGGTGATATTGACGGCGGGGGAAAGAAATGTCAAATGAGAGGCTAAAGGGGAACTATTAGAAGTTATCTGATCAATCTTAGTCGGGATGGGACCTATATTGCGGTTTTTGTGTGGGGACTGATGCCAAGGTAGTTGGGTGCAGTGATAATGGAGGGGGTGTAGTAACAGAAGACAAATTGGAAGACAAGAACATGATAACATGTGTGCCACAACTAGTACGACTAGTATCGTATTCTTTTACAAGTGTCCACCTCTTTTGAAAGGTCTGTTTGTGTGCCATATCCCGTTATGAACGGTAAATGACGTCGGGTTGTCCTCAGAAGCCCGCATCTCGTCAGTGACAATCCAAGTTTGGTGGTCGTCATATCAGGAATCTGACAATGCATGTTTCAAGTTTCAGTTTCGTTTGTCTCGATAGTTGATACCAATTGGAAAGACTCGCGGTGCACATCAGCAGAAAGGGGCTGATGCGCAAATGAAACCTGTTGTAAGGTCTGTCTACATGATATCAACCAGGAGGTTCTTCAAGTACATACAGTATGTACTGTACAGTGCAGTACATGTACAGTACCAGTAGACCGCCATTCCTGTGACGCTCTAGAGTCTGTCGGAACTGTCGCCTTTCAGCCAGAGCATCTTCTAACCAGGTGCTTCTCCATACGTGAACATACGCAATTGTAGAACCAAATAGATAAATTGCCAAGCGAACGCGACAATGAGAGAGTGGGGCACGCCATTAGAAGTAGTAATAGCAAGTCCCACGCGTTGTCTATGCCTGCTGTGTCAGAGTCATTTGACCGCCAGAGACCTTCAGACGGTCCACGACTGTATATTTGGTGATATTCACGTGGAGGGGTCCCGCCCGATGGCGAAAATCAGTATCTCAGCAGCTCAACGACTGTGGGACCCAACAACCGGCATAGAATACCCCGGGAGATTAGAGCCACCTGAGGGCCCGCAAGTGATGAAAGGTGCATTGAGACAGGTGGGAAAGTGGGAAAAGTGGATAGCGGCAACGACTATTTGCACATTTTCGGGACCAACAGGATATCTGGGACGCCAGCGATATGGATACACGACATAGGAACTTGGTTAGAGCCTCGGCTGGTGTGTCAGGTCCTGTGGATAATACTCCAAACGTACGTATGACCATACACTTGATCAGAACCGATACAAACCACCAGAGGCGATAACAGATGACCACAACTGAACCCATTCGAACCCACCAGAACCCTCTTGCTACCTCGTCCACCCACATTCCTACTCTATCAAACCCGGCTCTGGCCACCGTACCGAGACCATCGGCTGGGGGTTGAACTTGGAGAAGGGACAAAAATAGAACGTAGCGAAAGATCCTGGAAAGGCGCCAAGTGACAAGACCATGGTCACAGGCGGAGTCCGGCAGAGTCCGATAGAGTAGAGTCAGCTGAAATCTGTGAGTGTCCGAGATTGGGTGGCGTGGTAGTGTTTGTGTCAAATCGAGTATCGTGTGATTCGAGTGTCTGTGCCAATATCTGTCAGTGTCATATCGAGTGTCAGATCAGTCAGTGCCGGTATCTGTTTGTGTCAGTATCTTTCTGTGTCGTATCAAGTATCTGTTTGTGTCAATCAGTGATCACTATCGATGGTATCGGTTGTGTCAGTTTGTGACCAATGTGTGACCATCTCGAGCGATGGTATGAGGAAAGGATAGATTTTTCCTTCTTTCTTTATCCACTTTAATGAGTAGCGTGGACGGTGTTGGTGATAATTAAATAAAAAGAATAAAAAGAAAAATAAAGAAAAAAAGAATAAAAAAATACAATAATGGAAACAATGAAAATAAATGAAAATAAATGAAAATAAATGAAAATAAATGAAAATAAATGAAAATAAATGAAAATAAATAAATGAAAATAAAACGAACAAACAATAATAAATAAAAACAACTATTAATCGTCACGTGAAAAATATCTCTCCCCCCCCAACCATCTACCCATATACCGTACTACACAAGCAACAAAACATCAGTCGAGTTTGCTCAAACATAAATTGCAAATAATCTAGAGGATCGATGGCTGACTCACCCAACGACTAAATGACTAAAAACTGGTCACGCAGTAGACTCTAGCCATTTCCGTCAGTCACCAGCCTTTTCCTCGCTCAAACTCAGCGCAGTACTTAACAAGTCTAGTACTGATTAAGAACGTGTTACAAGTAACAACTCGCTCCTACCCAAACCGACGCCATCTCACGAACTGCATCAGTGAAATGGCAGCGGGTGCGCCGGGTTCATTCCTTAATTCGTTCATTCCTTAATTCGTTCATTCCTTAATTCGTTCATTCCTTAATTCATTCATTCCCTCGCGCTCGTCGAAATATCCAATGAACTCGCTGCGCTCATTCATCTCGTTCTCTCGTTTGTTAAAACATCTTATCCTTAAACCTTCTGAAAATGGATCGTCGTTTCTCCTTCTTGGAGGACCCCGCGGTAATAGTGACATCGGCAGCGGTGGCGGGCGCCGAGGCCACCGAGGCATGGGTCGACGCGGTCGCCGGAGCAGCCACTACGTCGGCGGTTGGAGCAACCGGAGCAGAAGCCACTGGAGTAGCTGGAGCAGCAGAAGCAGCAGTTGTACCTGCGGCAATCGGAGCAGCTCCACCTACAGACGAATCTGTAGTTGCACCCTCCGAACCCCCAACAGGGACATTGAGATTCAGAGCGGTGCTGGAAGGCGTACCGGGTGCCACACTCTTGGTGGCGGCGGCAGAATGCACACTAGATGCGGTGGAGGGGTCCAGAGTAGAAGCTGTAGGAATAGAAGCCCCAGCCCCAGCCCCACCACCAACACCAACACCTCCTTTGGTAGAGGCGGCGGGCGAGCCGAACGAAGGAGAAGCAGAGGCAGAAACGCCCGCGGAGTCGCCCTCCAGAGGAATGCCCTCTCGTTGAGCCAACGACGCCAAATGGGGACTCATGGGCGTCGGAGAAGACGGAGCTGTCTCGTTCTCGTGGAACCGAGAGCCCCCAACCTCACTCACCTCTCCAAACGCCACATCCTTCTTCTTGGGCTTGACCTCGTCGAATCCAGACCCAATGCCGGGACTGGGGGGTACCACAGAGGGAGCAGTGGGATTACCCTCGGCACGTGCCTTGCCCTTGTCACGAGACTGCTGCGTGTGCGCGTCGCCTTTGTCTGAATACGCCTCGTCGCGCAGCTCCGTCACATGGTCGTATTCAGAGTCGTGTCGGCCACGAGTCGGGGTCGACGGCACTGCACGTGACTGGCCCGTGGAGTCGACCGGCGAAATCGCGCCCGACTCGACCGCGGAGTACTTGGTCGAGATGGTTTGGTCCAGCGTCGCTGCGGCGTGCGGGTCCAATGCCGACGGTTGTAGATCGTGCATCGTCAATGCGTGTGCCGCTGCTGCTGCCGGGATGGATGCATGGGCTGCCGACGGTCCTGTTTCAGCAGCAGTTTCGGTCTTTTCGGGGAATCCGTAGCTGGCCACGGGAATCGCATGTTTGTTGGGTGATTTAGCGGAAGGGGATTTGGGCGATTTGGGGGACTCCATCTTGGACAGGGGATCCACAGAGTCCGTCGGGGAAGTGTCAGCACCACCAAGGGGGTCAGAAGCGGATGAGTCAACAGGAGCAGTTCCAGGAGCGGAAGAATCAACGAGAACAGCCACAGGAGCCCCCGGAGCTCCATAATCTTGCCCTCGAACATCCCTGTTAATTCCGGCAATGGGAGCCAACTCGCCGGACTCAACCGCCGCTTGCTTGCTCTCAAGGGCATTCTCAAGCTTGGATTGAGCAGCAGGGTCCAAATGAGAAGGCTGCAGATCGTGAGAAACACCTTCTGCCGAGTACGGGCCCTCATCACGTGGTCGCACGCCCTCCTCATGGGGAAAGGCGCCCGGGATGTCCTGGGTGATTTCCTGGATGTCGTCTCCCTCAAGTTGTTCCAGCATCTCGAGCGAGAGCACGTTGTTGATGTTGCCGTGCTCGTCCGTCTCGGTGGCAAATGACTCGTCCACTTTCCATTCGCCGTCAACCACAAACTTGAACAGCGTTTTTTCCACCGGAATCGCCACAGTGTGCGAGTGGCCGGCGGAAGAAGGAGAGAGGGTCAGCGACTGGGTCCAGTTGTCGAAAGATCCGGTCACGATGATGTGTGACCCGGAGTGGGGCCTGCGTTAGTATTGACGTCACAATTCAGAGCAGGGCATTAGGAGGCAGAAGGGTGATGGAAGGGACAGCAGAGTGACGCCAGGAACAGCAGTCAAGAGAGCTTCTCGGACAAGAAAAGATGCATTCTAGAGATTATTCGGAGTGACTGAATCGTTGGAGGTTTCTGAGACGATCCAAAATGACTTTTGAGACTCTAGAGACCCAAGAGTGAACTTCAGAGTGCTCCAAAGTTGTCTTCTGACACCCCAGAATACTTAAAAAAGACGACTACAGAAATCTCAAAAATGACCCCAAATGATTCCAGAGCCCCAGAATACACCAGAAAATCTTCTGAGATTGCTAGAGTGGTCGAGAATAACTCCAGAGACTCCAGAGACTCCAGAATGTCAGAATCAGAACACTTTCAAGCCCTCCAGACTCCAGATCGCCAGATAGACCACCACATGCTCCAAAGCCCATCGTAGTCTCCAAGTCACGTGAACAAGGATACTAATCACGTGGACCACACACCCATCCGGGAGACGCCCACCGCAACCGCGTCTCCCCAGCCGCACGTCTTATGGTTATCTGTGCAGTGTGAGATGCGCTGTGTAACATGGAGAACGTAGGAACGGAAGAAACGGAAGAAACGGGAGAAACAGGAAATAACAAAAGATATCCGCACTCACGTGAGACCATGTCACCCGCAAATCTCCTCTCCGCCAACCTCTGACATTCGCCATGTCACAAACCACTCCCTAACATGTCACCGCCCGAATCTCGCTCAAATCGCACCACGCGACTTCCAACTGATTTCACGTGACTCAAACGGACTCCACGTGGCCCCAACAATCGCTCATAACATCTCCCCGCTCTTCTCCTCCTCGAACCTGGTCTCCTCATCGCCCGGATTCGTACTCACCAAACAAACGTGTATTCAATCATGGTAATTTGGCGGCTATTCGGCGGCGTTGTGTCGGATATCGGAGTTTCTATCGGCTGTAGGCGGCTATCGGCGGCGTTTCGGTCAGCTGACAAAAAATCTCGTTGCAACTCGTCGAAAAAATATCGGTCGTCAAATGGTGCACAGGTAGGGAGTAAAGTGATATCGGCACTATTAGAATTGCCGACCAAACTTTATTTTAGACGAGAATTATCGACTAAAATATTGACTTGAAAATATGACTGTAATGGAAACCAGAAACGGTCGTGTATTATCATGTGTCACGTGATCCTGAAAAATTGACTTGAAGCTGGATTTGGTGCAACATTGCCCAACTCTGTCAAAAGTGTCTCAAATAAGACGCAGATAGTACCATTGGAATTAGGAGAAGAAAATAAACCTATTAAAAGTTGTTTTATTCTGGTCACATGATTAACAATGAGGTTGTGACTGGAATTGTATATATTTCCAATTCTATTTTTTAACTTAAATATAATTTTAGGTTGTGCGGCTTTCTCAAGATCACATGATATGTCACGTGCATTACTATAAATAGTATTAGTTGGCCCGCAGTCTGCTGACTAAGAAGTCACCCCACTTGAGACATTAAGAGCTGAGTTCGCTATCAAGGTTCTGTTGACGATGATTGAAGATCGAAGTTAGAGTCTGTGGTGACTACGTGGACGGTGTAATTTTCCATGGCATGGATCATGTGATGACTACGTGGACGATGTGATACCATGACATGGCTGTGTAGTGACTATGTGGACAATGTGGACAATGAAGTGGCATGACAGGACTAATGTAACGGTACCGTCACCTTCAGTAGTCGCACAATTGCGTCGTTGTAAGGCACGACATCGACCATGTCACGGGACCACTTCCGACATGTCGGGACACAGAAATATACATGTATGAATCGACCAAGTCCTCATGTCTTGGATCCCATTGCATGCGGATGCACGGCGGCTAAATGGACATCTACTTGTAGGTTAAACCAGGTGCGGCGTATAATTTAATATAAATATAATAACGATTTAATGGGATATTTGAATTGAACTGGAAAATCCAAATAAATTGGGATGTTGAATTAAATCGAACAATTTAATCTGAATAATCCTTTAAATCCCAAAATCAATTCAATTGATTTCATCTAATTAAATTATTTTGAAATTCAAGTCAAATCAAAAATCAAATCAAACCAAAAAATCAAAAATAAAATAAAATAAAGAAAATCGGGAAAATTGACAAAAAACACCAACAAAAAATCATGGGAACACCTTCAAACACTGTTGAAGCTATCAGGGGTGAGCTCAGCTCTAAAGAGACCAATCATACAGACAATAATCTTCAAATAACTGCCGAAACGAGCAGCGGCTAAACGACGGCTATTCTCCACAGCAGACTCTGCGCCCATCTGAATCATCCGACAGTCTCGACTGAGCCTCGACATAAAACTTGGGAAACCACCTAGAGTGCCGCAGCAAGCCTAAGCGTAGGCGTAAGCCCCGCAGTTAACCCCCAGATCGCTTATTTCCTGAAACTGCCCTTGTGGTCTCACGGTCAAAAATGGCTCTATGTACCACACTTTATGTGGTCTTGGATTTCTGATTTTTTGTTTTTCGAGTGATTAGTGCATCCAGTCCATGTACTGAACATACAGTAATTTGCTGTAGGGAAGAGATGGAATATGTCGAAAAGAAGTGAAAACAGATTTTTTTTTTTATTGGTAACTCGACAGGTCTGCATCGACCAATGATTTCATTATTAGAGCCAGAGAAACCTTGTGACTGTTTGTACTTGTATTCTGAGGTCATCTCTTTGGGTGTTTTCGTTTTTTTCTCCCCCTCCCTCATTTTCTTCGGCTTTTCTCTTTTTTGACCTCAGAATAGCCCCTTCCACATATCCACCCATCGACGGTAAAGAAGTGACCACTTCTTCCTACCTGAAACCACCACCGCGGCTATGTACCTTTCTTACTCCTTCACAGCCGACCCATCAGCCCACATGTCTCATATAGGACTTTCATGTAACCACAATTGTAAAAAATACCAAAAACCAACAACATGGTATTTCTCACAATAGTTGTGGCTGCCCTGAGACTTAAATTCCCTTCCAACAAGACAAGACTCCCATTTCGTTGGTCTTCGCCCACCTTTCCTTACCTTGGCTTTCACTTTCTTTCACTTTCTACCCTCCCATCCCCACCCTCGCTTTAGCCGCTGGCGTGCATTGCATTGCATCACACGACATTGCATGAAGATAACCGACGGTGGAAAAAGGTATAAAGGCATGATCACCGTCCACCACAACATCCCACCCACAACTCGGCAACTAGAGCTCTAATCGACGAGATCCAACATACCGCGCACCAGCAAACACTCGCTCTTAGAACCAGCACCAATCTTTCCATGCCCCGAGCACGAGACCTGAACATTCCCTTGGACGGAACCCCCGGACCTAACAACGCCATCACAGACGTGCCAGGCGTCGAGGTCGGATACACGACCCTCACCTCTGGCGGCGCCAAAACCGGCGTGACGGCCATTCTGCCGCGCGGAAAAACCGGCGTCGGCAAGGCGTGCACCGCCGCTACCTTCTCCTTCAACGGCAATGGCGAGCTGACGGGCCGGTCCATGATCGACGAGGCAGGCGTTCTGGCGCTTCCAATCCTCATCACCAACTCGCACTCGGTCGGGGCTGTCCATCGAGCCTGCGATCTGTGGGTCGCCAAACATTTCCCCAAAGTCGCTGCTCAATGGATGCTGCCGGTGGTGGGCGAGACGTGGGACGGATACCTCAACGAAATCAACGGCGATCACGTTAAAGAAGATCACGTGTTCGACGCACTCAACACCGCATCTTCCGGGCCTTTACAGGAGGGCAATGTCGGCGGTGGCACAGGCATGAACTGCTACTCCTTCAAGGGTGGCTCGGGCACCTCGTCCCGGAACGTGCAATTCGGCACCAAATCGTACACAGTGGGCTGTTTGCTGCAGGCCAATTTCGGGCGCCGAAACGAGTTTAAGGTCGCCGGAAGACCTCTCGGCAAAGACTCGAAGGCCCCGAATCCGATGGGAACTACCGACTGGTTTGAACGAGAAGCCGAGGGTCTGCCCAAGGTGCCCGAAGGGTCGGGCTCCATTATTGTAGTCATTGCCACCGACGCGCCCCTGCTTCCTGGACAGTTGCAGGCTCTGTGCAGACGAGTACCTCTGGGACTGGCACGAACAGGTACCTCAGGAGGACACTTTTCTGGCGACATTTTTGTAGCGTTTTCGACTGCCGAGTCCGCGGCGTCGATTGCATCCAAAATGCCCTATGGTCCGGCCAAGGACGAAGATATCCAGACCATCCAGTTTGTACCCTGGGGGCATATCGACATGTTCTATGAGGCGGTGGTGCAGTGTGTCGAGGAGGCCGTGTTGAATGCCATGGTTGCCGCAGAGGATATGGAGGGTCGGGACGGCCACAAGAGTTTTGCCTTGCCTCATGGCGAGGTGAGAGAGGCCTTCTGCACATAGCACGAAGGGCACAGTGACGATGAGCGAACGAATTGTCCAGACCAAGTAGCACAGACCAAGCCAATGGTCGAGCATAGACACCAAATAACATCGAGTGGAATGTAATTGCAAGAAGCGTAGGATGAGCTGGCTAACAAAATTGTCCATACCCAAATGTAAATGTCTAGATTGCAATTGATCGTACGTATGCCTATTGTCCAAAGATTGAGACAATAGGTATACGTACCAATGGCGATTTGTACTCCTTCACATCCAATGGCGTGTTCTTGTGCCACGGCAGATATACAGAGCACGACGGGGCTCACACACTCAATTGGGCTGCGTTGCTATCCCGCATTTTGGTCACACACAATTGGGTGGTGTCGTCATTCTGCGTACCGCTGCCTCACTCGATTGGGCTGGAGAAAGACGCCAGATTGAGAGTTGTGGGTGATGCGACGGGTACAGCGTGTCTAACGGCAGATAGTTGCTCAAAGTGCGACATGATCAGGTTGTTGCATCATGCGTGTTGTGGGCGGACAGCACCAATCAACCCGAATACGCAGCTCCAGCACCGGATCAACACCCGCACTGGATCAACACCCGCACTGGATCGACACTCGCACCACTATTCGCTCCGCAGACTCCCGCTCTGCCCGCCTTCCAAACACAAACACAACTCCGAGTTGGAGACAGAACATGATTGCGTCCGCGGCTTTGTTGTGTTTGTGTCAGAAGAGGGGCAAGCGAGAGCATGAACGAAGCGAACGCTTGATGCTTGGAGTTGATGCTCGTTGCTTGGAGTTGATGCTGGTGTGACATGTAAGAAGAAGAGTACAAAAAGAAGAAGAGAACATGATAAGAATAAGACGGGACACAAATAAGGTGGGCGGTTAAACGGCGGCTAAATGGACTACGGGGATAAAAAAAAAAAAAAGCGCAAAAAGGGAGAAAAAAGGGCGGTAAGATGGGCCAGAAAAGGCGGTGAAATGGACCCGAAATTGCGGTAAAATATGCCAGAAAATTAGAGAAAGGGCGGTAAATATCAGTTACTGTGTAATCTGACAAATGGCGATGTTGGACCAAGAAGGTTAGGAGGTGAGAATTGGCAGGAGAAGATATAGAGCGGTTCTCGAGATTTCTCACAGTAGTTTGTATGCGAAAAGTTATTTGTAATTGCTCAATTAATAGAATGACTTTTTTTTCGCCTCGATCGGAGCAAAATTAGCGAAGTTGGAGTTCTGTAGAATCAGGTGGGGGTGGACCCGACCATACCCACAAAAAGAGAATCCATATAAATTCCGACGTGGAGATTGTGTGAAAAGGTCGAGTAGATATTTGAAATCATCTAGTGATTCTCTTTGATTTGAAGTAAATTAGAGGAAAATATGGTCTTAATTAGGTGATGTGGAGTTCTCCAGATCCCCCCCCCCCCCAAAGTTGGGCCCCTTTTTTTTTTTTTTTTTTTTTTTTTTTTTTTTTTTAATAACTTAGAGTAAAGTACTTTATGCTCAAGTAATATCAAACTAATACTGAACAATCTCAACTAAATACAACTATTTCCTGTGCTGTATTACAACAAAATGGTAAAAACCAAAAAAAGAAGTCCAAAAGGCGGCAGCAAAACGAGAAATATACAAAAACAATCAGAAAAGAGAGAAAAAATACATTGGTACTAGAGTATATACATTTTTGGGCTTTTTCGGTCGTTTTTGGACCCGGCCAGGAAGCCACCTTGACAGTTAACTATTGACAGAACTATTGACAGATAACTCATTGTCCATTGAGGCTAGAAGAGTGTCTAGGTCATCGGTAACAGTGTTCAGAGAGCTCTTTCAACAAGTAACAGTTTCAGAGAACCCATTCAAGCGGTAACAGTTTTAGACAGCTCATTACGGAGATGTCATTCCACTGTTTTCTTAACTAGATGATGTTGTTAGTAGTTAGTTGAGATTGTTAAATAGAGTCGTAGTTAGTTGAGAATTTGTTAAATGAAGCAATAGTTAGTTGGAAGTTAGTTGAATGGAGTCCTCGACACAGGTAGAAACCTACTCGGACTTCAAGTGCACGGGCCATTGTGCCAAAATCCGGATTGAACATAGCACAGAACAATCTCCATTCCAACGTATTTCAGACTAGTGGGTTTGATCTTTGATTACATTATACAGACCCACAAGAAACCACTCCTTTGTCCGCTCGAATCGAAAAGGGGCCCACTACGCCAACCCCCCGCCCACAACTCATCTACACGTCACGTGATAAAAACACATCACGTAATCCAACCCATCACGTAATCCAACACATCACGTGATCAAACACCTCATCAATTCATTACTATAGAGTCAGGTCGGACAATTGGGCTAGGACGCCAGAAGATCACAAGGCATGTGGGCAAGAAAGAGTCAGGACCTGAGCTCACCTTTGGTCTTCAGAGTCCGACCAAAGAACCGAGTTCAGCTGTCGATCTTCTAGTTGTAGTCAGAATCCGACCAAAAGAACTACTCGCTGCGCTCATAGTTCATTTGGTATTACTCATTCCAACTAATCACAAACATAATTCCAATACCAACCAACATGGCGACCAACTGAATGGCAAAATCCACCAGCTTCTTGCCAATTCCCTGGGCCTGTTCCTCTTCATCCTCCTCTAACAACTCAGGAACAACTCCCACAGTGCCAATATACAGAAAAGAACCGGCGGTAAAAGGCAGGGCCAAATCGCCCCAGGTCACTGAGGTGCCCAGCAGCGTGCTCACGTGACCCAGCCCGTCGGCACCGGCTCCCGAGCCCCATTCGTTGAGTGCAATGCCCAGAAACGTACCCATGTACGCGCCAACCGCCGTCAGAAACTGCGCCTGCATTGCCCGAGTCTTGGAAAAGCCGCCCTGAATCAGTAGGGCAAAGTCGCCAACCTCGTGGGGAATTTCGTGGAAAAAGACGGCCAGAAACGTGGTTGCTCCGACGGATTTGGAAATGTAGAAGGACGCAGACAACGCAATTCCGTCGGTGATGTTATGGGTAAAGTCTGCAATCATGTTGAGCCATACAGAAGATGAGTAAGCCGGGGAGGAGGAGGAGGAGGAAGAGGAATCGGCGTCGGCGTCGGCGTCGGCATCGACAGAGGTAGAAGTCACGCGGCCAGTTTCAGCCGTCACGTGACCAGTCTCCGCCGCCTTTTCGCCCCGTTTGACGGCCGTGGTCTGGGAAGGGGTGGCCGAGGTAGTCTGAGCGCTGCCTGTGGGGACTGGGTCAGTCACGTGGCTGTCACCGTGACTATGGGCATGGTCATGTCCACTCCCGTGACTATGGTCATGTCCACCGCCCAACATTCTGATGAATTTGTCCATGACAATAAAACTCATAAAACCCACAAAAATGCCAAACCCGAGCACAATGTTGCGTTTCTCGTCAACGGGAACAAACCGCAGCCCCGCGCCGCCCTCCTCTCCGAAAAACACCTGCGGCAATAGATGTAGAAAAACGTCACCCAAGAGACCGCCAACCGCAAACGCCACCATCACCTTGAGACTGGAGGGCCGAATGTCCGGGGGAATGAGCGCCAGCAGCAGATTGGGGGGTCCCGAAATGTAGGTGGTGGCCAGAATGGCGTTGTAGGCGGCGGAATCAAACGGGAAGAGAATTTCAAACAGCCGGTGGATCAACGACTCGGTGTCGTCGGCGTGATCGGCGTCGTGTTGTTGATTCATGTATTGCACCACGGGGCAATCGGCCAACTTGATGTCGACCACCTCTTGGTTGAATCCGGAGCCCAGAAACAGGTCCGAGTCCGAGTAGCTCATTTCGGCCGCGCTGGGTGCCTTTGGAGCGTGTCCCAGGACACCCGGCAGTGCCAGGAGAAGACCTGAAAGGGTTGAAAGGGTTGAAACTCTCATTAGGCGACTTTAGACGAAAAAAAAAAAAAGATCAATTCCGGTTAATTGGACGCCGGAGAATCGATTGAGCGGGTAGGTTTGCCGATCGGAGCGGTATTCGTCGACTTGTGGCGATATTTCGAACCGGGACAGGGGGGGAAAATGATCTCGACGAACTCAAGGCGAGAATATCACTCGAATCAGGAGAAAAATGTCGTCGTGGGAACTCGGCGATGAAACTGTCGATAAAAAGGCCTCTGGAAAAAGACCCGCGGTGGTTTTTGGTGTCGCTCTAAAGTCGTTCGCGTGAAGACAAGATTGATAACGCGACCGATTACAAGGGCCGTTGCGTTCGACACGTCTTAAGTAAATTGAGTTTATGCACAAGAAGCTTATTAAGCGAGCGACCCGAAACAAGCGACCCGAACCGGCGCCGAAAGGTGTAAAGGAAGGAGCAGCCCCCCGGTCACGTGACCCAAACTAAAGGTGGTCACGTGATAAGACCTTCCCTTCCCGATTGTTTCTGGAAGTCACGTGATAAGGCGTTTCCTCCCTCTGACTAGGATCCACATTCAACAACAAGGCCTCCTTTCTCACCTCCATCACCATTGCTCCATATTCCGATCAACAGATCGGCAACTGCAGCAGCAGCCAAGTCACGTGAAGAAAAGAGGTGACGACGACGCGTAAGGTAGTCACGTGATCAGAATAGGAGACGGGGCAGCATGTCGAGCCAAGTCGAGGTGGTCTGACAATATGTTTGGGATGATTGAACCGGGGTATTTCAGAACAAGCTGGAAATTTGTCACGTGAGTAAACATGGTGTGTTGGATCGATTGGGACTGTCGAGTACTCGACGAGGAAGCGGATTAGCGGGGGGTATTTCGACCATGTGTTGAACACTTGACCTTATGCTACCTTTGCAAAAATCAACCGTCAATCGGTCGCTCGCTTTAGATCCATTTTACATCTCTACAATTCACCTCTCATTTCTCCACATTGTCGAAACATTAATTGATTTAAAGACGCTCAAAGTGACAATTTATTTGAGCCGTTTTGGCGTCTTCCGCGGCAGTCTCTCTCTCTCTTCTTGCAGAAGGCCAAGACAGGAGGAAGTCAAGTTGGCGAATATAGGCGAAAAGGGAAGATAAATATACATGGTTCGAAAGCCCGAGACGAGGAGAGCCCAACAGTGGTCTCAATTTCTCCGCGGTATTTCTAGAAAAAGAGATATTTTAACATAGTCCTTACTCCAAAGACATGTTTAGAAAAATGCCTTGAATTACGCTGAAACGGAATCACGTGATGCCCCCACATATTCGCTTGTATTTTACCCCAGTCGTCAAAACGAATGGGAGTTTCTTCACCTGGGCTGATAGGATTGCTGGAGAACATTGAGACATTCAAAAGTCTGACTGAACCGAATGCCTCAGACCACAGAGCTACGTTTGGGAGCCCAGTTGCCACGTTTGTAGTACCAGAAGATACCTGGTATCTGAGACAATCGAAGAACTGTCAATGTATTTTTTCAGAATTTGTGACGGGTCTCGAAGCATTTACATTATACACAATTGTGACTAGATTACGTCAACGTTGAATGGATAAAAAGCACAGATCATAAACATATTGTATTGTAGAAATTGCAGTGGAGAATCGGGTCCTTGGTGAATTGACTCTACCTGTTTCATTTCGATCGGATCAAAACTGAACCAGTTGGATTGGAATATGACTTCGAGTAGAATTGAGACAAGGACCTCATATGACGATGTTTGTAAATTTATTTCCGTTAGGAAACCGTTTCAGTGGCAATCATGAAACCGGCTGGTCTCATCGATATGAAGCAGCAATATGGTTTCACCCTGATGCGAATGATTCCTTGTAGCTCCTACTTCTGATCCGACTACTTGTAGGCATCTGGATGTGCGTTTTTCGTCTTTGCGAAGCGTATTCGGTAGTCGTATTCGGTAGTCGTATTCGGTAGTGTACATTGGGGCGTTGCCAGGTCCAGCCAGGGACCCAGTACAGCGGAGTTGTGATGACTAATTACTTAGTAATCCGCAGAAAACTAAACAGCTACACCTGGGCTTTTGTATGTAAAAAACCGACTACTTCTGGATCTTTTCAAACTGCTGCTTTTTCAAGTATCTCGTTAGAAAATCATGAATTCTCAATATTGGTCAGATTTCAATAAAAGCAGCACCAATCGAAAGCTGGAGCCTCGCAAGTTTCAATGACACACTCCATATCCTCATACAAGTAGCATTATCCCGAATTGTCAATTTAGGTAGTCCAAAGTCCATCCAAACCACTCCACGTTGGTGATGATTTAATGGGACAAAGAGATCACGACAACCGGCCATGCTGTTGTGGTTACCAATCTATATCCATACTAAGCAATACAATTACAAATACATACATCTCCGTCTTTGGGTTAGGGTGGTTGTGGGTATGTCGAGCAGGCTGTCAATTCCAAGTCGTGTCGAGACGAAAATGCGACGAGGACCGTCCCGACAAGATCACTCTCGTCAAGACTCTTCCGGACAAGCCTTCTGGACAAGCCCCTAAGGAAATGCCCGTCTAGGCACTCCAGAACTTGAACAACTCAGGTCCTCCCAATGACACCGGCTTCTTCTCTCGCACCTCGCCCTCATCGCGCTCCTCAACGACGCTCACCTTGGGGTTGCGAGCGGCGATTCGAGCCGCCTCTGCTGCCACCGCCACCGCCTCGTCGCCCCCAAGCTGGGTCGCCTCCTTGAGCTTGGCCAACACACTGTCGGCCTGCTTCTTCAACGACAAACGGTCCAGGTACAGCTGCTGCCGCATCTTTTCAATCTCTTGGCGCTCCAGCCGCACCGTTTCCTCCAGCTGGTCGAACCGGGACATTTTCAGCTCGATTTTGGCTATCTGGGTTTCGGCCAGCGACGAAACGAGCGTGGAGGCGTCGGAGACGGCCTGGCCAGCTAGCTCCTCCGCCCGCTTGCTCATTAGCTCTCCGTCTCCTTCCTTGAGAACCTTTTTGATGGCGGATGCCAGCACCGTGGACTTGTTGGAGTCGGAATGGGCCCGCTTGACGCCCTTTTCTCGCTTCACCAGGTATGCGTCTTCAATGGGCATCTGGATGAACTTGATGACGCAGGCGTCACGCTGACGGGTGCCGACATGGTCGCTTATGCTGTCCCAGTCGTCCTCAAACATCTCCACGCCTTCCAGAAGCAAGAGGGTTTCCTCGTCGGTCCAGGGGCCCTGGGCCGTCGAGTTTTTGATGCGCACAAAGTCAGACGCCTGCTGGGTGGCCGGGAACAGGCCCTGTTCGAACGCGAGTTGCGCCACCGCCTGCTTGGACCGCAGGTTGTGGTACCGCACCACCGATACGTCACCGCCGGTGGTCTGGCAGTGGTACGCCTTGGACGCGAGCACGTTCTGCGACTTTGTATTTTCGTCCTGCAGCGACGCGGCGTCGGCGGCCGACGAGTAGATGTTTCGTCGAATCTCCATGTTGATTGAGGGGGGAGTGGAGTCGTCAAGCTCAGTCGAGGTCGCAACGTAGGTGGAGTCGCCGTCGGTTCCCTTTTCGGGGTCCTCCTGGCCCTCGGAGAGCAGGCTCTTTGCCGGAGGTTCAAAAGGCTGGAGTCCCCGGGGGCCATCGACCATCACCTTAAAGTGGCCCGTAAACTGGGGGCCCATCAGAGACGGCCGGGTGTCGGGGTCCACCTGGTAGTTGATCAGGCCCCACTGTTCCAGAAACGAGTGGACCCGCAGCAGGGTGCCGACGTCGCCGGCGAGGTTGCGTCGGCAGGCGGTGAAGGTCAGGTATTCGACGGGGTTCAGACGGAACGTGTCGACCATGAAATTGCGGTACTGCGTGTAGATGGCCGGCGACTTTGTGCGCGACACGCCCGAGAAAAACTCCGGCAGCGACTTGCGTTCAATGTCGTGGATGCCGTTGCGGTCGAACCACGTGGCAAACGACGGAATCACCACCCGTTGTGTTTGTTCCGCCAGATACGCCCGAGCCTTTTCCTCGAGCTTCGCCTCTTCGGCCGAAATCGCATCTCCCGCGTCGTCCCCGCCGCCCTCCACGGACTCCTCCTTGTCGCTGGGCTTTGTGTCGTCTTTCTTGTCGGACTTGGTCGCTGTTTGAGCCGTGTCGTTGTGCGCGCCTCCAACCTCACTGCTGTCGGGCTTCAGATCGGCGTCGTTGGCCTCAATCTTGGCGGTCTGGGCGCCAATCGACCCATCGCCGTTCACGTCGGTCATGGCCGCGTCCGCTCCGGCTTCTACGCTCTTGTCGCTCATTTTGTACTGTGCTGGAAACGTGCTGTAGGTGATATCACCAATCTACGGTGTGGGAGGAAGGTGTCAACTAGGTTTTACCCGGGAGTGAAGGGTGAGATGTGGGTGAGGTTGTGGGTTCGATTCCGGGATAAATCATTGTGATTTATTGACGATAAGATCACGTGAGAGTACGTAATGGAGTCAGATTATGACTATAGCCACTTGCTTGGACCTTTCGATGAACGGTTTCAGTCACTCAATTGAGCGATACAAGGAGCGATCCAAGCTGCAGTGTTTTTTCCTCTTTTTCTTCCGAATCGACTAGAGAGCACTGGCGTGACCATGATTGACGTGAGGGTATGTGTCTTCAGGCAGATATGTCCCTTCTGATGTCCCTAATGCAACTTCTCGGGCGACGTTCTCCATACTACTCACTCTGATTGAAGAATGCATTGATTAATACTGTACTATGAATCATCCGTCTACCAGCGACAGGCAAGCGTTATGGAGCTGGCTAAGAAAACTCGGGCTCAGGAGAGCCGGCAGAAGGAAGGGAAGGGGTTGTTTCCAGAGCAGGTCCGTCAACGAGGAGACTCGGTCAAAAAGGCGACGATTTGCTGGTCTGGAAATAGCCCCTTGAAGAGAGAATGGGTTGCTGCTAGCAGGGTGATTGTTGAAAAGACTGTGTGAAACCGCATCATGAGGGTGGAAATGAGACTCTGGCGCCTCGTGCATGTCTGAGGCCGTCTAAAACCGTCTAAAACCGTCTCTTTGGAAACGTCACTCGGTCTATTCAAGCATGAGAGTACTTAGAGCAACTGAATACAGCACAGTATAGACACGGTCCCTATGGGTTGGAAACCATCAACTTGTCCTCCTCAAATGATCGGTGTAACTTCCGCACAGAGCTAACACAGCTGCGTGGGCAACCGAGTTAGTTACAAGCCAGTTTTGAGCCAGTTTTGAGCCAAATGTATGCTTGTCGCTCATCTTCGCACCGAGATCCACGTCCGAAGACGATATCTTGCCAGGAGACCGAGAGTGCTTGGGCCTCAGAGTGATGAAAGGTGTCTTGTAAGCATGTATAGCTCTCGACGCAAGTTGCTCTCGACAAGAAGACATCTATGGCCAGTAATCCAGAGCGAGTGTATCACCCAATGGTAGTCTGATAGAATGGCTGGAAGAGGTTGAAACCGCGTCAACCGAAGAAGAAAGATATGTTTCGTTGATGAACAGCAAGAATACGAATGGACAACAGAGTCCACCTGCATGTATTTGAGCACTTGTTCGTTTCGTTTGCAGAATAGAGCCACAATGCCTGGTGATGAAGCTGATACGAATGTACCATGGCATCCACACACAGGCATGGACCACGTATTATCCAGTCATGTCCTCAGTTCTTCAGCTGGTCGAACCAATGAGAACAGTGGATTGAGACTTGCGACCAATGACCTGAAAACCAGTGATTAACCATGACCTGACCCGACTTGGGCACTGCCTGCAAAGCGACACAAGATGGATATCGTGAACCGGATACAGGTTGTGCTGAATGGCACTCAACATTCTGTACAAACACTCGACTGTTGCTGGTCTCATCCATCCAACTTGACCTTTCCATAGTCTTGTCAAACCTGAGGTCCCTCAGACAGAACGCCGAAAACGAGATCACGAAAGGAAACACGCAAAATGGGTTCAGGATGGCCACTTGCAACTAAAAACGTTTCAGAATCGAAATCGGAAGAAAATCGGGGTAATAGGAGAAAAAAGTCACACCAGCTCAACCCAGCTCAACGACACCGGTTCATCTACACATGACGAACGATATCACGTGACCCAAACTCTCCCCAGACCTTCAACACAAAGGAATAAGAACCTATGTACGATTGAAGATTTCGAGTTCGGAGATCGAGTTTGGACGTGTGCCCCCTTTGGTATCCCTCTCAACCACGTCATAACCTGAACCGAACCTTTTCATTTCCATGGTGGGTGAATGGCTGGTTACTGTACCAATAGAGATACCGAATCCTGAACCCCGCATCGAGCCGATCGCCAGCCATATGTTCTGATCACGTGACTAGCCATTTCTGGCCGAGTCGGGATTTCCGCGGGTCAGGTTGGGGGGTTAATGTGGTTCGGCCGGGTAACTCATCCAATTTCGTCCACGTGATATGGTTGGATTGAGAAACTTTATTTTCCGTCACGTGAGCTGAGAGGAGGGATCAGCCGGCTTCCCGTGTGAAGTCCGAGGAGCGTGGTTGGAAAATGTGAGCAGATCAGCAGCGGGTTTCTTCTCCTTGTTTTCAATAGAGTATCTTTTGGCGCGTTGATTAGGTGGGTTCGAACGCGTCGCGGTTTGGGGGTGGTAATTAGCTGGAGAGATGAATGGGCAAAAAAAAAAAAAAAAAAAAAAACGAAAGAAAAGAAAGTAAAACGGGGAATCGACGGGTATTTATATTTGATAGGAGATCGGGTTGGGGGTTAAAATATATCGATCAAATGACCCTCCCAAAAAAAAGAAAAAAAAAAGGTAGATAATTAGTTTGTGTAAAGAGCATTTATGGTGTCTTTTTCCATGCCTTTTTTTATGCCTTTTAATACTACTTTTAATACAGTTTTAATACAGTTTTAATACCACTTTAATACCACTTAATCCCACTTTAATACGTGGTTGGCGTTTTTCGCTCAATGCGGCAAGTGACACAAACACAGACCCACAATATATATACGTCTGGATCCGCCCGATTCCGGGTTGTGTTGGTTGTCGTTTGTTCTGGCAGTCTTCATATCAACATCTTGGCACTGTAGCCACACGTGGAAACTTTACCTTGTCACAGAGTTGAGATTTTCGTGTTACACCACACGATAGAGCACCGAGCACCGGTCGTCAGCTTCTTGCGCAGTCAGCATTTGCGGTATAACGACATCTCCAGCATCGTCTGCGCCGTCGGCATCTTAGACAGTACGGAAAAAGGAAAAAAGGCGACAGTGAACGATTTGATAACAGTGAGTAGGGGGATAAGAGATTGAGGAGGTTGATGATGACACAGTGACAGTGATGACAGTGGCGACAGCAGTACCGACAGCAGTACCGACAGCGGCGACGGACGACGACTCTCTGATCGACATTCCTCCAAAGGGGGCGATCGTCGGACGCGGTTTCAAACAGGGTCTTGAAACTGACTGTTTGAACGGCCCTGGCCGCAGCAGAACAGTTCAGTAACTGGTTCGAAACTCGAGCTGCTTCTGGACAACTTCAGAGGACCATTGTACTGGTGTGTGCTGCTTTTGTACTGTTGTCGTACGGTCGATGGAATGACTTTTTGAGACTGGGCTGAAACTATTGCAGACGACCTTGCCGCTTAGCGAGACCGATTATAGTCTCCGCAATGAGCATAGCCAAGGCCTTTCCGGCTCTACTGTCAAAAACAATTTCTTCCTTGAGGATCAAGGCCAAGTTCATTCCTGAAAACTACTCAGTAGCAACTGTGCCCAGACAGTGGTGGAATTCTGGTGCCGATCTGAGTATTGGACTATGACTGACTGGTGTCTGACTAGTTTAACTACTGCCGACGGACTTTGCAGCGACTAGATTGGTCTAGGTTTGGTCAGGAGATCATCTGCTCCTCGACTCATCCCCATAATGAGATGACTAGACATACTGCCCATAACCGACGTCTGGGTGGCTCGTGGAGTTCTTCAGCGACACAAGTGACTAGAGAACCAGTTGATCGTAGTCACAGTCCACAGCTGTCTTACCAAGTCCCTGACGAGTCCCTGACAGAGTTTACAGGCTGTTGCTTGTCCACCTGTTCCACCTTGATGGGTCATGAGGACCTTGACCTTTATATCCGACCGATTCAGGACAGCAACTTCATGTACGGCATTCACATGTTGCTACGTTCGACCTTCGGCCTCACTTCAGTACAGCACTAACCCAGTGGACATTTCCTCGCTCTCCGAGTCCGACCGGTTCAACCGAATCTCGCATCTCCTGGAACAGTCTAAAGTCTACTCTTCGGTCCTCCAAGACCGGCTGCAGAAAGAGCGCGAAGCCCGGGAGCTCGCCCGACAAGAGGAGGAAAAGGCACAAGAAGCGTCACGAGACCGCAAAGATCGCCGCGAGGCGCGTGAGCGCGAGAAGCAAAAGAATCTCGAAAAGCTCGAGGAGAAAAAGAATGCCACCAGGGGCAAGACGCGAGCCAGCCGGCGCAAGGCGGTTCTGTCCAAAACTGAGGTTCAGGAAATGGACAAGTCCAAGAAATCCAAAAACTTCAAGAAAATCGGCCAGCCGCGAATCATCACCGGCGCGTCCATGTACGACTACCAGATCCATGGAATCGAGTGGATGGCGTCGTTGTACGAGAACGGGCTCAATGGCATTCTGGCCGACGAAATGGGATTGGGCAAGACCCTTCAGACCATTGCATTCCTTTCTTTCTTGATAGAGAAGCAGGTTGGCGGGCCCTATCTGGTCGTGGTTCCTCTGAGCACGCTCAACAACTGGGAAAATGAGTTTCGTAAGTTTGCACCGAGTATTCCCGTTGTCAAGTTTTATGGCGACAAAAAGGAGCGGGCGGCACTTTGGAAGGGTGTGCGAGTGGACTATGAGATGAGGGGTCTGAAAAAAAGGGGTGGGAAAGACGGCGAGTTTGTGGAGACCTTCCCGGTAGTCATCACCACTTACGAGACGGTTGTGATGGAGACCCGACGTCTGCAGATGATGACGTGGAAGTATCTCATTGTGGACGAGGGCCATCGCATCAAGAACGTCAACAGTTTGCTTCTGAAGAAACTGAAGCTTCTGGATACGTCGAATCGTCTGCTTTTGACCGGCACTCCTCTGCAGAACAATTTGACGGAGCTTTGGTCTCTTCTCAACTTTCTGCTTCCCGACGTGTTTTCCGACCTCAGTATGTTCCAATCGTGGTTTGACGAGAAAGAAAACGGGTCTGGCGACGGGTTTGGCGGCGAGAATCGATCGGCGGAGTTGGTGGAGACTCTTCATTCGATTCTGAAGCCGTTTTTGCTGCGACGGCTCAAGTCGGAAGTCTATTCGAATCTGCCCGACAAACGCGAGTACTTGATTTACATCCAGATGGCTCCTCTTCAGGAGGCTCTGGAGCACCGCCTGCGACGTCATGCACGGACAATCAACACCAAGGCCCAGAAAAAAGACCGGGTCACTCCCGAGATCGTTCCCGAGCCTCTTGGCAAGCGGGTCCGAAAGCAAATCGTGCGGGAAGACGTGGTTGACACTTTTGACGCTGATTTGGGGTCCGACGATGATGGATACGACTCGAACGAGAGTGTCGATCGAGACCTGAAGCGCCAGAAGAAGGAGGACTATGAAGAAGAAGAGGATTATGAGGACGGAAGTGACGGAGAAGAGGAGGAGGAAGAGGAGGACGATGAAGAGGGGGGTTCTGAGGTCGAAGATGAGGGCATCAGAAAAAAGAAGAAGAAGCACGTGAATTCAACTACCTCGTCTTCGTTGCTTCCTCCGGCCGACAAAGCGGCGCCCCTAACCCAACTCCAAAAAGACATTATCGAGGGGCGGGTCAAATGGGTTGATAACAAGTGGGTCCCCAAGACGGAGGAGGAACTGGCCAAGATGGAGGCCGATAGAGCGCTGGCCGAGAATTTGATGAACGAGCACACCATGAGCGAAACGGCCCAAATGGCTGATCACGTGCCCAAAGACATCCTGGACGTGATTAACGATACGAAAAACGCCTCTACTACCATCCCCTCCCTGCAACCCATGCACCCGGACGCGCCCAGGCACGCCATCAAGTCTGATCCTCACCAAATGCCGCCGAAAAACTACTACTCGGCTCCAGATGGCAACTGGTACCCGCTGTACCTTCATCCGTTGTTCCCAAAAAGGAAACAGACGGTGACAGGGATGACCAATCACGTGATTGGCAGTGACGGGTTTGGGAAACCGCTCAAGGAGTCACATCAAAAGTCTCGTGAGCAAAAGTCTCGTGAGCAAAAGTCTCGTGAGCAAAAGTCTCGTGAGCAAAAGTCTCGTGAGCAGTCGCCGTCGCAGAAGTTAGGCTCTTGCGTCAGCACTGCCGCCAAAGTCGAGTCCCGTGACCTCACCTCTTCCTTCTCGGTGAAAAAGGAGTTGGATCCTGTTGATCAGTACATGCTTCGGTTACAACTGCTCAAAGAGAAGCGCGAGAAAGAGGAGGCTGAGGCGGCAGCTGAGCGGGCGAAAATGGATCCTGTGGATGCCTATGTCGACAAACTGAGGCAATTGCAGCGTTTGTCGCCTGAGGACGAGGAGGAGACGGATGTGGAGACGAAGATGGAAGAGGAATTGAGACGGTTGAGAGAAGAGACTCTCAATTCACTAGATTCGGTGGAAGCAGAGACAGAGACCGAGTCCCGTGAAATGAGGGAGTTGAGGGCGGAGTTGTTGGGTTTGAAGAAGCAAGAGGATGTCAAAAGTGAGTCTGAGACTGTCAAGAAGGGGTCTTTCGGGGAGGACAAGGACTCGATGAAGAAGGAGCAAGTATCTATTTCGTCTTTTGTGAAGAGTGAATCGGAGGGTGTTACCTCCAAAAATGATTCTGAGTCTTCTGGTGTTTCTGAGCCTTCCGCGGTCACTGTCACATCTGGAATGGCTTTTGAGCCGATTTACAGTGCTTCCCAGTCTTCTGAAGTGACTCATAATGCCCCTGAAACGGTTCAGTCGCCTTCTATGGTCTCTGACACGACGCTGAACCCTTCTACGCTCTCTGACACGGCTCTGAACCCTTCTATCGTCTCTGACACGGCTCCAAAACCTTCCACGAGCCCTTCTGTGACGCCAACAGCCCCTAAAACGGTTGTGAAGCCTTCTACGACCTCTCAACTCTCTGCTGTCCCTCTCACGACGATCTCAGACTCGGACTCTGACGAGTTTGCCTCTGCCAACGAGGACTTGCAAGAATCCAACGGAAAGGTTCCACCAGAAGATCTGGACGAAGAAGTTAGTGAGAAACTCAAGGAGGAGGTCAAGAGCGAGCAGAAGGTGGTGGATTCGGTTGATGAGAAAGCCGCCGAGGTGGTGCAGGAGCTGTCGACTTCGGTCATGCCTTCACGCGACCTCACTCCCGAGGAGCTGGCTCCGGATATTACGGAGTTCTTGTCTACGATTGCGTTTGACAAAATCTCCACTTCACAGACCCTGGCTAATCTCCGAAAAGTGGCCAATTCGCCATACCTCGTCAAGTTCCCCTGGGGCGAGGAAGAACCTGTTGACGAGCGAATCATTTCTGATTCAGGCAAGATGAGGGTGTTCGATCAGCTGGCGATGGAGCTGGTGAGCAGAAAGCACAAAATGCTAGTGTTTTCGCAGTTCTCCGGCACCCTGGATCTGCTCACCGAATGGTGCGAGTTCCGTCACTTGCCTTACTGCATGTTGATCGGATCCATGGGTTTGGAGGAGCGTCAGGAGATGATTGATGCGTTCAACGAGGAAAGTGGCCCGTCCATTTTCTTGATCACTACACGCGCAGGCGGCACCGGCATCAATTTGACCGCTGCGGACTCGGTGGTCATTTTTGACAGTGATTGGAACCCCCAACAAGACAAGCAGGCGATCGATCGGAGCCATCGAATTGGCCAGAAGAAGCCTTGTGTCATTTACCGGCTCATCTCAACCAACACCATGGAAGAAATGCTGGTTAGAGTGGCTAGTGATAAAAAGAGACTGGATGAGATGGTCATTCAGGCCGGAGATTACTCCGGCTTCTCCAAGGACGCCAACAAAACCGTGGATATCGACAAGACGTTTCTGCGAGAGATTATGACCGGTAAGAGTGATTATGAAGCGCATGAGGGCATCGAGAAGATTGATGACGAGCTGATGGAAACCCTGTTGGATCGAAGTGACGAGAGTTACAAGAGACACAGAGATAAGACGGTGGAGCTACCTAAGAGTATCGAGGTGATTATTGGCTCGCGAGATGAGCATACGTGATGAGCACACATACGCTCACGTGCTGAGCGCAGCGAGTCAGGTGTTTTTACCCTTGGTACCCGTTTCCTGTTCTGAAGCGGTTCGTGCTGCGTCCATGGATGTATTTTAAATGTATTATTAGGGTGTAATGTGGTGATGTGATATTATGATGTCCACGTGGTATTTTTTTCGTCGTATTTTTCGAGGTATCTTCACGTGACATATTCACGTGACTCCGCTAGCCGTTTTTGTTGGCTGACTATTTTGTTGAAATTTCTGCAGAGACACGTTGTGTAGAAAAAATGCCCTCCTCTCTACAAGTAGCTCGAAACACACTCAAAGTTAGTCATATTCGGATTTTAATTCACGTGACTACAGTATTTCCTCAGAATCTCCGTCATCATCGTCGCTCGGAGCAGATTCAAGTCGATTTTCGGTCAACATTTACACTGTCGTATTCCAAGAAAAACACAGCAATATCGCGAAGTGGAACATAGACAAGAAAAGCACATGAAAAGGAAACCAGAGATGATGTGGAGCTTTCAGATCTGAAGTCCTGGTTCTCATAATTCCTCTATTGACGTAGTTGTACTGTTTCCAAAGTGGTAGAGATAATTTGGTCGGAAAAAGTGAGGGAAAAAATGTTTTAAGCCGCTGAAATGAAATGTTAGAGAGACGGGGAGTTGAAGATTGGAAAGCGGTTGATGTAAGGATACTTCATTGTTGTTTTTCTGTAACTCTCAGTTCTATATCGACTAATTTATATCGGCCTTGATGTGGTGTTTGATGTGGTGTGAATCTGAATAATAGTTTGTCATCTGTCAGATTTGAATAGCCATTTGAAGGGCGTTATTTGTGTCTCTCCGAAGAGTATTGTATAGAGACTAGTTAATCGGTCACATGAAGTGCCCACGAGTTGAATAGCTCTCCTCTGGGTGGAAGTTCATGACTAATCCCGTCTTTAAGAACACTCCAACAGGGTGAATATTGACCAAATCAGAGTGAACTCAGCTGGAGTAGAGCAAGACAAGTACTTTAAAGATAATATATATATAAATCAGCCTTTCAGGTGTCTGCAACCATCCCAAATACGCGACCTTCTGTTGAGCCATCTGTCTGTAATTTGTTACATATGGTTAAGGATTTAGTTGGGAGTTAGTTGGGAGTAATTGGATGGGAAACCAGTGAAAACTCGTCCATTACAAGTACGATTCATCCACATGTTTTACACCACTCTGTGCAATATCATTCCATTAGTTATAATTAAATTTGTAGTTCACACACAACTTATGCCAGGAAGTTCCTCCAGGAGTAATGGGGTGGTACAGTGCTTAGTTGGTTGGTTGATGAGTGTGGTGATCGATGAATTCGATGGTTGATGACGTACTTCGTGCTGACTGATTTCGTGTTGACTGATTTCATGCTGGCTGATCTATTGTGAACTATGAGCTCGTGCTGAAGCATCACTCAGTGTCAGACTCGCTGAATGTCAGGTGCTCAACACTCACTGGCAATATCCCTTGAAATACAACCCCAAAGCCTTCATGACAAAATAAAACCGGTAGTTGGGATACTCAATGGCACAAGTATGGTTAAACACCCCCTCCATCTCCTCCTTGAGCCACTCACCGTTGCTCATCTGCTTGCTCATGAGAAACCGGGCCGCAGCATGAATCTTGTCCTCCTGGGGATACCGACCACTCATCAAACTCAACAGGGCCATGGCAGTAGGCACGACCAGCGAATGGGGTCCGCGCACGTACATCTGGGTCTCGCACGACTTAAAGTCCTCGGCCCAGCCTCCATCTGCTTCCTGGTAGCCCGCCAGAAAGTCGCACGCCTTTTGAACCGTGGAACAGTTGTTATAGTTGAGATTCTGCGTCTCCAGAGCCTCCATGGCAAACATGTGAGCGTAGCAGTAGCACACGCCCCAGGAGCCAAAGAAGCCGCCGTCAGGCTGCTGCTCTCGAATAATGTATCCAATGGCAGCAGAGATGGCTCGGTCCACGTCTTCGTTGCGGTAATCGTGGTACTTTCGAAAGTAGGAGAGACCCAGAACAACAGAATCAGTGCATTCCACGTACGGATACTCCACCATGATGTTTCCAAACACCTCGGCCGGATTGATCTTCTCCAGCATGGACGACGCCCGGATAGGCTCATAGGAGGCGAAAGAGCCCGGTTCAAACGAGCCCACGTTCTGCATTCCCAAAAGTAGATCGATGGCAGTGTGTTTCCGCTTGTCAGACACTTGTTTCTTCAGATCCTCGTATCCAGGCGTATTCTGGACCATGATGATGGCCTTGAGAGCCTCGGCAGTACAGTCGGAGACCGGATACCCCTGGGTCTTGGTACTAAAGGGCCATCCTCCGACGCGGTCGTCTCGATAGGAATTTTCCTCCGTCGGCTCGTTGATCTGGGACCGATCGAGAAAATCAAACGCCGCTCGGATCGTCTTCTGGTACTGGGGAAGTTCGGCAAAGCCACAAACACACGCGTATTGCACGGCAAACGCAGTATCCCAGACCTGGAGACCGTTGGTGCCGTTCATAAACATTCCCGACGGATTCAGAGACAGAAATTCGGGCCATCGGGCCGCAATCTTTTTGTAATTCGCCGAATCGGGCCCCTCATGGAGATACATGACAATGGAGGTCATGGCATTGTTGACGGGAGCGAGACACAAGTGTCGTGTGTTGGAAACCTCTCGAAGGCACAAGTTGTAAATTTCCTCCTTGACCTTTTCTTTGATCCACTGCGGTCTGAACTTGCGGTATCGTCGGAGAAGCGCGTTGCCAAACTTCAAAAGGCCGGTGTGGGGATAGTAGAGGTCGACTCCGGAGATGGAGTTGCAATGTTTGGAGAAATCAATCTCCGAGTAGGGCTTTTTGTAGATTTCGTCTCGGAGCTCCTCCAGCAACGGAGTGAGTTCGCATTGGGCCTCCGCAGCCTCCAGATAGCCCATGGCAAGGTAGATCCACCGGGTATGGACCCACCATCGGCCCGGATGAACAGGAACAAAGTAGGGCAACAGCCAGAGCTCGCCAGGGGCCGGATTCACACCCTCCCATTTGTAGAGATTGAGAATCGACAGCCAGGTCTTGCCCCAATGGGGGTTGTTGATGGCGCCGCCAAACTTGGTGAGCAGCGTTTTGCGCGCCTTGACGCAGACCGGATGGTCCCGTGACAGGCCCAGTAGTCGCAGGACCACGTAGTTGATGCTGGTACCGAAGCAGGTGCTCTTGTCTTCTTTGTGAAGGCCCCAGCCTCCGTCAACTGGGTGGGCTGTGTTGACAATGTATCTGATCATTTCGGTTTTGACCGGCGTGGGGATCTCGTTGCCGCCAAAGTAGCACGCCGTCACATAGCCGATGCTCATGAACTGCGGTCCGTCGTATTCGCTCTGCCACGCGCCGGAGTCGGGGTCTTGCAGCGACGCAAACAGATGCCAGTTTTTGAGAGCCGCTTCGTAGGCATTTTTCACGGGCTTGGAGTCCAGAGTCACGGGCGCGTATCCCGGCAGCTCCAGCGAGTATTTGACGTAGTCGGTAGCCCTCTTTTCCAGCTCTTCCAGCGGTGTGGTATCGTCATACTTCCACCATTGCGCCCCCAGATCGGACGCGTGGAACGTCCATCGTCGCAGATCCGTCTTAGGTAAGCCGTATCGGTCGCTGCGGTACTTGGAATGTCCGTTTTTCGCAAACTGTTTCGACACACTTTCGTGGATTCCCATGGCGGAGTGAAGTGGTGAAGTGGTGAAGTGGTGGAGTGGTGCTATATACTGGGCAACTAAGCTAATTCACATGAACATTTGAAGTGTGGATAAAAAGACGAATAATGACACCAGAAAGAATCCGAGTAGTGCATTAGATTCATAACAAAAATACGAGTAAAAAGATATAAAATACTCCCTTAATCGTCCTCTTATTCCTGAAATGACAGACTCTCTACTCCTCGCTCATATCGCATCAAATACGAGACATGCGACAACTAAGACAGGGTGCGACTTGTCGCTAGTTTAAGTTTCGAAGAGGTGATTTGGTACAAAGATGAATGTGGATTATTGGAGTAAGTACCGAAAAATGGAGCCGGAAGTCAGGGGAGTCCACAGGTATAGTTGGTTCATCAATGAGATCGCTATAGGGTCTGTTTGGTAGACATTTAGGAGCCTAATCAGTTGACATTGACTCAAGTAAATGATAGAGTTTGTCAAGTAGTTACTGGAGAGGAGCGTTACTATTAAATAAATTTCAAAAAATCAAAAAATCAAAAAATCAAATATATATTTTAAAAAATAAAAAAAATAAAAATATATATATAAAAAGAGTGTGTTTATTCAATAATGGCTCAAAAATAATCCAAAATAGTCCAAAAATGGCCAGATCGATTCCTGGTCTCCACCCAATCAAACCATTCAAACACCAACTAAAATCCCCTTGTACAATCCCGTCATATATTTACATATTTTCATGTCAAAATAAACTCTCGGAACGGCTCCAACCTCCACATTCCGGATTACGTAATCTTACAAAGTAAAAACTCGACCTGCAATCGACCACTAATCAACGACTAATCACCCAATTCAGCTAAAACTCGGAAAATTAACTACCAGTCACTTGACCATCTTCCTGTCCAAAAATCCGTCCGATTGTGACGATTTTGCCCTTTCTACGATCGTCCCACGTTCCCTCGCGCATATCATTCACCTCTGACAAGTACTGCTCTCGTACTCGTACTGTTCGACTCTCTAACACCCACAAAACGCCCACATGTCGCTCCTGCCCCAGATCCCTGGTCTCCTGCCCTGGTGGCAGCTCATTGTGTCCATCACAGCCACCCTCAACTCCGCCCAGGCCTACACGGGCACCCATGCGACCGCCAGAGTATACTCGAACGACACCAACAAGGAGGTGACGCGACTCCAGGCACGGACGTTTGGCACCTGGACCTTTCTGTCGGCTATCATTCGGTTCTATGGCGCCTACTATCTGACCGACAAGCACGTCTACGACCTCACTCTGGCCTCTTATCTCGTGGCGTTTGGACACTTCATGTCGGAGTTCCTCATCTTCAAGACCGTCAAGTTGAGCGGCCCCTCCATTGCTCCCATGATTGTGTCCACCACCAGTATTGTCTGGATGGTCTTGCAGAGAGATTGGTATCTTAGTTGAGAGTCTGGATATGTTGATCGAGTGCCGCTTGCGCTGTACTGAGGTCACGTTTCGGCCTGAATCATTGGTGCGAACCAGCCAGCAATGGCTCCAGTATCACTTGGACGCGGTCTCTTTGATCTACACACTCAACGCTCACCGTCTGGTCTATACACTCAACGCCACACCGTAATGAATAAAATCAGCTGTTACTTGATCGTCCGTTACTTTGTCGACCACCCATCTTCGGCAATGAAGGTCAGATTCGCAAAAAAGATGTACAATTCAACTCCCACGAGTCCCACGAGTGTACCAGATGTACTCTCATTTCTCTAGCATCAATATTGACCTAGTAGCGACGGTTCAGACCACTTCCAGCTGTGATGGATCACAGAAAAGGTGGAAACCCGTTCAATGCCGGCAGAGATGGGTACAGATGAGTACCGCTATGAAGCTAACAAGGCCGCCATTCGAACCATGTTACTCTCGTCGCTCTAGCTCCAGTACTTGGAAAGTTGTGGGAGATGCAAAAGTGGCACAAGCTACAGTCGTTGGCTTAAACAGGCACAGTTGGATTTTCCGTGTAATTACTTAAGAGTATTATTTTCTCCAAAAAAAACTCATCTAGTTACACACCTAATGACCAAAACAGTCCCGAAACGAGACACCAAACGACGCCAAACGACACCAAACGACGCCAAACGACGCCAAACGACGCCAAAAAGGTAACACCGACGTCGAATGATACCATTGGATAACGGAAAGGCCATCCGAGTGTTTTTCAGCGGACAGATCAGAGAGTCAGAGTGAAAGTAGCAGCAATAGTAACAACGACAACGACAACGACACCACTCACCCAGAGTCCTTGAACGAGAGAGACCAGCTCACGGCTTTGTGCCTGTCGCATTCAGACAAAGTCCAGAATCAATGCCGTTGGCTGGGTAGGTGCCTGAAAGCATTGGTCTGGTCCTTTGCCTGAGGATGTGGTTGTGGCCAGACCCATGCTCGAAAGCGAAGCTGGCAAAACGACAAATCCTTAGCTCTGGCTCACTCTCTTCGCATGAGAAGTCTGCGTTACCCCAAAGACATTCCTTACCCACGAAAAGATACACCAACTCTGACGAGGAAAGCTCGAAGGTCCCCTGGAAGCCTACAAATCGGTCTTGACTTATCAGGATGCGATAGGATACCCTGTCGAAGTGTCATGCTCGGTTTCACACTGACCTGGAGACGACACGCAACTAACCATGTAGCCAAGTCACCAGATTATGACCAATAAAGCCGGCAGAAAGTGATGCCATGGATGATTGATAGGGACTTGAAACTGGCCGATGAGAAATGGGACGGTGTTTGAAAGTGTTGTTGTCGATGTGACGCTGACTACTTGGACCCCAACGGAATCGGTTCCGTCTTCCACCAGCATGTACCGGTGACGAGTGCGGTTTATCTTGGATATAGCCAGTTTTACACCGTGAGCCGTCCCTACAAGTACCTTACAGTACCGTACTCCAATCAATGTATAACTTACTTATATATCCATCCAAAATACAGACCTTTATGAATCAATAGTCTGGCCAACGGAAGGACTCATCCTACACGCGACAGGCGGTCCATAACAGGTGGTCACAACAGGTAGACCGTAATAGATGGCCCACAACAGGTGCGGCTCGCACTGTCCCACTACTTTGTGGGGTCATTTTCCTTCAAATGATCCAAGACAGGACCCAGCAGTCTCTGAAATCCATCCTTACCAAGAGTAGCGACCTTGAGCTTGGTCTTGGCAGTCACGGTGGCCTGTCGAGGCAGATCGTTCAACAGAGCTACCTCTCCAAAGTAGTCACCCTGCTTAAGAGTAGCCACCACGCCAGACTCGCCCTTCTTAGTCACCTCAGCCTCTCCGCTCTCCACGAGGTAAAAGGCGTCTCCAGCCTCTCCCTCGGTGATGACGGCAGTTCCGGGCTCAACCACCTGGGACGTGAGAGCGTCGGCAAGCTTGTTTCGCTCGTACGAACCCAGATCGCTGAGAATGGGTACCTCCTTGAGAAAGCCGTCGTACATGGACCGTCGCTGATGGGTGCCATCTAGCAGAATCTTTCGGAAAGTGACTCGGTCCAGCGACCACAGTACACAGGGCTGAGTGGCCACCACGGTGGCTGCTCGGGGAGCGTTGTACATGAGGGCGAGCTCTCCAAACGAAGAGCCGGGTCCGGAAGAGTTCACCTTGACGCCATCCTTGATGAACTCGACAGCGCCGCTCTCCACAATGTAAAAGTAGTCTCCTTCGTCGCCCTGGGTGATGATCTTTTCGCCGCTGTCGCACTTCTTTTCTTGCAACGACTGCAGAACGGACCGGCATGCTTCCTCGTCAAGATTGCCAAACAGAAAGTTGTGGCTCACAGACTTGTAGAGAGACTCAAGCTGCTCGGCAGAGAGGTTGTTGGAGGCGACGCCGGAGGCAGCACCGGCAAAGGCACCGGGAGCAATGGACTCGGCAGAAACAGAGGTTCGACGAGTGAAGGGCGCAGCAGGCTCACTAGAGGCAGAGCCGGGGCCCTCTGATGACGTGTCGGCAAACGAGGACCGGAACAATGAGCCGTCTGTGCTTCTGGAAGAGGAGCCGAAGCCAGGCTCTCGGAATCCGCCGCCCAGGGGCTTGGAACGGGGTCCGTCGTCGTCAGCCTCTTCTCGTTTGGCCAGCCGTTCGTTGAAATAGTCCGCGCAGAACCGCAGAATGTCGGTCGGCTGTTTGGTGGTAACTTCGCGGTTGAGAAGGTTGAGTTCGTCCACGTAAGCGGGGGGTAGGGTCACTGGGTTAGAAAGAATGCGAAAAGAGCGACGAGGCTGCGAAATGACCATCAACCTCTTTGCCATGAGATAAACGTCTAGATAAGAATAGCTTGGCTCAGGTCACTGAGGCAAAGAATCCTAGGGCCAGAGTCAATGAGTCACGCTCAGACAATACCAGAAATTCTGGGGAGTGGGAAGAGAGCTATCTGACGGTGTAATAGACCAAGCCATTAATAATGTCATGAGTGATGGCCGCCACAGACCGTGAAGTCACATGACAGAGACAGAGAGCCGTGAACCTCGAAATAGTAGCATTTCCAGCCAGATAACAGATGAACAAGCTGAAAACTGCTCTTTCAGCAGAACCTACGAACCTGCTCATAAGCTGTCCACGACTACCACCACTCTTCACACAACCACACTCCGTCTGGTCATTACCACACATTCGACCTGGCTGGGGTCATGTGACTATAGCCTAGTCACATGACTTGTGTCTGGTCACATGACCCCAAACAGCTGCCTCATTGGCACGAAACACCACCTTTTCTCCCCCACAATGTCGCCACCACGTCGAAATGTCGAAATGAGCGCAAATCGTGACAGGGGTCGGGGAAAACGAGCAATGTTTCGCGCCGAATGAGCACGTGATTCCCTCCCACAGACCCACTCATAACCTCACGTGCCCTCCATCATGTCGCTCATAACCTCCAAGAACACCCCGGTCATACTCACTGTTGTGCGTTGTGGTGATAGTGTTGTTCAAACCATGGGGTGAATTACGTACATACATACATGCGGAGCAACCCTAACCCTGGACCTGAGAGAGGGGGGTTAGGGGGGCCGGTCTGGGGGTAGCGGCCCAGAACGGGAATGAACAGGGTTAGGGTATTTGTGAGGGCAGTGATATATGTCACGTGATGGAGCGTGGATTTCGCGGTTTCTGCGAGGCTTTTGGGTCACTTTTGGGTCATTTGGAGCGATCTGTTGTTTCGGATGGAGCATTTTACCGTAGACTGGACAGACGGTTGCAGCATTTCAGCGATAGGGGATCTAGGAGAACCTCGATTAGGTCAATTGGGGAGTGAATGGTGTTAGAATGATCCTTGTCTCCGGTGGATTTGATTGATAGTTTCAGAATTTCGATGGGAGTAGCGGAAGTGCAAAATCACATTTTTGGTTTTTTTCTTAGTATATGTATATATATTTTAATTAATCTCATCACTGTATGCACTCTTAGTTAATCCACTCAAGTGGGGGATAAGAGGATGGATAATTGACGATGGACATAGTTTGGAGAGCGAGTGTCGAAGTTGTGTCGTATTAATATCTCTCGGTTTAATCGATTTTCATCATTTAATTTAATTTAATTTAATTTAATTTAATTTAATTTAATTTAATTTATATTATATATCTTATATTTTATATTTTATATTTTATATTTTCCTTTTTGCTTCTCTCAGAAACTTCATATCGCGGGGACGTTCTCAGACATAGTGAAAGACAGTGTGGTCTAGGGTGCAGTGCTAATAAGGAGGAATCCAGAAAGACGAATAATGGTCAGATTCGAGTGTAAAAGGTATGGATGAAATCCCCGTAACAAGAGGATTATATCGGTCCAGTTTTTATTGCAACTCGAAACCTCCACAGCTGAGAAAACCCGATATAGCCCCAATACTTGTAGTCAACACCTGCTCATACTACACTGTGTGTCTCCATCACATGACCACAATCCCAACTACGACACGCCGGATACACGGCACTCAATTGACTTTCTACCTGCGTTTCCAACGTGTTATTTGTAGGAGTGCAGGCGTGATGTAATCTGTGGGAGAATCAAGACTGCAGCCATGGGATGGTGAAAGTGGTTGTGTGGATGATGACGGTTTTAAGGAGATATAACGAGAGTGGCTGATCGATTTATGGACTTTTCTGTTCAGATATGGATTATTTTTTCAACTACTCGTCGAATACTATTTCTGTTTTCAACCAATTGTCAACTAACATTTAGAGTTACTTGAGATTGATTCACATTTGTCAGATTATTAATCTCCGATAAACGCCCCTCAATACCGCTCTCAAGTGTCTGAAAGTTGAATCATTCGTATCTAAACGCCCCCATTATCGCTTGTAAGTGTCTGCTAGTTGTTTCATCGTACCAAAACTCCGTCGCGACGACAATTCCACTGAACAAACCCTCATAGCTTTATGAACCGCGCTGAACCTAGACTCGATTCAGCCGATAACCGCTGGGTCAAAAGTGCGAATATAGAGAAATAAATGACACTATTGTAATTACCGCACTCTTAGCATTCACATGACCTATCAAACTATAACAAAAACTTACCGTTTAATATCTCCAACACCATTACTAATACCTGTCTTAAGTCCGCTACTCAAACGCAAATTTATCCGCAGCGGTGATAAGCGGGACGGCCGAATGTCTTCAACTTTTGCTGCAGTGGAGCAATTGGAATTCTGAGAAAATATTTCGAATCAGCGTGCTTATTAGAATAATTTGACACTTTCCAACTCCCAGAAAGAGGCATTTCTGCCCCAGAAAAGTCCCTCACCAATTACTAACTGCGTTTGCATCCCACTGCGCTATCTCGGATCCACGTTCCTGAATAGGCAGTGCGTATTGGACTAGTGTGAAGGGCGATATTTGGAGATTGTTGGCGCGGAGGACGCAGAGGATCATGTGACCTGGCACCAAAACACTTTATCACGTGACACGCTTCCCCCGCCTCCGGGTCGGACAAGACGCTCGTTTCTTCTCCGGTCCGAAAAATGGACTCTCCAGATCTCGCTTAATTATTCGCCCAGGTTCCATCTTTTGCCCCGCTTGAAATATGCAAAATAAAGTTCAGAAACTTTAAACATTGAACTTTATCCCGAACTCTAAATATATGCCATATATACGGTGTCTGGGGGACTGTATCGGTCCCATCAACCAATTGCTCAACATGTCCATCTCCATTTCGCTGCCCAACGGAAACAAGTACGAACAGCCCACGGGCATTTTCATCAACAACGAGTGGTCCGAGGCCTCCGACAAGGGTACCATTCCCGTCTACAACCCGTCGACCGGCGACGAGGTGGTGCAGGTGGCGGCTGCTACTGCTGAGGACGTGGATCGGGCAGTAGTTGCTGCTCGAAAGGCGTTCCAGAGCTGGCGAGATGTCCCCGGTGAGGAGCGTGCCAAGTTGCTGGACAACTTCATCAATCTGGTGTCCAAGAACCTCGACACGGTGGCTGCCATCGAGGCTCTCGATTCCGGCAAGCCTCTTCAGCTCAATGCTCGGGGTGACATCGCCGGCGGCCTGGCCGTCTACAAGTACTACGCAGGGTGGGCGGACAAGGTGTTTGGTAAGACCATTGTCAACACCACCAAGAAGCTGGCGTACACTCTTCACGAGCCCCATGGAGTGTGTGGTCAGATCATTCCCTGGAACTATCCGTTTCTGATGGCCGCGTGGAAGATTGCGCCTGCAATTGCGGCTGGCAACGTGGTGGTGATGAAGCTCGCGGAAAACACCCCTCTGTCGATGCTGTATCTGTGCAATCTGTTCAAGGAGGCCGGGTTCCCTCCCGGAGTGATCAACATCTTCACTGGCCACGGCGCCAAGGCTGGCTCGCGACTGGCTGAGCACCCGGATGTCGACAAGATTGCCTTCACCGGCTCCACCGCCACCGGCCGAATCATCATGAAGCTGGCCGCTACCAACCTCAAGGCCATCACTCTGGAATGTGGAGGCAAGTCGCCCATGATTGTTCTGGGAGATGCCGATCTCGACCAGGCCACCAAATGGGCCCATGCCGGTATTATGACCAACCAGGGCCAGATCTGCTGCGGTGTGTCGCGAGTGCTGGTTCACGAGTCCATCTACGACCAGTTTGTCGACAAGTACGTCGAGGTGGTCAAGCAGCGGTCTCGAGTCGGAGACATGTTCCAGGACAAGATTCTCCAAGGCCCCCAGGTCTCCAAGGTCCAGCAGGAGAAGGTGCTTGGCTACATTGAGAAGGGCAAGGAGGAGGGCGCCAAGCTGGTCTACTCTGGCGCTGTGGCTGCCGAGGCGCTCGAAAAGGGCTACTTTGTGCCCCCCACTGTGTTTGCTGACGTCAGAGACGACATGGTGATTTCTCGAGAGGAGATTTTCGGACCTGTGGTTGCCATCGCCAAGTTCTCCGACGTGGAAGACGCCATCAACCGAGCCAACGACTCCGAGTACGGTTTGGCCGCGTCCGTCTACACCAAGGACCTGACCGAGGCCCACCGAATCTCCCGACGGCTCGAAAGTGGCCAGGTGTTCATCAACATGGCCCATATGGGCGACTACCGAATGCCTTTTGGAGGATACAAACAGAGTGGAATTGGACGAGAGTTGGGCGAGTATGGTCTCGATACTTATACTCAGTGCAAGGCGGTGCATATTAACATGGGTATGAAGTTGTAGACGATGAGCGAACGAATCGTCTTTCAAACAACAGAACCAAGTGAAGAAACAACAGAACCAAGTGAAGTAAACAACAGAAACAAGTGATGAAACAACAGAAAGAAGTCAAGTAAACAACTACAATTGGTTCAGTTTGGGAATTCGTGAAAATTGAACTGATGTTATTGAATGTATTTTGTATTGTGGAATAGTAGCCGGAGAGTTGTCGAAGTCATCAATTACGCCGACCCCAGGCTTACAAATAGTGCTATACCTGGTTAATACCACTACGGTCCAATTACTTAGACTTTAGTTGAAGAAACAGTCTGCTGGGGGTCTCCATTTCCTGATACAGAGGAGATAGAAAGACGATTGACTGACCAAAATGTGCAGTACTAGAAGGTAGGAATAAATGGTTCTAATTGAGCAGTTTGTATATCGATATGTTCAGATATCAGCGTTTTTGTTTGAAGTCGGAAGATGAAATTACTTAGCTTTAGTTGGTGCAATCTGGAGGAGGTAGGAAAAAAACAAAACCCAAATCTTCTGTCCTCAGATAGAGTGAAAAACACCACTAATGGCACTTATTAATCACCCTTACTAATTACCCTGACTTCACCCTTACTAATCACCCTTACTAATCACCCTTACTAATCACCCTTATTAATCACCCTTACTAATCAAACTTGCTCATATCGCTTCTAACATTGCATTGTATCGTATCGTGTGTCCAATTCAACTGTCTTGCTCAATCCCATCTACAAGTAGTCATTCCGACCAGAATGAACGGGTTAACTGCTGACTAACTGCTGACTAACTGCTGACTCCGATTTTGTTTTGTTGGATCGACTGTCATCTCCTTGACTGTCTACAGATGTCCACCATCCCTGACCAGTGGTGGTGAAAGGCATTCAACATTCTCCTATTTGATATGATTACTTCCTGCCAAAGATATGAGTAGTTTGCAACTTGTTTAGAAAAGATTTTGATATCCAGAAACAGTTCCCTAGAATCCAACAGAAAGGGGAGTCCAGGGTCTAGAAACACCGTTGTGATGACCTACAACTATTGAAAAGTTTTGTTGCTACGAATCAACGGTGCAGGGTCCCCGGGAAGAACCCAGAGCGTCCGAGTCGTTCAAATCATCCGATCTTTGCTCAGACAGAGTCATTATCGACTCGGAACTGGGATCTGCTGAACAGGAGGAGTCTAGAGAGGAGTCTGACCCTGTCTTATCATGTGTTTTGACATGTCCTTAGAACCCATCTCTTGGAGCAATATCAACTGGACCGAATGAAGCGGAATTATCTCATACAATCCCTACCCGACAAACTACTGCACTGGTAGTACATACTGTAGTTGCACTGGATGGAATGACTGTGGTTTTCCTTCTGAAATACGAGCACAGTGTACTCCACCGCCACCGCTAATCACTCTATCGAATTATCTATGTTAGTATATGTCTCTATGAGTCCTGTATCGTGTAAAGTGACACAGTCAATCTTCAATCGTCCAGCATCGTGTCAATCTGCACATCAGCGCTACTGGGTCAACTTGCTCAACTTGTCCATGTCCGGATTTCTCAACAAAACATGAAAATGCTCCACCAAAGGAATGCTCTGAAGAGCAGCCCAGTTCTTGAACCATAAGACAGAGTCGCCCGTCATTCCCAGACCCCGCACAAACGTGTCGTGCACAAACCGCTCCAGCTTGTCACGAGACTCGGTGGTGATGTCGCCGTTGTCGCCCTCCTTGGGGATCTTGGCTCGTGACCACACCACCACGTGGACCAGACCCTTCTCCATGGCGTAGGGAAAGTCGTTCAACAGAATCCGCACGTCACGTGGGTCGCCAAACAGCTCATCGCTGTACGCCACGGGCCGCTTCTCCAGGCTCGAAGTCCACCCCAACTTGTCCACCAAAATGTACTCCATGACTCCTCCCGAGTACTTGGACTCGATATCGCGCTTCCACAGAATGTAGTCGGCCAATTGCGACGCCGACCGCGACAACCGGTGCAGCTCATTGTGTCTGATCACGTGCTGAAGATCGGCCCACGACTGCCAGTGGGTCTGGGCTTCGGGAATGGCCAGAATATCCTTGTCGCGTTGAGACACAGAGGGCGACGCCAGCAGGTCCTGGATCACAGAAACGGTCATTTTGCGCCAGTGTAGAGACCCGGAAGCAAAGAGGGTGCGCACCGCTGGGGTATTTATCCTCCTACAGATAGGTAACATTGGTGACGTAGTGTTGTATTCGATAACGTTGCATTTGGGACAAAAAAATGAGCTAAAAAAATTAATTAAATTAAAAATTTAAAAAGAAAAAAAAAAAAAAAAAAAACCGACTTTATCGCTAAGGCATACGCCGGCAAAACATGATCAGTTCTGACAACAATCATCACATCTCTTTGATATTCCTCTGCTTTCACCGGGTCTAGACAACTCCGATTATTAATTCAAGGGGGAAAAATATTAAAAATGGGTATAAAAAGATGCGAATTCTGTGGATCGAACACAGGACCTCCAGATGACGAATTTGGACTGAAGAATGACTTCAGTCTGGCGCTCTCCCAACTGAGCTAAATCCGCAAACTTTAATTTATCAGGAATCAACCTCGGGATTACTTAGCATTTTGCTTAGGTCAGCCATTGATTATGTAATCAAAACATTACATGTCTGTTGAATCACATGACACGCATTGAGTCTGTTTACAGTAATCTCTTTTGGGGTATTTTTGGACTTTTTGGAGGATGTTTACCTGTTTCCAAATATAGAATTTTAAACTTTGGCGGGGGACATTGAAACAATGGATTGTTTTCAGGGGGCCAGTGGGGAGCATAATATCACGGGATTGACGAGAAATGAAGGCAAGCCAGTAAGGGGGATCGATTTTTCGGGGACATATTGCCCGGATTTCGGCTTTAACGGCTCGATTTCGGCTTCCCTAACCCTCTGTTGTTGAGTCCAATCTCCCGATAAAGTTGTATCCGTTAGCATACACATGGCACTCCTATCTTGACTTGTCCACATCAACACCACGCCATGAAAAACGTCATTTACTTTTGCAAGTGAGTATTGCACCGACTGAGGCTTGTTAATGGGGCTGGAGGAGGTGAAGGGAAGAAACGCGGTCCGAATTGGTGGCAAAATGGGGGTTTGGGGCAGATGTGGGGGCTATGGGGGTGTTGCGATAATAGGAGATTTAGAGTGGTTGAGATGGCTCTGGGGTGGTTCAGAAACAGTCTAGAAACAGTCTAGGAACGGTTTTGGGTCAGTATAGCAGCTATTATGGACTTTTTTCGAGTCAATTGGTCCAGTGGATTGATTCTATGTTGCACCAGGACAGTTCGAGTGCTACTGGATTTTACAGTGGTCTAACGACGATTGTGGACCGTTGGGGTAACGACAATTGTGGATCATTGGGGTAATGACAATTGTGGACCATTGGGGCTTTTAATGAATGGGTAACTGGGATCATGTGACTTGAGAGGTGATTGTGATATGGATGAGAGTGGCAGCGAGACAGACAATGTAAGATTGAGCAAGATATGCCCTTACGATCTTTCCTGATTTTGTTGTTTGACAAGAATTGTCTTGGTGAAGATCAAAGTGATGAACTTGTTACGCCACCAAATGTTTTGCCTGTTGTTTCCCATAGTTTGCCTGTCTTCAACAGTCTCCTTTTTTTGGTTCCTTTTTTCACTATCTTGTTTCTATATCAGCCTCCTGGTCCATCTGCCTTCTGCCATATCAAAGAGCTGCTCTAGACTGTTCTGATCGCTGGATCTACTCTTCATACACACCTCGCCATGACTGAGGTCACAGACTGCTACCACCTCTTCTTCTGAATGTTCAGACCAACGGATTTCTTCAGAAGGTGGTGCCATCCCCCCTTACAACTCATTGACCTACATTTTCTAACCCAGCTGGTCAATCTACGCACGAAAACACCTGCCATGGGAAATCCCGTGCTCGTCAACCACCCACATCATCTACGCCTTTGCCAACTGCGATCCTCTCACGGGCGAAGTGCAACTGTCAGACAAATGGGCCGATGAGCAAATTGTGTTTGAAAACGACAAATGGACCGACGACTCAGAAAAGCAGCTCCACGGCTGCTTTTACCAGTTCAACCTGCTCAAACGACAGCACCGACAGCTCAAACTTTTCCTCTCCATCGGAGGATACTCGTTTGCCGGAAACTTTGCCGAGATGGCCAAGGACGAGACCAAACGGAAACGATTTGCCGAGTCAGCAGCTCAGCACGTGATCAATCTCGGTCTCGACGGCATCGATCTCGATTGGGAGTACGCCGACACGGACGAAAAGGCCCAGCAGTACGTGGAGTTGCTTCGTGCGGTGCGTCTCGAGCTCGACAGTGTAGCTCTCAAGACGGGACTTGATCGACACACGTTTGGGCTGTCTATTGCTGCTCCGGGCTCCGTCTGGTATGCCAAGCATCTCAAGATTGCTGAAATGGACCAGTTTCTGTCCTTCTGGAACATTATGGCGTACGATTTCGCTGGGTCTTGGTCACCGCAATCGGGCCACCAGAGTAATCTTTATGGAGGAGAAATCAGCGTCGATCAGATTATGAACTACTATGTTCAGAATGGAGTGGCTTCTGAGAAGCTGATTCTAGGAATGCCTATCTACGGAAGATCTTTTGCCGGCACTGACGGCCTCAATAAGCCGTACACTTCTGTGGGAGAAGGTACCCAGGAGGAGGGTAGCTGGGAACGCGGAGTCTGGGACTATAAGAAGCTTCCTCGGCCGGGTTTCGAGGCCCATTTCGACGACCAGTGCAAGGCGTCGTACCTTTACAACAAAGATACAAAGACTCTCGTGACTTATGATGACGTGAATGTCGTCAAGCTCAAGTCGGAGTACGTGCGACAGAAGAATCTGGGCGGAGGAATGTGGTGGGAGTCGTCTGCCGATGGGGCCGGAGATCAGAGTCTGATTTTGAACTTCGTCGAGGGCCTGCATCTGGACAAGGAAGAAAATTGTCTCCATTATCCCCAGTCCGAGTGGAGAAACATTAACAATTGACTCGGAGAAGGGAATGGGACGGGAGGAGTAAGTGTCTGGCTGCTACTGGGATTGACTGTGGTGGCTTTGTTGGTTGTCAGGTGGTTTAGAAAGGTCCTAAGTCGTAGTTAGTTGTGGTACTCCATTTTTGGCCATTTAGACGACTCACTTTGTCAGCGAGACCGGCGTACTCTGGAAGGATATAGACGTCCACAAGGAGAAAGTCGAGCACATTTCAAACTTGATCTCATCTGTCTTACAAACATGTCAGAGATTCGACGATTAGGAGACTGACTTTACAACTTTTGCTGGAGCTTTAGTTAAGAAATTAGAACGATATTAGTTAAGAGGGAAAAGTTCTACATCAAGGAACGTCAATGTTGCCCTAGAGATTCAAATTTTTTTCTGTACGGGTTAGTCGGAGCTGAAAATTCGACTCTGTAGACGAAGTCATTAACATCCTGGGCCATTTGGCAGTATGTACAGTAGCTCGGTCACAATCTAGATAGAGACTCATCTGGGCTATATAAGGAGATGGTCACGTGATGTATGGACTAGTAGTCACGTGTTGTTAAAAGAAAACTAGTCACGTGACCCAGGACCCCAGCCAAACATGCCTCCTTGAAGTTTTCTGTCTCATCTGTTCGTGAGCCAAGAAGAGAGTGTATGAGACAAGTTATGAATTATGACCGTGAGCGCCCCAGCAAGTCTCAATATCAAACCATGAAGTGGCAGAAATCTTCCTCGGTAACTTTTTCCATGAAAACAAGCGAAACTCACTGCTCACGCCATGATCCGTACTCAAATCTTGCTGCTCTCGTGACACTCCACACCTAACGCTCGCTGCTGATTTGTTGCTCCACCCTCTCCAACACCTCTGTCCACTTTTTCACCGCCCCCTCCAACTCCTGAATCTGCTGATTTACAGTAGCTAGAGTTCCCACCGACTGAGAAGCCAGATTATGCACTTGTCGCAGCGTCTTCAGTCTCAAAACAAGCCTTGGAACCACGTGACTCAGATAGGTGATAGTGGACAAATGGGAATAGACAATGTCGACGTTTTGCAAACCCGGATGAGAGTCGTCGTGGGACTCCATGCGGCTCTCCATGCGGCTCTCGACACGTGACTCCAGACGTGACTCCCCTCCCCGTGATTCGGCACGTGACTCGACTCTCACATTTCCTCCTTTCTTCACATTTTGAATTCGCGTCTGCTGAGCTTGCAGAGTCTGTGGAGAAGACGTGAGAAGCGACAATTTGAGCATGAGGTCTCGAATGGCCGGAGCTAGAGGCACGGACGTCGATTCAGGACTGTTTGGGTCGTAGAGAGAAGATTCCACGGCTGAGAGACGGCTCTCCAAACTGACCAATTTGGAGAGGGTATGACTGGAGGTGGCCACATGACGTGATGTGTCAGTAGATGCACTTGTCCTCGAACTGCTTACATCACCCTTCACCTCCAATAGAGGCAACTCCTTCCTCTTAACCTCAAGTCCCTCCAGCAACACGTGAAGAGTGTCGACGTCTTCCTTGTCATTTACTGCTGACTCAGCGAGCTCCTGGAGCTCCAGTTTGATGCGTGCCAACTTCTCGTCGCGTGTCTCGCCGGCCACTCCGCTGGAAAACGACACCTGTTGCCGGTCAATACGACTCGAGTAATTAGTTAGTGAGTTGTCGAAATCAGAACCTGCGAATTTTCTGGCGGCTTCAGCGGTGTTGGTGCTCGATGTGTCAATGTTCTCGTTAGGGGGAGATGCTGGTTCCGCCTGTGTTAGTTGGAAGAGAAACCGCGAATTAGCATCATATCGGGGATACTTTCTAGCACGCAAGACATAGGGGAATCTCGTAGTTGTCTCGGTTACGTAGTTCGATTGATCTTGATCGAGTTGAGGGCAAAATTGGAATATCGGAAAATGAAGGTGGGTAAAAATGGACCAAGAGTTGCCATAGATTGGGGGATATCTCTGTAATCAGTGAAGTGTGCTGAAATAATCTGGTCAAATTCAATAGACAATGGCGCACCTGAAAATGGCACAAGTTGAGGAAGAGCACATTAGTCGCAACTCCAAACTCGTGTCAAAATCCCACCCACAGGATCAGACCAACCCCTACAACTCCACCAGAATATCTCAGAATCGATCAAAAATACCACCATTCCATCCCCCATCGCCGCCTGAATCCACCGGTCCCCCTCAAAATCCAGTCACGTGACTTGATTCTATGATACCACACGTCTTCATCAAATCTCCATCAATCCAAGCCAAGATCCCCCAGTCAGTCAATTCAGCATTCCTTCTCCCTCTCCTACTCACCTCGTAGTTGTCGGCGACATCGGGCGTCTCGTAGACGTCTGGTGCTGTATCCTGATGTTAGCATCTTTGTTGTGTTCCCGGTCACTGGGGTTCAAATAACGTGGGAACGCGCCCCAGACCATCCAAGAATCACGTGATCCACTCACCAGATCGGGCAATGACGCGTATTTCGACATTATGAGTCGCTGCGGCTGTGTGTTGGTGTCAAGCTGAGCTGTTCACTGGAGTACAGTATTTCAATTATGTTCGCGGGTTTGGAATTAAGGTTTGTAGGTGGTTGGAGATATGGGCTGATAGTTGGTTCGGCAGTTGTATTTAAAGATGAATAGTAGGTGCAATGGATTTGGATTGGTGCGAATAATACTCTGCAAGTTTCAAAAAAGATTTAGGACAATTTTTGCTAGAGATAGTGAATTTGTATGTCCATCTCTTGCTGAGCTGATGAAAGTCAGACGATATTGATACCATTCAATCCGGAAGACTCGTGAGATCATTTTTATATACAGAAGCTCACTATCTGATATACTCTAGATTAATTAATGCCCTTATTACTGTTTCTCCCATTACAAGTAGGCGGTACCACCTGTATCAACCTTAACAGAGGAATATTTAATTAGACTGACTGACTAATAAATGATCTACAACCATGGATGAATAAGCCAGCTGCGAAAACCCTCCAAAACCTCCCAATTCCCACGGGAAAAAGTCCCCAGCTCCTCGTCATGTGACCACAAATACGCCCGACCCACTCTTTTTCTAGAATCTTGTGCGCAACATCTACCTTTGCTCTCTCCTGCTCCCCTTCCTCCTCCTCCTCCGCCCCCACCTTTAATACCCTAACCCTATCATCCCAGATAGCCATGTCTAATTACCACTGCTGTTGATACCATACCAGCGACATGTCACCCACGGATAAGAACGACGTGTGTGTTGAGGGCGATTTGGGGACCATTGACCGGTCCGAATTGGAGTCGGCTCCCGCGACGGCTTCTGAGGGTCCCGAGTCAACCAAACCCGAGTCAGCCAAACCCGAATCCAAGGAGCTCTCTGCGGACGAAATCAACAAGGAACAACAGCAGGAAATCAATGAGGCGGCCGAGAAGCTGGAGGAGCAGGTGGCCCAGGCGTACACAAAGACGTCGTCGTGGATGGGCGGGCTGTGGTCGTCTATTAGTAAGCAGAGTTCTGTGATTCTCGAGGAGGTTGGCAAGGATTTTGAGGCGGTCAAGTTTGAGGTTGGCGAGCTTGCTAAGAAGAGGGCCGAGGCAAAGGCGGCAGAGTCTTCTGAGGAGAAGAGCACGGAAGCGGCGGCGGGGGAGACGACGGGGGAGACGGCTGAACCTGTGGACAGTTCCCGGGATCTCCTTTCTCTTCTTTCGACCAAGGCCCAGCTGTACATTGACAATCTTGACAAGGATCTCGAGAAGGTTGAAGATGCCGGCGCTGCCTACTTTTCGAAAATCGGGTCGAATTTCCAGGCTCTGATGCGGGAGACCATTCGTGTGGAGGAGGGCGACTCTGGCGACTCCACCACAGATACGTTGCTGTTCAATGCGCCCGAGGAAGTGAGACAGCAGGTGTTTTCGACCCGGTTTGATGCCCAGTTGCATTCTCTACATACTTCTGACGAGGTGTTTTTGCAGCCAGTAGATACAGGATATGAGTCGTTCAAGAAGGATTTCGACATCAACTCCCAGACCGACCAGATTGCCGCTGATTTGGAGGCCCATCCTGCTCTGCGGACGCTCATGGAGAAGCTGGTGCCCGAGTCCATTGACTACAACTCCTTCTGGACCCGATACTACTACATGTACCAGGGAATTGTGGCTGGAGAAGAGCAGCGAAAGAAGGTGTTGAGCCAGGCTGGAGGCGAGACGGAAAAGGAGTTTGACTGGGACGAGTCGGACGAGGAGACCAAGACGGAGAACACCGAAAACGACGGCTCATACGATGTGGTTTCTAGAGTGGCCTCGGATGTGACTTTGGACAAGGCCAGCACCAACAAGTCTGAGCCCAACAAGGCAGAGCCCAACAAAGCAGAGTCCAAGCAAGCCAAGGTCGAGCCCAAGCAAGCCAAGGAGGAGGAGAGTGATGACGACTGGGAGTAATTTATATAGTCAATGAGAGCTGTGAGTGAATCGTGAGTGATTGAGGGACTTCGGGGATTCAAAACCGCCAGAGAAATCCACTGGGATAAGGAAAAGCGAATTGGATTCAGAACGACTGAGCCCTTTCAAAGGAAGTTGCTCGTTGTCCACTGCCCTGGTGTCGCCTTATGGAGTCCTTATCGACATAGTCAAGCCACGCTTTCAGTGTATCGTACTCTTTCAGTGGTACTGTAAACTGGTCATGAGGAGTCGCTTGGTGGTATTTATTGCTTTATTTGACCACTCCACGTTGACTTGTAGAGGTGCATCTGAATGTATCGTGATTCAGGGCACCCATAACCACTGCTTACATCAGGGCTTAGATGTTCCGAACGGAAAGACGAGAAGAATCAGACTGTTTGGTTTGCCATATATGCAATTTTACATGTCTTTTGGTGTGGCCAAATTATCCCATACAATGTCATCTCCATTGATTTTTTCCAGAAGAGCCCATATGTTGATCTCATCCAGAAAGTCAACTACATTGTCAACAAATGCCACCTTTTTTCCAACTAAATTGTAAACAAAATGCCACATCCCTTCCAACATAAATATGTCTATAATGACGGAATAGGTATACGCAGTTGACAAATTTGTTCATCCCCAGCCACTTTCTACATTGAAAGAAAAAAAGTAGAAATATCGTGTCTACAACATCCCTTCTACCGCGACCCGCGTTTCCCCCTACGACACTTTCTTAACTAATTCTTCAACTATTTCCCCCCACTTATATACTTCGTTTTGAGCAACTATTGTTCGCTGTACGGCGGTTCAGGTTGTTTCCCAGACCCAATTGAGCATTTTCTAGACTCTGTAAATCCCTCCAACTCCACCTGGTAACATTCACGTTCTTGCGCCCCACCATTGCCCACCCTGGCCGTCCTGTCTGATACAACCCCTAGCGTTCATTGTTCATTGTCATTGTCTGCTTTCATTGTCGCTGCTCATCATCAATTGAGACATCCGCTTCTCGTTACACAAATACATTGTCAAACCAATATCTCTGCACCCCGTCGCCCCAGCATTAGTCTGAGAGTATGCATCGAGCCGACGATGCATTCTGTAAGGACTGACGGGTGCATGTTCCGAGGGAAAGTCTGTAGGACTCGGCAAAAAGTTGACATATTTAACCCTGGACTTGAAATCATTACAATCTGATCAGGGAGCTTCAAAATGATACCATTTAGTGCATATCTCAATGCAAAAACAACTACTAGAACCAGAAAAGTTGACTCTGTTTCTAACATGTAGAGTGCCCCACTTGTCTCACAGTAAAAGCCCTCAAAGTGAGAAACGGTAGCAAATTAGCTGTCATTTCAGTACGTACAAACCAGACATTGCCATGCAACACATTTCTACAGCTTTCTTTGTATGTCTTCTACTGACATGTTGCTGCAGGACCTCCTAACCGACATAATTGTTTCCAGTCCAATAACCACTAATCCTGGGAACGCTTGGACTATGCCATTGGAGTCCTCCTACTTCTCTCTTTCGATTAATATACAGCTTTCTCCTATTAATCTCCCATAGTCTTCCACAGTCCTATCATATATGTACAGCACAGTATGTACAAGTAACATATCATATTAGTTTGACAGACAACCACCTAAACATTGGTCAGAAGACATTTTCCACTCGTTAGAAAGTTTTGAAGGAATTAATTGAGCTTTTTCAATCCCACTTTCAAATTCTCGTCTTTTAGGAACCATTTTTCGTTTGTTTTTTTTTTCTTCTTTTTTTTTCAGTCTTTTTTTTTCACTCTCCCTCAAAAGTTACTTGATCCACCAACTAATTCCAACTAAATTAGCATTTCTCAACTAAAAAATATTTTTAAAATCCACAAACCCGACAATCACGTGAGTGGCTCTCGTCACGTGACGTGACTAATTTGATGATACTCTATCCAGCCACTTGATTTGGCTTGACGCGCAATTATTAAAAGAAAGAAAAAAAGTTTTGACGCGACTCTCTCCTTGGTTGAGTTGGAGGTTGCTGTTATATTGCTGAGTAAGCGTCGTAGAGATATCCTGGATATACCATTTTGTAGGGAAACTTTGGAGGAACACTATTATGTTGTGCAAACCTTATTTGAGATGCTTTCCCGCATTTCAAACCCGTATCTCTACCACCCGTGATGAAAGCTTAAAAAACGCGTCTTCCCTTAAAGTACATTTGGTTCCATCACGTCACGTCTCTCACATTTCCTCCTCCTCAACACACAGCACACAAGTCGTCGCATAATGTTCCGAAGCAAACGACGAGCGACCGAACGGAAGAATTGGGGCGTGGCTCCGTCGTCGATGCCTGCAGAAATCATTTACCCCAGCCGAATGTCCTTCTACAACACTCCGCCCAACCTGGGCATTTCGCTGGAGGCGTTCGAAGAATGGGCCATTGACCGGCTCCGGGTGCTGACGAAGCTGCAACAGCTGCAACTGAGCGGAAAGACAGGGCTGAAAGACCTCGATTCGGGCCTGAAGCCGACGCTGGAGAAGTACCTACCCCTGGGCTCAAGCCGAAACGTCTCTGACGAAGTGACACAAAAGCAGCGGCAAAAGGACCACTACTCGCATTTCATTCTGCGGCTGGTATACTGCCGCACTCCAGAGCTGCGCAAGGAGTTTGTGGAGCGCGAAAAGCTGCTGTTTCGGTACAGACTGAGTTTGGAGGAGGGCGGCGAGAGAGACTCGTTTGTCAACTCGCTGGACTTTGAGTGGGAAAAGGTCGACGTGGACGAATTCGAAGATCTGCGGCCGTATCTGGAGACGGTGTCACGTGACAAGGCCGACATTGCGTCGCGTGACTACGTCAAGGTTGACTGGCAGAAGGTGGCCGATCTGGTTGATTCTCGTCGGGTGTTTTTGCGGGCTGGCAAAGTCTATGTTCCTGCTTCGTTGCAGCAGAATCTGGTTGTAAACGAGTTTGAGAGCCGTTTGGCTGTTGCCATGGAGACTGCGGCCATGTTGCTTTCTCGGCTGGATGAGTCGACTCGCCTGATGCCGATTTTGGACCATCTTGCGCAGTTTGGCGTGACCGAGACGTTCCAGAAGAATGAGGCTCTGGATGGCAAAATTGGACCCTCCAACATTGACTCTGTCGTCAAGCACATGCCTCTGTGCATGTCTCAGTTGCACACAACTCTTCGACAGAAGAACCATCTCAAGCACGATGGTCGGTTCCAGTATGGACTGTTTATCAAAGGTCTGGGCTTCTCTGTCGATGAGGCTCTTCAGTTTTGGAGAGAGGCATTCAAGGTGACGGACGACAAGTTCAACAAGGAGTACCAATACAACATTCTGCATAACTACGGTCTCAAGGGTTCGGGCAAGAATTATGCGCCAAAGGACTGCAAGAGTATCATTGCCAACAATCCCCCAGCCAACTCCGAGCTGGTTCACGGCTGTCCTTATCGGTCTTTGCGTCCTGAAGAGTTGGTTGGACGGCTCAAGAATATGGGAATTGAGGACCGCATGGAACTGAACAAGATCACCGACCAGGTGAAGAACACCAACTATCATGGAGCATGTACCCGGGTTCTGGAGCTAACTCATCCGGGTCTCAAGGTGGAGGAGGTGGTCCAGCATCCTAATGACTACTTTCTGAAGGGTTATGGATGGCAGAATGGATTGGAGGTGGCCTACACAAAGTAGGGTGAAACTGGTTGGTCGCAGTACCAGTCAGTGTGTTTGCCCAATACCGGTCTAGACACTCCGGTGACCTACCGTTGATACGACTGTACTTACTGGGTCTACGGAACACTGAGGGCCATTGTGCTCGACTGTTCTGACTCATATATATTTAATTGACTAATTTTACACATGACTTCTCCTTTCAAAATTTGGAGCTATCCTGATGAAGATGCCGCCGATTCCTTATCTACTGTAGCTCTTGGTGTTGCCTGGGTTAGAACCCATACAGAATGCTGGGGAGAGTCGGTATCAACACAGACACTTGGAATTCGACTTTTTCGACCATTAATAGCCCCTGGTTCACCTCTTTCTAGTCGATGTCGCCTCGGCAGGTAGTTCTTTTGTATGACTAATGGCCGTCTCGGTCCACAGCATCCGACGTCTCCAGCTCTCTCAATGTTGGCGTCTGCACGGACTAAGCAGCATTGAAATTATCGAGCAAAATTGATGCTAATAAACGAGCCACAGTACATGTCCGTGAACTATTATAGAGCGACTTTCTCAAAATCCTCAATCTCAAATCCCCAATTACTTGACTTTACTTGGCTTTACTTGACTTTTCACACTTTAGTTTGATATTACTTGACTCGAGGAACGAGTCTGCCATGGCTCTGCCAAAAATGCCTCTAAGACGCCCAAATGAGTTACAATATCAATAGTCTCAAGCCCTTAACGCCTCTAGCCCGATATCTACACCTGAGACAGCTACAGACTGCAATTTCAGAGTTGTGCGATTATCACTCAACCTTGATGTAATGTCGAAGAACCCGTCGGACGGCCCTGAAAGGTCTACTCGAAGCCAGAGTCAGATGTACGGGTAGTTGACGTCGTACTTGGCAGTTTGGTCCGGTGACCGATTACTAATCTGCTGTATGACTGTGAAACAGTCTCACCTGGGCTGTGAGGACATGGGTAGACAGCGGTTGCAGGGTCGCACAGTCGCAATCGAGACGCCCCACCTTGCTATAGCCCCACCTTGCGTCAATGTTTGTACGGCGGTTTTCAAAAGTGTGTCAGGAGTCTTGGAGACAGGTTTTGGGTCGCCAGTGTTGGTCGAGTCTTCGGTCCAACGTCAAAGGAATCACGTACAAGAGTACGCTCTTCACACGGACGACTCAACCACCCATTTCCCAACCGCTGGCGTCCGATACTGTCAGGCACAGTGGCAAACAAGGTACCACGGACTTGGCCGTTAGTTTGAGTCAACGGTTTTACAATTGGGTTGCACTGCGCGGTGTAGATATATGGCCAAGGGGTTTAGTTGGTGGGAGGGAGCTGAAACAGACGACTGGGGGTCTATCGACCGTCTGTATTGGGAACTTTGGGAGTGTCGACCGTCTGGAAGTGGCGGCTCGCTCATCTGGCAAAGTCCATTCGGGACTGGTTTCGACCTCCCCGCCCGCAGTCTCACTTGTTTCAGACGGTGGGTGAAAGAAAGCTGACGGCTTTGGAGCCAATTTGGGTACGAGTACGAGCAGACTAGAGTGCATTTTAGCCTGTCGAGCCTTGTCTGTCGCTTAATGGTCCGCTTTGAGCAATTTGAGTGTCCGACTGGAGTGCCTTGGGTTACAAGTATTGGAGTTACGCCGACGACTTGAGTCAGGCCGACGACTTTGCAGTCCCGAATCGATATTGTGCCCGCACTCACACTCGTGTCCGACCACTGCTCCTCCTACCCCATCTGTCTGCGTCACTTTCGTGTTCTCCATCTGTGTCTTGGACTTGCCAACCTGGAACATGGCACTTGCACGAGTTATTTTGAGGGTGAATAGACAACAGAGACACCCTGGATTTCACACTGGATTTCACACTGAATTTCACACTGAATTTCAAGCTGAATTTCAAGCTGAAACAGACAACTGAAAAAGCCCCGTTGTACAAGAAAAAGTAGCCGGTAAGAAGGTCTCAAACGCTCGAAAAGGACATTCCAATAAGACAAAACACACTGAAATCTTGTCCACAATACAAACCCGACGACAATAGCCCGGATCTTATTCCATTCACACAAGTGTCCCCCTCCACGAACCCAATAGTCTCCGCTGACTGTCTGACAGTGTGTCTGACGTAACATTTCCTGTTCAAACGCACCGGCGGCCAATTACGGTCCCCCCGTGTCCATCTTTGCAGTCTTCTCGTACCTGTACTCCGCATCTTGTGCCTGGTGCATACATCATACAGTCTTCCCCACCAGGATGATCGTCCATGTGAAGATCCGGGGATCCCCCAAATTGGTTTTTTCCGAGCTTAAAGGTATTGAAACCAAACCCCTACCTCCCCTACCTGCCCTGCCTCCCCTACCTGCCCCCCTCCGACATGCCCCTCCATCACGTGACCTGTTTCATCGCGCTCATTCCGAGGAAATTTGAATTTGGCCATTTTCACCATCCGCCAGCGACCCAAATTATACGGTCCTTGTCTGGTCTGTAAATCAGTTGCATTTTAAAGTTCCACGTTTCGAGGCCAAAACCTTGTTTCCTTTTTTTGGAAGCTTAATCCACCCATCTGCTTTCAAAAGTGGAGAGACAATAAAGTGATCAACAGAGTGCGGAAGAGGGTGTTAGTTAATTGACCGCTTCTAGTGACACCGACGGATGGCGTGCGGGCAGTAGAGCCCTTTTGCCGTGTTCTCTTCTCTTTTCTTCTCTTCTGCGCTACCCAAATCTCCTTGGCTCATCTCATCGCATGCAAGTTACCCTTTCTTGGCCCAAGGGGTTTTTCTTGGTCCTGCCCCTGTTCATTGCGTCATACCCCACGGCACCAAAAAGTGTATTTTGGGCTGGTCTTAGGGGTTTTAGGTCCTACAGTGTTGCAAAAAAAGTTACCCGGTCCATGCAACTCCACACGGGGGATCTTCGAGATGAGCGATGGATCGTCGTAAAACAGCATGGCCGGCGTTGCGGGGTTTTGGGCGGTGTTTTAGAGCGTATTTCGCCTGTCTCGGGAAGTCATCTGACCTGACTTTTTCTTTTGTTTTGTTTTGTTTTGAGCGGCTCTGATGGACTTCAAAAGACTCGTTTGGAGATCCAAGCCGCCCTGCTCGCTCCAGCCTGTGATTGTTTGCCTGCTATTTCTTTTACCCCTTCTCCTCGACATGTCTCATTCAAGCAAGACGAGCGATTAACTCAGGCAAACCTCAAAATAGCAATTGTAGGGACTTGTCGGAACGGCAGCATGCAGAGACTTTGTTCGAACAGGCTGCCCCACGTTGCAACAAGAGACCGTCTTGCACGAGAAACGTCTCAGGTCTCAAAAGTGCAAGAGAGAAATAGTGTAGTGGGGTGTTTCACCCATGGTGGGACACCCGGTTCCATGTCAACTAAACATTAGCTGATCCAGACTGCGATATAGAGCATGGAAAACGTCGGCCAACCTCACACCACAACCACCGCTCACCACCATCACCGTACATACTGTAGCGCAGATCCAGGTACGGTACCTTTCCAGACCTCCACCACCTAAACTGTCTCACAACCCCCCTGCCCTTTGCAGTAACTCTGAGATGTAACTCTGAGTGTCTTCCCCGCAGAGAATTGATCTCCGAGCTCAGCATCAGACGGTAAAAGTAGACTGCCTGCCTGTCTCTCTCCATACCCAGAATGATATAAATACCCTCCGGACCACCCTCCTCCAATCCTCAGACTCGTCTAACACTTCCAACCACTTCCAATCGCCACCGCAACACCCTCCATAATGCAGTTCTCCACTCTTGCCCTCGTCACCTTTGCCGCCACCGCCATGGCCGCCCCCACCAACTCTCTGGTTGCTCGAGAGGACCTCGAGATCTCCGGCGACAACGCTGCCGAGCTCGTCAAGCAGTACGCCCCCGTCTACACCCTGGCTCCCGGCGCCTTTGCCGCCGACGATTCCAACCAGAGCATGGGCTTCCTGGACTTCTCCGGCTACGTCAACTTCCTGGTGGGTCTTCTGCAGGCCGGAGGCCAGTTCATCAAGGATGGAGGTAACGCTCTGGTCAACCTGGACATCAACAAGGTCGGAGCCGCCACCGTCAACTTCTTCCAGGGTCTCATGACCTACTTCAACGCTTTCCTTGCCGCCGTCAAGCAGGGAACCAAGTTTGACAAGGCCGTCTACGAGTTCCTCGTCAACTCCGGTATCTCCGACTTCCTCAGCAGCGTGGCCAACTTCATCGTCAAGTTCTCCCAGACCTTCCTCGAGTCTCCCCTTCTCCAGGGCATCATTGATGTGCTCAAGAGAGTTGTCGGCTGGCTCTTTGGTGCCAAGCAGACTGTTCAGCAGACTCTTGGCGACAAGGCCAACACCACTGGCTTTGACCGAGCTCTCGTCGCCGCTCAGTCTGTCCAGTCCGCCGCTGAGAAGAAGGCTGGAGGACACTAAGCCCGCAGCGTTTAGTTTCTCCTAATTTCAATGTCAGCAGGCTGGCTTTAGCTTCTTTTTTATCTCAATAAACTAACCCTACTTCCTGAAGCGGCGAGCCACAGGCGAGTTGCTTGCACACTGTAAGTGACGTAGATTCTCGAGAGAGTACTGTAGCGAGCTTAGAACCTCCACCAAATGCCGGGCCAAACGCAAGTTTCTTAATTTTGGAAGCTGTAGACTTCAAATATAACACTAAACCAGCTAGAATCTCGTGAAAAGCCGAAGGAGAGCTCTCTCAGACACTCGAAGGATCATTAACTCAAGAGTAAAGGCGCAGAGGGCGAGAACTGTGGGTGGTTGACAGTAACATTGGCTAGAGGAGAGACAAGGATGGCGAGAAAGAGATGTTTCCGTTGGTCTCAATGGCCGGATGTTGTCTGTGAACTGTTGCGTGTTAGAGTAACTGTCGCAAAACAGGATTGCGATGTCGGAGGGGCTGGATTCTAATGTGATCCAGAGATGAATTGGTCGTGGCAAGGATAGGGCCAGCGTGTGGTCTGTGAGTGCTGAATCCATAAGCAATTGTCAAATATATCATGGGTCCGTAGAGAAGCCACCGCATGCTAGATATCTGCGACCACGACTGCGACCACGACTGCGACTACTTCCTTGTCTGAACTCCACTCAAGCCATAAAGTGTCACCACTGCTTTTAGCTCCCTGCAGGCATCTGTGTCGGATCATGGCTGGGTCTGTGTCGGATGAGACAAGAAAAAAGGGGTACAAGTGTCCCTGTCATATTCACGCCTGTGTCCATTGTGTCGCTGTATCAGTCTGCGGTGCTGTATCAGTCTGTGTCTGTGACCGTTCAATTACACAATCTGAATAGTGGCATCAGAATGGTAACAGCTGAGTGGTGGTGGTAATGTGGTAGGTACAGGGTGATACCATCGATCAAGTGTTTCTCTCGTTAAACTATTTGTCGTGCGGCTCATTAATTAATCACCACCAACTGGACCCCTCGCTAGCACCGCAAAACATGAACTCACGTGACATAAAAGATATCATGTGATCTCATATGACCTCCAATATTGTTCAATCAAAGTCTCGCTCGAATTTGGCCCTTTTTGCAACTTTTGGAGACATGCCAAACTGCCAACCCCAGCCGTGCGGCTCGGAAATGTTTTAGGTTTAATTTCGGGTCGTCTTGGCATATAATAATTTAAAAAAATAAAATAAAATAAATTGAATTCATGTATGAAGTTAGGCGACAGTGTGACGGAAAGGAGATCATTCTGAAAGCCATGGGAGAGAAATTAGGATGTTGACATTGAGTTGTTGTGTCGGTTTCGGCCCACGGAGTCAACAACCAGCTGGTATTGCAGCACATACTGTACGGGACCAAAGATATGTTATAGGGGGACATTATCTGCTGAAAATGAGTACAGGATAGTACTGTACAGTACATGTACGTATACACTTTGTTGACATTTGGGGTATTTCTGAGAAGCCTTGTCCGGAACTCCACCTTCCAGTTTTAATCCTATCAATCCCGTTCAGCTACTTGTAGTCCACTGCACGAATGCTAGTAGTAGCTTCGATTCTAATACAGTAGACAATCGAACCCTCTCCACCCTGAGGTGTTTAAACGATGAGGAACAGTAATAGTCTCTGTTGTCTCTATTGAGCGCTAGTGTCACGCTACTGTATTGTACGGTTGTTATCCGATGCTATTTTAGTATGGTGAATATTTAATCAGAAGTCGAGGGAATTTTCCGAAATGCCAAAAGTGACAGAAACGGAGCGATTTTTGGCGCCGTGAATAAATTGACTGCGAAGAGTTCACAATGTGCTTGTTTTTTTCCTACTATACTGTTTCTTTAGCGTTCAATAACTCGGTAATTTCGACATGCTCGCGTTTGGTGTGGAATTATCCTAACTTGGTCTATTCTAGAGATAATCGGTAGAAATTGTATCGATAGACCAACATTAGGTCTCTCATTTGTATGGTAAACATATCTCGACTCTGCCTTCTTCTCCCTAGTGTGTCCTGTGGTGTGTTGTATCTTCAATCAACTTCTGACGTTCACATAAGAATGTAGCCCCTCCGAAAAGAGTCTCAAACACTGATCCAAACTAGGAAAGGTCTCTGTTGTGTCTTTTATTCGAGTCCCGTGTCGGTGTCTCTTCTTGTAGGCACTCCTTTAATTGTATGCCAGGGTAGCTCGTAGAAATCCCACAGGTGAGACTTTTGTCGGTTGTGGTGATCTGAGGGGTGCCTGAGGGGGTTCTGCGGGATTCTGAGGGGTTTTTGGAAGCTCTTTTCAACTATTTCTCAACTGTTCAGATAGTTCAGCCCGCAGTATAACCATTTCACGCCCCGGAATCTCTATACATTTCGCATGTAGCAAAATCACATGGTATACGACTGTATGAACCCAGACAACAGCCAAGATGGAAGTCAAGGAATCATATTGTCCTCTTTCCCAATCCAGACGACTGTTTTCCCCTAACAGTGAGAGCTGAAACAACTCTGTAGCCTAACCCTAGGGACTACAAGATGTGTCGTGCAAAAGTTCAGGCTAAGACCTGTTTTTGAGCAAGAAAAGAGATTGGACATGGTTTAGACCAAATGCTGTTGTCTTTAGACCCAAGTTTGCTTCCCCATCGCCTCTCAAACTTCCGACAGACGGACGTCTATTTATATCTGTAAAGTGAGACATTTAGGAGGAGAGTAAAGTGGAGAGGTGGAGAATAGGGAAGTCAGGTGTATTGAGAGAATCCTTGAACTGAGGTGATTCTTTTGGAGGACTTCTTTTAGTGTTGCGCTCGGTATCTGCTGTTTTATTCTATAGAACCTATACATTATTTGAGAACAATCTGAGTGTCTTATTACGCCTGAGAAAATGTAAACAGAGCAAGAAATATATGTTTTTCATTAACAGTTTTGTTCTCAGAGCCACTCAGAGCCACTCAGCACCACTCAGGGCCGCTAAGAGCCACTAAGAGGTGTACTGATATGAACTACACATAACATACCACCTATATCGACCCAGAGGAATGCTGTAAAGTTTTTGAAAAGACCATTAAGTAGCTAACAACCCGTTCACTGTGCTGTATCAATTTCAACCCAATCTGAAATTCATTACGTCCTCAATTGTGTATAATTATGTATGTACAGTTGAGCAATGCGTCGTGGTCACCATACATGACAACATTTGCTACGGGGAGGCGGTAACGACCCTAAAAGCACTGTAGCACTTTGCAGTGTGCATAAATATGCCATCTAATCATTGTCATATATCATCAAGTATTATTGGCAGTAATCTCGCTCTCGGTGGGGGAGAGACCCATAATTCCGGTGATAAGTGATAACTCGCGCGCTAGAGAAATTCCAGGACAATTCTGAAAGATGCAAAGTGGTGTAAACCGGCCATGTTCCTGTTCTGCATTGATTTCAGACGTTTTTGTCATTGGTCCAGGACTTTGGAACCATCCTAGTCGTACCTCTGCAGTCCAAATCAGCTGTCAACGTCTACACTCAAGTCCCATCTACAGTCAATTGGTCTTGGTACAAATTAATTAAGTGCGTCGGCGGGAATCGCGATGGCATATTTCGCTTCAGCAGATTTCGCTCGGCAATCTCGCTTCATCAGATTTCGCATCAGCAAATTTCGCGTCAGCAGATGCCCGCACGCTTCGAAACTAAACATAAATAGGGTATAGAACTGTCGTTGCTGCGGAACTAGTTGCTACCGTTCTTGATCTTCTGCTCGGCGGCGGACTGGAGCGAGTTGATGGCGAGTTGGGCTCGGTTGAAGCCGGTCATGTCGGCGTCGTTGCCCAGAGCCTTCTGCACAGTCTGCTTGCCGCCAAAGATCCAGTTCCACAGCTTCTTGAGCAGGTCGACGATGCCCTGGAGCAGGGGCGAGCCGAGAATCTTGTTGGAGAGGTTGACGAGCCACATTCCGACGTTGGTGAGGAAGTCCTTGAATCCCGAGTTAATGATGAAGGCGTACACGGCCTTGTCGAACCGGGTGCCCTGTTTGGTGGCCTCCAGGAAGGCGTTAAGGTACTTGAGGAATCCCATGATGGCGTTGGTGATGGCAGTGTTGAGCTCGTTGATGGAAACGTCGGTCACAGCCTGAGTGGCGGCCTTGAAGAAGTCCGAGGCGGTGAACAGCAGACCCGAGATGAACTGCACGTAGCCAGAAAAGTCCAGGAAGCCCATGGGCTGCTGAACGTCGTCGGCGGCGAACGTGTTAGGCGCCAGCGAGTAGACGGGAGCGTAGTCCTTGGCCAACTGGGTGGCATTGGAGCCAGAAATGTAGAGAGTGTTGTCTTCCCGGGCCACCAGCTTGGGGGCGGTGGGGGCGGCCAGACAGACGGCAGAGAGAGCAATGAAAGTGACGGCAGAGAGCTTCATTTTGGAGAGCAGAGCGCGACGATTCCGATGGAGAAAACTGTTGGAAACGGCTCGTTCATCATACCGCCCAAGAGGTATATATATAGGAGAGAGGACGATAGATAGGGTTTGACAGAAGGTTCCCTAGACGAGAAATTGGGTTTGGAATGGCGGGAATTTGAGAAGGGGTTAAAGAGGTGAATAAGTGGAGATATCGAGACGGGTGAAATTGGAATCAATAGATAATTAGCAGGAAAGTCGATTTATCTAGTTTGAATGTTATTTTATCGATCCAATCGTCAGCTACATCGATCCATATTTCCCATCGGCATTAAGAAAAGCTAAAAAAAAGAGAGGAGAAGTGGGATGGAATACAGCACATGAACCTAGCTCAAAAGGGCACAGACAAGCACATGGAAGCTCCGGTTACTGTATAAGAGTCGGTACTGTTCTCGTAGGTTGGACAGACAAGGTTTGGTGGGGTGATGAGGGGGGGTTTGTAGCGACTTTTTCCTGGTTGAGTGTCGAACGGGATTTGGGCGAAGTGGAATGGATCAAGGAGAGGTCGTTGAGAGATGGGAACGGTTTTGTTCCATTTCCAAGGTCGAATTATCCACTTCTGATCTCTCATAATCTGAATATAGATAGTAAATATCTCGTAATACATCAACATGACCCTCCTAGCAGATTCCACCAGGGAAGAACCACCTCAACCCCCCAAAGTCCCCGCCATCGCTCCTGGCTTCGCTGACCTCGATGACCAGCGCTAGTAACATCCTAAGCTGGAGTCGTGTGCATGTCCGCGGAGAATCACGCTGGAGACAAGTGGAGATAGTGAGACAAACAGTTGGGGGCGTAATGGCCATTATACGAGGTGGTTGCAGTTGTACATGGATACGAGCTGTTATGAGTGTTTTGTTGATGCGTCACCATAATCGACTGTAAAACGCCCGGTTCAATAGCTATTGAGACGAGGAGTTCTCAATCGTCTTCACCATCGCATCCTCTTCATCGCCAATTGCTTTTTTTCCACCCCAAATCCACCTGGAGCCGTAGTCTAAAGACTTCGGATAGGGTTGGAAGCTGTAGAGTTAGTTCTGAGAGAACTGGGGGTCTAGCAAGGGCTATCGAAACGGCATTGGGAAACGGATAACAGAAATGGTTTCTCCGAGGTCGAATTGGTCTCCTGTCGAAATTTCAGTCAATTTGCTACTCTCTAACCCTCTCGAAATCCAACTCCTGTCACTTCCTTGTTGAGCGAATAAAGATGGAGCTTGCACTTGCCGTAAAACGGTCGTGAGCAGTTCACAGTGAAGCAGCAAGTATTTCTGAGACAAGGGCGGGGTATCTGGAAGTGGTCTTGTGACAGGAGGAGAATATCTACGTATAGTACTGAGTATTGGACAGAACCCCGCAGCTCTTGTCCCGCAGTTTTGTCCCGCAGTTTTGTCCCGCAGTTTTGTCCCGTAAAAGTGGTCAGAACCGCTCAAAAACTATCGCAGACCGATCTACAGTCGTCACATGTGCAACGCACGCTCTTGCGCACACTTTCAATTAATGCACGCCCACTTTGACGCCGCCTACACAGGGTCACTACGCCGCATGAACAATGGACGGACGAAAAGCACTCTGTTGAATGCCAAGTAGCAATGAAGGCGGGGAAGTCGATGGAGAGGAAGTCCAGCAGGCCATTTCTTAACTGATAAGACAAGAAAACTCTTCTACACCAAAAACCCAACTCCTACTCCCCCGAAATACACATGATCGGCGGCCGATCTGCGGAGAAAAGCGCGACGCAAACGACGTAGACAAAACGCTCCAAATTCGGCCGTTTTTGAGCCGAAAAAACCCCAAACCTCTCCCAGGCAGTCCCAGTACACCTCGGGCTCGCCTCGTAACGCCCGACCCTTCCTGCGTTATTACGGCACCAACTGACAGGGGTGTAAAGAGACATGTTATGAATTCGGACACGGCAAAACTTTGGGGAGGACGAACTCATCCCTACCATATCACTTGATATAGACATCCCACGGGGAATCAGAAACCACCAATCAACTCCTATCAGTGTGCTTAGTGAGATGGGCCGATTTTCGTCTCCTTTTGAAGCCCCAAACAGCCCCGTAACGGGGTCAGCAGAAATCCGCCTACTGTACGCTACTGTACAGCTCCTGCATATATGGGCCAATTAAGTGTCCCTTTTAGGATAGTTGCTGGAGTTTATTTGGAGGTGGGGTATGCACAGAAATGTCTCTCTAAATTGTGTAGTATTTGATATATTAAGGTTCTGAGATGATTTTTGGATTCTCCAGTCAGAGACGGACATAATGGTATGTTTTTTATTAATTTTTGATGATTAATACAAAAGTTGCCAAAAGTTACCAAAAGTTGGCCGAAAAGTCTCGGAACATGCCCAATTCTGTCTATTCCGATGCCCGATGAGCAAGCTGTAGAGTTGGCTACTTGTAGAAAGTCTACAGCGTTGTTGTTGCAGACAGGGGTGGTTGGTCACGTGATTGAGGATTGGGGGGCCGGGCGGGGATGGTGAGTTGCGTCGTTGCTTAGTCATTTGTCATGTCATATCTGATTGCTGTACATACTGTTCTGTACTCTTATGATACTCTGTAGAACACGGGATGTAACCTCGAAGACTGTCGCGGCCATTGTGACCCTGATTAGGCTTGTTTTGGGTTGTTATTGTCCGTGTTTGCGTTCACCGAGACCAATTAGACGTTCAACATTAGTATTTAGCAAGTTATGCAAGACATGACGATGGGGAATGAATACAGAACATGATATAATGGAGATATCGCCAAAAGGAGTTGATAACTGGAATCTCCGAAACTAGAGGATTACAATGATCCATCTTTCCCCCGGATATGTTTAATAATCGTAGCACAAAGTCGTGCTATTTCGAGTAAAATCTCCGACCTCCGATAACGATACTTTGTTACTTACTGTATAGGTATGGAGGCGCAATATTGACTGAGATTTTGCTACTTGTAGGTTTGTTTACAAGGGTTGGAATGGCTGAAACATATTTTGCCGCTGGAATGTAGATTTCGCCAGTGCATGGTGACTTGTTGCAGTTGGATGAGCTCGGAGCATTGTTTCCCAAGTATATTCAAGTATAAACTAGATAATGTCAAGTAATTCCAAAAATATGTACTAAGTACTTCCAAGTAATCCCAAGTAAAACCAAGTAATACCAAGTAATACCAAGTAGAACTTTCAGATGACACGACGAATATGGGAAACCCTGTCATAACCATCAACCTGCTGCAACACGTTCGATTGATAAGCCTACCGTGATCGTGTCCTACACTAAATCCGTAAAAAATATGGATCTCATGATATTGATGTTCTCAACCTGTTTTTGGAGCATGAATGTGCACTAGCGACCGGATTGCTCAACAAATATCAAGTATGTTGATGATATGTGTTTTGTGTCTAGAAAATGCCCATATCATGACATAATCTGGTTCTAAAAGTACAGTTTTGACCAGAGAATCGTTATACACACGCTGAAATCAACATCTCCCCTCCATATCCACTCTGAGTGATTTTTCCAAATTGGACTTCCCTACCACCCCGTTGCCGTGGCAACTGTCCCGAAACCTTATTTGAATGTCAACATGTCCAAAAAGGTGCATATTCTCTGAATTGTTGAGGATTTTATTACATAATCAGATTTCACCAGTTTCTCAATACCATTTGAAACTCTCATCTAGTCGCTGGTCTTTCTGAAGCACCAGATATGAACCCCCAGCCGTGCGGCTCGGAATTGATAAGGTTTGCTGTAATTTTCAACTAGATATTTTTTTTAATTGACCGCTGTTTATAATATGAGTAAATAATGTGTATTTTATACGTTATATTAGTTGGAAATATATCAAATATCTATCTATTATTACCAATTGAGGTATTCTACATCCCCTACTTACCCTGTTTTTCACACAACATATTTACTTAGCTTTACTTACTCAATATCTGCTCCCAACTCCAACCTGGGTAGAAAGTACAGTACCACAACAGAATGAAATCCGTTGAAAAATGATCCAATCTGGCTCAAATTTTGTAAATCGGTTTCTCTTTCTACAAGCAACATTTGGTGTTATTTTCAGTCTTCCAGCATCATTATTCACGATTCTAGAACCACCCAATATCAGACAACTCCACCCTAACCCTGAACATTATCACCCCCAGTCTCCAATCTCTCCAGTCTCTCACTTCCTCTCTTACAGACACCATGATGATACCCCATCGGGCTCGGAGTCCGATACTACCGCCAGAGATATGGCACATGATATACTGCTACTTGGACATTGACGATCTGGTGAACCTCGATTCTGTGAATCACCCGATCCGCGCGGAGCCGGAATCGTTCTGGGAAGCCCTGCTGAAACGATTCTTCATAGTGAGCACCGTGTGTCGCGGGACACGTGATCCCCGCCAGGTGTTCCTTGCGCTGGCGGATTTCCGGTTTTCGAGGCTTTCTTGCGCTCCTCTGGTGTCGTCTCGAACGAGTTCGGTGTTTGAGTCTCAAGTGGACCAGGTGCTGGTTCGATCTCCGTTTCTGGTCGACAGCAGCCATGGTCACGTGGCGGAGGTGTGGGATTTTGCCCAAATGGCGAAATTCCGCTTCGATATGGACCCGAAACTGGCGGCCTGTATCGGTGTGGATGGAAGTGGAGCGAGTCTGGAAAAGGGACAAGCCGGAGAATCGGTCGTTATGCGGTACGATTACGAGGGACACGTGACTCACTCGTTTGCAATCCCCTTTGATTCCTCCGAGTGCAACATTTTCTGCACCAACGACACCATTGACTGCACTTTTCTGGTCCAGGGGCTCCACAAGTTTTACGTCAATTGGGCGGCGCGGGAGCTCAACGATGTCGGGTACATTTCTGCAGCAGTCAATGTGGCCAATGGGCAGATTTTCTGTCTTCTGGGTCACTCGCTTGCTATCTGCGACTTTGCCGGCAACTATACGCCTCTAGATGTTCACTTTAACCCCGATTTGAGATCTCCAAGGTGGGTTCCCGGAGGAGGCAAGCGGTTTCTGGTCATCAGTCAGTCACGTGGATCCACCAGATTGTTGTATCTTGTGGACGCGGTCAATAGAACCTATGTTTCTTGGCCGGTGGAAGGAGATAAGAGGGAGCCTGATGAGATTCAGGTGTTTGAAGATCAGGTGGTCATGTGGTATGTTGATAGGGAGAGGTGCTTGGAGGAGTTTTTGACCCCGTGGCAAGGCGAATAACCGAATCGAGGACTGTAGGTCCTTGGCTGACTGACTACAGACTACTTATGTCAGACAGCAAGAGTGACGGGGCCAGTCGGGTGGTCACGTGATAGCATCTGAGGGACAAGTCGAGCTGGTCACGCGACGTTAGCAAGCACTCTTGGTCTGACCGGGTTAGGAAAGCAGACTGAGAGGATTCACTGGCGGGCTCGTCCTGGTGATTCTAGGAGAGAGCTCGGGCCGGTTCAGGGTTCTAACATCGCTCCGACTACTGGACAGGACTCCGACGGCATCGTTATTACCACACTGAATCTAAGCAGTTCAGGTATGGCACTAGAGGAGCTGGGGAGCTTTCATCGTCGTGTTATGGATCACAGAAATCAGATTTGACCGCGGTCTAGGAGAAGTGATCAGGACAAGGATCTTACCCCGATTTGACGTGGTTCGATCTACGGGTACAACTGCAACTGTCGCCCCTAGACTCCTATATGGAATGGGCTTTGCCACTGTTCACAGTTCCCCTCTATACGGCTAGGTGGTGAATGTGTTGATCTGCAGTCTATGACTCCCGTCTGAATCTGGAGCCCATTTTCTGAGTTCTGCAGCAGTCTACTTATCGGTCTGGGTCTCGGCAGAAACTGGTCGGCGGCTAGATCACAGGGATTACTCGAGTGTCTCTTCAATCGGTCGGTTTGGCCAAGTCTGGCTGGTATAAGTCTCCAGAACCAGTGGGGCAAGACATCGACCATCTTTCTGTCCCAAGTAGTTCCTACAAGTCGACTCACTCAACTCACTCAACTCACTCAACTCACTCAACTCACTCAACTCACTCAACTCACTCAACTCACTCAACTCACTCAACTCACTCAACTCACTCAACTCACTCAACTCACTCAACTCACTCAACTCACTCAACTCACTTCACTCATTCAATTTATTAATACTCTTATTACATGAAATAAATAACGCCCTTTTGGGTCAGACATTCAGATAGGTGTCCAGTTTGATACAGCCGAGGCTCCGTAGGTCCATCGGGAACATCGGGTCTAGACGAGAATCAGAATCAGACTCAGGATCAGAACTCTGAATGCCAATCCACTAGTCATTGTAGACTGCTCGATTTAGACAAGTCTGAACACGTCTACACAATCTCTCCTGCGCGCTCCAACCTCCGACACCCTCTCCAACTCGCTCCACTCATGTCAGCAGTCTAGATAGTGTACTTCAGGAAAGCCCGTCGCAAGGCACCCCGCTGACCCGCCTTTTGAGCTCCAATGAACGAATCCACTGTGACTCTAATGGCCCGATTGATATCTCCCTTGGCGACAAACTCAGACAAGCGCATTCGGGCAAACGCTTCCGAAAGACGAATGATGGACTCCAAGTGTCGGACGGTAATGGGGAAGGAGCCGGTCTGGAGCGACTCCCGTCTCATGTCGGCGTAAACACGGGCAATCTTGTCCTGGTCCACGTGATACAACTTGGGCCGAATCGACCGCGCATATCCAATGTACGCTCGGAGCAGATCCTGGTCAATAATGTCGTATCCGTCAATGTTGGTCATTTCCTCGGCGGCAGGAACCTGGGCGGTTCCAGCTTGAGGATGAGACCGGGTATGGGACGAGCAGACAAAGTCGGCCAGTAAGGCGTCCTGCTCGGCGTCAACCGTGTCTCTGACGACACAGAGAACGTCGAATCGCGAGAGAATGGGCTCGGTAAGATTCACATTCTGCGAAAAGGTCAACGAGGAGTTGTAGCGGCCCTCAATGGGGTTGGCGGCGGCAATCACCGCACATCGGGCCTTGAGAGAAGTGACAATACCGGCCTTGGAAATACTGATGGACTGCTGCTCCATGGCCTCGTGAATGGATGTTCGATCCGAGTCGTTCATCTTGTCAAACTCATCAATCAGGCATGTTCCTGTATCTGCCAACACCAGAGCTCCTCCTTCTAGAGTCCATTCCTGGGTAATGGGGTCTCTATGCACCGAGGCGGTCAGACCAACGGCTGAGGCTCCCTGGCCAGTGGAGAAGACGGACCGAAACGCCGTTTTTTCCACGTACTTGAGAATCTGCGACTTGGCCACACCGGGGTCTCCCAGAAGAAGAACGTTGATGTCTCCTCGAATCGAGTGTTTTCCATTCACGTCTTTGGCCACTCCTCCAAACAAGGAGCAGGCAATGGCGGTCTTTACGTCTCTGTGGCCGTAGATTGAGGGGGCAATGGACGAGATGATTCGGTTGACAATCTTCTTGTCGCGTGCCAGCTGTCGAATCGCGTCCATATCGTGGATGGCGTGCTGTTCCCGGGTCACCTTGACCGAGTTGGCCTCAATGACGGTGGCGAACACCGGAAACCCGTTCTTAGCGTTCAGACCGCCGTCGTACGAGTTTTTGTAAGTGCCAATCACCTCCACGTCCTCTCCGGGCTTGGCGGTGTCGATCAGATCCCACAGCAGAATCACCTCCTTGTGTCTGGGCAGTCGGCCGGGAGGCACCGAGCCGGGCGATTCCTGGAGAGTCATTTTCTGGAAGTTTCGATACAGCGTCTTTTCCGAGTTGACCGTGAACGGGCCCTTAGATTGGCAGTTGTGGCAGAAGGACAACTTAAGCTCCTGGTGCGACTCCTGAGCGTACGGACCCAGCACCGTCTTGCACTTGACACAGTCAAAGTTGACAAGCTTGAGCTGGGGGAACACACCAGTTCGTCTGGTGACGACTCCCGAGACCTTGACCAGATGGCCCATGTTGGTTTCTCGCAGATCCCGCAGCTTGGTCGACGAAGCATGGTCCGTCAACCGCACGTGGATCTCCGCGTGGATCATGGCATAGTCCGGGTACTGCAGCTCCACACAGTCCATGGCGACTCTGTCGAAAATGGGAAGCACCTCGGTGGGTGCAAAACACACAAACCACGCCAGAATGCCCTTGGCCTCCATCAGATGCACCAGAGACACCTCCAGCGACTCGGCGTTGTCCTGTCCCAGAACCCGGATGCGGCTTCCGTAGACCGACCGGCCCTTTTCGTCGGTGAAGGTGAGCAGAAACTGCCGAAATTGAGAGGCGATACCTCGATCGACCGCCGGAACCTGCACCCACTTGGCAATAGTGGGCGCCTTGATATCCGCCAGCTGTTCGAGAGACATTTCCTCGGTTAACGGATCGTCTTCCACCATCTCCTCGTATCTGTGACGTCGACGAAGAGACGTAGGGATCTCCGAGACGGAGTCGTCGTCCATGAAGGCGTCTCCAAGCGACTGGTTGCCTCGTCGGCCCCCCAGAGCTGCATCTCGTCGGTTCAGACGCTCGTCGATCCGTCTTCGGTCCGCCGCATCCATCTCGTCGTAGTCGCCCTCGTCATCGATCCCCACCCCATCGTACCTGTCGTTCTCGCCCTGTCGTCGGTAATCCGCCTCCATGTTGTCGCCAAACAGATCTTCGCCGGCCTCCTCCTCCGCCAGCTCGTCAATGTCGTCAATGTCCTCCTGGATCACCTCGTCGTTCTCGTTGAACCCCACCTCTTCCACGTCTCCAAACGGCGACGATGGCGGCATCACCGGCGACGACGGCAGATTGTCTTCGTGGCTTCGTTTCGGTGGCATTGTTGTTGTGGTGGTGAATGGTGTGATGAAAGATGTTGGTGGGTGTAGTGGTGATTTGCCCCAAGGGATAAACCTAAAAAATTAACGTGTTTAAACTTCACTTAGCTGTCCATTTTGGGCGACGTGACGCGACAAACAAGTACGCGCAAGAGAGCCGCCGGCGGGAGAAGACTCGGACAAGAAATAGTCACGTGATAGCTTCCTATGATTTGTTATGTAACCACATTCCACCCCCAGGACGTTTTTGGACGACGTTGGACGTCTTTGGTCCGCTTCTTTTTTCCACTTTTCCGGGTAGAATACATTGCATGGTTATTTTATACGATGTAGAGAAAAAAATATCAAAAATGTTGTGAAAATTGAAAATTGGAAAAAAAAGAAGAAAAAAGAAGGAAAAAAGAAGGAAAAAACCTCCTTAAGGAAACTGGCAAGTATCTTTATAAATTGAAAATTGAAAATCTGGAATTCCCCCATTTTTGTAAAGAAACCAGCAAATACTTTTATACCATTCGAATCAACAGAGATGGACAATGGTTGTGTTTTGGGGGAACAATGTCATACAACTATTGATACATTAAGGGTCGATAGTGCTGTCCAGAGAGAGGAAAGAGGAAAAAAGTCACGTGAGAGAGAAGAAAAATGGGTATTTGGTCATTGTTTTGTGATTGTGACAGGGTATAATCGTACATACTGTAGGACTAAGTAAAGTTGAAGCTTGGGTTTTGTAAAAAACGGGGAATACTGACAAATATGGCTTGCAAAATGGTAGCTTTTAGAAATTATCTCATCTTCTAGCCAATTGTTTCAGTATTATCGTCTTTTTATTTCTGTAGATTCTCGGAAATGTCATATCTTAACCCCCAGGTAACTTTTTTGTTTAAGTAATTTCCAAGTAAATGCTGCCTTAAGTTAAGAGATGGACTAAAAGTGGAATAAAACGCTCGACAGACTTCTAAAGTCGTCTGAAATGATTTGTGAAATTCCTGTGACTTTATAAATCAAGTGTTTGAAGTCCCTTATTGGTTTAAATACTTTTTTCAAGTGGGGCAGACTTCTGCTTCTGGTGGTGCACCAAACGACGGTCAAATATACTCTAGTTCAAAGTCTCTACAGAGGCAGTGTTCATATAGAGAGTTCTTATAGCTTCATTCTAGAACTGGAAAGAGTCCCGGAAGTTGTCTGTAGTACAGTTCAGTTTAGTAAATGACCGATTTGTCTCTGTGCAAGTCACTCCTATACTCATCTGCAATCTAACAGAATGTTGTGTCGGTGAAGTACTTATACCTTAGACTGAGTGCCAGTGACTCTGGTTAAAAGATTCTTGGTCACTTTGAAATGTATAAAAGCAGCTCTTGAGAGAATGGCTCCCCTCTGGACTCCGAACCAAGGACAATCTCACCCCTTCTCCACCCGGGACTTCAAAACATTGAAGAGAAATACTAGTAGAAAAGTTCGAATATGACTAAAACTTACATTCAACCCATTAAATCTTTCTCTACACTTTAGTAACTAGGCGAGTTCATCTCTCTGGTTACAGACAATTTGGTCCACAAGTGCATACGAGTTCTGGTCAAAGTTGGAATAGGCAATAGAGCATCCTGTTGCAGGCTCCCGAAGACCCGAAGGGTCTTCTCCTAACGGCGATTTCGAATCTGACTCCAATATTGGCTCCGACCCTGCTATCTACTGTATCTCCCATTACCATTCTCCAGCAAATCTCCGAGACCAATCCTCCATGGCTTCTCTGTTCAGATCAAGGTTGGCCACTAGTTCAAGTCGGGTTCACATTGGTCTGTAGATTGCTCACAGGAGTTCAGGTCCGTGTTCAAATCAAAAAAAATACTACCATCAGATAGCTGGAAATGAGACGGTTGCAATGTTTGTCTTCTCAAGACTCGATTTTGTCTAAATTGTGAGAAAAAGTTGGCATTTTTTCCATATACTCCATTAGTTCTAGCTCTTCAAGAGACTACCGCATTATCGCAAGAAATCCGAGATTCCCTCGGGCTATCTAATCTCGCTGGTCACGTGCAAATTAGTGGACCAGAGACACATGAGATGGGATCGGAATTGCCCGGCTACACAACTGCTCTATGAATCTATAGACCAATTTGAACCGGTTCTATGAATCTACAAACCGATCTGAATCTGAGCTGATCCTATGGACAGTGTATTGACTAATTTGAACCCGGACCTGAACTCCTAGAACCTCTGACTTCCACGGTCTCCAAACCATTCCAAACCAAATCCGTATTAATCCACGCTGGTTCAGAGACCAGGATATTGACTCAACCCCCTCAATACCATTGTATCGTAGCTCATACGATTAGATCCATGACGTCATTTCAGGGAGTTAGTCCATCCAGCGCCCAGAAGTCCTACAAATAGCCACCATCATCCGAAGCCTCCCCAAATCCAAGCCTCCCCGAATCCATTGGTCTTCTATTTTTGGTCATCGACACCGACAGGTACAGTAAATCCCTCTATCACATGCTCATCAAGCTCCACCTCGGTAGCTATTTATTTCTTCTGCCATTTTTGGAAGTCTCTAGTCTCATCTGGTCTGTTTCTTTTCGTTTCTTTTTTGGTCCCTTGAGCTGCTATTTCAATATGCGTAATAATAGTTTGGTGCTTGTAGTAAATCGGGTAAATCGGGTAAATCGGGTAAATCGGGTTATAATCGAGTTATAATCGGGTTATTATCTTGACCATTGTAGTAATTTGTCCTACTTTCATCATCCCGTTAATGGGGTCTTTTAGTAATTATTTTAAAATGTTTATAGTAAATTATGATTATTTTAATATCTCCCTTGTAAAATACAGTATGTAAAAGTATGATCATTTTTATGTCTATAATGAATTACATGATCATTATTAGAACAAATCCAGTCCAAGGACCACCCAAGAAAAAGGGACCACATCGTCTACCAATCAGACTCTTGTCCTATTTCCCTCTTTCTGTGTCATAAATAACCACGTGATCCGGTATTTATTAATTGTATAATTATCAGACTGAGTCAGGGATCGAACCTGCGACTCTGAAGTGGCCAGTCCAATTAACGTTTGTGACGTCAGCGCTAGTTGCGGACATTAATGTTAATCGCTCACCCAACCGAGTCTATGCGTCTGCGTGCATGTGCATGCATGTGCATGGCGCTCGTCTGCACCAAAGCCAGTGTCTGGAAACGGTTGCCAGTGAGACTTATTGGGTCGTTCATGTGTGTGTGAAACAGCGCGGCCTTGACTGTTGCGATGTGAGTTTATTGGCGGAAAGGGAAAACCCAATAAAAAAACGAGAAAAAAGAAAACAATTTGGGAAAATGGAGAAATGGAGAAAATGGGAAAATGAAAATACCAATGAGCATACAAGACCATGGCGGGGAATTTTATGAAAAAATCAACCTTCTGGGACGATATCTGCCCAAGCAATGGTCGCCCGAGTTGGTCTGGGGGAGCAAAACAAAAACAAAAAAAGCACGTAATACATAAATAGACACAGCAAACAGAGGAGCCAAAAAAGAGGAGAGCAAGTCCAGAAATAGATGGACAGATGGGCGGCAAAAGAAAGTGCAAAAGAAGGTGTGGGGAAAAGAAAAGAAATGGGAGCAGGCATCCGTGGAGACATTCAGGAGTGTGTATTCAGAGTACAGTACCTACGAGTATCATACTTTCTATATTCAGGAGTTGGTTCGCAGGCGGAAAAGGTTGAAAAAGGGGAAAAAATAGAAAAAAGTCGAAAAAGTCCGTTCATTGACTCAAAGTCCGTTCATTGACTCAAAATCCGCTCATTGACTCAAATGAAATAATCACTTACCCTCTCCGCTCTTCACAACCCCTGTTTCACTCCTAATTGAACCATCTGACAAGACAAACTATCTGGCCATGTTGATGATTGAAACATGATTGAGAAGTTGGCCTTACCAGGCTCCAGAGGCAATTCTGGAGGGAAGGTTGGTTTCCTAACCTGACCGACTGACTGATTGGGCAGGGTCTGGAGTCCGTGACAGTCCATGACAGTCCATGACAGTCCGTAAGACTCGGTAAGACTCTGAAAGATTCAGTAAGACTCCGTGAGACTATCAAAGGCCAGAAAAAGTCCAGAAAAAGTCCAGAAAAGTCCAGAAAGTCGACACCTACATTACTCAGCTGTTGTATCCCGCCCTCTCCTCCACGGCTGATGCCTGACAGACGCAGAGATAGGGATTTGCATTGTGATGAAAATCCGTGCGGCTGGCGCGGCGAGTTAGAGAGCGGGTCGGAGACCACTCGCACCTGTTGCCGGTCTGCTCATGTTCCGTTTGCGCGGTTTCCTGGCTCTCCTTTTGGTTCTTGATTCGGTTATCCTCCACCTGGCTGGTCTGTTGCTCCCTCATCATTGCTCTGACGGCGGACACTTGCTATCAATGAAGTGTGAGGCTTCAATATTGAACCTTGCGGCTGGCAATCGACACAGTAAACAGAGGAGGTGGAGGAGACGAGACGACGAGGTCATCTCATTCTGGTTGAGGAACTGGAGGAGACATTCAGAGCGAGTAGATGAGATAAACTGATTCAACTGATTCAACTTATTGAACCGACTAAACCCGATTGAACTATCTGACGGTTGTCGTCGCCATTGTTCGTCGCCCATCACCGCCCGCCATTGTCTCCACTATAGTGTGCATCTGGCCATTGTTTTATTTTTAATATGCGCTAATAAACGACTAGTTGTAATTGTCAACACGTGCTGACAACGTCAAAAGCGTCGATGGGTGGATACCACGTCTGTCAAGCGGCCGTCATCTGTCAGGGACTATTTTACTTGTAAGGGTTTTCAGGGGCGAAACCGGACTGTCTGTGATTTTCTGTTAAACATGATTTTTAAACAAATAAAATAAAATAAAATAAAATACTTGTACAAGTACGATGGTTGTTTATTTAAAAAGTTATTATAATCTTATTCTAAAAATGCAGTAAATTACAGCCACTTGATGTTTCGGTATTATAATACCAATGAGTGGGTAGAATGAGCGCGAATGGAATAGTTATTTTGTAAAAGAGATGGAAATTTCTTTATTCCAGTTCTTCCTTTTTTCCTGCTCTTCCCATTCTTATAATTTTCTGGTTTTCCACAAATTGAAAGAAAAAAAGGGGGAAAAAAAAGAGAAAAAGAAAAAGAAAAAGAAAAAAAAAGGGAAAAAAGGGGGAAAAACCTCCCCCACTCACTCCCCAAAGATCTCCCAAAATACATCTAAAACTCACTCCAAAAAACACCTACGTGTATCATTCCCACTCCAACGTCGTACCCCAAAATTCGATTTGTTTCCATTTCTGCAACCCTATTTTTATTCCAAAAACTAAGGTAGCAGTACGATTCTCGGCTAAGTGAGACAAAAGAACCTACAAGGCTCCACAACACAACAAGAGGCCGGAACAGCAACCGCAACGTTCGAGAAGGGCGACATATGAGCGTCTGGCGGTGTTGAGATTTGTCTAAAGAGGATTGAGAAAGGTGGTTTGGGGTTGTTGTCTGTTTTTTTTGGTGTTGTCTGTTTTGTTTGGTGTTGTCTGATTCGTGTGATGGATTTTTAATTTATTTTTTATTTTTTATTTTTATTTAATTATTTATTTAATTATTTTAGCTCCTCCCCTGTTGTTTACACTTGCACGGTATTTGGGCGGTATTTGGGATATTTGGGGGTATCTGGGCAATATTTGGACCACGAAAAAAAAAAGTTACATCGTTTTCAATGGCACATTCCAGTGTTAGAAAGTCGGTTGACAGTCGGTGACAGTGGCTGGCTCTCGACGACATCTCCGCTGCTTCCTGTACACAGTTAATTATAGTACCAGCCCCCGTACAGACAGGATGCGAAGCGGTCAACGTCATTGCGGTATTATATGGACAAGTGAGATAGTGGAGGAGTAAGATAGGTGAGATATTACGGCGACGGAGGCGCTTTGAAGCGAGGTTTTTCAGTTTTTTGGAAGTCAAATCCCGAACGACCGTGACAAGCGGGCCCCACACCGTCCCCCGCCCCTCCGGCTGCGCGCTCATGCCCTGATCTCCACGGCAAGGCATGTTGGCCAGAGCTAGTTCCTACGATACTGTAATCGGGGGGTAATCTGGTGCAAGTTTGCTTTTTTGTTTTGGCCAAATTGGATAAGGTTTACCAACAAGGTTTGGTCAAAATTAGCTCGCGCTGCAGCTGGCACAAATACACTGCAGTTCGGTGCATGTTTGAAACCCACACAACTATTTTCCTCGAGTGAATATCTACGGCTCTTTTCCTCCATCCCGTGTGGAGTGACAACATAGCGATACACGGAGCCCCAGACCACATCAACATCACCGTCACCCTTCTTTCCTCGCATCTCTCGCATACAGACACAGAAACAGACACAGACCCAGACAGATTATCAAACACAAACACACCATCTCCCACATTCCCCATTTCACTCCACTCAACTCCACATTACCTGCCATGCTGTTCAAAACCAAACCGAAAGTGGTGACACAAGCACAAACACCACCGCCGCAACCGCAACCGCCACAGACCCTCGACCTGAGCCTCAGCCTGGAGCCGTCGCTATCGGAAAAAATGTACCATATTCTCAACCAGGGACCTCTGGGTCTGGTGTCTCTTGACAACCTGGACGACGACGACGACCGCTGCAGCGTCGACATGATGGCCATTTTGGAGGAGGGCCCGCGGCGGAGCGAGGACTCGGTCGACCGTTTCCGCACCCCCCGATCTTCTCTTTGGAGCGAGTCCGACAGTGTCACCAGCGACGCCCACGACACCCACGACACCAGTGACACCAACGACACCCGCGACGCCAACGACATGGCCAGCGGCGCCAACGGTATGGCCAAAATCACATCCACCACATCCACCACATCCACATCAACTGCATCCACCGACGAGCTGGACCCCTCTCTGTCGTCCTCCGTCACCCCAGCCACCTCCAACAGCAGCAGTGGCTCCGTTCTACAGCCCATAGGAGAGGACAAGATGGGAGAGGAAGGAGAAGCAGAAGCAGAAGCAGAAGCAGAAGCAGAAGCAGAAGCAGAAGCAGAAGCAGAAGCAGAAGGAAACACAAGCATCAGCACCATCGACGCTACGGACGCCGACAATACCGCTGACACACACAATGTGCTTATCACGCTGACCACGTCCCAGGACTCAGACTCCTCGGTCTCCTCCTCGGTCTCCTCCTCTGGAGATATCACACAGGCAACGTCATCGTCCTCTCTGACTCCGTCGCCTCCGTTATCGCCCACCAACAAGTCCTTGTCGTCGCCAAATTTGGCGAACCACTCTGTACGCGCAGAGACTCGTTCGGCGTCATCCAGCGGTCTTCTTGAGTCGCCACTGCCACAGCCGCCTCGAGCGCTCGCGTCTGCGCTCTATGTGTCTCAGAACCCCAACGCCAAGTCCCGTTCACCAGCCGGCTCGCGTTCTGCGTCGCCACACAAACCGGGCCACCGACGTCATCCCTCCGATGGCTCAGAGGTTCCTTCCACGACAAACACCATGTCGTTTAAGAGTCTCTCGCTCAAGAGTGACTCGTCGGACTCGGACAGCCACTCCATCCGGTCCATGCGTTCGTTCCGCTCGTCGTTCCGCTCCTTTTCGCACGAGTCGCTGTTTGCGCTCAAGAAGCGGGATGCAGTGGCCTTGTCAAGCACATCATCACCGTTGACGCCCATTTTTTCCAACGCTTCCACCAACTCTCCGAATCACGACATCAAGGCGTTGGAGAGTGCCCTCAGCAAGTTCAACGGCAAGCAGGGCACTCCAAAGGCCAACATTCTACGTATTGAGCTTCTGACGCTGCTTCGCAAGGAGACTCCAATTGGAGCTTTACCTTCTGATTCCGTTGCCATCTTTTCCAAATGGTGGAAGGCGATTCTCGAAGCTCTGCACAATCGGCCATCCTCCCACGACAAGATTGCATACATGGAGGCCATCTCCAAGCTCATGGACCGGCCCGAGTGGAAGGAGCACAACTCGTCCGTGTTCTGCTCCCTCGTCTACCAGACGGTGAGATATTGTTCGGAGAAGCTGTCCTTGAAGTCGGTACCCATTCCCCTCGCCGCCTTTAGTGGAAAGACGTTTGCCTATGCCTTCTTCCACTGTCCAGGAGTGGCCCACCAGCTTCTGGCGCATCTTCAGGTCCCAGCTGCAGACCTGGAACGCATCGGACCCATCTGCGACTCTCCGGTGCTCCGTCCGCCTGTGGACGGCAAGCCCCAGATTCCTCTGGGTCCCTGGATCCGCCGTTGGGCTTCGTCTGTCTCTGACACCTTTTATTCGTTCTTGAAACACTACTATTGTATTGGTGGTGGTATGGAGGCCGACGGAGAGCTGCCTCCCGGATGGATCCACGTCCACGGGTTCATTCTGGGCTCTCTGGACGCCGTGGTGAGACCGCGGAAGCCACCTGCGCCCCCATCGCTCACCCCGTGCATCCCCAAGCCCCGGAAGATTCACAAACTGAAGCTTCTGGGTGCTCTGCGAGAGCTCAAGAAGTCATGCCACGCCGAGTTCTTTGCCCATGTGCTCGCGCCGGCAATTGAAGACATTCTCAAGTCCGTGTCGCTCAAAACGGTCGTCTACGACGTGGAGCAGTGCACTGCGCTGGCCGACCTGGCCGAGGAGATGCTGACGATGCTAGAGTCACCTCTACGGTCGCTGGACGCCGCCTTCTGGCTCAATGTCGTGGGCATCATGTTGCGATCCGAATCGCACTACACCACATTGCGAGCCTTGGCCTTTTTGCACAACACATTCCCCCACAATGATCCAGGTGCGTCGTCGATGTATGCGGATTTCATTTTGGAGCCGGATACGCTGAAAAAGTACTTTTGCCACTGGCACCCACTGATTCGGGCAGCATACATGCGGGTTGTGTGCTACCGGGTGCTTCCCAAGGCGCCCCAGAAGATGAACCACTCTCTGGTGACTGTGTACACGCGGCTCATCACGTACATGGAGTACTGCCGAGTGAAGGAGACGCCCTTGCCCGTGACCGACGCATGTTCGCGGCTGCGGATTGTGTCACGTGACTTTGAGGCTTCGAACGTGGATCTGGTGGTTCAAAATCTGCAGAATCTCGATTTTGTGGATATTGGTGTGAGGGGCCGAGGGTTTGAAGGGCGGCTGATGGAGCCTGGAACTCCCCCTAGAAGTTCGGGCGGCTCATCTGAGGTTCTGACCCCCACGGGTGCTCTCACGCCCTCTGGAAGCGGTGCCATGACTCCTGGCGGGTCTACCACCTCTCCCTTGGCCTCTCGAACTTCTCCCAGTGTTACTCCGCGATACTTTGAGGACTCGCCGCCTCGAGTGTCGGCGTTTGATGTGGAGGACGATCTGTTTGAGGGTGTGGAAAAGACCACCGTCAAAAAGTGGGGTTTTCTGCGCAAGGAGGTGTATGCTCATGACGAGCATGTCGATACTGGAGCCCATTCTGTGTCCCAGTCGTCGCCCAACGGCATTTCTTCTCAGTACAAGTTTGTAATGGAGTCCACATCTAGGTCCAAGACCCCTCCGGGCTCTGAGAACTTTGCCAATGAGGAGCCGTCGGTCGCGTATCCTCGGCTGCCGTTTGATCTGAAGGACAAGACCAAGGACTCGCAGTCGACTCTGGATTCCGCCACCACTGCCACCACGTCCAACACGTCTGTGGACGACGATGCGTTCCGAGTGCCTCTTGATCTCGACGAGTTTAAGGATCTGACTGAGTATGTCAAGTACTGGAAGTATGCCGGCAGGTCGTTGAACGAGTGGGACGGCGTGGTGAGAGAGTATGAGACGTTTGTGACGCAACATGGAGGAGCAGGAGTACCCCATATGGTGGGAGATATGGGCAGATGTGCGCCATTATAGGGTCTGGGCGCTGAAGAGCCGCTTCAGAGCAAACTGTCGCCGTGCGATCACCGGGGTGATTGGGTTGCAGTCTCTCCGTTCCGCAGCTGGGCAGCGCCCGTTGTGGCCCGTTGTAAATTATTTATTGCATTGTTAACATGACCAGTGTGTCGTAAGGTGGATTTGTAGGTGGGTTGGATTCTGTAAATGAGCTCGAAAGCTTCAGATATAGCTTTGGATAGCTTCAGATATAGCTTCAGATGCAGCTTCAAAGTGACTTATAGCCTCACAGTGACTTTGTGGACATTCTTGGTGATGTTAGTGACTAGAAATTGACAGAAAAGTTGGACATTCAATAGACATAGATGGGTTGTAGTGTCGTCACTTGCGAGACCACTTTCATGGTACAGCTCACGTCTCTACGGCGTCTCTACCGCCCCTTTTAGCTGTGTTTGCTTACAGAGTGAACATTGCACTGCACACTTCATCTGAGTTCTTGGAAGAGTCCAAATGAGCCCAGGTTTTTCACTGTTGCTTATTAAGCATTCTGTGGTCATATTTTTCAACTGCTTTCAATTGTATTGGGTCACGTGACTTCTGTTGAGAGGCTATGATGATGTGGAGGTTGGTTCGGCGAAAAAAGTGTAGGGGCAAGTCAATATGAAAGGTAACGAAAAACGGAAACGTTGAGTAAGTTTGGGGAGCTCTGTTTAGTATCTATTTCAAGTTCAGGTGTGTGTATTACTTCTTCTCGCATCTATCGGTTGTCAGTTTCCGGTCCGGAGAATGAGAACCCGTTCTAGACTGCGACGAGTGGGCAGAAAAAGTGCACACGGGAAACCCACTATTCACTGGTAGGATCGAAATCAGTATATTGGTTACGGGAACGTTCAATAGAGGCTTCAGTTGGACTCTATGGTAGGTCTTTTCACAAAATGACCATCTTTTATAACAAAACCCAAGTAATATTGGGAGTCCTGTACATACGGGAGAATTTGGGAAGTTATCGAAATTATTGTATGTTATGGGAACATTTTTGTTACATAATTGTATTCAACTAAATAAATATATCAGATTTGTATTTTTTTATTCCCATTGTATCCCCATAGCACTGTTTTTGGATCCCAGATGAGTTATGTGGTCAAGTAATTCCCAAGTAATCTAGTAGGTGAGTTAAGATGACTAGCACGATCAATATACCGCAGAATACCAATGCAATGCTGTCAACTGGAACGCTGTCGACTGGAAAGCTGTCAACTGGAAAGCTGTCAACTTGCTCGTCACACTCATCAACTTTTTATTCCAATACCTGTCTCCCACAAAAAGCTGTGTCGGTGCTGTGTGGATCTTCTGCGATCTACAACCGGCTGGTGGAGTAGAGTGGCGATGTCAATTCCACTCCACCAGCGACATTTTGTCCTCTGAAACATTGAATGAAGCTCTTTCTGCGGATCACGTTGGTCAGAAAATGGATATTATCGCTGACGGACTTTTGTCTCCAATTCTGTCAGAGATGTCGATGCACTACTTCTTGTCAAAATATTGACAGAAAGACAGCGGGAAAAGGGTACATAGGTTAAACCAACTATTTTAAACCGATCTGGGGTCTCCTTTTGTTCACGTGATCTTTTTTGCTTGCAATAGACACTCCCCTCCCCCCTGGTCACCCAGCTCCGGATGAATCTGACATCCAGAGACCGGTACCTACGTTTATAATCACCAGGCACTTCGATTCGCCCGTCTTAATCACTGTATCTATCACTCAGACGGGGTATTTTATCCAGTATTAGTCGCATGACCTGAATTGGTGGCTGTGCCATACCTCTCTGTGGTTTAGTTGATAGTTTAGTTAGGAATAGTTAGTTTTAAATACCCATTGAGGTTTACATTATCCGTGTTCAATTGTTTGGTTGACTTTTAGTTTAGATACTCTGAAGGTTTTCCTGAAAGCTGGACTCATCGCTCCACTCCGTGGGGAATGAGCGTAGAGCCATGGGAAAAGATCTCAAACGATGACCAAGTCATTCCAATCACACTTTGTCAATTATCAGTCTTATTTCGTCATTTATTTCCTTCGTAGAGCTAACATTGGCGAAAAATCCTCTTGCAGAGATATTTGTGCTACTGCCATCAATATCCATGACATAGAGAAACAGACTTGAAATTTGGATTCCTCGCTGCCAGTTTACTCACACCACGATCTTTTGAGTCAGTTTGGGTCAATAATCATTCCAACTGGAGCTGGAGCTGGTTAGTGACTGGGTCTATCTTGGTGGGATATATACCCCCCCCCCCAGGTAAGAGGTTCCTCTGTCGGGTACAACTGATACTACTAGTATCTATTCACTGTATGTCAATTCAATGCATATATATCTATACACCCTCCTCAATTACACCTGTTTGAACTTGGACCTGTTGAAGTTCCTAGGAGAGATTACCGTCTGTTAGTACCAAGAAAGTCAACTTGTGACTGTGCAAACTGCTCCACCAGGTCGCTTGGTTCATTCAGCACTCCATGCCACCTGATTCTCCCTCATTACTTGGACTTCAATCTGCCCTCAAATCCCGCCCGCTTCCCCGACGACGGCTTCTTGACGGGCTTCACCTTTTTGCCCTTGATCTTCTTGGAATCCCGTCGGGCCTGCAGGTTCTCCGTTCGCTTCTTGTCCTTGGTTCGCTTATGCTTGTCGACGGTGTATCGGCGGTCGTTCCACTCGCGCTCGGACTTGCGTTTCTGCTGCTGCTGGCGCTTGAAGGCCTTGGTCAGCAACTTTTCGTTATCCCGCACCTTTTCGCCCTTGGCGTGCTGCATGGCTCGGTTCCAGAGCGTGGCGTTTTCGACCGACTTTTTCTTGTCGAGATCCATCTCCTGCAGCTTGGCCCGCTTGGCCTTAACGTGATTGAGCTGGCCCAGCAGGTCTCGTTTGGTGCCTTGTTTCTTGGAAGTCAGGTTCTTGAGATCAGACGAGAACTCGCCAGTCTCGAAATGGAGCTGAGAGTAGAGCAGATTGGGCTCTGAGTCGGACTGATCGGCCTCTTCATCATCGTCCTCCTCACCCTCATCCTCACCGTCGTTGGTCTGGTTTCTTCTCTCCTCCCTCTCAAGCTTTTTTTTCTCCTTGCGGGCCTCCTTGGCCTTCTGACGGGCAGCGAGAATCTCGGCTCGGCTCTGGGGCGCCTTTTTGGGATCTGTGCCGGGCGCTTTTCGGTCGGCCCGGAGATTCTGGATCCGGCTGTTGAGTTTTTCTCGCAGAGCGGCCAATCTGGCCTCCTTGGCGGCAGCTTCGGCAGCATCATCTTCACCCTTGGTCTCCTTCTCAGTCTCCTCAGTCACAGACTCAGCGACAAGATCAGCAAAAGGAGCTGCTTCGATACTATCATCTTCAGACTCCTTTCCGTTGACTTTGGCGTTGGTAGTCTCCTTCTTGTTGCTACTGCTGGTGTTCCTGTTGGCGGCCTTGACATCCGTCTCCTTGGTGCTGACATTGGAGGTAGTCTTTGAGCCTCCCTTGGAGTTGACCTGGGGCTTGTTGTTGTCGCCCTTCACCTCCTTCTTGCCGCCCTTCTTGCCGCCCTTCTTGCCTTTGGGCTCCTCAACCATCCCCTCCACCGTATTGAACTGCTCCATCTTCTCCTTGATGCTCTCCTTGGTGGGAATCACAGCCTTGCCCTTGAGCTCGTTCTTGGCATCCTGGACATCCTTGGCCTGTGAAGCCACCTGGTTGCCAGGATCCAACTTGGCCCGCTTGGCCTTGCGCTTCTCCTCCTTGGACTGCTTTTTCTTTCTCCACTGGTCGTCGCCGTCGCCGGCATCCTCATAATACTTGGACGGAATCAGCGACAGAAGCCCGTCAAACGCGCTCGTGTGTGTTCGTAATCGTTCTTCTAGAGACATGGCGAAATCGAGGTGGTGACAAAATCAATTTTTCACACCCAAACTGTACTTGAAAAATATATCACCTTGCAGCTAAGAAATCTTTTAAACTTTCCTATCAAACTTAAATCGATGGGAGGTTCGACTGAGCAGAATACGTTCGACCTATTACTGATATAATGAACAAGTGAGGCAACTATCAGGGGCATCGACCGAATGGTGCGTGTCACGTGACGTCCCCGACCCTGGAGGTTTTGTCGTCCTAGTCTGGGAAACCCTAGCCCTACACTATTCCCACAAGTAGCACTTATCACCTCGTTAGGTACTCTAAATGGACGCCCCATAGAGACGAGAATGAGAACGAGAATGTGGATTAGTCAGCTGCAGATAGGAGAGGGAGAGGCAGAGGGGGCTTGAGAGTGAATATATGTTACTTGTACTACTGTAGGTGAATGAGGGTGGTGATCACGTGATCGATATTTCTACGACAAGGCACGTGACATCCCTTTACAAATACATATGATCTTCGATGTATCTCATTCGACTATCCAGGTATACTCTTTTCCAACATCTTACGCTGACTTTGATACCGCTTAATCACGTGTTCAACACGCGTCATCTGGGTGACTTTGTTCGTATCTCGATGGATATACAAGATTTTGGCCTGAAAAGAAAACGAGAAGACTTCTGCGATCTAGACAATCATTTTGGTACCGTATTTTCTGTAATTATCAATCTTTTTGCTTGAACAGGACCAAAAATACTCTTGTCGTCAAGTCACATATTAGATGTACATACTGTAGCTGTGAGCTTCGATACAACAGCACCTTGAGACGTTCAGAAGAGGAGGGAGAAATAAGCCAAAATCGCTGAAAAAAAGGCACAACATCCCAGTGAATATCGACTATTTATCTGTATTTATAAAACTTCACGTGACAGCAAAACTACATAATACAAGTGTACTACAAGTACAAGTATTGTACCATTCTTACTCATACCATAAATAACTACAAGTAGACCCATATTATATCATGTGACTCACCCTCTTCTCTCCCCTCAGCCCACTCATAATCTATCCCTTCTATCCCACTAAAAATCAGCCTAAAAATGATTACTCATCTTCATTCCGCAAGGGAACACGTGGTTCTGCAGCAACCATGTAGGCAATACGACTGGAATAGCCGAACGACAGCAAGTGCAACTCCGAGATCACGTGATTGGAGCGGACGATGGCAGGACCATGCACGGTCACGCCACCAGCCAAATGTCACGTGGTCTTCCGGTCCGTACAGCCTCTCCAAGTCTCTCACCAAATCTCTCATATTGTACATGTTTTATGGATGGTCTGATACTGCAAAGTTACGATAGAGCCAATTGGGGGTCTCAACAAACGGCCAGAACTCGCGCCACAAAAGAGATAACGACTCGGACTCTTGGGATTCGGAATAAACAGGAAAAATTAACCCTAGTCTCTACTACTAAAATAGGCAGTATCTCCCTTCAAAGTGCTGCAAAAGTGCTACTTTTCATCTGCATACATTGACATAAAACTCCACCCAAAATATAAAATAAATAAATGCAGGCACTCTTAAAAAAACAGCCCAAAACAACATAAAAACAGGACAAAAACCAGGCACCAATATCAATCAGCCGCCCTCAATCAGTCGCCATAAGACATGCTCCTACACAACGTGACATGATGTCACGTGGTGTGACACCGCCGCCGAAATGTACTATATCACATTTATCCATCCCCGTACCTGCTACTCATTTTGGTCACAAAGACTACAACTACACAGCAATTGCGCCAGTAGTGTGTTACTGGTATCGTACAGTTAAGATCAATGGGCCTACAATTACTACATTCAATATGGACACATGTACTCACAACACGTGTCCATGTGGATTCTCTCTCTGATATACATTCACGGAGTCGCTACGCTCGTGGTTCATTATGGGTCCACTGCGGTCGGCGGCTTGGTGGTTGGCGCTCCTTCACGATGCACGGTATCTATTTTCTTAAAAGTCAGCATCATCCTCATCGGGAAGAGGCATGGCGTTGGCCTCCTCGAGATCCTTCTGCATGGCCTGCATGACCTCGGGGTCGATGGCGGTCTCGGCGGGTCGCAGGGCGGGGGTGGCGACAAACTCCAGAGAGGGGTTTCCGGCGAGCTTTCGAGCCAGCCACAGGAAGGGCTTCTCAAAGTTGTAGTTGGACTTGGCGGAAATGTCGTAGTACTGGAGGTTCTTCTTTCGGTGGAAGGTGATGGTCTTGGCCTTGACCTTTCGCTCCTTGACGTCGACCTTGTTTCCGCACAGGACGATGGGGATGTTCTCGCACACTCGAACGAGATCTCGGTGCCAGTTGGGCACGTTCTTGTATGTGATTCGGGAGGTGACGTCGAACATGATGATTCCGCACTGGCCGTTGATGTAGTAGCCGTCTCGGAGACCTCCGAACTTCTCCTGTCCAGCGGTATCCCACACGTCGAATCGGATGTTTCCGCAGTCGGTGGCGAAGTTGAGGGGGTGCACCTCCACTCCGAGGGTGGCGTTGTATCGGTTCACGAACTCACCGGTCTCGTGTCGCTTAACGAAGGTGGTCTGTGTTAGTCAAAAGAAGTGGAAAAAAAACAAAAAAAACAAGAACCAAAATGTGTTCAACTGACACCTGGCATCAGGGCGGCGATGGACATCAGTCGTCTTGTGAGGAGTGTGCTTCAATCGGCGTGTACACCCATCCAAAGTCTCCCTCACAACCTCGCCAAAGTCGGCCCCACCACTTGGCCGGAGCGTCTCCCGATTGCTCCTCGATCTCGCCTTCACAACTCACCTTTCCGGTTCCACCGTCTCCGACAAGCACAAGCTTGAAAGCAGCAACTTCCTGGGACATTGTCGTTTGTTGTTTGGTTGTAAAAAAAAGGGCGGGTTTGTTTTTTCAAAAAGCACTACCAAAAGTGATGCCAACAAATAGGAGAAGAAGAGGAGAAGAGAAGTCAAGAGGGAACCTTCCAGCCCAAGGTTTTGTGTTTTGGTGCAAAAGGAAAATTTTGGAAAAGTCAAAATGCCGACATGAGGCTGTAAACACGCTGTACAGAACACCAGAGAGCTGGTTGAGGGGTCCGCGGAGCACGTATTTGACCGGAAAAAAGACGAAATCCGCTTACTAATTGGACCAGAAACCGATCCACCACTTCAAAACCGAAATTAGCACCCGTTTAGACGCCCCCACACACCCCCAACAAGTCCTTCTACACCCTTCTCACCACGCTTGACAAAGACAAAATAAGGTTTGGCGGCGTTGGAGACGTTGCCTAGCGTTGCCCGAGTAACGCGGACCACCAGGGACATCCAAACATTGCCAGCGCGAGCGAGGCATCTGTTTCAATTGGTCACGTGACGGTGGATTGAGTGGGCGGAAGGCAGTTCTGCGAGACACACTCATAATCTGTAATTTGGTTTTGGGCTGCTGGTGTGTTAAATTGCGTGACAAAAGTCTGAGGATGCTGTTAACAGTGTCGTTGGACAAGCGGGTGGTCCAGACACCAGAGAAGACGTCAATGGGGCCAAATTGAAGCTGGAAAATGGTTGTATCGGTGAAGCCGGACACGGGCAGTATAATGCACTTTTCAGAATTCCGGTCGGCAGGTTTGTCGAGCAGATATGCTCCCCATAAGCTGTGTCCATTCGACTTAGGACGGGATTCTGAGAGTTGATACTTGGAACTTGAATACGTACAGTAGCTACGAGTTACGAGTATACGAATTCACCTTTGCGCTGTTGCACATTTTTCTGACGTCGCTGAGCATTGTGAACGTTGGTGGATGTTCAGTGACGTCATGATCTAGAACCATCCATAGGTTTCTGGTCTGAGATTAGGTAATCGTCGAGGGGGATCTACATCAATGGAGGAGTTGGTTGAGAGCGGTTTAGGTGACTGATATGTTTGAATCACGGTGGTTAGGGGTTTGTTAGGGGTTTATTGGGGGTTTATTGGGGGTTTGATTTTCCCCTATTTTTCAAAAGTATTTGAATAGATATGGGAAATTATGGATAATTCTCTAGAATGAAGATCTAGTCAGGATGGGTAATCAAGGATGTTTACTTGATCACATGGAAACATAGAAACACAGGAGCAGGTCATCCTTGAGCTTGTAGTAGAGCTCGGACCAGCACGAGTAGAAGGGCGGATTGAACAGGTCCTTGGTCAATGGCTGATAGTTGTTAATACAGGCTCGCAGGGCGTGAGAAGAAGACTCGCGCAAGAAAGCAATCGAGAGACATCGCATCCACTCCTATCAATCCACCTTGATCGAGCATTTCCCAATGTCCCACACGGTCTTCAAGTGCTGTTGGTTCACAGGCAGCTTTCATGTGTTTCAGGTCTTTACAGACATCATTTCCTATTCATCTGAGAAACAGAGGGCAGCCAACGGGACATTCATAGAAGATGAGGAAGGGGAGAGTGGCTAGGATCGTACAACCGAGGTTGATAAATGTATCCACAGGCTTGTGAACCCAGAGAATGCCCAATTCAAGGAGTACTGGAGATTCTACGTAAGACGTTTTGTAGTGGAAGATCCGGGAATATGTGATAATTAACGGCACCTGAGACGAGAGAAATAAGTCAGGGAAAGAACTGAGGCAGTGGAAACGCTCTGATCAAGTGACCGCCACGATCCAGAGACTCCGCAAGGAGTTCAAGACTTCCTTTCTGAACAGAACATACTATACCACAAGACAGACTACAACAGTCAAGACAAACCTCAAATCTGACCACTGGAGTGTTAAATGTTCATTGTGTTCAGTTATATCATTATATGGGCCTCAAGGCGTCGATATTCTGCATCTTGATGGAGTATGTCTTGTTATTGTGGACATAGCTTCCATAAGGTCCAAATACTGATGATATAGAGGAGGTAGGGACGAGAGTGTATGGAGATAATTAGTCGGGGGAGGGGACTACTTGAGATGACTTTTGCGGTAAAGGGACGAACGCGTGTGATGAGAATTTGTTATCTGATATGAGTCTAGTCGAACCAACTTGTGTATATCAACTTCTACCTGGAATGACAACTAAAATGTCCCATGCAAACGGATACACAGAGACTACCGCCATGAGATCTTTCCTCATGAGCCGGAATCACTTGATCTACGTAGTAAATGGAATCATGCATTATTAATAAATAAGCCAGATGTAGCAGTTCTGAAAAGTCTAGCAGTCACTGGGGATGGGCTGACAAAGATCCGAGGGTTCAGAGTCGTAGACAACTGTTCTGGAGCTTTACATCCTAGAGAGTGGTACTCACATTGTCGCATCAGCACACCATTCGCACCGGGTGCTCGGGATATGCTCTGCTCTAAGAGTAAAATAGACCCGGAGGCGGCGGCAGGTTTCCACAATGAGGAGGCACCGGCAACACCTTCTTGCCTTTCTTGCTCACCATAGGAGCTCCTACCGGGGCAGGGGGCTGGTATCCGGGAGCTCCACTGTATAGAATCGAGTTCAGCTGTGCCGACTGATTCAACACCGGGTCAAATCCAGGCACAGCAGGCTTGGTTCCTGTCTTTAGTGGCAACACGTCCTTGTTAGGAGACGGAGCATCTCCCAGTTTCTCGTTGTAGCGCCGAAACTGCGTCTGCGAAAGCGTCGACGGCATGTCTCGAGGGAACAGACCAAGTTCCTGGGCTGCCCGCTCGTAGTAGTCAACCACATGGGCTATATGACTTCGTCCAGTGCAGTGAGCTTTTCGCACCGCCAGCGTGTCGGGTGTGATTCGGGTGTCGCAATAATCGCAATAGGGGTAGGTTAGTGGGGGAATAAAACAAAAAGGGAAAACAGACAGACGCAGATTCAATCGGCTCCGTTCAATGGATACTCATCTTAGGCATGTTGGATTGTTGGTTGAGTTGATTTAAGGGTCAATATCGTCACTATGCATGTTAGTAAAATTGTGCATACTGAATGAAAAGTGGCTGAAAACTTGACCACACACAAAATCTGCTGTAGTTAAGATTCCGGGGAAATTTTCGAGAAATTAATTAAATATCCGTTCAGAAAGGCACATTCCAAAAATCAGCTCGATCTGTCCTTTTTTTGATCCCATTTGAAGACCCCAAACTGCTAAGGCCAAGAAAACCTTATTTTATTAAAATTGTATAAAAGATATTTGAAAAATAGAAAAAAAAAGAATAATATAAAACAAGAACAATATAAAACAAGAACAATATAAAAAGAAGAACAAAAAATAAAAAACAAAAATCTGTAAAATTCACAATTCCATTCGTCCCCAAACAAACCCCATCCCATAGTCGGCATTTCGACAGTATTTTCCTCCCCCCTCCAAACCATTTCTCCGACTCGGCACCAACCCTAACCCACTCCCAACCCGGTAAGTGCTCACGGTCGACCCAACCCTAACCCACCGTCGCTCCCTCCATTATCACTTACCCTACCGTCCCTCTCTCTCCCATTGGCTCAAATTTGGGTGTAGGAAAAACCACCACACGGTTTGCGTTTCTTGTTCCATCGATTCTACCGCACAACCAGACACGATGTTTACCCTTCGAGCTGCTAGCGTGAGTACCATTGATTGAAAGACGGCGATGAGGCCCGGAAGGAATTGTGGTGGGGGATTTTGACGGCGGGTTTTGTGTCATTTGGGCGCACGAGTTGTGTGACGACGTGGTGGTGGGACCGGTGGTTGGGGGGGGGGGGTGGGTGTTTGTGCAATTCGGGGCTGTGCAATTGGACTCGACAATGGGACAATTGGGAGGAGCAGGAGGAGTAGGAAGAGTTCGGGCAAGTATTGGCTCGGTCATTGAGGTGTTGGTGGTGTTGATTGGCGTGTTTGGGGAGAGTGTGTTTGGATGCTATGGTGACGTGTACATGACACAGACCGCACACAATACCAATCGGATCAATGACCGAGCAGCGACCGACTGTCCGACCGCGACCGGTTGACTTACATCGACCTCCTTCCGGACTCCATTCCCCAGTTCTTCTAAAACGGCATTGTCTACTCCGAGTAATCCATCCCTCAAACTCGACCGTGTCGATCAACATGAAGTGTGGAATGGTTGTTCATTACTGAATCGCATATGTGACCGCCCATCAGGTGTCTTTCGTGACAGAGCAGTTCATGATAGTACTGTACTTGTCGGAGATGATATGCGCCCTGTGGTGGACCGGAATACTTCCGAAAGACACAGACCAACTTTGATGCCCACAGTAACCACCCGCCATAGCCACGGTAATCACCTGCCATCTTCACGGTAACCATCTGTCTTATCCACTGGTCTAATGTTCCATACTAACTCAGCGACGTGCTTTCTCCACATCCATTGCCCGACGAAACCTGATTTCCGAGGCTTACACCCGGGAGGTGCGTGCATTCAAGGCCCCCAAGCTCTCTGCCAAGGACGCCGAGGGTCAGGTCAAGCCCTGGTCCGCCCCCTCTGCCCCCAAGCCCCCCGTTGTCGAGGGTGCTGATGCCGCAGAGCTCCAGGCCTACGCCGAGGCTCCCGTCGATGTCGAGGGCCAGACTAACTCCAAGTCCGCCTCTCCCCAGGCCAACGATGAGGACTGGCTCGCTTTCGAGGAGGAGGAGGGTGTTGCTGTTTAAGCATACGATTAGATACGATTCAACGACTTGACTTTGATGGTGGGCGGGACGTCAAGTTCCGTGAGTGTAGACGGGTGTGAATTGTAGACGGTGTGGGGCGTTCCGTAGACAGGACGCGAGTCAACTTTTTGTTGTGTGATTGTAGTTATGCAAAGTGGTTTCACTTGTACATGAGTCAGCATGAACTTGGTACTTGTGCGACGGAGATGAAGCCTCTCTATCATCAGATGGTGGGTTCTGAGTCGCCACATGTGTCGCCCATGTCGTTTTTGTATGTCCACAGATTCCAGGGTTGTGCTGATACTCGACTCATTTGATTTGAATGGCAAGATGCGATTACAGCGTGTACTGTATGTAGGTAAATCACACCTCCGATGGTTGTAGATGTTTCGTTTATGTTTCGTTTATGTTTCGTTTATTTTCGTTTAGTTTATGGTTTTATCTTGGAGTCTCATCACCAAATCTCACCACATTACAGTTCTACAGTTCCACAGCTCCACCAGTACACACTGAACAGTACCCTCTGAACAGTACCCTCTGAACAGTACCCTCTGAACAGTACCCTCTGAACAGTACTAGTATTGCAGTACCGATACGGGTTCCACAACTTCTGTCTACTTCCAGCAAGATACGTGTTGTCATCACGTGTTTCGCCACACGATTCCAATGGATCTCAGCAGATTCCGATACCAAGGAGCTGATGCCCGGGAGTTGAAGCCCGCAACTAAGACGTTGGGGAGCCCCCCTAGGAGGACGTCGAAGGCAGTTGGCAAGAAGATCAATGGCAAGGCAGAGGGCAAAACCGAGGACAGGTCAGTTAGCCAGACAGAGGACCAACCAGAGGACCCGACAGATGGCAAAAAGACAGGTGATCCGGTAAAGGCGGCTGAGATGGACGACGCCAAACCGCCCCAGTCTCTTTTACCCTTACCTACGCTTCTCAAACCCCGTCTGAGACTCGTATTCGTCGGGTTCAATCCCGGAATCATGTCTTCGGAAAAAGGCCACTACTACGCCCATCCTTCGAACTCCTTCTGGAAAAACTTGAACAAGTACGTGGTCATCGGAGGCGGTCTGACGTGCTACGACGATTCCTCTCTTATGGACAGCCACGGAATCGGATTCACGGACCTGGTGGCTCGTCCGACGCGAGGCTGCGAAGACTTGTCGCGTGAAGAGATGGCCCTGGGCGCGCAGATTCTCGTGGACCAGATTAGCGCCAACAAACCGGCGCTGGTGTGTATTGTGGGCCGCGGCATTTGGGCGACTGTATTTCGCGCCGTGTTCAAGCACCAGGGGATCAAGAAGAGTGAGATGCCTCACTTTGGGCTCATGCCCGTGCACATGGGCACATCGAGGGTGTTTGTGGTGCCCAGTACGAGTGGGTTGGTGAGAGATAAGAGGCTGGAGCTGTGGAGGGAGTTAGGACAACTGTATCGCGGGAAGGGGGAGAAACAGGAGGACACAGATCATGTGCTGCTACAAGCCTCAGAAAGGGTCAGTAACCCCAAGAAAGAAGACGATTGTAGTCATGATTTCAGTGGCCGTGTCAAGAAGGAAGAGACGGATATGTGAATGGCGAAGGAAAAGACGGATGTGTGAATGACAGTGTGAACTGATTGGACTGGGATCTTTTGTTATTCTAACTGTCAGTTACGGATGCTACTGTCGAGGCTCGCTGACACTGCGACGCTTGTCCGAAACCCTTCATCAACTCAATAACAATGCCGTTGAAGTCGAGCGGCAGCAAGCGTTAGTCGACAGAGTCAATATCTCTCGCTCACATTGAGGTTTAGCAGATCCACATCCAGGATCACATTCTCCTTTAAACCATCGGCGATCTGCAGACCTCACCAGAAGTAGCAGATCACCTCCTAACCCTGTCGCACTACACCCAGTCGTCTCTTGAGGTGTTGGGCTGTGTCATTTGACTCTGGTTCGGGCTAGACTCAGCTCTACTTGGCTCGTAGTTCATTCCAAAAGCTACGACAAATTTTATCAAGGCACCGACGAAGCCTTGTCTAACTACCTGTTTTCTCCAGTCAGGATCAGTGCCGTGAGAATGCACGTGGCCCGGGCCAACTGGCCCAGCTGTGCCTGTGAAATGATCCAAATGTCTCCATCTGAAAACGGCAGCTTATGAGGCTTTCAAGAATCTCGAAGGCCAGCTTCCAGGAGTGAAATGTATTGCTGCTAAAGACAGTCTCGGGAACGAGATTGCGTTTACCTGGGGAACAGATTTGGTCCTTCGATCCCGATCCTGAAGAAGATCGAGTGACGATGGCCCAGTGTGTCTATGATGAAGAAGACTCTGATATTTGTTGGACAGTGGATGAGGAGTTGAGAGTCGACATAATTGATGAATGTATTATTCAGAAAAAAAAAAGTACTCAATAATGGGAAGTCACAAACACTAGGGTAATCGTCGCTCTATTCACGTCACTGTCGGTAGGTACAATATACAGCTACGGTCTGTCTAGCTACACAAGAGGAAGCAAAACACATTCCCCATGAAATATCCAAGAATCTGAGATTGTACAATGTCTATAGCCCTTCAGTACCGGCTCTGACTTCTCTGCTTCAGTATATGCACTCCATATGAAGTTGCACACTCGAAACCATCCAACTCGTGAAATACTACTCCAATCAGAAAAAGAAAAGCTCCAATTAACTCGTATTGATTCCGTGATTCAGTTAATACTTATTACACCCTTCTAGGATCGATATATAATCAAAACAGTAGTGTGTACTTGTAGCGAGTACTGGTACTAGAGCCACCAAAAGTACTGTATTGTAGTCATAATGGAATCAAAAAACTCGATTGGAATCAGAAAGTGCATGTTGCAATACAAACATGTCTTCATATTTGAGAAATCGCCACTCGTACAAGATCTATCCGAGGCAAACACTACGCCGTCTGAACAACTCCTTCCAACTTCTTCCAGCGTTATCCCACGAGAAAACAAAAGCCACCATTGTATTCCTTGTACAAGCATTACAATACAAAAGTGCCATTGAAATCACCATCCAAGCTCCACAACTCATTCCAACACTCCTCTCAAAAAGATATACAGCATCTTCAGTACATACACTGTATGTACAGTATGTATGTACTGTACATACAGTATGTCTCCCACCTTTTACCATTCGGTGTACATCTGGACGTGAAGAAATGCAACTGGGTGACACAAACACACGGGAAAGCGCCGTGGAGCTGGTATTTCACGGTCCCGTATCCCCTCAGTCAAAAGCCCATCTCTCTAGTCTCGGGAGGCACGCGTCAAGTTACCCTACCGACACGTCTCCTGTGCCCGATTGGGACGTTTAATTGAAACTTTAACGCGTCCCAAGCATTAGGAATTTCTCCCAAACCAACCACCGCTTCCACAACACCGCACTGGACATTGACATTGACACTGTCATCGGCGACATCACCGCAGTTTCCCGCATTTCTGTTTCTGTTGCGCAAATCCACCCGTCATGTCCACACCCAGCTCCCCAATCGGACTGGGATCGTCCCCCCAGCGGGACAACAACGTGTCGTCGTCGCCCCTGTTTATGGGCTCGTCGAATCCCCCCAGCGAGCTCGGCATGGCTTCGTCGCCGGCCATGATGCCGTCTTCCGGCGGCACCCGACGACTTCCCTCGTCCACCGGAGCTCGTCAGGGTGGCGCTCCTTCGTCCAGAGGAGCCGCTCTTCTGTCTGATCTCGACTCCACCCCAACTCGCGCCACCGCCGGCGGTCGTCAGCCCCGAGGCGACATTTTCTCGTCCGACATCAACACGCCACGTCGACAAACGACCTTTGGAAACGGCTTCGAAAGCTCGCCAATGCGCCTGGACTCTGAGGGACTGTCGTCCACGGGTCTCGGGCTCCAGAGCGACAACGACATCTCCACCGCGGGCCTCATGCCTTCCGAGGGGATCTCCACAGACGGAAACGAGCCGCGAGCGGTACTTTGGGGCACAGACATCGCCATTCCAGAGGTGATGGCCAAGTTTCGACGGTTCCTGATGCACTTCAAACCGAGCTACCGGGTGCAACTAGATGGCACGGTGTTGGAAGACATTGGAGCCACTGGACAACACACAAACTCGGACCCTGACAGACTGTACTACGTGATCATGCTGCAGCAGATGCACGAACTGGGCATGACCAACCTGAACCTGGACATGCAGAACCTGCTGGCGTATCCTCCGACGGCGTCTCTCTACCGAAAGCTGGTGCTCTACCCCCAAGAAATCATCCCTCTGATGGACCAGACCATCAAGGACGTCATGGTCGCTCTCCTGGTCGAGGGAAGTGATCACCCGGAGGAGTCGGTAATCCAGGAGGTGGAACAGACAATGTACAAGGTGCGTCCGTATGGCCTGGGCACAGATCGAGGCATGAGAGAGCTCAATCCTTCAGACATTGACAATCTTGTGTGCGTCAAGGGACTGTCTTTGAGATCAACGCAGGTCATTCCTGACATGAAGGAGGCGGTTTTCAAGTGCTCGGTGTGCAACCACACCGAACCGGTCCAAATCGAAAGAGGTATTATCGCCGAACCTGTCGTTTGTCCTCGAACTGTGTGCCAGAGTAAGTACTCCATGCAAATTCTGCACAACCGGTCCATTTTCGGCGACAAACAGGTTGTGCGACTCCAAGAGACACCGGACGTTGTTCCCGACGGCCAGACGCCCCACACGGTGTCTCTCTGTGTCTATGACGAGCTTGTGGACGCCTGCAAGGCCGGAGATCGGGTCCAGGTGACGGGTATTTACCGATCTGTACCTACGCGAGTGAATCCCCGAAACAGAACCATCAGATCGCTGTTCAAGACCTACATTGACGTTGTTCACGTGCAAAAGACCGACAAGACTCGTGTCCAGGTTGATACCGACATATCTGGAGCCAACAACGAGGACGCGGCTGAGAAGAATGACGTGGAGGAGACGCGAAAAATCACCGTCGACGAAATGGACCGAATCAAGGAGGTGTCTGAACGAGCCGATCTCTACGACCTCATGTCCCGGTCTCTGGCTCCGTCCATCTACGAACACGACGACGTTAAGAAGGGTATCTTACTGCAGCTGTTTGGAGGCACAAACAAGACGTTCACCAAGGGAGGTGGACCCAAGTACCGAGGCGATATCAACGTTCTTCTGTGCGGAGACCCCTCCACATCGAAATCTCAGCTGCTTCAATATGTGCATAAGATTGCTCCGCGAGGAGTGTACACTTCAGGCAAGGGCTCTTCGGCCGTGGGTCTGACAGCATATGTGGCACGCGATCCCGATACTCGACAGCCCGTGCTTGAATCTGGCGCTCTGGTTCTTTCGGATGGCGGAGTTTGTTGCATTGATGAGTTTGACAAGATGAGTGACGCCACCAGATCGGTGTTGCACGAAGTCATGGAGCAGCAGACGGTGTCGATTGCCAAAGCCGGCATTATCACCACCTTGAACGCACGAACGTCCATCATTGCCTCAGCCAACCCCATTGACTCTCGGTACAATCCCGATTTGCCCGTGACAAAGAACATTGATCTTCCTCCTACACTTTTGTCTCGTTTTGATCTCGTCTATCTAATGCTTGACCAAGTCGATGAACGAGTCGATCGTCATCTGGCTACTCATATCGCAAACATGTACCTTGACGACAACACCGCCACTGCTGCCACTGGAGAGATCTTACCGGTGGAGTTTCTGACTCTGTACCTGTCGTACGCACGAGCCAATGTCTTCCCTCAAATCACCCCCGACGCCAAAGACAGACTTGTGGCGGCATATGTGGACATGCGAAAGCAGGGAGATGATCCTCGGTCTTCGGAAAAACGAATCACAGCCACCACCAGACAGCTGGAGAGTATGATTCGGCTGTCAGAGGCACATGCCAAGATGCGTCTTTCGTCCACAGTCGAGGTTTCTGACGTCGACGAAGCCGTGCGACTTATCAGAGCCGCCATCAAGGATTACGCCACCGATCCTGTTTCTGGACGAATCGACATGGATCTGATTCAGACAGGAACTTCTCTGGCCCAGCGAACCGCGCAGGCCATGGTTTCTCAGGAGATTGAGCGAGCTCTGGAGTCGTATCCCACCGGAGAAGCTCCTTACAATGAGGTGCAGCGCAAGGTGTTGGATATCACGCGCGCGGTGACGAACGAGGAGTTTTCCCAGGTGGTCCAGGGAATGCAGAATGAGAACAAGATTCGCGTCACCGGCGAGGGTCCTAGACGGCGACTCAGACTTTTGGCGATGATGCAGTAAGAGATATACACAGGTGAATCACACATGGATAATTAATTAGGAAAATGAACAAAGTGAATGACAAACAACAAACCACTTGTTTCCATTCTCAGGGGCAAATTCACTCGGCTGCCGAGACTCTCACGATGAGGCTCTCTGTTAGAGAGGAGAGTCTGGTTTATCGGAACGCCCCCAGCGAGTCATATGTAAGTCGTTAATGTATTTGTTGTGTAAAAGTCGATTTTATTTAACAGATAGACCTCTGATACTCGTAGACCCCTAAGGACTCGGAATGCGAATCCTCAGTGCGTGTCACGTGATCTTACGGATTTTTTTATTTTTATTTTATTTTTTATCATTCCCTTTTTTTCCCCTTCCCGACTTAACGGCTATCCCCCACCCCGAATCACAACGCCTGGCTAGCTCAATCGGTAGAGCGTGAGACTCTTATTCGAGATCATCTCAAGGCTGTGGGTTCAAGCCCCACGTCGGGCTACAAATGGTCTGCGAAACAGTAGGCAACTATTTTTTGCTGCTTTTTTGTCCTGTTTGGAATATGAGTTCAATCGAGATGATGTTTGCCATGGTTTCGATGATCACAGTCGTTTAATTTCTTCTTCGCCAATATTCAGTGTTCTTGGACTACTGAGAGTTGGAAACAGCTGATTGGAAACATAAACCGCGGTGAAGAGTGTACCAAGTTGATTGAAGATGTCATATACTGTAGACTGAAACCTGGTAATCAAGATGAGCATAGGTTGAGACAGGATGACGACTGTTCGATGAGACTCATGGATACACAACTCCACTCACTCAGACCACCTGACATTTCGGCCAGGAACACCAAAAGATGGCAGCACCCAGGATTCTACAAGTATATACCTATGTGCTCCCCATGAAAATAGCCATCAGTACCACCTTTCAAGATTTTACGACGTTTTCAAAGACCTACAAGTAGTTACTTCCCATCCTGTGTTTCTACTGTAGCTAGCAGTGTGGAAAATACTACAGCGAGACGTCTCCTCAAGATAACACATGGCACTCTACAGCTCATCAGACGAAATTATAACTGAACCTCGAGTAAGAGTTCAGTGCGGCGCAGACTCCTTGGTAATCATAATCATAATACTATATACAAATGTTTCTCGTTGGTCTGTAAGTCGTTACCCACCTCGTTAAAGAGGCACCGACTCAGCGTCCAAAGAGTCCATGAACTTGAGGGAATTACCCACAAAGTCGTCCAACAGCGAATCAGACTTCAGCTGCGACTCGTCCTCAGTCGCCACCTTGTAGTCTCTCCAGATGGTTTCCACAGACACCTCGTTTCGCACCCCACACATGTCTCCTCCAGCTATGTTTCTATGCATGACCACACCTGCTGTGGCTTCGTTTGTGTTGTCGAACGAGAGCACTGGGTACTCATCGTGACGGGCGTAGACCACGCTAACACACCGGTAGGCGGTGTTCTCTCCGTTCACGTTGATTTCAAACTCGGGAGGGTACTGAACTTGTCTGCTGGCCTTGGAGAAGAAGACTTCCCATGCATGCAAAAGATTGGCCGACGGAAGCAACTTCTGTCTCGACCGTGCGCTGTACATCATGTCCGAGTTGATTGAAGGCAGCGACACCAGCAGGTTTGTCTGTCGAGTCACAGCGTAGATGGACGGGGGCGGGTACTTGAACATTTGCTCGTTCCTGGTCATGTTGACGGCCTCAATTTGGATCGGGGGAGCGTCTGTTGACGACATGGGCTCGCAGTGCAGAACCATCTTGTATCTGTCCTGGGCTCCTGGTCTCGACTTGGGAAACATGGTTCGGAGTTTTTCGTTGACAAACGGAACGGAGCCCGAAAAGTGAACGTCTCGAACAGGATCGATGGTAGACACGTCCAGGGAGCCCCGCGAGTCACGGGTGCTCTTGTTGGCGTGCACCAGTTGGCCCAGGGTGGCGGAAATCGACACCTTTTCGTAGACGGTGGGAGCGACATTGTTGGCTGCCGGATCATAGGGTTCCACCACGCCCGCCAGAATAGCTTTATGGGCCAGTCTGTCGCTCAGCTGTCGCTGGTCGGCCGAGTCTACCACCTGAGACGCGTCCTGGGTCACTATCGAGCTAGGTAGAGCTTCCAGCTGGGTGATGAGGGTGTCCGAGATGATGTTCTGAAGAGACTGGTCTGAAGGTAGGTCCGACACTCCCGAAGAAGACACCAGCGACAGCTTGGGCTCCTGGGTGTTGCTGAGATAGTCTGATCCGTGAATCTCTCGCCATCGGGCCCACTTCTTGATCACTCTCTGGTACCAGGGCTGTTCATGCGACACGGCTCTAGGGAAAAAGGCAGACTTTTCCACACTCTCGGGGTTGGTTTGGTAAATGATGCTCTGCGAGAAGTGTCCCTGAGGGCTCATGGCCCGAATGTACCGACTGAGCAGCTTGGTTTTCTTCTGAGCGTTTCCCAGATAGTAGACGAGAACGTCAGAGTCAGTATGGACAATGTGAGTCTCAGTGGACTCCTGCAGACTCTTCCACAGCTCGGGAGTCATGTTGGAGAGCTGTGATTTCGTCATGTCGAGCTTGGCACAGGTGATACGAGAGCCAAACTGCGACAGAGTCACGCTGACCATTCTGAGGATCTTCTCCGGCGCAGAAACAACAATTTCGTCATTTTTTTCGTCAGCAAAAGACACTTCCGCGCCCCGGGTCACCCACAACTGCACCAGCTGGTAGTGGTACTTGAAGAGGAAGATTTTCTGGAGTTCGGAGAGCTTGAAGGTTTGGGAAACTACATTGTTGGGCACAGAATCGGTGAGCGTGATCTTCCAGACGCGGTCTCGGAGTAGATGGATCAAATCCGCCTTTAGAAGACGAGTGGTGGGAAACGGAATCTTGTTCTCCTTACTCCAGTCTCGGATGTACTGTCTGAGGTCGTCAACCAGGATATTCTTTTCAATAGTCTGTGAAATTCCATCCCAGGTCTTTCTGGCAACCACAATGGACTCCGGACGAAGTCTCTCAAGCTCAGAAACAACATCCTCGTAGGTCGAATTCTGGACTGCGGTAGAAACCGACTCAAACTCGCTCTCCTGCTCCTCAGGAAGCCCCATGTCGGTTCGCACCGCGGCTTTCGTGGAGAAGTACTTCTCCTTCTCGGTCTCATGGATTTTGAAAAACGAGATCTTCAGCTCGTCATCCTCAGCAGCAGCACCAGCCGTTTCGTCGAGCACAAGTCCCGTGACTTCATCGACCGCGGAGATGGGTTTCTCGGGGTAAAACTTGAGATAGTTGTCGCCTCTGTCGGCCATAATCTGCAGCTGGGCCATCAGCTCGTCCTCCTCAATGCCGTACTGGGTTCGGATGCGCTCGAATTCTGCAAACACGACCTTTTTCAAAATCTCAATCAGCTGCACACCAGACAACTTGTAGAAGGGGAAAACAACCACTCCCTTGGCGTACTTGGCGTAGACACGCGTTCCATCGGTCACAGCAGCCTGTGGGAGATCCAGTTGGCCTCCTTCTCGAGACAGAAACTTGTTATAGTTGATTTTGATCGACCGACTCAAGGGATCCTTCAAATTTAATAAATGAACCGTCTCGGAACCGTCAGTGATGATATGCTGCAAAATGGCAGGCTTCAACAACGCATCAAAGTTGTCACATGCCACGATATGGCCCATCTTGGCAAGAACTCGCAGGATTTCACTCTGAGCAGAAACGTGAGTCTGCTGAATCTCCTTGTAGCGAGCCACATCTTCCTCAGAGAGCTTCTCTTTACCCTCAGACAAGGACTTCAAGCTCTCCAGACGGGCTTGATAGATTTTCTCCTGCTCAATCTGAAACTGCACCTCCTCTTCCAAAACCTTCAACAACAAGTCTCGGTGGCTCTCGAACCGCACAGGCATGTTGATCTGCTGCAGGAGCGGCAGAGTGTACCTGCCTTTACGAGTCTCATTTCGGAGCTTGAAAAACCCCGTCACTGAAAGTCTCAGAGCGTTTCCGCGGTCGTCGAATACCAGGGGGATCCTGTGTGAAGCGGGATCCAAGCTTTTTTGGGCGTCATCGAGGTTACAAAGATCCTCTAGCTGCGACTTGACCACGTGACGGCCAGTGATGAAGTCGAACCTTCCCTTTTCAATCAAACTGGAGCCTCCCTCATCGACGTACGGTGTGATCCGTCTCAGAGTGCTGGTGAGAAAGTTTCTGTGGGCCTTAGCGTCTCCCTGCACGGTAACCAGGGGTCCCTGGATCAGATCCAGTAGCTGTCGTTGTTCGGGGGTCACGGGATCGACCTTCTGTCGACCGTCGTCGGGCTGTTTCTGTTGTCGGGCGCTTTTCATCTCGGCCAATTTAGCTGCAAGTTTGCCAAATTTTGCCTTTTCTCGGGCCGCCAGCCACTGCTGCTTGCTCTCCTCAATCTGAGCGGGCGTGGGCTTTCTGGAGCCCCACTTGGCGGGTCTCTGCTTGGCCACAGTGTTGGTGGCGGTCTTTCTTTTAGCACCACTGTTGCGAACTAGCTGGGTTGAAACCGAGCGGACTTGGGGTGGCAGCATCCGCAAGGACTCCGACAGTCCCGATCTGCTCACTCGAACCGCTTTACTGGCTCGGAGCATCTTGTCGAGTGGTGTTAGTTGATAAGTGGAATTTATCAGTCCGAAAAATTCAGATTCAAAAAATATCTGCATGGTGTGAGCTTAATGTCAAGTGGTGGTGTAGAGAGATTATGGAGTTGTGATAATGCGGATAAAATAGAAAAAAATACACTGAAAATTGAACATTCACAACACTGAAGCCAAGAGATATCGATTGATATATATATTGTGTGTATATGTTGTGTTTCGAGCCCATTGAAAGCTGATTCAAGGTGGGAGGAGAGAGACAGAGAGGGTGTGTAGTGTCAAAGGACTCATTTTTCAAGTTGTGAGAAAAAAAAAGTACACAACTGGAATCGCTAGAGTCAGGTGAATATTCTGATATATATATTGGGGGTTGTTATTCCGGTTTGAGACCAGCGTATGGCACTATTGTGGCGGACCCACTTGTAGTAGCTAGGATTACATAAGCACACTTGGGACCTAGACATACAAGTACACTGTAGAGAGTTTTGATTTGGGTATATTTAAGGATGGCGTCAAACTGAAACCGACAAAATTCCAATTCCGTTAGAAACACAAAAAAGTGTCATTGATACGAGAGTAAGCAATCTGACATCAAAACCAGTCACACAAGGAGATTAGTCTCAATACGTGCTTCAAAATGATACCGATATTCGCCACATTATCTCTCTGTGCACTCACAAACCCCCGTGCTATCTCTCCTGGACCCGCTCTCTCCAAAGTTCATGCAGTGTGAACCCAATCCGATATTTTTGTTATCTTCCTCCACACAACTCAGCTCTGGAATGGCATTTTCTGGCTGGCAGAACAGTCCCGGTGGGCATTCCGTCGGCGCCAAGCTGGTGGCTCGTGCCCAGAACGAAAACGAACAGGTGGTGCCCGGCACGGTCTTTTTGTCGTACCATGGCGAGGGTCAGCCCTGGGGCCGGACCCTGTCTGACGCCAACGAGAAGATTAGCACCAAGCGGTTGGACGACATTGATCGGATTTGCATTGAGATGATTCTCAACATTGAAAGGACACGTGGCCCGATTGTTCCCAGCCTTCAGGAGTCTCCTACGAGCTGTTCCGTGGAACTGACTCGGAAGGAGCTGGACCACATGATCGAGACTCCTGCTTTCGAGCTGGACCGTCCCACGGTCGACAGCGACTGGGGCGGCAAGTTCCCACGTGCGAGAGCGCTGGAAATTGAGGCACTGTTATACAATGAGTTCTTCAAGGAGAACCAACACAGTGTGACCTCTCCTGCACGCAGACGTCGTGACCAAAAGTACAGACAAAAGTACTACCAGCCGTTTGTGGACCCCGGCGTGGGCCCCAGGGAGACAGACAGGGAGTACAGAAAGTTTCTTGCCGCTCAGCAGAGGGATGCCGAGACCAGAGGCAAGCCCGAGAGGGAAGAGGACAGCAAAGGAGAAGGACTGTTTTCCGACAAGTTTTATTCTGCCAACGATATCGAGGAGGAGGCTCAGCGCGACAACGACACCGAAGATGCAGTTACTGGTACTATCTGGAGCGAAAACGAGAAGGAACACTTCTTCTCTCTTCTAGGACGAGTGGGGAGACACCGACTGGGCGAGATTGCCGACGCAATGGACTCCAAGTCACTTGCCGAGGTCGAGGAGTACCACGATCTGCTGTTTACCGCGTCTGAGCACCAGAAGGAAATGTTCAATGTCCGAGTAAATGCTGGGGAGGAGTTCATTCCGGAAAAAGACCGACCGGTTTCGTTCAAGGAGATCCCAGCTGCTTGTGAAATGTCCGACAAGTGGATCGCTCTGGAGGAGTCGTTTGCTCACGGTATCGCCAAGTGGGAAGATGAGCATATGGCTAAAGGGGAGGAGCCGTTTTGTTCGATGAGAGTTGGGGACGAGACGAAAGAGAACGCGTCTGAGGACTTACTCAAAACCGAGGCGTTGGTGTCTCTTGCTGCAGAAATCTTCTACCCCAATCCTGCCAATGGTATGGATATTCAAAGCAAGGAGTACAACACTGACTTGCCTGTGTTTGAGGGTATTGAGGGAGATGCAATCAAGGAGTTGTTGATTAGAATCGTCGACAAGACCCGCGAATTATTCCGCAACTACATGGAAGTTGATAAAACTACGTATGCTCGAACAGACAGCACCATGTCTACCGGAAATATGCTGTTTGTTCAAGGGCTCAGGTACAACAAATTGTCTCGTTTCTTCCGGAGCTACTGGGAGAGAAGTGGATCTGAGTACGTGGATGAGAGATCGGAGGTTCCGTTCCCGGAGTCACTTGTTACACCCGGAACAACTGAAGAACAGCACAAGAAGATTTTCGGAGAAATCAAGGATGCCGCACTTCCAAAGCTGTACACAAACACAGGTCTGCTTGCTGCGAGTGTGAAGAGCATGTCCAAGCTGGACAAGGTCAAATTTTTGGACGTCAAGGAGCAGGAGAGGTTGAATGGTATGATTGAGGAGGAAAAAAAGTACAAGCGTGAACTTGAGGAGGGAAATCTAGAGTGGGATTTCACCCCTGAAGCACCAAAGAAACCGTACAAAACCCGTTCCGAAAGGAATCTATCCGAGATTCTCATGGAAAAGAGAGACCAAGTTGATACCGATTACTTGTACCCCTTCAAGAGCGCCCATGTCCCCGTGTTTCTCGATATTATGCACATGGAGGAGACCGGTATGCTTGAGAATTTGGATGAGCGCAATTCTAAGATTATGGAGGCCGGTCTGACTCGCTTGCTTGCAGGTGCTGCTCCATACACATACCCCAGGATCACTACTCAGGTTAACAAGCTCATGTATGAGCAGGACAAGAAGCTGGAGGAAAGATTCAAGGAGAAGATGCTGCGGTACAAATACGACGGCGAGGGGAAGGAGATCAATATGTGGAAGCAGGATCTGCCTCATGTGAGGGAGGAGATGATAAGACGACCACAAGACGTCCTCTGGAAGGCTAGAGATGAATATGTTTACGGTCTCCCCTGGTATAACCCCGGTACGAGAGGTCCCGGAGGCGGTTTGAACCAGCCAGAAAACTCTTACCCTCCTAGTGTTCCGTATCCTTCTTCTGATGATCCTGTCCAGGATAGGACAAGATACATATATCCTGACGGATCCTTATACGACGAATATAGCCGACAGGTATTCCAGTTTCGCCGCGCGCGCCCGTTCTTTGAGCTCACCCATTCTCCCTACATTGAGATTGGCAGGGGTATGCTGAGTGAGTGGATGGACCATGATGATATTGAGAAGGGAACTCGGGACCATGTGATGGGCATGAGGCAATACTTCCACAACTTTACCGACACACCGCCAACTAACCCGTACTCTGTGTACTACGAGGAGGAGCGTCCGAAATATGAAACTGCAGAGGATGCGGAATATGAGATTGAAGATGAGAAAGATGCAGCCGCTGACCCCCCTCTTGCTGTGTTGGGGGTGGTGGAGGAGAAGAAGGAGGAGGAGAAGAAGGAGGAGGATGAGGTGGTGGAACAGTCGCCGCCGCCGAAACACTTGTCCTTGTATCTTTCGAAGCAGCAGCGACAAGATATGCAGGAACGGATGCGGCAGGAGTATCAGGATGTGGTGGATAAGCTGGCACAGAGTGGATACGAAAACGTGGAGAGATTTGGCATATCGCCGTTCGATCTTAACCCCATTTATGGCCACTCTGGTTTGTTGCTTCAATATGACACCCTGAACTTCCGATCCGACGATATTCCTGGTCGGTTCATGGTGCAGCAGCGGGAATCATACAATCAAATGCATATCCGGCAGCCACAAGACAATGACTATGTGGACCCTAACGAATACACACCGGGCCGTGGTCTAAAACGCAAAGCTCGTAACCACGAGGAGGACACAAGGCCGTCTAAGATGCCCAGGTTGGAAGGCAGCGAGGTGCGGAGGCTGGAGGAGATGTCCATGACGAACAATGGATCGGAGGATCCTGTTTGCAGAGTTAGTTAGGAGGCGAGTAGTCAGAGTACTCTGAAGTGCATACCATTATAGGTTCAGTACAGTACAGTACTTTTAATACAATAAATTATAGGTGCAGTTCCAGTACTGTGCACTAGATGCCGCGTGCCCCAACTCAAGCGATCACACAAGACGAGGCTTGAAGGTTCTGTAGTTGCTAACAATGGTCACATTGGGGTGGACTCGGTAAGAATCGGTACTGTACTGTAATCTCCGGGATACACTTGCCCATTGCATCTTACTCCCTGTAGTGTTGCAGGAGGGATATTGATATGCTCCGTTTGAAAAAACCGAGTAGGGGGTTTGAATAGACATTGGAGGAGATTTTACATAATATCGGGTCACTTTAAGAGCAATTGATCAACAGTACAGTTTTCTGAGTTCAAATATGGACTCTTGAACGACTGTCATATGGTGATGTCCAGACAGTACAATGAGTCTTGTACTCCGTATGTATTATTGTTGCCATAAACAGTTGGAGTTGCACGGAGAGCTGAAAATACAATAATAATGAGGCATAGTGGGCTACAATGTACATGTAAAATCACTCTTTTATCATTCTGTTCTCCTTTGGTAGTCTCAAGAATGTGCTATAAAATGTGGCAGAACAGTTCAGGCAAAGATATGGTATATAAAGCAGCAAATCTGCACCCAAATATCCCAATAAAGTCCCTGAATTGCCTCTAAAATCCCACAATTACGTCTAGAATCCCCGAATTATCCAGAGCCCCCAAATTGCCCCAATTGCCCCGAGTTACCCTTTCGCCTCTGTTACAATACAGTAGCTCTTCTCGGCTATATAGCACTCTCGGCTATATAGCACTCAGATGCACTGAGCTCAATGTGCTTCGGAGGTGCCCAATCAGATATTCTCAAGAATCATTCCATCTGGTTGCAATGGAGATTGGCTCTCGGGGCGCTTTTTGTTACTGCAGTGCCCAGTCCGGGCTCGCAAGTGCCCCGGGTGGTGCAGGGTGATCACCTTGAGACCGCGCGTGTTTGTTGGAATCCTCGCTGGTCAATCACTGAGATCAACACATGTCAATGTTCGTCTTCTTCAGGATATCCTTCAGAAGTGATATGACCTCATTTTATTCATTCCCTTGGACTTGTTAGAGTGATGGTCACCGTTCATGCCTCGAGCATGGCACCGACCTCGTTACTGGGATGGTCAGACATATCTAGAAGAGTCTCGTGTTGGCTCGGTTATGGAGATACGCCTCTTCGCAAATCCAAAGGGCCTTTTGTAGGGGTAGTCGGCCGCTTCATGGTTAAAGCAACATCTGTAGAGCTCTTCAGAAGGCCATTCTAATACGAAGCAGACCACACAGTCCCTCTTCCTTGATCAAAACTGACCATACACCTTTTCGAAGCCTTCATAATAATTCGAAGAATTGAGCAGTGAGTATTGAGTAGTGCACGGTGGCTTCGACGTCCTTGGAGAGACTCAGAAGCGCAGGTCACGTCTTGTTCTTGATACATTTGTCTAAATGGTGGAACGTGAACTTCTAAGACCGCAAATCGGCTATCAAGAACGACAAGGCGGCCACACTAGCACGGAGAAAGATTTCGGCTACTAAGCTGGCCTACAGAGAATGACTTCGACTACCGAACTGGCCTAGCCAACGGACTTGTAACCCTCACCGAGCTACGAAGTGGATACTTCTTCGGTGTTAACACCCCGCCCGACGTTCTACCTGATGATCATCCTGTCTACCAAGGACAGTTTGATGACTTTGGGCTTGGCCATCGTCTCTTGACACGTCGTCATCGCCAGGAATACATGAAAAGTTGGGGTCAACACATCTCTCCTCTATTAGAGAAGCTGTTAGGATTCAAGACGAGAGCAGGAAAACCATTGAGAGACACGAGAGGTGTCAAGCATGCCCAGAAACTGCTGTTCGCAAAAGGGTCTATTAGAGAGAACATAGCCAGACGTGAGCAATCGGGAAGCAAGCATCACAATCGTCTGTTGAAAGCCGCTCTCCTGCCAAATCTCATTGTTACAGTAAGGTAATCCAGAGTGAAGAATCTCGATACTACTGCGGTGCTTACTCTTCGGATGGTTCTCGGTATCTCACAAAAATCAAGACTCGGTAGTCACTTTGTATCATGTTGATACGGACGGCGTCGACTCATGTTACAGTATGTACCGTACAGTGTACATGGAAGGTCCGCACGGCTTGGATATACCGTCATTGATTCAGAAACTGGAAAATGCATGTACGTATCGAAGAAAGGGTTTGTCCGACGTGAATGAAGACACTTGGGAAACAGGGTCCGGCAACGTGTTTTCTGGAGCGATTGACAATGGGAAGCTTGACCAGTTCGACGATCTACACGTTAACTCACATATGATGACACCCAGATGGTGTACACGTTCTGACAACCGCAAAAGATGGAAGATCTTGTTCATTATCCTCAAACTTGGACGCCACCTGGTTATGGAGCTGCTTCCAGAAGACGGGCACTCGTACAAGTACAGTACTGTACGCTACTGTAGCGTTGGCACCATTAAGACGAATGTATATACTGTACAGTACTTACATACACTGTAGGCTATTGAAATTAAAATAAAAAATAAATGAAAGTTTCGGTTGCCTCGGCAGCTTGAGCAGACTCATAAAAGATACTACTGAGCTGGAAATGGGTTGTTATCGAACCGGGAGGTGGTTATTTTTTTGTCCTAATGATCCGCTCACCACCGACCACTATCGATTTACCGAATCTCCGCCACTTTTCTCTCGATTGTATTCAAGTTGCATCCAAAACGTCTGAGTTCGATTCTCGATTGCATCAAGTTAAATTTTCCCCCAAAAATAGACATATCATCACCAGAATTGGTCTCATCACATGACAACAGCGACTAGAACCGCCTCCGATGTCTTATTTCCCGCCCACTTCACCCCGCCCATCTCTGACATACATATCTCACGCATAATCTATGCACTCATATCTCCGGTGGACCAAATGAGCTAATTTCCGTCTTGTTGTGCTACACCCTTTTCAAAACAAGACAATTCGGCATGTTTTCGCTGCGGGAAAAAAGCAGAGACACGCTACCGCTCGAGTCGACGGCTGTGGACGCCGCGGCTTCGCTCATCTCAACCGTTCCCCAAGACTGGAGCTTTGTGAAGGAGTACAACTACCCAGGGGTTCCTCCGGTAAAAACATATCGTCGAGAAATCGCGGGCGAACCGTGGTTTGTTCGTGTGAGCGAACACAAGGACCCCAATGACCGGCCCTACGATTTGTTTGAAAAATTCCGCCAGGGTCTGCTTCTAAACCACACCTCCAATGAGGTCCAATATATCCCCATGTTGCAGGGGTTTGAGCAAGTGGGCCACTGCCGAGAGTACGAGAACCTGGTTGTTCACTACAAGTTTCCCATTGGATTGGCCAACCGCAAAATGGCCGTCTGGTTGCTTGCCACCAGTCTGCCCGACGAGTTTTACATCATCCAGTTTCCAGCTGACAATGTTGTGGAGGGGTTCAAGGCGGTATACATGTCTGTGGAAAATGTGCGGCTGGAGGGAGACACGGTGAGATGGACCATGGCCCAGACGTCGGACGCAAGGGGTTTTTTACCCAGATGGATTCAGAACCAGAGCATTGCTTCAGCTATTGCTCAGGACGTGCAACACTTTGTTGATTGGGTGAAGGGGAAAGAGGAGGAGGAGTTGCTGTTGGAGGGTTAACGGAGACTATACGAGTGAAGAGATTGAGATCGACATGGGTCAATTAATAGCCATAGCACATGCGACCAGAGTATACCATGTCGTAGTATGTACATGAATGACATTGTATTATATCGATATTAGTATGGAGGTATGCGTCCAAAAAGGGATATTGAGGATACTGGAGGTAACAGTATACACAGGACTAAATCGTGGTGAAAATTCCTAACACACTGGGTCGGTATTGGTAAAGAATGTGTCCCATTTTAGTACATGCACATGAAGAGGGGAACGTGATGGCAAAAGCACCGTCTCACTCAGAGCTACCTCTGAATGTCAGTGTTGAGTTCCGAGATTAGATATTGAGGTTGCTGAATGTGTATATATGATCAGATGATAATACTCTGTATCACGGCAATCTTTGAGCTCTTTCTATTTACTTCCTTTGTCTCTAGCACCAATATTTTGGTCACGCACATGAGTGACATTTCGTGCCGACTTCTCTCAAGCTGCCTAATGATGTACCACCTACCACACCGAATATTGCTCCAATCACCGAGCCAATAGCATCAACAGAGACACCTCGCCTAGAACTATTACATGATTCACCCAAGTCTCGTCTAACACCTATACTCTTGCTACCCCCTGCCTGTGAGTGCACCAGACTCCTTGTAGCCGAGGCACCAAATTAGACCAAACCAACCTATGAAGAAAGGCAAGAAGTCCAGGCGATTTTCCCCTGCTACTAAGCCGATCACTAAAAAAATAAAACACAATTGAACCACTTTCCAATAAATACCAACTTATGTGAACTTGGATTTTTACAATAAAAAATATTTGCCTTCGACCAGATTTGAACTGATGATCTCAGCATTACTAGTGCTGCGCCTTACCACTTGGCCACGAAGGCTGGTTTTAAAGTAAAGAAAAAGGTGCTTTCTACAATGTGATATCTGCTGAGTCATAATCGAAAAAACTCGAAAATACAAAGATAAAACTCGTGGTGTTGGCTGCCGCGATCGGGTCTAGGTACGTTTCCATCTTGTGCGAGCGTCTGTGGATTACGTATAACAGGTAGTGCATGTATTATGTGGCCTGAACCAATTGTAGAGGAACCCGTGGAACGAATGAATGAGCAGCGGCTATGATTACTTAACTTCCCGTACAACCCCTGTCCCCGAAAGGAAACATGATTTTCTTCCGAGCGCCGTATCGACGATCAGATCGACACACAAGTTAGTCCCGAAGCATATCGTCGTTGATATGAAACACGGGGTCCGAAAGCTGGACTGCTTGCGATGAGAGAGACAAGGGAGATAACAAGGGTTAGTGCGGATTGCATGGTGAAACAGAGAGATGGGAAACGGGGCTCAAGCAGGGTGGGGACTTTACATTATGAGACAAACAAGATCTAAGGTCCAATTTGGATACGTAGAAGGGGTAGCGGATCAAGTACTTGTACAAATACTTGTATATAGGGTGGTATGAGGGATTGCACTACGGTGGACAGTCGTACGACACTGCTAGATTATCAATTGTACCAACCTCGGTGGCCATCGTACACCGGCCACATCTCCAACGCAAGGGTTACATAGGTATGGCTGCCGGGTGCACTTTTCGGCACTCTGTACTGTATCAGGACACGGGTCCACCTGTTCTGCTGTTTCAGAGAGACAGAGATTGCCGTTTTGGGCGGAGCAAGGGCCCACTAGAGCAAGTGGGGATCTCGGCGGGTCTTCTCCTGCGCTCTTGACGCGACCAGATCGCGTCTTTAGCCCAATGGGGTTTTGTAGTAGCACTTGTAAGGTTTGTAAGGCTGAGGGTTGAGGGTAGGGGGGTAGGAAGATCGGAGGAGACAAAAAGGTGACAGAATGGGTTCTGTAGGGCATCAGAGGAGGTAATTATTGCTTACATAGACCGAAAAATCGTGTGGAAACTCTTTGATTTGTCAATATTTCGCCTCGGTATCCACTTTGGACGCCGTTAGATCATATACATTCTCTTCACCTCCTACCTGTAAAATGCACACCACCGAACCTTATGCAAGGTAAAATTGTGGAGCAGCCCCTGTGTTGATTTGAGAGGCCCAATTCTAGGTGACTCAGAAGTGGTAGAAAGATTCTGAAAATTGGAATCAAGTTTTGACGTGATTATACTCGGATTGGAGTTTTCTAGACTCCGATTGGTCCATTTTTCGTGTTGCAAATGGCCTGTTGGAATTCGTGCAGCATAACCTCATTCCTCGCCAACCCTGCAGGTGTCGCGCTAAGCGAGTTTGATGAAAAAGTCAAAAAAAAGCAGATCGGGTTGTACAGAGCCTGAAAAGATATATATAGCGGCGGATTCCAGATTTGGAACGCCAGTCATTCCTTCACCATCTCACGAGATCAATCACTCCTTCAACACTAGATCAACTCGCACAGTCACTCCTTAATCACACACACACAAACACACATACACCCACAATGCGATTCTCCACCACTCTGCTAACTCTTATCTCTCTTGTCAACGCTCTGCCCGTTGCCAACGACGAGCGAGACGTGGTTCTCACCCAGGAACAGACCGTCACTACCACCTGGTGTCCCGAGACTGCCGAGGGCGAGACCGCCTCTCCGGTTGAGAAGGTCGTCACGGCCACCGTGGTCACCACCATCCAGTCTACCGATGTGGTCACTGCTCCCTGCTCCAAGTGCGAGGAGGAGGAGAAGGCCAAGGAGACCAGCACTCCCGCTGCCGTCCCTGCTCCTGCCCCCGCCCCTACTTCTGCTGCCCCCGAGAAGCCTGCTGGAGAGCCTATTCCTTCTCCTGCTCCTGCTCCTGCCCCTGTCACATCGGCCCCCGCTCCCGCTCCCGCCCCCGCCGAGCCCTCCACAGTCTGGAACGTGGTCACCCAGTACACCACCATCTGTCCCGAGAACTACGTGCCTCCTCCTTGTGACGAGCAGGCCGCTGCCCTGTCTTCTGTGGTTTCTGCTGCTTCTGCCGCCGACGCTGCTGCTAAGAACGGCACCGCTGGAGCTCCCTCCGTCACCTCTCCTGACGCTGCTGTCGCCGCTTCCGTCCCCGCATCTATCTCCATCCCCGACTCCCTCACAGCCGCCTTGGCCTCCGCAATCAGCGCCGCCGCCTCCTACTCGGTCGATACCGACGATGTGACCTACCTTGACGTGACCGTGACCCCCACCTCCACCGTCAACAAGACCGTGACCCCCACCGTCACCGTTGGCGGTTCTTCCACACCCTCTTCCACTGCTGCCTCTTCCACCTCGGCTCCCTTCGAGACCGGACCTGGCAAGACCGAGGCTACCCCCGCCGTCTCCACCGAAGCTGCTTCTCAAAAGATTGTCGGAAACGCCCCTCCCACCCCCGGACCCACCGTTTCCACCGCCTCCGACTTCTCTGCCTCCATCGCGTCCGCCGCCTCTGCCGCCGTGGACTCGGCCCTCAAGGAGCTGGCTTTCTAATTGAAGCAAAGAGAAGGAAAAAGGATAGGATACTAACTTATTGTGCATGCACGTTATAGATAATGAAGACATAGATAGCCGACTGGTGATCCGTAGCGACTCGTAGCTACTCTCAGCTACTCTCAGAGACTAGCTCTAGCAACAAACCATAACTCCTGAATCAGCATGAGAGAATGACAGAATGAGCAGTGATACTTCAACTACCAGCTCGAAAGTGTCGGTTGGTCTAAGACTACAGATCATGTATTTGTAAGAGTAAGTGATTACTGTACCTGTGCTTTACTGGTACATGTATTGTACTTGTACTTACACTGACGACCGAGACCTGGAGTTCATCTCCACGAGTAAGAACATCTACACACTCTCCACGCACTACACAAGCCTTGAAAAGTAACCTCCATCTATACTATATACTTCCACCTATGCCGAGACTAATACTCAATGGCCTTTTTGATGGAGTGGAAGATTCGGGTCACGTTGGGGACCTGGAGATCTTCAAATGCAAGCGACATGTGAGTGTCCCAGCCAGTGACTCGTTGGACGGGCGACTCGAGATGCAGGAAACACTTTTCCTGGACTTCGGCGGCCACCTCCGCGCCAATTCCACCGGTTCGAGGCGCCTCGTGGGTCACCACACACCGGCCCGTCTTCTTGACAGACTCAAACACTGTGTCACGGTCCCAAGGCGAAATGGTCCGCAGGTCAATGATCTCCACAGACGCACCGAGCTTCTGTTCGGCCATCTTGGCAGCAGCATGAATATGGTACAGCTGCGTGCCGTATCCAACAATGGTCACGTCACTGCCCTCCTGCATCACGTCTGCCTTGCCAATGGGCAACTCATAGTCCTCGGTGGGCACGTACTCGGCGGATGCTCGGTACAGGATTTTGGGCTCCATGAAGATGATGGGGTCCTTGGATCGAATGGAAGCCAGCAGCAGACCCTTGGCCTGGAAGGGCGAACGGGGCATGACCACCTTGATGCCTGGAGAGTGGCTGAAAAAGGCCTCTCCGGACTGAGAGTGGTACATGGCGCCATGGCCAACTACTCCACAGGGCATTCGGATGGTGAGTCCTCCGGCGTCAAAGTTGGACGACGACCGAGCACGGTACTTGGCAGCCTCGTTGACAATCTGGTCAAATGCGGGGAACACGTAATCTGCAAACTGGACCTCAGCGATCGCTGTGGATCCATAGGCAGCGTATCCAATACCGAATCCCACGAGTCCCTGTTCGGTCAAGGGGGTATTGAAGACCCGGTCTGCTCCAAATCGCTCCTGGAGATCCATGGAGCACCGGAACACGCCTCCAAAGGCCACGTCTTCTCCAAACAGCACGGCAGTTTCGTCTGTCTCCAGCGCCGTTTTCAGAGCGTCGTTCACACTCTGGTACAGGTTGAGCTGCTTGGCCTGGCCCTCGGCCGCAGCTGTGCCTGCCAGTTCTGGATGAGACAGGGCGGCGTTGGCGGAGTTGAGCAGAAAGGGGGCTTCAGAGAGGTTCACCAGGTTGGGGGAGTCGTGAGAGGCCACCAGGGAGGAGTAGCCACGAAGAGGTGACACGGTCTTTGTCAGCGAGGGCAACGACGCTTTCACGCCACCCCTCAAAACAGGTCGCAGTCTTGTAAGCATATTTTGCAAGCCTGTGTGAATGTGAATGTGATGTATCGTACAAGTATCGTACTGTAGTTGTGACTTTGCCTAATGGATGGGCGTTAGGTACAAGTATGTCTTCTGAACCGGGCTTCTGTTTGTGTCGTACTTCTGCCTGTGTGTCTGCGAAATGTCGCTTTTCTCTCTTTAAGTCAGGACTTCGCTCCTTTGTGACTGAGATGAAGAGTGGTGATGAGATGAGTGAGTGGCTACTCCGAGACACTCAAGCTATATACATTTAGCTATATATGGCCCGGCTCTGGAAGGACGGTTATCGACTGGCGCGGTGGAAAGCTTAAATGGTAAGGTTTCTGTTTTTTGTGGGGTTACGTGCAACTCAACGGACAGAGGTCGGGACAGGGACGGGGGGAGGGCGGACTCGACGGCTATAGGAGGTTATGGAACGACCCAAACAGCCCCAAAATGCATTGGGCGACCGCGGGAGGATCTATAGTCACGTGATCCCGACCAGTTGCTCCCTCCTACTGCCATTTTATAGGTTTTGTAGACCCCGTCTTTGGTCGTCTCATACTGTGCTGCTGCTCCAAAGTCTAAATTCTGCCCAAAAAAAAGGCATTCGAAATGCCCATACTGCATGGTCGAGAGCTGGAGATGGTTGATGTAATATTGAATTGATTGAATTTCTGAAGAGAGAATTGTGGTAGAAATAACTAGAGGAGTAGAATGGTGTAAAAATTATCAAGATCGGATGATTATTGGGGGAGTTGGTTGGAGTGAGCTCAGGTGTATAGGGTAGTCGGTAGAGGTGGTTTGAAGGACCCGAAGTCGAAAAGGGCGGTATGAAGATGGTTTGAAGATCCTCAAGTCAGATGCAAGAAGTTTTTGGTGGTATTTAGTTTACTTGGGCAATACTCGATTACTTTTCAATACGCTGAGAGGCACAGTCGGCTACTGTATGTACAGTACTAGTAGCATGTACCATACATGTACCATTGAGTGGTAGATGTACTAACATGCGTCCAGACCAACAATATTGAGGGTATAAAGAGGTATGTTCGATCTTTCTGTTAGGTGTTTGAAAGATACTGTGAATGAACCGTTGTAGTAGTTATTCTTACTATAGGACTCTTCCAATTGTACGAGTCCAACTGAGAGCACGACTTACAGTATTTACTCCGACAACATCTACAGTATGTACTGTACGTACTGTATTCAACTACAGTGTGTTTGGTAACAGCTGGGGGGAAACATCAATTGATGATGCGCGAGTGTGATTATAACGGACAATAATGAAACACTTTCTGTAAACAACAGCTTCTGATTCTCGGCTCGAAACAGAACACGTTCTGTAAACAACACTTCTGATACTCGGCTCTCCTTCTTACTCTACGAAGTATTTTGATGCTGTTCTCGAACTGTTGAAACCCCGAATATGAACATGCTGAGTGATATATTTGCAAGATGAGGTATCAGATTATGGAAGACATGATGAATACCCACAATGACTATTGCCACGGCTCTGTTGGTGCTCTTCAGAGTGCTGCCGGAGTTAGCTCCCACAGATGAGACTAACTCCGAGCATGTGAGAAATCAACGCCAGCAGTTGCGTGGTCTGTCAGTTGAGAAGATGACGTTATAAGTAAACTTCCATCCGTCTGCGTACGCTGACACTTGCCGAATATCTCTACAGTGCCGAATATATCTTGTTCTACGTTCTTGAAACTTCATAAAGTGCCTAGATGACATTTGACCCGATCCACTAACATGGTCAGTATCTAGAGAATTGTCGAGAAAGCCAACTAATAACTCAACTATGATTGCATATCTAAGGAGGACTATAATGTCGACAACAGGGGATATTTCTGCTACAAAAACTTGGATCTAAGAGAAGTCCGTCTTTTTCAAACCTATAGCTATCGATAAGTATACCCACCATCATTCTACTATTGTTATACTAATAGTATCTCCGCAGCGGACATAACAATTCTCCATGGACATTTTTCTTCAACTAACACTTCGACTAATTTGATAGTATAGTGCAGGTTTGAAACAAGAGTCCGGAAACAGACCATCACTGATCACGCGCATGTACACTAATCATCTGCCTTACACATGGAGCTGCTGTAGGTACGATGATGTAGTCATAGTACACACAGTACATACCAGTACTTGTACTTGATGTGGTTGTACTGTAGTCAGAAAGACGGCGCTTTAACTCCAACTTTGAGCAGCAAACATGCACCGACGAGTTGATGAGAGTGGGCGGAGACGGTCGTGATATATAGATAAACCTCTCGTGAAACCGCTCTCTCTCCAAACGCCACAAAACGGCTCTTTCTATCTACAAAACTGCTCCTTCTATCTGCCCACTATTCCACCACTCCCTTCCTGACCTCCCTCTTCGAGATCGTTAAAATTGCTTTAGCGAAATTTTCCCTTTTTTTCCCGTATAATGCCAACCTTATTTAGCGTCTGCACATTCAGTCATCGCAGCTGGAATCTGTCTCTCCACAACCACAGACACGCACACGACGACTCGATATGGACGCCGTGTACACCGCAGTACAACCTCCAATTCATGGCCTAGACTCATCAGCCCTCAGCGGCATTATGGGGTGAGTTAGAGAGGGGAAATCGACCGACCTGGTGTCTTTAGAACTGCTATCATACTAACACAGATGCATTTCCATCGCCTGCTGGATCATTGTTTTCACGCCCCAGATTTATGAGAATGTGAGTATCGGAGATACCGGGAGTGATGCAGACAGAGTGGCAGGGGGATATCAACGAATGGGGTTATTTCGATACGCCGACAAGTTACTTTGCAATAGCTGATATCCAAGATCCGTGGAGTGATTATGGTATGAATCACGAGAAAAGTGACGTTGACTTATGAGCTCCAGTTGCAAGATTTCAGTTTCGGACTTTTGCGGACTTGGATAGAAACCGGTACCAGATGTGACGCTGTTGTCAGTCATCCCCTAACCTGTAGACCTGCTTCCACCATGACCACAAGCAGTCGTTGTCGTTCCCACTAACCTAGTTCAAACGACAATCGTCAGAAGGACTGTCTCTCTCCTTCGTCGTCATCTGGCTCATTGGAGACATCTTCAATGTGCTCGGAGCCATCCTCCAAAAGATCATCCCCACCATGATCATCCTCGCCATCTACTACACCCTGGCCGACATTCTGCTGCTCTTGCAATGTCTGGTGTACACACACAGAAACAAGATGGTTGATCTCAAGCACCTGTCTCCCGCCACACCTCTTCTTGAGGCCGATCCCAGCCACGATGCCGAGCCCCGTCCTGCTCCCGTGACCGAACCCGTGCCGCGAGCCAAGGTCATCTTCTACCGTCTGCTGATGGTGGCCACCGTCATCGCTGCCGGCATTCTGGGCTACGTCTTCTCGTCCAACAACCACAAGGACGGTAAGCCCGAGAAGCCCCACGACGATCCTTTGGAGATGAACATGCTGGGTCAGTTTTTCGGCTGGCTATGTGCTGCCTTCTACCTGGGCTCTCGGGTGCCTCAGATTGTGCTCAACTACGAGCGAAAGTCGTGCGAGGGTATCTCCTTCATGTTCTTCCTGTTTGCCTGTCTCGGCAACCTCACTGCTGTGGCTTCCATTTTGCTCAAAGATACCAGCCGGCAGTATCTCATCATCAACGCCTCGTGGCTGCTTGGAGCCATTGGCACTCTGTTCCTTGACTTTGTCATTTTCTGTCAGTTTTGGATTTACGGAGAGTAGAAGGAAGGGACTGCTACTAGTAAAACGGTTAGAGGTAGAAAATGTATTATATTGTATGGCCATCGTAAAGGACAAACGAGCAGCAGTCTCAGCTCAAATGGATGCACCAGATGGATGAATCAGCTGGATGTAAGGGACATCGATTATAACCATCACAGATGAACGAGTCCAAGAGAGAAAGGCCCCCGGACGTTTTACTGAGATACATTACGTGATACAATATCATGATCATGCACCTATGTACGGCGACCAGTACTCTACAGGACACATTCCATTTTCCAAACCATCTATGCTATCTTACAATTACTTACTGATCGACAATCAACTCGTCGCATCCCCAGTCTTCGAAGGAGCCGTCGGGCAGGTACCTTCGAATCACCAGAGGAATCTTCTTCTGCTGCAGCTCCTTCATGGCGATCTGCAGAGGGTCCGTGGCGTTCTCAATGTCCACGAGAATGGGCGCGTTCATGGAGATTTGCAGCGCTCGTGTACCCAGCACTCGGGCCCGCTCGTACTTGGTCATGTATGGGGTGGTAGTTCGCTCTTCTCGAGGGATGGCCAGTTCTCGGACCGTCTTTCGTCGCACAGCCTTTTCAAAGTTCTCCACGCCCTCTCCGTTGACGATCTGACGTCCGTCCTCGGCCACGTCCGTCTTCACCTCCTCGCCGTTCTCCTCCACATCCGAAACGTGCTCCTCAAACTCCTCCTCGTAGGCGTTTTCAAAGTTGTCGTTGAATCTGTGTTAGTCTGGGCGCTGGGTGCTGGGCCATGTTGTGGACGTAATCGGACGACGCGAGTCACGTGTTCGTCCCCATAAAACGCACGTGATCCCTCCTGGCGCTCCTTACCCCTACTCACGCTTCCTCGTCTCCACCGTAATCAGACATGATGATCAAGTGTGGTACTGAAATGTGGTGATGATGGTTTTTCCACGCAAGGTTTGATGTACTCCCAGTCAAAAAAAAAAAACAATCAAAGTTCAATATGACTAAGCTGCAATGGAGGAGGAGCCAGAAGTATTTGGCCCGGGGAGGCGGGGACCGCCGAAGAGAAACAGTCTCGCGACTTCAGAGATGTGGGTTGTTGGCACCTTGTGTGTTCCGGATGAACGTTCTGTCGTCTTGTTTTTTGATTACTTACTGCGCGAGGTTTGGATTATGGGAAAGATTACTTGGAGATTTGTTAAGATCAAAAGTCAGCTGGAGGTTCAAATACAATGTTACAGTAATGGTAGATGCTTAGTATTTATTCCATTTGAATTATACAGCTTTGAGAAGTGTTAATATGAATTAAAATGACTCTCTTGCAATACAAAAAAAGTTGATATGTTGATGCTGGTTTGTGGGAAAGACATTGATACTTTGTTAGAACTTTAGTTGAAACATCTAGGAGTATCTGAGCAGGTTACGACTGCAAGTACAGTACAGTATGTACTCGTGCTTGTTGGTTGTATGTTAGTAACTGATATACAACCAATACAGACGATTTAAATATGCTCACTATGTCTGAGATGATGATGATATCTGATCACGTAATGTGTTGACAATCTGTTCTTCTCTCCCTTCATAACCTGCCAGCGTAACAAGAGGGTTGATCTGAACGGCGTTGAGAATTGCATATCCGAAATTCCAGCAGTCAAACCAACCTAACCGGGTCTGAATAATCTGTTCCCGTCTTTTGTTACCTTGTATCTCAACTATTCACGATTTCACCTCGGTGTCCAACCAGTTTCGGGTAGAAACACACCTGTGAGCCACTCTACTCGTCCCAGGTACCCCATGTTTTGGATATTAATACTACCATGTGAATCAGGGTGATCTCCTCACTTGCTTGGTGTAGTTATCCTCCCTCATTGTCACATACAATGCTGTGTTGCGAGCTACTGCCCGTTTCAATATGAGGGACTGTGACTGCGTATACATTTTGATGATATGACTGTACACGGAGAGGTTATCAGAGTACAGTATGTACTAGTACCGATACTTGTAGATTATCAGAGTATCAGTACTGATACTTGTAGAATTTTTCACTTCTACTGTCACACAATGTCGTGTAGTTGTTGCATCTAAGTGCTATCCACGATAACGAAATCTCGTGAAAATTGTATATAGCAGGTGGAGTTTTCGGGAATAATTCCATTTGTCTCTCTCTGATAGTCCACAAACCCACTTTTCATCCTTGCGGCATCTCTATATCACCAGAATCTTCATCATCAGCCTACTGTCTTCCAACTAACGCCCAAGTAATCAACAGGCTCCGCAACCACCACCCAATCCGCTATGAGACCTTGTAATGACTCGTAGGACATATGATAGGCCCCGGTGGCTCACTCTGGGCCCACTTGCGTCTCCTGCAGGCATTCATGTCATTCGTATTTGGTTTGCACAGACGCTGTCAAATGTATGCTACAGGATACAGGATGTAAGGTGGCGAGCGGAGTGCGAGAGAGAGCGTGAGGGTGTTACAATGGCAACTAGAAAGGCATGGCTTGTGGCAAATCCAGTGGACTTTCCTTTTTATGAACGCTCTGATTGGCTAGTTAAAGACACAGGGCGTACATTTTACCCACTTCGCCGCTACCGGTAGTGCTCGCCAACTCCATTACCGTTTCACAACAGTAGGTACAGTACCAGCGGCATGGTCACTGCTCCCGTACACCACCCTGACCCAGCTAAATATATTTTTCGACAGATGCATGTCTTATGTACCGTGACGCAAAGTGATTTTGAGGAATTCCGGGAGTAGGGGGACATGGAGGGATCATTTTGGTCACGTGAAATTGTTTCAAATGTCTCAATTTGGTCACAGCTCCATTTTCAGACTCGTTGGTGGCGATTCGGCTCTTCTGGAACGTACCTTGGGCCATCCAAAAAAAACGAGGTACCGTTGGGAAAAATGAAAGTTAACGCCTTTATTTTTTTCTTGCTTGGGGGGGGAAGGATGAGTGTCCACGAGGAAGACGATAGAAGCTATGCGAAAGATGTATTTGTATCGCAGTAAATAGCGGCTCAAATCTGAATAATCTGCACTTTTCAAAATTTGAATGTATCCCCCAGAGCGTTATCTACAGGACCCTCTACCCCCACTCAGCCAAATAAAGTTTTGATACAGGATTTTTTTCTTCCCCCTACATATATAGCGATCCACCTCTTGTTCTCTCGAGAGTCAGCTCTAAGAGCATGTTTCACGAAGCAGAATTGTCGGATACTCCAGATGGCATCACGCACTATGACCTTCCGTCCCGGCCAACGTCCGCGGCGTCTTCGGCGTCGTCGCCGGTGTCCTCCGAGTGGATTGAGGTGAAGGACGCCCATGGCAACCCCAAACGAGTGCCAGAACGCAAGGGTCTGTTTTTCCCGACCCGTGGAGAGACGTACGGCGATGCGTGGAACGGCAATGTGCCCAAGGAAAAAACCACCGTCAAACGGACCCTGGCTCACGTCTGCCCCGAAGAGGGCTGTGACAAGGCATACAGCCGGCCATCGCTCCTAAAACAACATCTACGGTCCCATTACAACGAGCGGTGCTTTGTGTGCACTTATGAGGGCTGTGGCAAGGGCTTCTTCCGCCGCTCGCATCTCAAAGCCCACACAAACAGTCACACGGTGGCCAAACGATACCACTGCTCGTTTTGCGCCAAGGGGTTCAACACGCGCCAGCACCTGCTGCGTCATGAGGTGACCCACAAGTCGATAAAACACTGCCCACACCAAGACTGCTCCAAGCAGTGTCGCACCGAGGTGCAGCTGCTGGAGCACTGTGTGGCCGACCACGCCACCTGGAAGCACCAGTGTACCTATCCCGAATGTGGACGCGCTATTGGCTCCGAAAGACAGATGCAATACCACTGGGAACGGGACCACAACCAAACGCCGCAGTACAAGTGTCCGCATGACGAGTGCGAAGAGGTGGCCTCACAGTGGATCAAGCTGCAGAAGCATGTTTCAAAGGCGCACAACCGGTGGCTGTGTCACCATTGCGAAGGCATCTTTGACGACGTGCAGTCCATGTACGAGCATGAGAAGAGCGTGCACGGTCTGTCTGTTCTCTACAGAGGCGGCCACCGGACTCCAGGCTACGTGCGGCAACTCTGGACGTGCCCTGAAGAGTCATGTGGTCACCAATCCTTCGACAAGGACCTGTATGCCAAACACTACGTGTCGCACAACAAGGCCCCTGTTCGCGACATGTTTGAGTCGGTGGCTGAGTACGACATTACACCCGAGATCATTCCGTACTTTGAAAAGCCCGAAAAGCTGACGCGAAAAGGCCGTTCAGAGCGAACGAGTCTGGAGGGCAAGTCTGGGGAAGAGGAGTACCAGTTGCCTAGCGAACGCCCAGCCAAACGACAACGGCGAGAGGTCTCCAAACCCACAAACACCGCTGCCAGCATCGTCGACAAAATCACCGGAGCCGGCTACTCGGACTCTCGAACCATCCCTTGCGTGGTCGAGACTTGTATGCATCGGTTCAACCGTAAGTACGATCTCGACCGCCACGTTGCTGCCAACCATGCCACCAACTGCGCCGTTTGTCCGTTTGGATCTCACATTCTCACCGAGGTCCGAGACCACATGAGCGACGAACACCGCACCGAGTGGCCGGCAGAGTGCTACCAGGCCTCCCCAGACGCCCACATCAAAATCCATCTTGCATACCTTCGTGGAGAGACGCCTGAGGTTGAACCTGTTAACACTACCTCTCAGAACATGTACAAAAACCTGCATTATCCTACTCCTGGACTGCGCAGAAACGCCCCCCGAGGACAGTCCAACTCCTCGTACAATAGCCCACTGCACAGCCCCATCATTCAGGTGCCGCAGCGTGCACACTCCGAGAGCCCTATGCACATGTATGGCAACTCATACCAACCCATCCAACACACCAGCCCTATCAGTGTGACTTCATACCCTACCCAGACTCCCACTCCGGGATCCATCGGGTCTCCTGCTCCACTACAGCAGCTCAATGAGGCTGTGGAGTACGCTCCATTTGATTCGTTGCCGCTCAGTGCCATGTCCTCGGCCTACGTGTCGCCTGCCCTGTCTCATTCGATTCTGGCTGGCGGACATGATATGGAGTACTCGTCCAATGAAGAGGTCAACTTTACCAAGGACTCTATTGACCCGGAGTTGTTCCGACAGTAGGGGGGAAAGCATCAGAAAAAGAACGTTAGCATACATAGATCAATAGCATATCATTTATAATGGGAGCGGTAGGGAGCGGTCGTGACTAGGTGTATACTGAAAGGATCAATATCAAAACTATCACCTTGTGGTCAAGTACAGACCCACAAAGTTGCTAACAAACGGTACTTGTTAAAAAATCTTGAATCTTCGACAGAAGAGAATATTATTAGTACAAAAAAAGATATTTTCTGAATTCTGTTACATCAGCTACAGAACCAACCCTCTCTCAAACCTCCACCTTTTTTTAGAGCCCCAAAATGAACCAACTCCCATAAAGAGCCAACAAGCGAACTAAACAAGGATACACCCAAATGGTGAACAGATGTTAGAATAAATGAAAAAGAGATACACCACAGGCAGATATCAAGTTGATCAAAAAGAGTGCAGTAATTCAGTTCCCTTCTAGTATCCGTATCATCCCTCTGCATTGTATGTACTATCTGCTGTACGTTATGCGCTGATGAACTGTCTACACCACACTCGTATTTTTTCTCTCCATTACTGTAATAAATATAAATACCAATACCTGGCTGCATGCTGCATCTCTGGCGCTAGCTAGGTGTCAGCCTCGGCTTCCCCCCTAGGATTCAGCGCCTTGCCAGTTCTTATCCTCCTCCTTGACCAACACCCCCATGGTCGCTTCGAACTCGTCGGACAGACCCTTGGCCTGAAGGAATGCCTGCAGACGATCGGCTTTGGTGGTCACCTCGACCAGCTCCGTCTTGAGTTTGCGAATGTAGTCAATGGCGTTCTCGACGGTGTTGGCCTTAGATGTAGACGCCGACTCGGGCACAAGCAACTTTCCGAGATCGGCAAGCGCGTTGTTGATTCGGTTTCGTCGGCCTTGTTCCGCCAGCTTGTGCGAAGTGCGTTTGGAGGCAATGTTCACACTCAGATGCTCAGGATATTGGAGTCCCAGAGCGTTGTGCTTGCCCTCAACAATGTTCTGATAGTTGGACTTTGTCGCCAGAAGCGTCTGGTAGTCCAGGGACGAGCCCTCGGACATCATGGGCTTGATTTGAGGAGAGATCTTGGGCATGAGTGCTGGCGAGGCAGACACGGAAGAGGATCGTCGCGAAGGAGGCTGGGGCGCAATCTTACTGCTACCAGGGCCGTTTCCTCCACTGCTGCTGCCTCCATTGCTGCTACCACTGATGCTGCCCTTCTTGCCACTATGCTGCTGCTGTTGTTTCTTGGCAGCAATCTGAGGTGTCGACGAGACACTACTGATGTTTGTGTTTGGCGAGATGTTGGCGTCGCTCATGAGAGGAGTGGCACCGGTGGACGCCAGTGAAACAGACGACCGCGAAGAAGTCAGGTTACGAGTCACTCGGATGGCGTCCTCCAGCGCGCTGTTGGCGTCCTTCATATCAATGTCCTCGTTCTGGCCCTTAGGGAGGTCCATTAGAGTTGAGGGAGTGGCCGGTTTCATGTGACCCGAAGAAGACGACGACGAAACCGACGACCGGGTTTGCGGAGGTGGCATGACAATGTCCGGCAACGACTCGGGTGAAATGCTGTCTGAGGACCACGAGTCTTTGTTTCCGGAAGCAGACACCAAAGGGTTCACCAATGGAGAACCTCCCACGGAGTTGGGGCCTGAAAGAGATCCTGCCCGGGCACTTGCTCGACCGGTGGGTCGGGTCATCGGCGACATTTTGGCCACCCGGCCAGCCACGGATGATGCTCCAGATTGAGGACCCATCACGGGGGTGCCTCCGACTGGAGTGGCTCTTCCGGACCGAGCCTTTCCTCCTCGAGGAGCAGCAGCTCGTCCGGCCACAGAGTTTCTTTTTCGCGTTGCCGAAGAGGGTGCAGATGCCGATCCGCCCTTCTTATCGTCATACTGCTGTTGCTGCTGCTGCATCATGACACCAGGGTGTCCATCTGAGGGCTCCAGGGACAGGAAGGCATTCGGCATGGCGAAATTGAGCGAGTGGCCACTCATGGGAGGATCAAAGGACGATACTGCTGGGGATACCAGCGGCGTGAAAGATCCATCGTCGTAGACGTTGGCCAGGTTCTGGTTCTGGGGGTCCATGGGCTCCGACAGCGGCGAGTGGAAGATCTCGTTAGGGGTGATTCCAGGTACCTTCATTTCAAACGGGTATCTCGCATTGTTTCCGTTGGAGCCGTTGTTTCCCCCATTACCACTGTACTTTTGTGGCGGCTGGCCTGGAGGAGTCAGGTTTGCTGGCGACCGGTGGGTCTGGGGCTTGGCCTGTGACGGCAGTGTGGTTGTTGGGCTAACGTGGGAGTTATGGGTGGTGGTTGCGGCCGGCGAGTTGCGGTCATCGTCGATAAAGTCGTTCCAGAAGGAGTAGTCTTCAAACCGGCCGCCGTTGTGGGGATTGTTGTGTTGCCCGGTCCCGTTGTGATGTGATTGGTGTTGGTTTTGGTGTTGTGGGTGGCCCTGTTGCTGATGTTGATGATGCTGCTGCTGCTGCTGCTGACCTTGGCCCTGGGTCTGGCCCTGCTGTTGGTTTTGTGTTTGCTGTCCCTTCTGGAAAGCCATGTCGTCGTAGTTCATCTTGGGGGTTCCTACCAGGGACATGGAGTGCACGGAGGGCGACGAGGGCGACACCGAGTTCGGGTAACTGTGGGTCTGGCGTTTGAGGGCCGCCGAGGCGTCGCCGAGCTGGTGATGGTCGGGGCTGTTGGTGTGCAGGTTGAGAAACGAGTTCATTTCCGCCATCTGGTTGGCGTAATCGGGGTGTTCCAATTCGGACATGTTGAGAGACGGCGTAGGAGAAGACTGGACGTCGTTGGGAGGGAACTTCGTGTGAGTCTGTGTCTGTGTCGTTTGCGTCTGTGTCGTTTGCGTCTGTGTCGTTTGCGTCTGTGTCGTTTGTGTCTGTGTCGTTGTGTTTCACTGCAACTGGTGCTGTATTGGTCTCGTCAATACAATATCGTTTACACTGTGACTAGGTTTGAGGGCGTAGTGGCAGGACTGAGAACGGTGCGCGTTAGCTTGTGGAGGGCGACAGTGATGAGGGCGAGGGGCCGATTTGGGGGCGAGAAAAGACGAGGATGAATCAGTCGGTCGCGTGTAGATGAAGAAAGCCGAGCTGCACTCCGCTGCAAACACTTTTGAATTGAAAGATACTTCTGGGGGAGGACAAGCGAAAAAGCGAAAGCCAGAGTTTGGCGTTCCAGGAAGCGAAACAAAGGGGAGGGGGGTAGAGATATAGACGATGTGAAAAAAGAGAAATGAAATGGTAAATTGAGAAGAGTAAAAGAAGGAAGAAAAAAATGATGATGAAAAAAAAAAAAAAAAACCACCAAACCAGTAGTACGACCAAAACAGGCGCAAAAACAGAAAACAAGGAGAAAAGCCGCGACGGACCACCTGCGCATACCCATTAGTGGAGTCTTGTCTGGTGTCTTTGCACGTCGAACATACTGCCGTTGCACAGCCTTGACTTTGCGCTTCCCACTCTTTTTTGCCTCTTTGAACCCAAGCGCTGCATTAGCTTCACCATCTATCATTGACCCCAAAACGCAAAGCGGAGCGTCCCAAACGAGCCGAAGGCTGAAGGGCGCAAGGGAAGGACAGATGGAGCATGGAGATGGAACATGGAGATGGAACATGACGATGGAACCTCTCTCTCTCTCGTATAAGTTGGTAGTGTGACCAAAACGAGCAAAAACCGGGGACATGACGGGATGATGCTGCATACGACTTGTCGCACCGGCATCGCTACCAGTAATAGCGAAGCTCTCTCAAGCTCTTGATATAGGGGTCCTGCTAGGTACCGTTGCTTGGCTCATTGGTAGGCACTATAGAAGCGCCGTTTGAGCGTTTGAGCGTTTGGCGTTCGAGCGCTTGGCTTGTGAACGTTTGGGCAAAGAGCGTCCCATGGTGCGTTAGAGCCGTGTATTGGCTATAGATGGTACCGAGAGTGGACTGAGGGAGAGTGGATACGGGTCTTGATGGGGTGGAGCTGAAAGCAACGCTGTGACCACTGGTCGCGTGACTGTCGAGATAGGCATGGCGAGATTTGACATGACCCGGAACTCGATTGCGAGCCCAATGACACCTCCAGCAGAAGTGAGGCCATAGGACAGAAATACTGTACACACCATCCCTGACTCGTAGTCATCTCTTGTCACTCGCTTAGACTCGCGCTGCAGCATGCCAGGCAATGTTGGCCGGGTCTAGGTTTGCAGGACTATGGAGCTGTAGAATGAGAGCTTGAGTCGACGGCTCGACGAGGTTAGCGAAATGGAGCTAAGGCAGGTGAGCGATAGATCGGATTGCGGACCTAAGTGTCAGAGCATACGCTACTGCATGCGTGTCAGAATCGCCCGACTTTTCCGATCGGTCTTTTTTGGCGGTCTTTTTTTGGCGGTCCTTTTTCGACGGTCCTTTGTTTCGCAGTCTCTCGTCAATCTCGTCAATCTAAAACACCTCACAAGACCCCGGTCAAACACAGTCGGGAGCTGTACAAGTGCAAGTACGTTGTATCGTACAAGTACAGTACTTGCAGACGGCTTGGCGGTTACGTACCTATTCTGGAGTAGCAACCGGCTTCGTCGGTTGGTTGGTCCAATACAGCTGTACATATGTTTGCACATGTCGGCTAAGAACGGCTCAAAGGAGCTGTGCTTCTCGCTAAATCGCCGCTGTACGATATGCGCTGCCGCTGGAACCGACTCTACTGTGCGTATCGGTGCCAGTATCGACAGTACAGGCCAAAGTCATTGTCTATCGTCCGTCTACTGCCTACTAGCGAAAGTTTCTTGTCACTCCGGGACAGACAGGTTATTTGTTCGCTCTCGCTTATTAACCAAGACTTGGCAGAGACATAGGTCCGGAGAAAGAGCTCCCCACCGCCGCTTTGCCGCCACCCAAACGCCCCCTCCACTCTCCAGGGCCTGCCCTAAAGACGCACACTGAGGCGCTCCCGCCACACGGCCCCAGCAGCACAGAAGCAGGAACGTGAGTCACAGCCAATCACAGCGTGCAGCAGCGACATGTGTCTTGCACCCCTAGAGTAGTAGACCCAGACCCTCCGGTCTAGGTTTGCCAAACGCTAACCTACAGTAGAGTGGATATAGTGGATGTTGCAGCAGGAGTTGGCCGACGTGATGACAACAAGAAAAACAAGTGAGTGACAGACCGAGACGGCAGTTTGCGTGATGGCCGAGGCTGCCTACCAAAAACTATCCCCCAAAACATACCCCGCTCCAGACTTGACACAAGCGACCTACTATACCACCAAGACACACCAAGCCAAGCCAGTGTACGCTTCTTGATGATAACCTTCACCGGCTCATCTTTATCCTCGCTACATCCAATCCAACCCCGGCTGTTTGCACCGTCTCTGGAAATAGCCGGAGAACAAAGAGCCCCATTATCAACTGTTGGCTGACATGTACTCGTGCAACCACGAGCCCGAGTCTACACCGGCAGATCACCTGTTCGTATTCACCGCCTACAGCCCAGACGCACCGTATACGGTCTTGAAGACGCTCTTCACAAAACACCAACTGCTCACCGCGTTTCCACCCGCCCCCCCCTAAAATCTCCGAGTATATCTCCGAAATCAAAACATTGCTGGATTCTTTTGAAAACTCACAGAGGTCTACTCTCCAGCCGGAATTATACACTCGGTAGTTCATTCACACCGTTGGACTAATGCACCCCCATCCGTTTTAGCACGGCAGACTTTGCTTAGCAAGGATTAGTGGTCTGAAGACTTCGCACACTTGAAACTCACCCTTCCCCATGCTCTGTCAATCACTCCCCGAACCCATTGCCCTATAACTCAACTTGCTATGGCGGTCACAAGACCACGGAGCTCGGAGAAAACAAACCCACAGGCTTCCAAAGCCTATAGAAGACCCCAAGAAGATCACCTACAAGTGCAAGTACTGTAGTCCGTTCCAGCAACTCCTGAAGAAGAACTGCATCGAACGCACGCTATTAAACTGCTCATAACGTACGATTCTGAGAAAATCTCTTGTGCCTCATCATTGTTCGCGCACCCTGCAGAGCACTAAACATCATACGGCGGGAGCCCGTAGTTTTTCCGCGATAGTTTACAGGCTCTGCAACTACTGCAATTACCGTGCATCATTTACAATTCTCTCCCCTTGTTCTGACTGTCTAATTTGCTTGCTATCCAACATTTATGTCATGAGCGCGCCTCCGATCTGGCTTTGTTTTCTTACCGCACTCTTATCTCTCATGTCGCAACTGTGGTTGTAGTTACATTTTTGCTCATCGAGATAAGCCTTGATATAGCTACAAGTACAACACTTTGACGTTATCGTCAGTATTCAACCTATATACCCTTTCCCTAATCATTTACCTGATCCTCCACCTCTTCCTCCTACGACATGCTAACCCAGGCAACGGCATATCCATACACGCCGTCGGCCATCTGAATGATATGATACGAAATGTGATCTCCAAGAGATGCAAGAGATAGCACTCTGGTAGGGAAAGTGTGCACGGGAGAAACCACTCCCCGTGAAACCGCAGGCCCCTTACCGCCTCGTCGGGCCTTCAAAATAGCTGCAAGAATAGCAAACAGCACCATATCAATACCCACATGCACACCTATTGCCCGCAAGAGCAACAGGACTCGCCGCCTCCAGTTTCGGCGCGGTTCGGACGGATCCGCTGGCCGGTACTGCTTCGCCATGTCTGCCATCTCCTCGTTGATGGTTCGCAGAGCCCAGGCCATGTCGCTCTTGAACCTGTCCGACGGAATCGGAGGAGTATGCTGCTGATGCTGATGTTGGCTCTGGCTCTGGACCAGATTGCTCTGTGGATGCGGCGCAATGGCAGTATGGTGTGATCGCGAGTTGCCTGAGCCATGCGTCAGGTTGGACCCCTGCTGTGCTCGGCTTGATCCGCCCACCCCACTACCATGGGCGCCACCTCCACTGCCATGGCTCACGTGACTGGGAGAAGTGCCAACTTCGGCCCGTCCCAGAGCCGATCGAGAGGGATACTCGACAGCGTCCTCGTAAAGCTCCTCCTCGGCGCCCTCAGAGTCCGACGCGACGTCCTTGATCTGATCCCACATGTACTCCAGCTCCGCCAGCAGCTCGCGCCCCTCGTGAGTATCTGAGGCGTACGTGTTCATCAGGGAGATGAGGAACGACACGTATCTGCGCTTGGCTTCGGTCTTGGACAGCCCCTGCTGCTGTTTCCAGGCGTCCCACTTCTTCTGGCCAGCCACATCAATCTCCGAATCTCCAACCGGACGGGCCATGACACCCATCACGTCGCCCTCGGTGGCCTGCTTGTACATTCCATAGAGCTGGATGCGCGACTCGATAGGGGGGCGGGGTCGCGAGGAGTATCCTGGCCGTGAGGAGAGTGTCCGGATTGTGTTGATAGCACGGACAAATACCCGGTCTGAGTTAGTATAATGGGGGTGTTGGTGACCAGCTGTCAAAAAGACTGTATGAGAACTGCTGGGCCAGACAGGAGCGAGTGTGCACAGACCACCAACAGTCACTTCCAGCAATGTAGCAACCAATCTCGAACAGGAGTAACGAGAGCGTAGGTCCTAGCGAGTCCATTCAGCGGCAACAGACACTAGCAAGCCTTAGTGCCGCTCTAGCACACGACAGTATCTACGGCAAACGTCCGGAGCATGGTAGCAGCATGAAAGTAAGGGGCAGTTTCCTTGGACACATCCGGTCGGTGCGACAGGGTGGTACGGTCTTCTTTATATGGAATCCCTGCCACGGCCCTTGCCGTCACACCGTCCCTGTCTCTGTAATGTCTGTATCTGTCCAACTCGCCACCAAGCCGATTGAGACATTAATGTAGCTGAGCCGTGAAAATCTCACGTGTGCCAATCCGTTGGGGCTGTTTGTGTGCGTAGTTGGTTGCCTGTTGGACGGCTCCTCTTGGTGTTCTTCTGCTTGTGTCTGCCCGTCTCTGTGATCTCGGACCCCACACCTCGCACTACTGACACGAGTACTGGTGACACAAGCAGGTCCATTTCCGCGGTTCAGTTGTTGCCACGTGTCCTCTCCCGTCGTTCCCCTACTCACCAATGGAGTCACTCATGTCGTGTGTAATGCTGAGAGAAGATGTGATCTCGAAATCGAAATCTCAAACGCTATGTGTGATGGAGATGTGATGTGATGTGTGATGTCATATGTATGTAGGCTGCAGGTTATTGTGGAGAGCACAACTGGGAAATGCCACCACGTCAACCAGAGGGTTAGGGCCGGGTTGTGGACACGGAGAAGATTGAAATATGTAGCCGCGGCCCATTGACATTAATTGGCAGTATCTATCGCCTTCCCCATACAGCCACAGCTCTCCAAAGTGCTCTTGCTTGCCATTTCTCTTTTCACGTGGTGGGGTTTAGAGTTGTAGAACCGGTGGTATAATCTGGCTATGATTTCGGGTGGGGTAGGAGAACCCAGTATTAGTAGAGGAGCCGAGGTAGGTGATATTGGGGAGGTTTTTTGTCTACAGAATATTATGGACAGATTTTTCTTGGTGGCTAGAGCTGAAAATGGCCATCAAAGGTGCTACAATGTGGTTTGAGCGTCTCCTATAGACTGCCATAGTCTGCTGCTTAGTTCATTGAACTCTCCAAGTATTCCCCAAATGTTACTTGGATTCTTAATAGATTATAGTTAATATCTAAACAAACTACAGTTGATAGAGACTCATTCATCCAACCTGTATATTAATGCTATGCGTGCTTTTTTTGTCATCACCTCCCGGTGCCATTTAAACGTTCACGTGACTCCTGTATCTGTGTCCTGGACTAGTCTCCTAGTCATTCTTCCGGTGTCCTAGATCTTACCTCCAAACTTGCGAATCTCGTGTTTAGACAACTTGATTCCTCCAGCGGTGCTCTTACCAACCGAGTTGATTTTCAGACCTCGGTCTCGCTTGACAACCTTCTTCTTTCGAATGGCAAACCGGTTGTCCACCGGAGCCGTCTTAGCCAGAATAATACCGGCCTCCTGGGCATGCTCTTGCTCGGCCTTGACCTTGTTCTGGAACTTGGAGTTGACCATTTTTCGAGTCAACATTGGCATGTTCTTCTGGAGCGGGATATGTTTGCCTCCCAGACTCTCAATTCGAGACGTCAGGGTCTTAAGACGAGCCTTACCAATGGGACCATCGTCCAGGAAGGAAATATCTGCTCCAGAGAAGCTAGACTGAGCAGCCTGAGAATGCAAAATCGAAGACTCGTTGATAAGTCGTTGCAGAGCCACGTCATTCTGCAGGTCCTCCTTCTCCTCCTCCTCTTCCTCCTTGGTCTTGGGCACTCGTCTTTGAGTCTCACTGAGTAGCTTCTCCTTCTCCTCCTTCTGGACCTCAGACAACGGTGTCTTCTTGCTCATGAACCGTTTCTTCTCGGCTTTTTCGTTGAAGTCCCTCGTAGAACGGTCGCTTCCAGTGAACCGGACAATCACAGGTCCTTCTTCTTTCTTCGTTTCTTCCTCCTCCTCTTTCTCGCTCTCGGTGTCCATCTCATCGTCTGATGGCCGCTCCACATAAGTCTTGGAGAGCTCGACGAGATCCTCGTTGTCGTCAAAGTCATCATTGTTATCATCCGACTCAGACTCAGAATCTTCATCCTCTTTGTCGTCCTCCTTTAGCCCCTCAACATGTCCAAACTGGGCCTCAAATGCTAGTCTCATTTTTCTGTGGTACTCCTTCTCGGCGTCTTCCTTGGAGGTTTTTGCGGGTTTCGAGACCTTTCTGGAAGTATTTGTCGGTTTAACGGGTTTAGATTTGCTTGTTTTAGTCTTGACTGTCTTCTTGGCCTCCTCAACAGCCTCCTTTTTGGTATCTTCCTTCTTCACTTCCTTCTCCTTGGGCTTCTCCTCGAGCTTCTTCTGGGCAGGTTTAGCAGGTTGGGCTTGCTCAGCAGGCACTGGTTTCTTCGCGGGGGCCGCCTTCTTGGTCCCCTGGGCCAGATCGCCCAGATCAAACGGGTTGAATCCTCCTAGCATGATGAGTTGAGTGATGTTGCAGAGTCGAAAATAAATTTCAGGCCGTTGAAATAAATTTAATCGTGCATAAACTCAAATGGGGGGGTGAGATTAGTAAGAGAGAGGGAGAGCTGCCGAAGTGTGAGTAGGAGATGTGGAGGAAAAGGCGGGGGCTTATGTGGGGATTGGGGCGGGGCAGTTGCAAACGTCTACTTAATTGGACCAAATATCGGTACTTTTCAGACCCACGGCTCACTTTCTGACACTTACTTTCTACCCAAGTGAACTACAGTATGTACATACATACAGTTGAGTGAAGGAAGAGATTAGAGAGTTTCAACCGATAGCGGGAGTTCTGATTGTAGACAAGGAGGTGCTGAAAAAGTCAGATACAAGTACCGGTACAAGTACGTTATGTCAGTTGAACCATTGATGAATTCTGTCTCGTTTTCAACCCTCCAACTTCTCGTAAGCATCCAGTGATCATTCTAAAGGAGTTATATATTGTAGTTTCCGCACACACTCTACCTCAGTGTCTCAATCTCAGCTCTTCCTTGCCCAATGTTCATAATCTCCACCACACATAAATGACGACCAGAAGCAAAAAATGCAGTCACATGACCTGATCCACCACCCTATATATTCCTCCATAATCCCCTTTTGTCGCTTTGTCTACTCTGGCAGTCCCTACCATGCTCCTCCAACCCACCAATAAAGTTCCTGATCAGTACTATACATGAAAATGCATGATCTGTGAGAGTCATTATCTCAACTGCACCACCACAGTACTCACACCAAAACGCAGGTCCGAGCTCAGACATGACGAAATTCCGAGGCTGTATCGATATCCACTCTGGACAGGTCAAACAGATTGTCGGAGGCACTCTGACGGACTCAGACGCTGATCTCAAGACCAACTTTGTCGCTACCCAGCCTCCGGGATACTTTGCCCAGTTGTACAAGGACAACAATGTCGTGGGCACCCATGTTATCAAGCTGGGTCCTGGCTGCGACGAGGCTGCCGAGGAAGCCCTTGCTGGCTGGCCCGATCATCTTCAAATTGGAGGAGGCATCAACCACGACAATGCCGAAAAGTGGATCAAGCTGGGAGCTTCTCATGTGATTGTCACTTCTTTTCTGTTCCCCGACGCCAAGCTCGATATGAAGCGACTCACAGATCTGGAGGCCATTCTGGAGCCCTACGGCGGCAAGAAGCGCATTGTGGTGGATCTGTCGTGTCGACGAAAAGACGGCAAGTGGGTGGTGGCTATGAACCGATGGCAGACGCTCACAGACACAGAAGTCAACAAGGAGACGCTGGAGCAGCTGGCCAAGCACTGCGACGAGTTTCTGATCCACGCTGCTGACGTGGAGGGTCTCTGTAACGGCATTGATGAGGAGCTGGTAACTAAGCTGGGAGAGTGGCTTGAGGAGGGTCATTTGCCCCCTGTGACGTATGCTGGCGGCGCCAAGAACATTGATGATTTGGCCCTGGTGCAGAAACTGTCGCATGGCAAGGTGGATCTGACCTATGGAAGTGCCCTCGACGTGTTTGGGGGAGACAAGGTCAAGTTCAGTGACTGTGTCGAGTGGAATGAGAAGATGCACAAGTAGACATGGATGAGGATGAATAGATGAATAGAACGGTAGCAAAGCAAGCGTGAACTTGGAAAATGGTGGGTACTTGGTGCGGACTAACAGTGATAATGAACTATCGTGTCTGACTGTAGGAAGGCTGTGGGTGCAATCAGGCTGATCGGATGCCAGGAGTTGTGCACTTAAGTCAACAGAATGAGCCTCTCAGGTAGAACCTCTGTCAACATGGACCTCTACGGTTGATATACATTCTTCAGACTACATCTCGACACTTTGGAGTAGATGTACCGGCCGGTGCCTTGGTTTCACATTTCGCATGCATCTCGGAATGTTGATCTGTGGTCTACGGGTCACTTACATGTATCATTCATAAGATATATTCAAATAGCACAGCACACGTGTTAAAGCACATGGACACGGGCTATTATCGTGCTACTCACTCGAATCGCACTGAAATGCTTAAAGTCGAGAGTTGATGATGTCAACAAACTCGGGCTTGAGAGAAGCACCACCGACGAGGAAACCGTCGACATCAGACTTGTCCTTGAAGGTACCAGAGTTCTTGCCGTTGACGGAACCACCGTAGATGATTCGGACCTTGTCGGCCTGGGCGCCAATCTTGTCCTTGAGGTAGGCTCGGATCTCGTGGTGGATCTGCTGGGCGTCCTCGGCGGTGGCAGCGAGACCGGTACCGATGGCCCAGACGGGCTCGTAGGCAATGACCACGTTGGACCAGTCCTTGATCTTGGCGATGACGGGGTCGAGCTGGGATCGGACAACGTCCAGGGTCTTGCCAGCCTTCTTCTCGTCAATGGTCTCTCCGATACAGAGGATGACGTCGAGACCGTTGTCAAGAGCGTACTTGGTCTTGTCGGCAATCCACTCGGAGGACTCCTTGTTGATGGTTCGTCGCTCGGAGTGGCCGAGAATGACCCACTTGGCTCCAACGTCCTTGAGCTGGGCCACAGACACCTCACCGGTGAAGGCACCGTCTCCCTTGTCGAAAGAGTTCTGGCCAGCCACAGACACGGTGGGCTTCTTCAGAGACTCCTTGGCGAGCAGGAGGTAGGGGAAGGGGGGCGAGATGACCACCTCGGTCTTGGGGTCGAGCTCGGAGGCGTTGAGTCGCTCAACAATGGCCTTGATGGACTCCAGAGAGCCGTTCATCTTGAAGTTTCCGCCAACAAAAAAGGTTCGAGACTGTGTTAGTGCGTGCGCGCGCGGGGTTTTGTGTCGCTCAATTGACCGCCGGCCAATTGTCTCCTCAATCACTCACCATTTTGAATGTAGTTGTGTTGTATGTACGAGTACGAAGGAGAGTGACATTGCTTGTATATCTGACTATGTATGACGAAAGTGTCCCGAATAAGGTTACCCTATTCTATTGGTTGGGATGGAGAAACGGGTGGAAGTGTTGGGAAGCGGAGGAGATGAATACAACGCGCCCAGAAGTCGAGAATATGGCGCCGAGTCCAGGCGATATTATCGGATGCCCTAACCCGGACGCCTTTTGAGTGCGCACGGACTGTATTTCTAACCCCACCCTAGCCCTGATGGAGCACTCGTGGCGATATCAACCTCTAGCTCTACACTTAGTGCCATGGCCTGATCTGCCTATACGGGTTAAGTGAGGTAATAGAGCACTAAAAATGGAACCTAAGACAACGGCGTTGCAAGCTACTGTAATAATGGCGTCAAAAGGCGTATAGAATTTGTGGTGAGGTCATTGGGTGTGTTGTAATGAGCTGATTGTGTGATTTTGCTGAGGGGTTTCGCTGTACAGTAGGTGGTTTAGTAAGCATGTACAGTAGACTCACACTCTTTACTGTAGCAGGGGGGTTGGGGGGTGCGTAGATATCGGAGGTAATAACGCAAAAGTACCACTACCAAGACTTTTTTGTATGAATGCAGATGAATGTCATAACACCAATGGAAACACCGTCGAATTCTGCATCGAATAGTGCAATTTTGTCATATCTTGTCTTGGTCTGTGGCTCATTTCCAACATGCACTTTCTGAGTCACCTGTAAAGAAATAGTCAAGTATATTACTGTATCTGTAAACAAAAATCCCAATCAACTTACTTGGACGGGGGTAATTGATGCTGTGATAACAGGACTATACTACTACTGAAGGATATGATTTCAGCTCTTTTGTTTAGAACTCAAGTCTTCTCCATCTACTAAACTACATCTCAATGTTCTTCCATTCTTGTAACACCAGAAATGAACCCCCAGGTGACTTTTCCAGTCAACTAATTTCTAACTAAATCCAACTAATAAATATGTCGTCAAATGAGATTCGGACTGTCGCTCCCAAAAGTCTTCAGATCGGCTCCAAATCCCCACAGTCGTTTTTTACCACCATTATCAAACACTTCCATCATTATCCATACTCATAACCTGTGTATACTCGATTCTACTGCAGCTCAGGTTATACACTTCGATAATTATAAATATCACCAACGCGTAACTTAATCTACTCACACCATGCAACGACCCACAACACCATTAAGACGCTCAAATTCGCGACAATCGGACCACGAAGAGCACTATCCGATAGTGGAGTCCGTGTTGGACATGGCTATCGGCGAACAGATGGCCGAACTCGCAGACGGCATGTCAGCGCTAGACCGCAATCTCAAGGACCTCCAGGTGATCCATACCAACCTCAATAACTTCAACGAGTCGTTCTCGACACTGATTTACGGGCTCCAGATGAACGCGTGGTGCGCCGAGTTCCATAACGGACCACGTTCGTGCGATTTTGCACGCCGAAAAGAGGTGGAAGAGATGGAAGAAAGAGCTCGACGGGCACAGATGCAAGCGGAACGCGACAGAATGGCCATGCAACAGATCCAAGAGACCCCGACGCGTCTGCCGAGCGAACCATCGGACGGAGATGTCACGTACATGCGCAACGACAACTCGTTCATCATTCAGCCTCCTAGCAGTTACCAGTCTCAGCTGCCCAGTAGGATTCCCCAGTCGTCACGTGCGTCGAGGATTCGACCTCCGAACTCACTGAGACCACCAAGAGGACGGGGGTTGTATCTCAGAGGAGGGTCACGTGGTGTGACGGGAGGAAGAGGGAGCTATACGGGAGTTGGGAGGGGTAGTGGTAGGCCAGCTAGTGAGGGTACTACCAGGCGGTGGCTATGAGCAGCGAACTGATCACGCTACTTGTGGTTGATTTGACTGCTTGAAGGTCAATTGGTTATGAGTTTGAGTGTGCAGAGCACGTTCAAACAACTATGGTGGATCTATCTGGTATCAGATGTTTCTCCGCTCACAGCTCCACCTACTCCACCCACAACTCATGATTTATAGACCCAACATTAATACATTATTTATTGCTTTATAAACGGCATCCGCAGGTAGACATTAGATCATCTGTCAACTATTGTATCCTCACAGTGCTTTGCATCCCCAAAATATTGGCTTCCCGTCGTCAGATACAACATCCAAGACCACCAGTCGATTCCAGTTGGTCTTGTAAATGTCACAGTTTGGATCGTATAGTTACGATACTTCTAGTTGATACATTCCCGACTCAACCAGTATGCATTAGTTTCATGTCCACTAGCCGTAGTGAACCGCTCGCTACGCTCATTGCTTCACCGTCCAAACTCCTCTTGCAACTCCAGCGTCGTCAATATCTGCCACCACGTCCAACTTCCAACCTCTCTCGCTCAACAATGTCTCAAACTCATGAATGCCGCCTCCTACTCCGAAATACACCTTCTTGGCCGCCACCAACACATCTCCTCCATCCTCGGTAATGTTCAGCAGAGTATTGGTGAACACAGGGAGCGTATCCAACGAGTAAATGGTCTCAGATGCTAGAACAAGACTATACAGTCCGACGAGCCGCACAAACTCGGGGCTCCAAGCCCCGGCCACAAACTCGACTTCAACGCCCTTTTCCTGCAACAACTGCTCGATTCGGTCCACTAGGGCACTTGTCACATCCAGTTCTCCCTCCTGCACTCTAGTCTGACCCTCGGCGGCATCTTCGTTTGTAGTCTGCAGCGCAGACAGCTCCTCAACCGTCAGCAAGTTGCACAGGTTGAGTAGCACGTTGGGGGCAGTCACTAAGCCCAGCACAGAGTCGTTGTAGTCTGCCAGAGTGACTTTTCCCGGGTTTCCAGACTTGAGCAGTCTTTGAATCAGATAAATAGCAGGCAGTCCCTGGCCACATCCCAGCTCAATAGCCGAGCCCTGGGTCCATTGGCAACCCTCCAGCACCTTGGTCAGGTCCAGCATGCACTCCCAGGCCTTGAGACCTCCCTCGTAGGTCGCAACCTTGAGATCCTCGTTAGTGGTGCCCAGAAGCAGTTCGTCGGTGGCTGACAGGTTATCCTCGCCCATCAGCTGATGCTTGACGTCATAGAGCTCTCGGCGAAGAAGTTGTGTGTCTGCAGAGATTTGCAGAGGCTGGTAAGTGAGACGTTTTCCCATGACCCGTTCCAGCATCATTCGGAAGGAGTACTTCTTGGGCATAAAGTCTGGAGAAATGTCCATTTGCGAGTCCATGAACGCCTTGACGGCATTTGTGTCGACTTTGGGGGCGTTGATTTCACCTTCCTCGGAGAATCCGAATGAGAAGGACATGTTTTAGACAGCGTTGAATGTGTATGAAAAAAACTACAACCGTGCTGGAAATATTCCATTAAGCTCATCCTGCAGGACACCTTCAAAATGAAAAATGTGTCTGAAAGGAGATATTGGAGTATATATTTTGCAAATCTGAAAGTTGCATTTTATTCACAATAAATCACAGTCTAGATTTCACGTTTTAGCCTCGGAAAAACCACCATCCTATGGTCTCCTTGGAACCACCTCCAGATCCTCTTCAAAACCTAATTATTTATACACCTTCTCCAAACATCACCACATACAGTTCAATACGGTATACGTCACAACCACCATGCTCGACATTGACCAGTTTCTGGACGCAGAATTCGACCCTGTGGCCTACGCCAACCAGCTGGTGCTGCAGACATCGTCGTCACGTGATGAGGACATTGATCTCGACATCCCCATCAAGAAAATATCCTACGACGTACAGCATCTCGACGACCAGGTACGCACGTTATGCAGAGACAATCACAAGGAGCTGCTGTCACGTGTAGCTGATGTAAGCACCAAGGAGGACACGCTCAAGGCTCTGGAAACGCCCATGAAGGATGTCAATTCGTCATACAAAAAGTTGCAGACAGATGTTCTGGGTCCTTACTACCAAGCAGACAATCTTTACTCGGCTCTCAAACGGGTTCACCATACCACCGATCTGCTCAGATCGCTCACCTGGTACCTCTACCTGGCTGTACAACTCAACAACACATCAGATATGGCTGGATCAGCTTCTCTGATTCGAGATTTACACACCCATTCGAAAATCCATCCCGGTCTAGCATCTTTACAGATCTTCAGAGACCATCAGAAGTTACTGAAGGAGGCTGATAAGAAACTGACACTGAGATGCGTTTCTTCAATCAAGAGTGTGTCTTCAGTGTCGACTTCGGCCGAAAGAACCGCCATCTCTTCAGCTATTGTCGGTCTAGCCATCTTAGACGAACGTCAACTTGCGTCGGCCGTCCAATCAGCGCTGTCCAACTACATTTCACAGTCAATTTCTCTTCTGGCGCGCTCAGTCAACTCAGACGAGTCGCTGGAACACGCCATGCATACAATTAGTCAGCACTCTCGAGCAGTGTCGACATTGGGCACTCTGCTGTCACGTGCCGTGGTACCTGCAGAAGGAGACGACAAGTCTGCTACACCTGTCTCTGAGCTGCCTCGAATCGCGGATCTGCTTGATTCTAACCTCAACTCAAAATTCTGGCGAGATGTGGCTTCCGCTCTAAACCTGAGAATCAAGGAGAGAATCACCCGCGCCACTCCGGGACTCAAGAGTCTGCAACAGAACCATGCGAGATTGGAAACTGTGGTTGCAGAGGCTGTCAGTAGAGGTGGCGGAGGATTGACGGTAGATGGAATGGAGGCTAAGGTGATGAAGGGTGCGCTGGCGCCTCTAAAGTAGGAAGCGAACGACGGAAGGGTCGTGAGCTGACAACAACCAAGAAAAGAACGACTATAGGTCATGAATGGCACAGTCGATGGTACCAATTGAGGTCTAGCCTTCCCTCAATAAGTCAACAAGAGTTGCCTGTCTCCGCACAGCTGACAATATATTGCATTAACCAACATATACTGTAGGAGACAAACACCCGTACATACCAAAAGTGTCGTGAGCATGTTCCACTGCTACCTACAGTAAAATACCTCTCGTAGCATCCATCCTCTTAGGCCTAACCATGGTGAGGTGCACAACGAGTAACGTGATTTCATGTTCATTATATCATCCCCTTATAAATATATACTTGTAGTCCGAATGTGTCCTTCCTTATCCTTTCCTAATGTTCCTACTTCTGTTCTCCCTTTCTGCTCCCCCTCCAGGCCCTCTTTAGTTTCCCCGACCTCTACCTCTTCCACCTCGTCCTCTGACACCTCCCCGGCCTCGGCCACCTCCCCGACCACCTCTGAAACCGCCTCTCTGACCTAAAGGAAACATATTAATACCAGACCCTCCATACTCGAACACACCTCCTCCATACTGCCGGCTGGCTCCGTACTCTCGAGTGCCAAAGTCGTCACTCTTGTGCACCTTGCCCTCGCGCATCTTCTGCCGTCGCTTCTTGCCCGGTCGGGCCCGTCGCTCACTCTTCTCCACTTCGGCATTATGAGCGCTTACGTCCAGCACCTTGCTAGGAACATCATACCGATGGTACCCGCCCACCTTGAGGACGGAATCTGCGTCCACAGCCATATCTCGAAACTGGGCTACCAGATCCTGCTTCTTGGGCTCGGGCTCTGCAAACGTAAAGTAGTACGCCAAGGGACGAAACTTGTTGCGCGCAGCAGCAGCATACTCGTCGTTGAACTTCTCCTTGGCCCGACCAATACTGGCAGTGCCCTCATCCACAAACCCCTCAAACACAGGCTTCACGTCCTTGACAACAACCGTTTCGGGCGCGCCAGAAAACAGATTGAATGTGAACTCGGGAGCCTCCTCAGACTCCGAGCCATCGTCTCCCTCAACAGCTTCTGAGACCTCAACCACCGTCATCTCCTGGTCCGAATCAGTGTCATCATTCTCGACCTCAACCTCCTCGAACGCAAACAGATTCTCGTAGCCTGCATACGACGAGTTTCCAACTTCGCCCTCGCTGTCGCTCCCGCCTCCAAATAACTCTTTTCGTGAAATTTTAGACATGTTGTGTGTGCCTTATATTGTAAGATGATTCAGTTTTCACCGAGCTCAAGACTTCGATTTTTTTAAGGTTGTGCATATACTCTGTCTCGTATTATTATGATGTATTACAATGTACGCCATGCTTCTACATGTACGTACCATTAACCATTCCAGTTCATGGACTGACTGGCATCATTCGTACAAATCCTCAACCTGTGCCAGGTGATCAAACAGCCATTCGTTATTAATACATTTTACATCTAAGAGTTCAGCTTCTCCCGAATGGAGGTGAGGAACTGATGGTAAGTGACGCCGCTCTGCTCCACTCGGTCCTCGACCAGATGGGTGGTGGCCCACAGTCGCAGAGCAGGCTCGCCGTCCTCCCGCACCACGTACAGATGCTGGTAGGTGATGGCATCTGTCTTTTCTCGAGCCTTGGAAATGATGTTTCGGATTCGCTCGTTGAACTGGTTGTCCAGCACGGGCAGTTCTGTCTTGCCTGTGGGCACCTCGGTGATGGAAGACACGCCAAACACGTCCTGCAACAGTGCAGGCTGTGCATCCCGGCCTACCCACAGGAACATGACCTGGCCGTCGTCAATGAGGAACAGACCATGGCTGATCAGATGCTCGCCACTGAGGTTTGTGCAGGGAGGCATGACAATCTGGCCGGTCTCGGCGTCAGGCAGACCAGCTTCATCGGGCATGAAGATGAGGTTGTAAAAGTTGGGATAAATGTACTGGATCAGGTACTTGTCGGGCAGGGTCGACAGGAGACACAGGGCCGCAGACCGCAGATCCGAGGGGATCTGCGAGGTCTTTCGGAAACCAATGTGCTTGATCAGAGCGTTCACCAGCAGAGGCAGCATTCGCAGGTTGGTGCAGAACTGCAGGGGGGCGGAGGCGCCGACGTTGGTGGTCATCAAATCCTTCTTGTAGCAGGTGAACATCTCGTTGAGTCGGTTCATGAGCAAATCCCGTGCGTCCTGAGGACCCTTTTGCAGAGCCTTCTCCACTGCCTTGTTGGCAAGGTAAGTGGTGATAGCGATCTGGTCAGCAGACGCGTAAATGTCCTGCAGCAGAGCCGAGGTGGGGAAGGCCCGGGTGATGACTCGGATGCGTCGCTCGCCAGAGGCAGTGCTGTGCAGAATAGCGGCCTGGAAAGTCACCCAGGGCTTGACAATCGTCTCCTCAATATTGACCTCAATCACGTAGCTCTGATCTCGAGGGAAAGTGGAGAAAGAGCACAGATCCGAAGATCGGGAGAAGAAGTTGCCGTAGAAGGCGCTCATTCGAATACCGTCGCAAGATCGCACTCGCAGAACGGCCTCGGTAGCCAACTCCTGAGACAGGTACTCGGAGAACTCCAGAGCAAATTTGTTGGCGTCCTCAGGGTTTGAGGCAATCCAGCCAGGGTAGAAGTAAGTCTGACCGGCGGAGAATCGGGGCAGGTTGGAGAGAGATGCAACGTCCTGGTAGTGAGAGGAGAACAGGAACATGTCCACGGTCACCTGAGTCTTGGAGCACTCCACGGCAAACGATTTGTAGAAGGTGGAGGCTGTCTGGAGCATCTGGCCCTCTCGCGAGGTACCCAGAGCCTTCTTGTCATCTCGAACCTCGAGCTTGCCCTGTCCAACGTTGGGGAGGGTAGAGGTCAGACACACAATCTTACCGCCAATGTTGGCAATGAGCTTGTGAGCAGCCACGACAGCAGATCCCAGAGCCGAGGCGGGGTTGACTGTGTGAGCAAACATGGACTGCAGAGAATCCAGCAGCTTTTCAATGCCGCCCTTGCACTGGGAGAGATTAACCAGCAGGTCGGTAGGCATGGGGAGGAAGGGGTCGTCAATGTCGGAGACAACCATCATCCGGGGCTCGGGCCACTCGTTCTCCTCTCCCTCTTCGCCCTCGCCCTCCGCCACGTCCTCCTTTCGGGGAATGGCGAAGTAGTGCAGCGACGAGTCGACTGCGAGGAAACCGACTCGGGTTCGGTTATCCACGTTGGGGATTCGTGATAGCGACTCCTTGATGGTTCGCGCAGCGGTGGCCAGCAGACCGTTCTTGACAGAGTGCACAGACACATCCAGAACGAACACGTAGACCAGAGGCTGAGGAGGTCGCACCATGTACTCTGCGGGAGCCACGAACTCAACGACAGAGTGGTTGAGCTCCGCTCGGGACCATCGGTCTCGGGGCTTGTTGGCCACGGCATCATAGTCAAAGCCAGAGGGCACATCGTTGGTCAGGTTGCACATGTTGCACCGCCATCGAGCGCCACCCTCCAAAAAGACAACATAGGGGTTGATGTAGGACCGACATCGTCGGCATCGAGCAATGGTGGTGTCGGCCACGGTGGGGACATTCTCGTCGGCATCTCGCAGCGCAGTGTAGGGTCGGATGACCAATGCAAACGGCAACTTGGACTTTTTGAGCAGCGACGACGATGTAGGCACGGTGTTGAGGGTGCATCGCATGAACTCCGAGTCAGCGTTGGGATCGGGGTTGCCAGTCACCGAGGATCCGGGGGGCAAGATCACGGGAGGGGGAGGCAGGGTGAGATCGGAAATGGGAGGGGGGAAGTTCTGCAGCAGATCGGTGTTGTAGATCTGGTTGAGCTGGGTCGGGGCAGCCATGTGAGCTCCGCCAGCCGCTCCGGGTGGAGCACCTCCTTGGTAGGCGCCGCCGCCGCCAATGTTGAGGTTGCCCATCTGGTTGGTAAGACCCTGGTAGCCGTACGCGGCTCCAGCGGCCTGGGGGGCGCCGTAGGCCATTCCTCCAGCCACACCGGGGGCCACGGGAGGATCCACGGCCGATCCGGGAGTCCCGGGGGGAGGAGCGAACGCGCCAGACTGCACGTTGGCGGTGTGGGGCTGGAAAGCTGCGGGCGAGGGAATGGCATGAGCTCCACCGTACATGGCAGCACTGGGAGAGGCGGAGGCTCCGTAGGGCTGGGTGGGGTCGGGCATCGAGTAGCCGGCGGGCTGGGCCGCGGCGAAGTCATACTGTTGCTGGGGGTAGACCCGTCGCTTGGACGAAGAGCCCTGTTCGGGGTGTTCTTGGCTCATCTGGGTTAGTCAAGGTATTGGTGAGTGGCTGCAGGCACGGACGGGAAATGTGACGACGCAGTCGCGGTGGTGAAAGGCCATAGATCTCGAGCGGACAAGATCGTCCCATCTGATGCGACGAAAGATCGCGGGATCCTGTTTGTGGCACATCAAACCCGACATCAGACACAGGCACAGACGCTGCACATGACGGTATTATAGCAAAACCATCAATTCCGAAAGTGGTTTTGGTGATGATTGCGTTCGTGTAGAATCAATATTTTGCTTGTGTCCGATCAGCCACCTTTTGATCTGTGTCGTTGTGTCCTTCTCTGAGTCCGTGTCACAAATCGTGTCGCACCAGGTTGTCCCCATATATGACACCTTTGCAGCTGTAGATGGCAATTGAAGGTGTGGTTTTGATGCGACTCATTCTGTGTCACTTGTCATCCTCCGTTCATCTCAAGTCAATGGACTCACCGTCTCCTAGTCCACTTGTTACTCACCTCAGTCGTGTTCACACCGTGATAGTTATGTTAACGTGGGAGTTTACTTTGGTGTGCTGTTCAGAAGCCGGCCGGGTAATGCCACGTAAGAGTCACGTGAATCTAAGGGGAGGGGTGGTTGGGTGGCAACAGACGAGATTAACAGACCAATATAGATCAGGGCTAGGGTACGAGGCCCCTCAAACAAATAATTTTACCGTCCAGTAAATTTTCCACCCTCCTTTGCCCCTTCTACTCGTTCAATACATCCCCATCTCCACCGTTCTCTTCAGATATAGATCTCTTCGCTGAAAGCGTAATGTGGTGTTGTTCAGCCTTGAAGCAGGAAGTGTATTTGGCGGTGTGAAATAGTTCTGACAGCAACGCGAGCCACGCGAAAGGGAACGACAGGCACTCAAAATGACGTGGTAAAGGTCCTGTTTTTTTACACATGATTAAATGAGAAGATTGTGGCTTATTTATATATTTTTTCTTGCAGAAATCACCCCATTTCGACAAAATCATTACTGTTTTGGCGCATGGTACATTCCGCCGTGCGAGTCAAACGCGTCGACGTGTTAGGAGTGCGAGTGCCAGTACAAGTGTCGGTTGTATAACTAAGTACAGGTGGTACGAGTGCGAGTACGTACCTTGTAGTAACCATGATCGTCGTTTGTTGAGTCTGAGAATATTGATTGTCTTCTACTTGTACTTGTACTACCAGTGTAAGTACTACCAGTTTGTACGATAGTCGTATCTATGTACTATCTTTCAGTATTGTACAGCACATACTTTACATGATTATTGATAATGCAAAAAAACTGAAAGAAATATGAGAAATAGAATATTGTAAATATGAGCGATAGAATATTGTAAATATGAGCGATAGAATATTGTATATATTTGTCGTGGTGTGTGCAGATGGTGTTGTCCAGCAAGACAAGTTCTTCAAAGAATAACAGCGTAGTCCATACTCGTACTACATACATCAAGACCCCATACAATCATTGTCTTCGTTATCAGTTCTTGTACCCGTATCTACTGTACATACTTGTATCTTCATTGCCATTGTTGTATCTAAACTACTGGAAGTCTCTGGAGCAAGATTGAGAGTGGTATGTGTCGACCCTTGAGGGCCGATGCAACCTATAGGGGATGCGGTCGGATTGACAGACCGCCTACTGCCAATGTTTGTTACTGCTCTGCTATCCGTCTACGGAGCTACTCCACCAACTCACCAACGTACCCACCATCTGCCAATACGCTACTCCTCCCTAGATCTAAATCGCGAGCTTCGAAAAGTGGGTGAGACATGTCCTCAACTGTCCCCGACCACGCTGGTGTCCGTATGGAATACGTCGTGGCTGTAAGACACAACAATCTCCCCGCTCGTATTCCGACAGATCCACCGGGCCACTCTTGGACGAGCCGCGCGTGCAAAACACAATATGCTCCGAGACCCGACCTTGGCATCTGGATCTTGCTCTTGCGATACGACTACTGTGCCCGTAAAGCTCCCATATAGATACATGCTCGCGCCTCGATAGGCTTATACGGGGGTTGCGTTTTTTTGGGGGTAAAAAAAAGGATACAAAAAAGGGTAAAAAAAATAGTACGTACCTTATTAGCGACGCACGTACGTGGGCTGCGTCCATCAACCCCGCCCATCAATCCATGGAATCTTTGCCGTGAGACACACAAGTTTCAGACTTGCTCCTTTTGAGTCTTCTCATCATTTACGACAGTTCTTTTTCCACCCACAGCCATCCGACTTGTGCATCTCCGTATCCTAGCCGAGCCCATTCGGGGTGCATGACAACTGCGGGATCTTGGGGGTAGAGTGTTTAGCGAAATTAATATATGCAGTATAGTGCAGGATGAGCTAAGAAGCATTCTACAAACAGTTGTATACAGGCACCAGACATTTATATAGTTATTGGGAAACGTCGAGTGGCGTAAGATGGCGGTGCCCTGGAGCCACTCACACATGTATCATAGGTTTAATAAGTCCCGCACGGGTCGTTTCTAATGTAATGTCTCATGTCTAAGAACCACGGTGTATTCACCGAACTATCCTTGAGATACTCATTGCTCATCGCTACGGGCTCGACGCTGGCATTTTTTCTCCGATAATTTCACGGTGGACGTACCCACAGGCCATCCCTTCTGCTTTGGGAACTCGCGTATCCAGCGAAAAGCCCTGCGGCATTCTGGGGACCGAGAATTAGTGTTGATGCTAGCGCAAGGCTTGTTCTTTAGTGGGCATCTACCGCAGCTACTATACACGAGCGCGACGTAGGTATAGCATGCCAAAGGCGGGTGCGATACCAGATGACGCTATAATATGCCAGATTTGCACTAGCACACATCACTGGAAGCTGTCAATTTGAAAATGTCAATGCAGTCTCACCATTGGACGATCTTGGCACCTCCTAAACTCTGGCAATGTCTGAGCTCTTTGACACATAAGACATCAAGCAGACGGTCTAAAATCATATGCCATGTAAAGAACTACTAGTGCCTGTAGAAGACGCCTGTAGAAGACGCCTGTAGAAGACGCCTGTAGAAGACGGCTACTTGTATATTCTCACTTGTCGTGCTTCACTCACGGCTCGATGTCCACTGCTTACCTCAGCGGCAGCGGGCGGAAAAAGCCTACAAACCCCTGTCGGCCGCGTTGCACTTGTTGGGCGACGACCAAATATGAGTTGGAAAAGTTTTATCTTCGCCAGAGACGCCGTCCCATTGTTATTATTACAGAGGTCCATGAACATGAGCTTTAGATCAGATCTGCACGTGGCGGAGCCGCCCAACCGTGTCTTTTCCCGTCGGTACGAGCTGATAAGCTGCACCTCACCAACAATCATGACATGAGGTCTTGTATGCAAGGGAGACGTCGGAGTGCTTCGGCAGGCTTCGGTTAGGGCTTGGCTGGAGGCTAGCGACTGCAGTGGCGGAGTCCTCGTGGTCTTCCTTGATGTACCCCGTCGCATGTGAGTCTGCTATGATATATGAAACTAATTCTAATCTAGTTGCGGTTAATTTCATATCATGGTCTTTGTTTCTCCCTTATTGAATTCTATTTTTCATATCTTTGGCTGCTCCTCCCCTTTTTCGGTCTCTCCAGCAATCTTTGGCGAGTCTCGAAACCTGGAGGAAAACCTGTAGACAACCTGCGCGAAACGACGGCCAAAAACAGTGAAACTTGAGCCGAAAAAGCATGGAAAATCACACGTGACCATCGCATTTGGACTTTCCCATCGTTGCCAGCAACTCCACGTGTTTGGTCACTTGTAGAGGTTTCGGTACTGTAGCTCTAGCTAGTCCATCGTACGTGTTCACCTGTGGAGACCCGACCCTTGAAGTGCGATACTCTACAGTGCACCAAGAGTACACCGAAACCAAAAGCAACCGAGTGTTGATCCCTCAATGGTTGGGGGAAATGTTTCACAGAGCGAGGGCACGAAAGAAGGGGTTGGAAGAAGCAATCACCAGTTTTGCCAACGGTATTTACAGGGTTTTGTTGCTGTTTGAGTATCGATAGTCCGACACGCAAAAATGAGCAGCACGACAATGGCGAGCCTCCTTTTTTCGTCCCTCTCTCAAGCCCCCCCGCCCATTCAGACTTTGTGCCAAAAGAACTGCGAAACCAAAGAAAATAAACGTGTATCCGGGCCGTTTCCTTTCTTAGGGCAAAGCCAAACGGAACGGAGTTGAGGTCAACTTGTATGTGATTTGGAGAAGCGCAACAAGGGCGACAACAGTAGGGTTTCGTTTCATAGCTTTTCGGTTATCGGTTTTATTTGTTTGATTTTTGTCTCGCACGAGATAGAAGCCATGTTTGGGTCTGAAATGTCGCTCATACAGCTCTTCGAATCGGACGTCTTCTTCTTCTTTATAGCTCCCGGTCTTTGTTTTTTGTTCCGTCGTTTTCGCTAAAAAGAAAAAGTGACATGCTTGTTTTTTGGGCTCCCTTGTTCTGCTCTCTCCAAAAGTGCAGCGTTAGGGTTGACAGGCATTAGACTCAGCGCTTGGTAACTTCTTAAATAAAGGTGAACCTAGAGAAAGTTTGGAGGAGAAAAAAAATAACAGTCCACCAGGTGGCGCCATGGGGGTTGAAGAGGGGCCATATTCTTGCGGGTATGGGCAGCTGGGGGGTCACAGCATTGATTCCCCCAAACTCCCGTTCCATTCGGCCCACAGGGAGCGCCCCAGGTCGCCTTCTTCCGGCCCCCCACACGTCCACTTCCAGACAGCAATCATAGGCATCAGACTAAGCGACAAAGTTCACTATATGTGAGAAGGACCACAAGGTTGGAGCCAACGAGCCAACGACCCGGCAGAGTTTGGGCAGACGAGCAGCAGACAAGCAAGCCAGTTGGACCCAAGCTCCAATCCCAGCTCTATCAGCGTCTTGTTTTGTCCTCTCTCTTCCCACTCCACCGTCAAACTCAAAACCCCGGCGCCATCTATCAAAAGAGCCTCTTTCGCTCGTCTTCTCTTCATCCACATCATCATTAGACGACCAAAAAAAAACTGACCGCGAGAAGAAAAAACTGACCGACGCAACGCCGTCAGTATAGCTATCACCCCACATACGCACGCACGCACACACACACATACACACAACCCAAACACACACACAAACACACACACACACACACACACACACACACACACACACACACACACACACACACACACACACACACACACACACACACACACACACACACACACACACACACACACAATGACGACATTCAACCCCAACGATATGGGCCATGGAGGGCCCGAGATGCACTTTGTGCCCGGGATGGATGATCCTTCTCTCTACCAGCACAATATGCTCGACCTTAGCCATCCATTGGACCTGCAGTACTCATCCCGGCTCATGGGCTTTCCCAACTACGACTCCATGAACGACCATATGGACCCGAGCCAGCTGCCTCCCACAATCGCACCAATGGACGCCTACAACGACCCCACCTACATCCCAGAAGACTCGCAACTGCTGGGCTCATCCATGCCCATGCGAACCGACTCGGCCACGTCCGATGACAGCGCTTCCCGGGGCTTGCTCTCCAATGCCTACTCGTCTGCAACGTCGCAATCGTCGCAGACACCCCCCATTCAACGAGAGCCCGGATACATGAACCCCACCGCCATGGTGGACCAAGTGCTGGAGGGCACGATTTCTTCTTCTAACACCAAGCAATCCATTCCCCCTGTCGATGCTGTCCCCCAATCCGTGCCTAGAAAGGCTGTCGAGGCCTCCATTTCTGCCCGACCGGACGAAATTGCCGATGCCATCTTCCTGGTGAACCCTACGGGGAAAATTGTTCACTGTAACACTATTGTTTCCACCCTGCTGGGTTGGTCCAAAGATAAACTTGTCGGGGCAGACATTCGAACGACTTTGCATCCCGAGGATGTCAACAAGTGAGTATTTATTGTCGTTACGCTATTATATTTGATGTTATGCAAGCATGTCTGGTTGGTCGTTCCGGACCCCAGTCCTCTCTTCGCGCCTGAAAAAAGAAAAAGGATAAACAATCCCATGTGACCCGTTCTTGCTTGATTTGAATCACACCGAACACAACTCTTGTTTGCTACCATCGAGGTGGTTTATTATGGCTGGTGCTATTTGTTGCTCTTACTCAGATGTCTTTGTTTCACAAGACCTATTTTGTTTCTATGTCTCTTCTTCATTTTGTGATATTGTTACTCTTTTATTCTTCCGGCATGTTTTTTACCTGTTTTATCTGAAAAAAACACCGGGATACCCCCCCTCAACCCTCAACACTTTTACTGATATTCCACTTCAACTCCTTACAAGAACGGCTTAAGGCTATTGTTTGATTGCAGCGCAGGCTTGTATGTCTCTCAGGCTTGCTGTGCGTCCCATGTGCGCTTTACTCTGTGTGCTACTACTGTACGCTATCTCTGTGCTACATTGAATAGCAACTTTGTCCCCATGCTGCTTGCATTGTTTTATCCTTCTCTCCCTATTCTCCTTCAACCTGTAAAGTCTCATTTCTCCCCTTATTCCTTTTCTTTCCTGTTACCCTTTTCTTCCCTCCACTTCCACATGAGTCTAGACATCGAAAACGCTTAGTCTTCTGGTTGTCGTTTCACGTTCCAACGCATTTGCTCGTGTTTACATTCTTGTTTCTACCACACTCCTCACACTACTCTCCAAAAGTGCATGAACACTACTAACCTCCCAGTTTTTATAATACCCTCCATGATGCCGTAACGCGCTCTCGAAAGTTCAAATCACATACCCGTTTTTCCAAGGTCGGGGGTTCTGCGCCCGTCTTTGAGCTTTTCGAGGTGATTGGCACGCCATACTCCTCAGACCTGGCCGACTCCGCTACACTTGATTCCTCGCAATCCGAATGCCGAGGCGTGGTGCTCAACTGCCGGCCCTACCCCAGCCAACAGGCGGCTCAATTCGACGGCTTCTTGCAGCTGAGCTCCGACAACCTGTGGCTGAAGCGCCAGCTGAACCGCGTGAGCACCAATCTAACGCCTGAGGCGGTGTCTTTTAACGACGCCAGCGCCCGGCTTAAGGGACCTCCCGGAGTCTCCGAATGGGTGGATGATATGATGCACATGTCATCCGAGAGTGGTTGGGGCTCTCCTGCCTCAGACGCCTCGGATGCCCAGGATCCTCCAGACCTACTTAAATTTTACTATCCCGATCGTACTGACGAGGCCAACAAGGTCGTGACCTCCGCACCGTCTTCCACCTCCACGGGCTCCAACAGGCCCAGCAAGAAGGATAAGCGGGTGCGTAAGCCCACCTCCAAGACCAAGGAGGGCGACTACATCTGCACCGAGTGCGGCACCATGAACTCTCCTGAGTGGAGAAAGGGTCCCCAGGGCCGAAAGACCCTGTGTAATGCTTGCGGACTGAGATGGTCTAAGCAGGCCAAGAAGCAGCAGCAGCAGGCGCATTAGAGGTCGCACGAGCCACGTGACTGGCGCCGGAAGTTGCTGCCGCAACAGTCTTGCCGCTCCTCTCTTCTCCAAAGGGACCCTGAACATGTAGTAGCCCCGCATTCTATTTCCTACATTCATGATCTATCAGGGAATATAGTATTTATTCATTAGTGTTGACACAAGAGTATTTGTACCATTGTTCTTGCAGTATAGAGCAGACCGACGTGTGTCTTCTGTTACTTAAGAGATGATACTCTCATTCTATAACCAGAGTATACGGCCACACGTTCGTAGTTCATAGCTACTGTACATACTGCACAACAGCTCGGGAGTCTGGTTTCTCCTGACGGAAGCGGCTACTGTGCTTTTGGAACATTTCGGAAGCGTTGACGGCTAGGCAGCAACTCTAACCCATGTGTTCATCCCTCCGGTTGGTCACTTGCCGCTGTCACTCTTTGGCTTTCGGGATTATTCTCGGCACAATCCTATGCCTCTTGTACATACTGTACTTTATCTTTTCATGTATGAACGGAAACTATATATATACTGTACTTTTAGTAGAAGGGAGAATCAGGAGACTGTGGGAATTGTTCAGAAGCTTGCGTAAACCGCGGCCACCGCGGAACTTGTCTTTTTGCTTCAGACTAGTTTTTTATTTGCTGCCCAATCGAGTATTTCTACCCAGGCTTTAAGGGTGATGTGCGAGATATATACCGGTCCAAGTCTTGTACTCGTACTGTGGTAGAGTATGTACTGTACATATTGTAAGTTGATAACACCAGGTGAAACAGTGAAGAAAAAAAAAGGGGGGAAAAAAACAGCCTTCCATCAGGGGCCTACAAGAGTAGCAAGAACCGTTGGGTTGCTAATCGAACTGAACTGTTGTGGCTTGCACCAGAGTACATCCCTTGTCGTCATGGAGATAAGAGGGAACAAGTGGTGGTGTATACAGACGACAAGTTGCAGAGATCTGCCGCTCGGGAGTGGTTAATTTCCGACCTGCCGCCGTCAAGTTGGTCGAGCTTGTGCTTATGACTTCTGGCACTAGTCTAACGGCGTCATTAGTGGATAATTATTAGAATAGCAACTGTGAAATATGTACTTAACGGCAATTACCAGCAGATTATGTTCCCCGCGGAAATGATAAGACAAGAATTGATAACAGTAATGACACTTGACCAAAGTACACTCGACAGCAATTAACAAATTAACAGCAAAATCAACCGCAAGCTTTTTTCTCCGACTCTTGCTTGCAGAGTAGAGCAAACGAGATTGGTAGGTCGCGTGACCGTATGTACATACAATACAAGTACAAAAGGGAGACTTGGAGAAGAAGGGTTTGAAGACGCCTTCCGATGGGCACTTGTTTGCCATCCTTATCAAGCTTTTCCGTTCATTTGGTCAACTACAGGTTCAGAAATGTTCATTGATTCCGATAGTAAGACCAATAATGCAATGAAGACGTGAACCAGATCATGCAATGTGTTTCTAGAAGAAATAAAAAAATTCCAACTTCGGAGGCTGCAATGTAATTGTATACACCTGTCGTATACACCTGTCGTACACCTGTCGTATGCAACTAATCGGACCATAGCCTCCACATTTACAGTCTCATCACTCGTATCTCCTTGTAGGTTCTGGTGGTACTTCCTCCTCGAGAAGGAGTTTAGTTACGATGGATTGTAAGATGAGTTCTCAAAATGACAACTCAGCCGCCACGATAATGAGACTGAGAAAAAGATTACAGCACCCAGGATTCTCGTATGGTCTCCCACTACAATACTAACTAGGCTCTCTGGTGCTTGACTATGGCTGATCGGACGGGAAGCCGTATTTTCACCAGGATATGGCCGTAACCAAATTGCGCCGACCCGGAATCGAACCGGGGGCCCATCGATGGCAACGATGGATTTTACCACTAAACCATCGGCGCGATACAGTGTAAAAACTGACTTTTCGTACATTATCGGATTTCTAATAAAAAATTGCGAAAATACATTATTTTGTAGATAGAAATACATTATATATCTTTTGAGCCACTTTTAACACCTCCACATGTTTTAACTTTGACCCAGAATTCATCTAGAGGCTGTAATACGACTTTTAAAAAATCTTGATGATTCCCAAAAATATCGAAATCGTGAAGAGCAGAATTTTCGGAGAAATAATGATATGACATGAAATTTAAGAGAAAATTATTTAGATGTATGTACTTTTTATCTCGATATCTCAACCACATTTGGTGCTGGCTCTTAATATCAATCAGGTTGATTTTGACATCGCCAATAACGAGGCCAGAACTGTATGAATCAGACTCGGGACTTTTTTAAATACAATGAATTGAACCAAAAAGAGCTATCTAGAACTCCCGGTGCTCTCTTCAGATCCCAGTCGGTATTTAGAGCGTCTGGTTGTTCCACTGCAACCCCCAGAGTATCAATGCTCACTGCCCTTTTAGTGATAAAACTAGAAGTGATATCATTCCACTGAGTTCAACTCAGCCCAATATTTACAAATGTGGACTTCCCTCTGCCTCTAATTATCCCATAACTCTTGTTTTTGCAGATAACATCCTCCCTCTAGCAGAGCCATGACATGAAGCTGCGTTCCATAGGGAATACGAGTCCCTTGAGTTCCCAGAGTTATGAATATGAATTAATATAGTCGGATCCATTTCATCGTAAAACCCAGCTGCGTTCGTACCATTTTACTTCGTTGCCACAGACGTTACACATACGCCTTACTATATATCGTACTCTGAAGCCATTCATAATGAGATCTTGAAACAGTATAAATGTGTTGGAACCACCATCACCCATAGGTATAGGTAATTTTACAATAGTCATCTTTGGTTTGAACTTTTCCTGTTCAACTTGATGCCCTCACAGTATTTGTAGTAACCCTGACTAACCCTGGCATAACTGAGAGGGACATAAACAGGCATAGCTGTGCAAGCAGGGCTGGTAAAGGAAGCTGTGAGGACAGGAAGAGAGATGAGCAAAGGACAATCAGCCAGCTAAAGACCCCGCCTGTCGTTTTTACAACAATTCAAGGTATTCAGGTCTTCAGTAACTAACATGAGTTTAGTTGGGGAGTAGAAGAGGTTGAGTTCAAGACTAGAGTACGTCTAACAATACGCTGGTGAAGACCATCCAGAGCCCTTGCGTATAGCGATTACCGTACAGTGTACCGTACTTGTAAAACATGTGATTAACCTAAGCTTCCGGAATTTCACACTAGACTTGACTTGTTTATATGATGACATTATCTTCATGTTATTTCTTCGTGCAAGTACCCGCTCGACGGGCTGGTCATCTGTTCTTTTTTAGGCTGCTCCAATTTGGTGGGGTCGAAGTACCTTGTATTAATACTGTGAAGATCTTTCTGAGCCTCTGTCCTATCTCAGCAGAGTGACCATTGAGTCTGTTTTGCTTGCAGTCGACCATCCTGGCAATACAAGAAGTAGCATTCGACTTATTTCATCTTATCAGTTTGTTTGTTTTGGTTGACCTGCTAGACTTGAATTGGTACCTCTTCCTCTTGAGTCATGGCGTTCTTCTTAGGTCTAGGCAGCATTCCCGCTTATCATGCCAAGTCATTTATAGATGGGTATGATCATAAAAGACGATCGTGGTGAGACTTCTAAAGGCAGTCTGGTCTCAATGAGAGTTCTCTTAGAGTCCTCTTAGGGTGGCATTGTATCTTCAAAGGGAGATGCCCAAAATACATGTCTCACCAGCATTCCAGTATGTACAAAGTTGGTCAGGCGTCACATCACGGAAAGCCTTGGCTTCAAAACACGGCAAATATTTACACCGTAAGAAAGCTATTTGGGGCGGTGGAATGCGCCCAGACCGTGCCTCCAGCTGCCATCTCTGTATCGCGTGGAATCGCGTCTAACTGTCACTTGTCTCCCAATCTATTTCAGGAACATTCCCGAAGCCTGTTGTCAACGAACTGTGTGGATTGTGGGATGGTTAATGGCGCTCGAACCATGTCATGGCAAAAAGGTAACGGGCGGGCCAAACTTGCCCTGAATCAGGGTCTAAATGCCTCTCTGTTTGTGTCTCACAGACCGTCGGGCGTCTGTCTTCTCATTCCAAGCAAGTCTGACACCTGAGCTATCCGCGAAGAAGTGGTAGATACAAACTCTTGGTGCGTGGTGGCTGCAGATCTACTGACGTCATTGAACGATACTAAAATGGTGTATATTGGGGTGGATGGTGCGGATCTTATTACGGTACTGTACGGTACAAATATTGTACTTGTGGCTCCCCTTGTGCGAGTGCTTGTAGTTCCACTATCCCCCCTATTGAAGGCAGTGTTGGAATAGTGACGGTGAACTGGTTGACAGATGTACAATACGGCATGTTACAATGACAGATGACACATTGACGGACGCATAATACAACATCAGGTAACAGTACATATTGTAGCCCTTCGGTGTAGTTAGCCCATGGAGCACCTCTCGCACACTTTCCACAAGCTCAAACCCTGCTGGGAATTGTATCAGGACCGGATAAACACTGTCAGCCGCAGCCTGCTGAAGCTTGAAGGTTGGAATGGACGGTGAGACAGTCTGAAACGGGCAGAGAAGGGCACATACAGAGGTGGTGGTTGTTGCAGTGAGAGAACAGAGGTTTTAGCTTGTGTATGGACAGACATATGACCATGTTCTGACTATGAATTCGAGATGGGCACAGCTGACCGCACCTATTGCAACTGCACTTGCTTAGTCTCCTTTGGTGTGCTTATTGGTCGCTCTTCGGTGCATTCTCTGTGACGCAATGCCGCACCTGTGTGGAAGCGAAGGGAGACAGACCCAAGCTGAAGAGCTGCAACGTATACTTTTTTGCTCTACGACGGAGGCGAAGGTGACGTGAATCTGGGTCGGGTTTTATGCCATGGCTACCATACCAGACCGCACGGTGTGACTACCATTGTTTGTACACAAACCGACTAATGTAGACTGGGGGAAACTAAGGTACTCCGCACCTCTCCGCACTGGCGCTTTGTTACTGTGGTTTGTTAGGGTGTCTTACGGTCTTTTGGTGCCTGTCAACGCCATCTTAGCCGGAAACGTCAGTTGCACTCTCCTTCGGCACCTGTCCCAATCTGACTGTTTCAGGTTTAACGACGTGAAAGAAGTCGAGCAAAATGTGTCCCAAGTGTCACGTACAAACCGCTCGGCGTGCTCCATCAACGTAGGAGGCCACTCCCGCAAGCAGTTTTCACCTGTACAAGCATGCATGGTGGCCCTGGAGTCCTGTGGCCGGGGTTCGAGAACCGGAGGGCCGCGTGGCTGGTCGCGACTGCACGATCGACACGCTACCAGTAGCTCGCGGAGCTTCCCCTCTCCTAGGTTTGACGGTGCAGTCAACAACTAAAGTGTGCGAAGCTAAGAGTGATCGTCGTGGAGCGGGGAGCCAGAAGAGAACCAGACAGGCAAGCCCAAGATGCGGATCTTCCCGCGGTCACGGGTCGTGCCCTCACCATGTCAAGTGATGTTCTTCACCTTTGTGAAGCCCCCAATTCAGGTACTCCTGCTCCAGCCCCCACCGACTCCATCGTTTACGGGCCCCTCCACCCGACGCGAAGATTGATAACTGCAAAGACTGCATCAAACGCACCATCGACACATGGCCACCGACGGAGTCAAACCTATGATTGCCAAGGCCAACAGGTCGCATACAATGCAATAGACGGAAACTTTTGGACCTCGCTCTAGACGGGGTTTAGACGTGGTTCCAGAGACGCAAGTCGGCCCGCTCAACGCTCAATCAAAAGACCTCCGGCCACTCCTCCGATCTACACATCCCGCTCACTCCCACTCACTTGCTCGATACCTCTCCGCCCCACCATGTCACACAAAAGACACAACCGTTTGACGCGCTTAGGCTTGCATTGCGTCTACTTGTAACTGTGGGTGTACCCCTTGCTGAGATGACGATGGAGGGGTATCATCATCTGTCAGACCGGACCAGAGACTATAGCTATCGACTAGCGGAGAGTTCACTACTGGATTTGAACCCAGTGTGAACTCTCCGCTGGCTACTCTTGGCTCATCAACGCCTATCGTTGACGCCAAATTAGTGCTCTTCTTTCTCTCCGTCAATGACTTTGCGGTCTTGTAACCAGGTAGTTACCTCAAGCTCCAAACCCTACCGGACCATAGGTTGTGGAATCTGCATTCTGGAAAAGGCTAAAGACACTAGCGCCCTGTCTGGACTGAACATTGAAACCTACGTGGACGGCCCTGGCCACAATATAAGTGCAGAGAGGGCCGCTACAGGAGGCCCGCTATCCTTCGACGGTCTCTTGGTCTCTCCAACATGAAACTAACCAAACTTGTAGCTCTGGCAGGAGCCGCTCTGGCTTCGCCTATCCAGCTGGTCCCTCGAGAAGGCTCTTTCCTGGGATTCAACTACGGCAGCGAAAAGGTGCACGGCGTCAACCTTGGCGGCTGGTTTGTGCTGGAGCCCTTCATCACGCCCTCTCTGTTCGAAGCGTTTGGCAACAACGACGCCAACGTGCCCGTCGACGAGTACCACTATACCGCCTGGCTGGGCAAGGAGGAGGCCGAAAAGCGACTGACGGACCACTGGAACACGTGGATCACCGAGTACGACATCAAGGCCATTGCCGAAAACTACAAGCTCAACCTGGTGCGAATACCCATTGGCTACTGGGCCTTTTCGCTTCTCCCAAACGACCCCTACGTCCAGGGCCAGGAGGCATACCTCGACCGAGCCCTGGGCTGGTGTAGAAAGTACGGAGTCAAGGCGTGGGTCGATGTCCATGGAGTCCCCGGCTCCCAGAACGGCTTCGACAACTCCGGACTGCGAGACCACTGGGACTGGCCCAACGCAGACAATGTGCAGCATTCCATCAACGTGATCAACTACATTGCTGGCAAGTACGGCGCTCCCGAGTACAACGACATTGTGGTGGGTATCGAGCTGGTCAACGAGCCTCTGGGCCCCGCCATTGGCATGGAGGTGATTGAGAAGTACTTCCAGGAGGGCTTCTGGACCGTGCGACACGCGGGCTCCGACACTGCCGTGGTCATCCACGACGCCTTTCAGGAGAAGAACTACTTCAACAACTTTATGACCACCGAGCAGGGTTTCTGGAACGTGGTTCTGGACCATCACCAGTACCAGGTCTTTTCTCCCGGCGAGCTGGCCCGGAACATTGACCAGCACATTGCCGAGGTGTGCAACGTGGGTCGACAGGCTTCCACAGAATACCACTGGCGAATCTTTGGCGAGTGGTCCGCTGCTCTGACCGATTGTACCCATTGGCTCAACGGTGTGGGCAAGGGCCCTCGTCTGGACGGCTCCTTCCCCGGCTCGTACTACCAGCGATCGTGCCAGGGTCGAGGCGACATTCAGACGTGGTCCGAGCAGGACAAGCAGGAGTCTCGACGGTACGTGGAGGCCCAGCTCGATGCGTGGGAGCATGGAGGTGATGGCTGGATCTACTGGACTTACAAGACGGAGAACGCCCTTGAGTGGGACTTCCGACGGCTCGTGGACAATGGCATTTTCCCCTTCCCATACTGGGACCGACAGTTCCCCAACCAGTGTGGTTTTTAATACCCCATAGATATTTATTCAGATTCTAATACTACTAATGATGCGTAGACGGTCCGTAGACGAGTCCGTATAACACTACAAGTATATCACAACCTCGACGCACTGGTCAGAGTCGCTCAATGATCAACATGGTTAAGTTTATCAATTTCGACATTGGCTTGTTGCACATGAAACATGCGTATATAGCAAATATCACAACTCTGGGGGGTGGTAGGTTTCAGGCGTGACAAAGAGGTGGGGAGGATGGTTGCGGCAGATTTTGTCAATGTATTGGGGTTTTGAACATAGTTCTTGTATCCCCCAGAGTCTGAGCTTCAAAATGAGCCTATAATCGAGACCGTGGCTGCCCTTTATCAGCCACTAAAGTGCCGTGTTTCGCCGGAACGTCTCTCTCCATGTCTCAGCATAGACTTCGGGTCGTAAAAGTGGCATTCTCAATAGCACTTTTGGCCAGTGTCGCACTGGAATAGGAAGTGGAGGGGGATGCTGGCGGGGCACACAACAGCCAGTGGTTGCTTCTTTTGACCACAATGTTTTCTTTGTGCACAACCTATGGACCACAATTGCCGGTCCCACCCCTCGGTCCACTTCCATCTTGACAGACTCTGTTTCACTTAGTGCGTTGGCGTGGCAGGCAACCATGGATTGACGCTCAACTGGCGTTTCTACTGTACGAGCACAGCCGCTCTCTGCCGGTCTCCCCAGACCCAGACCACTCAGCAATGTTGATCGTGCCGAAGTCGACAACGGCATAGCACGATTCAAGAGCAATCGAGAAAAGAGCGGACTGCAAAAGAGGGCTCTGGAAAGACCAACCGCCAGGCCGCCACAGCCGTCGTATATATCGTACGGCGCCATTTTACCTTTGCTGAGCTTCCTCGGCGGTCTACAAGTAGAGTGATAACCATGTGGTTCGGGAACCATGTCTAGACCAGGTACGGTGGTTCAATGTGAGACCGGCATAGGTGCTACAAGTAGCAGTTTGATGATGGCAGGGGGGCCTAGTCTGCGCTCACCTACAAACTGTACCCCAGCTCGGATAATTCGCCAGATGCCAGCGTTCAGATTAGATTCTATTGTCACTGTCCAACTGAGACCTGTTCTTTTTTTAGCCCGTGGTGGAAGGGCAAGTGCGTTGTCGAAAGACATGTCTTAGGAATGGTAGCTGTGGAAAAAGCAACTACTCTACTGTCCCAGAGACATCCAATCATCACCTGGTGTCGTACTTGTAGCTGCTGAAAGAAGACTATAGACACGGTCTAAAAGACCATGGTTAGTCTAGACTCGTTAGCTACATTGTACTGGTAGTCCGCCACTTGCGGGTAGTTAGTCCACCATGACGGAAATTGGCGGATGGGTGGTCAAACGCGATATGGCTTTTCTCGCCTAAACCCGACCTATCAATCCCATCCCTGACTCACACTGTAGGAATGTCAAATGGACGAGTATGTATGTACAGTTCCAAGGCGAGGTCTAAGAATGTGGTCTGTCTTGCGCGCCGATATATCGTGTTTAGTGATAGCTCGAGCTCGAGTTGTAATTAGAAAAGAAAAAAAAATGGCAGTTTTCCAAGGAGTCAGCCCGCTTTTGACAGTCAACAGAGAGTGTAGGGTGGTAATTCGGTCTTACAGGAACACAATGTTGCACACACTGCTTCTGCATTTGATTGGCTAATTAAACGCATGCGCAAATCGAACTCACGATCTTGAACGCGCTTTCAAACTGTTCAGAATGGAAAAGTTGGTTTGAGACTGCTCAGACCAGCCAAGCGCATTTCGGGAAAGGGACGAATCTGATTTACAAGCGGGGCTGGATCCACATACCCCCGATGCGTCTCTGGGACCAGTTAGGACCCGCATTTCTACCCATCGAGCTCCCACCCTGTAACAGCTCCTAAAACAACACCGAATGCATGCACATGCACCTCACCTGCATGTCCCTTCTACAATGTAGAATGTGAATAGAGCCAACAGTTCACCGCCACTCAGACGCCTTGGTCACGTGATAGGAACCAGATACCCTCCCGAACCATTGTATCACGTGATATCCCAGATCCGCCAGCCGCCTGATCCACCACCGCTTGACTCAAGCTGTTTTTCGTCTGCACTTGGTTGGGGCTGACTTTACCAATCCATCTCAATATGACCCCTCTGGGGACAAGTGGTGCAGGAGTGTTTGTTGTTGATTTTTGGTAGAGACGGAAAATCGACATTTGGTAAAGACGGAAATGTGACACCTCCGCGATATATAATGACGTAGTGAAATACCCAGTATGAGCCCATAACCGACCAGTCTCTCTCGCAAATGACTTCTCACCATCTACCGGTCCCCAACGCCAGCAACCTCAGACTCGCCTCTCTGGTCCGAGAGCTTAGTCAGCTGTCTGGCGTCGACTTTGCCCTGGTGACTCTCTCCACCACCCCCATTAACGACGACACTTGCTCCGAAACGGCCGTGTCTCACTCTCTTCCTCTTCTTGAAGGCCGCCACTTTTCGCTCTTTGCCTCGTCCGAATTCAAGGGCCATATTGGCGCCGTAGTTGACGAGAACCTGGTGCCTGCCCTGGTGGAACACAAGCAGGCCCAGGATCTGCCTCGAACACTCATCGACCTCACAAACACAGAGGCGCTGCTAGCCTACCTGGCAGCATGTCTGTTCCTGCTCCAACAGGAGACGTGCAAGAACATTGCCCGGACATGGATCAAGTTCATTGAGCCCAAGAAGCAGAGCAAGTATCCCTACAAGCGTGGCTCGTGCACGGCCCCACCATGGTGGCCTCGTGGCGTCACCCACAAAGAGCCCGATCACCTGCAGAAGAATGAGCGCATCAACCTCCTGACTCATCTGCTACTGTACTCTGATTTCTCACTCGAGACGCTCATGGAAGCTACCAACGAAAACAGAGACGTGGTCCCGTCGCCCAAGCGGGTGTTTGTGGACCAGGCGTTTGATATTGCTCAGGTGTACCGTTTTCTGCACCGAAGCTCACACCCAAACGACGGTTCTGTGGACATGAGCAGGTACACAAACTACGAAGTGATCCACGTGCATGCTCTGACGTATGGGCAGAACCGTTATGAGCGCAAGGACGAGCCTAGGATGTCTTCGAGAGCCCCCTACAGAAGTTTTGGCATGTCTCTGCCAACCGAGGACAACAGAGGAATGATTCTCAAACGAGAGTGTTCTTCTTCCAGTCCGATTATGTTGTCTCCTGGGTATCCTGGCAGCATCAACTGTGCATATAATGGGTTGTACACTGCATACGGCTCTCACAGTGGAAGCACAACTCCCAGAATGACTATGGAACCGGTTCTACCTAGGAACGAATCTCTTGTCTCAAGAAATGAACCCCCCAGGGGCTACTTCAAGCCCCACTTCTCGCCAGAGACCTACAGAGCTCCTCCTCCTGCTCAGCCCTCCAACTCCTCTGCTAGCAAGTACCACTACCCGGGCCATTACGGAACCTCCTACACTTACACGCAGCAGCCTCACAACCCCTACTATGTCAATGGCTATTACGCGCAGCAGTCTGTAGGCGAGATTCAGATGCGGTCTCCTCCTTCCAGTTCTTCAAGTGCAAACACCTCAGTTGATTCGAACGAGGATTTTGGACTTAGTGCGAAGCGATCGATGGCGGTCGATGATGTGAGGCCCTTGAAGCGGCCGGTCAGTCGGTAGGAGCGGCGTCCTAGTATTTTATCGGCAGTGGTTGTGCTATCGAGCCATTGTTTGGCAGTTGCAGTTTACAATAGCAACCAAGTGAGTTGGACGTTGGACTTTGAGACCCTTTTTATTTAACTAATATACCCTTTTATGTACAGTATGTACTGTACATACAGTAGCAGTAGCTGTAGTTGTACAGTATAACCGCGGATGGTTGACCATACTATGTACTGTATTATCAGCAGGGCATTATCACGAAAGTGCAAAAAAAAAAAAAAATGATTTTATGTATAGTCATTGGTGGATTATTTGGTATCATTAGAATCGGTGAAGATTTCTGAACCAAGTGATATAGTTTTTTATGGTCTTTTGCTATAGTGAAGTTGGTTATTCACACATTATTTTGAACTGTAGGGAAGATCGATCGAAGGTAGAAAACGCTACAGGTACAGTATATTGGAGGGAGCTCGAGGCCACCGGCTGATTCAGAATCGTATATACACCATGTACACCGCTTTTGGCGTTGATATCGATAGGTATGGTGGAGATAAGATCCTGAGAGCTCCAGAAGACCCTTTTTTGCACCTGGAACTTAGCTGCAGTATATAAACATGTTCAAAGGGCCATTTCATCAGTTGCAACCTCTCGCGATACTTCCAACGTGGTATATGAAGGATCTGGATGGAGAGCCCAACGGTGATGAGCTCTCAAACTCTGTTTTCACCCCACCTTCATTCCACCTAAATTTATCGCCAGTTCGTCGCCGTCATTTAATCACCATATTGGAATATTTAGACGTGCAAACCACAAACCAAAACTACCCTTCAACTCGCAGTGGCCGTTTTACCGTAGTTGTAAAAATTTGGTATCGTTTGGCCCAGTTTTGGGAGACTGATAACACATTTACTGCTGGTTCTTGGTCAATCTGGATCTCACATCCCCCTGGATCGCTTGTGGGACTAATGGTGGGTCCATGTACGTATTGCAGAGCGTGTACTTATTGTTGGTGAAGTCATACTCATTTGGCTACAAGTAGTTGCAATTTCCAACGCGAAAGACTCATTTCTGGTGTAGACTCATTTCTGGTGCAGTTACTGATATAATATATACTCCTCCACGGTTCGTTCGAATTCGAACATGCGGGTACCTTGTTCCATTCTCAGAGCTGGCAGTTTAATTTAAATATATACAGCACATCTTGAAACATGCATGGACAGGGTTTTGACAGCTGAAATTGGAGCTAGTGTAGCGAGATGCAGCTGTTAGTGGAGAAGACCTGAGAGCAGACGTGGGTGTCTCGGAGACGAGCTGACGAGCTGTTTGTGTCGTATTTTCGACCCGTTTGGACTCGTTTGGACTCGTTTGGACTCGTTTCTACATACTACCTTGTTTTTTTTGGCATTCCTCACAATCCATCGTAAACTTTTGTCAAATCCACCAGGGGTTAGGTTGGAATGAATGCTACTTCGGAGTCAGTAGCCGTGTGTGTAATGTTGGTGTGTAATGTTGGCGTGTAATGTCGGCCGTGTAATATTGGCCAGCAGCATTCTTTTGGTATGGAGAGCCGTTTGTTGGGTCGCGTGACTCTATTACTCCTTCGTCCTCTCCTCCTTGTTGACCCTCACTTGCTTGCAATGTCATGTCATTATCTCCGGTCTGTTCTCGTTTCATGTCCAACCAGTTGCGGATTATAGCGGGTATTAGAGTTGGATATGCATCGAATGTGGAGCAGCAGGAGCATAAATTACTGCATGTAGTGCACTTGTACTATCAACCAGACGAGTGCAACTAGCATTAATGGACGTAATAGTGAGATTGGAGGTGATTTCCCACGATATAGACATGAAGGAAAATATTTCCCGACCAATTTCGGTTTTTTTTCCACGGCTATTACGATCCCCCTGATAGTCCAGTCCCATCCTCTTGCCTGCTATTTATGCACAGCCCAAAGTTTAGCGAGAGAGTCAAGAGGCAACTTGAGACACCTATTCAGAGTGCGCGCTCACCCAGACAGCTTTCCAGGCATAAATCGAATTGATCACAGCTCTTCGACACACACACCAGCGACACAAGGTCTTCTGAACGTGCCTTTGACATGGCGCTTTTCAGAGTACTCACTCTCCTGAGCCTGGCTCTTCTGGGGGCAGCTCAGTACTCGCCAGAGGAGCTCCAGGGGTACTACGGGCTGGTGGAGCCGACCAATCGCACACAAAACAACTACAACTCATTCAGCCTCACGGTCGAGGGCGACTACGTGTCCAACATCCAGGCTCTGACGGTGGAGACCGACAAACTGGCCGGACTCAACTCGGCAGCTGCAGTCTCCGGCAACCTGCGAATGATCAGTGGAAACTACACGGGGCCGGCGCTGGACTGGTCCAATGCGGCCCTCATCGACTGCGACAACACCACCGACGTTATCGATGCACTCAACGAGGTGCTCATCAACAACCCGGCTTGCATGATTCTGTACTCATTGAACTCGGACGCTTGTCACTTCACACGGCCATACAGAGTCTTTTCGGCCGATATCGGCTTCGTGTTCACCACGGTCTCGGCCAAGGGAGCCCAGTCACTACTGGAAAAGGTGCAACAGTCGCCTGTTCTGCTGCATTCAGTCGCTTGGCTTAATACCACATCTCTACCAGATGATAATACCCCCGTGGTGGATGATAAGGGCCCCTCCAGGGATACAAAGATCGCCATGGCCGTTCTTTACTGCATTTGCGGCGTTCTAGCACTAGCCGTCGTTGTTCTCATTTCTCTGGGCATATGGAGAGTCCATCGTCACCCCGAACGGTACGGATTGGCTCCTCCTGACCAGACAGATGAGGAACGCGAAATCTCCGACGATTTCAACAACGGCGGTGGCGACGTATACACCCCGCCTCCAACAAGAGTGGAGAAGGCCAAGGGTCTTGCACGGGCTGTTTTGGACGCCATTCCGTTGATGCGGGTCATGATTGGAAGCCAGGAGGACGAGAAGGACAAAGGTACAGCTCCAGGTGAGAGTTCCAGTAGTCCGGCCATGTCCACGCATAAGCGGGATGTTTCTAATGTCTCTGTCAAGTCTAGTTGTGACATGTCTCGAATGGAAACATTACCTGTGTACATTCAGGAAGACGACAACTGTGCCATTTGCTTTGACAACTTTGAGGACAACCAGATCATTCGACAGCTTCCTTGCACGCATAGATTCCACGCCGATTGCGTGGATCATTGGTTGCTCAACTCGTCTTCTCAGTGTCCCATGTGTCGAATGAATTTGAGAAAGGAAGAGAACGAGACAACTGAGAACGAAGCAACCACTCCATCCACACATACACAAACGCAGACGGCGCAACCACAAACTACTTCTCAACAGCAACCGTCAGTCATCACGGTCACTCAACGGGACCTCAACATCTCTCTGGCCACCCGAATCATCGACTGGTGGAACATGTTGTGCCTCCCTGAAGACGCACGAGCCGAGGCCCGAGAACGACTCAACCACGAGTCGGAACTGCGTCGCAAAATCAGACAACTGCAGCGGTCCGACGGTACGCTGATGCCTAACGACGGCATTGTTGCTACTGACGATGGAGCTTTAAGGGTGTTGCTGGACAACAGACCCTTGCAAGCTCCTCCGATCGACGTTCCCTTGTCAGAGAGAATGCTCGTTCCAGGCCCTGATCTGGATCTCAACAATGTCGAGGCTCCTGTTCCGAGGTATTCCGTGTTACCGGACATGAGCGCAGCTTCCGAGTCGGTCTACAACCGAGACTCGGTGTCCCTGCCCCAAGCCTGTCTTCTGCCTCAACTAGATCTGTCTGAGTTCTCTGTTGATGTGGATGGTATGAACACACACTACGATACGAGTACCGGTACTGGGTCTGATATCGACACTGACATTGGAGACGTTACCAGAGTCGACACGCGTGACGCTACTACAGCTCATGTTGATGGTGACTGTGCTTCCTATGTTGAAGATGCCAAAACTAAAGAAGCTAACGAAACTGCTTCCGACGCTCTTTATGACCCAGCCTCCGACACCCTCGAGCTCGAGACGCTCAGAGATGCCTCTGCCGCCTGTGAAGACGGCCCCGCTGCTCACGGAACACACCAAGACCCCGACTTTGAATTCGACTTTGAAAACACCACCCATTCTAAACCTATTTAATCCTTCTACAAGTAGACAAAGACTACAGCCAAATATTGCATATTAATATTCATTCTCCGTCATGCGTAAACGTCCTTGTGCCTGTACTCGTAGTGGTTGCGCTCAGATCCACTGGTTCTTATCCCACTGAGGGTCCTGGATGAAGGCACACAGAACCTTGGAGCCGGTCTGCAGCAGAGGATGGCCTGCAACGGTCTGCAGAAACTTTTCCAGACCCTCACGTCGAGCCTCAATCACCTCGTCGGAAAACCGGTTGGTGAACACCTTGCCAGGTAAGCTGGGGATGGACACCCGTGTGCTCTCCCGCTCCAGAATCTCTCGGAAACACTCAAAGTCCGAGTACCGCCTTCGGACCACGGAGGATTTGAGCTTGAACACGGGGATGTTGGTCCGGCATACGATTTCGTAGTCAGTGTACATTTTTCGGGCGATTCCTGGGTTAGCAATAGTAGTCGTGTAGAAATACCAGTGGAGAAACAGGTTGAGGGTGGAGGGTTGTAGGTAGAGGACTAAGTCGTCGTCGCAATCAGCCTGGCTGGTGTCTGTTGATCCACGGCTGCTCAATTTGCCTCTCATGGGAGTGAGAGGTATGACACAGTATACGTGGCCGGCTAGATCGTGGATTGCAAACTAGTACAAGCTCTCCGACTGATCGGTGCCTTTCCCCTTTCGTGTCTACCTGTGTTCTGTGTCTGTTGATTCGCCGTCTTGTATTGTCTTCTTCTTGGCACCGGTGGGTAGTGTCATATTATTGGTCGTGTGACATGGCAGAAGGTGGTGACTGGATAGCATGAATATGGGCAGTAACAGGACATCTGGTAGTTGGCGGTCCTTCTGTCTGCGTCTGGTACTGCGCCGCAACCCACTCTATCATCTCTCAGCTCCCACCCCCCCAACAACATGTCTCAAGTGTGCTGTTGCTGATAAGGTGGTGGCCAGAATGATAATATCTACGCCATGAACCACCTCACAGGTAAGAGACATCTTCCTGTAGCCTTTGACAGCCGGTTCTCTGTCACGCTACCTCTGCGACTGCTTCTTGATGGCCGGATCGCCGACCGGTCTCTCATACTCACCATGTGTCTGGGGACTTCGGACCTCGATTTCGAGAAAGTTTTCGGGCACGCCGTAGATTTCGGCAAACGACTGCTGCTTGATGTCGGGCCGCTGCAGCGCCTCTGGCTTCTTGGGCGACGCCTCCATGGATGCAAATGCTCGTGAGCTCATAGTGTGTGTTGTTGGAGCCGGGTCAGACGGTGATTGTGGGTGATTATGCGGGTCCATGTAAAGTTGCAGTGTGGAGTGGGAGTGGCGATCAGCGAGGGATGTGACATGACACCACGTAGACCGAGATGAGGAAAGGGAATGGGAACAAAGGCGGCGCACATTCGGGGTTGTATATGCCAACGGAACCAGTTTGTGTCATTCGGATCGAAACCTGCTATGGCTTATGTAACTCCACACACACTGTCACCAGAGACAGTATGTGTGTCTTAATTAGCCACTCTAAGCCCCTGATAAGAGATACCACACTCTCCACCAAAAATATTTCACGATAGACAAGACACCACCAACTGCCGAAACAGAAAACAAAACAACCAATAAAAACCGAAACACATTGCGATAAACCAGCTTCAGTGGACCCGCTGACTAAACATCGCGTGGCCCCGTACCCTACAATACATATTGCATCGCACATGCACCAAGTCTGTGCACAATCACGACACCATGGAATATTCGCTGGTGGGGTTTCTGACCCCGTTCAAAATCGCTCTGGCGGGGCTCATCATGATATATCTTGATGGAGACATTGCCACAGACCGCATGTCTCTCATGCTCAAGCTACTTCCCTACGTGCAGGGCAACCATCTCGATCTGACTCTGGATCAGCTACTGGAGCTTACCGGCGACACAAGGACGATTTCGACAGGTGAAACGGTCCAGAAGGTGCTTCTGCGTCGGTTACAGGCCATAAAGTCGCTGGACGCTCTTGCCATGTACATTCTGTATCTGGATCGGTATCTGGATGAACCCAACGAAGCTCATCCTGATATTGAAGATGTACACGACCACCGTGCCCAGATTCCGCGTCTAATCAAACGTGACTCGTTCTTCTTTTCGTTTTTCCGAAAATGCTTTCTCTCGTTCGATTGCATGGAGTTTGACGAAATCAGTCGCGAATTTGAAGCTCTACAAACATGGCTGTCACGATCACGTCAGTTCCAAAAACTCGAACAGCCGCCCAACTACGACGATTCGATACTGGACGAGTCCGCCGTTGAGCTGGACGACGCCAGCGCCTTCTCCAGCTATATTCACGACTTTGTGGAAAAGTCCCACAACAATCCCAACTTGATGGCGTACTCGGACGTGGATCAGGTGGTCCAGCAGCATACCAAGGACATCCGGGAGAAGAAGAAACATCTGGACCCACAGATCGCGTCTCTGGCAACCAGCATCGAGGGCCAAGTGCCCCCTTCATTGCATCATATGGAATATGTGATCAGACACGAGGCACGTGACTCAAAGGCCCTCGACTACCTACATCAGTACTTTGACTACACTATGCATTCCGACAACCGCAGCATGTTCCACTATGCGCTCTTCAGTCTAGCTACTTTCCATGCTGACTTTGACTGCAATCTTGAAGCCTGCAGAGCTGCAGAGGAGGCTATCAACATGGCCAGAGAATCTAACGACCATGCCGGACTCGCGTACATTCTCTCGTGGTTGTACTCCTTTCTGGAGAACCGTCCCAGAGACAAGAAACTGACCCAGGCATTCCAAGATGAGCAGTTTGGCACACAGGAGCAGCTTCTCAACTTTATCAAGCGAAGATGCTCCTCGAACCCCACTCTGTACGTGCTGGGTCAGTTTTCCGAGACAAAACACATTATGGCCACGTCTGGGTCGCTGTCTCAGGCCCTGGAGTCTCTGTTCAGAGGCACTTTTGTGCAACTTCATCACGATCCCCAGACAATCAGCGTGGATCAATGTTTGTTGCAGTCCGTCATCTACTCGCGAATGGGAATCGGAGCACTGGCCATGGTGCCCCTAGATATGGCCCTCGAGTCGGATACAGATGTACCCCTGACTACAGTGCGAGATCTTAAGGCGTCTGTTCTTCTGGATCGGGGCCGGGTATTCGAAGCCACAGAGCTTTCTTCCGACCCGATCATTCAGCTGCGAGTTGCCATGCACCACGAAGACAGTGATCAGGTGGAGCGTCTATTAGCTCGATTCGAGTCCAATCTTGTCTACCCTCAACTCGAGTACCGCTACTTGGAGTTAAGCTGGGCACGGACCCAAAAGGGGTTCTCTTCTGCTCTTCTTGATTCTATTCAGGAGCAGATTGAGTGGATTGAAAGCAGGGGGCTTGATGTGTACTGGAAGCTGCGGTTTGTCTTACTCTATACTGAGTGTCTGATTGACCAACAGCCTCATTCCAGTCGAGCTCTATCGCTCACATTTAAGTGTGTGCAGCAGACTGAGGCGTCTGGAATCACCGTCCTACTTTTGGAAGCCATCCAGCTGCTGGCCAAGGTGCTGGTGGGGTCAGGGAACTATACCGACGCCATTTCAGTTCTTGACGCGTCCATGCCCAAGTGCTGCGAGACAGAGAATGCAGAACTCATTGGCAGGGGATATTCTCTGCTTGCAGATGCTGCTATCGGGTACTACCGAGTGTCTGAGATTAGCGATCTGCTCAATTCTGCAAACAGGTACTTGCATTCGGCTCTGCAATGGTACAGTAAGGTGGAGAAGAAACGGGAGTCACGGGATCTGTCGGCTAAGCTGTACCATCTGGCGAAGTTGAGGAAGGTCGATGATGCTACCCTGCATGCTTATGAGAAGAGGGCGTTGAGAGAGAGGGATAGGGAGTGGGAGTAGGGGATGGAAGACTTCGGGCTATATGTGAGAAGTTGGCGGAAGGAAAGGTTCCATAGGGGTCCTTGCACGTCTGCACTCTGAGGGATTTTTTCTGCATATCTGCTGACTCAGAGGGTGTTGGGGTTGGAGTACTCGGACTCAATGAGGTGGATAGATGGTGTACTTCTGTTTGAGATGACAGTATGTACTATATGCACTTCGGTTGAGAGGGAGGAAGGGGTACTGGCTGAGAGATGGGGCATACATGAGATGGAGTAGTACTTACTATAGTCAGAGTACAGACCATACGTATGTAGGTAATCGCATTTAATGACTTGTGTCGACATCTGTTGGTGATGGTCGTAGCTTTCGGAACATTGCACGACTTGAAGGCTCAAGGCTCCCAGAGGTCTCGTATGCAAGGATTTATTAAATTTTAGTACAATGTAGTCGTTTCCGAGACCGCCAAAAACGAGATCACGTCTCTCTTTCTTTCCCCTATCACCATTGATACATACTCTTTGGTTGTTTATATACTTAGTTGACATTTTGTTAGGGGGAAAGTCAGCTGGGGGTCGATATTTGGATGTACAGAAACGCCAGAAAAACAATAGTTACACAAAAGTGTCCAGGAACATGACACATTGAAGGCTATACAGTAGTACTCCGGTGTGGTCACACAATATTTGCATATTATCGCCATGGTTATGCCAACCCGAGATCTTAGTTTACTTGGGTTTAGTTGGGAACATTAGTAGCCATGTCTAATACTGATTTTGTAACGTGAATGATTAGTATTTATTGGCAGAGTATCAACAGCTGGCTGATAGACACTATGCTCAACGTCCAGCTTCACTAGACCACCAGCTGTCGTATCCGTAGAATCTATATTACACTATGTACAAATTTGGTTCCACTTAGGTGGACAGCATCTTGACAACGAGCTCAAAGGTGCCAAACATGATGATGGAATTGGGCACTGTTCGCAGCAGATGCGGTGTCAGACCTCCGTAGAGAGCCAGGAAGCCCTCCTCCTTGACCACCAGCTTGAAACACTGGACTAGACCGGTGTATTTGAGTCGTCCTCCGGTCTCCGAGGGAGCCTGTCTCAATCTGGTTCGAACAACCTCATGAGGGTAAGTGACGAGCGAGGCCATGAGCTTGGCAGCTCCGGCAGCTCCACTCTGGGCCGACCAGTCCAAAAACGAGTCCAGCGACGTTCGCTTATATCCGTGAATCTGTCTCTGCTTCTCCTTGTTTCGAATGAGCTGCTTCATCTTCTCGTAGAGCACCCACTGCAGGGTGGACTCGGAGGCGCCCAGATACGACGCTGTCAGACCCTTGTAGAGACCTCTGATTCCCTCCGTTCGCATCACCTGCCTCAGACAGTCCCACGAGTTTTTGTACTGTCTGAGATGGGTCTCTGGAGAGGCCTTGTCCAGCTGCAGACGGGTCTTGATGAGCCAGATGGGGTTAGTGCATGTGGATGTGACGATGCCGGCGTTGGCGGCGGCCAGCAGGTGAACCCACGACGCTTCCTTGCCGTCGTTGAACTCCTTGGCGATGAACTCCTTGCCCACTCCGTAGGTGAAGAAGTTGATGGATCTAGAAGGGATGACGCCGACCAGATTGGGCCCCAGACCCTTGAACAGCGCCCGATAGCCCTCCTGTCTGTAGATGTTTTTGAGAATGCTGCCGGTCTCGACAAAGTGCAGCCAGGCGTTTCGGAACGGGCCTTTGGGGTTGCCGTAAGCAGTTCGCATCTCTGCGAGCTGTGTTTTGTAGAAATCAGCCTGTAGACGGGTCTTGACAACGTCCAGAGGACAAGTGAAGACAGCTCCGGTCATGCCTCCGATACCTCCCGCCACAAAATGGACCCAGGGCGAAACCTGGACCACCTGGTCCACGGGCGTCGCCTTGTCTTCCGAAAGCCGCATCGCAGGGTATGTCGCGGAGCCCTCGTCGCTCTCCAGCGTGCTCTTGGGTCGTACGTAGTCCTTCATGGTAAGTGACGTTGAGCAGTTAATCTGGAGATGCAGGATCTTTTTTTTTTTTTTTTTTGACCGAGTTAGTTTAGATTTTTTCCGTAGGATTTTTCACCGCTTAGAGTTTGGAGATGAGAGAGATCAGGGAAGGAAATGTTGGCCGACGAAGCCCATAAAATAGAGCCCTTAACAGAGAAATGTAGTCACGTGACAACCGTGAACACGTGTTTTTAATCCATGTCTTTGGTCTGTCAAATTTCCGTTTTACGCCCCGATCGATCACCATTCTATCCCTCCTGCCAAGCCTTGCGGTTCAGGAAGCAATCATCAGACAGACGTAGTAAGCGTAGGTAAGGGGGAGGGGCTGAGGGATGTTGGAAGGGGTTATGAGTAAGAGCGAGATATTGGAATATTCTAAACTACAGATTATGAATGAACATTTGTCGACAATGCGAAGAAACCGAGCCCAACCGGCTATATCAGGGTCTGTACTCGTCAGTATAACGCAGCTCCAACGGCCAAGCAGGGAAGAAGTTTAAAAGCGAGTGGAGCAATTTTGATACGGGATGGAAGAAGATGGATGGATGTCATGGGACCTGTTCTGCCATGTGTATTTCTGCTGTCACGTGACACGAACCTGAATATGCCAAAAAAATCACTGCCGACGAGCTTTCATCGGTTCTTTTTCGGGGCTTTTGCAACCGGTACTTGTACATACTGTACGTTACTGTGTGTATCTATAGTATGCTCAGTGGATGACGACTTTCCGATCTAAATGTGGGTTTTCGGTTTACCGAGCTCCAAAAAGCCGGGAAACGGCGGTTGATCTTGCGGGATATCCTCATATTTGCTCCATTTTGCTCCACATTCTCTTGACAAGTTGGAGAACTATTTCAGATGTTTCAGAAATTTTCATTTTTTTTGCTCGAAACTTTGACGAACCGTGGAAAACGTTACTGACATGGTGGAGACATGGAGAAAACGCCAGGCGGTAGATCTGGATCTAGAGAACATTTTGAATGTGCGAAAGCTCTGGGAATCTTTATGGAAAACGAGATGAATGGGGCAGTTGTCATGATCACCAGCCAAATAAAGTTAACTTAGACTCCACTTAAGCCTTTGTTGACAGGGTCTATTTGCATAATCAAAATTACGCCCTAATTGGGATGTCTGCTGAAGGGTGAGCGACAGGCCCAACTGGATGCTGGCGGGTGGATGGTGGAATGACGGCGACAGGAGAGGGGTGTAGTAGGCTATAGGCGGTTATAGGGGGGACATTACGATAGTCGGTTATTGATAGACTAAGTGGTTGTCAGGGTTGCGGTATTGAACCCTTGGAGAGATTGGATGGTAAGACGACTGCTGCTACTAAACCCACTCTGTTCATAACCTCTCTTATGGTGGAGGGCTGCGATCAGGTGACCAACTGTTCAAGTGGCTCGCTGTGTTTTATTACTCGTTCTGTACTTGAGCAATGTGTATATCATGTATATAAATTTCCTGTCAGGTCTCTATATGGTGGTTATTGATGGTCCCTTGGATTGCCAGATTTGAAGTTGTCCAGAATACTTTGGAAGTTAGTTGGAAAATAGTTGTTGGGAAAAGTCCACTGGGGGTTCAAGATGGAGGTTCCCGACGTGGCACAGATATATGGAGTATTTAAAACGGCAGCATATGTTGAATATTTTTGAAACTAAACAGTATTGATAACTTTTCTACTGATTTTCCAAGTTGTCTTCGTTATGGAAACAATGGTGTTTATATTTTAGTTGGATTTTTACTTGACTACAGGCGTTAGATTTGGGCGGGAATAAAAGGGAGTATATTCGAGCAATATATATATATATATATATAACACATAGTCTCTATAAAAACTAGTCCATTCCTCTCTAATGGACAGAACTGGCCATGCCACCTGCTCATTAGATTGTGAACTACTTGTAGTGGATAGAGTGTCAGCAGTATCCTGGCGTGTCTCAATGGTAGACATGTAGTAATCATCTGAACGAGGCTCAGGCTTGAGGGGTGGTCCTTAAAGATTGCCAGTGGTAGACAAGGCCATAAGTGGTCACGCCAACATGTACTGCAGATCATGTACCAGGAACGACGGAGAGCTGCAATACCTGATAGCACCGGTGGTCAGCAGGTTGATGATAAATGGTTTTCAGGAGATCCTAACAGAGCCAGAGTGTAACGAAACAGCACCGTTGACCTTGACTCTACCTCGATAGCTGTGGACTAAGTACCAGCGATTTTAATCCGGACTCGACCAGGGACCAGGTATCTTGCCCAAATCTTTCTGGTCTAGCTTGGGTGACTGGTTTCCCGTCGATTTTGAGCGGGCCGCGTCTAACTTCGCCGGACGTTAGCTGCCAGACTACATACAACAGAGGGGCGGTTGAGTCGCCAGTCTCGATTTGTTAGGGGGGAAGTAACGGTCTGAGAGGTTTCGAGTTTCGGATCCGGAGATGACTGCAGATCGACTCGGAACCGGGCGCCCTGTACCAATGGAATGGACTGGGTGAAGGTCCCTCTGGGGATCCATCCGAGTGTTTCAGCCCAACGGCTCTCTGCGACAATCCCGAGTGCGGGTTCGACATCTTTCTGGTGAGCACTTTCACCACCTCAAGAGTGCCTTCAAAGCGATGGCTCTTCCCTCTTCGTAGACCGGCTCAGGGTCGTCAAAAACCATGTGTCGGAGAGTCGGGCCGTGGTATCTGAGCAACGTCTCCTATGCCACTTTCACCGAATTGCCGAACGGAGACTGCAAATGCGAGATGTTACTCCAAGTTGACTGGCATCTCTCGAACTCGTACCACAATCGACACGGTATGTTCCCGTATGGCAACCTCGTTACTTGTCTTACTATAAATCATCGCCTATTGCTCATCTACTGGACATTGGTTAAGTATCGCTTCACTTCACTCACTTCACTCACTTCACTCACTTCACTACAAATACTGGAGTCTCCTAATAAGATACAATTTTATTATGTCACTCTCGACCGCTTAGATGAAAGTCTCGTAAGCAAGAGGAGCAACGGTGAGAGGGTAGTTGGTCTCGTCGATGGCAAGGGTCTTGGCCTCTCGGGTGGCGCCGGGCTGTCGTCGGAGCTGGACAATCTCGTTCTTGGCCTTGGCCTCCTTTCGCTTGAGATCGTTGGCCTTGACTCGGTCAAGGAACTCCTGTCGGCACTTGGAGTGCTTGATGTGCTCGATTCGGAGGTTGATTCGCTTCTCCATGAATCGGTTGCCAACAACCTTGTTGATGATGACGCCAACAGCGGACTTGGTCACGTTGTAGACGATTCCAGTTCGGCCGTGGTAGAACTTGTGGGGCATACCCTTCTGGATGGAACCGTTGGCTCGGATGTCAACAATGTCTCCAACCTTGTAGGTCTTCAAGTAGACGGACATGGGGATAGTTCCGTTCTTCTTGAAGTCCCGAGAGAACATGTATCGGGTTCTGCTTCTGTATCCGTGACTGAGTTAGTGTGAGTCGGTGGTGTGGTTTGACAGACAGACTGTCTGTCTGGGCTGAGCTGAGCTGAGCCGAGCGCGAGACATAGAAGGCACTCCGGGCACTGGATTATCGGAAGAACACAGGCTTCTCCTCGATCCCATGGCCTCTCTAAAACAACGTCCCATAATGCCCCCACGCCTAGCCTCCCGAGTCCGCTCTATTCCCAAACGCCCACTTCACCCTGACAGTCATACTGCCGTCCGTTCATCCCTCAAATCGCAAGAACTTACCTCTTACCCATTGTTGATTATTGTCGTTGACTTGCAAAGAAAGAAAATCAGAGCGTATTTTCCTTTTGGTGAAATTGTTTGTGCAGGTTGGGAGGGGCGCAAATAAGGTTCCGGTCGGGTGTGACTGTTTTTTCAAACTCAGACTAATGTCACGTGATATTTTGGGAGACCACCGAGGGCTACTGAAGGGATAATGGTAGTGGGGAGGAGGCGAAAAACGGAGTGGAATGGTTCATGGACGCTTTGTACGGATGTTACAAAGATTTTCAAGTCGTTATTACGTTTCTGACGGTCAAATAATGGAGTCTAGTATGACCACAGAATTCAACAGACAAATTTGGGTTTCAGGGTGTTTCCCGATTTGGAAGAGATCCCAAAATGCCACTCAATGTGGTATCAAGGGGTGATGGGGTGAGATTATGAGGTCTGAGAGATAGGAGATTGATTCTAAATAGGAAAAAGTGCATATATCGGTTTTTTTGAGTGGATTTTGGACCGTTATTGGGGGAGTTGAGATGAACGGGATTTTAGTTGATATTTTATTGAAGAATCTTATTTTAGTGGGGGATATTTGTTGGTGGAAGAAAGGGAGGTACTTGCTACTTGTAGCTGGCGAGAGAGGGAATTCTGGAGATACTTGAAGTCGTATATTTGTTTAACGACATGTATTGGTGGATATTCTGGGATTTTATTGCTCACAAATCATGTATTTGTACCACTTTGTGTAGTGCTATTATTGGCAGTACGTTTTACCGTATCGCAGGCATGGTGCGACTGCTGGGCCACCCTTCAGGTGTGCCTGGACTGGCTCTTATTAACTAAGGAGGAAGGCCAGGGATTTGGAGCTTCTACCAGAATATTATATGACGATTAGGAATGTACAGTGAGAATTTCAGGCAGATCTGGGCACTATGAGATGTAGAGATTGGGCAGTGGTTTTGCTCAAGTATTGGTTGATTATGTTAACAAATTATGAAGTAAATTATCTGATTCTGCCAACTACAGATTGTAAAAAAATACGAACAGATCCAATCATCGAAACTTGTAGAGTCCAGAACAAGTGACCGCAATGGCCCTCTGCTCACAAACGGAACGTAGAGATTATCAAACATCACCATATCAAGAGTGAGCGTTGTGAGCATTGTGAACATGAAAAGAGCATCAATAACGTCCATCTGAGCCATTGGGATGGGTACAAGTAGGTACCTACGTACAATCACCGGCACCGACCCAAGTTCAAGTACTTTTTATGGCTCTGCTGTACTTGATTGAGAGACATTCCAACTCTGTTTAACCGTCTGTGGAACATTGAATCACTTCTCGGCCCCCCAGAGCGTGTCTGACTACTCTAAGCACCGTCCCGTATGACTCTGGTGATTATTGCAGCAAGACTCGGTTTAGCAAGAGTATGAGAGGGTTAGTAGCCATCGAGACAGATGGAGTGCCTGCCAGTTCTGATGGTCAGAGTTGTCTTGCCAACAATGAACTTGACCATAATCGATCTGACAGTCTACAGTACTTGTAGTCTCCACTTACGTCTACTTGAATTGGGCACACTAAACATGCATTTTTATTAATCTTTCGATACTTTTTGAGCTAGAAAAGAAGAAGACGATTACTCCTCGTCCTCCTCCTCCTCGGCGTCCTCGGAGGCACCCTTCTGGGCGTTCTTTCGCTTAACTCGGCCGGGTCGTCCTCCTCCGTAGGGAGAGTTGAGGGCAAAGTCAATGTGCTTCTGGGACTCGAGTCGAACCATGAAAGAAGGAACGTTGACAATCTGCTTGCCGACTCGGATGTGTCGCTGAGAGATGAGCACTCGGGCGTGGTGGATGGACTTGGCCAGACCGAGCTTGAAGACCTGGGTCTGCAGTCGTCGCTCGAGGAAATCCTCGGGGGAAAGAGCCAGAACGTAATCGAGCTTCATTCGGTCCTCGGGAAGAACACCGAGTCGAACCAGTCGTCGGATCAGAGCGTTACCCTCGAAAAGTCGCTTGGGGTCCTTCTCGTCTCGGGTAAGCAGCTCTCGGGCAGCTCGTCGGATCTTGGACAGCTGGAGACCGATTCGGTAGATCTCTCGCTTGTTCTTGAGACCAAACTCACCGTCGAGCTTGAGCTCGGCATCGAGACGAGCAGACTCGTAGGGTCGGTTGGGGGTGGAGGCGGTCTTGGAGTAGGTTCGGGGGGCTCCTGTTGTTAGTACTGAGCGTAGGAGGCTGTAGGTCGCCGAGCGGACCCACCATAGTGGTGGTTCTCACACGTGACCCTTCACCAGGTATTTCGATTTGGTATCACTGTCAAACGTCGGGGTAGTAGTAGTAGCAGCAGCAAACGATGCTCATAATCACTCTGGCTGGAGAGATTGTACCGACCGATATCGACCGATACAACTCGCCCAGCTGAACAACCATGTAACAAATAACCAACCCCAGTCAGTTATAATGACAGTGACAGCAGTTCGTCATAAGAGTGTACTTACGAGGCATTTTGAGATTCCGTGTTGTCGACTGGACTAAGATGAAAAATGCAAGTTGGGAGTATGTAGGGCCCATGAGTCGGTTGGAAAAGCAGTCACATCATGTGACATGCATAAAGTTTAAACGATAGATGGTAGTGACGATGAGCCCGAATATGGGCGAGACCAAGTGTAATCGTTCAGCGATGTATTTGATGGGATCGTAGCTCATCATTTGGATTGAGTGAATTTATGCCCAAGAAATTTCTCAATTAAAAAAGCTCATAATCTGTTATTACAAGTAAGGTTTTAGATGGAGAGAAGTTTATTTTGTCATAATCTGTGGGCTGAAAAATATCAATATAAAAAAAACAAATAAAAAAAAGGGTCGTAGGTGATTCTACAATAAGGCGTTTCGCCTCATCAATACCGCCGCCGGGTTCGTCACTTTGCCCGTTCTACTCGCCGTGCTGACTATTAAAGTTAATCATCGCCATATTCAATATTCTGCCAGTTGACTCCCAAGACTCTCGACAAAACCAACACATCTCGAAATGGAAGAGGAAACGGGCCCCAAGGTGACCGTGCGAAAGATCGAGCCGGATTCGGTCGATCTGGTGCTTCAGAATGTCGATTTAGCGTGAGTATTACGAGGGCCACACGGCCTCTCGGCGGATGTTCGACGATGGATTGAGAGAGGAGAGAATCGTGTTGTGGGGAGATTGTGCGGGAGACACAGACGTGATACGTTGTGAGGGGTATCAAGAGACACAGACATGATGTCATGTGATGGGAGCGATGTGTGAAGGGGATTCGATGAGGTGGCAAGATGAGATGGTGAAGGAGAAGGTGGCAACTTGATGGATGCCAACTTGATTGGTGGAGTGATTTGCTGCTGAATGAATGTGACTTTCGAGACTAAGGTGTCATTTGGTGACTGTCAAACAAGCAATGGGAGGACGATGTCTACGGTCTGATTCTTGGCCTGGGCCTGGTTCTGATCCTCGTTCTTGTTCTGTTCGGATGATATGTTAATGTTACTCTAAAGATGACCATGAGTTCAGTTGGAATCATTCTTCACACTACCCCCTCGAAACTACTGCTTCAGTGTCGATACCATATGTCAGGCGGGGTCTCCTTAGACATAGACTGCGGTACGTCGGGAGAGCGTGGAGACTGCCATCACGCGCTCTATCAGACGAAGTATTCCCAGGCATATCAGACTCACGCGCTACCCGAGGATATCTTCGTGTAAGCCATTCAACAGATACATTCCACAGATACATTCCACAGATACATCCAACAGATACATCCAACAAACTCAATCCAACTTTTCTTACATTTAACGGGTCCTCCCACTCTCACCTAGATCTGATGCCGTTTAATGCGAGCCAGACTCACCATGACCTCTACCTGACGCCCAGGTATATATACTGAAGTTGCTCCTGGGTTACCACGGCTCATCATCTGACTTTGTTTTGCTGAAGTTCAGCTGAACCCGTCTTTCCATCAGGCGTCACTGTTTAGGTAGTTTGGACCCAAGACTGTCTTTCCACTCGCTGAAATCGAGAGACTGCCTCGTCTTACGTGTTTTTGCCTGAAATGACAGGTTTTGTCGGTCTCTGGAATCTAGTGTTGTTTCAATGGGATGATATCATCACGTCTTCTGCTTCGCTCAAGGAGAAAACTTCCTGTCTGCCTAGGAATCACGTCCGTCTCTGAGTCTCCTCACTGGCTCTCACTGCTCGAAGCGCAAGTGTTCACTCTTACTAACCCAGCCTTGCCAACTCTCTCCGACGAGTCATGCTGGCCGAGATTCCCACGCTCGCCATCGACCTGGTCGAAATTTCCACAAACACCTCCGTGCTCGCTGACGAGTTCATTTCACACCGTCTGGGTCTCATTCCGCTGGACTCCCAGGACGTGAACGATCTCGAGTACAGTCGAGACTGTGTTTGTGACGAGTATTGCGACAAGTGCTCCGTTGTGCTCATGCTGGACGCCACGTGCACTGGCGACGACACCATGGACATCTACTCCCGTGATCTCATGGTGCACACTACCCCCGAGCGGCCCGAGCTCGGCAAGCCCATCTACACGGACCCGGCCAAGAAGGGCATTCTCATCTGCAAGCTGCGTAAGAACCAGAGTCTGCGCATCAAGTGCATTGCCAAAAAGGGCATTGCCAAGGAGCACGCCAAGTGGAGTCCCTGTGCGGCCATTGGCTTCGAGTACGACCCCTGGAACAAGCTCAAACACACCGACTACTGGTACGAGGAGAATGCCGAGGAGGAGTGGCCTCTGAGTAAGAATGCAGACTGGGAAGAGCCTCCCAAGGAGAACGAGCCGTTTGACTACAATGCCAAGCCCAACAAGTTTTACATCAACGTGGAGGCTACCGGCGCCCTGACGCAGTACGAGGTGGTGCTGCGAGGCATGCAGGTGCTGCAGAAGAAGCTGGCTGAGGTGGTGATGATTCTGGGCGATAGGGACGGCGCCGGTGGTGCTGCAGGCCGAAACGGAGGCCAGACTCAATATGGAAATGAGACCCAGTACGGAGGAGGAACCCAGTACGGAGATACTCAGTATGGAGGACCTACGTTTGGAGGTAATGACGAGGGATTCAAGTCCGAGTATGGGACCAATGGAGGGTGGTATTAGAGGAGGGAATATGAGGACCTAGTCCCTTTTTTGCCGATCCAGGACAGATATCCTGGAGAAGTTTCGAGTGGGAGAAGTCATTTCAGTGAAGAGTCGAGCCCCCCACCATGGCAAACTCCGACGAGGAGATGGATAGCATAGCTGGAAGTGTGGACCCAATCTATCTCAGGTACAAATGTCTGGGTCGACTGAGTACTCGTACAAATATTGGAGGAATGTGTAACTATAGGAAAATTAATTATTACAAGAATGCGATGTTTGTACCGACAAAGACTGCTTCTATTTCGAGTTTTTGTGTGACAAAGAAAATGACCCGGCTCAGAATTGGCAGCGCTTCCCGTTGATAGTCATATTATATAGAAGTACAAGTATTCTTAAGTACATACTTGGGTCTACTGCCGTCTGTTCTAGTGTCCCAACCAAACTCAAGTAGATGAGAGATGTTCAATTTGCTTCAGACGGCTCCAGTCGCATTATTTATATTGTAATGTACTGTTTTGAAAGGTCTTAATGATAATTCCATCTGGGGGATACATTATGTGACATTTTATTTTTCTCTGGGATGCTTGGAACCCTGGATTGGAACCCCCAGCGGACTTTTTCCTTAACAAAAGTTCAACTATAGTACAGTATGTACAAGACAACTGTGGAGACTAGGACACACCACGATCGTTCTGCGCGGAAGGCATACTATTGGAGTTGTAAATATGTTTGAATGTGCTAATACCGACACTTGCCATTATTCTATTCTCATTCTGGAGCTACTTGTTCAGTTGTTTTTTCCATCTTTGTTTCCTTTTTTTCCCCTTTTTTTCCCCCTTTTTTTCTTATTTTATTTATCAGACTCTACTCTACTCTACCCTCCTCCATTGGTGATGCTTGCACTACTATAACAACAACCTAATGAAAATCGTCTAAACGAATTCATGGAAAAAAACGCCCCTCTTCTGACACTCCAGTACCGCTACTGGTCTCTTCGCGACCGCCTCCACATGACCACCAGATGCGAGCGTGCAGCTACTGCATATATGCAGAAATAAATATCTTTTTAATGCACCAACTTTCGATCCTCATCACTACAACTACAAGATGGCGAAAAAAGAAACCAAACACACGCCGCTGACAAAACTCAAGTTCCAGGACCCCATCTTCGGCATCTCGTTCCACCCGGAACAACCGCGGTTCGTCGTGGGCTCGTCCACAGGAACAGTGACGGCATACAAGTACAGCGTGGACCCACAATCCGCTACCTGTGGAGCCCCCGAGGTGGTGTGGACCACCAAGAGACACAAGGGTAGCTGCCGGGCGCTCATCTACTCGGAGGACGGCTCATCTGTCTACTCCGTGGGCTCTGACGGAGTAATCAAACGAGCCGATTCCCAGTCAGGCAAAGTGCGAGCCAAGAACACAGAGTCCCTGCCCTCCACGCCGTCGTGCATCGTGCGATCCGAGGCGTACGTGGCGGTTGGATGCGAAGACGGCTCGATTGTAGCGTTCGACAAGACCAGTCTGGCAGAGAAACACCGGGCCGAGGGAGCCCATGACGGAGAGTGTGTCAACGCTCTGCTTGAGCTGACTCATCAGAACAAACACTCGTTTGCATCGCTCGGCTCAACTACCGCCTGTGTGGTCGACGTGCGGAAGGGCGTCAAATCCACCTCCGACGACCAGGAAGACGAGATTCTGTGCGGAACCATGGCGGCCAAAGACATGGGAGTGTGTGGCATGTCCCAGGGACAGATCACAACGTGGACCCTGGGATTCAACGACCAGCAGAACCGAGTCAAGCTGTCAGAGGAGTCCATTGACGCTGTTATCGGCGCGGAAGACGACTACGAGGTGTACGCTGGAGGAGGAGAGGGAATCGTGTGGCTGGCCAACGTCAAATCAGGCAAGAAACTCGATCAGTTTGTGCACTCGCGCAACGACGAGGTTTCGTTTCTTGACCTGGATTACCAGTACCGGCTCGTCACGGCTTCCATGAACTCGCTCAAACTGTGGCCCACGGCTGACGACGAGCAGAAACAGGCCGAGGTGGCTGCCGCAAAGGGAGCCGAGGAGGAACAGAAAGCTGCGCCGTCTGGACCGCCCCGAAAGAAGCACAAAAAGGTCAAGAACAAGGCCCATAACCCCGGAGTTGCCCATTTTGGAGATCTCTAAGCAGCCGCTGTTCAGACTCAGACAAGTCACTATTAAGATCATTGTATATATATCTATTCACAGAGTTGTGTCAGTTATCGAAGAAGAGCACACCAGGTTCGCCTGCACTTGTACTATCTATCACCATTCAAGTTTGATTCTATTCTATTAGTTGTTTTATGTACTGGTGGTGGAAAGGTACAGTGGGAAATTGCCCTCCTTCGAGCCGTGTCTAGTAGAAACCAGCCAGTCGCATACCCCAATCGGCAAGAATACCGGCAGACATGATATGACCGGTATTGATGTTGGATCGGAAGTGCTTTCCACAGTCGACGGGGTCGTCCAGATCAACAGTCTTGATCATCTTGCCCAGTCGGTAAGAGACCCAGGTGAAGGCCGAGTAGAATCCGGGACCCATGTCGGCGTAAACGCCGGCTCCAAACAGCAGACCCAGCTGGCCGAGAGTGAGCACAGTCATGATGGACTTGGAGTTGTCGCCCCAGGCAAGAGCGGTACTCTTGATTCCGGCCTCTACATCAAAGACCTTGTCCTGGTGGGCGTAGATAGTGTCGTAGACCATACACCATAGGAAGTTGGAGCCCCACAGCGACAGCATGACGGGCCAGCACCACACTCCCATGGCGGGAGGACCCAACAGAGCAGCCCAGGTGAAACACAGCGAAAGAATTGCCTGGGGGTAGTAGGTAAACCGCTTGAACAGAGGATAAGTCATGACAAAGGGCATGGACAGGGCTCCGAGCCACCAACAGTTCATGGGCAACAGCATGAGGATTCCGAGACCGGCAGCACACTGGGCTCCGAGGAAAGCCACGGCCTGCTTGACCGACACGTCGCCGGCAGCAATGGGTCTATCAAACGTTCGGGCGACCTGGGCGTCCAGTTTCCGGTCGAGAATGTCGTTGATGGTGCAACCGGCGGATCTCATGATAAAGGCTCCGATTCCAAACAGCGACAGCGTGTAGAGGGTGGGAGCGACGGCGGCGTGGCTCATGTAGGCCGCCATTCCAATTGACCACACTCCCGGGTTGAACAGCAGCCAGGTTCCCACGGGCTTCTCCATTCGCATCAGTCGGGCATAGGGGATCATGCTCTTGGGCAGAGAATAGACAAACCGTTCGGGGAGAGTCATGGCGGCTAGCTCCGCCTCTCGGGCGGCCTGGAACTGCGTTTTGAGATCAATTGTGGCCTTCTCAGGGTCCACAGGCTCTAACGGGGTGTTTTCCAGCACCTTGACCTCCTCAAGCAGCTCGTCAGGAACGGGGGTCTTGAGCTCCTCCTTGGAGGGAGCCTTGGGCAGATTCACCTTGTCGACGGACGAATAGAGGCGGGCGGGGTGGGACCATGTCAAGTGACGGATCGAGGCTCCTGTCGGTCGCACGACTCGGGCCAGTCTCAACGCTAGCATCGTGTTGTATCTGGGTGACTGGGGTTGGTGTCTGACTGCTCCTGTCTGTCTAACACCTTGCTTTCGGGAATTGACATTGGCAGTAGAGTATATGCAGCGTCTCAGGCTCGAACTGAATTGAGGTTAATAGTCAGGCAGTCGAACGAATAAATGGCGCACAAATGAGATGATGGGTTGAGGTGGAATGGCAATGGAAATGGGAGCATGTTTATATATAACTTGTTGCGGTTGCTGTCGATGTTTTTGTGTAACTAGTTGGTCTACTAGCACTCACTCTGGAGTGAACTACTTGCACTATAACTACCTCGGAGATAAGCATAAGTGGCCGTTGTAAAACGTTTCTCGGCTTTTGAAGCGTGCCAAATGTTACGCTGGAGATTGTCGGTGGTTGGTTGGACGTGTTTTTGTGGATTGGCACGTTCTTTCGGCGTCAGAATCCCCCCAAACCCCTTTCAAACGCGCCACTTTGTTGAAATCCAGTAGAATGCTTATTTACTTGACAAGCACTTAAGAGAGAAATCCTGCTGAGGGTTGGTTTTCGGTCATAGAGCTGAGTGTCGTCTGAATTAGTTCTTAGGAGATGTAAACGACCCTGTAGATTGCTCTCATTTCAAAATATCCTCCCTCTACAGTACAAATGTTTTGAAAAAATACTGTATTGGTGTTGGTCGCTGTTTTCTTGGTAGTTAACATGTTACTTAGATTAGCCGCTTCTACGATGACCCGATCGAACTCGTTCATCTTGTACCCGATTTGAATGATCTCACTCAGAAATTTCACTACTGACAGATATCTTACCATTTTCGTGTTAATCTTAGCCCCATCTCCTTTCAAAGACCCTCATCATAGCTACTGTTCTCCGTTTCGATCCCATCTAAGAAAGAGTCGATAGTGCCAAACAAAATATCTCGATCTCCACAGGCTCTTGGGGAAAGGGGGGGGGGGGGTTCGCTTCCTTTCAACGGGAGGCGAATCAGAACAAAAAAATGAATACAAGTTGCTCATACAAACCTCCCTGTCAGGTTTCCATTGGTGAAAAACAGCCACGAGCGCAACATCGTGAACGAGAAGATCAAGGACTACGCTGAATCACTCCACAGTCAGATCACTCCAACTGACTCGCTAAATAATGGGCACAACAATTCCAACTTTGACACACTAACTAATCTCGCCATTGTAAATAAAATGCACTTTTCGGATCTTCTCTGCGATCCCCACAGCCCACTCTAGGCGCATTCTCAACCCCCCATTCAACTATACGAGGAAAACGACCGATACACACGAACAAGAAGAAAAAAAAGGTTACACCACCCAAACACTAATCACACCAACATCACGACACTCCCGCAACATCTACAGACACAATATGATCCACCAGGCCTCCACCACCGCTCCGGTGAACATTGCGACACTCAAGTACTGGGGCAAGCGAGACCCTGCTCTCAATCTGCCCACTAACAACTCCATCTCCGTGACTTTGTCGCAGGATGATCTGCGGACCCTCACCACAGCCTCGTGTTCCCCTGATTTCACCCAGGACGAGCTGTGGCTCAATGGCAAGCAGGAGGACGTGAGCGGCAAACGTCTGGTTGCGTGTTTCCGAGAGCTGCGGGCTCTGCGACACAAAATGGAGGACTCCGACTCTTCTCTGCCTAAGCTGGCCGATCAGAAGCTCAAGATCGTGTCCGAGAACAACTTCCCCACCGCCGCTGGTCTCGCCTCATCGGCTGCTGGCTTTGCCGCCCTGATCCGAGCCGTTGCAAATCTCTACGAGCTCCAGGAGACCCCCGAGCAGCTGTCCATTGTGGCTCGACAGGGCTCTGGATCCGCCTGTCGATCTCTCTACGGAGGCTACGTGGCATGGGAAATGGGCACCGAGTCTGACGGAAGCGACTCGCGAGCGGTCCAGATCGCCACCGCCGACCACTGGCCCGAGATGCGAGCCGCCATCCTCGTTGTCTCTGCCGACAAGAAGGACACGTCGTCCACTACCGGTATGCAGGTGACTGTGCACACTTCTCCCCTCTTCAAGGAGCGAGTCACCACTGTGGTTCCCGAGCGGTTTGCCCAGATGAAGAAGTCGATTCTGGACCGAGACTTCCCCACCTTTGCCGAGCTCACCATGCGAGACTCAAACCAGTTCCACGCCACCTGTCTGGACTCGTATCCTCCCATTTTCTACCTCAACGACGTGTCGCGAGCCTCCATTCGGGTAGTTGAGGCCATCAACAAGGCTGCCGGAGCCACCATTGCCGCCTACACCTTTGATGCTGGACCCAACTGTGTCATCTACTACGAGGACAAGAACGAGGAGCTGGTTCTGGGTGCTCTCAAGGCCATTCTGGGCCGTGTGGAGGGATGGGAGAAGCACCAGTCTGTGGACGCCAAGAAGATTGATGTTGACGAGCGGTGGGAGTCCGAGCTGGCCAACGGAATTCAGCGGGTGATCCTTACCAAGGTTGGAGGAGATCCCGTGAAGACCGCTGAGTCGCTTATCAACGAGGATGGTTCTCTGAAGAACAGCAAGTAGGCAGGGGGCAGAAACAAGAATGGCCAAAGGTTACGCGCCAATGGCAACAGGTTTGTGACACGAGTGAAGCTGACACGAGTGTGTAGATAATTAATGTACATGTAAAGATGGAACTTTTTGCTAGGTGTTGTAGCACCAACTCGTTCAGCCGTGGTGCATATCAGGTACGCCTGCATCTTCTAATATACATCACATACAATTACAATAAAATTAAATATGGGTCATCTCAGCATCAAAAGTGAGTATCTACTCTTAGATGTCACTTTCGAGCTTCTCTCTGCTGTGCTCTCTCGTTTAGGTGTCTTACCACTTGCTCTCATGATCCTCAGTGACACCAAGAATCTCAATTTCGATGGGATCTCCCTCAACGGGCTCCAGAGTGCCCCGGAAAAGACCAACGGGCTGGATGTAGTAGGAAGCAGCCAGACCCAGATCCTTCTCCTCGCCTCGAGCGCCCTCGGGGTAGAAAGTCAGATCAACCTTGCCGTCGTCAGTTTTGATCTTCCACTCGCCCAAGGGGTTCTTTCGGTCAAACTCGAAAATGGCGTTTCCAACAGGGTAGATGTCGCCGTCCACCCAGATGGCGTTCTCGTTCTTGCCCATGTAGCCCTGCTGCAGGTTGAAGCCGAGGTCCTTGGTGTGAGCGGAGGCCCAGAGCCATTCGGTGTTTCGGGCCAGCAGACCGTTGGACGAGTCCAGGGAGGCCACGGCGTTCTCGGGCAGATCAAACTCTAGGTCCTTGGTCTTGTGATGCTCCTTAAGGAGCACGTGGCCCTTGATGGGCAGACCGGAGGTCTTGTGAGTGGAGTGGGCGATCCAGTTGGCTCGAGCGACGGAGCACAGGATGGGCGCGCCCTTGAGATCAATTTCGGCCTCAATGGCGAGCTTCTTGACGTCGACGGACAGCTTGAGCACGTCGCCCTCTCGGGTGAACTGGATCTTGTTGCCCAGAGAAGAGTAGAGAGCGTTTCCAAACGCTCGGTCCTGGATCTCGCACTTGGTCAGCAGAGGCACAGCGTTGGAGGTGTAGTGCTTGGTGACCTTTTCCTTCTTTCGGTCAAACATGTAGGCAAAGGCCGTGGACGACCAGCCGACATGACACACAGCAATACCAAAGAAGTAGTCGTCTGCGGCAATGCCAACGTACTCCCACTTCTTGTGGTGCCACTTTGTGTTGTAGGGCTTGGCCTCGAGGCTGTCCCAGGACATGTCCTTAATCTCTCCCTGGAAGATTCCAAAGTTGGGCAGGCCCTTGGAGACCAGCGAGTCGGGGGCCTTGGGGAGACCATTTTCGGTCGCAACCACCGCAGCCTCGTCGGCCACCGCCGCGTCGGCCTCGGCAGCAATTTCGGGCATGTCCTTGGCCACCACGGCTGCTGCGGGGTTTGAGGGCTCGACCAGGTCAATGTCCACGGGCTTGCCTCCGTCGGTCTTGAGCGGGGCGTCCGCAGGCACGTTTTCGGGCTTGTCGGGGTCCGCTCCGGCCAGAGCCTCGTCCGGAAGGTAGTCTTCGGGCTCGGCTGTACCCTGTGCGAGCTTGGCGCTCTTGTCAATGGCTTCGGCAGTGGGGTTGAAGGGTTCCGAGGTGTTGTTTGTATTTTCAGCTGTGGCGGGTTCGGTTTGGTCGGCGGTCTCGGTGGGTTCGGTTTCAGTGATGGTGTCGGTAACGGTTTCGGTGACGGTGCCATTGCCGTTCACGTCGAGTTCGGCAATGCCCTGTTCCACCGTGTCGATTTCCTTGCCCTTGTCGGTCATTATTGCGGTGTGATGAAGATGTGGAGAGGTCTGGAATGGGTTCTGTGCAACTATCACTATCAGTCGGTACAGTTCAGTCAGTTGCGTTTGAGTTTCACAAGGCTGACGAGTGGGCTTTATTTGGGGCTATTTTGGGCAGGGCTGTTTTTTACTTTGCTACCGACGTGTAGACTTCGTGGAGCGGGGGGCCAGCAAGACGAGTAGGTGAGGCGGTTCCGGGGCGATTTCTGGCGGCGAAAAAACGTCAGTAGGGTCTTGAAGCTATGACGAATCGATTTCGGCGGGAAAAACCCGCAATTTCGAACCACATCACCACCTTTGAGCCGCCCCTCTTTACCCTGTCCCAACTGCCAAAAGGTGTATCCGTCCCAAAGTTGCCCAGCCCACATAAGGTTGATAGCCGCCTTGAGGTGAGAGATGGCGGAGAATGGAACGAGTAAACAGAGACCGACGGGGGCCCATGGCGCGGCCGAATTGGGACCAACGACGTGTGTGTGTAGAGCGGGTTCTGGCGAGTATTTTGGCAGCATTTCCGGCCGTTTTGGGCTCACGTGATGTCCCATATTTGCTCCCAAAATGAAAGCAGACCAAATGAAAACGGCCCAAATTGCCAAAACGGCCAAAATCGCACCATACCTACTTGTATACACATGCGCACATGTTCCGATACAATGGAGCAGGAATAAATGGAGCGGTGGGATTCGAAAAAGGCGTGGTGAGCCACCTGATCAGAGCGAGCGCCCGAACGCCTCCATACCGTAACTCACGTGGTCGACCCTTGCCAGGCTAAAAAAGCACTATCCCACTTGTACTCGTAGTCTCATGACTGGATCCACTATAGACAATAGCAACCTACAGTTATGGTACCAACTACGGCCCTGCACTTGTAGCTGAGGTTGCTCCTTTTGGAAGGGCCGATCTCCGAAACCGACTCCGAAACCGACTCCGAAACCGACTGCAACGCCCAGAAGACCGCAACTGGTACCCGTACAGCCGTGCTGAAAAGGGTTCTTGGACAGAAGAACGAAAAGAAAAAAAACCAACTTTGCTGGCGGCTGATGAACGGTTTGGGCGGCGATTGGTTGCCGTCAGATTGCTCAGCACGAGAGCTGTATGCAGGATTTCATGATATCTGCGCGCGGCGACGCATGAAATTTATCCTGACGCCAACCGCGGGACCAGTTCGTCTTGATGACTGCTATATTTGGTACAGCTCTTGTGTCCCGTTAGTGCATCTTTGGCCCCCTGAAAATTCTTAATTCGGTTAAAATCTGAGCAAAAATGGAATAAATCTTTTTGGGGCTTTTTTTTTTGTTTTTTGGGAAATCTTTTTCAGCGTCACAACAGAGCAGAGACGAAGGTCAAGCTGGACGGGTGGGAAAATGAAATGATGTGGAATGGACGAGGAGTATAACGTCAAAATGACACGTCTAAAAACGTTGCCAAGAACATAGATTAGGCACGATAAGGTCGATCGCGGTCATGTGACATACCATATCGACGGCGAAGATGTGGTCGAGTCCCTCACATCCCGCTGGCTACAAGTAAGGTCCGTCGCGCGCGTCTCATCACACTCAGGCTTTATGTCTATCGACTCCAGAGTTGGAGGATCTAGTGGAAGAATCGAACCCACAACGTGTCCCAAAAAGCTTGTTGGGTGGCGACGTGTTAGTTGGCTTTTCTGATTATTAGTTGACTTGTTTGGGTAGATGAAGCTGGTTAGTTGAGAAAAGGGCGGAATATCGCTATTTCCGACGTGGAAAGAGTATATTAATGCTCGGTAATACCATCCGGGGAGTTCTTCTGCTTGTCATAACTCTTCTGAGCGCTTCAGAATGGTACGTTATTCCCACTCAAGATCACCCCATACATAATATATAAACATACGCCCCAAGTCTCACTCAAAAATCCGTATGGGCCCGACTGCGAAAAGCGCTCTAATATCGACTAGGGTCGGATGTTGAAAACGGAGGGTAAAATATGAGACGGGATTGTGTGTATTTACAGCTCGTTTGAAGAGCACGTGATTGTCGTAGGGGGAAGTGGTTGCAGTTTGGAAAAGCCGCTACTCTATTACACTTCGTTCGGGGCAATATAGTCGGAAACTAGTTGAAGAGAAAAGTGACTGGGGATTCAAAAGTGGTGTTCCCGAAACGCTACAAAGGTTGATTTTTTTACCAAATAATAGAGGTCTGTTTTGGTCCAGAAAATATAAGCAAATAGATTCCCTTCCTTAACAATATCTCTGGATTTATTTGGTTTTTGTAACTTCCTATGTGTATAAGTTTAGTTGGATTGTTAGTTGAACAAGCGCCGAACGAGGAACACAACATGGTAAAACGGTCAATAGTTGCTAGATGTAGATCGGGGGACTTTCAAAACGTAGTTGGAACGCAATGAAGTACGGTGATCAATTGTTTTGTGGAGTCAGCACACACACGGGCGATCCCAGATAGCTTCCTTTTGGATAGCAATGCATATGGGGTTTCTTTGGGATCTTATCGGTACCAAACATGCTCTTCAGAGTAGGAAAAGTAATATCGACTCCTTTCAACACTATTATAGCTCTCCACTTTACAGCGACCATCGCTGAGAGAACCCAGTGTTTTTGGTACTACTTTTAGTGTCTGTGAGGAAGGCTACGAGTACTGTATATACGATCGATACAGGAGACTCTCAGAGTCCCAGGGTCGCCAGAGCAGTATTTGAAGACGTTTCAGAAGTGTTCTATTCGAATTTTATTCGGAATGTCTTGAATCACCGAGCCGTTTCTTAGACATAGCGTGACCAGAGTGCCTTATAGGTTGTATACCCTTCGGCTACAAATGGCGGGGAGTGGTTCTAGAAGATAAGGAGTCCATGAATATGTCTCTAGAAGTTTACTGGCTCTAATGGCACTAATGAGTAGCTACGATACCAACTTAACGGTTACTAATGTGTTCAGTATTGAATAACCTATTGTACACTGTACTTGTATGATACAGCGGGCATTATGACTGTGCCCTATCACCAGCGTCCTCGTGTGATTGGTCTGTTCGTTGCGTGCAGGATATGATGTCTTTTCATGAACTACTCGTACTTGTAGATCTGCTCGGAACAATCAAGCAGTCTTATAAGGTAACCGGCCATGGCTTCGCTCATGGCTGTTTGATCGGTACAATGAATATTTTATTTTACATGCTTTTACACATTAAACAGACTCAAGAACGACATCCTTGAACTCCCGGTTGACCTTCTTTCCGTTGTCGTCGGTGGCACCTCCGTGAAGAGCGAGCAGAGCTCCGAGGTCGAACTTGGGCTGCTTGAGCAGCTTGACCTTTCGGATGTAGACGTTCTGCAGAGGGTAGATGTTCTGAGTGGCCTTCTCAATCTCTCGGCCAATAACCTCGGGGATGAGCTTGGCGGTGAGCTGAGCAAGAGTCACGTTGGAAGCCTCTCGGACAACAATGTCGGTCATCTTCTTTCGGATCTGGTTGATCTGAGAGGTCTGGGCGTAGGTGGTCTTCTTGACCTGGTTGGCCTGTCGCTTGGTGAAACCGATGACGAAGAGTCGGAGGAAGTAGTCGTCGGAGGTCTTGACGGTGACGTTAGCCTCAATCAGAGTCTGCCACTTTCGGACGAGAGATCGCAGCTTGTCGGAAGTGAAGTCAAAGCCGTGGAAGTTGGTGAGCAGGTTCTTGCCCTGGACCTCGTCAACTCGCAGCTTGACCTTCTTGAAGGAGTGGTCCTCCTGGCCCTGCAGATCAGCAAGGGACACCTCGAGCACTCGGCCCTTGAGGTAGTCGTTGGCGAGTCGCAGACCGGTGGATCGGTTCACGAGGGTCTTGCCGACGTCTCGGTTCTCAAAGGTGGAGGGAGCCTTGATGTTGTACCAGTCCTTCTTGGTGAAGGGGTCGACAACTCGCTTCTTGATACCCTTCTTTCCCCTGCGTTAGTACTGGAGGTTGGAGGTTGGAAGTTGGTAGTGGGTCTTAAGTCAATGTCCACGTCGTCCGAGTTGTCCAGTCGCCATCACTCGACATCTACCCTATGTCCACATCTCTCGACATCTACCCCAATCGAATCGATTCTCGTCATGCCCGCTGTAATACTCACTTAGAGAGTCGCTTGTTCTTTCCCTGAGCCATGGTGTTTAATCACGTCTTAATGTCGAACGGTGTTGAAGAAAGATGAAATAAGTATGAAGGGTTTTTTCATACACGCTTTTCGAATTAGGGTTTCTTGGGAGTTACCAACCCCCAAGAGTGTTTGGGTGCGGTACGCAGTGGGAAAACGCAGTCACATCACGTGATGTCCGAATGGGACCCAACCCCGGCGTGACGTTGGGACTACTCCCGGCGGATATTCTGGCACGCAAACTTCTCAGCCCGTTGGTCACATGATTATGATGTCATACTTGCCAAATTGATGAGACGCTGTCAACCCAGCGAGTGGAATAAGGTGGAATGAATTTAGGTCATTTGGTACCAGTGCAATTACAGTGGGGGGAAAAAAGAGTATTATAGGGTAGGATTTTGGGACATATTTTGGGGCGTAAATGGGGAATAAAATGGGAGTAAAAATGACATAAAAAAATAAGATAAAGTTGCATGTTAAAAATTAAAAAAAAAATTAAAAAATTAAAAAATTAGAACAATGTCATAATTGACCCAGAGAAGAAATATTGGGGTTTCTGATCAGTTTGATTAACTCTGACGGCTGTAAATCACCATCATAATTGGCCTACTTGTTTGTACAAATACGACTGCGGTACCATACCAGCTCATCTCGTCATAGTTCTGATGCATATGTGGGGAAGAGATGAGGGAGAAAGAGTTGCCCGTTTGTGATTTCAGATGGATTTGCTGTTGTTGGTTTTTCGTGGTGTATCTCGCCATTACGTGACTTGACTTTGCTCTGATATTACCCTTTCTGATTACAATGGTCGGTCTACATGGCGATACGAGTACGAGTACGAGTACATACTACGACTCACTCGAACCAGCAGCACCCTGCAAGAAGCACGTGGTTTGAACTCTTTCTAAAGATACGAGGACATCTTGAAAAATGTTTTGCAGACAACTGGAATGGCGGGTCACGTGGTTTGGAGCCGTTTCCTTTACCAATGATGTCTTCTAGTCTCTGTTGGCACCAGTGTACAAGTACTCGTACCACAATTATGTCCAGCATAGCTCCATATCTGGACTGAGAAGTTTCATGAAGAGTCCAAGAAGCTGATCCCATTAGATTGCCCGGTTGAAAAATCAGGTTTTTCAAGCTTCTTTTGGTCTTGAAGTAATCGAGTTAGAAAAAGAAGTACTGGTGTGGATAGTAAAGGGAAAGACTGGAAGTACTCGTCTCCCACTACTGCTACGGAGTATCTGACTTGTAGTCTAGGTCAGAGTACAAACTTCATGGCTTCACGGAGTTGAGAGAGTTATTTTGGAGCGAGATATATACTCATCTGTCATTCACAACTGTTAGTACTAACTGTTGTTTCAAGTTTTCCAAGTTCTACAGTAGAAGACAAGTTCTATTGGTATCGTCGTTCTGGAGTTGTCTGTTGTAGCTGGAACGTGGATTGTTAGAGATTCAAGTAAGGTAGAATATTTTTAGATATGTGGTTTCGACAGACTGTGTATTGAAAGATTTTCTTTACAAATCTCATATCGGAGTCTCTATCTGGATATGTTTCATGAGATGGGCAATCAGTGCACATGCGAAGATACTACTGCGAGATTGTCTTAAATATTCATGATGTGGTGATTGAAAACTGTTGGTTATATCATTGTAGCTCCAAGCAATAATGTCAGCCATTTTTTCCAGTACTTTGGTCGTTTTTATGCGTACCATCAATCAACGACCAATTCGACAGAAAATACTATCATTTAGATATTTATCTTTTTTCACAATTTATTTTTATTTGCATCACTACACCTGCACCTCTGAACCTAATCACAAAAGCCATGCTAACCAGACCCACTATAAGACCTTGTATTTAGTCCAAATTCGCCCCTAAAACTTCTCAGAATATACCTTTGAGTTAGTACAATCATTCTATTGGAAATTTCTGTTCTCATCGGCTCCGCTGCTCTTTTCACAGCCATTTTCCGACCCCCACTTTGCTCCCATGCACGCCACCCAAATTAAAACACGTCTGACGCGTCTCCAATCCCACACCACTTCAAAATGGAACCCAGGCAAAAAAAAGCCCGGTTTTTCGACTCTGAGGAGGACTTTGGCCCGGACACAAAGTCGCTGATTCGCCCCGGAAGCTCACACAAGCCTGGCAAGCCTGCCAGCAACTCTCTGGCTCGACCCACGCCTGCTCCATCGACTTTTCGATCTGATCTCGAGGCGTTTCTGGGGCCTCTTTCGGACCAACGGTTCGGTTTGTTGCTTGCAAAGAGCAAGGGAAATGTCGAACAGGCAGTCAATATCCATTTTGATCTGCCAGAGGAGGTGCAACAAGCGACATCGGAGGAGACGGCGGAAGAGGCGGAAGTGTCTCAAACGACCACCAGCGGCTTTGAGACGACACAAAAGCCCTCCCAAAACACACAGGTGCCTTCTAGAGTCCACACAAGAGGTGGTTGTTCGACTAGTCGTTTCATTGGTTCACTAGTGGTCACGGCATGGGCTTCTAAGTCTTCCAAGGGCAAAGTCAAGTACCAAGACAGACTCGTGGTGGAGCGCCAGTCCCACGACCATTCGAAATCGATCCGGAAGAATCCCACCGACAACTCGCATGTGCACATTCGCACTGTGTCTGGAGAACTTCTGGGGCGCATTTCTGGCGAGCACGACTACTCCATAGCATCTCTGATTGACAGTCGGGTGTGCGACTTTGAGGCGTCGTGTGTTTACGCTGACCACAATCTGAGTCTGGGCTCGAATTTCGTCGTTGAACTGAAATGCTACCTCACCGAAGAAGCGTTCCAGGACGTGGCTATGCCGTTGCTTGACAGCAAGACGGCCAAGAAACGGGAGTATGTGTTTGACAACTCGCGGGAGAGTCACGTGGAGAAGATGCTGCGCAACCGCCAAATCGCCATTGTCGATCTCTTCGGCAAGCTCAATCTTATCAAAGAAAATGAAGCCAACGCAGATATGGTCAAGGACATGCTGAGGGCCAAAAGCCAGCCGCCCTCCAGTCAACCGCCCTCTCAGAACTCAGAGGACGAAAGTGAACCTATTCCCACCGACGAGCTGGATGCCCTTTACAAACGAATCGAAAAGGAGGACGTGGAACAGCCAGAAACAGAGGTGGAGGGGTTCCCTCTAGAGTTGAGAAGATACCAGAAACAGGGATTGACGTGGATGATATCAAGGGAGACGGAGGTGAGCGAGTATTTTGACAATGACGACTCCGGACCTATAAACCCATTATGGACGAAAGTGGACTTTCCGGGAAGTGACGAAAAGTTCTATGTGAACTTTTCATCCGGTGCTCTGACTCTCAAGTTCCCTAAACAAGAAAGGTCCTTCTCAGGAGGCATTCTGGCCGACGAAATGGGTCTAGGAAAGACTATCTCGACGCTTGCCATGGTATACAGAGACCGGCACGTGGGATGCACGTTGGTGGTGGCCCCCATGTCGTTGCTATGGCAGTGGGAACAAGAATGTGAACGAGTTGGTCTGTCGACTTATGTATACCATGAAAAGGGAGCCGATATTGATTTGGATGAGTTGTTCAAAACGTACAGCCCTAACATTCTGATCACGTCATATCACACCCTGGTGTCTCACTATGGTCAGATCAAAGCTCTAGGAGGAGGGCTGGATCGCAACGTCATTTCTGAAACCAGTTCGCATGAGAGACCAAAGATTTTCACCAAGCATTTCCACCGAATCGTGCTAGATGAGGCACACGTGATCAAAAACAGAAATACCGTCTCGGCAAAGGCATGCTGTCTTTTGAGGGCTACCAACAAGTGGGCTCTGACCGGTACTCCTATTCACAACCGTCTGGAGGACCTCTTTTCGATTCTGAAGTTCCTGGGAGCAGCTCCATGGAACGATTTCATCTACTGGCGCAATTTCATCACTCTGCCGTTCCAGGAGGGTAAAATTGTCTCTGCTCTAATGACTGTTCAGTGCATTTTGGAGCCCATAGTGTTGAGACGAACCAAGAACATGAAACAGGCTGATGGAAGTCCTCTGGTAGTGTTACCCAAGAAGACGATCAACATTGAGAAGGTGGCATTGACCGACCAGGAGAGAGTCATCTACAGCTATGTTCTTGCACGAGCTCAGACGTCTCTTCAAAAGTCTGAAGCATCTGAGGCTGTGGGACGCAACTATCTGAACATTTTGACCCAGATTTTACGTCTTAGACAGTCGTGCTGTGATCCAGCGTTGATTTTGCGCCCGGAAGCCGAAGTGCCCACCGACGAGCAGCTTCAGATTGAAGAAAACGAGTCTCAACTCAAGAGCATGATTCAACAATATAATGACGATACTCAGACATCCGCCTGCGAGTATTCGTCTGAGATTATCGCGCAATTACAGGACCAATCGGCTCCTCCAGAGTGTCCCATCTGTGCTGAAGACGTGACCAAGCTGGCCATCTCAAAATGTCTACATATGGGATGTGTGGACTGTCTGGCTGACAATGTTCGGTTCCAGGAGAGCAAGAAGCAGACGCCGGTATGCTGTATATGTCGTCAGCCTGCCGCTCTGAAAGATATATTCGAAGTAGAGAGAACAGGGGAAGATTGCAAGGATATCCGCTTGAAGAAGTTATCTGACAGACCACGCTCTTCCAAGCTCGTTGCTCTGGTTTCCAAGCTCAAGCAGCTCCCTAAAGACGCCAAATCCGTCGTCTTTTCGCAGTTCACAAGCTACCTAGACATCATCCAGACTGAACTGCGTCGTGAAAAGATCCAGGCTTTCAGATTTGATGGTACCTTGTCCAGACAGCAGAGGACCGACGTTCTCAAGGCGTTCGGACTTTCCAAGGGCTCGGTGCTTCTGATCTCGCTCAAAACTGGAGGGGTGGGTCTGAATCTGGTCACTGCCAACCATGCCTTTATCATGGACCCCTGGTGGACGTTTGCACAGGAGGCTCAGGCCATTGACCGAATCCATCGAATGGGACAGACGAAAGACGTGCACGTGACTCGGTTCATTGTGGAGAACTCTGTCGAGGAGAAGATGTTGAAGATCCAGCAACAGAAGATGGTTTTGGCGGGTACGTTGGGTATGTCTGAGCAGGAACAGAAGGCTCAGAGAATCGAGAACATTAAGACTCTGTTGGGGGAGTAATGGAGTACCCCACGTACAGAATGGTGATGATGATGGTGATTGTTACGGTGATGGTGACGGTGATGATGGTAATGGTACCGAGTTGCCGGAGATGTGGAGATGTACATACTAATGTGATTTATAGATTGATCGAAACGTGAAGTTTTGTTCTCAGTTGCAATCAATGGCTGTTCATGTTGATGTCTGTGACTCAATAGTCGGGAAACCCCTGGACATACTGTATCTGAATGTACAGTATAAAGTGAGCAATTCCGACATCCTGACGGAGTGGTCTAATAAAAACATATTGATGGACTATTTTACATCAGATGAACAAATCTTCTCACACAAACTAGTCGTGAAAGACCCACCTTAGGTCATAACCGGAGCTTGTGCACCTGGCTAGAAGAGTATCGAGAACATACGCCACTAATGCACAAAAAGAACTCCATTTGTTTCTGAGTGGTATTATACAACAATCACAGGTCCGTAGAATATCGATGATGAGATTTGTTCAGCATTTTCAGTGTTAATAAGTGTACTGTATGTACAGTATGTACATAGTCGTCTACACCGACAGTCTGGAAGAGTGTTCAGGACGTAGTTCGAGTCCACAGAGTGGACTAAATACGTGCTCCAAGAGCATTTCGCTCCATATCTGTTTTGTCGCAACTTATGAAATGCAGAGGTGCTATGAAACAGGCCATAGAAACTCTTGTTGGAAAGGTATTGTCGTTTAGTTGAGAAATACTTTTGACAAAGTATACGAACTTGTTCGGGGGTTCGTTTCAGGTGTTTCTGAAAAGGAGGTAGTCTTCAGCATATTTTGAGAGAAGACATCGGATTTTTTATATATTATGTAATTGAAATAAAAATCCCATGGCAGTACTAATTTATCTGATTTTTTTTTTTTCTGCATATACATTCATTTAATTATAACTTTGCTGTGAAAGAATAACCTTTGAAATGAATGTACGCTTACACGAATATTACTAATTAAACACGTTTAGTGTCATGGTCCAACTTGGCACGTACCTATTTCCAGTAAAAAAATCATAAAAAAACCTGGTTCAGTCCGTGTTGTATGTTGGTCCACATAGCTTCGCATGTTTGTTATCTCCACATTTTGTATAAGACGTTCCAGTATGTACAGTACATACTTGTCCATGTAGTTGGGGTTTTAGTTACAGTTACAGTAGGTTGGGAGTATTTTGGGAGTATTTCCAAAATATATATGCTTGTAGTTCCAAAATATATATGCTTGTAGTTATAAAATATATATGCTTGTAGTTATAAAATATAGATATAAACAGAGCACTCTAAACCGATGCCGCTAGCCCAGGATTCAGAAATCACGCCCAATGCACTCCCCACAAATGCAACCGCTAGATACACCGATGACCGAATTAATTGATACACAGTTGTGTCGGAAAATATCTCAAAAAAGACCCCTGGTCTAGCGACAGTAATGATCATCTCTCCGTCCGGGATAAACCCCAATTTTGAGTATAAGGCACCAACCAACTTTGCCCTTGGTAAGGTGATATTAAAGGTTACTGTCCATTGAGTGTGGAAAAGTACCTCATTGGAGCGGGATCATGTCATATCGGCCAGTATCCATTGGATCGGATCATCATGTATGCCCACACTATCACCATGTCAATTGAAGAGTCATTGTGGGCCAATTGACTTGTTTCTACAGAGTCAATTGAGTGCCCTATCATGATCTATACTACAGTCACGAGTACCAGTTCCTAGTGCTAGTACAGTATGTGCACTCAATTGTCATATCTACAGCCATACTCACTCAATTGAGTCACCAGGAGTGACCTACAAGTAAATACAAGTCATAGCCTACCATACTACAGTGTCTACTCCCACTCCACGGGAGGTCGGTCTAATTCTGAATCTGTTTCAAGTCATAATCTACAAGTACTTCCTGATACTTCTGGGCCTATTGAGCTTCTCTCAATCGACGTGTCTACTTCTGAACCTGCTCATCGGCCCAAGACTCCTTCTCGACATAATCGTCAGACTCCTTGTCGAGCTTTTTCTCCTTGGCGAGTCGCTTCTCGGCCTCAGCATCTCGCTCGGCCTTGGGCTCCACGTCCTGTGCACCCTTCTCGGGCTTGTGTTCCTCAGGAGAGTGTTCCTTGGCAGGCACGGTTTCCGAGGTCTTCTCGGATACTCCATGGGGAGCGTCCTGGAATTTCTCGCCCTCGGGCTTGCTGGGGGGTCCTCCGTCGGTCTTCTTGCCCTTGAGTCTGTCGTCGTCAATGAGATCCTGGTCTCGCAGCTCCTTGATGCCCTCCTTCTGGTGTCCGTCGTCCTCGTCGGTGGCCTTGGCTCGCTTGTCGGCAATCTCCGCGTCTCGGGTTCCGTCATCCTTCCACTTGAGATCGGGCTGGTTCTTGGCTAGCACTGCCTCGTCAAAGTCCTTGCCCTCATTGCCTCCCTTCTTGGCGGCCTCCTCCTTCTCCTTGCTGAAGTTCTCCTCCTTCTCCTTGATTGCATCCACGTCGGCAGAGGGCACCTTGGCCGTCACCTCGGTGGCGTCAATTGGGGGGAGAGCGGGCACCTCGTACTCCTCCTTCTTCTTGGGAGCAGGCTTGGGGGGGTTCGTCCACGAGTTGACAACGTAGGCGGTGGGGATGACGAACAGAGCCAGACCGGTAGCGGCCCAGGGCAGGTCCGAGCCGCCCTTGGAAGACGAGCCGGAAGAGTATTGACGTCGCTGCAGCTGTCGAGAGCCCTGTCGCAGCTGGGTTCGTAGAGGTCGGGCGAGTCGAGAGATCATAGTTGTGTGTTGGCAGTGTTGGTGATTGGATGGTCCTGGGGGCCAAGCTTCCTTATATATCTTGGTGAATCTTGGGGGAACAACCAACCAATGGGACGATAGGGTGCCGGGAGCATGCATCGAGGCGGCACTCAGATTAATATGTGCTACTGTACTGCGCCGGCCCCATCAACAAGGTTATCTGATTGCGTAGCGAGAGCACAAGCGAGTCTGGGGGGCGTGGGGCCCTGCTTCTGTGTCATTTATTTGCTCGCCGCCATCACCACTTTTTTCCCACCGTCGCCCACCGGCTTTCGCCAATCATCTCTCTTGTTACTAATGGCGCCATATTGTCTCAAGCTCACTTTGTCCTCGGTGCAGCAACTCAACTCAATTGATGGTTGACAGGTAGCCAACCCACCGGTAACATGCTTGCGGTAGTTATCAGTAGCAAGGGGAGGAGGGAGAGAAGATGATGAGAGGGGCTGGGGCTGGGAGGAGAGCTATATATAATATCATTGTATACCTTGTCCCAACGGGTTTGTGTAACTGTTAAAACTCCGTCTTCATCTTCTTCGACAATTCATCTAGAATAAATTGGCCGAGATAATTGGACTGCTAGCTGGCTGGACCTTCCGGTGCCAAACAACCGCTCGCTAATGTTAAGGCACCATCACCCACCGGAATCATGCAATGACGTCTATCTTTAACGAGCCGCACAGTTTATTCGGGGTGGGGGGTTTTGGTTTCCGAAATTTGAAAAGAAAAGCGGGAAGAAAAATGGGAAAAATATCAGAAACATAGAGCTGATTTTTATCTTAACTTTCTTCCGCTTTTTCCCTGGCCGTAGCACCATTATTGGGCTCTTTGAGGGCTCGTTCACGTCACTGTACATCCAGTATTCTGCCCCTTCTAGCAACTTCCAACTCAAAACTCTGAACCGAGAGATGAGCAATAGCGATCGAAGAAAAGACGTCCAAAGAACAAGTCTCAATTGGCCGGCCCGGACATACAGCTCGTGTGCCCTGAACGTAGACGGAGATTGGATTCGCCGCACGACGACATGAGCGGGCCTGTCCGTGTCGTTGTGTAGTTTGAGGGCGCACGAACTCCCGCCCAAAGGAACATCTCCGAGGCGTTTACAGGAGATCGGCTGCTCTTGAGTGCTTGCGAGGACGGGCAGGAAGTTGGGCCGAAGTTTGATACAGCTGGTCGGTTTCTTCTCAGGAGTTTGGTGCGGCAACAGCTGTCTTGCTGTGCGGCTCTCGGAGACCGGAAGTCGTATTCAGACAGCCACAGGACCGGGTCGAAGGGTGGGCAGATTTGTCTGAACTTTTTAGACACTCTGGTTTCTAACGGAGTCGTTGTTCCTAAAGGTACTTGGATCTTCATCGGTGATGGGGTGGTAGGGTAGATGTGGGTGATGATTGGCGAGTGAGAATGATTGACGAGGGAGTACTTTACGTAACACTATGGCTACAGTCAGACCAAGGAACTCGCACGACACCAGATATTACTGTTCTTGATTCTGCCTTTACTTTCATACCCTCCTGAAACTCCATTTAACTATGCGGATATAGTTAGTCTGAGACCTGGGGTGAATCTTGTGCGTAGGTGTTGTGCTCCCATCGGAGATGGGGGACAGAAGAAAAGAGCAGGAGTTCAATATAGTGTTTTATAAGGTGGTCTTCTACGACATCGACTTTGTTTATGTTCAGATTCGGGCTTCTGGACAAGCTGGACAAGTATTTTTAGGGAGTGGATGCCTCCAGCAACTGACTTGAAAGTCCGGCAGATGGGATAGTACCGAGAATCAGAGAGTGGCCAGCTAATTGGCTGATTGTTGGCGCTTACACTGACACCTCCGATCGATCTCAATCTCCGTTGGAACGATACTGGCCCCGTCAGTGTTGTGCTGATATCAGTCCTGAGCATTATACTCCATGCACGTGAGCAATGGCAATCTGGAGTTGAAATACGAGAATGTTTTAGCCTTCTTCTCTTCCTTGGCTTCTTGTCTAGTCCGATGGTGTCTTCTTCGTCGGTGTTGGGTCCAACTAGTGCTCGTGATGATCTCACTCTATACGGAGACAGGGCATGCACTTTGTACTTGTATCCGTACCTAATGCCAGTGTCGCGTCTTGCAGGGCCTTCCAGAGACGCGTCGGTCGTGGTCCTCTCGTTGCTTAAATAGGGCACTTCGACATCCGCCGTCTCTCCAGTGATGCCTGGCTTCGCTGTTGCTATTGATCAGCCCTCCATGCTCCTCCAGCACAACTACGGTGCCTGCGGTCATGTAATCGACTTGCCGAGACTCGAACCGCCACACTCGAGTGGTCCTAGCTGTTCTCGTATCAGACCTCGAACTTCAGTTTCAGCACGATCTCAACTAAAGTCTGACCAGAGAATCGAACACGCGTTCCTCAAGGTTCGCACCGGAGCCCGTCCACGTGCCTGTGCATATCTCATGTGTGATCATTCGTCTGAGTGACGTAAAACGTAGGTAGCAGGCCAGGTGGGTATCGCGGCGAGTGTCGTGTGGTTTAATTTCGGAGGGGTTGGGTCTGATTGGCTATATACGGTAACAACGTTTTATTGTTTCGTGTATGTTTTTTTATGTTGTTTTTTTGTGTATTGTATTTTTTTCTTTTCGGAAATTATTATTTTGCTTTTTATTTCATTTTGTATTTTCTTATGTTGTACTTTATTTTTTTCTTGTTTATTTTCCATTCTTCACATCTCTTAATTGAACTCAAGTTTATGCACATACATACCCCATTTGGGGAACATAACAGGATACAAGTACAGTACCCAGAGTGACACGAAATCGGCCAAATAAAAGCCCCGCCTCATACAACAGCACATACAATCACTCCATCACATTTGCATCCATCCACCACCCCCCCACGCACGCCTCTGGTTCTCCCTTCGGCTCCTCCACATCCAACGACCGCGCCGCGGTTCGATTCCCACCAACGCAGCTTGACCGATTTCCAAACTCCCAACCCTCACCAGCTCCTCCCCATAGACTTGGAGCACTGGGCGGACCAGCCAACAAGAAGACAAGAAGAGACCCAAAATAACGTGCAGCAAAAAATCCCACGTCACCGCAAAACCGTGTACGTTGTAGTTAAGTAGTCGTGTATCACCACCACATAAACACTTGTCTTCTTCCACCACACATCTATCGCACGCCACAACCGCCACGCCATGAAATCGTCTGCCTCAGTAAAACTGACCCTCAAAGTGTCGTCAGAAAAGTTGCAAAAGCTCAAGGACCGGTCGTCGGCCCCCTCCAGCCCGATGCCCGCATCTCAAGCCGCCTCCGGCTCGTCCACACCTGCGCCCAAGGGCAAGCCCGGACCCAAGCCGGGCTCGTCGCACACGAAATCGGGCCCCAAAGACACAGACAGCGCGATAAACTCGCAACTTAGAGCGCTGGACCGGACCGGAAAGCCTCCCCGGCACTGGGTCAAGACGCCTGTGCAAATCAAGAGCTTCACCAATTGCGCGTTCGACGTGCCCGAATGGGGAAGCAGTGATAAGGGCATGAATGAGAGGGGAGAGAAGAAGGTCAAGCTAGAGGTGGAGTGATGTCGCGGATGGCCCGACACCTACAGAATTACAGAATTACAGAACAGCCAAAGGACACCACAGCACAAGTACTTGTAGCAAATGTGGCGCAAGCAAACGAACAGACCATTTCGACTAAACAGCAACCCCAAGGGCACCATCTTCAGCGCTGTCCTCTAGAACTGTCGAACCAGAACGATCGAACGGATGGCATGACATGAATGGACCAGCGTGCCATCTTCACACTCCGATCGTGTGGCACCTGAAACACGCTCATGTGCTAACAGCCGTCTGCCACAATGGCACATTTGCCACCAGTTCACATCCCCAAGGTCACCATATCAGCGATCTACGACATGCAAATACCACCACCAGAGTCTCACACACACTGTACAACGTCATGCTTCTAGAACCATGCCAGTGCATACGTCTCTCAGCACCCATAACGATCTGGTTATCAGACTAGATGCCTATGGTTACACAGAGTCCTGAGGACGTCTCTGAGTCTGCAACCAGACCTGCAAGTCAGATCCACGAGACACTTACATTTAGCATCTGCATATATTTGATACACCAACTAATCAAACCTTCTAACAGTGTAGCCTTGGACGGGAACCTCGTCACTGGTATGTATGTACTGTCTTGTAGAAAAACTTGTACCAGTAAAACACTGCGCTCGTACACTGTAGCTCAGTCTACTATCACAGATTACGTCGATCACTGCCACCCTGAGTTACGCCACCCAGTCTGACCACTACATCCGACCGCGCCCAGCATCTTGTCGCGGGCTCGTCACTCTGATCTCTCTCTCCATTCACTATGGGTATGGTTCAACCGAAGTTGCTATGCTGTGTTGTTACAAGTCGCGGTGCGACGTCATGCTAATGGTTACTCATCGTCAGGGGCCTCGTACCGCTGCATCAGCAGCCGCTTGTACTCATCCATGTCCGTGTCCCACAGCTGGGCGGCCTGGGCGTTGAGAGGCGACTTGTTGTTGGGCTCGCCAAACAGCGACTGCAGGGACAAGAGAATTGTCTGCACGTTGTACACGGCAGACCACTTTTCCTTGAGAATGTCCAGGCAGATGTTGCCGGACATGTCCACGTTGGGATGCCACATGGGGCTGATGAACTTGATTGTGGGTGCGGTGTAGGGGTAGTTTTGGGGGAAGGCCAGCGAGATTTTGAACGTCAGGTCCTCGTAGACCGTTCCCTCCGGGCCGGTCAGGGTGCCGGTCCAGTTGAGCAGATCTGCGTCGGACACGGGGAACGCCGAGATTCCGGGCGTGTCGGACATCATGAGTTGCATCAGCTCGTTTTGCAGGCGCTTGGTGACCGAGTGGCCGTCGTTTGAGTTGGATCCCGACATTTGCAGCTTGGCGGGGTTTTCAGCAAAGGGGTCGGCATTCTGGGCTTCCATCTGCATTCTTTTCGGGTTCTTCAGCTATCCTCTTGTTCTTTGGGTCGCGGCGCAAGAGAAGAGGTCTGAGGAGGGTGGGTAGGGTGGACGGTGGTTTCGTGGTGCTAAGTGTAACAGGTAGGAGGTAGAGGGTTATGTGTATATACAGTCTTGGTATTATGCGTTCATGTGTGTACTTTAGAGTTGTGTTTATGGGTTTCTGTTTTCGGCACCAGGGGATGGAGGGGCTCCGTAATTTGGGGGCGCAAAAATATACATACGCAACGAGACAATTTTTGGAAATAAAACCAACAGCTCTTTGTTCGATTCCAATTTTCCCCGATTTTATCCGATTTTTATTCCGCCCAGAACAGCCCTATCTCGCTCCAACCTATTTCGTTCCCACGACAACCAAAAAGGGCCTGAGTGTGCCTCTATTACGCAAGGCACGTACATACCATGGCTTCATTGAGTATACTACACGTGAACACGATAATTAGCAGCCGCACAGGCTGGAAGCAAGGCTATGAGTTCGGATGTGGGCGATTTTTGGGCGCAAAAAAGTGGATATGGAGACGCTATCGGGGCTGTATTCCATTTGTATCAACTTGGAATCCCCCCGGAACGCCTCTAGATTGCTCTGATCGGACTCTTTCCAAATAGCAAGCTAGAGATAGTGCGAGACCAAAGTGGAAGCAAAAGGATCTAGATCGGAATAGAGGAATGGGCGGTAACAGAGGGAATACAAGAAGCGATAAATGACCCATAAAGTCGGGTTATCGACTGAATCTGTAGTTCCAGCTGTCCAAGAAGCATAATAGCTCATGAGTTGGTCCTCGAATACACCCCCTTAGGAAGAGTAGTAAGACACCACTCTCTAGCTAAGCGATAAGAAGCAAATTCACAAGCAGCGATCAAATACCATTCTACAAGTACTCTCTGCAGTCACATGACCACCTTCTAGAATCTCCTTGCTATGATCTTCGACAAACCTCCGGGATTGTCCTCGGGAGATCTACCGTTACATTGGAGGTTGAGTTGAGCGTGGGGGTTTGAGAGAGTTGAGAGTTAACAGCAAGATGATGCTAACTGTCGTAAATGAACACTCCGATGTTGATCATCGGACAATGAGTATGATAAAAGTGTGTTTGTACAAGTACTTGTACACTTGCAGACAGGAGGGCTTTTCTCCGGCACTTCACTGACCCCCAAGAGGCCCATGAGTGAACTACGAGTAGCCTAGAAGGCTCATTCAGCTGCTTGAGGCCATCACGATGATCAACCACTTCCAGTGGTCACCTACAGACTGACCTACAAGCACAGCACAGTAGCTGAGTTGTCAGCGACCCTCGGTACTCCTACAGCCTTCGTTTCATGATCGTGAATAATATTAAAAGGTATAAAAACTAGAAATAAGAAGTGAAAGTCGGGTCCAGACCCTAGAACATGTTAGCAGACTGCTTACTCGTCGTGGCAGTCGCACTCCTTGGTGGTGACAACCAGGGTGGTGGGAGGCAGAGAGGTGGTAGACTCGGGGCAGGGCTCCTCGATGGTGTCGGTGACGGTAACTCGCTCCTGAGAAGCAGGAGCGGAAGAGGTGGGAGCAGCAGAAGAAGTGGGAGCAGCAGAAGAAGTGGGAGCCTCGGTAGAAGAGGGAGCCTCAGTGGAAGAAGGAGCAGCAGAAGAAGGAGCAGCAGAAGAAGAAGCAGGCTCGGAGGTAGAAGCGGGAGCCTCAGAAGTAGAGGGAGCCTCGGTTGAAGAAGCGGGGGCGGAAGAAGAAGGCTCAGCAGCAGGAGCAGGGGTGGTGGAAGGAGCAGGAGAGACAGTCTCGGTGACCCAGACAGTGGACTCGTGGCCATCGGCGTCAGAGATGATCAGACCCATGGTAAAGAAGGGAGCCTGGATAGTCAGGTCCATGCCCTCAGCGGCCTCCTGGATCTCGTTGATCTCCTCGGGGGTGAACTCACGCTTTCGGTTGGGGTAAGCCACGCCCTGCTTCTCCTCCCAGATTCGGTGCAGCCACTCGGAGATGGTCTCGTTCTTGGTGCCGATGCCAAAGTCGGACAGGTCGGGGATCCACAGACCCATGGTGAAGAAGGGGGCCTGGATGGTGAGGTCCAGAGCCTCCTCGGCCTTCTCAGCGTCGGGGGCAGGGGTGGTCTGGGCAGCAAGGTGGTCATGGATGGCATCGTAAGCGGCAGACAGAACGGCAGAGGTGGCCTGCTCGCCGGCAGTGGCGTCGGGAATGGAGATGACCTGGGTGGTCTCGGCCCAGTCAAGAGTGATGAGCTCAGCAGCAGCCACAGCAGCAGTAAGGAGAACAGTAGAGAACTTCATTGTGGTGGGTAGAAAGGTGCGTGAAGAGTGTGACTGAGGACTTGTCTGGTGAGAATACCGGGACGGAGGTGACCCTTATATAACTCCAGAAACTCGAGATATTCCTTCACAACCACCTCTGTCGAACGTCTAGAGCTAGAATAACCTAATACAGCGTACCTTGCCGATCGCCTTCCGTCTAGAAGCAGCTAAAAAGTGCATAAAAATGGATTAGGAATAGCTCCGGCGATCTGAGGCGGCCTAGTCCGGGTACAGGCAACCACGGTGGTACCCTGAGGTCAGCTTCACGAAGGTATGCTGTGTGAAATGTGGTGTATTGTGTTGTGGTATCATTGTGAGGTATCCAAAGACAAGTTCAGGTAGTTGACAGGTACCTGCCAGTACAATAACAGTTCCACGGTGGGTTTTGGCTGGCAGTTGGCCAAACTAAGTTGAGCGTCGGGATCTTCGGTAATAAATGTCGATGAAAAAGAAAAGTAGCCGTGGAGAGCCAATTGTTAGCCCACTTTGCACGTGGAGGGAGGGCTTTGGCGATATACGGAGTGGCAAACAGAGACCATTGTTCTGGCAGAGGCCATTGTTCCGGTAGAGACCATGGTTCTGACGCTGAGTAAGGCCATATGTAAAAACAAACAAAAAACAAGCGATCCGAAGTGCATTGGAATTAGTTCAACGCCCGACTAACGTTTGCGACCAATTGCACCGTTCAATCCAATAGACCTTTCCATCTGTCCACTTTGCGTTTCTTTTTATCAGTGGCCAAATCGATGCGGGTACGTACCCGTCAGTGGTGCAGTGCTTGTAGCTGTGGTTATGGAGACGCATGAGGGCGGGACAAGCACCTGGCAAGCACCTGAAATGAAGATACTTTCATATACATCCCACACTCATGCTCTCGTGAACTGGAACAGTTATGTTTTGTAGGCTGCCGGGGACAGCCGTTCATTGAAAGGACCGCCACAATCGCTCCGACTAGGACGAGACCAGGCGCCGTTCTCTGCAGCTCCCTCTGCCAAAGCGATTGTTCGTCGACGGGTGAACAGCTGATTGGCGTCTTTCGGCGAGCTACTCCAGTGCAGATCTCCCTACAGTACTGTAGGTACTCCAGAGCCCACTTCGGTCACATGCAAGCTTCACCGGCGTGTGAGACGCCCGTACCCCTTGATCAGCTGCATCTAACGACTTGATTGGCGGTACAAGTGGAGTGGTGCTGAGTCTGAGGTGTTTGTGTCTGTAGATGCTGCGGTACCTGCTTCTGTGTCGGCACTGTTCGGTACCTGCTTGTATGTGTCAGTTGCTTTGTTGGTTGCTTTGTCAGTTGGGTTGAGTGTGAGTCAGTTGGTTGTGTTTGTGTCGAGTCTGTTTGCGTCGAGTCTGTTTGCGTCGAGTGTTTGCGTCTTTGGTCTCTCATGGCCGCTCTTTGGCCGCTCTTTGGCCGCTCTTTGGCCGCTCTTTGGCCGCCTGCTGTCGATTGCTAGCTCGTTGACCGGCACGAGCCATTAAGGCTCAGCGTATCCTTCAGAGGTTGATTTTATTTTCACTTTATGGGATTTACGGTTAACTACAGTGCAATTACGGGTAACTCTGTTTAGTTGGAGTTGCAAGTACTGTAGATATGGCTCAGATTGAAGGTGACCGTCAGCCGAACGGGGCCAAAACGCTTTAAAAGGGCGCTGAAAGGGAGCTTAAAGTGATAAAAACATACTTCCACAACCTCAAAAAACCTCCGCCCCCTCTCCAACCACTTTTACTGCTCTCCACAGCTTTGGCCACCCCCCTCAAAACCACATCCCCCCATTATCTATGCACCAAAGTTAGCTCGACGACGATCCGGCTGCTGCAGCTGAAAGTTGTGTCTTGCAAAAAGTAATAAATCACTCGCAGACAAGGAACAGACTATTCCAGTGTACGCACACACCACAGGAACCAGGCACAAGGGCCCCAGTCCAGGAACCAGGCACAATCTGGAGGTGGAGGAAGTGCATGCCAAGGCCAAAGTTGAGGATAGCGTGATTCACAGTGAGCTGTTGGAGGGTTGCGAGGTTCTCATCACGAGCGCGCCTACTCGCCTACTCGCCTACTCGCCTACTCGTCTACTCGCCTACTCGTCTACTCGTCTACTCATCTACTCATCTACTCGTCTCGTCTACTCGCCTACTCGTCTACTGTACTAAACACCGTCTACTTGGGTATCCAAACATGATCTCTCCATCCAAAAAGCTCTCCTCCAAGCACTAACGGGTTCTAGTTTTCACGATCCAGAGAAAGAAAAAGAAAAGACCGAGGACCATGTGGTTATTGATTTCTGCACCCGGCCCAAAAGGGCAGGGAAGATACCATACGGAGCCAAACTGAGGTCTATCGGCACAACGGGCCGCTGGAACCGTCTTAGATGGAGCAACCGTGGGGTGAGCCATTTGTGAGCGTTCAACAGTGGTGAGCAATGTTTTGATCAGGCCATGGAATATGTGCTTGCCATGACCGCTCACTCTTGTACGTGTACTCGTACGGGTTGTCCTCCACTGTAAGATTGCAGTAATGGCAGTGTGCAAAGTGCAAACTCAAGCATCTGGCTATCACAGTGCTGGGACGGTCCATCAACGCCAATCAGCCGTCTATCATGACTCGAGTGCCAATCCACGGCCAATCAACACAGCTGACTACTTCGGAGCCCGTCTTTTAGGGCAATCGGCGGCCAAGCAACATTAGGGTGTCTTCGGTACGAGTACGAGTCGGAGTATCGTGCAAGTAGTGTTTGGTATGGCTGTAAATATTGTAGCTTTCGAAGCGAGACTCGGCCTTTCAACTGAGACCCATTTGTTTTGGGAAAAAGTAATGAGCAGCTAGCGCAGAGACCGTGTGGAAACGGAGGCGAAGGACAGCCAATGTACAACTACGGTAGCTGAGACTGGGGCGAATTGTTAATTCGGTTTTATATTTAATCAAAATATGGGACTTTAAATTCCATTGAAAGAACTATAGCAAGACATTAGAGCGTTCAGCTGTGGCTGTAGTTCAAGTTTAGTAATACCAGGGAATCTGAAAGAAGTAGCGAAAACAGGGTCCATTCCGAGACCAAAGCTGAGGTAACTACTATTCATATACAGTACATACTGACTATCAACTCCATTTAGGCGGTTCTCCTTAATGGACGTCTTCTGACTCTAGATAGTTTTAATGAGTAACCATGAACATGAACCGAATGAGTACGTACAATCAAAACAGGTGTGAGCACTTTTTCGCACTGCATTTCAAAAGACAACTCAAGATTGACCTTTTACTCATCGAACCGAGCTATATTATGGAGTTCCGACCACTATAAAATGTGTATGGGGTGGCCTGGGTCGGACCGCTAGACACCAACTCGTCTACAGAATTCCGACATCTGACTGTAACTCGAGACATTACCAATCTCTGAATCGCCAGTATCCACATTACCAGACTTCAACCCATCGACCAAGACAACCGAAATACTGTGAGAAATACTGGAAACCAAAACCTGTTGCCGATCCAAGTACGATCTAATTATCTAGATACCGTAGGTAGATAGCAATGAAGAGACGTTGTTTGTAGTAGTATGGCAGCTCTACGACTGTCACTCTGCGACTCTCTAAGACTTCTTCTCCACGACGTCCCCTTTACAATATCCTCTCTCACCTGCGTACATTCGTCTCTTGGAATTTGCCAGACATCTATGATCGAGGGCTGGGCATGTTAGGAGGCAACAGCTATATTGATTTGGAGGCAATCTGCGTGAAATTGATGAGCCGGCGTCGAAAGATCTACAACACGTACAGTACGTAAGCATGGAAATGGCAAGAAGGCTCATCCGGACAAGCGAGAGCCCACTCTCGTCACGGGAAGTGAAAGCCGGAGGATGGAGATGCTTTAAGGAGTATATTGACGAAGAAGACAAGTGATTCCCAAGGTCCGTACCAGTCTTGACACAGTCAATTTGAGAGCCATTGTCTTGAACGAGATGGACTCATTCAGTCCACCCACAAGTTGATACCGCTATGTACTTGGATACTGTACTTGTAGACACTCTCCTCTAGGGTGCCACTGAATCGACCAAATTGCTGACAAATAAAGTCTTCAAGTGTGTATATATATTCCAAGGAGTCAAGTGGTTGGCTGGAAGGACTGGAGAATCTCACTTGTCAGTTTGCGAGTTTCCAGGTGGATGGTGAATTTGATATTTTATCCGGCCCAAGTGGGACTATACTTTCAATAAAATGAAAAAAATAAATGAAAGAAATAAAATAAATAAAGTGAAAAGAAATAAAAAGAAATAAAAATAGAATAAAACACTCAGCTAGATACGAATACAAAAGGCCCAACCGAGAGATCAGCTGGTACATCAAAACTACAAGTACAAGTACAAGTACAAGAACGACCCACTCGAGCTTTGCTCTCGTGTCAGCCAATACATTTACAATAAGCCCACACTCCGAGAGCACTTGAAACACCTTCGAGCTTTGCTCTCAAGGCTCTCAAGGCTCTCAGGGCTCTGAGGCTCTCAGTTCACAGTGTTCGCGTATGTCAATCATACAATACATATTTTTATTACCATGCAATCCCTTATCGCAGAGGAATGAACTTGGAGTTGGAGACACCGGGTCGGCCGTGTCGGGTGGGGGTGTAGGTGATGGAGAACTCACCGAGGTACATGCCGATCATCTCGGGCTTGATCTCAACGGTGGTGAAGGACTTTCCGTTGTAGACACCAACAACAGAGCCAATCATCTCGGGGAAGATGAGCATGTTTCGCAGGTGGGTCTTGACCACGGCGGGCTTCTCGTTGGGGCCGGCGGCGAGCTTGGCCTTTCGCAGCTTGTTGATGAGAATGGTAGGCTTCTTGTTGAGGCCTCGGTTGAACCGTCTTCGGGCTCGGGCGGAAACGAGCTCCTTGAACTCGTCGGTGGAGATCTCGAGCAGATCCTTGAGGTCAACGCCTCGGTAGGAGAACTTCTTGAAGGTTCGAGCCTTTCGGGATTCTGTGTTAGTTGGAACAGGGGAATTGGGCGTAAGCGTGTCATTTCAGATCATGTGGATCACAGAGGTCATATTGCGAGTGACATAGCTATGTCGTGTATCACAGAGGTCGTATCGCGGCTGAGATTCCTCATGCCACGTCGCGGATGACAATTATCATGCCACATCATCACACAGCTCCCGTTGCAGGTGACACCGCCCATACGGAGCCACGCCGTGGGCCACGCCGTGCAATCCTCCCTGTCATGCCACCGCAATGTCTCTGGGCGCCGTGTCGCACCAACCGTAATTCGACATGTCCTCCATACGCCGGTCTCGTTTATCGTCCATACGTACCAGCAGAAGCGTCAGCCATTTTTGTCGTTTGATGTGAGTAGGAAAAGACTTATTCAAAGTGTTGATAATCTTTTCGGTTGGGAGGAGTGAGTGGTTCCGTTTTGGAACTCCCAACACGTGATTCAGTTAGGGTTAGTAGGGTTGTGCACGGGAGAGGCGTGGTTTCCACTTCGGGACACCAAGCCACTCAAAAAGCTTATTTTCTGTCCGACCCACTCTTTTTTCAAAACCACATCTTTGAGATTTTTCCTTCACAAGAAATAGTCTGCTTCCAACAGCTTAAATTTGATTATTTACAAGTGAGTACGGCAGCCAGAGAGGTCTGGCGACGACGACAACCACGACAGCAACGACAAATTGGCGACGATTCTTACCTCGTGGTACTGTCATTGCAAACAGGATCGAAGACCGGTGGTGAAGTTCGATTTATTGTTTAACGACTGTTTGACGATTGATTGAGAAATGTTCCACAACTGTTCTGACTGTTCCAAGACTGTTTAATGACTGTTGGACTGTTCCAAGACTCATCTCGTTCACCTCGATCACCTCCTCCATACTAACCACAGTGAAGTACCTCGCCGCTTACCTCCTGCTTAACGCCGCTGGCAACACCTCTCCCTCCGCTGCCGACATCGAGAAGGTCATCTCTTCCGTCGGTATCGAGGTTGACTCCGAGCGAGTCGCCGCCCTTCTCAAGGACCTTGAGGGCAAGTCTGTTGACGAGCTCGTTGCCGAGGGTACCGAGAAGCTCGCTTCCGTTCCTTCCGGAGGTGCCGCCCCCGCTGCTGCTGGTGGTGCCGCCGCCGGCTCTTCCGACGCTCCCGCCGCCGAGGAGAAGGAGGAGGAGAAGGAGGAGTCCGACGACGACATGGGCTTCGGTCTGTTCGACTAAACGCTCTAGAATCTTGTCAGAGTCCAAAAATAAAAATGTACATCTTATGTTCTATTGGTTGTATGAGTGTGTATGATGCGATCGTGTTGTGTAGGTCAATGTATTTATTTTTTTAAATAATTCCATGATTTTTGGAATACCAAACCGAAGTTAGAAAAAATATAAAGTGAATTCATTGGATTCGATTTCCCGTCAATTTCAATCATTTCCCATCCTTTTTCAACTACTCGTACAAGTACTTGGGGGTCAATGTCATCCAGTTTGGTGCCATTTGTTCAAATTCAAATTCAACTTTTTCACCTTTCCAGCATATTCCAATCTATTCAATTAATTCAATTCCCATCAAGACATAGCAATCAGAAAACGAGCATGTACATACTCTACGTACCGTACATAGCATACTCGCAATACTCTGACTGTGTTGGACTTTTCGAGACACCCGAACGTCCACTAATCCTTGAACCTGATCACTCGGTCTACCGATCTCACTAATGACCTACAACTGCTCCACTATCCACTGCTGTCCATTGTGGAGTCATTGGTAGAGGACAGAGCGAATGGCCAACTACGATACCAACCGTACCGCACCGCACAGTACCTATTCACTAGATGCGGGACAAATAACTGGTGGTCAGTTTGCGACTGTCCGAGTGATGAGATCAATCATTATAGTACATACAGTACAGTACATACATGCTTTGATCAACTACTGGCGACCGATGTGGCAGAATATAGGTTTCTGACACAGTTCTACCCTCACAATCGTCTCCAATCCCACTGACTCACCAATTCTTTCCGTCGATTTGGAACCGCTTTTCAACTCGAACGGTGTCTGGAGCTCTCTCAGTCTCGCCTGTTCGGTTGTTGAAATTCCAGTGCTGGAACTGATCACGAGGATGCGTACTCGTTGATCGAATGGACCTCCGCAGCTGACCACACGTCCAACATGCCACCATTGGATGTGAATGGTGGATCCCTTTGAGTGAATCACCTTCCAGCCTTGAGTGAATGTCTCAATCCCACCAACCATCCGGTTGGAGAGAGTCCTAAAGAGTTGCTCACACTCTCTTGAGGAGTGGGTAGAGAACAGGGCCAAACCCATCTACTCAAGCGGATTTACCATTATGAATGGGAACAAGACTTTTCCGCTCAGAAAGACTCACAGAAAGACTCACAGAAAGACCCACAGAAAGATGAGAAGTAGCCTTGAGTCAGCTCATTGGGTATACTAAGCCATCAAATGAAGGAACTGTTCTCAGCCCAGTCACAAGTCCATGGAGTCCACGGCCGGTCTACGAGACGGTCAACTTCCAACACAGTGCGAGTTTTGATACTCTCGTCGACATCAATCAGCAATAGAAGCCCTTTTCCTGGTGAACTCGTCTTCTGAGAACGTACATACCGAACCTGTATTACCGCCGTATGTACTGTCTAGTGATAGCTGTATGCGTCGTTGCGCTGCTAGAATGACCGCTGAAAAGCATCTGGCTAACCAACAAAAACAGTACAGTACTCCAATCAGGTCAGTCATCTTTCGAAAGCACTTGCTGGTCCTCGAGTCAAGTATGTACACTGGTCTTCACAAACGGGTCCTGACAAGTACAGACTCTCCAGCTGATCTAGTCAAACTTGGCGGAAATTGTACTGGCGCCTTGACTGTCTCGACTGTAGCTGTTCTACCAGGAAAGGGCTTTCAGCGATTAGAACCGTCCCTGGGCCGGCTCTCAAATCGGGGACACCTTCATCCATCCATTACAACCCTACATACACATCGTTACTATTCATATATTTGCTGATCAACCTACAACTTGTCAGGATCGACTCTGCCGGAGTTGACGACATTCTGCTTAAAGGCTAGATTGTCGTCCAGCTTGTGCTCGGCCTTGTTGCCGATATGGGAGGGCTGTAGATCGTGGGTTCGCTGCTGCTTCTGGGAGGTGGTGGACGCGGCGGGAATCGGGTTCTCGGAGTAGGTGGGCACAACTGATCCGCCCTCAACCGCCTCCTTCTTGGTCTCGAGCACGCCGTCCAGAGTCCGTTCGGCCTTGCTGCTGAGATGAGAAGGCTGCAGATCGTGGGTGATGGGCTCCTTGTGGGAGGTGGACGCGGCAGGGATCGTGGCGCTGGTGAACTCCTTCTTTTCGTCTTGTTGGAAGGGGTTCAAAGAAGCGCCAGAGGTGCCAGAAGAACGAGTACCATGCTTGGAGGTGGAATTGGCCAATGGCTGGGAAGGAACGGCTCGAGAATGACCATGGGAATCGACAGGAGACACCTTGCCGTCCTCAATAATATCGTGCTTTCGCTCGACAGCAGAGTTCAACTTATCGTAGGCCTTGTTGCTAAGATGCGAGGGCTGCAGATCATGTTGTCTAGGCTGGTTCTGGGAAGTGGTGGAGGCTGCGGGGATGGGGTTTTCCGCATAAGTGGGCACCACAGAACCTCCCGAAACAGCCTCCTTCTTGGTTTCCAGAGTATGCTCCAGTTTGTTCTCGGCAGCATGGCTCAGATGAGAGGGCCGCAGGTCATGGGTGACGCGCTCCTTGTGGGAGGTGGAAGCTGCCGGAATGGTGGCGGTGGTGTACTCGTCCTTCTCGTCATTCTGGAACTTGCTCAAGGGAGGAGCATGGGAGGTCTGAGAAGAAGTCACATCTCGAGAAGGAACGGCTCGTGACTGACCCGTGGCATCAATGGGATCGACCAGACCGTTGTCCACCGCCTGCTGTTTCACGTCCAGCACGTTTTCAATCTTGTCGGCCTGCTTGTGGGTCAGATGAGAGGGAAGCAGATCGTGGGTGACGGGCTGATTCTGGGAGGTGGTGGAAGCGGCAGGAATGGTGGCAGAGGTGAATTCGGCCTTCTCGTCCCGTTGGATTGACTCCAGAGTAGGCGGAGCATTGTGGGCCAAACCACTCTTGTCCACGTGACCCTGTCCGTAGGCATCCTGGGGGTCCACCAGGCCGCCCTGAACAGCCTCGTGTTTGGCCTCGAGAGTGTCTTCCAACTTGGTAGCATCTCGGTTGGAGAGATGTGACGGCTTGAGATCGTGGTCAGCGTGCTTGGAGGTCTTGTTGTGGTGGCCAGAAACAAGTCCCTGGGGCACAGACGAGTCTGTGGCTGCAATCGGATCCACCAGACCTCCCGCTACCGCCTCTCGCTTGGTCTCCAGAGTCTCGTCCAGCTTATGGGCAGCCTTGGGGTCCAGATGCGACGGTTTAAGATCATGGGTGACCTTTTCGTCGGCTGCTCCGGGGAAAGCTCCGGGAATGTTCTGGGTGTGATTGTCCAGGTCGCCCTCGGCAAAAATGAGCACGTTGTTGAGATTCCCCTGGGGATCTTTCTCGGTGGGAACGCCGTCATCGACCTTCCAGACTCCGTCCACGTAGAACTTGTACACCGTCTTCTCCTTGGGCAACTTGACGGTTTTGGCAAACCCCTTGGGGGTCTTGTCCAGCTTGACGGACTTGGACCAGTTGTCAAAGGTGCCAGAAACAACCACCTCCGAGCCGCCATACGGCCATTCAAAAGTGTACTCGACCATGTTGATTGATTTGATTGATGTAATAGAGTGAATTGAAGAAGACGTTCTCTCTCTCTCTCTCTATCACTCACTTGCGGTCTCACTCCAGGACAAGTAGCAATACCCTCTTGCCCATAAGCTCGGATTGATATGCCAGATAGCAATGTTCAAACAAGGGTTAAACGCGGGTCATATGGGTCGAAAAAGGACTCATTGGGGTCTACTTCTCCGTGCAAACACAAATAACCAACTCGCGTGTCTTCATCCTTCTTACTTGGCCAATTGACAACGGTTCTCTGTCCCACAGCAAGATTCAGGCGGTATCGATATGCCGCATGATGCAGGAAGGCCTAGCACCAGTATGCGATGAGGTCAATGGTGTACAATTGGCGATGAGGCATCTGAAGGCCGAGATGAGTCTGAAGGCGTAGATGTTGATTTGACAGACAGAACAAAGCTTTCATTTCTGCCAAGTTGGTTAATTTCAAAATTTCGAATAAAATCACAATAAATACCAATATTGGTTTTCGAAACTTCCTGTGAATTTAAACGTTTTTTTTTTAAAAAATAACCCAACTGGCCCGATATAGCGGTTGTGAGTGATATCTCTGTGTTTGCAGTTGTCATTTAGGCCTTGACAAAATTCACCAAAGAGCAAGTGCTACAAATACGTGTACTATCGTATCGTTCTTTACCCACACTCTTACCTTCTCATAAGTCACGTGCTGTTGGAGAAGAACACGTGACATCAACAAATACCAGCCCCTCCATCCTTCGTGCCATCACGTGACCAGACACCTTCCGTGCCAACTTTCTTGTCGTGTTCCAGAAGAATGTGGCAATGTGGGAAAAGTATGACGTCACCTGAACAGGGTGTTTGGGTGTTTGGTGATGTCTCGACGTCTGGGGCGCTCTGTTTGTGTTACTAGATCTGTGGTCTTTTTGCAACGTTTTTGTCCCCTCCCTCGGACCCCAATGGATTCTCCACTTGTAGTATTCACTCTACTCTACCATATCGCCATCTCTTGCCCCTAATATGGTATGTCTTGAATTGATAATGCACTGAAGGAGGTCGGAGAAGCGTCTTCTGAGACGATATCTGTACGACAAAAGGAGGATATTATTACATCATTCGACTCAAAAATCAGCGCTGGTTTGAATGGTATCATAATATCCACCTCTTATAGTACAAAAATGTTGCGTTAGTTGTAGATTTTTGCGTCCTTTTTTTTTTTTTTTTTTCTTCTTTTCTTCGATCTGGAAGAAGATGCGTTCGTAAAAAATAGTGCAGGGCTAAAGTGGCTATCAGCGGTTATAGGCCGGAGGGTGACTGGTACGATACGAGTACGAGTACAAGTACAAGTACGTGCCCATACCAGGCCCTAGACCAAAATATGTGGGCTAGTATGCTGACAAATCACGCAATAAGCCGTCTTTGTCGCCCCATATTCGCCAATATGCCCCATTGCACAATGGTTGCCCCGGATGTCTGGCCCTCGTTAAACTTGGTTCGTTGTTGGTCAGCTTTGTCCGCCAAGTCCGCGTCACCGAAACCGAGCCGGCCAAAAGACACACGGCATACAGCAGACACTTTTCTAGGGGGAAGGGACAAGGAGGAGGGGGAAGGGACAAGCAGGAGTATATATGCGGTGGGGATGGTCACATGACATGCGACACAAACCACAGACTCACCACACCATGCCACGCCACGCCACGCCACACAAACACACACACACACACACACACAGAGGTAACACACACAAACACAGTCGCACTGTGGCTTGCGCAAAGTTCAACGGTTCGATTCCTAGAATCGTCCATTCTGTGGTCGACACGAGACGCATTGAAAGACGGTCTAAAAGATCTAAAAGACTGGGATTTCGGGTGGAATTGCCGCGGGCATGTCGGGAGACTTTTGGATCACGTGATATGGCGCCATTTTTTGTGTTACGCCGCGTCCACTGTACGAGGTACATTCGAAGCACACGGAAGGAGGTGCAACAAACAACCAACCAACCAACCAAAAAAAAAAAAAAACCAAACCAAACTATAATTTTTTCGAACTCTGCCGCATACATATAACCACAGCGAGCCAGTGTAACCATCGTCTCTTTCTCTTCTCTTTCTCTTTCTCCTCAACAACCCCCCTTTTCTCCCTCTCACCCTTTCACACAAACACAAGCACAAAATGTCTGGATTCGGAACTCTCGCAGTGCACGCTGGTGCCCCCCACGACAAGACCACCGGAGCTGTCATCCCCGCCATCTCTCTGTCCACCACCTTTGCCCAGAGCGCCGCCGCTAAGCCCGTGGGCGAGTACGAGTACTCGCGATCGGCCAACCCCAACCGTGACGGCTTCGAGCAGGCCATTGCTGCTCTGGAGAAGGGCAAGTACGGCCTGGCGTTCTCGTCTGGCTCTGCTGCCACAGCCACCATTCTGCAGTCTCTGGCTCAGGGCTCCCACGTGGTGTCCATTGGCGACGTGTACGGAGGCACTCACCGATACTTCTCCAAGGTGGCCAATGCTCACGGAGTCGAAACCACCTTCTCCAACGCCGTGGAGGACGAGCTGGCCTCTCTGATCCGGCCCGAGACCCGTCTGGTCTGGATCGAGTCTCCTTCCAACCCCACCCTCACCGTCACCGACATTGCCAAGGTCGCCGGCATCGTCAAGCAGGCCAACGAGGGCCGATCCGCCGACGAGCAGGTCTTCCTGGTTGTCGACAACACCTTCATGTCTCCTTACGTCCAGAACCCCCTGACTCTGGGCGCTGACATTGTGGTCCACTCTGTCACCAAGTACATCAACGGCCACTCCGACGTGGTCATGGGTGTTGCTGCCACCAACTCCGACGCCATCCACGAGAAGCTGCGGTTCCTGCAGAACGCCATTGGTGCTGTTCCCTCTCCCTTCGACTCGTGGCTCGCCCACCGAGGTGTCAAGACTCTCCACATCCGAGTCGGAACCGCCTCCAACAACGCCCAGGCCATTGCCGAGTTCCTGGAGAAGTCTCCTCTCGTCGAGGCCGTCAACTACCCTGGCCTCGAGTCCAACCCCCGACGAGAGGTTGTAAAGCGACAGCACCGAAACGGTCTTGGCGGAGGCATGATCTCCTTCCGAATCAAGGGAGGAGCCGAGTCTGCCAACAAGTTCTGCCAGAACACCAAGATCTTCACTCTGGCCGAGTCTCTGGGAGGCATTGAGTCTCTGTGCGAGGTCCCCGCCGCCATGACCCACGCCGGCATCGACGTCAAGGCCCGAGAGGCCTCCGGTGTCTTTGACAACCTCGTCCGACTGTCTGTTGGAATCGAGGACAAGGAGGATCTGCTCAAGGATGTTGAGCAGGCTCTTCAGTCTGCCGCTTCTCAGTAAGCGACTGGTGCTAACCCATCCCCACTCTGTTTTCAACACTATAGAGTGTGTAATATAGACTAGAATGTGATATTTATAACATGTGAGCGGAGCGAGCAATGATGGCAACTGTACCGGTACACGAACTTGTAGAATTGTCGTATCGTATCCAGACGAATGTCTCCTTTCACAGGATGGATGTAGGCCAGATATGTAGGAAACCTATGAGTGCTGTGAACCTGCTATGAACCAATTGGTGAATCGTACGCCGAGTCTGGAGATCACAGTGGTATAATGATATCGAAGTATTGTCTTACTAATATGCTGAGGTATCGCTGATATGGTGCATCTCGAGATGTTAGTATAAATGCTATACGCTACAAGTACCGGTACTCGTACGGTATTCGTACTGGTGGCTCTCGCTTCAGTACAGCTTGCTGCCATATAATACACCATATATTACAATAAATTATGAGTCTGCCGTCTAACTGTAGAAACGACTGTAGCACTGTTGCTGTGAGTATGAGACATGGTCTTGAACCACTCTTGAACCACTCTTGAACCACTCCTGAACCACATTAGTATGCCTTTCTTAGCATTGATTGGAACATCGCGACAGTAAGATCAAATGAGATCTCTTGTGCGCTGTAGCTAGTAGCAATTGGGCGACGCCTCGTCACTCGTGCTCCTCCTCCCTCTTCTGATACATATACGGCGGTGGCAACACCTGCCCATACATCTGAGGATGTCCGTACATGGTCTGCGGCGGAGGCAGAAGATTGCCACCCTGGTAATACGGCACAGCAGGGTACTGGTACCCTCCGTATATTGGCGGTCCCTGATGGTACATGGGATGCTGCATCATGAGAGGCGCGCCTAGTGGCAGAGGCATGTGTTGCTGCTCGTGTCCGTTGAGTCTGTGTTGACCCATGGGAGGCGGCGTGGGCTGATGCTGATGCTGCTGCTGCTGCTGCTGCTGTGGAGGTGGTGGGGGAGGTTGGTGCTGTTGCTGTGGAGTCTGCTGGTGAACCTGCTGCTGGGCAGTCTGTGGAGGCGGAGGCTGTTGCTGTGGCACCTGTTGAAGAGGCGCAGGTTGCACACCCATAGGTTGCATGATTCCCGGAGGCACGGGGAAGGCTGCATGAGGAACAGGAGGCCGCTGGAGCCCCAGAGCCGTCAGATCCTCGTTGGTCTCGTCCTCCGTTGCCTGAGAAATCACAGGCGCAGCAGGGAAACCAACGTACTTGGATATTCCAGACAAGAGCGAAATCTCGTTCACCTGAGCGTTCCGCTGATGAATCTGCTCGCTCTTGCTTTCAGGGATAGTGTAGCCGTAGTCGGGAACCATGAGATCCATGGCCCGTCTCTCCCGGTTGACTCTATACCACTCTTCGGTCGTCTTGAGCAACAAGCCGCTTCGGGCGTCACCCTGATCCTTGAGAAACTGCTGGTGAATCTGCACACGCGACGCACGTGTCTGGTTGTTGATGCACTGCAGCTTGTATTTGCGACGCGTCTTGGCCAGTTTGATCTTGTCGTCACGCATCTTGGAGATCTGCTCGTAGACCGCATGCAGCTCGGGATGTGTGCCCTTGACACAGAGCCCCATTTCCACCTCAAACGCCGCCAGCTTCTCCTTGAACATAAAGTCGCGGAGCTTGGCGAAATCGACCTCGATCTCGGCGAGAGACGTCATGGCCGCAGGCCGCATGTCGACCTTGTCTGCGTCTGCGGGAGAGTCTTCCTTGTCATTGTCGTCGCCTTCGCCTTCCTCGTCGCCCTCGTCTTCCACCTCCTTTTCCTCGTCTTCGTCTTCGTCTTCGTCTTCGTCTTCGTCTTCATTCTCCTCCTTGTCCTTGTCCTCCTTGGTCACCTCCTCCTCTTTATCTTCCTCGTGTTCATTGTCGGAGGGCTCAGTCTGGTTGATGGGCGTAGGCATATCCTTGGTTTCGTTGGCGTCCTTATTGTCGACATCAGCCGTTTCTGATTCCTTGAGCCCCTCCTTGGCCTCGGCCTCCTTAGACTCATCCACAGCCTCTCCTTCCTTCTCAGAGATATGATTCACCTCAGGCTTGATGTCCTCAACAGGCACGGGCAAGGGAGGCGGTACTTCCTCGAGAGCCGAGGCAATGGCACTGGCAGTGATGAGCCCGGTGTCAGGACCCACATCTCCACCTTCTCCTTCTGCCTTGGCTGTGGTATCCACATCCATTCGGGCCGTTGTGTCTTCTTCTCCAATGTCATCATTTTCGTCGGTTTGACCATTAACTTTGGCCCGCTTAATATCTCTGTCATCCTCCTCATCGCGTTCACGCTTCATCTGCCGGATGTGGTCTTCCGACGACGATTCGCGCCGGCGCTTGAACGACTCTTCCTCTTCGTCGACCAGATCGTTGAGATAGAGCCGTTCGGTTTCGGCCTCGGAGTCCTCGAGTTCCGAGAGCTCGGACGAGTCGTCGCTGAGGTCCGCGGGGTTGAGCAGACTTGCTTTTCTGCCGTTGGACGTGGGCAGCGGCATGTCGTCTGTGGAGACAATGCTCGCGACCGTGGCAATACCCGAGTCGGCGTGCTCGGGATGCGTCACGGAGCCCTTGTCGCCCGCCGATTGTGTGTCTGTAGCTGTAGGTGGGGCTGTGGCCGTAGCCGTGGCCGAGGTTGCGGTTGCTCCTGTCGATGGAGACGGAGAAGAACGGGTCTTCTTGTCAGTTGGTGTGTGTGTGTCTCCGTTTGTGCCTGTGTCGTGGTCCTCTGCCACGTCATCCTTCAGCTCCTTGGCTTCGTCCTCATCGTGCTGCTGCAGGTCCAGCATGGCCTCGGAGTCGAGCTCGGATAGCGGAGACGTGACCATGTCGTCGTCGTTGGCGGTCATCAATTGGGTCGGTGTCGGGTTAGCGGCGTGCTCGCTTCCGGGTCTTGTAGAGAGCTAACACGTGACCTGTCGTTCTTTTCTCGGTCACCGTCGTCGCTCGGGTGTCGTGTGGTAGTGAGTGAGTGAGAAGAGAGAGAGTAGTGTAGTGGAGCTGCCGACTATGTTTTTTACTGTTGATAACAACGCAAGTCTTTTCCACCATGCACCAAACCCAGCTAAGTTTGGTGCGCATACAAGACGTGCGGAGAGGAGCACGTTATGGGAGAGAGAGTCGACAGAGGGCGAATAGTGCACATGCTGGGCCAACCAGGTTCCCAGAAGGGCTGTCTGGTGGTTCTGACAACTCGATTGACCGGCTTTTTGTCGTCTCCTCCCCTCTCATCACCACCGTATGGAGTCCCTGCAATCGTCTTCTTTTTTTTTTCCCTTTTTTTCCTTCTTTTTTTCTCCCCTTAAAATACAACCATCATCCCCCGCCAAATCCACGCCCTACCTTGCTCCCATTTACACACACGATCATACCCAACCATGCCTCCCACCACATCCCAGGGGATAATCGACGTCAGATGATCGCCGGAAAGCCACCATGGACTCCAATCGACCGTCGCTCGTCGGTGTCGAAATTTGGCGCCGTTCCGTCCAGCCAATCTTCATATAATCGCCCCTCAGCCCCCCCTGGCAGCCGTGCCCCCACTGCCGTCGTATGTATGCAGAGCCACTCATTGGTTGACGGGACAGCGGCGCGTGTCAGAGGGTGGTGGAGAAGTGAGTCAGGACTGTGGTTAAGAAACGCGTCAAGGCTGAGGTTGTCGAAAGCTGGCACCGGAGGTTGATGATTGATGGCTTGGGTTGGATCGTGTTTAGAGGAGGAGATGCATAGGTTATGAGTATTGCTATTTGTGTCAGATTATGACCTCCTTGAGCCTTGCTAACGAATATAGTGGGGATACAACTGAGACGCCTGGGTCCCTTGGCCAAACTGGCGACCGGCTCTCTTTTATTCTAGCCGTAAATCGAGAGAGGGCTAGTTGTACTATTACACTGGACGCCTCCCACACAACCTTTATATGGTGTACATGTCTCATGCAAAGTTTGAATTTTTTTTGGCAAGAGTTTGAACAGAACAAGTGAGCTCAATCATTTGACCATCCAGCGACAATGACCACCACAAAAGACAACTCCGGACTCGCCGCGCTCTTTGCCAACTCCAGTGGTCCTCGTCAGAAGCCTCAGCGCGCTGGCAAGGTCGACCCGGTGCGTGACCAGCAAGAGGATAAGATGGAAGTAGAGGATGAAGAGGAGGATGAAGAGGAGGACGAAGAGGACGAAGAGGAGGATGAGGAGGATGAGGAGGATGAGGAGGAGAAGGAGGAGGACGACGACGACGACGACGACGAAGAGGAGATCGAAGAGCCTGTTATCAAGAAGAGCAAGAAGAACAAAAAGTCCAAGGAGGAGTCGGCCGACTTGGAGGATCAGTACATGGCCAAGTTGGCCGAGGAGGTGGCCGAGGAGAAGCCCATGGTCGCAGAGACCTCCGCGGAGGAAATCAAAGTCGATGAGCCCGAATCCGATTCTGAGGACGAACCCGAGCTGGACGTGGACGAAGAGACCAAGAAGAAGCTGGAGGCCACCAACAAGGAGCTGGACAAGGCCGACTACACCATTTTTGTCGGCAACGTGTCGTCCGAGGTGATCACCGACAAGACCGTGTACAACAACTTCAAGGCTCTGTTTGCGGCCATTGGAACCGTGGCGTCTGTGCGGTTCCGGTCCATCTCCTTCTCCAAGCTGCTTCCTCGAAAGGTGGCTTTCATTTCCCAGCAGTTCCACTCCAAGCGAGACACGGTCAACGCTTACATTGTGTTCAAGAACGTCAAGTCCGTCAAGGGCGCTCTGACGCTCAACGGCTCGGTTTTCAAGGGCTTCCACATGCGAGTCGACTCCGTGGCCCATCCCGGCGCCCAGGATCACAAGCGGTGCGTGTTTGTGGGAGCTCTGGACTTTGAGGAGCAGGAGGAATCCCTTTGGGAGGCCTTTTCGTCTTGCGGTGATGTGGAGTACGTGCGAATTGTGCGGGACCCCAAGACCAACGTTGGCAAGGGGTTTGCATACGTGCAGTTCAAGGACGTCAACTCGGTTGAGCAGGCTCTGCTGCTCAACGGTAAGGGCATCAACGAGCTCTCCAAGTCCACCACTAACAAGCGCAAGCTGCGTGTGTCGCGGGCCAAGAGCCAACACTCCCAGGAACGGGCCAAGCAGGCCGACATGAAGAACATTCGAAACGCAAAGACCGAAGGCCTGTCCCGAGACGAAAAGTCGCACTTTGGCCGGGCCCAGTCGCGGCTAGGCAAGGCCGGCAAGGCTCAGCTACAGTCCATTGTACAGGAGGGTCTGCGGGCTAAGAAAGAGGACGGCAAGGTCAACCTGGCCCGAAGCAAGCGACGAGGAGTCAAGCCCAACAAGAACCGAGTCGAGAAGCCTGGCCAGTCCAGAGCCGAGAAGCGAAAGGCCATGTTTGGAACCCCCACCAACGGCGCTCCCGGAGCTGGCGGCAAGAAGAAGCGTCTTACAACCCGATCCCAGAAGTTCAAGCAGGATGGAGGTGTCAAAAAGGACGGAGACGCCAAGAAGGATGGCCCCAAGAAGGAGAGGGATGGCTCCAAGAAGGGTTCCAAGAAGAACTAATTGGGTAGAGGTTGTATAGGTGAAAATAAATAGGCATTAGATTATTGTATTGTATTGGGGAGTAGGGTGGCAGTAGGGTAGCAGTTGAAGAGTTATATAAGAGTGTGGGGTTTACAGATGTGGTGATGGGGGAGTTTGTAATAGAATCACCATGTAATTCTCATCATAATGGTCATCTCTTCCAACAACACCATGAATCTCAGCTTGGATGCTAGAGGACGCAATAACGGGAGATGAAGAGTCGTCCGAGTACGGGCAGGTCCATGTTCAAGATTAGAAAGGTTTCTTTCCTGTTTCAGAGTCCTACTTTATCTCTCCCTCGAATTAACCACTACCTGGAACGTTGAGATTATCAAGTAATTGTCAAGTAAATTATCAACTACAAGGACATTATTGTTACTGGAAAAATCAGCATGAAAGCCACCCATATCCATGGTTCATACAAGTACAGTACTTTCATCGTATACGCCTCAAGAGATACCATAAATCACATGACTTCCACCGCCTGCCACCCTCCACGAAATCACGTGCCATATACCCCTTCCGTATATCCGATGTAACTGAATAACGGTATGTCCATGCTGTACTTGTACTGGTAGTCGAACTGTAGATCTTGTGGGTAAGATTTTGGTGGCGAACAAGACCATCACAATGAGACCAGAAAGAACCATTGACTGGGTACAAGTACAAATACAAGTATAAGTTCTTGGGGCGAGGCTCATCACGTGACACACCCGCGCTATATCATTCCCGTGTCACGTGACAACGCCGGGTTCCCGCAGCTCATCCGCTCCATCCGGGACCCACCTCAGGAGGAGTTTGTAATTTCCGGAGTTCGGAGTCCGTGCTTAAAAATAGCACGCTGTAAGATAACCGCGTGCATCCACACAGCCACAGTGCGAAGTGTGAGGATCAATCAGTCTGAAAAAAAAGGGGTTCAATGAATGTGAGAGCAATTTTAGAAGAGATTGGGGGGTCTTTTGGGGCTGTGAAATACAACTCCGCTTTTATTTGGCCCCCAAAATGGGACTAAACGGCCTCATCACGACCCTTCTCTTCTCCCCTTCCATATCACACGACTTGCACCGATAACGCAATCCCCACCCTTTGCAACCTAAAAAAAGAGTGCCGTGTAACCACAAAGGTCTCGCGTCTGTTGTTTATATATAGCGTAGGGTCCGACTTTGGCGACCACCAAATAGTTTGCCCTTCTTCTTTTTCTTCCTCTTCATATCATGGGCTCCTCTCCCTCCAAACAAGCCCAATCGGACGCGCAAAAGTCGCTAACCCGGCTGTCCAAGGTGTCTGAAAAGCACTTTTATCCTGACACCGCCACTCCCGACTTGGCCACTCTTCCTCAGCTACAATCCCTGCCGGATATTGACGGTCTGGATCTCAATGGAGACAACAACGAGAAAGACATTGCCAACCTGCTGTCTGAGTGGCGAGCCAACTTCCTGGACTCTCCCAAGAACCGTCTGGCTCTCGCAGCTCTGTCCAGAAGTGACTACCAGTCGTTGCTGATCCAAGACGACAGATACAATGACCAGAACCCTGCTGTGTTCACTCACGTGATCAAGTACGACGGCCAGAAAGACACCCCCGTGACCAACCAGCGCTCTTCAGGAAGATGCTGGCTGTTTGCCTCCACCAACGTGTTCCGAGTCCAGCTCATCAAGTCGTCAGCCATTAAGCCCAAGGACTTCCAGTTCTCCCAGGCGTATCTCTTCTTTTACGACAAGCTGGAGAAGGCGTCGTATTTCCTGGAGCAGATCATCGACACCGCCGACGAAGATCTCGACTCTCGACTGGTCCAGGAACTACTCAAGGCTCCTGTCAACGACGGAGGACAGTGGGATATGGTTGTCAATCTGGTAGAGAAGTATGGTCTGGTGCCTCAGGACGTGTTCCCCGACTCATGGAACGCCCAGAACTCCGGCCATCTCAACTACTTGCTTACTAACAAGCTGAGAGAGTACGGTCTGGCTCTCCGAAAGCTCATCCAGACCGAAAAACCTACCCCTGAGCTGCTACTCTCCCTGCGACGACAATACACCCAGAACGTGTACAACATTCTTGCTACTTCTCTGGGAGTGCCTCCTGCTGCTAACGAGACCTTCAAGTGGGACTACTGGACCATTGATGGCAAGCCCCAGCAGGTCACCACCACCCCCATCAAGTTCTACAGAGACAATCTCAAGCACCCCGCCTCGCAGTACTTTTCCCTCATCAACGACCCTCGAAACGACTACAAGCAGTTGTATACCGTTGACCGGCTTCAGAACATTTCTGGAGGCCGTCCCATCACCTACGTGAACGCCGACATCTCCGAGCTCAAGAAGGCCGCCATCAAGATGATCCAGAACAACGAGCCTGTCTTTTTTGGTTCTGACGTGGGCCAGTTTGGAGACCGAGCCACCGGTATTCTGGATCCCAAGTCGTGGGATTACGATCTGGGCTTCAACACTTCTCTGGGAATGAATAAGGAGCAGCGAGTGTCCACTGGAGCGTCGTCCATGACCCATGCCATGGTGATTACCGGAGTCCATCTTGAGGACGGAGTACCGGTTAAGTGGAAGATTGAAAACTCGTGGGGAGCTGACACCGGAAAGAAGGGCTATTTCCAGATGTCGGATAAGTGGTTTGACGAGTACGTGTTCCAGGTTGTTTCTTCTGCCCAGTACGTTCCCAGAGAGCTTCAGCAGGTGCTCAAGACCAAGCCCAACGTCCTGCCTCTGTGGGATCCCATGGGAGCCTTGGCCTAAGTGGGGTGTGAGTCTAGTGTTAGATATAGCTGGTCTATGTGATGAGTTGTGATGAGATGCGGCGAGATGAATAATAAAGTGGTAAAGACGAGTAATCGTACCACAAACGCAAAAGCAAGTACAAGAAGAGCAAGTACAAGAAGAGCAAGTACAAGAACCAGAATGATACGTACAAGTAGTACTACGGTATGCACTTGTAGGATAACACCTACACCCGATACTGATTCGTACGGGTACTTTACCAGTATCTCTGGTGATGAACACGGTATATTGTATCAAGCATGCCGACAAATACCATTCAACTATGCCTGCAAGTACCGTACGAGTACGTACTAATTTCTCGATACTTTGACGCACATTTGATTAGTCTCGTATCTGGGTCTGGTGAAGTTGGCCCCAATAGCTCGGTCACGAACATACATGCAATCGGAGGGAGGGGGTGGCCACAGTATGTACGATACGTCTTACATACGGTATATAAGTGGCCCAATTCCCGAACCACTTTGTCTCATCTACATACTACAACAGACTCACCACCATCTCTGCAAGTACTGGTACATATCTGATACATATCATGGTCGCAGTAACTTGTCCTGAATGCCACAAGGCGGTGCACGCGCGCGATCTCAACATTCACATTCTCGAGAATTGCAACGAGAAATACTGTTTGTGAGGATTATATATTGAATGGTATTTGATCAAATCCCTAGAGAGGCTGGCCTTTCCCGAGTAGAGTAGAGAGTAGAGAGTGGAGAGTAGAGATTTAGACGACTGTAGCTAGTAGAAGTAGAAGAGCTGGTTAGAGATGATTTCAGGCAGAGAATGATTTCAGGCAGGTTTCAATTCAACCAAGGAATGAGTCAACTACTTGTAGGGAGGTTCAACGCAACTGCTGGTTTTAGTCAAGAAGGATTTCAGTTCCGAATGATTTCAGTTCAGAATGATTTCAGTTCAGAATGATTTCAGTTCAGCCTAGATGATGTACCGTACATTATGAACAGCTTGATCCACGATAACAGTACGAGCTACATTATTCTAAGAGAACTGTACTTGTAAGAGACTGGGTGTACAATACACACTGAGTAATACTCACATTGAGAGAAGTGATGATTACAGTACTGTGCACTTTGCCCTCGGGGATAGAGACGAGAAGACAAGGAGACGAGAAGACGAGGAGACGAGGGTACGTACTATACTTAGTGTAGAGCGATGTCTATTAGAAGACTGTAAGATAGGTGAGAAAGACCTGAGCACCTGTAGAGCTACAAATGACGACACGATCGGAGTAGGACCACATCTTGTTGGCGTCCGTCCCACCATTTCGGGTCAATTCCAGGCTCACATTGGAATTCACAGTCAGGCTCCCATCCCTAATCCCCATTCCAATGCCATAAAGACGATGGTGTGGTGCTGGATCTGGGTCTGAAGTCTGAAAACCCGCTCAATGTGCCTCGAGACGACCGTGGCCAAAGCCACCTGCCACCCATCTCACTGTTGTAAGCTCCTGTCTCTGTATCATTGGAACCGAATACACTCGCCAGAGACACCTTCAAGCTACAGTATCTCCTCCATCTACTGTATAATCTTAGCAACAACCTGATATCAATCCCCAGACTACCTCCGAACAGAAGATCAAGACCATCAGTCTTTTGGTGAGTGACAGCAAATCAGCACCAGCGCAAAAACAAAACGGAATATGGTCAACGAGGATCACTTTGGCACCTGAACATTACACTGCCAACAATGTACCACGAATGAACACACCTGTGGAACACATTACGATCTAACCAGATAACAGTCTGACCAGCTCATTACCGTCGTCAGCTTCCGACCTCCAACTCACGATACAAGTACCGTACAGTACCTCAATCAGTCTTCTCAACCGGTTGAAGTCAACACCAGAAGTTGAAACTCACTCCACCTTCCCATCTACTGTAGCTCCTCATCAGACCCACAAGTACCCACAGTATAATACTCGTCTTATAAGTTCATCTCATATAAGCAGGAGGAGGAGCGACAGGCCAGGGTTGCCAAGAAGGAGGCTGCTTGCTGCCAACCACCTTGTCACCTCCTATAATCCAACACAAGTAAAACCAACACAACAAGTTCTACAGCAAGTCACTCAACATCTCTCTTCCTTTCTTTCCCTCTCTCTCTCTCTCTCTCTCTCTTTCTCTCAATTCAACAACACCACTCAACCTCATTCAACAACACCTTATGCACACAACTAACGCATACAACGAACTACCCGTACTCTATTATGTACTGTACTGTGCAGAAGTTGCATTCCAAAAGCCCCCCAAAACCGCACATTTCATTGCGCCGTTGTTCTACAAGTACCCCTTCCTCCAAATGCAACCATTGTGGTTGGTTGCCGGTTTATCCGCGCCGGAAAAACTCGTACATACGCCCGGCATATTCTCGGCACGTTTTACCCCAGATCGACAATACAGTATGTACATACATGATTGCATCTACAAGTAGTTACTCGTCACACCCTCAAACAATATCATACATTATGCTATTTTTTTTTAAATTACTTTTTCAACGAGTGAACAACCTCAATGATGGTCTGGACAACGTCGGGGTTAGCAAGAGTGGAAATGTCTCCGAGCTGGTCCTCCTCGCCAGCAAGCACCTTTCGCAGAATTCGTCGCATGATCTTGCCAGACCGAGTCTTGGGCAGATCGTCCACGATGATGACATTCTTGGGAGCAGCAAAGGGTCCAATGGTCTTTCGCACCTGCACAACAAGCTCCTTTCGCAGAGCGTCCACATCCTCGACGGGGTTCTTGAGAGCCACAAAGGCGTTGACGGCCTGGCCAGTCAGATCGTCATGGACACCAACAACGGCAGACTCAGACACCTGAGCGTGCTCAATGAGAGCAGCCTCAATCTCGGCGGTGGAAAGACGGTGGCCAGAAACGTTGACAACGTCGTCGACTCGGCCTCGGATCCAGTAAAAGCCGTCATTGTCTCGGGCAGCACCATCACCGGTGAAGTAGTAGCCGGGGTAGGGCCGCAGGTAGGTCTCCATGTATCGCTCGTGGGTGTTCCACACGGTTCGGGCCATGGAGGGCCAGGGAGATCGCAGGGCAAGAACACCCTCAACGTTGTTACCCTTGAGCTCCTCGCCAGACACGGGATCAATGATAACGGGATCAATTCCAAAGACAGGCAGGGAAGCAGAACCGGGCTTGGTGGGGGTCACGCCGGCCATGGGGGCAATGATATGCGAGCCAGTCTCGGTCTGCCAGTAGGTGTCACAGATGTGGGCCTTGCCTCGGCCAATGTTGTCGTTGTACCACTGCCACACGTCGGGGGCAATGGGCTCACCCACAGAGCCGAGGGTTCGCAGAGACGACAGGTCGTGCTTAATGTGATGGGTGCCGGCCCGCTTCAGGAGACGCAGGGCGGTGGGAGCCACGTAGAAGTGGGTGATCTTGTGGTCGTCGACAATGTCCCAGTATCGCGAGAAGGAGGGGTAGGCAGGGGTTCCCTCGAACACAACAGTGGTGGCTCCGAGCATCAGAGGACCGTAGAGCACGTAGGTGTGGCCGGTGATCCAGCCAACGTCTCCAGCGGTGAACAGCTTGTCGTCTCCGTGGATGTCAAACACGTACTTGGCGGTCAGGGCAGCACCAAGCAGGTAGCCACCGGTAGCGTGGGCCAGACCCTTGGGGGTGCCGGTGGATCCAGAGGTGTAAAGCAGGAAGATGGGGTCCTCGGAGGCAACGGGGACGGGGGCAAGGTAGGGTCGGTGCTTGACGACCTCCTCGTGCCACCAGAAGTCCCGGCCCTCAGTCCAGGCCAGGTTCTCGACACCTGCTCGTCGGAAGACCAGGGTGTGGGTAACAGAGGGGCAGTCTCGCAAGGCTTCATCGACAATCTTCTTGGTGTCGATGGTCTTGCCTCCTCGCATGGAGGCGTCGGTGGTGACGACAACCTTGGACTTGGCGTCGTTGATTCGGTCTCGCAGAGAACCGGAGGAGAAGCCGGCGAAGATGACCGAGTGGACAGCGCCAATTCGGGTGATGGCCAGCAGAGTGACAATGGCCTCGGGGATCATGGGCAGGTAGACGGCCACAGTATCGCCCTTCTGGACGCCGAAGGATCGCAGGGTGGCTGCGACCTGAGACACCTGTCGCAGCAGTTCGCCGTAGGTGACGATTCGGCCCTGGCCCGGCTCATCGGCCTCAAAAATGATGGCGGGCTTGTCGGGGTTGGCAAAGGCGTGTCGATCCACACAGTTGTAGGAGGCGTTGAGCTGGCCCTCGGGGAACCAGGCCACGTCGCCGTGCTCGAAGCCGCCAGATCGCACAGTTTCAAAGGGGGTTGACCAGGAGATGAGCTCGTTGGCCATCTTCTTCCAGAAGGCCTTGGGGTCCTCAATGGACTCCTTGTGCAGCTGGTGGTAGTCCTGCAGACAGTCGAGGTGGGGGCCTCCGAAGTGGGGGTGGTTGTCCTTGAACTCGGAGGGTGGGTGGATGGCTGGGTGGTCTTCAGACATTGTGTGTTATGGTGAGTGCTGGAAAATGTGCTACTGAAAGATAGAGAGGTGGAGCTCAAGTATGGTCAGATCACTATCTGCGCGTTGGGAGATTTTTTTGTTGGGACGTGTGGTGCGACGTGGTGGGCGTTGTGCTGGGTATAGATGCAGCTGGTGGTGCAGAGAGCGTCGGGGTCAATCTGGAGCGGAGAGCTGGAGCTGTACGTGGGGTTGGAGAGTGATGTGGTAGTCTGTCTGGCAGGGACTGCCCCGGTATATATAGTTGCAAGTCCGGTTGGGTCTTAGACCTCTTCCCCGGAGTGAGTCAAAATGCGAACAAAGACAAAAAATGGCAAAGTGCACCGACGTACAGCTGCTGCTGGTGTGCACCTACGCTTAGAAAAAAAAAGTCCATAATTAAGCTGGGCCCAAGGTTGAGGGAATCCGGTGCGCCGAGAGTTGAGTTATGGGAGGGAGGAAGTAGAGAGAGTCTGTGGAGGCCGGTTGCAAGCGCCATATGAGGGGAAACGAGCGCACGGACGGTTATTAAATCAACTGTCCAGATGATAATATACTGATTACGTCTGCTCATCACGTGGTATCGGCTCCTTCTCCAACCACAGCTCTCAGGGACTCGACACCCAACGTTGCGCCGCTCAACCACCCAACCAAGCCAAAGTTATGGACCAACGGAAGTGAGTCCAGAGCCACACTTTCAGAAGCTTGAATGTATCCCGGGCCAAAGTATCCGCCAGAGATAATGGACACAGCAGAGACATAGTGTAACGGTAAGCGAGCGGTAAACGAACGAACAAGAGCGAACAAGAGCGGAGCAGAACGGAACCGAACGGAACTAAGCGGCCAAACCCGGGAAATCGTGGACTCACGTGACCATAGCCACCGGTTCCTGATGGTTCCATCTATTCTCCCGGTTGCCGTGGTTAACTGCCGTTTGGTGGCTACAAGTAGTCTACACTATTGCTCGCCATGGACGCGGCAACTATTTCTCGATTGACCCATTACAGCAGAGCGATATCGGTGCAACAGAGTTGGTCAGCACGCGATAATGCATGCGCACACTGTCCGAGAGTTCGTTTGGAAGCGGGCGGAGCCTGCGGCGAGGGCGAAATGGTGAGTGCCATATATCGTGCCCGGTCACCACCTCCATACTCTTTGTATACAACCACGCGCGCCAACACTCGTAACTTGTTCCATTTATCCGACGCTCTCGAAGTGTACCCCAGACTAAGACTATTTGGGCCACTGGTGTCACATAAAGTTAAGCCTTGTCTCACAGGTCTGGTGACGAAACTGTCTTAGCTGAATAGACATGAGTATTATGGGCCTCAGTGACCTTGTACGCAAGACTATGTAGTAAATAATCGGCGCCTGCGCAACCAACCGAGTGAACAAGTATGGCGAAAAGCTGACAAGTTGTGTCTGGCGTCCCATTTAGGCCATAAACCGGCGCCATTTCCCTCCGCTTCCCGCTCCGTCAGGCTTCTGTACAGTTCCTGACTACAATCGCTGGGTCTGCGCTAATCTGGGGTAATCTGGGGTATGCGATGAAAAAGAAAAATGGTAAACATGGCAGAAAAATATGGCAAACATGGCAGAAAAAATAGCACGAAGAACAAGGGTCTAGCCCGAAGACAAACAAACCGAGCTCCAGAATCGGTTCAACAAAGTAGCGGTGTGCAGGGACAGCAGACAAGAACAAAAACTGTGAAAAAACTGTGACAAACACCTGAAACTTGTACGTAGAAGTACAATAACAAGTACAGTACTCGTACCGGTATCGTACTTGCACGTTCTTTATGCCGCAAGAGTTGAACACGAACCGTTGGTAGTAGACGCGAATAGCACCATAGATACACAGGACAACTCAGACTCGAGGTTGCCACCAGACTTCCCGTCCATCAAAACCAAGGCCATTTCGTCACGGATCCATTCTTCGTTCTCACTCCCCTTGCGCCCCTCCATTGGTCCGTCAACTTGACATCACAGTACATCTCTCGGATATCCCTTCCCCGGATTTCGGTTCCGTGCCAAGACGTACCCCAGCAAATGAGCTGAGACAAGCTGGCTCTTGGGCGGTACCCCAGACTACGGGGATCGAGCAGGGTAACCGAAATAAGCATGGGCGGTGACCCATGGTCCTTGTCTTCCACCACGTCAATCGCACTGACAACCCTTGTTTTGCCGCTTGTCTGTAAATGTAGCTCCATTGCGGGCAGAAAGGCGTCTTTTGGACACACAAGGTTGCTGTGTGTATTCTACAGTACGAGTGCGAGGTTGTAGACCACACGAGGGTCTGGATCACAGGCTGTAAAGCAGCTAGCACTCGTTATTTAGCCAACATCCAATCACGAACAAGGCTTTTTCCGAAAGACCCGCCATCGGCCCTACAATTGGTCCTCTCAGCCTTGTAGAGTCCCTGCTGCAACTGCCTCTTTAGGGAAACTTAGGCCTAGGGTAGATTACGGCGGCACGGGAGTCCTCAGAAATGTTGAGTCACGTGCCCAGAACGTCAGCCGCGATCGTCAGCGGGCTCGTACTCGCACTAAACAAGAAGGTCTAGCCGTTTATCCGGTATTTTCTGCCACTTTGGCCCCGTCTTACTCCCGCCATTATCATCACGTCCTGGATCCCGGTCCATCTGACTAAGCTCAACAAAAGTCGCTCTCCCCTGCTTGGCGCCGTCAACATTTTTGCACCGTCGTTTTTTTCTGTGGCAAGATTGCTCGTACCGCCTGTCGCTCCTCCAGCCAATCAACGAACGCATAATTCGTATCTGTCGCTTTTCTCGTCTGCGCGCGCCCATGTGCTCTACTGTAGCTTCCCGCAGCTCTCTCTTCCGGCTCTTCCGGTGACGTGGTTGTGACTTTTTTTTGGCTGATTTTTCAACTTTTTTTTCACTTTTTTTTCAAAAACATTTTTTTCTCTCCAAGGCCGACACCGCTCCGATATCGCTCGGCCATGCAGGAAGAACCGAACCAAAATGCATCTAATTACCGCCGCTCGCGGCTGACTCCAGACGTGATATATGTAGAGTGCAAGGCGCAAAGAAAAACCTCTAAACCTGGATTGGAAATAGAGCCGAAATCATCTACCTATCGCCGTACCCCCAAGCCAAGGCGTTTTTCTGCACGGCTATAGAACGGCTGGAGGAGGGGTAAAGCTACTGTAGAAGGCGAAGAGACTACGGAACCGGCTACAGACAGACTGGCATTCGCAACGACACAGCTTGGCAATGGCGTAGCAACAGCTTGTAAGCACTTTCATGTGTTGTGCTTCACCAGTGCTTCTAAACTAACGTGCCGTACAAGTGCACCCACTTTTTCCACAGGGCGCTTAGTCTTCCTCCAAATTGAGTCATCGGAACATTCTCGGATAGACAGTGTTGATAGGAAGACTAATATCCATCTCATAGGGTGGGTGTCTCAAGTTTGTTTGCAATAATTTGACTCATTGTTCCGTCAAATCGCCCCTTGTGTAGAAAAATCGCCTATTGATACATGGCCAAGCTCTCGCTTAATGACGGAAACAACCCTTCCCCTCCTAAAGAACCCCTCCCGGAAAGCCCTGCGCGGTATGTCATACACAGGGGACGCATCATATAGCAGGTTTTCGGTGCTTGCACGCTTTAGGCTCCAAAGTGACGATCCAGCCTTGCTCACGTCACGATGTGGGGTAAGACGTTGGGCCCTCACGGCGCCAAGATGTGACGTCCAGACGTGGAGATTTTGACATATAACGGGTGCCAAGACGTGGGGGAAGTTCACGGAGGCGTTTTCAGTGCCATATTCATCAATATCTACAACTCGTCACTCCTCAATCTCGCCACTGAAGCTCTAACTCTAGCTCAAAGTACTAACATTAACTTTGCTATGGCGGTATCGGCAGTGACTCAGTTCGTACTCTCCGATGCTCTCTTGTCGGAAGACACCCTTGTTTAAATAGCCGTAGATCCCCAGAAGACCAACTAGTTTCCACATCTTCAACTTCTTTTTGACATATATCCACAACGACCATGTCCAAAGAATCTTTCCATGAGGAGAGTTTCTCCGAGAACGGGACCGAGAGTCTCGAAAACCAGCCTCTCTACCCTGCTCCTATGAGCGATGCCGAGATCCAGAGCCAGATCAACGGGCTCGCGGAAAAGTACGGCGTCAACCAACGCCGGCTCATGATGAAGGTCGATCTGTGTGTGATTCCTACCATCTGTCTGCTCTACATCCTGGCCTTCCTCGACCGAGTCAACATCTCCAACGCCAACGTCTACGGCATGAGTGCAGATTTGGGTCTTAAGGGCAACCACTTCAATGTCGCTCTTGCTATTTTCTTTGTTCCCTACGTGGTTGCCGAAATACCCAGTAACTGGCTCATGAAGAAAACCAGCCCTCACGTGTGGCTGCCAGGATGCATGGTGCTGTTTGGTTGCACTCTTCTAGGCCAAGGATTTGTCAAAAACTACGGCCAGATTCTCGCCACCCGTTTTCTGCTCGGTCTCTTCGAGGCAGGAATGTTCCCCGGATGCTTCTATCTCATTTCCATGTGGTACCGCCGAGAAGAATCGCAGAAACGATACTCCTTCTTTTTCTCCTCCACCTGTCTGGCCGGAGCGTTTGGAGGTCTTATTGCAGCCGGTATTCACAACCTTGATGGCCATCGAGGCATCGAAGCTTGGAGATGGATCTTCATCATTGAGGGAGCCTGCACCGCCTTCATCGCCATGCTCATGTACTTCGTCATTTCCGACTTCCCGGAGGACGCCAAGTTTTTGTCTGAGAACGAGCGACAGTTCATGAAGGAAAAGCTGGCTGTTGGCACCGTGGGAGGCTCCGAATACGACCGAGGTATGTCCCTCAAGGACCTCAAGTTTGTCTTCACCGACTGGAAGATCTGGATGTCGGGAATGATGTACTTTGGTCTGGTGGTGCCCGCCTACGGATACGCCTACTTTGGAACCGCCATCGTCAAGACTCTAGGCTACTCGGAGATCAAGACACAGTTCTACTCTGTGCCCCCCTGGGTCGCGGCATTTGGACTGTCCATGGGAGCCGCCATTTTCTCTGATCGGTTCAGACACAGATTCTGGTTTGTCATTGGATCTTGTATCGTCTGTGTGGCCGGCTTTGGTCTCATTATGGGAGAACACCACAAGATTGGAACCCGATACGGAGCCCTGTTCATGATCTGCGCAGGAGCATACACTTGCATGCCCATGCTTGTGTGCTGGACCCAAATGAACTTTTCAGGACATCACCGACGAGCCATTGCTTCGGGATGGCAGATTGGATTCGGAAACATTGCTGGTTTCATCTCCACCTTTGTCTTCAAGACTGAAGACGCTCCTTTCTACATGACCGGTCTCGGGTGCTGTATTGCCTTTACTGCTCTGTCCGGAATCCTCTCTGTTGTCTACTACTTTGGTCTGAGAGCTGCCAACAAGAAGAAGCAGAGCCCCGACTACGCTGTGGAATTCTCACAGTGGCCTGAGGATAAACAGAGAATGGCCGGAGAGCTTCATCCAAGCATTTTCTACACTTACTAAAAGTCGAAGATAGATCGATCGACATGCATAATTAATTTATTTGTACCTTACTAGACGGACCTGCCGAGCCCCTTAAGTACGAGCCCCTTAAGTACGAGCCCCTTGAGTAGCTGAGTGGAGAGCGAAAGAAGGACAAGTGCCCACTTTTGTATCCTGAGCTGATAATCGAGTGCACAGCATGAGATATGGCCTTATTTTTGTGGACTTCTGGTTGCACCAATCGGACTGACATCGTTCAGTGGGACCATGTGTAACCGCTTTGTACAAGGCAGAGCTCAATGGAATGTTGATGAACCCCCAACATATTCTGTAAGTAGCTTACCAAAAAATTGATGTTATAGTACATACTGTACTCGTAGTACTTACTGTATACACCACTTCCAACGTATGTACTGGACATCCCACTCTATACCTGAACACTGAGACTAACCAGATGCAAATCGTGACATTAGTTAGCAACCAAGAGTTCGAATTACTGCTCTAATTGAACATTTTTACGATCTGGACAATCAAAAATCGGATGCAAACTTGCTATTATCCGGCTCAGTAGCTACAATCCGTGGTGACAAGACCAAACAGGGGACGCACGGTAAGACAACACTTTTCCCCAATATTCCACTAAAGTAAGGGGTAATTAGAGACAACAATTCCACTCAATTTTTAAACAGTTTTCGATTAATCCTATAAAACCCAACAGTCGTAGTACAATATTGTCAAGATAGGTGCCATTTTGCCGTTGTGTCCCACTCACTCATACATGCAAGGAATCAAAAACATAGCTCTCATTCACAGGCATTGATAAAATCCTTGTGCTGAAATCACCTCGGCAGACGTAACTAAACCGCCTGTCATACTATTAGATAGACAGCTGTTGACCCTCGTTCATTGGTCGCATGAGTACGAATGAAGAAGGTCCAGACACCTCAAATATTGGCCCACTTTTATACTGTACACATGCATTAATTACTATTAAATGAAAGGGGCCATAACTACCGTATCCTATACTATCGTATCCTATCCACAATCCATCCACTCCATACCTTATAAATACTCTTCGTCATCCCACTTGATGTAATCCCCGACCTCAGTACTAGCCCCGCCCTCGTCTTTGACTATCGCCTCATAATCAAACAGGCTGTTGGACGGCTCTGTGCCCTGGACCGCGTCAAAGAACTCAAAGTCCAGTGACGAGTCATGCAAATTCAACTTTCCCAGTTGGGTCGCGGGTTCCACGTACTGTGGGATGGTTGGAATCTCCTGCAGAATCTTGTGGGCAGACTGCACCGGTGTCTCTTTGGAAGCAGACGCCTTGGACTTGCGTCGGGTTGCTGCTCGCACCGGAGTCTTGAACGACTCAGGAATGCCCAGAGACTTCCACTGCGGCGACAGCTGGTTGTCCTGGCTGTGGGAGCCTCCATGACCGGTGAATGACGATCGCCTCGAAGACGACAGGTCGATGGTGCCCATTTCTCCACCCACTGGAGCCGGAGTCTGTGGAGGAGCATTCATCAGCACATTCTTGTTGTCCACACGCGACAGCATGACCTGGAATGACGAGAACGATGCCTCCTTGTCGTTCTTGTGGGACGGCTTGGATGGCATGCTTTCGCTCACTAGGCTGTCGAGATTGAAACCGGGCATGGAGGCTGTGGGCTGAAACGACGCCACGGATTTAGCGTGTCTCAAACCACGTCTAGGAGACTGGTCCGGGGTATGAATAATGTGTTGTTGCTGCTGCTGCTGCTGCTGTTGTTGTTGTTGTTGTTGTTGTTGGTGTTGTTGCTGCTGCTTCAACATGACTGGAGAAGTTAGGGGTGCCATTTGAGGCATGGGAAGCTGAGACAGCTGGGGGACTGGAGGCGGCGACTTGTACATCTGGGACTGCTGCCTGAGTTCTGGAGAGGATTTTTTGCGGCGCGGAGAAGACGACTGGACCTGTTTCATGGCGGACTTAAATGCAGAAGGAGAGTCCACGCTCATCACGGTCACATCGACATCGTTGTTGGTAGAGGAGACGGCCGACGAATTGGAGCCCGAAAGCTGGCGTGACATGAGGGTCGAGAGCACCTCTTGGGACTCTCGCTTTTTGAGGTTATTGACACTCTTTTTCGTGTTGAGTCTGGCCTTTGTCACCTTGGTGGGACTCTTGGAGGACGCCTTTGGAGGCTCATAGTGCTCAAACTCGTGAGTGACAAACGTCAGACCCTTGTTGGGCGAGTGAGCAGTGCTGGAAGAGCCTCCTGCAGATCCAGACTGGCCCTCAGTCGGAGGGATGACAGGCTGGATAAGATCCAGGGGCAGAGGAGGCTGCTGAGTGAGTCTGCGGCTGGATGTTTTGTGCTTGAGGTTGGGCATGGACTTTGTCTTTTGCATGCGCCGGGTAGGGCTGGACGAGTAGCCTGGGTGGGATGATCCGGGATGACGGGTGGGAGTGTGCTGAGAGGACGAGGAGAAGTTCATTTGCAGCTGGGCCTGTTGTTGGTGCTGCTGTTGAAGCTGTTCCAGTTGACGCTGTTGGAGCTCCATCTGCCGTTGATGTTGCTGCTGTTGTTGAAGCTGTCGTTGCTGTTGTTGTTGTCGTTGCAACTGTTGGTCCAGTTGACGTTGGCCCAAACGGTGTTGTTGCTGCAGCTGCGGCTGTGACAGCTGCTGACCCATCATATTGGTCACACCCATCAGGTCATGGGACGAGTCGATGAAGTCAAAGTCCAGCAGGTCATTGTCACTGCGCTTTTTATATGGCACGTAGGATACGTACGGGGTGGAGACCCCAAAGGCATCCCAGGCCTTGTTGGAGGCGTGGGCATGGGTGCTAGTGCCGCTGGTGGTTGAGCCATCGCTCGGGGCTCCGTGCGTGTCTTCGAACATGTCCATTTCGAGAAAGTCGGCCGTGTCGAACTGCATGTTGTTTGTGTTGGCCCCCGGGTTGGTGTTGTTGTGACCTGGCGACGGCTGGCATAATGGCGAGGGCGACATGAGGCGCACGTCGTCGAGGCGAGGAGACGGGTCTGTTGAGAGCGAAAAGGGCCACACTTCCGAGTCGGTCATATCAGAGAGGCTTCTCTGTAAGGGGTAGCGAGTGTGGTGAGAAGCGGGGGTAACGAGAGTGGAGACGCTATGTCTGGGGTGGAGGTATGTGGGGAGTTAACGAATGACTGGGGGGCCCGCTCGGTGGCTATCTTATAAGGTCAGCGTGTCCCGCAGGGTGCTCTGGCCAAAGATTGCTTGGTTGCTAGTGTGGTGCTGATTGAGATTGACGCTGAAGAAGGTGGATATTATCCTCAGGTACCGCACATATGCACACTGCTCACAAGGTGTGCCGACTTGTTTTGGTGTCCAAACCTAAACTCGGTAAACAGTGTGGAGAGGTTTATTTTGGGGCGGATGAGGGCAAAAAAAAAAGAAACGGGACCAGGGTCTTGACAAGGGCTTTGGTTTGATGCTGGTGGGTTTGCGTCTAAAGCAGTGTATCAACACCATTGTCCTTGGCAGGGTGGGCAGCAGCGAGTGATTGTATTCTACGGCATGGTACTATCGTACGGATGATGGTGTTGTGCTTGGCTCGTCCAGCCCTTGTGATAGATGCATGGATAAGACAAGAGTCGTTGGGTAAGGGTAAAACATCCAAACAAACATTGGTTTAGCGAGACACCCACTCTGACGACAGTACCACGTAGCTGTACAAGACGACAATCACTTTTGTCTGGCGGAAATAGTAAAAACCGAGACGAGAGTGCAAAATACAAGAGAGTGGAAAATGAAAAGTCAAGTCGAAAGAGGTGGCGGTGGTCGTGGTCGTGGTTGGTAGCACTGTAGGAGCCCTATGGTGCTTATATTGGTAAGGAAAAAGAAGGTCGCTCTTTATAAACAGTAGCCAGTAACTGCAGGTTGTATCGTCGTTGTCGTCGGTATTCGCACTGGCATGGACTGGTGTTGCTGTGGTAATAGACGCACTGTACAACCAATGGAGAAGTTGACAGTGTACAAGTGCAAGTACGAAAGGTGCACGTATATCGCCGTCTAGATAGGCCATGAGACATTTGCTTGGAGTTGGTTTCGTCTCTTGTCAGATGCGTCATCGGCTTTGTCTGTTGAACCAAGGCACCAGCCTGCATCTCACCGTTGGTCTCAGATTCACCTGTTTAATATCGTGAGGCGTGCAAAGATCCGGTTCCTGGTCCATCCCCACAATGACGATCGTTAATAGTCCCCAGGGCCAAAGGTAGAGGGCAGCTAAGTTTGCATACCAGACTCTGGTTTAAGGTGCGCAGTTTCCATGACAACCACAAACACCAAAAGAAGCGCGTCAAATGTGAAACTCTAAGCCGGCAAGACGCAACACACTATCGTCTATTGTATACACACTAATCAGCCGCGACACCTTAAGCCAAAGAAGTCAAAAATGTCTGACGGTGAGTATGGGGCAGCAACGAGAGACGGTGAGGCAGCAGCAGGCGGTCGGGCGCGCGGGCGCTCAGGCAGCCGCCCAGAAGTTCCAGCTAACACAGATGATGCAGGACTGGTCGAAATGCCAAACAGCAGCATGATGAGACAATACGACGACGAGTTCCGATACGACTCGGGCCACAACGACACCGTGAGCACCGCGCCTCCGCTATTCGACCACAAGAGCGCCGGCGGAACCGTCAACACGCGTCGAGCCAGCGATTCCGAGCCGGAGTTTTCACATCTCACCACCTCCACGGTCGGCACCACAGGAACGGTATCCAAGGGCATGGCCCAGATAGGCAAAGGCTTGCACATTGCCAAGGTTCAAAACAACAGGGTCAATGGGGAGGCCTTCGACAGGACACAGCCTGGAGAGCCTCAGGCCCAGGCTGCCGGTGGGTATGCTGATCACGACAATGAGGCTGACAATGAGGCTGAGGCTTCCCATGTTGGAGGAGGGCTGGAATCAGCGCCATGGTTGGAGGAGCTTCAGGACGAATGGCCCGAGATCAGCAATGACGGATGGGAGAATGAGGACTCTTCCCACGAACGGGCTGAACACGAGCGAGTCTCTTCTGTCAAGTCGTCGGGGTCCGTTTTGGCTTCTACTACGAAACAGTCTTCTTCCGTCAAGGCCAGCACTCCCGCCTGGAAACAGATGCTTAACGAGGAGTCCAAGCGGGAGTCCAATCGCACTCTGCAGCGCATTTTCTTGCCTCCTACCCTCGGCAAACGCGTGGATCTGGGAGTCATTGCTGAACACACAGAAACAGAAGACACCAACACTCAAGGAGGAAGTAGTCCTACAGAGGAGCAGTATTCGGACGCGGCATCAGTCACAGACCAAATGGCTCAATTGTCCCTAACTCGAACTCCAGAACTTGGTCCTCGAGACTCTCCTTCACGTTCCAAATCAGCATCTCCTCTCAAGCTATTTTCCAAACACGACACGTACACGCATTCTCGGTTCGAGGGGCTTCTTCCACAGCTCGAGGGCGACTCAAGCAGCAGCGGGGTGGACCAATCGTCGTTCGACAGCAACCGTTTCGCCTCAGACCAGTCGTACAACCAGCAGCAGAAGATGGGGGCTCGCCAGAACCAGCCCTCGGAGAGTCAGGACTATCTCAACAATGCTGACGACTTGTTTAACCGGATCAAACAGGCCAATTTCGCCCAGTTTGAGCCCAACGAGAGCGAATATGACGAGTCCAGTGATTGGGATAGTCACAGGGATTCGATGAACAGGTCGTTGAATGACAACTACGGACAACACAGTCGCGACAGTCGTGATAGCCGTGACAGCCGCGACGGCCATAACTTCCAATCAAGTGCAAGCGGCATTGAGGGTGGAAATGCTGAAGGTCACGTACGAGCCTACTTCAACTCGGTGAAACAACGCCATGAAGTTGGAAACGACAGTCTGGGAGGAAACAATATCAAGGCGTTTGATTTTGGCAAGACCAACGATACTCACAATGCTCAGAATGCTCGCAACGTTGGGGCTGAATTTGGGTCCCAGCCTCCAGGTCCAAGTGACACGTCGAATGTCATGGGAAGCTCGCCTCCCGACCTAAAATCAGAACAACCTCTCTCTCTCCCTAAAACACGACAACTCCAGACCCTGTCTTCTCAGCCTTCTCAAAATACCTTCTCTTCCGGGTTTTCCCTGTCCTCCGACAAGATGGCTTCTGTACATACTACAGCCACGACCCGCAAACTGGGACTCAAAAAGAAGGCTTCTCTGCAGGACCTCGAGTCGATAGTGTCGGCTATCGGCCGTGAGAAGATGGTGCCTGTGGTTGGCAGCAACAAGAGTCGACCGGGCAAGAAGTCCATGATGGGCTTCATTTCCAAGGGCGAGGTGGAAAACCTGTTGCAGGACCGAGTGGGACAGATGGACTACGATATCAACCAGGGCAGATGGGTTCGACGAGGAGAAGATGATACCAGTGACGATCGAATCATGCCGCTGAGAAACGTGGACGAGGAGGATGAAGACACGTCTCATGGACATGCGGAGGATGCAGCCGACGACTCAGAGTCAGAAGACCCCTTTGCTGGTATTGATGATCTTTCTGTGTCCGAAGAGATTCCCCCGTTCAACCCTAACGACAACAATCCACCGGAAGATGTCCTCGCCAAGTTCGCTGAATCAACTCGTGATCGACCCAACGCCAACGCCAACGTCAGAGTCGCCTCTTCCGTGGTCCAGTCAGAAACAAACCCCGAGGGCTTGATACAATTTGGCCACACCACCACTGTGCCTCCGCGCTACGAGCCTGCGTCTAACCAGACGGTCAAGAGCGCCAAGGAGGGTCGTGCCGAGACTGCAGCTGCCATGCGAGCCTACGAGCAGCAGCAAAAGGAGGACCGGTCAATTCTGGAAATGGCCCAAACCCAAACGGGACGTTCTCCCCAGCGAATCGCCTCCAAGGCCAGAGAAGTCGCCCATTCGCCTCGTCACACAAACACAAAGAAACTCAGACACCAGTCTCCTGTTCACAGCGATTTAACAGAGGATAGTGAGCCGTCTCCTTCCTCTTCGGTGCTTTACCATGGCAGAGAAGAGGAGCACTTTGAGGAGCACTTTGAGGAGCACTTTGGAGGTATTGATGGAGGCCTCAAAGAAGTACAACAAGAAGGGGGTTTCAATATCTTTGATGTGGACGCCGATATGGACAACTCTGGCCTTGGAGCTGCTGGAGAAGACTCTCAGCAGTACAACTCCCACATTTCCATTTCCAAACAGGCTGCTTTCCAATCCTTCCTTCGAAGAGAGGGCCCCAGCATGTACGGTAAGCTGGACGACTTTGATCAGACCAGTCTTAGCAGTATCAGCCACAGCATGCAGACGTCTACTCCAGACATGAACTTCAGCAAGGTGTCCCACTTGTATCCCAAGTCTACTCTCAACAGTCTTCGAAGGGGTATTGCTTCTACTCCTGGTGTTCTTACTCCTCAGTCTGTGGGTCGTGTTCCGGGCAAACCCATAAGTATGAAGTCTACCAAGAGTCAGGGTCGGGATAAGGGCAAGGAGAAGGAGGACGAGAAAAGTACGGTTTCTGTGCGGCCTATTTCTGCTTTCTCGTCCGATTCCAGTTCTGGTGCAGAAGTGACTGTGGTTCGTGAGGCTGCTGAGATAAGTGGCGATATGCCTGTTGTTCTTCTAAACAGAGAGAATAGCAACTCGACGTTCCCATCTGCGGACAACTCCATCATTGGTGACTTCCACTTACCCTCTGAGGGACAGCACAACTCCGTGTACATGGACCAGAGTAAGGCGTCATTCAAGCTTGGCGACGTGGCTGCCAAGAGAGGCATCAATCAGCAGCATGAGCGCGAACTGGAGGGTCACCATGGCCCCGGCAACTCTGTAGCAACCCAGGCACTCGTCAAGTCGCTTCAGGAGCTCAATCCCCGAGAACAGGCGTGGCACAAGGTGCGTCATCTGGACATCAAGGGCCGTGGCCTGGTGTCTCTGCAGGATCTGAATCGAATCTGTAGAAGTTTGACTGACCTTCGAGCTGCCGAAAACAAGCTCACTAACCTGGCTGGTATTTCCACCCAGTTAAGAGTACTCAAGCTGTCTCACAATCTGCTGGAAAAGACAGTCAGCTTCCTGGACTTCAAGAACTTACAAGAACTTGATCTCTCACATAATCCGTCCATTGGCAGCCTGTCTTCGCTGCGTCATCTCAACAGTCTGAGAGTTCTCAACGTCGACAATTGTGGTCTGGACTCGCTGGAGCCTCTCAGCAAGCTAGAGGGCCTTATGCACCTCTCTGCGAACCACAATCATCTGGCAAATACCCTCAATCTGGATGAGTACAGATGGCCGTCGATGGAGCAGCTATATCTGAACCACAATGAGCTGGTGGCAGTGTATGGAGTTGAGACTCTACACAATCTGCTCATTCTGGGGCTCAACAGCAACTATCTGACTCGGTTCAAGCCCGGAGCTCCTCTGGCTACTGTCAACGGCATTGCTGTGGGCATTTCCAAACTGTCTCTGGCAGACAATGTTCAAAGACCGCGTCTTCGACGCCTCATGGTGTCTGGGAACAAGCTGGTTGACCTGGACATCTCTCTCTGTTACCGCCTCATGGTCTGTAAGGCCGAGCACAACCAGCTGGAGCTTGTCAAGGGCATTGAGGAGTGTCCTGAGCTGATTACTCTGTCCATGGGTGCCCAGAGGGTGCCCATTGGCAATCTCGATTCTGCCAATGACGTTCGAGACTTGCTTCTTGTGGGCACTAGGATTCTGGACTTCCCCCTGTGCACCCCATTCATGAACCTCAACCGTCTGGATCTCAGCAACTGCGGTCTCAAGAGTCTACCTGCCAACTTTGCCTACTTGTGCATGAACGTGCGGGTTCTCAATCTCAATTTCAACCAGATTGAAGACCTTACTCCTCTCATGGTCATTCCCAAGCTGACTCATTTGTTTTTGGTGGGAAATCGAATTCCCAGAGACAGTTCTTCTCTGCGAAAACTGATATCCGAGCTGGGCTTTCTGCGGGCTCTGGACACGAGAAACAACCCCGAGACGGAGGAGTTCTATCCGGATCTCATGTCTGTTATGGGCACTCAGGCCGTGAACGGCAAGAGCATCTCGATCCAGTACACCAACACTCAGACGGCCGAGTTTGAGCGGGCATGGCAGGGTACAGACACCAAGTTTGTGCGCAACCTCAAGGCACACAATCGAGAGACGTACGAGGACAGAATCCTGTACCAGACTCAGGCCATGCTTCGAGTGCATAACAAGGGCGGTCTGCTGTATTGGATGGACGGTGTGTTGCTTGGTAAGGACCCCAAGTACATTGAGTCGTACAAGAAGCACGCTGCCAAGTGCTGGGCTGCTCGGGAGAAGCGACGCAAGCAGCAAGATGCTGAGGAGAGAGTTGCAGGGCTGTCGAAGGATGTTAACGATACCGCTATGGCTAGTGGAGAAGAGGCTTATGGATTCATTTAATGCTATATTTATTGTATTTTTACCCAAACGAATGAGAGAGCTGAGCTCGAAATGAAAATGAGAATACTGGTACGAGTAACTACAATTACTCGTACCGGTACTTGTGTGTAATTGGAATACTGAGCCAGTGGAGAGTGCGATTCTCCCGTTTTTGTACATTATCTAGTGGATATAACTAACATTCGAATCAAAAAGCTATCTTGGTTCTGATTTTATACTGTTTGACACCCCTGTCCATAGTAATATCTTAAGCAGTGGATGGAATCATGATCACTGTATACTGTATACACCTTCATGATGTTTACAAGCGCTATACTGGTGATGTTGTCCCAACAGGTTAGGGTTTGATCCCTCCTCAGTGTGTTTGCACGTGATCTGGCGTCCAGCCAATAACAGCAATCACAAGTGGTATTACCAAGAAGCGTGATTTTCGCGCGGTGGCGGTTTTCCCTCGTTGTTGCCGTCGGTTGGCAGTCTCGTTCTCTTCACACCAGGCCAACATTTCTTCAATTGCAACATTTTTCTACACTTGTAGGTGCATGTTTGGTGTTTGTCTGAGACGAGGGAGTGAGTCGGAGATGTGTTTTTTTTTAGCGAGGAGTGCTCGGAATTGGATATTTAAACACACAAAAACGGTAATTTCCGGTGGCTGGTGCGATTAAACACGTCGTCCTGTCACCAGCTTGTCTCGTACGCCCCTTATATCTCTTCTTACCCCCAAACCACCTCCTCCATTAAGCTTCTGCATTGGCCAATCAGGGCTTCCCATATTTGGGTAACGAAATTATGGTTGGAGGCTTCCACTATCGTATATTTGCACCAGCCAGCAGAGCACCTCACGCTTGTTGTATCGTCACAAAACCACACATCCCTACAGCATGCTCAGATCACAGATTGGCCGACTGGCTCTGCGACCGACGCTGGTCCCCGCCACTGTCATCCCCCAGACCCGAGCATACTCCGCTCCCGCTGGAACCCCCCGAGTGTCGTCCTCCTCCATGCCCACCGACTTCCCTCTCCCCTCACAGCAGAAGCCCAACAGCGCCGTCGACTACACCCTGACCACTCTGGATGCCGTGGCCAACTGGGCTCGACAGGGCTCTTTCTGGCCCGTGACCTTCGGTCTGGCGTGCTGTGCCGTCGAAATGATGCACGTGTCTGCCCCCCGGTACGATCAGGATCGTCTGGGTATCATTTTCCGAGCCTCCCCTCGACAGTCCGATATCATGATTGTGGCCGGAACCCTCACAAACAAAATGGCCCCCGTGCTGCGTCAGGTGTACGACCAGATGCCCGAGCCCCGATGGGTCATCTCCATGGGCTCCTGCGCTAACGGTGGTGGATACTACCACTTCTCCTACTCGGTGGTGCGAGGCTGCGACCGAATCGTGCCTGTGCGACGTCTACGTTCCCGGATGTCCCCCCACCTCCGAGGCCCTCATGTACGGCGTCTTCCAGCTCCAGCGAAAGATGCGAAACACAAAGATTACCCGAATGTGGTACCGAAAGTAAGCATAATAAACGTTTAGATAGTGAGTCGGCTGTGTGTAGCCAAAGCTCATCAACGCAGGTCCATTGGTCCGTGTGAGGTACATGTAGATCTTTTTACCATGCACCAGGTAGGTCTACGCACCCTCAATTCTGGATGGAGTGATGGTTATTGGTACTTCAAGACGCAGTATATTAGCTGTTGATGTTCGTTGTGTTATTCAATCACCTGTCTACTAGTATCAAATACCGTACTTGTAGTAGAGGAATTCATAAACCTGGGGTTCTCTATAGCATATACTGTAGCTGAAAGAGTGAGTACGGTACGAGTACAAGTGACTGTACTGTTGTCCACGTCCGTCTTAAAGCCCATCATGTCCGGCCATAACGATACGGATCTTCAATTTATTTATATATGCTCGTTCATGGGTGCTACATGGCTCTGATGACACTCGTAGGTGTGTCTGCAGGTTGATGGTCGTTCGTAGCCTACAGCTCTCTCTTCCGGCTCTCTACAGCACTCGTTACCGTCCTATCAATGTAATGTTATGCATTATCTAGTCCATCATCTAACCTCGAGTGGTGACTGACTCTCCACGTCGCTTGCCGGCAAACTCAAAGAGACCCTCGGACTGGTAGGCAACGTAACCGATCAGAGCGGGGAAAGCGACCAGGAAGATCAGAGTCGACTTGCCGGTGGCTCGTGTGTACTTGAATCGTTCCTGGTAGAAGGTTCTCCAGTGGGCGTATCTGTCGATGGCACCGTCATTGTGGAGGGCTGGGTTAGTATGAATTGAATACGAAAGCGAGGCACGAGTGGTTCCGTTGTGCCATCAGCACGCAAGTACCAAGAGTCACGAACGGACATCGGACATCAGAATATGTCATAGCGGAGAAGCAGTTCAAGTCACATAACAGACAATAGGTGTGACGTCAACGCAGGATAACTTCCTATTAACTTGACGAACGGAACAACTAATCGGGATTAATAGAAAGCAGCCCCTTCATGTCCTTTGTACTTCCTTTCCATTTTTCTGTCCTCCCTGTGCTCCACATGTTCTGTGATACATTTGACGAGATTCGTTTAGCTGGAATCCTCCATTCTCCACCGCTTGAACGCCAAGTAAAACCAAGGGTATCGTCTTCCAACAATGGCTGTCCTTCGTCTGTGTCGCATCGTTCCATCTCGTTGTGTCTTCGTTCACAACACCGTTCATGCCGTGTGATATCATGCTTGGTGGAGTCTCCAGAAGTTCGGAAAAAGCCCATACTCACCGTGGGGAGCATCCCATCCGCCCTTGTTGAGAGGACCACGCTGGATAGCGCTGCTAGGCTTCAGTTCGACCATTTTGTGCTGGGTTGGGTGTGAAACTGATTTGGTGGATTCGGTATGTGAAGCTTGAATGTGTAGAAAATGATTGGTTGGTATGGAACCCTAACCCAGATGGAGATACCCAACTAAGTTTCATCGTGACGTGATGGAGCGAATAATGGACTGAATACGGGTTTTTTGTACGAGTACTTGTATTCGTTTCAATAAGAAGTAAAATGCATCCACGAAACAGTACAATCGCCTAGTCGTCGCGTTGGATTACCAAAAATGCAATAAATTATGATCTACAAGCAGTGATGCATGTCCTCCACTCTACTACGAGACCTCCTGTCACCCCTTAAAACTGAAACTCATCATACTCCAACTTGACTGAGGGCTCATCAAGGTAGTTGATGTTCTCAAAGTTCTGGGCGTAAAAGTTTCCTCCACCGTCGGTTCCTCCATTGTTTCCAGCGTCCAAACTCGGCCGATGAGCCGAAAAGTACTCGTCCTTCATGGCTGTCGACAGAGTAGGTGTCTGGTCGCCCTGAGGAGCAGCTGGGGGCACCACATTTTCCCCTCCCAGCACTCCATATGAAAAGTCAGTGTTCATGTTGGAGAAGTATGAGTCCTGGCCCAGGTCCTCCGAGTATGCAGATCCCATAGGTGAACGAGCCAGAGGGTGTTGGGAGTACCGGTCGATCTGTGCCTGGGGGATGGTTAGAGTAGCCTTTCGTTTGTTAGACAGTGATCCAGGTGACGTTCGCTGGCTCGCATTAGCCATCGGGACCTGTCTTTGTTGTTGCTGCTGTTGTCCATGTTGCTGCTGACCGTGATGAGACACCATCGACTGGTCCAGCGCCTGTTGCTGGAGCAGCTGGAAGTTTTGATTCGAAGGAGCGTTCACAGAGACAGTAGGAGGCGCTGGACTAGGAGTCATGGTCATTGACTGCGGACTCGCCATTCCCATGGGCTGGGGACTTATCGTTCGCACAGGCGCCTCGACTTGGGGCTGGTTCGGAATCTGGCTCTTATTTTGTTGCTGACCCTGACTCTCGTTCTTTAGCAGCCCTCCTCCGATCATGCTCATGGCCTCGGTCGCCCACCAGCGGTCCGAGTACATGTCTAGGATGCCACAGACGTCTGGGAAGGGCATAGGCCGGTCGTAGAACAGTCTCACAAGTACAATAAACGCCAACTGTATCGAGAAGGGGACAATTGGCAATCCTGGCAGCGAACCCGAGTAGTTTTTGGACAAGTGGAGGATCTGAGAAGCGCTCCGGAGCACTGTCTGGAACTCCGGTCCATTGCTAAATTGCAAAGGGACAGTGCGACCGTTTTTGGAGAACGTCAGAGCCAAAGCAATGGGCGTTGACATGTTGCCAAAGGCCCCGTAGACTGTTGAAGTGGAAATTGTAATGGTCTGAGGGTATGTCAGAAGCTGAAGAGTATGGCAAACGAGCTGAAGAAACGGCGAATCTGAATCCAGAGGCTGAATCTTGTGTCGCACAATATCAAGGGCCGTGACTGTTTTCATGGACACGTCTGAGTTTCTTCCCCGGTACAAGTTCATGATACTTTCATGAGTCCCGAGGATGGAGACTAGTCTAGGCAGCTGTGAATTGTCGTCCAGCTTGGATACTTCCACGTCACGTGAGTCTATGATCACTGGCCGGGCATTAATCAAACTGTTGAGTCGATCCAGACACCAAATAGACCACCACAGCTGTTGCAAAGACGTCTTGTTGATGAAGGGTCGGTCATGGTGGATGCCCAGAGAGATAGAGTAGTGAATGGCGTGTTGCAGGTCTGAACAACCCTGTTCAGCTCCATCGGGTCCCTCTGCGTGCAGCGAGATCAACGCGTAGACTCTCACCAGTGTCAGGCGGTCCTGTTCGACTTCTGCAAACAGAAGAGCCCTGATTTTCGACGCTGTAGAAGCTGCAAACTGACGCAGGTTTTGAATATAGGTCTGAGCCTGGGAGTGTCGACTAGCAGCGAGCAGGACAGCGTGCATTAGTAGGGTAGGTGCTTGTCCTTGGCGATGCAGGTTGAGAAACTGCGTCTTGTCTACCAATGGCAGAAAAGTATCCATATGCTCAAAGTATATGTCTACCAGGCCGTCCCGGATATGTTTGAGCGGCATCGAGAACGCATTTATCGACGACAAGTAGGCGTACAGATGGGGGTTGAGCTGCGGGGTGCTTTTCTTGACCCACACGGGATCGTCTTCTTTGGGCGAAGAGGGTGACGCTGGCGTGGCCCCCACTGCTCGTCGAACGGTCGGAGAGAGATGCGATTGCGGCCGTCGGTCTGCTGATGCCCGGGAAATACTTCTGTTTGTGTTGCTGTGGAACAGTGTAAATCGTTGGGCCGGTCTTCCTCTTTCGTCATCCGAGTGGGTGGACGGTGTAGGCTGGTGTATGGGCGTCTGCTGTTGTTGAACCTGTTGAGTAGGCTGTTGTTGCGGCTGAGTCATTCCAAAGTTGTTGTAGGCTTGGAACGATCCTAGTCCTCCCAGGATGGATGTGGCCGGAGCTGTCGAGCCTCCTTCAAACTCGTTTTTCACCACCTCCTCCGGCTCCTGGTACATGACCATATTGATGGGACCATCCTTCTTTGGTGCACCAGCGTCATGGGCCTTCTGAGCAGCCTCCTCCAACGAACACTCCAAACCAGCCTGCAAACACGGATCACACTTGTCGCTTTCGTTGCTGGTTTCACAACGCTTTCGCCGGCGCTTGCACTGATCGCACGCCTTGTGCGCGCGCTTACGTGCCCGGTACGAGTCGTTCTTCGCCGGAAACACGTGCGTCGAAACCATGTTCTTCATGGTGGATCTGATGCTGAGCCTCCCTGATCAAAATGTGCACAACGGTGACCTTTGCAACTTGTGTATGCGTGTCACTGTGCTGAGGTAATTTGAAAATTCAGTTGGGACGATGTAGAAGTGTAGCTACAGTATGTACAAGTGCACGATGAAACAACAGGGACATCAGATGAATGTAAAGTCGGTTTATCGTCGATTGACTGTGTTTGTGTCCAACTCGGTCCTTTATATACATATATATACCCCGCCATTGCCTCGCTTCCCTCTTACCACTTTTCCTCCGTACTTTGAACTTGTTGAGGATAGTAGTCTGCCTTTATCGTGAGGCTTACTCCTGATACGAAAACGCGAAGTGCCAATCATTGAATTTAAATTGGACCACCGCTTCGCGGGCTTCGCGGGGCGTCGAGAACGTCTTGTAAAAGAAATATGCCGACAATAGCCGCCGAAAACCAGCAGCCAGTCCCCATATTGATCTGTCACGTGACTCGTCCAACCTCTGAGGCCGCCCTTTGGCCGTTTTCTCGGACGGCTTAAACCGTGCTTCCCAAAGCGATCTACACACTGTGGCGCGTCCGGTGCCCTATAAATGCAAGAGGAAGCGACGACGCCTATCGACGGGGTGTCACTTTGACGTGACGTTTGGAGGTATTAGCGGGCCTGTCAGCAGTGGGTCACCTGAACCCGGTGCCGGCTTTTATGCCGGCTTTTGTGTCGGTTTTACTGCCGCACAAAGATGTTTGTCGTGTGTATCGTCAGGAAAAAAACGTAGATTCAACATGCTAATACGATACATACGGAAAGCGGGTTAAATGGATGCCTAATAAATAGAGCCAAAAGAGAGCCAAGTTCCCCGCACGCTAGAGTGGTTCGAGAAGCGTTGGTGATGTTGCACGAGCAGTGTTGATGGCTCATACGAGTAGCGATGCTGGAGCGAGTATTGGTACTGTAGTACAGTATGTAGGCAAGTTCTTTGGACCACAGCTGATATCATCCGTTGAGTGGAGCCGTTTTTTGCCGGTTTAAGGTTTGTCTGAACTTCACATTAGTTGGCATTACTTGAAGAAAAAAGTCAGCTGGGGGGCAAATTCGGGGTTCTGGTGATGATAAAACAATTAATAACATACCATGGTATAGATCAAAAGTGGGGGGTTCCAATAATACTCGTATATTTCATATTGTCTCATTGAAACTCGAGTTGTATAGATTTCGGTGTAATCCAAACAAATCATTTACTCAAGGTTTTGTTGAGGGGCCGGCCAAGTAAGTCTCATAGCGTCTAGCACCCCCAATAACTCCTCGAACAACGTCGTCTCAAAGAAAATCAACTCGTCTGGTCTTCTTCCTCAAATCGTCCCATACAATCTCCCCCGCAGATCTCCTCTTTCACCCTCAACTCCGCATCTCCCTTGTGTCTTGCCCAATTATTGGAGCCGTGCAGTGCCAAGATCACTCCCGCCCGCAAACGCTCGCAGCATAACGGCGGTTTCAGCTTGCTGTTTATACGGTATGGCTACGCGCAGGTGCTTCTTGCATGTGGTTAAACGTGTTCGGTTGCCATTATTCGACTCTACTAAGACAATGTGGAGAAGAAAGAACGGTGCACGTCACTGCCGCCAGTGACTCTCCACTAAACGTAAAACGTACTGGTGCTCATAACATAGTGTAGATGAGACTACAGCCTGTATACATCGGACTCAAAGTACAACAACTCCAAGTATCATATATTTATTCTACAGGTCTCATAAGCACGACTACAACACGTACACACGCTACATCTATGAATATGCCACTATCATACCACTTGTATCACACCACCTCTATACACCACTTGTATCACAGGCACGCGACGACCTGCTGCTTTCACCCCTCTCCCCTTAATACTACACTGTCAGTCGTTGTAGCCCGCTTAAAAATTCCGTCTTTTACAATGTCCCGAATGGTCCCTTGTAGGTCCCTCTTTGTATCCTTGTCTCGTACTCCCACAATGATCACGGTTGTACCAATACCAAGACAAACGAACCCGTTGCGACCAAGACAAATCCGGTCAAGCTTGCGCTAGCCAGCACCAGTGTAGCATCGGTAATAGTTGCCCGTCAACAAGATGCCACAACCAGCTTATACGCGATGTCCAAGATCTCCAGATCACCGTTGACCCTTCATAGACTGGGGAAACTAACTCCATTATCAATCCCTGACTACAGGATGAGAAATGCTACCCTGCACAGAAGATCGCCAAGGGCTAATGTAAACACAATATCCACCAGCAGAAAGTGCAACTCTTGTACCGTACTTACTTAACGATTGAACGTCCCGACCGCCCATCCTTGTTCATCAACGTTTTTCACAACCTTTCAAGAACGTACAACGCGTTGGCCTCGTGGTATTACACTGCCCACGTATGTAGTGAACCGTAGACCCATATTAAGTCTCGAGAATGTGCTAGACATATTAGATAAGGATTAGAACTCGGCATATGAACGCTCTCCTTATTACAGTGCCACTACACTCTCAGATAGTACCCCTTAAAGCAGTAGCCACCTGTGAGTGAATGTATCGTACAAGTCTAACCATTGTGGGGCCATAACTGATGACCAGCTACTGCTGCCTTACGTACCTACTCCTACAATCGAATAATCAATGTCATCCGCTACCACCGTTGGTTTTCCGAAATTACTTCAAAATCTATTCTATTGTCTAATGTACATATAAATAAGCGGCTGCTCTATCTCACCTAATCTTCCTCCTTCATACAGGTGCCAGATAGAGGCAGCTCGATGCATCGAATCTCACAAACCACCTCGGGCCGTTCAGCTGAGGTGTTGAGTCCTCCAAAAAAGTAAAGACGCCCGTCGCAAAAGGCTGTCGTGTGATGAGACAGACCCTTGAGAAGAACGCCGTAATAACAAGACCGGATCATGACACCAGTGGATAGCGAAAAGACCCACATGTCCGTCACCTGGCCGTCGCCATTGTCGCCTCCCAGAATGTAAACCCACTTGCCGCCGTTCATAATCTTGTGTCCGTATCGGCCCAGAGACACTCGCATGCCCTGGCCGGTGAACTTGTTGTAGATGAAGACGGGCACGGGAGACCACGAGGTGGTTTCGGGATAGAACCGGGTCATCTGCGAACACACGGTTCCGTCCTCGTACCGGCCACCGTAGAACAAAAAGTAGCCCTCTCGCTCGCAGAAACAACCATCGTGATAGGCTGCGGCAGGGTGAGCCTCCTGGGGGGTCTGGTAGACAACCTCGGACCACTTGTTACTCACAGTGTCGAACCGCCACATGTCGTTGAATGTCTCGCCGGTGAAGGGGTTGTGACCGCCATGAACGTAAAAGTATACGCCTCGGTTGATAGTCACATGGCCCTGTCGAGGAGCAGGTCGCGTTTCGGAGGCCCCGTCGGCCACCTTTCGGAACAGATGCGTTCGAGTGTTGAACAGAAAGGCGTCGTTGAAGCATTGGGTATCGTCGCCGCCTCCAAAGTAGAAAATGTCTACGCCACCGTGTCGCTTGGGGACGCCAGGCACGAGAGAAATGTACTTTGTGGTTCCGGTGTGGAACTTTCGGGGAGCAGGCTTCACTGTCGAGGTGGTGTTGGTGGCAGGACCGTCGGTCTCGGTACGATTGAAGGACCGACGTCTGTATGCGGCTCGAGGAACAGTTCTCATGACCTCGGGACGCACACTACGGTCGATCTTCTTGAGCGTGTGAGCGTCTGTGTTGAAGCAGTACATGTCGTTTGTGCACTGCGCGCCGTTGGTGCCTCCAAACGAGAAGATCTTGGCGCCAACGGTAGTAGATGAGTGGCCGTACACCTGGGGAGGGGTGTCCGAGCCGTAGATGCGGGGGTGGTACGAATAGGGTACCATGGGGGGGATGCAGGGTTCCAGCAGTTCTGTGGATGTGGGGGACTCAGGTTGCTGCTCAATGGCGGAAGTGGACATTGCAGGAGCTCGAGCGAGAGAGGTGGCCAGCTCAGACAGCTGCTGGGGCCGGGGGAAAGATGCAAAAGAGGTGGACACAGAGGCCGGTCGCGAAGGAGGCTGCTCTCGGTCGGTGCTGTTTGTGTCGCTTGGTAGCGGGGGAAGGCTCTGCTTGTAGTACTGGTGATTGTTGGGAGACACGGACGTGGAGGAGGTCACGGAGGTGTGTCGCGTGAGGGGGTGGGAGTAGAGCGAATTGGCATCCTCTGTGGATGACACGGAGCGCGAGCCCATGCTGTTTGTACGCGACGAGTGGCCGTTGGGGGTTTTTGTGTTTGCGACTCCTCGTTTTGTGTCAAAGGGGGGAGAAGGGGGTCGGATGGCTTCGTCCTTGTTGACGTAGGACACGTCGTAGAAGCTCCATTCTTTGAGCAGGGCCACGCATCCCAGCTCGTCACTGGGCAGCTGGGGAGTGACAGAGTCGGTGTCCAGCTTGGGGTAGGGTCGGATGGGCGACGTTCGAGTCATGAGATACTGGGTTGAGACAAAGTTGTTTGAGAACTGATGCGAGGTCGATGGCGGGTCTGGAATCTCTGCCACGGCAGCGTGTCGTGGTCGGTACTCTGTTATTCGTTTGACCAGAGCCATTTGTGTGTGTATGTGTCGTATGGGGGGGTTGCGAGGGGTATTACACTTGGGTTCTTGTCGTGGTAAGTCGCTGGATCTCGGTGTCGGGTCGTGAAAGGTCGTTTTCTGGGAGTGGGGCGAGTTGTGTCGGTTCTACGGGTCGCGTAGGGCGTCGTAGGGGCTCGGGTCGTGAGGGATACAGCGGGTGGATGAAGAGGAGGGTTGAAGAAGTAAAGTCGGAGGTTTTAGCTGGGGTTTTCGTTTCCAGATGGTAGTGCAAATAGAGTTGACCGCCTTACTTTAGAGTTAACCTGTTTTTGTGAATTTGAACTGGGCTGTGGAGGTGGAGGGGCTGCTCGGAAACTCATATTAGAGGTATCATCAGACGCGCGCACACTCTCCCGTCATTTTGCGACTCTTTCCGCGTGTCTGTGCCACACAAAATCCGCGGCTATCGCCCCATTTCGCGTTCCAAGCACAAGGTTCGACCGTTGTGTGAGCCAAACGCACGTTAAAAACCAATATGTGCCTTTTGTGACAGCATGCGGAGGTTAATTTCAACTGTCGGCCTAAACCATAATAGTCGACCTGGATCAGCTCGCTGTGCGTTTGGTTTGTGGGAAGCGCAAAGTGGGAGAAATCCGCAAAGTGGAGGCCGGAGGTTATTTTGCGCTGGACAAAGACCGCCCAGAGAGAGAGGCAAGAAATTAAAAGGCCGAAGAATAAAAGCGAAAGAGGAGTAAAAGCAGAGAAGTGACACACAACGGCGGCGTGCGGTGGGCAGGTAAGACGACGGAAATACCAAGAGATGAATAGTAACCCGTCCAAGGCGGTGAGCTCCGCACCACACACTCCTCCTGTACCGCACGTGTACCCCACACGCGTCCCCACACGCTACTTGGACCGGTATGTACTGGTACGTACTGTACTGTTCTGGCACTGCTACCACGCACGTCGACTGTGGCTACTAAACGGGAGCTCGTTCTCGTTCCTTTCCCCACAAGCGGTGGCCGAAACGGCGGTGCATGTGTTTGCGCACCATGCCACATGATTTATTTTTTGCGGTGAATTAGGACACTCCCGCACGGCGGCAGTATACGACGGGCGCCTTGACATTTCAGGGAGATGGGATGTTGATGGTATAGCTCAGATGTATTATTTTTCGCTCCTACAAACCTCTGTAGTTAATACCCAAGTAGTGGGATATGCTGTCTCAGTCTAGCGGTGTGCATCTTCTCTGATACAGAGAGAAAGAGAGAGTCTCAGTGGAAGGGAAAAAAAAAAAAAAAAAAAAAAAAACCACCAAGAGGAAAAAGAGGAAAAAGAGGAAAAAGAGGAAAACAGGAAAACAGGAAAACAAGAAAACAGGAAAACAGGAAAACAGGAAAACAGGAAAACAGGAAAAGGAGGAAAAAGGAAAAACACAAAAGGGAAAAAGCCGGTAGCACTTCCCCCCCCTCCCTCTAAGATTGGCGGGATGCTATTTCGGTTAAGACACAAGATGATGCTCACTTTGATTGTCTGACGCTCTCTTTTTTCCTCGCTCCTCTAGCTTTTGTTTTTTGTTTTATTTTCACTTTTCCACTTTACGTTTCGATAATATTATGTTGCTTATTTTGCAAGGTGTCAGCCGGGGCCGAGAGGAGCAAGGGCTTACTGACGGAGCTTGTGGGCTGTGTGAGGAGAACACAAGAGTATTGAGGCCTGTAAACAGCGTCGGTGGCAGCACACGGCTGCTGACTAGCCCACAGCGGTAGCCGTCGCCTAATTTATCCGTTTGCATTTCCTGTGAAAGGGATGGCGACTGTGCAGCTGGGCTTGGCCATGTCTTTTAGACTCCCTAAACACCTTCATGTGTCGGTCCATTTTGGCTTCGCAAGTCCAACGGTTTCGGCACAAGCATCAATTGTATCGGGTAGCATATCATGGGGGCTGAGCCGAGATGGTTGTAGACAAAGAGGAGATGGATGGTTGAAACCAGTGAGGATGGCGGATTTGGTGGTGGCACTTGAGCTTGAGTACGAGTATTTGGACTTGAGCACTTGTACTACAAGTACTGGTAGTAGTCGTACCGTGTCGTACTTCTTGGACCATACGCGTGTATGAACAGTTGTATTGTATCTTCCATCGTATACTTGTAGTATGACACCACCAGCCTGCCAAGTAACAGTGCAAATAAGTAGACTTGCGCTAGACTACTGACAAGTAGGACAATCGAGCTATCGGCTATTGACCGACTCACTTACAGGATGGTAGTATGTACATAGTTTTAGCTACAATAGACCACCAGATGAGATAGAGCGATATCGGTCTGTCGGTTAATCGTATCGGTTGTCTATCGGCTAATCGCCTACCGGTTAATCGTCTATCGGTTATATCGATCGGTATTCGCCTCATCCGGCCATCGGCATGACTCAGATGACTCGTAGATGAAAGGCTTGTCTCCACCGCTTGTTTCATGTCCTCCTGTTTCGTCTGCTGCACCGCACTTGCTCCCTATCACACCTCCCTCTCTGCATATTCTGGCCGTTTTTGTACATCCCGTAGATAAACAATGAGCACTTTTGTTCCACCACTCGTATTCCGGCTATTTAATTATCAACCGTCGTACAGTGCGACCAGGGTATCACCCCACCGTCGCGACTACCCGAATCCCGAGACGATTAATACTTCTTGGCATTGGGCTACCATACGAGAACCGGTGGACAGGATGTAGCGATCACTGGTGGTGTGTTTGTAGTCACCAAATGGCAACCAAAAGTGTGGCTTGTCTGTTGGCTCTCATTACTTGTACTACCAGTAGCTACTCCTAGTAATTAGTGCAGCTTCTATCCCGACGCGGCTCACTATAACCAACTAACTCTTCCCTCCCCCCAGGAATAACTGGGGTAATATCTTGTCCCAACCAGCTCCGCAAATCCCCTTTCCCCTTCCCCCTTCCTCCTTCCAGCCCCTTTCGGGTTGTGTGGCAGTCACGTGACCCCAGCCCCTCGTCCCCTTTGTATTCGTGTTTGCAGTAAAAAGATCCACCTCGTTCCTCTGCCCACCTGTCAGACTGCATCCCGCAGCGGTGTCTGTCAGACCGTTGAACGACATTGTATGACAAGAAGCCGGAGGTGCAAAAGGCCGGTTTCGCCGACCTAAGAAAACAAGGTTCGGCTAAAGGAAGGTGTTTAAATACCGAGCATGAACAGGGGTCTGGGGGGGGCTCACAATGTCACGGGCGACAAAAGCGCAGATTCACTTGTCGCGTCGGATGTTGTACTTTGTAAGTGGACTCCCCCCCCCCCCCCCCCCCCCCGTATGCAGCCTCAGTCTGTAGAGTACATACATACCGCTACTTGTACTCATACTCGTGGTCGTACTCGTACTGTACTGGCACTGGATCTGGACTGAGTCTATTCCTGAGTCAAGGTACCTGGGTGGCAAACCTAAGACCCAAGTCGAAAGCTCGTCGTATTTTGACAAAGAATCCGCGTCTAACTCTGACCAACTAACTAGCTTGTGACGAGGATTTGTCGTCATTTGCTTTTTTTTTTCATTTATTACATTGTCGTTGGTGCGGCGAGATGGTTCAGAGATACTCGGAAATGATATTTGGCCCGTGAGCCAGCAGAAGCGAAATCAAGGACGGAGTATGTGGCGACACATGCAATATTGTGTGTATTGTGTGTATTCCAGTGTTTGCATCTGACCAGATCCATCAGCTCCTGACCATATTACCATGGCCGTCCAGTGAACCCTACAAGCACAATCGCCCTTCGGACCGTCTCACATCCCCTCATCGCTATCGCACTCTGTCCGCGGTCTCACTAGGCCCACGATGAGCTACCTCTCTTGTGCACCGGGTGAAACAGGACCTGATAATAACCAGACCCATACCATACTGGCCGCTAGCCCAAACTCTGGTGCTCGTATTCTTGGATACACAGCCCCCTTGGTAAAGACAGGGCCGAACAGTTACGGCTAAACACTCCACGATACCGGTCTTGTCAGGTTTTGGGCTGTTTTTTTTCCCGCTGCGGCATGTCAAGACACTATCCAGGTGCAAGCCAGATAACCACCAACTGCCACGGCTAACATGGTATGCACAATCGCTCTACTCGTAACCCGGGCTAACTGGTGTGAGTAACAGAAGCACCCCTTGGGTTACCCACTGTCTCAAAAAGACCCAACAGATCATCATGGCTAAAGTGGGGGATATAACGATGAGAGATACGAGAATCACCGGATGACTCGCGGTTTAGTTTGCCTTGTCAACCATATGTCCTGAGGGTCTCCAACTTGATTGTCCATGGCTTCTCGCCGACCTACGCCGTGGCAATATCTCGGAGCACACTACTGTACACTTGCACACTACAGTAGCACCATCGACTCATCCAACAGCGCTAAGCCATACGAACAACGGAAGTCGCAATTACCGTCGACGCGGTCACGTGTCGAGCGATCACCGGGCCCCTACGGACGATCTCCGCAGACACGTCCCTCTCCGCCCTTGCAGTTATGGAACAACAGGATCTTCGTGATCTCCATGTCTAGAGAGAGAGCAAAAATATGTGGAAACGAAAATGAAACGCAAAGTGGAAGATCCTGAGGTGTGCGAGATCATGGTTAGTTTCAAGACCACCGCCATCATCTGACTCTGACCCTGAACATGTGTACTTGCACTCGTTGGTTTCTCAAGTCTATTTGAAGACCAAACCATATGTTTATGAGAGCGTTGAATGTTGTTGATAGAGTGTTATCAATGGGTGGGCAGGAGCTTTTGGCCTGGATGAGGCTGTGCGTCTCTGGAATGGACTCCCCCTCCCCCCCAAACGGGGCTCTTCATTCCCTACAGCTGAGCATGTTCTCTGCGTCTGACTGTAGACTCCAGAACTACAGGTCTGTACTCAGCTGTAGCGTGCAAGTACGAGCGAGCACCGTCGGTTGAGGGATATACACCACTTTTTTATGGGGACGCGTTTAGCACCGGTATAGCCATGGAATTAACAGGTGCGGTATTAACATCTGGACCGGAGCCAACGAACGGTTGTTAGCGCCGAATCCCGTGAGGTAGAACCTCTTTAGCTCCCGCGTCTCCACGTCCCCACACCTATTTGTCGGGTTTACAGCCAGTGCGGTGTTTGGTAATATCTTTGCTACAGAGGTGGTGGTAATTTCAATCACTTGTGCCGTTCGGGGGCCTTTAGGGGGAGTGCCCGAGGGACCTCCACCTTAACCCACGCTCCTCCACCCGGAATGCGTACGATATTCCTGTCTTTTACGTCACAACGGTGCATCTCAACTCTGAAGTGCTTTTGCTCGGTGATAGACACAACCCAGACTGCCGTGCCAAGCGGGAATCAGGCGATTGAGCAACTGTGCGGACACTTGTTAGCTTTTTTGGTCCTCGTTTATTCCTCCAGCCTATTCCCACAAGCTCCAACTTGTGTCCCCCGCAAAGTTGAGGTTTGCACTCTCTCATCTGCTTGTACCGCTTGCTATGTCTCATCCAGGCCGTTGAGGAGCCCAAAACAAGACGTATAGAGTCTGCTCGTATACGGATCATCTCTATCATGGGGTTTAGACCGGGAAACAAACTGGAAACTGATCTACAAGTGCTGGTGCTTGTGGTTTGAAGACCCGTATGTACTGTTTGAACAGGAGGCGCAAAAAGCAAGCTGATGGAATTGCACTCTGCAACGTAACATTCAACGGTCTCTCGCTCAGTTAACTTTGTACACCTTGCTTTTTTCCACCCGGTAGATGCATTGCTTTGGGTTGCCTTGCGTGACCGGGTCTTCTTTTTCCTACGATAAGCAGGGCCATCTGCTGTTTGGAGAGGGAGAGAGTCGACTAAGACATCACGTGAAGGAGTCAAGGTACCGTAGCATGTTTGGTGTTTAAAGCGTACACGACGGCAGGTGGCAGAGTCTCAGAGCAGCCGTTGACGTGCACCGAAAGCCGTTGTGCACCGAAAGCCGTTGACGTGCACCGAAAGCCGTTCCCGGTGCAACTGTTCCTGCTTCTAGGGTGCTTCATCTAGCAAAATAACAGCAACAGGCGGCGACGGCAGCAACAGATGGCAACAGATGGCCACAGATAGCAACAGATAGCAACAGGCGGCCGTAGCAATGCCGTTTGCGATACATACAGCAGTGCTCTGTACGTCTGTTGTTGCGTCTGTGTGTCGTGTGAATGTCCTTCGGTTGCTATTTCGCTGCGTGCCCCGTACTCGTAGCCGAGCCAGGATGTCGTCTGATTCTGGGTCATAACTGCACGTCGTCGAAGGTGCGTCAGCAAGTATGCCAGTGGGCGTGTGCGTGTGCGTGTGGACGGTTCTTTTTCGGAAAAAGCACCGACGATGGAGCGTCGGAACAATGTTACAGACGGTCAATCGTATGAGAATTGCCGGTAGTTTTACCGTTGACCGAGGTACAAGTACGTGGGCGTACAGGCAGGAGCACCGTTACTCGTGCTCGTACCGTACATACTATGTCTAGTGTTGAATGGTTTGGTTGCTGTCCTGTCATTCGGACCAGTTTGTACGTACTTGACAAGTAGTCAAGTTAGTTGACGTTCCAAGTAATACTCATAGTCGGTTACGCTAACAGGAGCAATTGCTCGTGCTTTGGTGCTTTGGCAGCAAATACAAGCACAGCACACTGTCGGAATATCCCAATGCGGAGTTGCTCACTTGTCTCATCATCGCCATCAGACCAGTTGGGCAGGACCAACGCAGCTGGCTCACAGAGTTCCGTTTCGGGAAGTTGGAGATGAGACGTTGCGTCGGTTGGTTGGGACCGACTATATACCCGCAATTTAATAGCCGCAAGAGGCAGGTTGGAGATGAGAGCAATGGTCGACAATAGTGCAGTTATCGAGGGAGGCGTGAATCTGTCACACGACACACGTCATAGTGCAGTCACGATGACACGTCAAAACAATGTCGATGGACCAAACAATACTCACACTCAGCAGTATCGGTCCGGTTCGAACCTGTACTTGCTCGTACCCGGTGGCAAACCCACCCGCAGATTATCATCACATGACCTGGCCCCATCTCTCGGCTGTCCTTTGTATTGTTGGGCTTTGTTAACAGAACAAGGACGACCGTTGAGATGAAGCGAACACGGTTTCAGTAGGTGGCGGTCAATTGAACTGGCAAGAGAAAATGGACCTCTGCTTATACTGTTCAGATCGGTCTGTGTCACTACGCTCCCCTCGTAACTCGTACGCCACTCCAGCTGTCATCCACACACAGCTCGTAATGTCGCCACGCTCACATAAGTCATGCACTGGACGAAAGCTAAGATTGGCACGGCAGATACTGACAAGACGAGGGAGCGCTTTAATGGGGGTTTATGGGGGGATTTGAGGCGGAAAAAACCCAGACTTTGAGTCAATCAACCCCCCACAAGCTCCCTGAGACAATGCAACGCCCAAATCCCGCCCGCAACACGTGCTATACCCGATTCCCATGACACCCAATTCAACACCTTATTTAGCCTATCTGGGAGAGAAGGGCCAATAATTTATGTTCAACTAAGAGTAAGTTGTGAAAATTTTTCTCTGTAGAAAATGGTGGAGACAGACATTGGGCACGTGATGGGCGTCGGAAAGGCGATTAGGGCCCGTATAAAACCCCCCAAAGGCCAATTTATCCCCTGCCGGGGGTCCCGACACGTCACATGACCCCACATCCCCTCCAAGAGACCCCTCGGCACGTACTTTAGTGCACCCTGTCCAAGCCTCCTAAAACTCTATACGCAGCACATACCCCATATTCCAAGTCTACACCTGCATCTTTGAACCAGAGCGCTGGAAGAGTGCACGACATCTGTTTGTACTATTGCCAGGTGGACCTCAGAAGGAAACGAAGCGACACAAACACACAAGCGACACAAGCGGAACAAGATACACATCCAGAACAACATCCGCAACATCCGCAACATCCGCAACATCCGCAACATCCGCAGCATCCGCAAAAGCAACGCGCCCGCACACCAACTACACCTGTGAAGCCAACCAAGTCCCAGTACAAGTACTGTACACGCCACAAACCTCCTCTCTCGATAACGCAGACACCTCTCCCACACATCCCCTCAACCCCCTCTCACACCACATGTCTTCTTTCTCAGCATCATCGGTATCCAAACGAGGATCAATTGTGCCGCCACTGGCAGAGGACCCCGCGTTTGTAGACTCTTGCGACGTGCTCATCTGTGGCACGGGCATCGTCGAGTCAATTCTTGCGGCCGCCCTCGCATGGCAGGGCTCCAACGTGGCTCATCTGGACCGCAACTCCATCTACGGTGACTCGTCGGCAGTACTCAATCTCGATGAGCTCCCTAGATGGGTGGACGAGGTCAATTACGAGTCCGCCGTCTTCTCCAACGCCAAGTTGTACCAGCCCCGACCCCTGGACTCCAAAAAGTACTTTGTGGACCTGACCCCACGGGTGCTGTTTGCCAAGTCGGACATGCTGCAACTGCTGCTCAAGAGCCGGGTCTACAAGTATCTGGAGTTCCGGTCACTCACCAACTTCCACACGTACGAAAACGACAGCTTCGAAAAGGTGCCGGCGTCCAAACAGGACATCTTCACGTCCCAGCAAATGTCGCCCGTCGTTAAGCGTCAGCTCATGAAGTTCATCAAGTTCACCGTCGAGTGGGAACGTCTCTACAACGTCTGGGGACCCTACCGAGACAAGCCCGTTGTCGAGTTCATGACCAAGGAGTTCCAGCTGGAACAGACCCAAATCGATGAGCTGGTCCAGTCCATTGGCCTGTGTTCTTCCAACGATGTCGCCACCCCCGTCGCCCTCCACCGTATCAAGCGGTACCTGGTCTCCCTCGAGACCTACGGCGCGTTTCCCGTGGTTTACTCCATGTACGGATCTGCCTCCGAGCTGTCGCAGGGATTCTGTCGATCAGCCGCTGTCGGCGGAGCCGTATACAAGCTCAACGCAACCCTCACCGGGCTCGACGTGGACTCCAAGACGGCTATCTTCAACGATGGCTCCAAGGTGCGATGGTCCGAGAAGCTGGTGGTGTCCGAGGCCCAGATCACCGAGCAGGTGCGCTCCAAGATCCCTTCGTCCAACCCTGAGTACCAGATCAACCATCTTACGGTAATTGTCAACATGGACTGCAAGGAGTGGTTCGCCGAGGGCGAGGACGCGGCCATCATCGTGTTCCCCGTGGGCTCTCTGTCGTCCGGCAACACTAAGACTGTGCAGGCCATCTGCTACGGTGCCGAGTCTGGCCAGGTTCCTCCTGGTCAATGTATCTGGTACCTCTCCACTGTCCAGGGAGGAGCCACAGGCCAGCGGGACCTAGAGGAGGCACTGTCCAAGATGGAGGCATCGATTCTGCGGGAGTCGACCGAGGACTTTGAGTTCCAGGTGGACCAGTCGGATGTTATTTTCACGCCGTCCGGCGACCCCGTGCTATCGTCCGTGAAGCTCGGCAAGTCCATGAAGGATTTTGTACCCGAGAAGAAGCTGACGTATCTGATCAAGCTGTCGTACAACCAGAAGACGTCGATTCCGCCGCTGGAGGAGAGCATCAAGGATGTTGCTAAGAACGATGGAGACGAGAGTCCTGTGATTGTGACCTCAGGTGCACCAACGGAAATCACCTATGACGGCATTGTGGAGCAGGTCAAGAAGATCTACGCGCAGATCGTGGGTTCAGACGACGACTTTTTTGACGTTGACTTTGAAGACGACGAGGAGGACGAGCTGACGGGAATGGCCAAGCAGAATAAGAAGCAGGAGGACGACGATCACGTGCCCGACTTTGGCGATGACATGGAGCTGTAAGACGGGTTCCACATTGGATATACGATATAGATATTTATAGGGCTGTACGTTACTAGTGCAGTTCTGCTCAACATAAGTTAAGCTAGATGATGTTATGACAAGCAGGACGCGGGCGCGCTCGCAAGATCCAGTGTGGTGAGATTGGGTTCTTTATAGATGACTAGAACCACTTTGAGAGAACATCAGAAGCGGTAAGAACGTTAGTATATATTAGTGTACATGGTTAGTATTTATGGAATGACACTCAGTGGACTAATCAACACTTACCTCGAACAGTTCCATTTCAGTCTCTGAATGGACCAAAGAGTCTGACGAGATGAGGGGATCTGAGGAGAGGGCTACTTCTGAACCCAGGAGATCTGTCTCTGGTTCGACTTCGCCATCAGGTTCAGCCATAGGTTCAGGTTGGGCCAAATCCTCCATGGAAACCGTCTGAGTGTTTGTATTTCGAGGAGCTTTGTTCTCCTTGTCTTCGTCAGGATCCAGTTCAGAGGGAGGGTCTGGAGGTGGTGATAGAGATGGCAATGAAGTGGTTGGTTGTTGTGCTTCTCGTGAGGCGACATTCTCTTGCTGTGGGTTATTCTCTTGCTGGTGCTCCTCTTGCTGAGTTCCTTGTTGTTCCTCTTGCTGTCCCTCTAGTTGGCCTTCGTCCTGTGCATCCTGTCCGTCCTGTGCACCCTGTTCATCCTGTTCATCCTGTTCTTCTCCTTCCTGCTCTCCTTCCTGCTCTCCTTCCTGCTCCCCTTCCTGCTCTCCTTCCTGCACTCCCTCGTGCCCCTTCAGCTGTTGTTGCTGTTGCTCCTGCTCCTGCTCTTCACTATGATATTGCTCTCTCTGATCCCTCTTTGCGAACTCAGCAGCTAGAGACACCTGCTCATCGTCCAGTCCAGACCACAAGCCAGCCTTCAAAATAGCCTGGTTCGTGACTGTATCCAGATACTGATCTCTGGCAGACGCAGGTAGATTGACTCTGTCGATCCGTCTCCTCTTGGCCGTACGTACTTGGGGTTCAAGTCCCCTAGTAGAATTAACCAGGAACTGCACACTCTCCGCCAAGGGAACAACATCCCTATACAACTTACTAGCCTCAGAACTCCTATCTGTGAGAAAAGAGAAGCTCGATCCACACCGTGCGACCGTGGCCTCTATTCTTTTCAGTCGGTTGAGTTCCAGCTTGAGCCGTTGTTGTTGTCGCATCAAAGACTCTTCTCCTCCAAACAGCTCGTGTTCCAGCCTGGCAATCTCTCTGTCGAGTTCTGCGTCCTCGTTGACCTTGGAAACGCTCTTGGCATCAAACGTGTGGTGCTCCAGTTTGAACCAGCCGCCTTCAACTAGCTCAGAGGGCACGTTGAACACGTTTCGCAACGCGTCGAGCTCAAACAGATCAAACTTCTCGTCTACCTTGGTTTCCAGCAGCGTCTCCATCTTGGCGGTTCCGATTTCAATTTCCTTAGTCGTTGGCAGCTCGGCGACGCGTAGCTGGTAGTCGGACGCGTCTCTGGCGGTCTGTTCGATTTTTTGAAGGTGTCGGGCCTGGCGCGTTTTCAAAAAGTCCTCCATCGCGTCGGTCACGGTATATAGCACCTGGTTGACCGCGTTGATGACATCGTCGACCACAGCAATCGGCGCATAGCCGAAATGCTCTGTCAGAATGCTGGTAGTGCGGATAAACGAGTCGTTCATGGTCCCGCAGCTGTGGTGATGTGTAGTCGCGTACCACTTGGTGATGTTGCCTAAGGTGGTTTGGGTTCGCAGTGCATGACCGGAAATGTTAGGCAAGATACCGAAAGAGAGAGATAGTGACTAAAATGGCGGTATTCAGTGCAATTTCTGGAAAATTGAATAAAAAACAGAAAAAACACACAAAAAGAATAAATGTGATCCCAATTTTCAATACCTTCAACTGCTTAAACCCGTTATGCTCGCTAGAATGTCTCCACTGTGGAGATTGTAGATCTTGCTCACACAGGAGGATGATAGGCTTGAAGGCATGGAGGTTTATGAGATTAAAATGAATTAAATTAATGATATACAAGTACACATAATCTCGTAGCAGCAACATTCCTCATGTGCACAAGCAACGGCGGATCTAAGGCGATCTGTAGTCTCGTACAAGCGGTCCGTGTGTACTTGGACGGTGAATACCATAGATACAGTATGTACGTAACAGTGTCGCACCTCAAACCAATGTCTCATGTCTACTCATAGACAGACCGTAATTACTCGACAAACCCGAAAACATGTCTTACTCAACGCCGTTAAAATTTCTCGGCCAAATGGCGGGAACACCTCGTTAATCGACTAGACAAGGTCTCACCGCACATTTGTCTCGGAGCTACTTGCAGCACCACACAAGCACTGATGGAAGTTATGTGGACTTTAGGTGTTGGATTTCTCCGAGTTTTGTCCGAGACAAAGGTCAGAGACTGTTCTTTTTCGTCCCGCAGCGAACTCTTGTAGATCGACCCTGGCTGCTTCAGATACACTTTTTAACGCTCGTTTAGAGGGGCCAGTAGAATTCAATATTGGTAGACAAGGGGCGATACAAAAAGAAGTAATGGCTGCTAGTATTTCTTTTTGTCTGTTTATCCGGCTCTGTGCACTCCGAAAAAAGGGTCCCAGGCAACCAGCTGTTGCAATACACCATCGCCTGAAGTGCAGTGGTTGTATCTTCACATGTTTACACTATGTCTCATGCAACCACTTCCATATGGGGGTAGAACAACAGAGTAAAAGAGTAAAACACGCTGCGAGTGCGCCAACATGGGCCCATGTCTCAGTCTTGGGTGAGATATGTTCCTCCTGCACCTCTCTCGTGTGCAGGGTCAGCAGCAGCCTGTTTCATTTGCTGAGACTCGGTCTCAAGACGAATACGAAGTGCATAGGACGGCTTGAGGAATCAACAAAACTGCAAACAATGGGAGCAAATGGAGAAAGCGGAAGTTGGTATCATTCTCAGTGTATTTGGGCGGCTGCTTCCGTTTGTTGAAGCGACTGAGGGGCTATACACACTGTGCTGTACAAGTACCTGTACACACCGGTGCAGTATGTACTTGCACTTGGTGTAGCAGCTATGGGGTGTGTCAATTGGTAGCACGAAAAATAAATGAAAGTCACTTTACATTCCCTGTCTCTCTACGGGCTACCGGAATATGTATTTTAAACGGCTGACTGAGGTCTATCTGGAGCTCCCGATATAGTTCAATCGCCTTACAAAAGGCTTGAACTGTAGGTAAATGTTCGACTGTTGGGGTTGTTCAGAACACAGTTTTTGCACGGACATGATCAGGAAGTTTAAGAGCACGTGTGGACGCGGATCTAGGGTGGATTTTTGAATAAATATATTTTTATCGAGACAGTCACATTATTTCATGCCCGGAAATACGGTGAATCTGTGTAGTGTGTTCCAGATAATAATTTAATACTACGACACCACGAATCGAACCCACGACACCCAAAACTGCAGCCGTCCCAAATCGTCACCAGGTCACATGATACTTCCCAATCGGGAAAACAGTCACACATGCGTTCACCCAAATAATGAAACTTTTCGACGTTATAACTCTCCAACAAGACTGAACAGTTCAGAAATTGTGAGGAAGTCCATTTAAAAATGGTGAGTATGACAGAGGGAATCACGAGGCCATCTTGGTGAGGATGTCGAGCGATCCAAATGGAGAAACTATGGGATTTGTCTCATTTATTTGCAAGGAAAAATGAAGCAAATCATTGACATAATCTCTCGAGGTCGCTCAAAAAGCATCCAAATCGTTATCCGAACGAAGTCGAAACAAACGACAATCACTCGCTGCCATCATTCTAACCCAGTCTGATTCTGAAGTTATCGCTGAAGTTGAGGTTGCCGCCGCTGCTCCCTCCGGAGGACTTACCCTCGAGGATGCCCTCAAGACCGTCCTGAAGAAGGCTGTCATTAACGACGGTCTCGTCCGAGGTCTGCGAGAGTGCTCTAAGGCCCTTTCTCGACGAGAGGCCGAGCTCTGTGTCCTGTGTGACTCTGTCACCGACGAGTCTTACCTCAAGCTCGTTGAGGCTCTTTGCAACGAGCCCGAGGAGAAGATCCCCCTTGTCAAGGTCCCCGATGCCAAGCAGCTCGGTGAGTGGGCTGGTCTCTGCCAGCTCGACCGAGAGGGTAACGCCCGAAAGGTCGTCGGTGCTTCTTGTGTCGTCATCACCAACTGGGGTGAGGACTCCGAGGCTCGACAGTTCCTCCTCGACTCCATTGCTTCTCAGTAAATGCGTTGCAATCAAAAGCGTAAGCAATAAAATGCCACATGGCTTATTTAATATCTGAGAGATTGTAGACATGTAAGAGTAGCGAGTGATTGGAGATGTGTAATGGCAGTAAGAAAAGTTTTGCATGGCTGTATGTATCGCACATGTCATACAGTACCACAACCATGAGATCTGCTGTGGCACTGATGAATGACGGTCTCAGGATCGGGGAAGACATACATCAACACAGTTGTGTATCAAGGATGTTGTTAATTGCAATGTAGGACTTCTGCGGCACATCGTATTCGCCGAAGAACCTCCTGTACAAGTAGCTAGGGAGACACATACTCTGAAAGCCGTGCACATTCGGGACCCTCTCGGTCAGTGAGACTCGCTGATGACAGTTCAACCAGGGTCATGATCTATGGAACTCTTATCTGCTTCCTATATACTGTAGATGGCCATAGCCTTACACAGCCCTCTACCCGACGATATCTAGCTGTGATAGTGCTTCCTTCTGACACTTCTAACGAGACAAGTGGTGATAAATGTTATACAATTGAGTCTCACGGACGCCACACTGATTATTGATGTACATACTGTATTATTCGCCAGTGTTAGTACAAATCATTCTGGACATGAATTGTGTGTTGGTGGAACATAATTCGGTTTGTACCAGTACATACCTATATAAAAACATATAAAAGATCTAAAAATCTTAATGAAACATGAATATATGATACATTCAGTAGTCTTGTATTATTTTACTGAATAGAAAAGTCAATAGTGTATCAAGAGAAGCCCCTATAACAAAGAAACAGCTCTTTTTTCGAGTTCCTGTTTTGAAACAAATCTCATATCCCCTCTTCAGTTATCATTGACTCTTCCTTTTCCATCATTGGCAGCAGGCCATATCAATGGACCATGAACAACACCTAAAGAAGCAGTTGCAATGGACCAGGGGTCGATAAATTCAAACGCTGAATTTGCAGTCTTGCAGTCAATAGATATAGCTTCCTTGATATCAACTCCACACTTGGTTCTCTGCCCTCCATATACAAGTCCAAGTACAAGTGCTCTAGATATCCCCTCTAGACCATCCTTTTAGCTTCCACCATAGCAAGTATTACACTAACTGTATCGATACAGCATATGTTCCACTCCTTGTGCTTGTAAAAGTACAAGTACTTGCAATAAACCAAAAAAAGAAAGATAACACTACCCAATTCATAGTGCTTATTCATCAATTTGATCATGTTCTAGCTATGCCAACCACCACCGTGTAATCACATCTTGTTGTATTGGCTCTCGTTTAACGAAATCTTGTTGGTTGCACTTGTCATGCACTTGTCATGCAACTAAATGCAAGGTTTCAATAACAGTCCCACTTGGGATATACTGAACTTGATCGAGTGAAAAAAAGTGCTGATAACTGGACCTTTTAGTACTAAAAAGATGTGCAAAAATAAACCAAATAGTATTCAGAACGAAAAATGCGAGTAGATTGGCATACCTTAGAGTACCACATGTAATAATAACTTTGCGAGTAATGGTCGTTAAGTGTCATCAAACTGTAGCTGAAAGGCAACCAATACTCAGGCTGTACTTGTATTGTAGTCGGAAACACCCCGGATGTATTATCGGCAAACGTCTCACAACTGTCTGGCACTTTTATCCATTCATTAGTATACTCGTCCTTCTATGGTGCACCTCTATTGTGATGAGAACATTCATGAGAGACACTAAACACAGTATATACTACAGCAAGACTTTCAACACAAGTACAATACCACACATCTACACACACCTAGGATATACTAAAAAGTGTAGAAAAACAAGCGCTTGAGCACTCATCCCTCCTCCACCTCTCACCGTTAGTTATATATACACTCTATGCCCTCCTTTTTTCTGAACGTGCTCATTTCAACATTGCTTTTCTGAGCTCCCTCGCCTCAGCTCGCTTCTTATCTCAGCTCGCTCTCCTCCTCTAATCACTGTCGCTATCGTCACTTGCAGCACTGTCGCTATCATAGCCAATCTTGGCCTGTGCGGCGTCCTCCTCCTTCTGCTCAACCTCCTTATCTTCCTCCTCTGCCTTTTCCTCGGCAATCTCCTCGATGGGATCCTCGTCTGTGAATTTCGTCTTCTTTCGCTGGGGCTCTTCGCTCACAGCGCCCCCTGACTGTGCGGGATAGGTATCAACCAGAGAACCAGACAGGTAAACCATGTTGGCAGTGTGAACGCTCTTGATGATGAACTCCAGCTTGCCCTCGACTCGCTTGCCAGAGCCGTCCGACCAGTAGCCCATGGACTGACGAACTCGGTCCTTCTTGGCGGCTGTCGGCTGTCCTGACTCAGCAAAGGGAGTGAAGACCCAGTCCTCAGGAATGTTGGCGTACTTGATGGAACAGTTGAAGGTGTCGTGGACAAGAAGACCGATATGAGAAGGAGTCTGCATGTTTACGTATCCCTCCAGACGGTCGCCGACCTGAGGCTTCCACACAAGAAGGTCTGTACTAATCCACATGAAGGTGAATGGGGACTCGTTGACAAACTTGCCCATGACAGCAGAGCCCTCAGAGTCGCTTCCCCGTTTGTACAGCTTGAGGTTGTAATGTGCCAGAACCACGCCGCCCGCAGGAGCAAAGTAGCGGGCCACCAGTGGGTCCAGATGCTGGCTTTTGATGCCAGCCACGGGCTTCTGGCTGAACATGGGCGCCAGAGACACATACATGGAGGTCGAGACCTTGTGGAAACACTCGGAGATTCCGGTGGCCGAGTCGACGGGGTTTTTACGCTTGAGAGCCATGCTTTTCAGCACCTCTTGCGTCTCCGAAATCGTTTTGGCGACCATGACGTTGGGGTGTTTTTGCAGACAGGATAAAATTCCAAATTTTTAAATTTTGCCTTTCCTGGTCACGTGAACATGCATGGTGGGAGGAAATTTGTCAAACCTGCAGCCAGCAGGACGCAGACAGGACTGGGAGACATAGCTGAGAATGATTAGTCAGTTTTATGATGTTGTGGCGGTGGTGGAGGCGGATTAGTCAGCGAATCGATACTGATGTGAAGAAGCACCATGTCGATTATACCACAGCCCGCGAGAAGCTGGTGGTAGTGACGAGGCTGAACGGAGGAGCGAGCAGTTGGTCACAGAGAGTTAAAATAACGCGGGAAATCTATCACCCAATATAGCTGTGTCTGCTTGTAGGAGATGTTAGCACATCTGTAGGTGACTGCAATTGAGTATTCCATCGTAGGAAGATGAGTGGCATGTCTGTAGTAGGGTCCATCAAACAGTTCAGCTCCAACACCGTGAAGAGCGGCGAGAAAGAGTGGGGTATCGTATGGAATCAGGTTAGCGATTTGGCGGATTGACATTGTTGGACAGCGGTCAAGGCTTCTTCACAAGGATAGTTATATGCCCATGTCTTGAAGTGACAAGTTGTGCAGTCAGTTACAGTAATGCACAGGTGGCCCGCTAATGGCATGTCCAAAGCAGTGCATTCGAAGTTGTCCATTCAGACCTTTAGGCTTGTACTCCCGTTAATATTCGTCATGAGCATTAAACCGAAAGTCCACAAACGTCTTCCTGGCCTCATCAACCACACACATACTCTGAACCGACAGTCTCCCGTACACGTCCATTCGCAGACACACCTTTTCACTGACCCCCACGGCCTCTCTGCACTTGACCAGCTCACCAAATAGGTATCCCGATTGTACAATGACGTTTCCCTCTGGATCCTGGTCCGGGTCGTCAATCACAAAGGTATCCAAAACATTTCTCTCGTTAGGATAAGCAATCACGTTGCGTCCAAACTCGCCCGTGCTCTCCAATCTGAAATGAGGAATCGCTCTAGTCTGAGCTATTATCCGCACATACTGCGACTTGGCACCTTCCAAATCACGAAGAGCCTGGGTCAGCAGATGCGCCGACAGAATCACCTTGAGAACCACCTCGCTGGGGTCCAGATTCAGACTCTCCGACTGCTTGTCTGTATCCTGATTCAGAAATTCACACGAAGTCGTAAACTGGTCGTTTCGAAACACGAATTTGAGCGGGTGATCTGGCCCAGAGTAAAGGATTCGACACGTCTGCGATGCTCCCGAAGAATCAACTCTTCGGTCCTCAGCATTACCTCCCGCTTTGTCACTAATCACGTCATTCTTGCCAAACATCTCGAGACACGTGGTCAGCGAAGCTAGAGACAATCTGTAGGGTGGAAAGAAGGCGGGCTCGTCATCAGATCCTTCGGCATCCTGATCGTTGAAGTTGTACATCGAAAACAGGTTTTTCTTGACCAGCACCACGGCCTGACTGGATCTGCTGTCCACATCCACGGTGAACTTGAACCCGTCAGACATGATTTCGAGACTCACATGCTTGGACATGAGCGCAATCGCCTTGAGAATCGTGTACAAGTGCGACACACATGTTGTTGTTCCTGAAAAGAGCAGTGTTGGCATGTGAGGTGGAGTTGATCTGATCAGAGTTAAATTCCAGAGCCAAAGCATGCAAGAAGCGAAGGGACTACTTGTACATGCCACTTTTTTGTTGTTGTTGTTGTTGTTGTTGTTGTGTGTGTCTGTCGTCTGGAAAGAGTCACGTGATTCTCTACTTTTTTTGTGACCACGTGACTACTTTCATTCTACTTCAGACACGTGATATATACTCCGTAATAAATGACCACGTGACCCGCCTGTCATGCTCCATATATTATCCACTATCCAACACTTGTATAACCCCTTTGGGCCGAGGTGCATGTGCGAGCTGGCTGCAGTTATCGTGGTTAGTGAGTAGCTACTGTAGGCCATTTGGTAAGCCAAAAGAGCCGGATTCAGCCTCAATCTCGTGATCCGGGATAACAAGAATATCGCGCACTTCTTTTTCATACACTCTTAACCTGTATCTCTCAATACAGTCAGTGACCGGTATTCGTACCCTTCTCACGGTTTGTAGGAGGGTTCTCCCGAAAGTTTAACGAGAGTCTTGTTTCTGTTGTATTGATGAAAACTGAATATGTGGTAGTCTGATTAGCAAACGGACTACACAAGAATATCTAGCGCGTTTCCTGTTTTCAGATGATACTTTTCCAAACCCCTTATATTCCTCTCCTACCCAAGTCACAACCTCCCGCCTTAGCTGCCGATATCACGTACATTGCGCATCAACAGTACCCCAACAAACCTTGAGTCCCCCGCTGTACCTCACACCCTTGCAACCTCACACTACATCTCCCTGTTACGACCATGGCCCCGCGAAAAACACGATTGCCCGCTGTCATTGGGGCCGCAGCTGCCGCCGCCGCAGTTGCATACCTCGTTTATTCGTTTGTTGCCAAGAGCAACTCAGACCAAGACACATTTGATAGTTCAGTACAGAGCTCGTCCAAGTCCAGCACAAAGAGCCCCAAGTCGACGGCCACCAATAGCAAAATCACCGTCGTGGTGTCACAGGAGCTGGTTCAATCGCAGCTGGTCGACTTCAAGCATCTGATGAGCGTCCATCCCAACCTGGTGGTCATTGTGCCTCCCATGGTTGCCAACAAGTTCCATCGGGCTCTGAAATCGAGCGTGGGACACGATCATGGCGTCAAGGTGATTCGGTGCGACACAGACGTGGGAGTTATCCACGTGATCAAACACATCCGGCCAGATCTGGCTCTCATTGCCGACGGAGTGGGAGACAACATCCAGGGAGAGATTAAACGGTTCGTGGGATCAAGTGAGGCTTTGAGTGGAGATGTGAATCTTGCTGCGGAGCGACTAACTGGATTGTAACGGAAGCAAATGGCCATAGGTCATGAGCTGACAACATCCAGTCTGGTTGCCATGACACTGCCACTCCATTGCGTTGGCCATACTGTGGAAAGGTACCGTTCTGGCTACGCTACCTCTGACTATGCCACCAACGTTCCAAGTGTAGACAGACTGTGTAAATAAATGGACTTATCGTATTGAATGACTGAAATACGTTACAAGTACAACTACAGTACAGTAAGTGATGTGGTACCCTTATGTATCTGTCAGTTTTACTCAAGTAGAATACCTCTGCGCCATTGTGATATGCTCTGAAAAAGGACCTACTGTATTCATTCAATGTGTTATATGTACCGTCTATATCTATTATAAATAAGGGGAGTTGTTGTGCATGGTGTCTACGTCTATCTATCTCCTCTTGCCCGTCATCTTGGTCAACTGATGCAGAATGTTGGACTTTTTGCCCTTCATCTTTGGTCTGCTCATGTCGATATTGTCAAACCTGCTCTTGGTTCGCTTTCTTCTCAGTAAACCGATAATCCACTGCAACATGTACGGCTTGCTGGCAGTGTGGGTAGCGGCGTTGCTGAACATGGCAATCTTCTGCGTCTTATGTAGCTTGGTAAGGTTGAACCACGTTACCAGCAGACCGCCCAGACACGCCACACCCACCACCAGAACCATTCCCTCGTTGGTTTCCTCAATGAAGTTCTCCAAGTTCATACCGTACAGCGCAGCCACAAAGGCCCCGACCGCAAAACCGACCGTCACAATGGTCACCTTGAGCTCCAACAGCATCAGAGCGTTTCGATTCGCGTCCACAATGATGTTGACAATCTCCTCGGTTGATCGAATGTGAGATCGCACGTTGGAGGCTTGTTGGACAATCTCATCGGCCTGCTTGCAGTACGACTCAATCAGCAGCTCGACTTCCGCAAGCCCTTCCTTCGGGTGAGTGCCCAGATACAGCTGCTGTAGATCGTCATCTGACTCCAGTAACTCTTCCAGGACGTCTCGAATCAAAACAGCCTTCTGGTAGAATCGCGACACATTTTTGTTTCCAATCAGCAGCTCCTTGAGCTGTTCTCGGTCCACATGATCTTCCAGACCCACCAGAATCTCGTTCAGGGTCTTAAGATGCACCTGAAGTTCTCCATCCAGAGTCGTCATAACGTTGACCAAAATCGCCTCCAGTACTCGCAATTCAAACGGCAGCACCGTCATGTCCGTATGCATCTTTTCTGGGTTGATTGTCGGCTTCAACTTGTTCTCCAGCTCGTACAGAAACATGCCCAGTCGGTGAGTATCACTTTTGTTCTTGGAATGGGTGTCGAAGATAAGCACCTTGTCGTGGAGAATCAGAGCCTTAATGTGTAACAAGTTGACAAGGATGCATCGTCCAGCTCCCTTGCGACCTCGTGCCAGAATCGAAGGAATAATAGAAACAGGGCTGGGATCAATGTTTCTCAAGTCTCGAGGGTAAAGGCCATGTTCCAGCAGAAACTCATACTTGGTCATTTTGTGTGCAACGTGGACCACCTTGCCTGTCACATCAAAAACCGTGGCCGAGATTTCGCCTCCCAGAACGGCCTCCGAATAATTGTCTGAAAATGCAAAGTGATGAGGGTCCTCCTCTTCCTGGTGATCTTTATGTTCCTCCTCGTCCATGTGTTCTTCGGCGTCGGAGATGTCTTCTTCGGCCGCTGAGTGTTCAGCCTCGAGCCTCTGGTGTTCCTCTCCGTCCTCATGGTTTTCCATTTCATTGCTGTTTCTGTCTCTGTTGAAATCAGGATTTTTCTGTCTCTTGTCATCCAAATCATCGTTCTTTCTGAAAACACTGGCTTGGTGGATTTTCTGAGCAAGTGGCAGGGCGCGAGTTGTTGGTCGCAGCATATTCACTCCCGCCGCGCCCCATTTCACCTGCTTTGGTCGTCGAGCTATGTTGGTGATCCCCCAACATCTGGTCCACCGGTTCATGTCGATGAAGATTTACCTTGCTGGGAAGATCGTTGATGTATGAACCAAACGAACAGAACAGACAGGTACCACACACAAGGAGTCGCAGAAGAAACGGTGCAAAAATAAGAAGACCAACTTTGGAAACAACAAAAAGTATGTCACCCACGCGTCTTACTCATCTTGGTAGTATTATACTGCCTCTCTCATATATTGCTCCAGAACTATCTTAGTGGTTAATTTCAGAAAAACACTGCCTTACATAAGCAAGAAAAATTTATATGTGCAACGCTAAGCTTAGTAGTGTGCTTCCAAAGTTAGGCTTGACCTCTTCCTCACCACCACCCCATTCCAGTTCCAACCAAAAACACACAATGGCTGCTAAGCGAGCTTGGTATATCGTGTCGATGGACGTGTTCCATCGACTGACCGTTCTGTCTATTCTTGGTGTTTCGGGTGAGTATCGAAACGGGGTTTTTCGAGACGTTTTCATTGGATGACAGATGTGGCTAATGAGCCCATTTTGGAGGAGGCAAAAGTGGGACCGAAAGAAGGAGCAGAGGTGGAACGTGGCATGGGCGGTGTGACCAAGAGACAGAAGAACATCTGTGGTCTTTGAAAGGATATATGACGTGTTTTGCCTCTATTACCACACTCGTCCGTGTTGCCGTTTTATTTTCAGCCACATTTTGATGCATGCAGAATCGGACCATACGAGGGAAGTGATGGGCATGGTTGTAAGACAGGCGGGGGGACAGGCTGTCGTGACAGCTGCGGTAACAGGCCCCACTGACTACGACAGTCATGATGTAGGCATGCCAATATTGTCATCGTCGCTACTACTATCATTGATGCCTTCTTCCTGTTGACTGTGCAGCACTCCCGCCACTGACATCCCGATGACCCAACTCCCGTGGTATGTTAGTTCTGCGTTCAGACCTAAGAATTTCGCCTTTGTACATCAATCTTTTGCTGCCAAACCTCCTATTGCCTGTTGTCGTTCGTGACTCCTGCCGATATTGGACCATAACAACCGGTTCCGTTACTAACCCAGCCTTCACCCTCGGTGGATTCATCATGCAGTCTTACACAAACCACAAGACCCGAGAAGACGGCAAGTACTTCACCTTCCCTCTTCTGCACGAGACCATGACCAAGGCCGAGCAGGAGAAGCTCCGAATCGAGAAGGAAAAGGCCGAGGCTGCTGCCGCTGCCGCCGCTGCCGAGCAGCAGTAAATTATTGTACATAGTCACCACTGAATATTTGAGTAACCTATCGGAAGGGAGCGGTCGTAGGTCAAGAGCGGATAACACCCCACTGAGTGCATTCGGTACTTGTAGACGCATTGTTAGTGATCGTAGATTGTAGACAACACAGTATCGCACAAGTATGTACTTAATGAACTCTTATTCGTAATTAGATGTGTATAAATAATCTATAGGTCCATGGCTACTGTATGTTTACAACCATCGTTATGGCTTCACCACCTTGTATTCCTTCTTCTTCTTGTCCTTCTTGTCCTTCTTGTCCTTCTTGATCTTCCTAAGGCCATGTGTAAGTCCTTCTTCAGTCAACCTATCCAATCTCGCCTTGGCAGCCAGCTTATCCTCTTCTCTGATGGGATTGATAAGTACGAGGTTCTTGTCCGAAAATGGGACACTTGTCTGGGGACATTCTTTGAACTCCTTGATGGCGGATTCCGAGTACACCCAGCCTGACTCTGCCACGTAGACAAACCGGTAGGTGAGAGCCTTGACTTCCCGTTGAGACAAAGGGCAGATCCAATCTCCGTCCTTGGAGGTTTCAAAGTGCAGTTCAACAATGTCTTTGACACTCTGGATGTGGGGGATGACTTGGGCAGCCACAGACGACTCGTCCTTGTCCAGTAGCCACTCGAGAACCGCATCTTTGTTGTACAATCGGCCCTTGTAGTCGCTGACGATAGGTTGTTGGAGCGACTTTTTGCTCACGGGGCAGTTTTTCCAGTCAAAATCGGCATTGTCCTGAGTGGCATCGAAGAGCTGGGAAGTGGTTAAGCCGTTTTGTTTGTCTTTAACCAGATCCCGGCGAGTGGGGATGGACCCTCCGTCATTCTGTGTTAACGCATGAACAGTAAGACAGCGGAGTTAGGGCAAATAGCGATGAAGAGGAGCCTGCGACGGGTCACTGTGATTGTGCAGTCTGGCAAAAACGGTGTTATGCAATCGAAGTAGGCCATGACCTTCAGAATCCAAGATCTCTGGAGGCAAGCAAACTGTTAAGAATATCCAGTATAGCACAACGACATATCACGTTTCGTATTCGAGTAACGAAGGGTTGCATGATATGAGTTCAAAGATGGTGTCTTTTAGTATTCAAGGTCATGGGCAAGATGGCCCACCACCTGAAGTAGTCTTTAGGAGGGCATCACGGATTGTAGAAGACAAAACACTGTACGATAATGAGTCCAAACAAAAGACACTTCATATTGACCATTGGCTGCTCTGATCTGGCATTGGTGACAATTAAACAATAACAGTTTTGGTAGAGACTCTCGTTCTGACACACATTGATTGTTGATGAAGTGTTTATTCCAGTGGCGATCTGTTCCCCAAGGTAACAATGAGAGGTTGAACAAGGTCTCTTCCCTTAGCCACTTGATACAGATCCTATCTGATCGCTGTAACAGCAACAGTCAAGGAGTCGCGAGGATGGACGTTTACATTCCACCTCCCTTCTCCCCGGCATACTCACTCCCATGTCGTTCTGAACTGTGAAAGTTCGTCTTTTTTAGATCGAGGATTTCGTGACATGCTTGCATGCCAGCAGCCATTTTTCATGCATGGTCATGTGACGTTCGCATCAAGTAATGGGCCGGCTGGATGGGTAGGAAATTGACGTTGGAAGACTCAAAAGTGGATGATATAACTCATGTAGTTACTCATGTACAATATTTCCCCTTGGCTGGCTCTTCACCGCCTTCGTTTTCAGTCCCTCTCTCCCAGTATGTGCGTACTCCATCCAGCTGCACATTACTTGGAACTTACTTAATACTCTCTGCCAGGTTTCTCAAATCTAACTTTTATCGCCACACATTATTCGCGTGTTCAACATGGCCAGCCACCTAGCTTCGATATACGGAACGGAAAACGACAAAGTGAACTGGTGAGTGTCAGAAAGGAGTTATTTGAGTGTTTTGAACCCCCGCGCGGGCTGGTGTTGGTGTTTTGGCCGATCGTTTGCTCGTTTAGACGGCTTGTGATGCATACCAGAGTGGTTGTCGAGAACATGGTGTGTGAGAGACGCAGATGTTTGCGGCCTGTTGGTGTCTGTGATAGTTGTTAGTCCAGCCAAGTGTTGGAAGACAGACTGTCTGTCTATCTATGACTTCTTATCGCTAGACATGTCACTACAGACGACAGTTGTCAGCTGCTGGATAGGACCACTACATCATGTTGTTGCACTGGTGATGCATAGAGAAGTTGATACGGATAGACACAGCAAGCCAAGGTGGGAAAAGCAAACGAGACGTACTTTGATATGTTGCTAGCTTGTTCTTGACTCCTTGAGCCCATCTGTTCTCCTGTGACGACTCTCAACCCGAGACCGTCAAACCCCCTACTACATACATACTAACCCAGCTCATTTTATTACAAAATCGGCGCGTGCCGTCACGGTGAAAAGTGTTCCCGAAAACACGTCAAGCCCACCTATTCCAACACAGTGCTGTGCTCGAACCTGTATCAAAACCCAGCTAATGGCGAATCAGATCCTCTCAATGAGGACGGATCGAAGATGACCAAGGCGGACCTCGACAAGCACTTTGCACTCTTCTACGAAGACATTTACATGGAGGCAGCCAAACTGGGACGCCTGGAGGAGATGATTGTGTGCGAAAACGGCAACGATCATCTCACGGGAAACACATATCTGCGGTTCCGGAACCAGGAGGATGCTCAGAGGGCATGCGACCTATTCAACACACGGTGGTATGCCGGACGGCCCGTTTGGTGCGAACTAAGTCCCGTCAACGACTTCACCGAGTCGTGTTGTCGCCAGCATGACACCAATGAGTGTTCGCGAGGCAACATGTGCAACTTCATGCATGCCAAACGGCCTCCACGACAGCTGGCAAAGGATCTGGACGCTTCTCAGCGGAAATTTTATAACCGTCAGAGGGACCGAAAGTCCAAGCGGTAGATTGGAAGTCGATTGTTGACTGATGTATTATATATATATATTTAATGAGCATAACAGTATTGGATCAAGAAGTGGGGAGGAGAGATGCAAGTAGTTGTAGACCAGATGCTGTATAGCGTGTACTGAATTGTAATACCAGTCGCGTAGTACAAGTATGTGTATTATATATGTCCATTTTCACACTTGAAACGTTTCTATACTTGCACATGCCCTGTGTGATCCTAAGTATAAATCTAACTAAACTTCCAAGTAGAAACATTGATTTACTTGTTGTAATGTCACAGTACAAACGCCTCAAATACCGCCACTAAAGTAAATGGCACTTCTTTGATGAATCGAAACCATCAGCGGGCGTACTCTACCACATGAGAAACCCATCCGTTCTCCCAAATCCCCCACCAATCACCTAACTTCTCCTATATATATATATATATCTCTTCCCTACAGATTCGCCTCCCAGCAGCACGTGACTCCAAACTAACTTCATCACCACAGTGGCAACATCCTTGTCTCCACCATCACCAATCTACACCATGGCAGCAGATAGATATTCGTTTTCACTGACAACATTTTCCCCCAGGTGAGTATGGGAACACGTGACGGACCAGAAGGTCATTGCGCAAAAAAACCGGACGATTTGAGCAACACACGACTTACCCGACGATGGTTAAGGACCACAGAACGATAGGAAGGCATGTTGAGGCACAGGGTGTGTGATTCAGGTTACATCAGTATTGTTGGGACTGTCCATTCAACTCTGGGTATCAATGTTTGTCGTCCGAGAAGTTTGATTGCTGTTAATTGATGTCTTGAGAATGTCACCATTCACAGTGATTCACAGTGTTCACAAGACGGAACCACCGAGGACGAATCGGGCGATAGAACACGAAGATGGAGATCAAAAGGGGTTGAAACATCAGACAGCATATCGTTGACATCGGGAAGTGTCATCGGTGGCGTTGTCTGACAGAGATGATGGTATCCAATACCATGGTCACCATTGAGCACTGCATTGCCACAGCGATGAAGTTCAGTGGTTGATGCTTCCATGACTACCAATACTTCCACTAGTCTAAGACTTGTGGCGCACATACTCCCCACGTCCCGCTGTTTCCGTGACGGATGCTGTTTCCGAGTCTATGGCACTCTGACCTTAGCTCCTTTCCTTTCAGTACTAACTCAGTGGAAAGCTCGGACAAATCGAATACGCCCTTGCGGCTGTCAACCAGGGAGTCACCTCTCTCGGTATTAAAGCATCCAACGGCATTGTGCTCGCTACCGAAAAGAAAAGCGCTTCGTCTCTAGTCAACTCAGACTCGCACTCGAAAATCGAGCTCATCACACCCGACATCGGAATGGTGTACGCTGGCATGGGTCCCGACTTCCGAGTGCTGGTCGACAAAGCCAGAAAGGTCGCCCAGACCTCTTACAAACGAGTTTATAACGAGTACCCCCCCACTCGAATGCTGGTTCAGGAGATTGCCAAGATCGTGCAGGAGGCCACTCAGTCTGGAGGAGTGCGGCCCTACGGAGTGTCACTTCTTGTGGCAGGTCATGATGAGCACAACGGCTTCACTCTGTACCAGGTTGATCCCTCAGGGTCGTATTTCCCCTGGAAGGCCACTGCCATCGGCAAAGGCTCTACTTCTGCCAAGACTTTCCTGGAGAAGCGATGGAACGAGGAGTTGGAGCTGGAGGATGCCATCCACATTGCTCTGCTAACTCTCAAAGAGTCTATTGAGGGCGAGATGAACGGTGACACTGTGGAGATTTCCATCGTCTCCAACCCCGCTGACCATCTGCTTGGATTCGAGGGTGTGGCTGGTGCCGTCGGACCTCGTTACAGAAAGTTGACTCCTCAGGAGATTGAGGACCGTTTGGATACTTTGTAGGGAGTTTATAAGGCAAGTTACAGAGGTGAGCTGCGCGTGACTGATACGTATACAACTCGTTCATGAGTGCTCGTGGCTACAGGAATGGTATGTACTGAAGGATATTATATTGATGGAAGAACGCATGGCAGGCCATGGTGAACAGCAATAGAGAGCGGATACTTGTAGTTTGACTGTATAAGCGCACGGGATGGGATGTAAGTGTACAGCACCACCCGTATCGCGCTGCAGAAGTTGTAAAACTATCATACATTTTATTATATACCGAGACACAAGTAAGAGTAGTAGAAAAGCCTCTGAATGCATTGGTAGCGACTGACTACTGAATCTTGGTGAAGAACTCCATCAGAATGCGTCTAAAATTAATCAGGTTGATGATTCTCAGTCTCTCGTTGTTAAGATGGGCATGGTCTGAAGATTGGCCACAGGGGAACTGGATGGCAGATGCGTTGAATCGCTTCTCTAGGAACCGCATGACGGGAATCGAGCCTCCTTCTCGGATCAGCAAGGGCTCTACTCCCCAGACCTCGGTCACAATTGATCTCAATACCTGACAAACGGGAGTATCGATGTCTCCGATCCAGGGATCAGCCTGATGGAATACAGAGATTTTGAGATGGTTGGGCGACTTGTGTTCAGCAAACTTGTCCTGCATGTACTCTGTGAATATCTGTTTGATTTCGTCGGCGTCCTGGTCAGGCACAATCCGCAGAGAAACAGAAGCCTGGGCAGATTTGGGAATGACGGTCAAGTTACCGGGTCCAGAGACGTTGAAACGATGCACTGTAAGCGACGGAAGAGCCCATTTAGCTCTGATAGAAGCCTTGGTAAGTGGCTTATGAGATGTCTTGATGATATGCTCAAACCGCTTCTCTTCAGACTCGGTGGGCGGCTTGACCTTTTTGTAAAAGTCTGGGAGACAGATATCACCCTCGGGAGTTGTCAGAAGAGCCAGGAGACGAATCAGATCAATAGTGGGCTCTCGAGTGGCTCCTCCTTCGACACCAGAATGCAAATCGGGATTGTCAGAGTACACTTCGACGGTGGCATGAAGAACTCCTCGAAGACCGTAGTTGATGCAAGGTGTGGTATCGTCGAGCCAATACGAATTGCACAGAAGAATGTAATCAATGTCTCCGATCATGGAGTCGTTCTTGTCAATCACGTCTTCGAACCCGGGGGATCCACACTCCTCCTCTCCTTCTACCAGGAACACCACATCGACTCCCAGTTCGCCCTTGGCAAACGCCTCCGCCACTGCAAAGATAGTAGCCAGAACAGGGCCCTTGTTGTCTGAGACTCCTCGTCCATATAGGTATCCATCCAGAGGTGTAATTGTGTAGGGATACGTGTCCCATCCGTCAGTTTCATGGGCAGGAATGACATCGTAATGACCGTAGAACAGCAATCTCTTCGGCTTGGCTCCTTTGAGATCACTCTTGTTGGCGCTGAAAGTACCGAGAACAACGGGATTCTTATCAGGAACAGCCAACAGAGACGAATGAGCTCCAAAGTCTCGCAACAGGTCTCTCAGAAAGATAGCACAACGTCTTGAATCGGAACCGTACTCGATTCCATGACTGGAAACGGTTCGGAAAGCCACAAACTCGAACAGAGTGGAAATCAGACGGTCATTGGTGAAGCCAAAGTTCTGACGAGCCTTGGCAATTTGTTGAGAATGCTCAGAGTCAGTCACAGTGATATCCCAGATGGCAACACCATCATTTCCGCCTGAAATGAGATAGGTGCGACCCTTGAGCTCTCGAACAATAGTCGTTTGTACGGTTCCTTCATGGGCAAGCCAGGTAGCTGTTCTCTCCCCCTTTAAAGACCACCGTTGAAGACCTCCTTCGCTACCCTTGAATACACAGTCTCCTGAAGTGGATAGAGACACAACAGGTGAAGTTCCAATGGTGTCTTGTCGAATGAGCTGCAGAGTGCCCAAATCCCAGATCTTGACATCGCCATGATCAGTGCCACAGTACAACATGCTATCCGAAACACACAGTGTTTGAACAGACGTTTCACAGTCGATAGATGCTATCAGGACGAGATCCTTCTTTTGAGGGCACCACGACCAAAAGTTGACATGCGCATCTCCTCCTCCAGAGATCAAAACACACTCCACCACGTTATCTTTCCACACAAAGTTCTCAACGCAAACCAAGCAGTAAACATAGCCATTGTGGGCGTATTGGTAAGCATTTTCCGAGGGAATTTGCAGGAGGGCGTGTTCATGGGGCTTCTGACCGTGAATGCTGACGTAGTCGTCTCTTTCCAGCTGCTGGGGCGCAGTTTTTCCACCTGGTCCTCTTGAGTCGAAAAATCGGTCGAATCTGTAGCTGGGAAGCCGTAGGATTTCCGAATTAACTGTCTGACTGTTGCCCGTGTCGCTTCCGAGCTCAATCCACTGAATAGAGGCGTTCTGAGCTCCTAGGAATATCATATTATGGACCGGATCATACACGACAGAAAAGATGTCACCGACATCAAACGACGAGTAAACGGTCGACACCTCTTTCAGTTCGACAATGTCCCAAATTTTAATGAGCGAATCGGAGCCTCCCGACACGAGGAATTGCTTGGAGCTGTCTCCGGCCACTGTAGCGATGGACAGGGCGTAGACACATCCTTCATGGCCCTGTAGAGACGTCTTTAGCGAAAAGGTTTCCACGTCAAAGACCTGGATGTCCGAGTTTTGGGTGCCGGCAAAGATGAACTTGTCGTTAGCGGCCAGCGAGACCACCGAGTAGTCGTGACGCCATTTGTGAGTCAGTTGGGGTTCCTGGGGTCCTTTACTTTTGTAGCCGGGTCCACGTCGATCTTCGGCGAAAGATGCGGGTGAGAGGCGCGGCGAGGGCGTGTCGAACTCGTTGAGAGGACCCGAACACGTCGACAGACCGACATCCAGTGGATACGACATTTTGCGAGCAGATAGGGTGAAGTCGACTTGAGTCAGATCAGCTTGTTGCATGAAGCGAACTCTATAGGCCGATGATGTGACCATGCGTGTGACTGTGCCCAAAGGGGAATACCGGAAGGAGGGTGTGTGAGGAGGTACTTCCGTTCTATATAAGCACTTTTTTCAGTTATGACATTGGCCACGTCACCTCGCCGTGTTTATCCGTATTATAAATACCCCTGTATATCCAACTATAGTTCCCTTTCTGTGCCCTCCTGCTTGCACTTGTTTCGAGTCTCTCACACTGGACCCTTCTCTGCACGTCAAACTTCTCGAACCTTTTACTCTCAAGTGACTGAGTTCGCCAGGAACACCATAACAAAGAGGGGGTGGATTGAATACACGACAAGATGAAATTTTTTTGGTGCCAACGAGAGAGTAAAGCCACCAATTATGCCGCAGCTATCCAGTCGAAACATCTACACTCAACTTCGATACCGGAGCTGCACGTTGACCTCGGCATTGTGCATTATTTACTTACCCCAGATGACGCAAGCCACAGTCCAAATTGTCAATCAGGAGGAGAGAGGCCGTTTTGAGAAGAACACAACACTCATAACAGCGAAAAAAGCACGAACTGGAACACAAAAACAGAAAAAAGACAAAAACAATGACCATATTTCTCGATTACCTGTTCTCTTATAGATGTAGATTTCGTTATAAGTCGCACAAATACCGGTACAAGCATCGTATCGTGCACGTCTCGGACCCGCTTTATACACACTCTCCAATAAAGCCCTACACTCAACTTTGTTTGCACCTCTTAAAGATGAGCATTTATAATCTCAGACCGCATTCTTAGTTCAACATAATTAAACAGTTGCTAAGGGTATCCCATCGCATCTCTCCTGTCTCTTCTCATGACTTTATAACAATTGTGCCGTGATTGCGCAGTGACGAACAGTGACGAGACTTGGTTGCTCGCACGAAGATGCGTCTCTTGCTCACATGGTTGGGCACACCCCACAACCACTTATTCCAATAAATACATTATAAATATATCCCCATGCCAGGCACAAGTGACCGTCGTCCCCTGACCGCCGTGCCCTGTTTTGTGCTTCTCCACCGTCGCCACAGTGGCTAATGCATGACGCTAAACTAGTGCCGTGCCACATGCTAAAACGAGAAGCATTCAAAGATAAGGCAGGCGAAGCAGCCAGCACAGCCACGTGCGAGTGACACGAAAACGCACGCTAAGCCATAGTAACATGGGTCACGGTATGGCTATCACCATACTGCTGCTTAATCTCCGGATCATACCGGATACACTTGCCATACCAGTTTCTCTCCACACAAGTAGGATCAGGAAGCGAAGGCATCGTGTTAGTAGCAACGGTAGAAGAGGTCGATGTCTTAGTCTTGGACACCACACTACTACTCGTGCTCGTCTTCTTCTTCTTCTTCTTATCCTTATCGTCGTCGTCCTTGTCATTACCCATCACGAAGTTCCAGTTGAAACAGTCTTGACAAGGGGGAGGAGGAACGCATGCAGCTGTTTCGTTGTACGCTAGCAGCACCTCGTCAATCACCGTATGAATCCTGTGGTTGACCATGCTCAGATGCCATCCTTTATCGGTCACCACGTCGTACATGCATTGGAGACCCGAGTGGCAAGACGTCTCCATGGCGTAGCCTCCAATGGAACAGGATGACGATGCTCCGTTACACACGCCCATAAAGATGGGGTCAGCCGTGTGTCCAAAGTGCCAGATGTGTTCCTGGGACCAGGGAATACCAGGAGGACTGGGCAAATGCAGTCGCTTGGTGGGAAGCAGCTCTCCGGGTGCCTCGTAACCAACGGCAGGAATACCATAGGTACGACCCAACATTGCACTCAGAGCGCCTCCCAGGGAATGTCCGGTGACCCAGATTTGTTTCTGAGGGTACAGATGAGTTACATTGCGGTAAATGTCGAGAACGGCTCGATAGTACCGGTCCTCGGCATAAAGCTCCTTCTCTAGACACTCTTGGTCACACGTGTACGACTCGCCGGTGTAGCAGTCACACACTGTGTTCCACAAGTACGAGACACGCGCACAACAACACGAGAACAACAGGTTGTCGTTCGTCTTGTCGTTGATGACGGTGTCTCCTCCAGAGTCGAAAATGGCCGCCGATGTGCCCTTAAGAGCAATAACAACAAGAGGCGAGCCGGGCGTCTGGTCCACGAAAATGTGACCTCTCACTCCATCACTCTGCCAGCCAATGCCTCCAGTTTCTTTCCAACTCACGTTGGTCCAGTCACCTGTAAATGGCACGTCAACGTACGCGTTGGACGCCATGACGGCCAGCGACACGACTGTATCTCTGTCGGTGACATCCGGCACCAGAATGTCCTCCTCTACCCAGTCAAAGTCCATGGCGCCGTAAAGCTGAGGGTTGAGACGCGCAGCTTCGAGGTAAGATTCCACGTGATCTGGGTCGCGCTGCCGCCATCGCTTCACCTTCTGGGTCCGCGACTTGAGCGGCAGATTGGTGTAGGGGTCTCTGGCGTTTGAGGCCATGTAGCGGTGGGTGTCCTGGCCCAGGTTGAGATGCTGAGCCTTCTGGGCGGCCCGAACCCACTCTCCAGACACGTCCATGCGTCCGTGGTTGGCGTCGGCCTCGGTGTTGTGGTGATAGATGTGTTTTACCGCAAATGAGTGGTCACTTGAGGGGTTAGCGGGGAGTACCAGATTGGGCACGACACTAGGCATATCTTTCTCCCCATGTGTGTTTGAGTAACCCTGGGAGTACAACAGGTAGATGGCTGTAGTGACGAGAGCGGCCACAATCACATACAGGCCTTTTGATTTGGTCGTGGAAGGCGGTGGAGAAGATTCCTTGTACAGATCTTGTTTCATGGTGGAGATGAAAGTATCGTGTCGTCGTAGCTATGTGTTGGATGTATGATACTGTGGTGGTGGGTGAGTGATTTGGACTGACAACAGTGATCTGAGACGTGTTTGTGTTGATATGCTGGATCGCTGCAGCTTGTTTGTAGAAGTTGTCGTGGCTTCGAGTCTTGCCCTCTTATACCTCTATGTCTATCGTCCTGTGCCAGGTCTCAGCAAGGTATACACACCAGGTGGCGGAATTTAATCTGGACGTAAATAGTGCATCTGCAACCTGTAGGGTCACGGGAACAAAAGCCTATGCAGGTCGATAGTCAAGTGTCTACAAGTAGAGGGGTAGTTGGTGGGATGAGGTTAATAGCTGTAGTTGTAGGAATGAGGCGTGGGTGTAAAATGAGTGTTTATATAGTGTCATCAGATGACTGTTTATAGAGACGGAATTCGCACAGATGATGTGGTATTGCTCCTATATCTCCGACCCCCCTCTCTCATGCATTGCATCTTGCTGTGGCGCATTATCTGTGTGACCCCGATAAGACGTTACCCGGAAGTGGATTTGGGGCATGTCATGTGAAATGGAGCAGACCAGGCCTGGGCGAGAGTGTGTCATATGACCAAAGGGGCATGAGGAGGAGGTGGGTAGTTAAATTGGTTGTATTTACAGTTATGTCGGGAGCTGAAGGGTGGTTTTGGAGGCGGGTGTTTTTGTTTGTATGTTTGAGTAAATTTTGGCATTAAAAATGAACAAAAATTACGTAAAATAAACAAAAATCAAGGGAAGTAGATATAGTTGTCATTGACGTATTAAATGGGCATTGGCGGATTATAATGGACTTGGACGGATTAGAATGATCATTTCACGGCTACAAGTACCGTAATGCTTGATATTTAACAACAGCTGATTCTCTTCTATGAGCTATAGTAGCTACTGTATGTACAGTACATACTGTACTTACTGGTATGTTATAGTAAGAGCTTCTGGTACATAAGTACATTATGTATTCGTAGTCTATAGCGTCAATATCCTACTCGTACTGTACTTACTGTACTGTAACTACGATACTATGAGCTAACTATCAGCAGACCCTTAGAGGAATACTTATAGCTAAGGCAAGTGACAAGAATGCTCATATATTGACCAATAGTATTCAATACAGAGAAGATACAGACAATGTACCAGACGAGATCTCTTGTATGATTCAGTTAATGTCCCATAATTGGATGGTTCATAGCAGACCCATCTGGGAAGAAGATATCTGAGGGCTGATACCAGGACCTCATCATGACCAATGATAGCAGGGAGTATGTTGTGAACCAAGTCAAGTTCTGCTCCACATTGTAATCATTCACACAGCATCTACGAGTACATACCGTGTACTGTACTTCCACAGTCACCGCTGTTCCGATAAAGCTAGGAATAGACCAGGAGATGGTAAGTATAAGTATGTATGTTTTGTATGTATGTACATACTGGACAGTATGTACCAGTTCTATCAGTTACTACAGTAATTAGTCCAATCCACTCAATCACACTGGTGGTCATTTTTGGTAACCGTTGATCACTTGAAGTTGGCCATCTCACTGACCTATAGCCCGATTATCATGATGTACTCATGCCACCATGAAAGCCCAAGTAGGTACAGTCTTGCTCTCTCACTTCCACCAGTGGTATCAAAGATGAGTCACTCTTGACAATACCGCCGTTCGAAGACTTCAAGGAAGACTACGTGGTCATCCGAGGTATCGACACATGTCTCCACCAGTGTCTGTGGTATCTCACTGGGTTATCAACTATAGCTACGTTCAGTACATTACATACTTATGATGGTAAGACGTTGAACATTACGTCATGTTCACCAGCAAAGTGATATGGGAGGATGGTAGGTTACGGAAGTATATATTAGAGAAGGTTCTGGTGGCTCCAATTTGAGGGGTCCTGCAACAGTACTTTGAACCAATAAAATGGGCTGTAATTTTTCATAATTACTGATAATACCACCAAGCAGAGGTTTATCAAAAAACTGAGTGAAAATATTATCACAATGACATTCTAAGACCTCTCATAGACATACCCCCATCCTACATACAAAGAAAACCTTGATTGCTGTACAGTGTGGTATTATGTATTGTACGATACGATTCTAATAAATTGCTGTGTGAGGGAGTGCTCTAGGGATGTCTCATTGAGTATTAGCAAATCTTTTTGGGCACAAGAGCACGTTTGTTCCGTCATTCTGCTCAATCCGCCTATATAAAGCAGTTCTCTTCTCCCTCCTCTCACCGTCTCCAACATGACACAGCACCACCTCACATACTCCCAACCTGTGAAACTCTGTCCTGCCCTGTGGTGCAGGAGCAGACCAAATCACTGTGTCTAACAGCTCCTCATCCAACAACATGTCTCAACGCGACTCAGCTTCGCCACATCCGCAGGCCTCGCCGGGGATGGCCAAGCAGGAGCCCGTGCTGTTGCCCGGCCGGGAAAAGTCGCCGCCCCAGCAGCTCCAGTTCCACCAGGAGTTCCCCAACAACAGTTTCAAGCGCACTTCCACGTCGGCCATGACGCCACCAATCTCCAAAAAGCCGAAAATGGCGCCGCAGACCTTCAACAACTACAATGCGTCTAACTATGGCCAGTTCCAGGCGTCACCCATGAACTCGGGCGCAAATACACCCATTCCACAGCAACAAAACATGCCGCAGAACCAACAGACACAGAACCAACAACAGGGAGGCCCCGGCGGACAGGGACCCGGACAACCACTCGATCCTGATCAGCTCAGTGACGTCATTTCGGCGGTGGGTCTTGATCTCAAGCAGGAGGAGGCGCTGTTGCAACAGGGAGTGCCCCAGGCCGGCTACGGCATGCAGCAGCAGCAATACGGATACAGACAGCAGGGACACGCGCTGCTGGACCAGAAACGGGTGGCGTACACGGTCCGACAGCTAAGCCAGGAAGCTGGCCTGCGATTCAACAGTGATAGAGCCGGAGAAACGGCTTTGCTCATCTCGCACGCCTGTGAGGAGTGGCTCAACCAGATTCTGACTCAGGCGCTGGTTCTGTCGCGACATAGACGGCGATCGAGAAACTCGGTGCACAGTAGCCTGTCACGTGCGCTCAAGGGTATCGCTGTCAAAGACAAGGAGCGGGAGGACAAGCGAGCAGAGCGCAAGAACCTGCTGGGTCTGGATCACGCGGAACCCGAGTCTGCAGCCAACCCCGAGGACCAGCAGCACAAGGCTGCCAACATGACGGCCGCCATGATGTCTTCGGGCAAAAAGAAGTACTCGTGGATGGCAGGAGGCGTGGGAGCCAGTGCTGGAGGAATGCGAATGGGCCAGACAGGCGGAGGCAGAGGCGACTCGGCGATAAAGACACGAGAAGCCAAGGAAGAACCCGGAGTGGCCCTCAGAGATTTGCTGGGAGCCCTAGAGAAGGAGAGAGCAGGAGTGGAAAAGGCCATCGTGAAGGGCTATGCCAAGTTGAGAAATTAACCGTCAGAGGTGAGTGGTTGGTTTTGTAAAAGAGAAGTATAGCTGAAGGGCGACCATCAAAATCATTAGTGTGGATTCATTGAAGTGATTGGAGGAGGAGGATAGCTTCATCGGATAGGCTCCGTGGTTGAAAGAGGTAAAGCTTTCCAGTATGTTATGGAAAAACTTATTGACAGCAGCATAAGAGCTAGGATACAGGTATAGCAAATAACGAAATGTATATTATATGATATGATGGATGGGATTGTACAGGTACAAGTACGCGTCATAGAAACCATCTGTAGGCGAAATAGATGACTGTCCAGTTTATGACGGCGGAACCAAATATGGTCCCTATGACAATTGCATCTCTCCAGGTGAACTTCCGTTTGGGGGCCTCAAACGTCTGCTCATGTACTTTTTGTAAAATCCCTTTTCTAACGTCGAACACATACTTTTTGGCACTTCCCATGACCATGACGTACCGAGTTCCCCACCAGGGGTCCCTGTGACTCCCTGTTGATCTAAAAAGATGCTTGATCCACGAGGAGTGCCGTGCTGGAGAGCTGTTCAAGTTGGCCTGTAGACAGTAGTATTTCTTCTTACCAAAGAAGGCAAACAGTCCGTCGTAAACCACAGCGTGTCGCAGGTCATTCAGACCAATGTCGATGGGCACAAAGTACCGGTCTTTGAAAAGATACATGGCTGCTGGTTGTGTAAAACTGGAGTAGAAGCAGTGGCTGTGAGTGTAAAAGAGGAAGGTATGGGCACCCAGAGTGTACACGGACGGGGATCCCTGGACCGTGATATGTTGCTTGATATCCGGTTTGCGACAATCTCCATCTTTGAACTTGACAACAACACCACAATGGTCAAAGTGCCTGTCACTCAAAGCCATGTAGATGATGATCACCATATGGGGGTGTGAAAAGACCTGACATTCCATCTGGGGGTCGAATTCGGGATCATGAACGTAATCCGAGTACTCTGCAGCCATCTCTGAAAGATCCACCTCAATTCCATGTTCACTGGTATAGTAAGCATCATCCAGTAATCTCAGATGGTTGCATTGGATATGTACCAGATCATGGGGACTGTGAAGGTCGTCCTGCGGGTTGTAAAAGTCCCCCTTAAACATATGCTCGTCGCTCAGTAGTCTTAGTTTTGGAGTGAAACGCGACTTTGGCCTCATACGTCTCACATACTCCACAGAGCACTCTCTCCATGTCTTCCGGTGTGAAAACTGCGGCTCAAACCAGGGACAAGACTCCTGCAGTTTGTGCTGGAAGTCGGTTTCGGTGAGATTTACGCGCCAGAACCGGTTAGTGTCATAAAGAACGCACATTGACTCGAGATCGAGCTCGTCCAAGATGAGTTCCACCAGCTCGCGAGGTAACATGTTGTGTGGGGAAACATATTGGAGAAACTTAATCGTGATATATACGATGATCTATAGAGGGAACGACACCGGGCTAACTCGTGAAGTAGTAGTCCTAGAATCATGGAAATAGCTCCATTACAATAGTACTGCCGTCTATACAAATGTACGAGTTTTAAGGACCCATTTATGTCATAATCAAGGCATTATCCACTTCACATCTCATCTATTCTGACTCACTTCTATTTCAGCCGCATGGTGATATATGCATGGAACAAACATCGCATCGATTCACTCACAGATGCCACACTACAATCTCTACACTCAAGTAACACAATAAATATAAAATTACATAGCCATAACACTTAGAGTAGTCACAGTGCTACACTGTTGATTAGACCTTACCCACCACCTTGAAACCCTCGGCAATGACACCCTGAATACTCTCATTTTTATGAGGCAGCAGACCCAAGGCAAACGATACGTCCTTCCACTGCTTCTCCGTCTCGCAGCGTCCGAGTCGAGCAAACAACTTATCGGACAGCTGCTTGACATGTCTCTCCTTCTCGACAAACGAAGTAAGAAACCGAATAACCCGCTTAAGCTGGTCATCAGACAATTCCTCATCAGCAGACAGAACAGAAAAGATATCAATGTAGCCGTTGTAGATGGCATTGTCCTTGGTGGCCAGCTCAGTGAAAAACATTCGCGACAGGTCGGAAATACGCTTGTCAGGGTTCTCCAGACACTTGGCCATCTCTCCCAGCTGTCCCTTGACCTTGACCTGACCAGCGAGAATGAGGAACGTCAGAGTCATTAGCGTGGTTCGCTGCACCATGGGAGAAGAGTCGTGAAGACGCTCGTAGAGATAATTGGTGTTTTCGTCCAGCAAGTGGTTGAAGCAAATGGTCATGTCTCCAAGAGCAATCACAGCGTTACTTCGGATGATGGGGTTCTCGGACTTCTCCATGATGGTGATCAACAGAGGAAGCGACTGCTGACAGAAGAGAGGAGAAACACACATGAGCTTGGAGAGGCACGATGACGCAGCAATCTGAAGGGTTTCAGAGGAATATTTCAAGTTGTTGGAACACACTTCCACAACTAGAGGTCCGAACTGTGCCAACAAAGAGTTGTCTCCGTACAGAATCTCCCGCTCTCGCACGGACGTGATAATTTCCGAAAAGTCATCCTCAGAAGTGCCACCAATCTGCTCCATATCATCATCACCACCAGCCTCTCCACTCTTGGCCTTTTCAACCATCACCTTGAGTCGCTTGAACTCAAGCTCCTTGGCCTCAAGGTACACAATGAGCTTGATGGCAGCATGGCCTACGACAACAAGCAGCTGACTCAGCTTAATATCTCTGAGACCTGAGGATCCTTCGGAGAATGTACTGATGGTCTTTCGCCGAATGATCTCAGACGTAACCTCCTCAGGCGATTCAGCAAGGATGAATATGGCGTTCAGAGACTGAGCGGCCACGTCAAACCACTCCAGATCCTCCGTATAATGCTCCACGATGCTCATGAGCGCGGTAATGACGGCAGAATCGCTCGACATAGACGCCTTGAGTTTGGGGTCGCCACCTAGACGCTGCAGAGCCACACAGGCGTACTTGGCAAGCACGAGATCCTTCTGGCCAAAGGCGCCGAGTCCCACAGACAGCAGAGTCTCCAGACCCACGTTGATAATTTCAGCGTCAGCCTGCGCAAGCATACCGAGAACAATGACTGCACCTCGACGCTGAGACCGCGAAATGGCCCCCTGGGTGTATCCAAACGTCTGCCAAAGCTTTCGGACCACCAGAGCATTGATAATCCCCTTCTCCATTGCCACACAAAGTAGACGTTCCAGAGAAGCCAACTCAGCGAGAGTAGCTCCGTAAGTCAGCGAAATCAGGTTTCGAGCAATGTACATTGATGCCTCAGCATCGGGAATGGAGAGAGGAGCCTCAAAGAAGAGCTTCGAGTAGGCAGACAACAGTCTCGCCTGCACCTCCTTACCCTCATCAGAGTTACCCTTGGTCCAAATCACGTGCAGCATCTTTCTGATACCGCTGCTGGCTCCCTCAAAGTTGTATGCGTCTGCCAGAACAAACATGTCCATCATCTCCATGACCTCGGTCTTGACCTTGGAGAAGAGCAGCACCTCTGCCTGGTCAAATGCGCGTTTCATCACTGTCATGAATTTGATGGCGTCCTTATAGTACGTTTGGGTCAGCTGCAGCTTCTTGAGCTTCTCCAGGTTCTCGGAAACATCATTCTGGGCAGCATGTTCGCCCTCGTCGTCACTGGGAGGGTCCAAATAAGCTCCATTCACTTCGGCAGGCATAGATTTCTCCAGATCTGTGATTTCTACCTCAATTCCGGCAAGTCTATCTTTCCACACGCCCATGTTGAGCTGAGCACCATGTAGAGCCTTGAAGGGATGTGTGGTTACAAGCTTTTGGAGCAATTTGGCTGCTCGTCCACGCACGAGACCAGACTTATCGTTCAAACACTCCACTGCCATGTTTGCAGTTTGTTGGAAATGAGCGTTGAACCGCACTTCGAGGTCACAGACGTTGGAGAACAGTTGTAATACTCGGGATCGAACGTACGGACTCACATCGAGGATACGCTCTTCAACCAGTTCAAGGACACCCTCAATTTGCGACCGATAGTGCTCTCCGTCGTCACCTGTTGTAGAAATGCTGACCACAATCTGACTGCAGGAGTCAACAATTCCGTTTCGAATCGCATATGAATCAGATTCAAGAAGGCGTCGCAACACAGCCATTTGCTTGAGTACCAATTTGGGAGCCAGTTGAGATAGCTTGACGAGAAACATGGCAATTGCCTTGGGCGCTTTGGAGTCTGTGTTTGAGAAATGCATCTGAGACACCTCGAGAATGATGGTTTCGGAAACTGCACTTTCATTCTCTCGGTTGTACAAGAGAGCCAGTAGTTCGGCCACAGGCTCAGACAGGTGCTCATAATAGTTGAGATGCTGTAGTAGCATGGAATGGGCCATATTGGACTGGTTTTGGAACTTTATGCCGGCGATGATCACGTCAAAAGTGGCGTCTCGAACATTGGCATCTTTACCCAGTGCCTCTGTCTCAATAGCTCTGTAAGCAGCTCTGCAAATCATGGCAGCGAACGTGTCGTGGTCCTGAGATGTGCCAAAAATGGCTCTCAGCTGCTGAATATCCATAATGTTAGCTGAAGCCTCCATCAGACCCACAATGTACCGTTTGAGATTCTCCACCTCCACGTCCTTCTTGCTCCGTCCCTTGCCGCCAGAGTTGTCGTCTGTGCTCACCTTGTGTGCCAATGCACTGATGAGCCACTGCACCAGGAATCCGTATACTTCCACCTCGGTGCGCACCTGTGAGTAGATGTCCGAGTCTGATCTCTCCAGAGCCTCCAAAGCAGACTCGCAGGCTCCCCGAAAACACGTTTGCAGCAAATCAGCGAGTTTTCCGAGCGACCGCGAAGTCAGTTCGCTGATATTGAGCAGAATCTGGAAAGTGGTGGTCAGATTGTTGTTGTGAAAGATCTGAGAAGAGTTGACCGCGACATCTTCAATGAGCTCGTTGACAGCGTAGTTGAAGTCCGAGGGCGAGTTGGCACGTGACACCAACTGCTGCGCGTCCTCCAAATACTCTGTGTACACCTCGTTGAGAATGAATTCCGACATGAGGTGTTGTAGTGTTGTAGTTGGAGGTGTAATGGTGTAATGGAGGTTGTTTACGCGACGTGCATCAAAACAAATTAAGGTTCGACGGTTGCTAGGCAACCCGAATTGGGTGAGCGAGGCGAATTACTTCAGTTAATATTGGGCCTGGTGGGGGTTTTTTTTCTTTCACAGACAAATAATGACATAAGGGTGTCATTGGCGTGTATATTATAGTACGGGGCTTAATCGACTACTCTCTGGCGTGACTCTGGCTTCTTATTGTTATTGTTATTTTTGTTTTTAGAAATATTCCCATTTATATTGATTGATTTATTCAAAATAAAATAACTCAAAAGAAATTAAAACAATTCAGCAGAAATTGGAACTAAACTGCTGGGCTTCATTCGAGGATTAAAAAAATGATTCGTCATTACATTTATTCATGAGATAATCCCAAAGTATTCCATTAAACCACACACAGGTTCGACTGAAATCGACAAGTTGATCGTAACTACTCCATGTTGAATCGGGTTTCCAGACGGATACAAATTTGAATCAGTCGTCACGTGATTTATATTCATTCAATACACACTCAATGAATAGGATAAAAAACCTGTGTTAGAACCGCCCTTCACCAATTGTTCATCAAAAGCAAATGTTTCCTTGGAGGGCATATGTTCCATCTTCAGTTCTTTCAGCCTAAGGATAGCACCAGCACATCTACATACTGTACATACTATAGTTACAGTGAAGTGCTCGTTCATACAACCCCAAATCAGGGCCTTCTCAAATCATCATCTTGACATTACCATACTTGACTCAATCTCCAGTGGTACAGTAATTACGCGTAGCCACTTGCCCTCTCGAGTATGTACATGGCCGTAGCTACACATTCGTCGCAATCTCACTATCTACAATGCAGCTGACTTCGACCACGTGTAGTCCAATTTATCTATCAATTAGCACCTTTTTTTCCAGCCACCGTCTCTCGGACATGACATTAATGTACGACAAGTCCGATGACATAAGTCCGATATCTCCGGCCACGGTATCGCACACGGTGCCAGTACAGTTTCGGCATCGCTACATCATTTGTAGTATTTTCAATCTTTTTCACCTATAGCTATATACATTTAGGATCTGAAGGGGGCCTCTATCTATTAGGGCCGGCTGATTTTGAGCTTTCCGCTTATTTATCCTTCTTGGACTCATCCTCGTCCTCGTCCTCGTCCTCATCGTCGGACCGCTCGTCCTTCTGGATGTCGTGGAAAATGAACCGGTAGGCGATTCGGAAGATCAAAAAGCACCAGTAGGCGTTGACAAGCTGCAGAGCCGCCAGAAGACAGAAGGTGATTCGCTGCGACAGCGTGCACTTGTACTGCTGGGTGACCCAGTTGAGCTCAAAGGGACCGACGGTGGCAAACTCGGTGAGAATGGAGTAGAGGATCTTGAGGTTGAGGTAGTGACGGGTGTAGACCCAGACGCCCATGAAGACCAAGAAGAAGGGACCGGTGATGGCATGATCCACGTAGTTGAGGGTCTTGGAGACGGCAAGGAACACGTCAGACACGTCCATGGTCACGTAGACACACAGACCCATCCAGGTGAAGTGGAATCGGTACGAGCACCAGATGAGAGCAATGGTGACAATGTGGTGGAACACGAGCTCCTTGAAGTCCTTTCGGGGCTTCTCCAGCTGCATGCACAGAATCACGCTCTGCTGGCCCCAGAAGGCAGCCTGCAGCAGGTAGTAGACCTTGAACATGGCAATGTGGGTCTTGTGGGGAAAGTTCTCGTAAAAGGCGGTGGTGTTGAAGAACCAGATGGGAGTCTGGTACATGATGTAGAGGCCAAAGGAGCCCGCCAGCGAGTAGTAAATGATGGAGTAGGTCTGTTCCATGAACCGGTTGACCTTGCCCTTCTTGGTGACGCCGCAGAAGGTTGCAAACGGCTTGAGGAACATTTGCATCACAAACTCTCGGAAAAAGGTGAAGAAGATCATGTAGAAACCCACAAAGGTGAAGTCCCGTTTGCCCTTGCCGTACATGTAGTCGTCGGTGGGATTGAGCTCCGTGTGGGGCGCCAGCTTGTAGGAGGGGAAGATGAATCGATGCAGCGGGTTTTGCGGTCCGGGGTTGCCCTGGGCGTAGTAAGCTCCCACCACCACCAGCATGGTCAGCAGAGGGTTGAGCCAGGTGTTCTGGTACGAATACTCTCGATACGAGGTCCACAGGTAGGCCAGGGGACCGAGTGGCTTGTCATCTTGGTCGACAACGGCCGAAGAGGAGGTTCCGGCAGGGGCCTTTCGGTCGTCCAACGACGTGTTGGAAATGGCTCGTTGACGGGCCTTGGAGGCCCGGGCTTGCTGCACGTTTTCGGGCATGGTGGCCAGGGCCGGGCCCGAGTTGTCTCCTAGCGCAATGGTGCCCATGGACGATCGTCTGCGTGTGGGTTGAGATGGAGAAGATGGCTGTGACATGGTCGCTTGGCAGGCTACAAGTAGGTTGGGACAAGCCTTAGGTTGGGAGGGGTGTGTGGGAGGAGGTCGGAAGAAGGTGTGTCACTTGCACGCTTGTTTTCCTGGGTGAGTTTGCAACCGGAGTGTTGTTTTTGTGTGTGTGGCACGTCTCTGTAAATGGCAAACGACAGGCGCACGCGTGGATCGGGTCTTTCTTTGTATGCAGAATTTTACCCACGCTTTTAGCTCTTGTTACAGCGCTGCTTTGTTGGTGGTACTGTATGTACATACAAGTGCGAGTACACACGAGTATCGTACAAGTAAACAGTGGAAGAAGTATACAAGAGCCCACTAGCAATAGGATAGAAGAGGTGCTGTGGGTGTGCACGTCACGTCACGTGATGAGATGATATAGACTATGGGCACCGAGTACGTCCGACTAGCGCAAGACTGTCCTCTCTCACTTGGTAGTACTCGTGCTTGTACTTATATACCGGCACTCGCTTTATCTCTCCTCTCTCCTCTGACCACGCTTTATTACCACCATGTAAAGAGAGGGGTGCATGAAAGGAGGACGTGTCACAACACACTAAGGCATGGGCGGAGCGATGGCAATGGGCGCCCCCGGATCTTTTGACGTCTGAGGAATCTGTCATATCTTGCTACTTGCATCGCTCCTGTCTCTTGATCGATTATCGTGTTCCGTGGGTGGGCTAAAGTCAATGTGCCGAGGTTGGGGCAGTGCAGCTTCACAGTATGTATTGTACCGGTCCGTGCGGGCCCATACAAGCACCGGCCACCGTTGGCTGCAGAAAAAAACCGTTTGATGCACAATGTAAAGTTGGGGGAGGAGGGGGAAACGGGGTCGGCGACGACATAATGGAATAAATATCAGACGTCCACAACATAGGTGCGTTTTACTGTATAGGTGCGGTGCGTTTTTATGTATTGTATTACGACTTCTCGAACGGTACATGCGCTATCAAGCTATTGAGGGACGCTATTAAAGTAGCAGTTAGACTAACTCTAGATGAGACTATGATACCGTAGATCCCACCGATTAAACACAGCCCTGCTCATGTGTAGATAGATAAATGGTCATGACCAGATCGCTCCGCCCCCTGCATGCACAGAAGGATCAATACGAGTAAAGCTGTATGTAACGTGTACCTGTATTCGTATAGTATTGCTCTTGTCGCAGACTGGTATCATACCATCATGGCTACAGTCTGTACTGCACCAGTTCACCAAGTAATTAGTGGAGGTATCTTCTTCACTGCTTGCTGATGGCATCTGAGGGTATCTGATAAAGAGTAGTGATACCAGTTGAAGTACTGTAGCAAGTCTCTTGATGCAATCAGATACTTGTCTTGTACTCCACCGCATCAGACATCACTATCTGACGGAGTAGTTGTCTTCGTGCTGACAGTCATGTGCAGCATACAAGTAACCAGGCTATGTATGCTATCGTTACTATTTCTAACTTTGGTTGAAGACATAAACAAAAACCAATACGAGGCTTCTACGATACAAGAAACCGGTGCTTGCTATTGTATCTATAATACCACAACTATTGATCGCAATGAGGTATCGTGCAATCTGTTAAACAACTAAACAAGTAAACACGCACTCAGTACAAGTCGTCGTTCATCCTCTTCAATGGTTGTTTTCTCACACCGTCGTATAACCGTACTCGCAATTATTGCCTCCCCCCAATCGCGGGAATCGTACCCCCATGCACCTTACCGTTAGGACGCATGCCGCTCAGCCTCCACGATAGCCTTTGTGTCTCGAAATAGCTACATTTGCGAATGTACTTATAGATAGCCAGCTCGGATCTGTGGTGGTCAATCAATTTCCCTAACACAGCTGACCAGCAGATCCTCCTTGCAGTAACACACGGCTCTACTTCCACAAAGTAGTTAGCCGTCCACATTGCATCATCACTACTCCATCTCACCTCCCAGCAACTTTATTCAGTGGCAATAGTCGCTGCTTGTAGCTACCAACCACACCTCATAGAGGTAACCGCACCCACTCACCACCCTCACAGACATGTTCAGATCGTCGGAGCCCGTGTCGCCACTGGATGACGTGGTCACCAAGGCCACGGACGAAAACCTGACGACGGAAAACTGGCAGTACATACTCGACGTTTGCGACGAGGTGAACAACGACCCCGAAAATGGCGCGAAAAACGTCATCACCAGCGTCACCAAGCGTCTCAACAAGAAGTTCGCCAATACCCAACTGTATGCGCTCACGCTGGTCATCTCGTTATCGTCCAACTGTGGCTCCAAGATGCAGCAGGCCATTGCGTCCAAGGCGTTTGTCAAGACCCTCATGAAGCTGGCCAACGACTCGGCCGTCCACAAGAGCGTCAAGTCCAAGGTGCTTGAGGTCCTGGAGCAGCTGACGGACGAGTATAAAAAGGACCCTTCGTTGCGGCTAATTGAGGAGGCCTACGACGAACTGAGCAGGAAGAAGCCCGATCTCAAGGCCCCCGCCAAGCCCGAAAAACACAAAATCACCGAGCAGGAGCGCCAGCGAGAGGAGGAGGAGCTGCAGATGGTGCTGGCGCTTTCGCTGAGCGAAACAAACACCTCTGGCTCATTTCAGCAGCATCACCAGACCAACTCTCAGATCCAACCTCCTGTTAACAACTCTCATTTTGCCACGGACCCTCATCAGCAACAACAGCAGCAACAACAGCAGCACAACCAGCAGGATTACGGGCAGCAGTCCAACAACGCCAACACCAACAACAACGCTCCGGCAGTCGAGGACCCCACACCTACGGTGGCCACGGTGTCCCGAGTCAAGGCCCTGTATGACTTGAACGCCACAGAGCCCGGAGAACTGTCTTTCCGAAAGGGCGACATAATCACAGTGCTGGAGTCAGTGTTCCGAGACTGGTGGCGGGGATCTCTGCGGGGCCAGGTCGGTATCTTCCCACTCAACTACGTGATGCCTATAGCCGAACCCACTCCCGCGGAGATTGAAAAGGAGGCCCAGGAAGAGCTGTCTGTGTTCTCTCAGAGCAGAAATATTGAAAAGCTGCTGGCACTGCTGTCTTCGCAGGACGCTGCCCGGCTTAATCTCGCCGAAAATGAGGAGCTACAGTCCTTGTACCACTCCACCCTTGCCATCCGGCCCAAGCTGGTCAAGCTAATCGACAAGTATGCCCAGCGAAAGGACGACCTGGTGGAGCTCAACGAGAAATTTGTCAAGGCCCGAAGAGTGTATGATGACCTTATGGAGGCCAGCATGCCACAGTATGGAGGAGCTGCTGCAGCAGGTGGATATGCAGGTGGTGCACAGGGTGGAGCTCCTGCAGGATATCCTAGTGCTCAGGGCGCTCCCGCAGGTTATCCAGGTACTTCAGGTACTCCAGGTACTCCTGGTTACCCGCCTCAGTATCCTCCCCAGCAACAGCAACAACAACAGCAACAGCAGCAGCAACAGCCTCCTTATCCTGTTCAGCCTCTTCAGACACATCAACAGCAGCCACAGCAGCAGCAACAGCAAACTCCATACCCCGTGCATCAATACGATAACACACAGGCGCATGGAAGACAGGGATCTACTGACTCTGGAAGATCACAGCGCATGTATTCCCAGGGAGGCCAGGGAGGCCAGGGACCCACAGATCTGCATCCCGCGACCACCGGAGGAAGTGGGTACGGATTCCCTCCTCAATATGGGGGTGGAGCACCTTCTGCTCCCTCTGCTCCCCATGGAGGTGCTGGAGGCCCCGGAGGCCCCGGAGGCCCTTCTGCCCCTTCTGGAGCCCATTCTGGAGCCCCCTCTGCGCCTCCTAGCCATGCTCCGGCTGCTTCTGCTCCTCACGGCTACGGATCTCCTTCTACAGCTCATTCGGCCCCCTACGGAACCTCCCCCGCGGCCTCTGCGCCCGCCAGACACTCGCCATACATCAATGGCACGCCCACCAGCAACCTGGGACAGCAATCGCCGGTCACCAGCCAGTCGATCCCTATTCCCAACAACAACAACCTGGCTGCTCCACCGGTCCAGGGTCTGTACTCTCATGGCACCTCACCGCCTCCCCCGGTGCCCAATGCAGGCCCCCCTCCCAGTAATTTTTACGAGTAGTTAATGAGCATATGACAATACGAGTGTGCAGTACATACTTGTAGACGTATCCGTGGGTCAATCTGAGTAAGTGTGTGTTAAGGAAACGTCCACTTTTGACGATATCTGTAAGTACAATCAACGATAGAATACCGTTAGTGCCAACGATTCAAATGGGTCCATTGCGTGTAAGTACATTTGTTCCAATACCCTCGACATAGTGGGTCTGGTGACTACATCTCATTAGCTACAATACAATCAAATCATCAATAAATCAAGTGTCAGAGTTTGCACCCTTCTATATGTTGGCAACGCATCCGTCTACTCGTTCTGCTTGGCAAACTCGTTGATAAAGTCCTTGAGCAGCTCGGCGCTCTGGACAGTGACGGCGTTGTAGTTGGAGATTCGGATACCTCCGACGGATCGGTGGCCCTTGAGACCAGTCAGACCCTTGGCAGCCGCCTCCTTGAGGAACTTGTCCTCGAGACCCTCGCCATGGATGGTGAAGACAATGTTCATCTTGGACCGGTCGGCCACAGCAACAGGCAGGTTGTACAGCTTCTTGTGGGCATCCAGAGCGGCATACAGAGAAGCAGCCTTCTCTTCAGCCTCCTTCTGCTGCACCTTGAGGCCTCCCTTCTTGATGAGCTGCTCGCTGACCTTCTCAACGACGTAGACGGCGGGGATGGAGACAGTGTTGTAGGCAGAGTTGTTCTTAACAATGATTTCAAAGTCCATGAAGGAGGGGGTGACAGCAATGTCGAGCTTTCGCAGAGTAGCCACGTCAGCCTTGGGCAACAGGCTCTTCTTGATGATGTAGAACGACACACCGGCAATACCAATGTTCTTCTGGGCACCTCCGAAGATGAGACCGAACTTGGACACGTCCAGGACCTTGGACAGGATGTTGGAGGACATGTCGGCCACCAGCTCGACGCCCTCAGGAATCTTGGGGGTCTCGGGAAACTCCACACCGGCCACAGTCTCGTTGTCACAGTAGTAGACGTAAGCAGTGTCCTTGGGATCGGAGAAGGTCCAGGTGTCCTGGGGAGCAATGACGCCAAACTTGCCGTTGTCGGTGAACTTTCGAGAGTCGGAAACCACGTTCACGTCGGCTCCAAGTTTGATGGCCTCGTCGGTCGCCTTCTTGGACCAGTCGCCGGTGATGAAGTAGTCCACCTTGCCCTTCTTGCCAGTCTCCTTGGCGTAGGCTCCAAGAAGGTTGTAGACGATGGCAGCAAAGCCGCCAGAGCCTCCACCCTGGGCAAAGAACACCTCATGGGTGTCAGGCACGTCGAGCAGCTGCTTGAGGTTGTTCTTGGCGCCATTGATGATTTCAGTGGCCTGGCCAGATCGGTGCGAAATCTCGCCCAGACCGATTCCGAGACCCTGGTAGTTTACCATGCCGGCAGCGGCGTCCTCAATGACCTCTGAGGGAAGGAGAGCGGGTCCAGCTCCGTAGTAATTGGGGTGAGGTCGGGTCATTGTGTCGTAGTAGGTGGTGATTCTGTGGTTGTCCTGAGATCGAGATACTGCTGCACCTATAAAGTGACTGTAAAAAGTTTGATTCCCGAGTCAGAAGAGTCACAGTGTATTAGAGGAGGAGTGACTCTTGGTGGTTGGATTGTGCAGTTTGGAGAGGTTTGAAAACGAGAAATCGGCCCTTTATATATATATTCTGGAACACGTCTGGGTACAACCCACCACACACCTACATACTGGTTCACTGAGATGGTGACTGAGACGTTGCGTCATACATGGTGCATATATGAGCCGCAGTGTTGAGTGTGTACAGTTGGTGTGGGCATGTGTGTATACCAGAAGGAGTTGAATATATACAAATGGTAAAGAGAGAGGTTTAGTGATCGAAACTGATAGTAAGAGACATTGTTTTCTGATCGAATTCCAATGTATCGAATTACAGGGTTTTTATGGTGTTTTCGGGTGTGTTGTAATAATCGCTACGACTATGTACGGTTGGTCCAGGTTGGTAGTTATAGCAACAAATTACTTGAGTGGGGATAAGAATCTTTGCTCCTCTATTAAATGAATATGTATATGCAGAAAAAAATATAATTTCTAGATTCGTAAATATATTTTATACTGTTGGAAACAACTATTCTCAACTATTCTGTAAATACGTTTACTATTCTTTTCATTGCAATACTCGGACAATTAGACAGATAAATTCATTTATTGAAACACACAAGGACAATCATCGTTTACTTGTGGTTTACACAAGATTAAATAAAGCTGTTCAACTAATTACTTGTATTTGAAAAACAATATTGCAAACAGTGAAGTGCAAGAAAACATTGCCACGTTGCTGTCATCACATGAAATCACATATGCGGTTTCCTATACAAGTATTTCTCCCGCGCCTTATGTATCCCACACAACTCCTGCTTCTTTCCATTCACTAACAATTGGTTAACCATATCATACTCCATGCCCTCCTGCACAGAGCTGCACAACACTATTTCCTCCACACATCACTCACTCTCTCATGAAGAAGTTCACGAAACCCGCGCTTCCCGTGGGCCAATCAGGTCTACAGTTGCGTGGACTCATTACTGCGGACGAGCTCAAACGGCTGAAAAAAGAGCAGGCCGAAAAAGACGAGCGACGCAAGATCGAGGTGGAACTCGGCATCGAAAACAACAAGGAAGAGGGTCCGTTGAAAACCAAACCCGCCAAGAAAAAGACAGAGAAGAAACGGATAAAGCTGGCGTACGATGAGGAGGACGAGGAGGACGAGGCTCCGGTGCTCAAGAAGCGCACCGTTATCAAGAACCCCAAGGCAGACACTGGTGGGCTAAAAACCAAGGGCCAGGTGCAGAAGGAGAAGGGCAAGGAATGGGAAAACCGCATGGGACTGGTGGAGAAGCAAAAGGCGATGAAGCTAGAGCCGTTCGTGATCCGATTTGTGTTCTATGACGGCACCCAGGCGCCTGGACAGGTGACTGTCAAGAAGGGAGATCCGATCTGGCAGATTCTAGCTCGTGCACAGCGGATTAAAAAGGAGTTCCACAGACTCAGCGTCGACGATATGATGTTGGTGGTCAACAATCTCATCATTCCACACAACTATGAGCTATTCTGGTTTCTTGACAAGCCTGTGAGAACCAAGATGGGCAACCTGTTCGACCAGACAGAGGCCGACAGTACAACCAACACCAAGGTGGTGTCACGGCTGTGGTTTGAGCGCAACAAGCATGTGTTTCCTGCAACGCTATGGAAGGAGTTTGACCCAACTGTGGACTACAGTAAACAGGTTCTTAGGGATAAATGGGGAGAGGTTTTGTTTGAAGGTTAGCATGTGGAAAGACATCGGTAATTATTTATTTAGCAATAGCCAACGACAAGATTTGGTTCAACGAGGAATTCATTTTATGGAAGTAGAGCGTCCAGAGTGGGTTTCATGTATTTGTAGTGGTAGGGTCTGGCATGTTCTGCTTGGTGGGTCTATAGATCGGTATTAAAGTACCTGGAGCATTCTGAAGTCTTATATATTGAATAACGTCACATCCTGCTCTCAATGTTGCGCCCTGGGTTTTCAATTACTGTTAATACGATAAATATGCGTTTGACTATGAGTCCTCTAAAACTTGGGTCTTCGTTTTCTCGCGGTGAACTTGGAGTCATTGGCGACCCGCTTGCCCCGCTTCCGGCCCACCTCCTTCTTTCTCTGGATCCACTGCTTGGCGGTCTCCTCCTTCTTTCCCTTTCTCAGTGTCTTGCTTCGCTCCACGGCATCCATCTGCACTCCGTCCAGGTTGATATCGTTATCAGACATACCGGCAGACAGTACCAGGTAGTACTTTGTGTTCTTTTTGGACTCGGGATCGTCAACAACGATACCTCCGCCAAATCCAGTGGCCTTGGCAGCCTGCACAATCTGGTCTCGCTGGTTGTCGTTAGCAGGGTAGAACTGGCACACAGCCTTTCCTCCTCGTCTCAGAGAAGCGTAGAGAGTGGAGAAGAACTTCATGAGTCGCACCTTCGGGTTGGCACCGGCGGTATCGGCGTTACAGAGCCACTGAATGGCTGAAATCGAAATGGCAGCATCAAAAGTACCAGCTCTAAACGGAACCCCGTCCCCCATATCTGCCAGAAACAGATCCCCCTCAACCTCCTTGTCCAAAGCGGTAGCCAACATACTAGGGGCAATGTCCATACCAACCCAGTGATGTCCTTCCTCGGTCAGAACCTCGCCTGAGAGTCCAGATCCACATCCTACATCCAGAATGTAGCTGCCCTGGGGCACGTTGAGCAGTTCCAGAGTCCGCAGAGTCATCTTGGCCTGGATCTGCTGCACTCGCGACGAACTGGTGTATTTGGCGGCTTCATCGTCATTGTAGAAAATCTCCGGAGGTGCAATCTCTTCGGGTCGCGACATTTTTTGGGTGGCTTCGTACACTCGGTTAGGAAAATATATTTTTCTGCCTGCATAATATTTTCATGCATAATCACCTGAGAGTTTGTTATTAAGCGAGGCTCTCATGGACAGTATCAGAGGTGTGTAACGTGTCACGTGACATACGAGAGAGGGAACCTGTTTTTTCTGTAGCTTCATATCTAAAACAGTCTTTGTTGTAACTCACAGTTCTCTTCATTACTGTATTAAAGCTGGTCCTCCTCGGCAATAAGATCAGAACTATACACATGGACCTCAACTAAACTGGTTGAGGTAGCCTTAACAAAATGAAATATCTTCTAATGGGGTCAGTGGGGAAGTCTGACCAGAAATAAAGCATACATAGAAGTATTATGAGACCTATAATCTGAACCCAACAGATGGATGCTTCTCAGACTCGCCTAGTGCTCGGAACTTCTTGATGTGGTTATCAACAATAGCATCATAAAATATCATTGTTCTCAGCAGCTCAGACACTAAATAACAACAACACATGATATTAAGCGTTAGTCACTAACCATGAATACATTTTATCTTCTTGTGTCTCTCCGTCTTTATCTCCAAAAGCAAACATAAAGATTCGGATCACATGACATATATGACCAGTTATAAGGTCTCAGTGGTTTTTATTTTCTAACGGTTGCGGCCATATCCTGGTGAAAATACGGCTTCCCGTCCGATCAGCCATAGTCAAGCACCAGAGAGCCTAGTTAGTATTGTAGTGGGAGACCATACGAGAATCCTGGGTGCTGCAATCTTTTGGTTTCTTTTTTATATGCACATTTCTGAATGGGAGCGGAGCTTTGGTGCTCAGAAAAGGAGGAGATGAAACAGAAAAGATCAAATAGCTATTAGAGATTGATTTCAGATATATGTATTCTTTTCTTGACCCCACGAGGAGACTTGCAACAGTAATTCTCTATGACGTTCTGTGTGCGTCAATCTACCCCATTTTCCTCTTCTTGGGTGTGATCTCCGGGTCGGAGCTTTGACTGAATTCCATCTGGAGCCGCCTTACGCGGTCTTGTTTCCTTTTCTGTGCCTGTCTCAATTCTCTCTCCTCTACCGACCAGCGTTTCAGACACTCATTGAGATGCACTTTGTAGTACTCTTGGTTCTTGAGCCCTTCGGTGCAGATGAAGCAGGTCCATGTTGGTGGTCTATCGGGGTGCATTTGAGGAGCGTAATGCGGAGGGAATGCGATTAAAATAGTGCTGGAAGAAGTCGGACAACTGGTGCGAAAGGCTGGGATGATGCTGAGAGATGAATACGCTTGTCCTTGACACAGAGAAGCTGAAAAGTACAGTAACATCGAAGAAGCTGTTAACCTATGCAAATCAGCCCCAAAGTATAAGAGCCCTGTATCCATGTGACCATTGTGTGTCATAGCAATATCGGAGTGTACGTACTTCTGTACGAACCGTATCACCGACGAACCATTCCATTGTCACTCAGACAAAGTCCCGAAACAATCTAGGACATGGTCTGCAACGAGATCCTGGTGTATTCGTCTCATGCAAAACTCACATAACTTGGTGTTTGACGGGTGGTGGTGATGGAGGCGGCGGTGAAGGAGTTGGAGATGATGGAGGGGGAGGCGACGGAGGTGGTGATGATGGCGGAGGAGACGTTATCATGGGCGGAATTTGGATGGGGAAGAACAGTCAAGAGGGCTTGTTGAATACTTATACTGTATAGATTCATATTGCCTCATGGTGGTCGGTGAAGAGAGCGTCAGGAGAGTGTGAGCAATGAGGCTAGTGTGTGTATGGAATACTTCTCCGGAAGAGAATACGTGCAAGTTTTTGTCATTATTTCATTCAGATCAACAATAAATTAGTTCAGAAACTTGAACAGATCACTGGGGCGGCTTGTCAGTGCACTGTTTATAATGCTTCTGCATCTCCTGGGGAGAAAAGAAGGACTTCATGCAACGGGGACAGTGGGATAACATGTTGGTGAGAATGGGGAGAAGTGAGGATAGAGGGCTAAAGGGGGTTTTTTCAGGTATAAATAAATAATTGTCAAGGACTTTTGGGGCTGGGTGGAATGGGGCCGATCTAAGTTGTTTGTAGTAGACAGGTCGAAACGACGTTTATGGAGAGACCAGGTTGCATGAGTCAAGGCCCATCATGTGACTTAGGTGGCTATCCCGTATATATTATTGAACAAAAATACCAATACTTGTATCTGGTCATGAGATGAGTTGTCAAAGGTCACTTTGGTTCACGTTATATGTCCCTACCGATTGATGGTTCTGGTGTCGTACGAGTACTTGGCACATAACGGAGAGGCAGTACAGTACATGAAAAAAGATGCAGAAATGGAGGGGTAAAACGAGACCCATCATGAAATGTGACCCATACTGCTATTATATTGAAGTCAGTCCATTGAGGGACATTCCACGTGAATCTGGCATGGACGGTACGATACATACAAACGGAACGACCTGATACGACAATCACAAGTGTTAAAACAGTACATACCATTCGATACAATACAATCAGCTGCTACAAGTACTATCATTCAGTCAGATAAACTAATCCCTATCGATTCGCCTCAATTGGACTTTCTGCGGGCTTCCTGAGATCTTTGTTGTCAAAGACTGCTCAGACATGGGTTTTGCTAGGTGATACCTCATGGGTCTGTCTATGGCGATAAAAATAAACCTCTGAAACCAATCCAAGTTTCAACGCGTCTCTTGTAAACCTGCTCCTTGCAGGTCTTCTGGTGTTTCTTCAACTCGTTGTTGCCCAGAAACTCGGCAACGTGGACATCTGACGAAACCAGCATTCATAGTGGCTGTAATGGTGCTTAGGGTCAAGTCAGGTCTCAAAACACAATTAAATAGTGACGGTGGTTCGTTTGGGGCGTCTACGGTGAGAACAATACAAACCGGGCACTGTACACAGACTTGCAGTATCATGCATACCGAGTGCGTCTGAAATGCACACCATACTATGGAACAGACCACAACCAACAGATTACTGGCTTAAAAATACGGAATAAATCGATTTCTATGTATATATTTACAGACCAGCCCCATTATACCAACAAGCTACGTCGCACCAAAACAACCAAAATCAAACTTGTAATAAATATGTTCCATCGTCTGTTGCAATATGTTCCATCGACTCGAACGCTCAGTTGCTGTTCTTGCACTTGTCATAGTGCTTGAACATCTTGTCGTAGCTCGAGTATCGTCTGTCGCATCGAGGACATCTTACGTAATCCATGTTGGTGTGATGTGAGTGATTGTAGTTGGTGTGGGTGGACAAGGAGAGAGCACAGCGGTTGTATTTATATTATATCTGGCACAAGAGCCCCAGCGGAAACTGTCGAACGTTCTTGGACGTACTTCTGCAGCAAGTCTTTTGGGGTCGGACAAGGACTTCACCCATATGATGAGGTGGACGCGATACGAAAATAACAAAATAACAGACATACGAAAGCAGTTGTATTATATTTGCACATGTTTTTCACAAACTACACTTTCCCACAAAGTATGTACAAGTACATACGATACGGTAGCTAGTTTATATTTTATACTCCAACTAGATGCTCATCCAACTTTTGGACCATGGGCACTGTCAATCACTGTAATCAGGAGACACGTCAAGAATCTGATTATTGAGAGTCCAAGCAGTACCTTCTCGAAGCTTCAAGCGCTCCAGACACAGCCGGTAATGACGCTCCTTCTTGTCGTCCTTGGAGAAGCACCGTTGGCAAATGGGACACATGGCGTTCTTACCGGAAGACATGATGTAAGCGATAATAGGGTGCGAGTACGATATCTGTATGCGAGACGAAGGTGAAATGACGATGGGAAAACCCCGTTTGTTTATTTATAGACAGATGTGACCAGGAAAGATGGGGCTTGTGAGTGTAGACAAGGACTCTACAATGTGTTGTAGTTCTCGCTTGGTTGCAGCTCTGAGACAAACAATATGAGCCCATGACAACGGATCTCACCTGAAGATATTTGGGGCATCTTGAACGGTGGCCCTTTGAGATATTATTTGAGACGAACAAGAAGAATACCGCTCGCTTGTTGACCCCACCCATGCACACAACCAGGGGTAAGGGGGCAACCGGTAAACAAAGGTGATCGTCTCGAAAATTCTGAAAATATCGAAGTCACTGGCAATATCGGGAATGTCGACCATTTCGCTGAATTCCGGCATACAATACTGCCCAGGAGTCTGAAACAGTTGCATCGACAAGTCTCGTTGTACATGTGTTCACGCGTCCATATCATTTTACTAAAGATACTGGTACAAGTATCATACTTGTATGTACTGTGGCTACACTCAAGATCGACCATGTATCAGCGATGCCCGCATGTTAGCTTCTCTATGCATATGCATCTGGTCAATCCACCTGAGCTCTCCCCCCGCCCACCAGCTATCATCGATACTTTCGTGGTCTATAATTCATCTATGTACATAGAACCCAACATTAGTGAAAGTCCTCAGTTGGCCTCACGACGACCCCAAGAGCTCGGTTCAGCCAGTGAGTCGTCACCAGGCACGCACCTAGGGCAACTGGCATGCCATCTATGGCACCTAGGGCTTACTTGGTCATCTCCATATAATACTAGACTCAGTATCAGCCAATGCACAGCTCCAATGCTCAGCCAGTCGACCTGCAGTGAGACTCTCATCCCTTCATCAACGTCTTCAACCCCTGTACCGACGTATCCTTCTTCTTACTCTTCAGCTCTCCCACCAGCGATGTCGGCTCTCCGACCGGATCCACCATAATCTTATACGCCTTCTGGGCCTGAGCCAGGTTAGAAGCCTTGTAGATTCTCGACAGTTCTCCAGAAGTCATTTTGAGCCGCGAAATCCACAACTTGGCATGATCCATATCAATGTTGTCCACGAACGACTTGAGTTCCGCAGCTCGCAGCTTCAGAAACTGCTCCTCCGTCAACTCAATCGGCGTCTGAGTCTCCAGAGCCTTCTGAGCATGCTTCATGAGCACGGCCACGTCCGCAGATTGACGCATGTAGAGACTCTTGTCCACCAGTCGCTTGAGAAACTTCTTTTGGGAGTCAGTGGCAGGCCTCGATCTCAGCTTCTGCGCCCAGATCCGCATCTCAGGAAGGTATTTGCTGTTCTCCAGCGTTTCTGCAGCCGCATCGAACGCGTCCTTCTTGGAATCAAACACCTTCTCCATGAGGGTACCTGTCTTGCCGAAAAAGTTCCATCGCTTACCGTCGCCAAAAACGGGAACTCCCATGGTCACCAGACTGGCCTTGACCTTGGATTCACCGTCAATCATACTGTCCGAGTCCGGAATAATGGTCAAACGAACACACGTGCCTCTACTACCCTTGTCGAGAGCCCAGGAGTTCGGGGTAAGATGCATCCAGTTGTCAGGATTGGCAAACCCTTCTCCGTACTCTCCTTCCTCCACTTCCACGTCCTGGATTTCTCGTCCAAAGTCGAGAAAGTCCTGGAGGGAAGAAAACGTTGTAATCTCCACATGATCAGGGTCCTTAGTCTTCTTCTTCTCCTCCAGAAGTTCCTCAAACGATGCTCTGTCACAGTGGTGGCCTGAAGGAAGTCCCAAAAGACTCGGAGCAGTCACCATACCTGCCGGAACTGTCCCCACAAGATCAACCACCGCGGTGTGGTCTTTCCCGGGATGTAAGCGCAGACCTCGTCCGATCATCTGCATCATCAGACCCTTGGACTTTGTAGGGCGGTTCAGAATGACCAGATCAATGTTGGGAATGTCTGTGCCCTCAGTAAAGACGCCACAGTTGAACAGTACCGGTATATCACCGCTTTTGAACTCATCAATGATGGCCTGACGAGTTTTCGGTTTGGTGGTGCCTGTAACTCCTTCAGCATTGATCCCCTGGGATCGGAACAGCTCCACCAGATCCCTGACGTGCTGAACATCAACGCAAAACACAATGGTCGACTTGTAGCCGTGTTTCGCGGTCATATTCTGCCACGTTCGGAACACCAGACTGTTCATTCTGTCCGTGTTGACCACCTTGCTAAGCGACGACGTCTTGAAGTCGCCTGCGGCACCAATCTCCACCTCGGTCAGGTCAGCCATGGAAATCACAGTCGAAAACTTGACACTAGACAGCCAGCCGTCGTTGATCATGTCCATAAACGACAAGTCATAGACCACGTGATCAAACGCCTTAGTAAGGGACTTTGTGTCTGTTCGAAACAGTGTAGCCGTAAAACCGATCACCGCGACATCGCTTTTGGCCTTGCTAGCCTTGAAATGCTGAATGATGTTGAGATACGACTGACTGGCGGCATGGTGTGCTTCGTCAATGATAATGGCCTTGAAATCAGTAGGATCCAGCTGCTCCAAACGCTTGCCCTGCAGTGTTTGGACGCCTGCAACCACCACGTCTGCCGAGGGATCAGCCACAGTCGTTCCCATTTCAATCTCGACCTTCAGATCTGGATTGAACCGTGAAATCTGATTTTGCGCCTGAGTAGCGAGCTCCTTTCGATGGGTAAGAATCAGTACTTTGTTACCCGTGTTCTTGGCCGCAATCTGGTTCAGCAGATTCGCGAAGATCACCGTCTTGCCTCCTCCTGTGGCCAGCGAGACGGCGATTCGTCGTTTACCGGCATTCAATGCGTCCAAACATGCCGAAATGCATTCTTTCTGGTACTTTCGCAAGTCTGGCGGTGTCGAGGGAGTTTGTAAATGGCGTAGAAACACTCCCGGAGGCCGGAAATGGCGTATACTCCGAAATAATTGCATAGTCTTGGACGAGATAGAGTTTCATGCTGGACCTGAAAGCTACGAGTACTTGGAGATGCTTACTAAGAAGGATGAAGTAGTGTAGGGTAATAGGAAAACACATAATGTGCTCTTATCGGTGAATGTTAGCTCAAACTTGTGGTCTCCGTGTTTATTCTTGATTCAAGCGTAGTAAGAAACCTGTGTTGGACGGGGAAAACGAGCTTTCTGTTACGCTTAACAAAAGAGTCTCTAGAATTGAGTCCATCTCTAATTGAGTAGTTAGACGTAGCACAGGAGGTTAGATGTCTCCTCTTAGAGACATCACCTCCGTACCAAATGTATATATATCATACGTTTACATTTATATATATATATATTTCGAGAGGACATAAGTGTTATATCATTAGTTCCATATCCCGGGCTGAAAGTAACAGAGCACACGAATCTGATGCAGGCCATGGTGATGATTTCGACACCTGTAATGAAGACGAAGAAGCAGTAGTCGGATTTGGCGTCTTGTGAGACGGTCGTCGAGAGAATACTTCAACAACTGATCTATATCTCTCACAGATACGTCAAACACACCGGGTAGCACGCCGAGACACTTCAATCTACAAGATCGTACTCATACAGTAACTCCCGCAACAGTGTGACGACTACTTAAGACTTCAATATGATTCCGTGTATTAGTTTGGACTGACGGGAACACAGCTTCCTGCGGTTTGCTTACAGCTTGGAAACATCCAAGCCCAACACCACATCATCCTTTCTATCTCTCAACAGCCGTCTCAACACCTTTCCAGAAGGGTTCCTAGGCACGGCCTCAACCACCACGATTCCGCCATGCAGATTCTTGTACTTGGGCATCTGGCTGTTGAGTGACTTGAGAATACCCACAGCATCAGCTTTCGGATCTCTCAGAACCACAAAAGCCCGGGGAGACTCTGTGCCTTTATCCACGTCCATAACACCAATAACAGCACAGTCAGCAACCAGAGGATTGGCCAATAACGCGTCTTCCAGCTCAGCAGGAGCCACCTGTTTTCCCATACTTTTGATAAGCTCCTTGGTACGGTCCACAATCATTACTCTGCCCTGCAGATCAAAGAAACCAACGTCTCCAGTTCGCAACCATCGTTTCTTGTACCAGGGCATGTCGGGAGTCCAGTCAGAAGCCTCTTCGAACGCGTCTGCGTTAGCAGAGGGGTTCTTGTGATATCCGTCCATCACGTGAGGTCCTCGAATGAGAATCTCGCCCGTGGGAAGTCCCCCAGCCTTGATAGCAGCATCTAGAGACGCCGGATCAACGTCACAAGCAGGTTGGTCAACTCCCTCAGACACCACTCGAGCTTCAGTGTTTGACACAAGTTTTCCAACCGATCTAATATGAGCCACGGGGACTTCGGGGTCGAACAAAGTACACACAGGCGACGTCTCGGTCATGCCCCAGCCCTGGATTACCCGCAGGGTACCGTACTCGGACACTCCATCTTTTCGGCCGGTGATTCGTTCCAGAAACTCTTCTGTGGCTTTGACACCGAGAGGAGCAGCTCCCGAGAGAACAGTGGTCAGGTTGCGTTTCAGATCTGGCACATATTTCTGCGTAAACGGATGTTTAGCCAACAAAATGATGATGGGGGGTACCAGTGGGAAGATGTTTACCTTGTACTTGACAGCAGCATCCAGGAACTCGATGAAATCAAAACCTTTATGGAACACAGCAGCAGTGCCTCTGTGGACTCCAAACACCAGAAACTGGGCTAGTCCATAGAGGTGCGACACGGGAATAATAGCGGAGGCCACCTGATTTGTTTTCAACAGAGCATTGGAACTCTTGGTGCTCATGATGGCGTTGGATGTGATATTTCCATGTGTGATTCTGACAGCCTTGAATAGTCCTCCTGAGGTTCCAGAAGACATGGCCAGGTATGCTACTCGAGTGATACTCTCTTTGGGACGCAGCTGGAGTCTGTTTGCAAACTGGAAGTTGGCTTGAGCCAGAGGCACTCTCTCACTATCTTCAATCAATTGTTCAAGAGATAAAATGGTTGGATTTGTCTTGGAAACAATGATAGCGTCTTCCAGCAACTGTTTGAATGGCTCAGAGTAAACAACCATCTTTGGAACAACAAGCTGGAGCTGATGAGCAAACTCCTGGACCGTGTATGAGCAACTTGCAGGCGATAGGGTAGCACCAGCATCCAGAGCTGCCCAATGAACAGGACCTGCCCAAATACAGTTGGGAAAGAGAGTGATGAAAACGTCGCCCATGGACGGATCAGAGACATTGTCACGAGCGTTTCCAAGTCCGTGCTGCCGGAAAATGGTCAGAAAGTCATTTGACATTTTCCACAGCTGCCGCTGACTTAGCTGTTCGCCGGTAGCCGCATCAATGAAGAACGGAGTGGTATCATTGACGAACGGGGAAGTCCGGATAAAGTCGGGAATTGTTCCGTCAAAGAACTCCCTGTCGTCAATTGGCTGGTTGAGAGAGGTGTGGATGATCATGGCGGGTGGTTTCGGAGCTACTTTGGCTCTGTCTGGTCTTATATACTAGGTCTGAGGGGTAAGAGGGGAACGTCTAAAAGATGAGTTATCCTGTAGGCTGAAATGCCACCTGGGGAGTAGGTGTTTATAAAGAAATAGTAAAACATGGTAATTGACATAAACAACAGCATTGTGGACCCCGTTATATAATTGACACATTTATATAGCTTTCATGGCGTAGTACATATTGGTATATGTCACAGCATACTCAATGATTAGTGAACATGACAAGGGTCTGTTCTACAACATACATGGCAGGGCAAAAGTCAATGAGTTAAACTAGTGCCAATTATCGAGTGGCTAGACCACCTGAACTGTGTAACACGACAATTTCAACTCCTTACAATACTGTTTGAGCACTTGTACATCTACTCCTCACACTATGGCAGATTTTGTGGGGTAGCTGCAAGGGCGGAGATGTCTGCTAGCGCGGAAAGGGCGTATTCTGAGAGGTATTGTGGGAACATGTAAGTATAAGTAAATAAATTTGTTTAGAATCCGATACTGATGAAAACTGTTTTTCAATATCTCAGATCTGACGTTTGTGAAACCAGTTAGAAGGGGCTGATTCAAGACCCTACTTGTAGTGCATCTCGTATGGTATGTAGTGTACTGCAAGGAACTATAATTCAGACACTAGAACATCAATGATGGTGTTGTGTTGTTCCAAGTACGTTTTCTAGACAGAAACGAAATCAAGATGCAATATTTTTCAAGCAATCAACTTTTTTTCTTCTTTCAATTTTTCCATTTTCTCCATTTTTCTCCGATTTCTCCGATTTTCCATTTTCTCCGATTTTCCATATTCTCCAATTTTCCATTTTCTCCAATTTCCATAAAATACAAAGAAGACAGATGCGGAAAGAATTGCAGCTCTGCATGCTTCTGTGCTTCTACAGCTGCCAGAACCAAGACAGACAACAATGGCCAGCTTCCATTGTACTTGTACTATTGTCTGATTCTGTTAGATGATACTTCTGATTTGCTCTGATAATTTTTCCATGATCCGTCGACTTTTGCAGCAAGCCGCCGCCGGTGACTAAAAATACCACCGTTGGAATGCTCTCATTCCGGAGAATACGAAAGTGGGCTTTATTTGGCCATTGGTCCATTCCTTTCTGCAGTATTGGTTGATCTGTGTTTCGGATCATGCATGCAATGCATTGATATAACTACTGTACCGTATCGATATCACAGGCAAAACCAATGATACAACCAAGGACCATGTACGGTGCAAATCGTCGCACCTGACGTGCCAACTGTCTCAGGCCCAACGAAATGTCTCAAGAGCGCAATTTTCGACGCAGGGAGGCAAATTTATCCGAGCCAACCTTGCTCCAGGTGGAGATACGCTTTGGGACGGAGATTGCTGCTGTGGAGAGAATTTCACAAGAGCTTGTACGGGATTTCGCTCGGGGAATGACCCTGTGGGGGTCACCCGTACTGTACTATGAAACACCTTTATCCAATGCAGCCAACAACGTCATGGGCCGTGATATAGACATATCCAGCATAGACATTTCCAGCATAGAGTCTTGAAGAGGGAGGAAAAGCGAGTCTTTTCAGTAAAAGTACCAACCGGTACATACTATGATAGGAATGAGGCTGAAGACTTGAGACAAGTTTGGCCTGAAGGCTCCAATGGCACCATTCTCAAATGCCGACAATCTCTCTTCCTCATTACCGCGCTTTAATAGCGAGGAGCTATTAGTTTGATTTCATCCAAACCCCGCGGGACGTATTGGCGGGCCAACCAAAAAAAGAGTCTTCATTTAGCGCGAAAAAAACAAGAGGTTGAAGGCAATATTTCTGCTCAATTAGACGACACATGATCTCTTGTCCAACAGCAATACGGTTCCTGGACGCCGCGGGTCACGTGAAGGGTATCCCCGGCTTGTGGATCTCTGGACACCTGTGGATCTATCGACCCTATGGACTTAGCTGGTCTGTGATCATGCGATGAGGCCAAGACTTTTGTGCAGATGAATCATGTGTCTGGGTGAGACTTGGGTCGGTCTTGTAGCAAGGCTGGCGGGGCGCCACACCGACGGCGAGGAAGGGGGGGTTCTCGTTGACTCCGGCCTCCGACTGCGAGCTGTGAAATCGCGCGACCGTTCGCTGGTGCCTTACAGATGCATCTAAAAAAAGCCTCGTTGTTGCTGGGTAAGTCAAACCTCGGTAAGCACGATGGGCTGCCCAGAGAGAGCGAGTGCACTGCAGCCCGGAAGGTTGACTGAAGAAATCTTATACCGTTTATCTTCTTTAATTTTTTTGTCAGCGCCTTTAAACTCGGCGGCTTAATTAGTGACCGTTTTGGGCACCTAAAATGGCGCACGAGGTTATTGTTGAGGTCAGTAGGTGTGAGAGAGTCTGAGGGCGGGGGCCGGACAAGTGCTCACTTATATAGTTGTCTCCCATGACACGGGTCTGGTAACACGCCGGCGCCTGACACGGCTCAGATTTGGTTCAGCTTGGCACAATTTGGTTTCAAGCTTGCACTTTAGCAGTTTGTACACTGGCAGCAAGTTTGAATTTCAGTGCATGAGAACTCTATGTATAAGATGCAAATGACGCACGGCCCTACATATAGCGGGGTCTATCGTGGCGACGGGGCAAAAAGGATACAAGTCGTTCTTACAAGACACTCTCCGCACACACAATGGCCACACTCCACCCCGAAGACGCCGCAGGACGGCCCGTGCGACGACGACCTCGTCCCTCCAGTTCGGGCGGCTCCAGATCGCCGTCCACCAAACGACACTCGATAGTGCGGGAGCATCTCGGAGAAGAGCTCAATGTGCCCGACGGCCAGGAAATGGACCTGGGCCAGGTCAACAAGAACCTCAATGCCGCATACGCCAAGGCCGAGAAGGACTCGGACGACGAGAAGGAAAAGAAGGAGGAGGGCGTGGTGGACGAGCTGCCAGAGAAGTATTCCTACCCTCGATTCTCAAAGAACAACCGACGCTACAGATTCACCGACATCAAGTTCAAGCCAACACCGTCGATTCTCGACAAGTTCGCCCACAAGGACTCGGAGTTCTTTGGCTTCTACACCCTGCTGTGGATGGTGTTTGCCTTCTGCGTCTTCCGAACCGGCCTGCTCAACTACACAAACGAAGGCATCCTGTTCCGGGGCCAGATTTTCGCCATTCTCAGCAAAGATCTCTGGAAAGTCGCATTGGTCGATCTGGGCATGTACCTGACCACCTATCTGTCTGTGTTTCTGCAATTGGCCGTCAAGCACGGTCTGGTCGACTGGAACTCGTTTGGCTGGATCATCCAGAACGTGCACCAGACCCTGTTCCTCTTCTTCTACCTTTGGGTCGCCAAGTCGAGTAACCTGCCTTGGATCGGTAACATCTTCATTGTGCTTCATGCCTTTGTCATGCTCATGAAACAACACTCGTACGCCTTCTACAATGGCTACCTATGGACTGTCGAGGACGAGCTCTCCCACGCAAAGCAGCGTCTCACCGAAGACATTCCTGTTTCAGAGAAGGAGGATCTCAAGCTGGACATCGAGTTCTGCGAGACAGAGCTCAAGGTCCAATCCAGACACACCCCTTTCCCCACCAACATCACCTTTTCTAACTACTTCTGGTACTCCATGTTCCCAACGCTCGTCTACGAAATTGAGTTCCCTCGAACCCCCCGAATCAAGTGGACATACGTGCTGGAGAAGGTCGCCGCAGTCTTTGGCGTCTTCTTCCTTATGATCTGGGTCGCAGAGTCGTACCTGTATCCCCCTGTGGTGGCTGTTATTCAAATGCGAGACGAACCCTTCTGGAACAAGGTCCGAATCTATCCCATTTTCCTGTCGGACATTCTGCTGCCCTTTGTCATTGAGTACATGCTTGTTTTCTACATCATCTGGGACGCCATTCTCAACGGCATTGCCGAGCTCACTCGCTTCGCCGACAGAGACTTTTATGGCCCCTGGTGGAACTGTACCAGCTGGGAGCAGTTTAGCCGAGAATGGAACATTCCTGTCTACCAGTTCCTCAAGCGACACGTCTACCACTCGTCCATCTCTGCTTTCAAGTTCTCCAAGGGCGCAGCTACCCTCACCACCTTCTTGCTGTCTTCTCTTGTCCACGAGCTGGTCATGTTTGCCATCTTTAAGAAGTTCCGAGGATACCTGCTGTTGCTGCAGATGACCCAGCTGCCCCTGGCCATGCTGCAGAAAACCAAATGGATCCAGGACAGACCCGTTTTTGGCAACGCTTTCTTCTGGTTCTCGCTCATGATCGGACCTTCTCTCATGTGTTCCATGTACCTCCTCTTCTAAGCACAGTCGCTTCACCACTTGTGCCTATAGAATGTCAACCACTGTCAACTTCTTGTATGGCCATCAACTATGAACAAGTCAGTTGACAGCTACAATGCTTCCACTGAAGTTATCCTCCCCCACTGTATTTTATTCTTAACACTGATCATCTACCTAACGAGACACTGTAGAGCCACTGGTATTGTATGAAACTTCGCCAAGAGATGCCGACGATGAAAGTCTGAGTTTAAGAAAATCAAAAAGGGGTAAAAAAAACGGTTTACGCCCTCCGAGCCGATACTACGGAGATATCGGAGTTACAGACACTTTGGGAGCAAAGTCTGCAATACAAGCCCACGGAACTAGAGGTGGGTCGTCAGTAAAGGCCGACGATACTCAGCTGGCTGCATAACTTCCGGATTGAAAGAGAGCCAGTCTTTCGAACCTCGGCTCAGAAAAGAAGAGAAGGAAGGTACAAACATCATACGATATAGAGTCTTTTTAGCACGGCGGTCAGTTGGATTGCAAAGTGGAAGGGCAAGAGTACTGCTGCCTTGTTTAATTGGTATCCACTATGCATTTTGCTTTTTGCAAGTGGAACTGGGAGAACTTGTAGCCTTGGGTTGATGCGGTCGGAGATTAGAGTTGATCTGAAAAATAAAAAATAAAAAAACGAGATGCGGATTGTGGAAGCTGTAGAGGATATGTGACTACAAGAGTAGTATCTACGAGTGTGTACTTGCTGCGAAAGTTGATTTCGAACGAACCAGCTTCATTGACTAAACAGTGATGATTTTCGAGACAGCGGAAAACTTCAAGCCAGTATGCAGCATTTAGGCTCATCGGCACCTATTTTAGCCGCAACTAGCCGCTTCTTTCTGTAACATACGATGATTTGTCAGGTACAGTACAGTACCGTTTTAAGCACCTGAACTAGCGGTGGCCTACGTGCACATGCTCGTATTGTAGTACCGAGTTAAAGATTGTTTTGGAGTCTAGAGTTGTATTTGTCATTGTTTTATGGAAGTGTGTCTAGTTATAGCTGTTCCACAGCATGAGAGATGTCTTCGTCATACCCAGCGGTATGCTCAACGGTACCCGTTTGTTCCACAGCAAGAGAGGTGTGTTCGCCATGGCCAGCAGTATGTTCAACGGTACCCGTTTGATTCGAGCTTTCCGAATGTTCTCTATTGGGATCAATGTACTTGCATCATGTACCGAGGGAAGGCGGTGATCTGAGTTGAGTTCGAGTATGGACGCGGGCTGACTTGTCTCGGGGGAGCCTTTGGAACTGCCGCGTACTTGTTGCTTCAGATCTCTCCACTGCAATTGGGGAACCAGTACTAGTCAACGAAGTGGTGACAGTTAGGCTGTTCCTGGAAAGTGACAACCATACGCATTCTTCACATTATTTCAGTTGAATATCACCTTCCAGTACACCACCATCAATCGTGTAATTCTGGTTTCGCTGAGTACAACGCGATGGACTTGGAAGTTGTCAATTGACCCATCACCAATAATTGTCTGGTACATGGTCGCAGATGTAGTCAACGAATTTGAAGCGGAAAGGACCCATATCCGTGATTATTTCGTTCCACCAATGATATCGTAAGTCATGCGAATCTTGCCTGTCACTTTCCATCCATGGTCAGGCTTCTGATAAGTATGTCAGCAGCTTTAATAACTCCCTTCAACCTCACGAGCTTGTCAAAGACAACGGGTACCCGTTTCAACAGCTGTTTTTGGTCTTGAATCTGGTACTCTGGCGAGCCGTAAGCGTGCATAATAATCTTGCTGATAAGTTCGTTCTCGTCTTCGTCGTCGTCATAATCGCCATTATCATTGCCCTGGATACCTATGTCCATGGGGAAGGCGATTCTCCATTCTAGAGTGACAGTCACGTGGGGAGATTTGAATTGGGCAGTTGGGAGCGAATAAGACGGTGTAAAGGACGCGCTCTGAAGGCTCGACAGACTATCAAAGGCTCTGTACCGTGCTATAGACAGCTCATCGTACCGAGCCAATCCTGCAAACAATGCGACGACATTTCTGCGGTTGCAGCACCTCTGAACAAATGGCTTCAGCACAGGGATGTCCGCATCTTCAACTCGCAGTCCGGTGACCTTCTCCATGCTTTTGGTCAGCACAACTCGGCATTGAAATGAGTGTCCTGAAACGTGAATGATGGAAACATGGTGACTTTCACCCGTCCAGTAGGAGTCGCCAATCGACAATTTCAGGGTATGGAAAGCCGTCTGTAATTGGCGATTCGAGGTGATTTCCTTGTTCAGCTGGGCTCCAATTTCTCCTTCCAGTTGCTGAGTATCTATCTTGTCGTTGTTGCTGGTGAGCAGCTGCTGTACGAGCTCCTGAGCGTCGTTTTCGGCACTCTGAGAGCTTTCTAGCTTGCGTATCTCCTCTTCAAGAGCAGCCACGCGCTTTCGATACAGCTGGACGCGTTGCAATAAGCCCTTTTGTGTCGTCATGAAGTGTGGAACTGAAGTCACAAGAAATCAAGACACGCGTGGCATGATGCATGAAATATGCACAACACCAGATTTATATAATTTCCGTCTAAAATTTGTAGAAATGCCAAACTACGAGAGTAGCCATTAATTGGTGATAAACAACCTGTAATCTGGTTCAAAATACCCCTCTCTCTGTCTGCTTGTAGTATGTCATAATACTACCCATTCTTCCGATTTTCCCCCATCCAATTCACTTGATAAGCAATAAGCAATAAACAACAAAAAAACAATGCAATAAATAGATACATACCGGGGGCTCTCTACTTTCCGGTCAACTTCCAACCTCTTCCCACAGGGGTACTGAAACATTCACAGTGGTAGCCTCCATAGAGATCCTTCAGAATCCATTCGAAAGAAACGCCCTTGAAGCCCTTCCAGCGGTTGCTATTAGCACTCCACTTCTTCTCCATCTGCTCCTCTAACATTTCCTGGTACGACTGCTTTTTGAGCATGTTTATAAACCATGTTCGTGCAGAGGCACCCAGTTTCAGAAACACACCCACGTTAGGCACACAGACATTGTACATTTGAGCCTCTTGAGGATTCATGGTCAGAAACCCGCTCTTGACGAGAGTAGAAGCATTGGGAAGTTCATCGAAGCCAAACTCCACCCGACTTGGATGGGACAATAAAAGGATCTTGAATTCCTCCAGAGCCTTCTTCTGATTTGCCACCTTGCACTCTTGTATGCTCTGATCCAGCAGCTTGTAGAACTTGTCTGCCTCCATTAGAAGCACGCCTTCATCAACGTTATTGACTGCCACTTTTCGCAGTAGTCCTGCCTCGACGGCGTCGTTCACCCGTCTCAAGACCAACGTAGGCTCTCTCAGGCTGTATGCGTGCACATGGGTCATCTTGACTAGAGGAGGCACGTTCTGACGAGCTTCATAAGTAGGAGCTGTGTACGCCTTTCCGATTGGAATCTCCTCGTACATGTTATCCAGAATCTCTCTCACCACCTGCACAATGTCGTCTCCCAGACTGTCCTGCTTCTCCTGGTTCTTCCACTTGAGATCGCTCTTGAGAGACGTCACTGGCAGCTTCTCCTGTTGGTTTGCCTTCAGGTAGTCGGCCTTTTGTTTTTCGAGCTGGTTGATGAACGCCGCCTGGCCGGGCATTAGAGGCGGCTCCTTGGCCCGTCGTTTGCCCACTCTATAAGACGTCGATGCCGTGAACTTCATGTTGTGTGTGTGTTGATATGAGGGTGCGTGTAAGATGTGTGTTGAGATACGGTGAGGTGCATGAGCAGAACGGTGGCAAATCAGGACATGAGATGTGACAGAGAGGCAGTCAAATTGCAGTGTCGGTCTTGGTGTCTTTGTGTCTGTGTGTGGTACTCGCTGGCTTCTTCTCATGAGGGCTGGATCAGACTCAGTTATTTTGGAATCTGGTCACATGACTGCATAAACTTTAAATTCTGCCGAACGCAAAAATCATCACTCCTTCACTATGCATGAAATCCTATCACCGTGTGTACATCACCACTTTACACCACGCAAAACCACATAAAAACAGCACAGATGGACAACCCAGCGTGAGTATAACGAGAAAAGCGGGATTTGGGGAGGATGATCAAACGAGACGGACCAAATGATGGCTGGAATACGTGATGGATGATGCGATTGTGAAGTGATTTGTGGAACCCAAGAATGAACGGTGTGCGACAAGCAGACACTGTTATTGTTTGGACCCGAACGGAGAGTTGTGACAGCGTTAAGTGAAGGGATTGACTTTTTGAGAAGCTGTGAATGCCTTAATCAACTTCTTTACTAGGTTAATAGTCTCATGTAACAGTCAGATGAAAGCATGACTGCCCAAGACGCACGCCCGCAATCACTCCTACCACTCCGAACGACATCCCTAACATGGCACTTCGCGAACGGCACTGTGAGCACGGTATCTTGGTTGTAACGTTCACTGCGGATTGTCTCACGATTCATGACACACGAGCATGAAACAATAAGCAAGATGAATGGTACAAACATCAGCAAACAGCAGGATGCTTGACTGGCGGTCACACAGACATATATGGGGGACAGTTATACCACCGTCTCCCTAGTTTCGCCATTGTTCAACATGCCTAATCTTGGCTCTATTCATCATCCTTGATTGTGCCTGACGTCCGATACAGACAGACCAGACATATCCTCAGGCGCACAATGCATCTTCTACTGTTGTCTACCAGACCTGCGATCCTCACACCCGTCTTATACTAACCCAGTGAACTCCTAAACAAGGACAAGTCCACTCTCACCGACGTGGAGCTCCAAAAGCTCGAGGAGTACGAGTTCTCACATGGCCCCCTGTCGCTGCTGCAGCGGGCAGTACAGAACCACACACAGGTGCTGATATCGTGCCGAAACAACAAAAAGCTGCTGGCCCGAGTCAAGGCGTTTGACCGGCACTCCAACATGGTGCTGGAGAACGTGAAGGAGATGTGGACGGAAAAAACGAAAACCGCCAGCGGCAAGCCCGGCAAGACCGTCACCAAGGATCGGTTCATCAGCAAAATGTTTCTGCGAGGCGACACCGTCATTCTCGTCGTTTCTGCATGAAAGGGAGGTTGTATAGTAATTATTTATGCATTTGAAGGAGGGGGTACTTGTAGATGTGGCTGTAAAATGGACATCCACCACCGCTGTATTAGCATCGCGCATTGAATAAAATAAATAGGCAGTAGGCATATATACGTTAGTCCCGTAACCATTTTAAGCGGCTCTGGTTGGTCTACTACTTGGTCAATGAGACTCTTGATAGTGGTGGTAATAGGGAAGGGTTGCCGTCAATTGCACTCTTCATCGCACTCCTCAGAAGTGTTTTGCATCGCCCGGATAACACCTCTTCATTACCTCGGTCATCTCAAAGCGATACTCCTCCTTATTCCATCCCCTGAACATGAGACACAGTCCATGGAGATGCGAGAATGTGTCCATGATGTCCAACCCTGAAGTCTCGTCCACAACCACCAGATTGGACTCTGCAAACACCCTCTTTTCCCCAACTCCATCGACCACCACCTGGTAGTATGCCTCTGACTCCTCCATGCCCACGTCGATCTCTCGGTTGGGAATCTGAGCTGTTTCTTCATAAGCTGTTTCGGAATTCACAAACCACGAAACGACAATGCCATAGAGATCCAGACGAGTATGATGCACCACCTGACCGACATAGAGATTGACATGCTTACTGTGTGAGTCTCGAGACTTGACCGTTCGTAGAACTGGATCCAACTGTTCCAGAAGCGTCACCTCTGTGCTGTCGGTTGCAAACACTCGGTTAATGTCCTTCAACATGACCAGCACGTCCAGAGGGTAATATTTACGCAGAAACACTTGGAGCTGTGTCTTGCGGGTGCTGTCCATGTGCTGTGGCATAAAAGCTGCCATCAGAGTGTACATCAGGTAGTAACACTCAGTCGGAGAAGGCACTCCTCTTCTCACGTTCACCTCCAAACTCGCCTGCAGGTTCATCATACTTCGTACCAGGGTGTCTCGCAGCGTGGGGGCTCCTACATCTTCATTTTCCGGTACTAGGGCCAGAACTTCGCTGTGTGTCAAGATTCGGTTTCGTCTGTACACATCAACCACAAAGAACCGAGACCCCGTGCCCTTGTCGTTCACTCGCACCAAAACTTCTGCTGGAAATAACAAAGGGTGCGCTTCAAGTCCATAATCGGAACAATACTTGCAGAAGATGATAGCTCGAGTTAATGGAATACCATAGACATGGTCTTTATGCAAAATGTCGTGGATGTAGTGGTTTGAGAGACTTCGGAAGTCCGCCGTGAAGGTGTTTCGAGGAGGAACGCCACACAGATCGGCATTAGCTGCCAGTAGCTGTTCCAGCAAAACCCGTGTGGGTTCCTGATCTGAAGTTGTGATACCCTGGAGGTCGGGAAAGTCGACACGGTCGCAGTTTTCCGCCAAATTATGACCCAGATACGAGTCGGTGAAACAGTGGAACATGGCAAAGACGTGGGTCACATCGCTACCTTTCATCAACTGCTTGCTATTCACACTGGTCAAACGGGTGATGCCAGCGCAATGTTTCATGGAGTGCAGCAGCTGCATAGCAGTCCACCGAGCACAGATGTTGTCGTGGGTCTGTGCCACCTGCGTCAGCGGGTAAACACACATTTTTCCGAGGTTGAAGGCCATCTTGAACAGGTTCATCCACTCGGACGCTGACGAGTCCGGGATTCGTTCCAGAACGTTGAGAATCACAGACTCCGTATTCAGGCGGCGCAGCATTTCGTCTCTGTACTCGCCCGTGGCTTCAGGGCGGTTTTCAGCCTTGTATCGTTTGTTTAGATGGGGTTTCCATAATGTTTCGTCGCATGCAACTTGTCGGAGTCGCTGGCATGTGTTGTAGACGGCCAGAAGGTCTGAAAGGTGGTCGAGGTGGTGCAGAATCGTCAGCGCCAGCTCGTACGGTATGGCTTGCAACATTTCGGGGCAGTGGCAAGAAGGTGACAGTGTAGTGTGTTTCTGAATGGTGATCAGTTGAGTGAGCACCGCTTAGAATATGCATGCAGTAGGAACCTTGATTTCTGATGAGATAAAAGAGGGGGGTTGGAAGGGGTGATAGCGACCGAATGAAGGTATTTTTGGCGGAAAAAGGAGATCATCCAACTTCCAGCTATTGATTCCATATTTCACCTTTTTCAAATGTTCAGTATTGCTGTTCTGGTACCATCCTAGACTCCCTAAATCAACCTTCTAATTAAATATTGCTGGGATAACAAAGAGAGACAGGGTCTCGCTCGTAAGATGGTCTTATTATCATGATATCTCGGGGGAAATGGACAGGTGGTGATTTAAGCGGCCTTTTTAGATGATTATTGAATTTAGTCGACCCCTAAAAGTTGAGCAATTGTCACTATCACATCTGACTGGGGTCTCTCCTAGTGGACCCACACTATGTAGCGATGGCATCAGTTTATTACTCTCACTCTCAGTCAAACACGACCCATACAAGTCGCTCCCACTCACTCTTTAAGAGCACGTACCAAAAGACTATGTGCTGGTGGTGGAGCTACTCGCCCAAGTACAAGTACTTGTATTGCAGAGCTCATTCGAGACTAACAATCTCAATGTTGGTACAAGTACTTCTACCGATACCATTAGGACTGCTTAGTTCTTGTAGCTACACCTACCAACACCATTCGAACCCGATCCACCCAGATCAGCTTACTAATACAGCTCGCCCACAGGTTGTACAATCAATCAAATCTATCACTTATATATGCAGCTGATTCACAAGTTGCAATTGGCAAGGGGAGGTGACATTGCGCATATCGCTCGCATCACGCGATCGCTTCCTTGTCGCTCAGAGCTGTCCGGTTGGTTCAGCTACGCTCCTCACCCTGAAGAGTCACAACAACCTTTCGGGTATGCCGCATCTTTCGGAACTCGAGGTACCAGATTCCCTGCCAGGTTCCGGTGGCCAGATATCCGTCCTTGATGGGGACATTGATGGACACGCCGACCAGAGAAGATCGAATGTGAGCAGGCATGTCATCGGGGCCCTCGCAACTGTGTCGGTAGACATCGGACTCAGGAGCAATTCGGGCCAGAGCATCGGTCATATCTGCTCGCACGTCTGTGTCCCAGTTCTCGTTGAGAGTCAGAGCAGCCGAGGTGTGTTGCATGAAGAAGTTGGCCATGCCGACCTTGTAGTTCTTGATCTCCGGCACCTGGCTGACAATCTCGTCGGTCACCAGGTACGATCCCTTGGTCTTGGGGGGCAGAGTGATTGTCTTTTGTGTCCAGGTCATTGTGTGTGTTTGTGTGTAGAGAAGAGGTGCGGAGGATGACAGAGATTCCAACAAGTTCGATACTCGAGCAATGCAAGATAGAGTGTACTTGTGGGAGGTTGCGTGACGTCATATAATTCGGAGCAATGCGGAATCAAAGTCATGGTGATCGATGTCGTAGTCATGAGTGGACATGTAGATGTCAAGTGTCTCTTCTACAAGTGTCTGGTTCCCGTTCGATTTTTTTGGTCATTTTTCGCGATTTTCCCCCAAGTTTTTCCCATTATTAATCCATGAAAAATCCAAAATTAGCTCAGGGTATTCACTCAATCAGGGCAATTCAGATGTAAGCAAGTTCGATTCCGTTTTCAGACAAAGATTCAGAGGAAAGTGCGAAGGGTCCGAGGAAAAGATCAAAGCGGGGTCGTCGAAACCGGCACAAAATTCTTTGAGTTGGTTTTCCGTCGCCAACCGAGGTATGTTAACGGTTAACTGTTTTTTTGTCTTTTTGTTTTGTTTTTTCGATACTTCGAACATTCAACTAAATAGGAAGCATAGTTGGGAGTTACTTGAGTGGAGACTAATCGGTCTTCTCCGATGAATATTGCGAAGAGCTCTGAAAAAGAGTTATAAACAGATGATATCGAGCTGAAAAGTTATCTGTTGTTCGCTGTAATGGTACTAGACCGACTCTGCTCCTCTATGTCTTCTCGCATCTCTTTTTTTGCAATCTGTTGGCTTCCCTGCTCCAGCGTGCTTGGTGTCCAGTTCGTATGTTGTACATACTGTACCAAAATCTCTACTTGTACTCGTGCTGTCAACTACAATAACACATGACATTAACCACGCGGTTACACGACAACTACTATACAAGTACCCGCCGACTCGAATATAAATACCTTGTCATCTCCCTTAATTAATTCCGCCCTCACGAACTCACGCTCCCAACGGCCCGATCGGCTATCTCCGTCGCGCATGTCAACTGCATTCTGATACCGTCGTGAACTTGATCTGACAATACAACAGAATCTCTCTTCACACCGACACAAACATCACCACGGATTCTGCAAAATGCCCCTCGCAACAATTCAAGTAGGCACCAGATCGGTCTTCGTGAAACCGCTCACCATCGACAACTTTGCTCCTTTCGGCGGAGTCATGTCTCTGGAGCACCAACAACGACCGGAAGATGTGGGTGCCAACTACGGAACAGCCACAAAGATCAAGGACGTGTCTCCTGTAACCAACAACTTTGCATACGCCCCGTCCAAACAGCCCGCAAGGTCCATTTGGTATGGCTTCAGATGCTCGCCTCCCAACCACCTCACTTCTACAAAAAACTCGCAGTCCACTTACACTTGCAAGGTGTTGGAGCGACACCCGTTCTCCACACAGACGTTTGTTCCCATGGGCCGTAACAAGGACGATCAGGCTTATCTGGTGATTGTGGCAAAGACTGGAACTGATGGACTTCCAGATGTCAACACTCTGGAGGCGTTTGAAGCACGGGGAGACCAGGCAGTTACCTATGGAGTCGCCACCTGGCATGCACCCATGGTGGTGCTGCATAAGCCGATTGATTTCGGAGTGTTTATTCACGAAAACAGCGTGCCAGAAGAGAACTGCCAGGAGGTTTACTTTGAGCCTGGTGTCAATGTGGAATATCGGGAGAAGGCGAAGTTGTAAACAGCTTCGGCGACACGAGTGGTTTCATTATGAGCCAGGTCTTGCAATGCACTGTGGAGAACAACTTCTGACATACTCAATCAAAGAGCATTCTTCAGCTAGCACAATTTTGTCTGTCTTCCTAGGAAAGAACTGCTCGTTCATGTTATGCATTCAATAAAGACCAAACGACTATCATAAACGTTGGAGTGCGTTACGTGGTGATGGTGAATCTCTACGAGCACGATACTCTCTGGCCGCTGTGCTCCGGAAAGAGCTTCTCCAAGGTCTACAGTACATACTGCAGGCTTTGATGTTAAGACATACTCAGTATAGGCTACGCAGACTCCATTCTCAAATGGTGGTCGTAAGCCGTGAAAAGGTGTAATACTCGTATTCGTTGCAATAGATATCCCCGTTCCATCTACCTGTGCCCCTTGGATCTTATGGGTACAAGGAGAATCTGAAAAAATGGTGATATGATTCGTTCAAATAATGATTCGTTCTCAATAACGATTCGTTCTCGATAATGATTCGTTATCTAACAAATGACTTATAATTTAATCCCTCAAACAGTCTCTTCAGGGTGTTTTAACACTTGCTTCAGATCATCTCTTCAATATACGACTCCAGAAAAGACCGTTTTGAGTTGTGATATGCTGCAAGGGGTGCATTATCGGAGATGGAAAGGACTACAAGTAGGGGATGGTGGAAGTGACTGAAAGTTTGGATGCAGGAGTATGGACAACAGGATCGAGGGAGGGGTTTGTTCGGATTTTCCTGATCGGAACTTGCATAAGGCACCACTTAGTCATCGTCCAATGTCAAGCAATTTTTAACAGAGCACAGAGCATTCAAAAAGTACACTTCGAGTAGTGACGAGTAGTACCAACCAAGCAACCGTATGTACTTGAAGGCGGAGTGGTATCAGAATATCTTATGAGTTTGTCTCGCTGCTCTAATCCGTTCCCAGTCTTCTACGGTACGAATAAGTACATACTGCACTAATACCTATCTCCTACAAGTAGTCCTGTCCTTCAGTTTGTTTATGTAGAAGATTATGATGCACACGAACGAGTAGTGTAGCTATTTTCGGCTGAAATTCACTGGAAATTGGTAAAAAGTGTCTAACAAGCTGACATTCAACCACTCTCGTCCTGGAGTTACAGTAATACAGCCCCTACTGGCCATGATCATCAAGACCAGAAGGGGTTGTATAACTCCAGGACGAAATCCAAACCAGGAATAGATCAATTACTCTCCCAAATTACCAGATCGTATTTGAAATCCGTATTTGAAATACTATTTTCTGCCACAAAAATACACTTGCACCACATTTGCTATTTTTTTCTATTTTTATTTTTATTTTTTTATTTTTCAGTTTTTCAATGTTTTCAGCAAATTAAGGTTTGAGATGAGGCTCAGCCTTACTGTCAGCCGTGCATGTTTAATTTCTAGACAAAGGAACGTGTGGTCACATGACGTTTTTCAAATGCCGAACCACGCGGTCTCCAACGATCCTTGTGGTCAAAATACTGCGGTTTTCAGGCGACAAAAAGAAAATTGAAACTTGCACCGACACTAGTGACACAGAACCAGTGGCCCCATGTCTGAAATACGCTGGCTCGTCCCGGGGATCGTTTCAAAAGGACGTGTTTCTGTGTTTCTGAGGGTTGCTAATCCGGGGTAAATAGTCTCCCTTTTAGATTCCCCTTTAGATTCCCTCTTTGCTCCGTATCACAAGACACAACATGGGCTGACAGCACCCAAAAGAGGTTCAGCAAACACACGATAATTACGAGTGTCGTGGTTGTGGACCCATTGTTTTGTGTCGGACGAGACGTTTGTGGTGGTCTTGATGGAGTTTGTGGTGGTTATCATCTCCCAGATTTTTTGCGTCGTCATCTCTCTGGGGTTTCTCCGTTATGTTCTTGCTCAGTCTTCCTTGATACACCAGTTGGTGTCTTAGGTCTCTTTACCACGCCTTTGCCACTGGATATCATGCATCCGGACAGTTGGCAAACCTCATGTGATGGTCGCGTATTATCACGTCTGCAAAGATATATAAAGACATGGGTCCCCTCCCCCCTCTATCTTTCCGTAACACACGATGCGAAATACCAACACTACCAACATGAACCACGACCCACCGGTGAGACGCTCCGGAACATGCACCCTGTGTATGGACAAGGTGTACATTGACGAGCTGTACACTCATCGCAAGATCTGTAAACCTGACGATACGGAAATGATTCTGGCCGATAAGCAGTCTGAAGAAAACCTCGCAAGGCAGTACTACCTGCATCCCACCTATTCACAACAGCAAAGATGGTGGGGAAGTTTCGTGCCCCATTTGTGGTGTCAGTAACCTGGCAGCACTAGCTGAGAAGCTGCTGTGAGATGTGAGCTAATCATACATGCTGACCTCCTTGTCCTCAAGATTTAACATAGCTCACACCTGGAACCTCCGCTACATACACTGTCGTGAATTCCAGATACTAATTACGAATACGAGTACGAATACGAGTACGAGTAGCTACCGAACAAGTATGCCCGTGTTCAATCACTCATGAGAAATGAAAACGAGAAAAATATAATGAAAAATACGATAATATTATTGATGAATACAAAATCAGTTGTATATACCCCAAGTACAGTAGCAACCATTGGTTTAGGACCTTCATATACCAGTACATACATCTACAGACAAAGACAGCGACCATAGATATGGTAAGAGCACTTGTATTGTCATGTGGGGGAACGGTATAGTTGTCCTAATCAATCTGAGATTCATTATGAACAGATTTCTAGTATTTATCCTCCTTTTTCTATGTATAATTGTTAGAAATATTCTATGCAGAAGTTGTCCGAAATGTACTATCGATAACCATCATGTGCATGTACAAGTACACTGTACAAGATGTATCATACGAGAATGTACTGTACCGATACTTGTAGTCATTATAGATATCCCACTCGAGGTTTTTGTTTATGTCGTGTAAAGGTCTCATTATCGCTTGGATCAGTCCGATACCAGATCATCTCTCACTCCTGGTCTTCGTTAGTTAGCTTCACTGTACTTGGACTCTAGTTGAATACCTCGTCTATCAACATTACAACAAGTCACTCAAATCAGCTCCAGTAAACTCAAATATTTCCAAGAAAATTGTATGCCCATTTTTCCCTTTCATTTTACACCCCTTTTTACAACTTCTACTCCTCTGGCACCGGTATTCCAACATTTCCCACAAGACACCACCGAGAATCGAACTCACCACCCTCTCACATTTCACCCCCCAAGCAGTCGTCCCTTCTCAGGTCCCAAACCTTATCCACTTACCCTACATGAAATTTTCACACAAGCACAGATACACACTCACGTTGCAGAGTTCCACAAACAGCACACCCACCATGTTTGGCCGTCTTTTCACCCGGCAATTGTCGTACCAGCAGCGCCGAATCCCCCGCTCGGCGATTCTGCAGGGTCCCGTGACTCTGGACGTTTTGGCCAAGGACTCGACCCGTCCTTATGGTCTGTCCGAATCCAAAAAGGAGATTGATGCTCTGAAATCGTCCCTGTCGGACTCCGTCAGCGGCCTGGAGGACTCTCTGCTGCTCCAGGTGCTCACACACAAGTCCTTTGCTGGCGGACTGCCCTCTCACAACGAAAAACTGGCGTTTGTGGGCCGAAAGTTTTTCCCAGTCTCGGTTCTCTCTCACAACCTGTCCAAGGAGGCCTCAAGCGACCCCGTCAAGGCTCTGGAGTCGCTCAACTTTGATCTGTCTGGGTTTGCCGCAAAAAACGGCCTCGAAAAACTCGTCTACTGGAACACCAAGGGAGTCACGAACGCCACTCCTTCATCAAAGATCACCAGCGGATCCGTCTACGCCCTGGTGGGCGCTATTCTCCTCAAGAAGGGCGAGAAGGCCGCCCATGAGTTCGCCCAGAAGGTGGTCCAGCAGAATTAAACTTGTATATATGAGGGGATGCACACCAACCAACCAAGTGTGAAGCACATAGCAAATGTGAATGATGAATGCATTGAATGAACAATCAAAGCCAACCAGCAAACGAGCGTGGATAGAGACACAGCCAGATCAGTAGGTATGAGTGTCAGATCGGCAGGTCGATGTGTTGTAATACAAGAGGGTAGGAGCATCACCAGATTACTATCGAACATACTGTAGTAAGAGAACGCATATACCAAAAGGATCCTTCCAAAGCAACATATAACCTGAATCGCAATGTCAGCAGAAGATGTCCCCACTGCCATAGAGGTGGATCGATAGTCTACCTGTAGTATTGGTGCACGTGACCTAGGTCAGACTGAGATGTCACGTACAAGAATTGAGACGCAGAATCACACACAAGGTAGCCTCGGCAATATCACTAATTATCACCTAAGTGATTTCCGCAAGATCAACAGAGTCATTTGTGGCCCGCGTTTCTTTCATCAACAGCTACTGAGAGGTTCGATATATATACTACAGTTACTCAGCAGATAGTTGAGAGAAACAGACCAGATATTGGAGTAGACTGAAGTTACAGTACATTGCTGGATCACGTGATATTATACCACGACTGATGGTTCAGAGATAACGACTGATAAGATTGCTATCAATCGATTCCCGAAAGTCCAGCATATACATTACGGGTAGAGTATCGCTAATTGTAGGTATCATGTTCAACACTTCACTGCTATACTGTGCCGACAGTTTCTTATTGGAAGAGATGTTGACTGGATAGTCGATATTGAAATCAAAGGGCATAAAACGCCTCTGTGTATCACTGACGATACATTGCCAACAAAGATTGATGTTAGGGCAACTACAATACAACGCCGAGATCATTGTAGCTGGTATGGGGGGGGGGTTCAAGTCTCATTCCAGACCACGTTATAGATCTATGGCCGCCCACTCTGGGTTCAATGCGAAAGTTCATGGTCGTGATCATGCGATCTCCATGTCGCCAGGCGACCAGCTTGTAGTCCACCACTGACACATGATATATTCTGTATCACTAACCGTGCCGATCGAACCGTATGTACCGTCATCATTCGTCATACAAGTACATGCGGTACGAGTACAGTATGTACCCATGTTCTGAGATAACTGTATTAGAGCTGACGAAGAGGCCTAACAGAGCGACTACTCACAATACTACTCTGATCTTCAGCTCTCATATCACTGCGCGCCTCCATCTGAGTATTGATAAACACTCGGAAACCACTCTCAGCTACTATAATGTCGTTATTAGTAGCAAAATGATCTCCCCCGCTCCCAGAGGACTTGTATGCCACTTCCATGCCACTAGCGGCGATATCTAGTCTTTTCCAGAACCCGTCTCACATCCACATAAAATAAAGAGTGTTGGGATATTAATACAGTATATTGAGTAATTGGTTAATTAAGAACTGTTGGATTTTACTGGATTGAAACCTAGAGGCGACCCTTGCGAGACTCCAAGGCACCACAAAACTCTTCTCTGGGGCCGCATGACGCAGATTAGATGAGGTCCACGTTGTTCATGCCAGGGCCAGTCGCTTTTGGTCTCTTTCTAGCCAGTCTGGACCCATAAGCCATTTGGACAATACAATTTAATTTAATCCAGCACAAACTCTCCGATAAGTCGATCTCTGGCGAAGATTTACAAGGCTTGAGAGGTTTTATGTTTCGTATTGCACGCGAGTGGGTTGGTCTGGTGTTTTTCCGATTGCAATTGATTTTCTGTCATTTGTTCTCGGTTTTCCTATTGATTTTATCCATCGCCCAATTTCTTTTATTTTACCCACCTATGTTTAATATTGTATATTTTGCTCCATAGTTTCTTCTCTATCAAGAATACCCCGCTGTCTCAAACCCTCTGCACTTTCCCAACAAGTTTAATGGGTAGCGGAGATATATCCTGAGGATGTGGGGCATGGTGCATGTGAATTCCTTGCGAGGTTTCGATGTTTTCCTCCAATTTTGTTCTCGAATTCCCGTTTCTCCGTTTCTCCAAATGTGTTGAGCTCATGCATTTGCTCATGCAATGTCGTGTGACTTGTATGGGGAAAAGATAATCTGTCAAGTTGGTGGTATTTGTATTTGTATTTGTATTTGTTCGGGGGAGACCGAAAGAGCATCCATGTTGACTCAGATTGAGACCAAATATCTGGTACAAACATCTCTAATCACTAGCGTTTGAATCCCATGTCCCGTAGTGGTTGTAGAGAGCTGGCCTGCCCGTTTTCCATCAAAGTCTAGAGTGCATATTTCATGCATGTGGGGAGCAACTCGTTAATTTTAACAGCTTGGGTGAAAAATGCCGCAAGAAAAAGCAGGAAAAAACTCACTAAAGCGGTCTCCCCTGTAAACCACAAGAGGAGAGTCGCATAAACACCTCTGTTTCTCGCGGCAACGTTAGAATTGCCTCGGATCCGGGCCGCACACTCCCACCAACACGCACGATTTTCTCAGATTCTAAATGAATATTTCTATTTGGAAAGGCTCACCTGTTGAACTCAACAAGGATGCAGGCACGTCAACAAAAACAGTAGTGGCGGAAGCTGGTAACCGAGACCGGGGCAACGAGGATGAAGGAGGGGCGGGAGAAGAATTCTGAGGGTGGAATAATACTCGCACGACCACGTGGAATACACCGGCGGTTTTATTCCGTCAAAACCCCGCGGTTCAGAGTTTCTACGACTGTCCCTCGGCTTAACTCCGTCCACTTTTTGGTTTCTGTTTGAGTTTGAATTACGATTGAAAATGCGAATTTGACGGTGAAAATTGTCGGAATGCGACGATAGAAACACTGGAATCGACAAAACTGCCTGCTCCGGAGGAGATGAAACACTCAAAAATCGCATATCTTGCCTCTAAAAGCTCCGACCCGCTCACCCGGCAAACAGGTCACATAACCTAAAATGCTAACTCCGAACTCTAACCAAGTCTCTAGATATATACATAACAGTGATCCTGTTGAGAGTCTTTTCGTAGCCACTTGCACAAACATCACAAAATGCTCTCGTCAATCTCGCCCGACCTATACTCGTCCTTCTCGTTCAAAAACTCGCTCGCCGAGGCCATGCCCTCCGTGCCACACGAACTCATCAACTCAAAAACACTCTCATGGATGTACAATGCCTCTCTGGACATTCGGGTTCCTCTGACTATCGGAACCATCTACGCCGTCTCCGTGCACCTGACCAACTCATCTGAACGAATCAAGAAACGCCAGCCCATTGCCTTTGCCAAGACCGCACTCTTCAAGTGGCTCTGTGTCCTCCACAATGCAGGTCTGTGTCTCTACTCAGCATGGACCTTTGTCGGTATCCTCAACGCCGTCAAACACGCCTACCAAATCACAGGAGACAGCTCCGCCCCCTTCTCCTTCAACACCCTCTGGGGATCGTTTTGTTCACGTGACTCCCTCTGGGTCACCGGCCTCAACTACTACGGATACTGGTTCTATCTGTCCAAATTCTACGAAGTGGTGGACACCATGATCATCCTCGCAAAGGGAAAACCGTCCTCAATGCTCCAGACATACCACCACACCGGCGCCATGTTCTCCATGTGGGCCGGCATCCGATTCGCCTCTCCCCCCATCTGGATCTTTGTGGTTTTCAACTCCCTCATCCACACAATCATGTACTTTTACTACACCCTCACCACCCTCAAGATCAAGGTTCCCAAGATCCTCAAGGCATCTCTGACCACCGCCCAGATCACCCAGATTGTCGGAGGTGGCATCCTGGCTGCCTCCCACGCCTTTATTTATTACAAGGACCACCAGACTGAGACCGTCTGTTCTTGTCTCACTACCCAGGGTCAGTTTTTCGCTCTCGCCGTCAATGTCATCTATCTGAGTCCTCTGGCCTATCTCTTTATTGCCTTCTGGATTCGATCTTACTTGAAGGCCAAGTCCAACTAGACCTTTTTTGACACTCTATTGTCAGTGCAAGGAGACGTTTTTCTCTCCTGCTCCCAAGTCATTCAGACTTCTAACATATCACAATATACGACACTTGAGTCTATAATTCTACTGTTATTTTGGCCATGTCTTGATTTTTGTTTTTAATTTAATTGTTCCTATATTCGTATTAAATTGCATTAAATGACTGTTAAATTCTCCATATATTCTCCATTTAATAACCATTGCCCTATTGATCCTGCATTTTTTTCTTTTCTGCAGCAATTTGCCGAAAACGGTATAACTAGGAATAGGGTTACTTCTATATGGGGATGTATACTGATTTAAGGTTTAAGGCGTGTGAGCAGTGTGGGTTAGGGTATTTGGAGTTAGGGTTGCTATTTTCAGATGTAGCGATATGATGAGATGTGGTATGATTGAAGCTCAGAAGACGCTCTAAAGTGGATAGATAATCAGTAGGGTAGCTTTTAATGGTATTTAATTACGATCTTGGTCTCAGGAATCTTATGTACCAGCTTTTCGAAGCTCCCACATCAATATTGTAGCTTTTCTGCAATGTTTTATGTCATTCAACCTGTATCAAAACAATAAATTAGCCAATAATTTCTATGACGCATCTAATTACTGTCCCCCATTCCATTTACCCCCCATATTTCCCCATTTCCGACATCACCAAATATATCCCATCTCATATCACTCACATGTCCTTGAAATTAACTTTTTCAGAATTAACCTGAATTTATCATTTTTAAATTATAAAATTCCTTTAATTTAAATCCACTCTTTCAGTCACCTTTCGTCCCTTCGTCATGAGACAGATCGTAAAGACGCCAAAGATATGCCTTGATTTTTTCTCCATTGTCTCAGAAACTCCTCCGGCCAAAATCGAGCCCGATTTCAACCACAAATTGTGATAAATACACTCCACCCCTATGCTATTTTCTATATACACTATATATATATATATACACTATATTTTTGGATGCTGCTGTGCAAAGTTCAAGAGCACAATAAATGTATATATAGACAAAGGAACCCACGTGGTCGTGTGAGTGGATGATGAGGCGCGTCACGTGACTGCAATCGACGGCGGAGTTCTATTTTCCTTCATTCAGAGTCGGTCACGTGACGCCGATCATGTGTGTGTTGGACCAATGACTAGGTTGTTATTCGGTTATATGTATTTTGGGGTAAGGGGGTGTATTAATTTGGGAGATAAATATCTCATTGTGTAGCTACGTACTCTGGGAGTCCATTGGTGTATTCCAATTATCGGTAGCATTTATCGATCACGAGATATTGGCGTTATACCTGCCTACAGATGACCTGCATCTTTCGCATTATCGAAGGGAGAGACTAATGGCAAAAAGTACTGATAACGAATTTCAGGGGTTTACGGTGGTTGAAAAGAGATTTGGAAAAAGTACGATTGTAGAGCTCGGATCTGGCTCTCCAGCAAGCTATTTTGCTACCTCCCACCACCACTATGACACAAATTGAGTGCCTTTGGCCAACGGTGTGAAACACAACTCTAAGGCGTATAATACACTGAGAGTAAGAATCAAGAGAGAGTATAGATAGAGATATTGAGGTGTTAGATAGAGGAGGGGAGAACATGAGGGGGGAAGGGGCGGTGGTGATGGCGAATTGAGAAAACCAACGGGACCGCGGGGAAGATTGCTGGTCACGTGACTGACGCGCCCCCTGGTCCCCGCTCGTATCTGTTTGTATCTCGGTACCCCACAGACGCGCTTCCCTGTGCATACGTCATCCCTCCTATCTCAGGGCAACCTTAAATTTGAACCATGCGGAAATCCTAGAGTACAAAACCACCCTTTCTTTCCGTGCACCTTTTATCGACGGCATTGTTGAACCGACGAGTGCAGAACCAGTGTGGATATACCAAACGTTACCAGGTGCTACTTCTACGAGTTTTGCTAGCTAGCCAACGCAGACGACTTTGCTAAGTACAAAAAACTAACGAACGACTTGCGACACTAACGACTTTTGTTTTCGGTTGACTTTTTTTTTTTTTGGTTGACTCTTTTTTTATAACCAGATCTGGGTGAGTACGAGAGATGGACCAACCAGGGATGTGGTGCTGGCAGACAAACAGGGTGTTCGGACCGTGTCTGGAGTACGGTGTGTCTTAGATATGGTGCTGGTGTGTTGAAATCGCTTGCTTTGTGGATAGAACAAAGACGCACATATTACACCCAACTATTTAGGTGCTAGGGTATCACAGTGGCATTCTGGAACAGTACTGCACGTTGCCAGAGACACCCTTTGGCGCCGACACACTCACTATGAACCCATTCACCCCACAAATGCACTACTATTTGATCGAACAAAAACTAACCACAGCTGTTTACAAGTGAGTAACCAAGGGTATTCGGGAGGCATGCTGTGCATGGCGCGATGATGTTGCTGCCGCAATGTGGGTGTGGGCTGATGGTCTGTTACGACTGCAGTAAATCTAGATGTTTTCGCCCTAGACAGATATGACCACACGTCCGGAGGAGGACGGTGGTTAAGCTGTTGGCTAAAAAAGACGACATTACTCCTAACCAGGGAGCCTCTCTTGTGTGTCGGGTTCGAGTACGAGTACATCATTGTGTACGGCTGAGTCGATAATACTGCTGGTGCCCTTCTGATGCGAATAGCTGCAGCTGTGGTTTGTCCTGGAGGTATACTCAGCTTCGCTGATGTTGCTGGTCGTGTGGCGTGTCATTACCCATTGGAGATGATAACCATCATCGTTATTCTCTTCTCTTACTAACACAGACTTTCCAACATGTTTTCGTTAACGGGCAAACCGCTGCTCTATTTTACGTCAGTGTTCGTCTCTCTGGGCGTGTTCCTGTTTGGATACGACCAGGGAGTCATGTCCGGCATCATCACGGGCTTCTACTTCAAGGAGTACTTCCATGAGCCCACCCGAGCCGAAATCGGAACCATGGTGTCGATTCTTGAGGTCGGAGCGTTTGTCTCGTCGCTCATGGTCGGCCGAATCGGTGACATTATTGGCCGACGAAAAACCATCATGTACGGTGCCTTCATCTTCATCATCGGAGGTGCCTTCCAGACATTTGCCGTCAGCATGTCCGAGATGATTTTGGGCCGAGTAGTGGCCGGTTTCGGCGTTGGTATGCTGTCGACCATTGTGCCAGTCTATCAGTCTGAGATCTCGCCTCCTCACAACCGAGGCAAGCTCGCGTGCATCGAGTTCACGGGAAACATTGTGGGCTATGCCAGCTCAGTGTGGGTGGACTACTTCTGCAGTTTCATCAATTCCAACATGAGCTGGCGTATCCCACTGTTTCTGCAGTGTGCTATGGGCGCTCTTTTGTTTGGAGGCTCGTTCCTAATTGCCGAGACTCCTCGATGGTTGCTGGATAACGACCATGACGAGGAGGGATTGGTTGTCCTGGCCAACCTGCATGGAGGAGGAGACATTGACTCTCCTCTGGCTAAGCAGGAATATCGGGAGATTAAGCAGTCCGTTTTGATCCACCGGCTCGAGGGCGAGCGATCATATACCGACATGTGGAAGAAGTACAAGAAGCGAGTGCTGATTGCCATGTCGTCGCAGATGTTTGCCCAGCTCAACGGTATCAACGTCATCTCTTACTACGCTCCTCTGGTGTTTGAAGAGGCAGGATGGGTCGGACGGTCTGCTATTCTCATGACCGGTATCAACGGTATCGTCTACGTGTGTTCCACTATTCCCCCGTGGTACCTCGTGGACAAATGGGGCCGAAGACCTATTCTTCTGTCCGGTGCAGTAATTATGGCTATTTCCCTGGCGTCTGTGGCGTTCTGGATGCGTCTAGACTTTGCACATACACCGGCTCTGGTGGTGATTTCCGTCGTCATCTTCAACGCTGCTTTTGGATACTCGTGGGGCCCCATTCCCTGGCTCTATCCCCCTGAGATTATGCCTCTTACCATCCGAGCCAAGGGAGCTTCTCTGTCAACCGCCACCAACTGGGCCTTTAACTGGCTGGTGGGATATATGACCCCCATTCTCCAGGAGACCATCAAGTGGCGACTGTATTTGATGCATGCCGCCTTCTGTAGTCTTTCGTTTGTTCTCGTCTACTTCACCTACCCGGAGACCTCGGGAATCAACTTGGAAGACATGGACTCGTTGTTCGGCGACAAGTCTGTTGTGAACACCCCCGACTCGCGGTCTTTGCTTGGTGATCGAGACACTCCAGAGCCTGACGTGCCTCACAGTTATACTGATGCTGCCACCGATCGACTGCCTGCTGGTATGCAGGGCTATGGCTCCGCTCCCAGCTCGAGAGGAGGCAGTGTGGTCGGAAGTCCCCGACGAGGAAACAGTGTGGTTGGGTCTCCCAAGCGGGACTTCCCTCAACCTCCGGTATAATGTCGTATGAAGCGATGTTACACACACGGAGCACACTAACCAAGCTCCGAATCAAGTACACTGTGGTGGATTCAGGTTGTATACCATATAGAGAATATCATAGACATGGTGTTGTGCACGAGTTTAGATGGGTAGAACGGCATCAAGCGTATTGTTTGTAGAGGCGGTAGAAGGGTAACATGCGGTTCAGTGCATTCTGTTTCTGGACTTCTAGACTCGCACCTACAGCACAGTATGCAACTTGGGTTGGATAATGTAGCCTACTTGTACTTGTAATTGTAAAGCGTAGAAGTATTTGTATAGGTGAATGGACAATCAATTTCATGTATGGAACCGGTTTCTTTTGAAAAAGAGCTTTTCGTGTCATCATTTTACACTTTGAAATGTCCGTATGAATGACCTGTGATATATGCCACTTGTTTAGGCACCATAGAAAGGACTATCATAAACACTGACATAATATATCTCTCCAGTAAGTGATTCAAGCTGCCTGCAGGCGATATCAAGTGAAGAAAAGTTTCAGGGAATTGTACTTGTACATAGGAACTTGTACTTGTACTTGTTTGCAGTGTACTGTACTTGCAAGATATGTGATGGAGCTTGTGCTTGGCTCTCGATGGCTGCGGTGCTCTATAAATAGCTTTACTAGTCTCTTGAATTCAGACAAGATTACTTGTACTGGTATCTGGCACCAGAATACGGGTCGTGGTTATTGTATGAATATTATATATACAGCCAGTAGCAGTCCCCCTAACTCGTAGGTGTGAATAACTCTGATGTGCGAGGCTGTGCAGTTTCAGATACAGTTTGGGGAGATTTCCAACAGACTGACATTAATTCCAAAGAATAAAACAACGACGGAAATGAAGGTCGGCGCAGAAATCATCCAAAGACCACTTTGTCACTCATATTCACACCTTCTACCGGAACACGAGGCGTCATATTGGGTTGTACAGCAGGGTGCATGTATGGTGCAGCACAACTCTAAACGAAGCAACCCAACGACAGCAAGAGACTGTTCAAACCTGGCACTACAACCCCCCACAAAAATGCTGGAATCGTTGGTTGCCACGATCCTGAATCGTGTGTTGGTGAGTATTGACAAGCACGACATGGCCCCGCTGAGCAAATGACTAACCCAGGGCTCATACGTCCGCAACTTCGACCCTAATCAATTGAACATCAGTGTATGGAGTGGAGATATCAAGCTGAGAGATCTGGCCTTGAAGAAAGAGGTGAGTACGAGGAATGAGATTGGAAGGGAGGGATGTGATTCTGTGAGAAAAATGGCGACAATCGGCCCGGATTTGATTGAATTACGACGACACAACGAGGATTCACAAGAGCAATCAGCATATCCAAGGGATGCAGACAACTTTGTGGAGGACACGTCAAGAGAAATGGAAGCATTGTGGATCAATGGAGTATTATTTTGTGATAATGTTTGCAAAGAACCCTTGTGCTCCGCTTTGGTACTCTATTTCCTGTGTTTACTTCTGGACACCAGTCTGGTCTAGACCGCCTGTTGCCACCAAGGGGTAGATTTGATTGGAATGGCACCAAAACGTTGGAATTTTCTTTTGTTTTGAAGATCAGTGCTTTGGCTGCTGTGGTCCAGCTTAGCACAACCAAACCAGATACCGTTCACTCACGAGCTACGCTTCCATTACTAACCCAGGCCCTCGACCAATTCCACCTCCCAGTCAACGTCGTACACGGGCATTTAGGAGAATTAACCATTCAGATTCCATGGTCCAACCTTAAGAACAAGCCGGTGAAAATCACAATCGACAATGTCTTCATCCTTGCGGTGGCTCGACAGCAGGACAAGATTGATCCGGAAGAAGAGGCCAAACGAGAGCTGGCAGCCAAGCGAGAAAAACTGGAGGCTGCCGAGCTTATGGACCAGTCGAACGAAGACAACCCCGCGCTGTCTTCGGACGAAATCAAGCGTAACCAGAGCTTTTCCGAGTCACTCACTACAAAAATCATCGACAACCTGCAGATTACCATCAAGAACATTCACGTGCGATACGAAGACGTGAACCAGTTCACCAAACAGCAGTTTGCCATGGGAGTCACTCTGGAGGAGCTTTCGGCCATCAGTACCGACCAAGACTGGAAGCCCGCGTTTATTCAAGGAGGAGCTATCGCCAACAAGTTGGCCCGTCTGGGTTCTTTGTCCATGTACTGGAACTCGGACACCGCTAGTCTGGCGCCATTAGACAACGAAGAATTCATCAAAGCCTTCAAGGCGCTGATTGCTGCAGAGTCCAACGCTCTCAGTGACTCGCACCAGTACATTTTGCGTCCCGTGTCTGGAGTGGGCAAGGTGACGATGAACAAGGGTGCCATAACCAAGACAACACCCAAGACGAAGATTGAGCTCATGTTCGAGGAGCTGGGTTTCATCTTCGACTCATTGCAATACCGAGACGTACTGTTCACGGCCTCAGAGTTTCAGCTGTACTACAAAACACTGAAGTACCGAGCTCTGAAGCCCAAGGACGCCAAGCATGCCAAGGATAACCCCCGCGAGTGGTTCCAGTACGCCATCAAAGCGGTGCTGCAGGAGATCCACGACAAGAACAAAGTCTGGAGCTGGGACTACATCAAGGGCCGTCGAGACGACCGACGAGAGTACATCAAGCTGTACAAGCAGAAGTTGGAGGGTACCCTGACGGACACTACTAAATTTGACAAGCTCGAGATGAAATTGTCGTACGAAGATTTGCGGTTCTATCGGTCTCTAGCGACCAAGGAGCTCAAGGAGGAGAAGCCAGAGCTGTTCGAGAAGTCCGCGCAGCCGGATGAGAAGAAGGGCTGGTTCTCGTGGATGTGGGGCACTGCAGACGACAAGGAGAAGGCTGAGAAGCCCCCAGTGGTGCTCACAGACGACCAGAAGAAGGAGTTGTACGACACCATTGGGTGGGACGAGGAGAAGTCTCCTAACGATACGTTTGACGTACCCAAGGACGTTACCATGATGCGTCTTGACGCGTCTCTCAAGTCCGGTTCTCTTCAGTTGTCTCGAGACCAACGTAACGCCAAGTCCGGTATTGCCAAGGTCGAGTTCACGGACCTGTTTGCAGCCTTTTCACAGCGAATCGACTCGTTCGCAGGTGACATTGGCGTTGGCGACATGTTCATGGACGATTCCACAGTCGGATCTGCTTTCCCGCGCATTGTTTCCGGCAAGCAGCTTGCTCAGATGGGTACAGCCACTGCAGGCAACTTTCTGGACCTCACTTTCGAGAACAATCCTCTGGACGGTCATGCTGATTCGTGTTTGAGCGGTAAGATGAAGGCTCTGAACATCATCTACAACGTCAAGTTGGTTGAACAGGTGATTCTGTTTTTCAAGCCCGCCGACAACCATCAGGAGACCCTGACTGCGCTTATGAGTGTGGCTGGTACGACTGTGGAGGAGTTCCAGGCCAAGACTCGTATCGGACTTGAATACGCCCTGGAGGAACATAAGACGATCGACGTACAGCTGGATCTGGCTGCTCCTCTGATTGTCATGCCTCTGGACATCACCAATAAGGAGTCGCCGTGTCTGCTGATCGACGCTGGTCAGATCAAAATCAAGTCAGACCTCGCCGACAAGAAGCTCATTGACCAGGTCAAATCCAAGGCGTCGCAGCAGTACTCGCAGGCCGACTGGGACCGGCTCAAGGTTCTCATGTACGACAAGTTCAACATTGAGCTGTTCAACACGCAGCTGTTGATTGGATCGAACATGAAGGACGCGGTAGGAGATATGCTGGTGGAGCACTCGCCTAATTACGTGATCGACCGGATCAACCTCAAGTTTCTGCTGGAGGTGTCGATTGTTCCTGACGCTACCCACCTGTCTAAGATCAGAGTATCCGGAGAGCTCCCCAAGTTCCAAGCATCTCTTTCTGATGCTCGGTACAAGCTTCTGATGAAGTTCATCGATCTGGCCATCCCTAACACGGACTCCAGTCCCTCGGACACTCCCTCTCATGATATTTTCCTAAGACGGTCAGATTCTCAGTATTACTCTGATATTAACGACAACGAGGAGAAGGAGAAGGAGAAGGAGGAGAAGGAGGCCTCTGCCATTGCCAAGATGAGCGCCCCACAGCTCAAGCAGAAGCAGTTTGAGTTCTTTTTCAAGGTCGACACGTGTCTGTTGTCACTGCGAAAGTGCACAAACTGGGACACTCTGGAGGAGGAGCCGCTAGTGGACTGGACTTTGGGCCAGTTTGACGTCTACGTGGCTACCACCGAGCTGAACATGTACGTGGACTTCAATCTGGCTGTGTTCCATGTCGAATCGTTTATCGAGTCTGACACTCAGCCGCAGTTCCGAAAGATCATCTCCTCTCACTACGATAAGGCCAATGGTGAGGACAAGCTGCTGCAGGTGCATTTCGAGCGTCACAAGAGGGAACTAGAGGCTGGCAGGGAACCTGTGGTCACAGAACAGATTGTCACTGTGTACTTGTCTACTATTTCTTTTGTGTTGTCCCCTAAGACGTACCTCACCATTATGGACTTCATTCTTACTGCCTTCACCGATGACGAGCCTGCTCTGAAACACGGTTCTGGCAAGTTGATTGATTCTACGGCGGGTGAGTCTACCAATGGTAAGGGTGCTAACTACAAGACTCCCGAGGATCCTCCACAGGAACACACGCCCACGATTTCTGTCAAAGTAATTCTCAACTCGATCGTGATTGCGTTTGTGGACGACGGCATCAAGATCTCAACGGCAAAGTTGTCCTCTGCCAACATCAAGGTGCTATTGGTGCAGGAGCGAATGCTGGTGGAGGGCCAGCTGGGCAACTTGTCTGTCAGAGACGACATGAACGAGGGCACCGACAAGCACTCGATTCTGCGTCAGCTGGTGTCCATTGAGGGTGAGAAGGAGCTTGCTCAGTTCTCGTACGAAACCTTTTCGCCTTCTTCCGATACAGAAGACCAGAATTACACGTCTGCGGTCTACTTCCGATCTTCGTCAATCAAGGTGAACTTCGTTGAGGAGCCGTTTGCTCGAATCGTGCAGTTTCTGGCCAAGTTTTCGCGAATGAAGGCTATTTATGACGTGGCACGACAAATGGCCATGAACCAGGTCAACCAGGCTGCCACACAGACCCAGCCCGACAAGATGAAGCTGGACGTGATTTTCCAGGCTCCCATTATCGTGTTCCCCACTCTGTGTCCCGGCCTGGGCGGTGTCTGCGATCTCATCACGTTCAACTTTGGAGAGTTTTACCTGCAGAACTCGTTTCAGCCGTTTGACGACTCTGCTGGTTCGACTCTGTTTTCCAATGATATCCACATGGGTATTCGAAACACGAGCATCGCTTCTGAGTTTTACACTCTGGATTCGGGAAAGAAACAGTCTCTTGAGATTATTGGTGACCTGCAGCTCAAGCTCGACATTTCGTATGTGGAGTATACCAAGAACCTCAACCGGCCTTCTACCATTGTGACAGGTAACATCACTGGTTCTGAGATGAAGCTGACAGAATTGCAGTTCAAGTACCTAATGATCATCTCTGATACTCTGCAGGCTGTGTTTTCTGGTGATGCCAATGGCCAGGTGGACGACGAGGAGATGGATGAATTTGCCGCCGATCTCATGGGTGAGGATGCGATGTCGCTGGCCAATGAGAGTGTCACCACTGATAGCGAAGCTGACAAGGAGGAGGCTCAGGACCCCAACTTTGTGCAGATGGACGTGGCGTTCAAGACGGAAGCTATTGCATTGACACTGTTTGCCGACACCGTGGGATGTGCTGAGGCTGAGATTGATACCACGCGGTTGACCAAGTTTTCGCTCAACGATATTGGTATCAAGTTCAAGCTGAAGCAGTCTGGAGCCATTGACTCGGAGTTCCAGATTCAGTCGTTCACGATCGATGACTGCAGGCCTGTAAAGGAAAACAAGTTCACGGAGATCTTGCCCAAGATCAACAATGACGAGCAGCAGTTCCAGCTGCGAGTGTCTCGAGGAGCTCGTGAGGGCAAGGACGAGAAGCCTCTGGCTCTGGTGTTGACCATCGACTCGCCCCAGATGATCTTGTCGCTTGATTTCTGCTTTGCCATGCAGGCCTGGTTCCATGCTGGTATGCCTGTCAAGAACGAGGACGAAGAGGAATTGGAGGAACTTATGGATGAGGAGAGGACGCCTGAAGGAGAGCTGTCCGAGAACGGGGGAGGAGCCATGGTGCTGGCCAACAAGCCTATACGTCGGGGTTCAGATGATCTGCCTTCGCATCACTCGTCCCATGAGGACCGTGTGGAGGGTGGGGGAGAAGAGCATGATGGAACCGATAGTTTGTGTTCTCAACCGACTCAGACCGTGGTCAAGGTGCCTGTTTCGCCCGAACCCATGTCTATCAATGTGGTGGTGATTGACGCCAGTATCATTGTGCTGGCTGACAACACAGTTGAGAACACGGAGGCGTTGGTGATCAAGACGGAGCAGATTGTGTATTCGCAGTCGCGGGTCATGTCTCTGACCGTTTCCAACGCCGGCGTCTTCCTTTCTCGTATGGAGACCATCCACGAGTCTCGGCTGCGAGTTCTGGACGACTTTTCCGTCGTCATGTCGCACGACAACAAGCACACTAACGCTACTAGTATGCTAACGACCATCCAGATCTCGATTGAGCCTCTGATTATGCGTCTGTCGATTCGAGACGTGATGATGGTGGCCGACATTGTATCCAAGGCCACTGCTACTCAGGGTCAGGAGGAGCAGAAGGCCGTGCCTCGGTACTCGTCCTTTTCCAAGGACTTCCAGCGGCGGTTGTCGCGATCTGTGGCAGATACTAGGACCCAAATCACCGGTGGTTCGCGGTCCCGGCGACGGTCTTCGGTGGCCTCTGGAGCTGCGTCTGGAACTACTTCAGCTGCTGGCTCGATTCACGAGGGTATGGCTACCATTATGGGCGAGCGGTGCGACGTGGAATTCAGTGGTATGCGGTTTGTGGCCATGGGTGTGATCCACGAGTTGCCCTTCCTGGACTTTTGGATCAACCCCTTCACCGTAAAGGCCAGAAACTGGTCGTCTGACTTGTCTGTCGACACAGGAATTGAGTGTCTCATGAACTTTTATAACTACAGCAAGAGTTCTTGGGAGCCTCTGATGGAGCCTTGGAACGTTGGATTCCATCTGGCGACGCAGGCCAAGTCGCAGATGGTGGCAATGGACATTTACAGCCGAAAGCGAATGGAGGTGACCATCACCTCTCGAACTCTGGCGCTTGTGTCCAAGATGAAGCAGATGCTCAACTCCGAGTATGCTGACATTAGCAACCGAAAGGTCGAGGCTCCTTACAGGATCACCAACCAGACTGGTTTCCCCATCGAGGTGTGGACTGAGACGGACAACACCCCCAAGCCCACAGAGCTGCAGGACGGTGATACTGTGCCGTGGTCGTTCCAATCGACTCAGGAGGTGCGAGAGTCGCTGGTGATCGATACTCAAAAGGCATATCTGAGTGTCCGGCTGATGGACTCGCCATTTGACGTGCTGCATTCGATTTCGGCGGTTTCCGAGGGCGAGTTTTTGCACGTTCTCAAGCCCCGAATTGCAGGTGTCTCTCATCGACTCGTTGTTGAGATTACGCTCAACAGCGATACCATCAAGGAGGTGCTGCTCAAGTCAGCGTACACCTTCACCAATCACACGCAGATTGAGGTTGACCTTGGTCTGGATGATGAAGGCAAGGTGCTGCCCGAGGTGTTCCACATTGCCCCCGGCGAGTCACGTGCCGTGCCCATTGACCGTCTTCGAACGTGCTCTGTGCTCATCAGGCCCGCCAAGGGCTATGGATACGGATGGTGCAAACCTCTGGAGTGGACTCAGTTCCTAGAGAAGCCTCCCGTGGTTGCCTGCAAGCGTATTAATGCTGAAGACGACACGCTTTTCTTCTTCCAGGCTACCGCCAAGTACGACCGCAACGAGCCACTCACCCGGGTTTACCCCCACATGGAGATAGTGCTGTCGCCTCCTGTGGAGATTGAGAACCTGTTGCCGTACGATCTGCAGTACCGAATTTATGACAAGAGTACCAAGAAGGACTGGACAAACTTCATCAAGCGGGGCGGCAAGTCACCCGTCCATGTTGTTGAGCTCAATCACCTGTTGCTGCTTTCGGTACATCCTCGAGATTGTGGTTTTGAGCGGACCGATTTTGCCGTCATCAACGCTCCCAAGGGTGACGAGTTTGATCGGGAGAATGAGTTTGTGACTCGTCATGAAGACGGTCAACGTCTGAGACTGCACTTACATTACGTCTCTGACAATGACTCGTACGCCGGTATCAGAGTGCAGGTGTTCACTCCCTACCTGCTGCTCAACAAGACCGGTCTCAACGTTCAGGTGCGGTCTCATTTCCACACCACCCACTCCAAGGTGTCTTCCCAGTTGCCTGCCTTTGAGGAAGAGGAGGAGGACTACGTGGAGGAGCATGGGGAGGACGTGATGCAGCGAGGACACATGAAGCGTGCCCAACCAACCATGTTTTCGCTTGACCAAGACGACCGCAAGGCCCGAGTCACCATCAAGGTTGGAGACTCGAAATGGAGTGATTCTCAGTCATTTGATGCCATTGGAGGCACCACCGAGATCATTATGGCCAACTCGTCCAAGCAGTCGGAGATCCATGTTGGTATGCACGTCTTTGAGGGTAAGGGCCGGTACAAGCTAACTCGGTTCATTGAGCTGACGCCCCGATTTATCATTCACAACTGTCTCAAGGAGGAGCTCCGAATCCGAGACCCCATGTGCAACATTGAAATGTCTGTTGGAGCCTTCAAACCCATTCATTTTATGTCCGAGACCCCCTTGGGCGACAAGGTGTGTCTGGAGGCGTCTTTCACAGGCGAGGGATGCCAGTGGTCTGCTCCCTTCTCCATTTCCGACATCGGAAAGACTTACGTCAAGATCTACCGTGCTGGAAAGGGCTTCACTCTGCTGAACGTAGATGTCATTCTGGAGCAGGCTACCATTTTCCTGCATTTTGAGGAGGCTGGTCAGAACTGGCCCTTTTCCATTCGAAACTTCACCGAGGAAGACTTCACCTTCTTCCAGGCAAACCCCTTTGTGAATGACGACGGAGAAGAACTTGACTCGCACCCCAAGTTCAAGCCTCTCACCTATAAGCTGCCTGGCAAGTCGGTCATGCCTTATGCTTGGGATTACCCGGCTTCTCCTGTCCGAGAGCTGGTACTCATCACTCGAGGCAAGCGTCGACACATCCAGCTGGCTGAGATTGGTAACCTCACGCCCATGAAGTTGCCTGCTGAAGATGACGAGCCTGCTTCTGTGGTGGACCTCAACGTAGTGGCCGATGGACCTACTCAGACTCTTGTGATCTCGCCTTACGATCCTGATGTATCGCTGTACAAGCTCAAGGGCGGTCAGTCGTCCACTTCCATGGCTTCCAGGGCACCAGCTGCCGTGTTTGAGCTTGACGAGAGTGACAAGGATATCCACCGCAAGTTCACGCTCTCATTGGAGGGTGTGGGCGTGTCTCTGATCAACAACAAGCTGCAGGAGCTGTGTTACATCACACTACGTGGCCTGGAGGTGAAGTACAACGAGTCTGACTTGTACGAGACCTTGTCGTTCCAGCTCAAGTGGGTCCAGGTCGACAACCAGCTATTTGGCGGTATTTACCCCATTGTTCTGTACCCCTCAGTGGTGCCCATGTCTGGCAAGGAGCTTGACAACCATCCCACGTTCTCAGCTTCTCTGTGCAAGGTGCGAGATGACAGCCATGGAGTCATTTACATCAAGTACGCTACTCTGTTGCTGCAGGAGATGACACTGGAGATGGATGAGGACTTCCTCTTCTCTCTGCTGGACTTTATGAAGCTGCCCGAAGCTTCATGGACCGGCCAGGGCAAACAGGAGGAGCAGATGTGTGCTGATATGCTTGAGATTCCCGAGCCCAAACCTGTCAACACTGGTGCCGACCTCTACTTCGAGATGCTGCACATCCAGCCTGCCCAGATGAACTTGTCATTTGTCCGAACTGAGCGAGTCAATGTGGACGATAAATCGGATGCCGAAAACACGCTCATGTTCTTCCTCAATGTGCTCACCATGGCCATTGGAAACATCAACGATGCGCCAGTCAAGCTTAATGCTCTGATGATGGAGAATGTGCGTACTTCGTGGCCGGTTCTCATCCAGGCTGTGAGTACTCACTACGGCCAGGGATTTTTCTACCAGCTGCATAAGATTCTCGGTTCCGCCGATTTCCTCGGAAACCCCGTCGGTCTTTTCACCAACATCTCCTCTGGTATCATGGACATCTTCTACGAGCCGTACCAGGGCTTTATCATGAATGACCGTCCCTCTGAGCTGGGTATTGGATTGGCCAAGGGCTCTCTGTCTTTCGTCAAGAAGTCTGTCTACGGTGTTTCCGACTCTATCTCCAAGGTTACAGGCTCCATTTCCAAGGGTCTGTCTGTGGTGACGATGGATAAGTCGTTCCAAAACCGCCGACGGGTCAACAAGACCCGAAACCGGCCCAAGCATGCTCTGTTTGGCCTCACCACGGGAGCTTCGTCCTTCTTTGACGCCTTTGCTTCTGGTATTGCAGGCATTGCAGAGGCGCCCATGCATGGCGCTGCCACCGAAGGAGCCGCAGGCTTCTTCAAGGGTGTTGGAAAAGGTCTGGTTGGCTTGCCCACAAAGACGGCCATTGGAATGTTTGATTTTGCCAACAACATCAGTGAGGGAATCAAGAACACCACCACCGTGTTTGATCCCAACGCCATTTCGCGAATTCGAGCCACCCGATATCTGTCTTATGACGGCATTGTTCGACCTTACAGTCAGACCGAGGCTGTGGGCCAGACCTGGCTCAAGCTGATCGACGGCGGCACTTTCTTCAATGACAAGTATCTGGCTCATGTGGAGATTGCGGGCACTGAGAAGGCCGTCATTCTGACCTTTAACCGAATCATCATGTTCCACACCGTCAACATGGAGAGCTACTGGACCGTGAAGCTGGAGAAGATTGACACGATCACAATGGAGAAGACTGGCCTTGCTCTCAAGCTGCTGGAGGATGTGCCTGGTCCTTTTATTCCCATTCCGGATCCGTCCAACAGAAAGTTCTTCTACCACAAGATTGCCGTGGCTGTCCAGGAGTTCAACATCAAGCATCAGACGCTGTTGGTTTAGGAGGAGAGAGAGAGGGAGTAACAGGGAGGAGAGAGGAGTGTGTGGGAAGGATTTTGTTATGAATATTGTGTTAATTATGTTATATGAACTTGTAGTGTAGCTGGAATGTACAGTAAGTGGGCGCAACTGAGTTAACATATGAATATAGTTCCAACAGGTCGTTATTTTTTTATTTTATTTTTAATACTATATACAATGTCTCGTGCTAGTTGGCGATTCACTCTCCATTTTGAAATTCCTCACTCTTGGCTCTCTTCTTCTTCGAACCAACACATCTTTTTTCAAACTTGTCAGCATCCTCCACCGCCTGGAACTCCACCTGTAAAGTGGGACAAGACACGACTCCATCTACAGTATTGATGAGCACCGTTCGATCGACAAGTTTATGTGTTCCAGGGGCCCCAAAGGCTTCAATGCCATCCACCTTCTTCAACTCACTTAGTAGAACTCTCAGCAGCTTCTCCTGAAACTCTGCCTTGACTTGTTTGCGCTCCTCAAATAACTTATGAGTGTACAACGACCCCAGCGTGTTGCAATACCGCTCCAACTTGTCGGCTGTATCCACAGACCAATCAATGGCACGCATTTTTGACGTTACGTGTCCAGCATAGACGTCTGGACAGCCTGATTTGACCTCATAGCTCGAGTCTGTGAAGTTTCGATCTTTGATTGTTGAATAAAGCAGTTCCGCTCCGGTGTCTGCCAGGGTATCTCGCAGAGACTCAAAGGTGCTATCTCGAGTGATGGGGACTTTCTCTGAAATAGCCACGACTCGTCCTCGGTCGAATTTTGTCGGATGCAGTGTCTGGACTGTCACTCCGGTCGTCTTGTCTCCATTTAACAGAGCATGGTGAATAGGAGCAGGTCCATGGTATTGGGGTAGAAAGGAAGGATGGACATTGAGACCGCCGTACTTTGTGTTTGCCAGAAACTGTTGGGGAATCAAACCTCCATAGCTGACAGCAACTACGAGACTGAAGTCATTGGGCAGAGCATTGATCTCCGTCTTGTTGTCTGCCCGAAGCACCGTAAGGCCGTTCTCTACCGCGAAGTCGGTAATAGGCACATCTTTGAGCTCCTTGAGACCTCGTCCAGCTCGTTTGGGCGGTTTCGTAACGACTGTGACGCTCTCAATGGCACTAGGGTCCTCCTTTTGTAGTTGGAGAACCGCCTGTAATGATTTGATGCTGAATTTGTCACTTCCAAAATATGCGATTTTGAGCGCCTCATCACATGGTGCTGAAGTGCCGAACGTCCTCGACAGGCCACTCCATGTGGCTCGAACAGCTCTAGCCCTCAATGCCCACGTTTTCATCATGGTGTTGAGTTCAAGTTTACATACGAGTCCTGTATTCGTATGTACGCGTCTCTTTAATACAGCAATTATGTACTAGTAATCTGATTACGTAAAGCAGATTTTGGAGATGGAACGAGATATATTGCGACAATTTCTACGCGCTCAATATTAAACAGCTATCATACACTTTACTAACAATCTACCAGTTAATATCCCGCTTAGCAGCCACCAAGCTGCTCCTGGTGAGCCTCGATGGTGTCGCCGTCCTCAATCTGCAGAGTCTCGGGGGTGTCAGTGTCGGTGACTCGCTGGCCGTCGTAGAGGAAACGCAGGGAAGACTTCTGCTTGCCCTGTCGCTGGCAGAAGGCGTCGATCAGTTTCTTGAGCTGTGTGGACTTCTTGATCTTGAAGAAAATCTCCGACGACGAGTCGGTGACCTTGATGTTGACGTGCTCGGAGCTGTCTACCTTGGGCTGTGTTTCCTCAGACATCTGCTGCGTTAGTTTACGAGTGGACAGAGGTGCGTTTCTCTCTGGTTTGTGTCACGTTCGGTACGTCACGTTCACCGTCTCGTGTTGTGCAAGTGCAACTTGAGCGTGGCTGCAAGGCTGAAGCACTCAAAGTGGAGCATACAAGCTCAGTGTATATAAACACACGTACGCCCGCTTGTACTCATTTCTCCTGCACCTTGTCAGCGCCTCTGTTACTTCATCTTTGCCACCATACTCACTTTTGATGTTTGTGTGTAGTTGTGTGATGGATTTCGTGGATTGCACAAACTATGATTGTGAAAGCCGCGACTTCAGGGCTAGGGGTTCCGAAAGGGGCAACTAGATTTGAGCAAACCGGTGTATAAAAGGAAATGAGATGAAGAATAATATTTGCAGCTGAAATCGACGAAAAAAGGAGGCCCGATCATTGGAAATCTATTGTAGGACATAGAGAGGACCTTGGTTACTCACCGTTGCATCCATCTACAGCCATGCTTAATAAGCAAATAAACCTCCGCTAAGCTCACCTCTGAAGGGTTTTTCTGACGAGCATGGGACGACAGACAGGACCAGCCACAGGGACGGGAAGAACCGCATTATTCACGAAAAAAACCCGCCAATTTCGAACCCCAAAGACATTCGACACACTCAATCACGGCCCATGAACTGGCTGAGAAAAATCAGAGTGTTTATCTGGGGAGAGTACAAGAGCACGGCCGAGGAGGAGCACCTGTTGCGCAAGATTGACTGGTTTGTGCTCTCCTTCTGCTGTCTCATGTACTTTACCAACTATCTGGATCGAGCCAATTTGTCCAATGCCTTTGTTTCGGGCATGCGAGAGGATCTCCAAATGTACGGCCGAGAGCTCAACATCGCCAACACGCTCTTCACTGTGGGATACACGGTGGGTATGATCCCCAACAACCTGGCTCTTCAGGTGTTCAAGCCCCGGTACTACTTTCCCTTCTGCACCATGGCCTGGGGCCTATTGACTCTGGGCACCTATGCTGTGACCACATACAAGCAGATCTATGCCATTCGTTTCTTCCAGGGCTTTTTTGAAGCGTCTACGTTTGTGGGCACCCATTTCATCCTGGGATCGTGGTACAGTGGTAAGGAGTTGGCGAAGCGAACCGCCATCTTCACATCATCAGGGCTCATTGGCACACTCTTCTCTGGTTTTCTGCAAAGTGCAGTGTTCAAAGGACTCAGTGGGAAAGGAGGACTAGCCGGCTGGAGATGGCTGTTCATTATCGACGCCATCATCACGTTTCCCGTGGCTCTCTATGGCTTTATTTTCTTTCCAGATACACCAGCGACGACACAGGCCTTTTATTTCGACGAGAAGGAGCGCCAGATGTCTGTCATGCGACTCCCGCCACGCCCAGACACAAAACTAGACTGGACAGTTGTCAAACGGGTGCTTGGACGATGGCACTTTTACATGTTTGGGCTGCTATGGGGCATTGCGGGCGAGGTGGAGTCTCCTCCAGCCAACAACCTGTTTGGACAGTATCTCAAGGCTTCCGGGTGGAGTGTTATTGAGAGTAACAGGTACCCGATGGGCGTTTCTGGAGTCGGAGTGGTGGCTACTGTAGTGGCTGCCTCGTACGTGGATCAAACAGGCAAACACTGGCACGTGGGGGTAGCTGCCGGCCTAGTGGGGATCGTTAGCACGGTTCTGGTGCTGGTGAACCGTACCCCGACCGTCTTTGCAGGCTACTATCTGTGTGGATGTGTCTACATGGTACAGGCAGCGTTTTTCGCCTGGGCCAACGTGGTGACAGCCAACGACAAGGAAGAGAGATCGGTGGTGCTCGCCTCTATGAACATGATCTCCAACGCCACCAACGCGTGGTGGATGGTGGTTTTCTATGGAGCCGACACCGCGCCCGAGTTCCGTCTGGGTATGTGGGCCATGCTGGCCGTTAGTATAGCTCTGATCGGCTGGGTTTCTCTAGTTCGATGGTTGCAGCTGAGAGAAGACAAGCGGGTGGACTTGCACGGCAGTGGAGACGAATCGACAAGTACAGACTGCGGCGATCACGAGGAATACGGCTCCAAGGCGACACGTCTCGACTCGCTGCCGCCGGCGGTGCGCTGCCGGTCACGTGACGTGTCCGCCTTCTAGTCTACGAGCAGTGGGGGTTGATGCTGGGTTCCCATGCGTCCATGTCTACTGTCCCATTGTTGGACTGTTTACCCACCCACTCACCCACCTTGCGCACCTGACTACCCCACACAACTCTAAAGAGTCTCTCATCTTGGAAGCAACTTAGGGTTGGCGGGTGAAGCTCCAGCCTTGTCATTTATTTGCAGTACTCGTACAGTCAAGGTGAGCCAGAGCATATCCGTGTATATAGTTATTTATTACCATGATTGAACAACAGAACATAGAAGCGACCATTACTTGCACTTATACTGGTACTTATGTACTGGTACTGGTACTGGTACCTGGTACTGGTACATACTGTACAGTAGCAATTGTGCGGATTCCGAATCGGGCGGAGCAATCACAACCACGAGCAAATCCACAAGGCAAGACAATTTCCGCCTTCCAAATCAACCCCAAGGTATGTACTTGCAAGGAGGCCCGTATTGTACGACTTGTATCTCTCGTTCAGTACACTCGTACTCACGGTACCCCTCACCTAGCCCGCCGCCTCCCAGACCAAACTTTGGCCACTATTATCAACACCCCTCTTTGGCCTGGTCTATGTTTCTGACGGTGGTGGATTGGGTGTGGTTGAGGCTTGGGAGCAGCTTTTTTTTTTGTTTTTTGGAATGGCCAGTGTCCATGTACGATACTGTACTGAATGTGTATACTTGAATCAAACTAAGGAGCAAGTGGTGGAAGAAGGGCAAGTGGGTGGTGCAGACCTGTGGGGTGGTGCAGGGTTGAGAAGCAGTGAAGGGGAAGAGAGATTCGTACGTACAAGGCTGCAATTGCCACCTCGGGCTAGACAAGCCGCCTGGTCTCACGCCTGCACTAATGTTAGCGTGCGGGTCCAAGCAGATAAATACGTGCGATGCTGTCGGGCGACCGTGACGCTCCACGCCGCATCTGTAACCCTTTGGAGTGCTCTTTTTTAGGTCCCAGGGGTGCTGCTCACACACCCGCTTGACACCCTCTATCGACCCTACTCCCAGACACTCTTGCCTCGCCCCACTCCAAACTCAGTCACGCAAGCTAATTTGGACATTGGACCACATCTCAAAAAAGTGTCAAAACTTAGAGTCTACATCCCACTGACACGGAGTGTCAGGAATCCTCATTCAAACAGACAGCCAGACAGCTAGAAAGAAGCAGACAAGAGAAGCAGCCCGAGATAGATTTCAGCTCCACCTCGCCTGCATCACTCAACCACCTCGTTGCTGACTCATACACCACTCTAAACCTCCCACCAACCAAGACTGACTCTACTCACTACACCACCACTACACCGCACCATGGAAGACGACTCTGCGGTAGCCATGGACGACAAACAGTTCGAGGAGGCCCTGCCACCATCGCTCAGAAGCGGAGGGCTCTCGGCCGTGTCCTCTAGAAGGCCCTCGTACGTGTCTGAGTTTTCCTCTCGCCCAAAGCTCGGCTCTCAACAGAGCTTTGAGCGCACCCCCATGGACTTTTTGGGCTGGCAGAGCCAGAACGGCTCAGCCCACAACAACAACAACAACAACAACAACAACAACACCGCCAACACCAACGCTTCCACTGCCACCGCCAACAACGTCGGCACCCCTGTGACCTCCCATGCAGACGCCTTTGCCGAGCCTCTCACGTCCACCTCGTCGTACCCGTTTGTGGCAAAACCGGCCTTCGATGTCGACCGATGGCTCGACGAAAAGGGCGAGGGCAACCAGCAGCGTCCCCGCGCAGACTCCAAGACAGGCCTCTTCCCCCAGGGCTGGAACATTTGGGCTCACGGCGACAAGGACTCGCCCTCCGGCAAGGGCCACGCACACACCAACTCATCGGACCTGGCACCCATCGGTACGGGCTCTCCACAGAGCGTGCATCCCGTGCTTGCCCGAACCAAGTTCCAGCGGTCGCTGTCTGTGTCCCTGTCTCGTGACGACGACGCCGACGTGCTGGCCGAACAGGTACAGCGAATGAACCTGCAGCAACGCCAGCAGTTTGATCGGCCCTTTGGCAAGGTCTGGCACGACCAGCAGCAGCAGCAGAACTCTCCGCAGCAACACTCCCCGCAACAGTCCCAAAAGAGTGCGGCGCTGCCACCACACATGCAGCAGCAGCAGCCCGAGTCGCGACGACATTCGTATGCGGCCCCCGGAGTGCAGACCGTCTCTGCCGGAGTGCCTCATAATCTATCGCAGTCCGACGCACAGGACAACTCGGCGCTGCTGACGCACATCCAACAGGCCGAGACGGGCCGGGACGTGGAGTCGTACTTTGACGACAAGCCCCGCGACAAGGACCTGGCGCAGGAGCTGCTGCAGAAGGAGCTGGAGCAGCGGGAGCGTGACCACGTCAAGGACGCCATGCCTTCGCGAAAGCTCTATCTGGTGAGATTCAAGGGCGGCCGGACCGACGTGTTTTTCGTGCCAGAGGCGTCCAATCTGGTGGTCAAGACCGGCGATCTGGTCATTGTGGACGCAGATCGCGGCCGCGACCTAGGTAAGGTGACTCGCGACAATGTCACGTCCGAGGAGGCCACCCAGATGAAGCTCAAGCAACAGCAGGAGCAGATGGCCGTGTTGCAGCAGACAACCGAGCCAGACGCAAACTCGCTGCCCGCAAACTCGTCGCTGGTGGTGCCCAAGCAGATTCTGCGGTTTGCTCAGGCAAACGAGATCCAGCAACTGCAGTCCAAAAAGATGGACGAGGACAAGGCGCTCAAGCTGTGTAACCTCAAGGTGTCCGAGCGGGGTCTCAACATGAAGATCCTCAATGCCGAGTACCAGTGGGACCGCCGAAAGCTGACCTTCTTCTACTACTCGGACTCCCGAATCGACTTCCGAGATCTGGTGCGCGAGCTGTTCCGGGTGTACAAGACGCGAATCTGGATGTGTGCGGTCAACCCCAATTCCACCACTTCTTTCAGTCCTGGAATCAGCGAGGTGGCCATTCACACGGACGACAAGCAGTCTAAGCAGACCCAGCAGACTCAGCACAACCAACACAACCAGCACCAGCAGACCCAGCAGCAGCATCAGCAGCATCAGCAGCAGTCGAAAACCCCCGTCCAGCACCAGCAACCACAGGGCCAGTCTCCACATGTCAGCCACCAGGCCGGGTTCCAGGGCTCTCCTAGTCGTCAGCTGAACGGACATGCACATGGTGCTACTCACGGACACCCACAGACCGGCCAGCCTGGCCATCCACAGCCTGGTCAAGCCCCCTTCTCTTATCAAGGACCCCCCGGGGGCCCATGGGACTACCAGTACATGTACGAGCAACGACCTTCGTATCTTGTTAACGGAATGTACACTCAGGGCTATCCCAACTACAACTATGGCGGATTCCAGTAAATGCGAATCGCCACGGTGGTAACATGTTTGATTATTTATGTTAGAATATTAGAGATGAGCTAGAATATAAAGCAATGACAGTATAAATTGGTACAACTAAGTGCTGTAGCCTCCGAAACCGTAGCTCCACTTGCCCCACATCCACCGCATTCCATGACAGCCCATTTTGTGGCATGTTTATTGCAGCGAACTTTACAAGTATATGTCATCACGCATAATCGTGAGTCTGAAGACAACCTTGCTCTTGTATACGAAGTGCGGGTGGTTTGACGTTTCAGACTGCTTGGGAAGCATATGACAGACTGAGACACGGACATACATCGAGGTTTGGCATTCCAGGTCCCGATCTGCCGCATTAGAAGTCTCGATCCAACAAAGTCGATCATTAATGTTCTACGTGATTACGTCATCCAATCATAACATCATATCATGATCATTCAGCATTACTCTGTCTATATCTCCAAACACGCTGCTGGTAGACATTGTGCTGTACGGCTGCGTTAGTAGGGTATCACACGTCTTCATCAAGAGTTCATATTGTACTCACTCAAGTACCGCCAGTGAAACACAACGTTTGAATGGTATGTCCGGTGGCCAGGCGTCGAGTAACAGATGCACCGCTGGCTGTGACTTCTGTGGCACCACCGGAACTTGTGGTAGTGGTCTATAGTTGGTATCGGTTGGGGTATCTGTACCAGGTCGGGATACAGTCTCTGAGGGATCATCTCATCAAGTATAGTGGCTTCAGCAGGTATCAGAGGTATCAGCAGGGGTGTCGTAGATATCAGCAAGTGTAGCGACTAGTGCCAGGCACCGTTGGGGAGGGGAGTGCGAGTGCAAAACTGTGAGAGTGAAAAGAGCCCTTATACCTAAAGGCAGACAAGGTCGGGCACAAGTCACAAACACAAACTGTGGTCAGAGGGTCAAATCGATAATTTTGAGAATCTCACTGGCCTTGGCCTGGAACCCGGACATCTGGGACTCGGTCTCCTGGCCATGCGACTCCAGCTTCGCAGCGTGTCGGTCGACAGTCTCCTGGATCTCCTTATAGCCCACAATTCGGGCCTTTCGAAGCTCCACGAGACGGTTGATCAGGGAAGCTGCCACCTCGGCCAGTCGAGTTCCTTCAGCCTGCCAGTCGTCAAAGGAAATGTTGTTGAACCGCTCCACACGTGCCAGCTCCTGGAACTGGGCGTGAGGGACGACAGTGTCGATCAGAGTCTCCTTGACCCGAGCCATGTCGACCTTGTCGGAAAACTCGGCCACAGAGAGGTCCTTTTCACAGCCCACATAGGGTGGAACCTCCTGGATGTGCACAGGTAGCTCTGAGAAGAGAGATGCCGCCGTAGCTGACTGTTGCACCGGGTGGGTTGGAGAGCCACCATTGTTGTCGTGCTTGGTCGAGTCAAAAGCAACTTTTCGAGCCCGTCGCTCTTCCTGAGTTAGTCGCCATCAAGACATATTCCGAAAACCCCCACCATACTCACCTTTTCCCTGTCCTTTTCCTTTTCCTTCTCTCGTCGTCGACGCTCCTTGTCCTTGTCATCACCTCGTGATTCTCCTCGTGATTCGCCCCGAGACTCTCGTCGTTCGCGCTCCCTGCGTTTTGCTTCCTTGCGCTTCTCGCGCTCAGGATCAGCCGTCTTTTCCTTTTCACGGCGTTCCTTTCGTCGGGCCTCCTTTTCGGCGGCTAGCTTCTCGGGCGACGATGGTACCTTTTCGGCGTCAACGTTAGCGACCTCCTTGGCTCTGGTTTCGTCCATGGTGACAAATCGAGACTGTTTCGTGATGTTGTGGCGTTTTTTCGTATGTAGCACAAATACTGTAGTGGTGACTAAGAGATTATCAGGCTCGAGACGCGTCGACACAAGGAAATGGGTTGGGAGACAAAGAGAATAAGGTTCTAACGCGGCTAATATATTCATTGTTTAGCCGCGTATCTACATACACCGTGCATAAAACCTGCAATTGGTAAGCCATGACACACCAGTTAGTAGAGGAATCGTGGTTGTGCACTACGCAGGTTGAGGACTGTCGGGTTAGGGAACGTATACTATTTTGGTATATTTGGGTGATATTTCGATAGCTCTGTAGGTCCCGCGCATCTTTATGCCCGTTGAAATTGCGGAACGGAGATATAAGGTGGGCAAAAGTGTTACTGTATTTTGATCCCGCTCTGCATGTCTCGAATCATATCTGGAGTTATAAGGAGCTTGGTTTGGCCTCCAAGTTTCTTTTAGATCAGATAATCTTGTCTTCCTCGACTTCCTCGACTTCCTCGACTTCCTCGACTTCCTCGACTAGCAATGGCAACAAAGGGCATTGAAGTGAATGAGCTGGCCCTCGAGAGTCCTGCTCAAAAGAGCCCTGTGTCTGAACAGGACCTTCACAGTAGCCCAGTGTTTTCTGAAAAGCACATCCAGACACACACAGTCGACGGCATCGAATTAGATACCCCTCCTACACCTCCACAGACGCATCGCAATGTACAGGGTCGGCCAGAGGTGTTCTCATCCACAATTGTGGAAATACTCTGCATCTTTCTTATGGCTCTGGCTACCATGCTGGAGTCCATTTCCATTGGGGCTCTTCTAGTAGCCCTTGAGGACGTGTCTGCTGCCTTCAAGGTCGATGGAGGAGAGCTTTCCTGGACTCTGTCTGCTTTTTCCCTCGGTACCGGCTCGTCTCTTCTCATTATGGCAGGTATCGCAGACGCTTTTGGACGTAAGAAGGTGCTTCTTGCAGGCTATGGAGTGTTTGCTCTGACATCTCTCATTTCGGGGTTTGTCAGAAACGACATAGCGTTTGATGTTCTAAGAGGACTTCAGGGTCTGGCTACCGGTGCTGCTGTTCCTGCTGCTATCGGTATCCTTGGCTCTCTCTACCGAAAGCCCAGCCGACGAAAGAACTACGCCATGGCCTGTTTTGCAGCAGGCGCACCTATCGGGTTTGTTTGTGGACTTGTCATTGGCGGAATATGTGCCGAGTTCATTGGCTGGAGAGGTATCCTCTTCTTTCTAGCCATCATCTACGCTATTGCATGTATCGGAGTCTTCTTCGTGGTCCCTGCTGACGCGCCTCTGACTCTCAAAGAGGCTAAAGAAAAGATGCTTGTACAGGATTACGGAGGAGCGTTCCTCTGCCTCACAGGCTTCACTCTGTTTGTGTTTGCAATGACACAGGCCGATGCGGCTCCTGAAAAGTGGAACACGCCCTACATCATTGCTCTCATCGTTCTTGGGGGCGTCTTCATTGGGGTGTTCGTGGTGTACGAATGTTACGTTCCAACCAACCCCATCATGCCTCCTCACATCTGGAAATGTGTAGGCTTCCCCATTTGCATGGCCTGCTCAGCTCTGGGAATTTCCACCTTTCTGGGAACCAACCAATTCTTCATGACTATGTACTTCCAGAAGGTCAAGGGCACAGGACCCATTCTTACAACTGCTTACTTTGTTCCTATGGCCATTGCAGGGGTCTGTGTAAACATATTTGCAGCCATGACTCTCCACATCATTCCAGGGCGCATTCTCATGATCATGGCGCAGTGTGGTTTCCTAGGGGCATCTCTTCTCATGGCCTTCACGAAGCCCACAACCATCTTCTGGGCCCTCCCCTTTCCAGCAGAGATTCTGTCAGTTCTTGGTGCCGATCTGGTCTACAACGTGTCTACTCTTCTGACCATCAATTCAGTAGGTGAAGAGCTGCAGTCTAGAGCAGCCGGTATCTTCAACACCATCACCATGCTGTCTGCTGCCGTGTCTCTCGGTGCCTCCAGTTCGATTGTTTCCACCAAGATCGTGGACGAGAAGACAGCGACCAAGCAGGAGTTCAATGACGGGTACCACTACGCTTTCTGGTTCTCCGTTGCCTGTGCAGGGGCAGGTCTGATTCTCAGTTTCTTCTTGAAGCTGGGTGTGACTGGAGGAGACGAGAAGCTTGAGGATGAAGAGAGCGAGTAGTCATGGGCGTGGCGATTCGATTTACAAGCCGATTCATGTCGTTTTGCAGCGGCGATGTGTCGATTCCAAAAAGGATTGTCCAACACAAATGCTAACACAACGTAGAGTACGAGAAGTTCACGCATTCCTATAATAGATCCAGTAAATGAGATCACCAGCAATTGTAAGGTACTGTAAACAATAGATGTTGTCAATCTCTTGCAATTTTTGGCAAAAAAGATGTTGATCAGCTGAGAAGCTACCGGAATTTAACCGGCTATTGTTTCCTCCACTGTCAATTCCTTAGAATTTGACATGGACAGGAATTGAACCTGCAACCCTTCGATTACAACCTGGACGACTGGAGTCGAAAGCTCTACCATTGAGCCACCACATCAACATCGTGTTTTGATGGTTTTCCTGGCCTCGCAGTTTTGAAAAAAATTAAAAAAACCACTCGAGTCTGGATAAGACATGAAACGATTGATATGACTTCTTGATCTGTTAGCCATGATTCACTACCACGAGACCACGACAATGACATCAACTAGACAAAGCGTCGACAAACCAACCGACAGCGCCCCGCAGCGCACATCGCAAAGATTCAGAAGTGTATGATTTATTGAACGCCAATAACCCGGCTTACTACAAGTAGGTATATAGCTGTAATGAATCATTAGAATAAAAAAAAAGAAAAAAAAAAAGAAAAAAAAAACCAATTCAAGCTCGAATTTGGACCCAATTGAAGATGATTCCGAGATTTATATTGGCTTGAGGTCGTTTTTAGTAACTCGATATACCCCACTTAGTTCAGATTATGACGTAAGACCGATATTAAAAGGTATTGATGTTGTGCTGAGAAGGACCATCACTATGAGGGGACGTGCATGGGTACTTTGTAGATAGAGGTCCTGAATGTGTGAAACATTGTTATATTCTTGAACAACTGCAAAATCTGACATTGTTACAAATCGTGTTGATTTATTTTGCTTATTTGTCAGCAGTTGCACTCCTATCGGGTAACCTACCCCGATACTGTACATACTCAACAGCTAGTCTTCCGAGCCAGACTTGTCCTACCCATAGAAGGAAGTCAATTATTAATCTACAATACTATCGACTTGATGATGTCCTTGATGAAGAGTTCAGTTCACCATCACCGAGTGCATCGTCAGTTCATTCGAAAATGTAATTACAGTGCCATGAGCTCTCCATGAGGCATAAGTAAGTAGTTGAGTGTGGTCTTTTAAATATTCGTCCTATTCGACACCCCTTTAGATGTCTACACTCATACAGTATATTCTGTATTACCCCTACTGAGCCTCTTCTAATTTTTCGCACTACTGTCGAGAGAAAAACGCTATTAGTAAGTATCAAGTGGGGAATCGGGGCGAAGAGGTGCTCAGACGTGATACTACTCTGGATTATTTAAACACGTAATTCTACCCCATTATTTTGGTGAACTCATCAATCTTACCATGTCAATTACCGACTCATTCAAGCTGAACGACGGCCACTCTATTCCTGCTCTAGGACTAGGAACTGCGTCCGATGGCAACGTTGAAGAGGTCGTTTATGCTGCTATCAAAAACGGCTACAGACACATTGATACCGCTTTCATCTATGGATCTGAAGTGGATGTGGGTAAGGGGATCAAGAGGGCAATTGACGAAGAACTAGTCAAACGCGAGAACCTGTTTGTCACCACCAAAGTCTGGCCCACTTTCTACAACCGAGTCAGTGAGTCTCTGGATATTTCTTTGAAGGACCTGAGTCTTGACTATGTTGATCTTCTACTTGTTCACTGGCCTGTGTCTCTTTTGGCGGACTCGGACGACCCCCGTGCTATCTATCTTGTGAATACAGATGGATCTGTGAGGTATAGTGACTCTTTGGACGACTGGATCACGACATACAAGCAGATTGAGGAGGAGAAACTATCTGGCCGAACCAAGTCTATTGGCGTCTCCAACGTCAGTGAAGTGTATCTCAAGCGACTTCTTGATCAAGTGAAAACCGTCCCTGCCGTCAACCAGTTCGAGATCCACCCCTACTTACCCCAAAAGAAAGAAATCGAATTCAATGAAAAGCATGGCATTCTTGTTACAGCCTTTTCTCCTCTGGGATCTTCCACCGGTGCTCTCAAACTACATGAGAACCCCATCGCTGTGGAAATCGCTCAGAAGCACAATACCTCTACTGGCTCGGTACTCATCAACTGGCACGTGTCTCAGAAGCGGGCAGTTCTCCCCAAGACTCGATCCATTGAACGTGTTGTAGCCAACGGTATGAAAGTACCTCTCGACCAAGGTGACCTTGATAAACTGGACAAGATCTGGCTGCAGACGGGTACCCAGAGAGCTATTGGACTCAGGTGGCTAGACAAGAACGGAGATTATCTGGGGTTTTCTGAAGATGATATTGAACACAAGCACATTTGGGCTAAGGACTGATCGACAAAGCTGGTACAAGTAGAGGAATAGACTAGATTACTTATTCAAATATTTCATAGTCTTGATTTTCTTTACCTCTAGGGTGGCTTGCAATTGGGCTTGCAAGTGAGCATGGATTGGCACATAATACACTATGTACTTGTACAAGCGGTTTTATGATGCAATGGAACAGGATCAAAAAAACAATTCATATAGTTCATATAGAACAATCGTGTTGAGCAAAAAAGTGATTTCTGGCAGGATCGAACTGCCGACGTTCTGCGTGTTAAGCAGATGCCATGACCAACTAGACCAAGAAACCCAGATATTGGTTTGAAAATGGGTTGGAGCTTCAGATTGTGTAAAATAGAAAAATTTACCGGATTTAATAGATATAGAGCCGTTTTCTATACCATGATATTATATATTCTCTTTTTTCTTGTAATTCTAAATCACAGCTTAATCAGGCAGTCAGATAATAAGTTTTGGAGGACCTGAACCAATCAAAGCAAACCTCCGTTTGAACGAAGTTCTCTTGCTGATGTTGTAGTATTCATATGAAGAATAAAGTAACTTCATATTATTATTCGGTTGTTAATAAATAATTCTGCAACTTCTTTCAATCATTCTGCTTTCATTTGTAGCGTTATCACTCGTCTTCAGTTCGTGTTGTTGCTTTAAAACTGGTATAACTCGAGTGAGATCGGGCCGTGACGCCTTTGAAGATTATTACTATGGTCTTACATTAGAAGACCCGAGATCATTAAGCTAATAGCATCACTCACAGATGTTCAGAAGATACCCACACGGGCTTGATACAAAAGCGGCACACGCAGACCCCAACTGTGTAATCAGACGAATACGAGCTCCAGGAGGAATGGAAGGTCTGTAAATAACATAAAATATTTTCTTTGGACCATTCTAACAGGTCCCCACCTCATAATGGTCACTGTGGCAGAAGTCCCATGTGTTATATTGTGCAGTTGTTTCCATGAAGACTCGCCGAGTGTCTGTCCCGTGCATTCTGCTACTAGAAAAGTTGATCTTGTCAGAGATCTTCAATCAATACTAGCAACTTAACGAGTACCTGGCCTTTCCTTGTAGGAATTACGAACAACTTTTCTTGTGTTTTTGACTAACCCTGACTAACCCTGACTTTCACAACTTGTCCCAAGATGGGCAGTTTCTACACGTTTTCAAGATTGATAAGTTGAAAAAATAATGATGTTTCCCCAGATACTTGTCTCAGATGTTATCTACAACAATCTATTTACAGCTTTCTCGAGTTGCTTCTGTTTAGCTAACGTCGCTATCCATGAAAACATACCTTTCAAGAACATGGGTACAGTAAGTATGAAAGCAGAGAACCCCGCGAAATCAGCGAATCGAGTTCAAGGATCGTTGATAAACTGCTTCTACTGAAAACTGGTGCTCTTATTGCTATGTCCAATACTATCCCATGTTTCGCCGCAACCAAAACACACTTGCGGACCATTATTAGCCAATCAAAAGAGCCCAACAGGTTATGATTGTGTAATAACTCACATGGTTGAATGGTTTGTAAGCCTCTCGGCACTAACCTGAAAGAGCACATCTCCTGTATTGCACTACCATCTTATAAGCATCCCCACAATACATGTTCTTTTCTCTTCTCTTCTTCATACCGTTCAAGTACAGTTGCACAACCCTAATGTGCTAATCAGAGACTCTAATTGGTGTGGCGATTGAGGGTAAGAGCGCGTATTTGTTAAGATAATTGTAGGGTAAAACATATGTACTGTTGGATATTGTGATTCTCCGGGTGAATCTGAGTCTCTCGAACCAATTTCCATCTCTCTGCTACACTTACAACACCCCTTTCCACTCTCCTTTCCTTCGCTCCCAACAAACTCACTTACACTCAGCTACTCTCTACTTACACGCACGTCTATCACGCTTCACAACCCACGATATGCCCTCTCAACGGTGGACTCAAATCAACCAGGGGCCAGATCGCGACTCATTGGAGCTCGCGTCGTTGGCCTCGTCACACTCGGACGGTAACGAGGTCCATTCACCTTCCTCCTCACGCAACCTGTCCCCCTGGGACTCGCCCATTGGTTCTGATTTTGGAGACGACAGAGAGCCGCTACATGAGCGTACAGAGAGTGGTCACACGGTGGAGTCATTCCAGCTGCAGCAGAGCACGGATGTCGGCCCGCAACAGGCTCTGGACAAGCAGAAATCGCTCACGTATTTCAACTGTCTGGCGCTGGTGATGGGTTTGCAAGTCGGATCGGGCATCTTCTCGTCGCCAGGAACAGTTGATCACAATGCCGGGTCAATTGGCTCGGCGATCATCGTTTGGGCGGTCGCCGGAGTGCTCGCCTGGACTGGAGCCTGCTCATACACCGAACTGGGCTCCACTATCCCTCTGAACGGTTCGTCGCAGGCGTACCTCAACTACGTTTTTGGGTCTCTAGCCGGTTTTCTGTTTGCGTGGGCAGCTCTTATGGTGCTCAAGCCGGGAAGTGCAGCCATCATTGCTCTCGTGTTTGGTGAATACGTGGTCAAAATGTGTATTGGCACAGACACGCCTGCTCCCTTTTGGGCTGTCACTCTGGCAGCTCTGGGCGGACTGGCATTTGTGACCGGCCTCAACTGCTTCAGCACCAAGAGCAGCACCCGGGCTGGAAACGGCTTTCTGGTTCTCAAACTGGGTCTTCTGCTGCTCATTTTCATTGTCGGAATCGTAGGAGTGGCCAAAAAAGAGACCCGGAGTGCCCAAATCAGCGAAAACTGGTTCAACGGTGCATCCACGAAACTCGGCAACTACGCCGTTGCTCTGATTGCCGGAGTCTGGGCCTACGACGGATGGGACAATGTCAACTACGTGACGTCGGAAATGAAGAACTTTCGAAGAGACCTGCCACGTGTCATCCACACGGCGATGCCAGTGGTCATCTTCTGCTACCTGCTGGTCAACCTGGCCTACTTCATGGTGCTGGACAAGGAAGAGGTGCGGTCCACCCAAACGGTGGCTGTGCTGCTGGCAGGACGGGTGATGGGACGTGCAGGAGAAATCATCGTCTCCTTGTTGATTGCGCTATCGTGTCTTGGCGCGCTCAATGCCACAACCTTTACTGCTGGCCGGTTGGCGTATGCATCTGCTCAGGAGGGACACTTACCTAAACTGTTTTCCCGATTAAGCGCCCGAAACACCCCCATCTACTGCATTTTGATGGAGTGTACCTTGGCGGCTGTCTTCATCTTTTTTGGCGGCTTTGAGTCGCTGGTCATGTTCTACGGAGTGTCTTCGTATCTCTTCTACTTTGTGACCGTGGCTTCCGTCTTGGTGTTGCGGTTCAGAGAACCCGAGCTTGATAGACCGTATAAGACATTTCTCACCACGCCAATCATTTTCTGCTCGGTTGCACTGTTTCTTATTTCCTACGGCTTCTTTGAGAAGCCCAGACAAGCTCTCTTGTCGCTTTTGTTTATTGGTTCAGGAATTCCCGTTTACTTTTTGCGTCATTATGGATACATGGGCGTGAGCGAGCCGAGAGCATGAACATGAGCGTGAGCGAGCCAAGAGCACGGGCAAGAGCATGGGCATACGTTCATATTCCAGCGAGCGTAGCGAACATTAATTAGTTAAACGGCTAGGAACTTCGCAGCTCAGGTCGTACAACACACAACAGCCACTTACGGAGCAAAACACTCTCTATTGACTCTCTCTGTTCCATTAGAAGAACGTGGGTGGGACAATCGCCACCTTTCTGCCAACTACAATGCCCTACAATGCCCCTTCTGCATATAACAATCCTAACCTGTCCTAATCTGTCTGTCACCGCTGGCATCCACTAATTTGTTTCACGTGTCTGGATAACTCAGGCCGCCAAGATATTGCTTCCAGAAGCGTCCCTGGCCCAAGCCCTGCTGATCTAGCCTTCGATATTACTCTTGGCGGTCTACAAGTAGTCCCTGTACTGTACGGCATGTACGTGTAGCCACAAGGTAGAGTGTAGTATGATTCATGTGGTAGTCATGATTGGTAAGATGAGGTATTTTCAATTGGAGACGATGGAGACAGGAAAAGACCGTGGTGATTGGTTCAATAGACATTTTGGGCAGTGTATCACGCTCGGAATCGTCGTGGTTTACCGCCCAGCCCTAACTATGTGTGTTGGTAGTCTCCTCTATGAACACAGCCTAATTTTTATCATGGGCTCAAAAAAACAGCCTAACCTTTATCGGTCTTAGTTATTGTACTCGTATAGATAAGTGGTGACATATTGATAATGGAGGTGGTTGGTGGCGGTAGCTTAGATGTGTTTATCTGATCGTCGCGCTATACCTGTATTGCTCTAGGTCTGTACTTGTGCGTGTAGTCATAGCCTGTCTCACTGTCGCTTCCATCTCAACTTATAATATGCACCCAAATCATAACCTGATGTCTTCCACTCTCACACACATGCTGGGACACAACAAACGACCGACTGTAACCGCTCCAAAGGTGCCTTCGGGCTCGCGATCTGTTTCATCTGACGCAGAGAATCGCCCGGACAAACCATCCTTGGGGAAAAACCCACACAAGACAGAAAAAGAAACTTGTGGTGAAGTGTTCGCTACAAGAACCAACACCGATACTCAGATGAGCCAGGCCAAGCAATAAGACCAAAGTCGAAGGGGCGGTGCAAGGCTGTGTGACCCCCAGATACTCCCCCATGGCCTCCACAGAGTATCAATACTGTACTCTTCTACTTGCACTAGCGACTATCAAACCATCGATTTATTAATATATATGCCTTGTCTGTAGTTCTTCATCGTCATCTTATGGTGATGTCCTCTGCACACGCACGGTCTACACCTCCCGTTTCAGGTGTCTCTATTGTTACCTGTTTAGGCGTCTGGGTTGTGTCTCGGTCGCTTTGTGAGACACGGTCTTGAGACACTGCTTTTACACTGCAACTGTCACCGCAACTCCTGCAACGGCAAAACTGCCTTTCTTACTTAGCTGTAGGCAGGGTGCGGAAGCAGCCTCCGAGATTGAAACAATAATAAACAGACGAGATGAAGACGAGCAAAAACAGGTGATTCTCCGGCGCTATACGGCTCGTAACGCACGGTAATGTGCTCAAAACGGCTCAGGGGAAAATGACTCAGCAGCTCTTCTGTATACAATGCAGTTTTCATTGCAGTTTTTCACTGCTCAAAATCTTCTCAACCCCTATAACTCCATCTCTGACAGGGTCTATGAGCTAATATGTGACCGGATGTGGACGCTTTGGGTCGATAGAGAGCTGCTGAAACGGCCAGGATTCGGTCTATGCTTCTGGTTGGAGAACTGACTATCATTTTATTACACCTATCCCCGATTGTTCGACCTATACAAGTTTTCCCAGTGCTTGCACTCGCAGTGTTTTAGCGTGGTTTGAAACCACCTACAGACCATGCCGGTTAGATGGAAAAAGCAAGTTCAAGTCACATCAAACGGCCGGTACAAGAATACAAACAAGCACAAGGCTACACCTGGTCAGCGTCATTCAACCTTGTGACTTCCCGCACAATACCCGATCTTGTTGCATACAGTAATTGCTCTACAGCAGGGGTGGTGTGGAAGCCCGGTTGACCAGCAGGGCCTATAGGTCATAGCTCTGTGGTCACCACTGCATCCTTCTGGAAGCCGCTATTAATAAACCAAGACAAAAACAATCAGAGACAGATCCCGACAGCCCTTTGCACGCCCTACATACGATCCCACGCTCGCCATCGCTTCGTATGTATTACGGGTCATCCCATGCACTCCTAAAAAAGCCAGTTAGACCTTAACATGAAACGCACGCGTGTTCGAGGAATGTGCGATCTCGCGTGGTGGTGAGCGGCTGAGGAGGTTGGTGATGTCTACTGATGGTCTCCGATCTTTGTTACCCATCGGGTTTTGACCCCCCACCGTTGTCATAAAATCGAGACTATTACTCAACCTGACAAATGGGCTATGTCGCTTGGCTATGTTACCTTGGCATACCAAGAACCACTACAACTTCTACATGTGCAAACTCTACTGGAGCTGGTACCCGCGTAGCCAGGGCTTCCAGACATGGCGGAAAGGCCGTGTAGGGCGCTCACACAAAGAAAAGGAAAAAAAGAGCAGAAAGAAAAACGGTTCGGAGCCTGCGTCGTATCTAGTATAAGATGAATGACAGCCGCCGGGGTCCATGAGTTGGAACCAACAGACTACCGACACATGCTCATCTTCCTGCTGCTACTGACGACCGCCTGGGCCCGTCCTCTGCTCACAGACAGAGGCTACCGCTGGCAAGAAGCCTGCACGGAGGCCCTGGCATACGTGCCCTTTGAGTCCTCCAATCCCAGAGACATTTCCATTCTGGGAACCCGATGCCACTACCAGCCTGCTCTGGGCTCGGTACTGCTCTGTGTACACAGAAACACCATCCCGGAGGAGCTGGACTGGTCGTACCGGTCGCTCATTGAGAACTGCGAAGATAAGGGTTATTTTCTGACTCAAACCGATCTCTTCTACGCCTGGATGAACGCCTCCGAGTTCGAGGACACGGCCTATGAACTGCCCACTGGCCCCACTAGCGGTCCTCTTGTTCACAGACCAGTCTCCGTTCCCAATGACACCTTCGCTACCTACTATCATGTCATTGATGAGGCCATTTACTACACCAACTTTGCAAGTTACTACTCGTACGGACTGGGGTTCTTCTGGGCAGTCGTCTTCTTCTTTGGAGTCGTTTCCAACTTCATTGCCAAAAACGCCCACAATGTCACTGCTCGGTTTTTTGCTGGCAAGAAAACCAACATGGTGCGTCGACACTTTTTCATGTCGGCTCTGGGATCTCTCAAACACAATGTCCCGCTGTCTATCCGACGCATGGGCATCATGGCCGTCCCCACTCGAGCCCAGTTTGTTGTCACATTCATCTACGTCTTTGCTGAGATCCTCTACATCTTCATTGGGCTCGCCATTGCTCCCCGAGGTCTTCCTCTCAAAGATTTACAGGCCAACTGGGTCAAAAGCATTGCCAATCGCTCGGGAGGCATGGCTGTGACCCAGGTGCCGTGGATTTTCCTCTTTGCCGGTCGTAATAACATCCTTATGTGGATGACTGGATGGGGCTTTGACACCTTCAACGTGTTTCACCGGTGGATTGCGCGAATGTGTGTGCTACACTCACTCATTCACACCATTGCTTATGCTATGAGCGCCCATAAGTACAATTTCCTAGAGGCTGGTCTGCATCTGCCGTACTTCAAGTGGGGCATAGCAGCTACTGTCTGCTGCGTGGCTCTTTGTGTCCAGGCCTTTTACTACTTTCGACATTGGAAGTACGAGGTCTTCCTGGCTCTGCACATTGTCCTGGCGCTCTTCTTCCTTATTGGCGTCTGGATTCATATCGACATGTTCCACTGGTGCGAATACGTCTACGCCGCTGGAGCCGTGTGGGTCTTCGACCGGTTCATGCGCCTGTTTCGAATCTGGTGGTCAGGTGTCTGCGTTGTTGGCGACTTTCAGATTGCTGATGAGAAGCAGAAGATTATGCGAATCACCATCGACTACTCGCGCATGTGGGAGGTCTATCCAGGAGCTCACCTCTATCTCTACGTGCTCAACTCCAAGCGCGTGTGGGAAAACCACCCCTTCACTGTCTATCAGTCTCCTCAAGCTACTAGAGACGGACGACTTAGTCTCATGGTGCGGGCCAAGGAAGGCAAGACTAAGGAACTTTACAACTCCATTCTCGACAGCAAAATGAACACCGTCCAGTACAACTGTCTGGTGGAAGGCCCCTACGGCAACTCGCATCCTGTTCACAAGTACGACACCTGCATCATCATGGCAGGTGGAATCGGAGTTACTGCTGCCTACGCCTACGCCGTTTCCTGCCTCAACCAAGAACGAGTTATGGGTCGTCAAAAGATTGTTTTCGTTTGGGTTCTTCCTACTGACGAAGCCCTCCAGTGGTTCAAACCTGAGCTCGACTTCTTGCAGCAGTTTGGCAACGTTGAGGTCCAGCTGTACTTCACATCCAAGAAGTACCGAGTGGAAAATGAGATGGAGAAGATGGTATTCGACACTCCTGAAAAGAATGTAGGCTCTCCACCTCCGGTGCCCAAGAAGGACAGTGTCTTTGTCAACATCATGCCTGTGTCTCCCTTTGAGCGAGAACTTATCCCCCCTCGAAATAGCAGTCTGCCCAAACATCCCAAGCTGATGCGATCGTCTTCTCGATCAAATACCAGTCCAGCTGCCTTTGGACAAGACCAACATTTCCGAACTGGCTCTTCAGATACCCTACTTAACCCCGCAAAAGGCTACTTTGACTCACTTCCCGATAGAAAATCGACCATTCTTGACTACTACACTGAGGAGTCGAGCCCCAGAGTCCGGACTATGGACACCATTTACGGACGACGACCCGACATGAACGCTCTACTCAGCAAACACTTTGAAGAGTGTCGAGGGACCTGTTCCGTCACCATCTGCGCTGCTCCTGCCATGAACGACGACGTCAGAAACGCAGTCACTAACAACATGGACAAGTGCAAGGGCCGAGTTGATTACTTTGAGGAGTCTTTTAGTTGGTGAACAACTGACTGTTATTTATAAATGCATATACACTAATAATACTATACGATAAAGATATACAAGTAAAAGACAAGCTGTCGTGTGGTTGGAGATGATGGGCTACAACCGCCTTAGAAGGATATAACCGCTTCAGAAAGATACATTGACTACAACTATGGCATTGTATGCCTCTTTTTCTTATTTTCTTATAGCACAACTTGATCTTGGTCCTCCTATTGCTTGGAAAAATAAATTACGTAATGTGTTTCTGCCTTGATGAAAAACCACGTGATAAAAATGAAAATGACCTCATTAGATAAGTTCTGATCTGGTCGTTCTTTTGGTGTTGGTTTTGATATAAGAGTCTATATATAAAACCTGGGTTATACAACAGGTACGTACAACAGAGAAACACCGCAGGTGCCTACTCTTGGAACAGCTCATGTGTCCCTCGTCAATCAAATGTATCACATTAGTCTATTAAATTGCTTGTCGATTATCCCGACATTATTTTGGGTATGGTAGTTCTCTCTAGGACAAGTCAAAGGCGTACTTGGAGGATCGTCGGATTCGCTGGCCGTAGATGTAGAAAAGGAATGGAACAGGGGCCAGAGCACAGGCCACGAGACCAATTAGCAGACCGGCCCAGTTGACGTGCATGGCATGGAACATGTATCCAGCGAAGAGAGGGAAGACTCCTGCGAAGATGGATCGCATGAAGGTGTTGGCGGCCAGAGCAGAGGCAGCAACAATGAGGTAGGAATCAACAATGTAGTTTAGGGCAGCCACGAAAATGGACATGAGACCGTAGCCAGAAAAGAGACCGGAGACGGTGGGGACGGCCCAGTGGACGTGTTCGTGATAGTTTCCGCTCCAGGTGAACCAGAAGATTCCAATAGGGAAGGTGATAGCTCCAGACATCATGAAGATGAGACGGGCCTCAGGCACGGGCTTGCCGTTGTTTCGTTCCACGGCAGCAATGTATCGGGGCTCGAAGATGAAGCAACCGAACAGGCACGAGAAGATGAAGCCGACCAGGACTCCCAGGTAGGGCAGCTCGCCAATGGTGGGGGACATCTTGTAGCCCTCGATGAAGACAATGGGGTAGGCCTCCAGGAAGAGGTAGAGAATACCGTAGATGAAGGAGGTGTAGATGGTGATGAGCAGCAGGATGGGCTCGGTGAAGAGCATCTTGATGGGCCGCACCAGGTTCTGAGAGATGATGGCGTGTAGGTCGAGCTCGACAACCTCCTGGGAAGCGTAGATGCCCCAGTTTCCGGTTCGCTCTCGCAGCTCCTTGGCTCGCTGTGTCAGCAGCATTGGGTGGTATGACTCCTTGTAAAAGGCAACTGCTAGAATGGCGCCCAGAGCGGCCATGATTCCGGTGATGTACATGGTCCATCTCCATCCGAGGTAGGACTCGGAAATGAAACCTCCAACCACAGGAGCGATAATAGGGCCAATAAAGACGACAGAGGCAAACATGAGCACAGCGATACCTCGCTGCTTGTTGTTGTAGATATCAGCAAAGGCAGCAGCCACCACGACCAAGGGAGCGGAACCGGTACAAGATGCAAAGAATCGGCACAGCATGATTGTCTGGAGGTCTTTGGCGGCAGCCACTCCGAAGGTGAAGCACATGATCATGAAGGCGGAAATGCAAATGGGCAGCTTTCGACCAAACAGCTCGGACAGGGGAGCCCACACAACGGGGCCTGTCGCGAAACCAAAAACATAGAGTGAGATACCCAGAGTGGTGACTTCCTGGATGACGCCATACTGTTTGGCAATGTGAGGGGATGCGGGCGCAAACACGGCCGAGCCCCAGGTGACGACGAAAGTCGAAAAGCCCAACACGCACGAGATCATCAGCTTTTGTCGAAGAGGCCAGTTAAATGGATGCAGAGGGTCATTGGGACCATCGAAGCCCACCAGGTAGGCATCTCGAGAAGGCAGCAGCGGTGGGTACTCCTTACCGTTGCCCATTGGTGGCAGAGGAGCGTTTGTTTCTCTGTGTCTAGGATGTGAGAGGATCTGGGAGAGGGCCTCTTCCTGTGACATGCCTGAGCCTCGAGTATCAACGGGACCCAGACTTGCAACGGCATCGTGCTCGTCTCGCTGTAGCACCTCAGGCTCAGCTGCTTGCTTCTGTTCGTCGCCAGAGTCGTTCATAATATCGTTTGCTTCAGACTGGCCCGAGGACTCGTCGTAGTGTTGTTTTTCGAGATCCATAAGTCGTTGAAGTGTTCAGGGAGGATATCGGACGCGGTCGACGGTATATACTGGTTGATCTGATATTCTCTTTCTACAAAATGGTATAATCGGGGGCTGAACCGCTTTTTATAAACCACGAGAGTTTGGACAAAGTTATGCGTTTGGAGACATGTCGAGACTATTCAGGAGAAGCTGGGGAGAGATAGAATGCTGGAAAGAGCCCCAGAGGGATACTTGAGCATGCTACTTGTGATTTCCGGCTTAAAATCGTGTTTTATTGTCCACAAACCGTCGCTCGGGGTCAATGTTCACATGCCATCCCAATCATCACAGAGCCGCCTTTTGTGGGCTTTGGTGTCGAATCCTAACCTAATGGTCCTTATCACCACTCGGCGTCGGAAATTAGTGAACGCCGACATAGTATAACCGACTGCCGGGCGCGCAGAATCGATCTAACCAGCTTCTATCTTGATACGACGTTGATGGGGATGGTTCTGGTTTCCCTGGTTGTTGCCCTTTGATCTCCAGCAACACCAGCAAGCAACCTATATCTCGCTTCTATACTCACTCCTGTGTCTGTACAGTGTCTCTTTTAGTTTCACGGCTTAAGCATCTGATCAGGTTTTCAGCCGTGAGGATATGCACTTTATCACCCGTTTGGTTTACGTTGCCGGGTGGGGCGAGGTTGCGCAACGTTACTCTGGCCTCTTTGGAGCTCCTGGAGGCGCAACAAGTCCCCATCCGGGGGATCCATGTCTTTGCCATCGCCCCCAAGCCAACCCCATATTTCGGATTTAGTCTCTGGGCTCCGGGAAATGAATCAGCATCTGAGCTTGTTTTTTTTTTGCAAATCTAATGCTAGACACAGGGGCACGAGCGGCAACTGTGTGAAAACGAAAAAGACAGCTGAAACGCTACCGGTAAGTTTGAGGGGGCTCTCAACTTCGGACACAGCTCATATAGCCGTAGTCACGGTTAGCCGCATTCGGTCTTAATAGCGTTAACTGCACGGGTACCTATCCTACCATGACGTCGTATAATTGGTAGCATGCTACGAAGGCCGCTGCCTGGTATGGTTTGGGGGGGAGACTACATCGGGTCGGAGATGGATGGGGACTTCCGATCCTGGCGAACAGGGAGAGACACGAGCATCATCGCCACATTGTCTGAAAACGTCACGCCAAGCATCAGATAACCGGGCCACAACCAACGTCCATGCAGGGAGCAGAAGGACGTGTCTCTAGAAGCAGGCGTCGTACATACGTCATAAGACCGTCGTTTGTATGTGCTAAGTCTCGTCACACTAGCCACCGCTAAAATCATGGGCAGCCTCGGTAGTTACAGTCTCGGTACGGATCCACGGTGTGGACTGTGTGCTTCCGCTCTGCTCACCCACCCTATCTGCCTTCTAGGTTGCTGAAATTTTATTGGCATCCTCTACCGTTTGGTTGCGTGGGTGAAGGATCCGCAAAGTTTAAGAAAACGCAATCCTACAAGAGAAGATAATAGCCAGCCAGGTACAGGCACAACTACTGTACGAGTGCACAGAAGCGCGGGCGGTTGGCGACCGAGTCGGACTTATGCACCCCTGCATTCATTCTAGAATACTACCTAGTATGACTAAGCCAAGTGTCTGGTGTAACTATGGATCTTGCCCACCAACCTGCTCGTTAAATCTTCTCACGCCATCGTATCCATTCACTCTATTCCATCCCTGCTATTTACTCGCTACCCAAAATGTGTACCTAAGTGACTTGGGGAAAGCCTAACGCAAAAGTCGGTTGTTGGACATGCGTCCCCTCAAACCTTGCTGCAACCCTATTTGCCCCAACGGAAGCCACCCAAAATGTGGTTAAAGAGGCCCATCTGCTGTTGTCGGAGACGTTTGGGAGGGACCAAGAGACGGTGCGATTTCGGGTAAGAAAAAAAAAGAAAAAATTGGGCCACAATTTCAGCAGTAAATGCGAGATATAAGACAGCAACCAAATATAATAGCTGGTCAGCTGCATCTCCTCCTGCCAAGAAATCCCGCATTTGTAGAATGACGTCTTCTGACATTGCACTGCACCATTTCATTTCGTTATTCTCGCCCCGTGGGGTGCAGCGGCGGTGTCGGCTTTTACTTCAGAAGCCGTGCTTTTTTCACAATCACGAGCGCTCGCAGAGATGACATCTGAGACAGGCTACGAGTACCCAAACTAGTCAAGAGGGAGACGATATTTGAGGAGGTTTTCCATGCAGCTGGAGAACACTCTTCCTAAGGGGTCGAAAGGGACCATCGCTAAGGCGGTGGTTCCCATTTAGTACACACACATCCTTCGGCTATCAATCCCGTCTCAAACGAGAGAAGCATGTTTAGGTTACTCGGTAACAGCCACCACAATACTGTGTCAACTTTGAGGGGTCCACAATTGTTTGAGAAATACTCCACTGGTCTCTCGTTAGTGGTGGCAATATGCAATGATAACAGTGACGTCGCGTCTAGGAGCTCTGTCAAACCTCCGCTTCTCCAGCTCATCTGTATCCCCACAAAATCGTGAACCCCCCAGTAGGAAGTGCTATTGGGTAGCATTTCACTGTCCGGGCAGTCAAGAGGCCGATAGTGTTAATTGATCTACTCTCAACATCCCTTCGCCCGGTGACACTATGTGCCACTACAAGTAGTCCAACAGTCGGATTGTCTGTGGGTGCACAGTGTTCCAATTGACTATCCACAGTACTTAGACCGGACTCCATGCTCAAAGTCCTTCCGCTCTGACACGCTTCTACCACTTTCAAAAAGTTACCGAGTCAACACCGGACCCAAGGCTTGGTAATCCATACAGTCCAGGGTCTTTTCGCCTCTCCGGAAACGGACCGAATTAAACGCCGACTTCTGATCCACATTCCAGGTGCTAAATGTGTGTATACAAAGTGGCATTCCATTGTGCTAAAATAGCTCCGGTATCCGGAATCTAAGTAGCGAGCGAGCTGATCTACAGGGGACTGCGAAACACCAAATCAGATACACGGCGGGGACCATAGGCTTCACGTCGGAAAAACCTCTGTTAAAGCCGTGTTCAGTAGCCGATATGGGGTAGTGCGATATACAAAGGATGTCGCAGTTATGGTATCTCCGGTAACGACAGTCAGAAACAAAAGTGACCAATAGTCCACATACTGCTGAGAAATCTTGACTAGCAGCAGCCAGGTGGAATTGAAGTACGTGTACTGCTGTATGTATCGATAGTTGAAACAAGACGGAATCGTCTCTTATTGCTTCACTATAATAAAGATTGCTAAAAAGAATGAACTTGTCGCTTTTGTTTGAGACAATGGTCTCTTGCAAAGACTTTTTTTTCTTGATATACAGTAGTAGTATACATGCCTTGAACTGACTCTTGAATGGTTTGAAGGTGTCACCAGCCTTGCACAATATTCCATGTATGGATGTGTGAATACTTCAGAAAGAGTCCCCCTAATATCCCCCTAATATGCACATGGTCATGCGGGTTCATCAATGTCAGACAGCTCGTCTTCACATCTTGGTCAACTTCACTTAGCAGTGTTTTGGCGAGACCTATCTGGATCACAACATCACAACCAAACAGTAGAACATGCCTGAGGCAAAGCAAAACTTGAATACCTTGTACTTGTAGTCAGTGGTTGGTATGAATTCGTTTTATTTTCTCCAGCATCTGTTTCGCCATATCTGCATATTGGGGGATTCTCTCGCAACTGTTGAATACTTGATTTTGGGCGGCGATTTTTTGGATATTCCATATCGGCTCACCAGTAGCTTCATTTTGATATACTGTAAGGATTATAAATAGCTCTGTTCCATTGTAGCCATAGCCCACCTCACACCAGTTCCAGACCTTTATCTTCTTGGCTGCGCGGCACCAGTGGGGTCACGTTTAAGATAGCTGAGTAATCGGGGATGGTCCCAGTGGATTAGGGTCCTGTGGACAACTCGCATTGGGTCTTGATAACGGAGATGGGAGGAGCATGGAGAGGGTGAAAACAAGGATTATAACTGAGTTGTGCGATTCAAAAACCATTTTATAATTCTTTATGGGGGATTTTTTACCCATTTATGATTTTTCTAGAATTATTCCGAATTTTCTCAAATTATTACCCCTGTGTAGTTGTGCAGACGCATGGCCGATACTGGAGATAATCCCCACAATTAAACTTGCTCCACTATACAACACACGCACTAGCGACGAGACATACGACGGGTGAATTGTGGCAAACATAGGGCCACCAGGAGTGAGTAAGGCGAGAAGACACTTATTTGAGACGACAAAACTAATACAGACATCATCATGTCCGACGCGAGCGTTTTGAATAGCATCTTCCAGCAGTTGCGGACAGCGTGAGTATGGAACGAGGGAACGACCTGCAAAGGTCAGAAGTGACCAACAACACATTGGTATTAAAAAACGACAAGATGATTGAAAAGACATGTTGATATGTATTGCAACGACTTATTGGATGGTGGCAAATCGGTTAGGTATGGTGGTATGAGAAGTGTGGATATGTCGGGTGTGATGTCTGGTGCGTTGCATGGTGATTCTATTGAGACTGGCAATGTCGCTCGATCAGTTTGCACGATTTGCTGGTTTGATTTGCTGGTTTCGAAATGACGCTGTTGGTGTAGCATGTCTGCTGATATGCTTATGTCTATGATCATATCACTGGCATACTCGGAGATACGCGAGCTTCGGCATTACCATCTACCCCACTCACCTCAACGATGTCTAGGGCCAGGTGCTTTTAGAACAACCCACATCCTTCTGTCTGCACCTTCAGATCTGTTTGAGATTGATTCAGCATATGATCTAATGCACCACTAGATGTCTAGAGATGTCTAGAAACGGTCTTCAACATCTCGTTTCTACACAGTCGACCTTCATTTGACGTTCAACGTTCAACGTGTTGTTCTTCGCACTCGCTACTGAGACTAACATAGCCGCACACTGACTGAAAAAACACACGCTGCAGAAGAACTGCGCGACCATCTAACCTCCGTCACGCACGAACTCAACACAGAGCCTCTCTCGCGCTACAACAACGACATCAACCTTCGCATTTCCGAGCTAATCCACAATGGCGACCCCGTCATCCGGCTGGGCGGTATCATGGCCATTGACCGGCTCATTGACGTCGATGTCGGCGAGGAAAACGCCATAAAAGTGACCCGGTTCACCAACTACCTGAAGACGACTATTCCAGGAGATACAGAATCGATGCGCATTGCCGTCGACGCTCTCGGCCGTCTAGCTGCCACGGGAGGCAATTTGTCTGCCACTGTGGTTGAATCCGAGGTCAACAGAGCTCTCGAATGGCTCCAGAGCGACCGAGGAGAGGGCTCTAGACGCCATGCTGCCGTCATGGTGATCAAGAGTATGGCCCAGCATTGTGCCACGTTGCTGTACGGGTACATGAGCCAGATCCTTGACCTGATCTGGGTGGGACTGCGTGATCCGAAGGTGCAGATTCGGGTTGACTCGGCCGAGGCGCTGCAGTACTGCCTGAACATTGTGCATTCTCGTGACCAGACCCTTAAAAAGCAGTGGTTCAACCGAATTATGGAGGAGGCCAAGGTGAGTTTGAACATGGGTGGTGTCGACACCATTCATGGCGCTCTGCTCACCTACAAGGAAGTCCTTCGAGGAGGCATGTTTGAGAACTCACGATACGACGAGGTGTGTGAGGTTGTGTTAGCCAACCGCGACTCGCGTGACGTGCTGATCCGAAAGACGGTGCTCAACATCATCCCAGACCTTGCCCAATACAATCCCTGGCAGTTTACAAAGCGGTATCTGCACAAATGCATGTTGTACCTTCTTTCACAGCTCAAGAAGGACAAGGACCGTAACCTTGTTTTTCTGTCGATTGGCCAGATTTCCTTTTCTGTCCGGTCGGCCATGGCTCCTTACTTGGACGCCATTCTGGAAAATATCCGAGAAGGTCTCAGTCTGAAATCTCGATATAGGAAGGAGCAGGAGAGTGCCATTTTCTCCTGTATTGGCATGTTGGCTGTTGCTGTGGGTCAGGCTCTGGCCAAGCATCTGAACCAAAAAATTCTGGATCTCATCATGGCTTGTGGTTTGAGTGAACACCTGCACAATTGTCTGAGTGAGCTGGTTCACAACATTCCTCCACTGGGCCCTTCCATCCAGCAGCGGTTGTTGAACATCATCTCGTTCACTCTCTCTGGCCACCCCTTTAAGCTCCCTGGGTCTCCTGCTGCGACTTCTTCTGCAGAGTACATGTCTGTGACACGTGCACGGGAGTACCGAGAGACTGAGGACGACAAGGATGATGCAGCCGTGGTTGCGCTTGCTCTTCACATTCTCGGCACGTTTAACTTCAAGGGTTTGTCGCTGACCGAGTTTGTGCGGTTCTGTGCAATCACTTATGTTGATCATGACTCTCCTGAGGTGCGAAAAGCAGCCGCCCTCTCATCTTGCACCATTTATCTCAACGACCCTATTGTGTTCCAGTTCTCCGCTCATGCTCTGAGTGCCGTTTCCGAAGTGGTTGAGAAGCTGTTGACGGTGGCTGTGGTTGATCCTGACCCTGATATCCGAATTGGTATTCTCACTACATTTGATCCGCGAATTGACCCTCATTTGTCCCAGGCCGAGAACGTGCGTCTTTTATTCACTGCTTTGAACGACGAGGTTTTTGCGATTAGACAGCTGTCCATTGGCATTATCGGTCGGCTGACAAAGATAAACCCTGCTTACGTTGTTCCTCATCTGAGAAAAACGTTGATTCATCTTCTGACCGAACTGGAGTATGCCAAGTTTGGACGTACCAAGGAAGAGAGTGCGCGGCTGCTTGCACAGCTGATTGGGTCGACGCACGGACTCATCAAGCCGTACGTCAAACCCATCATCAAGGTGCTGCTTGCTCGTGCACGTGACACGTCTTCCAACGTGGCCTCCGCGGTTATCACTGCTATCGGAGAGCTAGCTGCCACTGGACGGGAAGGCATGATTGAGTACATTCCCGAGATTATGCCTATTTTCTTGGAAACTTTTTCGGATCAGAATGCTCAGAAGAAGCTGGCTGGTCTGAAATCTCTCGGACAGCTCTCTTCCTCTTCCGGATACGTTATTCAGCCGCTGCTGGATTACCCCCAGCTGCTCACACTGCTTACTAACACTCTCAAGAGCGACAATGTTGATACTCGTCGAGAAACTGTCCGTCTCATGGGTATTCTTGGAGCTCTGGATCCTTATAAGCATCGAGAGGTGGAGAGAAGTACCCAGGATGATTCAGCAGAGTATGACTCGATCCCCACAGATGTGGCTCTTCTCATCCAGGGCATGTCTCCCTCTTCGGACGAGTACAACCACACTGTCGTGATTACAACTCTAATGGCGATTCTCAAGGACCAGTCGCTTGTATCGCACCACAATGCTGTTGTCCAAGCCATTGTCATCATTTTCAAGTCGCTGGGTCTCAAGTGTGTGCCGTTTTTGAATCAGATTATCCCTGGCTGGCTGCAAGTGCTTCGAAGCAGTACTCCTTCTATGGCCGAGTTTTTTGTCCAGCAGTTGGCTCTTCTGGTTCTCATTGTCAAGCAGCACATTAGGTCGTATCTTGACGACATTTTTGCTGTTGTTCAGGAGCTCTTTGCCATTCCATCCATGCAGCCTGTTGTCCTGACGCTGGTTGAAAACATTGCTCGGTCTCTGAGTGGCGAGTTCAAGCTGCATGTGCCTACTCTCTTGCCTCTGCTTCTTGGCGTGCTGGAGAACGACAAAAGCACCACCAAGCTCACCTCCATCAAGGTGCTGCAGACGTTCGTGGTGCTGGGCGCCAACATTGAGGACTACATTCACCTCATCATCCCCATCATTGTGCGAATGTTCGAATACTCGACTCATCAGCTCAAGAAACGGGCCATTCAGACTATTGGACAGTTGTCTCGAACTGTGGATCTCACCGACATGTCGTCGCGAATCGTGCATCCTCTGTTGCGTGTACTGGCAGCCTGTCCTGTGACTGAAGAGCCCAATTCGCACCATGATGAGTTGCGGCGAACCGTCATGGAGACTCTGTCATCGCTGTGTTTCCAGCTGGGTTCCGATTACACCATTTTCATCCCCCTTGTGAACAAGGCTATGCTCAAGGCCGGAGTGAACTCTCCCTCCTACGACCAGCTGGTCAACCGACTCCTCTCTGGAGAACCACTGCCTGCGTCCATGGACCCCGACAGTCGAATCCAGGAGCTCAACAATACTCCTCCGGATACCACCTCGCTCAACAAGCTGCCTGTGAACCAACAGCACTTGAAGACCGCGTGGGACACTGCGCAATGCTCGACTAAGGAGGATTGGCAGGAGTGGATGCGACGTCTCTCGACTGCTTTCCTGCGCGAGTCTTCTTCTCACGCCCTGCGAGCCTGTGGTGTCATTGCTAACAACTATCAGCCATTGGCCAAGGACCTGTTCAATCCGTCCTTCTACTCGTGCTGGTCTGAGCTCTACGACCAGTACAAGGACGACTTGGTGAACCACATTGAGACGGCTCTGATGGCGCCCAACATGCCGCCCGAGACGCTGCAGATCCTGCTAAACCTGGCCGAGTACATGGAGCACGACGACAAGCCGCTACCGATCGATATGCGTACTCTGGCTGCCTATGCTCACCGCTGCCATGCCTACGCCAAGGCGCTGCACTACAAGGAGCTGGAGTTTATGCGGGAGCCTACGACGCCCATCATTGAGAATCTGATCGCTATCAACAACTCGTTGCAGCAGAGCGACGCTGCTATCGGTATTCTCAAGCACGTGCAGCAGCATCATCAGTGGCAGCTCAAGGAATCGTGGTACGAGAAGCTGCAGCGGTGGGACGATGCTCTCGAGGCCTACGACAAGCTTGATGACAATTCCATGGAGGTCACAATGGGTAAGATGCGATGTCTGCATGCCCTTGGTGAGTGGGAGTCGCTGGCCGAGATTGCACAGGAGAAATGGACTTCATCAGGCCCCGAGGTGCGACGAGTGGTGGCACCCCTGGCTGCCGCAGCTTCCTGGGGTTTGTCTCAGTGGGAGCGAATGGACACATATATTAGTGTCATGAAGGTGGACTCTGCCGACAAGTCCTTCTTCAACGCTGTGGTGAGCATCCACAGAAACAACTTTGATGAGGCCCATACGCATATCACTCGTGCACGTGACTTGCTGGCTACCGAGCTCACCGCTCTCATTTCTGAGTCGTACAACCGAGCCTATGGTGTTGTTGTGCGGTTCCAGATGCTGGCAGAGCTGGAGGAGATTATCGTCTACAAGGGTCTGGGTCGCAACTCCGAGGAGCAGGCTGCCATGCGGGCCACGTGGATGAAGCGGCTCAAGGGCTGTCAGCGAAACGTAGAGGACTGGCAGCGAATGCTCAAGGTGCGGTCTCTGGTTGTCAAGCCGAAACAGGATATGGAGATGTGGATCAAGTTTGCAAACCTGTGTCGAAAGAGTGGTCGGCTCTCTTTGGCTGAAAAGTCGCTCAATGCTCTTCTTGACCCCGATGATCCCGACTCACAGACTTCCAGAGCTCCTCCACCTGTTGTTTACGCCCAGCTCAAGTACATGTGGGCTACTGGCAACTGGGAAGATGCCCTGAATCACCTCGTTGACTTTACCAATCGAATGTCGCTCGATCTGGGCCTGGATCCTGAAGATCTCATCACTCAGAAACTACCCTCAGAAGGCGCTGCTGTCCCTAAGAAGATTCAGGACTACACTCGTCTTCTTGCTCGATGTTTCCTCAAGCAGGGCGAGTGGCAGATTTCGTTGCAGGACGACTGGAAGGAGAAGAACCCCGATTCTATCCTCGGCTCGTTCCTGTTGGCCACTCATTTTGACGCCAAATGGTACAAGGCGTGGCACAACTGGGCGCTGGCAAACTTCCAGGTTGTGTCTCTGCGGTACTCGGAAAAGGAGGAGTTGGCCCTGGAAGACGTGTCTCAATATGTGGTACCTGCCATCAAGGGTTTCTTCCATTCCATCTCCTTGTCCAATGGATCTTCTCTGCAAGACACTCTTCGTCTTCTGACCCTGTGGTTCCGGTACGGCCATGTGTCTGACGCGTCTCAGGCCCTTTATGACGGATTCCAGATGCTTTCTATTGACACGTGGCTGGATGTCATTCCTCAGCTCATTTCTCAGATTCACCAGCGGTCTCAGGTTGTTTCCAAGGCTCTGCAGGGTCTTCTGATTGAGCTCGGTAAGAACCATCCCCAGGCTCTGCTGTACCTGCTCAACGTGGCTGTCAAGAGTGACTCTCTGTCGCGTCAACAGGCCGCTATGAACGTTATTGACAAAATGAGAACTCACAACCCCATCCTAGTCGAGCAGGCTGAGCTGGTGTCCAAGGAGCTCATTCGAGTGGCTGTTTTGTGGCACGAGCAATGGCACGAGGGTCTGGAAGATGCGTCGCGATTCTTCTTTGGCGAGCGAAACATTGAAAAGATGTTCCAGACGCTAGAGCCTCTACACGCAATGCTGGAGCGGGGTCCCGAAACTCTGCGAGAAGTGTCCTTCCAAACAGCTTTTGGACGTGACTTGCACGATGCCAACGAGTGGGTGTGGAGTTTTAAGCGAACCAATGACCCTGCCCACCTCAACCAGGCCTGGGACATTTACTACAATGTTTTCCGACGAATCGCCAAGCAGTTGCCCCAGCTCATCTCGCTTGACCTGCAGTACGTGTCTCCCAAGCTGCTGGCAGCCGAGAATCTCGAGCTGGCGGTGCCTGGTTCGTACGCTCCGGGCAAGGAGATTGTGCGAATCATGAAGTTCGACCCAATTTTCACCGTTATCTCGTCCAAGCAGCGGCCCAGACGGCTGTCGTGCAAGGGCAGTGATGGTAAGGACTACGTGTACGCTCTCAAGGGCCACGAGGATATCAGACAGGATAACCTGGTGATGCAATTGTTTGGACTGGTGAACACTCTGCTATCTCAGGACTCGGAGTGTTTCAAGCGACATCTCAACATTACAAAGTACCCTGCCATTCCTCTGTCCCCCAAGTCTGGTCTCCTCGGCTGGGTGCCTCATTCGGACACTCTGCATACACTCATCAAGGAATACCGGGATGGCCGAATCCTCATCAACGTGGAGCATAGATTCATGCTGCAGATGGCGCCGGACTACGATCCATTGACGCATCTGCAAAAGATTGAGGTGTTTACGTACGCTCTGGACAACACTAAGGGCCAGGATCTGTACCGAGTCTTGTGGCTCAAGTCGCGGTCCTCGGAAGCTTGGTTGGAGCGACGATCTCAATACACACGATCCTTGGCTACGATGTCCATGGTTGGCTACATTCTCGGACTTGGAGATCGACATCCCTCCAACCTGATGCTGGACCGATACACTGGTAAGGTGATTCACATTGATTTCGGTGACTGTTTCGAGGCTGCCATTCTGCGAGAAAAGTACCCCGAAACAGTGCCCTTCCGACTGACTCGAATGCTCACATACGCCATGGAGGTGTCAGGAATCGAGGGCTCGTACCGAATCACGTCCGAGCATGTGATGCGGGTCATCCGAGACAACAAGGAGTCGCTGCTGGCCATTCTGGAAGCCTTTGCCTATGATCCTCTCATCAACTGGGGTTTCGAGCTTCCCAGAGGCGAGGATCTGCCTGTCAAGCGGTTCGATGAGGACGAAAAGGTCAATGTTCGAATGGCTCGAGCGCACTTGGTCCTCAAACGAATCCAGGACAAGCTGTCTGGAAACGACATCAAGAACAGAAAAAATGTCGATGTGCCGGCACAGGTGGACTACTTGATTCAGCAGGCCACTAGCATTGAGAATCTGTGTCAGCACTTCATAGGTTGGTGTTCTTTCTGGTAGAGTGGGAAGTGAGGGAGAAAAAGAAGGCATGGGAAGGATTTATGAATGATATTTATATTATGATATGGAGAGATATAGTTGTGTAGATTGTGGAAGCTGCAATGTGTGTTTTTTGTGCACAAATCACAAGTATGAGTTGTTGAATCCGCTTATATCGTTAATTTGCCTATAGGCAGCTTCTTCACTTTGAGTGAAATGTTGTCCTGTTTTTTTTTTTTTCTGCATATACATTCATTTAATTATAACTTTGCCGTGAAAGAATAACCTTTGAAATGAATGTACGCTTACACGAATATATTGAGTTATTGTACTTAGATTTACTTGAAAGGGAAAGTCATCGGTGCCAAACAAAAAAAAAAGATGTTATGGAGAGAACAAGGGGTGGTAATGATGTGAGGGGGTATGGTTGCTTCAAAATATCTCGTTTTTCTCTATTTTTTTATTATTTGTCCTTTTTCAATACACTATTTTGAAGACCTCCCGATTCTACTAAGTTATAAATTACTTGGAGTTTGTTGACCAGAATACAATGTACATCACAGGATGTAATAACATGTGCGTGAGCTCCTAACTGAACTGACGTTGGTTCTACACAGGTGATAGCCCTATAATTGAGTCCGTCTCTTTCCCCCGAGTGTTCTTATTTATACGCTCGCACTACTACACATCCTCACTTTCTTTTGGTTTTTTCCTATTAAAATGAATCCATAACATATATAATCCTCTATCAAGCAACAGGAGACTTGCATCCAAAGGCGACAGTGGCAGCTCCAGGGGCGTCAAAGGCTTGCACCAGCGAGTAGACTGATGAGTAGATACCCAGAATTCCAGTTGCCGCTGAGCACAGGAATAATGTGAAGTTGACTAGAACCCACCACGGCCGGGACAACACTCCTCTCTTCCACCGGGCCAGGGTCTTCCATGAGTCGTACTTAGTCACCTTTCTGGTCTCCATGTCTACTATATCAAGCTTGGAGGCCTCTTCTCGAATCGTCAGACCCATATACATGAGAGGCGGAAAGGTGTACGAGAACTGGAGGATGCAAGCTGCTCCCACAAGAGAAGTGAGTGCCGAAAACTGGGGTATGGCGGAGGCCAGAACGAAGGCAAGAGCCCAGAAAAGAAACACCATGAGTCCCCATGTTATTCGACCCTTTAATCCAATCTCCAGATTAGGTAGAAACGGCATTGCTCGTCTCAGGAGAGTGATGTAGACCACCTTGACACCGACGTTTCCATAGAGACCTGCTCCAATAAGCGCAGACACCAGCGACACTACGTTAACTGCAGTCTGCCAGTTGTAAGACCCCAGGCCCTGGTTGGCCGGGTTCATTGTGTACTGTCCTTGGTAGGCGTAGACCAGAAGTCCGTAGAGCAGGTAGCACACGAAGATGACCCCCTGGGCAGAAAGCATTCCCTTGAGAAACTCCCTGGGCTTTCTCATTTCCGACAGAAATTCCACAAACACCATGGCTCCTCCGTATGAGTACACAATATTCATGACGGCGTTGAGCTGGGTCTGGAAGGGTACATTTTCAATGGCTCGAGTTCGCACAGGGTCGGTGGAGTTGGGCAGACCATTTTGCTTGGCTCCTCCAACATAATTGGGGGGTTTGGTTCCTGCGATACCCATGGTTGAAAAGACAACAAACAGGTTCATCCAGATGGCGGCGTTGGCGATGTACGAGAAGTTGGAGAGTCCCCGGATTTGGCCAAGGAGAATACCAGCAAGCATGAAGATGATACACCAGACAGAGAAACATAGCGGACTGTAAATCTGAGACAGACCCTGGCCGTTGGAGAGAATGATAACGGCAACATTGCACAGCAGCTGTAGACTCTGGAGCACGTCCACCCCCCATCTGAAACCTTTGCCGTACACTCTCAGAGCCAGGTCTCCAAAGGTCTTCATGGGAAACTCTGGAGAGTCGAGTTTGAGAAACATTCTGTAGATGAGCCAGCCTGTGTAGACAGCAGCACCTCCAAGTACACTGAAAAGCATAACACCCGGGAACCAGCCCAGCTGAGAGATAGCCCATGGTGAAGCCGAAGGGCCTAGAATATCTGTAGTGGTGAGAAAGAAGACGGACATCCAAGTAGCTGTTCGTAGCGACATGTTTGCAACTGCCAGTTCGGTTTTGGCACCGGGAATCTGGTCCAGAACTGTTTTCTCGCAGTCTGGAGAAAAAGTTCCTTCTGAACTGCTGTGGGATTCGTCAGAGCGCTCCTCTGGTTCAGGCTTCTTCTTTCGGTACTTGTCGAATAGAGATGAGAATGGCGATTTTGGAAGTGCGTCTTCTCGAGCTCGCTGAATGGCGGCATAGTGATAGTAGACTTGGAAGGGCTCTGTGGAGTCCAGTTCAGCTGCTGCAGACAGATGGATCTCAGGTACGTCATACTGCACCTCCTCGATCTCTCCAACCTCGTGCACCTCGTGAATATCGGGTGACGCTTCTTTTTTCATTTCCTTAGTTGTTGAATCGATTAGTTGGTCGTCCCTACTCCCCTCCCGATTTATATGTATATCATCATACCACATGTTGGTCCTATCAAGGTTCAATATCCATCGTGCAGAAGCTTGGCAGGCTTAGCCTCCCTTGTGTTTCCCCCTTGTGCCTATCAGCGCACGGCACAGGTGGTGGTACAACATTGGGGCTGATTCGTGCCTGTGCCGTGTATAAGGCGAGGATCGAAGCCGTATGTACAACCGGAACCTTCACTATGCACCAATCCTGATAACGAAGCCCATTGTTCCGTGGGTGCAAAACGAAGAACTCATCTTCTGTAGAGGAGATCTTGTCAGTTGGTTGAACAAGCTGGGCTGCTTTTCTTTTGGAGTTGGTTTTCTATAGACCGATAGAAAAGTATTCTTCAACAATTGGACTACTTAGAGGAGTCCTTTGACGACCTCCCTGTGTCCTCTATCTCTGAGATCTTCGCTCGAGTAACTCTAATGCGTCTGGCTATCTCAACTGAGTCGGTCACCTCCACAGGAGCAGAATTGGATGGATAAGTATGATATTTTGGATAGTTGTTGACACTCACTTTATTCGGTCAGATTTGAACTCTGTGAAGCTCCAGCTCCGATATTGGTCGAATTAGACACTATCTCCTGATGTACTCCTCACGGATTGGACAAATCTAAAACAAAATGAAAGAAGTGATATCTCGAGATGATGGAGACACAGAGTTAAGCTGGAAAATCCTAACCAAGAGAAATTGAGCTTTTGCAACTTCGGGGGACATTATGTTTTCCCTAGAGCCGTCTCTGTAGTATCAACAGTATATGAAAGGGCATTTGTTAGTAGGACGTGGTGTCAAAAGTCGACTACAGAATCTAAGCAATAGCACTTGATTTATCATTGCACGAAAGCTCATTTGATCTAAATTCTCTCATCTCAGATATATAACGGGGTCCCTGAAACATTCCGAATACTGTACACCCTTGTTAATGCCTGTCTGAATCACTAATAACGCATGAATCTAAATATTTATCTTGCTACTTATAGCTTGACGATTGGGCTTCCACTCAGCCATTCCAGAAATGTCGCCAGTGGCCTCCACAATATTACAGTACCGTGTAATCGTCGGTGTGCTTTGCGTTGGAAATGTGAATTTGCGATAGAAGAGGTCAATTAAGTCAAGTTACATCCTTTTCATCCTTGTAGCTGATGGTCGTGGTGTAGCACTTTCCGTTCTTCTCCTGAGAAAAGCTTTCCTCAGAGAGAGATTCATGTCAATATTGGTGTATCCAAACTGGAAGGTGACGACGGGCTTCTCTCTACACTTCTACCAGTTACACAGGCTGTTGTCTTTGGTTTTACCGGCAGTTGGGACTCTCTTCAGAAGAGTACTTCGAGACCATTTCAGGGCGTTTCTATACCAAAACTACAACCGCGAGACACTTCCGTCTTTCCTGTAACCAATCCATAACCCACCAAGTTGAGATGCAGATATAGGGTGCTGCTGGGACTGTCTAGAACTGCTCAAATTCCGTAGGAAAGTTGTAATGGAAGGTCAGGATAAATGGAAGAGAGTGCTGATAATTTTTGTCCTTCATAATCGTCTATCGAGGTGCATGTGTCTTTTGTAGACTCATGACGATGTCTATCGACCATCAGTTTTCTTGAATCAGTATCACGCTCGTACCTGCATCAACAAGGAGAGTTATCCAAGTGAATATAGCACTACAGAGAATTCGTGTGTGGAAAAGAGCCGTAAATTTCTTTTTTATAGTCAGTACTTCAGAAGACTCTTGCCAATACTCCTTGGTCTATGGCAAGAGATCCATCCATGAGCTTACAGTAATGTGGACATCGGGGGCGATGAAGAGTGATTTGTAGAGAAAAGGTTTGTGACGAGTGAGAAATTGTAAAGTATTTTCTCACTTTTCTCAATTTCACAACCACCCCTGGACCCTTCTCTAGCACAGCCTCAGTCGTTGTCCCCTTATGGTGCGCATCTCTGCTACTTACTTTTATCGATGTACTGGTACCTACTGTAGATCAAAGAACGCCTGAATAGCTGTGCAGAAAATACCGGTAGTTGGCACGGTAGCGAGTGCTCTTTGATGGATTTTAGATGGTTTTACAATGTGTTTAGTTAGTTTGGCAACTGTTTCAATTGATCTTACTCGCCTACATTTTTGTCGTAGCACTATTAATTAACCTCCAAACTGTATAATGCTCGGACATCACCAAGGAGCACCCGTTTGTACCTGTCATGGACCGTACCCCATGTACTACGAGGCATAGATTTTGTACTACCAGTCGAATCAACGGATAATATTGAGCCGATTCGTCATCTGTTGTTACTCCTTGTCAATGATTTAGTCAGAAACATCACGTTCATTACGAACCTAGATTATGGTAGAGGGACAAGGCTCACTGGTATGCAAGTGCGAGTACAACTCCACAAGTGGCATCAGTCTTGTGACCGATATGGCCATAGTCAGCCTACAAGTACAAGTACTTGTATTTCCTGTTCATCCAAACTCCTATTCCACCTCTCCTTGCACCCCCACCCCAGAGAAATCGACAACCCATATGCACTTCCCAATCAGCTCCCATAACCACCACGGTCTTTCAGATCGAATCCTCAAAACACAGGCGAAAAATTATCGCCGAAGGAATCATCAAAAAACTCAACATCCTCACAGGAATGCACATACCTCGGATCTAGTTTTTGACAATCTGGACCAGTGAAACCCTCAGTATAAAATCATCTCCCACCTCCCTAAGCGAGCTCGAACAGCTGAGATGCATTCTACTGTGAGAGTGAGTAGGTAGTGTGTCCATCCGAGCTTTTTTAGGGCGATACAATTATTATTATTATTGTTAGCCCACGTGAGAGCACGTGTGACATTCCACGTGACTCGAAGTAGGATACTTGTTTATCATCCCGTGATCAGAAAAACATATATCTGGTAAAGGGTGGGCATGTACTCGTACACGCTCGGGATACACATGACAACCACTAGACTTAATCACACGACTAAGTCCTACCAGACAGATGACCTCCGTAACCATGACAACCATATTCCAATTTAAAGTTTAACTTTCGCCACGACACGAAATTCGACGCCAACTTTAAAACCGTGTCTGTTTTTCCGACATAAAAAGAAGACGAAAATAGAGGGCAAATATTCCATATTTTTTTGCATTACCATGATATCATTAGTCTAGATAAATATTAAATAAATGAGGAAGGGTCCGAGCGGGATTACTCAGAAACGAAGCGAAATTACCAAAAGTGCATCTGTCTAGATTGAGAGCCAGGTGGGGTGTCAAAAGAGGGGAATTGAAGAGAAGAGAAGGATTGGAGCGGCGGCATTTGCGAGGTGGGCGTCGTGTGATAGTGGTTTTGCGACTGCCCGTGGGATGCCAACGGGGTGGGTGGCGGCTGCTGCTCGGTGGGGATAATGAAAGGGTTGTATTTCGGAGGGATTTGGTCAGGTCTGTAACCGGACGCAGTCCACGACTGGAAGAAGGCAGTTATGGCCAGAGAAAAGGCTTCGTCGGGCGCCCGTTGTTGGTGGTGATGCTGCTGAATGTGTTGCTGGTGGCCCTGGTGTTGGTGCAGAGAGTCTATGCTCATGGGCATTGGGGTCGGTTTTGTCATGGGCCGTTTGGGGGTGTTTGCAGACAGCTCCTGCAGAGGTGGTCGTTTGAAGGTGCTCTTTGGAGTGAGTCCTGTAGAAATGTGTTGAGGTCCCTGCTGCTGTTGCTGCTGCTGCTGAAGAGGCTGGATCTTTCGTTTGGGCGTCTCGTCCTCGGCCTCATCCTCCGTCTGGTCTGAATCAATGTCCGCCAGTGTCGTGTCCATGCCCAAGTCCACAAACGAGTTGCCCATGGTGTCGTAGTACGAGTCTGTCTGGCCGTTAGGCATGTTAGAGCTCTGCGGGTCCTCGGCCATGCGCCGTCGCATATCCTCCAGCGTGTAGTCCTCCAGCGGCATTGCCTGCTTGACGAGCTTGTCGGTGATTTTCTTCTTGCCGTCCTGCTCGAGCTGAACTCGGGCCTCGTGTGTCAGCTGATCGAGAATCTGCCGGTTTGTCTTGCCGCCGTTGATGGCAAACATAATCTGGACGCTTTTTCGCACCTGGAAGTCCTGGTAGTTTTTCTGCCATGCGTCGTTCACCTCGAAAATGAGCCGCCAGTGCTGGGTGTTTTTGTACTGCACAATCTTGCCTCGAAAGGGACACCCCATTCGTCGGCCTGTGGCCTTGACGATAAATGAGCCGCCGCAGTTGCACTGGAAATCGACCCGGAAAACGTCCTTGTACACACCGTGGACTTTTCTGTATGTGGAGCGCAGCTGGATGATGTGATGGCCCTCATGGGTCCGGTAGGCCTTGATGTACTTGAGAGCCAGGTCCAGCGAGTCGAAGAGCTGGGCGCCAGGCGTGTACGCCCGGTACTCCTTGATGTAGTCAATGTCTGCTTGCGACATCGACGATGAGTTGGTTTTCGAAATAAAAAGTGTTTGGGTCGCTTGGTATAGTCTGGAGTGCGGTACAAGAGGTGTTTGTATCAAGCTAAACAAACACACGCGTCATAGAGTTCAGAGGCTATTTTCAGGGGTCGGACAATCAGTCAAGGTGTATGTTTGAGAGCAACTATTGAGAGTATGAAAGTACATTTATAGTCACCTGGGGATCCGGAAGTTGTGGTCAAATTACCAGACCAATTCCTCCTCTGCTCCTCCCACAATTTCAATTGTTTTGATTCGACACACTGGAATGCAGACCCCCCAGAAACTCTAATTGCGAAGACCGACCTTCCCAATGGGGCTTCGTTCCAAACGGCCTGGCCTGGAATGAATCCTATTTAGGAGGTAAACAAGAGGTGGGGAGAGCCGGTCTAAGGGGGCGGGGTCGGGGGCAGGGTGGGGGTCACGTGGGTGGATTAGGTAAGCAACCGGAGACCCAGAAGCACATGGCCGTGTTTGAATTATGAAATGCCTTATTTTTCGGCAAATAATATCACCGCCAAAATTATCGGCTTTGTGAGGTCCCGTCCTGCAGGTGGGATGTTTTCGGACCTAATTCTGGGGTGAAGATCGTCAGTGTAAACAGCAAGAAGATACGGCGCTAGGTGGTTGGAATAAAAGACGGTGTCTATTGGATCATTAGCGGTTGTGTTACCCCTGGCCGAGATGACAAAAAAGAGGTATTTGGTCAGACAAAAAATACGACCGAGGAGAGGGTCGAACTCTCGATCTTACGATGACTAGATAGATGTTCTAACAGTCGTACGCCTTAACCAACTTGGCCACTCAGTCTGATCTATGTTTCAAGGAAAACGTGGCTTGTGCTATCCGAACTATGTCCAAAATTTCGGCGAAAACTCCATGCCCGACTTCAGATCCCACATATCCCTAGAACACAAAAAAGGAGTTCTAATTGAATATTGCGTTTTTAAAGACTTGTTTTAACTATAGTGTACCCGAGGATCAGGTATCCCTGTTGGTGAGGTCTCACTATTCACGGTGATGGTGATCATCAATACGTAGAATTGATAGTGAGAGAGGTGAGAGAGAGGTGCACACGGGAGGTAATATATAAGTTTCAAATGCTAATATAAACAACGTGCTTCAACTTCTCTTTATTATTGTTGCCTTTCACTTGAGTTCTTGTAGATAGCGATACTAAAAAGATAATAGTTCACTTTTTGTTAAGGACATTACCTCACGACAAACCCAATTAGAACGATGATAAGTGAAAGAAGTAGTGTACACAACTTGCCTATAGATTATGTCTTATAATGACAAAGATAATACATTTATTCCACCCTTCCTTATCATCTCTACTATTTCAGGTCTTTCGCAGCCTATTTATCCGTCTTTCAATTAGTTAAACCTTTAGTTGAGAGATGCACCAGCTATGCACCCGATTATCGACGGTGATAATTACTTAATCTCTACGATATTACAACAGCAACAAAAGCCATACCACTTATTCAATAGAAATGGGGCGGAATACGATGGCTATTAAGTCCAGCATTGTACAACGATACCAAAGGAGATGGTATTTGGATTGCTTCAGAACTTCCGTTGGGCGCAAACCACCATCGGTTTTTAGAGGGTTCAAAACGAAAGACATGTCCTGCGAACAATGTTCTTCCTTATTATCACAGGATCTCAGGTCTTTACGTACAGGTAGTTTCTATTGAAGTTGTTATATTTGGTATATATAGCGAGACTCCTCATGCCCTCTTGTCTGTAACAACAGCAATTAGACATGTTCCCTCTAGTCGATATCCTGCATCCAGGTGGATGTATTGTATTCAGATACCATGATCATGGTAATGAGGCAGGCAGACTGAACTTGAGCACGCACAGAGACAGGATCAGAATTGCAAAGTCGGACTCTTTGTTGATATCCGACGCCGCCTTGCATCTGTCAACGCAGGATTGCACATCAGCTTCATCGGTTATGGCCAAATCTGTCGGAAAACGCTTCCCCCGACATTGAGAACGAGCATGGCGACGCCGATACTGACAATGTTTGCTGCTGCAGAAATGATGGTGGAGACGTCTCCGACATGCTGCGATTTGGCCAGCAGTCCAAGAGCCAGGGTGACTGTCTGGTGACTCAGTGCCACGGCCAGACAGTGACCAATGGTTGTTCGGCGGTCCACTCCGTCACCAATGTCGCATGTCAGCACGAGTAGGATGATCGCGATCATATCAGATAGCCCGGGTGGTCAGAGGTGGGGGAGATCACAAGTGATGGTGTGGGTAATACGAGACTGTAGGTAGCTGGTACTTGGCGTCGTATCAAGAGGCAACTGTATCAGTAAGTGTGCCGGGAGACTTGTGCCAGTACTTGTAAAAATGAACCGATGATGGAGAGATGAACCAACCGGAACACTCTAACCATGTTCGCCACCAAGACAGTTAAACATGAGACACATGTGGGGCAGACAGCATACCGTGCATGAGATGACAGGGGTGCAATGGTATGATATTGTAGTGGGGTGGGGTGGAGTGAGCTCAAACAAAAGAAATAAAAGGAGCAAACCAATGAATGTATCGCTGTTATCTGCTATAAGGACGGCAAGTTGTTTACACGGGCGCAACAGGGGTTTTGGTGGCAACTTCACGAGTCAACTGTAAGGTTTCGGCGACTAAAAAAAAAGAAAAGAAAAAAAAGAAGATTGCAGCACCCAGGATTCTCGTATGGTCTCCCACTACAATACTAACTAGGCTCTCTGGTGCTTGACTATGGCTGATCGGACGGGAAGCCGTATTTTCACCAGGATATGGCCGCAACCATTACTACTTAAAAAGCATTAGAGCAATATACTGAGCCGAGGAGATCACGTGACCTTTTTAGAATTAAATAAAAACATGAGAATAAAAAAACAACCAAATTCAAAACCTGGCTTTAAGGTGCTTTTTGAAGACATTGTAAGGGGAGGGGAAAAACCCGAAAGCCCTTGGAATAGATACGCAGCAGTCAAGATTGCTTATACAGTAGTGAGTCCCCCAATTAGTGGAAGGAGTTGAACATGTAGTTCTGATGGTCATGTCAGTGAGAGAGTGAATGCACCTGTACAAATCAGTTTCTATACATCAAAAGTATTTTGAGAAGTAAAAGTTTTTGAGACTTGGACCATAGATAGGACCATATCCTTCTATATCTTTTTATCTTTCTATATCTTTTAGATGACTGTGTTGGGTCCATTTAAAACCCTGTGTATAATTGGAATAATCTCACTAACATAGTTAGAACCTCCAAGTACTCTACTCAAACAATCTAAGTGATCATAAAACAAAAAAAAACAGTCAGTGTGCAACATCGTAACGGTATGTACTGCACTTGTACATATTGTAGTATATTATATTAAAAGTGTCAAAGCCAGTTCATAATAAACCAATAGTACATACTGTATCGTACATATTTCTAAGACATCCTCACCTGTCTCAATGAACACACGTCTACAGCGCTGTCTGAACTATTTCCACTTCGATTATATTGTCTGTTTCAGATACAGTTCGTCGGTTGAAAAATACGGCGCAAAAATAAAATTCAGTAATTACTGATCGACACCATTAACTTCCTTGAAACGCACATTTTTGGAGAGCGGACATTTACAAGTACAAGTACGGTGCGGGCACTACACTGGGTAATGTAGCAACACTGAGACAGCTGATTTCCTCTTTCAGCCACGAGTTCCTCGTCTGAGAAGTGCCTTTTTCTCCCTTCTGTAGACAATCCCCCTGCCTATGCAGTGAACGGTTCATATGCAATCCCATGGCCATACCGCAAAGACTGCACGTTGATGCAATCGAAACTGCTCCAAAACAGGCCATCCTTCGCACCTCATCGTGCCAAATATCGTATGTACCCAATACTCGTACTGTACCGTGGATGTATGTAATTATGTGGGCGTGCAATGAGAGCTTTGTCCAACATTTCTTTAGTGCGGTTTTAAGTGCCAGATTTGCAGCAGATCCAAGATGGACACCAGATGGGCATGAATGAGCATCTCCCGTAATACTAGTGAGACCGTACATACTGGCTGTGGCGATGGTTGTGGCGATGGTTGTGGAGCTAGTTGCATGGTTGTTTTGATGTTGCCCACTGTACATACAATAATGGCCTCCAAGCTGCCTCCTCTTCAACACTTAGATTGCTGCTCTCTACAGAAAACCTTGCCCACCTGGGCCCACCTCGGCTCTTACCCCTGCTTGGATCGCGACTTTTCGAGGAGGAGTTGCAAGTGACAGGCTCGAAGCAGAACGTCAACCAGCACGTTGAACGTAAACTTTAATGGCTCGTTTTGGCAGTGGGGTATTGCCTAAAGGTGTGTTATTGAGGGGACTCAAGGGGAGCTATAGGAATAAAAATTACATGAATCAAATATTTGAGACTACGGGAGTTCGGATATGTAATTTTATACTCCAAATCATTATTAATTCCACCTTTTACTCCTTTCCGAAAAAAGTCAGACAGGGTTCATTCAGGGACCGAAATCTGCATAACCCAATTCGTGTCCTGTTAACCAGCCATCGATCCACATTCAGAAGAGAAGACCGCGTTTGCCAAGAGATCTGGACAAGACAAGAACTCTCGATGGATCTGCCGGTTGCCATTCTAACAATAATATCCACCAGACAATGTGGATAACAGAAGACAATGCAACGTCCCGGAAATTATTATATACCGTTATTATGTTGTCGTTTCAACAGGTTCTCGCTACAAGTAGCCGGGGCTTGGTCAAAAAGACACTAAGTCCCTGGGATACATCTCGAAACGGTCTATGGGCCCACCGATCTTGGTTTGAAGCGTGCTATGGTGGGTCTTTCCCTTGACTTTTTAGATCGCGTTTTAGGTTTTTGGTGGGGGGAGGTCGATTTCGGATGCGATGAGGGGTCATAATTTAACCAGCTCTAGTATACATATTGCAATGAAAAAAAACAGGAATCAATAGCACAATGTCTGAAAATTATACTAATGTGTTTTTCATCTCAGCAACATGTCTTCAACAGCTTCTAAACTGCGTCACGAGTTTGGAGATAAAGTTCCACCATGCATACAATGGCATTATCTGACGAGGCTGGTCGCTCCCAACTCAATAGGGGTAGCACCCCAAATGCAATCTTGCATAACACATCAACATAGACATACGATCACCAGCCCGGTGCAACAAGATGCAGCAGTGCTCGAGATATATAGAGCGCGTGAGGAGGAGATGGTCAGCCAAAAAGAAACGCAACCTCAGACCGACAACAGCACATCCTTCTCTTTACGAGCTACAATCTTTACTCCAACGACTCTTCGTCACCACATTCATTACTAAACGACAGTCTACACTCTTTCGACTCGTCCCACATTCTTTAACAAACGAATCCATTTCAATTCCTTGATACCTATCATCGAATAGTCACTCTTTGAACCAACTTCAGTCTCTCTCTATTCATCACAAACACAATGAAATTCTTCTCCATTGCTCTGTTATCCGCCATGGCTGCCGCCGCCCCCATTGCAGGTGCTCCTGCCGAGTATCCTGTATACAAGGACCCCGAACTCTACCGAACGGTCACCGTGACCGTTGAGGGAGACTACTGCGAGGCCACTTATGCCCCCTCTGCAGCCTTCCCTGCCGCTTCTTCCGCTTACTCTGTCGTCAACATTGATGGCTCTGGCAACGGAAAGCAGACCGAGGGCGCTGCTTCTCAGGGCGCTCAGCCTACCGGTACTGCTGGCTCTGAGGCTTCCTCTGAGTCTGCCTCTGAGTCCAAGCCCTCTGCCAATTCTCAGGGCCAGAACTCTCAGGCTCAGGCTTCTGTTTCTTCTGAGAAGGCCCAAGGTTCTGCCCAAGGTACTGCCCAGGGCTCTGCCCAGCCCACCAACGCGGTTAACTCTCAGTCCAACGCTGCTGTCTCCTCCCCCAAGAAGACCGAAGCTGCCAACTCAGGTGCCCAGAACTCTGTTCCCAATGGCCAGGCTTCCTCCACTCCCATCTACACCTCTGCCTCTGCTGATGGTGCTTCTGTTCAGGGTACAATCTCTCCATCTTCCTCCCAGAAGGAGAACCCCGCCGAGAACTCTGCTTCTTCTGCTGCTGCTCCTGTTGCTTCTCCCTCTTCCACTGAGTCAGACGAGTACGTGTACGAGACTGTAACCGAGGACCGAACCTCCACTGCTCCCACTCCCGTAGTTACCGTGGTTGTCAACCCCACTGGAACTGTCACCAATGTGCACACCAGAGTGTCCACCTTCACCACTGACGGCCAGACCTTCACCACCACGTTCTACGACCAGGCCAACGCCACCACCACCGAGTTCTCCACCTTTGTGCCTGTGGTCACCACCTCCGTGCCCTTCAGCAACTCTTCTGCTGCTGCTGCTGCCCCCACTTCCGAGCCTCTCTTCAGCAACACCACCACTCCCGTCGTTGAGCCCTCTACCAGTGCTCCCTTCACCAACACCTCTTCCCCCGTGACCGCCGCTGGTACCTCTTCTGTTGTTCCCACTTCGTCTTTTGTGAACTCCACTACCCCCGTGACCTCTGAGCCCACCTCTGCTCCTTCCGTTGTGCCCACCTCTTCGTTCGTGAACAGCACCACCCCTCTTCCCACCTCAGAGCAGCCCTCCACCTCTTCCGTTGAACCCACTTCTTCGTTTGTGAACAGCACCACCCCCATCCCCACCTCTGATCAGCCCTCAACCTCTTCAGTTGAGCCCACCACTTCGATCCCCACCTCGTCGTTCGTGAACTCTACCACTGAGGCTCCCGCTACTCAGCCCACCACCTCGGAGACTTCTTCCATCCCCACCTCGTCGTTCGTCAACACCACTGCTCCCGGAACCACTTTCTTGACCCCCAACCCCACTAGAATGCCCGGTCTGCAGGCCCTTGACGCTGCCGCCGGTGAGAGCCTCGAAGAGTCTTCTACGGTTGAAACTTCCACCAGTGCTTCTGCTTCCTCCAGTGACCCCACTGTGACCTCTTCTGCTATTGAGACTTCTTCCAGCTCTTCCAGCTCGTCTTACTCCACTAGCACCATCACTAGCACTGTGACTGCTGACCCCAGTGCTACCACCTCCCCCGCCACCTCGTCATCGGCTTCTTTCGACATCGAGGCCTACTCGGTCTGCCCCTGGTACTCGGAGATGGTGAGCGACGACGGCCTTCTGTCCGCAACCTCAACATCCACCTCCTACGTCACCTCTACCCAGACCATCACTTCCACTCTGGTGAGACCCTCTGCCACCGCTTCCGCATAGACGGCAGAGGCTTTAGATTTCTTGTAGTTTATTTGTAATTTATATAATGATTGATGTTTTGTCTGATATACTGGGTCTAGTCGACGCAAGAATTTGAATTGTAGCGGGAATTGTGATTTGTAGGAAGAAATCCTGTATGTAATTAATCTATGACTCTTCTAATGGTATATGATAGCTACAGTAATCCTGTATAGTGCACATTCCTTGTATTGTAACTTCATTATGGTAGAACTGCGATGTTCGGAGAGTTTTCATGTAGTTTTCTATTTCGATCTAATAAATACATGCGGATTAGTTCATCCTCGATAATATACATGTTCCCACATCGTCATCTTGCCCAAGCACCTCCCATCGCCTATTACCTTCTCTTCATATCCTGAAGCATCAGCTTCTTGAAGACATCATCCTTCTCGGCCTTTTCAGGCTTTGGCTTTGACACCTTGGACTTAGCAGCTCCAAAGGGGTTCTTCTTCACCTTAGGCTTCTCCGGCTGTGTCTCCGCCTTCTTCAACCCCAGAGACAATTGGATAGGAGCATCTGTCTTAGTAAGCACAGCCTCCTTGACTTCCTCAACCACACCGTTCTCTTTTGCTTTTTTGACCTCTGCCTCGATTCGTTTGCGCTCCATGGTCTCGGTATCTTCAGCACCTGACTTCTTGGCTGCCATCTGTTTTCGTTCCAGAGAAGCAGCCGAGTTGTCAATATAGGCTATAGTCAGCCCTTCCTTGTCTGTTTCCTCCACATGGCAAATCTTCTTGTCGGCCAGATGTTTCACAAACGCAGACAAGCTGGCCCATTGGGTGGCGTTCATATGGACATGCTCCTTGTTCTGAATGTACTCGTTGTAGAAGCGGTTTGCATTGACCCGTTTCTCTCCGTGAGACATTCGCAGCTGGGACAGAAAGTCCGTCTGGAAGTCGCGGGAGTATTGGCCAATGTGCTTTCGTGCATTCTCACCCAGCAGCAGCATTTGACGTTGATGGCTTTCGCTCTGAACATGGCATTTGTATCCATTCTCGTCCCGGCACTGTTTCTCGCATACCTGGCAGAACCACTTGAGTTTCTGCAGCCCGCGTGACTTCATGCGGTTGGCGATGTATTTCGGAGTTCCAAACTCAGCCTTTCCCATGGTGATAACGGCTGTATACGATGTCTTTGGTGTGGTGTTCAGGGTAAAGATGATTCCGAGCTTTTTCACTTGGCAAAGCTTATGCACGATAACGGTCACGTGGCGAGAGATGTAGGGAAGGCTTCTAGAGGGCAAGCCGGAATGAGAGTCAACTGAATGAGAGTCAACTGAGAGAAGCAATTTGCCACAATAACACATTGTTGAGGTCGGAAAGCTCCTATTAAATCTATCGCATTTGTATGAAATAATGGAGGTTAAATCGTGAGAAAACCAAACAATTCAGATTAATTCACATCCTCCTGATATACGCCATTTTTTACTCTTTCAAATAGCTACTGTATAAAAGGTAGCAATATGAATATCAGAGACCATCCTTTCGTACCAAATGAGACCCTTCATCCACCAATAGAAATTTACAACACTCTCGAGACTCGCTTTTAGCTGTATCTCTGTTCTCAAGTAATATGGAAGAACTCTGTATACTTGTATGTACTGTATGTGTAAGTCGCAATGCCGGGCAAGAATTACTGAGTTGATCGAGGCTTGATCTTGCACAGTTCTGTAAGTTCCCACGGTCGGAACACAGGCTCGCCTCTCCTCCTACTGTTGATTGGAGACTCTCGGACCTTTGCCCTCGAATCTCTCTCACTCTTCCCAAATCTATTATGCTAGCTACTGATTGACCTGCGGCTGGTTCTGGTTCATTCTCTCGTCCTCGGGCTTCCATGAACCGGAAAACAGATGCTTGACAAAGGCCAGCGGGTCGTCTGTATCTTTGGCGCCAAACTGGTCGACACCGGGAGAGAACGACGTCACGGGCAGAACCAACACGTCCGACACGTGCTTGGGGGTCTTGAGGTTGAAAAAGTCCTTGATGCCGACCTGCGACTTGAGTCCCGACTTCTTTCGGTCGTTGAAGTAGTCGAAGACAGAGTCGGTCCACACTCCGGGCCCGGTCCAGTCCATGATCTCGCTGCCATCGGTCTTGTCGCCAGCCATCTCCAGAGTACCACTTCGCTTCTTGGCCAGCGTCTTCTCCACGATTCGGGCCACAATGTCTCGCAGAACGGGGTGACCGGGTTTGGCCTGGATTGTCCACTGGCACAGCTGGATTCGTCGAGCGTACCACTCCTTCCAGTCGGGTCGGTCGGGATCGGCCTCAATACCGACAATCAGACCAACAGTGGAAGGGGAGACCTCATCAGGGATCCAGTTGGGGATGGGCTTGAGGTCCTCAGTGTCGACATCGGAGTAGACACCTCCCCGAGCCAGCAGAACCAGGTAACGGAAGAAGTCGGCCCGCAGAATGTTTTTAGGCATGGCCTTGTACGCCTCCACCACCTCAGGGATCTGAGCATACAGGTGCTGTACAAACATTGCTGCTGCGTCATCGGTCAGCACCTCGTGGACAAAGCTGGGGTTCTTCTCCGTCCAAGTTCGGATCGGCTGTCGGATCGTGTCGGGCGTGTCGTCGGTGATCTCGTCCTTCCACGTCTGCCAGATGAAGGCAGGGAACTTTTTGTACGTCTCGTAGGGGAAGGTGTATGCGAGTTTTTCTCTGAGCGACGCTCCCTGGGGAGGAGTTCGAAGACGTTGGATCTCCTTCTCCAGCACCCGGTTTTCGGTCTCCAGCTCGCTGAGCTTCTTGTTGAACGAATCGAACCGCTTGGCCGCGGCTGCCTCCTGCTCCTTGAGCGCCTTTTCCGTCTCCGCCCGCATCTTGTAGATTTTGTTTTCGAAAGCGGACATATCGCCGGGCAGTAGCACCGTGGGGGCAATTTTTTCACTGGACCCGAAAAACAGGAAGCACACGGTCGCGACCGCGAGCCCCAGCAAAATCACCCGTCGAGCTGTGATGAGAGCCATGGTGTGACGAAGTATCGAGTGGGTGTCGACGTGCGATGTCACTAGAGTTGATGTACGTGTAAAGTTACGCGAGTTTGTGTGTAGCGTGGTGTGTGTGTGTGTGCGTCTTCTCCGAGACAATTAACATGAAGTAACATGCGAGAGATTAACACGATAAGAGGGATTGGATGGCTATTTATATTTTGAGGATGTTGTAGCCACCTCGTTGCATTCATTCTGTCATTAAATCTACTTCAACATGTACTGGTAACTACTTATACCTCTCGCCTACGAATGTTGTATTGCACCCATCTCACGCAAAAGAAACATAAAGGCACACACCGAGAGCAAAAAACGGTTCATAAAAAAAAAAAATTAAGAAAAAAAAAAATAAGAAAAGAAAGTCCGCAGATGCAAAAAGTCGACAGGAATAAAAACTCCCAAAAATAGACCCTCTTCATATATTATAGGTGACAGCGATAAAAAGGCGACATCAATGGGTGCTAGAGACGTGATAGCGACAGGAAAAATAGTTCAATTAAATACCCCAATTGTGAAGATTCTAACGGTATAAACAATATCACATTATTCAAAGTCCATCATCATAAACTAAGCAGCATCACACAGTTAAACCAATAGCGTTCATTTCGCCTGTCCTATTACCTGTGTCTTACAGTGCGTATACAACCTATAACAACTTGTTGTAACATTACAATGTAACGAAACAGATCCCAAAGACCCAAAAACAAGGAGATCATTACTCAGCCATTCAGCCGTTCTATTGCCAAAACAACCTCGGAGCTACAGTACTTGTACGAGTATGACGCAGCCAACAAAGTTGTGCCGCGCCAGCTGGCTGTGCTGCATCATACATGTAGGAACAACTGTTGACTTGTACAGCCTACAAGGAACTAGAAAATAAGGGGTAATGTCACGTGCCCATTGTGTGGTCACGTGATCTCAGCTTTGAATAGATTTGGATCATTTCACTGTGACAATATTGTGCAAGTTCCAACTTATGACATACTGAAAGTGAGTAAGATAACGCTCAACGGTCATTGGTTACACATTACTTGGTTGCTTTGTTGTACTAATATACTGTCTGTATTGGTTCTATTCGTTAATTGATATCGGAAAACAACTTTAAGGCCTCAACAACCACCTCATCCTGCATTCGAGGAGCAATCAACTGGATAGAAAGAGGAGCTCCTTCATACGTCTCGGGAGAATACAACGCCTGCCATTCGGCATCTAGCTTGTTTCGGGGCTTGAAGTCCTCCACAGGCTTGTCGGAAGCCTTGACAGACGAGTAAGGGACTGACACGGAAGTGTAATCCGCCAGATTCCAGTACGCTGTGTATCCCCAGTAGTTGCAAGTTCCAAACTTGAAGGCAGCTCCCGGCAGAACCGGGGTGATGAGCATGTCGATTCCAGCCTTGGTCCACTCGTGCATCAGGTTCCAACGGAAGGTGTCTCGTTGAGTGTGTGCTTTCCAGAGCTCCTCGATGTTGAATCGCTGGACGCTGGGGTTATTTAGAGCCATTTTGCTCATTTCAGTAAGAGATTCTCCAACACTGGACAGCTCTTCTTTGAGCTCTTTTCCTCCGTCGGGGAAGTATAGCGACGAGATGATATGGACGGCTCCAGATGGGTCGTAAGGAGTGAATGGAACCAGTTCGATCTCGACATGCTTGAAGCTCAACTTTTTGATCTTATCAAGGTACTCGTTGACAGCCCGAATGACAGGGGGATGGGGAGTAACGTAGCCGTCGTCAGCGTAGTAGCCCACTCTTAGCTTCTTCTTTTGAAATAGAGCTGGATTCCACATAGACCGTTCAGTGAAGGGGTCGTATCTCCAGACTTCTGCGTCCGACATGACCTTCATGAATAACTCCAGCAGCTTCGGAGATGAAGTCAAGGGCCCAATACATGCCTTGATCGAGTCTGCTCCATGCATAACATAATCACAGCCCGTGTTTGTAATTCTTCCTACAGACGGACGAAGACCATAGACACCACAGCAAGCAGCTGGACCTCGAATTGAGCCTCCAATGTCAGTTCCGAGACCCAAAACAGACGCTCCAAGACCGACGATGGCTCCTTCACCCGAGGATGAGCCTCCAGACGTGAGATCTCGGTTATAGGGGTTGTAAGTCTTTCCATGGAGAGGCGACTCTGATTCCAGCGACATGAGAAATTGGGGACCGGTATTCGACAGTAAGGGTTAGCTCCGGCTTTGTAGAGTACTTTAAGGATGATAGCATTGTCCGGAGTGATGTTGTTGATCTTGGAAGACACGGAAAAGTGGCAGGTTCGGCCTTTGAAGCCCACCATCTCCTTGACGGACACGGGAAGTCCATGTAGAGGACCCACGGGCTTTCCTGTGGATTTTAGATAGTCATCAAGTTTCTGAGCAGTTTCCAGTGCCTCTCGAGGAAGCAGCTCCGTCAGGCAGTTTGTGAGAGTCTGGGCAATAACAGCAGCTCTTAGGAACGCTCCTGCGACAGCCACAGCCGATACCTTGGCCTTAGCAAGCTGATCGAGCAGCTCGATTGGGTCCGAATTGATGATAGCTGCATCGTCATGGGCCAGCATCTCCTGGAACACGGGGATGGAGTTCTTGGGCAACTTTGCGGGAACTTCATGATGTCTCGAGTCCTCGGGTGGAGGAAACACTTTGTCCAGCTCTGCAATGGAATCGTCTCTGATCTTGAGGAACTTCTCTCTAGCAATTTCGAATGTGAGAACCATGGTGAAGGTTGCAATCAGGTTTTGTCGACGATAGTTGGCCAACACCGTCGATGCCACTCCAAGGCATTATATATTGGCTTTTGTTATCATACGGTATCTCCGCACTCGAGCCGCAGCGGGAGTTTAATATGCGACGCGCAAGGTGGGGGAAGACTAGAGGGTGGAGCGGCTTGGAACTCATATGAAGAGTTGAAACAGATAAGGAACGTTTAAATACCCCGTTACGCAACGGCTGCTTTTCATCCTATGTGGGTTTTCGGTCGATAATTGCCTACAATTGCTCTCTTCTTCTCGGAGGGGTGCTCTCATTCAGGAAACTTTCCACGCCCTTATCAGCCTACATGCGTCTGACACCCCCGCTCAACGAAAACGATATGTACGTAGATCCATGTTCCCCGGAGTTTAGATATAGGTGTTGCAGTGAATTTAGGGGGTGTGATATACAGGTATAAAAGGTGCCACCGCCCCCACCCCTGCTCCTATCCCCAGTACATACAGCTTCTCTGAGACTATATCAACTTCCATGTTCAATTAAATCGCCAATTATACTTCGGTAAATGTCTCAAGTAATTACTTAACAAATGACTCTCAAACTGCCTTCTTTTGTTATTCTTTCACAGCAAAGTTATAATTAAATGAATGTATATGCAGAAAAAAAAAAAAAAACTTTTGTCAGACGACAAACACATATAGAGACAATACTAGTCATGGGATGAGTTCGTTACCAGTCTGCAACACTTCCTGCTGTCTCATTTTTCAATCCGTAGGCGATAATACAAAATTCCAAGAAATTCCATCTATTTCCACCATTGCCACCCATGCAGGTCAGGCATCAAAACTCTGATCAGTTAGCGAGGGGAGATATTTGGGTGTTGGTATCGAAGCCTTCCGTAGTTCAAATCTGGTAATTGGCAACTTCAAAACGTCCATGCGACTCCTTAGACTTGATTCAAGTTTTCACCCACTCAATAGGATTCATATTAACGTATTTATTGACACTACCTTCTCCTTCCGGGTCACGTGCCATGAACCCAAAAAATATATTTTCAAAATTAGACTGCGATAAATCCAAGTTTTCCAGACAACTACAACACACACAATGTCTTCCGAATTCCAAGAACTAATCGAATTTCTGCACTCCGACCACCCTGCCGTCAAGCAGGTTGCTCTACAGTCCCTCGTGGGCTACTCACAGGGCCATGCCGAGCAGTTCAAGGCCAACGACTACCAGGGAGTCAAGGATCTGGTGGCCACCGTCATGCTGGGCACCCCCAGAGTCAATGTGGAGAACGCTCTGACCATTCTCATCAACCTATGCGATGACAGAGACATTCTCGACATGCTGGCGTCCAACTCCATGTTCGTAGCCATGATTGCCTGCGAGATTTGCGATCTCGAGAACAAGCAGGCCGATCTGTGCTGTATGCTGCTAGCCAACCTGGCCAAGGACGACCACATTGTGTCCATCTTCGACGCCACCAAGAAGCTCAAGAACACGGAGGTGTTCAAGTCGGAAAAGCTCATCGATTCGCTCATGGACTGCTTTGTCAAGGGCGCTACCGGCAAGCTCAACCTCTTCTCCAACTTCGACTACCTGGCCTTTTTCTTTGCCGATCTGTCGCGATTCCGACGAGGTCGAGACTACTTTGTCACTGAGCAGCCCTACGATGGTCTGTTCCCCATCCAGAAGCTGCTGCCCTTCACCGAGTTTGTGGACTCGCGAATCCGACGAGAAGGTGTTGCTTCTACAATCAAAAACTCGCTGTTTGACACCGACAAGCACTCCAAGTTTGTGCTTGACCCCGAAATCAACCTGCTGCCCTTCATCATGCTGCCCCTGGCGGGCCCTGAGGACCTAGAGGACCCCGAAGAGATCTTTGATCTGCCCGAAGAGCTGCAGCTGCTGACGCCCGACAAGCGACGAGAGGAGGATCTCGACATCATGTGCACTCATCTGGAGTCTCTGCTGCTGCTGACCACTTCGCGGGAGATGCGAGAGTACATGCGAACCAAATCCGTCTACCCTATTGTTCGAGAGCTGCATAAGAACCACGACGACCAGACCATCCAGGAGCGATGCGACCGAGTTGTGCAGATGCTCATGCGGGACGAGCCCAAGGAGGCTGGAGATGATGCCAAGGTGAAGGAGGTTGACTCTGATGATGAGGTTGTCGAGGTGATTTAATCATAAACGAAGCGAGTGATAATTGCCCGGAACACGAGCGGGGCGAATGGTCTGTTCGGAGGTTTTACATCTAATCATGTCACCAGATGGCGCAGATCGAACAGTTGTCCGCACCTCTGGTCCCACAATACACATCAACTGGAGCCAGGGCTCATATGTATAGAAGCAGTTAATGAAATGTATTTGTATGAATAATTGAGAGATGATAGAATGATGTGATTGTGGATAGTGGTTGGTGTTTCTGTGTGTCATCATTGCGCAGAGTGGAGTGTAATAATTACTACTGTATGACCATCGAGGAAGCTGCAGCGGTATATTCAATTAGTTGACTTCACTCAACAAACAACTGAACTAGACTAACAGAACAAGCACCACAAGTGTCGGCCAAACAGTGCCACTTTTTTTTACTAGAACCAAATTTGAAAAGAGCAGTATATTTTCCGCTGTCAAATTAATCATTTCCTATTATCTTCCAGCGACAATTTATTAGCGAAACCTGATTGTATCCAGCACTCCAACTACCCTACAAACCCTCGTGCATCGCGAACTCAATTAATACACGTCTGCCGAAATTACAGTAATCAAGTGCTAAAAAATCACGTCCAACACGACACATCACAGCACACACTAATATTACACAACATGAGTGAAGCCGGACCATCGAAAAAGCGAAAGGGAGAGCCCGAGTTCGAGCTGCCCTGGGTTGAAAAGTACAGACCCATGTATCTCGACGACGTTGTGGGTCATACAGAAACCGTTGAACGACTTAAGATCATGGCCAAGGACGGAAACATTCCCAACTTGTTGATTTCCGGTCTCCCCGGTATTGGAAAGACCACCTCCGTGCATTGTCTTGCGCGTACTCTTCTCGGTCCCCAGCTGTACAAAGACGCTGTTCTGGAGCTCAATGCTTCAGATGATCGAGGTATCGAGGTGGTTCGAGGTAAGATCAAGAACTTTGCCCAGAAGAAAGTGACCATGCCTCCTGGTAAACACAAGATCATCATTCTGGATGAGGCCGACAGTATGACTGCTGGTGCCCAAAATGCGCTCAAACGAACCATGGAGTTGTACTCTGATACTACTCGATTCGCCTTTGCCTGCAACCAGAGCAACAAAATCATTGAGGCCATTCAGTCGCGATGCGCCATTCTTCGATTTGGCCGACTCTCTAATGAACAGGTGCTCGAGCGACTGCTGCACATTGTCGAGGCTGAAAACGTGCAGTGCTCAGACGACGGCCTGTCTGCTCTCATTTTCTCGGCGGAGGGAGATATGCGTCAGGCGATCAATAACTTGCAGGGAACTGTGTCTGGATTCGGATTCGTCAACTCTTCCAACGTTTGGAAGGTGGTGGACTCCCCCCATCCCGTGGTCGTCAAATCCATGTTGGATGCCTGCAGCAAGGGTGAGGTGACCGAGGCATGCGAGTCGCTCAAGCAGCTGTGGACCAAGGGATACAGCGCCCAGGATATCATCTCCACAATGTTCCGAGTCACCAAGACACTGGAGGTGCCCGAGGCGCTACGGCTGGAGTACATTAAGGAGATTGGCTTCACTCACATGAGAATCCTCGAAGGAATCACCACATATCTGCAGTTAGCAGGCTGCGTCGCCAGATTGTGTGGTATTCAGGTCAAGTGAGAGCTGAAATCAAGTCCACACAAGGCGGCCGATATTAAAAAAAGTCTCCAGAAGACCTGTCTCAACCCGTAGACAGTAATCCGTATCTATAAAATGCATTATAAAACCGAAAAGTGTGCAAGAGGTAGCGGTCTATACATGCCTTGTACACTATACTTTCACAATTCATGGACTCAAGCGCCTAGAGTATTGTACATACAGTAGTAGAAGTACAGTACTCACACGCGCACATATCTAGCCACATCAGGTTCTCGCTGAATATTAGTGAGACATATCTGAGCTTCGAGACAGCAGAAAGAACTCTGACACCGATAATCCCAACATAGTGTCCCCTGACCGAACCTATAGAGACGCAGATATAGTCCTGACACGTTCTTGAGACGCGTACAAGCTACGTTAGCTACTGCTTTGTGCTTGCTATCTTACTCATTCTGGTCCGACAGCAACTCCCGGGCCAGCAACTAATGCAACTTCAACTAAATACATTTTAAATATACTCCGAGTGAGCGTGTTACCCACGAGCTTTTGGACGAACACTCTGGGTTCAGGTTGGTGGATTACGGCGTGATAACCGTGGGCTCACAGAGTAAGTGCTGCTCACGCAGTTCTCACTTTGGTAATGCGCTCACTTGTGTTCCCCTTGTTTACCACCGAATCAACAAGGTCATTGTGGCAAGGAAACCGACAAATCCAGCCGCCAGCAGCGTCTGGTAGGTCTTGAATTGTTTCTTGGTGACTCCATCGACCGAGAAATCAGGCACTCCCATGGCGTTGCAGAAGATGTGGACGCACACGGGGGGCCAGACGGACTGGAAGCGCACGTAGAGCCAGGCGGCGTACCAGCCGAAGAGCGTGGTGAAGACGAGCTGCACGGCGCACTGCAGCGCAATGACCATGACCTTGTTCTTCCCTTTACTGCCCATGCTGACGTAAAGCTCGTAGCCGTGGTGCAGATGAGCGACACCAAAATACAGCGGCGTGACGAACACGGACGCCAGAGGCGAGTAGCCCGCAGCCTTGTGCACGGACATGATGCAAGCTCGGAACACGAGTTCCTCGGTGATGGGTCCCACAATGTAGTTTCGGATGCCCCACACGGTCTTGAGCTCGCGTTTGGCCAGGTGGAAGCCCAGCGGGAGCCCGTTTTCCAGGTAGATGCGCTGGTACAGCGGGCCAGCAAACAGTATCGCCACGTGGATCAGAGCCAGCACCGAGGTAGGCACGGTGCGTGTGAAGAAGTGCGGGCCCAGCTCAATGTCCATGAACTTGATGGTCTCGGACCACGTGACAATCTGCGGCTTGAGCTGCCATTGCAGCACGAGCGGTGTGATTACCAGCACGTCCACGAGCGTGCCGAGCGATATAATCTGCATGCGTTTTTTGACCACCACCTCGTCGTCTCTTCGGACGAGCTTGGAGGGCCGGGTGGATTTGCTGAGATACAGAGAGCCCACGTAGAGCGCCGTGATCAGGTGCGAGAACGACGCCGCCACCAACCAGTCTGCAAACGTCATTGTCGAGAGATGGGTTGCCGTGGTGTCTGTGCGTTTTCCGAGCGTTAGCGAAACTTGGAGATAGTAGTAGGCGGCTGCATGGTGAGTTTATTATGTTCCATCCCAGCCCAACCAAGAGTCATTGACCGGTCCCAAGCAGGATGAGGCAGTCCATGCATGCCCTAAACGGGGTGCAATTGACTGAAGGTCTTTGGTCTGGCGACCATGCACGTGACCGCCCACCTGCCAAGCCTATCTGTGTGGCGACTGGCCCATGACCTGTCTCAATTACTGCTACGGGTCGTACTCATACTTGTCTCTTCCGGCCTCTCCTCGCCCTCCATTTTTCCGTGGCTACCTTATTCGGTGAAAAACGTTGGCTTGTCTTTAAACTCCGTAGACTAAAATGACCGCAACTGTAGACTGTACGAATGGCGGTACTCTAACAACTAGCCCGTGGCAAGCGGGAGCTTGGGAGGGGTATTCGTCCTTTATATACCTACAGATCCTTGCGGGGTAGAGCGGGGTCTTCGCCACCACCACCTCCACCAACCCATCTGAGACATACGACTATTCTGGAACAGATTGCTGGAACCAGCGCGCATACATACGATAGTCGGCTATGTACACTAACTCAATCTGCACTTGCCATTAGGCAGGGACTGGCTGACAACGGCGCAAGCGGGATTGGAGAATGAGGGGTAAAGGGTGGACGTGGAGTAAGTGGGTGCAGATTGCGGAGGTGGTGGGGGGTCTCGTACATCCGAAGTATGACTTCTCGCCACACTCGGTTGACGTACATTTATTTGTGGCGGCGCGCTTAGTGGTTTCAGGTTCCTGCCAGCGCGCACCGGGAAGCAACGGCGACGGTTAACCGAGGCTCAGGTTGCGGTCTGTGGTTTACGCTTGGCGGAGGAACCATAAGGGTACTTTTGAGACTGAGTCCAGTCTGTCATTGGAAAGCGGTACATAACAAGCATGCTGCCTCGTTGCGGGGATGGCAACGATTAAGCAACCCAGTTGTGGGCGAGCGCACTCAATTGGTCCAATAACACCTGTTTATTGAGCCTGCTGCTGTACATCGTACACTTGACCCCTGGCAAGTATAACCTTGAGTAGGTCGCTAGAGTTTACTTGGGCTTGGAGTTGGAGTGAAAACTGGTGCAGAAGCGGGTATATATATTCATAGTACTCGTACCAGTACACGCTGTGGCAAAGCCAATCACTCTAACACAAAAGACAATTGGTTCAGTTCAGTTTTTCTCGAAAGAAACCACCTGGACAGGCTCTGATAACCCTGTCACCGTTTCCATATATCTTCAGACCCTTGTTGCATACATTGATGCTGGCATGCAACCATATTACCAGAGTGAAAGTGTATCGGTAGAAGTACGAGTCCCGGTATATGTAGTGCTCGTACTCATTTGGTACAGCACTTGTATCGTGCTTGTCGATGGGAAACAATGACAAAACTGCAACACTCTTTCAAGCATTCTGGCATCATGGTTCTAAGTCCTGCAGCACACAGTTCATGACCTCTCTCCATTGTGGAATTGGGAGGTGTGGTACAGTCTGAAAAACAACGTGATTACGTGGGTTCAAGGAGTGCCTTACGGTCATCACAAAAGTGCACTTATACCGTCAAATAAAATGGACAAAATTTCCGCTTCCATCCATTAAAACTAACTGGAACAATATTTCACCTCCAACTACCATGATTACTCTCCATTGGGTCATTGGTCCTTTCATAGACTCTACTACCACTTCATGCACGTAAACGCACACCAGTCCCAATATCAACATCGCCAACACACAGCACCCCCACAACGCCATATCGTCATGTCCAGCTCATCACTCGGGATCGACAAGCTGGGGTTTGGCATGGGCCGGTCGTCCTCAGACATGAGCCGCGAAGATCTCTCAGGCATGTCCGGCTTTTCCTCTGGCATAATTACTCCCTCGCAATCCGTCTCTGGCTACACTACTCCTCAGGGACGTCGAAACGGCCGTGCTCAACCTCCCAGTGCGCGCGCCGAGCGCTACGTTGACGCTATGGCCGAGGTCAAGGCCATTCTCAACCCCCACAACCTCGCTCTCACTGAGGAAGAGGTTGATTACGCCGTGGACCTCGACTGGGACGCTATAGGAGACGTGTCTCTGGAAGCTGTGGCTCAGGATGAGCAGGAGGACTTTGTGGTGTCTGAGAAACCTGATTCAGAGGCGATTGGACGCAAAAAGCGCGGCCTAGAGCAGCTGAGAGCGCAGCTGGAGGAGTCTGACGTGGCCCTCAAACAGCTAGAGGACTACCTGGCCTGGTTCCAGAAAGACCTGGGCTCACTGAGCGCAGACATGGAGCTGTTGCAGGGCAAGTCACTGGCCATCTCCGAGCGGCTCAATAAGCGAATGGACGTTGAGAAGATTCTGGCGCCCAAAATCGACTCTATGATCGTCCCGGGTCACATTTCACAGACCATTTTCGAGGGCGATCTGGACACTGATTGGATCAAGTGCGTGCACGAGTTTGATGCCCTTCAGACCGAGGAGGAGAGAAAAATTAAAGTGGAGGAGAAGAAGAAGGAGGGAGAAAAGGCTGATAAAGAGGAGGTCAAGAATGAAGAGAAAGTTGGCAACAAGGAAGAAAATGCCGAAGATAAAGACAAGGATGCAGAGGATACGGCTAACGACAAAACTGACAACTCCGCTCCTGTTGCACTCCAGGAATCTGCATTCGACAAAAACGATGCACCTGCAAAGCCCCAGATCAAGATTGAAATCTCAGGCCCGGCAGGACATGCTGCTGTTGTTGCATCTCCAGTGGTCAAGCTGGACCCCATCTCTAAGGCGTCACAGTTCCAGAGCCGGCTTCTCAAGGATAAGATCATCGAGCGATCACGGGACTACTTTGTTCTCAAGATCAAGCAGATTCGTCTCCCAGGCGTCAATGTCCAGCAGATCCAACGCGAGATGAGACAGAACAAAGACATGTATATTTATTTGGAGCGCCACTATCCCGAGCTGGCGGTGGGGCTCAAAAAGGCCTACGTCAACACCATCAAGTGGTACTACCTGTCCAACTTCACTCGGTACATTTCTTGTCTTGAAAAGCTGAATATCAAGACGGTTGACAAAAGCATTCTTCTAGGCACTGATGATGGCCGCGGGGCGTCCAGTGGTGGAATTCTGGGCGGAATTTACGGCTCTTCGGCTGCTACACCTCGAGACCCTTCAATTGCCACTTCCCAGGAGCTTATGAACACCACAGCCAAGCGGATTCGACAGCTCGAAGAGGAAGAGTCGACAGTCATGCCTGCCAAAATTGCCGAAAACAACCCTCTGCATCACTGGCTTGAAACCGGCTTCCGATCGTTGATGCAGGCGCTATTGGATAACTGCAACGTCGAGTATGAATTTCTCAATGACCTATTTGGAACCAGACATGCCGTGGCGCATTCTCCGCAGGCTTCTCCTGCCAAGCAGACTGTTTCCAGAATCGACAAGTTGTTTCAGAAGATCTTTCTGCCCACTTTTGAGGCCATCTCAAACTACACCAACGAGCTGACGAGTACCACATATGACGCTTTTGGTATGCTCATTTGCATTCGTATCTGCCAAAAGATGGCAGGACAGAGCCACGGGGTACCCATGCTAAGAGCTGTGTACAAGCGACTGGCCATGCTGCTGTGGCCTCGTCTACAGATCATTTTGGATGCCAACTGCGAGTCGCTCCGTCGAGCAGCCTCCAAACCCTCGTCGTTTGTGTCTGCTAACAACTCCGCCAACCCCAACATGGCTGCCTTTGCCCCTATCCAGGTAACTCAGGAATGGGCCAACTTCGAGGCCGCCATCCTGACACTCAGTAAACGCCCCAAGGCTGTACGAGAGCCTGTAGCTCAGTGTCTGGGACGTCTTCAGAATGAGTTTGAATCTTTTCTCACCAAGGTCAGTGGTTGTTTGGGCTCTTCCAAAACCAAGGGCATCCAGGAACGTCGGGAAACGTTTTTGTACAACAATTACTTCCTGGTGTCCACCATTATCGGAGATATTGAAGGAGATTTGGCTCAGGAACAAAAAACCCATCTTCAACAGCTCCTGGATGCTTATAAGCAGACTTGAGTGTAATAGGAGAAAGTACAAGTATATAGTTATGATTGATGAATGTAAGCATTGAGTGTAATAGGAGAAAGTACAAGTATATAGTTATGATTGATGAATGTAAGCATACAATAGTTTGATGGTGATATCTACGAGTAGTAGTTAACTGAATAGTGCTTCGTGAAATATGGTGATTGTATCCATTGCTTATATAAGCTGCTGTCTCGATCAGACGCCCAGCCAGACCCTGAAACGTCACGGGCAACCTGGCCGAGCGGTCTAAGGCGCCAGGTTAAGGTCATACCTTAACACAATATCCTGGTCTCTTCGGAGGCGAGAGTTCGAATCTCTCGGTTGTCATTCTTTTTTGCAGTACTCCTGTACTTTCCTTTCCTTCCCTTTTCCTGCTCGATTTTCCTCCTTAATTTTGCAGTATTTTTTTTTGGTGAGCTCCGCTGCTTCTGGTTAAACCTCCCTCTTAAAAGTGTACTGCAGTGAAGCACAGCATTTATGCACGACTGCAAAAAGCCACTGTCAGATCTCTCACCAACACATCAATGTCAGTACTGGGGGAGGAAAAACGCAAAGCGGTGCTCAAACAGGTTCTGGAGGACCCTTATCTTAAGGTTGCATGGCCCGAGGTCTCCGAGGACAAAAGGGAATCCATATTCAGTCTCTTACAATCGGCGCTGGCACCCGTCAAACCATACCGAGAGTCTCAACGACAGGCTAAAGACACAGGCGTTAAGCTGCCACCTACCCCAGGCGCTGTGGAGCAGTCGTCGCTGGGCTTCAATCCCGTCACAAAGGCACTGCAAAGCCAGGCCAAACAGAATCTGCTCAGTGAGCCTGTGAAGGAACCGATCACCATGGTGTTCATTTGCAAGGACGACATCCAACCCGAGATTCTCGTCAAACACTTTCCTTCGCTTTGTGCAAGTGCAAGCAACACACAGACTGCTGTAAAGCTCGTTTCTCTGCCAGCAGGCTCCATGGAGAAGTTGTCTGAAGTTACTGGACTTCGTGATCTAGGCTGTGTGGCACTCAAGGCCCATAAGGACTTTGATACTTTGTCCAAGGTGATAATGGCTTCTGTGCTTGACGTGGAATTGCCGTGGAAGTCCGAGAGTCCATTCACCCCTCTGGAAGTCAAGAGTCTGACTACATTTGCACCCATTAAGAAAAGCAAGAACCAGCTGACCGCTGAAAAGAAGGGAAAAGAGAACAACCAAAAGGAACAACAGCAGAAGCAGCAGAAACAAGGGAAACAGGGCAATGCGAAGCCCAAAGGAAAAGTCACCAAGCCTTAGTCATTCTGCAAGTACATTAATTTATATTGAATAAGTATCTAGCAAGCGTACATACAAGTAGGCATATTAACAGAAATGGTCTTATTCTACGTGCACGTTTGTCAGCTCTATTAACCATTGTTACAAACACACTCTTGCTTCATAAAATCCATTTCTATCTTACTATCTTACTCCTCCATATCATCCTCATCAGACGTTGCTTGCTCGGCAAACTTCTTTGCTTCAGCAAGATGCTCGGCGCTAATATGCTGGTGCTTGCCTCCGGTCTCAGAAGCCGACACCCAAGAGATCTCCAGCTCAAACTCCTTGTCCTTGGTGTCCTCGTGGGCCAGGTATATGATTCGGGCAGCCTCATTGACGGCGTCTCGGGCGCTGATGTTGGGGAGATCCAGCTTCTCCAGCTCGTTCTTGGCGGTCTGTCGGCCCTTTCCAGCGGCGGCTCCGTGGTAGCCCCAGAAAGACCCACTGGGCTCGATCATGAACAGATGGGGTCCGTCCTCGTCCACTCCTCCAAGAATGGTGGCGATGCCAAATGGACGCACCGAGTTGTACAGCGTGTAGGCCTGGGTGTAGGAGCCGAGTCGGTCGGCAAAGGAGTCCACGGGGATGGCCTGCTTGTAGGTGGATCGCCAATTGTAGGCTTCCGATCGGCCTCTGCTGACCATGTGTCGTCCGTCGGGGACCAGACCAGAGTACACAACACCAATGTGCTTGTCGACGGTCTGGATTCGCTGGTTGGCGCCGGGAACAAGCAGCTTAGATGTGACAATCTTTTCGAGCGCAAAAACAACGCCGTCCTTGCACTTGATGGCAATGGAGGTGGAGCCGTTCTCAACGGCCTTGCTGGCATACTCCACCTGGAAGTTTCGACCGTCGGGGGAGAAGACGGAGTTAGAGAGATCGTATCCTGTTCCGATTGAGGACTGTGTTAGTTGGTTGATGGGCCCGCAGCGGTGTTTGGAGACTACTTACCATTGCGTTGGTTGTGGTGTGGAGGTATGGAGATAGTGCTGTAACGTGTGGGTGGCAATAGGATTAGGTTTGGGAAGAGATCTAGAGGCGAAAGTAGGTGGTGAGTTTTAGTTGGGAGTGTAGTTGAGAAGTTGTTGATAGAATGGTGGCGAGGGGGTCGTTCGTAGTGGCAATATCGGTGGTCAAATACCGGATTATTAGTATTAACATGGCCAAATCAGGGATATAGGGGTCAATTGAAGCTTCTATGTTGCACAATAGCTCATTACTGACGTACATCTGCGACTCTCGTAGCCAGTGTGTGCTTGTCTCGCACAAGTATCGTATAAATACCTACGGTACTGTAAACTTTGACGCGATAACATCACCACAACCATGACCAACGATGTCATCCGGATTGTCGTCTGTGGAGACGAAGGTGAGTTTCTTTTACCAAGTCATTTGTGGCGCATACTAACACAGGCGTGGGCAAGTCCAGGTGAGTGAAACTCCGTCTTTCATTACGCTCAAGACACAGCTAACACAGTCTGATCACGTCTCTCATCAAAGACACTTATGTTCCCAATATTCAGAAGCTGCTGCCGCCAATAACGATCCCCAAGGGTTTCTCGTCTTCACCTGATGCGCCATTGTCGACTGTCATCGTCGATACACAGTTTTCCAATAGTCCAGCAGAGGCCGAACATCTGCACCGAGAGATTCGACAGGCCAACGTCATCTGGCTCGTCTACAGCGACCACTACTCGTGCGAACGGGTCTCCATCTTTTGGCTGCCATATTTTCGAAACCTTGGAGTTAACCTGCCCATTGTTCTGTGTGCCAACGTCTTTGACGATGTCGATAGCTGGAACTCGAGAGACAGCGAGCGGATTATCTCCGACGAGATGATTCCGATCCTGCGTGAATTCAAGGAGATAGAAAGTTGCATCCGAGTGTCGGCTAAGCTCAACCACAACATCAACCAGGCCTTTTACCTGTGTCAAAAGGCTGTTATGCACCCCATCGCTCCGTTGTTTGATGCGAAAGAAGGCAAGCTGAAACCCAACGCAGTTGCTGCGCTTCAGAGAGTGTTCTTCCTTAGCGATAGAGACCAGGACGGTTACCTGTCCGACCAGGAAATGCTGGAGCTGCAGGTCAAGTGTTTTGGACGAAGTTTTGATGCTACTGATCTCATTCAGATCAGAGCTCAGCTGGCCAAGATCAACCCTGCTCTAGCTACAGAAAGAGGCGTATCAGAGGAAGGATTCATTACTCTCAACCGTCTTTACGCAGATAAGGGCCGTCACGAGACCACATGGGGAATTTTGAGAACGTTCCATTACACCGACTACCTGTCTCTATCTGATCAGTTTCTGTACCCCAAGCTCGACGTGCCTGAAAATTCGTCGGTAGAGCTATCTCCAGAGGGATACCGGTTCCTGGTGGATCTCTTTTTGCTGTTTGACAAGGATAATGACGGTGGTTTGAACGACTCAGAGCTTAAGACACTATTCAAGCCAACCCCTGGAATCCCACAAAAGTGGCTGGATTTCAACTTCCCCTACACCACCGTCCACGATGAACAGGGCTCCATCACCCTGCAGGGTTGGCTAGCACTGTGGAGCATGACCACCTTTCTAGACTACAAAACTACCATGGCATACCTTGCTTATCTTGGATTTGAGGGTGACAACAGCAAGAAGCGATTCAGTGGCTCATCTGTGACCGTTGCCATGACTACTGCCGCCGCTGCTGCTGCTCGTTTGACTGCTTTCAAGGTCACAAAGCCGAAAAAGCGACGATCTCGACCTCGACCATATTACAGAGCCACTCCCAATGATAGATCTGTGTTCAACTGTTTTGTGTTGGGCTCTCATATGTCTGGTAAGACATCTCTGCTGGAAGCTTTCCTCAATCGACCTTTGATGACAGATATCTATAAACCCACTATACGCCCTGTGTCTGTAGTCAACTCGGTGGAAATGACAGGAGGCAAGCAGTGCTACATGGTGATGGAAGAGCTGGGACAGCAGGAGGCGGCAGTCTTGTCCAACGCCGCTCGGCTGGAAGAATGCGATGTGATATGTTACACCTATGACTCCTCAGATCCAAACTCCTTCTCATATATTGATGGTCTGCGAAGAAAGTATCCCGTGCTAGACACTCTTCCGTGTGTCTTTGTGGCTCTCAAGGCCGATAACGATAGACAGCAGCAGCGGTTTGACCTGCAGCCTGACGAGTATACCAAACAGATTCGAATTGCGGCTCCTTTGCATGTCTCTTCCAAGTGGCCCTCGTCGGTCACTGAGCTATTCATCCAGCTAGCAGAGGCTGCCCAACAGCCTGGACGAGGCCTTCCTAATCAGGATCCGGAAGAGGAAACTAACACTATTATGCCATTTGCTCTAGCTGGGGGAGCTACAGTACTGCTGGCAGCTGCCGTAGCATGGATCTTCAAAAACGTTCGAGTTGCTGGCAGAGAATAGATACACGCACCGTGCTGCAATCACTTCCATTGTAATATATTCACTTTCGACTTTGATACTGCTTGTAATCACAAATACAGGTATATAGAAGGCATATACAAGTAGCACATATAATGCTCCACTTCCCCGACTATTACATAATATACACTCACTATTTACACACATCTCCTTCCCATCCCCAGATCTAGTAGTTTCTCTCCCTTTGAGCTTCTCGCCGGTAGACCTCATTGAGCTCATCCTCCAGCTCCTTGATCTTCTTATCGGCGGCAGCCTTGTCGGACGCTCTCATCTCCTTCTCCAGCTTGAGACGCTGCTGAATGTCTTCGTTTCGAATACCCCACAGGACAGACGAGAACGGCTTGCCCATCGGCGAAGCATGAGATTGGTGAGAGTCAATCTCCCGCGCAGTCACCTGTACCCGTCCGAGATCCTCCTCGTCCGAACCCAGCGACGAGATGCTAGCCGAACTGATTCCACTGCCGAGTTTTCGTCGTGGAGAAGTCCGCTCTAGCTGATCGCCCAGCTGCTTCTTGTCCTCCTCGCTTTGCGCCAACCGCTTCTTGTAGTCGTCTCTCTCCAGGCCAGCCTTCTTGTACAAGTTGCTGAGCGACCGGTATTGCTCCTCGTGCTTGTTGTTCTTGTACTTGAGAGAGTCGACTTCAATTCGCAGCTGATGCAGCTGCTTTGTGATCTCCGAGTTGCCCTTACTCACCAATCGGCCAAGGTCATGCAGAGCATCGTTTGACAGCTTGGTTACCACCTCAGCCGACGGTGTGCTATTGGCCTTCATCAGCTTGGACAGGTCGTCGTCATGGGCATCCTTCCACACAGGGCCAAGGATGTTAGCCAGCTTCTCGATGATGGATTTCGAGAAGTCCCCTCGGTTGCACTCTACGTTGAACAGCTTCTTCTGCCATGACGACAGCTGCTTCTGGTGGGCTGCAGACCGCAGATCCGAGTCAGCTTGCACACGCTTGATCTGAGCCTCCAGCTTGGCCTTCTCCATCTCGCTGTGCTTTCTGTCGTTGGAGAACTGTTCCTCAAACTGGGTGAGCTGCCTAGTTAGCTCCATCACTCGGGCCTCGTGGTTGCCCATATGCTCAATTCGACTAAGAGCATCGTCCAGTTGTGCCTCGAGATCGTCGGTGAACTGTTCACGCAGCTGGAGTTGGAGGGTTGTCTCTGTGAGCTTCTGCTCAAGCTCAGAGGCAGAAGAACGCGAAATGGACTCCTGCTCGCTGATCCGAACATGCAGTGCTTGCCGCTCATTCAGCAGCTCAAGTACAAGCTGTGGGATAGTCATAGCCTCCACATCAATGTCGTGGTCGACCATGACTGTAGCAATCTGGTTCATGCTAGCCTGGAGAGAAGAGACCTCTGCCTTCAGAGACTCAACCGTAGCAGTCAGGGAAGAGACCTCCACTTTCTTAGTTTCCAATTCGACATTGCGAGTACCCAACTCCACGTTTCGAGTCTCCAGATCTTCCCTAAGAGTATCAGACTCTCTCTGAAGGTCCTGTCGCTCTCGCTTGACTCCGGCAAGCTCCATCCGAGCAGTGTCGGCATCCTTCTTGGCCACACCTGCCTGCTCAGTGGCAACTTCCAGCTCATGCCGTACTTTCTCCAGCTCGCCCTTGACTCTCTCTACCTCCTTCTCATCTACTCCTCCTGTCTTAAGCTCCTCAAGCTGCTCCTCTAGGCTGCCCGCAAACGCACCAATTTCCTCGTTGAGCTCCGTCGCACGCTGCAGCTCGGCGTCCATACCCTGTAGCCGCTCCTCCATCTCCACCAGTGACCGGGTCTTCTTCTCCACGTCCTTCTTCAGCCGCTTGTTGTTGTTTTCCAGCGTCTGAATGTCAGGGTACAGCGCCAGAATTTCCCGTTCATAATGCCGCGCCTCCTCGCGGTGCTGGCTCAGCTCGTGACGTAAGTTGTCGTTCTCTTGTTCTTGACTAGAGAAATCGTTACGCAGATTCTCTATCTCAATTCTCAGCGCCTCAATCTCCTCAGCAGACTCCTGGGCGACTCGCAGTTGGATATCCTCGTAGTCCTGCTCGAGATTCTGAAACTCCTGCTCCGTAAGCCGGAACTTTTCCTGTTGAGCAACAATGTACTGCGTGATGATGGTCAGGAAGGAGGAGAACCGCGAGTAGATAGAGTCCTCATCGGTCTCAGAATCAGCATGTCCATCAGGATCGATCAGATTCTGCAGCTTGTGCATCTGGTCCATAACATGAGCCTCATCCGTGTCAATATGCTGAGAGTGGCGATTGCTGTGGACCAGAGGAGGCGTGTGGCTGTACTGCCGATGTGTAGCACCGCCAGGACCTCCACTGCCACCGTCAGAAACAAAGGACTGGCGAGATATGCTTCTGTTGGACATGAAATGATTGTTGGGGGGCACACCTCCTCGCGAGGGTGCACGTGAACCACTCAGCCGGCTCGAACGACCAAATGCACTGCTACTGGAGCGCATGTCCTCCCAGTCTTGCTGCTGCTGTTGTTGCTGCTTGCCCTCGAGATACTCAATTTGCTCTTCATAGTTAACGACGCGTTCCTTGAGCTCCCTGATCTCCTCCGAATCGATACCGCCGTCTCGCTTGCGCGACAGCTCCTTCTCCATCTGCTCAATCTTCTCCTTCATCTCGTTATTCTCGCGGATAGCTCGTTTCAGAGCATCCACGCCTCCGGCCTGAGATCCTCCCTCGCCTCGGTTCAAATTGTTTCGCAGCATCATATTCTCGACCTGGAGGTTGAACTTGTCGTTGACCAGCTTGTCGACATGGGCCCGTTCCTGCTTAACGCCCAGAACAGTCTTGTCGTCGAGAGTGGCAGGGACGCTGAACATGTTGTCGTCTAGAGACTTCATGTGAAAATGTTCCGGAGAGGGAGGGGACTCGAGGTCGGTGTCGCATCCGAGATCTACGTCCTCCAGGGTTGCAACTCCGTGGTGGATGACGCTGTCGGTGTGCATGCTGGAGTGTCTAATGACGCTGTTGAACGACATTTCACGCGGAGGAGAAATTGTCTGGAAAGACGACATGCCTTTCGATGCAAGAGGGGAGCCAGAAGAAGATGTGGGGGCGACATTGGGGGTCTTCTTCCTAGCCAGAGGAGATAATGACGACGTTCGCTCGGGAATGAAAGCATTAGGTAGCTGAGAAACAGAACTTTGTTCAGAAACGGGTATTTCACGATTCTCCTTGTCATCTGCTGTTGTAGTTGTCGCTGCTGTTGCCGTCTCCACCATTTGCTTGGCTTTGGTGCTGGCTGTTGATGTGTCAGGGGTTTGTTTTGTGTCTGTGCTTCCGAGATCTGTGACCTTGCTGGGTTCTCCGGACGACTCCAGAGACGAGTGTGAGGCCGGAGACGCGCCCGGAATCGCTTCGAACTCTGCAGGCATGTCTTCGAAGTCCAGAGTTTCGAAACCGGCTCCAGAGTAATCCTCGGTGACGTTGGAAGATGCATTGAGAGAACTATCCTGGGCGCTGACGCTCTGTGTAATGTCGCGCTTGCCGCTCTTGACATCCAGTTTGAGGTTGTTGAACATGGTTAGGTACTCGTCATCCTGAAACGACATTTCAAACCCGCCAGGAGACGAGGAACCAGGGTCTGTGGTGAGGTTGGAATGGTCTGCATTTGGGGAGTCGTCGGCCGCGTTAGGCTGTGCAATGACCGAGCCGTCGGACAGGTTGGCGGACTGCGTCGGCTCGGACGACACGGTATCTCCGGTCGGCATGGTGGTTGTAGGGTACTTGTTGGGGTGTGAAGACTGGTGAAACGTGATACGCGAAAATAGACTTCTGTGTTGATTATGTTGTAGCGCGTAAACTTTGGAGGGTGCAGTGTGTGGGGGGGTATACCTATGGCAGAAGGGGGAAAGGGTACATTTGTGAGAAGTATGATGTTTGGGATGGAGTAGTAAGAGTATTTGGTGACTGTATTTTTTTTCTAATTTGCCTGGTGGTATGATATTAGCTACACCACATGGTGGTTCTGGCGTTCTGCTCCTGCTTAATTAAACTAAACCTTCTCCAACTAATGTTCAATAACATTTTCAACTAGCTTTGTAGGGGGAGTAAGGGACAAACTGTTGCGACAGCTTGAGAAGGCACGTTGGAGATGGAATTGGTGCCTAGAAAGAGAAATGTTGTCGTCCTGGCATGTCTATCTCTAGTACTGGTAAGAATACTGAGTCTTTATGTTTAATACAAGTACCTGGTAGTCGTACGAGCACCATGCAACAGTGCACATACTGTATCCCTCCTTGGAGAGCTTACAGAGCAAAACAAGACGATGCCATACTGCACCGGTGCTGCATGTGCTGGTCTGTATTATGTATCTTGTTGCAAAATAATGAATATATTATTCAATTGTTTGTTTGGATTGTACCCGACCTGTGATGTTTACCGCTTTTGTGTGTGTCTGACTGGCTGACTGGTTCTTCAATATGCACTCCTGCAAGTATTACGAATACGACTGGAACGAGTCCCACCGAGGGCAATGGGTGTTGGCAGAACTTCGTATATAAAAAATGATGTCATTGAAACCTGGACTCAACGAAGTGGAACAATGCTGGTAGCTTCGAATAGAGGACAACAAACTACAAGTATTCGCACATTCATGGTCTTCCACGAGTATATACAAGTATGTGCTTGTAGCTGCAACTGATAACTGAAGGCAGACTAGTATGAACTACTAAACCGCCCCTTACTTAACAGGTCTACAGATAGTGACGCCCGATTTTGATGACTTGGATTCCAGAGGAGCTCTTTACCATCGTCCTGAGTTCTCTAACTCGTCCCTAAAAAATCTGGAACATAGGCAGGAAACTACTTAGCATAGACTAAACTAGCGGTGGACAAACAAGTATGTCACGTGTTTTGTCGGTTATGTGGGGCGAGAGGCATTATTCTTAGAGTGCTCTTAGGGCTATTTGTCTATTGATGATAGATGGTGGGGTTATATAACTGCTGTTCCTGTTCTTGAAGTTCAAGACTGTGTTCCCCCTGGTTGAACCTCTCAAACTTCCTCTGTAGAAATGCATGTCCTGATGTTGCAAGTCTGACAGCTCCCGACCTCTTGATCAGTTCGTTAATTCATTCAAGATATAATCCCGGAGAATCTATAAAACTGCCGCTATTGCAGTGATACTATTCCAAGGGGTCTAGCCGGACGGCTCTATAGAATCTATCTGTAGAGGCAGGCTCTGCCCTGGAGTCTCACCACCTCGGACATGGAAAAAAGTAGGCTCACAAAAAAATCAGTATAACCACCTCGGTGGTCGTATGATACTCTCCATTAGTGAGGGGTTTTCAACTCGGAGAGGCGCTAGCTTAGAGCTGGGCTACTTGTAGTCGCTGGTCTCGGTTCGGGTATGTACTGTAAAGAGATGCAAGGCATGTTTACTGTACATGTATAAGTACTTACGTCTATGGGAGGTAGTAGTATCGCTATAAGAACTACAGGTCATGGAGCAACTTCAAGAATTAAAACTGTATATTATAGATCCACTAGACTGCTTAGATGAGAGCGGCAACGGCACCAACAATGGCGACACCAGCGGCGAGCTGGACGTTGAAGGCAGAAGCACCGTTGGCCTGCTGGGGAGCCTTGGAGGCGGCAGCGGGAGCAGCGGAAGCCTTAGCAGATTCCTTGGGGGCAGCAGACTCCTTGGCAGGGGCAGCAGACTCCTTGGCGGGGGCAGCAGACTCCTTGGCGGGGGCGGCAGAAGACTCCTTGGCGGGGGCAGCAGAAGACTCCTTAGCGGCGGCGGCAGAAGAAGAGGGAGCGGCGGCGGCGGAGGTGGCCTCGGCAGCAGCGGAGGTGGCCTCGGCAGCAGCGGAGGTGGCCTCGGCAGCAGCAGAAGTGGCCTCAGCAACCTTGGGCTTTCCTCCACCGAGGATACCAAGAGAGGTGGCGAGCTCGAGAACTCGAGAAGTGGCGGTCTCCCACTTGTCGGAGAACTCGGGGGTCAGAGAGGGGAGAGAGGGGGTAACAATGGCGAGAACGGCACCGATGTTGGAGATGATGTTGGACAGAGCCTGGGGGACATCGTAGTGCTCAAAGGCGGCGTTGAAGCCCTCAACAGCCTTCTTGTAGTCGTCGGAACCCTCAAAGACATCAAGAGTCTTGGAGGCAGCGTCGAGCAGAGAGGGGAAGTTGGTCTCGTCAAGGCCGATGGCAATAACGGGGACAGCGGCGGTGAAGAGAGCGCCAACATCGGGGTTGTTGGTGACGATGTCAACAACAGCCTGGATCTCGGAGGTGGCATCAGCGTCAGAGAGGGAGTCGTCGGTCTTGGCGGCAGCAATACCCTCGACAACGTCGTTGGCGATAGAGGCGATGATGGGGTTTCCAGCGGCCTGGACGACAGCGGCGAGAGCGGCGACGGAGAGAGTGGATCGGATGGCAACCATTGTTAGCGAGAGTGTTTAATTATCAGACGAGGTCTGGTTTGCTAGAAGGGGGATCACCGGGGCTTTTATAGCTATGTTTTTCGCCCTCTCTCCACCTCGCCCTGCTGCTAGTGCCAATGAGCTATGGGCTATGACTACCAGCTATTGCGCTATTGCGCTACTCGAGCTATTGCCCAACTATGCACTCTAGTGACTCTGACTAAAGCAAGACTTTGTTGTCGCCCGGAAGGACCGCCAAGGCTCACTAGTGGGCCCACTAGCTCGTGTTGACGTGAAGAGGGGCTGTAGAATGCGTCCACTGTATCCAGGTGTCGTCGTATATCCGGCTGCCATGGCTGTCACTTTAAGGTGACGGGTAACGGCGTTTCGGTGAGACAGGGCATCGGGATCTGTCTATGGAGAGATGGGTATCATTTGCGTGACGCGCTGCTGTTTTCCTGCCGCTGCAACAGGTGACCTGGACCTTTAGTCTAGCTCTGTTTACATCCCCTACCCTTGTCGGTCTAGCTAGTCACGGTCGAATTAGTGAGCGTCATTTTGGGAGAAGTGAAGGGGATGTGAGACGTGTCGAAAAGCCGACTTGCGTGATGCCAAGAACAGCCAAGCCTCCCCAGACCGCTTTCGTATAATATTACCTGTGGAGGGGTGGGGATACGAAGTTAAGAGGAGAGCACTGAAAAGTTGAGCCTGAACTCAACGTCAAGGCCATGGCGAGGATACCACAGCCAAAGGCGATACAAAAGAACACAAACAACCACTCTACATTGCCGTTTTTTTTACAACTCAAGCAAGATTGGTCCATTCTTGTTTTGTTTTTAATCGGCCTAGCGCCAGTAGTGCCTCGCTTGTCTTTGTCCATTGGTTTGTGTGGGGTACTAACGCCACGGGGCTAGACCAGAAGCACCGAGAAATTCGGCCTTGCGTTGCAGAAGAGGTGTGTTTTAGCATGCTTGGGTTATTCAGAATCGGTCTCCCAAGTAGCGAGCGGCATAATTGCTAGCCAGACCATACTTTTTCTGCCTCTTGTCTTGACGTCACATTTGTCACCATCCCAGTATCAGACGACCAGAATATTCTCCGCACTTGATTCCGCTCCAAGGCCCAAATTAGTTGCCCCGATTGAGCATCTTGTTAGTGTAGAATGTCCCCCATACCTTTTACAGAACCGAAGTCAGTTTGGGGCTAATGTCGACCCGTAGCGCTTGTGGATACCGCAATGGCCGCCACCAAGGACTGCAGTACAAACAGTATTCACCAGGTACACAGCTAAATGTTTGGTACTACATGGGCTCCCTGGGAAACCTGTTTCAACTACATGTCGTATAATTCCAACAGGGGTGTTGTCTATTCCACAAGGGGGATGATGGGTGGGGCTACGTGTACGGGTAGCTGTTATTGTACAATACATACAAAACTGGATGTGGCTTCGAAACTAGACACTGTTGGGTTGTTGAAACTGGGCATGGATATCCAGCCGGCCACTTGATTGTTTTGGGTCAGACGTACTTTAAGGGTCCTCCTCATTAAGTCGATATGACGGAAACGATAGCCATGCGATATACTTGCTGGGCTACAAGTACATACTGTACGGGTACCCCACATACTGTACTCGTAGTCCGATCGATGTGAAGGCTAGAATTAGACACGTTGTCGGGACACCACCACTTCAGCGTACTTCAGAGAGCTGGTGCAAAGCCCCTGTGGCACGGTGCACTTGAATGATGCGAAGACCCTGTGCCCATATACGTTATTCTGGACTTTAGACGACTGTATGGGCTTCCATACTGCATACATGGCCCCGTTCTAGTTTAGTCCGGGCCAAGCCAACCCCTTCCAAAAGTAGGATTAACAATCGCTTTATGAGGAAATGGAATGTGGACAGTGTGCCAGGCTCTATAGCCCGTCTGAGAGCTGCTTTTCGGAGTGCTTTTAAAGCAGCATGTGATAGGAAGAAGCCACATTTGATAGTGTCAAAATAGATGCGCCCAGCTGAGCTACTGTGCGAATAGAGCGTGACGCCTCATCCAGCCCCTGCTGACAAGGGAAGGGCCTTGCAATCACTCCGGCTAAAAGCAGAGTGTTTTACACACTCCGTGTTTCGAGTACCGGCAGTTGGAATGTTTGTTTTTATTGGATAAAGGAGGGGAATCGCGAAACGGAAATGGAAGTCTTGGAGAGGGACTAAAGCAGGTCTGTACAGCACTGTATAAACCAAACATTGCTATAGGGAAATGACAAAGGAGATCTCCACTGGGCGTGACCCTTTTGACAATAAGAACTGCCCGTGTTTTTTGGTGTCTACGAGTACAGTACTTGTACAAGTACTTATTGAGCATAGCCGTTTTGAAAGTGCCTTACAGTCTCTTTGAAGTCTCTTGACATGACAATATATGAGCACGAAACAGCTGTTATAAGTGCAAGTGAAACAGGTCAGTATAAGCACAAGTATTGTACTTGTACTTGTACAATCAAATACCGACGTATACAATATCCATTTGCATTCACCTATTCTGGTCTTTATGACTTGTTTCATACCCTCCAAAAAGTTGAAAATTTCGACATGATCAGGACTCGAACCCACACGGTCGAAAAAAAAACGGTTTAAATCTCTTTGTAAAGCGTGTCATCCTTATGCAGGGGCCATGCTAATCTTCTCTGTATTTTTTCAAATTGACCATATGTCCCGAAGGACGGAAATTTTGTTTTTAAATCAACTTGAAGGGCAAAATATGTCACGTGCACGTAAAATACTTTGAGTTGGAAATGAGTCGCGAAAAATTCGACCCAAGAGAATCAAACCCGCTGAATCCAATTATATTGTTTATTTTCATGTGACTCTCCTGTGGCGGTTTGTGGCAGAGCTTCAAAATCTGGAAGTTGGGGTTCTCACGTGACTTGGGGTTAAGATGTCAGATAGCTTCATTATTTGGCCCAAACAGATCTCAAAAGAGAGAAAACCGAAAGCTGACTGAATTATCTGGCTTGGGAGTCGCTATGGGCAATCAAACGACTTCACTTTGACGTAATCCAAGTCGCCCCTATGTCAAAAGAACAATGTATTGCACGGCTGAATGAGTTTAGCGGCTGGGGATGTGATATTGTAGGGGTCAGGAAGTGGCACATCGATGGCTGCAACGAGTTATCCAAGTCACGGGGATACAAGGATCAATCATTATTATTTTGAGCTGTACAGTCCGATTATTTTCGACTACAGGCAACCTCTCCCATTAAACTTCTGACATCTCCATTCCAAGGTGTAGACGTGCAAGTTTGGCGTTAGTGTTTGGGGATTACGCAGCATAGCCTAACCCTAGTATCCAAAAGTGTAAACAAAACAACGAACATCACGATAGAGAACAGAACTGTACCTCAGTGGACGAGCAACATGACGTCTTACGCGCCCTCGAGGATAGAGGTGGATGAAGACGACACAAACAACCCCAGCATGCCTCCGATCCTGAGCGACTATGCGCGGGAGCTGTTGGCGGAAAAGATGCGTTCCACTTCGGGGCCTCCCTCAGCACACAACACCAGTGTTCCTGGCAGGCTACGGAGCTATGGACGTGAAATACGAGATCCCAGAGAGCTTTCCAGCAGCTCACGACGTGCTCCAATTACCACGACGCCTGCTCGAGCGCACCACATGGCTGCTGCTTCTACGACACAGGATGACATAATGGATAGTGACTCTCCAGAACGTCCCTCCCCTTATAGTCCCCAGACTCCAGGCGTGGGGTTGCGAACAAAAACAACACACGCCACGTCAACAGCACCTAACAACCACAACAACGGACACACTCAAACGACCCGCGTTCGTAGGATAGGACGAGGGCTGGGTCCTCCTAAACGGGCCCCTCCTCCGTCCGAAGGAGGCGTCCCTGTTCCAGTGGGGGACGAGATGGTGGTGGAGGAGGTTATTTCCAACGAGACCGGTGACCTGAGTCCGCAGATGAACCGGCTGCGGTTTTCGGAAAACCACCACGGCAACGGTGTCAGCCCCAACCGCAGTGGTCTGGTTCGGTCCGACAGATCTGCGCGGTCTGACCGGTCCATGGCCGATCGCTCGGGGTCTTCGGGCATGGGAGGATATAAATCGTCACCGCTGTCGGGGCCACGACTTCACGAGCGTCAGGTACTCGCTCCCGTGTCACCTAACACGCTGCCTCCTCCTCGAATGGACAAGTTGATGCATAATGAGGAGCAGCAGTGGCGAGAGCGGATGGCACGCGAGGAGGAACGGGAGCGAGAGTGGCAGCGTCACGAGAGAGAACGCCAGGAGCGCGAACGGCAAGAATCGGAGCGGCTCGAACGCATCGAAAGAGAACGCATGGAAAAGGAGCACATGGAGAGAGTGGAGCGGGAGAGAATGGAACTCGATCGACAACGAGCACGGGAACGAGAGCGGGAACGGGAAAGGGAGCGCGATCGAGAACGCGAGCGGGAACGAGAGAGGGAACGGGATCTCGAGCGGGAACGAGAACGTGAACGAGATAGAGAACGAGACAGAGATCGCGATCTGGATATCTCTTCTGTCCAGGCCTATGACAAACGCAAAATTACCATCAACGGCAAACAGTATGTGCGGTTGGAGAAGCTCGGACGAGGAGGATCGTCTGTGGTGTACAAGGTGCAGGCTGCAGGAGCCAAGGACGTGTACGCTGTTAAGAAGGTGATCTTTGACGATGTCGATGAGTCGGTCATCAAGGGCTTCAAGGGGGAGATTGATCTGTTGATGCGTCTCAAGCACGAGAACCGGGTGGTGGAACTCATGGACTACGAGATGCGGTCTTCACAAGTCTATGTTGTGATGGAGTGCGGTGAGATTGATCTTGCCCATATTCTCAACAACAGACTGAACCAGCCCCTCGACATTTCATTTGTGCGATACTATGCCACCGAACTGCTCAAGTGTGTAGATGCCGTACACCGAAACGGCATTGTGCATTCCGATCTCAAGCCAGCCAACTTTCTGCTTGTCAAAGGCATTCTCAAAATCATTGATTTTGGAATCGCAAATGTCGTCCCCGACTACACCGCTAATGTCCATCGAGACGCTCAAATGGGCACTCCTAACTACATGGCTCCGGAGGCTCTGATTGAAACCAAAAACTCCAACGGGGTGGGTCCTCGAATCAAGATTGGAAAGCCATCCGACATTTGGAGCTGTGGGTGCATCATCTACCAGATGATCTACGGCAAGCCTCCGTACGCGGATTTCCAGGGTATGACACGTATTGTTGCCATCATCAACGAGAAGACGGTGGTGCAGTATCCGGCCATCACCCCCCTTGGCAATGTTCCTGTTCCTCCTGCTGCTATTGAAGCCATCAAGGGGTGTCTGATTCGAGAGTCGAACCGACGGTGGACACTGGAGCAGGTGATGGACCATGGTTTTCTCAATCCCATGGCTGTGCAGAAGGACTTCATTAAGAACCTGCTCAGTAACGCCATTGACTACGGCCAGGCTCATACCGAGAAGGTGCGTGGTCGGGAGCTTCAAAAGCTGGTGGATTCTGTGTGGATGAGTCTTTCCAAGGAGGAGATTAACCGAAAGTGATTGGGTGCGAGGAACAGTTGCACTTTTGAATAGAGCCTCGCTCGTAATTACTAATGTCTATAAGACCAATAGCTATTTATTGCATTAACAAACTAAACATAAACAAGAGAAAAACTGAACGTACTGTACAGTAGGTGTTTCTACCGATAAAGGATAGCGCATACAAGTACTAGTACATACTACAAAATCCATACTGTACCTTTTGATCAATGTATTATCGCCTAAAATGCATTTTTCTTTTCCTCCTTATATCTACCACTTCTGCTCAGGGTTCTTGGCAAACTCTTCGTAGTCGGCCAGGTTGAAACAGCTGAGCTCGGTCTCGTTCTCAATGCCGTACTCCAGCAGCGTCTTTTTGTCGTCGTTCATGTCCAGCATCCACTCGGGGTTGTCGAGGTTTATGGCTAGGTTCATCGTCTTGGAGCCGTGAGCCTTGGTGTAGATCTTGAGGGCGTTCAGGTCGACAGTTCTCTGGGCCCGGAAGCCCCCGTTAGTCTTGACCACCTCCTTGATCATCTCCAACAGCTGGGGTGCGGTGGTGGTGGTGAGGTCTATCGACTGGAAAACGTGGTTCTTGATGGATCTGTAGGCCAGGGACTTGACGACTCGCACGGTGAGGATGGCCATGGTGTTGGGCCGGGTGGTGGAGGTTAGTGGGGCATCCATGGTTGTTGTTTGGGTGTGCTGTGCAGTGTGGCGTGGGTCTTGAAACTTCAGTTCTGGCTGTCTGCAGAAATAATTTTGATAGGGTTTAGAGGTGGTTTAGAATGGGAGTGCAGGCGCGTACATAAAGCTGTGGGGTTGCTAGGATACCTGTACCAGCAGTCGGAGAAGTACGAGTAGTACTTGTGATGAAGATACATTTATGTCACAACTTTCTATTGGTCGGATAGCGGTTTGTGTGACTTTTGCTTCTTCCAAAAGTGTTATTTGTCTCAGATAAGCAGACTCTACTTGTACATTTACCACCAGCACTGTATAAGAGCTGTATGATATACTCTGATAAACAACTATCGTCCCACTTTGGGCCCAAGGCTCTTGGCGTGAGACCAATCCAATGTATACAAACGACTGTGGATATCCATCGGCCAGACGTTTGTATTTGTGGGCCTACCGGATGTGGTTTTTGGAGTTCCATAGTCCTCCCTGCCACTGCCTAAAATAGCTCATGTTTGAAAATTAGCGTGGCAGGTTCGTGATTACCCTTTGGGTGTTTTTGAAAATTGGAACTGGAATTGGAGTTTTTCATTGGGATAGAGTACGAGTACACTACAATAGCGACTTGCAAAAATGGGCATAGGCGACGGAGAAGAAACCCGGATTGGAAAAAGATCAAGTGACACAAACAAACACTCGCACAAACACTCGTAGCATTGAGTACTTGCACATAGCATCTCCACATGACATGTCAAAACGATCAGTTGTCTTGTCTGCAGGACCCGCATAGACGATACAAGTGTATTGCCATGAGGGTTTGGGGGATTGGCATGCTTACTTATTCGGGCGAGGTGAAGAAAGAGCACGAGAAAGGGGATATCAATTGAGCATACAAACGCATATACACGGTTACAAACGGCATACAGACGGTATCCAGACGGCCGTAAGCAGCATACAAACGGCATACAGAACAAGAAGCACCAAATCGACCTCATCACACGACCCCTCACGCTCACCATACCATGTCTCTCCCTCAATGGATAGCGACGCAGCACAAGGCCTTTTTGCGATGGGCAAACACGTACTTAGAGGCCAACCAGATTGGCACCATGGTCTCGTTGGAGACGGACTTTTGCGACGGTGTTCGGTTGTGCCAGCTCATTGAAATCATAGGAAAGGAGTCGCTGGGACGGTACAGTGGCCAGCCCCGGATGCGGTTCCAAATGATCGAAAACGTCAACACCGCTCTGGCCTTCATTCGACACAGAGGAGTCCAGCTGCACAATATCGGCGCCGAGGACATTTGTGACGGCAATCTCAAGCTGATTCTGGGCCTGCTGTGGATCCTTATTCTTCGTTTTACCATTGAAGATATCTCCGAGGAGGGTCTCAGTGCCAAGGAAGGCCTGCTGTTATGGTGTCAGCGCAAAACCGCAGGATACAAGGGGGTGGCAGTCAAAGACTTTAGCGGCAGTTGGAGTGACGGCCTCGCTTTTTGCGCCCTGTTGGACAAACATCGACCTGATCTCATTGACTTCGCACAGCTAGACCCTACCAAGCCTCGAGAAAACATGGAGTTGGCTATTAGCATTGCTACAGAGCAGATTGGAATCCCACAGATTCTTGATGTCGAAGACATCTGTGGTGTGGCTAAACCAGACGAGCGGTCTGTCATGACATATGTGGCCTACTGGTTCCATGCCTTTTCTGCTCTGGACATGATTGAGAACGCGGGAAGACGGTTAGAGAAGTTTGTTGAAATGACCTCGTCGGCCTATGCCATGCAGTCGGGCTACGAAGAACGTATGAAAGCGCTTCTCAAGGCGATAGCCACTCAAAAGGAGAAGTGGGAACAGGCAGCTGACCCAGAGCATTTGGCCTACGTTGAGGTCAAACAACAAACTGCAGAACACGCAACTTTCAAAATCAAGACGAAGCGGGAATGGACCAGGGAAAAGGCCTCGCTGGCCTCGCTGCTGGGAAACATTCGCACAAAACTGGCCACCTACAACCTCAAAGAGTACTCTCCTCCCGTTGGTCTGAGATCAGCGGACGTAGAAGCAGCATGGAAAGAGCTCCACATGGGAGAAATCAACCGATCAAAGCTTCTGAATCAGAGTATGAGACGACTCAAGGAAAGTTTACGTAAACGGTTTGCTGATGCCGCCAACGAGTTTTCAGATAGACTGTCGGTGCTGTCAACTGCTATTAGCCAGATGGACGGACCTCTGGAAGACCAACTGGAGGAGATTGCGGATATCAGTGAAAAGCTGCGTCCTCTGACCGAGAAAATACGACTTCTCAAGGAATTGGACACCAGCTGCGTGGAGGCCAACGTCGAAGAAAACGACTACACAGTGTACTCGTATGACGAGCTGGAATACGATCTGGGGCTGGCCAAGGAATCGGTCAAGAAGAAACTTGCATTTATCGAGAACCAGATTGTGGCTCGAAACATGACCAACCTGACGCCTATCCAGCTGGAGGAGTTTGAGTCTGTCTTCCGACACTTTGACAAGAGCCAGCACAATGCTCTGTTGGAGTCCGAGTTCTCCGGAGCTCTGGCTTCTCTCGGCCTAGTGTATTCCGAGACTGAGATGCACGAGGTGTTTCAGGCGGCCTCCGAGGGACAAGTTTCAGTGTCGTTCGAGCAGTTCATTACTTTCATGGTCGAGGTGACCGAGGACCAACTGTCTGCCGAACAGGTGCTGCAATCGTTTGCCGAGGTGGCAGACGGCAAAATGTACGTGACGGAGCTGGACTTGCAAAACTCACTCATCCCAGAACCTATGATTGACCAACTCAAAGATACAATGCCCAAGACAGCCGACGGCTTTGATTACATTGCCTACATGGAGCGCTTGACCTTGTGATATCAAATATAAATAGACGTTAGCATAAACATTCATATCATTACTTGTATTACACACACTGTAGCCTTCGACTCGCGCGCCATCTCCTTAAAGCGGAGAATGTCCACCCGTTAATACATATAATACATTAGTATACATAGTTTACATTAAGACCGTCGTCGCTTGGCCCGCTCAGCTCGACTATTCGCTTGGGCATCCAGTATCGACTTGTCCTTTGCCTCCACCGCGTCCACCAGAGGTAGCAGGTCCTCCTCCACCTTGACCTTCTTACGTCGCTTTTTGGGCTTGGTCTGTGTCGTTTCTTCCGCCTCGGCCTCCTCTCCCTCTTCCTTTACCGTCCTGGTGAGCTCCTTTGGTTGCTCTTCTTCGTCGTCTGTCTTGATTCCATCAAACTTTACCCGCTTAGTGGTAGTCTTCTCTTTGGGAGGTCCATTATGTTGTAGTTCAGGACAGAAGGATGACGTCCGGCCTCCGACAGTCACGTGATCCACCTCGTAGCCCTCCAGTGTGTAACTCTTTTTGTTCTTGTTCCGCTTGCCCCATCGGTTCAGCATAAGCCAGTTGAGCGGAAAGAGCAACGTGTTGCCCTCCACCTTGACGACAAACTGGCAAATGTGCACGAGCTGGGTGTATAGCTCGTCGATCTGCGACTCTAGCAGCAGATTGCACATGCGAGCGGGGTGCACGCGTGAGTGGTAGAGAATCTCGTCGGCCACCCAGTTTCCTACGCCCGAAAAAAGTGATTGGTCCAGAAGCACGGACTTGATGGGCGCCTTTTTCGCCTGGATTTTCGCCTTGAAAGCATCCAGATCCAGAGGTTTGAGCGCCGCCGGTGTGTGTTCGTCGTCTGGGCTCTTGCTGTAATCCGGACCCAGTTTCTTCATCGGATCCACCTTATAGATGTCGAGAGGTTCGGCGATCGTAAAGAGCTTGACCCTAGCTAGCCGTCTAGCGTCGTAGAACGCGAGTTTGGTACCGTCCTCGAGCGTCAGATCCATCTTGACGAACCGCGGCGGCCACGTCTGCTGTTCGAGTTCCTCCTCCGCCAGCTCCTCCAGCATGGACACGTCTTCGGGAATGTCGCCCCCATTGGCAGCAATGATGGACTGACCGTTGGCGGCCTTTTCTTCGACGACTCCTCCATCTCCACGGATGCGGTCGAGCCGATCACGTGCCTTTTTGTCGCCACCGTTCTCCATCATGATGTAGTGCGTTCTGTGGCCCTTGACGGATATGTAGCCCGTCATGCCAAAGTGTAGCAATACGGCGTTATCGGCGTCTCCATCGAGCGTGAGCCACCAGTACTTACCGTGGCGCGACACGTTAGTGATGACGCGGCCCTGGAGGGCCTTCTGCAGCGCCTCGTGGCCGGTTTCACTACCAAAGACGATCTTGTCGGGCTGGACATCCGCCTCGGCGACTTTTTTGCCGGTTGCAAATTTCGCAAACACCGACGCGGCGTGCGCCACCTGAGTTAGCATCGACCACTTTCAGAGCTGCGGTTGTGGGTGTCTGTCGCGGGTACTCACCTCTCCTAGTTCGGGCATGTCAGTGAACGAGTGTGTGGTGAGAGTGTGTAGTAGACCACGCTGCGTTCTCACAGTAAGCTCTTCCAGGTTGCATGAAGGAGGGGCTGGGCACTGAGTGGTTTAGTGTCGCAGAGAGGGTGGGCGTGCGCAGTCACGTGACCGAGTACTTTCGGCTCTCGCTTTTTCATTTCCAGGTTCCAGCTGCCCGATTTCCAGCTCTGCGTCGTTTTTGTCGTTCCATGTTCCGGGTCGGGACTCACGCTGGCGCGCTCTATCAAACATTCTCACGTCAAGTCAACATGCACCACATTTTAAGCTCCGTTAACATTCACCATTAACATGCATAATCTCAATACGTACATGTTGATGAAAGGGACGTTTTTATTATACAGATGATTTTCTGAACCGCACACAGCACAGCACAGCACGCAACACACACACACACAAAAACACATACACACAATGAAGCGGGCTTCGTTACGGCAATGGCGGGGTTTGCAGAGAAGCCTGACTCGCCGCCTGTCGTCACAGAACGTGGCTATCCAATCGTTTTCGCGCCAGAAACATCCCGCCACCCTCCTGCTACAAACGGTGATGTGGGGAGGGCTGGCTCTGGGAACGTCAGCTGTGGCGTGGACCGTGTGGCACGAAAAGTCGGAGGTGTTTGTGCCTCTTCACGTGGGCAAGTCGGTGCGCACGCCCAACGAAAAGCTCGACGGTATTGATCTGTCGCAGATCAAACATCGCATTGTGGAGCGGGCTCTAGAGAAGCTCGCAGTGGAGCAGGAGGTTGGGCTGGCTATGGGTGTGCCTGTGCAGATGAAACATGTCATCAATATGGACTCTCGCATTGTCACCAATGGCCCGACTCTCAATGGCGTGTGCATCAGCAAGACCTTCCCATACGTGCATTGGGCGTGTCGAGGCATCAATCTGGACAAGCCCAAACCGGACGTTATTTTCCAGGAGGAAACGGCCAAACCCAAGGAGGAAAAAGACGAGCCGCTGTTTCCAGAGCCTCCCAAACATCTGAGTGCCCAAATGGAGCTGGAAATCGAGGGTCCCAAGGTCGCCCACGCCACAATCACCTTCACGGCGCAGTACGATCTGCAGGAAGGGGACTACAAGGACCCGTTGATGACCCCCACGTACTCGTCGTACCTGGCGGCCAAACCGTGTGTCTCATTGAGCAATGGAGTTTTACGGTACGAAGATCGTCACGGCCACGAGCAGATTTTAAGAGTGTGGTAACAATCGACTAACCGCCTGCTGTACCGTACATACTTGTTCAAGAACCTGTACCAGGTATTAGGCACACTGGGCATCATCTCAACTTCACGATTCAGTCAGCTCATATGAAACTATTGAGTATGGGACCATCGCGACGCCTTCCGCGTATTCAACGATGATGAAAATGCTGTTACAGCATTCACCTGCCGTTGTAATGATATCAAGTCACTAACATACAACGTCACCTTCCCCCCATCAACGCCACTCAAGACAAGGTTCGGGAGCTATGGTAGGCACTGAGTCTAGGGAAGACGGAATCCGATAGTTGCAGATGAGGCAGATAGAGGGAAGGTGAAAGGGCAAAAATATGAAAAAAGCGCTGTGCCAAGATATAAATACAGACAATTAAGTATCTCAAGCAGCATATATCACATGTCCGTATCCTTGTACTGTCCATTATAACCGCCTCTCATATCTCGTGCTATGCTCATAGTCGTTCATCTCTCTCCGCATGACTGGAACCTAGATCAGGTTAAGATTGCAACCATCCACATAGCCAGAGCCGTGTGACAACATCGCCGTTTGTCTATATAACGCCCCTTATGGCACGTCGCCTTCTGCAAGTCACGGCCAATCTTTCGCTCGCTCTTCTGCCCCAAAGAGCACTACTCAAGTTCCCCCACGCGCACTTTCACACCTGCCCCACCACTCTCAACATGGCTTCCACTCTGCCTCCTCCTCCGACCTGGAACTACACTCCTGATGAGGTGTCTTCTCTGACGCAGACTGCCATTGACAACATCAAGAAGCTGGATGACCAGATTGCTGCCATTCCGATCGAGCAGGCCACCTGGGAAAACACCGTGGAGCCCATGATCGAGCAGGAAAACGAAGACAAGCTGTCGTCCAAATTCTATCTGCTCAAGGAGACCTCGCCCAACAAGGAACTACGAGAAGCATGCAACGCTGCCGTCAAAGACGTCCAGAAGGCATCTATTGATTCCAGCATGCGACACGACGTCTACCTGCGTGTCCAGCACGTGTTCAACAACCTGGAGAAGATCAAGAAGGAAAAGAAGCTGTCTCCCGAGCTGGTTCGATACCTGGAAAAGTCAGAGCAGGGCTACCGACGAAGCGGACTGGCTCTCGACGAGGCTACTCGAGACAAGGTGTCTGAGCTCAAGAAGCGAATGGCAGACCTCACCCTGGCATTCTCCAAGAACCTGGCTGACGACGAGGCCTTTATTCCCTTCACCGAGGAGGAGCTCGAGGGCGTGCCCAAGGAGGTGTACAGCGAGTTTGCCAAGACCGATGACGGTAAGTTCAAAATGTCTTTCAAGTACCCCGAGATGTTCCCTGTCTTGGAATACGCCAAGAGCCCTGCGGTCCGAAAGCAGGTGTTTGTGGAGAACGAGAACCGGGCTGCTGATCTCAACACTCCCCTGATGGAGGAGACTATTGCTATTCGATCTCAGCTGGCAAAACTTCTGGGCTACAGACACCACTCTGACTTTGTTCTGGACATTCGAATGGCCAAGAAGTTTGAGACTGTGCGCGATTTCCTCGAGGACCTCAAGGTTAAGCTGCGAGTTCTCGGTGAGAAGGACTACAAGTCGCTGCTGGCTCTCAAGAAGCAGGAGTGCAAGGAGAATGACTGGGACTTTGACGGCAAGCTCCACATCTGGGACGTCAAGTACTACAACACTATGCAGATCAAGAACGACCTGCAGGTGGACCAACACAAGATCTCCCAGTACTTCCCTCTGAGCCGAATCTTGTCCCAGGCCATGGCCTTTTACGAGAATCTCTTTTCTCTGCGATTCGAGGAGGTTGCCAACGTCGAGGCCTGGCATGAGGACGTCAAGCTGTATCGAGTGTATAAGCGAGATGGCCCCTCTGAGCAGTTTGCCGGTTACATTTACCTGGACCTGCACCCTAGACCCAACAAGTATGGCCACGCTGCCAACTTTGGGTTCTCTCCTGGCTACTACACTAAGGACGGTAAGCGAGTGCCTCCCTGCACTGCTCTGGTTTGCAACTTCACCAAGCCCACGGCCACTAAGCCTTCTCTGATGAAGCACAATGAGGTGACCACCTTTTTCCACGAGCTTGGTCATGGAATTCACTCCATTGTTGCCGACACTCAGACCACTCGGTTCCACGGCACTGCGGTGGCTCGAGATTTTGTTGAGTGCCCCTCTCAGATTCTCGAGTTCTGGACCTGGGAGCCTGTGCAGATCAAGGAGATTTCCCAGCACTACGAGACCGGCGAGAAGCTGGACGACGCTCTGATCGACTCACTGATCCGATCCAAGCATGTCAACGATGGTCTTTTCTATCTGCGACAGGTACATTTCGCCTCGTTTGATCTGGCTGTTCACTCTCGAACCGAAGAGTCTCCTGAGCTCGATCTGCAGAACCTGTGGAACGGAATGCGAGAGGAGATTTCCCTGGTTGGAGGCGACAACGAGAAGATGGCGGGATACGCCAAGTTTGCCCACATTATGGGCGGCTACGACTCCGGCTACTACGGCTACCTGTGGTCCGAGGTGTTTGCTGCTGACATCTACTACACTCGGTTCAAGGCCGATCCCATGAACCCCAAGGCTGGTCTTGAGTACCGACAGAGCATTTTGGACCGAGGAGGATCTCGAGATGAGATGGAGGGTCTGCGAGAGGTTCTTGGCCGAGACCCCAACAACGATGCTTTCCTGCAGGAGCTGGGTGTCTCTGATCGTGCAAACCTGTAGGGACATCGGAGGTTTAACCTCTAGCTACTAAATAATTATCATATTATCTCTATGATACATCGCGGGCTGGCCTGATACAGTAGTACTCTCTACTTGTATGGTACATACTGATACTGAACTTGTAGCTATAGTAGTCAGACACATGTCTCAAAGAAGGTTGCTGATAGGGGGGATAGAGTTGTGGCGGTGGCGAATCCGAGGTTCTCCGAACTAGCAGTGTTATCGTATGATATGGCTTTTGTATAGATTAGTTGAGAAGACGAGTCAGTTAATTACTGTGGGATTACGTTTTTCCATGCTCTATAAGAAGGGGTGGGTTGTGATAAATATAAAAATGGAGTCATTGACTGGAGTGGCAGGAGTGTAGGTATACATTGTTAGAGGTATTGTGGTTGAGATGTTTGAGACCGTTAAGCAGTATAAATGGAGGTAGGAATCATTGTGATCCAAAAAATCTAAAAACCCCACCAACAGTATATATTTGAGTATATATATGAGTATATATCCTCTTTCATCATCATCTTATGAAACCGCGGTAGGTACAACCAGCCTATGCAGCAGACTGGTCATGTTTAACTCGCTTGTTTTGCTCCTCGAGATTAGGTTCTGACATTCTGTAGGAGAAGGTGACACACGACCTTGACTGTTGTAGAAAAGAGAATTCTGTTGTGTCGGAGACTCTCTCCTCAAGTACTCCAAAGCAATCCATAGCGAGAAAAGATCTTGTCGTATTCATCTCCATCGTACCCAATGTATGTAACAAGTTCAGGTCTCTACTTGTAGTTGTCTGGTTCATCCCACTCCACATGCATACTCATGCGTGTCTGCAAACTAACAGCCCATCCATCTCCAGAGGTGAACTTTTTGAGCTCAACCACATTTGCCATGGCACGGACACATCTGCTCCGACTGGTGCGTTTTAGAGCGTTGCACAGCTCCGCCACGGTAGGTCAGGCCAACCGACGCCACCTGGACCGCCTGGCCAACTTTGGAGCCACAGTCTCCAAGCTGGAGGAGCTGGTGCCATCTCTACTACAACACTCTCTGCCACACGAAATGCTGTCCAATTCCGTGTGCCTCAAGTTCTACTTTGGCCAGTCGCGCGACATGAACTACTCGGACGAACACCAGCTCTTTGGCTACACAGAGGGCCAGGAGGGCGAGGATTTCGTGCGGGAGGTGGGCAGGCGACAGCAGCGACACAAGGACGACACCGCCAACAACGACGCAAACAACGACAGCGGACCTCTGAGAATCAGCCTGCCACATGCCAGGGGAAAACCAGCCTATACCACGTGCTGGAAAGTGCTGCAATGGATCGCCACGTCGTATGTGAGAACCGATACCCAGATACAGATCACCAAGATGACCCTTCATCCGCCCCAGAACGACGACTCGTCCTCCAACGGGCGAATAGTCATCAAATGGTGCACTGTAGATACCGATGCCGACCAGTGGGTAGGCGGAGGAGGAGGCTATGGAGCTGCATTTTATTGTTCCGAACTGGACCACCTTAAACCGGTGCCGGTTCATGTCAATAACAACAACAATAATGGACCAGAGAGTCACACGGTGCACATGTCTCCTACCGAACCCACAAGCTATCCGATTTCATCGTACATTCCGCGAATTGGACTGTCGTTCGGCAAGCTGCTGGACTCTGGACCTTCAGAGCACATTTTGTCAGGCATCTTCATTTTCGACCTGACCGAGGACTGTGACCTCATTCAAACACACATTGTGGATAACGTGGAGGTCATTAGAGAGAAGGAAGCACGAGACGCTCTTAAGTTGGCTTGACGGGAATGATTCAGATCCTGGCCACTACAACCACTACTAACTGTAAATAGCTGTACATATTCATCATTAGTATCCAAGAGGCTGTAGTTCTTGTACAGTAATTTATCCATAATAATCATATTCATACCCAGCCAGGCATTATTGCCTATGGCTGTCGGCTCATTTATATTCATAACCCTCGTTCTTTCAGGAACTAAATCTTGGGCTTAATTTCATCTGCATCTTGAACACCAGGTAGTCAAGCGGCCCAAGCCTTGTACTGGTTGATCAGACCGTTAGTGGATCCGTCGTGAGCATCAATCTCAGACTTGTTCTCCAGCTCGGGCTGGATCTTCTTGGCCAGAGCCTTTCCAAGCTCAACTCCCCACTGGTCAAAGGAGTTGATGTTCCACACGGCACCCTCGGTAAAGGTGACCCACTCGTAGTAAGCAATCAGAGCGCCAAGGGTGGCGGGGGTAATGAGCTGGGTGAGAATGGAGGTGGTGGGTCGGTTGCCCAGGAAGATCTTGTGGGGAACAAGGTCGGCGGGGGTGCCCTCGGCCTCAACCTGCTCCTGGGTCTTGCCAACCATCAGAGCCTCAGACTGGGCAAAGAAGTTGGAAGCCAGCATTCGCTGGTGCAGGTTGTGGTCGATGGGGTTGTGGGACTGTGCGGCCAGAATGAAGTCGGCGGGGATGAGCTTAGTACCCTGGTGAACCAGCTGGAAGAAGGAGTGCTGGGCGTTGGTGGCGGGCTCACCAAACAGAACGGGTCCAGTGGAGTACTTGACGTACTCGTTGGATCGGGTCACGCCCTTACCGTTGGACTCCATGGACAGCTGCTGCAGGTAGGCAGGGAATCGGTGCAGGTACTGGTCAAAGGGAGCAATGAGGTGAGTCTGAGCGTTGAAGAAGTTGTTGTACCAAACGGACAGTAGACCGCCGAGCAGGGGGATGTTCTTCTCGGGAGGAGCCTCCTTGAAGTGCTTGTCAACAGCCTCGGCACCCTTGAGGAAGTCATTGAAGTGGTCAAAGCCAACGTAGATGGCGACTGACAGTCCAATGGAGGACCAGACCGAGTATCGGCCTCCAACCCAAGAGGCAAAAGGAAACATGTTGGCCTCATCGATGCCGAACTCGACAACCTTCTCCTTGTTGGTAGAGAGAGCAACAAAGTGCTTGGCCACGTGCTTAGTGTCCTTGGCGGTCTCCAGGAACCAGGTCTTGGCCGAGGTGGCGTTGGTGATGGTCTCAGCGGTGGTGAAGGTCTTGGAGGCAATCAGGAACAGGGTGGTCTCGGGGTTGAGCTGCTTAATGACCTCCTCAGCAATGGAGGTACCATCAATGTTGGACACAAAGTGAGCTCGCAGACCCTTCTTGGCGTAAGGCTTGAGGGCCTCGGAGACCATGACGGGGCCGAGATCGGAGCCTCCGATACCAATGTTGACGATATCAGTGATCTCCTTGCCGGTGTAACCCTTCCACTCGCCGCTTCGGACCTGCTCGGAGAACTCCTTCATGTGAGCAAGCACGTCGTCGACCTCGGGAGCGACATTCTTGTCGTCCACGTCCATGGCCACGTTGGCTCGGTTTCGCAGAGCGGGGTGGAAAACGGCTCGGTTCTCTGTGAAGTTGATCTTGTCGCCCTCAAACAGCTCGTCTCGCAGGCCATAGACGTTGGCCTCCTTGGCCAGCTCCACCAGCTGGGCCAGAATCTCGTCGTCGACAATGTTTTTGGAGAAATCAAACAGAATCTTGGAGTCATCAAAGTTGGTGAAGGTATGCGACAGCTTGTTGAACCGCTCGGGGTCCTCCTTGAACAGCTGCTTGACGGGCAGCGACTTGCCCTTGGAGTCATAGAGCGTCTGGAGCTTCTGCCACGCGGGAAGGTCGGAGGCCTGCTTGAAGGTCGTGAAGGACTGAGCCATTGTGTTTGTGTGTTGGTGTGTCTTCAATTGAGTCAATTGAGGGGGATTACTACAACTGTGTTGCGGCAGAGGGTTGGGGAATATATATATAAGGCTTGGCTGAGGTGCGCCATTTGGGTGTCATGTTGCCCAACTCTATTTGGGCTAACAACCTCAACCAAAAAAGCAGACAGTCCCAAAAAAAATCTAAAATTCACCAAATTAAAAGGCTTGTAGTCCGATGTGACATGCAAGCCCAGACAATGACTGTGCGTGACCCCTCAAAGCGAGAGACAGGTTCCCGTAGCAGATCGGACAATGCTACGCTGTCAATTGAGCTCTTCTGGTCCAGCGGGCCCTGTGCACCACGAATGTTGCTGCTCCCAGGTACACCCTATTTATTACACTACCTCCCCCTCTTTGCTCTATTGTTCACCAACATTGCTACTTAAACTCCCTTTCCCTCCATGATCGCACGTGCCGAGGAATAAAGCCATCTGTGCATAACAACGATGGAAGGCCGAGACCGACTCATTAGTCATGGAGAGAAGTCGAGGAGCAGCATACTGCCACGCTACCATTATGCCATTGTTGTACAATGGGGCTGACAAAGCTGGGGCTGGGGAGGAGGTCTCTACACTCAACCTTGCTCTAACTAGCCCCACTGCTACACCTCATGCTGGCTTGTGACTGGCCATGTTATTCCGAAGCCGGTGGGAGTCAAACAAGGGCCTGGAGGACTCCCATTCGCGTGCACTGTATGGCTACAGATAGGGAGTCACGAAAAGCACAACAGAGCATGCCACTGGTGCAACGCCGGCAATTGAACCCCCGGCGGGCGTATGGAGATAACACAAACCGTGCAATGGGGTGACACAAGTGCTCAACCAAGCCCTGGTGGTTAGCTCTAACTCGGGAGCCAAAATAACCATGGAACCAGACTGTTTTTAATCCTGTTGAATCACCACGCTGTCTCCTTGCATAATGTCACATGACGACTCAACGTCATCATTACCCAATCCCAACCCAACCACGGCATGGGAAAGAAGACAGCAGAAACGAGCGATCCACGAAAACCCACTTTTGTCAGCCCTGACTCCGCAGATGACTAAGCGAGATCGAGGGCCAGGGAAAACTGGAAAAACGGCAAACTCTTCTCTCACCCTCTCTCTTTCTCTCCCATTCAGCCCCTCTAACGCACATTAAAGATGCCCATATCCTGCGCATTTTGTAATAGCGCTGCATATCTCCGTTTAGTCTTCTAAGATTATCCGGACCATGCATTCGTTCGAGAGGAAACGAAACATCAAGATATCCATACAATGGAACGAGTGGTGTGTTTCCAAACCACAATAAAAACCCATATTAGACCCTCGTATTTCGTCAAGTGGCCCCACAAACATTGACTTCCGAGGTACTGTACTTCGCAGAGTGAATACGAGCACACTATATCGTATAAATGGTGCTACTTGTATTCCACATGAAAGAGTGAGTATACAGTATACTTCTGCTACCTTTTGTCTTAGACCAAAAAGATGTAACCGTATGTATCGCAGTAGAGTATCCAGATGCTTTTACATGGCCGATGAGGTATTCATACAGTAAATCTCTGAGAGCCAGCAGCTTCCAACCGATTGATGCAACTAAGTGTCATATGCTTAGTCATCTATTCGTCTTGCAAGGATCTCGGGAGCTAGTCAATTCATACTACCTGAAACTGAGCGCAACTAAAAACTTGATTATACCTCATTGCTACTCCTTTAGTATCACGTTACCTGTGCAAATCACGTAACCATCGTAACCATCATCGGTACGGAATTGGTACATCTCTCCATCTCATACAGAAGCTCTAATGCTCCTCCTATCCCCTCAGCATATCAATCACTGCATTCCCTCTCCCCTCGGTTGAATCATAAATCATTATCTGTAATCATTCTATTTGTCGACACTCCACTTTGTCTGAAACCGTCTCGTCAGATACGCCGCTGCCAGAGGAATGGCGATTCGAGACACTGTAGTGAGCGTCTCCTTGATGGGGATGTCGTCCAGGTTGAGCTTGGGGAATCCCTCAAAGCCCTTGTCAATCACCACCTCCGCGGGCTTGATGTTATCCAGAATACTGGCCTGGGGCTCATCTGTGTCCACCGTCACTCGCTGGACAGATCCAAGAAAGTCGGTGATCTTCACCTTGTCGAGATCCCGCTTGAACAGGTCGGTTCGGATTCCCGGCTCCGAATGGATCACCACAGGGTCGTACGACTCAAACAGAGCCTGTAGCGTCACGTTGGACGTCTGGTCCATCTGTTCCAGGAACTCGAGGTTGTAGTATGTGAACCGGTCAATGACGGCGACTCCAACATCGACATCAGCGTGGTGCGAGTACGACGACTCATCGTACTTGGACGATCCCACAGCCAGAATATTGGGGCTGTAGAACCGCGAGTACATGGTGTTCGCCTGGCAGGTGTCAATCATGAAAAACAACTCATTGTATCTCTTCTTTTCCCACATTTGCGCAAACGCGTGGGCAATGTCGAATGCGCCGATCTCCTCGGCGTCCTGAAACTTGAGGAACTCGTTGCCACCGTGACCAGTCATATAGATGAACACATTGGAGTTTTCGTCTGTGAGCAGTCGCTTAGATCGGGGCACTCCCTCGTCCCATCGGTCGGTCAGCAGACGCAGAAAGTTCTCCACAGTCACCTCGTAGCCTCTGTAATCGACCTCGATCTGGTCTCCGTAGAGGTCGATCACTCGGTCCGCGTTGTTGTAGACGGTACCGGGGAAGGTGTTTCGCGGATTGCACGACACGTCATCCGACAACATGAGAATGATCTGCGAGTCCGGGATACCAAGTCGCTTGACGGTTCGGTACATGGACAGAACATTGGCCATGTGTCTGTAGTTGAACCAGAACCGTGACGTGGAAACTAGCACGGCCCAGTTGTTGGTATGAGAGCCCTCCTCAGTGGTCTGGTTAGCGAAGAACTGCTGGGCCTTCTCTGCGGCTTCATCGGCATCACCAGTGTGCACCTGCGCGGACACAAACGTGAACAGAGCCACAAACGTCGCCAGAAATAACGACACTTGTATTCTCATGGTGTTGTGTGTGTGTGTGTGTGTGTGAGTGAGAGTGAGTGTGCTGTTACGTGAGAGAGGGATGTCATGACATAGAGTTATGGTGGAGTATAGCGCAGTATGCGTGGTACATGCGTGTCTGAAGTGAGGGTGGTGGCGTCATAGGGGGGTCTAGGTGGCGGTTTCGGAGCTGATGAGAAGATGTTGTTTGGCTGTAGTATTATTAAGGGGGCTTCAAGGTGTGTGAAAAGTTTCTCTTGTTCCAACGGTCAAATCGAGCGTGACGAACAGTCTAGTTGTGGTACCACCCCAGATGATATATAGTCAAGTATTAATGCAGTACATCCAGTGTTCTTAGTTACAATACTCTTACTTCATTCAAGTACGAGAACCTGTCTATACATATGAACTAAGATAACCACCGGTGTCAACGAACAATCATTGAGATTCTGTAGAACTTCGTAGAGCTGACAGAGCTAGTCGATGACTATGACTATGGTCGAGCGATATTAGCTTGTAACGAGTACACTCGTGTTAGCAACACATGGGTACAGTATATACTTGTAGTTTGCTATAGATGTAATCTACCAGGGAAACACTGCCCGCAATTAGTATGTACTGTAGCTACTTGTAGTATGGAAGGTCAGGCAAAAGCAAAATACAACTGTTTACTCATATCTACATATGTATATAATCCCAATCTTCATTCCTTCATCTACACATCCAACTCTACGACTCCTCTCCTCTCCATCTAATAATCTATCCATTACCCATATGTATGCATCAGTTCTTCTTGGCCTTCTTAGGCTTGACCACCTTTGCCTTATCCTTCTTGGCGCTCTTCTGTGTCTTCTCCTCCGTCTTATCCTTGGATCCGTTTTTATCCTTCTTGTCCTTCTTGTCCTTCTTGTCCTTTTTACTCGCCGACTTGGTCACGTCCTTGAGGAACGCCTCGGCCGCGTCACTGGTAGTCTCAGGCTCCTTGATGGAGTCCGCTGAAATGGCCCGCTCCGTCTGGGCAAAAATAATTCGTTTTGCTGCAGGAACGTCCACCTTTGTGTTTCTCTCGTCCTTTCGAGCTGGTCCAGGTTTGCCTTCAGCATGTGCAACCTTGCCCATGTATGTCTTGACCCTGTCCAGATCCTTCATGATAGGGTGGGTCTTGGGATCGCCTCCAGACGCCAGAATGAAGGCGAACATGGCCGAGTTGGTCACGTAGGCCAGCTTGGAATAAAACTGGGCCTGCTCCAGGGGTGGTAGCTGGGCCACCCCCTTGAAATCAATCATCTTGATCTGTTGAGACAGCTCCGACGTGACATCCTGGAGGTTGTGGGACAGCTCCAGCACATCTTCGATCTGGTCTGCCATTGTGTAAGTGTGTGGGTGTGTGTGTTTCTGTGTAAAAGTTCGGATTCAGCCTGATGCACGATATCGATTTTTTCTCATATCAGAACTCTAATTTTACTAAGCCTGTACGGGTGCAGTGGGGTATTGCAGTAGAGAAGAGAGGACGGTCCATGAGGATCGTGTGCAAAGGAATGAAGTTATGTCCAATCCATTCTGTTGTTTCTTAAGCCTTTAAATTTAACTGAATATATTTGAATTTCTTTAGTATTTTTCACAAAATAACGACTATATGATGGCTTCTATATCCGTCTATATCCGGGCTTGGATATCCTTCAGAAATGATTACGATACAAGTAAAACGAGAAGCTCCCATATAGGTTCAAATGAACACGAAAAGTTAGACCACGTCTGCTGGTCTTCAGAGAGTGGTGCATGAGTAGGTATTCTGCGACTAAGTGCTGTTTGTAGTATCGTATGTATATCTATACAGTCAAGTAATTGGTGAAGATATCAATACAATGGATGTTACTGTACTTCTTCTCAAAACGTAGATATACGTACTTTCTTCAAGTGTATCCCAGTGAATAGTTACAGTACCGTCAGTACTGAAGCTCCCAAACCCGTGGTTGATCTATGTCGGAGTACCAACTCGTGTAAGAAGTTCCCAGTGATATATAGAGAGGAGTTTCCGTTGGCGTAGAGGTAGTCAGAGATCTCGCACAACTCCGAAATAGTATACCCTGAGGGATAATCACTACAAGTACTTGTGGCTAGAGATCATGTCTCCATCCTGTTAGGCCAGGGTTCATTTGAGATAACTCCGAAGAAGGTAACAACTCTTATAAGTGAAGAAGATTTGTTGTAACTCGGTTTCTTTTGACCGATTGACCGTCAATGGCGAAACACAACCAGGACAACAGTGGATGTAGAGGGATGGCAATGTAGGACTGTGTACTTCTACGATTAGTCAATGGGAGACTTATAATGGATTCGGCAATTGGTTCCCGACTTATACAGTGTCTCCAAGATGTTCAATTGCTATATCAAGTGTTTCAGACCTTTAAATACAGAACTCGTTACGCCGGACCCTCATTCCAATATTGAAGATCAGACGTATTATTGATTAGATATAGTTACTGAAACGAGTTACAACTCTTATTATATAAAAAAATATAGATATAAAAAAAGGGACAATAGTAACACACACCCTTCTGTGTTTGATCATTCACCAGAAACATTATCTACAGGATGGATATCTCGTCTACCACAAGCTGGCTCCTCTCACCATTATGTGAGGAATTACCCTACCGAGTATTACCTTTTAACGTCACATCCCGCTGTGACGATTTATCAGTATTGGAGTACATTAATGGGATATCCCAGTTTCAAAGATTCTTTTCTTTTTTTGATTCCTCTTGATCTGATTATATTTTATCCGATTTATGTTGAATTTACTCAACTTGGCTCAAAATTCGACCAAAGTGGCTATTAACCTGCGGTTCCTGATTTGCCTGATTTCCGCACTTCAGCGATGTGTTATGACGATAAAGAAAGCTTATTCGTGCATGGTTGGTTTTTTTCTCAACCATTTTGTGCTCCTCGATCAACTCTATCAACTCTAATTTCAGCCCGACGTTGACGTCCAGAAGCAGGTATGGGGACCGCTGAAGGCACCAAAAGCCACGGGCACAGATTACGAGTACGAATCACACCCTCGTCCGACTAACGCCCTGTCCACGTTGGCTACCTCGCCCAAAAGAGCTTATTTGTGGTCGTTTTTTTTTAATTAGCAAAATTAGCCACCGTGGCACAAGAGAGTTGGAGCCAACCGTGCAGATTAACTGCGATCTAACAGCGCACTAAAAGTGCACTGAATGAGACAAACGAAAAGCACAAAAGGGAGGAAAAAGGGACACAACACAAGGCACACGTGAACAAGCAGAAGGAAGGGCAGAAAAAACAAGGAACAAGCAAAAATGAACGGTGGTGCACATCTTGGCAAAAACGAAATTGGTTGACGTTACCCTCTAAATGGAGACATACAGAGGCCTAAACGGGCTATATGAGCCCCGTGGATGTGCTCTCATCTCAATCACATGTCCACTGAGGTCATATAACGCGCCGTGAGTGGAGTGTTGTGCCGGTACGGTCCTTGTACGGTATGATTGTTGCTCGTACTCGTATGTGTGCCGTACTAATACCGAACGCTACGTGTTTTGTTTGTATGGACTCGTACTGTCAATGTGGGGATACAACTCAGGTGACTTTTCCAAGTGATAGCTCAGCTTTTTTGTTTTTGTTTTTGGTGCGTTCTTTCACGGCTGCTATCTACAAGGTAGTGGAAATTGGTGGAGTAATACTGGCGCGGGTACTACCGGATAGCCATCATAGTGCGAATACCCGTCAATCACAGATGTACTCGTAATACACACTCGAAAGTCCCCTTTAACCAAACCACTCCCTATTCTCTAGACAGACAGACTGTCTACTAAAATCTACAAGAACAATATTTTCCGTGTTTCATATCTCGTCTGCCCATCTGTCTTTTCATTTTCATTTTCTTTTTCATTTTCGGACCCTTGCTCATAACACTACTGGTAGCTAGACACCCCAACCTTAACGGAAAAGTGTGGAGACCCGAAACAGAGAGCAATGTGGTGAAAACGGGAAAACGACCATATTAGTAAGCTACCAATACCTCTTCCACGCCACGTGACCCCCATGTCCCAGTCCGTATTGTCGCATCTCGTGTTTCTATACGCCTAAAAAGCAACACACCCTATCACGGCCAAGGTTCGGTCTATCGTAACTATGCAACCAAGTTGAGGAAGCAGGGGAAGATGTGTGCAAGTCGGCGAGACGGGATCAAAGACCGAGGAAAATGGCAGAATAAAAATTCCAAAAATCCCTCCAGAAAAACAGCGACCAGAACGTGAACATCTCATCTTCAAAACGGCACCAATTCACCTATTGGCCCCCAAAATGTCCAACCCCGAACCTACCAATCTCCTTGCAGCTCATCTGATTAGTGTGTCTAAATTGTGCGTGATGTAACACCGACAGTAACAAGACGTTTGGGCTGGTTTTGTTCCACCCCCGCCTACAGACCAAGACGAGTGGAAATATACGACGTTCTCTACTTATCAATCACGTGACAATCCCCGCCCCTCCTCCTTACGCCAGCACTCGCGGGACATTTGGATGCTCTCCATTTTGCGGCACTTGTTGCAACGATAACCTACTCAAATAGCCTCCTATACTTGGGCTTTTTCATCTTGCCCAAAAGCACCTTGTTTTCCTGCACCATGCAGAAGCTAAGCAACGCCCCAAAGTCAAGTGCCCGAGTGAGGAGGAGGTGGGAAAGGTACCCGTAAAGTGTTCGAAAGGAGAGGCGGGATAAACGTGTGAAATGACAAAGTTGAATTGGGGTTAAAGGCCAATAACGTGACCAGCCCCCCTAAGATGCTCGTAGCCCCACGTGCCAAAAAAGCCGTGTCCCATTCTCACTCACCCCTTACCCCACCCCAGGTTGACTTGTTCCGTGCGGCTCGGAAATTCCCGTCAGAGTTTTTGATTTCAGTTTGCCGACGGAAAAAAGGTGTGATTTGTGCGTCTGATTACCTTGCTTGAATGTAAAGTTGAAGGGGTGAAAAATAACATGATAGGAGGGAAAAGTACGGATAGCGACCGTGTATACAAGTAGAGCAAAAAGAGCGACAAAAAACACCAACAATGAAACGAAAGAGGACACCCATCCTGTACCAGTAACGAGGCCATAATGCCCACGGCCACGTGACCCACCTCACATCATCTCAACCAACGGCTCTACACTCTGCCCGCCCCCCCTTCTTAACTCCCTCTATACTTGCCTTATTTCCGAAACCCTCGTCAACAAACCAGGAGCCCCACAGCTAAACACGGGTCACGTGACCGGATATATACTCCCGAACGGGCCCGAGGGACCCTGCTTTCGTATGCTCGTCCACATGTGTGAATATTCTGCAGACCAGCTCTTCTCATCTCATTGCTGTGTTGCAGTGTGTCTTGAAACCGGCGTGAGTCAATACCTAAACGGGCATAGATGTTGATGGGGCTTATGGGGCATAAGGCATAACCCATAGAGTTGGGAGATGAGAATGGCGGTGTCCGAACATTGTGTTTGCGGGGCAGGCAGGGACTGGGTCACGTGACCAGCCTCACGGGCCTGTCCGTTTCAGATGGTTGGTTATTAGTCCCACCTCTGCGATCCCCATTCTGTGACAGTCACTGGCTCTGCCATCTATCCACACAATAGATTAGACTCAAACATTAAAGGCTGTTGTGCTTCCGGGCAGTTGGCAGTTCGGGAGGTGTATGTGGGTTTTGCAGAGGTAATGGCGACAAGCAGGCAGCTTTGGGGCGTCATTCGAGGTCTGGGGGGAGCTTTGAACTTGTCAAATATGCCCACAGGCCGATTTATGGGCCCCAGAAATACCCCCCACCCCGCTGCAAATCTGTACAGGGACAAAGAAGAAAGCACAAAAGAGAACAACAGCAGGCCGTTTTTGACTTTAGGCTTCTTTGTGTAACTGTAAGCTGTTTTTACGTTAACTGCAAACCCGAGACTCTATCGTGGACAATCCTCATCGTTCCTAGGCACTCTTGTTTGGCACTCTTGTTCCACCCCACATCTCGCGACCTCGAATCCAGCGTTCCCATACGCCTCTTGTGACACGCGGCCGCAACACACAAACACACACCCATCCCGCTAAACACCGCACAGCTAGCCTTCGACCACCACCACCAGCCGACACCCAGACGCAATATTAACACAACGACAACCCCATGACAGCCGTGATGGATGGTGAGTACTACACGGAATACGTGGTGCAAAGAGAAGGATACAGATGGGGGTTGCATGACACAGAAGGGTCTATAGATGATGGCAACAGGCCGTCTCTTTCGCCGACAGATCACTTCCTCTAGCACCCTTCCCACACCCCCAGCACACCCGTTGTCTCCTGCTCTTCTACTAACTCAGACCCCGCCATGATTGTGGCAGAACAGACGAAACTGGCCAACGAGTACAAAACGCTGGCCAGGGCATTCGCCTCCAACCGCCAGACCCGGTTACAGGCGCAGATGAAGCTGCTTAAGCGCGGACGGCGCAACCCGCTCTTCACCCGCATCTCCAAGCAGCAGGACGAGCGCTACCACAACCAGTGCGAGCTCATTTCCAAGCGTGCCGAATACGCCGTGGCGTGCATCAAGCGGGTGTCGCAAGGCGAGCGGCGCTCGGTGTGGCTGCAGTTCCACAAGGACAAGAACGCTGCCAAAATGCGCATGATTTCCAAGCTCAACCAACAGCTGGCGCAAATCAGACGGGAATACTGCCAGTACAACCTGGAGCAGGTCAAGGTGGGCGCTGAGGTCACCGATGCATCGCTCGTTGACGTGGCCATCACAGAGACAAAGCTGCCTGCAGTGCTGTTTGGCAAGCCCGCCCCTGCCACCCAGCAGGAGGCCTACAACGATCTGGCAACCATCCACGCCCAACACGCTCACATTGAGCACCAGGCTCAGCTGGAGCGCACCGAAGCGTCGTTCGACCAGCAGGACTTTGATCTGGTGCACTCGCTGGAGAACCTCAAATACTCGATTGAGGACGAGCGCGAGCGGGCTGAGGAAGCCTCTAAGGAGCACCAGCGAGAGGAGGCCCGCCGAGCAGAGCAGGAGAAGCGCGAACAGGAGCTGCAGCGAGAGCAGGAGATTCAGCAGCAGAAACTGCACCAACAGCAGCTCAGACGGGAGGAAGAGGCCAGGGTGGCCCAGCAGGCTGCCATGCAGCAACAGGCGGCCCAGGAGCGAGCATACGAAGAGGACCGGCGCGAGCAGCAGCAAAGGGAGATGGAGCGCCAGCGAGAGATGGACTACCGGCGACAGCACGAGCGGTCGCTCTCGGGTCAAGGTATGCCTCAACAGCAGCAGCAAGCTCAACAAGTGCAGGCACAGCAGGTACAGGCACAGCAAGCGCATCAACAGCAGCAGCAACAGCAGCAGCAACATCAGGCCCAGCATCAGCAGCAGCAGCAGCAGCAGCAGCAACAACCACCAATGCCCCAGCCCATGGCTGCCACTCAAGGAGCATGGACCAATGGTGGCGCTCCTGGTGCCGGAGGAAGAAGGACTCCCCAGTCGCTACACAACCAACTGCCACCCCAGATGCGCCATCCCTCGCATTCGCATTCACATTCGCATTCTCAGATTCCACCGCCACCTCCACAGACCGCTCCGGGAACGCCCGGCAGCCAGAAAATGTACTTGCCTCCGCCCTCAAGCTTCCAGCAAGCGCCTCCGCCTCCTCCTCCCCAGGGCAACTTTTACCCGCAGTACGACAAGCCCATGCTGCCTCATCCTGGCCAGCCCCAGCAGCAACAGCCACCGCAGCAGGGTCCTCCCCCTCCCCACATGGGCCAACAACAGCATCCAGGACATCCTCAGCATCACCCCGGTCATCCGCAACACCCCGCAGGAGGCTCGCCCCCAGGCCCGGGACAGCCACCGGGGGCATACTCGCAGCAGATGCCTCCTCAGTACTACCCTCCTCCTCCTCCTCCTCACATGGGCTACCCTCCACAGGGATACTATCCTCCACGGGAGCACCAGGGCCCTCCTCCTCCTCTTCCTCCGCATATGCGTCCCGGTCTTCCGCAGCATCAGCATCAGGTCTACTACAATGGGTCGCCTCAATTGTACCAGGTGCCGCCGCTCCAACCTCCGCAGTATGGACGACAATTGCCTCCTCCTCCTCAGTGGTATTAGTGGAGATGTAGGACGGCGATCGATAATTATTTGTATTATAGCATTATTTGGTGTATCTGTAGTTGACGGTAGTTGTACAGTAGGTTGTAAGTGTCGTACGTAGTTACTCATAATCTCAGGTAATGTCTCATTGACATTAAGATTTAATAATATAAGGCGGCTGTTTGAAACCGTCCAGACACTGTTGTTTGCACTGTTCTGGCACTTGTGACAGGTCCAAGAAGTAATGATATTATTTTGGTGACATTCATTAATGGGCCGCGAAATCATATACGAGGGTGGTATGTACAGATGGTTGAATTTTATATAAATAGGGAAGTGTGATGTGAGGCAGCATCTTGGGCTGTCAACCGCTTGTTTTTGAGTTGCTTGTACTGTAGATACTACTTGCGGTATAGTAGTTGCTGTTTCAGTAATGATTGTGGACTTGTTTTGGGACTGTTTGTAATACTGCTTTGATCACATTTGGTGTCTCTCCGAGAGTCACAGTAGAGCCAGGCACGTACCCTGAATGATGGACTCCTTCCTGATTGAGGCCATTGCGTCGTCCGTGCTGTCTCCACTCTCTATATCCAGCAACAATTGCTGAATGTGACCAAACACTGATTTGTGCTTCTTTAGCCATGCCATTGTACGCGAGTGTTCTCCAAGCAGCTGTTCCAGGGTGGTCATTGTGTCCAGCCTGGTGAAATCCACCCACAGAGGTCGGCAGACATCAAAGTCTAGAAATGCAGCTACCAGATGGAGAATGTTGAGGTTGGCATGCCGTTTGGTCAATTGTTGTAGATTGGCACACTCGGCACGACTCAGCAGACACACAGACAGTTTCACCTGAAGTAGTACGGTCCACAGGTTAGAGAGGGTTTGGAGGTCCCCTTTTGATTGAATAACAGTTGGTTTCACGACCAGATGGAACTGCCTCAATGTTTCAATGATAGATATGGGTTCAGAAGACGAAACGTGAACTCTCACAGCGCTGTCCAGCTCGTAGTTGATGTATCGTTGCGATCTCCACATGGTAGAGCCTCCCATTATTTCCTGGACCATCCATTCAGCAAAGGAAGTCATGGCTGTGGAAAAGAAGCAAGAATGGGATAGAGACTCCAGAGTAGTGCTGAACACATTCTGCTTGTGCATTTCACGCACAATATGCGCCGAGATATGCTGGTACCTGTGTCGTAGCTCCACTTGGAGGTTGAGTAGCAGCTCGTCCGGACAGTCCCCCTCCAGAGCGACTTCTTTCTCGTCAGCAAGTGTGATGTTGGAGCCCAAAGCAAACATTTGAGCTTCATAGATTTGCGTCATGAGGTGGACATAGGCTTGAGATGCGGCAGCCGTTGTTTTCGGAGCTCTTTTAGCCGTCAAAATGTCACGCAATACAGCCTTGTACAGCTTGTGGAAAAGTTTCATCGTTTTGGAATCGAGGGTCCTCGATCTGGTATCGTCGAAAGCATCCAACAACAGCCCTGGGTCGGCCCTGTAGTCCATCTTGGAGCTCAGGATAGCAGAAAGAGCCAGTACCGGAGCTAGACGAGTAGAAACTGTGCTTCTAAAGTCGTTGAGAGAAACAGCCAGCCCCGATGTATCTTTATTCAGATAAGCAATTTCCACGCTGTAGAGCCATTGATGAATGTCTCTCATCAGGTCAACCAATTCTTGAACAAAACAGGACAGTTTAGGAAGGCTTGATGACTCCAGCTGAAGGGTCACGTCTCTCAACACGTCCAAAGAAGCAGAAATTTCTACAATCTGCTCCACATGACCAGCATAATCCGGTCCAATGTTGCATTCGAGACCTTGCAACAAGAAAAGGCACTCTCTGATCAATGTTATTTGAGAGGGAGCCCATTCAGTCTCCAAAGTCTTGATGACAGTCTCTTTAGAAGACAGAGTGAAATCCTGTAACGATAGAGGAACTCCTGTATCGTCATCCAAAGGAGGAGTACTGATAGCATCGTCTCCTGCAGGTTCCATATCGTGATCCTCATGCTCCTCTTCTGAATCAGTGAACCCTCTCAGTTCCTCATTTTCAAAGTTCCAATGGTCTCCTTCAAATGGTACTTCATCTGACACTCCGTCCAAAGGCTCCTGTTCCTTTGTTGGCGGTCCAACGCGTTTAAGCGGAACTTCCACTACGCGTTTCTTGATCGGCTGATCTTCTGGACGCCCCAATGTCAACAGAAACACCTTGAGCATGTGGTAAACGGGCTGGTCGTCTAGAACACGCATATCTTCGAGTTGGGCAATCAGACTCTCCAGCTTGGAGGCGATATCGGCCCGTCCAATGGCGTAATAGCCCTCCGCTATGCTTTCGTAGGACTGTTTCACGTCGTCGGAAAACGTAGCTGGGTGCATTTTTTTAGCCGTCGCGTTGGCCTGTTGCTTCTGAGCGTCTGTCAGAGGGCCGCCATGCAAATGCTCCGCCAACTGGGCTCCCGTAATCATGTTGTAGACGCGTAGTGATGAGATGAGAGTGGTTCGTGCGTGTATGCACCCTTCCATGCATCTTTTGTTGGCAGGATTACTTGGATTTTGTTGATAAGTTAAGTAACACCAACATAATGGAGTAAACAAGAGTTTCGCGTGTTTAAAAGTTCACGGAACATCTTCAATGGCAATTAAACCTCTTTACTGCATGGACCTACACCGTCCGTATCCTTGTCGACAACCCTTATCACTCCTTACTCGGACTCTCCTGAAGACAGCCCGCCCGTCACACCCCGGAAAGACGTCACTAAGGTAACCTTAAAAACGATAAACTCAAGGTACCCCACCAGTGTCGACGCCTTTTTTTTTGATCTAACAAGGTGCCAACGTGGTTGAAAAAAATGAGTCACGTGACTAAAGAAACTTTTCACTGGTGGCTCTGGCCTATTTGTGTGCACAAAATCATGACCATTTCAGCTTCTGTGCGCGTACAAGACCTGTGGTTGGCACCATCTATCTGAATCTCCAAGAACTCTAATTTCTCGACCTGAGGGCACGGATTAATAATGAAGAACCTTATGCGTGTCGAGGCGAAATCGGAGCTAGCCGGATATGATGTGAATTGATCCAGTTTTTTATGTTTGTCGAGGTTTGAAGAAGCATTTGTCATGAAATATCGACGAGATTTATGTTTCTTTTCATTCTCTGAAAGCACTTATGGGAAGAGTGTCCATTTCTAGCACTCTTAACACATCCTACAGTAGCACTCAGCACTGGTGTAGAATGCACACCAAGAGATCACATAGCTACTCGTACTTTTACATTGGCGTTGTAGTCATGGGGGCCCATCGTTAATTTCACATTCAATCATGACATCATTTATTCAACATCAGATAGAACCTTTTGCTCCACCTGATCAGGGTCCAGGTTATCCGTGTAAACGGGAAAACACTGGCCATTCTGGTCCTTCAGCTCGTCTTCCTTGGGCACCTCCATGGCCTCGAACTGGCTTCTGACCATGCCACTTTTCATGAAATGGCCCTTTCTACCGGTCACCCGCTTGGTGATCTCCTCTTCAGAGCCGTACAGGAACACCACAACCATGCGGATGTCCTTATCCAGAGTTTCCCGCACCAGGTCCCGGTACTTCTTCTTGAGAATGGAGCATGTAATGACGGCGTTCTTGTTGTGTTTGTCCTTGATTTCGGCCTCTCCATGTTTGGCAATGTCCTGTAGCCAGCCCCATCGATCGTCATCGTTCAGCGGCTCGCCACGGGCCATTTTGTCGACATTGGCCTTTGGATGGAGCTCATCTCCCTCGACAAACGGACACTGGAGATGCTTGGCCAGCGCTTCAGCCACAGTCGATTTTCCGGTGCCACAGGGACCCCCAACGATAAACAGAGTCATGATAAAGCAAGTGCGAGTGTGCAAGTGTCTATTGCGAGACGATCAAGTGACGTTGAAGAGTCAGACATGCTTCCCCAGACACGAGCCAACAGTGCATGCATGGGCGGCGTTTGGGTTTGGCACTTGTTGAGTGGGGAGGTTTGTAAGGTGACGTCAGAGGGCAGTGCAGACGATCCAAATGACGGAATTTCAGTAAGATTGAGTCTGTTTACGCGATGGGAGCGATTTCGGTTGCGTGACTTCAAGAATAGTTGAACTGATGTCACTTCAGAGGCTTCTGTTCTTGTGCGGCCCGGACTAACTGTTTAAATAAGGTTTCTGTAAGACTACCGCTACTACTGCTTGTATTGTGGATGTCTCGAGTTGCGTGTTGACCAGGTCTGAATGGGCTTATATTGTAACAGGATGCTATCTGGCCAACTTTTATAAACAAAACCTGATATTTCCTCAATCAGATGCGTTTTGATGGAGTTATATCCACCTCAGTTGCTGACGCGCATGTTTTTAGTTAAGGATAAATTGAAATGCCTGTAAGTATTATCCCAACTAATGCATCAAGGAAACATCATTTGCATACTTATAAGAATTAAAAAAAAAAAAAATAAAGATAGGCACGGTAAAGTACATACTCCATCGAACGAGACTGACAGACAAATTATATACCTCTTGAAGCAGATTCAAAGAATGGACTCTAGACAAACCAATGGCGCCCTTCTACCTGTTTCCATACGCGCAATACAAACCATCAAACTTCGTTGCTACCGTGGTTGCTTGGTTGCTACTTGTACGAGCAATATACAAACGAGAGCATATTTAACCACTCGCGAGATGATGCAATATCAGAAGAGTGTAAAATGAACATCCACTGGGGATACGTAGTATACATCACCGTTCATTGCTATAGAGCTATAAACAATCGCTCTGATTGTCTGACAGCTCGACGATAGGAACATCGGCTGTCCTAGTTAACACAAGACCGAAAATACCCGCAGTTCTAGTCCAGAACCTCGACGAGAATACTGGCGTTCTTGAGTCCAGCCTCCTCCACGGTCTGGTCCAGCTTGGGGAAGAGCTTCTCTCGCGCACTGGTGAGCTCAAAATAGGTGCCTTGGACCTTTTCGAGGGTCTTGACAAATGCATAGATGGCCCGCACAGGATCCGAGGTTCGGATTCGTCGCACCACCCGCGATCCATCAGCCAGTCGAAGCTGGATTCGGGTAGTATCAGGCTCATTGGGAGGTTCTTCAGGGGCGTCAGGAATGATGGCCAAAAACTTGTCTTCATCAGAGTCAGCCTCTGGAGCTCCGGTAGCAGCAGAATCAGCCTCATTGCCGTCCAGATCAACCACCTCTGTCTCCTTGGCCTTACCCTTGCCGTCCACCTCAACCTCAACCTCCTCATCCACGTCGTGACCCTGTGACTTTCGCACCGCATACTCCAGCTGCTCCTCCTCGGTCATGCGGCTGACGGGCTTTGTGGTCTTGGTCTTGATGGGGTTCTTGTGGCCCTTCTCCAGCGAGTACCGACTCAAGAACTCGTACACGTCTTGCATCCAGTCTGCAGGCACCAGAGCCTTGCTCCACACCTTGACCTGCTCTCCCGTTCGCGGGTCCAGAATCGCAACGTGTGGGAAATCGTCAAACGGATACAGGTTTGTATAGTACTGGCCCTCGGGCGAGTCGCTGTCGTATTGCACAAACACAAAGTTTTCTCGAACCACGTCCTTGACGGCCTTGTCGGACCAAAAGTCCCGGTTCAGCACCTGGCACCGGAAGTCTGTCGTGTCGTGGATGCTTACCAGCAGCCATTTGGTCTGTTCTCGTGCAAACCGCCTGGCATCTTCGAAGCCTAAGATCTTCATGATATCGAAGGGTGGTTGGAACAGCTTGGCCAAGCGGTTCTGGTGAGCGGTCATTCGTGAGGGCTGGACACCAGTATCAACGGCTGTGCGCTGACGCCGAATGTTGGCCTCGTAGGGATCGTCGTCCTCTTCCTCGTCATCCGAGTCGATGATGATCATATCGTCTTCGTCTTCGTCGGCAGGCCGAAGTCGCTGACTAAATATGCCGGCAGGCCGTGATCCCGTGCCTCTGTAAGTTCCGGGGCCACCTGGAGCATGTTGTGGCAGGTAGTCGTTCTGCCAGCCTCCAAAACCGTCGTCATCGTCTCCTCCTACTAGAGTGTCTGTTCGTCGCTGGATGGCCTCTCGCACCTCGCCTCCATTGTTGGCGTACTCCTCCTCCTGCAGCTGGCGAGCGTAGGCATCGGCGTCGGTGTCGTCGTCGGCAGCGGCCCTAGAACCCCCTGAGGGCTCAGCTCCCCCCAAATCAGCTCCATCGTTCTCCAAATACAGAGTCACGGCACGCTCAAGATCGTTGTCGCAGACCTGGAGGTACCGCTCGGCCTTTTCGGTGGTTGCGGTCGTAATTGCGATGAAATTGCTGATCAGTTCGTCGTCCATCACGAGGTGTAGTGTGTGTTGTGTAGTGTGGTTCTATTGCTATGCGTAACCTCTACAAGTACCAGTTCACCTGGCCAGCGATGTTGGTGCAAGCAAGCTGATGAAGTTTATTTTGTGGCGTACTACCGGAGACTGACTCCATGGGCTGATTAGTAATATATGGAAGGGGGGGGGAAAGATTAGAATGCTTACTAATCACTGAGTGAGCTTTTCTTTATACCCCTTTTCCCTCAGTCTGTTTGCGACTTGGTGCTGTCATTCTTGTATCGTACTGGTGGCTACTGGTAATTCATTTCTCCCACATCTCTACAGCCACGCTGACTGACGTAATTTGTTTGAGAGAGGGGACGTAGAAAACACGAACGAAAGAGTTGTGTATAGAAATAAATGATGTTACTGATAGAGTCAATGTTTGGAGAGTAGAAATATCACCTAATTCTTGTCTTTTATGCCTTCCATGATCGCGTGGATGATATGGGAAAAACATCACTTTTAGCTCCCAAATTGTGGGGTAGTGATTAGACCATTCTTACCGTGTTTCACAACTATGGCACAAGTATGTACATACTGTACGAAAACATATTGTACGGGTAAATGTTGTTGGATGATCCTTCACACTACTTCCCTACGTAGGCGCTAAATAACCCTTCCCTTTACCCACCATTGGTTCCTACTCAGATCACCAACTGGCACCACTTCAACCCAACGCTAGATAGAGCCCCGCTCTTCTGTTGGATCGGTTCGATCTATAAATATTAATATACATAAGCCTACGCCTTGAGCCGCCGGTTGACATACCGCATGGAGTCCAGCAGAATCTGCAGCAGCTCCTCTACCTTGTCCATGTTGTGGGGGTCGTTTCTGTCGGTAAAGTAGCCAATGAGCTTGTGGGAGTCGGCCTCCATTTCCAACTCGGAGGACATGGAGGAGCCAGACACCTTGGTCAGGTCTGCTCGGAAACCGTCATAAAGGTACGAAATTCGGTCCTTTCGGCGTGTTCGACACACTCCCTGAGGAACGTCGTCTGTGGGGCTTTCAGTAGCTAGCGACAGACGAATGTCAAATGGGTCTGTGGGGCAATGGATCATAATGTGAGCAATGGCCTTTTTTCTGATTTTGGCCACTTGTCTGCCTGTGACATCGTCCCGTGTGATTCTCAGATTGCCCTTATCTTGTTGACCCTCGTAAATTTCATCTCTGTGGATCGTATGCTCTGTGCTCTTGATAAACTTGGGGTCTGCAGCGTCCAAAATGCGCTTGGCCTCTTCCAGCAGCGATTCGGGCAGCTGTGACGAGAACGAACACTGGGCCTGGACATACTGCTGGTTGACCACGGCCTCGGTGACAATAGGCAGGTCTAGCCGAGCCCGATCAGCGCCGGCCTTCTTGTGCTGAATAGTACCAATCTTGGCCTCCAGTTCGACCGTCTGAAGCTGCTCCGGCGACATGGTGGACAGATGAGCATGCAACCATGAAGTCACCGTTCGAGTGACGCTTTCAAACGGCTTGATGCCCGATATCGATGGAGGACAGCCTGTGATGGTGGTAGTGGAGGAAGCTGGTAGGGCACGTGATCCCCCTGATTGCCGCTCCATTCTCGGGTCTCGTCGATCTTGTCTGTGAGGGGGAGGTCTGTGGTCTCTCTCGGCATGTCTCCCCGTACCCTGCCACTTGGTGGCCCAGATGGGAGGCCGTGAGTACCGGCGGGGCTTGTGGTTGACCGCAGCGGCGGCGTCTTCGTCATCGTCGTCTTCGCCGCTCTCCATCTCGTTGGTCAGCTGTTGCGCCAAATCGCTGGTGCTGGAGGCCTTGGAGTCTGGCCGGTCGTCACTGGACGGTAGGCCGGTGGGTGGGCTGTTGAGAAGCGATTTAACCGAGGTGCGACGCGAGTCGGACCCATTATCGTCGTTGATCATCTTGCCAATGTCCATATCGGACTTTTGCGCAAGGGAAGAGATGTTGGTAACGAGTGTGATGTTGAGTGGTGGAGGTGAGTGTGTACAACGAGTGGTGTTGTCTGGGTGTCGGTTCGTTTGCAAACACTAACGGAGACTTGGAACAGCAAGTCGGGCTCGAGATAACAGTTGCAGATCAGATTCAGACCAAGTAAACGGGATTTGGCACTTCCTCCAGATGCTCATGTGAGTCGACTGTGTTTTTGCACCCGGCCGAAACTTTGTTAACCACTGTTTTTTCAAAGGCTGGCAGCCAGCCCACCCCATGAAGTGGGGACGATGGAGAGAGGGTTGATGAAGTCACGTGAGCCGAAATTGATTGGAGAACAGATTTTTTTTCTACAGTCGGATTTTGAACAACGGACACTATCCAGCGGATCGGTCCTTACCCTGAGTCATGAGTTGATATCCAATGTATGCTGCATCCAGATGATGGGAGTGGTGGGTAGTGGGGTCACGTGACTACTAAAGTTGGGCAACGGGCTGGTACCTGGGTGTTGCGGACATGCTATAGAGAAAGTGGTGGAGGGAAGGGGTGTTATTTTTGATTGTTTAGCAAAAATGGAGGTGTTGTTTTATTGGCTCGTGTCCTGTGTGGTTCGTGAGGTTCTCGTTCTCGTGATGCTCTTCTGGGTTGGTAACTGATTAGTATACAGGCAGGATATATTGGTTCCACCTGTGGAGCTATCGAACAATGGATAGAGATGATTGTTGTGTGTATTTTTGCCGGTTTAATCGGTCAAAAGTGATTTAGCCACTCTATGAATGGTTGGAGAGGTCGTCTGAGGTCGTCTGAGGTCGTCTATTGTCTTGTATTAGTGGGCAGACTGGTGTAGAGTCTGCTATTACGTAATATGTACGATCAACATAGAGGGAAGTAATTTATGTCTCTACCATACCTCCTCATAGAGCTTCCAAAAAAGATACATGAAAAGTAATAGAGAAGACTCGCATTTAAATCGCGTGCTTACCAATCTCCGACATTTCCCTTCTCAATCCACCGACTCTACGTCGTTGGTGACACCCCTGTTTTGTCGGTCAAGAGTCGCCCTACAAGCAAGTACGATAGGGTAGTACCACTCTAAATTAACAACTGGACCCTGAGTGAAAATCCGGCTCAAAATTGTAGTACAGTAATACAATTTAGTGGCTATTGTGCCAACCTCGAAGAAGCGGTCTTTTTTTCTGCAGGTCTGAGAAATCCCCCCCAAAATCCCTCGTTCCATTCCATCTGATACATCTTGCTCCCAAACTGTTTCAGAACCACACGCACAGTGCAACAGAGCGCGGTTTCACATTGCCCGTATACAGGACGTGCAGAGGTTAGAGTGGTACGCACCCGCTGACACATTGACGTCATTGCAATGCAACCTAAATGTACGAGTTTCTATAATTGGGAGTGTTTTTGAGGAGTTTCAAAGAAGGTGTTGTGGGGGGACTGGAGACACAAAAAGTGGTGGTGGGGGGATATATAGCTGTCAGAATCCGCCTGGTGTTTTTTTTGTTCCTTCCTTGTATCTCTTCCCAATCATTTCCTATGGTGTTGTTTGGAGCAAAGTGTGACCTTTTAAGAATCTCTCCCCCCCCACACCCACTTTGCGTTTGGGTCTGCAGTCCACCCAATACACCTTTTTGAACCACATCGCACAGCTTGTTTCGGGTACGACCGCCAAAAAAAACACCAAAAACACGCATCGGTGTTAAGAGAGGTTTTGCATCATGACGACTCTCAAGGCACTGCCGCTCACGTGCTCGGGCCACTCACGGCCAGTCACACACGTGAGCTTTGGGGAAATTGAAAACCGCCCGTTTCTGATTTCCGCCTGTAAGGGTGAGTACTAGGAAAAGTGGACAACCGTGGACGCCAAAAGGGACGGCAAAGGACAAGCTAACCTAGACGCGCTACCCATTCTGCGCAATGGCGCAACCGGTGACTGGATTGGCACCTACTTGGGTCACAAGGGCTCGACCTGGTGTTCTCGGATGAGCCAGGGAGGAGATAGAGACAGCACGCTGGTGTGCACCGCATCGGCCGATTTCACATGCAAAATCTGGCGCGCGGCCACCGGAGAAGAGCTGCATAGCATAGAGCACCCCCACATTGTGCGGAGCTGCTGTTTTTCGCAGTCCGGCAAGCTGCTGGCCACCAGTTGTCAAGATGGCCATGTTCGCGTCTATCAACTCAAGGACGACAAGTACCAACAGACACACTGCATCAAAACCATGTCAAAGACGGTGTTGTGGGTCCAGGACGCCTCCGAGCCGCTACTGATAGTGTGCACATCCAAGGGCATTGAGTGGTGGAGTGTGAAGGACACGTCCGAGCCCATGCTCAAGGGCCAGGTTTCGCTAGGGGACACTCCGGGGCCGTTTGAGATTAGTGGTGGGCTTCTGGTTGGTCCGGCTGGAAACCAGGTCTATGTTCTGGACTCTTTGACAAGAGAAGTGCTCAAGTGCCACAAGCTGGACTACAATGTATCTGCTGTGGCCGTGTCTCCGGATCGAGATGTCTTTCAAACAGGCAACTCGGGGGATACGTGGGTTCGGGTGCACAGGTATGAGACCGGGGAGCTGGTGGACACCTGGAAGGGCCACCATGGACCGGTTCATACAGTAGCATATTCGCCCAATGGCGACATTTCGGCCACAGGAAGCGAGGACGGAACCGTCCGACTGTGGAAAATTCGCGACGGTCCGTTTGGGCTCTGGAGATGAAGAGAATGATAATAATGAGGTGGAGACTGCTGGGTAGCTCAATAGCGCGCATGTATCATAGTGAGAGGTGGAACCGGAACCAGCAGTTTAAGAGAGGCGGCTACATAATAATTAATGGATGGAAGGAAGGGGATGAAAGAACGCACTGTAGTTTTCAAGTGTCCTAGCGTAGATCGTAGACACTACGTAAAGTCTTCCACGCCAGACATCTCTACCCCTTAGTGATAGGTTGTAATCTACTTGTTAGTTATAGAGAGGGTATGGAGACATTCTTAGAGCAGTCTGATATCTGGATCAATGGCTTGGCTGCTTGGCTTTTTATGTCATAAAGTCCTTTCCGTGTACAATAGGTGTCGTTGAGGTTGTGAATAATTTGTTTGACATGCCAAGTAACTTTGTTGGTATCAGATAATGGGTGGGGCTGCGGGTTGCGCCCGAAAACGACATGTTGTTGTCAGAGTAACATGATGCAGTGATCAATGTCATCAAAGGCATGTTTTGGCACACGTTCTCATACTCTTTTATCTCTTCTTACTTGATTCACACATCGTCATTTGCCCCGTTCTCTAGTTGAGCTACTCTTCGCGGCATAACACGACTCTCCTCCACCATACACATCACCAGACAACTAAGTTCGCTCCCAAACAACTTGCACACATCACAACGACACGATGGATCAGGCCCTGGACGAGATTATTGCACAGGTGAGTTTTGAGCGGAGGGACAGAGGGGATCATGGGAACCCGAGACATGTCAAGTGTCGTGATCCGCACGATTTGATGACCTAGAACTAACGCAGCCTTCGCGACGAGTGAGTGATAGCCATGATATGATGGTGACGACATACACTGAGAGACGACACGAGACTTGGACACAATATCAGTTAGAGTCAGAAACAGACAGACACAAACACAATGACAATCTGCTTGTGACAGATTTACTGCACATACTAACGACAGGACGACCGACCTCCTCGACCAGAGCGAAGTCGACGGTCGGATCGAGGCGATCGACGAGGCCGTGACTACGACGACAGACGATCCGCACGGGGTCGAGGCGACCGGGAACGGGGCCGGTTTGTCGACAAGAGGTGAGTACACCGGAGATGGGACGATTCAAGGCAATGATGACTAACACACAGATATCGAGACGCGCTGCCAAACACAGTGCTGCTCATCAGAAACCTGCACTACGAACTGACGGAAAACGACCTCTACGATCTGTTCAACAAGGTGGGCCGAGTCGACGACGTGGAGATCCACTACGACCGGTCAGGCCGGTCGCTCGGAGACGCCAATGTGGTGTTTTCTCGACCAGAAGACGCTCAGGATGCCATCGACAAGTTTGACGGCAAGCGTGCAGCAGGACTCAAGATCGAGGTCAAGATTGACCACCGGCGAGACCCCGCTCTCGATCTCTCCGAGCGATTCGGACCCCGGGACAGATCTCTTTCCCCGGGACGAGATCGACCCTACGGCGGCTACAGAGAGGACCGACCTCCACGACGAGGACGAGGTGGACGAGGTGGACGAGGCCGACGCGAGGGAGGATCATCAACTGGCCGAATCCCCAAGGAGAAAAAGACTGTCGAGGAACTGGATGCCGAGCTCGACAGTTATATGCAGGATTAGATTTTTGCATACGTGTAATATATTGATTATGATGGATGACGTGAGGTAGATGATGGACATGGGTGCAGGAGACATGGTGGTTTCTGTGTCTTTGACTGGATCAATGTGTTTTACATGAGTTCGACTTGTATGCGCTTGTTACATCGTATGTACTCCTGAAGACAGTTGTATGTTCTTACGGTAGAGTATCAGGAGCATATAAAGTGGTACTGTTGAAGTAGCAGGCAGGTAAAAAGCCATGAATCGATAAATCGAGAGTTTGAAATGCATTTGCGACTTTTCTTCTGTCACACCCCAATGATTTTTCTTGCTTGTGGATTTCCGTGGAGATTGGTACATTGACTAGATCGTAGTAGCTACCTACAGAATGTACCATGTGTGATAGTGTAGGCATGTGTTTGACAAGATATTGTTAGTCAGAAAACAATAAATATATAATACATGTTTCAATCACCACAAGCAATGTTTAAAACTCCGTTTTTCCCATCCCATGCCCTGATCAGCCCGACATTTCTGCTCAATCGCGGCTGGTGCGTGGGTTGCGTCCTAGACGTCCTGATAGTCAATTCAACATAGACCTCGAACCGTTCATGTTGACAACTTGACTTTACTACTCCCGGTACCGGTACCATGGCAGAAGTGAGTGGGTGATAACGGCGCTGATTCAGGCAATGGCTAACTCAGATTTTCATTGATACTCGATACAAACTGGGCGAGTGTCCTACATACGACTCCAGAGACAACTCTCTGGTCTGGACTGATATTCTAGGAGAGACTGTGCAACGGATCAATTATGACGAGCCGAACCAGGTTACGACTCACAAGACGCCTTGTTCGGTCGGATGCATTGGCTTGACAGAAACGCCTGGTGTATACATTGCTGGCACCAAGCAAGGAGTTGCTCTGCTGGATTTCAGACCGGGACAGCAACAACAGTTCAAGATGGTCCATTCATTTGACTCTCTCAATTTGGACGCCGATATTCGAGCCAACGATGGCACTGTGAGTCCCGATGGCAGGTTCTGGATCTCCACCATGGCTGAAGACGTGGATCAGAAGGTGGCTCCTCGAGGACGTCTGTTTGTCTATGACGGTCAGACGATAGAGGAGGTGTCTGGTTACGACGTTCACATTCCCAATGGAATGGGGTGGCTTGAAGGAACAGTTTCCGGGCCGTTTGTGTTCACAGACTCGGCCAATCATCGGCTTCTCAAGGACAAGAAGCCGTTCATTGAGATTGAGAACATTGAGGGCTGCTCCATGCACCCCGAGCCCGATGGACTGACACTTTCGGAAGATGGAGATATCTGGACTGCCCAGTTTGGTGCGTCTAGAGTGCGAAGGTACTCTCCGGAGGGCATTCTCAAGGATGAAATCAAGTTCCCTGCGGCCTGTATCACCTGTCCTACATTTGCCGGCAAGGACTACAATGAACTGATTGCCACTTCGTTCAACGATGACAAGGGAGAGGGAGGTAAGGTGTTCCGCGTGAAGTTGGAGGGGGTAAAGGGAGTTCCCAAGTATGTTTTCAAGTCTGCATAGAGAGCAGAGGTGGTGGGACTGAGTCGAAGTAATACTATATGCAAATGGCGAATTCAAATATACTGTAGTCGTTCAATGAAAATGCAATATGTTATGTATGCTCCTGTGTTCTAAATGTCCTTATCTTCCATCAGATCCAACGCTCTCTGACAGAATTCCTCAATGGCCTCGTTTTCGTTCTCTCCTCCTGCTCTCAGTTCCAGCAGACCGAGGTTGGCAATTTCCATGCGGCCCTCTTCGGTCGCCTCACGTGACAGTTTCGAATCCTTGAGCAGCGTGGCAATGTGTTTGAGATGTGTTTTGGTTGACTGGTATGACAGCAGTTTCTGGATCACCTCGTCCTTGATCAGGGGGTCGTATATGCTTAGTTTGGGGGTTGACGATCCTGTTGTGTCGTGATTTGGTTCTTGAGTTGTAGTTTCTGAGACTGCACCACTTTTCTCCGTGTTGTTGACGATTTTCTCCTTGGTGTCGGTGTCCTTCTCCTCCCTCACCTCATGCTTGTTATGATGTTCCTGCTTCTTGTAGCACACCAATGAGCAGCTGTGTTAGTAAGCTGAGCAGTTTCCCTTGGTTGTCGTGATATACTCACTACCTGGACTGGCACTTGGGACACGTGTACTTGGATTCCTGGTCGCAGAACGCACACTGGGTCATGGTAGATGCTCTTTTTGGGGCGGGTGCTGGTGGTGTATGTACAAGACCATTTCTCAATAAAAGGTTTGTGGTGATAATGCATAATTTTTTAGGCACAGAAAAAACGTGAAGGTTAAAGGCGATAACGGCGGGATGGTGTGGTTCTGAGACGTTTATAGGGCAGCGAAACAAGGCAGTAAGAGCCTGAAAGGTACGGAAATCGTGGGGGAAAACCGGCCTTCAACCACACCACTTGCCATTTAACGACAGCAGATCAACAATTTCCGCACGCCACCGCAGCCAAGCCCCCAGAGCAACCAAGCAGCCCGCCTCGGTTGGTGCCACCGCCACCCTTGTTCCGCAACGTTTAACTTTCATATTTCATCGCCAAGTCTCGCTTCATCTAAAAGATCAGACCCGGCCGGTTTTCAGACCCACAACAAAGTCGAAAGTCTCGGAAAAAGATGTCAATTCCCCAGTCTGACAACGAGAAGCAGATGGCACAAATCCACAAGGCGGTGGGTGGCACCCCCGAGGACGAGGACCAGGGAGGACTCCGATACGCCGCCTACGCCAGCCGAATCAGAGTGAGTATGACGGAATGGGGGAGATGATGAACACCTAGAACGTATAGATCAACGCTAACATAGACCATCTTGTCCGCCACCCATCGATATGTGGCCTACACTTCGGATATCGGCGAGTCTTTCCGACCTGTAGCCCATCCCAAACTCGTGTCCATGGCTTACGGCGTCTCCTGGGCTTACCTGATCGGAGACGTTGCCTACGAGAGTTGGAAGGCCCGACAGATCCAGCTGGGTCTGTACGTGCCCGGGGAGAAACCCTGGTCCAAGCCTCCCCATCTCACTGAACAGCAACGAGAGCAAATCTCCGAAGGAGCCAAGGACTGGCGTCTGGTGGGTTTCAAGCGAGCTGTTTTCCAGTCCATTGCCTCCATGGGTCTGCCTGCCTTCACCATCCACTCCACAGTCAAGTACACGGGTCTGGCTCTGAAAAACAACCCCAATAAGACCCTGCGAACCTATGGACCGGTGGCTCTGGGTCTGGGTATCGTTCCTGCTCTGCCCTACATGTTTGACGAGCCAGTCGAGCACGTGGTCGACTATGTGTTCGACAAGGGCGAGGCGCTCTACCACCAGACCTTCTCCAAGTCCAAGTAGGACTCATCTACTGGACGTTGTAAATTAGACAATAAATAACTATATACGAGCGTCGCGTAACCAATATGCCACAAGCCCATCTGTGTACCGTAACACCTGTGTCCTCCACTTGCTTATCTAACTGTACAAGTATCTCAGAACGTTGAATGCAAAGTTGACGGCCAGACCGGCGGTGATGGCTCGCTGCTGCCGCTTAGAAAACAGCGACTGCTCCTGCAAGAAATAAATAGAAAGAATTCCCAGAAATAGTCCCATGAGCATTCCAATGAGATCGCCGGCAAAGGTGCCTCCTCCAGGGTTGAGGTCAACGTTGGGCACTCCTCCAGCGTTCACTCCGTTGTCAATCCACTCTTCCTCCAGGTTCTGCATCTGTTCCAAATTGTTGTCCGACGTGATCCCGCCGTAAATGTTTCTAAACTGTCGTCGGAGGTCCGAGATTTCCTCCTCAGAAAAGCCCGCGGTTCTGAGTCGGTCGAAACCGCGCAGCTCGGGCAATGTAGACCGTTGTGGCTGTTCATCCACCTCTTCGGCCAGCTCCTGTTCACTCAGAGTGTCGCCGACAGAGCAATGCAGGTAAATGGAGGGCATGCCATCAACACCATTCTCTGGGTCCATCACCTTGACCACGTCGCGAGCAAATGAGGTGGAAGAAGACAGAAGTCGTCCCTGATTGATAAGCCGTAGTCGCTTCGACGTGACCAGTCCGCCGACTCGCAGCCGAATCTGCTGCTTGACCCAGCTCACGTTGATATGTCGCACATCGTTGACATCAATCACCAGGTCTGGAATGCCGTTGGAGAACCGAATGACCAACTTGGCAGCGTAGTTCTCAATGGGGATATTGGATGGAGAAGGAGAGCCGGGAGACGAGCCCGACGATGAGCCGCCGTCGCTGCTGTCACGTGACTTGCCCTTGTCCTGTTTCGCCGGGGTTGAGGTTTCCATCGTGTCTGTGTGTGTCTGTTTCTGTGTCTGGGTCTTGTCTGACGTTCTGGCTCCTCTGTTCGGCGCCCGATGGGATGATGTTAGGTAAGATTATGTATGATGGTTATAAGGTTGGCTGGGAGGAAATAAAATGATATTTAGTAGTATTTTTTGGTGGAATATTGGGGATAATTTCAGATAAATTAGAAACACGGTTTTTTGAAAAACAGATCCGTATTTACCTACACTTTTGGAACATTCTGGTATTATTTTCAGCTCATTCAGACAATATCTGAGCCACTTTTGAGACCCCCTCTTCCTCCACTTTTTCAGTCCATGCAAATCTCAGCACAAAAGTTACCCTACCTCAGACTCCACCGTGTATATATACCCGACCAACCCCCCAAAAAAGTTTCTCTCATTAGTGTGCGGCATCCTTGACAATTACCGTGTTGCTTACCTCTTAATTGTATGTTTTATTTTCTACTGAGAGGTAGGCGTCAGTTCAAGGAGAGATTAAATGGAAGGTCTACACTACTTCCTGTGTGCCCGTCTTAGTGCTCATTATCTGTTTAGTCGTGACCGCCCTTGCAAGTGGACAGCGTGGAGCAGATGAGGGCCGGTGGGTCATACATTCTTTTATATAAACCAACCAGAGTGTGATGCGTTGAGTGTCATATTCCAGGAGAGAGAGAGAGAGCAGTGATTGATGTGAAAAACATCCGTCAGACTTCAGTTATCGTCAACTTCAGTTTGCTACCCTCGTTATGATAATGCTGCTTATGTAAGCCGAACTTTTGCGACCTGGATACAAGTATGTACAGTTCGAGTACGTACGAGTACAAGTACCGGTACTGTTTGGTTTACAATATTTATCGAGTGTTTTACCAAGCAGAATCGGGTCCTCCTGTTTACTCTTGATAGATAACTGAATCTTTCTTGATGGGATGTCGAGGTGGAGCAGTAGGACTAGGACACATGTGAATGACTATACAAGTACTTGTAGAAGGTATGCAGAGAAGTCAGTTCGGACCCACGTTGAGTCACATATACAGCGTGTGTTAGTGTTCTTTTTGCTGCGGCTAGCTTGTATCTTGCCCTGACATTCTATGATGGGTCCGCGATGACGGCCACTTTTTGACAGTTGCTGTGGGACGCTATCAGAAATCTGGATCGGAGCCTAGTCGGCCGCTCCCTTCAATCATCCTTCAGCTATCTATCTGCCAACTGCTATCAGCCTTCAGACGGCCACTAGTACATATGGAAGCAGTATGGAACTGTGTCAGCATTTCTGCGCTCGCAAAGCGCGCGGGTTGCGCAGGGTGTAGTCAACTGTTCAAATTCCGTATCTACCAGTTGAAACATTATGGTTGTAGACGACGACATTGTCTTCCACCTCAAACTCGTACTGACACAAAAAAAACCTACGATCTATCCTCCTCCACCCTAAGACCTCATGTACTCCGCCATAATCACCTTTTTCTGACAAGTGCAGTCAAAAAGACGTCTGCAGAGTGAAGTAGTTGACCTGAGCAGGTAACAGATGTAAAAACGAAAAACTATTAACTCGGGCCACGCTAAACACCTGTCGGCATCCTGAGGTCGGCTGCCAATTCCGAGAAGCCAACGGGGAAGTGCTGTGGAGCACATACCATGTTCTCTGGAAGATCAAATGGGACAGGGACTTGAAAATGACAAAGATAGTCCTAAGAAAAGGAGGTCAGCAGTTGTTGTTTTACTTCTGCTCCTTGCTGCACTTCTTATCTTTAACTTGACTTGTTCCACAGTCACTTCCACAATCTGGTCGTTATTTGCTCCAAAAATTGTCTCCTCGGTTATGTCACACCACTGGCCACTTCCCAAATACGTTCCAGTGGGGTACAATGTGTTACAAGTACATGCTCCGACTGTCATTCGAGTTTATGAGTTGCTGACTTTTTACGTCCCTGTCAAATTTCACCAGCAGTAACAGATGTCGGACTGCAAAGTTTGCCCGCAGGCGGAATCTCACACTAGTCTATTGTTCTTTCACTGTCAACTAGCCGTATATGAGGTAGCTTCTCCCTGCTAGTACTAAGCTAACGCAGGTATTCATGTGCCTCTTATGTGGATCCATGCATATCATGGGCGGCAATTTAGAAAGACACTGTGGCTGTGTGTTTGCAGCTGGTTAAATGGTATTATCACATTTCTTTCGCTACATTTGTTAACTGTGGGACTTCAAAACCCCAATGCTTACTCCACCTGGCTGACATGAATGTAAAACTTACGATGCGTAGTAAATGAGGAAACGCTCTTTGACAAAATCGAGTGTCTAACACTTGTTGGGGGCATGATACTTGCCTTTTTGAACTTGTCGAGTCTCTGGCCGTCGATCCCCATGTGGTGCGGTAGATTGTTTGGATACCAGACAGAGACTAGACTTTCTTCCTCGCAACTCTCCCTAATTAGAGCATGTGCATGCGGGGACTTCAATATATGAAACTTATTGCTGCTATTACCACTTCTATTTGGTACAAATCAATTTTCGATATACAATTTAATTTCTAGAGTCAGTTACAGCACAATTGTCCATCGTCTACCCTCTCGAGATGTAAAAAAGTTAGTATTTATTCAGTATGTATATAAGTTTTACTTCGACTTTTGTCGAGTCCAAGCGCCGGGCTTTCGGAAATTGATCATGCCAAACATGCCAACATGTTCCTCGGCAAAGGCAGGGGGCCTTAGAAACACAGTCTCGCCCTTCTTTCGCTCCTTCGCGGCTCGAGGAATTGTGGTGGGAGTCTCGGGAGGTGTGTCGCTGACAGAAGAGACTGTGGAAGGAGACGAGTAGATGGGATCATAGTCAGAATCAACTGCCGACGAGTCCATGTGGTCAAAGGAATCTGTAGAGTCTGGTTCCGTCTCCTCCATCGGGCTGTAGTTGTAACAGGGGGTCTGGGGAGTCTGGGGAGAAGGAAGGGGCTGTTGGTACATGTAGTACGAGTTTGTGTTGGTGGAATTTGCAGCATAGTTGGTGTGGTAGTGCTGCAAATGCTGGTAGGTGAGAATCTGCTGCTGCTGGTGTTGTTGCGCTAGGTCAGCCTGGTTCGACTCTTGCATATGAGGAACCCGGGGACGCAGGGAATCAACACTGTTGCAAGATGAGCTATTATCAAGACCCATCAAATTCTCGTACTGCTCCAGAGGAATGGGATCAAAAGGTCCCGTGAGGTTTTGGGTCAACGGATATGATTCATTGGTGTAGAGGCCGACCAGCAGCTCGTCAATGTCTTCCATTTTGTAAGAGTTTGTCATGGTGTCTGTAGCTCTGTGCGATTATTGTGTGTGTGTGAGACTCCTTCCAAACCAGACAATCCTGGCAGTCCACCCTATATATGGACTTTTCATGGCTTGATCGTGTGGGCCACTTTGTGTGTATGCGCCTATGCACGAAGTGAATGTCAGAGGCACCACCGACACGTGAATAACAAAGGCAAGGGGAAAAAGAGCAGAATCTGGGTTTGACACCATTGTCTGCGTACATGAACCCCACCAAGGCTGTCAACTCATTGTGCCCACATTTCTGCCGCACCTGTTACCCCCGTGAATGGTGAATACGACATTTCGTGAGACGAAAAGTTTTCCAGAGCCACCCGAATTACCAATTTTTTGGAGCTGAAAGTTGAATTCTCGACTAGCAAGAAAAAGACAATGGCTTCCAAATCCCTATGGGTGGTGAGCATCAGCGCCGATCCATCGGAGATAAGGATGCCAGATCTCAGACCCCGTAAGCCGCAGCTGGAGCTTGACTTCGTAAAGCCGTACGTACGCCAAAAACTTCTACACGTGAGCCCTGGCCGCACATTTTGCTTCCAAACTGCCGGCGGTGGCATCCGGTCTCATATTGTAGGAGGGGCAGAGATACATGTATGACACAAAGAAACGAGGCTTATAGAAAGCAGGGGCTAGGAACCAGGCACAGGAACGATCCAGGTGGTGGTCTCCTGAACCACAAATCTTGGACAAACAGAACAATGGACAACCCCACGTGTTAAACGCAGGGCGACCACGTGCGCACAATACCAATGTCCGTCTTTCACAGGGACGGGAGCGTCTGAGAAGTGAGAGTGTTGCTTTTTCGCTCCCAATATCTGCTTCGTTTCTTTTTTCCACCTTAATGGTTTCTCCCATTTGCCTTGTCTTCGTCATGAAAGGTCGGTGGCAAGAGCGAAATGCGCCGGCGCCGGAAATGTCAGGACCTTCCCTATGAACACAAATTGCCAGATCCAGGTTAAGCTTCCATTGTGATGCAACTCAAACAAAGAAATACGACAGCATGGTGTACTTGTAAGAACCTAAAGGGAACCTTACTTCAGGTCAACTGGCAGGCGCAATATTATTCGGCAGCATTTCCTTTTTCCTTGGTTCAGGTTAGGGTCTCATGGGGTTACGTGGGCTGTGACTCCCATATCACGATTTCCAGAGCTCTAGTATTGTACTAATCGCGCTATTCCCCTGCTTGTACAAGATTGCAACGATCTCGACACCCTACCCTTCAGCCAGAACCAAAAATGACTCCAGATACATTACCATACCACACCGTGACCCCTTATGACAAGCCCCTCTTGCACATAACCTTCTGTCTCTTCTTCCCACTTGCTTGTCAAGCCGCTCGATCCGATTTTTCTGTCTGTCTCTTGACAGCTGTGACCTGGCGCAATCGACAGGCAGGTCGGCGTTCTGAGTTGCCAGTGGCCATGGATTGCGCACTAAACACTAAACGGGGTCTCAATAATACGTTGTTTTTTTGTATACGTGTTCAGTGTCTATACGTGAGTGTGCATGCAAAGTGGACTGATATTAATTACTGATGTAAGTGGTTAGCATGGTTCCAAAACCCGGTTCAGGCCTATACCCCGCAGTTCTCCGTCTATTGTTTGTTTCCCTCTCTTCCTTACCTCTCTCTCGCTCTCTCTTGCAACTTTCTTTTGCTCCCCTGATTCCCTGTGCAACTCTGTCCCGGTTTTTTCCCTTTAGCTTTTTCCTTTTTGCATCCGAATGCCGATATGACAATCTAACAGTCTGCGGTGCTCACGCGTCTGTCGTTTGACAGCTTGCGTGCCTGCAAAACACTTCAGCCCCCCCCCCCCCCCCCCCCCCCCCGGGAACCGTTAGTCTCTCTTGGTACTGTTCACGAAACAACGCTGAGAAACGGATTCTTGCCTCGTAGGCGATTGCCGTAGCGGTAAAATACCCACGGAATGGGAATCATGGCCACAGCCACAAATGCCAGCAGCGAGAGTCCCCAATCTACACCCAAGGTGTCAAACAGCTGCTTTGCAAAGAGGGGAAAGACAGCTCCAAACACGGAGCGGGCAAAGGTGTTGGCAGCCACTGCCGACGCAGCATATCTTTGGAAGGCGTCCACCAGGTAGTTGAGACACGCCTGGAAGATGACGAAGAAGCCCCAGCCTGTTAGAAGCAGGCCTAAGCATGGAAGGGCCCAGTGATTGTCTGGCGACGACGTCCAGGCAGTGATGAAGAGTCCTGCAGAGAAAATCCAGCCGAAAATCATCATCACTACGAGCCGTTCTTCGGGGATGGCCTTTCCATCATTGGCCAGCACCAGTCGACGATAGCGCTTTCCACTCCACAGATTGGAGGCTGACCCAAAGACGATTGCGCCGGCAAAAACGGCAATTGTAGGCAAAAAGGCCTCGACGTAGCCCCAGTGTCTGTATTGGGTAAATTGATAGTTGACGGAAGTCAGCGTAAGATAGAAGATGCCGTATACGAAGGACGCATAAAGCGCAATGAAGAAACAAATGGGTGTCAATAGCATAGCAAATGGCCGGATCAGATGCCGCTTGATGAATTCGTCAAGTGTGAACTGCCATCGGTCATGGTTTGCGTGGTAAGCCCAGTTTCCTGATTCGAGACGGATCTTTCGGGCCTTTCGCTGTAGTAGCACTGGAGGGTACGTTTCCGGACAGAGAATCAACACCAGCACCAGAATAAGACTGCTGAGAGCTACCATGAACCAGCAGACCCATTTCCAGGCCGTGGGGGAGTGTTTGAGAAGCAGAGCTCCGATCGGGGGCGCTAGAGACGCTCCTGCAATCACAAAGCCTCCATATAACACCATGTAGTTTCCTCGGACTGAAGGTGCCCAGATATCGGACAGGACGCCTCCGGAGGAAACAATGGGTGCTGAGGCGAAAAATCCCGCGAAAAACCGGGTGAGAATGATACTCTGGATGTTTTCACTGCCTCCCGTTCCACAAGTGAAGAGAATAGAGATGAGAAAGGGCATGGTGACTCCTATTTTGCGGCCATAGACCTCGGAGAAGGGTGCAAACAGCAAAGGTCCAAATGCAATTCCTGCCACATAGAGAGATGTTGTGAGGGTGGCTACTTCATGGCCCACCCCCATGGCATTGATGAGATGGGGAGCCGCTGGCGAAAAAATAGCCGAGTTCATCTGGGCTGCAAAGGTCATGATGGCATAGAGCACCGTCGTCTGGATTTTGCGTCGCATGGGCCAGTTGAGCGGACACTCGGGATCGTCCGGGCCGTTGTAATCAATCAGGTACAGCTCCGGGTTTTCCAGCGGCAGGTATTGCGGCTTGTCCCATGAGTCGGAGGTAGTGGGGAGAATGTCGGGGCTGCTCGTGTGGCTGGTCATTGCATTTTCCTGGCGGTGATAAGTCTAGCGATACTCATGGATCGCTTCCAAAGAGATCTATAGTGCAATTATATAAAAAGATTTATATTGAATTTGTTAGTCATTGCTGCACGATAAGGTTGGCCAAGAGATGTTGGGCAAGTGGGGTTGGTGAAACGGGGGGGGACTAGGGGTTGATGGTAAGGCGCTGGTGGAATAAATAGGTGTCACGTGATTGGCCAGAGCCAGTCTGGTCTTATGACTTCCTTTCCACTGCCCAAAACGGGCCTGCCCAGCTGCTCGGTTTCGCCAAGCTGTTGTCTCAGCCGCAAGGCTACACCACACGGCGGCTTGTCCCCACATCCCAACAACGGGACGGAGTCCGAGCTCCGAAATCTTAATTCGGGTTTTTCCGGGACGAATGGTAGTGTGACTAATAGACAGTGACCAATGGCTAGTATCAGTGAGAGGAGGGAGGCTGATTGATGGTCTTTGCGGTCGGTTAATGTTTTGTCTTTGTGCTTATTACTCTTCTTCGCTTTTGGGGGGTCGTTATCGACTCCCGACAACTGCATTTGGTGCATCAATACTGTAAGGGGAAAGACGATGATCTGGGGGCAAAAGCTCTGGTACAGTACAGTAAGTACGTATCGTACTTGATGGTATTAGAAATAGCAGTTGGTATCGTGAAGCAGCAACTGATCTGTGTTTTATTTGTGTCTGGTTCGTGTCTGACTTGTGTCTGACTTGTGTCTGATTTGTCAATGTTGACCCCTTTGGCACAGCAACGGCCCGATACTACCTTGCTGTTATGAAGATGAAGATCCTTAGGTCAGGTGGAGGAGGCTGTGACGAGTATATTGTAGATACATGATGGCGGCAGAGATTACAGTACATACAGTACGAGTACAAGTACAAGTACAAGAACAAGTACGACGTCCCGGGCAGTACGCACGAATATATACCGGTTCTTGTTATCGCCGAAAGACGGAGCGGTAGCGCGTTTTCGTTCCATGGCTGGAAAGGAAAAGTAAAATTTCATAATATAACCGACAATAAATGTTTCATCGGTTTACTCGTTGCTGAAGACTATAACTGCACGGGTTTATCTTGTAATTAGAAAGAGTTGTAACTATATATATGATACATGTATATATAGTACATATTACAGTAGCTACAGTACATACTCGTACAAATAGTACATACTGTACTTGTGCTCGTATGATTGTATTTTGGTTTAAGCAGCCGTATAAAGTCCTACTCAAATCAGCTACAAAAACAGTACAAGTACATTAAATTCTGCCCAAGCAGAATATGCGCCCTCCTTTACATTCTTGTCACGGTCGCAGTTACTTGCATCGTATGACCGGTGACGAAGACTTTCCACTGTATATATTTCCGAAGGATGCTACAGTACAAGCACCGGACATTACTGGTACGAGCACCACAGGGTTTGTCACCTCCTTCGTCGTAGTCGTACTCACCCTTTGGCCCAACCCCCTTGTCTCCCTCCAAGTCGATTTCCCCCAAGTCTACTGTTCCCACTCTCCTAAATACGACCATACAAGCATTAGTCCCGCATCAAAATACGTGCCGTTGTCGTATCGTCTTGTCGTCGCATCTCCGATAGTCGCATGGCAGACACAAGCTGCAGTTGCTGCCCGTTGCAACCTCGTGGGTTTCATTCTGCATTCTACAGTAGCTACGATACCATGCACGGGACTCGCTTAGGTTCCAGCCGTTGTCTTTGCGCACTAATGTCGCGGCTAACATAGCCCAAAGGTGGGCCATGAGAAGCGCCTGGGCTGTGGTTTACTGGTTTGTCGGAGTTTTGGCTGTTTGGAGATGTTGATTTGTATCATTGTCTCTCATTTGACACCCAACTGATGGTCTGTTTGGTATGTACGGTAACTACATACTGCTCCCTCTCCCTCAGCTGTCACCATTAGTTGGTTGACTAGCTTGGCAGGGGTGCGCACTAAGATGCGATGATGTATATATTGGTGTTGGCAGGCGTCTTTACTCGCCAAAATGCTCACACTGGCCCTCGTGCTCGATGAGATTGTCCAACATTTGCGTCCACTCGACATCCGACGCCTTTCGCACACAAACAACGAACTGCGAGGCGCCATCCAGGCCAAGGTCAAGCGTCGCATTGCCGCAGAGTACCCATGGATCTCGCTCGACGACTGGTATGCTGTGATTCCATATCTGAGTCTGGAAGACGAACCGCTGCCCGGAGAGGCCGAAGCCACGAATGGACATAACCACAAGCAGCAGCTGACCCACCAGATCTCGGCCGCCTTCACACGGCCTTTTAGACCTGATTCAGCGTCGGAGCAGCCCCGAAAATACACGTGCTACCACTTCAAGGACGACTCCACGGTGGTCGTACAGCACGTGATGGATTGGCACGAATGGCAGTTCGAGCTTCCACTCTCATCTCTGGGAATGGAACAGAAAGAGGTCTACGACATGCACTTCTCGGCCCACAACGAGACGCTCCACGCCTATGTTACGCAGAAAGAACGCATTCTGCTGTTGAAACACACCGCCAGACCCGATACGCAGCCCGTGGACCACGTACTCATCATTCCCACACCTTCTCCGGGCCCCAAATACGACTGTATCCTCCGAATTTACCAGGGACACGTCTTTTACATCGAAAGGGTCTTCGTGGGCTTCAATGAAAGGCTTGATCTAGAAGCTATCGAAAGAGGAGACTTGAACCTGCTGGAAACAACGCTGTACTCGGTGGACGTGGAGTCCCGAGCCATCCACCAACTGTGCAGCACAAAGTTGCCGGAAGAGGTGTTTACTATCCATACTCGCTCGTTTCGAAACCCAGACGCTCCCATCGTGCTCAGCAACAGGATGCTCTACTTGTGCGATCCCGATCGAAGCTACCTACTTGTCTTCAACCTGCTGCTCAAGTCCGTTCGGCTGCTACTGCTGCCTCAACACAGAACCTACTCCAGAAACGTGTACATCGAGAAGGGAAGATACTTGCATTTCGTGTCGCCCTCTGGAGGAGTGGCTCTGGATCTCCAAGAAAACGAGATACGAGACGTCCACTACGAATGACTTAGAAATAATAGATAAAAGCATTAATTGTGTGTATTATGAAGTAGTTGCCGCTGGTAAATACCTTTCTGACGGTAATACAGCAGCCAATAAATAAAAGCACGTTAGTACAAGCGGTGAGTGGCGCTTAAATGGGCATGAAATCATGCTGCTTCCAAATGCCAGTGCTCAGATGCACCTCCCAGTCCACCTCATGTTTCCAGCACGACTCCAGAATTATTTGCAGGGTGCGCCAGTTGCCCACTCCCAGAGAATGACGTAATCGGCTGACTCGAGCTCGCAGCAGGTCCTGGTAGTTCTTCACAGTACCATCATCGGCCTTGACAATGAAGTCCGCAGACGTCTTGAGCTCGCAACCAATCAGAAACATGGGCCAAACCAACTGGTTAGCTACCTTGTTCTGGGGATCCAAAAGTAGATTGAGATCCATAAATTGAATACACAAAGCGCGGATATCGGCCCAAACCTCAGGCTTGCAGCTCTTGAAGATTCGCAGCAGGAACACAAGGACTGCAATGCACCAGCACTTGCATCCGATATGCTCTTCTGAGTGCTCCGGGTAGCCTGCGGCACATTCGGAATGCAGTTCAATGAGAAGCTGGCGTTTGAGGGCCTGCCCTCGTTCCCAGAGGGCTCTCAGTTGAGCAGATCGCTCAGGAGTGTAGGCTGCTGATTGCGCAAGGTCTTCCTGGAACGCCTTGAAGTCTGCACGCAGCACAGTCACCTCATAAAGGGTCTGCATAGTCTTTATGGAACAGTTGACCATGTAGTTGAGACCGATGGAAGTGCCGTCGAACATCTCGGGGTTGACAATGAAGGGTGCGCGCGAGTCGTGTGATGCTGCGGACGTGATGAGATCAAACCACACATAACTGTTGATGAGAAACTTGCCTGAGTTTTGGGTGATGAGAAAGTCTCGAATGTCGGGCTGAGACACAATTTTGGCGTACATGTACATGTGGTTTCTGATGGCAGATGATCGGCCACCGTTGATGGTTTCAATGACAACCATGGAGATGAGCAAGATGAGAATTGCCTTGATGTTCTTGCGCGACTGCTCGGTGTTATTGAACGGCAAGTCTTTGGCACTGTCGTCCAGTCGTTGCAGTCGGTAGGCTTCTTCTTCTCCCATGCTAGCCAGCTCCATGAAGCCCTCCTGTCGCAGCAGCTTGAAAAAACATAGCTTGATGTACAGCACGTGTTTCTTGACTAGCGTATGTTGTGACGCAGCACTGATGAGATGCAGATAAGACATGGTCATGACAATCTTCTTGGTCAGTTCGGGCTCGAACGTCTCGAACATTAGTGCCGTGAGCTGCGGCTGCGGCAGGTAGTCAAAATAGGGCGACAGAAACTGCAGGTAGTTTTCCATGAGTTTGCGCTCATTTGGCGTCTGGGCAATCTGTTGCACCAGCGAGTTTGCGTAGGGGTCGGGGATGCGCGAGAATGTAAATTTCGGCAGTCGTGGTCCTCTAGGCATGCCAGGCATCCCCACTCCATGCACTCCAGGGACGCCCGGGAGAATACCCGATCCCGAATGGACCGTCAGCTTGGGCAGTTGTTGTGGGTGTGCCAGTTGCACCTGTGAGTTTGACTCTGAATTTGCCCGGGCGTCATCAATTGTGTAGCTCAGAGGCGTTCCTCCCTTGTCCAACAGCTGGCTCTCGTAGTAGGCCTTCATTTCCGACAGCGTCTTGTGCACCTGCACGGTATCCACCTTGTTTGGGTAGTTGAGGGGGTGCAGCGGGTCGATTTTTTCTTCAAACTGCACCGGGGTATCCGACAACGGCGGGATTCGCCGCCGCGTGGGTGGTGGTTCATGCAAAATGTGTGTTGGAGGTCGCAGTTGTTCGGGTAGTTGCAGTTCTTGATGTGGCGGCGACAGAGGCAGTGTAGCTCCGAGCGGTTGATCCGACAGTTGGAACGAGCTCTGGAACGTCTGCAGCGGCTGGAGCGAATGTTGCGAGGCCCGCGGCGGCTCAAAGGGGCTGTTATTGGGCTCTGTGTTTGGGCGCGGTTTCTTCTGGGTCACTGCAAATCGGCCCACCAGCGCCGCCATGTCTGGGTTGGGCGGTTTGCGCTTGCAGGACGTGCGTTTCGACGCCTTTTCCGGCTCGAAGCTCACGAATTTCGCCGGTTTACCCATGCTCGGCTCGTGGGTGAGGAGATGTCGACTTCTGGCGTACAGATGAATGGTACGAGGTATGGATCCCGATACTTTCTAATAAACTCAAGGTCTGTTTTAACTAAGGTTGCGAGCCTGCACTGTGCAGTTCCAGTTGAAAATTAGCGAGCCGTGGGGGCATTGGGGTGCGCTGCGGAGGGGGGATGCAACCTGCTGCTGGCGGGGGATCAGAAAAGGACAGAGAACGGAGCTATGACGCCAGCGAGGCGAAATGTGTCACGTGTGTCCACATGTGATGCCAAGTCCTACTTAGCGTGCCCTGCTCGCCCCACCTTCCCCCTTCACTCCGATCCACATGCTCCCAACTCTATCAAAGTGGGTCTTCGCGCCTCTCACTTTAGAATCCAAAATACAAAGGTGTTTAATCCATGTTGCTTCGATGGCAACTGCACGGTTAAATACAAAGCGGCTTTTGCTTTTGCGGACGGACCCAATCAATACGGGTGGGCGGTGGAGAATGCGAAACCTACGACCTCGAAAAGAGAGCCTTCAAAACACGCTTGTATCATTGACGGCGAAAAGGACCGGCTAGAGAACGGGAACATACGCTAGGAACACAGGGCGCGCGGGCTTGGTGCATGTTGCCAAGCTACCTCCACAGAACTTGTATTCGAAGCCCTGCTCCTTCCACCAACTGCCACGCTACTGGTCTGGCTAAACTACGGTCCGAGACCGTGGCCAAGCTAAAAGACGCTTTGAACCCTTGCTGCTACTTGTACTGTATGTTGTCCTACATACTGTACGACTGTCGTGCCAAAGGACGGAAGTCTTGCGGAACCGCGTTAATAATAACGGGATATTGAATTTTAAAATATATCCAAGCATCAAGAATGAAAAATAAATTAGTAGAAAAATAAATAGTGGAAAAATCAATTAGTGGGACACATCTGAACACATGGATTCGGCTCCGGCAAAAAACGCGCAATGCACGGCTTCGACGCAACCTCGGAGCATCTCGGAGATTTACCTCTGGGCAGTGTTCCAATTACAAGTGCTGTAGCTCTGTTGTTTTTTGGTTCAGGAGCCCCATGGGGATGGAGATGATTGGTGCTAAGGGAAAATACACTGTCACCATTTCTACAGTGTACAGGTATGAGATGAGTACAGTACCGGTATTGGTACACTTTGAAATACTTACACTGTAAAAGGAAGCGAAAAGAAGTCTCCTATCTGTACAGAAAGAACTATTACCCACTCTTGCAGCCTATTAACCGCGTATGACGAACAATTAGCAAGTATGTATAGCAACATGCCTCGTCCTTCTACAGTAACGGTACCACAACCAGTCCCTGACACTCTATTATCCTATATGACCAATTTTTACTGTGCAAAATGAGACGCGCCCTAATTAGACTAATTAGAGTGCAACAAGTAAAAGCCGACGGTCGTCGTTTGCGGTGAGCTAATTATGGGCAGCCGCTGTGACCCTGCGGCTTTATCAGTATTCAGCTGGCGCGGGATTCCGACATGTCACGTGACGCGGCGTCTGTGTCGTTCCGTGACATTGTTTTATTTTCATTTTTTTACGGGGGGTCACGTGGACCAACTTTAACTGAGAGAGGTTTGGTTCTGTGGGTACATCGCAGTACAGTACATCTGGGCACACACACTGCAAGCCCTGGTTACCCTCTTCTGCATCACGCCTATATATGTTTGGCAGAAACTCTTTCTTTTTGTCATCAGGCCAAAACGTGAGTACCACAACTGCCCCAGATGTTATGATGAACATTATGCTGTGCACCAATCAGACCAGAGATGAACGATTACAGTTACCCAATTATGTACCTGACATTTTTCTGAAGACGATGATTTCTCTTGAATTCTGCTAACCCAAGTGACTGGTGGTTTACCACTTGATTTGACTACAGTCGATTATTTATATAGCTAACCAACCTTTTGACTCATTCAATCTGTACACTGTAAAATACTCTCTACGTCATTACAAATCCAGGCCTCATTTTATTAATGTATCATAGTGGTACTCACGTATTGCCCGTGTTCACTTCAATCCACCATCCACACAAACAATAATCTTTCCAGTGGCATGTCCCGCTTCTAGCTTCTTGACAGCCTCCTTTGCATCCTTCAGATCAAAAACACAATCTGTCACGGGCTTGATCTTGCCCGCCTCGATGTACTCGGTGATGATGGCCAGCTGTTTTCCCGAAGGTCTGCACACGATCGCCTGGTATCTCACGCCGTAGATCCAGGCACATCTGGTGGTAACAAAGGCGACCGAACGAAGCAGAGACGATACCAATGCACCGGGCTTGACACTCAGGGTGTCTTCCACCGTCTCGGGGGAAGGAGTGCCGTTAAGACTGCCCACAAAGCCGTTCTTCTTGGTGATTGACACGTGGGCATGGGGCTGGTTGGACACATCGAGCGCATAATCGACATCCGAAACCACGTTCTTGAACACTGTGGTCCGGTAGTTGATCACCTGGTCAGCCCCTAGTTGTCGCAGCAGGTCCATTTTCTTGGATGAAGCCGTGGTGATGACTTTGGCTCCATACACGTTCTTTGCCAGCTGAATCGCAAAGGTGCCGATACCTCCGGAGCCCTTGGAGATGAAGATGGTTTGGTCCCTTTGCAGATTGCCAGCTTCAAACGCTTGCATGGAGGTCAGACCTACCAAGGGGATGCCTGCAGCATCTTGGAGAGAAATGTTTGATGGGGCTCTGGCCACGAGTGAGGACTTGACGCTCACAAACTCGGCCATGGTGCCGTCCTGACGCTCGCCAATCCGGCTGTAGACTCTATCGCCTGCCTTGAACTCATCCACCCCAAGTCCCACCTCCTCCACCACCCCAGATACATCGTAGCCAAAGATATGAGGGTGTTTGTCAGGTGCCAACATCTTCAGAAAGCCACGGTTTCTCATGCCATCAATGGGATTGAGCGACGCAGCAGCCACCCGGATCAGAACATGATCGTCGGCAATCAGAGTCGTCTTGGGATGGTCCTCGGAGTACTGGATCTTGTCCGGGCCTCCATACCCTGTGGTGTAAGCTGCTTTCATGGTGTATTGAAAGCGATCGATCAAGGCCCCTGTGACATGTCCGTGTGCGTGTTTATATATCCATGTTTGAGTACTTGGACCGGCCTCTCCTTGTCCATTGTTATTACATGCTATAGATGACACTAGCCGCACTCTACTGTGAGCACACGAGCAAAGCGACCAAGAAGCGGTAGTACAAGTCATGGAAGCGCAGGAGGATGCTACAATCACAACATGGATATTGTGTTTGTGTTAAATTGCTTCTACAGATTGTCTGGGTCACTGACAGCTGGTTCATTACTTCCAGTATGGCCCAAGATGAACAACTATACACATCCACCCCACATTTGTCACCAGTTAGTAACGCACTAGTGAGACGCATAGATTTGCCACCGAACATGTCACTGCGAGATCCTGTCAGAGGGGAAAGCGCGTATCCCACCCACATGTCATTTGAACTACACCCACAGAAGCAAATTAGGGCATGTATTCCCCACACCTCACGGTATGTACACTCGCAACCACTAACTCATGATACTTGCATCTCAATACAACGTTAGTTGTGGAGATGGTTAACACCATGAGTGGATTCAGAAGGATCTCCTTACCTTTCAATCCAGCTTACCTCCCTTTTGATCCTTACCAGCAGTCTGCCGCTAATTTTTGCGTCCCCAAACAGCCCCCTTGGCATGGGTATCGTACTTGTCCATCTTCTGGTTCGCCAAGAGCCTGTCTCACTGAAGGGTTGACAGATTATTGGTCATCGTGAGGACGGTTGAAACACAAGTGGGTACGTACTTGTATAATCCAGCTTTTGGGTTGCTTGTCGCCCAGATCACACCCCCAATTCAGAGTGTGTAAACCAAACAAGTTTATGATATACTCTGGTCACATTGAACTCATAAAGTGTTCCTTTTCACAGGCGTGACAAAGACTTCCACAAGAAAACATGGCTCAAAGACACAAGCACAAGTGCAAGTAAACGATGTTTCATGTCATATATACATGCAGCACTTGTAATGCTCATACAAATACAATACCACTCAAGATCTATCTCTCCTCTCCACACAGTCCCTCGCCTAAACGATGCATTCATGAGTCAGCTTTGTCAACACGACGATCTTGTATTTCTCAAGAATTTCTCCTATTTTACTACTTAAAGTAAATGATACTGCTCAAAACAGCGCAAAAATACCGTTCCAACAATTCAATTGATTTTATCCAATTTATCGCAAGTTTCCACAAATGTCCCACACTTTCACGCCTCAACCGCTATCTGACATAACTGCCCGAAGCTTATATGAAAATTTCCTGAACCTAATAAAAATCTACAGCATCTTTCTCTACACACACACAACTAACCAGACATAGACACACAAACACCATGTCCGTGTCAGCTTTCAAGGCCACCGTGCTGTGCCACAACTGTGGTACCCCGCTTGATGGTACCCTCACCAATGGAACCCCCATTTGCAACCAGTGTATCGAAATGACGACCGACATCACCAAGGAGATTCCTCGAGAGGCTTCCCTCACCTTTTGCAGAAACTGCGACAGATGGCTGCAGCCTCCCTCATCATGGACCGCTGCCCAGCCCGAGTCCCGAGAGCTGCTGGCTCTTTGTCTCAAGCGACTCAAGGGTCTGTCCAAGGTGCGTCTTGTGGACGCCTCCTTCATCTGGACCGAGCCCCACTCCCGACGTATCCGAATCAAGGTCACCGTCCAGGGCGAGGCTGTGGGCCAGACCATCATCCAGCAGAGCTTCGAGGTCGAGTACATTGTGATCGCCACACAGTGTCCCGACTGTGCCAAATCCTTCACTGCCAACACCTGGAGAGCTAGTGTGCAGATCCGACAGAAGGTGCCCCACAAGAAGACCTTCCTGTATCTGGAGCAGCTGATTCTGCGCCACAACGCACACCTGGACACCATCTCCATCCAGGAGAGCCGCGACGGTCTGGACTTCTTTTACTCGCAGCGAAACCACGCGCTCAAGATGCTCGACTTTCTGGCGTCCGTCACCCCCTGCAGACACAAGCGGTCCGAAGAGCTCATTTCAATGGATACCCATACCGCCAAGAAGCAGTACAAGTTTTCTTACTCGGTCGAAATCGCACCCATCTGTCGAGACGACCTCGTGGTTTTGCCTCCCAGCATTGCCAAGTCCAACGCCAACATTTCTCCTCTGGTTCTGTGTACCAAGGTGACCAACACCCTGCACTTTGTTGACCCCAATACCCTCCAGACTGCCGAGATTCCTGGCTCTGTTTACTGGAGAAAGCAGTTCCCTTCTCTGGCCGATGCTTCTCGTCTGCAGGAGTTTATTGTGCTCGATATTGAGCCTCTGGGACCCGTCAAGGGCAAGTTTGCCCTTGCTGACGCCACTGTGGCTCGAGTCGGCGACATGGGCCGAAACGACACCACCTACAACATCCGAACGCATCTCGGAGGTGTCCTGCATCCCGGAGACTCTGCCTATGGCTACTACATGGTCACGTCCAACTTCAACAATGCCTACTGGGATGAGCTGGACAAGGATAATCTGCCCGACGTGATTCTAGTCAAGAAGCACTACCCTGGCCGACGAAAGAAGCGAAACCGACACTGGAAGCTTAAGCGAATGGCACTTGAACACAACCTAGAGGACGACCCCAAGGTCACCAAAACCGATCTGGACAAGGCTGAGCAGGACTACGAGCAGTTCCTGCAGGAGCTCGAGGAAGACACCGAGCTGCGAGGCACCGTCAACCTTTATAAGCGAACCGTTCCCCAGATGCCTGCTCTTCCCAAGACTGGTGATGAGATGGAGGCCAGCGAGGAGGAGGGCGAGGGAGTTCCTGAGATTGGTGTTGACGAGCTTCTCGACGACCTGGAGGACATGAGCCTGGGCCAGGATGAATAGATGTACCACGAGCGAACCAGTAACGACAAACAGTAACCAAAAGTCAATGGTCAATGGGGATATTTAGATGAATGCATTAATAGATTGGATGTGGAACATAAAACGAAAAGTAGAGCAATAAGGGCATAAACAGCTAGATTCCTCTTTCCCAGGTTACAAGATAGCCCTATTGAACCAGATTTCCTTATTATTTGTTTTTATTCTAATGATTCATTTTTTTATTTAATCACGTGACGTCCATAGCCGTGTTACTAGGTTCAATCACATTTATCGCCAGTTGCGGCCATATCCTGGTGAAAATACGGCTTCCCGTCCGATCAGCCATAGTCAAGCACCAGAGAGCCTAGTTAGTATTGTAGTGGGAGACCATACGAGAATCCTAGGTGCTGCAATTAAACCATTTTTTTTTTGCTCTTGCCTCTTCGGCTTTCTATGTTATGTCTCCAACCTGCTTACTCAAGAACCAAGACAGCGTTTTACACACAGTTTGAGTAATGTAGGTTTTAGTGAGACTCTCACTGAAGATATAAAAGTCCGAGTACTTGTAAGAATACAGTACATCATGTATCTGTTCCGAGATGCTTGGACATGTCAACTCTTCAGTATCCTTAGGAGGAGGGGGATGATTTTCAACACAACCGAAAGGTAGTAAGGTTCTCGCTTATGCAGGAATGTCTCACCGAGAGAAAGACGATTTAATGTTACGTGGGATTTTTATCGACCTAGAGACATTAATTGGCACACAAGTCAAGGATGATCTATGGAGGTAAGACACTTTTCAATCTTGACAAGACTCTATATCTCTACACACATCTTCAATCCACTTCTTATTAGCTCGTATCACACGCCAACAACGGATGATATGCATCACACTTGCCTCTCAAACGCATATTAAAATATATATTTACCATCGCGACCTTTGTTGAGTGTGGGGAGAGACTCCTACGATATTTCAATTGTGATATGTTGTATCATAGGCATCGATACAGGCAGTTGTATGTTGTCAATGCATTAATGTTATATGATAAATAAGACAGAGTCTTGTGTATTGTTTGGTATGGTATCGTATTGTAAATGAGATGGTGGCGTCCCTCTTCGTGGACAATGTCCTCGAAAGCTTTCCTAGAGAAACGAGCTACTGTTTCCCACCTGATGCTTCACCGCCGGTCTATAATCCGAAGCCACTCTCTTGCTCGGAGTGGGAATAGGATCGTATCTCTTGACTGGTGGAGCAGGCATGTCTGTAATTGTATCTCGTGACTTCGTCTTCTTGCCCTCAGCCATTTCCTTGGCTAGACCTCTAGCGAGAACAGACTTCTCGTTTGCTGCAAGGTAAGCGATTTGCTTGGCCAAATCGTGCTTCTCCAGGAAGCTGTAATCGTCTCCGTTAGCTTCAACGAGGGTTCTGATGATCTTGAGCACTGTCAGCCGGATTCTAGGCTTGCTGGATTCCAGCTTGGACGACAGGAAACCGATCAGAATAGGCCCAGTGAGAGCCACAGCGACACGCTGACTCAGCCGCAACAACTTGTGGAACAGGTCCATGTACTGCTCAAAGGCCGTGGATCTGGAGTTGTTCGAGAAGGAGTGAGTGATGAGGTCGAGAGAGGTGTTTCGAATTAGACGTTCCTCCACACGAGCTGTTTCATCGTCGAACCACACAATGATAGAATCCATGGCGTTGACCTGGTAGTAAGGGTCCGGAAGTAGACGCAGATATGTTGTGAGCACATCGTGGCGCCACAGAATCTTGCGAGTTGCCTTGGAAGAGTGAGCCATGTCACACAAAAGAGGAAGAGCAAAGTCCTTGACGGGCAAAGAAGAAAGAGCTGCTGCCTGAAGATATGGGGCAGCCCCACACTCGGCAGCCTCGTCTTGTCTGTGAGGGGATAATCGACACAGATTGAAGAGAGTGTGGTAGATCTGGATTGACAGGTCTCGGGAATGCTGGTTGGCCATATTGGTGCAGTCCTTGAGACAGTCCACAAGGTACTCAATGACGTTGGAGTTTTGCATGGTCTCAAGGGCGGTGTGAACGGCACTAACACTCTTGATGAACTTGAGCATGGTGACTCGGTGATGTGTCGGTAGACGTTTGTAGCACTTGAAGAGCCCCTTGAACACAGCTCGAGAAGCAATAGTCTCTTTGACATGAGGCTCTGTCTGCGAGAATATGGTCAGAATGCTCATAATCTTGTTGATGTAGTCCGTGTCCGAGTATCCAGAGGTGTCTGTGGGGTACTCATCGGGTTCATAGTCGTCTACCAGCTGTCTCAGAATAGCCACCAGAGAGTCGAGAATGAAAGAACGGGAAAGGATTCGACAAAAGTCGTTTCGCATACCGCTCCCCTGCACCTCGAACACCTTGGCCACGCCGTAGATTCCCACAAATACAAACTCACGATGCAAACCAAAGTCCTCCTCAATCAACTGCGACAGCATGTTGAGACCTCCACAAGAAACAAACATCTGGAGAGCCAGTTTGGAGCCTCTGCAGAGTCTATCAACAATGGCTACACTCTGAATACGAGTTTCAGACTGGTATCGAGTGGTAGAAAACATTGTGACGATTGGGATACCTCCTGAGAAACACAAGCTCTCAAGAACAGCTTCATCATCATCAATAAGAAGCACCAAAATGCATAGGACACCGCAAACAACCGCCTCGTTGGTCTGAAACCGCTCCAGAAGCTCCAGCAAAGGCAGTACTATGTGACACTTGACCACTGTCTTCTTTGTCTCAGGATGCTGCTGCAACAGGTCAATAAGAGAAGGGACAATATCCTGGACTTCGGAAGTCGTCAGTTGCACCCTGTTGAGTCTTCCAACATGCTGCTCAGCCGTGCGCATCGCCGTAGCAAGCTTATCACGTGCAATGTTCTGTTCAATGTCTTCTGGAGAGAATCTCGTTTCATTCTCAAGAGCAGCAAATGGATCTTCGTCGTCCGAATGATGGGATTTGTCCGAAGACGAAAACGACGCCGGGTACGCATTTTGTGACTTGGGAGTAGCACCTACTGTCAAATCTACCATATCTCCAAGCATACTGGTATAGTCATCTTCATCCTCTCCCTCCTCACAGAACTGCTTCAGCTTGATCGTGGCGTAATCTGTAGACTTGTCCTCTGCGGCAGTAGGCTTTTGTCTGCTGTTAAACCTCTTTTTCAGGTCGTCTGTGGAAATATCGGCCACATTGAAGCCGTCCGCAAACGCATCGTCATCCTCCACGTCCCGAAAAGGCGAGTTCTCAATCGGAATTCTTGAATGCACAGGGGTCTTTGGATCTAGGCGCGTGGCTTTGCTGATGCTCGGCAGTTTATTGGAGACACTGCCTCTAGAAGCCTTGTTCAAGGCACTGGTGATGGAGGGAATTGGTTTGGAAGAAGTTGAAGAACCTGGAGGAGTGATTTCTCGCTTGGTAATTATGATATGTGGAGATCGGGGGTTTAGCTCGCCCACAAACTCGTCGTCCCAACTCTCGATATGGCCCGAGGACGTGATCTCGTTCTGTTTTTGGCGCGAAAACTTGCGAATTGAAGCGTAAATGTCGTCCTGAGTACGATGGGGTGTTCGTGGAGTCTCTTCGACTGCTTGATTGAACTGCTCCACGGATTTTACAACCTCATCATATCGCTTGGGAGGCCCACTGACGTGTTTGCGTTCGCTATCGGTCCTCGCTTCAGCTAACCACGGATGTCGCAGCAGCTTTTTGGCCGTCACTCGCAGATTGGGGTCTTTTTGGAAACACTGTCCGAGAAAGTCGAGAGCTGCAGGAGACGCTCCTTCTGGAAATGCAGGATGATCGTCGTTGACAATAGCAAACATGGCTGGCATTTGGCCTAGGTTGTGGTAGGGGGGTTTGCCTGTGAGCAGCTCAATCACAGTACATCCCACAGACCAGATATCCGAGGCTGTGGTAGCACCATTGAGCTCAATGATCTCAGGGGCCATCCAGTTGGGTGTACCTGCCACTCCGTTTTCCACAGATCCGGTAGCGAGTATGGTTGTTGTTGCGACTCCAAAATCAGCCAGCTTCGAGTTTCCATCTTTAGTGGTCAAAATATTGGCACCCTTGATATCTCTATGAATCACTCCCTGCTCGTGCAAGTATGCCAGACCCTTGAGCACCTGGTACATGTAGACAGCCACGAGGTTTTCGGGGAACTTGCCAAACTTGCGGCAGATGGAGTGTAATGAGCCGTTTTCGCAGTACTCTAAGATGATGTTGAGGGTATCCTGGGTCTTGACAAAGCCGTGATACTTGACGATGTTTGGATGGTTGAGGTTTTTGAGCAGGTCAATTTCCATCATGATGGTGTCGACGTCACCTTTTTTAGGCACGTCCGAGAGCTTGATCCGTTTGACGGCGACAGCTTCGCCGGTGTTCCAGTTGAGAGCACGGTAGACGGACGCATAGGCGCCTTTGCCGAGGCAGTCTCCGAGGGTCTGTGTTAGCACGAACGAACAGACGAGTACTAGGCCATACAGCACATGTGCATTGATGTGTGTTGGTAATGGTGAAGGAAGGGTCAGCGAAAGAGAGGAGTGCGTGTCGGCGTACGCATCAGTACGGGGATATGGAGCAGAAGGAACATGGAGCTACCATTCAGCCTAACCACAGTTGAAACAACCACCACAATGAAGCCAGTTGCTGTATAGAGATAGTACTAGGAATGAGTTTCAAAGCTGGCATTTGTGTCAACAGCAGTGACAAGGGGCTGCGTACGATCATAAACCGGTGGAAAGTTGTGGATGTCTTTTCATAATAGAACGACAAATTGAACAAAATAGCACACAAATGAAACCAGTAGTTGATTCGTATGACCCCCACATCCGACTTATCCCTCCACCGTTGCCATATCATCCTGCCATACCTGGCACACCCCCTATGTTGCTGAACCTCTCGCATGTTCTCTCATGCCCTGAACATCTGACCTTACCAAGTCAACTTATCCTGCTCAGTCGACTTTTGCCACCAGCTGCTTGGCTCCAAACAACTCGATTCGCACTCACATAATTATTCATCGGCTCCTTGCCATTGACCTTCTGGGCTGGCGTAGCGCTGACCATGTCTCTGTCTCTCGTACTGCCACTCGACGAACTGGATGAGCTCGACGAGTGACGCAGGTGTTGTGGGGCACCCCTGGGGCGCTGGGGACGCCGTGAGGGAGTCGAGGGAACCATCACGGGTCGGTAGAAAGGAGCTGTGTATCTTGAAGTGTACTACTGTAGGTCTGACCGTTAGACGTTTACTGCTGCTGCACCAAGCCAGTTAAAGTTGTTTACAAAAGACGCGTGAATTTACAGTTGGGAGCGGTTTCGCGATGGCCAGGAGGGGTAGTATTTTGGGGCCGCCAGCGATCGTGATTGCCAAGGAGTTTGTCACGTGACCCTGTTTTCCTTCGCCGCTAAATAATCAACCAAAAAAACATCCACTTCGCCGATCAGGAACACTCCGTATCACCCCCTTTAATCTCCCTACATTACACCATCCAGAAATGGACGCATATTAGCCCAATTGGGACACATGGAAAACTCTACTACAGTACTTATACCAATCCCTGATCAGCAATGAGATGGACATGAGAGGCAGAATAGTGATATAGATTGATAGCACGACGGCCAGATTCCTCACTCATAACCTGTTGGATACGTTTGCTGGAACGCTAACTCTACGCACTGTGCTTAGATGATGCTAGAGCTCATAATATCTATTCTTAGAACAGCCCTTGTTCGGGAAATATACGGGTATATACGGGCATGAGACCACCTAAGGAGACATTCCAAGTGATCCGAAAGACTACAAAATGCACACTTCTCTCTTTATATGTCTGTTAACTGAGTGTGTCTCGTACAAGTCTAGTATAAGGACGTGTAGTCCAGCACTGCCCCTAAACGTCCTTTTGGGCTATATTTCCTGGAAATTGTTGCCTTTGGCATATCAAGTAATTCTGACATGCTTCTTAGAGCACTTCAAAATGTTTCTATTCACTTTTATACCCCTCTACAGCCCCTTTTATTTCATTATCTCCCATTTTTGAAAAATTCACAAATTTAAAGTTATTTAAGATCATGTGATCCAGACGCGATATGTCAACAGCCGAAATTTGACTTTTTTTATGTAAGATCCGATCGTCTCTTATCTGCGGAATAGTTCTCAGTCGGTAGATTGTCGCTGTCTAACCTAACCGTTGCTCGCTGTCTGTAATACGTTCACAGGCTGGTGATAACTTGTCTTATTAATCATACATAAATGTCCTTCTTATACTACCATCCTCCGGGTGGGTCCCAGTTGGGAGCCACAGTCACACATGCACGTTTTTTTTTTTTATTCTAGTGATTCGTGACCGGCACCATCCCAAGCCCTTAGTAAGCGACTTGGTCCTTACATTTTAGCTTTCCGATATAGTGTAGGGGTTATCACTTCCGCTTTTCACGCGGAGAACCCGGGTTCGATTCCCGGTATCGGAGATTCCTTTTTTTGATCGAGCAACGATTTATATCCTTCTTGCTCCAGCTATTTTTTTGCTTGGTTGCTCGTTTTCCATACTGCTGTTGCTTAATTTGAGGTTATCACTATACTACCTACAGTACAGACACACCTGCCTGTGTCTGAGGTGTACGCCCATTCTACGTAGGTACATACTGTACACGCGTGCAGTGTTATAATTCATTCAAATATCGTCGGGCTAGCCGCCAATTTAGTTAACAGGGTCCTTGGTGAATCGGAGGTAGGGCTTGAGCTCCTTGAAGTCGCCGTACTTCTTCTTGGCATCCTCGTTCTTGACGGAAGGAGGAATGATGACGTCCTTGCCGGCCTCCCAGTCAATGGGGGTGACGAGGCCAGTGGCGTCGTTGAGCTGCAGAGAGTCGAGGACTCGCAGAATCTCGGACGAGTTTCGGCCGGTGGAAGCGGGGTAGGTGATGAAGAGTCGCACCTTCTTGTTGGGGTCGATGATGAAGACGGATCGGATGGTGAAGGCAATGCCCTTGTTGATGTTCTCAAAGCCCTGCTGGTCGACCATGTCGTAAAGGAAGGCGACCTTTCGCTCGGGGTCGGCGATAATGGGGAAGTCGAAGGCCTTGCCGGAGGTGGAGGTGTCCTCAATGTCCTGGACCCAGTCCTTGTGGGACTGCAGGTCGTCGGCAGACAGAGCAATCAGCTGGGCGTTTCGCTTTGTGAACTCGTCCTTGAGAGCAGCAAAGGCGCCGAGCTCGGTGGTACACACGGGGGTGAAGTCCGCGGGGTGAGAGAACAGCACGGTCCACTTGTCGCCAATGAAGTTGTGGAAGTCAATATCTCCTCCGGTGGTCTGGGCAGAGAAGTTGGGGGCGGTAGAGCCGATTCGGATTCGAGGTTGGTCCTCGGCCTTGAAGGAGTAGAATCGGGCGCCGGCGGGCAGAGTGGCCGGTCGCAGAGACTTGGCGGTTCGCAGGTAAGTGGCGAGTCGGAAAGACATGTTGTGTGTGTGGATGTAGAGGAAGTGTATGGTTTGCGTCGCAGCAAATAGTTATACGCTACGGCAACTCAATTGGCTTCTGAATTCACTGCATGCGCAGCAATGGCGCAATTGCACTGGATGGGCGAAGACAATGTTTTGTTGTAATATTGGAAGACAGGGATATTTTTGCCGGGTTTGAAATATTGGTGGTTTTGAAAATTCCATGTTGGAGTGGTTCTTCTGATGACTAACCCTCCCGATCACCCCTTCAAACACGTGTCTACAATACCCCCCCCCCCCCCCCCCCCCCCATATACTGGCGCTGTTCTTTAACCTACAATACGGAGGTGGGATTATGCAGGGCCGACGGCGGAGCAAGATTGAATCGACCGACAAATATGTCTTAGATGTACGATATTCGTTGTGTACTCGCACTTGCACAAGATGTATTTGGTTTGGAGAGTTGGAATTGTGATCTGAAAGGAGTTTGGCAGATTGCTATAGGTGTCAAGGGTGCTAATAGGTGCGACTTCTATTCATGTAGAGCTGAGAGGCATTGAGTGTGCAGTAGGATCTAGAGTCAGTCAATGGACCGTTCGAGAACAATAGGAGATTGTAGTAGACTCGTGGGGACGGGGTGTTGAAAGACATTATCATCCTTCTGGCATCTGCCAGCTACTTCCCAGATCTTGCCAAGGTATCTAATCGGCTTGGGTTGACGACTTTAGTGGGTGACTAGTTGAGGTGAAAAACTGTCTGGAGACGCCAATTGGAGTTTCGAGGTTGCTGATGTCTCAAATGTACTTCTGAAGAGATCCAATGTACAAGTACGGGTACCTACAGTATGTACTGGTACATTACAGGTACTCCAAGCTACAATTGTAGCATGTTACGATAGTTATGGTGGCTAGAGACCTGATGGGACTGGATAAGACCGAACACGGCACTGCCATAAGAGAATTTAGTTAACAATTAGTTGACTTTGGAAATATGATATTCCCTGCTATCTTGAACATCTTGAAGGGGTTATAAAAGAAACAGAGAAGGTATATGTAACGATTTTCGGTTATATCGCGTCCCAATCTCACCAAGCTTGACAGTTCTTATACCTTCCAGCCAGGGGACTTTTGTTTCACCGTTTGGAGTATGTTCCGGATTGGACGCATCGTCCTGTGTGGTCTATCTACGGTTACTATACAAGAGATGCAAAATGTAGTTGATTCTGCCACAATTATCTGTACAAATAATATGAGCTACAAGTATGTCACGTGCTGATCTCACTTGGTCTGTTTTAACTGTCCTGGGATATCGAAATACTACTGTATGTACATACTCATCTTGCGCCAGAAGATCACTTTGGAGGACCAATAAAACTGTTAAGAAGCTATGCGAGAATCTATTTCTTACGAGTATTACTCAATTCGGCAACCCCACAGCTGGCTCCATTCTCCCGTGGTACACAGATGGCTCTTTCACCTCCCGCGTATTTAACCAAGTAAATACTCAGTTATAATTAGATATTTACTTGGGGATACATACGAGAAAAAAGTTACCCCCAAAAGCCCACCTCGGAGCCCTCCTTACTCGAAAAACGCTCCGTGGAACTCCTCGTAGGAATGCGTTCCACAAGCATGCCAGTTTAGATCCGCTTACCATGTCAAAACTGTTTTCTATTGCCTATTCGGCTGGTTTGGTGATAATCTGATGTGCAGTTTATCACCAGACCAACCGTAATAACAACATACCCCTCAATTGACGCCCCTCAAATGAAGGGAAAGATGAGATCGATCTTGTTAGGTATCGTTAATCACAATTCCAGTAACGGCACTATTCCCGAACCCCTGATACATGCCACAACTGTCTGTTTTGACAAGCTATCTAAACCTTGGCCCACGTGCCTACGAACTCCACGGAGATATGTCAGTTGGAAGAAAGAGGAAGAAGAGAGTCCATTGGGAGAGAGTTATACAAGTGCTGTAGTAGTAGCAAGTAGCAAGATATACAGGGTCGGGGAGGAAAATGTCGAATTTAGCTCTCTACCTCCAATTCCCGTTCAAGTATTTATATCGCATATCTCACCTTCCCTCTCGCGTCTTCCTCTCGCATCTTCGCCATGAGCGATTATCCTCTCATATAACACGTCCCCACCGCTTGGCCGTTGTCATCATGCATAGAACCTGCATGGGAGAAGGGGCAGGTGGCTAGAAATGGATATATTAAATTTCGTTTCCTGCACACCTGGAGATAGCCGAGCCCTTCGTCTCTTCTTCTCCTCTGTTTCCACTCACCATCGCAATGCCCTGTCTGCCTCTCATTCCCGCTCGAAGCCACCACGCGGTCAACACGGGCCATCGTGGCTACCGAGGCAAGTACGCCGAAAACTCCATCCATGGGTTCAACGAGGCGGTCAAGGACGGCGCCAAGGCCATTGAGATGGACATTCAGGTGTCCAAGGACGACGTGGTTGTTGTCTCCCACGACGAAAACACGGAACGATGCTTCAACAAGGCCTACGATATCACCCATACTGATTTCAATGGCGTCTTGGACCAGTTGACCATGAAGGAGGCCCCTCACGAGAAGATGCCGACTTTTGTCGACGTTGCCAAACTCTTCACCACCAAGGAATACGATGGCATTGTGCTCATGGTCGACATTAAGCGAACCAACCACACGTCCGTCGTGGAAAAGGTTGTGCGAGATCTCAAGACCATCAACCCTGACTTGGACTTTTGGGCTGCTCGAGTGACTCTCGGTATCTGGAAAGCCGAATTCCTGGAGCCCTGCAAGCTGCATGCCCCCCAGTTCGACCTCACCCACATTGGAATCTCCCAGGGCTACGTCTCCGAGTTCCTCAAGAGCGACCAGGTCAAGGCCATTTCACTGTGCCATCTGTCGTACACGGCTGCTGGAGGAGACGCGGTTCTGCGACAGATCAAGGAGGCCGGAAAACTGGTTTACTCCTGGACCATCAACGAAGAGTACATCATGAACTGGGCCATTGCGGCTGACATTGACGGAGTCATCACCGATTACGTGTCCAAGTACGCCGAGGTCCAGGCCAAGCCCATCGAGACCTTCAACGTGGACAACCCCATGTCCTACTTCAGCTGGTCTGATTGGATTTCTGTCACTCCCAAGTATTTGGCTCTCAACGCCGCCTTCGCCGTCGACTGGAGACGAGAGAACGCCAAGATTATGAGCAACTTCAAGTCCTTGTAGGACACCTGACACATGATTACATCTAGAGTATGAGAAAGAGAGTATTTAAACAATAATATAGAGTGTTTGACATAACTATAGTCTCCTAACGATAGCAACACTTTCCAGAGTTGAACGTGCCGTTTTTATCTACTTGTATATATAGGCATCTGATAACTGAATATCTGAATACTTGGCCACTGTTGAAACATCTTTTGTCAACCACCATTGCCCTTTGGCCTGTTTTTTTGTTCAATTTTTTCCACAGTTTTTTTTTTATTCTAATGATTCACAGATTATGATTTTGGAATTTACAGAGTAGTGGCCAATTTTCTAAAAAGTCAAAAAATGAGGACGTGGCGTAATGGTAGCGCATTGGATTTCGGTTCTTCTGAACGACGTCCTCCAAAGGCTGCGGGTTCGAGTCCTGTCGTCCTCTCTTTTTTCAATATGAACGGGCGGATTACTTTTTGTTTCAAACCATGATATTGTTGTTTGGAGCGACTGGCCGATTGATTCACACTCTTTATCTTTCGAGGTCCGTCTCAAGATACATATGAACTTCAAGTATTATACAGTATGTACTTTTTCGATAATATGAAACAAGTGCATGGACGAAGTTCCACTGTCGGTTGCTCAGCGGATTATTTCCTTATACAAGTACTCTTACGCTACATTCAGTGCAGTTTGCTCTCTCTTTGAGGTATGCACTCTTTCGAGGTATGCACTCTTTGCCTACATGTACCCTTGTGGTTATTCTATCATATATCTACTGGCTGTATCGTCTCTACTTGCCTACAATTGGGCCTTGTTCTCAGCCAGCACGTTCTTGTGGACCACCGCGTCAATGAGGTTGAAGGCAATTGCCTCAGGAGGAGGCAGATACACCTCGTCTTGTCCTGCCGAAGAGCCCCGTCGCAGACCTCGAGACGTCTCGGCCTTCTTGAGCCAGCCCTTGGCGTCCTCGATGGAGAACCACTGGGCATCTGCGAGCTCGGGGTCCAGACCCAGGTTGATTTCTTCGGAAGTGGGGTCATCAGGATCGGCCTGAGCAATGCATCCGACCATAATGTTGCCGGGGAAGGGCCAGGGCTGGGTGCCATAGACAACCACCCGTTTGGCCTTGACTCCAGACTCCTCAAACACCTCTCTTCGCACAGCATCTTCCAGAGACTCGGCTGGCTCAATGAAGCCGGCCAGACACGAGTACATGCCCGGAGGGAACCGCTTGGACCGTCCCAGCAGGATTTTGTCTCCTTCCTTGTTAACCACCAGCATGATCACACAGCAGTCTGTTCGAGGGAATGACAGGTAGGTGATACGTCCCCGAGTAGGACAGTCCTTACATTCCACACCATTGTCCTTCTCGGGACACACAAGTTTGTTGCCACCGTTAATCACCATGGTCTTATGTCCACATCCTCCACAGAACTGGTTTCGCTCGATCCAGTCCAAGTAACATCGGGCCTGGGCAAACGCAGACGGGTCCACGGGTCCTCCCAGACGAGCCTGGATCTGTGGCGAGGTGTAGTCGGAGCCGGGATGCTTGTCCTTGAGCTCGTTTCCGACCTTTCGAACTCGCTCAGCCAGGTCGTCGTTTCGGATCTGTGTGACCGTAACATCGACAGCAAAGTACGCCACTCCGTGAAACCGGCCGTTGGTGGTCTCGGAAATTGCCGGATCGCCTCCCTCGGCCTCTTCTCGAATTCCCAGGAAGACCAGAGCCGCTCGTCCTCGTCCCACGGCGTCTCGTTCGGACGACCAGCCGGAAATGAAGTCAGCCTCGGATTTGGCAAAGGGTTCGCCAACAATGGTCTTGACGTCTTCATAGCCAACATAGACAACGTCGTGACTCTGCCGGCCCTCCCGCTTCTCCTTGGGAATCTTCATCAACAGGGGACACAGTCCGTCCAGAACAATGAACTTGGTGTAGCTCGAATGGAGCACCTTGTCCAGAAAGGCATAGTCCTCCCGCAGCCACGACAGCCGGTTAAGAGGGTTGCCGGAGTAGTACGAGTGCAGCTCGTCACCATATCGAGTATTGAGATTCTTGGGCATGTTGTCTGTTCAGTGAAGAGATGATGGTTTGTTCGATCCCGAGATATCTACTACTTGTAGTACTTGCGAACCTTGATGCACCCCTCATGCACCATCGGCAAAGACAGGTACAGCCGAAATGAAAGCAGTGCAAACTCGGCAAACTACGCGAGCCGGCGTCTAGAGACGAAAAAGGGACCATCCAGGAGAATAATCAATGTCAAATAATGCTCTCTAGCCTGGGAAACCTTCAGAAATATACCACATATAAGCCAGCATAATCCCACCGTCTGGCACAGGATGGATCCACATACACTCAACCCGCTTGCATGCATATTATCACCCAAAGTGGGGTAGCCGGAGCGCCAAATGTCACACCTGACCTGAGTCCGTTTGGATCACGTGAAAATGACAGAATAATTATTGGTAAATCTCGGTACTCGTGTGTTCTGTTCCATACATACCAACGCCTTCCACGCCAAAGTTATTTGAAACGTGTCGATTTCTCTTTTGTTGAAAAATCAACTTTCACAGTCCTCCCAATGAGCCGAGCCATATAGCCGAACACTTCACACACACCCCTTCATCCGAACATCAGCAATAAGTACAAGTTGGTACAACCGTAGTTGTAAGTACATACTATACTCGTAAAGGTACCGTGAGTACAACATTACCACCCGCGTCTTCGCTAAATATAATCACTTAATTACATAGCCGTCACCTTCTAACTCATGACACATTATTACTTACTAGATTTTGGTTCAGTCACACACTCATGCCAACTCCGCTAGATCCAGGGAGTAGCGCCATAGTCGTCGTGACCTTGTCCAGGAGGAGCCGATGCACCGGGCTGTCCAAACTGTCCCAGCGGTTGCTGTGGCTGCTGCTGTTGTTGCTGGGGAACGCCCTGCTGAGGCCCACCGGGAGCGGTGCCTGAGCCGGCAGCGCCGCTGTTACCCTGGCTGGTAGGGCTACCCTGGATGCGCTGCTGCTCCCGTCGTAGCCGTGTTCGCCAGTCGGACTGATCGGTATCTGCCTTCTTGTCGTCGTAGTAATCGAGCTGCTGGTTCTCAATGTCAAAAAGTCGCAAAGGGGGAGGAATGTCCCAGTCTCCAATTCGGGTCTTGAGATCTGGCCGCTGGGATGGAGTCTTGGCTCGCATGCCCTGCTGGGGAGGCACACCCTGGCCCTGGGCACCTGCTGCCAGAGCCTCGCCACCGGCTCGGGGAGCCTGCTGAGGTTGCAGACTCACCTGCGAGTTGGAGGCTCCCTGAGAAGCACCGGCGGCGGCAGGAGAAGCGGAGTCCCGCTGCTGCTGCTGCTGCTTGTTGGGGTCCTCGTCCTGACCCTGGCCGGCTGTGAGCTGCGACTGCTGGGCTCCCTCTCGGCCTCCCATGCTGTTGATGACCTTTCTGTATCGGAACACGGTCCAGTCGAACACGTAGTCGTATCGGTAGTTGGATCGGATGAAGAAGTCCTTCATGAGGCGACGCAGATAAATGTAGTCTGGTCGGTCCTCGAATCGCAACGATCGCGAGTATGACAAGAAAATGGCAAACTCGTTGGGCAGGCCCTTGGTGAGCGTGTCTGTGCTGGTGGTCATCTTCTTCTCCATGATCCGGTCGTACTTCTGCTTCTTGGTTACTGCCTTGAGACCCTGCCACGGGAGCTGGCCACGCATAAAGTAGATGAGCACGTATGCCAACGACTCGAGGTCATCTCGACGCGACTGCTCCACGCCCAGATGCGTGTTGATGCTGGCATAACGCGCCGTGCCCGTCAGGTTCTTGTTCTCACGGTAGGGAATATGCAAATGGGTTCGGGGGTCTCGGAATCGCTTAGCCAGGCCAAAATCTATAATGTTGACCTGGTTGCCTCGGCGGCCGATGCCCATGAGGAAGTTATCGGGCTTGACGTCTCGGTGGATGAACGACTTGGCATGCAGATATTCGAGTCGGGTGATGAGCTGGTCGGCGAGAAGAACCACCGTCTTGTACGAGAATCGTCGCTCGCAAAAGTTGAACAGGTCCTCGAGCGAGGGGCCCAGCAGATCCATCACCAACGCATTGTACTCATTCTGTGAGCCAAACCATCGGATGAAGGGGATGCCGGTGCCGCCGGCCAGAGTCTTGTACACCCGCGCCTCGTACTCTAATTGTGGGTGTTTAGAGAAGATGTTTTCCAGCTTGATGGCCACCTCTTCGCCTGAAATGATGTTGACGCCCAAGTAAATGTCGCCGAACGATCCGCTTCCGATTTTTCGCCGGATCTGGAATTTGTTTGCAATTCTCACGTCGCTGGGTTAGTATGTGTGTGATTAGTTGATGTGTGGGATGGGCGATCGTGCGAGCAATAGTGCGAGCAATTTGATGCAGCAGCAAAGCGTGGGGGGGATGCATCGGGTGGTTCCACGGCTGCTCCGCGGAGGAAAGTGCAACGCCAGACCATTCGTTGCCGGTGACATCTATAATATCACATCGCACATGATGCAGTCACATAAGTCAAGTGTCATGAGATGGTGGGTGTGGACAGCCACGACGATAGCAGCGGCGAGAGACTGACACCTCAACAGCGTAGCATGTCATCGTCAGCATGTCATCACCATCACCATCATCATCACATCAACTGCCACCCTTGTCACCCATCACCATCCATCTCCTTTTGTCATTCATCACCCTCCTCATCTCATACCGCATCACGACAGCTGCCCTGTCGCGGCAGACAATACTCACTGTAGAAGCGACGGAACCGAGTTGCTAGAAGACATGGTCGACGGTCGGGGGAATGTCTTGGTCCGTGAGGGGCGATTTGGAGCTTGTGCTTGTGTCGAAACAAGTTGTTGATTTTGGAATGTGGGTGCGGATGTTTGTGGTCGCTAGAAAGTAGAGTCTGGTAGATTTTGTTTATTGAAGCGTGTCCAGAGAAAACAAGAAATAAAGTACTCTAATCAGGTGACGTGGGCGCCGGAGTAAGTGTCGCTTGTTGGGCCGGCCAAACTTTGGTTAGTGGAGATTGGTGCCGCTCGCTCTCGGGGTGTTATGTCCGGGGTCGAGAGGGTGGTTGTATGTGGTAGGGGCTACGTTTCTCAACGACGATGGGTGGTGGGAGAGGGGGAAAAATCAGGTTGGGAAGGGTTAGGGTACAAGAGCAAAAAAGGCAAAACCCGCCGACTACTGCCTGGAATGTGTATTGGGCAGTTTGATGACTGTTCAGAGGTTATCTGGGAGGCGCCGGGTCCCTATTTGTGTCTGTTGGCCGTGGTTGCCATCTGGGCATTTTCATTGGGGCAAAAAAACCGATTTTTCCCCTCCAAAAGCCGCTCCCACAAACCCCCCTTAACTCTTGTCACGCTCTCTCCACGCACACTCACCTTACAGTGCACTCTCTCTACACTGCATATTGGTGCCAGTATCACTGGTACATTCACTCGTATGTACTGTAGCTATAGTATAGTGCTTGCAAGGAATACAGTCCCCCTAGAATAACCTTGGTAGCTTACAAACAGAACATACAAGTGACAAAGATGATATATATTAAGACACCGAAGACGGAGGGGGCCGCCCCAGGTATAATGCTTAGTAATCCCCGCCTGAATCAATCTCCCCCCCCCCCCCTCCTGTCTCACTGCGTACGCACACAAATCTATATCTTGCAGCAGCCGACACGGACATGCGGCGACACGACCGTCAAAATGCACAAGAACTGCCCAAATCAAATGTAACATTGTTCGGGAGGGTAATGACGGGAGCCAAGCTTGTTTTGCGGTGTCTCCAGTACATACGATACATATATGAGTATCCATATGGCTACAGTCCTGGCCCATGGACTGATGATGGACAGTCGCCCTAGTGCCAATATTTATTAATTACTCGCACAAGTACAAGTACAAGTACATTAACTGGTAGCTACTAGGCTGTAACTACTGTTCTGTATCCCTTCGCTGTTAGTCCCTATTAATAAAATGCTTTCTCAAACGGGAAATTACACTAATTATTCACCTGCTGTACAACACTATATATTATCCAGACGAATAAAATAAAACAGTCAAATACCACCAGTCAAATACCAACAGTCGCTGAAATTAAAAACGCTGAAATATATCTACCCATACACGCCTGATCCAATCCACATGATCATCCTCCCCTCATGCTCACAACATGCTCTCAGCTCTTAGATCGTCTCAGATCATGTCAGATCATACGTGTTAACTAATTATTGGACGGCACCATGGACTTTTAACCTGCCATTACACTTGACACCCCCAAGTGCCTTACACTAACTACAGTATCATGTTTAATCACCCTCGAGATATTATACCGTCTTTCAAGAGACCCCACCAGCTGGGCACCGGAAAAAAACGGAACAAGCAAACGTGGACATGAACACGACATCTGTATTCCAACCACCGGTGGGAGACACGACCATCACCAGCTACTGGTAGAGCAAAAAACGAGCTGCGAAAAATCTAATTCTCGTGACTCGCCAAATTCAAAAAGGACCTCCTTATCTCTCACACACACGCGAGGGCCTGCATACCAGAAGTTAATCAACACAGTGACACGCTTGTGCCGCTCGTTAGACAATTATTATTACAGTGAGTACAAGTACAGTTGTGCAGGTATGTGTACACAATGTGCAATGTGCTCATTCACAACACATCTCTCGCAAAATCTATATTTAGATCGATATGCTGCACGTAATTAACACAATGCGAAAATTAAGCCACACTAACACCATGACCATGACAGCCACTGTCCACTTTGTGCTACAGTATTTAGCATTATTTACTTGTACTCGTAGCGTACTTGTTACAAATAACCCCTATGAGACATGTATTATTAATGTGCGTGATGTTACAATGAAGTGACCGGACCACACTCACCTGCCAAAATTAACCATGACGAAAACAGATGAGCGGGCAAAAGATAAAACCCAAAACCAGATATGTCAGAAACGAGACAGACAAGCTTAGGCGGTGACGTTCTTGACGAACTTCTTGAAGGACATGGACAGTCGCTTGAGGGCGTTGGGCTTCTTGGCCTTGACGTCCTCGGCAACCTCGTCAGCCTTGTCGGCAGCCTTAGCCTCAGCGTCCTTGGCCTCGGTCTGAGCCTCCTCAGCAGCGTCGGTGGCCTTGGCCTCAACGTCCTTAGCCTCCTCCTTGGCGGCATCGGTGGCCTCAGTGGCCTCCTTGGAAACAGAGCCGGTAATCTCGTTGATCTTGTTCTCGGCCTGGGTCACGGCGTCCTTGGCGTCGGCGGCGGCGTCCTTGGCAATCTCCTGGACCTCGCCCTGAGCCTCCTTGGCGGCGTCAGTGATCTTAGACACGTCGGGAAGGTTGGAGGTGAAGTTGGAAGTGGTGTTCTGGGTTAGTAATCATTCGTATTTGGCGCGAGTCCTGGGATGCTCTCCCAGAAAACGGCAGAAAAAGGCCTCACTAGGACCCTTGCGCACGGAGCTTCCACGCGTTTCCAGACAGATGGAGCTCTGTCTGGTGCGCATCTAAAAATAGACCCACAGTAGTGCGCTCACCTCCTCAACTCTAAATCATCGTCGGTCGTCAGCGCGTGCAGTTTCCATCTGCATGCTGGGCCGGGCCCCTATTTCCTATTTTCCACACTGGTTTCGCATGTCAAAGCCGCATGCAGCCGGCATTTTTGCCTTTGCCCTGTGATCGCCGTTTTTCTTCATTTTTGGGTAAATTAGCTCAACGCTCTTGTCCCAATGCTGCATAAAGGTCATGCGATGTCAGAACAAAGGTTGGTGCTAGTCATGTGGTGGCAAAAACGGCTGTTGGTGCCACGGGTGGCTCCCAGGGGTGGAGGGAGAGGATGAAAGAGGTAATGCAAGGGCATAACACTGCAGCTGAGGGAAAATATCACATGGACCAGGGCACACACACAACGGATAGGCTCGACCGGCAGGCTGCGGCTGACTCATGCACGTAATGCAATTGCACCCAAGGTTGGGAGTGTAACTGTACATCACTTTTGGGCGCGTGTGAGGCTGAGAGCAGCCGCGTGCATGGGCTGAGTCGTTCCGATTCCCGCGGGCGTGGGTCCATGGCGATAATATCATGAGGCAATCTCAGGCGGTTTGTGACGAGGAGAAACACATGTTTGGGGCTTGTGCGGGAACCCGGACAGTCGGTGGCGTGCATGTGTATCGGGGGCTAAAAGTCTGGGCAAGCGTTTGTGACACAGTTGACAGGCGCATTACTGAGAAGCGGTTGGTTCTGAGGGGGACTCCAGGAGCTGAATTCACAGCCGGAGGCTGTCTCAGAAGGCCGCAGACTCGGCAAACGGTCCTTCAACTGGACACAAAGTCGCCAGGGGCGTTGTCGGGGCCGGAGCTCTGTACACTGTGGTGGGGGAAGTCGTCGTTAAGCAACTCGGGAGATACTCACCTCGGTGGTTTCGGTGGCGGACATTGTTGTTGTAGTGATGCTTAGTTTAGAGCCAGGGCAATAAATATGGGGAGGGTGGAGATGGAGGTGCTACAGTATTTATATTAAAGCGGTTTGGGCGAGCCGGAGGCTCTGGCTTTGTGGTATAAGGGACCTAAAAGACGTATAAGCTAAATCGAAAAGGGTAATAGGGCGAATAGAGGAGTTTGACTTTTGAGATTGGGTACAGTACGAAAAGAGGACAAAGGCGCTGGAGAGGAACCCACTCTACGAGGTGAGGCAGAGTGGCAGAGAGGTGCAGGAGGGCTTGTCGGTAGAGTTTGCCTTCAAATTTAGCTCCCCTTTTTCTGCCAGAGTCATGTGAGACTGAGAGGGAGAGAGAGGGAGAGAGAGGGAGAGAGGAGAGAGAAGGAGAAAAAGAGAGTGTGTCAGGGAGTTGAGGGTGATAAGATAGCCTGAGTGGGGGTTTGATGAGATGAAGGGTGGATCTTTGACACGAGACCTGGAGTGGAAATGACCATGTATCAGCCACGAGACCTGTCCTCCTATCCAACAATTGTTTGGTCCACATGGTCCGCTTGAGGCTCTCCTCTCGTCTCTCGTCTTACAGTACAGTTGGTACAATTGTAGCTACCCGGTACTCTCACCGTTCGCGTTGGTACCTCCGTCCCCCTTAGCACTACAAACAAATGCGGCGGCCCCAGCCATTAGCCTCGTTTTGCAGGGCGCATATGTGCGGTATGTACAACGAGCATCTTGAGAGTGAACAGAGCAGAAGTTGAAGGAAGGAATGGAGGAATGGTGCAGAGGTGATTGGTGCTGGACGCGTTAACGTGCTGCCGTAGAGATGGATGGGTGGATGGTGGGTGCAGGTAGCGAGTAAGTCTGGCAGCAGACTCCGTGTCTGACTCTTGATTCTCTCTATCTCCAGCGGGCCTCCCCTGTATCGTATCGTACTGTTCCTATCTTGTCTACGGCTTGAGTGTGGACCGAGTCTGGTGACCAAGATGTGACATCGACACAGGACAAGGTGCTTAATTTTTTTTTGGACCGGGAAACGAAAAAATAAACACGGCGAGAATGACCTGCGGTTTGAGGGCCCCATCGCAGCCCCTGACAGAGCCCAAACATCCAGCCAGGCTGTCGGAGAGTGACAGTCCTCCTGTGGCTATTATCCGCGAAGTTACAGTCGTCCGCGATACAGCGTCTATCTGGTATTATGACTGTGGTAGTTGTGTGATGCGACACTTACTGTAATTGCAGTAAAAGTACGATACAAGTACGTACGATACAACTATAGGTACGTACGATATAACTACAGGTACGTACGATACAACTACAACTACAACTACAACTGCACATCGTCTTTCCCGACACTGGGAAACCTCGCGAGCCACAGACAAACTCCACTCACCTCGGCAAACAACGCAAGCGCCTCAAAATCACATCCGGTATCTCAGCTCCTTGTTGCGTCGTCTTGGTCTTTTTCACGCCGCACTCCTGTCCTGTTGCCAAGGGGTATGTACGTACGATACGATATGTAGCTGTAGCTACGATGACGATACCCTGACGCGAGCGTGTTGCCGTCGGTACATCGGTGACATCGGTGACGTCTGTAACATGGGCGACACGAACAGCCTATGCACAATACAGCTCTTTCCGGGCTCTCCCTGACTCTCCCTGTTTGGTGTGCTATGGACAGATGTACCTGGGCTGGACCCGTGAGACCACGCTAATAGGAGAAGCTTGATAATAAAATTATAGCACAATGTATGTACAGTATTTGGACTATAAATTATAGCTTGTAAAGCGGCATGCAAGTTAGCCCCATATTTAGACGGCCGCCCTCGCCGAGTCTAGTAAACAGAAAACACCATAGCCCTGACGGTCGGTTGGTGGGTCTCTGCTGCCAGGTTTGTGTTCAGTACTGGTAGCGTCACAGCTAAAAATAGCCCAAAAACGCCCATTGTCACGTCTGGGCGCACATTAATGCATACACTGGGTCTTGTTTGCGCTCTACTACAAGTAGTAATCTGCAACTTGCTGTATATCCTGTATACCTTACAAGTACCATTATCGAACTGCCAATTGTTGGCTATTGAAGTTCAAGGCACAGATCCTACAGATCCTACTATATAGATCTCACGGTTAGCATGGGAATGGTACAAGACTTATACCTTTACTCTATACCCACACATACAGACATTCTCGTTAAGCCATCCAATTTGACAAGCTCGTATTCAAACTGTGCTTTCTGCGAGCAGACACACTATCTACAGTGAGAAGTAAGAACTGAAAGTCTCATCTTGAAACATGACGTGATTGGTCATGACTGATAGGATGACATCAGAGTCGTACAGGCATGCGGTTGTGTGTGTGGTAGGCACTCGTGCTGGTGCTTGCATATATTTGTCTTGACACCACTGTGAGATCAGTTCTTTAGGATCTGTTTCCTACAGTAGGAGTATGGAACGATATGTACTATAATATCGTATGTACTGTAGGTATGTACTATATATAATATGTACATTCGTAGCCATTATACCATGCCAGTTACAAGAGAACGGCTGTGGATGAACAGGAATTGACACTTGAATGTCCTAAAAATGATACCAACTAACCCATGACTTCCTGTTTAGTCAAACCAGTCCATCCCTAACTCTTCTTATGGCAAGAAGACATGGATACGAGGAAATGAAGGTGCATTATATATAGTAGCTACAGTATGTACAAGTACGCACTGTACTGGTTCGTACCCGTGGATATGAAGTCTGCTTCTCCTACTGATAGCCATATCACACTCATCATCTGAACCTGCGTTGATGAGGGTGGTGGTTATATAATATCTCGTCAACCTGTCACGTGATAATAAAACAAGACGTGATAACAAAACAACACAGCCTTCAGTTTTTCACATCATTCACTCTGATTGCACTGTTTTACATATGGTCACGTTACACTCTAGGTTTTGATTATGCACGCCGCCACTATCTTGTGCCAGTCATCACTACATATTTCTACTGCAACCAACCCAACATGACGGACAAGAGCACGTTTCTCTCGGTGCTGTTCGGCGGAGGATCCGTGTACCAGGATCTGGACGGCGACGGCGAGGTCGAGGACGCCGAGATTCTGAGACGCGTCGAGGAGGAACACGCCCAAACCAGCGACAACAGCAACAGCGACAATGATAGCGGAAACGACAGCGACGTTCCGACTTCTCTGATGGTCGAAGGGGTCCAGGACCCAAAACCAGGCTCAAAAAGACGTCAGCCACATAGGATGGCCACACTATCTAATTTGCAAAGTTCTGCAGGACCAGGAGCAAGATCGGTGAGTTTCGCCCAAGGAACGAAAACACAGACGCCGATCCGTCTGACAAAGCCAACAGGCGTAGCAAACGGCGGACTACCTCGTCACAAACAGGATCTGGGCGCCTCTATTCGGACCATGGTGGACCCCAAGGAGTTAGCTCTATGGAAGTGGGCCAATGTCCAGAACCTCGACAACTTCTTTGCAGAAGCATACATGTACTACACAGGCAAGGGACTGGTGTCCATCATCTTGTCTCGCGTTCTCAACATGTCCACCATTATGTTTGTGGTTGTTTTCAGCACCTATTTAGGCAGTTGTATTGATTACTCCAAGATCAAGGGCTCTCGCACGCTGGACGAGGTGCACGTGAAACAGTGCTACGCCAAACTCGGCTCTTTCCACGTGTTTGTGCTCTGGACTTTTTTTGTGCTGTGGTTCATGAAACTGTTCCAGTACGTCAAAGACATTCGACGGCTGGTAGACATGAAGTCGTTCTACCAGGAGCTGCTTGAAATCGACGAGAACGAACTACAGACCATTTCTTGGCCTCAGGTGGCAAAACGCATGGCAACATTGTCTGAAGCAAATGCTGCAACCCAAGTGGGCAACAGTACGAAGCAGAGAATCGAGCCTCATGATATCGCCAACCGAGTCATGCGAAAAGAAAATTATCTTGTGGCAATGTTCCATAAGCGGGTGCTCAACATGACTGTCCCGCTTCCACAGCCCCTGCAGCGCATCTTTGGACGGCCTCAGCTGCTCAGTCGAGCTCTGGAGTGGAATCTCAGTCTGTGCATTCTGGACTATGTATTCAACCCGGCCGGACAGGTTAGACCCATGTTTCTCAAGTCGACACACAAACAGATCCTGTCCACAGGTCTACGACGTCGGTTTGTATTTGCAGCTATCATGAACGTTGTCTTTGCACCCTTCATTATTCTCTATCTTGCGCTGCTGTATTTCTTCCGATACTTCAACGAGTACCACAAGAACCCAGCATCGATAGGAACTCGAAGATACAATCCCCTGGCCGAATGGAAACTCAGAGAATACAATGAACTGCCCCATCAGTTTGAGAGACGCCTGACTCTGTCGTACATTCCTGCCTCCAAGTATCTGGATCAATTTCCCAAAGAGAAGACTGCACTAGTCAGCAAATTCGTGTCTTTCATTGCGGGCTCTTTTGCGGCGGTACTCGGTATTGCATCTCTCATTGACCCTGAGCTGTTTCTCATGTTTGAGATCTCCGCTAACCGCACGGTGCTGTTCTACATTGGAGTGTTTGGATCGATTCTGGCTGTTTCTCGGTCGCTGATTCCTGAAGAGACGCTTGTTTTCGACCCAGAAATCTCCCTAAGATATGTGGCTGAATTCACACATTATCTGCCGCCGGAGTGGGAAGGGAAACTCCACACAGAACAGGTCAAAAATGAGTTTTCGCTCATGTACGAGATGCGACTCATTATCTTGCTCAAGGAGCTAGCCAGCATTTTCCTAGCCCCCTTCATTCTCTATTACTCGCTCACCCAGTCCTGTGACGATATTGTGGACTTTATCAGAGACCATTCTGTGCATGTGGATGGCCTGGGCTATGTGTGCACTTTTGCCATGTTTGATTTTAAGCAAAAGTCGCCCGACCACCAGCCTGACGAGGACCAGAAAATGCTCAAGTCGTATTTATACTTTATGGACCACTATGGAGACAAGCCGACCAACGTGTCTCAGACCCAGCAAAATGTGCCCATGTACTCGTCTGTGCGTCTCAAGAATGACGGGCTGGATCTTAACAACTCCATTATGCAAAAGTTCCAGAAACACAACGGTCACCATGCGCTTTCTGGTCTAACTCAGCGGGATGTGGGGCTTTCTCCTGCTGCTCCCACGGCTACTACTGCCACATCAGGAACAGCCACCGGAGCCGCTCCTCGAAGAGATCTTATCAACTTCGATGTCGACGAGTCGTTCATAGATCAGACGACTTCAAACAGAGACATGGACAATGACGAGCAGCCCAAGGACAAGGAACGAGTGGTGGACATGCTCAACCAGTTTTACAAGAAGACCGACAACATGAACCTGGGCGCCTGACTTAATGCATTTATTTATTGACTTGTGTGAGATGAATGGACTGTAGGCAAATCGAAGTAGATCTATTGTAGATGAACATCTTCATCAAACAGTTCCTGGACGCTGCGCCAGAGACGAATAATACACCGACTATGTATATCAATAGTAAATGATGTGAGCAAATGAAACCGTTATTTCAAGTGTCTAGTATCTATGTAAGTACTCTACTCGTCTTACATCTACGAATACAACCAGCAACCACGAGCGAAGCGAGTGGTTACTTGCAACAATAAACAATTCTCTATATATCTCCGCTCTGCATCTATCGCTTTCGCTTTCTGCTGGCCCGTTCTCTCTCGTAGGCGTTCTTTTCGGCTCCCTCCTCGGTCTGCACAGATCGCACCAGTCGAGCCATCTTTTCGTGGTAGGCGTCGTCCTTCTCTCGTCGTTCTCGGATCTTTTCTCGGGCCTCGAAGGCGGCGTCCTTTCGGATCTCCCGCAGCGCGCTCTTCTTCTCCTTCTTGAGCTCGGCTCGAAGTTTCTGGGTCTCCTGTAGCGCCATATCCGGGTTGTACGACTTTTTGTCCACGTTGAAGTTTTCCTCGAACTTGGGGGCCATGGTCTTGATGGCCAGGGGTCGGTGCTTGTGTAGAGTGAGAGGCTTTCGGTCAGCCAACTTGAACTTGGTGATTCGGCTATACTTGTCTGCAAGCTCGGGAATGTTCTCGCAGAACTCGAAAGTCTCAGGGAAGGCTGAAATGTCCTTGTATGTGTCCATGAGCTTGGAGACGGAAAACACGGCCTGGTTATGGAGCTCCTGAGATAGCGTGGCCACCTCCTTCTTGCTCAGAATGGATCGGTTGGCTGATCTCATTGAGATGGTCTTATCGGTAGACTTGTGGGAAGCCTTACCAGGAGTGAAACCCTTGATAGGAGCAATCTTGAAAAGAGAAGCCATGGGAAGAGAAGTCTCAGTGCCTTCCAGAGCAGCAATCAGACGGCCCAGGAAGACGGCAATCTCGGGAATGAACCGCTTGGCAATTCGCTGGTACTGGATCAACAGCTGGGCGGTGTACAGCCCGGCAATGCACTTGGGAATGGAGTCAAAGGTGGACAGAGACAGGAAACGGGTCATAACGAGCACCGCAGGCGTCACAACCAGGTGGAAATGATCGGACGTGGAGAAAATCATGCCAATCAAAGTCCACAGCATGAGATGACCGGCCGTAACTGTAGTGTCGGCCTGATGAGCCTCCAACTTCTTTCTGATGTGAGCAGCCATAGTAGGACTGTGAGTTTCCGCCAAAGTGTGCACTTTAGCGACGACTTCAGACAAACACTCAAAGTCGTCCTCCTCCTCTTCGTCGGCGAGGTACATGAGATGGTCGATGAGCACGCATGCAAACTTGGCTAGACGCTCTTTGTTGCCCTCCTTGAGCGAGGCGTGATGCAAAACGTTGATCCGGTCGATGATGGTGGGCAGCTGGTCCAGAGGGTAGGCCGATGTGGTCTCCAAGAACATCTTGTGTGATTTGGGGATGGGAAATGTGTATGCTAGAGTGGAGGAGGAAGACTTTGAGGCTGGCTCGGACTTTGTAGTCTCCTCCTCGCCAGATTCATCACCAGATTTATCGCCAGACTCATCTTCGTCTTCATCTACTTCATGAATCTCAACATCTTCATCATCATCATCTTCGGCCTCGTCTTCATCATCCTCACCCTCCTCCTCGGAATTCTCAAAGTCAAACGCCACATTGCCGTCCAGATCATCGCCTTCGCCCTGGTCAATGGCAACCTCGCCTCGCATTCGGGCCTGTCGCTCATCCTCCAGCTTCTTGAGCTTTTCAGCCTCCTCTTTGGCCAGCTCCTCGTCAGTCTTAGTTCTGTCCTGAGGCTTGGCTCGACGGTCCAGAATCATGTTTCGGAAGTTCTGGTCGTACTCCTTCTCCTTCTGGTCCAGAGCTGTCACCACCTTCTTGGCCTTGATAGATCCCAGCTCCCGGATCAGAGCATTCATGGTGTCCTCGTCGTTCATTTCCTCGATAATCGCCTGGTCCTTGTCACGAGCTGCCTGTCGCTCGGCCTTGTGGAACTTGGACTTGGCAATGATCTCCTTCATGACCTCCTCCTTGCTCTTCTTTCGGCCAGTGCCCGCCTCCTCCATATCAACTCCGTCCATCTCCTCCAGATTGACTCCCATAGCACCCATACCCCGCTCCTCTGCTAGCTTGCGTCGGTTGGCAAGAATGGCTGCCATCTCCTCGTCCTCCTCGGCCTCAATACCCAGATCGCCCTGATCAAAATCGTCCTTGAAATCAAGAGCCTGACCAGAGTGAGTCAGCATCATATCAGCGTCGGCGTCGTCATCGTCATCGTCAAGAGCGAAAATCGACTTGTTTCGACCACCACCCATCGACCGAAGCTGTCGCTCCCGCGTAAACCGCTCCAGCATTTTCTCCTCGGGATTCATGTTGGAGTCACCCTCTCCAAACCGCCGGTCAAACACTCCTCCAACCCGTCCCTTGTTTTGCAACTCCAGCTTTCGAGCCTCCATACGGGCTTCCTCGCCACTGAGCTTGGACAGTCCAGGTCGTCCCACACTGCCCCGTACGGTTCGGCCTCCAATATCATGCTTCTTCCTGGCCACCTTGACATCGAAAGGGTTGAACTGCTGCCGGATGTCAGACAGCACCTTGTCTCTGTCCTGGCGGTTTTTGCCGCTGTTCATCTTCTTTTTATTGCCCTTGACATTAGTCTGGCCCGTCAGATCGTTCTTCTTGAGCGTCTCCTTGAGCCGCTTGAGCTGACTCGTTTTGGCCATCGTTCACGGTGTTGTGGATTGTGGGTTGAAATCTGAGATGCTGACTTTGAAAATATCTTGAATAAGCTCGGGAAATATTTTAACCTTGCAGCTCATAACCTGTCTGAAAAATTTCGTGGAAAACATTTATCTGGACAATTTGGCCAGCTGAACACAACGGAGACTCCCCCCTTTGCCTACCACAGCTGTATCCTCCGCAAAACTCCACCCCAAGTCTCCCGGAATAAACTTCACGGGTTGGGGTAGCTAGCTACTCTAAAAAAGGTGAATGCTTGTTCCCCTCAAAATCCCAAAACCTGAAGGGAAGAGACAGGACAGACGCCCCAGACAAGTAAATGTGTGGGTAAATAGCACCAAAAAAGGCCACCCGCCAACACGGGACCATCCCAATGGCCGGGGGTCGCCCGCAAAAATGCGGTCACGTGACCGCAGCGGCCTCCTCGTTGCACCTGCTCTTGAGTGGTTACCCTCGGTTCGTCCCAACTGGGTAGGGCTTGATGCCGAACTGTATATCTGAGCACGCGGATGACAAAAAACTTGCACTGGATATACACTGTCGCTTTTGCTAGAACCAAAAACACCACACAAAATGCCTGTTGATCCCGCTAAGCTCGCAGCTCTCCAGAAGAAGTCCGGTGCCCAGTCCGGTGAGTATCTCTGAATTGGCGGCGTTGGATTTGTCCGAAACCGCTGCGTGGAAAAATGGACGGAAAAAATGGATACAAACGAGATCGAACTCATAAACGATCACATGGAAGGATGCGGGGTGGCCTTGATCGAGTTGGGATGACAATGATTGATCATCCTGTGAGCCATTCGCCCGTCAATACCCGTGTCCGGGTACGATCGCAACGTTTCTCAACGTACACGTACTAACCCAGGTGGAAAGGGTACTCCCCGACGACCCGGCAAGAAGGTTGCTGGCCGAAACATCTCTGAGGACGAGAAGAAGCTGTCCGCCACCCTCAAGAAGTTCAACGCCCAGGAGATCACCGGTATCTCTGAGGTCAACATGTTCAAGGAGGACGGCACCGTGCTGCACTTCCCCAAGGTCCACGTTGAGGGCTCCGTCGCCTCCAACACCTTTGCTATCTCTGGTCCTTCCCAGCAGAAGGACATTGCTGAGCTGATCCCTGATATCCTCCCCCAGATGGGCCAGGATGCTCTTCTGCAGCTGCAGCAGGCCGCCGTTCAGTTCTCCAAGCTCCAGGAGCAGGCAAAGAAGACTGCCGGCGGCCCTGACGCCGCCAAGGAGGCCGGTGACGACGAGATCCCCAACCTCGTTGAGAACTTTGAGGACAACGTCGAATAGATGTATTGACATGCATTTAATAAAATAGCCCTAGGGCATGTTGTATAAGCTGTGGCTTAGGAGTACCTCTAGTACAAGTAGTTTTTGGTACGAGTACTGTGTGTAACGTGGCAAGTATTATAGATGAGTAGGGTAAGGGTTTGAATATATATGGTGGACTCATTTCGACCTTTCTACAAGTGATTGTACAAGTACTGTACCCAGATTTGTCTGCTCAGAACGACTGCGGGACTTCTATGTTGGCATATGTATCTTTGTTAGGTGGCGCAATTGTACATGTACAAGTACTTGTATGGGACGGGCTACTTGTAGTGGGGTGTGATTGCTGACATAATCATGGGATAATTTGAGACCGCGTGAAATAATAACACTGTGTCTATATGGTTGTTGTTCTATGTTATACTGTCTTTCATTGTGGAGGTTTGTGTAGCTTTTTTTTTAAAAAATTATTATTTTATATATATATATATATATATATAGTTTTATATACATATATTTTTTATATACTGAATGTGCAGAGGGATAGTTGAGATTAGTTGAGAGTTGGATGAAGTACTTGAAGATGGACAGTTGTCAAAATACAAGTATCGGTGTCTGTACAAGAAGATGATGAAGAGCCAGGATGACCAATCTGGTGAAAGTAGCATATTATCAATACTACGAGCCTTGTAAGACTCTCTGAGCCGAAATCGGCGACTTTGAATGAGGTAGAGTGCATTATTGGAACTGCAGCGTACTAACAGTCTTTAGTTGAATGTTCCTAACTAATGTCAAGTAAACAGTTCCTGTAACACGATATGACAAGGTCCCTTCAATTCACTCAAAAACGCCATTTGAACAGAAACTGAAGCAGACATGTGTGGATTTGGTCGATAAAGCATTAATCACTCGATTCTCCATCCCTTCTAATACACACTACCACGTACATTGTTGACTTTACACTTGTCATCTCGTACTCTAGGCATGGAACGCAGGAGAGAGCTTTTCGTGCATGGTCAGCTGGCTTCTATTTCGGGCAGCCGTTGCTTTTCGCAGCCGTTACTTTTCTAGACTTGCTCAAATGCTTCTTTTTTCTCAGACGCTTGCTTATTTTCTTTTCCTATCGCCAGAAGGTACCCGTAGCGAGGTGTTGTAAGACGGTCGAAACGCGAGCTGTCAGGGGCAATGATCGTACCAAGGCTGTTCGAGGCCGAAAAAATCAACAAAAACTACTAAACAACAAACTATGACGTTCTATGGAGACTCTGTCCATCTCATATCTCATATCTCATCATCTCACCATCTCACCCATCTCATCCTACTCTGCACATTCTACACAAGGTTGCTGTGAAGGACTCGGGGTTACGAGACTCCGAAGCTGAAACACACCAAAGAACAAACTCCACCGTGGCTATGTGCTCACAAGGTCTGGATCTGGAGTGTCTCAGATGCATCAAGTATCTACGTGAGTTATCTGTATCCGTGGCAAGTGACGCAGGCTTGCTACTGTCTATGGAATGGGAGGTATCGTCAAGATCAAACATGTCCCATACGAGGCACAGTATGATTACTGGTACTTGATCATTCGAATGAGCCCATCTTTTACTACACCTACGAGCCCAAAACGTGCCCAAAACGTGCCACACGTACACGCTCGTACCCATTCTTGGCTCTTACACACAGACTCCACCCGTTGTGTCGATCCTCAACACGAAACCCTGTGCATTACCCGGCTGTAAGGAAATACCCACAAACCTGGGTCTATCCGGTGACAGTTCAGAGGGGCACAAGAAATAATTGTCATATGGGACCCCGAGAGCGGTTGTGTGAACTGAAAGTGAGCTACGGGTGAATCCAGGCCAGATGGAGACCACGAGAGCCAAACGACCCGGTTGCAAACCGTCCCCCGAGCGACCTCGTCATTGTCAGTCCGTCCGAACGGCTGACCCTGAGGCGCAGTTTCTAACAATGGTATTATTGATATCCCTCACTCGATCAACTCAATGCCAGGGAGCAGACTCTCCTTTAGGTTCTGATCAAAGGGGGGGCTGGGGGCAGGAAATGAGCTTGTGGACATCGGAACCACCCTGAAAAGCCAACCGACTTGTCAATTGGTCTCTCTGAGGTATTAAACGTGTCGTATCTACCCCGACCGCTTCCTATTATGGCCCATTCCACCCCTCCCCAGCCGCACTCCAATAAAAGCAAAGTTTCATTTCATATCATCCACCGGGCATTTCAGACGTGCCATTTGAGTCATTTTTTCTTGGCAGAAAAAGACACACGGGCCAAACAGCTCTGCTCTGAGACAAAGCAAGGGCCCACGAGTACATCGGGGAGTATTTGTGTCGGAGACGTGAAACGCTACAAGTTGTAAAAACGCACAAGGTACTATGCTGGAGCTACTGTAGATGCCGACTTGGTCTAGCGTGAAGTTAGCCAAAGTCTATCGCTATCGAGGTTGCAGGGATGGTCAAGGGCTACGACCTCAACAGGGCCAAAGAGCCCGTTTCCGGCCCAAAAGGTGGTCAATTGGAAAGCTCCCATCTCCAGCAACAAAACGCACTTTTCAGAACTTCGCAGAAACTCTTACTTCGCCCGGGCGATATGCCTCAGTGGGGGCCACAGGGCGACGTGTCTCTCAGCAGGCGTCAAAGTTGCAGGTTGGTAGCAAGGACCGAACGAGCCGGTAAATGGCCAAAAAAGACCCGCAATTGCGGCCCTGTGTCGACCAATCAACTCCCCATCACAAATTGTTTCGTTCCTTCCCATCCACACTTGTCCCGCGCTCTACTCCCCCCCTCAATTGACTCCCGACCCTCCGCCCTTCCGCCCCTCCTCCTCCCCACCTAACCTCAAAGTTATTTATCATACACGTGCCCGTATAAGCAGAGGCATAGAGTTGAGGGAATAGACGTGTCCGGAGGAATGGGCCTGTCTGCGCGCCGAGGACCCAGAGCCCACTTTTCCGTCGCTCAACACCATCTCCACCAGCTCTGTTGTTGATGCACGAGTGCCGCCTTAGGCCCCTCCCTCATGCGTGGATTGCTGCGTGGCTGCATGCGCCGCTCGATCGGAGATTCCGGAGATAATTCTTCGCCGGCCTCCTCCTCCAGCTGCCAGCCCAGGCGGACCTTGTGGTTAACCCAATCGCCCCCAAGCTCGTCTATACGCCAGACGGAGACTGCAGCACGGTCCTGGAGGGCCTGCACACATTTTTGGTCAACGGCGCATTAGGTTAGGCGGGCGGTCGGCCAGGATATATAAGGAGACATGTATCCGCAACTGGAGCCCCTCAATTGAACCATCCACTCTCATCATGGTCCTCTCCGAACACGTCAACGCCGACAAGCTGCTGTCCAACCTCACCGGCAAGGGTGACGAGCACGCCATCCGGGCTCTCATTGCCTCCCACACCCTGCGAGACCCCTACTCATCCAAGTACAACTCGCAGGAGCCCATTCCCAAGTTCCGAATTCCCGAGGAGGGCTGCGAGGAGAAGCAGGCCTACCAGCTTATTAAGGATGACCTGGATCTCGACGGAAAGCCCAACCTCAACCTGGCTTCTTTCGTCAACACCTACATCTCCGACCGAGCCGAGAAGCTGGCCGTGGAGAACCTGACCAAGAACCTGGCCGATGCCGACGAGTACCCCGCTCTGATGACCGTTCACGCCCGATGTGTCTCCATTCTCGGCCATCTCTGGAACAACACCGACCACGAGAAAGCTATCGGTACTGCCACCACCGGATCTTCCGAGGCCATCCATCTTGGAGGTCTGGCCATGAAGAAGCGATGGCAGGAGAAGCGACGGGCCGCCGGCAAGTCCACTGAGAAGCCTAACATTCTCATGGCTGCCAACGCCCAGGTCGCCCTCGAGAAGTTTGCCCGATACTTTGATGTCGAGGACCGAATCATCCCCGTGCGAGAGGCCTCCAAGCACTGCCTCGATCTGTCCAAGATCAAGGAGAACCTCGATGAGAACACCATTGGTATCTTCGTCATCATGGGATCCACCTACACTGGCCACTACGAAGACGTCCAGGGCGTCGCCAAGATTTTGGATGAGTACGAGAAGGAGACCGGTCACTCCATTGACATCCACGTTGACGGAGCCTCCGGAGCCATGGTTGCCCCTTTCCTCTACCCCGATCTCGAGTGGGACTTCCGAGTGCCCCGAGTCAAGTCCATCAACACCTCTGGCCACAAGTTTGGTCTCACAACCGCTGGTCTTGGTTGGATTCTCTGGAGAGACGCAAAGTACCTGCCCAAGGAGCTCATCTTCGAGCTGCACTACCTGGGAGGTAAGGAGGAGTCCTACACCCTCAACTTCTCGAGACCCGGTTTCCCCGTGCTGCACCAGTACTACAACTTCCTGCACCTGGGATTCGACGGCTACAAGCAGCTGCATGCCTCTTCCATGGCTAACGCCCGACTGCTATCTGTCTTCCTCGAGGCTACTGGACACTACACTTGCGTCTCCGAGATCCACCTGCCTGCTAATGGCTCCAAGCCCAAGGATGTCAAGCACGTGGCTACTGCCGATCCTCTGCAGTACATGGCTGGTCTGCCCGTTGTTGCCTTCCGATTCTCCGACTCGTTCCGAAAGGCACATCCTGAGGTCCCCCAGGCTGCTGTCTCCACCCTGCTACGAGTCAAGGGATACATTATCCCCAACTACGAGCTGCCTCCTTCCGAGCAGAAGACTGAGATTCTTCGAGTGGTTGTGCGACAGTCCATGTCCATCGACCTGCTCGACCGACTCATGGAGGACATTTCCGCCATCACCAATGTGCTGCTCGAGGCCGTGGAGGATGTGAAGAAGCTGCGGGCCGAGGGTGACCACGATCCTCAGCTCATTCACAAGTACGTTCTGACTCTGGTGACCGGAAAGCCTGTTGAGGAGCGAGAGGAGGACTGGGAGGGACACTCCACTTTCCGAGCTGCCTGTTAATTACAGTTGCTAGCGGCAGGATGAAGTGTTTGAAGTTGCAGAGCCTTCAGGGAGCTTTCTTGTAAGTAGGGCTCTATGGACCTGATTAGATAGATAAATTTATGATTAACGTATGATCAGTTCAGCAAACGAAGCACTGGCAGTTCCACAGGCTGCATATCTGAGCTGTGATGCTGGTGTCTACACTCGTGTTTTGATTCGTCTGAGCTCTACTCTGAGGATAGGACAATCCTCACGTTGTAACGCCGAGCTTTGTAGGGGTATGGTTCATATATAGAGAGATTGTCAGGTTACACCTGTTTGAAAAGGATGGTCAGAAGTTGTACAAGTGTCTACGGACAATGAAGCGAGCCAGTCAAACTGTTCAACTTTTCAATTGTCCAATTGTCAGATGTGCTGCTTTCTGTTTAACACGTATGACGATATTCCTCTGGCCTCGGAGTTTGGAGGCATCTTGAAGTGCTGTATGGGCAGTTGTAGAATACCATCATACCATCATACATCATACCATCCTTCAATGCTTGGTTTCCAGTGACAAACAACCACTTCAGAGAGCTCCAAGGCGCAAAAACGACTCAGATGGACTGTTTGGAGAGCCTCGGGTGTCTGTTAGGCAGGATCACCGTTTCAACAGTGATTCCGTAAAGACAGTACGACAATGTACTCGAGCTACGAATTCTCACTACCAAGACGTTCTCAGGCTGGTTTCACAGATGTCTCAGCTGTCGCACACCCTCATTGTTGGCTCGCTATGCCGCTGCTTGCGTCACACAGAATCAAATATATTTACTGCACTATTTTTAGTCAAGTTTTTGGGGGCTAAACCACTGTTTAAGCCTTCTCGGCTCGTCGCTCGGCAAGAGCCTTGGCGTTGCCAGCAAGAGCGTATCGGTGGTTTCGTCGGAACTTGGCATCGACACCCTTAAGACTGGAGTTAGTAGGAACCATGGAAATGGGGGAGGGAGAGGTAGTGTCCCCCAAAGACACAGAAGATGTGCTCTACACATCCCCTTTCGCTGTAATACTCACGATCGGTACTTGTGGGTCTTGACTCGCTTGATACCGTTTCGGTGAGCCTTCTTGATCTGGTTGTGGTTGGTATGGTTCTTAGACTTGGCCATTCTGGAGTTAGTATGTGGAGAAGAAAGAGTTGCTGAAGCTGATGAGATATACTGGCAAAGTCGCGGGGGGCAAACAAACACTTTTCAGGTAGGCGACATAAGGTGGCAACCACTTCTGGAGCAACTCCTATCAAAGAAACACACAAGTTTCGACGTTGGGGGCGAATGATTCCGACATTGAGCCTGATTCCGTGTACTTTACAACTGCAGCAAGGCACTTCGATTTCGTGAACCGCACAAACCACCCATGTCATCGCATAATCTCCCTTTTGTGGCCTCTCATGGCGCCACCGTCCATGTCGTTTGTGTCTCTCCTTCTGGTCGCATATTGTCACAAATCATATGTCGCCAGTGTCGCACGTGTCGCACGTGTCGCCAGTGTCGCCGTCTCTCATTTTGTCGCTCCAACGAACGTCAGCACTTTTGTACTTACGTGAATAATTTGTTGTGTGAGTATCAAAAAACGCTACTGTTCTTACGCAACTTTTTACCCACTGCACCCGACAGGATTTTCAACCTAATTTGGAAAAGCAGTCACAAGAGGTCACGTGAATGGGGGACTAACACACGACATTTGAGGGACCGGGGGGAGACCAGAAAGACATTCAGACCTAATAATGTCATCACGAGGGGGTCTTTCAACGAATTAGTGTTCGAAAATCGCCTCTTTTCCACCCAAAATGTCTACTTCCATGGGTTTCAAAAACCCCGAATATTATTAGTAATCCACATGCGAACCTTAGTTTCAGGCGAAGGGAGCTGCGTAAAGATATTCAAGAGATTCCTACAGATTGTGCTCTGGGAGAGAAGCGAGGAAGAAAAGCGGCTGGGGTGTTTTTTCCGACTGTTAAGGCCCGACTGGAGCTCTCAAAAACTCATTTCCGGCAAGTATAACGCCACCAAGGTGAACTTGTCCTGAAACAAGCGCTCGAGTAAATGTCAAGTATCAGGAGTCTGGTAGTTGGAACTTAGTAGATGAGGTAACGGGAACAGAGAGCATTTTTAGTTGAAGATAGTTCACTCGCTAGATGACACACCACAACCACTCCAAACCGCTAAATATACGGGAAAAAACGAAAGATAAACTGATATATATTATCTCCACATCGTTTAAACCCTCTTAAATACCCCACATTCTTAGAGCTACCTCCAAATTCCACTGTATCACCATATGACTGTTGTGTTCAGATGGCCTTCATCATCTGGGTATGAACATACTGTACTTGTACTTGTATACATCTATGCTAAAACATGTTTGAGACAAACTAGAGACAGTCAAAAACCTCAATTCAATGCGTTTGGCTCCCAGAATCATTTTAATACACAAATAATACCATATCACCACCAGATATTTCCCACAATACGCACTTCATGTGCACTCACACGACCTCTACTCCACTACAGTGGACTTATCACCACCGTACACCTAAAATTTCACACGTCAATTTCTACTTTAAAACCCCCATCTTTTAAAAGACATCAACTTAACCACTCCAGAACACTTCTTTTGCCCCACTTTCACCGCTCAATCCACCACAAGATCAAATCAATCGCTAAAAACAGACACACATCCAACCGGCGTCCCATCATCGTCCCGTCCCAGTTACCCTACCGCGCATTTATACTCCTCCAACATCAGACATCACCACCCAGGGCAACGAGATGCTGTTTTTTTCGCTATTCAAAACGCTGGTCAATCATGAGATTACCGTAGAGGTGAGTACGCAAAGGGGACGGAGTGCGCGCGCCAGCCAGACCGCTAACACAGCTCAAAAACGACCTGCAGATCCGAGGCATTCTCAAGTCGGTGGACCAGTTCATGAACATCAAGCTGGAAAACGTGACCACCGTGGAGGAGGACAAATTCCCGCATCTGACGGCGGTGCGAGACCTGTTCATTCGAGGCTCGGTCGTGCGATACGTGCATCTGCCGCCCGGAGCCGTGGACACCACCTTGCTGGAGGACGCCACTCGACGGGAGGCTCTGTCCCACTCGGGTAAGGCTATCAAATAAGTTATTATACTATATTACACTTGCTTGCATTGTTTGTATGTCATTATAGATATGTTTTAGAGTCCCCGTCCTACGCTGCTACGAGTACTTGTACCGGTACTCTGTTCGGCTTATCCAAGCAGCTTGGTGGACACCTTGGCGAGAATGTGGAGAGCAACAACGGAGAAGATGAAACCCAGAGAGAGCACCATGACCACTACGGGGTCGACCTTGAGACCCTGGGACTCGTCAGTGTAGAGCTTGAGCATGGTGGAGGACGATCCGCCAGCACCGACAGATCGTGTGGAGGTGGGTCGCTGCGAGGCCTTGGCCTCCTGTCGCTGAGCGTTGTTTCGTCGCCTAGGTTAGTATGGAAATGGATACGACCGTGTGGAGATCACGAGTTGGTAGCCACGTCCTGTTCATCCGCGAACTGCGTAGCGCCATCCCTCGAGTCTTGATCGAGTCATCGTCAACTTGGATCCTGTTCTGATCCATGACGTGGTGTATGCATGTGGGGACATGTACGTGTGCGTGTACGTGTGAAGGATGTGGGGCGTGGGGTGAGAAGATGGGTGGATTGTAAGTCTTAATGGTGGTGCCGCTTGTGTCGTGCGTCACAGTCGTAGAGTAACACTCTTACCACAAACACCCTAGCACTGTTTTTAAAACCTGGCACCTAAGGTGTTGTGTGTGTTAACATCCACCCCAAACATCCCCAACACACCACAACTTCCCACCCACCAATCCTACTACGCGTCCAATCCACTGTCATGATCCCATCATCTGGATCATCTCATTTACATTCCCCAAACGCGACCATCAGTCTTATGGTCTTTCTGCCACGATCCATGTCGTGGTCTCTTTTTCTCCCTCCGGTGTCATACTCACTTCATCTGGGCAGCGGGGCCTCCGGGAACTTGGGCGCTAGTGGACTGTGTTAGTATGGCTTTGCGGCTCGGGGCACAAACGAACACTTACCATTTTTTTTGTGAGAGGTGTTGTTGATGCTGGTGAGGAGGTGATGTGGCAGAAACCACTGATGTTAATGACGTCGCAACCTTATTTTTCGTGACACACCTGCCAAAGCTAAACGGGGTCTCCTGGTAAAAGGGCGATCTTCCAGCACACGCCATAAACTGGACTAGGAGACCTGTCATCGAAATGGTGCTGTTGATTATGGTATTTGATGGTATTTGCTGGTTTCCTCCGACCATTGATTCGAATCAATTGTCATTTCCCATCCACCCATCAATCATCGGACTTCCCCCCAATTGTCACCTGGACCCAGCCAGCCAGAATGTCATACCCCCGCTGATCTGATATAAAGATGCTGACAGATAGTAATGGTAGTTTTTGACTCCATCTATCGATTAAATGGGTCCCTACTGACTGTTTTGTCGTTTGTTGTTGTTTTTTGAACCGACTCTTTTGACCAGTTGCCGAAACAGAACAACATGTCAATCTAGAAAACGCTACGGACTGTCTGTGGATAAGCCGAGTATACCATCGCTATCCCCTACTCTCAGGGATTCTAATGATATACTTTTCACCCCTCCACCTCTACTATTCAGTCCCCCATAGACTACAATTACCCTCCAACATGCCATAATCAAGACAAGACACTCATCACTCGGTACAGTATATACACCTACTTGTACCTTGGTCAACTCCAGGAGACCTTCCGGCAACCCTCTCAATATGCCCATCATCAACTTTGTCGACGAGCGACTCGAAATAGTACACTACAATATTGTTGGTCTACTGTGTATAGCGTTTCTGGTGGTCAGCTTCCGGCCCTACAGTCTGCTACTTCATGTGGATGGCCAAGGAGGCGTTATTGACGAAACGGTGACCATTGTGTCTTGTCTGATTTTGAGATATTAGCACGTTTTCTACTTGTTTTGTTGTTGGTTGACTATATACAATAAATAACAGGGATGCGATCACCGATACAGTCTTCCCAGATTGCTATCGGCTCTCATTTGCGCATGTTTAACCCGGGCCTTGTGAATGAGCTCGGGATGCTTTCGATCCACCACCTTCTGGTACTGCTTGATTCGCCGCATTGTGATGGGGTACTCACTGGCCAGCATCTTCTTCATGTGGTTGACCTTGTCTGAAGCCAACCGCAGCCTCGACTTGACGTCGGCGTTTTTGGCAAACAGCGTCTTCATGACTTCGCTCTTGGGGTCCATGTTTTTGCGGAGCTTGGCTCGGATCTCCTTGCCGAGATGCTCCAGTTCCTTTTCCAGATCCTTGATCCGGACAATGAGGTTATTGTGGCGCTTGTACAGCACAGAAATGATCCGGCCAAACTCCCAGCTCTGTGGGGCCAGTCTGTGTCGCGGGCGATGGAACACGAGCTGCGGAATGTTGCTTCCCTTTTGGTCTCTGACGATTTCGCCTCCTTCTCGACGCTTCAGTTTCAGAGTGTGCTTGTAGACGTCTCTCTGGTGGTTTCTGTTGGCCAGCAGCACGCATTGAGTGAAGAGCTGTTGCGATCTGCCTGTTCGCTGGGGGATCCGGCTCTTGAGCCGCTTCAGAAGCACCGTATGAAGACGTTGCGTCTCTCTATGCTGTTGTTCCTCCGGGGAAATTGGAACGCTTTCGGCCTTGGTAAGCACCTTCTTGCGGTACGACTCGACAAAGTCGGGAAACTTGGCGTTCTGGTTGTTTTCCGCCCGCTCAAACTGCTGCTGGAGATGGTTGTCGACTTTCTGCTTGTGTCGTTCGTCCTTGATCCGTACCTGTTCCTGTGAGATCTTATCAACCAGCGGAGCCACGGAGTCGGGGTCTTCAAACGCCCGACACAGCAGCGCGTCCCATTCCAGCGCCGTCGAGATGGCCCTGTGCGCCCGCTGGAAATCCCGCGCCACCGGCGCTTCTTTTCGAAACTGCTGCTTCAGCTGGGTTCGAAAAGTGTGCACCAGATTCTTCTGCCGGGGAGACAGAAGCAACGGAAGATGCTGGGCTCCGCGTGTCAGGCTTCTGTACAGCTGCAGCACTGCCTTCCGATGCAGCTCGCTGTTGAGCATGATGTTTGTGTAACTACTACTTGTAGTTGTATCGCCACTTCGAATGTGTTTCTACTGAACCAGGCGCATCGGTGTAAAAATATATATTATGCATGATGAAACTGTATCTGGAGGACGAGGCCAGGTGGGGCCATTTGCGGGAGTTGTAGGGCAGGTGGAGAGAAGGAGACAATGCTAGTGGATCATAAATGTATGGTGGAAGCAGCACTCGAATTTCTAGCCTGGGAACTTGCTCACTGTCCGACTTGTAGTCACCCTAGATTCTCGCCACTGCGTGAACTTTCCTTATTAGGCTACACTGCGTTATCGGGAACTTTTCACTTTTCCCGAAGTCCAACCGTCACCTGTTTGACTCGACACAAAATGCCCCAACCGGTTACCATCAAGCTGAAACGCAACAAAAAGGTGGTCATGATGGAGTGCCAGCCCAAGGAGACCATGGAGCAGGTCAAAGCCCGGCTTGTGGCGCTTCTGCCCACAATTGGACCCTCGGGGCTGTCGGACCTTGACGTGGAAATGACGGACATTCCAGTGCCGTTGACGGAGTACGAGACCACCACCTCCTCGACCAACAAGGGCAAACAGCCCGAGACGGAGCTTGGAGAAATCCGACTGGCGGTGCTGGAAGGCGAACTGTGGGTGGAGATCGAGGACTACAAGAAGCAAAAGGTGGGGGATTACAACCGGGATTTTGTCACGTTTGGATGGGCAGATGAGGGAGAGGACTTTGTGGTGCTATAATAGGGGAGAGCTGCGCGCGTTACCAACTTTCCCGCATTGCACACACAACCATGAGGGTTGGCATGGCGGAAACGACCTGTGGGACCTGGGGAGACTGAGGTCTCTGTCATTGGTCACTGTCGACGGAGGAGATGCCATTGTACCCCACGGTGGTCTTGGTCAGCTCCAGGGTGGCCTTGGACCGCTCCAGGGTGGTCTTGAGAATCCCTGCGTTTGGTGTACATGGATACCCGTCATAGGAGGACATTACCAGTTCATAGAAGAAGCATTTTCACATGAAACAAGCGTCTTTACATAGACAAACCTGGAGTGGAGGGTCTATGCGTTATTGGAGTTTCATTATTGTCTACCAATGCAACCCCGATCTGTGGATCATGGAGCTTCCAAGTACGGTCGGTACGAGTATCAAGATAAGTCTTCCCGAGTCATAAAGTACGTCAAATCAAAGACTCAGCGTACCGACTCGGGCAACATCTATGGTCCTGGTCACGTGAATGTATCATGAAGAGCATTTCTGTTCTACTAGTACGGGAGTTTGCTACAGCCAAGCACACTGTAGGCGAATTGGAGGGATGTAGTTTGAGTGAATGGAGATGTTTTGAGAGATGGAGGAGCATTGATATGTTAAGTTGTGGCTCTGAAGTCTTCTGGTCTACGCTCAGCTAGTTGACTCCAAACACTTTTCTTCTCCTTTCGGTCCTTTTCAGTGGTGATATCTCTTCTCATCCACTTGCTGTGAGAGTATCGAGAATAGTAGAGACAGGTCTGAACAACAGTACATGCAGTAGGTGATGGATAGATGGAATAAACTGCTGGTTAACAGTTAATTGTCCTTCCAGTGGTTCCCGGTCCATGAGAGGAGTAGTAGTACTCGTACCGATACTCCTCTTAACGACCGTGCTGAGATGTACTGGTACCCGTACTCAACACAGGACAGAATCGGAACACCACCGGTGGGTCGTATTGAACATTAGTAAAAGTCGTTGTTTGCCAACAGTTCTGTCATTTGTCAACAGTTGTCATTGCACTTCTCGGATTCCTATCCGTTTCGGGCGAGTAGTCGCCTTGCGAGTCTTTTCTTAAGGGTGTCAACTAACGCATCAAGTATTCGCAATCATTTACAGTGACAGCTTTGTAAGGGTACACGGGAGCCACCCTCGTTTCCACGCTGAAATGGAGGTATTTATTATCTTTTTTGTCCCGCATTAGTCCCTCATATTTCCTCATTTCTTTATTCATTTTTATTCCACTTTTTATTCCCTTTATATCCATTTATATCCATTTATATCCATTTATATCCATTTATATCCATTTATATCCATTTATATCCATTTATATCCATTTATATCCATTTATATCCATTTATATCCATTTATATCCATTTATATCCATTTATATCCATTTATATCCATTTATATCCATTTATATCCATTTATATCCATTTATATCCATTTATATCCATTTATATCCATTTATATCCATTTATATCCATTTATATCCATTTATTCCTTTTTATTCCTTTTTATTCATTTTTATTCTTTTATTTATTCCTTTTTATTCCTTTTTTATTAGAACATAAATGTCCGTACTCCCAACTGAACTATATTCCTCCATCACACCCACATCACGTGCAGTTTCCGCTTTCACCAAAAAAAACAGTCACACTTCTCTCCCAACTAGGTTTGGGACTCGGCATCCGCACTTTGTCAAAATCTTTGGAAACTCTCTGACCCTCAACTACACAGTACGACACCATGGCCGACGAAACCGCCCCTGTTGCTCTTGCCCTCCAGCTCCCCAAGGACATCATCGCCGAGTCCGGCTCCGTCAAGCTCTTCAACAAGTGGACCTACGACGACGTTGAGGTCAAGGACATTTCTCTCACCGACTATGTCCAGATCTCCCAGCCCGTTTACATCCCCCACACCGCCGGCCGATACGCCAACAAGCGTTTCCGAAAGGCCCAGTGCCCCATTGTCGAGCGACTCACCAACGCTCTGATGATGAACGGCCGAAACAACGGTAAGAAGCTCAAGGCTGTCCGAATCGTCGAGCACGCTCTGGAGATCATCCACCTGCTCACCGACCTCAACCCCCTGCAGGTTGTTGTTGACGCCATCATCAACTGCGGTCCCCGAGAGGACTCCACCCGAATCGGTTCCTCCGGTGCCGTTCGACGACAGGCCGTCGATGTCTCTCCTCTGCGACGAGTCAACCAGGCCATCTCTCTGCTCACCATCGGTGCCCGAGAGGCCGCTTTCCGAAACATCAAGACCATTGCTGAGTGTCTTGCTGAGGAGCTCATCAACGCCGGAAAGGGTTCTTCCAACTCTTACGCTATCAAGAAGAAGGACGAGCTTGAGCGAGTCGCCAAGTCTAACCGATAAGGTGATGTAAAAAATGTATTAAGTATTTGCACGGACCAGGCATCAGTGGCGAACTTCAGGTGTGAACCACCGACCGAGCCCCGAGTCTATTAGTAGATCTGCACCTATTGCTCGCGTATGAACAGTTGAGCAAGATCACCACTCCAATATTCATGTTTCAAATACGTACTCGTAGAACAACCCCTTCAAAACAAGAGATATCAACTTGGAAACTTCGGGCCCCACCTCCCTCACTATGGGAGCTATAGATCTATACTCTTCGCCATCGTATTCGGCTGGTCATTCTCCATCAGATCCGCTGCTCACCAGCTCACCAGCCTGGTTGTTGGGTTGTAGGCTATGGTATGGATTGTCACACTGTGTTCCAAATCCGTACGAAATAGCTTGTCATGTGACTACAGCAGTCGCAAGTACAATACGTACACCTGCTCCAACTCTTGCGCTTCCCGCTACTTGTAGCCACGCCTCTGTCTCTCGCTAGGAACTGTTAGTCCAAGATCCAATTTACGCGTTGGAATTTTTCACTTACCCGGGAGTAACCAGACCAGAGTGTAATTATAATCGCGTCTGGTCGATTTTTTGGGCTACCGCTAGACCTGTCTAGATGAGGCCGATCGAGCTGAATTTTTGACAGAAGAGATATATCGCATCTCATAATGTCCAGTCAAATTCTCAGCCAAAAAATCGGACTACTTGCTGCTCTAGAGTGATGTTTCTTGTGCAGTGTTAGACAGACTAGTCGAGCGTGCTGCAGTTTTGGAGAACAGTTTCTACTGGCTGAAAGGTGAGGGCTACCGTCTCGGAGCTTGGCCTGGGGGGTTAATGGAGTGAAATAAATGTCACAAGAATGTGTAATGAAACTTTTCGCTTTGTTACTCTTCAGTATTGGTCCTTCTTGTCCGTGGAAATCTCCAGTAACCTGGACCCAGCCTTGATACCTCGACATTAGGAGATGTTGAGGGGTGTCAGAAGAAGAAATGGTGGAAATAATGGTTATTTTATCAGTTTACATGAGCCTCACTCAACAAAAATCATCCCTTCGGTGGTGATATTATCGAGAAGCTCTCCACTTATAGTGGTTTTAGGGCGTGGTTCTTCTGCAAGACTTGATAGGATGTATCTATCTCTATATTCCGGCTTCAATAGGATAGCTGAAACAAGCAACAGTTCGCCATTGTATTAAATCCTCCCTACTGATTGCAATTATCAAGTAGTATTTCCTACTTTCGTATCACTTTATCGATTTGAACACATTATAGACGGTTACTTGTGGACTTGTGCAACCAGGAAGACTAGAACATACCCGGAGGTGTTTAACACTTAATAAATATCACCCATTCATTTACTACATCTTGCTACTAAATCTCTCTCTTCCCCATCATTCTGCCCTTTTCAGAATAGCAGATCGTAGACCCCTGACCCAGAGACTTGAAGAGTCATTGGAGTTGGTCAAAACTTTGTAAAACGGCAGTATACTTGTAGGAAAAACATTGTTTGGACTCTCCACTCTCCACTTCACTCTCCACTCTCCACTTCACTCTCCACTCTTCACTCCACTTCACTCTTCACTCCACTCTCTACTCTCTCTACACTGTCCATACTACACTGTAGCCAAAGTAGCAATCAATAGGACCCTACTATACCCATTCCTGAACCATCAAAAGACCAAGGATTCTGGTATTTACACGTATTTGTACCATTTATCTCTGCACTTGTTTATTAATCCAAATTTCTCCATAGAGAACAATCCACTCTGCCTCACAGCCCCCCACGGCCCCCCACCTCTCCCCTTTTGGCAAGAAGAACAGAACACCCCAATTTCTATCAGAGAGGCGGTAATACGAGAGCGTGTTTGCTTCCGGCCCAACTTGAGCGCATTTCCTAGTCTGCCCCTGTCCCTGTCGTATTACGTAATCAATCATATACCATGCATGGTCCTATCACTGTACGGCTCTCCAAACGACATGCTACAACCGGATCTGAGATACGTGAACGGCGAGTACAAGGACATCACCGAGGAGCTTCTGGGGTTGGCCAGGCAGCTGGATGTGTCTGAGCTGGCCAAGTCGCCTGCCTTTCAGCTTTTGGACGGCGTTTCTGCGCTGGAAATCGGAAACGACAGAATGGACACTGGGCTTCTCTACAAGCCTCTGGAGGAGTCTCTCGCGCAGCTGCCCAAGATTGACGGGGCGGAGTCCGTGTTGCGGCTGATGGATTTGTGTTTTGGCGTTGAGCGGGCGTGGCAGAACGGAGCTTCGTTGATCCAGTCCGTGTTCAGCTGTGCCTACATTGAGAGCATTCTGGCCGGTCATAACGCCGGAGCTCCTCTGGGACACATTGAATTCCAGGAGTGGCGTCATGTGTTCAACGTGTGGGCGGTTGCCATGCTCAAAAACATTGGCCAGAGCCTCGATATCATGATGCACGGAGGAGTGATTGAGGAGGAAGACATTGTGTTCCAGACGTTCCAGATGAACCTGTTTACAACCACAGGAGCCAAGGAGCTCGAGTCGCTGATGGATAGCGCCATTGGGTGGGTTCAGACGCAGAAGAGCGAGTTTGCTCACGCCATTGTGGACCGTCTGAAGCTGAGAAAAGAGATTACCCAGCTTGGAGCTCTGACTCTGGCCAGGAAACTCGACGGAAGTATTGCTGCCGCCAAACAGGCCAAGAGGTTGGCTGAGACCATCACCGTTTCAGATTCTGAAACCCCCCTGGAGAAATCGTTCACTAATGAAATCCAGGGTCGAGTTCAGAATGATGCTCCTCCCAGAAACCTGGTGCGAATGAAACCGTCGGAAGCAGTCTCGGATTTCGTGGCAGCCATGGACGAGATCATTAGCTGCGGCGACGTTGCCTCGGTGACCTCCTCCGCCGAGTTTCTGGGCTTCATGGTCAAGTTTTCCGCCCTCAACACCAAGCCCTTCACTCGAGCATACATGCACACCCAGATCATTGATGGCGAACAGTTTGCTCTCCTGGGCAAACCCGTGCGAGAGTGGGTCGTCAAAGATATGATTGAAAACACCTGTGCAACCGGCTGGGGTCAGTATGTCCTGACCACATCTGATTCTGCCGTTGCGGAACTGACAGCTCCATTTCTGGCAGAGGCAGACATGGCATACTCGGATCTGTTTGGCATTCTCGTGCTCAACCGGTCCAGACAGCGCCAGGTGCTTTCGCACGCCGTGGTCACGTGGGACGGACTGCAAGTGATGGCGGAGAACCTGGAAACGCAACTGGAAGAGCTGGTGGAGCCTGATCGAATCGATATGGGTGCTGGCCAGAAGATGAACGCCATGCCCATCACTTCTTGGGTCATGCTGCGAAAACTCCAGGTCATGATCTGGACTGCTCTTCTGGGCTTTGAACTCGACGTGTACAAGCTGCACGAGTGGGGCTTCATGAGCTGGTACTGTGAGTATCTCTCCTTGCAGCGAAAGCAGTACCTGGAGCGAGTTCGGTACTATCTCTGTGTTTACGCCGATAACGCTCAAATGTCCCAGACTTTCAACAAGAAGAACAAGAAGAAGGGCAAGAAGGGAGGTGCTTCTGGACCCAAAGAGGTTCCCACTACCATGCTTCAGCTGGAAGATATCAACAAGGCGACCATGTTGACCCAATCCATGACTGTCGAGTCTTCTGCTCTCGCCGATCTCTGCAAATGCTCCATGCTGCTCATGTATCTTTACGACCGATTTGGACTCATTCAGCATCCCCAAATCAAGTACACCACCGCCGATCTCATGTACGCGCTTCGTCTCAAGCCGTTTTCGTCCGTGGGAGTGCCTGCTCTTGTCAACTACAGCCAGTTCAAGGAGTCCACCACTGATCAGCTGGACGCTCTGTCTGTCGACGACATTTTTGCCATTGCTACTCGAACCACCAACGAGTTGAAAAAGATGGTCGATGCTGTGGTGAAGCAGACGGATGTGAAGAGAGAGCCCCAGGTCCAGCTGCTCCAGCGATCGACTATGGGCATTTCCATCAATTTGGCCTCGTTGAAGATGAAGAAGAATGATGTCAACGACTACAAGGTGGATGTGGTTAAGAGCGGATATCATTTGTTTTTCCCTGTTCCTTCGCTCAAGAAGAAAGAGTAGTGATTGGATCCTCCATCTAGTCTACTACGCATAGCCAATAAGTGAGCCCACTCAGTGAGCTATTGGTGGCCGCTTCTCTTCCACATTGTATATAATGCATATCTTGTACATACTATATGTAATTGATTGTTGTTTCTTCAGCTCATTGCTCCTTGCTACCGTCGTTATTAGCTGGATATGGGAAGATGTGGTGGATGGAAGGTGATGGGTGTTTCATCGGGTCTATATTGTTGTTTCTTGTGTTCACCATGTGGTCATGAAGGGAAGTATGGTACTTGTGAGAGGGTTCGCAGTCTCCAACAGTTGATTGAATGGGTCTCAGGAACTAAAACAACTCAATCATTCGAATCCTTTAGTTTTTTCGAGTTTCGTCGTTTGATTATTCTTCCTTCCAAATGTCTATCATGACTCTGCAGCGCATATCTACGGTCATCTTGAACCCCATAAAGTAGCACTTGAAACCATACAATTACAGGAACAACACCCGAATCTGGTTTTTCCATGTCCATAAATCCCACTTTTGAACTCTCCATGTCTCCATCGCCATGGATATTGCCTGGTAGATACTCTTTTGCGTCTTGTGTAGGACCAAAGTTTTGAACGTGTCGTCAAATGTACTCGGAAATTGACCCTCTTGATGCGTATGAGGAAGGAGACGACGAGGCCAGTGAAACCAATCACAGCACCGTCTCCAGCACCATTTCGAACGCCTCCACCAGCAGATTGTCCACTGCCTCTACTCAGAGGGATGAGCACGAGGTGAGAACTCGCCTATCGAGCACGTTGCTGGAATCCGAGGAGTTTGAAGACTACACTTCTCGAATGTCGCCCATGGCAGCACGTCAGCGGCTTTTGGATCTCGTTAATCGCCTTGTTCCGGAGGAAGATGTGGCCCAGGAAGGGGCGGGGGTCCGGTCCGAAGATGACTCTGGCGAGCGGCTGGATGGCAAGAGAAAGAGAAAAGAAAAGAGGGAAGAGCCGCGAGTGAGGACGTTTGTTGTTGGGATGAAACATGGCCAGGTTATCCTTGAGTCTTTTGAGGAGAGGTAGATGGTAGAGGGAACATGAGAAGTGAATAGTGTGAGAAGTTAACATGAGAAAGAGTATGAGAAGTGACAATATGAGAAAAGTAAACATTGTCAGAGCATCTAATCTTCATATCAATATGTTTTCGCCTTTCAATTGGCAGATGTACCTCTCCATATCACCTGGTGCCTCGGCCTCGGTTCATACTATCTCTTCTTTCTCAACCGACACCAATCCATACCCTTTATGGCTGTCGTACTCCTCGTACTACAATGACCATAAACAATCCAATTATCTCAGTGGAACTTGAGACAACTTCCTCCACTCCACTCAACCCATGTATCCGGCCTCCAGCCTTATCACGACAGCCTCCCTGGCCTTCACTCAGACTCCTTCTGAACTCCACAAGTCGCCAATCACAGCACCTTCGCCAACAGACACTGAGATATTGACCGCCAGTGTATCAGAAGTGAACCGAGGTGAACAGAAGTGAACCGGAAGTGAACTGTCTATGTGCTTTTCAAGCGACTAGTTGAGAGTCGACCTCTTCTGACCTCCTCTGACCTCTTCAGACAACTTCCTCAACAGCATCACAGCCAGCCCTCAGCCACCCTTCGTTCTCCACAAACTGATACCCTACCGCCTTCACTGCCACAATCAGATTTCCAATAATGATAGTCAGTATTGGCACCAGACACAAGCCAGATGTCGAACGGTACACCCAGATTACCATGGATACCCCCGATGAGACCAATACCCTCAGTTCTACAGACCCCTCACGCCTCTACTTGCTCTATCCCCTGATGAAACAAGATCAACCCGTTATTATCTTCTCCCACAAATCTCTCGTCTCCAAATGAACTTCCTCCCTGCAACAACACTCGACAAGACCACTTCAGAGCGTAGTTCATGGAAGCATCTCATGACGATACACACAGTCCACACTACATCCTGACACTCTTTCCCATCGCGGTCATACCCACCACATTCTTTCTTGTCACCGGTATCATCGGACCCGTCACTGGTATCACTCTACGATAACATCGTCACCCTACGTGTACATACATCACTAGTGACCGTGGCACTCGCAACGTAGTCTACGTCTGCTCCCATATACTGCCGCAAGATCATGCTCGTGACAGCGTCGCAAGGATGATACTGCGCGCCAGTAGAGGGTCGTCAATATCTAGTTTTATTATGCTAACCTACCGCTTAAAAAAGCTCGTCGGCGAAAGGAAGAGCGTGGACCTGGCCAACGGCAGCAACAACAGGCTTGGCGCTGGCAGACAGCTGGGCGGCGGCCTCGGAGAGCTCGGCAGGAGTGAACTTCTGCACGTTCTCGGGGGCGATTCGGGAGACTCCGGACAGAAGCTCCATGCCAATGACGGATGCGGAGGAGTCGGGGTTTTCAAAGGCCTCAGCGGCGGCAAACTTGGACTTTGCGTATGCTCGAGCAGCCTGCTCCTCGGTCACCTCGGCGCCAGTGTCCTTGAGGGCCTGGACGGCCTTGTGGGCCACCTGGGAGATCTCTGCGGGGGAGTCGCCCTTGATGGTGATGGCGAAGAGGCCGGCGTCTCCGTAGTTGTGGTAGGTGGCCTTGACGGAGGTGTGGGTGCCAACGGTGGCCTGGGCGAGAGGAGAGGCGCCGACGGACCAGGGCATGGAGGCGGGGCCGCCGAGGAAGGAGGCCAGGGCGTGGTAGACGGGCTTGGGCTCGGCAATGGGCAGGGCGATGGTCAGAGCGTTGCCGGTGGAGGTTCGGACTCGGGCTTCACCGCCGTGGAGAGTGGTGGTGCCGGCCTGGGTCACCTTGGAGCCCTCCTGCAGGTCGGCAAAGGCGGTGCCGACCAGCTGCTGCAGATCGGCGGGGACCACGTTGTTGCCGACAACAGCAACGTTCTGCTTGGCGTAGACCTGTCGGGCAAACTCCTTGACGTCCTCGAGGGTGACGGGGGAGTAGCCCTGGGCGTAGACGGAGTTTCCGAGGCCGGTTCGGAAGGCAACCTCGTGGGCAGCCTCGAGGGCAGTGAAGGCAGGGTCCGACTCTCGCTTGAGGAGGTCGAGCTCGGCCACGGGAGCGACTCGCTCGGTGAGCTCAAACTGCTGGAACTTGGTCTCCTTCAGCACGTTGGCAAAGGCGTCGACAAAGTAGGGCAGATCCTGCTTGAGGAACTGGGTTCGCAGCACAATGTGCTCTCGTGTGGTGTGGGTGTAGAGCTTGCCGCCAAACAGCTCCAGCTCTCGGACGAATCGCAGAGCAGACTTGGGCACCGTGTTCTGGAAGGCAAACTTCTCCAGAATGTGCGACACGCCGGGCACGGTGGCGTATCGAGAACCACCTCGCAGCACCACAGACAGGTCCGAGATGGGGGACTGGCCGTCCTGGGCAGCGACCTTGACGCCGGCAGCCTCGGCGGTGGAGAAGTGTCGGGCGGCAACGGCCAGTCGGGGAACACCCCGAGTCATGGAGGATCGGGCAGACAACATTGTGGTTGTTTTTGTGTGGGGTTTGGGGGGGTGTTGTGTTGTGAAGGGGTTAGTTCTGGGTGGTTGGTGAACTGACTATTGGGTGTGATTTGTGCGAGCGCACATTAACCTTTTTTGCCAAAAAGACATTCAAAGCGTCGGTTTTGATTGGTTGTGGAGTGCGAGGGTTAGGGCAGCGCGTGGTTGGGACTCCTCAGCATCAGACCATCGACCAGGAGGAGACGACTGGAGCGCGCGGTCGCCAAGATATATCCGTCTTTTTTCCGCCAGCGGAGCTCAATTGGACCCGGTCGGTCACGTGATCTGCCCCTCGTCCGCGCCGCCCGTCTCAATCGTGCACTGTGTGGTGTTGTTTCCGAATTACTCGAATCATTCGAATCACTCGAATCACTCGAATCACGCAAATCATCATTGTACATACAAAATTATGAGCCGTTTGAGCAGCGTAGTATTTGAGACAGATCACGTGAATAGACGAACTCTGGCTATGGAGTCGGCGTGTACCGAGTGGCAATGGTCACGTGGTCTGTCCATCCACGTGACCTCTTCCCCCCGCCTCGCCGTATCTCCCTCAATATGACGTTGGTCGTGCATCTAAAAAATCTCCAAGTTTGTCAAATCTCCGAGTTTGTTTACAGTTGATGCAAAGTTGGCAAATGGGATCGAGGGCAATTGGCGACGGGGATTCTGCAACAGTGAGGGCGGTTTGAGGACGAGTTGAGTATACCATTGTGACCCTTGGAATTGTGGGAGTACATTGGTGTTTTCGCAAGTCGTTTCTGACTACTGTAACACGAGTTGTGACTGTATTTGAGTCCGCATCCAAAGTTAGCCTGATGGGGCCACAGAAAGAGGTTCTCGGGAGTTTAACATGTCGTCGACTTGGCTGGACGGAGACATTTCTATCGACATCTTCTTATAACAATTCCTCTGATTGTTCACCTCTGATTCTGGAGTTGCATTGACCGGTATGACTAAAAGGTCCCCCTTGTGGGCGCTACTTGGATCGGGTCTTGCTGAAATTTGGTCACATGGGCCCCTCCGCCGTGTTCCCCGACAATACCAATCTTGAATCTGATTTGACTCATTTTTATCCCATTCTTTCCCTACCCAGTCATGTTCATCACCATAGATTGTTTTTTTCAAACATGCATGCCCAAGGTGGTTAGAGTTGTGAAAGTGGCTTGTTTTGGGGTGTCGTATACCTCGTTGGTGTAGATGTATAAGGAGAGAAATCGCTGTTCCCGTCTGCTCTGTGTCTCCAGTATGTCTGTGTCAAATTTCAGCTTTCTACGGTCAAAATTCAGCCAGTTGGAGGACTTGACTCTGGTGAACATATATTGTATATAACAGACACTCATAATCTGACTTTTTAGAAATGAAGTCAGCCCGATATCGAATACACTGTAGCTCGTGACCTCCCTGTAGCCCGTGGTTCACCTCCTACTCCCGTTTTACTCCCGTTTTAACTCCCGTTTTACTCCCGTTTTACTCCCGTTTTTTTCCCGTTTTATCCCCGTTTTACTCACGCATCCTGGAATAAAATATATAAAACATATATAAAATATATAAAACATATATATAAAATATAAAAGAACGTGCATGCATATTGTATGCGCTGTGATGAAAGTTGACGGGAGATGAATTGGCAGATTGAGATGGAAAAATTTGGGGAAAAAAAGGAAAAAACAGGAAAAGCGTAGAAATATGATCTATTTTTTTGGTCGTCATCTGAATATACAGTCATACTACAAGTAGTTGTATGTTTTCCTCATCCCCCTTTCACATCCCATCTTACACTCCCTAAACAACATGTCCATAGCTACATGTCCTTGTAGTGTAGGCTCCACCATGTTTAGTCAGCGGTGCAATTAAAGGGAAAATACACGCCACATGCAAGATCACGTGTCCACGACAACCTTCCGAACTCCCTTAATCCCCCGAATAACAGCCTCCCAACCCCAACCCTCTACTCCCCTCCACCACCCATAGGTGCATGATGCAGTGAAAAAAATCTTGTCGAAAGTTGAACTCTACTGGGGGATTTTTTACTAACCAACTTCACAAACACACACCAACTATGAGCGAGCTGCACAACCCGGACCAGTCTTCGCGGGCTCTGTTCGATCTGTGCCGCGTGCTTCTCAAGGGCATATACGGCGAGCTATCGGCGGTTCTGGTGGGGTCTCTTCTGGACTATGGGCGTCAGACGGCTGCTGAGCTCGCCAAAACCACCAAACTGCCGCTGTCAGCGGTGCACAGTGGTCTGGCGGCGCTGGTGCAGAACCGCTTTGTGCTGTACTGGGCCAACGACCGCAAATCCGGGCGAGATACAGACGACATTGGCGAGTCCAGCTCCATCCATTACGTGGCCAACTGGAAGGAGATTTACCAGGTGGTGCGGGCTGGCGGCATGGTGGATGCGGTGCGAAAGGACTTCGGCAAGGGCCCCGGCGGCAAAAGCAACCCCGAGTCGGGCGAGAGGTGTGCCGAGATTGCCCAGAACCTGCTCGTGTACGGACACATGCGGGTGGCCGACTACCTGGAAGCCACCCCCGAGCACGACCGAGACAGCGTGGAGGCCAGTATCGCGGTGATGCTGCGCAAACGGTTTCTGGTGCCCGTACAGGCGTGGCAGTTCAAGCCCGAGACAGATCTCTACGCACGCATGTTCAGAGACCACCTCAGTAAACTGCCTCTGTCCATGGCCGAGTCTGCCCGAAAGAACCAGGCTGCGGTAAGCGCCAAAACGGAGCTCGAGCGCATGCAGGAGGAGCGCAACTCGCTGAATCTGGGATTTGTGTCGGGCTCTGTGGCCCGAACTAAGGGCGTCCCTGTCCTGAACCGCGCCGAGAAGCTCGACCACCAGGCCGTGCTGTGTGCCAATCCCGACAAGTTTCTGGTGATTGCGCGAAACGAGGAGCTGGCCAAGCTGGCCGAGGAGCGATGTGGCAAGACGGCGGCCGAGGTCTACAGACAGTGTCTCAGCAAGTACGTTGGCCGTCTGCATTCTTGCACTCAAGACACTTCTCCAGGCGCTGAATTCAACATCACGTCGATGGAGATTGCCAAGACAATCGATCCTCGCCTGGACGGTCTTAGACCGCGAGGAAAGGGATCACGATCCGTTTCTCCCCGGCCGCAGAGCAAACGAGTCAAGACTGAAGAGGGATATACAAAGACTGGAGACTATGACGAGAAGGAGGTGGACGTTGAAGAAGATATGGAAGAGGAGTTGTCGGGCGTTGCTTTAGCAACAGCAGTATCCAAACAAATGCAGATTTTGGCAGCCTCACCGCTCAAGTTTGTGCAGAGCGTGGGCACCAAGGGCGGAGGAGAGTGGTACGTCAACTTCAAAGAGGCTACCGAGTGCCTGCGGGGCGCGCGATACGAGCAGATCATTCAGTGGAAGTACGGCCGCGTGGCCAAGCGGTTGCTGCGAGCTGTCAAGGACAAGGGCAAGGTGGACGAAAAGCTGCTGACCAATATTGCGCTGTTGCCCGTTAAGGAGATTCTCAACCACCTGCACGACTTGCATTCTGTCGGCGCTCTGGACGTGCAAGAGCTGCCTCGAACCGCCGACAGAGCTGCGTCTCGAACCATTTTTCTGTGGCATCATAGAGCCAACCGGGCATACTCGCTCATTTCACAGGACATTTACAAGTCTTTGTCGCGCTGTTTCGAGCGGGTGGCTGCCGAGCGTGCCAAGCTGCCCATTCTGCTGAGCAAGCTGCAGCGAGAGGATGTCAAGGGACACGAAGATGAATTTCTGACCGAGCAGGAAAAGGCGGATCTCAAGGGACTGAGAATGAGAGAGGAGAAGCTGCTGGTGCAGATGAACAGGTTGGATGGTTTGATTCGGGTATTTAGAGATTACTAGACGACGAGCGAAGCCAGTCGTCTGAGCAGCTCAAAAGACTCACTTGATCGGAGTGAACGCCTGACCGGAGTGTCTGAACGCTTGGTCGGAATGGTTGGATAGGACTCACTTGATCGGAGTGGTTGGAGGAGACTCGCTTGAATGAGGCTCTCACCAGTGATAGGAAGAGACTCACTTTGAGCAAAGCGACTGAATGAGAATACTCACCCATGTAAAGAAATACTAATTGCATAGAGAAGGAAAGAGCTACTTGTGGGTGAACCGAAATGTCATCAATGGCGAGTATGGGCTGAGCACTACAAGTACTTGTAGAACGAGTAGATGTTTACCTAACACTCGCCCAACTACTGTGTCAAGCAGTAATCCGAGCACCCTAATGAACTCCGAGGATCTGATATTCTCTCTAACTGGCTCCTACTCATACAGTACGTACCTAGTCTCTTGTAAATAGTACATACTGTGCCACAAGTCGGTCTTTAAGGCAGATCTGGTCTCGAATTGCCCCCTCACCGACCTCCGACCTCATCAGTTCCATCTAACAGTTCATTAATATCTATTTAATCCATGCACCATGCCAACCAGTCGATCCACTTCGGGGACCCAAGTATCGCGCTAGACTGGATTGTACAGGTCTCGTACCCTATGTACCGGATACGTGACCTCATGCTAAAACACGTGACCTCACTCGGGCGTAACACGTGACCTCTCATGCCAAATACAACACACCTGTGACCCAAGTCTCCTGCTCGTCTCGTCCATCTAATCAACCCGCTTCTTCTTCTTGGACCAGAAGGCTGCGGGCAGAGGAATGTCGAACGCCGGTCGCTCGACCACCACGAGCTCGTTGCCGTCCACAATCTCCGCGCCGATGATTGGTCTGTATTTGCTGGTCGACCAGAAGGCGGTGGTAGTCTGGTTTTCGGAAGTGACGGGTTTGGCCGTCTCCTCTCCATCCAGACGTCGCTTAGGGACTCGCTCGACCGGAATGTTGGTCGAGGTGTCAACAAACGCCAGCCAGGTGGCTCCCCACATCCACACTCGCTGGGAGTGCTTGGAACTGGGGTCCAGGAACATGCCTGTGCAGTGGTCGACCGAAGAAGCCACGGGGTCGGGAATCTCGGGGTTGGATCGGCTCCACTCGGTCAGCAGACCCGAGCCGAGATCGAACTCCACCACCTTGTTGTCGGCCGTGGCCACCACCAGTGTCTTGGCGCCCGTGAAGGCCATCGCGGTAGCGGGAGCAGCAGACAGACGCATGAGTGTTCGAGCGTGTTTGAAGCCTCGGTCGCCCCGCACAAAAATCTCCGTGTGACCCGATCGCCGCGACAGAGCCAGATGTGTATCTGAAAAGGCAGCAGCGACGATTTCCGTCTCGTGTCCGTGGGCAATGAGGTTGCCCTTGAGCACCGCCTCGGGAACCTGCAGCTCTTCGATAGGTGCGAGCTCCTCGTTAAGCGAAATGAGAATGACGGAATCGGAGGAAATGAGCAGCAGCTCTCCAGCGGGCGAGAAGACGGTCAAGTGGGCTCCCTCCAGATCCATCAACTTGTTGGGTTTCAGAACGGGATGGCCCTTGGAAGAAAGCACCTCCTCGAGCTCGAAAAGTTTGGTCTCCTGAAGAGAAGACACCGCCAGAAGAGAACCAAACATGGCCACGTCAGAAATGTTGTCATCGGCAGACATGGTCAGTTTGCACACCAGTCTTCTCTGGCCGCCCTCAAGGCGTCTCCACAGCTTGACAGTCTGACCGTTCCACATGGCCACAATCGAGCCATAGACGAGAGTCTGGGTTCGCGGGGGAGCCACCGAGAACTTTCGGTAGGGGCCCTGAGCAAACTCGTTAACGGAAGCAACCACAAGCACCTTTTCCACGCCTCCAGATGCAAGAAGAGACAGGTTTTTGGCCTCGTAAGTAGCCAGAGCTCGCACGTCGTGGGCATTGTAGCCCCGCACGTTGGTCTGGTTCCATCGCTTGCCCACAGACTCGTAGCAGGCGATGGTCTTGTCGACACCCGCCGAAAAGACAGCGTCTCCGGCTGCATCGACTGCCAGACAGAGAATGTCGGCTTCGTGGGTCTTGAACGACTGGTTCAGAGCAAAGTGCGTGCAGTCCCAGAACTTGACCGAGCCCGTGGAGTCGCCGGAAACGATCAGATCGCCCTTGGCTCGCTTCACAACCGCCACGGTCCACACCAGAGTAGCGTCGTCCTGTGCCACAGGTCCCTTGGCAGTGTCGACCTTCATGGTGGCAATGGTGGATCCGTCTTCGTCCCAGACCCGGATCCGCGCGTCCGAACAGCCGCCCACCACCTGCGAGCCTCTCCATGCCAAACTGAGCACTCGACAGGTGTGTCTCTGAAGGACTCGCGAATGCTCCATCACACCAGGGCCTCCAGACAGATCCACCACCACCACGGAGCCGTTTTCGCAGCCTGCAGCCAGCTTGGTTCCGTCGTCGCTCACGGCAATGCACCAGATCACACCGCTGTGGCAGTCGTAGTTGACTCTGGGCTGGCCCGTGGACACGTTCCACTCGGTGATAGCGGTCGATCCTCCGATGGAAAACAGCCGCGGCTTGCCAGAAGAGTCGCCCGAGTCAGACCACGCCAGCCCCTCGACAGACCGGCCCTTTCCTCCCCGCAAAGTCGTCTCATGGAGCCAGTTCCATCGGGGGTTCCAAATTTCGATATCTCCATTATCTCGTCCCACAGCCAGTCTCAGGTCCGGCGAGGCGTTCTGGTCCAGCTCGGAGCGTCGGCTGAACGCCAGCGCCGTGATTCCGGCCGGATTGTAGTCCACAAAACGGCATCTATGAACGTCCATTGTGTTGTGTGCTGTTTTTGTGATATGTTGCACTCTCACAATTTTTTGGCTTACCTATATGCATATGCAGATTTTTTTTTATTTAGGCTTTGTCATGTGACTAATGGGTGATAGAAGCACCTACAAGTAGCGGACTATGTAGAGCCTGTATAACAAGAAAGAGGGCTTGAAGAGATTGCTAAAGACTGAAATGCTATGACAGTGGTTTCATTTTTGGTTTTGGCCACGTTTTACGTGTTTTGGAATTATCTCGACGAATAGTGGACGTAATAGAAATCTGAAAGAACCATGATATGGAGCGGAAAAAGACCAACAAGATGCATTTTTCAGAGTTGTTTTATCTAACCAGCAACACCATATTTTGTATAGCAAAGTGTGGTCTGGCGATGTTAAGTGTAGAGTCAATGGTGTTCAGAAGATGACTTGAATGGAGATTGATACTGGGCGTAATAAGTTTGATTTTATAATAATATCGTAAATTGACCGTTGCAACAACTTGCACTCTTGGATTTGTCTATATATATTCTCTAGTCTGTCTTGTAGATGTGTTCTGTTCTGCTTAAAGTAATTCTCAACAAACATTTATACTAAGCCAAGTAACACGTAACAAACTATTATACCAAGTCAAGTAATATGTAACAAACTATTACACCAAGTCAAGTAAAAGAAAACGGGGGTTCCATGCCCCCAAACGGACGAATATCACGTGAAAAAAAAAAAAAAACCAAAAAAAACCAATCGTCAAATACATCTATACCACTTTGATAACCCCAAATGTCCTCTTTTCCTCCACTTTTCCACTCTCTGAATCACATGTCCCAAGCTGGAATCGAACCCCGCACAATATACAAAGTTTTCCCCCGGGTGGTTACCGTGGCAACGGCCTTTGTTGACGCGTTCAAACATCCCTTTGTCGCATCACTATACACCTGCCAGTTACATCAAACCACCACTCAGCATGACGACGGCCAAAAAAACACATGTCGGGGTCAAAGCCAACAACCGCAACGAGGCCAAGCTGTACTCGCTACTGGGGCAGTATTTCCAGGAGGCGCAGCGGTCGCTAGTGGCGCAGAGAAAGATCATTGTGTCCATGCAACAACTACACGAGGGAGCAGTTCAGTGGAACATGGAAGAGCAGTTCACGCGCAAGTTTCTGCTGCTGGTGAACCGCATGCTCACGTGCAAGAAGGGCGACAAGTCGGCCGACAAGGTGGTCGAGTTCATCGGCTCGTATGTGGGACGTCTTCAGGAGGAAGAGGAAGACCGGGATGAAGATGAAGATGATGAGGAGGAAGAGAGCACAGTGGCGTCTCGTTTCTGCGAGGCACTCATTCGTCACGTGCTCCGAGGAACCCAGGCCAAAGATAGACATGTGCGGTTCCGATGCTGCCACATTCTGTCTACCGTCATCAACTCTCTTAGTGACATTGACGACGACCTTTTTGAAGACCTGCGAGACTCCATGTTTGCGCGGTCGTACGACAAGGACGCCAGCACACGGCTAAAGGCCGTGTTGGCTCTGTGCCGAATCCAATCTTCTGCTGAGGAAGGAGAGGAGGAGTCCGCGGAGGAGAAACAGCTACAGGAGCTGCTACTGAGCTTGATCCAGAACGATCCCTCGGCCGACGTGCGCCGGGCTATCCTGTTCAACCTCAAGGTGACCAAGAAGACCCTTCCCTATCTTCTTGAACGTGCACGTGATACCAATTCCATCACGCGACGGTCGGTGTATGGACGGACCATGAAGAGCATTGGTGATTTCCGAATGCTGCGGATCGGCATGCGAGAGAAGTTGCTCCAATGGGGTCTCAAGGACCGAGACACGAGTGTGGAACAGGCAGCCACAAAGATGCTTGTCACCCAATGGCTCGAAACCTGTGACGGTAGCGTCCTGGAGCTTCTGCAGCGTCTCGATGTGCTCAATTCGACTGTAGCTGAGACTGCCGTCGAGATTATATTTGACCAGAAGCCCCAAATGGTTTCCAACCTCTCGTTCAAAGATTCGTGGGACACCTTGACACCAGAAACGGCCTTCCTGGCGCGTGTATACGCCCAATACTGTCTCAAGAAGGGCTACGACGATCTAGTGGACGCCCAGGTGCCAGAAGTTACAAAGATTGCTTTCTTTATTGAGCGCGATCTCCAAAATCTGACCGTGGACGAAGAGGGATACTCCGAGCGGGAGTTTGTGCTTGAGCAGCTTTTGCTTCTGGCGCAGCAGCTGGATTTTGGTGATGAAATCGGACGACGAAAGATTGTGGACGTGCTCACCAATGCGCTGACTAATAAAGATCTCTCTGATACTCTTGTGTCTGCGGTTGTCAACGTGTTCCACAAACTGTGCACCCGAGAGCGAGACTTCATCCAGGTGCTGGTTGAAATCGTGGTGGATATCGAAGACATTGCACGTGAGTCTGAAGACCCAGACAGAGTGCTTTGTACCACTTTGCGGTGTCTGGCTATCACACAGACGGTGCTTGAGCAGGTGGAGACGTCTCTGGAGTCGAATGTCGAGCTGAGCGGTCTACTAGATTCTTTGGTTCTTCCCTCAGTTCGCTCTCATGTGATTACAATCCGTGAACGGGGTCTACGATGCCTGGGTCTTCTTTCTCTGTTATCTCGTGAACAAGCGTCGGACAATCTCATGGTTTTCGGACACTGTGTTCACAAGGGCGAGGCTGAGTTCAAGGTTGAAGCTCTTAAGATCATGTCTGATATTTTGGTTCTTCATGGTCGTTCAGTTCTCGATCTTCCCGATAAAGTGGACTCTGAGAGTGTGCACAAGCTGTACTACCAGGCGTTGAAGAACGCCGACATCCCCGAGTTACAGGCTGTTGCCGCCGAAGGACTGTTCAAGCTGCTTCTCTGTGGCGTCTTTTCCAACCCCGATCTTCTGGCGGGTATCCTTCTCAACTACTTTGACCCACAGAGTGCTTCCAACGGTGCTCTGAAGCAGGTTTTGTCTTTCTGCATTCCTGTGTACGCCTACTCACGTGACGAGAATCAGCAGGTGCTTGGATCGGTGGCTATTCCTGCTATCGATAGAATTCTGCGTCACCTGGAGGATATTGAAGATGATCCTCTTACCGGTGCCACAGAGATGATGCAGCAGGTTTTGGACTGGACGGATCCGCGACGTGTGGTGTCGATTACTAACCAGTCGTCCACAGAAACTACGTCACGTGTCCACTACGATCTGGCGTTCGATATCTTGTCGTATCTGAGTGAGTGCCGGGAGCGAGCCGAGCACAGGGCGTACACGTCTGCGTTGACCAAGCTGTATTTCCCCGGCTTGACGGCTGAGGAGCTGACCAAGCTGAAGGAGGCTGTTGTTCGGTGTCACGAGGCCATCGAGGGTATTGACAATGTGTCCTTGAACGCATTTAATCGGTTTGTGGCGTCAGTGGAGAACATGGAGCCTGTGGGAGTTGTGGATGGCGTTGCAGAGAAGGAGGCAGAGGAGGATGATGAGAAGGTAGCTGAAGAAGGGGAGAACGCGGAGGCTGATACCACTGTTCTAAGACATACTGTTCCCGAGGATGAGGATGCACTTGAGGCCCCCGAGTACCCTGAAGATGAGACTAGTGGAGACACTAGCTTGAGGGGTTCTGTTGGAGGTCGGGTGTCTATTGGGGGCCGGGTTTCTCTTGGACTCAGTCCTCTCGGCCGGGGCTCTATGAGCAGCAGTCCTCTTGGCCGAGGTTCGGCTGGCCGAGCTTCTGTTGGAGGAAGTCCAATTGGACGGGCTTCTATTGGAAGTCATGCGGTTGGAAGTCCCATAGGACGACGCCAGAGTCGGCTGTCGACAGTTTCGGGCATCGATGACGAGGCTGAGGAGAGTGACGAAGATGAGAGAGAAGAGAGTGAGGAGAGTGACGAAGATGAGAGTGACGAAGATGAGAGTGACGAAGATGAGAGTGATGTTGAGATGGACATGTGAAGAGATGATAATGTATGTATTTTTAAATAATGAATGGGTGTTAAGGATATCTACTTGGTGATGTTGGAGTAGGGAGTTGATAGAGATGGATTTAGGAGTTGTCTGAAGGAGATACTGGTGCCGAGACTTGTATCACGATTTAACCAGCTACGTCATCTTTGGATAAAGTGTAGATAATATGACACATGAGCAATATTGTGCTCTTGCTGAACACGATGGTTGTTTCAGATTTGCGATGTCTTTTGGGGGAGTTTTTACATGAGTTGGAGACAGTTTTGGGGAGTTGGAGAGAAGTTTCGAGCAGTTTGGACAGTTTCGCAGACCAGTTTGGATATTTGGACAACTATCTGAATACTCTCACTGACACCAGGCCACCCGTGAACTTGTTGATCACCGGGGTGGTCCTAGAAAAGGAGCATGCAACCGGCCTAACCTACGATGTTTGGGTTTGTTTGACGAAAAGTTTCCAACTCGGCCGATATGGCCTGGAAATGGCTGGAATACGTCATGAGTTGAGATTGCGTCATGAACAGCATTCTGCCGGAATTTGAAGCTCTTATCTCTCTCCAAACGTCCGTTTTGGACACCTTTTAGAATCAGTTGGAAAACATTTGGGCACGATTAACTTTCGAGGCTAGTAGGGTAGGGAGTGACGATGGAATGAAAAGCAGGAGATGAGAGTCCGCACTATACTCCACGTGACTAATCTACTCTGACTAAGCTACTCTGCTCTGACTAATCTACTCTGACTAAGCTACTCTGACTACTCTACGTGACTACTCTGGCTAATCTAAACTGGGATGACTGCTATCGGTCCTTTTCTGTTCCTTTTCGACGTGCGTCTCGCTTAACAACTTTGTTTATTCGCTACAAGCCGGAGGGGAACATGGTGATGTGAAGGACTGTTTTTAGCATCTGTAGAGTACCGTGATTGTAGAGGTGTTGGCGACTAGTGGCGGAACCAACACTTGTTGCGGAGTGTATTCAATTGGACACTGCGAAGGCTTGAACCGAGGTGAGTCTGACCTCGTTCAACCACCCTGTCAGCTCGCCAGACCCTGTAAGTTGGCCAGATCTCGCCAGATCTCGTCACCGCCAGACCTCGCCAAACCTCGTCACCGCCAGACCCCACGTACCATCGCGACCATCGCATAAAGGCGTATCACTGGACGATCTGCGCTTTGTTTGGATCAGATCATGGAGACGCACGTGCAGTAGCACAGTTAGGGGCAGGCCATTTTCAGTGTGGTTTTTAGTTCCGGAGAAAAAGTGAAAAGTGGAAAAAGTGGAAAGTGAAAAAGAGGAAAAAACACGGCAGCAAACACAGCGGCCGAAGAGCCGACCTGGAGAATGATGGAGATGGCGGGGTTGGTAGGGGTTGGAAAAATGCAGAAAATAGACGGAAAATAAGGGCAAAATAGTCGGTTTGAAACAGTCCTTTTTCCCAAAAAAAAGGCGTTTTATTAACCCGTTTAAACCCACAACTACAAGTGCTCTCGCATCCCGGACTCCATACGACAAGACGGGTATATACGAGACGGTGTATCTTTAGGGGGGTGTTTATTTTGGCCTGTTTTGATCGATTTTGACGGTGGAAAAGCGTAAATCCATCAAAGTAGCCATTCTAAACCATTTCCCCTTGTCCGCTTCCCGCCAGCACTCGTAGATGCCGAGTTATATTCACCGCAATGTCTTTCCCCCCGTCGCTCCCGTCGCTTAGAGGTACGCCCTTTTTCCACCGTGCCAAACCTAGAGTGGAATTAGCACTCGCATACTTCCCGTTTGGGAGGTTGCAACGCGACGACACGAGATACTTAAGCTGATCTGAATCGCCCTTGTAAACCCCCCCAAAACACCACATTCAACATGTCTTCCAACATCAAACTGGCTCAGAAGGACTACAAGGGCGACAAGGAGTTTGCCGCGGCTCTGCACGGCAAGGAAGGCCACAAGAAACACGGTCTGGGCGCGGTCATGTCGAAAAACAAGGACGCCCAGGCGGCGGCGGTGGAGGGTTTTTTCCGAAACTGGGGTGACAAGGACCGGTCCAAGATCGAGGACGCCGACGAACAGGGCCGAATCGAAGACTACGCCGGACTCACCAAGCACTACTACAACCTGGTGACGGACTTTTACGAGTACGGCTGGGGCTCGTCGTTCCACTTTTCCCGATACTACAAGGGAGAGGCGTTCCGACAGGCCACCGCCCGGCACGAGCACTACCTGGCCTACAAGATGGGCATCCAGCCCGGCATGAAGGTGCTGGACGTTGGCTGTGGAGTCGGAGGCCCCGCACGTGAAATCGCCCGATTCACTGGTGCCAACATTGTCGGTCTCAACAACAACGACTACCAAGTGGAGCGAGGCACCCACTACTCGGAGGTCCAGGGCTTTGGCGACCAGGTCACCTACGTCAAGGGCGACTTCATGCAGATGGACTTCCCCGACAACTCGTTTGACGCCGTCTACGCCATTGAGGCCACCGTCCACGCCCCTGTTCTGGAGGGCGTCTACTCCGAGATCTTCCGAGTGCTCAAGCCCGGCGGAGTCTTTGGTGTTTACGAGTGGGTCATGACCGACGAGTACGACGAGTCCAACCCCGAGCACCGAGACATTTGCTACGGCATTGAGAAGGGCGACGGTATCCCCAAAATGTACAAGCGAGAGGTGGCGGTCAAGGCCCTCGAGAACGTTGGCTTCGACATTGAATACCAGGAGGATCTGGCTGCTGATGACGCCGAGGTGCCCTGGTACTACCCTCTGGCCGGTGAGTGGAAGTACGTCCAGTCTCTCAACGACATTGTCACCATTGGCCGAACCTCGCGACTGGGCCGAATGGTCACCATGAACGTGATTGGCGCGCTGGAGAAGATTGGTCTGGCTCCCCAGGGTTCTCGACAGGTGACCGAGGCCCTGGAGGATGCTGCCGTCAACCTGGTGGCTGGAGGAAAGAAGAAGCTCTTTACCCCCATGATGCTGTTTGTTTCTCGAAAGCCCGAGGACAAGAACTGAACTGAGTAACTTATAGAGGGAGCCACGGCCCCAAAATTTATAATGGATTGTTTTATTGACGTGGTGTAGCTGAGAAGGATCGGTGGTGGAACGGCTAAGGAAGTTGAGCTCTCAAGAGGAGGTCTCAAGACGTCTCAAGTCGGTCACAATGATGATAAGAAGCTGACCCACCGGTGATGGTGATTCAACGTCTCACGTGAGCCATGAGAACAAATAGCTGGACAGATAACGCTTGTACGGAGTCAAGAAGTTGGCGAGACACATGTGATTGATTCAGCAAAACAATCGGTGTCTTGGCCGTCAGGCCACTGCGATTATGAATAAAAATGAATAAAAATGAATAAAAATGAATAAAAATGAATAAAAATGAATAAAAATGAATAAAAATGAATAAAAATTACGAGTACTTGAGTAATCAACGAACGCTATGAACGAACTCGACTTGTTTTTTTGGTGAGACGACATTGCGTGCCAGAGGCTAGGCCGAGCACTAGGTCTGTTCAGAACTGGACTTGGTATATATATGACCAACGGTCGGATGATTAATTATAAGGGACCAATTCCCAAGTAATAGATGTATATATATTTCACTTGCCTTTTTTTATAATAATAACATTTCATCCAAATAATTTTCCAATTGTAATTGTATACCCCTGAACTTATCTAAATGGAATTAATCAGGAAAAAACAATAAAACACAAAAACAAAACAAAACACCTCTTACACGACAAACAGCCATTAAAATGAGCTATTGTGATCGCTTACGACTCGGTTGTGAGCAACATGTCTTAGGTCTCCGCCCCTCAAGACCATTTCTTAATATACATAAAAATAAAATAAAACATAAAATAAATCTAACCAAGAAACCAACGGATATGGCTGAAAAAAAACTGGAGGTGAAGAAAAAATAAGAGTCTGGGGTGAAAGAATCTCCCTGATCCGAGTCCTCCAAACGGTACAGTTAATTGTTTTTGTTTTCGTTTTTGTTTTTGTTTTTGTTTTTGTTTTTGTTTTTGTTTTTGTTTCGATTTTGGTTTATTTTATTTGATTTGATTTTGATTTTGATTTTGATTTTGCTTTTGATTTTGATTTTGATTTTGATTTTGATTTTGATTTTGATTTTGTTTTGATTTTGATTTTGATTTTGATTTTGATTTTGTTTCGATTTTGATTTATTTGATTTGATTTATTTGATTTGATTTATTTGATTTATTTTATTTGAATTTAAAATTAGTATTTATTTTTCAATTATTTTAAATTATCGGACCATCACCACTAAAAAAGTTACACGGAGATAAGCGGGCAGATGAGAACGGCGCCATAGAGAAAGTAAGGGAAACTCACAGACGTATTCGATCAAGTCGACAGCTCATCGAAAGAGCAGACAAGTGCTGAATCAGCCGACTGGATCAGTTTCTTTTTCAGTCACTTCTGCTCACGGATAGCATTTCGCTAGAACTGTCAATTTCAATGTTATTACTATGGTATAAATACAGATAATGAGCGTGGTGATAGAGTTGTCGGAGCAGTGTGCCATTCCAGCTGTGAGAGCAAAGATGGCCTTTGCTCATAGCCCACACTATGCCCATACCATGATCCAGCGCCGTTTCAGTCTCGCTCTGCGTGGTCGATCGCTTGCTCGGTCGCTAACCAAGAACGGGAATGTCCTTCTCGGTAAACCCATGATACGCCATCATCTCCTGGTACACCTGCGTATACCACTCCAACACCTTTGTTTCCGCACAGGTGGTTCTGCACCAGTTTTTCTTGCCCGGCTTGGGCTTTCTGGTGGTGAAATGAATCAGCACAGCCTCGTCCCACAGCTGGTCCCAGGACTCTCGGTGGTAGTGATACATGACCAGGTTGAAGTTGTACTTGTAGGGCAAGCCAAAATAGCGGAACTGGTAGTAGTTGTTGAGCAGCGCCTGGTCGGCGTCGTTGGGCGCATGCATCTTGGGGTCGGAGACGGCCTTGACCAGAGCCCGGAACTCCTCCATGTTGGGCTTGAACGAAATGACGCCCGAGTTGAACTTGTTGTCTGTCAGCTTGTCCCACCACACATCCGGGGCGGCCGCCAGAGTGTCTCCAGGCATCAGAAGAAGCTCCTTTAGAGCTCCCTTACACAGCACGTCGGCGTCGATGAAAATCACCTTTTCGTACTGCGTCCAAGACCACAGGTGCAGCTTGTTGAGATTGTGTTTGTGCCACGGTCGGATCTTGTTGATGTCGACTCCGTCGAAATCAATGCCCTCCGCCTCCTTGACCCGCCACCCCACCTTTTCCAGGTTGGTGATGTTTTGCGCCGTCACTCCATCGTCGCCATTCACCTGCGCGCGAACTAGCAATACCAAGTCTGCATCCAGCGCCCGCAGATCGTTGTACTTTTGAATCGAGTACCCCAGGTTCATGGCCAGACCGGTGAACGACGCCGTTTGAACAGACGACGTGATGGCAAAACGCCGGTTTTTCTTCGCCCCCGCAATCGACCGAAGTTGCTGCAACACCGAGTCCGAATCATGGACCTTGAATGCAAACTTGGCCTTGAGCCGGTTCGGAATATAGGCGTTGATGGACGACTTGACCACGTTGACGGTCGACGCCGACTGCGGAACGGGGTTCGAGGGATGCGAGCCGACGGAAATGAAGACGAGAAACAGCGTCACAGCCCCAACGGCCATCGCCAGCCGAATCAAAGGTCGCATAGTGAGTTGTCGGAAGAACGATACGTGTCTATGTCGTGGGGCAAAAAGAGGTGGGTCCAAAATATGTTATGCTTTGTTGTAATAAGGTTACAAACCTAAACCCTAACGCGCCAGCGGGTAGGGGGTATTTTTGGCCCAGGACATTGGTCGGGTGGTGACAACACCGCCGAGGTCGTGCCCCACGACATTGGTCGTGTGGTTCCCTTGACACTGGCCTTGACCACCACACTACCCACCCCATGCCCACAACCTGACAGATGTAACTCCTGTCAACCTACATATCTATCCCAATCGGTGCTACTGCATACGGCTGAAGGAATGCCCCCATTTTATCTGCCCCTAATGTCAGCTGAGCCGCGGTGACGTAAACCGCGGAATCCGGGCGTCACGTGACCCACCGCAGACGTTTGTCGCGACCGACCAACAATTGGGCCCAAATATCTGGTTATTGTCGCTGGCTCAATGCACAGATCTACAATGATACAGGCACAAGGTCTGAGCTAGATTGATTACTCAGCAACGATGGCGGAGTGGGGTTACGTAATATGTAAACACGCCGCTTCTGCTTATATACTTTAGTTTTCACCGCGTTACATAAACATTACATAAGCATCAGAAAAGTGGCGGTGGCCAAAAAAAAAAAAAACTATCATATAATACAACTGTGAGACATTTATTATAGTCGGACTTGGGAAGTCCGAGAAATCAAGGGGCAATGGTGTCACGTGACTACACTCTCCCTGCAGATTGGTGGTATTTAGCAGCCCCAAACCTTATTAAGATACTTACATCAGTTAGGGCTAAGCCCTATGCACGTGATGTTGGCCCGATCTAACTCTCCCAACAGTCACACACGTGATTCGTCTGCACGTCCGGTCCCAATTGGGCAACTGGCGTTGGGAGCGGTTCTGCTATCTGAAATTTGCTTCCGTTTTCCATCTCGACAGTTAGCAGGAATCATCGACAACAAGTGAGTATTGTTGGACAAAACAAGCGATACGTGCGGGCGAGAAACGCGAGCGACGACCACGATATGGGCCAAGTGGTGCCCACGATACGGCCCCGGTGATGCCGCGATACGACATCGGTGGTGCCCTCAACAGTGACAAATGTGATACCCGCGACAAACCAGTGATGCCTCCAACAAATTTGCCACCCGACCGGAATATGAGACTGACGAGGTGAATCGATTGAGGGATAGATTGACGCTGAAAAGACATTCATCTTGACGTTGAAAAGGTCGTTACCAGATCTTAGCGAGTGCTTCACCACCATCACCGACATAACTTTCTCGCCTGTTTCGCCTTTCTCGCCTCTCGCCACCCTCCACCACCTTCACCAACTAACCCAGTGCAAATCTTTGTCAAGACCCTTACTGGCAAGACTATCACCCTCGAGGTGGAGTCCTCTGACACCATTGACAACGTCAAGTCCAAGATCCAGGACAAGGAGGGAATCCCCCCGGACCAGCAGCGACTTATCTTCGCCGGTAAGCAGCTCGAGGACGGCCGAACTCTTTCCGACTACAACATCCAGAAGGAGTCCACTCTCCATCTCGTTCTGCGACTCCGAGGAGGTATCATCGAGCCCTCTCTCAAGGCTCTTGCCTCCAAGTACAACTGTGAGAAGGCCATCTGCCGAAAGTGCTACGCCCGACTTCCTCCTCGAGCCACCAACTGCCGAAAGAAGAAGTGCGGACACACCAACCAGCTCCGACCCAAGAAGAAGCTCAAGTAAACTATTCGCATGTATGGTATATGTATAAAAATTCTGTTAGAGAGCGAGTCGTAGTGAGAGACCACGGAGCCGTAACGGCGGTTGTGAATCTGCTAATTATTTGTGTGCGAATATCAAGCATGAGAGTCTTGGGCGAATGTCAGCCTTGTGAGCGTCTCGAGCGAATGTCCTTCTGAGCATGATGGAACAATCCAGCGAATATCCATGTCTGTGCGCCAGTGGACGGACTGTGTGGAGATGTCGTAGATGATTACCGCAACGTCGTAACACAATCTCTGAGTGGGCATGGAGTCATAGCGAGATGAAGTAAGGAAGTCGTTAATGGGAGTATCAACTGTAGCGCTGAAACCACTGCGACTCTACCATGATAGGATCTGTGGCATTTCTGTGATGTGAGTATAGCTGGAACCTGTGGCTGTTCTTGTAGTCACAGTCACAGTCACAGTCACAGTCACAGTCACAGTCACAGTCGCAGTCACAGTCGCAGTCGCAGTCACAGTCGCAGTCACAGTCGCAGTCACAGTCGCAGTCACAGTCGCAGTCACAGTCGCAGTCACAGTCGCAGTCACAGTCGGAGATCCAGTTCATACCATCTGCCGGTACTTGACTGAATGTGTCGCACTGTTGAGTTCTACCGAATTAGTGTCAAGTTCAGAGACTCATTGGAATATAGCGACAGCCACATCAATTTATTTTATTTTATTTTAATCAGGCGCCTGGTCGCGAATTATTACTAGTTGAATTGTTTTAAATCATTTTCTGTCGGATTAAATCAGCTATTTTGTGTATATTTATATTATATTATTACTGATAAAATCAATCCACAAATCAAACAAATCCAAAAACGCTGAACGGAGACTCGGGATAAAATGATAAAAATATTGGGCGATATGTGAGAGACTTCAAATGGTTGGCTGTTATTCCCTTGGATGAACCATTTTGACATTCTTTTTTTCATTCTTTTTTATTCTGTTCATTCTTTTTTGCCACATTTACAGATCATTTCTTTGCACACTTCTTTTTCAAGCCTTGGAAGAATGAATAAAAAACAAAAATGAATTAAAAATGAATAAATAAAAGATGAATGACGGGTGACCTGGTCACGTGACGAAACACCAGTTCTGGTACTTGATATCCAATAATTAATAATAAAAAAACAAACAAAACATTTCTGGGGAATAAGCCGATTTTTTTGCCCAAACTGGAACACCTGTAATATGACCTTCGATTCAACTGTATATATACTGAAGTTTCACAAGCAAAAAACAACGAGTTTTCGAAATATCGGGTTGACAAACGCAGCAGAAGTTGTTACAAGTAAATAACTCGCAATCCAACTTTCACCCTCCGCGAGTATATATATTCCAGTGAAGTTGTACTTGTACCAAGAGAGAGATATGTAATCCTTTCATCTTGTAGACAGAATCAAAACTCCAAGAAGATACAAGTACTCGTGGTCTCATTATATTTATTCCGTTTCCAAAGACTTCAATTGTTGCTACTTGTAGTAACAATACCAACTCATATAAACCCTTCAATAGATCCCTCTGAAGTTGAACATATCTGAAACTCGAACTCGAACGAGTAATCGAACTTGAACGAGTAGTAGAAGATGTTCAAAAGACGACCGAAAAGGGCGTTACATGTGGATGGAGCCCAAGTACAAGTACTTGCACTTGCACTCGCACTCGCACTCTCAATTACCGCAGAACACCTAAGAGCTGGAGACAGGTCGTAGGCTTGACCAGAGAACGTCTCAGAGGGCCGGTTCGAAGTTCATAGAATGTGGCTAACGACTCGGATCAATATAAGCATCTTGTCTGCACAGATTACCAAATAGAATCCCAGCAGAGCGAGAGCGCGAGGTTAGATATCGTGGGCGTCGGGGTGTTTTTTTTTCTCTTTTTTTTTCTTTCTTTTTTTTCTTTCTTCTTCTTGTTTCTCATACTTGTACGAGAAGATAATCTCTGATATACTGGAGCCCTGAAATTTACTTCAGGCGATGGAAAAGAGAATTATATACCACCTGATGTAATCAATAATTTTATTGCGTATTTTTCTGACTAGAAATCGCACTTTTCAAAACTTGAAAATAAATAAAATATAAATTAATTTTAAACAACTCTGATAAAACAATCAAAAATAGAAATAAATAAAGTAATTTTGTCAAAAAACACACAAACATCAAATGCTCATATCTTCATGTTCCTGTCCACAGCTACGCCTCTCGCTCATCGTCTATAAATAATGCATTATAAATTAAATATCCTATGGGACATACTTTTTCCTCCTCCATCTTCTCCCTATTAAATATCCCTATTGGGCGTCCGAGCAGGCTCCACAAACGCCTTGGTCGGACAAAACTTGACCAACGTCTCATGTAGAGCCGACCGCCGGATGGGCTTGGACAAGAAACCCGACATGCCAGCCTCCTTGCACGACTTGGCGTTCTCGTCGTCGTTAAACGCCGTCAGAGCCACAATCGGATGCGTGTATCCTAGCTCGTTTCGAATGAACCGTGTAGCAGCAATACCGTCCATCTTGGGCATCTGAACGTCCATGAACACCAGGTCGAACGGCTTGGCCTGCTCCATCGCCTCGCGCACCTTGGCCACGGCCTGCTCTCCGTCGTTGGCAAGAACAATGTGTGGAATGTCTTCCAGCTTGAGCATTCGCCGAATGACCTGCTGGTTGACGATATTGTCCTCCGCCACGAGAATCCGCGCCCGCTCCTCGACAGGAAGAGCAAAGTAGGATGACTCGGACTTTGGAGGGAGTTTCTGAGGGGTCGACAGAGGAGGAACGGTTGTGGCGGCAGGAGAAGGTCCCACCACAGCCACAGACGGCACCTCCTGGGCAGCCTCGTACGAAACCGTCCGCGACACTCCCACTTCTCCTCCCTCCTCGTCATCGTCGTCGTCGTCGTCATCGTCGGACGAGAAACTCACCAACTCCGCTCGTCGCATGGCGGTACCGCCGTACGTGAACGCAGAAGGCGAGTAGCGCGGCTTGTCTGAATGGATCACACCCAGAGGACTCTGACCGGACGAGCCGGAGCCCGAACCGCCACCAGAACCTCCTCCGCCGCTAGAAGACGAGTATGCGTCCTCCTTGCCAATCACGCCCGTCTGCTTGAGCGGAATTTGCACCGTAAAGGTCGAGCCTTCGCCCACCTTGGACTTGAGCGTCATGTGACCGCCCATCATTGCCGTCAGCTGCTTGCAGATGGATAGTCCGAGGCCCGTACCGCCATGAGTTCGACTCAGAGCCTGCTCGCCCTGCACAAAGAGCTCAAACACTCGTTCCTGGAGATGCTCGGCAATTCCAGGACCGTTGTCTTCGACCTCAAACTCCATCACCAGCGTGTGCGGCTGCTCGAACCGCACGGACTGGCCCTTGGGGGCAGCCCTAAGACCGCCCGAAGAGCCCGATTGAGAGCACCCGGGGCGGTCCTCTGAGGGCGTGGTGCTGCTCTGGGGAGTATAAACCACCAAGGGCGTGGCCACGGAGTTGGCCGAGGTGGGGAACACGGTGTGCACCTCGTCGACGGTGGCGAGAGGAGTATGTGGCTCGCTCTTGCTGGTGGAGTCGTTGTTAGACATACGGAAGTAGCTAATCGGCGACTCGGTGAACATCTCTCCGGAATTGAGATCCAGCACCATCTTGTCCTGAGGTGGTAGTTCCTCCTTGACAACGAGACGTTCGTTGCCAGTGTTGGCAGTTGCCCCGGGGTCAAACTCGCCGTAGCTCTTGATTCGGAGCTCCACCTGACCTCCAACAGGCGTGAATTTTAGCGAGTTGGAAATCAGGTTGATCATGACCTGCAGCATACGGTTGGAATCGCCCAGGAAGACGTAGTTGGAGACCTCGGGAGGCTCCACGGTCACGGTAAGTCGCACACCGTGGTCACGTGCCTGTTTGACGAAAATGGCAGAAATCTGCGACAGAATCTCATGGAACACAAACTCCCGCTCATCCAGAACCATTCTGCCGACTTGCGACTTGGAAAACGTGAGCAGATCGGTCAAGAGATGAAGCAGCAACTCTCCCGACTTGAAAATCACCTTCAAGCTCTTGCCAATCTTCTTGGCATCCTTTTCAGACAATGAAACGGATGTCATACCCAGGATACCGTTGAGGGGGGTTCGCAGTTCATGCGTAATGTTGGCAATGAACAGCGTCTTCGCCTCGTTGGCACTCTCGGCCTGCACACGGGCAGCCTCGAGCTCGAGGGTACGCTGAGCCACCCGCTGCTCCATAATCGAATACTGCTTGTGCAGCTCCTCGGTCATGGTGTTGAAGGTCTGCGTCAGCTCGGTGAGCTCGTCCTCAATGACTACAGGGTGGATCTCAATGTACCCCTCGTGGCCATCGAGATCGAGGGCCTCGGCTGTGAATCGAGTCATTCCGAGTGTCCGCAGAATCTTCATACCGATAGAACGGGTGTGTTTCCACCACGTCTTGCGCCTCGGAACACTCTGATTGGCCGGGTTCTCCAAATCAAAGAGCCCAGAGCCAACATCAGTGGACGACGTCACTGGCGAGTTGTCGGGCGGATTGGGAGATGCGCCGTCGTCCTTCTCAATCGTCCTGTACTTGTATGCGGTGTGTTCGGTGGCCTTTTGGAGCCGAATGATGGGGCGAACGACATATGCAGCGATGGGAAAGGTGATAATGACCGTGAGAAACGCCAGTCCAATGGCAGCACCAATCACAATGTTCTTCAACCGGTTGATAGACGCATACACGTCCTTTTGGGGCTCTTCAACAATGACAGCCCAGGAGGCAAACAACAAGTCAACGGGAGCATATCCGGCCGAAATCTTTTCGCCAATCATGTTTTTGGTCATCAGATTGTTGGGAAGTGTTGTCGAAAAGGCTTTCTGAGCCGGGGGGTACAGCTCATCAGAATAAGCCTTTTGGTCAGTTTGACCAGTGGTGAGATAGGGCGCCACAATGTAGCGAAAGTAGTTTGTCTGGGGATTAGACTTGTTTGTGTTGCCTGCAATGATTCCGTCTGCGGAGTCCAACGGCGAAGGGGTCAGTGGATGGCGTGCTCCTCCGTCTTCCAGCTCCTCCTCTCCTCCATCCTGGCTGGCTTTTTCCTGCTCTGAGGCCACCACCGTGAGTTGTCTCTTATCTAGCTGTCTCTTCTTCTTGGCTCTGTCCATGTCCTCTCTCTTTGGCGGCTGAGTCACGAGGACCATGCCTGTTCGGTTAATGTCCTGGGGCGTGACAGCCTCCACCAGAACCACCGTTCCCTCCTTTTCCACTGGTGATGCGGAGTCGCTTTTGGACACGTCCATGACCGTGTTAGCCGAGCACGATACCGTCAGGTAGCCCGCTAGTGACCGCTGGTCGACCAGCACGGACATGTTGACGTAGATGGGCACGGTGAAGGACATGACGGGGTTCATGTTACTGGGGTAGCGGGAAAAGTGCCGTGGGCCGCCTATGAGCGCCCCGTGTTCGACCAGCGACTGCGGCACTTGTGTGGCTCCTCTCAGCGGAAAGATGTCGGCAAACTCCGACAGGTTGGGCGCTGCTCCGGAGTAGAAGCTGTCTCCAGACACGAGTCTGGCTCCTGGCAGGTCGTATTGCACCTGGCCGCCCATGTCGAGCACCGTGCTCAGGCTGCGGTCGTAGATTTCTAGCTGGAAGAAGGTGGACGATGAGTCCAGTGACGACTGCATCAGCGTTCGAGTTGCAGCCCAGTTTGCGTCCGTGTTGTTTCCGGCCTTGGCCCGTGCCATAGCCACCTGCAGCTCGTCGCGGTTGGCCAGAGCTTGCACCTGGTAATAGATGGCCATGACGGACTGCACGAGCTGCGCGGCCTTGAGCATGCTTACGATTTTGATTCGTTCTTGCCGCAACTCCAGCACGCTGTTGGTGTACTTGACGCCGGTGACGATGGCGAGAATCAACAGAGACAGCGTGATGACGACGATGACCAGCACGATCATCTGCGTGCGGATCCCGATTTTTATTTGTCGCATCGGTCAACGGTCAACGGGGATGTGGTCGTGGTCGTGGTTGAGTGTAGTTAGTGGTGTGTTGAGTCACGTTGGCTCCCCAAAAATTAGTCTAATATATTGGCGATGTTCGAAAATGTATATTTAGGTTGCAAAGGAGGGGAGTCAGTACAAGAGTACGATAGCTTGTGGTGGTGTAATAAAAGTAAATAGAGAGAAAAAAAAGGAGGGAAAATACGCGGAGAATATGTGAAGAAAATGCGCTCAAAATACCATGGCCTACCTGCAAATAAATCACCATTTATCCCCCGTAGCTCGACCATTACAAACCACCCCATTCTAACTTTACACATAAGATTCCGTGCATACAGCACCCCCGCCAGAAAAACGAATTATTTGCAGCGTTTGTGGTGGTCGTAACACACTCGGAATACTTTCTAAAGATAGCCAATGTCCTTCAAAAAAATTCAAAATTTCCACAAAATTCTCCGAAATTTACCCATTTTTCTACGCTTTCCTCACCCCCTTGGCCGCATGAACGCCATCTACAATTAGCGCCAAACTCCAAACCATACAGCACACACGTCATCGTTACAAAAGCACTTGTATGGTACATGCACATTTTTTACAAAAGTAATTAACACGTAATTGTGTATATTTCTGCGGTTTTATCGGGTTTATCAAATATTCCAAATCGCTGGAATTATGGTGCATTTTTTCCCGAAAATATTTATCCGATTTTAAAAATTGTCTAAAAACCCCCCCCCAAGACGACGATCCATCTTCGCTTGCCTAAACTCTGAACCTTGTCTACAATATTGAAAGTCCAGCACCGTTTTTTTACTGATGCAGGATGCGTCTGTCAAGCGGTAGCAAGAATTACTAAGCAAGTGCGCGAGTATCGGTCCATCACACGAGTCACGTGACATGCTCCGGCTCTTCTTCACGGTGTATTATTTTTTTGTGCTTTTTTGTGCTTATTAATAATACAGTCGGTGGTAGTACAGCCGTTCGGAGACTATTGTAAAACTGTGTGGGTCGTATCGGGCAGTGTTTTGAGGGGTGGAGTTTATTAGATAAAAAGAATTAAATGATGTTTTAAAAAGAGAAACATGGAAAAAATGGAAAAAATGGAAAAAACTTGGATGTGGTGGAAAAATTGGATGTGGTGGAAAACTTGGATGTGGTGGAAAATCGGAATATTTGGAAAAATAAACAGAAATACGTATCGTACGACTCGTACGATGCCAACACACGGGATATAAACGTCAGATCACATCTGTCAAATCTCACCAGCATAAAGTTAACGAAGACTAAGCGAGAAACGAAAACCAGCAATAATGGGGATTTCTAGAGACCTAGGGGGGGGAATGGATATTCACGTGACAGAGAAACACTGTCAAACAACTTTTTGGTATTTTTCTGGTGTTTTTTTGGCAATTTTCGGCAATTTCTGATTTTTTTCCGGCAATTTCCGGCTTTATTTGACCGTTTTGAACCGCTCAGGATGGCGATAATCTCAAACTTTTCTGAGACAAGTTTCAACCTAAATGGATTCTCAGGGTGACGGTCACGGGCGTGAAATGGGAAGGAATAGGTCTTCTGAAAAGGTGGAAATTGGAAGAGATTCTGACGGACTTTGAGAACAAAACTTGTCGTACAAATTAGTCTCTACAATGGGTGGATTGTCCAATAAATGGAATCCTGAGCCACTACCGAACGTGAACGCCGTCTGAACCTTCATGAGAGAGAACCAACAATACGACGATCCTTCAAAAAGTTCTTGTACAAGGCCGCCAGAAAGATGATATCAACATATTATTACAAACTCGGCATACAGAGAGAAAATGGGCTCAGAAAACTACAAGTAGTGTCGAAAAAGGTGTCCAAGCGTCCTAAAATCGTGATTCCAAAGTGCCATCAGAGAAACGGGCAATCTCAACCAACTCGCCAAAGAAATACCCGATTAGAATGGGGACTTGGAAAATCGATTCAGTCTGGCACAATGATAACACAAACCAGTCTCTTGAATGTCTTCTTTATCGAGAAAACGTCTCAAATCCCGTATAACATGTCTCCAATGCGCAGTTGCATCTCTCATCGCAGGGATGGCTGTAGATCATCCCCAGAGCCAGCAATAAATGAGATTCAAACCAGAAAAAAAGTCCCAGATAGAAAAAGAATCGAAACACAGATACATCTGGTATTTTTTACATCCATTAGGCCTCTCTAACCCCACATTTTAGCACCCTCAAACTACTTTGCTTAGTAACCTTCCAGTGCTCATCAACAAACATATGTATCTCCCTCTGTAGACATTTCATCGATTAGCCAAGTTGTTGGTTTTGTAGCTTTCTTCTGCTGATCCAGAACACATCTTCAAAACCGCAAAATGATTACGTCAGCCCCGACTATTCGCAATCCTGACTAACCCTGAAACTCTACCCTTACTGATACACAAGTACGAAGTACACCTGCTACAACGTGATTAGATCGTGACTTACTGCTACAGCTCACTGAAACCAGCTCGCCGAATATATATTATGGTGGTACATGCCAACGGTGGGCCATGTGGTAGTGCTCACTAGACAGAACAGAGGTTTCTGAAGCAGCTACTAGAATACAAAAATGCTGGCTCCGTCGAGTTGTTAAAGTTCTTGCTCCGTTCTGTAGAAGTCCTTGACTCACCGTTTGGTGAAACTTGCTCCATCGTTGTGCCCAGTTCCACAAATTATTTAGGGAGATGCAAAAAAATACACTGGTCTCCTCTGGAGCACGCCTTATCCGTATTGAAGAACCTGCACGGTTGCGAGTACCTGTTGGCCGGGAGCTTATCCCATGATCTGGAAATGTCCGGTCGAACATCGCGTTTCCGCATCTCACTCACATTACCCCGATCGTGCCGGTCATGTCTGTCGTTGCGGTCGTATCTATCGTTTCGATCGTACCGATGCTGTTGTTGCTGTTGTTGCTGGGGATGCTGTTGTTGCTGCTGTTGCTGCTGTTGTTGTTGGTTCTGCTGCTGCATCTGAGCCAGAGCCTGCACAAACGCCATGGGATCTACTCCCGGAGGAAGTCCCGGAATGGGAGGCATGCCTACTGCAGCAGCACCGGGGTTGGCCGCAGCCTGGAGCGCTGGAATGAGGTTCTGCAGTCCAGGCAGCGACGCCAAAGCCGCCAGGGGGTTGGCCGCAGGCGGAGGAGGCGGTGGAGGGGTGCTCTGCTTCTGCTCAGAGCCACTGACAGACGCAAAACCGGGAAGTTTGGAAATATCAAACGCTGGCACGTCAGGAATCGGCTCGGCTGGTTTCTCAGTAGCAGTCTCGCCCACAAACACCGTATCGTATGCCTCGCACACGTTTTCACTGGTAGGGTCACCCTTAAATGCCTGCTTGGGCACAACACGGTACGCGCCAGACATGATGCTCAGCATCTTCTTGGTCCGTTCCGCCACTACCATCTCCTTGGGCTCGCTCAACAGCGAGTCTGGTAGATCCAGTGGGTTCTGCGACGCCTCAGACGGCTCGACTGGACTGTCTGGAATGTCATCATCGGGGCCATATACGGTGGCCAGAGACGTTTTGTTTCGCTGGGCCATGAGTTCCGCTTCGGAAGACTCAATCGCGCCATGACCGCCTCGCTTGGGCGGGTTGGGCTCGATATCGTCAGTAACGCCCTCGAAGGACATTTTGGCAGGCTCGTACCACACCTGCTGTTCATCTTCCACCGGGTCAAAGTCGATATCCACCTCGCTATTGTTGCCAATCAGACCTCGGCCCTCCTCCTTGTCCATATCTCTATACGAGGACAGGTGGTGGTTGCGGTTCTCGTCCTTTTCGGACTCAAAGAAGCGGATATCCACCAGCTCCTCGTCCGGCCGCCACGACACCTTCTTCTTAACCTTTTGCTTCTTTGCCTCAACAGGCGCAGACGCAGCGGGGGAAGCCCGCTTCGTAGGAACCCGCAGAATGTTGGCCATGACGTCGTTGAACGCAGATTGTGGGGGTTTGACCTCTGGTTTGGGCTCGGGCTTTGGCTCGGACTTCGTCTCGGACTTCACCTCGGGCTTCTTGTCAACCTTCTTGTCCGCCACCTTATCCACATCAATGGCCTTCTTCTCAGCCTCCGGCTTCGACAGCGACTTGAAGAACGATCCAGCAGCAGGTTTGGCAGCAGGTTTGGCCAGCGGCTTGGCAACCTTGCCGCTCTTGACCTTGGCTGCCGCAGTTGCTGGGGTCGCAGCTGACGAGCTGGAAGTAGAAGACACGGCCGAAGATTTCGACTCAGTCGGCACAGGGCTGGCGGATGAGTCATCAGCCTTCACGGCCTTTGCCGCCTGGTCAAGAATCTTGTTGGACTTGTCCTTCACGCTCTCGGATCCCAACTTGATGATCTTCTTGAGAACCTTGTCGAACTTGAACTGCAGAAGCGTGTCATGGGACAATCGCATCACCACCAAAAAGTCGAGCGCCGAACCACACTCGTCAATGAATCGCTTGTTGACGTTGAAGACCATCCACGCTCGCAGACGCACAATGAAGTTGGTGTATCGACGCATGGCCCGCCAAAAATCGTGGTAGTAATCGCCGGAAAAGGCCCGGAAACAATTGGAAAGACACAGAGCCATGAGATCGGGCTTGGTCTTGCCCCACTCGGCTTCGGGCACGGACAGCAGCAGTCGCGCCGCCGAAAAGGCCACCTTGGCCTGTGGCTCTTTCTGGTCCACCAGCTGGGCAAAGGTCTGACGGATAATGTCAGCTACGTCTGGATTGCTTGCCACCTTTTCCAGGATGGAGGTGTCGCCCTCGGGCATGTCCGAAGCAGTGACCGTGCGTTTTTTGGCACTCACCTGGGCCGTCACTGCTCCTGCTGCCTGTGCTGTAGGGTCCAGCTTACGAGGAGCGGCCTTAGAGGCGACCTTGGTGGTTTTAGGTGCTGGCTTGACCGCAGCTCTAGGAGCAGGTTTCGAGGCTGCTTGTGTTTGCAATACCACAGAAGGCTCTTCCTGGGTCAGGGTCAGGGTCTGCGCCTGTTGAACCTGCTGTTGATGCTGACGAAGAGCAGGAATTCGGGCCACGGGATAGTAACCCAGACCAGGCACAAAGTGATATTCTTCTCCATTAATAAACTTCGGAGGAGGTCCGGCAGACGGAGTTTGCACCGGCGGAGGCGGAGCCTGGGTCTGGGGTACAGGACTGGCAGTGGACACCGGACTGTTGCTGTGACTGGTGGGCATGGGACTGACACTGTGTTGACTTTGGGGCGGGAGTGCCCGTGTCTGGGGATGGGTCTGGTCATACTCCTGGAACTGATTGTACTGTTGAAACTGGGGGTCCAGGAACGTGTGACCCTGATGCTGCTGGCCCTGAGGCTGCTGGCCCTGAGGCTGCTGGCCCTGAGGCTGCTGGCCCTGAGGCTGCTGGCCCTGAGGCTGCTGGCCCTGAGGCTGCTGACCCAGATGCTGACCCAGATGCTGACCCAGATGCTGGCCCAGATGCTGCTGTCCCAGGTGTTGCTGCTGGTCCTGCTGGCCCAGATGCTGCTGGCCTAGATGCTGGGTCTCCATCCACGAATAGTCCTGGGAAGGGTCGGTATAAACATCCTGGGGAGCAAACTGGGGCGCAAACTCGGGGCCCTGATTATATGCCAAGGAGGGGCTCTCTCCGCTTACGTTAAAAGAGTCTCCTTTATCTGGGTTAGAAGACACACTGAGTGGAGGGCAAGGCGTGCTGGACTCACCATAGAAAAAAGTTGGCGGCGCCACGTTATTATAGTCGTATTGGGGCGGCGGCATGTCCGACGACGACGACGACGCAGGATAGAAGGTCTGGGTCGACTCGGCCATGGCGTTTTTTCTTCTCTCTCAGACTCAGTCTCAGTCTCAGTCTCTGACTCTGACTCTGTCTCTCTCAGCTATATATGCTGGCTTGTTTGTGTCTGTCTGTGGAGCGTCTTTTTTTCCCCGATTCCGGCAAGTTTCTCCAAAAACGACGGTCCAATATCACGATACCTAGGGCCTGCGCGTCTACCAGCAGTATTCACGATATAGTAGGTAGGATGGTTGTTGTGGTTATTGTGTGAGTATTGGAGTAAGCACATGACAGGAGGGGGAGGTGCTATTATCGGGGTGGAAATAAGGTTTTGTAGGGTAACTCGCCAAAATGGAACAGTGCATAATGGAGGATAAAAAAAAAGAGAAAAAAGAGAAAAAAGAGAAAAAAGAGAAAAAAGAGAAAAAAGAGGAAAAAAGGAAGAAAAAAGAGGAAAAATGAAGAAAAAAGAGAAAAAAGGAAGTAAAAAAAAGAAATAAATCAAAAACAAGTGTGGTCACGTGGGTGTCATTGGACTGGGAGAGGGACGGGGTCTTCACCCAGTACACTACTGTATGTACTTTTACTTTTTTTTTTTTTTTTTTTGTACTGTATGTACTCTCATCCATTTCTTACTTGCACTGCAATCGCGTGGATAATTACATTCCATTCCAACAAGATTTATAGGACGAGACAGATCGCAGATATTAGGAGTAGAGTGGGGGGTGGAATGAGGAATTCGAAGGTGATTTCTTTTTGAATTTTTTGAATTTTTTTTGAATTTTTTTTGATTTTTTTGAATTTCCGACTCTTGAATTTTCCGACTCTTGAATTTTCCGACTCTTGAATTTTCCATATATATATTTCATTTCGACCCACTTACAATTAATTTTAAAATGATACTCTTTTTTGTGGCCTTATTTCTAGACTACTGTCCAAGTACATGATCGTCCCAGTTAGTTGGAATTAGTCAGGGATTTAGGGGAATTTGCCTTTGAACATAGAACGATAAGTTTGGAACCAATGAGCGAGATAATCTGGAAAGTAACTAATCAGATCCCAATAAATCTACGCAGCAAATTCCAGCCAAATCCGGCATGTTTTACACCACATCTCAGGAAACCAAAACAGCAGAGGGTTCCATACGGTTAGGGTTGCAATGTAGCAGCCAAGAAGTACAGGCGATGGGCGAGTGGCATTGATTTGGTCTCTAGGACACTATAATTGCGTGGTAGTTGGTATCAAAATGGTCGTAATGGTTTCCTGAGTGTGAAAAAGTTGTCTGGAATGTTCCATAGTTGTTTTTGGGAGAGCAGGAGTTGTGGAAGAGGTCAAACAAAAATCGAATTTGGTAAAAATGGTCAAAAATCAAACAAAAATCGAATTTGGTCAAAAATGTCAGAACGTCAACAAATGGTAGAAAATGGTAAAAAATGGTAAAACATGTCCAAAAATGGATAAAATTGGTAGAAAAAATGCCAAAAAAGGTCAAACAACTGGTAAAATTGTCAAATTTTGATCAGACCTATCATGTCACTACTCACTACATCGATGGGATCTCTCCAACAACCATTTCTTGGTTGAGAGGCCGCTATCTCTGGAGACGGTATGAGAAAAATAAGCTCCGGTTGGTGGGATGATGTTGAAAAGGGCCCATCGGCGTATTTCTGTCTGAATTTGCCGGAAAAAGTCATGATTCTCAAGAAGCTGCCGAATAACCGCCATTTCCCGAGTTTCGAGTCTCCAGCTGTTTTCTCCGTCGGCCGGCACTCCGGTGGTACTCTTTGCCACTGTGCGATAAAGTTCGCCATTAGGCTTTTTTTCAGCAGAGAAAAAAAAACGAGAAATATTAATTTTGGGACTCGAGCCACCCACTTCAGTACAAACAACTATGCTGGCTTTCCGATTTTCCCGACAGAGCCTGGCAAAGAGCCGAATGGGCTCGTTGCACCAGGTGCGAACCATGTTCGACTCGACCAAGTTGCCTGCCTCTGAATTCGAGCAGCGATACGGACGAGTCCCCGACCACGGCGAGACCATCTGGTCCGATCTGGTGGCCGAAGGAGTGACTGCTCCCGAGGGCAAGTCGCACATGACCAACCTGACGTTCCAGGCGCTGGGCGACAACAAGGTGCTGACTGCGGATCTGTCCGACTCGCTCAACAAGATGAACTTCACCAACATGTCCGAGGTGCAGGCCCGAACCGTTCTGCCTGCTCTCAAGGGCGAGCATATGCTGGTGAAGGCCAAGACCGGTACCGGTAAGACGGCCGCGTTCTGCATCCCCGCTCTCCAGCGAGCCCGAGACGCCAAGATCATCGACGGAGTCCAGGGCCTCAAGTCTCTGGTCATTTCGCCCACTCGAGATCTGGCCCAGCAGACCCTGGCCTTCCTCAAACAGGTGACCGCCAAGGGCCCCCTTAAAGACCTGACAGTGGCTGAGGCCGTTGGAGGAACCTCGGTTCGTCATCTGTTGAACGAGACCGTCAACGACTACGATGGCGGAGCCGACTTTCTGGTCGCCACCCCCGGACGTCTGCTTTTCCTGCTCAAGGACCCCCAGGCCGCCGAGTACTTTGCCAACATTGACTCCGTGATTCTGGACGAAGCCGACACGCTGCTGGACCAGGGCTTCGAGGCCGATCTCTGCGAGATTGTGCGTCTCATCTCCACCTACACTAAGGACCCTTACCAGCGAAACTTCTACTCCGCCACTCTGGACGACCGAGTCAAGCGGTTTGCCATCAAGAACTGCCAGGGCCGAGTGCGAGTGGTCGACGCTGTTGGAAAGGAATCCCCCGCCCAGGATCTGGTCGAGCAGCGGTTCGTCAAGATTGAGGAGCTGGGAGACATGCTGACCATCATGGCTCAGGATATGAAGCGAGATGCTGCCGAGACTCTGCCCAAGGAGCCCTTCAAGGCCATTGTCTTCTGCCCCACCAAGCGTCTCACCGAGACCAACCACGCCATTCTCAAGCAGCTGGTGTACGAGCAGGGCGACATTTTCGGCTGTGAGGCCCGAAACGTCTTTTCTCTGCACTCGGATATGTCCCAGAATGGCCGTCTTCGAGCCGCCGAAAACTTCCGAAACACTCCTCATTCGATACTCGTCACCTCTGACGTTGCTGCACGAGGTATGGACTTCCCCAATGTGACCCACGTCTACCACTACGGAGTCACCAACCAGTTTGAGCCCTACGTGCACCGAATGGGCCGATGTGGACGAAACGGAGCCACCGGAGTCTCCACCATGTACATGATGGAGCACTCCAAGTGGTACCTGACCATGCTCAAGCGAAACAAGATGCTTGACAACGCCGACAAGGTCAAGATTCTGGAGGAGGAGCCCGAGGAGTCCGTCAAGGAGAACGTGGCTAAGGCCACTAAGGCTGCCTTTTCCTCCGGAAAAGACAAGACTCCCAACGGCCACGACGCTTCGCGAATCGCCTCGGCCGTGACTTCGTTCATGGGCTATTACAACTCGTGTTCGCCCGACATGAAGCCCAACGACAAGCCCAAGCAGGTTTTCTCCTCGTTTGTGTCGCTGTGTCGGTCTCTTGGAATGGAGGGCAACCTCAACTTCCAGTCTCTCGACCGATCAGGCATGTTCTCCCAGAACTTTGGTATTGATCGACGAGACATTTCGCAGCTTGCCATTCCTCGACGAGACGCCGTTCCCCAGTCTATCTCCGAGACTTTGTTTGGAGTTGACGCCAATGACATTGACTACAATGACACCACCTCTCAGGCCGACAGGCTCCGGGCTCAGCGAGGCGGCAGCCGGGGAGGTAACCGAGGCGGCTACAACAGCCGAGGAGGTGACCGAGGTGGATACAACAAGCGAGGAGGAGATCGGGGTGGATACAACAGCCGAGGAGGAGATCGAAACAACTACCGAAATGACCGTGGAGATCGAAACTACGACCGAAATGATCGAAACGACCGAAACAACAACAGATACAACAACCGAAACGACCGAAACGACCGAAGCGGAGGAAACTGGGGCAAGCGAGAGCAGTACTAAGGTGCTGGCTAAAAAACAGACGGCTAGTCTGTAATGATAACAATTGTACATAGTTAATTGACTGATATTGAACAGAGAGAAGGTTGTATTCTGGACAGATACCTATCTGTCCACTAACGGAGAATAGAGATTCTCATGTGTAGCTATAGTAAGACATTCCCAAGGTACTTGTAGCCATGGGGTTTCTCGGTGTAAATGACCAAGATGGTTCATACGGTTCATATATCCATAATGAATCTCCAGTCCAAATATCTAAGCATTTTCCTCAATATCGACTCTTCTGAGGAATTTTTCATTTTACTTGACTTCTCCAACTAAACTGAAATTTAGTTGGACAATTAATTAAGTTTACCAGAAATCTCCATACACTTCGACATCACGAATTCACAACAGAAGCATTCCAGTATTCTGATCGATATGAGTAATTGAGGAGAAAGAGCATGATATGTTATATTTAGTAAGCATCATGAAAATAAATTTTTGTGATTCACGACTAGCTACAACTTCACATCTTTCAACAGCCGAATTGACCGACTCGTCATTCTACATCTCATCAATCCAAGTAATATCTTCACAAAAGTATATCTTTTTCAAGTAAATTTCCCACTAAATGCACTGGAGGATGGAACTCGAAATCACACAAACATTCAAAACTTGTATGAAGACAGACATTATTCGGACATATTAGTCATTAAATGGGGTCCTACCTATCATCTGAAAAACTTCTCATTTCCCCATCTCTTTTTAATCATCAAATCCGGATCCCCAGCACAACTTTTATTTAACTAATTGTCAAGTAAAGACTTAAACAAAACTGTGCCTAAAGAGGCAGTACAAAAACTCACTTGAAGACCCATCAGGATCGTTGTAGAGCCATTGATGGAGTCCTGGACCTCGTTAGCAGACCTGTTTACCGCTCCACATCCGCTCAAGTTGTAGCCCACATTGGACTCACCACTATATCAAGACGATGGCATCTACTCATACACATGATGTCGACCATATGGAATTGCTTTCGGGGCTCGTATTGTCAGTTCGAACGATTCAACGTCCAGACAAGCACACAATCGTTCACAGACTACTCACTGTCCACCATCTACATCTCCACGTCTGGTCTGCCCCTTCATCTACAGTTGCTGGAACAGCCACCCCAGTCAATCATTACGTGGTATCATTAATAAATAATCACGACTCCTGAATCGGTCGTTTGTCGTTGAACCGAATCACCTTGGCGAGCGACGTGTCCAAGAAGTTGAAGTCTTGGCTCAGCGTGCAAAAGGGATGGTCCAATAGTTGTTGAGCTGTCGGTCGTTGTTCCGGATCACTGGGTTAGTATCTACCAGGGTGTGAAAAAGCAAGAGGGACTTCCTCTGCAAAACAAAAACCCCACCATTATTAACATAACCAACGCTTCACGTTAGCTCGTCTCGTCTCGAATCGCTCCCATCGCTCACGATTCTCGTTACTCACATAATAAAACACTTGTCCAAAAAGTCCTTTGCATCTTCCGACACAAACGTCTTGGTATCCTCCGGAATAGGAGGAGCCAACCGGCTATTTCCAAGTTTGTACATGGCTCCAATAGCCTCATCGTTGCTCCACGGTCGTCGTCCGGCAAACATCTCCAGCACAACACATCCAAGAGACCAAATGTCAACCTTGGCGGAATAGCCCTGCTTCTCATTGTGGATGACATTGTGAATCACCTCGGGAGCCATCCAGAAAATCGTGCCCTGCATGGACATTTCGGCGTCGTTGGAGTAGATGTCCCGAGACTTCTTCGAGATGCCAAAGTCCGAAATCTTGCACACTCCGTCCAGGTCGAGCAACAGATTGTCACTCTTGAGATCTCGGTGAAGAATGCCACAGCCATGCAGATACGCTAGACCCTCAAGAATCTGCCGCGTAAGGAATCGCACAATGTTCTCTTCAAACCGACCATGGTTGCGCAAACAAGAACCCACACTGCCTCCAGGCACGTACTCCAGAAACAGGTTGTAAGTGTGGTCCTGCATGGTTTCAAAGCCTAGATACTGCACAATGTTGAAATGGTCCAGGTTCTTCATAGTACCGACTTCGGCATGTAGGGCACCCACACCGACCTCAGCAGCAGCCTTGTTGCGCACCTCAACCTGCTTGACTGCCATCATGTCTCCAGTGGTGGCATTAAGAGCCAGATAAACCTTACCAAAGGTACCCACGCCAATCAGCTCACCCTTGACCCATACAAACTTCTTGAGATGGCCCCGCTGGTCGCGCACAGTAGAAATGTGGCCCTTCTTGATCTGGTTGGGCGTAGCTTCCACCACCTTCTGGCCCCACATTTTCGTCGATCGCCGTCGCAGCAAAGCCGGATTCGTCATTGTGGACTTGGTGGATGACGTGGAGAACCGTTTCCGGGCCTCGGATGCCTCCCTGGCAACCACTCGGATCGATTTGATACGGGAGGTGCCCGTTTTTCGCGAGAATTTTGCCGCGGGAGTCTTCTCCTCCTTCTCCAGCGTGCCCTCCTCCTTGATCTTGGAGGTGAGAGGTGTGATAGTGGCCTTTCGGTCGTTCTGACTCTGGTCAATGATCATGGAACGGGGTTTCACGTAGTCGAGCGTCTCGCGCTTGTCAGGCGACGTGGGCGGTGACTCCACATCGTCAATGATCGGTTTATCGAGATCGGCGTTGGGGAAGAACCGCTCCAGGTTGTCGTAAACAACCTCAGCAGGAGGACGGACGGCCCAGACGTCTGAAGACGAAGAAGTGGAGGAGCGCGTGGATGAGACCGTCGAAGAGACCGCCTCCGTCGGCTTGGTCAGCTTCTTGGACCACAGCCCATCATCTGACTCATCATCATCGTCGTCAAACTGAATGTCGTCAAACGAGATATCGTTCTCTTGGAAGTTTTGCTCGGGCGCAACTCGCACGGAGGAGGATGTGGACCTTCGCTGCAGCTTGTCCTGGTAGTTGGGCACCTTGAATTTGAGTCCCGATCGGCCAAAAGTGAAGTTGCCAGACAACTTGGGGTTAAGACGAGACGGTTGAGGGGCAGCAGAAACCGCAGTTGTAGCTGCAGTAGGGTCGTTGGACTGCTGATCAACAGGTGAAGAGGCTGCACTGACAGGTTTGCGCATCACTAGCCGGTTACTGCCTCCATGATACGGTCTAGGAATGAACTTTTCAGACTCACCCGGTGTGTACGAGTTGACAGCCGTGGATCTTACTCGCACAGAAGAAGATGACTCGGGACGTCGGGGGGCTTCTCGACGTGCGACAAAAGACGTGTTTCGAGACAAGGTATCGTAGGGAGATGAGCGTCGGTTGTCAAAGTTGATCTCCTTCTTGGGAGGAGGACGAATTACCTTGAACGAATCCTGGTCGTCAGAAGCAGTTTGAATAGATGATTGGGAAGGCTGCCGGGTCGGTTTGGAGGGTGGTTGGCTGGAAAAGTAGTCCCCAGGAGGCTCTTGCGTCTTCGTGTAGAGGTAGGAAGGCGTGGCAGGGTACTTTGTGCCCCCTGAGGGGGTTTCAAGGGAGTAAATCGACTTTCCAGGGGAAGAAGTAACTGAGGAAGACGTCTGTGCAGCCACTGCGGGTGCTAGAGTGGCTGAGGGAGACGCCGACTCGACCAACAGCTTGTAATTCGATAACATGACTTTGTTGTCAGAAAAGAAGTAGCTGAGGGCTTCCTCGTCGAGTTTCTCACTAGCTTCACTACCCACATCGGTGAGTCTGAACCGCAGATCATGAGTATTGAGGCCCAAAGCCTTCGCAATGACATCTGTAGCTTGAGGAACCGAAAGCACATTCTTCAAGTCCGCGGCCACAAAATGCACGTTGTCCAGAGTGACCAGAATCATTCTGTCGTTCTGGGTGATTGTAAAGTACCGGTCCAGAGGAGTACTGGGTGCCGGCTGAGAGTTGACCGAGAAGCCAGACAGCGAGGAATGGTGGGTAGAAGCAGAGGTAGGAGTCTGCTGAGACCCCGACCGAGGAGGAAGCGGGGGAGGGTTGTATGTGGGGTTAGGAATCGGCACTTTGGGCGGTTTAGGAGGTGCCCACCCAGATGAAGATGTCAATGTAGGTGAGGACGTTTTATCCTTGGACTCGTTGGAGTACAGAGAAGCAGCTCCATCGTGATCCACAGGAGAAGGGGGGATTGTCGAGTTTCTGTTCTTTGAAGACGATCTGTCCCTTCGCCGGAGTCTCGAAAACAGGTTTCGACTCTTTCTCTCTTCCTCCTTTGGTAGACCATCTTCCCCCAAAATGGAAGACTCAGACGACGACGACTTATGGTGAGTACGTCTGAAGAAGTTTCCGGACGGAGATACGGGTGACTTCATGGTGCGGTAGAGACCCTCATACGCTGTCATTGGTCGCTGAGGACGATTTGTCTTGAGCGGTCGAGGGGTGATTTTGTCAGCTGGAGCTGAAGTGGTAGGCACTAGCGGAGATGTCAGAGACGAAGTTGAGGGGCTGTTTGGAATGTGAGCTTTGGCCTGAACAGCTGAAGGTGTAGAAGTTGGGGGAGGGGGAGCTGAATTCGATGCGGGCGGGGGAGGAGCAGAATTCGTTGGAGGCGGAGGAGGGGGAGGGGGCTCAGAGGGAGCCGGGGAGTGATGTGGAACGGGAGAGTTTTGAGAGATCACAGGAGAGCCCATTTGAGGAGAAGTAAACGCTTGTGGGCTGCTTGTTGCCGCATGTCTCCCTGTAGTACCATCACTGCTCTGAGAGGAGTTCAACGCGTCAACGTCAATAGTGCCACTGGATGTACCTCTGTTAAGCGTCTTCCGCAGGATATGAATGAATCTCGAGGGAGAAGTGTCCACCTCTCCATTGTTCAGACTAAGGTGGCCCAGAGCCTTGAGTTTCTGGTAGCTCACGAGCTCCAAGAACCGCCCTTCCACGATGTTGCGTTCTGTGAAGGTCTGGGCCCAGTCGGGGCCAAACTGATACAAGTCCAGAAACATGAGCACACGGTCCAGCGTCCAATTATTGGGCTCGTCTGCCTTCCAAGAGATGGCGTTTCCAATGGGATGCGGCGACGAGTACTGGATCGGGCTCTGTTTACTCGGCTGTTCCTGGTTCTTATGGCTGGAGTCGTTTTCAAACAAGTATGCCGAAGGTGTCGGAGGATGAGGCGACGTGGCGTTCACAGATCTATTCCCCGGCGTGAGATTGAGGGGAGACGGGGCTCCCTGGCGTAAAATGTCTCTGCTTTTCTGGAATTTGAGTCTGGTCTCGTTAGGACTTGACGACAGCACTCCGTCTGGAGACGGCGCGGTATGGAACGACTGTTCGGACTGCAGAGACTGGAACGAGGTGTCAAAGTTGTTGTTGTTGGGTGTGCGATGTAGCGAAGAGTAGGAAACAGACGACTTGAGCTTCTGCGGAGTCTGCAAGTTGTTGGTACTGCTGTTGTTGTTGTAAGTGTTAAGATTGGCATGGGAAAGATGGTGCGTGAGACTGGGACCCGAGTTGGCATTCGAGTCACCATTGGTATCACTCACGACACGTCGGTCGACGCGGATCTTGTTTGGGTTCGGAACCAGTCGCTCCAGAGCTCCAGTGGACACAGATCGGTCTGCGACCTCAGACAAGTCGCTGCGCGAACGAAGTCGGTTTTTGGGCACGGTCACCGAGTACGGCGACGACGACACGGACTGCAGATCGTCCGTGAGATTATGAGCGTCGTCGTACGTCGGAATCAGGTTGATATGGAACTCGCCCATGGTTCCGTGTACGGGTGCTTGTACTGTACAAGTAGTGGTGAGATGCTGGAGTGCGTGGTCTCGTGTTTGCAGGGAGTTTAAGTTTATCGGGGTCAGAACGAGAGAGGTTGAGGGGGTTGAAGGAGATTATGGGGGAAAGTGAAGAGTGCAAAGCGTCATAAATCTGGTTATGAGTTAATTCCGTTTTTCCCCGTTCCAAAAAGGTCACTTTTGGAGCAAGTTCAGCCACATTAATCCGTCCTCTCTTCGTTAAAGCCGCACCCAACTGGGACAACCGAGTCAAATAAATCCTCAACTGTTTTGTTTAGATTTGGTGACGAAGTGAGGGAGAGATATTGGGGAGTATTTGACCGGTAATTGAAGATGGTGACTAGACACGTGTATCTCAGCATCTGTAGAGACCTCTATTAACATGTTTAGACCTTCTTAGATCTAGACCTTAGATCTTAGACCCTCTTAGATCCCCCATCCTCCATAGTCACACTGGTACCTAGTATGGCTACAATCATCAATTCACCGTACCAAGCAAAATACCAAATGGAGATATTCGTCTGCAACTTTTCAACTCCAGACACTTTATCGATACCCCCACTATATAATGACCTCACTACAACCTCAATTGTTGCCTTCCATTCACATACTGATCTCAGTTGTAGATCACGACCCACAACTGCACATGATAGCCAGTGCTCGTTGGACAGTAGCACCTGTGTCGCCCGGTGTCGTTCCTTTACGCAATAAATGCATTCCTATATACATAACGCAGAAGAACCAAATTACTCGCTCCACTCGTAATTTCAACTTCCTCTTCTAAGCCTTGAGTTCCAGCTCGCTAATTCGAATGATGGTCTGGGGCACCTTTCGCTGGGTCCGAGTGTAACCCTTGTCCTTGATTCGATGGTGAACATGGGTGGTCATGGGCTCAGCAGTGAGAGCAGTCACAACGCCCTTGATGTTGAAGTGGTCCTGGGAAATGTACTTGTCACCCTGGAACACGTGATCCCGAGAGCCGATCTGGCTCACGTGCTCAAAGTTGATCACGTCGCCCACCTTGAGGCCCTTGAACCGGTAAGGCAGTCGCATCTGGTCGCCCTTGGTCACCAGGTAGGCGTTGTTGTGCATGTGCACCTTGGCGAAAATGTGCTGGTTGGCGAGCAGCAGGGGCTTGATCTGCTCGGCAGACACCTTGAGGAACCCGCTGGGCGCGCTGGCGGCGGTCGACATGTGCCGCACCTGTCTCAATAGCGACATCATTGTGTTTGTGTGGTGTTGTGTGAAGTGGTGATGTATGTATGAAAAAGTTTCAGTTGGAAGATTGGTACATGATGTAAGCGGGGCGGTGAATGGGGGGATTCAAGAGACGAAAATACCACCGAGTATGTACGGCGTATATTTGGGGCGGAATTGTCTTGTTTTATTAGAATCGGAGCATGTGATATAATCTAGCGCTCGAGGATCGAACCCGCAATCACGGTTAATGTAATGTTTTTTTTCTTCTTTTTTTTTTCTCACTTTTCTTAGGGTATTTTTTTATAACATATACTGTATATACTGTAACATATTATATATATTTTTATACACAATACATAAAATATGATGCATTCAGTAAACTAATCATTCAACTAAATATTCCAACTAAGACATACATTACTAAGCCGATATCAACAGCAAATTGGTCAATTTAATTGGAGACGGAGGTACGAAAATTCAAAAGAATTTTTTTTTTGTGAGAGCCACCAATAAAAACCCGAATCTCCTCTAACATCTGCTTTACCCCAAGTGCAATTATCAATTAAATTGTTTATTTCAAAAAAAGAGGGGAAAAAAGAAAAAAATACATCACTGCGAGAAAAAAAATACCATCACTGCGGGATTACGACTCAACTCGAAATTAGGCCCAAACAGGCCATTGCTAAATCCGATGCGCCCGAGATCAGAGCCCCGACGGAGATAAATTGTGCGTTTTTTTGGGGGAAAAAAGAACCCAAGACGAAAATAGTGCCATATCCACTCAATTAGCAACAAATAATGCCATTTTGATTCTCTCACATGACTCAAAACGCCCCCAGAACAACCTCCTCGTATGGTCACATGTTTTGATGGTTCCTGAAACCTTGCTGTTTCGAATGACCTGATCTCAGCCGCTGATTACGTGGATACCAACTGCAAGCGTCAGCATGAGAAAGAGAGTACAGAAAGCTGAATGTGGACGGAAGGAGAGGGGCGCGCTGTGAAACGTCCATTCCGGTCACGTGACCGCCCGCCCCCCACGTGATCTCCCGGTCTCTGTTTGCCACCTTTTCCAGTTGCCCATCACTGCTATAGTGGTTCTTCAGTTGACTTTCAACTTACTGTAGTTATGCAACTAACTTAAACAGTCCCAATATCTCTCCCGGGTAACTTGCTAACTCACCATCTCAAATCTTTTGAAATCAGACGGATATCCTCGAAACGTGTGTGCCATGTCCGACAGAGACCCGTACGACTACCCGCCGGGCCAAGAGCCCAGCAGCAGTAAAGACGGAAACAGAGAGTCCAACGCCAACGCCAACTCCAACGCCAACAGCGACAACTACCACCGAAGAGGGTCCAATGACCATGACTCGGGATACGCGCCTTCTGTGTCCGGCAGCATCATCACCGACGAGCTGGTCGACAAGTCGAAGCTCATTGTGTTTGATGGCTCGACCCTGGAGGCCGCAGACAGCTCGCACCGACGGCTCAGTGGCGAGACTCGCCAGATGCAACAAGCCCAACTGAGCCAGCTTCGGTACAATGAGAACCGGATATCGTTAGGTCGAAGTATCTCGGCCGTGATGGGCATCCTACGGGAGCTCCAGGACGTTAACAGAGACCGACCGGTCTACTACCCCCCAGTGGCAAACCCTCAGCCCCCCACAGCCACCTCTTCCAGACACAGCTCACCGGTTCCAGACCTACAGGCGATCCAAGACCCCCGAAACGAGCTACTACGGAACGTTAGTATATTCGGCGAGGCCCCCCGAGACATCACTCCTGCTCCCCAGAACAGACGCCAAAGCTACATTGAGGGGTTCGACGAACTGCCCACCGTGGACTCGGAGTTCAACATCTTCAAGCTCGCCATTGTGGATGACTCCAAAGCGTCCAAGGACGTGCACGAGTTTGACAAGGAAGCCCTAGGCGTGCTCATCGACACACGAATCACAAAGTGCATGAAGCACTTGTCCAACTTGAGAGTTCGTATTGACGATACCGCCTCAAAGGTGCTCATTACCGGAGATGTCAACTCGGGTAAGTCGACCTTCTGCAACGCGCTTCTCAGAAGATATCTGCTGCCCGAAGACCAGCAGCCCTGTACTAACGTCTTCTGTGAGGTGATTGACGCGCGGGAAAACGACAATGTGGAGGAAGTTCATGCGGTGCCACTAGGAATGGAGTACAACCGCAACTCGGAGGCCTCCTACGAGGTGCACAAGCTTGGCGACCTCGAGGATCTGGTCTATGAGGTGGACCGATACCACATTCTGAAAATCTACACCGTAGATAACAGACCCATCACCCAGTCGCTGTTGCACAACGGAGTGATTGATATTTCGCTGATTGACGCTCCGGGACTCAACAAGGACTCGTACCAGACCACCCAAGTGTTTTCTCGTCAGGAGGAGATTGATCTTGTGATTTTCGTCGTTTCTGCCGAAAACCACTTTACCCTTTCTGCCAAGGAGTTTATCACTGCTGCTGCTCGAGAAAAGTCGTATGTTTTCATTGTCGTGAACCGATTCGACACTATTAAAAACAAGCAGCGATGTAAGCAGCGCATTCTTGACCAGGTCAAGGAACTGTCTCCTGCTACTCACAAGGACGCCTCGGAGTTTGTGCATTTCGTTTCCTCCTCCAGACAGCTGGAGAAGAGCCCTGCTGGCCCCGATGATGGCCCTGGTGACGACGACGACCCCGATAACAACAATCCCGACATGTCCGACGCCGATTTCGACGCCCTGGAAGAGTCTCTGCGAAACTTTGTACTTGAAAAGCGGTCTGTTTCGAAACTCTCACCCGCAAAGACCTATCTCACGCACATTCTTGACGATCTTGAGAAACTCGTTCACGCCAACAAGGCTGTTTCCCAGCAACAAAAGGATATTTTGTTGTCTCAACTGAAACAGATCACTCCTCAGTACGATCGGTCTATCAGTGACTCAACTTCTGCTTCGACCCAGGTGGACCAGACTCTCGAGGACTGCTGCAAGCAGGCCTACTACGAGACTCGGGAGGGTCTTTCAGCCAAGTTTGAGCAGCTCGCCACTGTGTCGCCCGCCTTTTCATCCTACTTTGACCTGTACGCTTACGCAGAGGCCACCATGGACAAGATTGTCGCCCAGCTTCAATCTGCGGTGATTGAGTGCGAGGACAAGGCCAAGGCACATGTGATTTCGGCTGTGGATGTGATTAACACCGTTGGAGCAGAGAAGATTGGCTCCGAGTTCATGGCTAACAAGGTGTTCCGACACGATCTCATGTTCACTCGAAGAAAGGATACACTCAGTCGGGCCATCAAGACGGACATTTACCCGTCCGACTTTATCGACATTCAGCTTCCGTCCATGACCGATGTGATCACCTACGACTACGCCGGCAAGGTCAAGTCCCTTTTGGGTCTGGAAAACCTCACCAAGAGTGAGACGGCCCAGAAGATGCTTTCCAGCGAGTCTGCTACCGCTGTTTCCAACGCTTTGACGCTGGCTTCAGTTGTGGGAGGATCCCGGCTCATTGTCAACCGCGGATGGGTGCATTTCATGTCCAACATTATTGCTTCCGAGTTCGGAACCGTCAAGAAGCTGATTCTGCCTGTGTGCGTTGTTTCTGTTGTCGCTTCGCTCGGCTACATCATCTACGACATGCCTGCTGCTGTGCCCAGGAATCTCGCTCGACGAGTGGTCAACGAGGTCAACTCCATCGACTACATCCATTCCAACAGTGAGCGAATTGCCCAGGAATGTAGACAGGTGCTCAAGTACCCTGCGCGGGAGGTACGGGCTGGGTTCGACCGGCTGATTGAAAAGAACTCGCGCAAGAGAGATGAGTGTTCCAAGATGGCCAAGAAGGCCGACGTGGCCAACAAGTTTTTTGTCAAGCTGGAGCGGGAGATTCAGAGCCAGAAACGGGCTCTCGAGCTGATTCACGTCGAAGTCAGTGCTCTTCCTCTCGACTGAAGGGGATGTAATGTGTTTCAATGTATATATTGTTTTACGACTAGAGAGTGGGCGTAGATGCAAGTTATCTAGTACAATACTGCTATGATGACACTAACAGAGGTCGATCTAAGACAGTCAAATGAAAACCGACGCCCGGCTGAACTAAAAACTGTAGAACTACCGACAGCATCACCATATTGTCAGTCCTGTGTCTCCTTAACAATGGTTTTGATGCCTGTTTGTACACCAATAAAATTACAATATATGCTTGGACCGTGGTCCTGTAGTTGCTGAATATCCAAGTCAGACTTACTGGACTTTTAGTGAGAGACACCTAGTGGGAGACCTAGTGAGACGACATCTGAGATCGCACATGGTGTGGTCAGATGGCCAGGTTCCAGGTTAGTCACGCCCAATATAAGTGAAGGAGGGGTCATGCGCTTCGGATGACGACTTTCTATCAATTCAAATGGTGTCGTCACGTCCGTGCCCTCACTCCAGTTAGTCCAACAAATCAATATCTACTCCCCTCAACGCATCCACCGCCCATTGAGGGTACTTGTCCTTATCTCCATGCAGATCCTTGAAGAACTTTTTGACAAACTCCGGGAACTCGTCCTCCAAGATGGCCTCCCGGGCCTCATCCATGAGATTGAGCTGGTAGTGGATGTTATGCAGGGTCAGAAAGTGGGCTCCGGTGGTCTCCTTTGAAGCCAGAGAGTTGACAACGGCTCTGGTGATACCCATGCCTCCCTCGGACTTGGGACGACAGGTGGGACACTTGCAGCCCTCCTCAATAGGCCGGAAATCGTCGGCATACTGTTTGTTTCGGAGGTTGAGGTTTCCGTATCGAGTAATGGCATTTCCAAACCGAGCAGTTCGTGACGGGTACACACAGTCAAACAGATCTGCTCCCAGAGCCACAGAGACCACCAAGTCCTCCGCGTAGCCCACTCCCATGCAGTATCGGGGTTTGTTTTCGGGCAGAATGTCTGTGCAGGTGGTCACCACCTCGCAGTAGGCCTCCTTGTTCTCTCCTCCAGACAGCCCTCCAATGGCGTAGCCTGGGGTGTCTCTTTTAATCATTTCGTGGCAGCAAAACTTTCGCATGTCCGCGTCCAAGCCGCCCTGGATGATGGCAAACAGGTTCTGAGTGTCCGGGTTCTTGTGGGCCTTGATGCATCGATCCAGCCACCGGATAGATCGATGCATGGCCTCCTCCATACGAGGGCCCTCAGTGAGGGTGGCCACAACGTCGTCAAGCTGCATCATGATGTCGGAGCCGATCGAGTTCTGCAGCGACATGGAATGTTCTGGCGTCAGAAGCATGGGAGAGCCGTCATGGGGGCTCTGGAATTCCACTCCTTCCTCAGTGATCCGGGCCAGCTTGAGCAGAGACACCATTTGAAACCCTCCAGAGTCGGTCAAAATGTTTTTGTTCCAGTTCTGGAACTTGTGCGCGCCTCCCACTCGGTCGAGGGTGTCCTGGCCTGGCTTCAGACCGAGGTGGTAGGTGTTGTTCAGACAAATGTTGCACCCCAAGGACTTCTCCAGCTGTTCTGGAGTCAGACCCTTGAGAGACGCCTGGGTAGCCACGGGCATGAACATGGGCGTCTTGACCCGGCCGTGGGGCAGGTCCATGTCGGCAGCCCGGGCTTTAGATCGCGAGCACTTGGCCCGCAGCGTGAACTCCAGCGGTTTTTTGGTCATGTTTCGGATCATGGAAAAAAAAAAATGGTTTGAAATTTCACACAAAGTTTATCTGACTGGACGGACGCAGTGTAACAACAGACAAGGGGTTCTTGGTTGCAAGAAACTGACCATTATGTGGATAGACAATCAGCTCGTTTGAATGGACGCTTGTCGGTACTCTTTGAAGACATTTTTGACCACACATGTTTTCTTTTTTCAACCGTATGCCACTGTACTAAGTACTTGATTGTTTAGTTGAGCGTTTAGTTAATATGGAACCTCGAAGAGAGACTCTAGAAGCGATAATTCTGTAAATATCGTCTTGAAACTTGCACAGTATAGCTCTTTTGATAGTACAAAAAGCCATGTTCTCCCCCTCGTATCCCAGGATCACGCTCATGCTACTTTGACTGCTCTCTTTAGATCTCAGAAGAACCATCTTTACTTAGAAAGCTAGTTGAACCCCATGAGCTAAACCAGCAATGTACGAGATTCTACAATAGGGCGGGTATTGGTTTCGTATAACTCGACGTCGTTTAAAAGACAAATGTATCATCTTGACCTTGACTGCTGATTGTCTTCGCATTATTCATGTAGTAGTACAGATATCCAACACCAGCTCATCATGACAATATCATCAGTGACCCATAATGGCTAAAAGGTCGCATCATCCTTGCGATACGACGACGTACACAACTCTTAGCAAGTGTAGACATGGGCGGTACAGTATACTCAATGTAGAAACAATCTGACAGGTGTTAGTCCTTTTCTACTTGTTTTTCCCTTTCAACTTGTGTCGCTTCTACGGAACCCCAAGTAGTCTACAGATATGTGGGCACTCATTCTGTACAAGTAAATGGTCCAAGTAAATGGTCCAAGTAAATGGTCCAAGTAAACTGTCAGATCTATAAGTAATCTGTTGAAGATTAATCAGATAACTACTTGGAAAAGATAGAGAAATAGAGAAAGAAATAAAGCAAATTCCTGCTAATGCTGGTATGGAACGCTTCCACCTTCAGACACGAACACATACTCGATCTGTTGGCAGCACACCATCTGAAAACAGAGCTCCAGTTCGAAAGAGATATTCCAGCGCTCAGTCCAAATATACCATTAAACTCACGATTAACAAAGAGAGACCCTGAGTCATGGATTACACATGGCCACTAATGATATCTGTCAAGCGGCACTCTATATACCACACATGCTCGATGTGTGCGTTAGGAAATTGCCAATTGACCCAGTCAAGCTCTACTACAATCACTATACAGACTGTGTACAAAAAACGAGCGGCTACAAACGAGCGGCTACAGACACGTGTGTTGTGTGGCGCGCGCGCGCGCGTGGAACCGCAGCAGATATACAGGTTAGTTTAATTAAATAATGCCGATGCTTGGTTCCCCATCATGCTTGGCTTCCCGCATCACCAGGAACAAATGGCTTGAAGCCCTTGTATCTGTTGTAGCCATTGGCAGCGACGGCCGGTGCAGGAGAAGAGCCCAGAGAGCCCGATGCAGGAGCACCGCCGTGGTTGCTGCCGGAATTGTGGTTGTGGTTGTTGCTGCTGTGGTTATTATGATGATTATTCTGATGCTGGTGGTAAGTCTTCCGGGGAGGCACCCGGTCGTAATGCACCTTGAGTGCCCGGCCCTCAAACATTTTTCCATCGAACAGCTCAATCGCCTTACTGGCCGTCTCTTCGTCTTGAAACGTGACCAATGCAAATCCCAGGCTGTCACCCACATCGTTGGTCTGGATCTCAACATGGGACACGGGGCCACAGCTGCCCAGATACGCCTTGAGCTCGTACCATGTGGTAGCAAACGGAATGTTGCCCACAAACAGCCGCTGCTTGTCTATCGGAGTATCCGAAAAGTTCATGACTCGCGGCTTGTATCCGCCACCGTAGCTGCCGTTGTAGCCGCCGTAGCCGCCGTAGCCACCAAAGCGACGCATCCGCGGCACATGGCCGTACTGCATGAAGCCGGGACTCATAGGCATGCTGTACACGGGCGAGGTTTGGGTCCAATCGGGAGCGACGGGCGCCACATAGTATGGCATGGGGGAGTTAGTAAGAGAGGAGGCGCCTGACGACGCTACAGAGTTGGCGGAGGGCGATGCTGTTTGGGAGGCGGTGTTGTCGGGGACGTTGGACGATGCAAGATAGGTGTCGGTCATGGGGGGCGAGCCGGGGTAAAAGGGCACGTACTGCGGCATGTAGCCCATGTACTGGGGAGGTGCCCCGGGGTAGGGTTGCGGCGATTGGGGGTAGGCGGCGTACTGGTTGTAGTGCACCCCGGGCACAGCCATGGGGTGATGCATGCCCATCTGCATCTGGTGGTGCATCATGGCCTGGTGCTGGAGCATCATGGCCTGCGGGGGCGACAGCGGCGGCTGTGTGGCCAGCACAAATCCGTCCATGTCGTGGCCCTGGAGCTTGGCTGCCAGCTCGACCGCCACCTGGGCGGTTTTCACCTCGACATTGGCGATTCCGGGCACCACGATGCGCACCATGCACCAGCAGGGGAACACGTCGTTGATGACATCTTTGACGCCTCGCCAGGTGGCGTTTTGGGGGAGCTGTGTTAGAGGGATTGCACGCAGAGGGGGCAGTCGGTGTACTTACATTGTGGAGTGAGAAGGCGTTGGGGGGCAACAGGTCCGCCTCAGAGTGGGGTGGCGAACTGGCCGGAGGAGACTTGCTGGCAGAGGCAGGTGGCGACTGCGACATTGGAAGGGGTCGTGGGGCGATGCTAAGGGAGCAGGAGGTTTCCAGGCGTGGTTTGGTGCGACGCAAGTGTGGCTGTTGCAGTAGTGTTAGCCAACTGAAATGCTGGTGGTAGACGACTATTGACCTGCTTTTGTGTCTCTAGTGGCACTAAGGTTTTGTGCAGTGACTAACGTCCTGTTGTGGGTGAGGGAAGGTAGACCAGAGGTCGGGACGACGGCGGGCGCGGGGGACGGCGGAGGAGGTCACGTGACCGGACGGAAGGGGCGGGGGCCTGTGGCTGGAGTGGGTTGATTGGTTTTGGGGACGCGGTTGGCGGGTGTTGAGAGTCTCCACGAGAGCTGCTGCTACGGTTTCTGAAAGGGTGTAGACTGTGGTTCAGAGCAGAGTTAAATGGGTGAGCTTGTTCAAACTTGCTGCAAGTTGATAAGGCATGCCGGAACCCGTGGGGGTTAGGGTACCGGCTGGGAGGGGATAAATAATGAAGGGTTTTGGATTTGGGGGAGGCAGATGGTTGTAATTAAAAGGAAGAGGGAAGAGTTGGAGGAGATGGAGGGATGGAAGGCGGTCGGTTATGCAATTGATTCGGGAGCCGGTTATTGGTTTTATTTTCGGTTGTATTTGCGTTGTATTTTCGGTTGTATTTGCGTTGTATTTTCGGTTGTATTTGCGTTGTATTTTCTGTTGTATTTCGTGTTTTCTTTTCCCCCCATTTTTTCCCGATTTTTCATTTTTCCCGATTTTTCCCGATTATTTCTATTCTTTTTATTCTTTTTATTCTATTTTCGACATTTACTCTTTTTTCGATTTTAAAATTATTATTCAGATACCCCGACTTGCTCGTATGACCTCTTCTGGTGTCCAACATGATGACAAGCTCTGGCGATCACACCGTCATACTCTGACGTATATCGCGCACAGACGCCTGCATTGGACCCGTTTAGAGCTTGTGGAGTGCGGCAGCAAAGCAGCAAGTGCTAGCCGCCGTTGAGCAAGAGGTTGAGAAAATCGAAAAAATCGGGGAAAATGGAGAAAATTGGAGAAAATTGAGAAAAATCGAAAAAATTGAGAAAATCGAAAAAACTGAGAAAAATCGAAAAAACTGAGAAAAATCGAAAAAACTGAAAAGGGGGACCATAGACTGCGGATGATTATGGAAAGGGGGCAACCAAGGAATATCCCAACGATTGAATGATCTTACAGTCCTGATATGTTGCAGTATGTTGCAGTTTATTGTAAGTACTCGTCTCGACTGTAACTTGACTGGAAGTCTGGACATGATATGCGAGTACTTGTACCGACTTAAACTGCGAGTGTGGTTATTTCGTTTGAAGTTTCCGAGTCTTCTCAATCTTCTCTTACTTCTTAAACATTGGCACTGGCATGGACGGATCGACGGTATCAATGCTGAGCAAGTCGGCAAGTCGAAAAGTCGAAAAGTCGAAAAGTCGAAAAGTCGAACCGTCGAACCGCCGAACCGTCGTCTGGATTCGGAAGAGTACTTTGGCATGGATTCTCGGAGTGATGGGTTTGGTACAGACACTTCAATCGATTGTCACTGGTGACTGAGAAGACCTGGTCGTATTGTGCTCTACGCACTTCCGACTGGACAGATACCACAGGGAGAACAAAAGTCTCCTACTTGAAGCGCAAGTACTCATTGTTCAAATACACCGGGATCGAGTGAAAGGAGTGGATACTACGTACCCTTCTCCGACTCGTTGGTGCCATTTCTCTACCTTGTCTTCTTGACTGTAAGAACGGCGCTTCAGGCCATCTACTACCTACTTGTAGGGGCAATAGTGTCGTTTTCTCTTACCGAGGGACTGTTTCATTGAGATGATCTTCAGTTCCTAGGACTGCTTCATTGACATCTTCTCTAGTTCCTGATAACTGCTTCATTGATATCTTCTCTAGTTCCTGAAACTGCAAGTAAAAAACACACTGGTACAAGTACAGTACGATACTTGTAGTTTAAGAGTCAGGATGGTTTCAGCTGGAAGCAACTAATCCTCACTTGATATTGCCAGACTGACAATATGTTGTAACCACATGTCGACATGACCGTTGTTGGCTGTGAACAAGACGAGGAGTCATACAATCAATGTTCTAAGATGTACACTTTGAAGACAACAATCGTCTACTGCCACCGTATACTTGTAGAGCTTCATCTCAGTCATTGCCTATTCACTTGTAGTATCGTACACCTACAGTGTATTACCTATATCGTCTAAAATACATATTTATAAATTACTCCATTCTGCGTGGCGGAGAGTCATGTCTGGCCTCCACCTCTACTGGAAAAATCGGGCCTGTCGGGCCTTGATCTTCTCCTCGTCCACAGTAGCAATTTTCACGCCGGGCTTGAGACCGTTCTCGCTCTTATTGTAGGGGTGGGCTGTGTTCTTGTCCTTGGCGGACACGGACTCTCGTCGCACCTTGCCGCTCTCCTTTCGTCGGCCCTTGGCCAAGGTGTCCAGGCCCTTGTCCAGCGACAGGTCGTTCGTGGCGACGGCAGTCACTCCGAATCGCTTGATTCGCTCCAGCTGTTTTTCCAGCTCGGCGATATCTGCGTCGTTGTCGCCGGTCGCAAACCGCTTCTTTCGCTTGATCTGCTTTTCCAGATCCTCAATTGCCTGCTTCTGCTTGTCCTCATCGGAAAGCTCCACAACCGTCTCCTCCACGTCGTCTTCCACGGTGATGGCTTCGGTGGAGGTCGAGGGAGTCTCCTTGGTAGCAGCAGCAGCAGCAGCAGCAGCAGCATCAGCAGCAGGAGCGGACTCCTCGGTCTTGGCAACCTCAATCACCTCGGGAGCAGTCGCGGTGGCAGAGGAAGTCTCCTCCACGGCCGCGTCGACGGCTGCGTCGGCGGCAGCACCAGCCTCAGCGGTGGCCGCCGCCTTGTCGGCCGGGATGGCCTTGTCGGCCTCCTCTAATCGAGCCACCAGATCGGCCTTGTTGCCGGAAACAGCCAGGCCCCGGGCCGACAAAAGCTCCTTGAGCTCGGCCACTTTTTTGCTGGAATAGTCGGACATGATGGATAGGTGGATGTGCAAGTGTGCGGGTCGAAAGTCGTGCTTCAAGTCGTGTTTCGACAGTCGTGTCGAGACCTGAAACTTAGTGTGCTGCAGCTACAGTAGGGTGTGGGTGTGAACTTTTCACCCCAAACCAAGAGCGCGTTTCAGACCTACAAATAGTGCCGGGCAATCGACAGACTCAAACAATGAGCTGACTCAACAACTGGTTGGACCGGTCGTGTTACCGACTCCGTCTCGCACTCACAAGCCGCGTACTCTGCTTCGTACATGGTGACTCCAGTCGCTAAAACAAAAGCCAAAATACACACTATCCACCCACCCACCTTGTCTTCCCCAACCTGACACAGTTAAAACATGTTATTTATGTATATATAAGTTAGATATCGGGATTGGTAGATATGTTGGGGGTATTGTGATTGTGTGTGTGTGTGTGTGTGTGTGTGTGTGTGTGTGTGTGTGTGTGTGTGTGTGTGTGTGTGTGTGTGTGTGTGTGTTCCCGTTGAAGCCTAGACTGTCAACAGAGTCACACGCTAGCCCATAGTCTGCAGTCTCTGACCCACACCTAAATAGCCCGGAACCATGCAGTCTACCCATACTGATGTGGGTACAGGTCTCGAGCTTCAGTTCTGGTGGTTACGCAACTATTTGCTTGCCGACCAACGCCTGCTCGACTTGACTGACATTGAGAAGCAAACCTGAGTCTGCAGACTCGGGGGTGGCCAACTCGGAGTCTCGGTCGCTCTGGTGAGAATCTGAGTCCAGCCCAGGAGCATCGCTGAACACCTGGCCCTTGTAGTCGTACTCTTCAATGTCCAGCTCTCCAAACATTTCCACCTCGCCGGTACCGCATCCAAAATCGAGAGGACAGTAGTCAATGGGCCCTCCAAAGACATTGAACTGTGGCGACTCTGAAGGGACCTTCTCGTGGCCGTTGGAGCCCACTGCGTACGTCGACTGCATCGTTCGCTTGTTGCTGTGGAAGTAAGGGTATGGAGAGCACGTTTCAAGCTCGTAGACAGACAACGGGTCGACGGCTGTAAGTAATGCTTTTCGCTCAGCCGAGATCCGAGCGTTAGCAGCTTCCTGAGTCTCACGCAGCGCGTTCAACACGCTGTTTTGGCCAGAAATACCGGAAGGGCTGTGAAAGCCTCGACTCGAGGGAGGAGTGGCCGAGTTGTGAACAGATGACGCACAAGAAGGAAACACCGAGGAGGCATTGGAGGTGGACACAGGAGTGGAGAAAGACACGGGAGTTGGAACCTGTTTTGTCTCTCTGGTTGGCTCTGCACTCTCAAGAGGGAAGACCCACTCGTGATTCACACTTCCGGAGGCCTGATTGACAGAAACAAGTCTGTTGCCTCTCAAAAGCAGCACACTCGATTCATCGCTACAGCTACTGACTCCCTGGCGAACTCCAGACAGTTTCCACAGCTTGGCCTCCTCTGAGTAAAACGGATACTCCATGTTTCTCTGGAACCAGTGCAGAGAGCCCTGCTTGGCGTTGACGATACCCAGACCACCAGAGGTGGTCCAGATGATGCCACCAACCCGGGCGGGCGTCTTTCCGCGCTGGTGCTTCGAAATCAGATTCACCTCCTTGTCTGCAAACGTGAGATCATAGGTGAATACGTGTTCACCATTGTGAGAGGCTGTGGCAATGGACAGATCGTAAGGTGACAGAGAGAGGAAAGATAGACCAGACGGGGGAGAAAAAGAGCACATTTCTTTTCCAGTCTGAAGATCTATCACGGTTACGATGGGCGGCTTTCGACCCAGAAGGTTCCACGATCGCATACTCAGGCCTGCCTTGGAGGTGGCGGTGTTGGGCTGCGACGACTCGTAGCCCCAGTAGTACCGGGAGCCTGCTGCGACCAGCGACTTGAGCGACGTGGCGGCCGTCATTGAGAGTGACTCAAGCACTCGCTCCAGCAGAGGTCCTGGAGGAGGAAGACCCACGGGGGTCAGCACCCCGTCGAGATCGGGAGCATCACGACAATACGCCAACCATCTGCCTTGAAGATCCAGCAAGGGAGCCGAGTGTGGGAACGGAGGCAGAATGCTGGATTCGCGCTGCTTCTGAGCCGCTGCAGGCTGAATCTGTGTTGTTTGTACCTTTGCAGTGCCGGTGATTTCGGTCAGTTCGAAATTGGGTCGCTTGTACACAAAAAACTCGCCTGTAGGAGCGGTCAAAACAAGATAACGAACAGCTTGGTTGACTGTATAGCTATCTGGCGTTTTGACAGGTCCTTCCATTGTGTGTACTAGACTCAGGGTCTTTGTGTCGTAGACGTTGATTTGGATCGTCTTCTTGAGTCGCACTTGCACCACTACTTCGGTTGAGTCGAGGGCATGTAGGCCCACCACCGTTCCTCCCTCTGTTTCCACGGTTTTGCATGTGCTCAGCAAGTACGTGTTGCCATCGGTGCAGTTCCAGATCTGCAGCGTGTCGCGCTGGGTGTCGCAGATACACACCAGGTTGCCGCCCTGTCCCACCGAAGTCAGGGGTCCCGCCTTGTAGGACGAGCTACCGAAGGTGAAGTCTTGGGTGCTCAGGCCCACCTTGATGGGCTCGGGGTCAGCGCCGGCAATTCCCTTGGTCCAGTCGGCGACTCTTCGTAGCGCGTCTGTCTGGAACGCTTTGGGGGTCGTTTTGTGTACTGACATGATCCGTTGCGGGGTTAGCGGTGGTTCTGGGGCGGAGGCTCTTGATTGAGAGTGTGTTGATGGAGCGTTGTTTTTGCGCGGGTTGTGCGATGTTGTTGGTGTTTGTTTTTTTGCGGGCTTTGCGGGTTTTTCGAGGTTTTTTTTTTGCTTGTCTGTGTTTTCCAATTGGCGGAGAAAAGGTCGAGTGGTCGTGTCGAGAGGGCCGTATGAAATGTTGCTGGGTCCGTGTTTTGGAGGTTGTGTGAGGTCTTGTATCAGGCTCTAGAGATTACCTGGCTTTGTTGGGAGTTTATGCATCACGTGGAGATAACCCAAGCTTAAAGTTGGTGCGGTGCAATTGCTCAAACTATGCGTGATAACGTGGGACCGGAGCGTATTTTTGCAGTGGCAAAAGAAACGTCGAAACACAGCATATAAGTTGCCAAATCCGAAGAAATGCCCAAGGCGCAAGAGTAGACACCCAAGACCGGCCGCGGGGCAGGTGCAACGAGACGGAAAGAAAGCAACGGCCGTTACAAACCGCCCCCAACAGGAGAATTTGCTCACTCGATGGTTGCAACCGTTAGGATATTTTCGACTGTACCCCACATTCAAAATTTAGACTGGAGTTGCCCCCCTTTGCAGAGCCAGCATCAGAGAATAGAGACGGTGGTGCGACTGTAGCAACGGAGAGAGAGAGTGTTGATGGTCAGAGTGAAATACTGCGTTATGATTGGGGATTGTTTGTGGGTGGTTATTAGTACGATACTGGTAGTGTTGGTACGATACTGATACCGTATGTACTATGTTATACTGTCACGATACTGATACTGTAGGATACTGCTATAGCGGTATGGTGCCAGTACGTAGATCCTGGCACGACCTGACGTGGACAGAGCAAAGTTGAGTGAGCATTAGAGCGTACGATCACGAGTATACAAGTACAAGTACAGTATGTATAGTACGGTGGAAAGACGGCGAGTGTGGTGCGGGTACCGTACGTAGGATATGATAGTCGTATAGTATCGCACTCGTACTGGTCATCTGACTTGGTTGCTCTCTCACTGCAACAGTAGACGAGTACAGTATGTACATACAGAAGATAGGCCCTGTATGCACTGGAGCACGACGTCCGTCTGGAGAAAAAAGCTACAATACACCTCAGAGACCGACAGTACTCGTTCCACCGTGCCACTTGACGTACCACGCCGATACGAGAGGTATGTATGACTATGTCCCGTCCAAATTAACATGCAATCAACATGCAATTAACATGCACTCGGCCTTGCCTCTTTGGTGCAACAGCCACAGGTGGTAATTAAACTTCTTTATCGCGTGCTGGTGCAGCAGAAACAAAGCCGCCTGACTTTGCCCCTCCAAAGCCCTTGGTATCTATCTACCGGTACAGTAGCTAACTTAGGCCCTCTTCCGACACGTGATAACTTATCTTCTTCTGGAACCACCCTCTTCACCTGCGTTCCCTTCTCTTCGCCTTCCTCACCCCGTGCGCCCTTCACCGCTCCACTCTCCCCCCTCTGTAACATCTATCGCCCCATTTAATCCCCATTCAATCCCCACCCTACACCGTGGTCACGCTCGCCCCCTGACAAGCGCAAAGATGGACAAAATCAAACCGGATAAAACCAAGAACAGCGCGGCAAAACCGACCAAGCACACAACGTACTTTCTCACGGCCGACTGCCCGAAATCCCACTCCACCACGACCGTCACCAAGGTGTCCCATCTGCCCCAGGAGTCGCCACACGTGCCGCTCAAACCGTCCATGAGCTGCGACTCGGTCGACTCCTTCTTCTTCTCCGACGTTTCAGTAATCAGCCGCGCAGAGGTGGACGGAGAACACAAGCAGGAAGACACAGACTCGGCCGTGCAAGACACGTCGACCGAACAACCAGACCCCAACATTACAGCCACCAATATGGAGGAAACCTCAGATACCTCATACGAAACTAGAGTCCATCCCTCGTCCTCCAACTACTCACACTCCACCACAGGTTTAAACTACCCTCTCAACATGCACCCCCACCTCAAATCTCTCTCGGTTGTGTCGTCCAAACCAGCATCCCTGCTGTCCATGGACAGTGCGTCCTCAAGCCCCCGACTGGACGCCTCGGATAACCTCCTGTCCGAAACCCTGCTTTCTTCCGACGACGACGAAAGCGAAGGAGGCACACGGGTCGAGCAGCGAATGCCCCAGTTCATCATGCCTACCATCCCTCTCACGTCCCGACGACCATTCACAGAGACGGGACTACGACTCGGAAAACTCAGAGTCATGGTTGCAGGTCAACGACACAGCGGCAAGTCCGCTCTCATCCGCTCCTTTGTGCAACAGTGCAAGGATATCGTCTACGTCGACGCCGCTGCACCCATCGTGACACCGCTGCCACGCTCCAAGGCGGCACGCAACTTCCATGAACCAGTCATGTGGGAAACACAGGCGTCCACGCGACCTACCCCCGTGTTTGAGACAATGTCTCCAGGAACCGTCTCCGAGTCGTCCACTCTGACGGCAACAGACAACTCCACTTCGACCCTAGACTTCAACATCTCCTTTGTCGAATGCTCGCAACACTCGGTGGACTGGCTGGACCATGCTATCGCGTATCTGGAGCAGCAGCTTCAGCGCACCTCCCAGATGATCAACCCCATGAGCCCAAACTGCTCCAAGATCATGATGACGTCATCGGGCATGGATAACGTCGACGCTTGCTTGTTCCTGTTGAGTAAGCCTCCTGACGCCGAGCAGCTGGAGCAAATGCGCATTCTGTCGTCGTATGTGCCCCTTATCCCGCTGGTTTCGAAATCAGACTCGCTCAGCGACCGCAAGCTGGCTGCTCTGAAGCTGCGCATTCTGCGAGACCTCGAGAGAGAAGGTATTCAGCCGTTTGCCTTTGACTTCTCGGTCTCCGACATTTTGTCCGTTTTCGAAGAATCGGACTTGTTGTCTTCAGACGATGATGACCAGCAACAACCAAGGCAGGCGCAGTCGCTTGCTACTCCGCTCATTCGCCGGTCCACAACCCCTCAGTTTCCCTTTTCCGTGTCCGCTGTGGCTGAGTTAGAGCTGGACGCGTCGGTGCTCATGAACCCCAATTACACACCCAAATTGGTGACTTCGGACCTGGATATGCTTTGCGGACAGCTCTTTTCCGAGAAAGGAGCTTCTTGGCTGCGCTACAAGTCTGGCCAGCAGTTTATCTCCTGGGCTGTCACAATGCAGCAGGCTGTGACCCTGCGTGGCGTTCGGCGCGTGGCTCACGAGCCCGTACCACAATTCTATATTCCAGAGTTTGTGGTGTCACCGGTTGCCGTGCCACTAACCATTGATCACAACCTGCTAGCAAATCAGAGTACAGTTGACTGGATTTCGCACTTGAAAACCGAGTCTGGCGTTCTGGTTCAGGTGACCGAGAGCCGAGGGCCTGCCTACAACTGTCTGGGATGCCAGAAGTACTCACACTCGATTTCCAATGTGGATCCCCTGGAGCTGAAGCGGCACTTCAAACTGCTGAACAAGCTTGTCAGCTGGGCGTGCAAGGCGCTGAGCTACACCATTGGAGCTTCTCTGGTGGTCAAGATGGTCACCGTGTGTATGCAGGGCGAGTTGTATGCTCCCCCGCCACCTCCACAGACGGTGTCCAAAGAGGGACCTCTGAACGACGCGGCACAGATGCTCTGTCGAGTGTTTGAAAATGTGAGTCGCGAGCTGATGGCTGTAGCCGATTTTACCTTTTAATAGATTTACGAGAGGCAATTAAGGGGTACCACTTGTACCACCAATAGGGGATCTTTACGTTTAATACATGATTAAATATCAGAGTCTGAGTCGGTGCGATTCAGTTCGTATTCGCGTTGGTCGGACTCGGTGTCTGCATCATCATAGAACGCCGCAGCATTTTTCATGTATCCCATGAAGGAGTGGATTGCCTGTTTGGTAGTCGTCTTGGAAGGCTCAGGCTCTCCCTGTTCATCGTCTCTTGATCTCGTCGACTGTACATATTCACACACCTGTCTGTATCTTTCCGTTAGGTCATGGAAGCCACCGCTGAGTTTGAAGTTTCGCCATACCTCCAGGTTGATGGTGTAGAAACCCACAGAGTCAACGGGAGAACCTGTAGAAAAGGGGATGATAGGAGGAGTTTGTTCGCTAGAATCTTTTGTAGCTCCCCTTGCAAAGTATGTCTTTCCCGTGTTCAGATCTCCAACTATACAGCCCTGTGTGTCGCGGGCAGTGACCAAGTGTTTGTTTCGGGAGCCCTGAGAGAGTCTCCATTTGGAGCTGTGATCCAGGGCTACGTCGAAGGGTCCCAATGCCGGGAATTTGGGGTTCCAGGACGTCATCACCCCCTGTTCTTGTGTCTCCATGTCTATCCACAGTCTGTGAAGAAGTCCGCAAGCGAATACAAACACATATCCGTTGTGGGGAATGGCAAACTTCATACTTCCGTCTTTGAACGAGTCAATGGTCCATCTGAACTGTCTAGGAACTGCACAGAGCTTTATCACCGTCTGGTCAACTGTGGGCAGCATGTATGCTAGGTACGACATCTCTGGAGAGAAGCGGTAGTGTCTGATGATGAGTGCTCCTGCTGCTCCAGGAACGAGATTGACCACCGCAGTTTCCAAGTGCACGGGGCCGCGAAATTGACGCGCGTTGGGGTCGTTGCTGATTACAACCATGCCCTTTTCATCTCGTGGCTGCGATTCTTTGTGCAGTATCTCGTCGACTGGAAAGTCGTGGTCGTCGTTGTATTGAACGTGGAGTAAAGTGTCGTTTTCAGCCATGACTTCCACAGGCACATTCGGGTTCTCGTGTCTGACTTGAAGACCCGAAGAACTGGTGGATACAAGTTCTTTCTCACTATGGGGGTAGTACTCTTCTTCGATAGGGTCGTAGTTGTTCTTCTTGACGACCATTGTAGTTAGGTCAATCTCATAATTGTGCCACATGACTCTGGTTCCCTCCATCACTCCCTCGGTGGGTCCACATGTACTCGCAAGTCGGAAATCGTTAAAGATGGGACTCATTGACTGACGCAGCTGGTCGTCTTGGGCCACATCTGTTGGTACCACACTGACAACATCTGTAGAACAATTGGCCACTACTTCTCCTAGATTTTCAATAGAAGTATGACTTTTCGATCTAGCGACAAGTACCCGGGCGCAATCAGCCCATTTTGTAAAGTGGTCACTCAGCTGAAACCAAGGAGCCCGTCTCTGCACCATTCCCTTAATCAATGTGTCCTCCAAACCGTGGAACACTTGAGCTGTGAGCTGGCACACTTGACTGAGAGCAATGCACGACTCCAAGGAGCTGATTTCGAATATCAGCAACCAAATGTCATTATTGAGCATTTTAGCTGTACTTTGGTGTCTTTTTCAAGCTTGCAAGTGGCTTCTGGGTATCAATAAGGCGAGTAGTGTGGATATATGGAAGTGTTCGTCTCCTACATACAACATGCATCCGGTATGCATGAGGGACATATTCTTGCATGTCCGATATGGATGAAAAATTAATATCAATATATAAATTTACAAATATATAAAATATATATATATAAAAAAAAATTAAAAAAGCACCACAAAATGACCACCAGTAAAGGCCTGATAACCATGGTAGACGAAAATAAAAATAATTTTTGGCTTGGAATTCTCTGTAGATTCAATACTCTTGTTTTAATTCTTAGCCGGACGGAAAATCCACAACTTGAAATCAATATCACGGAATGTATTCGCAGCATGAACATCAATCCCTGAACGGTTACAGTATGTACAGTAATGTACTCGTAGGCTCCAAGAAGTAATACTAATGATATGAGATTATGGCTGCTAAGAGATACTTGGTAATAGTTACGATAACAATCAGGGACAACTTGGATAATAGATAGATATAATATGTATGTACATTGTTAAAGAGTTGGCATGAGAAAGTCCAAGAGTCACAGGACCCTTATGGTACTTAGTAAAGATCCAATTCAAGCATAAATGGCGCGAAATTCTCAGGAGGTATTTTGTTGGTAACAATGGTTTGCCCCAAAGTGCTTAGGAAAACACAACCAGCTCATTGGGAATCTCGTGCTTCAGCTCATCGATCAAGAAGCCTGACTCAGAACCATAGGCCAGCATGTTTTCCATGACCTTGGGCTTCTCCTCGACCAGCTCTTCCACAATGGGCGAGCACTGGAAACAGACACTGGTCTTGCACTCCTGGATCGTCACCATCGGCAGCTCTTCGTTCAACCAGTCGGGTTTATCATTAAGAGGGAACATGGAAGGGTGGAAGACAGCCTTGAATTTTACCTCCTTTCCCTTCTTCAGCTTAGCTCCGGGGTCGAGAACCAGCATAGATGCCCGGTTTCCCCATCCTCCTCCTCCAGCAATCACCTTGAAGGTATCGTCTCCCAGCGTAGCAAAGACCAGAGTGTCCTTGGAGGGATTGGCAACTAGAGTGGGACAGTTCTGCAGGAAAGATGATGCGGGAAGACCGTTGATCTCCTTGATGAGGTTCTCCCGGCATTGTGTGATGGTTTGCGTCTCGTTCTTGTAGTCGAACAGCTCGAGAGCAGGGGTCCAGTTGTCTGTCTTCTTGAGCTCCGCAGCACTCTCAAAAGGCAGATTGACGGCAATGGCAGCGAGGTTGTGGCCATTGTTGACGTCGTTCGAGTGTCTGTCGGAGAAGAAGAGGGTCGACTGGCTGCCTGATGTAAAGAGGGTGTTTGCCAGAGGCATGACGACGTTAGTAGCGCCAAACGAGACGGACAGCAGCGAGGTCTGGGTCGTCCAGTTTGTTCGGCCCACGCTGAGGCCTCGGGAATCGGACAGCGGCGATCCGGGATCTTCATGGCCCTCCATGGACACTGTATCCTTGAAGGTCATTTTTCGATCGAACCATACGGCAGACAGACCGTCTCTGGAGCAGGAGGGGCCCACCGTATCGACGGCTGCGGCGACAATCTGAATGTCGGGATGCTCACTCTGGATCTTCTCGGTGGTGGACACGAGGTTTGTGGCATACTGGGCGGTTGCGGTAAGAAACAGCGACTTGGCCTCGGGTACATTCTTTCGGGTCTCGAGAATCTGGGAGAAGACCGAGTCCGCCGAGACAGCAGGGGCAATTGCCGTGACGGCGTGGTGCAAGTCTCGTCTCTGTGTCACTTGTCGGACTAGCGATATCGTGGTTCGTTTGAACATTGTGAGGTGGGGTGGAAAGATGGCGTGAAGTTTGATCTGAAGATGCATGAGGGCGTTTACGACAATTAAGGCGGCACATAAAGCGATAAAAAATGGGCAAATTTGGGGTAAAATTGTATCAAGGCGAATAAATTGTGCCCTCTACAAAACTTGGATTTATTTGCTTGTTTTATTTTAATTGACCCGTATTTTTAGCCAGCTCTATTATGTGCTTTGCAAAAACCCACAAATCAACAACCACCAATTTCGATGACTAATGGGAGTCAGAAACATTAGTCATGAGAGCCATCTGATACGAGAAACTACAACCACCATGCCCCGCTCTCTTTTCGTAGTGCACAACTAAATCCTCCAAGCCAATGGCACACTACCTTTTACGATCCCACTTGTTACCATACATTGATGAGACATGCCTTCCAGATGGCGTGGTGGTCTGATGAGAAATGCTGCTGTCATGTCCTACACAAGAGGGATTCATTGAGTGCATGTCTATTAGTTTACAGGTGCGAGCTACAACTTGTTGATATACTTGGGATCAATGCCCCGAAAGGTGTCCTCCACTGTCTGCTTCAACGTGATGTACTTTCGAGGGAACACCTTGTTGGTCTTGGAGTTGTCGTATCGGAAGGCCCGTTTCAAACCAGAGTAGTCGCCCGGAGTCCCCTTGTCAGCATGGAATTCGGGAAACTCCTTGTTGGTGATATCCAGAATCTCCTGGCGGGTGTAGTAGCCTCCAATAGTGAGCCATCTGGCTGATTCCGTGGCATCAATGGCAGCCACGTGGGCAGCAGCTGTATCTCGGACGTCGACATACGTTCCTGCGTATCTGAAGTTAGACCCCTTTTTGAGCGCGTCCACCAGCTGTTCGTTGGAGGTGTTGAGGGTGTCAGTCTGTCCGTAGACTGGTCCAAACACCAGAGGAGGCAGAATTGTGACCAGGTTGTACTTGGCCTTCTTGTGCAGTTCCCACGCTGCCTTTTCGGCAAAGGTTTTGGAGCCTCGGTACGTGAAGCTGCCTCCCTTCTTCTCGGCGTCCTCCCACGAGATTCCGTTCCACGAGTCCTCGGTGATGATCTCGTTGTAGTCGTCAATATACTTGATGTCCACCACGGCCGCCACCGAGGAGGTGACAACTACGTGAGTCACGTGCTCGGGAATGGCGTTCAGCACCGCCTTGGTGCCGTTCACGGCTGGCTGAAGAACCTCCGTCAGGGGGTCGGTGAAGTTGAAGTGGAACGGTGATGCGGTGTGGATCACTTTGGTGATTTGTGGGTTCTTGTTGAAGATGTCCTTGACCTCGGACTCGGATTCAATGTCTGACAGAAGCACAAACTCGACACTCTTGCCCTCGAATCGTTTCTTCAGAAAGTCCACCTTGGACTCGGATCGGTAGGTGGCTACCACGGAGAGACCCTTGCTAAGCAGTTGGTCGAGGACGTGAGTGGCAATGAAGCCTGTGGATCCGGTGAGCAGTACAGACATGGTGTTTGTGATTGGGCGTAAGATGAACCCTCGAAAGCGGACTCACGGGGTATATATACCATCTCCCTCCAATTACAAATACACTTTGGTGGCTGATTACGAATGAAACGCTGTTTCGGCACAATATGCGAGATAGTGTGGGACAACGTGGGGGGCGCAGATTGGCACAAGATTATATATATATATATATATATATATATGTTATCAAAGTGACATAAAATTCTGATTAATTCGGAATAATCTGAGAAAAAACACTGGAGTACTTCTCCGATCCAATTGGTACTCGTGCAAAAAGACACATCCCACAATTGTTACAACATGCTACAACATCTTATCTCATGAAGCTGTCAGACCCCAGATGTCAAACTCTCCCGGCGATTTGTCATGGCTTGAGTAAGCCTGACTGATGATGATGAGTAGAGAGCTGGGCAATTGGAGAATCATAGAACAGACTTGAAAGGAATGTATTCGTCTTTATGAGAAGTCTTTAGAGAACATCGTTGTGGCGTATGTTGTTATACTCTCGACTATTTCGGCAAACAGTGCATTCTTTAGTTACTGTTAGTTGGATATTAGATAAAATATTAGCTAGTATGATATCAGTCACCACTTCAAAACATTTATTTTATATATTACTGTATCGTACTGTCTACTCCTCCTTCTTAACTTCCAACCACTGGGCAACGAAGTCGTGGATGGTTTCTCGGAGAGGAGTAAACTCGAACCCAAGCAGCTTCTTGGTCTCGGTGTTGTCAAAGTTGAAGGTCTTGGCCTCAATGGCTTCGACCTGATCAGGATGACCAACGGCAATCTTGCCCTTGAGCTCGGGGAAGTCCTCGTTGATGTAGTTAAGCAGTCGCTGGGAGCAAAACTTGTCGGAACAGAGCATGAGTCGCTTTCCATTGGTCTTGTCGTCCAGAGCAACCACATGACCCTTGGCAACGTCTCGCACGTCGACGCAGAAGGAGTTGTACTGTCCGACGCCTTCATCAGAGTCCTTGACCTCCAGAGCATGAGTGACAATGTCTCCGTTGGAGGTGTTGAGGCTCTTGAGGTCGGGCTTGGTGATGGAGGGGCCAAACACCAGAGAAGGGTTGACGGTGGTGAGCTGGAAAAAGGGCTTTTCGTTCTCAACAAAGTCCCAAGCAGCCTTCTCGGCAAACTTCTTGGATGCAAAGTAGGTCAGAAACTCCACATTGCCGGCGCCCTGCTCCCAGGTGATTCGGTTCCAGCTCTTCTCGTCCACGGTCACGGAGGGATCGAACATGTCGTCGGCGGTCAGCATGGACACAAACGACGACGTGACCACCACCTTGGTCACCTGGGGACCGTGTTTCAGCACAGACTGCAGCACTGTGTTTGTGCCCTCCACGGCCGGCTCCAGCATGTCCTTGATTGGGTCCTTGATGTTGAAGTGGAAAGGAGAGGCAGTGTGCAGCACTTTGCCAATTTCGGGGTGCTTGTCGAACAGTTGGTCAAACTCCTTGGCAGATCGAATGTCGGAAACCGTCTCGAGAATGAGCTTCTTGTTGGCAACGGCGTCGGGGAAGGCGGCTTCCAGAGCGGCGCCCTTCTGGGGGCTTCGGATCGTTCCAATCACGCTGTGGCCGTTTTTCAGCAGCTGGTCAATGCAATGGGCGGCAATAAATCCCGTGGCGCCGGTGACAAGAATGGACATTGAGGATGTGAGGGCGTAGCTAGAGTCGTGGTTAGTTCTACACCACTCTTTACTTTGGCGCTGCTTATATTATAATTGCGATGACTCGTGTGAAAAGCTTACTGCGCAAATGAGTCTAAACGTGCATGAGTGGGTATTGTACCAGCGCACTAGACAACGATGATGCGGGACTTAGTGGACTTGGAGCAAGGTTCCAGATGGCTCGGAACGGAGGGTAGTGACTGTTTCCGTTTTTCCGCTTTGCGCTTTTTCGCACACCGGCATTCCTGCGCAAGTTGAACCCACTCTTGTCAGGTCTTCTATCCCTTCAGGTCACATGACTTGAATGACTCAAATTATGCGTACCCTTGTGCTCATGACTCAAGCCAGTATAAATGTCATAAATAAGCCTCCACCAATAATAATACACGTGCTGGGCCGGAGGCGGGCGACCGACTGACCGAAACACTACCACCTACGAGTGGTGATTATCAGGCCAGCAATGTATGGACGTAACATACGCCGGGTGGGATGCGGAGAGGGTGTATCGGCTTGCGCACTTTTAGCACCGCACTAAAAGGAGACGATGCGACGTTGCACTATTCTGTCCTAAAGATGGCTGGCGGTAGAACAGAGGCACGGCTAGACATGTTCGGGTGGATAACGGCAACTATTTAGAATCAGTATTGTGTTGGTTCCAAGCTGTACCAATAGTTATTTGCCGTTTGTATCGTTCAAACTGTCAACTACACGTTACCAGTACCGTACCAGTACTAGATACGACGCTACAGTATGTGCCAGAGACTACCGATACTCCAACTACCTGTAGCGGGACCATTGAACGTCATACATGCACCGAAACCCCTCTTTGCGTAGCACTTCATGGAGTGATGGAGCGGTAGAGCTCAGATACATGTCGGACTTTGTCAGCATGTGCCTATCTCCGAATCTTTTGGAACAGATGACAAACATATACAAACGTTCATATAGAGTCTCGTACTTGGAATCATGGAAAAATGTATAGCCCTAGAGTGGCTCTGTAGACACGGCATTGTGTTATTCTTTTGATAAGGAACATCTAATCCCTCAACAGTAGGCAGTATGAGACATCAACTCTATCAAGCATCTCCAAAGGCCTTTATTACTGCTACGAGTACTACTTGTAGTGCTGGTATTTGTTCTTGTACTTTCTCCAAACAAAATATTCATTTCTGTCAGACAAGATCACTTTTGTCTTGCTCGAAACTAGTCGCTGATATCGGCATTTGTCTGCAACTTGACGCTCAACAACAGCACATTAGCGGGGCTATAGAGAGCAAGAGAACTCGGAACTTGATTGCTGCTATTTTCTCGTTAGTAAGATCCTGGCATTGCAAAGTGTTATGTTGACAACGTGGCAGTGGTCATCGGATAATGCATAACCACACATCCGTCATGCACTCCCATCAGAGGTGGAAATGACTATCAGGGAAAAAGCAGGGAGAGGGTGAGAAAAAAGGAAGTTCTATAAGAAACATTCGTCGATTGCTAATCTGGTTTTGAACTCCCCAAGTTGTCAGCTTTTCTCTCCGTCGATTTCTGTTCCATAGTTGATGTCGAATCACATTCCGAACACATTCCAGGACGAACCCAGAACAAGCCAAGGGAAGAAACAAACAAAGGTATCTTTGAACAAACCAAATATCCTTATGGAATAGCTGCCTTACAGTTCCATACCTACCACAATGTAGCCATCATGCATGGTGCAAGTACGAGTACAGTACTCGCTCACGTATGGTATGGCATGTGTGATACGCGATTCCGACTCTATACGTACGACACGTTCACGTCTGCAATACGTATTTGGATCGACGTCCTTAGCACAGTTACCAGAAGTAAACAATGGATCCTCCTGGTCCCTTATCGTCAGGATACGAGCACTTGAGAAAGTGTCAACCCAAAAGACATTCAAATATGCAAAGAGGATCCATTTTCCTCTAAAAGTACTACGGGGCTCCTTGGGGGATCTTTCTTGGCGTTGGTACACTGGAGGCCTTCTTGTTTCACTTGTGTCTCTGACCCTGGATATATGTTTATGTCCTGAGCATCTTTCTTATCGTTACCGTTGCTGAAGTATCCCTGGGTGTTTGGAATGGGTTCTGTAACATGAAGTAAAGGCCGCTGCGGAATCGCAAGCATCATACAGGAGTCCTATTGTTATTATGGTGCCGTTTCCATAGTAGCAGGACCCGCGGTCTATGCACGGCTTGATCAACAAACCTAGCGAATCTCTACAGCGTGTGCAGAGGTGACTCTGGTGTCTTAGAAGGATCTTGACGATCGTGTGTCAGGAGGAGTGGGGTTATCACATGGAAGGCAAGCGAAGAGAGTGGTGAGGAACAAGAGGCAACGGAAAGGAAGATGAAGATGATTGCCAGCTCCTGACTCTTTTCTTGGGTTAGATGTTGTTTCCGAGACGGACTCCGAGACGATATCCCTGTTACACGTGAAGGACAAGTCTGTCAGCCGTAAAAGAAATTCTCAAATCCAAGTTTGCCCTGGTTCTGGCACGTCCACACACTGTGCCTGTGCGTTTGCGCTGTCTCATTTTAATTAACAGAAGCTTTTCGCCGTAGAGCGCCTCTTGATGAAAAAAAAACCATGTAACATGGAGCGCGACGATCTGCCAATCCTCGACGACTATCCCTGGACAATGCGAGAGCGCCAATCCCCCACAAGGTTGAATTGTGGTGGGAAAAAGCAAAGGGGAGCCAGACCAAAGTGGAAAAAGGAATTAGCAGGAGAAAATGCGGGACGCTGGCGTCTGGATTGGGATAAAATGTTCGTTCCAGGGTCACAGCCGATAGAACGGCGTCGCGTCGCGTGGAATGGACGTGCCCCCTATGAGGGAGAAACCAACCAGGATACTGCATTCAAGGTATTGGTCCGTTAACCCACTTTGGTCCCCCGGTGACATTCTTCGTTCCTGTACCTCGCATACGCTCTTTCAGCACACCACAGAGCCGTTGCATGCGACAGCTGATGGACACATGTCTTGAGTGGGCTGTCCGCAAGATTTCAGAGTGTGTAGAAAGGTGAGTTGAAGGATGTCAAAAGACTAAGCGAAAATTTGAATGCTTGTCTGGTTGCAGTTTAGTTGGATAGGCCCAACCCCACTTGGCTGCAAGTAGAAGGCAACCGCGGCCCTGCCCTGAACATGCCTCGGGACCCTGGACATGGCCCCGGCTCCTGACAATAGATGCCGTCGTACCGAAACAATAGCCATGTCACTGCTATCGATATCCCCCCCCCCTTAGAAACCCAATACCTTGCTGCTACTTGTTTCTTGCCTATGATGGACGGGATGATAAACACAAGATTCGGACTTGTTCGGTCGTCTCAAACGGGACTCAACCCGAAGACAAGGCCCTGGAGGTGGTCGATGGCGGTAGACGAGCTAATTGAGCACTAAACAAGTTTTTGCGGTGCCTGAAAAGGAAGACTCGATGGAACAATGTATTATCTCTGCCACCATGATGAGATATGTGAGCAACCCCCGCAGAGTTGGCAACTGCCGACGTTACCTTCCCCCATTGTCCATCAGTCAATGAGATCAGAGACAGCAAAATCGTGTTTGACAAGGTCGAAAGACGTGCCTGGAAACCAGCTGAGACACTGCCGGACGGTTATATACGTTCTCCGGCCACCAGCGGGCTTGCTTGGAGTACCCCTCACATGTGTTAAAAATCATAAACCCGGTCTCTGTCATACATGAGACAGGTGTAGCCAGCTCTGTTTGAAAACTTCTCTGCAGTAGAGGAGCGGAGTAACGCTGGCGAGGGAGTTATGGAGTGCGTGTGGGGGGTCTACCGGATCTCCAAGTCGCAAAATGGATGTCATTGACTGTACGGAATCGTTCATGGTCTATGTTCTTGGGTTCTTTCAGGTATTCCATCTGACACTATGCTCCACTCAAAAGGCCATCTTTACGAGATGGATAAACCGGAATAGCCACACTTGCCACTTGCCACTTGCACTTGCCATTGAATCGAGAAAGTGGCACATGTCCAATGACGCTGTCTTCCGCCTCAACTCAACTCAACACATGGTCTCTCTTTTGGCTCGATGGATGGACGGCTCCAAGCTAGATTTTCTCACGGAGACTGCAAGGTTGGCTTAGACAGACTGAAAGTGCGGGTTTAGAAGTGATCTGAACAGCTGAAGACTTGACCAGCTCGTGATGACGCCACAATTGAGTACTGATATCTACCTATTCGCTTAACCAGTCATAGGTATACGTTCTTCTTGAACTTGTACCACCCACGCCGATCCAAAAGGCCTCTATCTCCATCATATTTCTTCTTTCAAGCAGGGCGCACTGAAAGCGTCCGCGAGAGTCTGAGCCAAATTGCTTTTTCGATAGGCGGTCTGTTTGACTCCTAGTTTGACATTCCAGGGTGCAAGTCTATCACGAAACAAGTTTCGTATTCACGGTTCCTCAGGACTAGTGGTTCACAATTTTTTGAATCTAAATTAATTAAATAGGGTAGTAGGGATTTTGAGAAAGAATGGCTAGGGACACTGGTCACGCTTAGGCGCAGACGGTGGTAGCAGGGACCTTCTCGGGAGCGCAGTGCTGGACGTAGTTCATGAGATCCTGTCGGACGTTCATGTACTGGTTCATGTTGTACTGCTGAGTGCACTGGATGCAAGCGTTAACATTGTCATCAGAGTTTCGGATAACAGCGCAGATACAGTCGGGGTCCTTCCAGCAGGCGCCCATGACGCCGAGCAGACCGAGGCACTTGTCCTGGCACTCCTTCTTGGCAATGAGACCGAGGAATCGCTTGCCGTTGGCAGGAGTCTGGGGAGCGGGAGTGCAGGGGCCGGGAGGGGGCAGGCAGGCGGGGGTAACGGGAGAGAGGGTAGTAGGCTGAGGCTGGGGTGCAGGAGCGCTAGACTGGGGAGGGTTAGACTCAGCGGGGGCGGTAGGAGCAGGGGCGGGAGGAGCAGGAGCGGGGGTGGGGGTAACAACGGGGTGGCACTTGGCGATGGCGGCGTTGATCTCGTCAATACCGTTGATGTACTGGGTCTTGGCACAAGCCAGACACTTCTGGGTCCACTCGAAGCCGTCGAGGAACTGGCACTCGCAGGACTTGAGGCCCTGGCAGGTGTTGAGGCCGACGGACAGCTTGAAGCACTTCTTGGTGCAGAAGAGGTTCTCGAGCAGAGCGAGAGATCGCTTACCGTTTCCAGTGGGGGCGGGAGCGGGGGTGCAGGCTGAGGGCTGGACCTGGGGGGGGATGGAGACCGAGTTGAGCTGGGGAGCGGGGAACAGCAGGCCGAGGTCAGCGACGGCGGTGGCGGCGAGAGCGGCAACAGAGAGGACAGAGGTGAGCTGCATTGTTGATGTGAGAGTGAGTGTGGTTGTTAGTCTGGACAAGACTTGTGAGGAGATGAGAGGGGATTATATATCCCTGGGATTCCCGTATGTACTTGTAGACAGCTCCGAATCAGACTTCAAACAAGTGTACAGTTGATGCGGTTGGTACAGCTTAATGCCAATGTAGATCTGTCGATCTTTCTAGAGTGAGGCGAGTGACTGAGGGCGCACCGTATGAGGAGCGGAGCTGGGGGTGTGAGCGGGGCGGGTTGGGTGGTTATGGTCGGACCAGGGGAGCTCTTGGACCATTGGAACGGTGGCGGCTGGGCCATTGTACCCGGGGAAGTCGCGGTCTCATTCCTCCATCCCTAGGTCGTGGCCAAGCTAATTCTAGCCGACAATCCATTCTCACTAGCCTCTGATCACCAAGATCGTCGGTAGCGGCTCAAGAGCAAAGTCACACTTTGGATTTTGTCTTTTCCGTTCGGGGAGCAATCGTTCTAAATTGGGAATATTGTCTGGTCTGAAAGCAGGGTTCGATGTGGTTGACGGCGGTAGACAGGTAGACGGCCGATTGGGGCTATCCGGATGAGATACGCGTATCGTCTCAGGGCAACTCACATGCTGCCTCGGTTCCTGGCACGTACCTGGTTCCTGTTCTTGTTCCTGTTCCTGTTCCTGTTCTTGTTCCTGTTCCTGTTCCTGCTCCTGTTCCTGTTCCTGTTCCTGTTCCTGTTCCTGTTCCTGTTCCTGTTCCTAGACTGACAGGGGTGCAACTTTTTCCATCGTACGCATGGAATTACTTGTTCAGAGCGTCCATACGGTCGTACAGTTTAGTCGGTCTCATAGTTGACAGGGTCTTGTATGTTTTGCTGCACCGTTTCCCAAACAGGAAATAAGGGGTCTGCTGAGAACGGAGGTCCCTACGTCTGCCAGAAACAAGCTCGTATCAGGGAGCTGCGCAATATGGGGGGATTTCTTTTTCACGCGCAATCATGGTCCCTGCCGGACTTTTGGTGCCATTTCTTTTTCGCCTGTCTTGCTTGGCTCTTTTGTGTCCCTACAGCTCTGCGTCTGTCAATCCACGTTCTCTCGCTGGGGTGAGGGGATAAAGGTTAAAAAATCACAAACGAAATGGCCGCCTAATGTTAGTACACACTGTCGATCGTGGCGATCTGTAGATCACGAAAACACCTCAGTTGGGGGTTTGGGAGGTTAGTTTTTTAAGCTTTTTTAGACGAAGTGAAAAGTCAATTGCCTGTCTAACTTTTTTTTTTTTTTTTTTTTTGGAAGACCAACTAAGACACGCAAACACTCACCCAGACAGAGAGGAAAAGGGCCCGAAAAATATAGCGTGGATTTTGACTCGAGACTAACTGGAGGTTGGAGCGAATCCACATTGTTTGTCTGTCTGATAACCGTCCATCGGATCAAAGTCGCGCCATAACTGCCCACTGCACACGGCCCTCTTACGCTTAGGCCTCCGCAGAGCCCCGGCCCCCGTATTTGTCGACTGCCGCTTTCGATCTCAGACAGCGGCACCTACCGTCTAGTCTCTCTGTCTGCCCATTGTCTCTCGGCGCACAGGCTCCGGGCTCGCATCGTACAGGCACCCTGTGCAACCGCTGTGGGAGTGTAATTATCGGTAGCTTGTAGCCGAGGCCGAACGGGAGTGGGTGGAATGTGGCTATGGACTGGTTGCGATTGCGGCAGATGGAGCTCTGGCAAATGATTCTGGAAGACGGTTGTACTACTATCTCAATGAGGGCGGACGGACACAGCCTCTCCACATGACGGCTGACACATGTATAGCGGAGGTCATTATGACTATCCGGCTTGGCACTGGGGCATCGAGAGTTGCACCCAGAAGGTGTGGGTGGACAGAGATTGGCACGATTGTCCAAAGGCAGTATGTGACGGTAGATCGGGCAAAACCAATGGCAAGAAGAACGAGACCTGTGTGATTCAATGGACTTGTACCACTGGTTGTGCTGCTCACCCCCAACCCGGAATGTAATACACTATAGTTATCATACAACGAGGGATATCTACCGGTACCGTACCTGTAATACACCAAATGTAAGATGGGTTTATAATAATAAGTAATCATATATCATCTCTGTGCAACCTCCGGTACAAAGTTCCACCTTGCAGAGCCAACCCTACTACTTGTAGTGCCGCCGGTCTATGATCAGTGTCCGAATTGGTCCTGGTCTTTCCATATTGGGATCTTGTTTAGACACGAGTGGTGGAGACGAGTGGAAACTCGATATTGGGGGACACCGAAGTGCGTAGGAACGATGGAAGAACTCGTGCCGTATCGTATGTGTCTACTCGCGTCGTTTTCTCGTTGTACAAGTAGACGGCTCTGATCCCTCGTAAAGCAACCATACGACAGCCTAAAGAGTGCTAACAATGTCTCAGTCTGTACAGTGGTCTTCACTTGTTGGCAAGGTAGAGGTACAGTACAAGTACAAGTACATTCAGGCACCAGGAACATCCAGGCACGCTTTCTGTTATTCCAGTTTGACCTTACACATCCATAATGGAAGACGCATATCCGAACTGTGCTGCTCGGTGACTTACCAGGACCCTGGATTTAATACAACCACAGGGCTATAGCCTGCATTTCCATTAACGGGCAGTTATGATCCCGAAATGGACAAGGATCGACCATTGAATTTCGCAACGACGGATTCTACTGGTCTACTTGTACAGAAACTCGTACCGCCCAAAACAGGTGTTCTGCACACATCCACGGCTGGCTGTCGGACTCACGAGGAATGATGGTCGCTTATACGCAGGTGAGATGCGTTCCTGGGAAGACATCTGAGGAAAGAGGCAGTTTGGTAAGGGTTGGGGCCAACATGCTTCAGGGTTGTGTAGTCGTACTTGTAGGGATATGATGACGGACCTCGACAGTACGGTGTGTACAGTACATGGTATGGGGAGATCCCATCGCACCAAACACCGCACAAGGAAGTGTTGAAACTTGTAGTCCAGAAGACGGATAAAGCTAAAACTCAGGAAATAAGACAAAACAGCGATTCTGAACCAAACGCGCCTTTCATATTGACGACATCGCCCCGACTAAGCAAGTTAAACACGTCCCAGTCCAGCACGCTTACTCGCCATTGTCTTCAGTTAAGCTTAGTTGAGAGTCCCAATTAGACTGACTGCATGACAAACAAGCAGATGAAAAATATATGCAGAAAAAATATATATAAATATGCAGGTGAAAAAAAGGGCTGGGATCGGAATTCAGGAATGTCCGACAGCCACGTGACAGAGCGAGGTAGCGCCAGTACGAGTACGAGTGCGAGTGCTAGTATGAGTGCTAGTATGAGTACAAATGCCTGTAACCACTTTGAAAACACGTGACATTGCCCAACCATAGTTCTTCACTCATCCAGTTCTTCACCCCTAGGACCGCGTCACGTGCAATTCATCACGTCTGTCTCGTAGTCTACGCGTGGTCAAATCAAAAGCAACTAACATCCACCTCCGGACCATCGCGATCTTCTCAAATACATTACACTCGCTCCTTCGTACCAACCAAGAGCTTCAAACTACTTTAATGAACTGCTTTTTCTCTTCAGGCACATTCTGAACTCTATGCCAATATGCCTTCAGAATCTAGGCTAGTGAGGCGTGTGCAGACGAAGACGCGCCTTGTTGCATTTTGATCGCGAGAACTCCAGGAGTGGGAATTTACCGACCCCTGGCCCAACCCTGCTGAGGACAGCCGTACCTAGTCGCTTATATCACGTGATACCTTTCCATGGTCAACCAGAGGGCCAAAGATACATACCTCAGCCCGCAGGCTAGGGTGGCGGGAGAAAAGGAGGAGGCTGAGGAGTATGGACCCACGGGGTTTGGAGATATCGGCAAGTACATTGTCAACAAGGAGCGCAAGCTGCTGAATGCCGATATCACACTGCGAAACAATGCCATAGCAGCTGCCAAGGAACAGGGCAAGGAGGTGCCGCAACTGTTCAAGGATTGTGTTGTATATGTCAACGGATACACACGTCCGTCGGCCAACGAGCTACGTCGCATGATTGTTATTCATGGAGGTGTCTATTTGACCAATTTGCACCTGTCTGGAAAGACTGGAGTGACTCATATAGTGGCCAGCAATCTCACCAAAAAGAAGAAGCTCGAGTTTCAGAGCTACAAGGTGGTCACTCCCGACTGGGTGGTCGATAGTGTCAAAGAGAGCAAGGTGCAGGACTGGGCCAAGTACAGGTTGATTGTGGACACGGGCAACAAAAATGTCCTGGGGTTGTTCAAGGCCAAGATGGCTACAGAGTCGTTTCAGGAGCTGTTAGATGAGGAGTTGGGTGATGGTGGAGATTTGACACAGTCTCTGCCGACGATAGAAGAACCCACCAAGTGTTCCATTATCCCATCATCTCTAGCTTCTCCCGCTCACAGCATGAAACCACCGGTGAGCAAGGAACCTGTGGCATTATTTCCTCGTCCTTCACTGGCGAGAAAAGCCGAGCGTGCTCCCTCAGTAGAGTCGCCAGCACCGAAACGAGCCAAACCTATCCCTTCGTTCTCATCGTTCGAGTTGTCTTTCGATGAGGAGGAGCTGTTCAACTCCCTGCCACGTCCAGGAGCAAAGGGCGAGTCAGAGAGCCGGACTATGGGCACCCAAGAGACTCAGACCCAGGAGGGGACAGATAAAACCGAGGAGACCCAGGAAGAGACCCGGGGGCAAACTGAGGACGAAGCTCGATACGAAACAGTCACGACTGCAGATAATGACGTACCAATCTCGTCCCTGCCCTTCAGCAGCAGCATGTTACGAGCTGTGGACCAGAGCATCGACGCTGTGAAGGCGGAGGATGCAAACTACGACGACTTGGAGTTCAGTCAGAGTGAGTTACTGGGGGTGTTGAGTCAAGTAGGTGACGGTTCTGTACTTGAACAGGCGTTGGAGACTGAAGGTGAGATACAGGTTGACAAAGGAGAGCCCCCAGATCAGTTAGAAGACTCAGACTTTGACTTCTTGGACCACATTAGTGCCGAGGAGTCTGCTGACGAATCTGAGAAGGAAGACCCTGCTGTGGAAAGATTGGCAAAGGAAGAGTCGTCGGGAAGATCAGTTACTCCACCAATTCGCCCGGAAGATCAGCTGTCGACGACACCAATCAAACGGACTAGCAAACTTCCGTATGCAATCGACGATCCCAGATTCATCTCCCACTTTTACGAAAAGTCTCGTCTGCACCATCTCTCTACCTGGAAGGCCCGTCTACAGGCTAAATTCGAGTTGTCTTCCAAAAACAAACAAGTACCACCTCCTATATCTGGAGGCGATCGGATCATCATGCACCTTGACTTCGACTCCTTCTTCGTGGCGGTATCTACGCTTGACAGGCCAGATCTGACCAGAAAACCGGTTGCGGTAGGCAGTGGAGGATCCAGAAACGCTGACATAGCCAGTTGCAACTACGAGGCTCGAAAATACGGCGTCAAGAACGGCATGTGGATGTCACGTGCCCTGAAACTGTGCCCAGATCTGCAGACTGTGGACTACAACTTCCCCAAGTACGAGGAGGTGTCTGAGGCGTTTTATACAATCCTAAGAGAGTCTCAGCTGGACTACATTCGGCCAGTTTCTGTTGATGAGGCCCTTGTAGATGCCACAACTCTCATCGAGGCCAATGCGACCGAGTGTTCACTCTCTGAAGCTGCCGAAACAGTTGCGAAAGCTATCGCGACCAAAGTGAGGGCCACGACAGGATGCAACATCTCTGTTGGCTGTTCCAGAAACATACTACTAGCTAAACTCGCTCTTCGAGAAGCCAAACCGAACGGAGTCCATGTCATGTTTGACCAGAAAGCTATTTCCCAACTCCTGGATAAGACCAAGATTTCAGAAATCCCTGGTATAGGCAGGTCAATAGCTGGTCAGATTCGCGAAAAACTGCATGTGTCAACTGCAGGTAAACTAGCTCGTCTGAAGGACGTGATTCCAAACATGTCTGCTCTATTGGGCCCCAAACGAGGGCCTCAGATTGTCGACTTTTGTCTTGGCAAAGATGACTCTCAGATAGCTGTCCAGGATGAACGCAAATCCATCAGTGTGGAGATTTCTTATGGAGTTCGGTTCGAGAACAAGAAGCAGTTCGACGGGTTTGTGTTTAACATGTCTGCCGAGCTGGCTTCTCGAATGGAGGAGATTTCTGTCGAGGGCAGCCAGTTGACGTGCAAGCTCTATGTGCGTAAAAACGAGCATGAGACCCCCAAGTACATGGGCCATGGACAGTGCGACATTTACAACAAGAGTGTGAGTCTGGGGTGCTCGGTGAGCAGTACAAGTGAGATTAATTTGGCTGCCAGGGGCCAGTTTGCTGCTATGGGATACGATCCTGTATTGGTTAGAGGAGTGGGTATTCAGATAACCAAACTGACCCGTGATAAGGGTAAGGGAAAACAGTCCATGCTGGACTTCAATCGGGGAAGAACCACTAGACCCGATCTACGTGCCCCTATCATGCCCCCAGCGGGCACTCAGTTTGATATTCCCGCTGATATCGACCCCGAGGTGCTTCCTTTTCTTCCTGCTTCCCTTCGAAAACAGATTGAGACTAGAATGGGCATTACCGGTGGTTCTAGAGGTGCATTGGATCCGCCTAAAACGCCAACCAAAAAGAACCAGCAAGAAATGGGCTCGTTTTTCAGCCCCAGCCCCAGCAAGAGCGTCTACGCAACCCCGGGACTGAGTCAGAGCTCTCCCATTCGAGCACCAAGTATCTCACCTTCTCCACGACGAGCCAAGTCGGTCAGTCCTCGGAAGCGTCCTGGAAAGCCTGCTGCCAAGACCCAGATCAAGCGTCAGAAGGCCAACGTCAGGATATCTCATTTGCTTCCAGACGTGCAGGTCTGTTCGGAGGAGATGGCGGCTCTCCAGAACGAGCTGGCCATATTGAAGGCTGCTCTTGGAGAAGGCACTCCCGTGGAGCTGGTGACACGAATGATGCCTCTGGTGAACTCGCAGACGGACATGAACATTTTTATGGAACTGTCGTCGTCCATTCAACAAGAGGTGATCATGGATTACCGTAACGAGATCCAGCGCAAGATTGCTAGCATCTCAAGACAGTTGGAGGATCTCAAGGAGAAGGAACGGATCGAACGAAGCCGAGAAGGCTCGAACCTGAGAACTATCTCCCTGGGAACGGTTACTCGAAACAGACCAGATACTCAGGAGCTGTTGAGTAGACTCAGTCAGTGGGTTAAATCTAGCTACGACGGTCCCCATGAAGATGACGTTACTCATATGATCAGACGGCTACGGCATTACCGCAACGAGGGGTACCACGAGGTAGTCAACGCCTCTGTTCGTTGGCTTTCCAAATTGAGTGCCAAAAGTCCAGATTGGTCGGGGGTTGTGAGAGATATAATAGTTGGTTTGCAGGAGGGATAAGGGAAATGGAGGGAAGTGGAGGGTGGTGAAGGAACGGTTATTTATTGTTGTATTTATTATATCATCTATTTTTTCATCAACTAGGGGTTTGGCAACCGGTAAAAGTGATTGGAGACTGGAGAAGAAGGAAGATTCAGACGTGCAAGTCTTCGGAAAAGATTCGCAACGCAAGCAGTGGTACTGACACGATGTTATTCTGAAGTAGATATCAGGGAAAACCTCATCCGCGTGATGATATTCAAATTATGAGTCGTCCTTTCCCTCACAGTGTAGCATCACCAACGTTCTGGTGACACTGTACTGCCCAACATGATTACTTTTTTCTCAACTTGTTCAACATCACTTCGGTCAAACGATAAACACTGCTACTCTTACTACAAGTAGTACCACAAGTCGACCTCATCCCCAGCTCCTGCAAATGAGACAAGTATTTGCAGTCGAACGAGTGGCTGATACTGTGTGTGCCAAAAGTCCACGGAGAACAGATATACTTATACCTGGGCAAGCCACACTGACCTGGACCGAAAAATGTCCGACCCCGTTCATAACAAAAGTGAGTAAATAGCCCGGTGCCTTGCCCTTCAAACAAGGTGTCTTCGGGGCCGGCAAGGGTCTCAGTGCTGGCAGGTGTCTCAGTGGCAGCAAGGGTCTGGCGGCAAGGGTATCGGTGCCAGCAGGAGTCTCGGTGCCAGCAGGAGTCCCGGTGTCTACTCTACGGGACCTTTGGATGGATGGACCCGAGACGGATCCACTGAATCGGTTCAACGATCACACTAACTGGGCCGTGGATGTTAACCGGGTCCACGTCAAAGCACATGGGATCGTCGCCTTCTCATCCCAAAACGCCAATCTGCCCGGTCCGATACTCACAAGGTTCGATGCAGCGGGCAGCGGGTTCACGGCTGTGTATTCGGTGCCGTGTCAGTATGAGTATCATAGTAGAGGAGGGACAAGGCGCAGATGAAGCACTCTTCTAGCAAGTAAGAACGAGTCTGTCAACTACCGGTACAGTACTTGTACAACTTGTGGAGTTGCCGTCAGTTCACTTTGGCAAGACACTACAAGTAGGAAAATGCGCCTGTAGTTGCCCACCACCAGATCTGAGACAACGTTGACGCAGGTCCTCTTGTCTCCCTTGTCTCCCTTGTCTCTCTTGGGCTGAGTGAGAGCCACAGGCACGTGCGATTGTTATCAAGAGAGTCGCTTATTGGGAGATAGCTCGAGTTAGGTTATCTGAAAGCCTGAAAGTGGGCAAGGTTGGAAGAGGGGGGTGGTGGCCTGAAAGTCGGTTTTTGGACGACGCCACGAGACGATATCGGTGCTGGCGGGTCCTGGAGACGAGCCATAAACAAATCGGGCCCTGTGATTGGTGGATTCCACCCTCCATTCCGCCAATCCGTCCGGTAAATACTCGTCCACACGCCTCCCTCCATTGTCCCATTGCGCATCCTCCACCTAACAGACCCTGCAGACCACGCCTAACTATATACTAAGCGATGAATGCAATGCACTGCACCCGTATGTACAGAGTAGAAGCCTAGAAGAAGAAAGCATGAAAGACAAGAGGGCAAGTACAAGTACAGATGGGAAGCAATTATCAACGACGATTGTCGCACTCTATCTCCTGATCATCTAGTCCATCCGTCCTTGATTAGCGCTCCCCCTCCAAACCAAAGAAACCATGAAACTACCAACCCTCGCTCTGGCCGCAGCAGCTGTCGCTGCTCCCCTGGTAGCCCCCGTCGAGCAATTCTCGCTCCCCACACAAAAAGGCAACGGCTACCTGATAGTCAACGTCGACCGACTGTCGGTGCGGTTCCCCTACGGCGTGGAATTCTCCATCGGCACCCCGGCCCAGCGGTTCAAGGGCGTGTTTGACACTGGCAGCGAACGTCTGCAGATGAACGGCGCTTCCGACTCTCGATGCCAAGCCGATAACGACTACGTGTGCCTGGGCGGCGTCTACAACCCCGCAGACTCCTCCACTTGGAAGTATGACACCAACGGAACCGGCACCTGGGGCGGACAAGGCGCCGAAGGAACAGACACCCTCACCCTGGGCTTCAAAAAGGACGAGTGCGACTTCTTCCAGGGCGGCGACATTGTTTCAATCCCCGGCTACGGAATCTACAACTCCAACGACACGGCAGGCTGGGACTCGCCCATCTTCGGACTGTCCAAAATCTTGTACCCCGAAGAGGGATACAAGAACCTGCCGTACTGGCTCAAGGAACAGGGCATTGCCAAGCGACAGGCCTTCTCCCTCTACTCCGAGGCGCCCATCGAGCTGGACTCCGCTGCCACCAAAAACGTGAGAACTCAGTGCATTTTCGGCGGAATCGATCACTCCAAGTACGAAGGACCTCTCGTCAAGCTGCCCCTGGTGTCTGAGACCCAGTACTCTGTGCGAATCAACACCATGACCATCGGTGGAGTGGTCCAGCCGTCGGAAAACGCCCGAAACCTCACTCTGGACACCGGCGTCAACGACATCCGATTCCTGTCCAACGAAACCTCCGAGTGGATCTCTCAAAAGTACGGAACCCACACCTACAACGGCACCCAGTGGGACATAGCCTGCGACGCTGAGTTCGACATCAACTACGAGTTTGAAGGCGGCGTTTCCATCCCCGTCAACTTCAAGCAGTTTGTCCAACACAACCCCAACGGAGTGTGCAACATTGGAATCGAAATCGGAGACAACCAGACCGACACCATTGCTGGCGCCTCATTTATTTCCCGAGCATACGTGGTATACGACAACGACTACCCATTCCTTCACCTAGCCAAGCGAAAGTACGGCTACTCCAAGCCCAACATTGAGGTCATCACCGGAGAGATTAGCTAATCACCACCTCCACCACCCCTGTACACACCATATATTCACGGTTCATTAACCATACATAGAAACGTACTTTTCAATCAAATGTCGCGAAAGATAACCGAACGAGGTGCACACTTATACGAATCTGGTGGGCCTATTGAGACACAAATGTCCGCTGAGGTAAACACAGATCACGTTGCTCAAACCACGTTCCCAAATCACGTTCTTACTATCGACTCCCGAACAACGAAACCCTCCTCTACCTTGCACTGACAGAAACGGAGCAGCACCGAAAGAGTAATAGAAACGAACATGTCTAACTAATTGTATGAGTAAGACTTAAGTATTTGTAAGCTTACAGTATTGTACAGAATATGTACGAGTGTGTAACACACACGAAGAATCAAGCAGCCACATTACAAATGCATCCCCCGCTGAGTGCACATGCCAGGATCTACAATCTAAACTAGATGCCAATTATAAATCCACTCCAGCTCTTCTTGATAGGCCACTTCTTAAGTCCGGCTACTACTACATACTGTGCCGTCTCACTACTTGTACAAAACCCCTCCGTTCACCGACTTAATCACCATGCTGTATGTTTTATAATCTAATAGGTTTGTGTTAAAAAGTTTAGACACACTCGAGAACTCGGAGAGTGTTGGTGTGGCCAAGACCACCGGTCCATCCCTGGATGGCGACAACAACATCGCCCTTGTTAAGAATACCAAGAGCAACAGCCTCGTCCATACCCCACTTGAGTCGCTCCTCAACATCGTGCTGCCACTCGGCAGGGTTGGAAGCTCGGGCCTTGTGGTAGATGAAGGGGTAGACGCCTCGGTACAGATGGGAGAATCGAGCGGCCTGTGCGTTTCGAGTCACCATAAGAATGGGACAGTTGGGTCGATACTTGGAACACAGTCGGGCGGAGGTTCCCGATGTGGACAGCACAATAATAGCTCGGGCCTGCTGCTCGAAAGAAGCAGACACGGCGGAGATAGCAATGGTCTCGACGGTCTCGGTGGGTCGGACAGTCAGGGTTCGCATCTCATTGAACAGAGGAGCATAGGCAATGGCCTTCTCGGCAACCAGACAGGTCTCGTGCATCATCTTGACGGACTCAATGGGGTAGGTTCCCTTGGCCGTCTCACCAGACAGCATGACACAGTCAGCACCATCAAGGACGGCGTTACCGACATCAGAGACCTCGGCTCGGGTGGGTCGGGGGTTGTAGGTCATGGAATCGAGCATCTGGGTGGCACAGATGACGGGCTTTCCGGCCAGGTTACACTTGGCGATCAGCTGCTTCTGGGCAATGAAAACCTGGGGGGCGGGGATCTCGATACCCAAGTCTCCTCGGGCAACCATGACACCGTCGGTCTCCTTCAGAATCTCGTCAAAGTTGTTGACACCCTGCTGGTTCTCAATCTTGGAGATGACCTGGATGCCCTTGCCCTTCTCGCCGAGCACGTCTCGGATGGCCTGGACGTCGTTGGCGGTTCGGACGAAAGAGGCAAAGATCATGTCGACACCGTGCTCAACACCAAACTTGAGATCGGCCTTGTCCTTCTCGGACAGAGCGGGGAGATCGACATCGGTGCCAGGGAGGTTGACACCCTTTCGAGAAGAGATCTTACCGTTGTTGAGAGTCTCGACCTTGAGGGTCTCGCCGTCAATCTTCTCGAGAACCTTGAAGGACAGAACACCGTCGTCAACGAAGATGATCTTGCCAATGTCAATCTGCTTGACAATGTTGGTGTAGTCAATGTACATGATCTTATCGTCGCACTGGTCCTTGTACTTGGGGTTGGTGGAGAAGAGCATGACATGGCCGGCCTTGACGTCCCAGTCCTTGTCGTCCTTGGTGACACCGGTTCGGATCTCGGGGCCCTTGGTGTCGAGAGCAATGGCCAGGGGTCGGCCCTGGAACTGCTGCTCGGACTCTCGGGCGTTCTCAATGACGGACTGGTGGTACTCGTACGAGCCGTGGGAGAAGTTCATTCGAACAATGTTGAGACCAGCTGTGGTTAGTATTGCGGCATGATAGACACATGGGTCCATACGTCATCGATAAGGGCACCAGACTGGCAACGTCATGAACGTCACCATTAGCGCCCTTACCACTTGCGTCGTTTTCATTTCATGTTTGTCACTTAGAGTTCGTTGGGTTTATCCGACCGGAAAAAATGTGCATGCGCATGAGCCGTGTATTGGACAAACCCGGGAAACCAAAGCCAAAAAATAAGGCGACGGTGCCAATTGGGGTAACGAAAGAAGGGACAGATAGACGTGGCCACCGCGAATCGGGTCACGGCGCACACTGCTGTCGCATTATGGTTACTCACCTTGTCGAAGCTTGGAGATCATCTCGGCGGAGTTTGTGTTGGGACCTGCTGTTAGTTTGCCGTTTTTACTGAGGCCTGAGGCGGAGACCGAGCCAGCGTTTGAGCGCATTCGGCGAATCGACTTGGGGGCAGGCGACACGGGTACAATGGGCTCGCCACATGTTCACATGAGCGGGTCCGTTATCCTGTGACGCCTACCTCTTGTGGGCTCGTCGAATTGTGCACCAAACCGCGCAATCGGCGTCTGGTCTGTGGATAAGTATACTCACCGATAGTACCAATGATGGACGACTTTCGGTAGTTCTTGGTGGGAATGTCATCCGTGTTCAGGGTACTGAGCCACTGCAGGTTGGTGGAAGGGGACGAATTGGCGGTGTAAATCATTGTAACTGTGGTGTGAATTTCTCCGCAGGGGTAGTTGATGGAGAGAAGAAGAGATGGTGCAGCGGAATTTTTGGATATATGGTTTTTTTTTGGATATGGTAACAAAACCAAAACACTAAAAGCAAACGGTAGGTTGCCTTCAAATAGAGTTGCGTCTACCCAGTAATTTATGGACCTTTTGCGTTGCGACAATATTGTCTTGTACGACAGAGATATGGACGGAGCGGGCCAGGTGAGGGGAAAAAGGAAAGTCACGTGACCCACTCCGCCCCCGAGTCTCGCCGTTGTTTTTCTCCTCTTTTGCGGGCTCCTGTTTCCGCGTCGCAATGGTCTTGACTTGTGGGGGTTGTAGGCATGTATCCGTAGTTAGCACACCCAGCTGCTACATGTAGCCCCGCACGGTCAACGTCATGTTACTTTTTCCCGCTAAAAAAGTTCACACGAATGTTGAGAGCTGTCAAATCAACTGGGGCGTGTTCAGAGCACGAGGCTTTGTGCGCCGGAGGGAGAGCGTCTGTGGGAGTTATTTGCCCGCATGCCATTGGTCTGTCCAGCTATCGTGACTCATGATACATATCTGCTTACAAGGTCTGCCGTCACTAGACGATAAAATTGGGAGACTGTAAAAAGGTCTTCTAGAAGAGCTGCCAGAGGTGGATTGATGAAGGGGGAGATTGATGGCGCAAGGGGATAGTAGAAAGGGCACGGCGATGCACTGAAATGACTACCGCTTGTCAATACTACCAATATCACAGATGTACAAGTACACATATCTAACCCGCTTTGTTTCCACTCGTACACTCCATTCATATCTATCTCCAATCAGCACTCTAAGACCTGTATGTACTGTAGTTGGAAAATACCAAGCCCTGCATGTACTACGGTACAAAAAAAACGGTACATACAGTCAGCGACATCGGCCTTCCAACAAGACAAGGAGAGGCGGGAACAATGTATGCTGCACACCACGGAGACTGGTTGCAAACAACAGAAGCGCGCAATTCGCCGTTTGCGACACGTAGGTTCCAGCCATTGGCCTCATCCCCCACATGTCGGTGAATCTAAACACTACCTCTGCAAACCCAACCGATCTTGTTGCCCTCTGACCAGCTCTCACTGTTGAGCTATTAAACCCTACCATGCAGTCAAGCAGTTGGGGAGAAGAGATGCGTGTAGACGAGGGGAATTGGAGACGAAGGGTGCAAGTAGAGCACGCAGTCTTGTGTACTACGTCAATTGTGCCCATTTATCGTCTTTAATCCTTCAAATACCCTCTTCGTCCTCTCGTCATCTCTCCGTCCCTGCGTGCATCTCCTCCAGCTTATACTTTTCAGATAGACCCACCGGAAAAATTAGTCGAACGTGCAGACTGCAGCGCATATGACTGGTTGCCAGTTTTTCCGGGATTGTCCCTGGCGCACCTCTTTCTCCTCTTCATATATAGACACTTGTGGTGGGAGTCATTGAGCGAGATACCGACCCCTTAACAATGGTGTTGTCTTGGAAACCCCAAGAACCCAACCGAGAACTTTATCTGTCTCGATGAGGTTAGACGTGACGACAATGTGTTGCGGTCACGTGGCGATCTGTGTCACGTGGTGGTTTGTGTCACGTGGTGGTTTGTGTCACGTGGTGGTTTGTGTCACGTGGTGGTTTGTGCCACGTGACAGATATGGCCCGTATACGTTGTCTTCGTACGGTGCGTGTACTCGTACTTGTACCATCAGCGATACAACTCCTCCATGGCAATGCACATTGAGTTGTCTCCATATTTGCTGTTGTCTTTTGGGAGTGTGGAAAAAACTGGAAAAACTTGGGCGAAAATGCTGAAAAACAGGTACGTCGGGTCTCCAAGCTCATGGAACTCACCAAAACCACCGCCTGATCCTCAGGATACCCACTTGCCACACCCTCTTTCGTGTGTTTCCATCCAAAAAAGGGCACGTGCAAACAGAGTTTTGGAATGTTGTGGAAGTGCCCCTTTTTGACCCTTTTTGACCCTTGTTGACCGGGACCCAGGAGACCCAAAAACCAGCCTAAAAACAGCAGCGGTAGGGGTAAAGGTGCGGCAAAAGACGGGATCCAGAGCCGCAATCGAGAGAGGGTTCGGTCACGTGACTCAGTTGACGTTTCACGGGTCCCATTGATGTCCAATTGGTCTCCTCGTCTCGTCCAGTATAAGCTCAGATCACGTACGGCGACCCACCGGGACAGGAGGACCAGCCGTGACTTTTCACCCCCACGAGTACCCTAACCCTGAAAATTTTACAGGTCCACTAAAGTTGAGGGCTTGTACTTTTCCTCTTCTTTTTTCTTTCCACATCATCCACAAAAATGTCTAACACTGAGCAGACCTTTATTGCCATCAAGGTGAGTAAGAAGCGAGGGTGAAGGAGTCGACGGCAGGGATTTGTTGTGTGTCAATTGCTGAATTGATCCGATTGAAGTGTCTTGAGATTGATGTCGTGTCAGCGAGATGGACAGATCAACACACCTCCGACACATGACCATGGCGCCAACAATGGTCGACCGCCAAGCTCCCCCAAACAACCACTAACCCAGCCCGACGGTGTCCAGCGAGGACTCATCTCTCCTATCCTCCACCGATTCGAGCAGCGAGGTTTCAAGCTTGTCGCCATCAAGCTGACCAACCCCGACGAGAAGCTCCTCCGAGAGCACTACGAGGACCTCCAGGAGAAGCCCTTCTTCCCCTCTCTGCTCAAGTACATGCAGTCTGGCCCCGTTCTTGCCACCGTCTGGGAGGGTAAGGATGTTGTCAAGCAGGGCCGAAACATCCTCGGTGCTACCAACCCCCTCCAGTCCGCCCCCGGTACCATCCGATTCGACTACGCCATCGACATTGGCCGAAACGTCTGCCATGGTTCCGACTCTGTTGAGTCTGCCAAGAAGGAGATCGGCATCTGGTTCAAGCCCGAGGAGCTCGCCTCTTACACCCCTGCCAACATTGGCTGGATCTACGAGTAAGCTATTTGTATAGTTTAATATCTTGTATGTGTCGCAGTGAAGAGTGTACTTGTTGCGGACTATTGTCTAGTAGTTTTCTTGTAGCCGTCATGGAAGGAGCCATCTCCATTGGACACGTGTAACCTTGATGGTCGCCTGTCATTTCACGTGTTGATCCACATTGGATGATTAAGCAACCCAGAGCTGATCGAGTTCCATATTAGACATTTTCAACCACGAGCGTACAATGTTCGTGCAGGAGGAATTTTCGCCAGCATGTTTCTTGCTTGTGTTGGGCCATATGTTCTTTCTGCTCACTTTGTTTACCTTTGTTACAAATTAGTTGAGAAAAATATTCGGCTGGGGGTTCATTTTGCACATTCCAGAAATGCCAGAGTTTTGGAAAGTGGTTCGATTGATAGGTAAAGAGCGACTTCTAAACAAGTTTTCATAATTGACAGTATTGTTTATTGCTAAAAGTTCAGGATACTTGTTTGAAACTTTTGTTGAGATTGTATTGCATACTTTAAAATATATATATATATATATATACTGTAAACAAAAAAAAGTATATACTGTACTTGTACTTACTGTATGTACTGTACATACTTGTGGGTAGGCAGAGCTGCTGATTTTGTAAGTATCCAAATGACACATTCAGATCAATGACGTGACAGATCCCCCGCCCCCACAGAATCACATTACCATTCTTCTCCGTGGCGCGTTGGAGTTCCCGATTTTTCCCGGTTTTCACCTCAACCAATGGAAGAGCCAGTGTAGTTAGACTGAACGGCAATACAAGGTTGACGAGTAGCATATATGATTTGATATTCGCAAGGAACTTTGTCGGGGTTGGAACTCTGATGAAGACCGTCAACTTAGCAGTCCCCGGCATAGTACATCCGCCATCAGTATCTAGACTGACTTTGCACTACAACAAAAGCCGATACAACAAGTGGGTACTCGTACTCGTACTACCAGCTACTCCAATGTCATACACTATCTTGGCTGCGCGTTATCATGTGAAATGAAAGGTTGTCTACGAGAGTATGTACTGCACTTGTACCTGTCCTTGCACTGGTGCTGAGATGACCGACTCTCGAGACGAACGGCCCGCAGAATCCGTGCCGGCCAGTTCATTTTGTGTTGGAATTTTTGATCGCTTTGCTCACGCCATTCCGTATCTCTGCCAAACGGGCTCCCTTTGGCTGGCTGCAAAGTCCGCTTGGGTAGGAGTATGCCGACCCTAACATCGGTCTCCAAATTGGGGTGATAAAGAAGAGAGGAAACGCGGGGGGAATCACGCGATCTCCAAAGTGGCGCCATTGGCGAGGTTCTACGGGACGCAGAAATACACGACGATTTCTATTTTGCTCAGTCGAGTTCCTCCAGCTCGTCTTGCAGCCTCTGTTCTCCCCTTAGGTCGGCCCGCCGGTAACCTTCGGCCTTCTCCGACGTTATCAGCCCAGTGCATGTAGAACGCACCTCCCAAGACACCAGCCAGTGAGTTCATATATAGATCAGCTGGCGCCGTCTTCACCTCCTCCACAAACACACAAAACCGCCAGCTACTAACCGAACCACAATACCAAATGTCCCTCGTCAAAGCCCGATACGGAAAGGATAACGTCCGAGTGCTCAAGGTGTCGCGAGACCCCTCCAACCCCAAGATCCAGCAGGTCCAGGAGCTGGTGGTCAAGTGTCTGCTGGAAGGAGACATTGAGGTTTCGTACACCAAGGCCGACAACACCCCCATTGTCGCCACCGACACGGTCAAGAACACCACCTTCATTGTGGCCAAGCAGCTGCCCGGCACCTGGCCCATTGAGCTTTTTGGCGCTGTGCTGGCCGACCACTTCATCAAGAAGTACCCCCATATTTCGTCCGCCCACGTCGACATTGAGCAGTACAAGTGGACCAAGTACGACGTGAACGGCAAGACATCGCAGCACTCGTTTGTGCACGACGGCACCGAGCTGCGAACCGTGCACGTCGACCGATACAGAGACGCCGCCAAGAACCCCGAAACCGTCACCACCTTCAACATTGCCTCCGGTATCAAGGATCTGTCTGTGCTCAAGTCGACGGGATCCATGTTCTACGGCTATCACAAGGACGACTTTACCACGCTCAAGCCCACAAAGGACCGAATCCTGTCCACCGACGTGGCTGCCACCTGGCACTGGATCTCCAAGGAGATTGATACCCTGGACAAGATCAAGGAGATTGCCAAGAAAGGTATATTTGACAGTGTGTATGCCCAGGTTGTCGACACCACTTTGCAGCGATTTGCCACCGAAAACTCCGCTTCCGTCCAGGCCACCATGTACAACATGTCCACCGACATCCTCGATAAGGCTTCCCTGGTGGAGACGGTGGACTACGAGCTCCCCAACAAGCATTACTTTGAGCTGGACCTGAGCTGGCATCATCGTCTCAAGAACACCGGCACCGACGCCGAGGTGTACGTTCCCCAGTCCAACCCCAACGGTCTCATCAAGTCTTCTGTTGGCCGATCAAAGTTGTAGGAACAAGTGTTAAATGTAATAGTAAAATAGATGAAAGAAAAATCCGAGTAGCCCGGTCGAATGAAGGTGTATTAGATGGAGTGTGTCAAACGGAGCATTACCACTGTGATCAAACTCCACGAACCATCTACATCGAAAGTACAAGTCATCATGAAGCTCCACCTTCACTCTGGATCAACTGATAGCGTCTCTAGAGTATGTACATACGAGGACCTACGCAATTAGTTTTACAACTAACCTTGCAGCTTCAACTCAGCCGCATCGGTGGAGGGACCAGAGCCCCCCACGCTGATAGACTCCCACCTGTCGGAGTAGCGCACAGGAAGCCTGTATGGCACTACAACTATACCTCAAGTTGAACTGCGGTGGACTCAAGCAAAGATTTCTGGTAACAAAAAGGACTTTTCTGGTAGAAAAAAGGTTGGTGAATTCAAAACTAGCGGGTCTTGAAACCCATCACCGGTTTCATGTTCTTTTATTACTGTTTCTGTCCCAAATCGTCTCTTAACGACATTTCGGAAAAACTATTCTTCCGCGTTCCAAAAGCAAGCATACACACATTTTGGTGTGCATTAGAGAGGTTGGATAAGCGAGGTGGGGGGAAGGCAAGAATGACGTTGGCTAGAGCGAGCTGTTCCCGAGGGATGAATGTGATGGATACACTGGAATCTCCATGGTCACGTGATTGGATATCAGCGGCCGTTGTAGCATCATTTGTTACACCTACAACAGTGCAATGTTGCATAGTGCAAATGTATCGTCCCTTCCGTACTTGAGTTATTCCCCTCAAACTCACGGCCAGAAAGAGAGCCCTGAAGCGGATGAAGGAAGCAGCGCGAAGGAGGGCTATGTGGCTCCAAATACGTGGAGATTGGTACTTGAAAAAGACCCGCAATCAAACGAGCAGCTCTTTGTATGATGGCATTTTGTCTCTTTGTATCTATAGCTCGCTCCGCATGTATAGCAAGCCTTTGTATGATTAGGAGGGCCGAGAACGCTAGTGAGCGGGGTTCGAGGGAGGGGAGGAGATGGGGTCTGAGAGGGTATGTAGAAGGATGAAAGTGGGAGGGTTTTGAGGGGAGAAAAGCGGAATCGACCAAGAGGCATGGTCTGACCGAGTCGGCGCTTTTCTCTTGTCAATTCCACCTCTCCAACAGCCGCTGATAACCACCTTCTTTCGCACTTGTTGCTATGGACTGATCATCCGCCAACGTTATGCAGTGCGAGGCTAACCGTAAGAGACGTTGAATATATATATATATATAACAGCGAGAGACAACCGCCCAAAACGGCTGAATATTCCAATTACCTGCTGAACAAACGACAATGACCACTAAACAGTTCCAATTCGACTCGGATCCGCTCAATTCTGCCCTTGCCGCCACCGCGGAGGCCTCAGGCCTCGCTTACCTCCCCAAGAGCAAGGTCATCTACTACCCTCTGACCAACGACAAGGTGACGTTGATTTCAGGTGGAGGAGCTGGCCACGAGCCTGCTCAGACCGGGTTTGTGGGTCCCGGACTGCTGGATGCGGCCGTGTCGGGCCAGATCTTTGCCTCACCTTCCACCAAACAGATCATTGCCGGAGTCAATGCCGTCAAGTCGCAACGGGGCTCCATCATTATCGTCATGAACTACACTGGCGATGTGATCCACTTTGGAATGGCCGCCGAGCAGCTGCGGTCCCGATATGACTACCACGCCGAACTGGTGTCCATTGGCGACGACATTTCCGTCAACAAGAAGGCCGGACGACGAGGTCTGGCAGGAACCGTTCTTGTTCACAAGATCGCAGGCCATCTTGCCCGAGATGGCTGGGACGTCGGAGTGCTTGCTGAAGCTCTGCGAACCACCGCCGCCAACCTGGCCACCGTGGCTGCGTCTCTGGAACACTGCACTGTACCTGGCAGAAAGTTCGAGACCGAACTGGCGGCCGATGAGATGGAGATTGGCATGGGTATCCACAACGAGCCCGGTGTCAAGACCATCAAGATTGGCAAGGTTGAGTCTCTGCTGGACGAATTGGTCGACAAGTTCGAGCCCTCCAAGCAGGACTTTGTGCCCTTCAACAAGGGCGACGAGGTGGTGCTGCTGGTCAATTCCCTCGGAGGAGTCTCTTCTCTGGAACTCCACGCCATTGCCAACATTGCCCAGACAAAGTTCGAGAAGGTGCTGGGCGTCAAGACCGTGCGACTTATTGTTGGCAACTTCATGGCTGCCTTCAACGGTCCTGGCTTCTCTTTGACTCTGCTCAACGTCACCACGACCGCCAAGAAGGGCAACTTTGACGTTCTGGGAGCCCTGGACGCTCCCGTGTCCACCGCCGCCTGGCCCTCTCTGCAGCAGAAGGACAAGCCTGCCAACGGCGGTGTCCAGGAGGAGAAGGAGACCGACTCGGACAAGCCTGCTGAGCCTACTGGAATCAAGGCCGACGGAAAGCTGTTCAAGGCCATGATTGAGAGTGCTGTTGACGATCTCAAGAAGGAGGAGCCCCAGATTACCAAATACGACACTATTGCTGGCGATGGAGACTGTGGAGAGACTCTGTTGGCTGGAGGCGACGGTATTCTGGACGCTATCAAGAACAAGAAGATTGACCTTGATGATGCCGCTGGAGTGGCTGATATTTCTCACATCGTCGAGAACTCCATGGGAGGCACCTCGGGAGGTCTCTACTCCATCTTCTTCTCCGGTCTCGTGGTCGGTATCAAGGAGACCAAGGCCAAGGAGCTGTCTGTCGATGTGTTTGCCAAGGCATGTGAGACTGCTCTGGAGACTCTTTCTAAGTACACCCAGGCCCGAGTCGGCGACCGAACCCTCATGGACGCACTTGTTCCCTTTGTAGAGACCCTCAGCAAGACCAAGGACTTCGCCAAGGCCGTAGAGGCTGCTCGGAAGGGCGCCGACGAGACTTCCAAGCTGCCTGCCAATTTTGGCCGTGCCTCGTATGTGAACGAGGAGGGATTGGAGAACATTCCTGACCCTGGAGCTCTTGGACTGGCCGTCATTTTCGAAGGTCTTCTCAAGGCCTGGGAGAAGAAGTAGTGTGTAACGGTGAAAGTATGTAGTAAAATGATTAATGACGATGCTGAAGTGAGGATAATGGAGGTAAACATCTGCCGACTGCTTGATCCAGGGTATATACCACTCGTACTTGTTCTAGGGAGAATACTCGATGATATTCTATCCTAAGTAAGTACCAGTCATCTTCACTATTCCGGATACCTGACTCGTTGCTGCAATTACTCTCACCTCACACCGCTTACTATTCTATGCTATAAATTAATACTACTTGTACTGTACTTTTGTTGCTGACCTCGTTTCCAGATCATCCTCCCTATTAATCCAACCACTCGTCAAAGTAGCTGCACTCCACATCCACCGGTCCTCCGGCGCTGCACACGTTGAAGACAGGACACTGGCCACAAACAGACTCGGTGTAAGCGTCTTTTGGCAGCTCCTCGTCGGGAAGATCGCCATTGAGAGTCGCCTTGTATCCTGCCTTGCATCTTTCCAGACGGTCATCGTAAACCAAGACCTCGCACAGTATTCGAATATGGCCCTCATCCAGCTCCACTCGTGACACCTCCTGGTCGACAATGAACTGCTTGATGTCTGTGACATGCACGGGTGGTGCGTTGGCCCCGAGCGCCAGGTTTGTGTTCTCCTCGCAGTAGTGGTAGACCACGTCGAGCAGCAGATCGACAAACTCGGAATCGAGCTCGGCATCGGAAAACCAGGGACCTCCTGTGAGCTCAGCCGAGGGTTGCAGGTTGTACAGCATGTACATTTTCCGCGTCTTCTGCTGTACGCTCTTGACCATCTTGATGATGTGCTGCTGCTCCAGCGACTTGAGACATCGGTGGACCACGTTGATGTGCAAGTTGGACCTGGCTGTGATGGTCCGCACCCAGATGCCGTCACGCTCCGACTCTGCAATGTAGTTGTACACAATGTACTCGTCAGACGTGAGCTTGGATACAATGTCAGCCGTCTCGATCGACACGGCCTGCAGCATCACCTGTCCTCCCTGCTCCAGCACCTTGACTCTGGACGAGTTGTGTAGCTCCGCGATCCACGCCTCCAGCTTCTCGCCTGCTACGTCCACGAGGTCGGCCACCTCCGCGTACGTGAAGAGCTTGGCCTTGGGCCCCTCCAGCATTTTGGCGTGCAAATCATCCGCGGACATTTTGAAAAGGTGCGGTTGTTGTGCAAGTCTGGAAAAAAAAAAGTTGGATGGCGAAATTATTTCGTCACACTTTTCTAGTGCGTCTGAGATGCGCGCATATGTGGGATGGAGGTGGTTGGTAGGGGGCCGAAAGACTGCTCTGGAGACTAGTGGGGTGGTTGGAGCGGATCGCAGAGGTGTATATATGCGAGTTTTCAAGTTTCAACGGAAAAAAACAGCCCTTTAGCTGGTATTGTGTGTTGTGTGACAATCTGGTAGAGTTGGTTGGATAATCTTCATTAACAAAAAGCCCAACTGAAAATGTATAAAGTAAGTATAGTCTAAGTAACTGAGAGCGAGAAGAGACGTGTGTTATTTCTAAGGCTTACAGCGAAGATACCGAGCCAATTTTTTTGTCAGCTTGTGAAGAATTATGATTAAATTATTTTTCAATCTTCCACTTCTCTCTCACTTGCTTCACACACCTCATTAACCACACCCCGTCTCCGCCCTATGTTCTCTTTAGGTTCGCACTACGAACATGCACCTTCTAGTATCACCACCATCACTCTCACCAACCAGCCATGGCACGAATCAAGCTTGATCTGAGCTCGGACGAGGAGCCCACGGTATCGTTCAAGCGCAAAACGGTCAAGAAGGCCGCCAAGCCCAAATCTGCGGAGAAAGAGTCAGATGAAGAGCCCAGTATGGTGTTCAAATCGAAGATCAAGGCCGTCAAGCTGGTCAAAAACGAACAGACCCGCTCCAACGAGTACCAGCAGGAGCTGGACGAGATGAAGAACAATTTTGGACACCTGCAAACGAAAGAGGAGATTGGTAGCTTCAAAACTGACACTACCGGAGAGATCAAGACAACCAAGAAGGTCACATTCGAGGGTGTACCAGACACCAAGGACGAGCCCTCCTCCTCCGCAGACTTTATCTCACTGTCGGGAATGGAACACAGCAACACAGACTTGCCTGCCACATCCAAAGAAGGCTACACGGCGTCTCTGGATGACGGGTACGACTCGGATCTGTCTATATCCGAGGGGAGAGATTTTCAGGACGATCTACTGGTGATTGGCGAGTCTGGGGTGTCGGACCAGGCCGATGCTAGAAGAGCCGATATGGCTGAAGCCATCTACGAGGCGCAGTTGACTGCAAGTGAAGATGACGAGGAGGACAGGAGAGGATGGGAGAAGTCGCAGTTCCGGTCGTCGGGTGTATTCAAGGATGACTCCACGTCGGAAACTAAGTACCGGGAGTCCACTGATCACGAGGCTCATAATCTGGCGCTGAAAAAGCTGCATTCGGTGCCGGAGATTCCGTCTCTGACAGATGTAGTGGAGTCCATCAAGCAGCGCAAGGTAGACATGGACGCGCGCAAATCTGATCTTGAGCTGACGCTAGAGCAGTACCAGCGCGAGATTTCGCTCATTGAGGAGCGTCAGAAGGAGGTGGCCGATCTGGTCAACAAGCAGCTGGCTCTTTAGGGGTGTTTGTGATGGTTTGAAGGACTACGACGATTGTCAATTGCATTCTAACGACTATGAATGCACGATACTAGGCAGTACCTACACAGCTACAGTAGTTGACAACATGTCACACTGCCATTACAACCACTCAACCAACACACACACAGTCTACAAGTACAAGTACCGTACAAGTAACTGTAGGCCGTATCTTCTCTTCAAAGTTTGAGGTTGACTCCGTCACGACCAGTTTGCCTTTAGACATTGACTTGAGTGTTTAACCATGGATCTCCAAATTACGCGATAGACGCGACGAGCCAGTGACAATGACAAACGAGCCGCTCTGGGTGGGAAAAGAGGTGCTTCTGAAAAACAACACGAGCGAGCGACAATGGGACGGAAGAAACAACACATTTGCATCCCCATTTGTGTCTCTATCATTTACTTGTTCCTTCCACAAATCTCCACCACCGCCAAGGCTGGTCATGGTTGCGTCTGTCTATCTCTCTCTATCCTTTGGGCTCCAACTCTATCGGTTGCTTGGAATGTGTGTGTTTTTTTTTTTTTTTTTTGGTATTGAACCAAAGAACAGGAGGAGTACTTGTAGTGCCGGGAGACCGTGGGGCTGACGTAATGAGTAATGTATATCACGTGACAAGTCCGACAAGACCACAAATCGGTTTCACCAGGACTCTGTTACAACTACAGTGTACTCGTAGTTTTATTAATGTTGCTTCCCCCTGACCAAACGCACCATTGTCAAGGTTATGACCTCCCACGTCAACATAAAAAAAAGCCGTTGTGAGAAAGGCAGCGTGTATATATATAGTCGTGTGCTCCCCCGTTTTGTTTCCACTTCCCTCTGTTCACCAATGGAAAGTCCCAGTTTTCGCGCACGGCCATGTTTGCTCGTTGTTCTGCTGCCTGTGCTGAGACCGTCGCCCGCCGGTACTTAAGAGCTGCGGCGGTTTACACGCACCCTGCAGCTCCGTCAAATTTCACTCCTACAGCAAATCAAGCCCGGACACCACCACACACAAACATCATGTTCCGAAGCCGAATCTCGCACCTGGCCCGGACCATGGGCCGAATGAACCGCCCCAGCCCCATGGCCCGAAAATACGCGTCCCACGAGCTGCTCCAGGGCGCCATGCCGACCCCTGTCAAGCTGGTGATTGCCTTTGGAGCCACCACCGCCTTCTTCATGTGGGCGGCCAAGCAGCTCGACAAGAAGCCCGTGGTGGCCGAGATCACCGAGGAGGACTACAACCAGATGGTCCAGCAGACCAAATCCAAGTACAAGAAGGCCGCGTTTGGCCCCAACGAGGTCTCCGTCATCTTTGTGCTAGGAGGCCCCGGAGCCGGCAAGGGCACCCAGTGCGAGAAGCTGGTCAACGAGTACGGCTTTGTGCACCTGTCTGCCGGTGATCTGCTGCGAGAGGAGCAGTCTCGACCCAACTCGCAGTACGGCAAGCTCATCGCCGACTGCATCAAGGCGGGAGACATTGTGCCCCAGGAGGTGACCATTGGCCTGCTCAAGAACGCCATGAAGGAGAGCGTGGCCAAGGGCAAGACCCGATTCCTCATTGATGGCTTCCCCCGAAAGATGGACCAGGCCCTCAAGTTCGAGGAGGACGTGGCCGTCTCCAAGTTCACTCTCTTCTTCGAGTGTCCCGAGGAGGTCATGCTCAAGCGTCTGCTCAAGCGAGGCGAGACCTCGGGCCGAACCGATGACAACATCGAGTCCATCCGAAAGCGGTTCGTGACCTTCATCGAGACTTCCATGCCTGTCGTCGACTACTTTGAGACCCAGGACCGAGTCGTGGTTGTCGACTGCAAGCAGGACCCTGACGTGGTTTACGACAATGTTAAGGACGCTCTTCATGCCCGAGGCATTCACCTTAAGCAGTAAATAGATATAGATTGAGATACTGACTGAGATTGTAGTGTAGGACAGGACCCTGGGATGGTACAAGTCTTTCTGGGGGAAGGTAACGCGACTAAACGACAATGGGTGTTTCTCAATTGTATATATAACTGATATGTAGTGCTTTCAGTAGGTTTCTTCCTGTTTTCAGTTGTTTGGATTGTTTTGATATCCCCTCTCTGTCATTACAGTAGTTATTCAATGAGTGTTTGCTTTGTTTTATATTTTTCACCTAAGTATAAATCGAGTAAACCCCCTTTTTTTTTAACTAAATACTTACATCCAGACCACTCTACGATAAAGTTCACCCATCCACCTGCATATCATGGATATTTTATTTAGCCCATCATCTCATCTTTCACCTCAAGCATGTCGGCAAGAACTGAGCGGATCGACTTCAACGAAGGGTTGAACACTCTCCAGCTGGTTCCCGCCACGGCCTCGGTGGGAAGACGAGGAAAAGGAGCTGGCTTCTACTGTGAAGTGTGCAACCTCACATACAAAGACTCCATTCAATGGATCGACCATCTCAACAGTAAACAGCACTTGTATGAGATTGGAGAGACGGACGGACCCCGACAATCGACGCTGGAGGATGTTCAGAAGCGGCTCAAGTGGCTGACGGAGCGAAAACGCGCCCAGGAGAAGGAGTTGGACTACGATATCAACGCTCGGATCAGTGCCAGAAAACAGTTGATTGAGCGACAGAAGAAGAAGAAGAAGGATCGAAAGCGACAGAAACGAGAGGAAAAGGTGGAAGAAGGAGCTGACGACGAAATGATGGCCGCCATGGGCTTTGGCGGGTTTGGAAGTACAAAAAAGTGATTTTAAGGGCGCCAGAACATTTCACTGTACGGATAGCTCGTGCTACACAGCACATCAGCACATTAGCACCACACACAAGCCACGGAACTGCACAAGCGTTTAACGCATAGGATACACACGTCTAATACTCGAACGGTCTTCCAGGGCAAGTCGGAAGTATCCCAAATCTACATCTGAGTGACCAAGTCTACATCTGAGTGACCAAGTGCTCATTTAATGGACTTACGACACTGCTGTAACAGAAGCACTCTAGGTGAAGCTACGGCAGCAGTCCTCTACGAATGGAAAGTTGACCAGCTAAAATTGTCTATATCACTACGTCCCCCAGTCACTTGAAAGGCTGATCTCAACTGTGAAAGAGATGACCACCTCTGCCAGCATGGTGACAGCAACTACTGCACTTGAGGACGTACACTACTCGCACTCGTACTGTACTCATACTGAAAGATTTCTTGGCAGCAGGGAGTACGACAGGGTGATCGCGGTGGTTATCAGACGGCTTATCCCGCATACCTTCCGACGTCTACAGCCTATGGACATGATCTATAGCGCTATGAAACGGTTGGCGTCAATAATGGGTCATTCTACAAGTACTCGCCTACTGTACGTGTGTACAACCGAGAGTAGTCTTGCTACTTAAACGACAGCACACAAGAGATTTACACTTGTACAATAATTATAAGACAGCACCCTGGTAAAAATGTCCATTATGACATCATCGGACATTGCATGTGGTCCAACATGTAGTCCCAAATAAACTGCTTACTGTAGCTACAATATGTACTTGTACTAGCAGATAATGGTGAAGAGAAGACAACAAATACGAGGACTTGTACTGAACTCGCACCCGTCGACGGACTCACGGTACTGCTTAGTCAGCTATATGGCAACTCTCCGGCCTGGTCTCCACTCAAAAAGAGATCTACACCGTTTCTATGAATCTAAGAGATGGAAGGCAAGTAGACAGACAAACAACATGTGTAAGACCGGGGACGAGTCATACCATTATACTTGCTGCCAAGAGGAAAAAAGCCCCAAACCACAGGCTCGAAAACTCAAACCATTGCTCTCGTGTGTCTGCTCGCGCCCCGACACACTCCCGGTTGCCTCTCCATCCATCCCCCTTACATATTGTATCATACAAGCGGTATATTTGTCTGTGCGGGAGGCGTCTTCCGACACTTTACCCTACCGGTGTGCGGTGGAAAAAAAAAGTCAAAAAGCCAGCAGTGTCCTGCAGAAAAAGCGTAAGTTTAAAATTTCAGCAGAGGGCAACAAGACGAGACTCTCGGCACCTAACACTCTGGATAGTCAACTTCGGATCTTTGAAAACAGCACAATGTCTACTTTATTCGAGGATTCCTTCAAAACCACGTCTGTGGACTCCGCCCGATACGACCGGGTCTCACGAATAACCGCCCAGAGCCTGAATCATGACGACATCCATCTGACTCTGGATGTCAATACAGAGCTGTTCCCCATGTCCAAGGGCGACGTGGTGACCGTGGCTCTGGCCTCCCAGCTGACCGACAAGGAGACCACCTATTCTGGCTGGAGAGAACCCAAGGTGGGCGAAAAGAGTCTGGCTGACGACTACGACTACGTCATGTACGGAACCGTCTACAAGTTTGAGGAGGGCAGTGGAGAGAAGGTGTGAGTATGGAAGAGCGGAGGAGCAAGAACGACGTCCATCGACATGCCTCAGGCGTGTCATTGGAGTCATTGGATTCCCACATTGGGTCGTAGATGTAGTAGTTTGGATGGGTCAATCAATGATGAATGCTGAACATGTTCATCAAGAGAGAAGGACTTGATTCGAAGCAGCAACAACAACAGTGGCTGGATACGGGTGGCAACAAAGCGACAACTCGACTGGACATGTGGCTTCTGTGAGATCGAAATAGCCGATTCGATGCCAATTCTTCGATTAAATTCGCTGATTTGGCGATGAATTAGCTCTTCGAGCAATCTACAGGCGACGCTATGATACCTCAAAGAGAATGCTTATTCCTCGACGATAATGTTAAAGCTCGACGAGAAGAGGTGATGGATTTCGAAATCTGTTTGATACGCAATCTCCAAAGTCTCACAGGTGCTTCCTAAACACTGTCCGACGTTGCTGTGGGCAAATCTAGCACCGACGACAACGTTTCTAGGTCTCTATGAAGTAATCATTTGAAACACAAAGCCGTTCGTCGATACTCATTAACACCATCTCCACTACAAACACTACTATGACCCGCGACAATCACTCATTTCTACGTACTAACCCCAGCGCTGTTTACGTCTCGTTCGGAGGACTCTTGCTCTGTCTTGAGGGAGGATACAGACATCTCTCGTCGCTCAAGCAGGAAAATGTCTACCTGCTGATGAGAGCGTAACCCATTACTTACGTAATTGTAAATTATAATATATAGAGCGTTATGCAGGGCGTACCAGTTGTAGTACTAGTATGTTGGAAACACACCAGGGTCATACTCGTAGTAGGTAAAACCACTCAGGAGATTTCCGAGGCCTTGCCGGCCATGAGAAGACCGACAATGAGACCGAAAAGTCCGAGAACAGAGCCGAAAATCTCAATGACCAGAATTTTGACAAACAGAGCCGAGTCGGCGGCGTCAGCAACGGCGGCAGTGGATCCGGTGATTCCAACACAGATACCACAAACGAGGTTGCCCAGACCGACAGTCAGACCGGCCCAGAAGAGCGAGAAGCCGGTGTACATGTTCGACTTGGTGTACACGTCTTCCACGCTCGCCAGCTTGGCCGAAAAGACAATGGCCATAATCAGACCGTAGATGGCCACCACCTCACAGAAAATAATGGAGATGAGGTTTTTGGTTGTGATTCGTGGCGCCTTGACGCCGGCTCCGATGATTGTACTTCCGGTGATGAAAATTCCCCTGAGTTAGTGTGTCTTCAAAGGTGTGTCCAGTTGTACAGCAAGCACATGAACAAGTCACTGGAAAGAAGTCACTGGAAAGAAGTCGCTGGAAGGAAGTCGCTGAATAGGGTCTCTTCCCAGGTCATTTGTGTCTCAAGTAGCATCTCTCTTCCCTTTCTTCGCCGCTCAATGGTCTAGAAACGTTGCTGCCACCGATATTGTCGTCCTTCCTAGACCCCTAGTGCCCGTCTTCCACCAGTGGCATTGCTCCCTTCATCACAAGCAACCAATGATATACTCACCAAGCAGCTCCAATCACACTCAGAGTGATACACATGCCAATGCCCAGATTGGCCCACATGAGCGGACTTGTGGTGGACAGAAACTCGCCGACATTGAAGGACTCGCCTTCGCCCTGGAAAAGCAGGTCTGGGTTAGTACGGTAGAAAGAGCGGGGTGCGGTAGTCGCGTCAACTCACAGCCAGCAACAACTAGTCCAAACAGGAACAGTGTCGAAGCCAGGATTTTCGTAGCCATTTTTTCTGTTGCACTTCGAGGCTCGATGTCGTCGGTCGTGGTGGTCGTCACACCGTGTGCAGTGTCTCTTGTATCGATGGGAGTATAGGGTTAGGGCATACATGGAGCTTACCAGTAGGCATAAATGGTGTGCTGGATGCAGCATAATGTGAGATCTACGGGTACGTTATCGGGAATATCAAACTACAAGTACGGATACACGATAGCTACTTGTCTTTCATTTTCGACACCAATGACCAAACGTGAGTACTGTGCTAGATTTGCAGTTGGAAGTCCCCCTCTTGCCGCCCTTGTTACTAACACAGCACATCCACTACTCTCACAGGTACCCCTGATTGTATCGCCGTCGATTCGACCCCCACAAGCCGTGACGCTGCCATTCGAGTACAAGTCGTTACCGGCCAACATGCCGCAGGCGGTCAATGAAGACGATATTCTCGACACACTCGGGCAGCTGAGTCAGAAGCTGGAACAGCTGGAGCAGGATCATAGAGCCGCGGTAGCGACATACCAGAGCTGGCGGGAGAACGTGGACCAGCAGACCCGGGAAGAACAGCGCAAGATTGCTCCTGGATACCTGGATTCAGTGGACCGAATTCTGGTGCCTCAGAAGAGGACCGAAACTGTGGAGCAGGAGCAGGAGATGGACACCGAGGAGGACGGCAAGGAGGAGGAGCCCGTCAATGAGCTGGACAAGGCCTTTGGAAAGGTCGGGCTGGAGTAACCACGCCGGTTGGATATTGAACTATTTGCATATTATGAACGTTATGATTGACTGTTAGGTGTGAGTAGATAGTCTACGAGTACAAGTAGCTACTATTTCACAGATAATGTATAAAGGAGACGGGTGGACTTATCTGTTATTGTAGACCTTCACAAACAATGCCAATCCATTGCTACAATTGAACACGTTACAAACATTCCCTGTATTAAGTCCATATTCACTCCCCCCCCCCCTCTCTACCCATCCAAACGTGCGTCAATCTCTATCTGTTCACGACTCACTGAGCATAGCCTCGAGGAAATGCTCGGGATCGGGTTGCTTGGCCGTCACATCCACCTTGATGTCATTCTTCTGTAGGTAGTCCAATGTGGTAGGTCCTATACTGGCAATCTTGAAGCCATGAGCAGGGTTCTTTTTGAGATACTCCACAATCTGAGCGGTGCCAGAGGGAGCAAAGAAACAGATCCAGTTGTGCTTGGCGTCGGGGAGCGCCCCCACAGCCTTCTCAAACCGTCCAGCAATGTCGTCCAGATCAACAGTCTCATAAACAGTGTACTCCACCAGACTTCGTCCAGCCTCTCTTAACTTGTTGGGGATGGTGTCTCGTCGCACCTTTCCTGCGTAAAAGGCAAATCGCTGGTATCCATCCGACAACAGTTGCGGCACAAGAGCGGCTCCATTACCCGTCTCTTCTCCTCGAACGTCCTTGAAGCCCAGTTCGCGGAGACACCTTGCGGTAGCCGGACCAACGGTGTATGCAGGTTTGCAGAGCAGCTCTGGACTGGCGTATTCTCCGAGGATTTCAACTGCGCGGTGAGAGGTGACAATCACGGCGTCAATACCATCCACCTCGTTGGCAATGTGTGTTTTGAGAGATTCGATTCCGACCGGAGAATGCTGCAGAAGAGGCACAAAAACAGCATTGTGACCCTTCTGCTCGACAAACAGCTCCTGGTAGAAATCTCGCGGCGTCGTAGGGTTCTTGAGCAGTAGGATGTTCATGATTTCCCGGGGTTGCGTGTAGCTGTAGAGAGATAGAGCTGAGTCAGATCTGGGGTCTGCATGCTGATGATCTCAAGTCACGTGATACAAATCTACGTATATCTGGAGATGGTGGATTGTGGGCGAAAAACGAAAGGGGAAATGGGCTAAGAGCACGCTGTTGCTCCTTAGGACATTTTTCACCGTTCTATGAAACTGGACATTGTCATTGGATGGTGGAAAGTGTGTGTACAATGTTAGGGTGAAACTTCTGATTCTTGTAGCACTTTTGGGAACAGGAGAGGCACTGAAAGATGGTATATTTGGCTGTGAAGACCTATTAGTGAATACATGATCATATTGGATATATCATTCTGATTCGATTAATGTTGAAAAACAGTCATTTTGAGGCTTCTTCACACCCAAATAGTTGTTGTCGTCAGGAGAAAAATGGTCAACTAAACTCAAGTATATTATAGAGTAACTTCAAGTAAGAACATGTCCACTCCATATATCCCCCTGGGGAGATAAATAATACAATAAAACCTGATGATATCAAAAAATCCAACATTACCTATATCCATTTGCAACTCTTCTCTCATCTCCCCTATACCCCATTTTACACCGGTCTAAATTCTCTCTGATCACATGACTGGAAATAAATTGTATCAAGCTGCATATCGTCTCCTAGCCTTAACCACCACCACCACATCATGATCACACTTCCAGAGCAGCTGGAGAAGCTGTCCAAGCAGGAAAATCTCATTGCACAAGGCGCTGAGTCGTTGGTGTATTCCGCCCAGCACCCCTACCTCCCCCAACAAGAATGCATCGTTAAATACAGACCCAAGAAGCCATATCGTCTTCCGGAACTTGATGCCCAGCTCAGCAAACACAGAACGCTGGCCGAGGCCCGGGTGTTGCAGAAGCTGGCTCTTGGAGACGTGGAAGTGCCCCATCTGGTCTTCATCGATGCCAAAAACGGACTCATCTACATGGAGAAGATCGAAGGTCTGAGTGTGAAGCAGTGGATCTGGAACGAGGAGGGAGACACCGAAGGAGGGGCCCAGGAGGCCGGAGATAAGAGCAGATCGTTACCGGATGGTGACGTGTCTTCTCTGAAGGACACCCTGGTTCTTGTCGGCCAAGAAATCGGCAAGTTGCATAAATCTGACATTGTCCATGGCGATCTGACCACTTCGAACGTCATGTTGAGAGACGGCAAGCCTGTCATCATCGACTTTGGACTCGCTTCCGTGTCCACTCTGGCCGAAGATAAGGCTGTGGATCTATATGTCATGGAGCGAGCCGTTCTCAGTACTCATCCTGTCCACAGTCAACAGTACTGCGACTGGTTGTTTGAAGGATACCTGGCTGTTGTCGGCAAGAGTCAGAAAGAGGTGATGCGAAAACTGGAGGATGTTCGACAGCGAGGACGAAAGCGGTCCATGCTAGGTTGAAGTGACGACTGCGTAATGAATTATGTACGAAAATCACAACAAAACCATACCTAACATGAATATTGATTGTATATCAGATATTGTACCATCGAAAGATGTTCGGAATTAGCATTCACACACTGCACAGACACATCGTCTTCCCGCTATTAGGTAATATACATTATGCTATAAGTTATCTACAACAATCCCTGACGCTTGAGATCCTCGTAGGTCTTCTCACTCATGGCGTTTCCATCGCTATCCTCCACCTCGACAATGTTTTCTTCTCGAGTCTCCACCGTCTTGAGCTGTTTCTTCATTCGGTCCCACAATGCATTGGCCTCCTCAATCTTGGTGATGCCTTTAAATGCCTGAGACGGCTCGATACCAAGACATCGGAGTCCAAAGATGTGTCTGGGTGTGGAAAAGTGCTTGTCAAAGATCTTTCGGCCCCGGTAGGTGGTATTTCCACAGATCTCACATGTGTACTCAATTCCCAAACCATGCAACTTATACAGCCAGAAAGGAATGGGTTTTCCGTCCCACCCAAGAGGCAGCTTGAGAGGGTTGGAGATGACCTCATCTTCGTCTTCGTCATCTTCATCTCCAGTCTTTTGTTTCTTGGACCAGGGGGAGCCATCGCTCTGCTGTCCGTATCTGAGGTTTTCGTCAGTAAGACGGTCCTGGTCCTGCTGAGCCGCGATTTCAGCCTGTCTCTCGGAATTAGTCAGCGCTTGCTTCCGTTCCAAATTGGCAACGGTGCTGTCAATAGTCGACTTCAGGAATTCAGCCAGTTCTTCCAGATGGGCCAAAATCGTCTCAGGAGTCCGAGCGGCTGCAGTAGAAGCCTTGGGAGCAGATGTAGGTGTAGGGGTTTCACCACTCTCAGCTCGGGCAACGGCCTTCTTATGCTTCTTTCCAGGCAAATGGTTGTCGTAGACAGCCTGGTTGGTGAACTGTTTGTCACAGAACTTACAGAACAACTCAGGGTTCTCCTCCTTGTCCTGCTTGGAATCAGTCACTTTTATTGACTTTCGAATCGAGTCAATCGTCTTCTGAGGGTCCTCCAGAATGTGCTTCTTGGTGATAAACGACTCCAAATACGAGACGATGGACTCGAGGAACACAGGGTACTTTTTGCCCAGAGCCGCACACGTCTGGGGGTCATAAATGTCGACGTTGTAAAAGGATTTGATGAATCCAATGTATCCCACATGACCCATTCTCTGCTGCTGGTATTCAATGTATAGAGGGGTCATGTCGAGGTATCTGCCCGAGTTTTCGGCGTCTGTGTATTTCTGGCCAAAATTGATCTTTCGAGCTGTGTTGAAAATGCCTGAGGGAAGCGTGTTGCTCTCAGCCTGGCTCATAACGCTCTCCTCCTGTTCTCCGTCGTCTTCAAACACGTCTAGAGCCGGTCGTTTGAGAGTGTAGTTGGCGTACATATCTTGAGCTTGTTCTCCGGGCACCAGTGTCTGTTTGATCTTGTCGATTTTGGCGTAAAAGTCCGTCATGACGCCTTTGAGTTCCTTGGAAGACAGATTTCGAGACCCAGATTTGCCTCTGGGGGCGTCGAGTTCGGCCTTGAGCCGTCGAGCCAGCTTCTGGTACGTATCCAGCATCGTGGCAATCTCGTGCTGGCGCAGCACTGTCTGCCTGTGGGTTGTGGGGGTGCCTACTTGTCGTGTGAAGGGCACATTTTTCAGCTTCTGTAGTCTCGGTTGGAGAGGTGAGTTGGGGGTCAGGGCCTGTGAAGGAGGCAGAATGAGCGGGTTGAAGGCCAGTCGCTCGGCAATACCGGCCTCGATCACCTCCATTTCCTCCAGAGCAGCTCTGGTTGTCATGTTGTGTTTAGGATGATGGTGATGATTTGAGAGAACAGTATTAATGAACGAGATTTATTTCACTTTAGGTGGTGCATGCATGCACGTAGTGGATCTGGGGACGATGGTTAGAAGATCTTTAACAGGCATTGTTTGTATGACAGGTGAGTGGTTTTTTCCCTAGATTCTTGTCAGAAAAGATTTCTAGGACTCAATTATGACTTGAATGGCGGTTTCTACTTACTCAGTGACTCAGTTACTCAATTACCGACTCTGTTTCGTCACAGCTTTCATGAAGTATCATGTCAAGTAAGCACACAACTCCCAACTAAGCTGGGTGACTACAGTAGTAACAAAATGTATATAAAAAGGTTATTCTTTCAAAGCAAAGTTATAATTAACTGAATGTATATGCAGAAATATATATACAGTATATATATACTATATATATAAACCGTTTACAATGATTGAGACATCACACACAACAATTCACTATAAGCACTATAGTTGCAGTAGACGTATTATAACGAAAAAACCCTTCTCCAACAGTGCTACGTCCACACCACCTGCCACTGTCAGCACTAATGCATTCTTCCTCATCTATCATACCCACGTGCTTGGAGGTGCAGTATCTCCACGGCGCGCGACGATAATTTTATAGTGTGGAAATCAATTGTCAAACTTGCACCTATCAACACACACACAATGATCCCGCGACAACCGCCACCAGCAGGCCCTCTGGGCACAGACTTTGACTACTCCGTCGCCGGTGTTGCCGGTGTACTGGTCGCTCTGGGCGCTCCCTGGCCCATGGGCCAGATTGCCGAGGTGTTGTCCGACAAGCAGCTTGGACTGGCCTTCTTCACCATGTTTCTGCACGTTATGTACGTCGGAGGACTGGTGACGGAGGCGTGTTTCCCGGCCAACTTTGTGACCACGGCCATAAAGATCCCCAAGCCCATTTTTCTCGCCACCAAGGTGGTCTACATTGCGTTTGCATCGTGGGAGTTTTCTGGCCATGGCGACATGTCTCTCTACCTGGTGGGCATTCTGCTGGCTACTCTGGTGTTGACCGAGTTGGGAGCAGCTCTGAAGGCTAACAAACATACTGCCCAGGACAAGAAAACGCAGTAGAGATGGGCCAGAAGACGGAGAGACAGTGAATATTTGTATTTTTAGTTGATTGGTATGAATCTAATTACTTGTAGTTGCCGTACGTCCGCCGGAGCTGGCCAATTGTACAAGTAGATGGGAGTTCACGTTGAATCGTGTTAGTCAGTTGAAAGCAAAAGGCTGGACCGCACCCCCTAAGTAGAATGAGCTTATTTACCCACTGGAAAGTAGTGAAGAACACCCAGACGACGGACTGGTTAGGAGCCGCCGATGCAAGAGATGTAGTCACGTGATGTGATTTGAGGTGAGGAAATGAGATCTCATGACTATAAATGACCCCCGCCGTCTCTCCCCCGTCTTCGGGGACTCAGTCACTCACTCTCTACCTCTCTCATCTTTCAACATGTATGTACTGTACACACGATACCCCACTTAAAGTTGCCTAATGCGAGATAACCGAGACCAAACAAGTGAGCGATTTGCGCTTGTCCTCACTGAACCCCCAAATGTCTGAAGTTGCCGAACTGCGAATGGAGATGGAGCGCGAGCTGGAGCTGCTGCGTAGCGAGGTGGACGAGCTCAAGTCGCAGCTGATCCAGCAGGACGCGGAGCGACACGAGGCCCAAAAGAATCAGGGCGAAACAAACATCACCAAAGAGAATGTCACGGCGGCCGGAGTCCTGTCTATTCTGTTGCTGCTTGGATCAATGGGACCGGGATGGTACATGGGATTCAGCGTCATGTTTAGTGAGGGAGATGGCACCGGAATTGGGCTGGTTATGGCCAACATGTTCCTGCCAGTGTTGATCCTTATAGTGACGTGGGTGCTACCGCTGATGGACCGTGATCGGCTCATCCTGGAAGCCATCATGTTGCTGGGTTACGGCTCCTTCATGATCTACGAAATGACCAAGAGTGTGTGGTCACCGCTGGCCCAGATTCTCATGGTCAGCGCAGCCATCTTTCTGCGACATCTGCATCAGAACGAGATTCATCGAAGAAAACAGGGCCTTCCTGTTTCCGTTGATCTGGGTGATGATGTTTAGGAGATGCGAAACACGAGACATGGAGAAACAACACATTCAAAAGAGGCGCCGATCAAAGGCGCAATCAGTGTACCCCACTACTGGACATGTAACTTATATATATATTGGATATTTCATATTGGTGCATGTATCGTCAAGTTGTACGAGTCGGGGAGTAGTGTATTATTTCCCCTACTAAACTTCAAGTAAACTTCCAACTATTCATGCTTCAATCCTTGGAACATAGGACCACCCCCCCCCCCCCCCCCCCCCCCCACTTATCATGCAGGTCAACTCTGATACAAGATAATTACAGTGATACAGCACACACATCACAGCCACCACAACACTCTCTCTCATTAACATGAACGGCAAGGTTATCACGTTCGCCAGAAGTGGCGATCTGGACGTGCCAGTCAGAATCAAGGCGTGAGTATCACCGGCCCCGCTTTCTATCCCACTGCCTCCACTAACTCAGTGACTCTCTTGAGGGTACTTTCCCTCTGCTGTCTCTCAGTGAACAGCTTGTGGACCCCCAAAAAGCGCTTGCCAAACACAGAGTCGACGCCACCTCCGACCTCACACTTACTGCTCAGGTCTGGGCCAATGGCAAAGCTCTCACCGGCCAGATTGCCACGACATACAAGTCGTTCAAGTCCAAGAGACGCTGGAACGAATGGCTGCAGTTTCCCATCAGGCTGAGCCAGCTGCCTCTGGACGCCGAGGTCCGCTTCCAGTTCTGGGACTACGACGGTAACGACATGCTGGTGGCCCGGGCAACAATTCCCTTTTTCGACAGCAAAAACGCCGTACTCCTGAGAGGAAGACAAAAGGTGGATGTGGTCATAGACGACGAGGACGAACAGGAGAAGGAAAACAAATTTAACGACAAGACCAAGGCAATTGCGAATAACAACTCGGGTTACTCGGAAATGGACCGGCTGGAAAAACTCATCAAGAAACATGAGCTGGGAGACATGCCTCGATTGGACTGGCTGGACAACCTAGCATTTCGACAAATCGAGCTCGTCAACACCAAACACACGACAAAGTCCGATCTCTTCTTGTACGTGGAGTACCCCCAGTTCCAGCATGTTGTGGTCTATTCACCTCCACCAGTCCTGTTGGCTCCCCAGCCTCTAGAACCTCCCCAGATCCAGCAGATTCAAAACACACAGACCGATAATCCCATCGAGAGCAAGTACCGACGATTGCTGCGAAGCCACAAGACAGGTCCGCTAGACAAGGATCTCAAGCCGAACGCCAAGATGCGAGACGAGCTCAACCTGATCTTCAACTACCCTTCAGCCCAGGAGCTCACAGAGAACGAGAAGAACTTGCTGTGGAAGTTCCGGTACTACGCTACCCGTGATAAACGGGCTCTTACCAAGTTTCTCAAGTCCGTTTCATGGGATGACGCTTCGGAAATGAGACAGGCTATTGCATTGCTACCCATGTGGAAGGAGGTGGATATTTCGGATGCCCTGGAGATGCTGGGTCCTGGGTTTGCAGATCATCCTGCTGTGCGAGCGTTTGCGGTAGACAGACTTAGGGCTTCTCCTGACAAGGAGCTGGAGCTGTATCTGCTTCAGCTGGTTCAGGCTCTGCAGTTTGACAAGGACCGTGTTGTTTCGCAGTTCCTCATCTCTCGAGCTGTCGCTTCTCCAGTGCTAGGAAACTACTTTTACTGGTATGTGCATGTGCAAACACAGTCTGAGCAAACTACGGGACCCTTCAAGGAGGCCATTAGTGACTTTCTGTTGGCTCTACAGACGTCTGAAAATGGTGCCGAGAAGATTGTGGCTCTCAAGCGTGAGTCCAACTTTGTGGGCAAGTTGGTTAAGTTGGCTCAGGACGTGCGTGCATGCAAGGAGGCTCGTCCCAAAAAGGTGGAGCTGCTTAAAAGCATGATTGCTGACCCCAAGTTGGAGTTGAAGGAGCTGCCGTACCCTGTGATTCTTCCCCTGGACCCTACACAACGAATTGTGGGCATTGACGAGAATGATTGCTCAGTGTTCAAGTCGTCTCTGACTCCGCTAAAGCTCACCTTCAAGATGGAGGACGGCTCTCTGTACCCCATCATTTTCAAGAGCGGAGACGATCTTCGCCAGGACCAGCTGGTGATTCAGATCATCACTCTGATGAATCAGCTCTTGCTCAACGAGAATCTGGACCTGAAAATTACGCCTTACCGCATTCTTGCCACGGGCGCTGTGGACGGTGCTATTCAGTTTGTTCCCAACCAAACTCTTGCATCTGTGCTGTCTGACTACCCCGGTGGCATTCTCCAATTCCTGAAGGAGAAGGCGCCCATGACTGAGGAGCAACAGGCGCTATTGCCACCAGGATCTCTGTCTCTCGGGGTCCGCCCGGAGGTGATGGATACGTTTGTTCGTTCCTGCGCCGGCTACTGCGTTATGACATACATTCTTGGAGTCGGCGATCGGCATCTGGACAATCTTTTAATTTCAGACGATGGTCACTTTTTCCACGCCGATTTCGGGTACATTCTCGGCCGAGACCCTAAGCCCTTCCCCCCGCTGATGAAGCTCCCCATTCAGATCATCGACGGTATGGGCGGTATTCACTCGGAAAACTACACAAAGTTCCGAAACTACTGTTTCACGGCGTACACGACGCTCCGGAAGAGTGCCAACCTCATTCTCAATCTCTTTTCGCTCATGACGGAGGCCAACATTCCCGACATTGCCATTGAGAAGGACAAGGCTGTGCAGAAGGTACGGGACCGGTTCTGTCTGGAGATGAGTGACGAGGAGGCGATTGTGCATTTCCAGAACCTCATCAACGACTCTGTGTCTGCCTTTCTACCCATGGTTATTGACCGCCTGCATTCCTTGGCGCAATATTGGAGGGCGTAATTAGTACGGGTAGGCGGAGAGATAATGTATGGTTTCAAACAATACGTTCTTTCTTCGGCACATGTACCAGTATCTATATTTTTATTTATCATTCCCTTTTAGCACAACGTCTATTTTCCCCGGGGGTGCCTCAATCAGCGGTCTATCAGCTGCCATTCAGCTGCTTCAACTACCTCCGACCCCATAATAATCAGCCGACTGGGTTCGTATCGTCAATCGTCTATCATGCAGCCTGACAATGTAAACACCTCAATAGCGCCAACTCTATATATAGCCGAGCCAGATCTCTTGATGAACCTTTTTGTTTGGGCCCTTCAGGCTTGTGCGTGGTCAATGGCATGCATCTTTTCGTCATTGATCGTCTCCACAGGCCATGCAAGGGACGCCGGGGTTCGTTATAAATAGTTTTTTCGGTGTTTGACCACAACTTAGGGGGTCCGGGAGATTGGCTGTATGATGGAGTCTGGGGATATTTTCCCCCTGTGCGCTTGTATAATTTATTTATTTTCGTTTTGGACGGGTCAGTTTTGACACTTTCTGAAGTTGCTCTTTGACTGACCACCCAAACATAGTCCATCAGCACTGGCACTCAATGTATGGTACGAGCACCAGTTGCTCCCATAAACTCGCCGGGGGCCTGTCGCACCTTTCTTTTGCTTTTGGCTCTGTGGAATGTGCCTGGACAGTCAGGTATGCGCCTTGGCTTTGGGGTTTGCGGGCAGAGGCCTGCATTCCTGCTAAAACAGCACATCTCCGACACTTTGTATTTTGTTTGACATTCAGAGTTTAATGCAACTCTAACTGACGCGCTTTGTCGTGACCTGGGCGTGTTATATATACTGGGGAGGCGTCTAGAGGGGCGGGGTTGGCTATTTTAGCACTTGAATTCCGCACGCATTTTCGGCCGCCGTCGGTTCTACAGCTCCACAGGACCACCACGCGTCACTTCTGTCGACACAACGTGTACCCACTCACTCACTCAACACTCTCTTTTGGCACTCCCGGCTACAAGTACAGTATACAGAGCGTGTATCACCCTACACCTTAAAGCCAGAAAGCCAGTTTCACAAGTCTAGTGCAGCGGAAAACTCAAGTTTCAGGTTGGATGCAAATCACTACTCTTTTTTGCGCCTCCATTTTCGACTCCTGCCCTCTTGCACTCTTGCACTCTTGCATCCACCATCGCCACCTACACAATGAACCAAACACCGCAACGAATGCCGCCGGAGAACATCTACAGAAAGGAGCAACCCACCCTGTTCCCTCACGGCTACCCTACTCCAGTCTCCTCCAACACCAGCATCAACCTTCCTCTACCCAACTCGGGGTCGCCGCTACCCATTCCTTACACCCCAGCTCCAGTCAAGTTCGAGTACTCGTTCCAGCAGTCGCCCTCCTTCCCCAAGTATGCAAAATACCAAATCAACCCGTCCTTTGACTTCTCAAAGACAGGCATGGCCCACCTTGGCGTCAATTCGCCGGTTCCTATCACTCCGGTGCTTCCCCCACCTAGCTCCATGGCTGCTCCTCCCATCTTCCAGAGCCGGACTCTAACAAGACCTTTGTCCAGCCCCGACAAGACTCCCTGCAAACGTTCCCGTGTAGAGGAACGGCAAGAGGTGTCTGATTACGACAGAAAATGGGTCCGAATGCAGTTTGGTCTGCCCCGAACCGGAGGTTACCAGAAGCCGTTCCGAAAGCGCCAGACTGACGTTCAGAATGAGTTCCAGGAACGTTTCGGACGATCCCTGTCTCCTTCAACCATCTCCAAAATCCTCTCGGACGACTACTCGTACCTGGACACAATGTCGCTGAACGAGGTGTCCAAGTCTGTGTACAGAAAGCGAAAGCCGCGGTTCGAAATGCTAGAAGACGCAGTTTCGTCCTGGTGCGAACTGTACACCCGAAGAGGCTGTCTTAGCGAACGAGTGCTCAAGGAGGCTGCCGAGAGACTCCACGCTCATCCTCTTATCGACACCAGCACCGCCGACGAAGAGGCCCCCGTGTTCTCAAACGGCTGGCTTCACAATATCAAAACAAGACGAGATCTGTCTCGGCTTCTGTGGGACAGCACCATTTCTGAGCAGGAAACCTGTGTCTCCACTCTCAACCACATTCGAGAGACCATCACACGACTGGGCCTGACTCCAAAGAGCGTCTATGCTGTTGGAGATACTCAGCTGTACCCTTCGGCCACTCCTGGATCCCGGTTTGGAAACGACTCCACCCCCTGTACTGCTCGAACCGTGCTCATTTGCACTAATGCCGATGGTTCGTCCAGGCAGAAGATGTACCCAACCATGGTGGGTCCGGATATTGCCGACGCCAACAACCGAAGTGCTACCAGCCTTGTCTACTCGCCTACAGGCACTCCCGAAACACAGAACTTCCTGGACTTTCTGTTTGACTTTGACAATTCGCTCACGGAGCCCTCGCTGCTGATTCTGGCTCAGCATCCCCACTATGAGAAGGCTACTCAGATCTTCCGTCACCAGACAAACAACTCCAACCTCCACATCATTCTAGTGCCAGCTCGAATCAAAAAAAAGCTGCTAGCCACCGACCTCGGAATCGCAGGAGACCTCAAGGTGGCATACAAGATCAACCGGTTGTACACGCTCCCTCACAAGCGAATGAAGACCTCCAAGATCCTCCGGTCGCTCGACACCGCCTGGGGCAATGTCAGCGAGGAGACCATTCTCAAGGCCTGGAGAGAAACTCGCATCTTCGCCACTCTCAACTTCCCCGAGCTCGCCGATACTGGTGCATCTCAGCCCGACCTCAAGCTGATTCGAGCAATTGCAGGAGTCCAGGCTTCGCTGATGAACCAGCAGGTTGCCTTTTCGGAGAGCCAGTACCAGAGTTTTTTCAACCACGACGGAGAAGACGACCCGTTGGCTGTCAAGGATTGCGTCGAGCAGTACGCCTCCATTGTTCAGAACCGCTGAATCCACTGAATCCGCGCATATTTATATATTTATTAATCCATCGTAGTTGTTTAGCAGAAGTCGTTAGAGTTATCTGTACTTGGATTGTGCGGGAATCCTCTAGTTGTATCGTGCGAGTATTGCACATATAAATTACAAGGAGTACAATTATGTTCAATTACGTACAAGTAGTACTTTGAAGAGAAGTCGTTTGTCCATTGCTGTGAAAAGACGGATACAGTAACAAATTACTTTTCAAAGTGTCTACTTGTACTTGTACTAAGACACATCTCGTTAATAGCTACTGTAAACACTCATACATAATATACCTATCATCATACATGCTGTACCTACCATCATATCTAGAAATGTTGTTCACAATATATACAGCAAGCAATTGTCCCGTCTTCTAATTCTGTCTTCAGCCACTTTCCAACTCCCAGACCCACCCCACTCGACTCTCTTTGCAAGATTGCTTACAGGTTTAACCTCCAAGGTGGTCCAAGCTCTTCTCTACCATTGCATATAAGGCTGGTATTCTGCTCACCAACGTGCACTTGTACTTACACCCAGCAAGAAGAGCTGAAAAGACCAATTGATCGTGCCGGTCGCAATACTGTTCAATTGAACATCTCTCAATTGACTACGGCATGCTTCTGCACACGATACCACCATGATACTACGATACACAAGACACCACACTACAAGTACAGTACTTGTATTCGAACAGGAACTATGGTGCCATGTCAAAATCAATGCATCTTCAATATTTAAGTCTCCTAAACCTGCCACATGTCGACGACGGTTCGAATGCAGTCGCCCTTGTGCAGGTCGGTGAAGGCAGAGTTGATGTCCTTGAGGGGCTTGGAGTGGGTGATGAAGTTGTCAATCTCGAAAGAGCCGTCCTTGTATCGCTTGACAATCTCGGGCAGCTGCGTTCGGCCCTTGACACCGCCAAAGGCAGAGCCCTTCCACACTCGGCCGGTGACGAGCTGGAAAGGTCGGGTGGCAATCTCCTGGCCAGCAGCAGCAACGCCGATGATGATCGACTCACCCCAGCCCTTATGGCAGGCCTCCAGAGCCTGTCGCATGACAGTCACGTTTCCGGTACAGTCAAAGGTGAAGTCGCAACCTCCGTCGGTCATCTCCACCAGCTTGTCAACAATAGTGGTGCCCTCGGGTAGCTTGGTGGGGTTGACAAAGTCAGTGGCACCAAACTTGTAAGCCCAAGCCTCCTTGTTGCCATTGATGTCAATGACAATGATCTTGGCGGCTCCTCGCTCCTTGGCGCCCATCACGACGGCCAGACCGACACAGCCAGCGCCGAAGACAGCAACATTGTCGCCCTTCTGGACATTGGCGGTGACGGTGGCAGCTCCGTAGCCGGTGGTGACACCGCAGCCGAGCAGACAGGTTCGGTCCTGGGGAGCAGAGGGGTCGACGGCGACGAGGGAGACGTCAGCAACCACAGTGTACTGGGAGAAGGAAGAGCAGCCCATATACGAATAGAGATCCTTGCCCTTGCACTTGAACCGGGTGGTTCCGTCTGGCAGAACACCCTTACCCTGGGTGGCTCGCACCTTCTGGCACAGGTTGGTCTTGCCGGACTTGCAGAACTTGCACTCCTTGCACTCGGCAGTGTAGAGCAGAATGACGGAGTCTCCGGGCTTGACGCTGGTGACGCCCTCGCCGATAGACTCGACGATACCGGCACCCTCGTGGCCCAGAACAGAGGGGAAGATTCCCTCGGGATCAGAGCCACTGAGAGTGTAGGCGTCGGTGTGGCAGACACCAGTGTAGGTGACCTTGACTCGAACCTCGTGGGCCTGGGGAGGAGCAACCTCGACGTCTTCAAGGGTCAGGGGCTTGCCGGCCTCCCAGGCAACGGCGGCCTTGCAAGTGATGGTCTTTCCTTCGGTAGACATGATGTGTGATGTCGTGATGTGTATGATATACCCAGAGAATCGTGCGTACGTCGCTAGTGCTTATATAAACGTTGGCTCGATTTTGCTATCTATCTGTGGGTGCAAACTCTGTGTGGAGAGTGCTTCCAAAAGAGGCAAGACACTGCATGACCCTTGCCCATAGTGTGGGTGTGTGGGACACTTGACGGTGAGTGAGACGAGGCGTTCCCCGCATAAAAGCGGGCAAATTTTTGCACCTGTGGATTTTCCGCGTCTTTTTATTGCTTATTAAGCAAATTCCGCCCCTTTTGCAATCCTCTCGTGGCTCAATTGAACCAGTTTATGACATCTTCTGTCGCATGGCCTCGGATTTAGACTCACAGCGTTATCTCTTTTTGCTCCCAATTGGAGAACCACACTCAGTCTTTTTGGCCCCTCTTGTGTGGGGGTAACAAGGCGTTATCCCCGTCAGAGCCTTGGTTCTATGCCTGGGTCGATGGTTGCTGATTGGTAATAGGCGGGATTTTGGGTTGTAGGACCGGAAATCTTTACCTCTTCGGGCCCATGAGGACCAGCGGGGGGACAGATCACGTGCCGAGCCGCACCGCTTGAGCCGCAGTTTCCGTAGTTTTGGTAGTGTATGGTGGAGGGCTTCAGGGGATTTGTATTGTATGTAAACGTATTAGAAGGAGTACATTGATACATTGATACATTGATACCATCAGATACATTATATACTACAATATCGGTACTTGTAGCTGCCGTAGACTGTATTCAATGGGTGTAAACCCGACAGGCGTTGATTATTACGTTTAATAAAACGCATCAGATAAGGTTCCGGGGAGTCTAAGGAGTGAGCTGGTTTCGTGAGCTGGTTAGTTGAGATTGCTACCTGTGGGTTCCTTCTTTCGAGGCATGTTCTTGAAATGGCTTTGGGGATATCGAGTGGGTTTTATAGTATTCGTGATTGAGTGAGTGGGTGATGGATTCACAGGTTCTGGTACGAATACCACCATGTACTTTATAGTAACTTGTATCATCGCGAGCAGTGTAGCTACTGTCGGAGTATAGTATGCACATACAATGTACTCGTGCTTGTTCGTAATGACGAGAGTGTGAAGAGGTGTACTTGTATTAGAAGCTAAGGGGCGATCGAGAATCTGAATAGAACAGCAACAAGAGAGTGCAATGAAGAAGATTGGAACAATTGGAGTTTGCGAAGCGGAGGGGATGGAGAGTTGTCGAGAATCTGAAGCGATGGGTCTGCTGTAACAGAGGAGGTAGAGAGAGAGTTGAAGAGAAGACGAACAGAATAGACGAAAGCGGGTCAAAGAATAAGAATCGAACGGTGGAATCTGAAGAACGGAGAGGAAAAGTTGGAATCTGAACGAAAGAAGTTGAACGAGAAAAGCAGAATGGTGAAAGAAGAAAGAATGGCGAAAAGCGAAAGCGAAAAATGAACTGCGAAAGCAAACTGTGAAAGCAAACTGCGAACTGCGAACTGCGAACACGCCTCTCTAATTATACTGCCGACTATCTACCGACCTGCAGTGATGAACACTTGCTGGAGAGACTTGCAGTTCTTCCGAGTGCCCTGGCTACCCGGCTTGATCTGATAGACACCCATTCCGTCATCGCAGACAACAAAGCCATGTTGAAAGTTCACCTGGCCTTGTGATCCACATTAACCAACGGTACCCGTGCTCTTGCTGAAGCTCTATGAATTGTCTTTCCAAGATGGGCCTGGATCTGGGACGTGGTACCAACAAGCACACCTCGGGTGATCATCAGCTGAACAGGTTTCTTTTGCGTCTTCTGAGACACATATCAGATTGGTTTCTTGCTCAGATAGGTGTCTCCTCACGCCTGAGCTTGTCTGTCTCACAGAGACTCTTGACTCCTTGTTGCTGGGGGAGGTTCTGAGGGCGCGCCTGGCTTTAGGTGACTGAACTCGCGGCGTATTTATATTCTCTGGAGTTGAAGATTGGTCAAGGTCAATTTCAGGAAGTTGGGGTGTTAAGCCCAACAGGGAAAGTGGGTATTTCCAGAAGACTTCGAGATTGTTATGGTTTTGATCTGGTGCTGATGCTTACCATTGACGTGGTTTCTTGTTGTTTTTTTTATCCTTGCCGTTTTCGTCGAGGAGTGATGAAGTAGCTAGAGGGGTCTCTAACACTACGGCCGTGAGTATTGTAAGGGGAGTACTGGAAGAGGATATCGCCAATGTCTTGACCTACTCTGTCCCCACCATCTCAATCTGGTAATCAAAGCAATTAATAAAAATATATCCCAGCTACAAGTGCATACTCCACAGCCTGTCTGTTGCACCCTTCGTCCACCCCTAGCAAACGGGAAACTACAACTTTGACCGAATGTAGTTTCTGTCCACGTAGGTCCAGAGTGCGCTAGCGAGACCAATGGGAGGAATCCAGGTGAGAAAAGTCCAGATGATGCCGGGAGTGATGGTCTTGACGAGATCATCGACCTGCAGCTCCAGCTCGGCCAGCGTACCGTCGTTGGAAAGCACCTTGTCGGCTAGCTTCTTCTTATCCTGGACAGACATTTGCGACTCGATTCGCTTTTCGGCGTCGGCTCGGTCTGAGCCGTCTCGCTTCATAAGCCGTTCCACCTGGATCGGGTCCGAGCACGACACAACAACCGTCATCCCACAGTATCGGTCGAGCTTGCTCTCAAACAGAAGCGGGATATCCAGCACCACCAGCCGGTTGCCCCAGATCCAGGCGCTCAACACCTGCCACACAATTGCCTTCCTGACGGCCGGGTGGGTCACTGAGTTGAGAAAGAGGCGGTTCTTTTCGTTTTCCTTGCCGAAAACAGCACGTCCAAGCGCCGGCCGGTTGATTGCTGCGCCCTGGCCCTTGTCCGAGTCGGGCACAAACAGATCTGTCACCTGGCCCTTGAAATGCTCCACCACCTTCTTGTATGCTGGCTGGCCCGGTTCGAGGATTTCACGTGCAATCACGTCTGCGTCCACAATGGTGAGATCATGCTTGTCTTTGAGCAGCTTGGACACGGTCGATTTGCCGGTGGCAATGCCTCCAGTGAGTCCCACAATGAGCATTTTGGTGTGAGGTGAATGTGAGTGAGTGTCAAGAGCTGAGTTTAGTGCGGAGTGCAGATGGGAGGTGGGGATCATAAAGATTACACCATCATAGCTACAGTAAGACGCATCGGTATTGGTACCAGTACAGTATTCGTTACAGGAACGGTAGGAAGGCTTTGGGTAATAAATAAGAATAAATAGGTGGAGCCAGAGCACATTGGGGCGGTTATAGGTCGGGTAAAATTGCTTCCAAATAGCTCTACTGAGTCACATGAGATTGTTGGAAGTAGGTGAGCACTTGAAGACGTGTAGGTACCGTACTAGCACAGCTTGTATGACTGTGTATGCTGGTTAAAGTGACAGCTGTAGACGCAATCTATACTGTGATAGTACCGGCACGTCTAGGGAAGGTAAGGTCTTGGGTGCTGTCTCTGACTCTGGCATGAGTTCTGGCATGAGTTCTGAAGTGTCTATGCAGAATTGAGCAACTAGAGTGACCTGGGACACCACTGTCGTTTTTTTTTCAGCTTTGGCACTCTTGCTGTTCGGATTTCTCATGATCTTTGTTGTGGGTTCCAGTACTGTAGACATATTTACGTAAACTATGCCTACCTTGTCGCTGGCTTTCACGGCGCTAACCCGTCACGTAAAACCCGCCACCTGCCACAGGAAACGGCTTGACTTTAAGTGACGGCTGGCCTGTGGTGGTGATGACAAACACGTTCTTGTCCTGAACCACGGCCTCGTAGAGGTTGTCGTTGATCCACCTGACAAACACAGCATTGTATGTGTCCGGAATATACGCCAATGTGTCCTGTAGCTCTCCGACGAGCGTCTCAGCAAACTCCTGAAGGCCTCCGGTCACAATACGTCGTTTTTTGGTGTTTTGCGACGCGTCTATGTTGAAACTGGGCTGGCTTGACGGCAGCGTTTGCGAGTAGGGCCGTCTGAAGGGCAGTACATTTGGCGCGCGCTGCGACTCTCCGTATTTCTTACCTCCGATGATGAATCGCGGTTGCATCGGTCTTGTTGTAGGTAAGAGTGTGGTACAGTACTTGTTGGTGGATGTTGTCTTGTACTGGTGCTGTATCAATGGTGGTGTTCAAGATCAATGCAGCATGCTGCATGCATGCACTTGGCGTAATTAGTCTACTGCAATTTTGCCAATTTTTTATTACGATCCGGACTTGGCTGCCAATTGAGCGGTGAAAAAACGACGGACATTGAGATGATCCAGCAATTGTGGAGTAGTAGCGAGAGGAAACCCCGATCGCAATGAAAGGACTAGGCATTGGGCCTCCGAGACGCGACAACCACCAAACCATTTGGCACTACTTGCACTACTTGTAGTTAACACCGCTAGCACCGCACTAAAAGACACACTATAGCCCCTTAGTTTACTGCAACACGGCTGCTCAAAGTTTCAGCCTGGGGCGAGCCAACAGATCACAGAGCAGTACAAGTACAGTAGCTACAGTACAGGCAAAGACCAAGGCGGTGGGAACTTGTGAGACCTTCCACGAGGTTCCACTGCCGGGTAAACAGGGCTGGGACTGTCTTTACCCAAAGCGCTCGAGCCATTGCGGACACTCTGCAGCCCCACAAACGTTTTAAAAGGCCACCGTGGAACCCACCAGATGCTTCTCTCACTAAGGGTACTACTTACAGTTGCACCCATTGAGTGCACCATCATCCCCTAACACCATGCACACATCCAAGAAGGTTCTTGGGGTTGGGAGCTTACCCGGACACGTGTGTGTTTAGGGCCCAAACCTACTGTGGCGTGCAGTTCTGAGCATGGGCTTGGGACGGAAGTTTTTTCCTACAAGAATCTTCACGCACCTTTCTTTTCTCTTCGGTGAATTCACACATATCTACAATGGGCTTCTCTGATCTTTCTTCCGCTGCTGGTGAGTATCAATTGCACGACACGGACGGCACTCTCATTCAATTGACGGTCTGCGCTCAACTACCACCGCTTGACCCTAGTCATATTCAAGCTGGTGCCCATGACAGATGATGAAATGTCACAAGCAATTACTAACTCCAGGTCTCACCCAGCTGAACGAGTTCCTCGTCGACAAGAGCTACATTGAGGGGTAAGTACTACACACCTTGCACGCACAATCAACCTGCTGCTGTTTCCAAGCATTACATGATGATTCCCATGGTCCGTGTTATTGAGGCGGAAGTAAGACCCCGCTGCATGATAACAAACCCATATTTTCACTTTTCCTGATCCCAGTTTGCAAACACGTTTGTGTTCTTCAAAACATGTACTAACCATAGCAACGCTGCCTCTCAGGCTGACGTGGCTGTCTACAAGGCCGTTGCTTCTGCCCCTGACGCCGAGAAGTACCCCAACGCCGCCCGATGGTTCAAGCACATTGCTGCCCAGGAGGACCACTCTGCTCTCCCCGGTACCGCCAAGGAGGCCTCTGCTTACGGCCCCGAGGGTGCCGCCGCCGCCGCTGAGGAGGAGGACGACGATGATGTCGACCTTTTCGGCTCCGACGATGATGAGGTCGATGAGGAGGCTGAGAAGCTCAAGCAGCAGCGACTCGCCGAGTACGCCGCCAAGAAGGCCGCTAAGCCCAAGACCGCCGCCAAGTCCATTGTCACCCTTGACGTCAAGCCTTGGGATGACGAGACTGATCTCGATGCTCTCCTTGAGAACGTCAAGAAGGTCGAGATGGAGGGTCTGGTCTGGGGTGCCCACCAGTGGATCCCCGTTGGTTTCGGTATCAAGAAGCTCCAGATCAACCTCGTTGTTGAGGATGACCTTGTTTCTCTCGACGAGCTCCAGCAGCTCATTGAGGAGGACGAGGACAACGTCCAGTCCACTGATATCGCTGCCATGCAGAAGCTTTAAGTGTTTCTAGCTTATATATATGGTAAAACGGTTAATTCGGTAAAAATTGTTATTTTTTTATATTTATTCTTCGGAGTAGTTTGTCAATTATTCATTTTCTTTCAACTGGATCAACCCTAAGAATTTTCTTCTTTACCATACGTGTCCATGCACACTTTAACCTAATTACCACCCATTGTTTATTCAGCCACACAAGTAAAATCCGTGCTAATGGCCGCGCCATGTACGATATGACGGTGACTATAAGACCCTCCAGAGCGTGAATACAAGACCCTCTGGAAGCCAGAAGTGCTAATTTCATCATTGGTTTGTGGTTGCGAGTATGTGAGTTACCAGAGCTCCAATGGCTTACTTGTACTTGTACTTGTACTTGTACTTGTACTTGTACTTGTACTTGTACTTGTACTTGTACTTGTACTTGTACTTGTTGGTACGGTACTTTTTTTTATATATATTTATTAACATTTATTGAGTCAAGATCAACGAATTTCCACTACTCGTACTTGTAGCTACTTGAACTTGCCATTAAGACTCAGATCAGGCGATGACGCAGGAAGAAGGCTGGAAGGTTCGGTAACCTGTGTTAGTAAGGGAGACGAACAAGATGCTGCTTTCGCACGATACTCACCACCAACAATAGTGACGTTGGAGTTGACTCGGTAGGAGTCGGTGCCGTAGTCTCGGGGAATTGCTTTGCTCATTGTTGTAGTGTAGGTAGTTGTTACTGTTGTTTGATGCAGATCTAGAAGGACTTGAGACGGTCTTATATAGATATTGGGGGATCGGTTTATTGCTTATGACGTGCCAAGTGTGTTATTGAGACTATCATTTTCGGAACAGGAGTTGATCCTCTTCTGGAAACGTCAATAGACACCCCGAGGTGGTGTGGCATGGGATGCTTGACATCTGCACTGTACCAGACTACAGTAAACTGTAGTGTCTGAAAAGGGGATATCAATGTGCAAATGGTACAATAGGCCAAAGAATGATTGCTTTAGTCAATACAATCGACTGCCTCCAATTAGACAGTTGCACTGTCCCTTGTCCCCTTGTCAATGGCAACTTCGCCCCAGCCGTGTGGGGTGGGGTCAATGAAGTGGAAACATACCGTTAAAAGTAGTAAAACTGTGGCAAGTGGCGTTATATTGACTTCTTGGAATCTATATTTGGACTTTAATATACATATTCAAGTCTTCTTCTTGTCCTTGTCTGCCTAGCACTCTCTTCAGAGCCTTGGCCCCACGCCTTCTATACACGGAGTTAGCAGGACGATCCGAGCCGCTTAGAGGGATAAAATGGCAGTTAAAAGATGAAAGATAGAATTAGAATAGGTCCTAAAAGCGAATTCAAAAGTTGTGCTTTCTCTGTTTCAAACACACGGCTCCATGGAGTCTTATCAGTTGCCATGAGTGCATTTGAGACAAGCGAATGTGTGCTCTCAGAGCTATGGCTCGAGGAATACAGTAGGGGGCAAGGAGAGGAGAGAAATTGTGGGCAAGTATCGTACGTACAACAGCAATCTACTAATATCAATCAATGTAGAAAATAACTCGAAACCCTCAAGTCCCTGAAATCCTTTGTGGCTTGAATACAAGGACTGCAGCACGGTTCTGAGAAAGACCCTGTAACACCGTACAAAGACGGCTTACAAAGGAAACATGGGATTGCAAGGAAAACTTAGACCTGTGCCGTTTAGGATATATAATTCCACTTGGACGTTAATCCCGCGAGATCAGCGACTTGTCCCCGAAGCGATTGTGTGGTATCAGAGTTTGTAAAAAGAGATGATTCGTGATAAGGAGTAACTCTGATGCAAGAAAGGCCTCCCCTTTGGTGGATGCAGTAATGGCGAGGCTCCAGCCCGGTCTCTGGGGGGCATTAAACTTGCGTCCATTAACTTATTGTCTGTCTCAGTTTCCAAATAACACTCAGATAAAGAATCCACCCTGACAGGTGGAGAGGGTGGAGGAGTGCCAAGGGAAAGTACAGCACCTGTAGTTCCGCTACAAGGGCCGAATGACGGGCAATAGTCTGGTTGGCGGACAGTCCTCGGTGCCTGCCAAGGACTGGGTTTCTTTTGTAACATCTGTCCTTCTTCTTAGCATCTGTGCGTGAGCATCTGAGACGGGTACATTAATGCGGACTTAGTACGGGTACATTGACAAGTACATACAGTAGTCGCCTCAAGACTGATGTCGACAGTTGATAGTACTTGTCTAATGGTAGTCCAGATACTGTTAAACACGTTTTTAAGACTGGACATGACACTTTAGACAACCACCCTATGTTGGCGTAACTTCAGAGTCTGAGCTCATAGTTTTCGAGCCGTGTCGTGTGACGCTAATTTGCCGTGCTTGTAGCTGACTCCGACGCCGTCTGGATGAGCCATGAACAATCAAAGTGAGACAGTTTCACGTATTGATGTCATTGCTGGCAGCAACCTGAGACGGGCTTCTCCACAGTCACCAGAAGGACGGTATACATGACTCCGACGGATGCACTAGCCACGCGGAAAGAGCATGCTGGAGGCATACTCGACGTTTAGCAGGCGGGCGGTACGACCAAACGACCGCTTGCAGGGCTCCAAGAGTTTGCGACCCGCGCCATTGGTCTGACCACCAGCGCTATCGGGCACGGCCCTGGTGAGAGTTTGGAACCCGCCGGTCAGACGCAAGCTGCTATTTAAGCACCTTCATAGTCTAGCCTTGCACACGAGAGTTTGCGAAAAACGCAACCTTAGCGGGGATCACAAGGGTCCCGAGGGACTTACGGCTTGCGGTAGCCACAGTCGACTCGTTGAGGGTTATCAGATGTGGCTGTGAGTGATTAGTCAGGTTTTCCGGTTCGGATCGGAGTTTTCTTTATCTAACACCCGATGTTTTCGGCTACAAGTATTAGTCACCATTCTCCAGGTACATTCTCAGACGCTGCGGAAACGCACCTTGGACGACAATGGCGTGCGAAGAAGCGTGGCTTCAGCACTTTTTGGTTTTCACTTACGTCTATTTACCCACTGACCAATGGGAGACGCGCCCGCGCTCGCAAATCGAGTCCTCGGCGTTTCTCACGCACCCCGTGAAGTTAGACCAGGTGAGGCTTGTGGCTTACTTTGATAGCAGCGTGCACTTGTACCGAGTCTGGGCGTGTAGATAACTCGACTTTAGCTGCGTAAGCGAATCCGAGCAATGGGCACACCGCCAAGAGACCTGTGATGACATGAGAAATCGACCCCCACAAACCACTTACGACACAAGCCTTGCCAAGACACCCACCATACGGCACCATGCATGTCTTCTGATAACGTGCTGTCTCAAACCTAGCTGGTTCGGACTCTCCTTAGGAGCCCGCACGCTTGGCAGGCACAACAGGCATTATAGTCTCGGAATACCCTCTATAGACGGCACTACAAGGGTTAGTGGGGGGTTTGTTATTGCATTAGACCCTTGGCGCGCTCTCCGAGGCCATTAGTCTCTGTCCTTGGCCGATGACATGGTCTTGATGGGTGTACTCCGTTGCACTGTAAGTATACAAGAGTTAGGCCAACAAACACGCTCGCAGTAAGAGGGGTGTCTAAGAGCGTGTCTCGGTCAAAGTTCAGCCCTCAAAGTCGGCTTATCACGGCAAAGTTAGGCTACACAGGCTCAGACTCACAGGCAATCAGAGTTGAGGGCCCTTGTTTATCTGTTCGGTACCCCACAGACCGCGGGCGCCGTGTCCATCACCACGTACCGACCCGCCATGTGTGTATATATACCCCGAGTCCGTCGACAAGTCTGGATCTCCACTCATCACTACCAAACACATGTCCTTTGAGAAAGACGAAAAGGAAACCAACCTAGGAGAGGTCCACGATATCGAGGAGGTGGAGCCCTCGCTGCTTGACTGGGTTGCCCAGAAGCTCGGAGTCCCCCCTAACGACATCGACGGTACTTATCCTGCCGAAGTCCATTTCATGGCCGAGAAGTTCGCCGCCATGACCGAGGATGAGGCCCTGGTCATCTGCAAGGAGAACCTGGCCTACCATCAGGTCGACCCTAACTTCCGAGAGGAGTACAAGATTGAGCTTGAGGAGCTTCTCAACTCATACCACGGCTCCCATGACCCCACACAGCAGTCCGTCTACGTGGACGAGAAGGAGGACCACGACGTGGACCCCACCGAGCGAGCTATGCTGCTACGATACTGGGCGACCATCTTTTACTGGTGGTCTCCATACCCCGAGGTGCGATCCGTCACTGACCCCTTTGACGACGTGAACCAGACCACTCTCACCTGGCGAGTGTACGTGGTGGGCACCATCTGGGTCGCCGTCGCAGCCTTTGTCAACACCTTCTTCCATCCTCGTCAGCCCGCCATTTCTCTATCAGGCTCGGTCTGCCAACTGCTGCTCTACCCCTCCGGTCGTCTCCTCCAGTACGCTCTGCCTGACTGGGGCTTCACTATCCGAGGCAAGCGATTCACCCTCAACCCCGGAGTCTGGTCCCAGAAGGAACAGCTGCTCTGCACCATCATGGTCACCTGCGCCCTCGGAACCCCCTACATCACATCCAACGTGCTCACCCAGTACATGCCCATCTACTACAACCAGTCGTGGGCCGGTGGCTTTGGCTACTCCTTCCTCATGATGCTGGTTACCCAATACATGGGCTTTGGTCTGGCCGGTCTGCTGCGACGAGTGTGTGTCTACCCTGTGAAGTCCATGTGGCCTACTCTTTTACCCACTCTGGCCGTGAACAAGGCGCTGCTAGCCCCCAACCGAAAGGAAAAGATCAATGGCTGGTCCATCTCTCGATACTACTTTTTCTTCCTCGTCTTCTGCGGCTCCTTTCTCTACTTCTGGATCCCCAACTACCTTTGGGAGGCCCTGTCCACCTGGAACTGGATGACCTGGATCGCCCCCAACAATGACAACCTTGCCATCATCACCGGCTCGGTTGGAGGTCTCGGATACAACCCCATCCCCACCTTTGACTGGAACATCATCAACTTTGGTATCCAGCCCATTCTGCTGCCCCTTTACACCTCCATCAACATGTACGTCGGAGTTTTCATTTCGGGTTTCTTCATCATGGGCATCTGGTACTCCAACAACAACTACACCAAGTGGATCCCCATCAACACTAACACCCTGTACGACAACACTGGAAAGAAGTTCAAGGTTACCAAGATTCTGACTGATTATGTATTTGACGAAGAAAAGTACAAGAACTACTCTCCCCCTTACTACTCAGCCGCCAACCTCGTTACCTATGGAGCTTTCTTCGCCATCTACCCTCTGTCCTTTGTCTACACCGTGCTGTGCAACTACGAGATGATGTGGGTTGCCATCCGAGATACTGCTCTAGCCATGAAGAACTTCCGACGATCCAACTACGAGGGTCTCGAGGACCCCTTCTCCCGACACATGAAGAAGCACAAGGAGGTTCCTGACTGGTGGTTCTATGTCATTCTGCTCATCATGTTCGGTCTGTCGATCGCTCTGGTCGAGCACTGGCCCACCAACACCCCTGTTTGGGTCATTGTTCTGTGTCTTGGTCTTGTCTTCGTCTTCATCATCCCCTTCACCCTCTTCCTGTCTTTCACCGGTGTGCCTCTATCTCTTAACGTGTTGGCTGAGCTCATTGTTGGATATGCTCTTCCCGGTAAGTTCCAGGCTCTCAACCTGGCCAAGGCTCTGTCTGTTCAGATTGCCTCTCAGGCCCAGAACTACGCCAGTGACCAGAAGCTCGTTCACTACTCCCACCTTGCTCCTCGAGACATCTTTGCTACCCAGCTGTGGGCCACTCTTGTCAACGGTCTTGTTGCCCTCGGTGTGATGCAGTTCCAGATGCACGACGTCAAGAACATCTGTGAGCCCGATAACGCCATGAAGTTCACCTGCCCCAGCGAAACCACCTTCTTCTCTGCCTCAATCATTTGGGGAGTCATTGGACCCAAGCGAATCTTCGACCACCAGTACCCCACTCTCAAGTGGATGTTCCTGCTCGGAGCTGGAGTCGGTCTCCTCTTCTGGTTCATCCAGGTGATGCTTCCTAAGATTCTCCTCAAGTACAAGCCCGAAAAGACCCAGGCCATTCTGCGGTACCAGCGAATTGTGACCAAGTTCCACCCCGTCATTTTCTGCCAGTCTTGCCTCAACTGGGCCCCTTACAACCTGTCCTACTTCACTGGCGGTCTGTACGCCGCCATCTTCTTCAACGGCTACGTCAAGACCCGATTCCTCGCCTGGTGGAGAAAGTACGCCTACGTCTTCTCAGCTGGCATGGACACCGGTATCGCTCTCAGTGGTATCATCATCTTCTTTGCCGTGCAGTACAACGACTACAGCATCAGCTGGTGGGGCAACAATGTCCCGTACGCTGGAGTCGATACTCTCGGTGTCACTCATCCTCCCCTTCCTGATGTGGGCTACTTTGGTCCTGGTCCCGAAAACTATCCTTAACCACCACTATTTAATGAGTAATGTATATTTATCTTTTGCTATGTACCGATACCGCTCGGAACTGGTATAATGCCTAGTAACACAACCAGATTTGGCAAAGTAAATAAAACTTGTCTCGTGACATATCTCCGTAAGAATCAAGGAACATGGGATTGGAATTACAACTTCTTTCTTCAGTCAGATACCCAATAGCACCAAAGCCAAAGATACCAAGATCAGCCTACTCAGCTGAGAAGGGTCTACAAGATTGGTTTGTCGCGTAACTGAAACACTGCTGATCCTGACGTTACGTTGGAGAATAAAGATGAAGAGACCCTTGAATTTTACAGATCTGTAATAGAGGAACTGCTACTCTCTTCCGTTGATGGGGTGACTCTAGATCAGGAGAATGAGTAAGGCTAGGAGTAGATCGAGAAGGAGTCTATTGAGTTCACCTACGCCGAAAGAGCTTGGAGACACGGAAAAAAGACGCCAGTGGCAATGTTTTCAAACCTGTTTCCTAGCAAAAACTGAAGTACACGATTTCAGCGACAATACCAGGCATTTTTGGGGGAGACCGAGTTGGTTGGTCTGCTCCACACCTCCCAATATAAGGCAACATTTGAGTTGCACCACACATTCGTGCACCTGCATATAGATGCATTATGGATGCAGTCTTACTTAAACCTCGGAACAATGTGGGAATATACTGGAGGAACCACAACAAGGGTGCCAGTAGTTATATATCGCCCAGAAAACAGTTTCTTTATACATATATTCACAAATTTAATGTTTCAATTAAAGTTTATAGCATGTACAAGTCCTTTTATTGCACAGGAGAAACCCCCATAAACACCTATCATTAGCCAATTTATCTTCCATACCAGGATCACAAATGTCGTAAGCGATACCAAGGAAAAAAACAATTTCTCCTGAGAGCAACCAACCCAATACAAGTACGAATACTTTCATCATACAAACGTATTACACGTCATCTAATAAAACATCATAAATCATGTTAACCTATTTCAAATAGCTTCATCACACATCCAAGTGAAGTTTCTGAATTGATCCTGCATGGCGGAGGTCAGGGTGGTGGTGACGGGAGTCAGAGCCGGGGTCTCGGAAGTGAACTCCTGGTCAAAGTTAGTCACGTCTGTGGGCGACGTGATCTTGGGCACAAACGGCGGGGGGATTCGCTTGTGATAAATATCATCAAAGTTGACGTTGGCAAAGTACGGGTGCGCCATAATCTCCTCAGCGTCTCGAGGACCCGATCCCAGACGTCGTTCGGGCTCTCGCGTCAGCAGCTGCGTCAGAATAGACACACAATTACCGGGCAGAGTGATGGGGTATCGGGGCTCATCGGCCAGAATGGCGTCGAAGATTTCGTCCTCGTCTTCTCCTCGGAAGGGACTCTGTCCGAGTACCATCTGGTAGATGAGCACGCCAAAGGCCCACCAGTCGACAGCGAGGCCATATCGCTGCTCCAGCAGAATCTCCGGAGCCATAAACTCAGGAGTACCGCAGAAGGTACCTGTGGTTCGGCCATAGTCCATGTCTTCCTTACAGAGACCGTAATCGGCAATCTTGACATGTCCGTCTCGGGTGAGCAGAATGTTGTCAAGCTTGAGATCTCGGTAAATGACTCCATTGTCGTGGAAGTGCTTGATTCCAAGCAGCACTTCTGCGGCGTAGAACTGGGCCCGGCCGGGCTTGAACACACCCTCCTTCTGAATGTGCCACATGAGATCTCCTCCCGACACGTAGTCCATGACAAAGTAGACTCGGTTTTCCGTCTGGAAACATGAGTACAGATTGAGCAGGAACGGGTGCGACTCTCGGTTGGCGATCTGGAACACCCGTCGCTCGGATCTTGTGCTCTCCACCTCGTCGTTCTCAATGATAAAGTCCTTCTTGAGCACCTTGATGGCGTACAGGTTGGTCGTCTTCTTGGACTCCGCCAACATGACCTTTCCAAAGTTACCCTTTCCGAGCACCGCCAGGAAGTTGAAATCGTCCAGCCCGATTCGCGGCCGCTTCTTCTTGCCCACAACGGAATGTCGGTTGCTAGCAGGAGCGGGAGAAGCCGGGGAAGCGCCGGCTGCCTGGGTCTGGGACGCAGTGGCAGCAACAGCGGCAGCAGCCGCAGCCTGGGCTTGCTGTGCCTGCTGGGCGGCCTGTCGTTGCTGCACCTGCTGTTGCTGCGCCTGTTGCTGCTGGTACTGTTGCTGCTGATACTGTTGCTGTTGGTACTGCTGTTCACGCATCTGCTGTTCACGCTGTTGCTGTGCTCGGAGCGCCTGCTGCTCCTTGTGCTGCTGCTCTCGAGCTCGCGCATCTTCCTCGTCCCGCTGCTGCTGCTCAGCATGCACGCCAGGCACAGGCAGCGACTGGTAGCCTGAGTCAAGGGAGCCTGATGCACTGTGCTTCTTGTGCTGCTCGTCAATGATCATGCTCTTGGGAGGCGAGTAGCTGACGGAGGCGTCTGAGGCTTCAGGCTCGTTGTTGATGATACTCTTGTCAAACGCGTCCTCATCCTCCATCTTCACATCGTCCTCAACAGGAGACAGCACCTGCGACGGGCTGGGTGTGGATTCTCTGTTGGGGTAGATATCGCCCACAGAAGAGTTTCGAGGCGGATACAGGGGCTGCTCCTCTCTGTCGCGCGAGGGAGACGACTGAAACTGCTGCTGCTGAGGTGACCGAGAAGGCGACTTGGGCGAAGCAGAAGTCGGTAGCACATAACCCTGCGACTCTCGACGGGCCCTTGGGTCCAGAGTCGATGCTGTGGGGTCGTACCGTTGCTGGTGGTACGCCTGTCCTCGATCGGGGACAGCAGAAGGAGGGCCAGGGGCAGGCACTCCAGGAGGAGGAATGCCAACGAGAGAGGCTGCACTCGACGACACAGAGCCTTCCTTGGGAGGCAGAGAGGGAGCAGAACCCACCTCCTTGCGCCGCACCGTGTTCTTTCGCTCGCCCCGCATGGTCGCAGTACTATTAATGCTACTGTTAGTATCGACGGGGGTCAATGACAGACGATCGGAGCTGTTGCCGGCGCCATAGCCATTCCCATCTCTGTCTCCTGCATTGACATGCATGTGCGACGGAGTGGCACTGTACAGCGTCGACTGCTGGGACGACGAGGTCGACGTAGTGGGGTGCTGGGACGCCCGTCGGATCTTTGTCGACTTGATCTCACTGAGAATCTGATTTGCCCGCTCCATGGACATACCGCAAAAGTCGGGCACAAGGTGCTCACACTGCACGTGTGCAGTGACTCCACACTCGCCACATTTGCGCACAGACTTACGGCCCAGGGGCAAAATGTAACCGCAATGGCAGCACCAGTTGGCAGACTTATTGGTGAAGACCTGGAAACGGTGAGGAATTCGGTGGTTAAGCTTCTCCTCGTCGGGATCCGTTTCGGTGGACGACTTGGAGATGCACTTGGTGACCACCTTGGAGTAGCACTTGCCGTGGCACGTGAGCCGACAATCCTGACACTGAAAACCCGCTCCACTCAAAAAGTCACCACAGAGGGCGCACCGCATGATCGAGTAGAACTGCTGCGCCACAAACTTGTGGCCGTGGATCTCGTGCACGTCCTCCTTCTTTCGAATGGCGTTCTGACGGCCCAGACCCAGTCCTCCCAGCTCGTGGGGCCGCTTGACGCCCCGATTGGTTTTCTCGAAGCCCAGAGTTAGGTAGATCTGGCCTGCGGGCTCCACTACAAACCACTCCTCGATGGTGGGGCCTGCGTAGTTGACCACAGAAGATACTGGCCGGTCAATCTGGGGCGCCTCAAGGGTAGGCAGACCCGAACCGGTGGCACCAGAGGCAGCGGCACCTCCCCGCGAAGCAGGGTCGGCATGACCGCCAGCAGCTGTTTCGGAGGCCGCGACCCAACCTGTTGCAGCGAGCTTCTGGCCGTTCTTTCGCCGTCGAATCTCCTCTGCCACGTCGCTGATTGTGAGCCACAGGAGACCCACGGGCTTGAAGTGGTCGCCGTCTCGGTCGTAGATGATGATCTCGACCTCGTTGGCCTTGTCCACGGGGAACTGGAAGGTATCGTTCCACCGCTCGGTTCGGGACAGCTTGGTTCGGCCCACCAGCTTGTCCTCGCACTTAACAGTGACCATGGTTTCGGGCCGCTTGCCACGCACCGACGCAATGTGTTCCACGTTTCGGAGGGCGTGGACGGTGATGGTGACGATTCCCGACAGAGGACGTCTAATGTTGGGGGCGTTGATGCTGTCGCTGTCAATGGCGTCGTCAATATCAATGTGCATGTCCTGGTAGCGCTTGAGCGACTTCTTTAGCAGGCCCATCTTCTGCAACGACTCCTTGCGCATGTTTTCAATCTCCTGGATCTTCTTGGGGTCCCGCTGGTAGAGCCGTAGCGCGTTCTCAAAGCCCTCCTTGTAGTTTTTCTCCACGCTCATCTTGAACTCCAGTTGCTGCAGCATATGCTGGATCCGGGGGCCGAAGAAGGGCGTGTCGTACTTGATGAGATCGAGCTTGGTGAAGTTTGCTCGTTTTTGTGTGGGGTGTGGGCCGGGGGCCATGGCTGGGTTAGTGGGGGTGCTACGGAGAGCGTGTCTTTGCCAGTTTGCGTCGGATACTCACCTTCGGGGCGGGTTCTCAGCTTGAGCTCCCGCATCTTGCTCTCCAGGTAGTTGACATTCTTCTGGTTGTCCGTGAGCTTGGACTGGCACTGCAGTTTGAACGCCGAGTCTTGGGACGCCTGGGCGGCGGCCTTGGTGCCGCGGATGATGTTTTTCTCCACCTCAATCTGCTTGTACAGCTTCTGGATGGCCGACTCGATGTCGTCGGGGGCAGACATGGCGGTCTCTCGGGCGTGTGAGGTCGACTTTTTGTATGGGGTGCGGTGGAGGTGTGTGTGAGCTGTGCTTATTTGTAGACTTGTAGCTCGCAAATTCCCCTGGCTGGTTTAGGGGTGGTGGTGGGAGTAGGGGAGTGTGTCTGGCGGGGTTTTGCGGTGCTGGCGGGGGGCGAATGGACGAAGCTGGAGCAAAGGGCGTGAGGACAGCAAAATACCGGTTCTAGCGACCGCTCAAGGACAACAGTGGTTCTCGTCTTGGTTGGAAACAAAAACACGGCCGGCTCTTTTGAGTTGGGTCCTTGCTGACACCAAAACACAAAATTCACGTGAGTTAGTTTTCAGCTGTCTACTGCTGCAAGTCCCGGTAGTCCCACCCACAAATACACACACCACCGCACACTCTCGCACAAGACGCACGTTAAAAACAAAACCTTGTGCGCTGTCAGGATGGCCCAAAAACTTATAAATAGTAACACGCAAGCTGGAGGGCTGTGCACCACAACCAACAGGGCAAAGCGCAAGCACGTCTGCTGGAGGGAGGTGGAGGGGAGGAGAAGGCGCGGCGGGTCATGTGGAGGAGAGCGCGGACGCCTTATCCATCCCGTCAACCCGCCGCCGAGCCGCCAAACCGCCGAGCCGCCAAACCGCCAAACCGCCAAAGTCGCCCGTCACGTGTCTTGTTGTGTGTCGTTTCACACCTCCTTTCTCCCCAAACCGTCTTTCATGTTGCGTATTTATCAGATACCTAAAATGGAGAGTGCTACGATATATCCCATATTGTGTACCTACACGGTAGGTACTACAGGTAGTGCCAACGTGTAGACGAAGGTGGCTGCTGCTGAGCTGAGCTCCGTCACGTGATTGCCTGTCGGCGCGGACATATATCCCGTACTCGCTTCGTCTCTTGGTCTCTCCGCCTCTCAGTCTCTCGACTCGTGCACTCGTGCTGATCATGCACACTGCTCACTTTGCTATTATTAATGTGTGGTGCCTGTGCTTGTACGTGCTGAGTGCAACAAGCTCCCCGCCAAAAAAACACCGGCATCATCCCAACCCGCGCCAAACCGCAACAAGGAACACAACCACAAGTGGCCGGATCAGTTGAGGGCAGTACAGCACGGGTCCATGTATCGTGACAACGCGCTGACCGAAGGGAAAGTTGGTTTGTGTCCAGCGGCTGCTCCACATCACGTGCAGCCCATGACGTAAGAGGCGCATGTCTCTTTAGCCGCTCGTACAGGCCCCTGCTCGGTTCTCCCAAACGCACAGGTGACCATGTGGGCACAATTTTCCGAGCGCTGATGACGTCGTTGTGCGTGAGCTGCGAGAGGGCAGCAGGAGATATCAACAGCAGAAGATATCAACAGCAGGAGATATCAATAGCAGGAGATATCAATAGCAGGAGAGGGAATGAGCGGCAGAAGGGGATGAAGGGAAAGTGCAGTACGAGTACAATACAATACTATTGTTGATGTTGATGTGCTCTTGGGTGCTAGACGTATTCACGTCGCTATGGTCTGACAATTGATGGTAAAGTACCGACCCTTGATGGTACAGTATTGTACGAGTACTAGTACAGTACAGAACTGACAATTGATGGTGCCGTATCCACTGTACAGTACCGTACCTTGTCATACTTGCTTATGCTACACCTACGGTACAGCTTCTGATGTAGAACACAACTGTGTGAATATCCATACTGTAGAGAAGGGATCGACTGGTTCTATAGTTCCTATACATTGGTAGCCCTGCAGCATCGTAGTGCAACTGAAAACCTTTGACTTATCACAGGGACCTGGACACTGGAACCTCGTGCTGGAACTGAGCAGATGGTACTTCGGCGCATTAGAGTGGTCTAGAGTGGTCTACAGAAGCATACGAAGAAGCGTCAACAGTCTACAGCGAATCGAATTACATGCACCGTCTCAACAGTATCGCCATAATGGGTGGTCGCAAAGTGTCTACAGTCTGGAGATATGAGATGGACCTTTATGATACATTGTACTAATCGAGAGAGTTCTTCTACAACTTCTGGTTACTCTGGTTAACTCAAGTAATTGCAGAACTACAATACCCAGAGGCGTCAACATATCAAACAGACCATTGGAAACCCTACACCTCCATCACCTCTCCCTACACATCCCACCTCCGATCTTCAACCATTACCAATTCCGTCTCGCTCCCAGTATCGTAAATCACAGAGAATTCATAAATATGTACATGCTGGCGATGGATGACATCGCTTATCGTCGGTTCTTTCCCTGGGGAACCATCTTGGGGTAAAGTCGCTTGGCGTGGAAGTTGATACTGTCCTGCTGCTTGACGGGTTTAACCTGAGTTAGAATTGCAAAACGAAATTAAACCGACCCTGTCGCCTCAATCATCTCCAACCCTTCTCCTCTCATACTCACACTCTTGCAGGCAGCCATCTTGAACTCCTGTTCAATCTCCTTGCAGGCCTCGGAGTTGACACCGTTGGATGACCAGCACGCCAAAAGTCGAGACAGAAGCTGCACGGCCTGGGGGGCCTCGGCGGTCTGCAGGTTCTTGACACGCAGATACTTGAGCTTGGGCAACTTCTGGGCGGTCATTTTTCGAGACTTTGTGTATGGTGATGTTGCAGTGAAATTTTACTGCATGTTGGAGATGCTGGTGGTTAGGGTTATTAGTCAGCAAAAAATGGAAGGAATCTGGAAATATACGATACGGCGGATAAACGGGGTCTATGGAGCATTGTCAGTTACGGCTATAGCTAGATTACCGACGTTTTTTTTCTTCGGTTTTCCCCCCCCCCCACCTCATTTCGCCACGTGACCATAAATCAAATAAGGTTTTATTATAGCGGTCCGGGTAACTTCCTATTTGAGAAGTCCCACTCAACTTGCATGGAAATAAATTTACACGGCAGCTCTTCCTTTTCTTCTTCTTCAGACACTTCGGCTAGAAAGACGGTGAGTAATAACGACACACCACACGGTGGCGAACGCAGCGAACGCAGTGGAGCGATGCAAAAGCTGAAGAGCAGGACCTCAAGGAGCAACCACTAACAACAGCACAGTTTTCTTTGCAGACGACACCGAAATGCAGATTTTTGTCAAGACCCTTACCGGTAAGACTATCACCCTCGAGGTGGAGTCTTCCGACACCATCGACAACGTCAAGTCCAAGATCCAGGACAAGGAGGGAATTCCCCCGGACCAGCAGCGACTTATCTTCGCCGGTAAGCAGCTCGAGGACGGCCGAACCCTTTCTGACTACAACATCCAGAAGGAGTCCACTCTCCATCTCGTCCTGCGACTTCGAGGTGGTGGTAAGAAGCGAAAGAAGAAGGTCTACACCACCCCCAAGAAGATCAAGCACAAGCGAAAGAAGAACAAGCTTGCTGTCCTCAACCTCTACAAGGTTGACGATGACGGAAAGGTTGAGCGACTTCGACGAGAGTGTGAGTCTGAGTCCTGCGGTGCCGGTGTCTTCATGGCTGACATGAAGGACCGACAGTACTGCGGCCGATGCCACCTCACCCTCAAGGCCTAAATGTATTGATTTAGTTTAGTATATTTATCTCTTGAACAAAAATCAACGCTGTAGATTGTTTAAAAATTTTCTAAGTAGAGCTGAACACCGCAGCGTCTGTTTCACGAGCGAGATACCGCTCAGTCTGTAGTTGTGTACCCGTACTTCATTCGGTCTACATCTTCGTTGCAATAAATAAAACCCATCATTGACGCTGGGTGATTCCGCTCATGCCCTGTTCCAACATGGGTCTCAACATCTGGCCAAAGGGAGTGGCGAGCACGTTTTGGCTGAGCGACGAAATGTCGACCGGGATGTCTTTGCCGGTCAGAAACTGCGACAGCTCCTGTGTGAAGTGGTTGCAGTTGTGGTCAAACAAGTTGTACTTGTCGGGGGTGTATTCGCCCCGAATCTCGTTGAGGTACTCCTGAATCAGCTCCTCAGGCACATGGGTCTCTCCCAGATCCACCACCTTGTCTGGAATGCCATGGTGGGTCTTTCCGGGTTGAGCGGACTGGATTCCGGCTCCGTAGTACCACTCGGTCTTGTTGTCGATGACGATTGAAGTGTGCCAGATGCCGTCCACCTGGGTGCCGAGAAACTGCTGAGACATGGACTTGGCCATGCCGTGCGAAAGATCGTACACATACAACTTGACTTTGTGGGTTTCTTCGGTCATGGTCCGCGAGTCTCTTGCAGTTTTGTGTGGGGTGTTTCTGTGTGGGTGTTAATGGCTGTGGACGGGGACCTCACCGCGTATTATACTCCCTGGTCGATATGCCATGGTCGTGTGGCGGTGGCGGAAACTTACCTAAAGCCGATCTCTTATCTGCGGTATTACTAACCGGTTAGGTGGACTTAAGACAGCTTGTGCTAACGGATGTGAGGCCTTGGAACAGGGGCGAGTGATAGCACTCGTCTTTCCATGGGGCTCTTTTGTACTATTCGCCATCACGTGCCCTAGCATCCGTTAATGTAGGCCAATCGGCTATTGTCGTGGTATCCACCTGGAGTATCGTAATTGCTGTTAGGTGGAGTATATACTTGCGGTAAATGCTGGTATGATGGCTGTTTGGCACTGCAGAGAATGTTCGAGAAGACGGGTGGCGACAAATGGATCAATTTGAGGGGAAAAGTTGATGAATAAGCAGGAGCACTCTGGTTTAAGCCGTTTATCTGTGATTTTCTCTGATTTCCTGCGATTTTTCCACTCTTCCATTCACCCACCTTTTTTTTTCTTTCCCTTTTTTTCCCTTTTTCTTTCCCCTTCTTTTTTCAATACTGTAATTCTTTTTATTTTTATAATCGCTTATTATCTCACCACGCGCCTAACCCAATCCAAAGAGGTTATTAACAACGGGGAGTTGTAGCACAAGGTCCATGTAGAACGCCATCCAGACTCGGTAAACAATGATCCACTATCAAAATCGCATCAATTAGACGTATCAAATCGGCCGACAGCTTTTTCTGCCTGTCCTCAGTTGTCATCTCCTCAATACATCCACCGTCTTCTATCGTTGCGGTAACACTCTACTCCACTGCCCTAAACAACGGCAACGAATCATAGAACCCCTCCATCTCGTAAACGGGCCAATAAAATGAGACCCCGAATTGAAAAAAACAATGAAAACACCGCAATCAATAGATATATCCACTTATCTCAGCCCCACAGCTTTCGTTGCGTTTTCCTTACTGGCACATTCGCCTCCCCCCAGCGGTCACGTGAGGTGGCAAAGTTACAGTGTAGGTAATCCACCCAACACTACATCACCACAAGTCCAGACGCCATCTACGCCCCAATCGCAAAAATGGCCACCACCGCAGCCCCAATTCTGGCGCTGCTCGACGAACCAAACTACGATCTCAAGACCCATGCCCTCGAATCGCTGGATGAAAACATCACCCAGCTGTGGGCGGAGGTTTCCGACCACGTGTCCCAGATTGAAGAGCTCTACGAAGACAAGGACTTCCCCAAGCCCGAGCTCGCGGCTCTCGTGGCCTCCAAGATCTACTACAACCTGGGCGACTACGAGTCATCCATGAAGTTTGCTTTGGCCGCTGGAAAACTCTTCAACTTCGATTCCTCCTCTGATTACGTCGAGACCATTGTCAGCAAGTGCATCCGAGAATATATTGAGGTGTCGCAACAACACTACGAGGATCCGTCTGCGCCTGTTCCCGACGCCCGTCTCGCCACGGTGCTCGACCAAATGCTGCAGCGATCGTACGCCCAGGGCCACCTGAAGCTGGCTCTCGGAGTGGCGCTGGAGGCCCGACGTTTGGACATTATCACCAAGATCCTCGAGACCGCAGACACCGAAACGACCGTGGAGCTGGTGCATTACGTGTTGGACTGCGTCGTAACGGTCGTCTCTTCGCGCCGGTTCAAGGACGAGGTGCTGTTGGAGCTCAACAATGTCATCCTGGGTCTGCCCCAGCCCGACTACCACGCCATCTGCAAGATCATCGTCCAGCTCAACAGCAGCGAAGGCGCCTCTCGGCTCTTCAAGTCTCTGTTGGCCTCCAAGGACCCCGACTCCACCCTCATTGCGTACCAGTGCGCTTTTGATCTAGTGGCGTCAGGCTCGCAGCAGCTGCTCAACGAGGTTGCCGCCGAGTTCAAGGACAACGAGACCCTCGCAAAGATCCTCTCCGGCGTCCCTACCTGCGACTACGACCTCACATTCCTTAACCAGAACAATAACACCGACACACAGATGCTCAACCGGACCAAAAACTCGCTTGACCCCAAGAGCTCCATGAACCACTCGGCCGTCACCTTTGCCAACGCATTTCTGCACGCCGGCACAGCCCAGGACTCGTTTATCCGCTCCAACCTCGACTGGCTCTCCAAGGCCTCCAACTGGACCAAGTTGTCGGCCACGGCTGCTCTGGGAGTCATTCACAAGGGAAACCTGTCGCAGGGCCGACGAATTCTCGCTCCCTACCTGCCCCAGGGCGATAATGCTGCCTCCGGCTCACCCTACACCCGGGGAGGCTCTCTGTACGCCCTTGGTCTCATCTTTGCAGGCCATGGCAACGAGGTGCTCGACTACCTTCAGCAGCAGATTGAAGACACAGCATCCGACGACGGAGGCGATGTTGTGCTGCACGGTGCCTGTCTGGGTATCGGTGTGGCTGGCATGGGCTCCGGAAAGGCCTCTCTTTACGACAAACTGAGAGACGTGCTGTTTTCGGACTCTGCCGTGGCCGGAGAGGCTGCCGGACTCGCCATGGGTCTGGTAATGCTGGGATCTGCCGACGATGATGCCCAGAAGGAAATGTTCCTTTACGCACACGAGACTCAGCACGAGAAGATCATTCGGGGTCTGGCTCTGGGCCTTGCTCTTGTCAATTACGCACGAGAGGAGTCTGCCGAGCCCATGATCGAGCAGCTGCTGGCCGAGCAGGACCCCATTCTGCGGTACGGAGGAGCCTACACCATTGCTCTTGCCTACGCCGGCACCGGCAACAACAAGGCCATTCAGCGACTGCTGCACATTGCTGTTTCTGATGCCTCTGATGACGTGCGACGAGCAGCTGTCATTTCGCTGGGTTTCATCCTTCTGCGTAACTACACTGCCGTCCCCCGAATGGTCGAGCTGCTGTCCGAGTCGCACAACCCCCACGTGCGGTACGGAACTGCCCTGGCCCTCGGTATTTCGTGTGCAGGCACAGGTCTCAAGGAGGCGGTGGAGGTGCTTGAGCCTCTGACTAAGGACCCCGCAGACTTTGTGCGACAGGGTGCTCTTGTGGCTCTCGCCATGATCCTCATCCAGCAGAATGAGAAGATGAGTCCTCGAGTCAAGACTGCCCGGGAGACCTTTGCTCATGCCATTGCCTCCAAGCACGAGGACCCCATGGTCAAGTTTGGTGCTGCTCTAGCTCAGGGTATCATTGATGCCGGAGGTCGAAATGTGACCATTGCTCTTGAGAACCCCCAGACTGGGTCTCTTAACATGAAGGCCATTGTCGGTCTGGTTGTCTTCTCGCAGTTCTGGTACTGGTTCCCCTACACCCACTTCCTGTCTCTGTCATTCAGCACCACTGCTGTCACCGGAGTCAACGAGGACCTCAAGATCCCCCAGTTTGACTTTGTCACCTCTCACAAGCCCTCCTACTTTGGCTACCCTCCTCCTGCCGAGGAGGTGGTTGACAAGGCTCCCGAAAAGGTTGCCACCGCCGTTCTCTCTACCACAGCTCGTGCCAAGGCTCGGGCCAAGAAGAACGAGAAGGATAAGGCTGACAAGATGGAAGTTGAGGAGAAGCCCGAGGAGCCCTCCTCCGCCGCTGCAGCATCTTCAAAGCCTGCCAAGGAGGCCAAGGTGGACGAGGACGCTGATAAGCGAATCCCCGGTCAGAAGAAGTGGCGTCTTGCCAACTTAACACGAGTGCTGCCTTCCCAGCTCAAGTATATTTCGTTTCCTGAGGAGAACCGGTTTGTGCCCATTCGAAAGTTGCATTCTGTTGGTGGAGTTGTGGTTCTGAGAGACCAGGAGAAGGGCAAGGGCGGCAAGAAGCCTCAGTTCATCAAGACGGTCCGACAGATCAACAATCCTTTTGATGATGAGGACGACGAGGCTCCTCTGCCCGAGCCTTTCAAGTACGTCGAGGAGACCGAGTAAGCATATTGGTAATGATTGTTGGAGAACCGAGCAAGGGCGTAGAGTGCCTGTAGATGGAGCGCACAAATGACTGGGCGTGTACACTGTTGTTGTGCAGTTGTAACCAATATATAAAGAACAGCTTGCAATGGAAGGTGCAATAGAACATGGAGTTGAAAACTAGACGACGAGAAAAGCGGGATTGAACGAAGTCCCTTCTATTGTAATGTGTTGCCACTGGTCCATGATATCGACGGCACTTCTCTTCAGCTAGATCCAACGTAAACATGACTACACTGGGCCAACTCATAAACGAGTCAGCAGCAAGACCCTAAGTATCAGCTGCCTGAAAAGGAGTGGCTCGGTGGCTCGTTATCTCATGTTCGATTCATATGAATCTGTTCGCACATACCGGTAAAAGTACAGACAGCATGTAATCAAGAGACTACTTTCGAAACGAGCCAGTCGCTGTTGGTCTTTCACTAGTAAAGAATATCTGAAGAGACGCAGTACAGTATTTACTCGTGTTCCCATGCCTGGGTACAAGAGATGGACCGATAAGCAGTAGCTCTTTTACTACATCTACGCGTACAGATTCACTTGGCCACTCCATCTGTCAGCAGCCGGTCTGCTATTACTTGCCTTGTACTTTTGCTCGTTCAATATGCATAAATTATCTATTGTCTCTGCTGAAATCTGGAGATAGCAGGAGACACGTACTCCTCCACATATCCCTCCTCCAGTCGTCGCTTTTTGTTCTCTCGCATTCGTCGCTCTCGCTCCTGAAGCTGCTCCAGTCGCATCTGCCGCTCGTCCACCACACCCTTCTTTTTCTTCTTTTGCAGCTCCTTGCTGACGGCCGTCTCCTCGTCGGCCAGATGGGGTTGCAGCTCGGGCATGTCGTCGTCCGACTCTTGTGCCCGCTTCTTGTTGGGCTCCGTGATCTCCTCCATCTGCTCTCGGGCCGTCTTTCGTCGCCGGTCCTTGTCCATGGCGATTCGTCCAATGTCTTCGGGATCCATGGTGATCATCTCGGGCTGGAGCTTCTGCAGCAGTGTTCGCACCTCCTCCTCTCGTCGCTGGTGTCGCGTCTGGTAAGGGTTGACTTCCAGAGCGTCAAAGTTGGCCTCTCCGGCTCCGGGAATGATGAGTGAAGAGAAGCCCTCGGAGTGGCCTACTCCAAGGATGTCTTCAAACGGCACAAACTGCGCGCTGCTCACCTTCCAGTCGGGATGCATGTTGTGTTGCATATAGGGCTGCTTGGGTCGAGGAGCAGATTGCACGTCCTTCCACACGGTGATGGTGTTTCCGTGGCCCACAGAAAGCAGGTTGGAGTCAGACCAGTTAACCGTCTGGGGCGCCACCTTGGTTCGGGGCAGACGCAGCACCTCCTTGTAGGTGTTTCTGATATCCCAGACCTTGACGGACGAGTCGGAGCCAGCCGTGGCCAGGTATCGTCCTGATCGGTCGACAGAAACGTCGTTCACGGGGCCTCGATGGGCCAGCATCTTGACCAGAGGCTCGTCCACGTTGGGCGACCACATGGTCACGGTTCCGTTGGAGTGGCCGAGATTCATGATGGCATTATAGGGGTTCTGGCACTGGGAGGTGGTGGGGCCCAGTCTGGTCTTGAAGGCAGCCACTTGCTTACCAATAGATACATCCTGGTAAAAGAGCATGCTGGTGAGACCCGACGATACGAGCAGGTAGTGGTAGGGCAGGAAATCGAGGTTGGTCATTTCGATCTGCTGCTTGAGTCTGTGTACTTCGGATCCCTGGTGGTCATAGATGAAGACATTCCTTTTCTGGGCCACAGCAAAGTATTGGTCGTTATGGAGCCACTGGACCGCACGAACAGTCTCGTTGAGGTTGAGTTCAAACTGTAGACGTCCCTCTCGCCAGTCAAACGCTGCCACATGGCCCTTTCGGCCTCCAATGAGCAGCTTTCGGCCTGTTCGGGTGAAGTTGATGTCATAGGGGCCAAAGTCGGGCAGCTTGAGGTCGTAGGCCTTTTTCTTGGTGGAAATATCAACCGACGCCTTGATCTCCTCCTGCGTCACCTTGTGGGTCGCCTCCATTTCGTTTTCGGCCTCTAGAAAGCCCTGTTCCTCCAACAGCAGCATTTCTGTCTTTTTCGCCGCCTCCTTGGCCTCCTGGGTGTGGCTCTCCACCCGCTTGAGATCCTTACGGAGCTCCTTGTTTCGGGCCGTCTTCCAGGCCGGCTTCTTCTTTGGTGCTTCAGACATGGTTGGTTGTCTATTGGCTGCTGTATATGGTGCTGGTCTGCTGGTGCTTGGTGATAATTCTGTGATGTTGGGGCCTAGGGGAAAAAAATATTTTAAACTTCACCACCTACATATTGCATTGCATGATTATATAATATGGAGTAGTGGCACCGGTGAGACCACAACCGCTTCTCTTCATCCAGAAATGTCGAATATGTTGGATTTTCCGGCAACAAACATAATGTCGCATGCTAACTACAAGTATGCAACTCTGTGTTTGTTTGCTATCCTCGTCGGTTGCATTGAACTCAGCATCGTCACCTACCTGCTCTGATTCTCTTTATGGTTGACCTGTGCGGCTCTCTAATGGCCGGGCTATGATAGAGAAAGGTACTAAGTGTGTATGGGGATGGTTGTCTGGAGGACACGTATGTATATATATTTATATACTTGCAGTGGCCAAACTAATTTTTAGAGCACAGTCGCCACATCCCCTCTGTAACGGCTCCAGCCCCCAGCTAGCTATATATAGGTCGCCATATCCCTGTCTTATCGGGTATCATCAACAGTGCCGAAAACAATGTTGCCTGCATAACTTCAAATTTTTTTTTTCGCCCAAAGTGCATGAAGGCAAAAAAATCGAACAGTGAATTTTCGCACAACACACAACATAGTACCAAACAGAGCACAGCTACCCGACAACTGACGCCGTCAGCAATGAACACAATTGACCAGCTGTTCGAGCAGGACTTTAACGACGACTGGAAGAAGGAATCGTCGCCCCATGGAGACCCCTCCAACAGTCCCGAGCATGGCAAGAGGGCTCTAGAGACGGAGCCGGCATCTCCAGCCAAAAAGGTCAAGCTGGAGAAGGATTCCGAGGACCAGGAAATGGCGCGCATGCTGGAGCGAGATCTTGCGTACAAGTCGGAGCCCGACGACGTGAATCTCGCCACTCCCAACTCTCTGACGCCCGGATCCGAATGCGATGATAAGGATCTCAAGAAGGAGATCAAACCCATAGAGATCATCGAGATCGAGGACGATGACGAGGAGAATATCCACACGGTCTCTGCAGAGACCAAGAGGGATATCAAAACCGAGATCAGCCCCGAACCCGTAAAGATCGAAGAAATCCATAGCCCCCCCGACTCGGGCTCTCTGCCTGAGTTTCTTGCATCGACTATGGATCTTCCACAACCCCCCTGCTACTCCTACAGCCACATTCCCTCTGTGTCCTCGTCTGCCGCCTCGTCTGTTAGTCCCTCTATGCCTCCCTCCACTCTTGCCTCCGCAACTGAGGAGCCCGAGTCCAAACAGAACATGGACGAGTACCTGGGCAAGATCTTCAACTTGTCTCCCGAAGACGACTTCTTTGCCACCGGAGGGTCAGACAACTCGGTCACAGACTCGTTTGCCTCCGTCAGAGAGCTCAAGCAGCAGCTCATGTCGCAACACACCCTTATGACGACATACACGTCGCTCAAAGACGTGTACCAGCGAGTGTGCAAGTCTCTTAAGGAGCGCAACGCCGAGAACCGTCGGCTGGCCAACCACATGAAGGTGCTGGTGGGAGTTATCGAACAGAACAACAAGAAGATTGCCGAAGTCGAAGACTCCAACAACAAGCTGCTGGCCCAGACCAAGACTCTCATCAACGAGAAGAAGGCGCTGCAGAACACCATCAAGGAGATGCACAAGTCCACCGACGGACTGTCCAAGATCGAGCTCTTGCGACTAACCATTAATCTCAGAGACGCCGAGATTGTGCGACTCAAGCACAAGTGCGGTGAGCTCTGATCGTTATTTATTTGCATTAAATTTATACCAAAAAAGACAACCATCAGTCAGTAGACAAAGTCTTGTAGTGTAATAGGAGAAAAAGTAAAACAAAAAAAATGAAATACCTCAGCTTGAGAGGCAAAAGATTACAGCACCCAGGATTCTCGTATGGTCTCCCACTACAATACTAACTAGGCTCTCTGGTGCTTGACTATGGCTGATCGGACGGGAAGCCGTATTTTCACCAGGATATGGCCGTAACTGGAAAGGTCGTACCCGGAATCGAACCGGGGTTACTGGAAATCGAAGTTTTCTTCAGAATCCAAGGTGATAACCGCTACACTATACAACCTGATGTTGAAAACTGGACTTTATGTCTACATGAGTGCAAAAATTCAAAAATTCAACGCCAATAACCCGGCTTATTAGGTATATAGCTGTAATGAATCATTAGCATAAAAAAAACCCGCTATCGTTGTAGGAGCGTTACAGACGACAAAGGGAGATATAAACGGTCATTGTTGATTGCCGCGGATACGCTATTCATTCTACACTAAACTAAACTCATCAATGGACTCGAAATAACTATCAATATTGAATTGGTTTACTATATCAAAATAGGGAAAGAACTACATTGTAGGCGGTCGAAAGCGTGAATGTGAAGCGGAAAAGAGAGAATAAATAGTTGGTAGAAATCACTACTCCTTGGTTGCGCCAATGGTGAACTTGTTGGGCTTGTCACAGGCGTACTTGCCGTTGAAAACGTAGACATCGTTTCCTCCGTGAAGAGGGTCGTCGTTGGAAACGCAAGAGTAGAACTCCTTAGTGCCGTAAGAAGAGAACTCTTTGACGGAGCCGTCACCGGAGAAGCCCCAGCCACCGTTGTAGCCCTTACCGGTCTCGGCTGGATGCTCGTTGACGACAAGCTGACCATTGTCGGCAACGTAAAGTTCCTTGGGAGGCTGGCCGTCAGAAATGACGTTGGCAAGAGCGTCGCCGATGGAGTCAACGGTAAAGTTGGAGTAGCCCTGGGTCAGGCCCCAGACAATGTTTTCTCCTCGGACCTGAAGGGGCTTCATGCCGGTGACGCCGGCTCCAGGAAACAGGTTAAGGACGTACTTGGGGGTGTCATTGTGGTTATCCTTCTGGTCGTTGGAGGCGGGCTGCTCACCGCAAGCAACGGGGGCTGCAATGGCGGCGGTGGCGGCAGTGAGAATGGCAAGAGACTTGAAAAGCATTGTAGAAGTGGTTATGTGTGTGTGTGTGTGTGTGTGTTTGTTGTTGGAAAACTGACAGTTGTTTGATATGGATTAGAGAGGGGAAGAGGTGGGGTTTATATATTGGAGTTTTTGGCACTTTTGCTGGCCACCGGGGGCTTTCTGATAGCAAGACTCTAGCAACTGAGCAAGTCTTTCTACGTCATGCTGAGTGTTCTCGCTTAAATATTCCTTGCGTTGTACATGCAGGCTAAGCAACGGGTGGAAGCAGAACAATGAGACATTTATCTGGGGCATGTACATGTATACTTAGAGACGAGTGGACCGAGTGGATTCATGATGCCAGATCAACCAATTTACCACCCGGAACCCGCCCAATATCTCCATATCCATCCACTACGAGTCCCATTTAGGTCGATTGAAAAGTTCGAGGATGTTAGAGTTTGGGCAAAAATAGCACCAGTAACTTCGAAACGTCATTGCACAGCCAAACGGCACAGAGTGTGGGGGCGGTGGAAGAAAAAAGACGATTGGGGATATTAATAGAAAGTTTGCAAGGTTTTTAAAAGACGGTCGGCATTGGAGATCTGAGGGGGAGGGGGGATACGGGGGTTGTGAGAAGATTCGGTAGTGACCATACTATGGTCTCTCTGGTTTGCACAATCCAAGCAACTACAGTAATGACAGCAGCCGTATTGGTTGCACTAGTTGTAGCGCACTCCTGATGCCCCAGCAGACTACTTGTAGAACCTTGAGACAATTATCATAACCGTTGAGTTAGGTTTCTACGGCATCACCTTTAAACGGCATGGTTATTCAGAATGCATCGATGAAGTGGGGATAGTAGTGTTCGGAGGAAAGATCGTCTCACTGTATTGAGAGACACGTGGATACGAGTGTTGAACGATGCACTGGAGAGACACATCTAAGACAATGGAGTGTGAACCGGTGGTTAATGGTGAATACAATTATCAGTCGAGTACAACTATTGCCATCATCATCTCTGAGAACCTACATCATCGCACATACACACCATAACTGCGAGTTATACCTTCAAAGGGCAGCAACCAATTGCCTTTGGCTAGGGGTTCACGGATCACATGAGAAGAGCACGGCTGTCTGGGTTTTTCCAGCGTCACATAGCAAGTATGTACAAGTCTTGGCAGTACGGATCGGATGGTATTGCGTGAGCGTGGTAGTGGTCAACCATCAGGTGAAGTACTTTACGTTACCAGCACGTGCTGTACTCATATACCCAATATCAGCATTGTCGTTAACCACGGTTGAATGTATTTACATCTATAAAATTAGTTGAATCTCTTGTTTGTCTTGTCTTAGCATATTGGTCTCTCCTCACCACTTAATACAACAGTCGGGTGGAGATCTTGAAGGGGGTCTGCTCGAGCTTCTCGTACAGAGTCTTGATGTCGGCCTGATCGACGTCAGCAATGTCGGCCATCAGGTAGGCAATATCACCACGCGACTCAGAGTACTGCTTCTCAATGTTATGGGAGGCGAAAATCTCGTTGACGGACAGAAGCACACCAGGCACGTTCTTATGCACGTACAGGATTCGCACGTGGTCGTGCTCCTCGGCGTGGTTGACCACGTTGAGGTTGACCTCGGGGAAGTTGACGGCACCAACAGAGGAACCCTCGTTGATGTACTTGGTGAGAGCGGTGCCGACCTCGATACCAATGGCGGACTGGGCCTCCTCGGTGGAGCCTCCAATATGGGGAGACATGATGAGGTTGGGCAGGGTGAGGAGCTCATTGGTCCACTCGTTGAGGTGGGAGCCAAACTCGTTTGAGCCGTTCTTGGCAGGCTCCTTGGGGAAGACGTCGACGGCGGCTCCAGCAAGCTTTCCGGACTTCATGGCAGAGATGAGCTCGGGAATGTCAATGACCTTGCCTCGGGCGTTGTTGATGAGGTACGAGCCGTTCTTCATGCCGTCGAACTGGGCCTTGGACATGAGGTTCATGGTCTCGGGCAGCTCGGGCACGTGCAGAGAGACGTAGTCGGCCTGGGCCAGCAGCTCGGCAAGGGTGGGCACCTGCTTGGCGGTACCGAGACCCATGATCATGATCACGTCGTAGTAAATGACGTTCATGCCCATGGACTCGGCGAGAACGGACAGCTGGGAGCCAATGTGGCCGTAGCCCACAATTCCGAGAGTCTTGCCTCGGATCTCCCAGCACTTGGCGGAGACCTTGTTCCAGGTGCCGGCGTGCATCTCGATGTTTCGGTCGCCCAGCTGTCGCGACAGCATGATGATCTCGCAGATGACCAGCTCGGCCACAGACCGCGAGTTGGAGAAAGGCGAGTTGAACACGGCAATACCGTTGTTGGCGGCGTACTCGAGATCGACCTGGTTGGTACCGATGCAGAAACAACCAATGGCAATGAGGTTCTTGGCCTCCTTGAGCACCCGTGAGTTGAGCTTGGTCTTGGATCGGATACCAACCACCTGCACATCTCGGATCTTCTCAATCAGCTCCTCCTCGTCCAGCGACGACTTGTGGGTCTCCACCTGGTAGCCCTGGCCCTCGAGAATGTCAATGGCTGTCTGGTTGACGTTTTCCAGCAGCAGGATCTTGATGTCGCCGGTGGAAAACGGCTTCAGCTTGTTGGTTCGCGCAGCGGTGTAAGAGTATCGTCGCTGTCGGGGCTTGCCCTGGAACGAGCCCGAGACGGGCGATCCGTACGACGTGATGGGCGAAGACGAGACCGAAACCTCGTTTTCGTTCACGGGAATGTTGACGGCGGACATGGTGTGGCGGGGGTTGTTGGCGATGTAACGACGACTGGTCTGTTCGTATGTGCGACAATGCACCGTTTTATCTGTGGGCCGTTTTAGGTTCGAAATTTTGTCTGAACTATGACGCATCCATTTCATGCAATCACGTGTACCTGAGACTAAGCACAAGTCGAGATAGCACCATACAAGCGGTGAATAGTCTGAGTCACGATAGATATACGATATACGCCACTTGCTGTTGATTACTCAGCCAAAACAAACAAAAAAACCCCTCCCTCCCACAACACTACATGGTCTCCATAACATAAATATATCCACTTTTACTTCTTGTCCAAACTGTGGCTGTGGCTGATGGGTGGCTAACTCCCTCAATGGACTCACAAAGTTCCTGGTCCCAGGCAGAAAAGGTTTGTCAAATTTTGATTTTTTTTTTTTGGAAGTTTTTTTTGGAAGTTTTTTTTATTTCCCCTTCTCTTGTCTTGGTCTGAGTCATCTACAGCAAGCGAGTACTCGTATCAGCGAATCAGACGGAAAATAACTGCGTTAGAATTGACCAAACAGCGGTCACGTGACGGAAGTCTTGGTCTCTGCAACGGCCCCCTTCCCGAGCCAGACGTGTCGCCAAGTCGCTACCGGTAGCGCTCTCGTTTCCGTCGCCTTCTCCATAGTTTACGCCACAACTGCAGCCAAACCCTAAGACATGACTCTGGCCGATCCGAGTGGGCTCAACGGTAGGAGGTGGAGCAGTACGTGGTTGAAGGCTTGAAGGAAGCAGGTGAATCGGGGCGGTGCAATACGATACGGATGTTGCAGTGGAGTGGCTACAGTACGAGTGCGGCACTGGGCGAGTATCACTGTGGTACTCATACTTACAGTTGAGAATGGTGTTGGGTCGAAACTGGGGAGTGGGTTCTGGTTGGACGATCATGATGCGGGTGGTGAGTGGAGCTGCGGTGACGACACAGACCGTGTCACTCCGTGGGCATATATAAAGACCGTGGTTCGTCTTGGCCTGCCTCACTCCTCACACACATTCGTCCAGGTCAATACAAGGTCTAACATGGTACGTCAGACATGTGTGTCGCTCTGAGTCTATCATTGACCTGTCCAGAAGGGGCAGAGAGGTACGGAAGGGGAGGTCCGGAGGGAGGTCCGGGCAATGGAAAGATCTAGGGCACTCTCTAGAGTAAGTGCAAAATGCATATCAACATGGCTTTTTTTTTTTTTTTCACCGCATCAATCGCATCGCTCTGACCTTTCTGGCAACTCTCTTCAACCACTATCGACATCGACATCATGTACGACAGTTAAAGCCAAAGTCTTTTTTTCGGGGTCTGAAAAAGAGTGCAACTTTCGCCAGAAGGGGCGGAACCCGGCTGTGGAAGGAGAATGACACGGTTACGGGAGGGAAGAGTCGGCGAATCAATCATCGAGACGGCTCCGAATCCACTGGTCTTGGTCTTGTCTCCACACTCCTCTTGGAAGGCGGCCCAAGTGGGTCCTCGTCGCACTTTGTCGAGACCAAGTGATTTACCTCTGGACCCTGCCACAAATCTCGCAACAAAACATTGCTCCAAGGCACCATTGTCGCTGCTACTAAATGCTGAAGAAGACATGGGGATTGATAAAGGCGTCCGAAATGTCCAAGATCCTCGTTTTCCTTTTTCCAGCAAAAAAATGCCCAAAATGAACTACATTTACTCTACCATATGTACTCCTCACTTACCTGCCTTTTAGTTAGAGTTTTTAGTTGGAATTTGTTGAAAAAAAAAGTCTGCTGGGGGTTCAAAATCAATGTTGCGAAGGGAGGAGGGGAAAACCATGGACACAAAGAGATAGCCAATGTATGGTTAGTTAACAAATGTCTTATAATATTGGGGTGTTTACATACAAATAGTTCTGGTTATCTACATATTAATCACTATCCATCATTCTACATAGTTTCGAATAATACTTAGAGTTTACTTTACCAGTTGATAGACTACAATGTGGTACTTGGATTTGTCGATCCCATGGGCACACCACTCAACCAGACTCGGCGTTACACACCAACATTTACCACAGTTGTGGTGTCATGGTTTCTCCTCCGCAACTTATAAAGACCTCTTTATCTCTCTATTTGGCGCTCTGACGTCCCCAACTATGTCCCTGGCTAACATGTCCACCCCGCCCGAAAATTCAGAATAGAGTTGCGCATCGCCTTAGGGACGTCTCTCGGCGACACTAGTCTCATATCTATTCCCCAGTGCCTACACAACACCATGTGGAGACGGTTTTCCGGATGGCGACACTTTTCCAGCGCCGCGTCGCGGTCGTCGCGCTACAACTCTTTCCGGGGCTCGCACAACCAGGGCCCCTTTCCCATCCGAATCCAGTGGAACCACAAGACAGCAAAGATCGCCGGAGCCGTGGGCGCCCTGGGAGTCGCCTTCTACGTCACCCACCTGGAGAAGGCTCCGGTGACGGGACGAACCCGATTCATGTGCATTTCCGAGTCTCTGGAGCGCCAGATTGGCGATTCGGAGTTTGAACAGCAACTGCAGGAGTTCAAGCCGTACCTGCTGCCCGACAACTCACCCACGGTCCAACGGGTCAAGAAGATCATGCGCCGAATCATCGCCGTGTCGGATATCAAGGATCTGGACTGGCGAGTGTTTGTGGTGGACAAACCGGGCATGCCTCCCAACGCCTTTGTCATGCCCAACGGAAAGGTGTTTGTCTTCTCGTCCATCCTGCCCATCTGTGGCGATGACGACGGTCTGGCTACAGTTCTGGCTCACGAAACAGCCCATCAGGTGGCTCGACACACGGCCGAAAAGCTGTCGTGGGCGCCCATCTACATGCTTATTGGTTTTGCGCTGTATGCAGTGACTGGATCCGACGCCTTCAATCGGTTCATTGTCTCGTCGCTCATGGAAAAGCCCTCCAGCAGACACATGGAGACCGAGGCCGACTACATTGGGCTGATGATGATGTCCAAGGCGTGCTTTGACCCGCATGCTGCCATTGGTCTGTGGGAACGAATGCTTAAGGCCGAGGGCAGCAATGCGCTCATGAGCAAGATGCAGTTCTTATCTACCCATCCGTCGTCGGAGCGACGAATCCAGAACATGATCAAGTGGCAGCCGGAGGCCGACGAGGAGCGACGCAAGGCTGGATGTGATGAACATGACCATCATTGGACCGGGTTTCAGGGGCTGTCCAAACATTACTAGACGTCGGAACAGGCCAAACGAGTCGACCTACAGCGTTGGTCTTCACCCTTGATCCTCGATTTCTTGGCTTATTGATTGAGAAGCCTTTGCTCAATCCTCTGCTCAATCCTCTGAACACCCCTGCCAGCCGTGTTTGGGCCAATTTGTATATATAATAGATAGATGTTAGATGAATGGTCCATAATCAGCCTTGAAGCAGTCGAAGCGGTTGAAACCGAGCCATTGAAGCAGTCATAATCATCGCATAGAAGCCATAACCATCGCATAGAAGATCGAAGCCATCATAATCATCGCAATGGCACACTAGCACGTGCTCGTGCTCGTACTCGATCGTACTCGTAATCGTAATCGTAATCGTAATCGTAATCGTACTCGTACCGGTTCTATGCATAGACGCACACGGAAGATGGCATATATACGACCGGAGATAGTTTGATTGTTTCACCTGCCTCGACACCGTGAGGGATTATCATGCTGTGACCGTGGACAAAGTGGACGAAGACACGGACGAAGACACCCACAAAGACACGGACAAAAACATGACTATCGCCGGTCGAGAGGGAAGCATAAAGTGGGCTGTTCGTAGTTGAACTCTGGAGGTGTGGGCGGATCTCCTCCGCACTCCATCTATCAAGGTCACATATCTGTAGTTCTGTTACCCCTCGGTGGCAAAACCCGAGTGCTACAAGTTGCTGTCAAAGTGCAAGGTGCCAAATTATTTATCTCCACGTCTCGTCCATTTGCCGCAGTTCTGCCCGGTCCCTTGCTAGCCGACTTGTGCCTCCTTGTCCGGTCCGAACCTCGGTAAGTTGGCGATAGTCCTCTATCGAACTCTCAAAGAGAAGAGGAAGACAAGACGAGAAGCAAAGTTGGCATGGTTCAAAAGTGCTTTTCCCAAGTAAGACACGCTAGCTACATTTTGTCGAACCATGGCTGGACAACTGCCTTTGCTGGCCCAAGTACTTATATACTCGTAGCTACTTATGTACTGTACAGAAATCATTCACTCACACAGCACCGACACTCAGCACAGCAACACGACTCGTTCACCTCAGTCCACCGGCTGTCACATTCTCCTACCGCTGTCACATTCTCCTACAAGTAGTCGTTCGCTACCGCCGCCACCGTGCATCACTCTCCCTCTGCCATTAATTAACTGCTACAATACTGAAATTAGCACCGTCACGATACAGTCCCATAAAGCACTCGGGACCAGCCCAAATCCAAATTCGGAGGCCATACAAGAGTCGCAAACGGACCGAAAAGAGGCCGAAAAGGGCATTTGAAGACTCCAACCGCCTTTATCGTCGTCAATAGTGTCCCAAACCGCTTGTCCCCCCCAAACTCGACCTCATTCACCGACTTTTCAGGCTCATTTACCGACTCAGTCTCATTTACCCCTGCCCCTCCCTACAGTGTGTACATGCATAATCATGTTCACCTCCAGAGTTTCCGAAGCAAGCACCACCAACTTTATCCGGCCGACGGCACGGTCTCACATCCACTTTTTTTTCGCCTTCATCGCCGCAACCGTCCACCAACTGCTGCTCATGCTCTACCAACTGCTTGGAGACGGCTACCTCAAGTCGTTTGTCGACACAGGTATCACGCTGGCCCAACAGTCGGGGCTTTCGGGTATCGTCAACGCCTTGACTTCAGAGGCCAAACTGCGGATCGATAAACGGTCCATCATCAAAAAGCTGCTAGAGGACCAGGAAAACGCCGAGTCGTACTTTGACTGGCTCAAGGCGTCCAGCGAACTCGACTATCTGCTCGGCAACCAGGAATGGAAGGAAAGAGACGAGTGTCCAGCTTACGATTACGAATACGTCCGACTCCGATTGGACGAACTGAGACACGCCCGAACCAATAACGACACCACCCGACTGCTTTACCTCGTGCGAACAACGTGGAGTAGAAACCTCGGCAACCTCGGAGACGTCAAGCTCTACCACAACTCCTTTACCGGAACCAAACGACTCATCGAAGACTACATTCTGGAATGCGAACTGGCTCTCAACGCGCTCCTGGCAGCCGGAAACGACAAGATCCCGGACCAGGAGCTGCTCACGGAGCTGCTCAACACCAGAAAGGCATTTGGACGAACTGCCCTTCTGCTGTCCGGCGGAGGATGTCTCGGTCTGCTCCACACCGGTGTTCTCCAGGCCCTCTCAGACACATCGCTCTTGCCCCACGTCATATCGGGTTCGTCGGCAGGCTCAATCATGGCCGCGGGACTGTGCATTCACAAAGACGAAGAACACGAGGCTTTCATCACCGAGCTCATGGAGCGAGACTTTGACATTTTCGAAGAGTCCGGAAACGAAGACACGGTGCTCGAACGAGTGTCTCGAATGCTCAAACATGGATCGCTACTCGACAACAGATATATGCAGGACACTATGCGAGAATTATTTGGCGACATGACCTTTCTGGAGGCCTACAACCGGACTCGCCGTATTCTCAACGTTACGGTATCGTCTGCTGGCATCTACGAAATGCCTCGTTTGCTCAACTACCTGACGGCCCCCAACGTACTCATTTGGTCGGCTGTCTGCGCCTCCTGCTCGGTGCCTCTCATTTTCAATGCCTACACTCTGCTTGAAAAGGAGCCCAAAACAGGAGCTATTCAGACCTGGAACGCTTCTTCGCTGCGGTTCATTGACGGATCCGTCTATGCCGACGTGCCCATTGCGCGTCTCTCAGAAATGTTCAATGTAAATCATTTCATTGTCTCGCAGGTAAACCCTCACGTTGCTCCTTTCCTCAAGCTCACAGAAGACAAGGCCAACCCGGACTCGGTCGACGAAATCTACACGCTCAAGCTTTGGCACAACTTCAAGACGCTGGTCACCGACGAGGTCATGCACCAGTTGCAGGTGCTGTACGAGTTTGGCATCTTCAAGAACCTGTGTTCGAAAATGGGAGGCGTACTGTCCCAGCGATACAAGGGAGACATCACAATCCTGCCCCAGGTCCATCTCTCAGAGCTCCCGGGAATTCTTACTAACCCCACTGCCGCATACATGAAGGACACCAACCGACGAGGTGCCCAGGCCACTTATCGAAAGATCTCGCTCATTCGAAACCACTGTGCCATTGAGTTGGCGCTGGATCGAGCTATCCACGAACTCAAGGCCCGTATGCTCCCCTCCAAGCTTGGATCAGGACGTACATCCCCGCAAGGTACTTTTAAGCATTCGCAGTCGTCCAACCAGATTTCTGCGCTCAAACCTCCTTCTCGTCACATGTCTGCTTCATCGGCAACCACAGCACATACGCGTCTTCGGAACCGAAAGTCGTTTTCTCATGCACGTATCAAGAGTGATGCGGCCGCTGTGTTCGACAAGGAGCCTATTCACGAGACGCCCAAGTCGTCGCCTCAGAGCTCGTATGTCAACTTGCACCGATCTGCAAGTGAGCGGTCGAGACGACCCAAGTCTGCATTCAATCTGGGCTCTCTGCCGACCTCTCCTCTTTATCATCCGCATCTGACCCACTCCATGTCTATGGGGGGAGCCAATCAGGCGCCTCTGTACAATCCTGGGCGCGGTTCTGTGTCTCAGAACACCTCCCCTGGGACCAAAATCCCCGGAAACGCTGATCCGTCGTACTTTGATGGACCCAACAATGTGCGTTTCCACTGGGACAGCGACGACGACGATGTGCGAGAGACGGAGTTCCTCAACAACATGTCTTCGTCGTCTTCACGAAGAGTTTCTCCTGTCCAGAGTCGTCGAGCCAGTGTTGATGGACTGCGAAACTCTGTCGTATCCACCGCCACCAGTGTCACCGACGGTTCCGTGTCCAGCAGACCGTCCCGAGCGTGGGAGAGCATTTCCCAGCTGTTTGAAGGGGACGAGAACTGTTCTGACTCGTGCTAACCTGTGGCATGGCTAACGTTGATATACAATAGACAGTATCGGTATCGATATGACAATACATTTTGGGTAGATGAGCGATCGAAGATAGAACCAGCAACTACTAATACGCCTACGGTTAAGGCTTTCATGAGCATTTGCAGCTTATGATTGTTGTTACAGTATTTTTTCTTTCTTTCTTCTGTTTCTTGTTTCTTCTCAACTAGAGTTCACTAAAGTTGCTTTTGTTAGTTGGAATTAGTTGGGGATAATATACAGTCTTATTTGATCGACTTTACCTGAGATTTGGGCGGCAAATAACTTGATGAACCCTTCCAAATGGTCTATTGAGGGATTCTATTTTCCTAATATTCTCTTATTGCATCATTACTTATTGGTAGGCTGTTTCTGGTCAATTACATAGTGCATATAAAGTTCAAGTTAGCACCTGCGGGAATCGAACCGCAGCGTGAAAAAACTACACCTCTTGATCCATCGCCAATCATCCAGATCATCTCACACACAAAAATGCTGCGAACCCGTGCCTTTTCCACGTCGGCGCGAGTGCTGAGCTACATTGGAAAGCAGCCCATTCTCGTTCCCGAGTCGGTGACGCTGCAGATCTCGCCCACTGAGGTGGTGGTTGAGGGTCCTCTGGGACGAGTCCAGATGTCCAAGCCGACTTTTGTCAACATTGCATCGTCCCAGGACACCATGAGCTCCGGCTCTGTGCTGTCTGTGTCGGTTAACGACGCCACCAACAAGACGCAGCGAGCCATGTGGGGCACCATGCGAGGCCTCATCAACAACCATGTGACTGGTGTGACTGATGGCCATGTCGCTCTTCTGACCTTGGTGGGAACTGGATACCGAGCTGGAGTCGAGAAGGACGCCCACACCGGCGCTCCCATTGTCTCCGTTCGATGCGGTTTCTCCCACCCCATCAACTTTGTCATTCCTGCTGGCATCGAGGTGACTACACCCATCCCCACTCGAATTCTCATCAAGGGCGCTGACAAACAGCAGGTCAAGCTGTTTGGAGCTTCCATTCGACTCAAGCGACCCCCGGAGCCTTACAAGGGCAAGGGAATCTACCTCGACGACGAGACCATCACCCGAAAGGCCACCAAGGTGAAATAAATGTAAATAGATTGGTTATGAAAAGATTTGACACGACACCAGTAGCATGTGGCTTCTGTTGAGGTTAGCATGAATCGCGCAACCAACAAACCTGTAGAAACAGAACCTGTACTTGTACAGTAGCGCACGCCGCTTTGGCTATACCCTCGCATGACATATCTCGAACGATACCCCGACAAGAGGCGATGACAAGGATACCAACTCGTCTGAATGAGTATCTGAGTCTGACAGTCCGATAAGATACCGAAGCAGTTCTCGTACTACAGGCTAATGTATATATCATATCCAACAAACGGCTCGCTCTAGAGACTCTCATTATTGATATTATCCCAAAATGGATCCATAGGCCGCTACATTCACGTCTACAACTCAAGCAGGCTAGTCATTCTATGTACATAAGCTGAATGTCGACAGTAGCGTCGCATTCTAGGATTCGTCAACATGACAAGGTCTAGTTAACAAGATGTTCCTCCTCATCAATGATGAGGGGATCAATGAGTGAGTCGGCCAGGTTGACGACTCGTCCGTCTGGGAAGGTCAGAGACCACTCGAGCACTCGGAACTTTTCTCGGCCGGAGGCTCGTCGCGAGTTGAAATGCATGATGGCCTCGGCCTTGTTTCCCTTGACGGGGAAGGAGAAGTCCACCTTTCCAACAAGAGGACGAATGGTTCCCGACACCCAGGTGTAGGCACTGGCGAATCGGATACCCGAGCCCAGCTCCTCGTTGGCCAGGGGCGACTTTCGGAGCGTGTACATGCAAGATGAGACCTGCGAAGACGACATCTTCTCGTAGTTGAAGGAGAAGGCCAGAGACACGGTCATGATGACCACAAACAGACCAAATCCGGCCCATCGGCGCATCTTGTGGCTGGTAATGTTAGGCAGCTCCGTGTCCACGGTGACAGGTGCATTGGGCACCTTTTCGGGCGTGAACGGCTCAAAGGTGTGGCCCTCGTAACGTCGCAGGTTTCGGTCTTCGGGCAGCAGCTTTTCGTCGTCCTTCTTGGCGTCGGTCGACTGCTGGTGGAGCCACAGACGGCTGGTTGTGGACAGGGGTCGGGCGACCGAGAGAGGTCGCAGCAACGAAGGCAGAGCTCGTTGGGGACGCAGTAGTCGAAGCATTGTGTGAGTGTGTGCGAGGTGTGTGGTGGACTGCTCTGATATTGTAAGACGTACGGTATATTTGCTTTTATAGTTTGTATGGGTGTGGGTAGAAGGAGCTCTCCAAAGACCACCAGTAGCAGGTGTTTGGGAGCAAGTTGCACCGGAAAGAACTAACAGAGAGATTTGCACTGTAGATGTGGGTTGGTTTATGGGCAATTGGGGGGAAAAAGACCCCTATCGATGGTCATACTGTCCGCTTAAGATTACTTTCACCTCAGATTAACTTACTTAACAAACAGACTCAGCGTTACTTGAGAAATAGCTACAATTGTATCGAGGAAACAGATGACTTCAAACCAGCACCAAAAAGTGTGGGATTGAAAAAAATGACACCGGCAATCAACTTGCAGAGTCCACCATGGTATTTCAGCTCTTTCTCAGCCGTTGTCATTACCCCCCCTCGGTTCCTAAGTAAACGCAGGTTGGTCCTCCCACCTAGCTTCAAAGTTACCCTACCGTGAAATTTCCCAAGATTTTGACATTGCAGAACCACCACCCAGATCTGATCACACACACAAAAATGTTGCCTCGACTCCGTCTCATGGCAGAGGCCACTCCCGTGCGCGTGTTCAGCCGCGGCGTGGCCCAGCTCATCTCGCCCAACGCCAACGTCCCCGCCGCCGAGGCTCCCGCTCGAAACAACTCGCCTGCGGCCGCCTACGCCCGAAAGCAGCTGGTGTCTCGAACCGGAGCTCTGGCGTTCAAGCGAGGCATGATCTCGTGGTACGACGAGAACGGCGTGCACATGCCCGCCACGGTGCTGGAGATTGATCTGTGCCAGGTGGTGGGCCACAAGACCGAGGAGAAGCACGGATACAACGCCGTCCAGGTCGGAATGGGACACAGAAACAAGGCGCTGCAGAAGATGAACAAGAGCAAACTCGGCCAGTTTTCGGCCGCCACCGTCAACCCCAAGCAGGCGGTTGCCGAGTTTCGAATCCGCGGCAAGGACGGCCTTCTTCCCATCACCACCGAGATCACTGCCTCGCACTTCAAGGTCGGCCAGTACGTCGATGTCCAGGCCACCTCCAAGGGTAAGGGATTCTCCGGAGTCATGAAGCGACACGGCTTCTCCGGTCTGCCCGCTTCCCATGGTGTTTCGCTCAAGCATCGATCCGGAGGAACTACCGGTCAAAACACCGATCCTGGACGAGTGTTCCCCGGACGAAAAATGGCCGGAAACATGGGTAACGAGACCGTCACCCTCAAGAACCAAAAGGTGCTATCCGTTGACGAGGACACCGGAATTGTCATTGTCAAGGGCATGGTCCCCGGCTCCAAGGGCAAGATTGTCAAGCTCAGCGACGCCCGAAACATGTACGGCGTGGCCGCCCATGATGTCAAGTCCAGACTCGGTCCTCTGGTCCCTGAATAAATGTATATAGATCGCATAGTGCAATAACCGCGGAAGCGGATAACAGAGAATCGACGGGGTAGATAGATGGCTTGTAGAACCGCATAAGGTCGTGGACAACAGCCCTCTCCAGGCGAATCGTTGCTACAAGTAGTTGTACATACAAGATACTATTACAAGTACAAGTATACGGGCACAAATACTCGTACTAGTATCGTACGATGGTACACAGATATTTTCAACAATATATTTACTGAATGATATGGATGGTCTCACTTACAATTTTGCTCGGATCTTTGGCTCCGCTCATGATCTACAAATCCTCGTCCATATCGGCGGGCTTGACCAAACCGCCAATCTTGAGAGCCTTCTCCTTGTTCTGTCGCTCGGCCTCGACCCGATCCCGCTCCTTGTCCTCGGCGTACAAATGCTCCGTGTTGCCTCCGCCATACTCCTTGATCTGCACCAGGAAGTCTCGCAGATTGAGCTTGAACCGGGGGAAGTCCTTGTGTAATGCAAACAGACCCTCAATGAAGTTGGACACCTGGCCCTCGGTCAGATGAGGGAAGGCCTCCAGCAGCATGTGGCCCATGTACTGCCGCAGATAGACAGAGTTGGACGTGCCATCGGGCACCTGGCCGGGCTGGTACAGAGGCACCGAGATGGCGTTGGACTCGACCAGATCAATCTGCTTGGCCAGCACCTGGCACTGCTGCTTGAAGCCGGCCTTGTGGTCCGTGTCTGTGAGCACATGGAACATACCCTGCAGAATGTTGAAAAAGTAGTTCTGGTAGAACTTTGCGGCAAACTCAGGTGTGGCCTTCTCGGACACGTTTTGCAGCAGCTCGTATGTCAGAGCCAGACCTGCAGACTCCACCTCTCGGTGATCGTGTTTGGAAGCCCACAGACACGCGTCCACCACGAGAGAAAAGCCCTCGTCGGGAAGAGTAACAATGGCAGCAAACGAGTACAGGTTGATGGCTCGCAGCAGCTCAAAAAAGCCAACTCGGTGCTCGGGGTAGTCGGTGAAGTTGGTGTTGATCATGTTGAGAGTGCACTCAAACACATTCTGCAGAATCATGACAACTCCGTCGGGAATCTGGCCGCCCACGCGGGTCACGACCGTGTTCATGCAGTTGAGCACCTCGGCGTCTCGAGCGTCAGGCACGTTGGAGCTGTAGTCCTCCAGGACGGCCTGGAAGAGAGGAGGCGCCAGGTTCTGCGACACATCCTCGAGGTTGTCGGCGGTGGAGACGTAGGTCTGGATCAGCTTCAGCGACTCCTTCTTGATGGTTCGCAGACCTCGAACCTTGGGGGTTCGGGTAGCAATCTGGCCCTGCGAAGCCACTGCCTCGGAAATGGTGCTGGACACGGCCCGGTACAGGTGCAGCATGTCCATGTAGATGAGCTTCAGCTGGGGCTGGAAGCCGGCGCCGAGAGCGGTGCAGGTGGCCACATTGGTTTTCATCACGTTGGAGAAAGTCTTGACGGGCTCAGGGTTGGACAGAATGTCAGGGTCGTTTCGAGCCTGGTTCATGAGCTGCTCCCAGGCCTGATTGGGGAGTCGCATGAGCTCAGAAAGCAGCCGTTCTCGAATGGCTCGGGCGTTCTGGGCGGAAATGATATGGCCACAGGCCTCGTAGAACGTGTGGACCTGCGAGGGCTGCAGCGCCTCGGTGATCTCGCCCAGATCTCGAACGATCTCATCGATGAAAGGCTCTGTCTCGTTGGGCTGCTGGGCCACAAAGTGCCGCTTGCACTTTTGCGCAATCTTGATAAAGGTGTCACAGGCCATATCCTGGACACCCTCGTGGGTCTCCTTCATGAACTCAAACAGCTTCTTGACGACCGTTTTGAGGAACTTCCAGTGCGCCTTGAGGAATCGGGGGTACTGGCCGACAATGTACATGATGTCTGAGGCGACCACAGCCTTGTTGTCCTTGCCACGCATCTGGTCCGTCAGCGACAGCAGCTTCTTGACCACGGACACGAGGAACCGCTTCTCCAGCTCCTCGTTCATGGCACCCGAAATGGAACCAATGGCCCAACAGAGGGTGTTGAGATTGTTCCAAGACCACTCAGAGCCGTCCAGCTGTCGGGCCAGTTTGTCGGACATGATTCGCTCGGTGTCAGACACGTCCAGGTGGGTCAAGTAGACCAGCACCTCCCGCATGCTCTTGTACAGAATGATGGTGTCGGACTCTCGGAAGAACTCTCGCACGATTTCTCCCTCGTCGTTCTCCACAATGAGCACCTCTTCGGGACGGGCCATATTCTCAATCATCACCAGACGCAGCTGCGACAGAACGGGGCCATACATGTGCTTTCGAAGGTTGTAGTTTTGCAGCACCTCGGGGGCAATGGCACCCTGGGCGTTCAGGTTCTGGCCAAAGGGGTTCTGAGCAAACACAGAGTTGAGGTCGTTGAGAGGCAGACTCTGGATCTCCTCGTAGAGCTGGGAGACGAGACGTCCCCAGTAGTCCAGGCACACCTTGAACAGCTCTCGCTCCTCAATCTTGGAGATTTTGATGAGGTACATGTGCGCGTTGATGAGCAGGTCCTGGCTCTCCTGTCGCTCCACAAGGTCCAGGTGGTGTGTCAGAAACGAGGTGAGGAAGATACCCAGGTTCTGAATGTACTCCTGGTCGGATGTGCTGGCCTCGGCGTAGACGGCCTTGAAGTCCGTCTGCAGGGGGATGACCCGGTTGATGATGCCGAGGGCGCCGGTGATCATGGCGAAGTACTGCTGGTCGTAGTCCTTGGTGGACAGAGACGAGATCTCGGTGAGACACTTGAGAGTCAAGTCTCGGAACTCCTCAGGCTCTAGAAACTTGTTGACCAACAGCTCCAGCACGGGGGTCTTGAAGATGAAATCCAGAGGGATCCAGCCGAGGTATCGAAGCAGGGAGTGCAGGGTGGCCTGGATCAGCGAAGGTCGATCAGCCTTCTCCAGCACCTTGAGACACAGCTCGAAGATTTTGGAGAACTCGGAGACCATCTGGGACTTGAGGGTGTTGGTCTTGGCCTGGGTCATGGTTTCCTGGGAGAAGTCAAAGACCTCCTCCGACAGGTATCGCAGGATGAGCATGTTGTTTTCGCAGATGTTGGCGGACATTTGCGACGATTCGACAATCTCGTCGATGAAGTTGGGCCACTCCTGGGGCCAGTCCTGTTTAAGGATCTGCACAATGGTGAGGTCGTACTTCTTGATGAGGGCCCGCTGGCTCTTGAAGGTGGCGTCGTCGTTGGAGAGGCCGACTGCGAGCGCCACGAGGAAGTTTCGAATGCCCAGTCGCTGTTCTTGGGGCAGCAGCTTCCATCGGGTTTTGATCATGTTGTCGAGGATGGACAGGGCGATATCTGGGTTAGTATGGGAATCATTTAGATCGCGAGGTGAAGCAAAGCGGGCAATGGCTAGGACGTGGCAGCGATTGCACTGGCAGCGATTGCATTGGCAGCGATGGCGCTGGTAGCGACATCACCTTCTGTGCCGCCACAACCACTGCGGCAGTGGCGAATGGTGCTAACTCATGACCTGGTCTGTGCAGCATCACCACAATTGAGCCATCTGCTCTCCATCTCCTCTTCTTCTCCTCTCCTTCTCCGTGCGTCTCATACTCACACTTGGACTCGGACTCTGTGGACTTTTCTAAAATCTGATCGGCCTTGAGCCAGGCGTCGTTGTGGGCCTTGAACTGGTTGAGCACCTGCTCGGCCTGCTTTCGCTCGGTGGCATTGGTGCCTCGGTAGAAGGCCTTGACCACGTTGTCGAACAGAGCAACGTCAAAGTCGCCTTCAAACACTAGAATTCCCTCCATGGTGGTGCTATCGGGTGGTGCAAACGGTAGAGGTGAGTAGCGTTGTACTTGTAACTTTTCCACACCCTTCTCTCAATGCAGGAAAATATAAACAGCAGACCAACTAGGTAGTACGGGGCTGTCGGGGGGTGGCGGCGGTAGAGCGGGAACTGCGGCGGTCTCTGCGGAAGCGATTGTGTACAAAGAACGGCTTGGAGGCAGCAGAGGAAGACTGTCTTGTTGTTCGTCCTTCAAATTTGCGTAGAGTAAACGCCTGTTTGGTTCGGAAAACTAAAGCAAACTCAACACTGTATATATGCCAGCTGAGTTAGCCCAGCATAAGGTCTGCGTCGGGGTTAGGGTTGCGGCACGTTGGGACTTTACCTGCTGTCCAACTATAGACATGAGTATAACCGTGTAACAACCTGCGGGTTCGACTCAGGGCAATGTCGTAAACGTGCACCAATCCGGCAGCCACGTGACAGTTACTCTACTACAGGTTGTGTTGATTTGGTCGTCGTCTTTCCATACTGTCACGTGACATTACTAATACGACTTGTTGTCTTCTTCTTCTTCTTCTTCTTCTTTACTGTCACGTGACAGTGGCGCAGGGTGGCAACAAAAACAACGTGGAGCGTTGAAAGACGAGCAAATGGGATAAGCGAGTCATGTGACTGAGCGACTTGCTGGTCCAGGAGGGATAGTGTCACGTGACAGAAAGCTATGTGTAGATCACCGGCCCTTTTACCGGGGGACGTTATCATTATTTTTTTTTTATTTTTTTTCTATTTATTACTATTACCTATTGCACATCTTTAAGTGGGTGAACCCTGTTTATCCGGCAACGGTCTTTTTTCTGTCGCCGATATATCCGGCCAACTTTATGATTTAGTGAAAGAAATGGGGGAAAGGGGAAATGAGAAAAATGAAAATGGGAAAGGAATGAAAGAAGAAAAAATGAGAAAAAAATGAGAAAAAATGGAAAAAATAGGGAAAAAATTAGGGGAAAATGGAGGAGAAACGGGAAAATGGGGGAGAAACGGGAAAATGGGGGAGAAACGGGAAAATGGGTGAGAAACGGGAAAAATGAAATAAATGAGAAAAAATGAGAAAAAATGAGAAAAAATGGAGGGAAAATGAGGGAAAATGAGGGAAAATGAAGGGAAAATGAAGGGGAAAATGAAGGGGAAAATGGAAATAAAAAGACATGGAAAAATGGAAAAATATGGGAAAAGATAAATGAAGAAAGCAAAAAAAAAAAAAAAAAAAAAAAAAAAAAAAGGGGGAAAAGGGGGGAAGAGAAAAATGAGAAAATCTCCCCCAACCACGAAAGAAGATGGATATTGGTGAGTATTTGTGTGTGGAAAGAGGTGGATATATCCTACTGTTGGAAGCAGCGGGAAATCTCAAGTCGATTGGTCTAATTTTTCGTAGCTGTTTTTACCACATATCTACATAGCTACAATGGCTTGTATCCAAGTATATACAAATTAGCACTAGATAAAATGCACAGGAAAAACCCCGAAAACCCCGAAAAACCCGAAATAATCAAAACCACTTGGGCAAAACCACTTCATATATCATCACGTGACCAGAATCAACCAATCAACCAACCCGGATATCGTCCTACGCCACGAGATGTATTTCAATCGTCTTATGAACAGATTGAGTAGATCGGGTGGAATATTTGAAAGAAAAAAAGATGAATCTGAGCGAAAAAGGAAAGAAACTCTCTACAATTATATCCCACTCGGGGCTCCCCTGGTTCACGACTCTACCGGCCAGAAAGTACGTGCCAAGAACTTGTCAAGAACATCCAAAGAGCTCGGTGCAGCTCACCTCCCTAGCATCAATCCGATCTTCCTTCCTTATCAATGAAATGTCTACTTCTGCCATTAATCATTGTCTACAAGTCAGAAAACATGTATCCATCCATTCATATATATGCTAACCTTTCACTAGACCTGCTTGAGAGTCCAAACTAGAAACAAACGCTAGTGAGCAAGAACTCTTCAACGGACTCGCCCTCGCGCCTCTTAGTTTCTCATCTCCCAACTGGGCTTCAACATCATCGCCGTATCCATCTTACTTCGCACCTGGGTAGGTCGCTGCTGTGGAATGGGGGTTCCTCCAGAAGTGAACTGCGAAGTCAGCGAGTTGTTCCTGCTGCTGTCCCGCCCAAACCGCGTGGGAGGGGCAAAGTCCAGCGACGCCAGAGACACGGACTTTCGCAGTGCGTGCGGAGACGGCATCATCTCCGTGTCCGTCATGGAATGCAGGGGGTTGTGCAGGGGGTTGTAGCCCACCGAAGGCGACTGACTCAGCACGGGAGAACCGGGAGCTGAGCCAGTGGGGGTCTGAATTCGCTTCTGCGAAGGCACAAACGAAGTCACACCTAAATCAGACTGGTCCAGCTTGTGAGGGGTAGGCACCGTCTGCAGAGGCTTGAGCTGCAGAGGTGGAGGCTTTCTTCGGGGCAGGGATGTACTATGTTGGGGCAGATAGGCCTCTGCAGGGGCGCCTCCATGGTAACCACCGCCATGAGGAGGATGAGGAGGCTGATGTCCGTGGCCATAATGATTGAACGCATATCCGTCTTGAGGAGGGGTTCCCCAGTTGGAATGCGGGCTGCTGGAGCCCACGGGAGATGCATGTTGATGCGGGACGGCAGAGAGGTCCGGGGTGGTGGGCGCAAAGTCAATCATGAGTGCGTTGACGGGGGCATAGCCTCTGTTAGTAGAAAGAGGAGCGGTGGCTCCGGGAGGAACTCGAGCCAGGGCGGCAGTATACCCTGCTGACACGGGAGGTGCGGCAACAGGATGGTCGTAGATGGACGACGATTGTGAGTGGTGCGAGTCGCGCATTTGGGAAGTGCTGTACTCGGTGTCGATGGTGAGATCCGCCGGGAAGCTATCTGCGGTGACGTCTCCGGGGAGCTCTGGAAGCTCCTTGTCAGAAGCCATGGTGAGATTACCCTCGGGAGTCTCAACGACTCCCTCCTGGGTGAGAGCAGTCTCTCGAATCGCCTTCTCCTTGTTTTCGTCAAAGTAGACCTTGTAGACGGACCGCACCCGGTCAAACTGAGTGGGGGGAGAAGTCATGTCGTTCTCCTCTTGGTCTGGAATTGCAGGAACAGGCACTGTAGGGGCGTGATCGAGATGATCTTTGTCTTCAAAGTAGCCGTTGGCCTTGTCGTGTTTCTCGGAGTCATCGGGAGTGGTGGCTGTGGACTGTTCGCTCATGACTCGAGAGAAGGAGTCCTGGCTATCGTGACTAGTGTGACTGCTGCTCTGGAAAGACGAGCTCTGCTGTTGGTGTTGACTGTCGGTGTCTCTTTCTCCATGACTAGATGCAACCGGTGTGTGGACAATGTTGCTCTCTCGGTCAAAGGGGTCCTCGGTGACGGGAGAGTCAACCTCTGAGTCGGAGACAGAACCAATGGAGAACTGCTTATTGTGTGAGTAGAGGGGCTCGATGGGCGAGTTGGGGTTGGACAGCGACGGTCGCGAGATGTTCATGCGGGGCACAGGAGGGGGAAGCGGTTGCTTGACCATGTCTTGTTCCTGCACGTCCTTTTTGGGTAGCTGTTCCTGTCGCTGGTATGTCGGGGCAGGTTTTCGTAGGGTGTCTGCGCCGGCTGATGCCAGAGAGGCTGCGCTCGAGTTGATATGGGGTGCGCGGAAGACACTCGAGGCGGGAGAAGACGGGTATCTGTCTCCTCCGAGAGAAGCCAAGAACCCAGAGTGGTTTGGCAAGAGTCCGGACGACGACCCTGGGGGCGGCATGCCCGAATAGGGAGCGGAGAGGTTGGTGAGCGATCGCGAGTAGTTTTCCGAGTAGCCCTCGCCCTTGAGGATGTAGGGGGAGTCGAAAAACGGGTCGTTTTGGTTAAAGTCCTGGTGGTAGTTAGTTCTGGGGGGCTGGTCTCCTTTCTTGGAGCCGGTTTTGTCGGGCAGTTGGCGAGAGGACTCGATTGCAAAGCCCTTGTTCTCTTCATCGTACACGGAGGCGGCGTCAAAGTCGCGGTCGTCCTCGGCCTCCTTTTTGAGCTTTTGCAGGTGTCTCCAGTGCAAAAAGGCGCAGATGAGAATGGCGGCCAGAATGGGGATGCCGACTCCCAGGCCGATCGGGAGCCCCTGGGAGCCCGTGGGCATGGGACATTTTTCTCTGTCGCCGCAGCTGGGGGTTTCTTTGCGGGCCAGCAGCGTCCGCGAGACCAGGGCCGCTGTGGTGGCTGTTGGGGGCATGACTGGTAATGAGTGAATCAGTGGGCGAGTGGTGAATGAGTGAATCAGTGGGTGAATAGTGAACCCGTGAACCAGTGAAAGAATGTGTTAATGAGAGTGGTGGGTGGTCAACGGGATTGTCGATGCCAACGAGCTAGTTCACGATTCCAGGGGTTTGGTCTTGTCGAAAGTGTGTCAGTGACTGTGAGCCCAAGAGTGTGAATGAATGAGCGTAAGAGTGTGAATGAGCGTAAGAGTGTGTTTCCGTCTGTGTTCGATCTGTGCGCCAGATATCCGTCTGTGCTTGGTCCGTGTTCGTCGTGCTCGCCGTGCTCGCCGTGTGCCAACGCTCCACAATGTCTGCCGTGTGCCAACCTGATAATATCGAGATTCAAACACTACAAGTAGGCAGGATTTCCACATTGAGACACTTGTTTGCTTGTTCCCATTTGGCTTCTGTGCCTGGCTTTGTCCGCCGCCTTTTGTGAACCTTGGCAGCTTGCCTTTGCGCTTTTTTGTGCATCCCGCCACACGTAACACGCGTCTGCCCAGCCGGTGCACGAGCGCGCAAACGTCGCCCCGTCTCACGTGACCCTGCCGGGGTCCCGCGCCGGTACCCAGTCAGCGCCGATGCCGTTGTTAGCTGCTGCTATCCGCTTCTAACCGCGGCTAAAAGGACGCGTCTGCGATTCTTTTTTTCTGGTGTTTTTTTTTTTTCACCAACCTAAAAACGGGCGCTAAAACAAGCGCTAAAAGAGGTTCCCCTATCTCCTGAGTTGGTAGATTAGTGAGAGTTCATCAAGTGGTGGTGAAGCGTTCAATGTGACGGCGCGTTGAGTGACGGGAGAGTGAGAGCACCGGCCGAGTTGCGCCAAGCTCGTACCCTCGCGTGTCAACCGGATCAAACCTCCCCATGATGCCCTAGTCTCGCACCGGACGGGACTACGATACTCCTTCTCCGGATCCAGCCACACCAAAGATTGTCCAAGGGGCTCGAATCGTATGTACAAGACGAGTGCAAGTACGAGGGTTCATCTTCGAGACAATCTCTGTGCAAATCCAACCTAAAGCTGTGAAGGGGGTGAAGGAGATGAGGTGAAGGAGAGGACGGCTACGAGAGGACGGCTACGAGAGGACGGCTACGAGAGGACGGCTACGAGAGGACGGCTACGAGAGGACGGCTACGAGATCAGCCCAGAAAGATCTATCCTACATCGACCTCCCTCGCAATCACCCCTCAAACTCCACCTACTCCCCAACTCTGATGGCGATCGGCACGTGTCTCCCTCCACTTGTGAAGAACATTCTGAAGCGACCCTGCAGCTAAAGCAGCCAGAGACAATCCACAAGTACATGATGGACGCGTCCAACTCCCTCCCAAAAACGCCTCTGCTGGCCCACATTCCTCAACCCAGCTCCACAAGTATCCTACATGTGCTGCAACGCCAGATGTATCATGTATCCGCGACACATGTTCACTGCAAACTCTGCATGCTGGACCCAAGATTCGCGCTCATTGTGTGTCCAGGGGTCGTGTCGATCAGAAGCCTGTCAGGGACCCCTGAGGGAGCGGCGAGCAGCGAGCGGCGAGAGACAACGGGCGACACGATACATACTCGAACTGGCACTGTTGGCATACTCGGACTGGAACTGTTGGCATACTCGGACTGGAACTGTTGCCTTCACCGCCCAACCGAACCTCCGCCGTTTTTCGCTTGTTTCACCCATCCTCAACCCTAACCCACAACCTCCTGTTTGGCGGTTGCCTCTTTGGGAATCGCACACAAACAGACTGCCAAACAAAAGCGTCGACGACCCGACGGCCGGGTAATGTCTTTTTAAAATTTTCACACCTCCCAAATTTACCCTACCCGATTAACCTTTTTCACCCAGTTACCCTACCGACAACCACTATATAGGCGGGTGCACCACCCGTGATTTCTACCTCCCCAACAACGGAGGTCGACATCGACGTACATGGCTCTTGCCTTTTACCAGAGCCATCCGGGTGTCGTCTCTACAAGTTGTTTTTCTAGTTTTTGGAAACTTCTTCTTATGGAGACAAGTGCGACTTACTCTTGGTGGATTCGTTCTCTTTTTAGGGACTTCATTGTTGCTGGCGACTTGGTCGTGGGTACCAAGGAATTCCTACGGAGGGAATGTTTACGGTTGTATATCAATAGTGAATGATGACGGTTGTATTAATTTTAGACGTTGACGGGTATTTTTATTAGAACTTTTGGTGGCACTGCGGATGTTTATTGATTTTTTTTTATTTTTTATTTTTTATTTTTTACTTTTTTATTTATTTTCGCAACTTGAGCTTTTGGAGTAATGAGGGGATATGAGTAGTAACTAAATGCTCTGAATGGCGAGCAAAAACGAGCACTCCTGCGGTACTATATATATACTCATTTTTTTTTATATTTCATTTTTTTTTTATATTTTTAAAAAAAAGTATTTTTTTTATTTCATTTATTTCATTTTTATTACATTTTTATTACATTTTTATTTCATTTTTATTTTATTTTTATTTTATTTTTATTTTATTTTTATTTTATTTTTATTTCATTTTTATTTCATTCTTATTCCATTTATTTCATTCTTATTTCATTTATTCCATTTATTTCATTTATATTTCATTTCTTTCATTTTTATTTAATTATTCTATTTATATATTTATTTTCCGTCGAATTCTGAACAAAACCCAAACCCCTTTTTACTTTCTACCAGCCGATTCTGGATTCTCCCATGCGATAAGATTCAAACATGCATATCTTGTAAAAATTGTGTAGGAATTCTGATCTCAACCAACACGGTGCCAAAATGCCCCCCAAAAGCTCCCAGATTGAAGAAATCATTGACGACGCCCCGGGGTCGCCCACAGCCACACCTCCGGCGGTCGAAAGCACGCGGGAAAGCCGCCCGCCCGCAGGATGGGACACCCACCGGTACGCCCCAGGACCCAATGACCCCAAACTGCCGCCGCAATTATCCGAGTACTCGACGGCGACGACCGACGAGTTTCTCAAGAACATGAACAAGGTGCCGTTTTTCATGCGGGAGCTCGACGAGAGCGGCGAGGACGGCGGAGCCAACGACCACCTGGAGGCTCTCAAGGCTCTGGCGTACGAAGGCGAGCCCGACGAGGTGGCCACCAACTTCAAGAACCAGGGCAACGAAGCGTACAAGGAGAAGCGGTACGGCGACGCGCTGCAGTTCTACGACAAGGCGCTGGAGGTCAAGTGTGGAGTGGTGGCCATTGACACCGCCTGCTACATCAACAAGGCGGCGTGCAATCTGGAGCTCCGCAACTACCGACGATGCATCAACGACTGCAAGGCGGCGCTGATTCTGGATCCCAAGAACCAGAAGGCCATTTTCCGGTCGTGCACGGCATTTTTGGCGGTCGGGCGGGCCCAGGAAGCCCTCGAGCTGTGCGACTACGCAAAGTCTTGCGAGGTGTTCAATGATGCCATGAAAAACATTGAAACTGCCGCCAAAAAGAAGCTGGCCGACAACATTGCTCGGGAAAAGCGAGAGCTCGCACGAAAGGAGATTGCCGAGGCTACAGAGAAGAATCTGGAGCTCGCCATCAAGGTGCGAAAGATCCTGCAAATCACCACCAAGGCGCCTCCTGCTCTGCCTGACGGCGTTTCCATCCATCTCGAGGACCCTCTGGACCCCACCTCCACTCTTCTTGTGCCTGTGTTGCTGCTGTATCCCTGTGATCTTCAGTCAGACTTTCTGGCCGAGGTCGATATCGGCTCCACTCCGGGCCAGGCGCTCAACACCGTGTTTGAGCATCCGCCCATGTGGTTCTCCGGCGACCACGTGGCCCAGTACGACGTCAAGAACCTCGAGGTGTTTGTGCAGACTGAGTCTGGAGGTCTGGTCAAGATTGGAAAGAAGGTGTCGTTTGAGAGCGTGCTGTCTGCGCCCAAGCCAAAGGTGCCGCTCATTGACAATGTCATCACTCTGCATTGCGTGCCTAAGGAGAAGCGGGAGCAGTGGCTGAAGACGTGGAGCAAGGACAAGGCTCAGAAGGAGATGATTTAGGTGGAGCGAGCGGTGTCTCGGCAGAGACTCGACAGAGACTCGACAGAGGAGAGCGATATCTCCACAGAGGAAAGCGATATCTCCACAGAGGAAGCGATATTCGAACGACACTGGATCTGCTCATGCAAAGGACCCGTCTAACGGCAGACCGGCTCAATGGCAGACGTGACATGTTACAGGGTAGCACTGGAAGGATAGGTATATAGAGCAAATGGAAGGAGTGCTATTAACGCCGACCCCATCTTGTAGACAGTTGCCGGAGATGGAACAATCCACCTGGTGAAACAGACTATGGAAAACGCGACTCCATTGCCACAAGTAGTGCACGAGAATCGCCAGGCTCTTCTTGACTACAGTCTGTGGGATAGGTAGCCTCTGGTTGCGGTTTCAGGAGTGTAGAGAAGTGGTCGGACTCTCCAACCAGCAGTTTGAGATTCAGTCATTCCAGTTTCTCTTCAGACATGTCACGAACGAAAGCCCGGTTCCCTCTCTTGGACCTTGGACTCTTGGACTCTTGGACATGGCGTTTAGGACCATTGAAGGCTCCTCACATACAGACTAGACCTGAACCATGTCACCAGGATAGAAGAAGCTGCAGAACTTGTCTGTTGTTCCTCATACGAGTGCTGTACCAGTGACATTGTGATGTCTCCGAACACATCCTCTGGTGAACAGTATGTACTGTACCTCCGCTTCTGCCTCGGTCGAGAGGGCAAGACTGCCATGGAGATGAGGCTCCAGGATAATCCCGCGATGAGACGACAATGAGTCGCATATTGAGACCGAGGCAGTCTACGGGAGTGTTTCATCAACTCGGCATCCGAAAACAGGTTGCTTGCTGGTACACACTAGACTATCACCTTCCAGAAACCCCCGTGGAAGCGGGCTGAGGGCCATTTCGGTACTCGTAACTATTTTGGGTGTTACCACTGGGCCAGGGCTTGTTCCACTCTTGAGAAGGATGAATGGGACGGAAGGGAGGGGGGGGATCGGGAGGTCAAGGGCTTCACGAGGCACCTTCATAGTTCTTTTCGGTTCTCACTCCAGTACAGTACTCGGTGTAGTACCTCCAGACGTCGCAGATCGGTTGTGGGACTCGGTTTTCAACTATCCACTTCGATAACCAGGCTGTTGCTGGAACGGCTCCCGAATCCGGGATGAATGACTTTGTGCGAAGCAGTGGTTGGGATTCAGGTTGCCATCAACAGTTCTCAAGCAGTACTCAAGCAGTGGTTCTAGCTACCTCCAATCATCATCTGTGATCATGGTCCACTTCTGCTCTGCCAATCGCTGTCAGTCACCAACTGACTCGCTGGGCTCTGAGTGGATAAATCTAGAGGAGATATGACAGTCATTGAACGTGAATTAATCTTGACTTGATGGTATGAGGCCATGAGCACGCCTGTTGAGTCGAGTCTGTCGAGTCTGTCGAGTGGAATCACGTCACGGCTCTACATTTCCGTTCTACATCAATTATGATCTCTACAGATCACACATCACCATCACTTGCTCAAGACACGCGATCCAGCTGTCTTAAGATGGCAATGGCCAACCGTCAATGGCGTACCGTCGTTACTGAACTCCGTCGCTGAATCTCTCCACCGAGTATCGTGTCATACTGGAGAGATTGAGCAGGATATGGAACTTATTCTGGGTGTATTAGTACTGGTTCGAGTACAATACAATACGATACAGCTACTTACACTCCGTTCTTCTGGTCCAGCCCTCGTTCACGTCGAATCGAAACTCGGAAATGTTCTCAGAGGTGGTTCCCTCTCCACATGGACTAGATTATTGCGCTCATCTCAGTCGTCCAATCGGATCTAGACGGCAGCCAGTGCTCACTCGTGCAGCCAAAACTGCTCTTGGATGTGCGACTGCGAGTCAACGAGACAGACGCAGGCCAGCACCTTCCGAGCTTGCTTCCGAGTGAAACTGCCGTCGATCATCCGCAAAGACTTGACCGCGACGATACGGTCGCCAAGAGAAGGGCTTTTTCCAAGAAAAGGGCTCTTTCAGCTGATCGGAGAGCTTGTCCATGGTCAATGGGTTGTGCTTAGCCAGTGAACACTAGCAAGTGGAACACTAGCAAGTCATTCCAAGTCGTTATTGTTTGTTATATCAGATTTATTCTCACTGGCTGAACTACTGGCATTGGCTGAACTACTGAAAATGGCTGGTTTGAACTCCTTGCCAGTTCATTGTCTCCTCTAGCACTGGGCTCCGGACATCCCGAGCAACAATGAACCTCTGGACGGTGTCTTATCGACTTATTATCTTTGTATGTCAATAACCACCCGACCATGTCTCAGTTCTCTGAAGATCGTCGAGCCGAGGCACAAGTACTTTGGGGTAGACGGACCCACCGGGCAGAGACAACGATGCAGGAGAGACCAAGTGTGACTCCAGGTACGATTGCCTTGTGGTACTTGTTCAAATATGATAAAATGACTGATTCGTTGTTCATTCTCAGTACCGTACGAGTACACCAACTTCTGTCATTTGTTGATATAGCACATCAGTTCTGACTGTACAATTCAGTTCAACTCGCTTCGACTCGGTGACTTCTTTCCAACTGGCCGCTCCAAGTACAATTCTCGTACCGCCCCGTACTTGGTCTACGCCACTCGTCTATTTCACTCTGTCCGATCTTCCGATCTTCCGATCTTCCGACTGATTTTTTTGATTGCAGCGATCGACACTGTTTCGGCGATCAGATGGAAAAGATTATATTAGCGAGTTGGATAGAGCTGCAAAGAAACCAAAGTCAGCCCAGTTTTGGTCCAGCTTTGGTCCAGCTTTGGTCCAGCTTTGGTCCAGAAATTGGAAAACCGGCCAAATCAGACCTGTGGATGGCGGAGTTCGGTACGGTACAAGTATTGATTCAGTATTGATGATCAGTATGTACATCGAATTGGTCCACTCTGTATCGACTCGGTCCCTCATTGTATTTCATCGACCCGAAGTCTAGCCGCGCAATTATTCAGTTCACTTCCGTTCTTCCGCTCTGTTTTATTTTTTATTTTTCAATTTATTTTTCATTTTCAATTTATTTTATATCTTTCAATTTTATTATTTTACGTCAATAATTCCACCAACCAAAACCCCCCAAATTCGTCTTATTACTTGGCCTGTAGTTGGCACTCTAACTGCTACGTGGTCTGGGCCGTGAAAAGTTTTCAACATAAAAAATAAACCAAAAATAAAACAAAGAAATAAAAACTAAAAAATAATTACAATACGACAGAGCACAACAGAGTCCCTAGAACAACGAATAATCAAGCTAGTAAGCCAGAAATTGACCTAAAAAAGACAGGAAAATCTGCTCGCCCCAAATATACCCTCACTATCACCCTCAAATTTTTATTAAATTTCCCACATTTATTTCGCCGCTTTCCCTTTTCATCAGATAAACCAATCACAACGGGTGCCAAGCCTAACCCAAATAAACTTTGCTCGGAAATAGACCACCGCCTGAACCTACCGTTTCGGGGGCCTGCATGCACTGCAGTCTAGTGCATATAATATGTTCTCCACAAATGACGTAATTTGAATAATTGCCATGCAGTGATTTCTGGAGGTGATGGGGGTGTTGAATGGAATATGGGGGTAGAAAATAGTGGTTCATGACGTTGGGGGTCTTTTTATATTTTCTGTACTTTTTTTGTCAATTTTATGATTTTTGTAATTTTTTCCAATTTTTCCAACTTATTTCATTTTCTCCAATTTTCTCCATTTTCTCCATTTTCTCCATTTTCTCCAAAATGTAAATCTTTCAATTCCTGTCTATTTCGCTAAATTCTTTTTCAAAGCCAAATTTATTCCCCACAGATACAATCCATAGCCGCTGTGGGGTTGCGGGGAAATTAGTGCACACGACTCAACAGATACCGTTGGGAGCGGGAAAACTATCCCTCGAACGCCGCAGGGTGACGGACATGTAACCACAATAGCTCCGTAGCTGTCAAACCCCACACAAAGCCGTGGATAGCGGCCTGCTATTATCCGGGCCATGTTGCAACAAGACCAGTGTGGTGCCATCACATCGGCGTCGTGTTGCGCCATCACGTCAGCCACGTTGTGCCATCACATCGGCCATGTCGTGCCCATCACACCGGCCATGTCGTGCCGTCACACTGACAATGTCGTGCCGTCACACCGACCATGTCGTGCCGCCGCCACATCAGCCGCCACACCAACACACCATCCACGTGACCCCTCACTCTTGAAATGTGGTGACGCCCAGCCGCTGCACTCCCCAGCCTAACATCTCCGTACACTTGTGGCTTCCCCGCTTGCTCCGTCTCCTCACTCTGCATCTCGTGAAACGGAAATTCCACTGAATGCCTGAAGATGGAGCAAGCAAGTGTGACAAGGGCGGTGTAATTCCGCGTCATTGGCCATGTCATGGGCACGACCTTGGTTAAGTGGTCACCACAACGCCCAATGTCACGGGCACCACACCCACCCACCATGTCATGAGTACAGTCCGTATTGTCCGTGCTATACTGAGTCTGAGACCGTAGTCTTATGGCTCCGTGCCGGGTTTCCGCATGTAGCACGTCTCACTTGGGTATTACTTGGCGTGGTAACTATAAGTCGTGTGCTTCACAAAATGGAAAAAATTATAAACCAAAAAAAATTATAAAAAACAAACATTTCACAGACATGGAAAAATCTTGGCAGAAATGTTCACTGGAAAATAACGGAAAAGAATAAATAAAAAGATTAAAATGAGGTAGACGACAAGTTCACTTCATATTACAAATTTGTGCATTTTTTGACCATTTTTATAAACTATTTTGACCATTTTATATCACATTATTTACCTTTTTATATCTCTTTTTTATATTTTTATTTTTGACTTTTTTCAACCATTTTCCGACCATTTTCTGACTACTTGCTGCCATCTTGCGTCGACCACAACTGGCGTAATATTAATCTCAGAAAGACGAAAAAAACACGGAAATTCTCTCCGACATATTCTCTGTATACTTGTAACTATACCCTTTTTATATATATTTTCCATTTCGTTTTTGCACCCCCACGCCGGCACTCCGGATAAACACCACCTACGACGCTGCAACTCTATGGCACGTTGTGAAACAAGTTTTTTTTTGGTGGCTAAAAAGCTCTGAATTACAGTATGTGCAAGTCGATCGGCCGTTGAACTGATCGATTGGATTTTTCACGGGTTTTTCGACGCAATTTTTCGACGCTGTTTTTTTCCCTGCTCAGCCCCAAATGATTCAAAATAATTCCGTCAAAAAACCCCCCCAAAATCCCCGTGGTTCTCAACGACAGACCAGTGCCTGGAATGTGTCTATAGTGACGTCATGGTGGGCGGCAGAGCGGATGTGTTTGGTTCCGAGGGTGCAGGATGCAAAACAACAGCATTGGGAATTTCGGGGTATTTTCCGCGATTTTCGCAGACATTTCATATTTAATTCGAAAAAACGGAAAAAAACGGGAAAATTACGGGGTCGTTAAAAAATAGATTTCTCTAACGGGGCATTTTTTTCACAAATACCCACGTGCACGCCGGCCCGAAAACCCGTCTCCACGCCCACCGGCTGCGTGTCTTGGCGCCGTACCAGGCCGCAGGAGAGAGGTGGTATATACGGCACTTGTGGAGATAAGAGGCGGTTGGGCGAAAAAATGGGCATAAAAACTCGGGTAAAAAAGGGAAATTCAAAAAAGACAACACAGAATATCATTTTTATCACCCGGGGCTACCTGGGGGGTTTTCAATACCGTTATTTCACCCATTTCTGCCCTCGTTCTGTGCAGTCTCCTATCAGTAGTTTTTTTTTTTCGGCACCCTAAAAGATGGTCGGCTAACTCAGAATTAAGATTTCAATTTAAGTTTAGGATTCTCTCTCCTCAACTTTGTGATTTCAAACTCAAATAAAGTTAATGCCGGAAAATAAATATGATAGGTCGAGGAGATTGGTGAACCTAGTTTGGGGGTACTTAATATAGGAAGGGAGGTGGAGCCCAGGAAGCCCAAGTGATAAATCACCAAGATAAAAAAAACCAAAGCCCGTTGTTGGCGACTTTGCACCACCCCCATCATCTATGGAAATTTGATCTCCGCATCATATCCCCCCGACATTTTCAACATGTTCAGCCCCAACCCTTCGAAAAAGCCGATGAAGAGCTGTATGAAAAAGTGTGACAGCTCCATGTCGTGCTCGTCGACATCCCAGACGGTTTCTCTGGGGTACAAAAACACCAGCACGGCGTGCTCATCTTCGTCGGTGGCCACGGACTTCTCCGTGTCGTCCTGTGAGTCTTCCCAGATGGACAGTCCGTTATCGTCATCCGTTTTTTCGTCCCATAGCACCGTTTCACCCGACTACATCACCGCCTATGGCACCATCACTCCTTCCATGCACAGCTCGAGTCTCGGCAAGTCTCTGAGCGATCTGGAGTTGAGCAAGAGCCACCATCATCATCAAGTGGTCGAGACGGAGGATAGCGACGACACTTTTGAGACCCAGTTTGAATGTGAGGTGGAAGTGGAGGCCGAGGCAGAAGCCGACGCCGAGGAGGAGGAGCAGCAGCAGCTGCAGGCGGCCAAAATGGCGCAGCCCGTGACGTCCAAGTATCCGTACACGTCGTACAGCTACGAGCCGCGGGTGTTTGAGAGTCTGTGTGACGAGATTGAGCAGGACAACCGAGGTCGAACCGTGCGCCGAGACCAGAAGCGGTACTCATACCAGCAGCTGTGCCAGCTGAGACAGCAGTTGGAGCTGCTGGAGCGGGCGCGAATCGCTGGATTGAAGGGTGGCCCGTTGGACCTGCATGATGTTCGGGAGATGATTGATAAGATGAGGGAGTAGATGAGCGCAGCGAATCATCTACGCTCGTTGCTGATGTCGGTTGCTGAACGTCCGTGAAGCCACCGCAGGACCTCTTTGACTTGCACACTGACCTCCCCATCTCAGCGATCCACTGACCTCCCACTGACCTCCCACTGACCTCCCCATCTCAGCGATCCTCAACGGCTTAGACCTCTTCATCGGTCGAACCTCTCCACAACACCCCAAATACCCCAATACCCGTGTCCCCACAACCACAAAACCCCTCGCTTTCGAGCCTAACAGACATATAGACGTCGATTATTTAATATTTATTGCATCAGGATTTCACAGAGAAGTGCGTACAGGATAGTCCAAATAGCCCTCGTACGAAGTCCAATAGCCCTCGTACCAACAAGTACTTGATGGCTCGCCAACTCTGAGTCTGGGTTTCCAGTATCCACTTTGGACCAGTGTCTATAGTTGTAGTAGTCGTATGTTCTGCACATCTGGTCTTGTCTTTCTCACTGGGGGTATTTTGTTGAATGTTGCTGGAGCTGTGGTGACTGGAGGCTGTGGTGACTGGAGGCTGTGGCGACTGGTGACTTTGCGGTGACTGCTTTGGTGACTTTGTGGTGACAGTTGTCATCTCTTCCAGTGACAGTTGTGTGCAGTGGTCATGATGCGGTCAACTCCACACTCCACCTTAGTTTCTCTCCCGACCACCTTACCTCGTTCGGCTGGCGGGGCCTTTTTACAGTCGACACGCACATACCAACTCTTCCTCTTCCTCATCACATCCGTCGAGCAGACTGAGCCGCTGGGCTCTTTGCCTCCAGCAGTTTGATCTAGCAAGTACTAACAACACAGTGGGGATTCCCATTCATCTCGATACCAACAGACACAGACACAGAACTACCTACTCTCGGATGATACAGAACCACCTACTCTCGGATGATACAGAACCACCTACTCTCAGATGACAGTGATACCAACAGACACAGAACCAACGACACATCCCTAGCAAAGCTGACTTCGAATCGCGCAACGATACCACAGACCAACGCCTTTCATGGACCCCTCCGCCACACTCACATTGTCCTCTCAAACCCACGCAACCAAAGCGGCGGACGCAATCATGTTCTGTCTCCAATTCGGCGGGCGTGTGGGGCCGAGGGATGGGCAAGCTTGAGTGCAGCGGACGGGTCTATGAGTGGATGGGTCCACCGGTGTCTTCCATGGCGGCGACACAGACACCATAATGGGAATGGGCTCGCCCCCACAGCACAGCACCTCGGACAGACAACACTCCTGCGATGCAATAAAGGGTCTCTACCTGTGCTAGTGAGAACTAAGGTGTCGCATTTATAGTACGTTTGAGCTCCAACTGGACGCTCCAGCCGCGTCACTCTCGACTGGCTATCCCATGAACATGAACATGTCTGGATATCTCAAGTGGTCTACAACTGCAGACCCCCGAGCAGGTTTAGTTAAGCCACGAAAGTGAGGGTGGATCAGTACAAGCTGCTCTGTCAAGTGCACTAGTTGTATTCAAGTGATGAGAATGGGTCGACGTAAAGAGACACCAGCCAGATCCAGACACCCTCTGACGCCGACACTCTCCGAAGCATCGGCCAGCCGATATCTCCGATCAGACTCCGTCGTCTGCAGATCGGACCCCGAAGATCGTCGTAGCAACCGTACGTGGTGCTAGAAAGTCAGAGCTCAATCCTACCTCGCCTTTGAAATCCCCGACAATGCACCCAAAACTTCCGTCTGATTCAGATCACCAAACGGCATTGCTGCTGCCTCTGAGCTAACTCTCACGAGGGTACAAAGGTTATGCAATTCATTTGATACCGGGTATCTGAGCTTGTTTGAAGAGATACAGGTTTGCAACTTGTTATATGCCGGGTACCTGGCTGATCTGGTGTGATTTTCCGATTCTTATACCCAGGTTTTTTCCCAGTCTCTTTTCCGGCCAATATATGGCCTGTTGTCTGACCTGTTGTCTGGCGGATTCTCCGCCAACATTTCTTTTGTGCAGTGGTGCCATTGGCGGATACTATACGAGAAATGTTTTGGGCAAGTAAGAGAAGACACAGACATCTGTGAGGTAACAAACAGAAGGCTCAGGGGACAGATTGAAATATGTGCCAATGGTTTAGACGGGGTTCTCTCCACCAGCAAACGTTCTACGGTGGTACTTGTCCAACGTATATTCACGATTCCCCATCTGCCGCAACCGTCCACCTCAGAACTTGGACACCGTCTTAGATTGAGCCCAGCACCTTCAAATGAGCTCCATTATTCAGTTCCATGATCTCAGCCTAGTCTAAAACTACAGTATCTACCGATGCTGACCTTTGACCAAATGGCTAGCAGTCAGGACAACAGTCACTAGTCAGGGCAACAGTCAAGTGACGATCCTAGAAGCGGACTTTGCCATCCAAGATGACATCGGCAACACAATAATCTAGCTACTTTGTGGCTCTCATCACTTGTGGTTCTCGTCAACTGGCTACGTCGTCAAACTGGACGATCCCCGAGCCACGCAAATCAGTCAAAAAAGGTACTATCAAGCTGCAGTACAAACGCTGCTATCGATAGCCGTAGTCAGTACAACTGTACCGCAATACGGCTCTACTGTCCACAGCCCTTCATTCCAAAACACGTTAGCCCACTTTTGGTCACTTTTGCCCACCAAACTCACCCACTCTCTCTACAAGTAGTGTCTTTGTACGGAATCCTAAGTACGAGTACATCGTATGGTGATATCTCCTCCACCGAAATCAGCACAAGCCATCGAAGCGGCTAATCCAACCAAAGGCTGCAGACGACGTCCCACAAGACCTTGGTGGTGAAGTTCAAGGTTGGAAGTGTCTACGCCAATGGCGACGACTATTTATTTACCGCGCTGGTACAGCATGTACTTTTTGGACACATGACCAGTTTCCGGGTCTACAGCATCGCACATGTTCCAGTCTTTTGCCGGAGGGATAAAAAACAAACGGTCTTCTGACTAAATTGGTTGGTTTTATAACTCCGATCTTTGGTTCAGTAATTAGGTTGTTCTATAGCTGGGCTGCTATAATAGCTTGCCGCTAATTAACCAAACCAATTACTTGCAGTCCCTGACCAGTTTTTGATTTCGGATTTCGGAGATAAGATTGGAAGTCAAATGAGGTGGAATCCGGATTTAAACGATGCTCGAATGTCGTCATATTTTGATATTAAGGATCATTCGATTTTCATCTTTTTCTCCTTTCATCTTTGTCGCCTTGCCCCTTTTCAGCACCTCGGTAAGGGTTCTTGTGATGAATCTCGCAATCTGAAAAGTAAGGTTCACACATCAGAGTTAAGTGGCTTTGAAACGTTAACCTAATTCTGAGGTCAAAGTCTAACCCAGGTGGTGGCAAAGTTTTGGCCAGTAGGAGTCCGTCGATATGCAAATTCGGCACCGTTTGGGGGTCACATGACCCCGCTACACGAAGGCCTGCAGTCTCTTTTCCCGTCCGTTTTCTCTTCTGTGCAGCTGTGTTATGCCTTGGGCTGCCGTTTCTGTGTTTGTGTCACATGCATGCGACGTTGCCGAGAAATCCGCCGGTGCATATTTTCTGCAGGATCGGGGTTTCGGCGGGTGGATGTTCCGATGAGACGTCGGAAAAACAGGCGAAAAACAGGGGCGAAAAATCCGCGAGTTTTTGGGCTCAAAATGAAGCACCCGGTTAGACGAGTTCAACACTGCCGTCAGTTTTGCTGAGCCATTTCTGTGGCGGGAGTTGTGGAAGATTTGAGTTTTGGGGAGAAAGGAAGCAAAAGACGGGGCAAAAAAACGTGGTGAGAAAACGTGAAACGTGAAACGTGAAATTGGGAAAAGAGGAAAGAGGCAGTGAAGGAGATTGGGGGTGACATTGGGTGCCGATCAGCTGGACTTTGTTGGAGTTACTGGGCAGCTGAAATACTGGAAGACTGGACTCACCGGATCTACGGAATCTTTGGACTTCTTTAGCCCTTGGGGTTATCTACAGTGTATCCAGGTCTATCTAGTGTATTCAAGTACAATACGAATGAGCCGTATTGGAGTTGGTGGTAGTCGGTCCAAGTCAGACTTTGGATGGTCGGTGACGTCGATGAGCGATGAGGGTCGATGAGAAGGACCGAAAAGTCGATGAGAAGAACCGAAAAGTCGATGAGAAGAACCGAAAAGTCGATGAGAAGAACCGAAAAGTCGATGAGAAGGTCGGGGGACGTGAATGATCCGGAACTTGGACATACTGCTCTATGACTAATGCATGTACTCTACAACACCTCGGTCATTCCATCTCGGCGAGATTTTACTTCAGTACTTGTACAAAGAAAACACGGACAGGTACAAGTAGTTGAATGTTCATTGTGCAGAAAGGCTTGTTGACGACACAGTTTGAACCGTACGGCTGTGGTCGATCGCCTGACTGAAGAGAGGAGGCCCAGACGAGGCTGAAGGAGCGATTGCCAAAGGAGAGAAGCCAATTTCGAGAGGCCAATTTCGAGAGGCCAAGCGGGAAGAAGTGCCGTCAAGAAACCGCTCTTCGTTCCACGTGGCCACGTTCGATCACGTGACAGCCTGGGCATGCGTCGTGTTCGTTATCGTATGCATTATCACGTTTGGTTCAGGCTGGGCACTTCTTGGCAACGTTCCGAGCTGAGTCGAACCAAACTTTGACAAGTCCGAAAGAGTCCGAAACCTGACCCCCACGCCACTCGATACGGTTGCTCGGTTGGAGCAGAGTGTCGGCAGAGAGACGAGGTCTGTGGTCTTTTCTATTAGCACGGATTTGACGACCAGCGGCAAGTGGAATTAAAGAGACCGGAGGAATCTCGAGTGATTGCCTGGGTTGACCAAAGACTCAACCAGCAGCGTTGTAGGAGTCTGGGCCATACTCGTCGAGTCATGATCTCTTGGGGTCGAGAAATCTTCTGGTCCTCGTATGGCGTCTCTTTGGTAGACCCCAACAATGAGGAGTACCGGAGTGATAGCATGGGCTTGTTTCTATCTTGATACTTGGGCGAGGCTTATCAGAATATAGATTCTCCTAGATACCATCACGAGGAGTAGGAGGGGTGAGTACAGTAGGGCGTCATGGTGCTGAAAAGACACGATATTCATACAGTACAAGTAGTTGTAGCTACAGATATATGTTTATTGAAAGAGAAGGAGTGATATTAGGGAACAACAGCGCCATCACCTGTAGGAGTATTGAGGAAGCTTGCACTTTTAGTTGCACTTACAGACGCTTGATGCACTCTAGACTACAAACACTCGAGTAGTCTCCAAAGGGGATGATGAGAAAACCATCAGCAACGGTGTTCCTGAGAGGTAGGGCGGTTGGGCACAGGCTCAGAGACTCGGGATTCAGACATGAGGTTCCAACGTTCATTGGAAGGAATGACGATATTTGACCGTCAGAAGTCGTTCATTTCATTCATCCAAGGGTTTAAAACCAGCTGCAAAAACCAGCTAGTCAATCCGACGGTTTTTGGCCGAGTTGGATCAAACCATTTGACGTTGTTACTTTTCAACAAAACATCTAACTATTCGCAAAGTCAGTTGGGAAAGTCAAGTATTTGGATCAGACTCGATCAGATAGACCTAGAGCAGACTCAATCCTCAGACCAATTTCTCAGTCCTCACCTCAGTCCTCTCACCTCAGTCCTCTCACCTCTCAACCCATGACTGCTCCTAACAATGTCCACATGTCTGAATATTTGTATGTCTTTTGGTTATCATTGTCACCGAGAGTATCTCGTACTCAATATATCGACTAAAACTCTTACAAACTGTGTCTTTCTTCCCCAGCCTCCGATTGAGACCACCAGGAGACTTACCTTCAACTATACCAAGTAACTAAAGGTCAACTAATTTTATCAAATTCCCAAGTAAAGATACTCGTTTGAGGTCGTAGAAATGGAGTCATAGGTATCCCACATACATCACTAGGTGGTACCAAAATGATGAGCAAAGGACCCTACGTACAATGAACTTTTCAAATCTGAAATCGGAGCCGTTTCCGTCAAGTTTTGTTCCCTCGTTACAGTCTCCCTAGATCCACAGCACACCACAACACCCCATGGTGTGCAACAAAGTGATATTGGGCTGAATTTGTCAATATATTGTATTGTATACGCTGCACGTGCACGTGAAAGCGACATCACGTGATGTTACAGTTGTTTCGACTGTATTTTAGAAAGCTCAATATGTTTTCTTCAGGTCCGAGTCTGGGCTCTTAATCAATCCCATAACCAAGTGTCGACTGATTTAGGCACCATCATTGTATTAGCTGATATCCATCTTGCTCAATGTCTCCAGAGAGCTGTCTCAGAACTAGGACGGCCGCAAGCACGGGTCTTAGAGACCTACCGACTGTTTGGATGGAAGGCCTGAGTGTGGAGACTTGCCTCGAGTCCAGGTAAACTCTGGTGTACAGACCAGTACAGTAGCGAACAGAGCCGACATGAAGACTCCAACCTCTTACTACATACATCATCCATCCATTCATCATACTTACAACTTACTGTCCCACTCCATCAAACTAATGGCATGCTTGGCCATACCATAGCCACTCTGGTAACCAGCTCCTCCAGCACCATAGTCGTGGATAATGGTCCGACCCTGCAGATCCACCTGCCGCTCAATCCGAACTCCACCCTCTCGAGAAGGGCGCAGACCAGCAGCGTCCCGCACAATCTCCGCGCCCTTGAGCTCGGGCATAAGCTGTGTGGTTCGTCGAATAATATCCTCGGCCTCCTCGCCAAACGTGGACGCAGTGTACCGATCCTTCTGCAGGAATCCTCCACACACCACGTGACCTCCAGAGCCGGGCCGGGGAATAATGTAGGTCGCGTAGTCCGTGCCCCACCGCACCCGGTTCTCCTTCACAGAAGGGACCCGCACCACAACCACCTGACCCCGCGTAGGGAAGCACCGTTTGTCTTCGACCTCGCCCAGTGTTCGAGCTCCCAGACCAGTTGCATTGAACAGCACCTTGGCGTCTCCGAACGCGTCGCTGAGGTTCTGCACGGTCTTTCGCTCAAACGTGACGCCCTTGGACTCGAGGTACTTTTTGAAACTTACCAGAACAACCGGACAGTTGAAGTTGTAGGTGAGGTACCGCACGCCAAACTTGGCGCCCTCGGGAAGCTCGGAAGAGGGGAGAATTTGAAAGTCCTTGAGGTAGGTTTTGAGAGACTCAATTTTCTGTTTGGGGGGCTCAAAGTCCCAGAATTCGGTGATAGGGAGCCGCTCAAACCCCTTGGCGGCACCCCAGGTGTCGAAAATGGGAGCCAGGCCGAGATAGGTCTCTTTGTCGTACACCAGGGTGGCGGGATCGGAGCCAGAAATGGCGCAGAAATTGCCACCGGCCCAGGGAGACGTGTAGTCGATAGACGTGTCTCCGGGAAGATACTGGGCGGTCATGTGGATGTTGGAGTAGCCTTTTTCGGTAAGAATGTAGGCAATGTAGAGTCCGGTGATACCGGCGCTAGGTTAGCGGAAGGGCCGGAACAGTCTTCATTGCAGCTCTCCAGGTTTAAAAGCCGATCCATGTTCCACAGGCCTGGAGTTGATTACATGACACCCGAAGGGTAGACTGCAGACCAGATCCTGGTAGTCGGGGGTTTCGGGAGTGCGACAGAACATGAATAGAGTCTAGTCTGCCGGTGAATGGCGTATGGCTCCATTCACAGGCTCTTTACAAGCTCGAAAACAATGTGAACGGCCCAGATTTGCAAGTACCCCAGCTACCAATTCAGACGAGCAGTGGATTCTCAAAAAGCACTCCTATCAGAGATCAAGGTAGGACATCCAAGAGGTCTAGAGTGTGTAGTGTCGGCCGGATCACATCCAAACCGTGTCATACAGATATTCAGAGACATGGATCACCATTGGCCAACACATCCGACTACCAGGACAGTCTTTCAGTCAGAAGACCTCAATCTTAGCAATTTCCAGTCGGATCAAATCAAAATCAACGAACACAACAAAGTACACAACAGCACCTGACATTGATATCCGCCGTCCAACACCCAAACACCACCGGACTGCCACCATCCGACTCCCCACTCCGCCGTCATGTGGCCGTCACGTGTCCATACTCACCCGAGAATGGCGATTTTTTCGTCTTTTTGGACCATTGTGTCGCTGGCGAGGTTCCGTTGTGGCTACCCCGGATTATATACGAGACCAGACTCATGCCACTCGCTGTGGGTTTCTGTTATCGGATAGGGTTGTTGAAATAATTAAGGTTTAGGGCAAAATAGCCGCCCAGCGGTTCATCAGGGGAAAATGGGGTGGTGATTTGTGGACCATGATGGGGAGATAAAGACTGGGCAATTGCGGGAACGGATTCGGGGGAAGTTTTTGGTCCAGAATCGACTTTTTTTAATTGACTTTGAAACTCGTCAAGGTCGTTCCAGGGGGGTGTTATGTTACCGTCTTGTGTACAACAACCGACTTTTTTTTTTCATTTTTTTTCATTTTTTTTCCCTTTTTCCCTTTTTTCGTTTTTTCATTTTTTCCCTTCATCACCCCATGTTTCACATATAGATCATCGCCAAGATAGTCAGAGATAGCCGCCTAATACAAGTACTGTAACGGCATCACGATTGCAGTAGTGAAAGCTCGTTTTTGGGGCTAATAATTGTCCTTTTCGCCCTTTTCTCTGGGAAGTTTCGTCAACAAATAATCCAAGATTAAACAGCTACACTAAGTAGAGCTTAAGTAAAGAGACGGCTATCGACAAGACAGTGGGATGGTATTGCCCGACCCGGTTTGCAGCAGGAGAATCACAAGTATCAGATGTGGTTTCCATATGGAACCAGCAGTTGTCAGTAGTAATTTCCGCTCTTTGGAGGTCCCAGAGCCGGCTCTGGTGGGACTATTATGACTGTATCTATACCTTGAAATGGTGATGATCTCAGAATGATATTACTATACCAAACAAAAGTATTTCTATCTTACAAGTATCAATCAGAAGCTGTTGTTCTCCCGAGAATGATGGTAGGATCTCATTTCCGACCTGATTATTGGCCAAGTGACGCGAGCTGTGAGGTGCAGAGAGAGGGAGAGATGGAAGCAGGTACCAAATGGACGGAACAGGTCCAAATGGACGGAACAGGTATCAAATGGACGGAACAGGTCCAAATGGACGAAACAGGTACCAAATGGACGGAACAGGTACTAAATGAATGGAAATATTTGAGTGTTTGGGACTCAATTGCACACAGAGCAGGGCTAGAAGATTGGACCAACTCCAGTTCATAGAGAACAGTCGAACGTGGTCTCTAACCACTTTTAGACACCATTGATGACTTTTCGCCAATCAATACTACTACTTCTAGTAGTGTTAGAAGTCCTCTAGGTAGATAGACAAGTCCACTATACGTTTCCACCCTGAAGATCTCCTATATCGAAGGCAGCAAGAACTTGGTTGGCGGACGCGTTGAGTAGATTGGAGGTGGAATCGGTACCAGTTAAGGAGGCTCGGATCAACGCGGTCCATGTGGCGTCGGTATCGGAGAGACTCCGTGAAAGGTTGGAAGATGCGTGGGACTTGCACGACAGGGAGTCAATTGATTACAAGATGAGAAAGACTTCGTTGGACTACAATTATCCCTAATTATCATCCTTACTCGTGGTAGCGGTACGTTTGCAAATGTCGCACTGATCGACATGGCGGTTCACGTCCGCCGTCAGATACGGGAGATACCGCAGCCCAGTGTGACTGTTACTACAGAAGAACCGAAGCTATGTAGTCAGAAGACTTCAATGGAACACTTGCTTCTATCTTCTCAACTTGGCCAGGCAGTCAAGTATAAGCCAAGTGTTTCATGGTATGTTATAAGTACGGGCTACGCCATAGTATGTAGTCTGGTCATAGACTTGGTTCACTTCAAGTGGATTAAGTCGACTTAGACAACAAGTTGGTCCAAGCTAGACTGAAGGTATAATATCCTATCAATGCTTCTGACAACTACACTGGCAAACCTGTCGACATGCTCTGACCCGACCCAACCTCTGGAAGGTCGATGCGCTGCTTTGCTGCACTGCTTCCGTCGAGTTCCGATGACATCTCTAACACTGAAAGTATCCTTGCAGCTAACAAGACTCGAAAGTAGCCGTTTTTCTCCCGGTATTCATCTATGGGGTCCGTATCGGTCCAACCTGGGCTCTGCCAGACCCCGGAGTCTTCTGGTCCTTGCCACTCCTAAGACAATCACAATCAATATGAAAGTAGATGCATTTGAAAGCTCTCGACTAGAGGAACACAACTCTCAAGTCTGGTTCTCGGTCGGTTCTCTGGTCAAAAAGTTGTGGTCTTCTAGTCTGAACGGACGTAGTCAGCGTACTTGACCATACACCCAAGTAAAGTTAAGTAAATGGAGCCGGCTTATTTCTCCAAAAATGCCACTTAAGTCCCTTTAAATTACTCTCAGTATAACATCAAATTATATCATTCGAATGCCCCAGTTCCCACCTACATTTATATACAATTTTCACTGATCCACAACCTCTGTAACCTCTGTTTTGGACCCCCAGCTGACTTTTTTTCAGTATATATCCCAACTAAACCTAACTAAACCTAGAAATAAAGAAGAGGACCAGATATACATACAGGTAGTACCATTTTACTGTACTGTACATACTGTAGTCGTCCTCTCCTCACAGGATTTCCTATCACGTGACCGGAATCCCCCCTCCCCTCCCCCTCCAAATCCCCTCCCTCCCCTCTCTCTCATCACGTGACCTAAAGTTCTCCCCCACAGCAACCCCAGACCAAGTCCACCACCCACCTACTTTCACACTTGTCATGTCCCCTCTCGACATTTATCAGCGCGATATGGACAAGTTTTTTCGAGCCGGCCGAGTCTACGCTGTGGCAGGCGCGTCGACCAACCGGGCAAAATTCGGATACAAGGTGACGCAGTGGTACAAGGACCGGTCTCTTCCGGTGACGCCCATCAATCCCAAAAAAGAGGAGATTCTGGGTCTTCAGAGCGTCCAGAAGCTGGGCGAGGTTCCTTATGATGGCAAGTTGCTTCAGGATTTCGGCTCTTCTGCCGGAGCCGGCGTTTCTGTGTCGGTTATCACTCCTCCAGCGGTGTCTGCCGAGCTGGTCAAGGAGGCTGCTGGGTACCATGGCAACGTCAAGGCTCTGTGGTTCCAGCCGGGTTCTTACACTCGGGAGATTGTGCAGCAGGCGCGGGATGCTGGCATTGAGACTGTTATTGCCGACGACGAGTGCATTCTTGTGTCCGGCGATCATCTCATGAGGGAGGCAAAGTTGTGAGTGAGCGAGTAAGCGAGTGGGGCAAGTGAAGCGAGCACGCAGCTAGCCAAGGGCGGACTGGCGCACAGACTCACAGCAGCTCGAGTCACAGCACTTTCTTGACATCTACTAACTAGAGGACCGAATGACGGAACTGTGGTTGTAGATGGAGAGGAGTCGGGTGTGCAGCTGATATAGCCAATGTTATGACTATGAATGATGTTCCTGTAGACGTCCGGGAAAGTCGTGTCGTATTTTTCGGGGATATGGGACTGAACAATGACCTACCCTCTACATGATGAGTTGACTGTCTACAAGGAAGGGAGATTCATCTCGCGTGGTTGAAGGGGACAACAACACTCGCGACTGTGCGAGTAACTGTAGTCCAGTGTCTGGACACCAACACACAGAGATCTGACTCAAGTAGGGCCTGACAAGAGTTGACGTCAGCAAACAGGCTCGATGGAGCGCTACTGCGACATCAACCCAACTAGACACTGCGTCGAATCCGGAGCTGAAGAATCACTTGACGGAGTTGGGTTGATACTGGGCGTAGTACTGCATGTACTGTACGTGCACTGTTGAACATCATCTTGACAATATGGTCGTTTCTATCAACGCAAGGAACACACATCTAGTTCCCCATGTTCGACATGACATGAGAGATCTGAAAAAACACAACCTCGAAGGAAGTGCACTCTGGGAGCGGCGACAGTGCAAGCAAAGCAAGAGAGATACAGATGTAAGATCAACCCTCGTGGTGAGACTGACACTCTGTCTCCTGTCTCGAGTAACTATCTTACATTCGGTAGCGGCTCATTATCTTAGAGAACCTTTTCAACTTTTTCTCTAGACAGAACTTGGTCGATGGTGGCTTCAGGAAGCTACCGGCAGCGGCCAAAAGTGGAATGGAAGCTCAATACAGTCTCAACCACCATCTGTCCCATTGGCTACTCTCCTGACTTGTGTATTTCAGAAGACCCAGACTGGTCTCTAAGATACGGAAACTTGGCCAATACGTCGACAAACAGACCTCTTGACTACGAGCACGAGTACAATCGTCTAGCTACTGCCGGTTGGACCCTGTGTTTTGGAGGTGTTGTCAAACGTGCTCATCTGATCAAGCCTACCCAATCGGCAGCTAAGAGCCCCTTGACGGACTCGAGCGGTTCTGGAGAATCACTTTGATCATCGCAAGGTCAACAAAACATCAAGACAAGTACAACCAGATACAAGGAGACACATAAATTATTACTACCGCGGTCATGGGAAGTTTGCAGAATCTGGACCAAAGAATCCGACCTTGGGAATCGACAAGCGCCCGGCTCCGGTCAAATCAATGCCCGCAGTGGAGACATTGTTGCCCCACCAGCTGAGATTGACGTTGGTGTATTGCAGTGCAAAGAAAATAACAATTGCCGACACAGCAATGCCCGTGTTCATGGCGCTGCCGAAAATGTACACGTACTTTTCCCACCACGCTGGCCATCGGTTTCGCACGTACATGTTGAAGAAAACCGCGGCGTAGATACCGCCAGTCATGAACGACAAGTTGTAGGGCGCGTAGTTGAGCATGCCGTAGACGAAGACGGAGGGGTTGAAGGTCTGGAGTCGGCGCTGGACCTTGAGGATCTGGTCTTTCTTGTCGGGGCGTCGTTTTCGGTAAAAGTCGGGCCCCCATTTGTGGATGACGGCGAAAATGATGGCGATGCCGAATCCAATGAGGAAGCACCATCGCAGCATGGGGTACTGTTTGTTGAAGATCTTCTTGGGGCCGATAATGGACCAGACAATGGCGGCCGAGAAGAAGACCATTTCTCCCGGACAGGTGAACTTTTCGTGTTCGGCCTGGTACTTTTGGTCGCAGATATGTTCGATTCCGGTCAGCTGATACTGCATGACACCAATCACCACCAGGCCCGCACACAGAGTGGCCCACATCTGGGCCCGGAACATGGCTCGGGGAGGCAGACGGCCGTAATGGCCCGTCTTCTGGTCGGAAATGAAGTTCTGGGCCTGGGACTGGATCTGCACCGAGTACGCCTTGAGAATCATCATGGCAATGGCCTTGCCGGGGATGGAGTAGCCGACAATCATCTCGATGATCACGTTGAGGGTTAACTGGGCTCCGGAGACGGACAGAATGACCGTGAAGGGGATCAGAAAGATGAAGTTGAAGATGATGACGACAATGAGCAGCCAGACGGGCGCCTTTGTGTCCCAGTGCTCAATCAGCGCAATCGCCATTCCAAACGTGATGAGCAGAATCGCCAGGTACCACCATTGCGGCGTTTCGGGGTACCGAGACATGGTGGTGGAGAAGTGGTCCTTGAAGCCGTAGTAGTTGCTCTTCTTCCAATCCCTCATGGACTTGTAGATGTCCACCAACGAGTTTTTCATCAGATGCCATTCGGTGAAACACAGGTGGAAGAAGGAGAGGGGGTAGAGCGCGAAGAAGCCGCCGTAGAGCACCAGGTTGGCGGCCGAGTAGTACGGCGGCGAGTACTCTTTGTATTTCTTTTCGTCAAACAGGTTGTTGGTGAGAATCTTGGACACATCAAACTCTTTGCCGGTGTTGTCGAAAACCGCGTTGGAGTTGATGGGCAGATAGCCTGCCCAGTAGACGTTGGTGTACCATACTGAGGCGATGATGAGTCCTCCAAACGCGAAGCCTCCGTAAATGTTGAGCAGTGACGGAATTGGAATGAAGAGAACCTGCACAAGGCCGTTGGCCACGTTCCAGTCAAAGGTGGGGATGGGGTTGAATCCCAGCCCGGAAATGCTTCCTGTGATGGCGGCCAGATCCAGGTCCTGGGGCTTGATCCAGGTCATCCAGTTGAAGGTGGATAACGCGGTAAACAGGTAGTTGGGCACCCAGAAGTAGAGGAAGGCACCGACGGTGACAATGAGAAAGAAGAGATATCGCGAAATGGTCCATCCGTTGATGTTCTCCTTTCTTCCTGGCGCCAAAAGAGCCCGGTTGACAGCCAGAGTCGGCAGAATCGTGGGCCACATGGCCTTGGCCGGATACACGGCCAGTTTTCGCAGCAGACCCACCATTCCAAATCCCATGAACTGCGACGTGAACATGAGCATGAACATGTAGCCAAAGTTGAGGGCAAACTTCTGGTTGAAATACATGGGCAGATACTGCACGAAAATGTTGTAGTCAATGTAGGCCGGGATGTTGGAAACCGAGGCCATGAGGGTCGCCAGAAGCTGTTCTTTCTGGGTCCACGGCCCCGGATTCAACGAGTACCGTTTCCCCTTGTATCTGAAGCCCCAGTCAGGGAAAATGTACTGCCAAAGACGGCCCGACGGATACAGAAACAGTTGGACCACGGTGACGGACAGTTGGATGGGTGGCTGTCGGGGCTGGAAAAACTGGTTGACAAAGGCGGCAATGGCGACCCAGATTGTTCCAATCACGTAAACTCGCAGAGTTTCACACTCTTCTTCGGGGTCGTCAAACGGGTCTGTGACGGTTCTAACCTGAGGATAGGGACTCCAATGACGGAATAAACACGCGTTGTACTTGATTTCGCTCCACACAGAGCCGGGGTCCATCAACAGGTCCGATTTGGTCGACTCTTTGGTGGACAATCGTTCTCCAAATGAGTTGACAGACTCCTGCCGGGCGATATCGTCGTGGCTGGTAGAAGAGGTCGGTGTGGCGTCGGGATCGATCTCGTCGGCATCAGCACCTTGTTCATCCTGTTGATCGGACTCATCAAATTGGCTGGTATCAATCTTGTCGCCATCTACCTCCTGGATCAGCTTTTGCAGCTCGTCCATGTACTCCAGCGACAAGGAGGGGTCTCCCTTGTGGTATTCCAGCGACTCCTTGACGATATGGAGCGCCTCGAGATCGCCCATCTCCTCGAAATGGGCTGCCATGACGAGGACGGCCTGTGGATACGTGCCGTCTTCCTCATTGGGCGGAATCAGCAGCTTTTCGGCGATCCACGAGATGGTGGAGATTCCTGTCACCTCTCCAATACCAATATCCGTATGTGAGTGATTGTCTTCGGTTTTTTTCTCTTCCATGGTAAGATATGACAAAAAAAAAGCCCGCCCCCGTCCAACTTCTTATATCTTTCGACATTCCACTACCTTCAGATGTTCTCATTTGTTTCTTTTCCGGGTTTAGCACCCCGCCTTCGGATTGCAAATCGCAAAAAACCATTCTGCCCGCTGAAACCCGGAGAATTCAACTGCAGACTTCAAATCCACACACCACCGCCCCCCAACTCCACCCTCAACCAAAGCGGTATTTCAAAGTTCAAACGGCATCCCACACGGCACCCAAAACTCTGGCGACGCCAAGGTTTCGAGCCGAGCTTCGATGCATGCCAACCCCCCTGCCAAGACTGCGGGGCATGGAAGATTTGGGGGGAAAACGAGCCCATGTGGGAAGGACAAAGACTCTGCACATCACAGACCCTGTCACGTGATCAAACCAATGTCGAGGGGAACAAAGATTGGTCGGCTCCAAACTGGCACACGTAGCCCACCGTGCCTCACGCGGTATTTGTTAGGTTCTGTTCATCGTCTGCAGAAAGCTAATACGAAACATTATTTGAGTCTGAGCGGTGATGTTTGAGGATAAGTGGGAACTTGAATCATGTTTTTGGATACCTGAGACCGATCAATGAGCGTCATTAGCCGAGAAAACGTCACTTCTGGTCTATTAACCAGTTTCTGTCGTCCATTTGGTCTCCCCATCTTGCCTCCTCTGTACCCGTGCAGTAGACGGCTCCATGCAGACTGGTGTTCCTCGAAACACACGTGATGGGGCTTTGGGGGACTTAAGCCAGGGGATATTCGCTATCTGTCATTGGAGAAAGAGTTTGTACGGCCAAAGGTAAACTGTGTCTGTTTGGAAGACACGGCGATTGTCCGGTCAGCGTTGCGTTGTAACAATGTCTGGCTATTGATTTGAGCGTTTAATGCAATAGCGGAGCTGCGATGGAGACAGGCTTGTAGGGTATTGCTGGCGGTGAACTGTGCTGGTGGTGATTTTGCAATAGAGCTGGTGATAGAGCTGTAGTGATAAATGATTCTGGAATGCTACATCGGCTAGACCAAGGTGACGTTCACCAAGAAGGACTGTACATAGTAACATGACTTAGACTCCAATATCCAGTAAACAGCCGTAGGTGATCGAGCAGACTTCAATGTTTGTTTCATTTGGTTCATGCCTCGCGCCAACTGGCTTCAATGTTTCTTTCTTGGTTCATGTTTCTTTCTTGGTTCATGTTCTTTCTTGGTTCATGTTTCTTGGTTGGTTCATGTCTCACTGAAACGTCCTCTCGGTTCTTGTAGAATGCCGTCTCATGACCTCGCAAACCTAGCAGCTGGATTTAGACACTGGAATGAACCTTGGTTTATCTTTGATAAGGCGCTGGTCAACTCTGTCCATGGGGGATCCAGCCATCGTCTTCTGCTGACTCCTCATCATCTCCCGTCCGCTCCACAGGACCTCCACTCCACGCCGAAACGCCGCCGAAACGCGCCGAAACCTGCCGAAAAGCTCTTGTCAGCCTGCTCAACTCTCCGACGCTAGTTCCGGGCTGTTAAGCTCCAGATAATGCAGCACAAGTCCTTTTAATGGCGTTTGTTAGCGCCGATCTCAGAAAGTCTAGATAAGGAATGTAGCAGGATCGACATTGCGAGAAGCCGTGAGGCTGCTGACACAGAGTCATGGGGACGGGGACTGCAAAAAGCAGACAAAGTAGACGAGTCGACAAAAGTAGACCAGAGTCGACTTTTCAATCAAAAAAAGAAAAAGAAAAAAAATGGACGACACCGGAATCGAACCGGGGACCTCGCGCATGCTAAGCGCATGTGATAACCAACTACACCAGACGCCCAGGAGTTAGAAATTGTTAGGGATCAGCGGCTAAGAAATAGCCGCCTGATTAGTCTCTCGTGAACCGCTAGCGGAGACTACGACGAGGGGCCACCACGTGGGCCCTCAGTGGGATTACGCTATCATTAATATCGATATGCCAAGCCTGCTATCACGGACAAAGGGTTGCGCCGCAACCCTGGATAACATATAAACCCCTGTATTCCATGTATTCTAATACACCTTTCTTGAGAGTGACGGCAGTGACCATACCTTCGGTATGGCCACCCCGGCTGAGTCATCAGTCGGCTTAGTCACGGGGCCTGGGTTCTAACATCTGGTAGCGATGCACTTGTTGCATGCGATTCTGGGGCGAGAACCAGGCCAGGGAAGGTCGGTCAGGTTACACGACACAACACTACACCGCTACGGTCGTCGAATTCGCCAAGTCACTACCGTTGTGCTGCCTTCAGTTCAGGTCATCGTTCCAAAACCCCGGAAATTTTTTTAGGGGTGGCTGGGTACAGGTAGAGGCGAGTGGGGACGAGCCTCTCTAGTTGTCGGCGTCTCTTTGAGGGGTGAAGATGGTGTCACCCTGGAGTCGCAGTATCGACAAGGCCTCCGTGGGAGGAGGGGAGAGTGAGTATGCACGAGTGGTAGGAGAGTTGGCATGACTATGACTACTCTCCAAGGATGAGAGGTGAGAAGAATGGCGATGGCTATCGACATGTATTGGTGTCATATCGTCTAGCAGTCTCATCCTGTCGTCGTGGGAGTCACGCTCCGGCTGTCGAGGAGCTGGCTGAGTGAGTGATGGTATCGCTGGCTGATGTCTGTGGATGATGTATCCCAGAGTGACGATGTCGGTGATGGAGCTCACGGCAGTGCGACATCAGACGTGGCGTCTGCACTGAGAGTAGCGAAGGTGCTGCGGTTCTGCCAGCTTTCCATACCTTCCTACTGCCATAAGGTGGACAGTCAAGTTCACAGGAGTGACGTCTTCTCCCCAAGGAGGCGCGCTCGACAAGAGGACGTATCTTGCACTCGTTGTAGCATGGTTGCTCCGAGTGAATAGCCGACGGTCTTTGGTTCGGCTGCGCTTCATAGGAACGGTTCGAGAGTCGTTTCAGCTGCGGTGGAGGGCATCCCCATGAAGGATTCCGTTCAGCGTTGTCGTCATACTCGGTTACGACGCATCGAGGCCACTATGTTGCGGAACTGGCGTGTGTGAGGCGAGTTTCCTGTCACTGGAACTGTTGAAGCCTAGTCGACGTGGTTGTCGGTGTTGATCCGTCAGCTGCGAAGTTGGCTGTGTTTTGCCTTGTTATTCTAGACATTGACCCCGGGTTGATGTCGTCGGCTGTGATTGTTCTCTGGTCATGAGGAGTTCAACGTGCTCGTGTAAGTTCTCGGTCGCTGAGAGCTGCACCTATTGTATGGATAGTCTGATCCATAAGATCTGTTGTTCACGGAGATGTTTGTCTTGGACATCTCGACGTCGAATCATGGTGCCTTTATCGTGTAAGATGGAAGTCGCTCCACGACTTCATCTTAGGGGAGGATGATGTTAGGGATCAGCGGCTAAGAAATAGCCGCCTGATTAGTCTCTCGTGAACCGCTAGCGGAGACTACGACGAGGGGCCACCACGTGGGCCCTCAGTGGGATTACGCTATCATTAATATCGATATGCCAAGCCTGCTATCACGGACAAAGGGTTGCGCCGCAACCCTGGATAACATATAAACCCCTGTATTCCATGTATTCTAATACACCTTTCTTGAGAGTGACGGCAGTGACCATACCTTCGGTATGGCCACCCCGGCTGAGTCATCAGTCGGCTTAGTCACGGGGCCTGGGTTCTAACAGAAATGTTGCTTTTCTAGTCGTACCATATTATATATTTGATTAGTCATACAATTATAATAAAAAACACAAAACGTAATGAATCATTAGAAAACAAACATGGAAAAAAATTGAGAATAAAAAAACCGAGAATATAAAAAACGCTACTTGTAGATTGAAAAAATAGAAAAAAAATAAAATAAAACCAGAAAAAAATAAAATAAGAGTATATATATAAAACGGACCGTGACATTGTCGCAATGTCTCCACTGCACCGTCACATCTCTGCGAGGGAACGACAAACGCGAAGCAGCTACTACTAGCAACTACTGGAAACTACCACCGAGAGATGGCTTATGGTATCTGATTGGACCGGATCGAAACCAGGATATGTTCAATCCATACTAGACAAGGCACAGTCTTGCTATCTCAAAGTCATATTTGGCCGAGACTTACTCCAGGCGTCACCGAGACATTGTGCTGTGGTTGGAGGAGTCTGGACAGTGAAACCGAGGTATCGAAACACAGTTATTCTGTTGAGCCAGTTCTTTTACCACCACTTCTCTCTTGTTATTGATGAAGGGATCCGAAGATCTGGTTTAACACTGACCAAAAGTACCGATACATCATGCTAATTGTTATCTATCACACAACACTTGAATAACTTACTTGGTCGTTGCCGACCGACTCCAACTACTCACACTCACGACTTCTTCTTCATCTCCTCAAAGAACCCGGTCACGTCGCGATCGGTGACCACCTTGCCTCCTTCGGCAAACGGCTTGAAAAACGCCGACAACTTGTCCTTGATCTGGTTGTAGGCAGCCATACCGTCGATGGCTTGTTGACGGGGGATATTGTGAAGAGCAGACGTGCCAGCGTCCAGCAGCGACGACCCCGCATCGTCGTCTGGAGGCGGTTCGTACACCTGCTCTTCTTCGGCCAGAAACGGGTACGTGAGCGTGAGTCCAAAGATTTTCGGGTCTTTGCACTCGCACACGATTTTGCGAAAGTTGGACGAAAGAAACATGTTGCAGGGTTTGTCCGATGAGAAGAGTTTTTTACTGCTGGGGTGGGAAGCGAGAGCGTTTGCCTCATCAGCATTTCGCTTCTCTTTCTTGACATTATCCGTTTCGTCAGAAGTCGATTCAGACCCAGCGACAGCAGTCGATGCAGACTCGGTTTTGACCACACAAGTCTCTGAACTTTTCGTCTCCAAATCAGCAGTGTCGCTGACTTTCGCCCCAGAGGTCGCCTTTGGCTCCAACCGGGGCTCCAACCGCATCTTCACCACCCCGGGAAGATCCCAAATCGCCTTCAACCTCGGCACCTCTTCCACACACTTGTAGCAGACAAACTCGTGGTCGTCGGGCAACACCTCCTCGTGGTGCTCAATCTCGGTGAGGGAATCAAACACATTGACTCCCTCGGGATGCGTCCTCTTTGAAGGCACGCCAATGCAAACATCATGGTACCAGTCCTCGCCGCAGCCCGGCATCAGACATTGGTACATGATGTCTGTCTCTTCGTTGTAGGGCTTGTCGCAGAAACAAAACCTACCGTCAAAGTTGTGGTTGTACTTGTTTGTGTCGCACGCCTCGTCCAGATTGGCAAAGTTCTTTCGCAGGTTGCACCCTCCAAAGCTCTTCATTCGGTCGGTACCACAGTCGCACGTCATGTTGCGCTTGGTGAAGAGCTCCACGAGATCGTGGCTCGAGTGACATTGGATAGAGCAGCCATAGCAAATAACTGACGGCGCGCCGCTCTTCTTGGAACACGTCAGACACGTGAACAGCAGCTGTCGAGCCGGCTGGGTGTAAAACGTGCACTCGGACGGGTCGTACGGCATGGCCTCTTTGGCGTCCCTTTCCAGCTGTGCCTGGCGCTCCAGAAACTCGCCGGCCGTCACCGTGTCTGTATCGTTAGCTTCGGACATTTCTCGGAGCGATATGTTTCTTAGAGCCGTTGTTTCGAGTAGCAGGTGTCCACGCGTGCCAGATGCCAGTGCCAATAGAGTTCGATAATTGAATAAAAAGATGATGAAAAGAAATTAAAAGATAATGAAATTAAAAGAAAAGACGATAAAAAATGAAAAGATAATAAAATAAAAGAAAGAAAATGAGAAATAAATGAGAATAAATGAGAAAAAAGAGAAAAAAAATTAAATAAAAAATTAAAAAGAAACAAAAAGAAATAAAAAGAAACAAAAAGAAATAACCCCAAGTATGAAAAGTGCCTGAGACCAAGTCTTCATCTCTCAGGATTTTAATGGGAACATCCCTTTACTAACAAGGAAATGACTGAACTGCTAGTATCTATTAGAAAGCATCCTACTTCAATAATAGTACCTGTAGATTACTCCAAAATAATGAGCGATTTGACCATCTCATAGCCCCATAGTTTCCAATCAACTCACCTTGGCTAGACCTGATCTGGTCTCGACACTTGAGGAGATGATCCACCCAAATCACTATGAACTCCAGAACTAAGTAGATGCTAAGTAGATGCTAAGTACTCATCAGATGTGGTTGTTGCTGTTTTTTCATTTATTTAGACTGAATGTGGAACATGAGACGAGTTCAGAGACCACAGTCCGCCGAAACAGTGGTGGAGTCAAAACACCGTCCTCGGAGATCCTCAGAGAGGTATCTACACAAAGGATCCCTTTCAAGACTTGAAAATACTTGATATCCGCTCGTTCCACTCACTATTCCTGCTCGTCACATCCGCCTTCTTTCTCACCGCTAGCATTGTTTTAAAAAACACCCCTTCCACCGATGCTAGCTAGACCAGCTACCCGCACTGTACACTGCTATATTATTGCTAAGAATACTCCCGAAGCCAGTGGTACAGTAGCTGGGCTTGTGACCGACATGTGGAGTATTCCCGGGCCCAACTGATGGTGTCCCTCTAACCATGACATTGTGTGGTTTAGTGGCAGGTAGCCGCCCCCAACTCAATGGTGGTTGGTCATGGAGCAATGGCGGCGAAAAAAGAACCAAAATGATGGTCTTGGTCGCGTGCGTTTGGCTAGCTATAGCAAAATCATTCTGGTGGTGTTGGTATTGGCGGATCTATGAGCATTTCCGAAATGAGGGTCGCTGTTTAATTTTGTTAAGTTTATTTATTTATTTATTTATTTATTTTATCAATTTTATTTATTTTATCAATTTTATTTATTAATTCAATTATATTTATTAATTCAATTTAATTAATAATTATTAATATATTTCACGGGCGAGTTCAAGAACCAAACTGTAGAGCTGGATGACTCCGCCTGCCTCTTCTACAGCCTCCATTCTGTGCAATATGTTTCGTCGTCTCCATTTTACGTAAGCGGAATTGAACCTAATCACTACACGTAATTAAACCACCTTTCGGCTCTTCAATGGCAGACCTGTATCGACAGACGACAGATGATATCACGATCGAGTTTGAAGACAAGTACGAGGACCAGTTCGAGGCATTTGTCAAGTACCAGGTGTCGACATGCGACTTACTGACGGCAGATCCAAGACTGGTAGGAGCATGGGGCGAACAAAAGGTGCTCAAGTGCCACCAGCTGGCCACCGACCTGGAGAGTCGCCTTTCCGAACACATTAGCATGGAGCGAGTCGACTTTGATGTTGATTCCGAGCGGGAGCGGCCGCTGGACGCGATTTCGACTGGAGTCCGAAAGATTGACACGGTCATGAATGGAGGTTTTCCTACTGGCACCCTATGCGAGGTTGCCGGCGAGTCGGCGGCCGGTAAGTCGCATTTCCTTCTGCAATTGTGCGTCAACGTGCAATTGGCGCGAGGGGAAGGAGGTCTGGGCAAAAAGGCAGTGTTTATATCGACCGAAAGCGGACTGGAAACTCGCCGACTGGTGCAAATGATGGACCACGTGATCAAGCTGGGTCACGACAACATCTCGCTTCATCACGTGTCGTTTATAGCGTGCAAAGACCTCGAACAGCAGGACAGAGTCTTCCAATACAATCTCCCCAATCTCCTGGAAGACAGCTCGTACGGTCTTGTGGTGATTGACTCGTTGGCTGCTCACTACCGATCCGAAGAACTCACGTCCAAGGGCGACTTCTCCTCTCGAGATAAACGTCTCTTGCGCACCCTGCACCATCTCAAGGGACTAGCCCGAAAACACAACGTCGCAGTGGTGTTTGCCAACCAGATTTCTGCTCTACCAGGGAGAGAACTGACTATTGGAGCTGAGTTTCTCCCTACTCTGCTGGAGAAACAATTGCCGTATTTCTCGGGCTGGAAAGCGCCCGTTGTCTCGCATACTCAAGATGGTAGAGAGAAACTTGTGCCGGACGCTACTCCTCAAGATTTCATGCTCTCGTCTTCCGAGTCAGATAACCACCCCTCGGGCAGTCCCATGCTCTCACAATTGTCCTCTCAACACTCACTACCATCTTTTTCTTCGCAGCAACCGCTATTTCCCGTGGGATCCAAAGTTCCTACTCTGGGCCAAGTTCTAGCCAATTCTGTGGACATCCGAGTGGTTCTCAAACACACGGACTCCCATAGAACCTTTGAGGTGGTTTTCTCAAACCCATACAAGTTTGACACCTCCGTAATTCCCTACGAAATCACCACAGGTGCTCTTGTGGACAAGGACGACATGGAGCTTGTGGAACATGAGCTCTTGTAAGGCATGGGGCAGACACTGGTGATCCCTCCATGATGATTTATTCCATTTAATGATTGCATGATATTTACTTGCAGGCAAACTCACCAGAACTCGCCATATTACTTCTCAGGCGTGCCCCATGTATCTATTCTGTAGCCGAGAGTTTTGCAGGCGGTTTTTGGACCCATATGCGAACGAGTATTTGGACTCGGATTGGGGCCACACAATTATTTCGATATTTGTGCTCGCCATGCTCCAGATCATTTTGATTATAAATCGTCAACAGTCAAGTTCTATTGATTTGGTGTTTTCTTTTTTTTTTTTTTTTTTTTTTTTTTTTTTTATTCCTTTCTATTCTTCGGTATTTTTTTATCCTTGCATTTATTAATTGTTTTTCATAGGCCGGGTTAGCGTTCAACAAATCGTACACTTAGTAATCTTTATATCACGTGACGTAGGGTATGGGTATCGGAGACGACTATTTTTAGTTTTTTATGAATTTCGCGGATTTAGCTCAGTTGGGAGAGCGCCAGACTGAAGTCATTCTTCGGTCAGAGTAATCTGGAGGTCCTGTGTTCGATCCACAGAATTCGCAATTTTTTTCTTCTTTTTGAAACTGCTATTTTTGACGGGGTTATACGTAGAAAACGTTTTGGTACCGTAGAACCAGTTGGAAGCAAGTACAACCGCATTGTCTTGTCTCAAACGTAATATTTTTCATCAACTTTTCAACCTAACAGGTGGATATTGAACAATAATCTGCTAGAGAAACGGCTCAAAGTGATATTATCACACGAGAAGATAATATCTGGGCTGGTACCAGATATTAGTACTCACTTGTCCATAGTTAATTGGACTTTATGTCTTGCGGCTCGTTCCACTGCCCTACGTCATGTTGTCATTCTGTTAGCTTCTTTCAGCACGTGTTATCATGAGGACAGATCGTGGGCGTTGCAAAACCTCGCTGGGTAGTTGATAATCCTCATTTCAACTGGTATTTCTTTCATATTTACAACTTCCCTTGTACCATAGTACCGTACAATAGGCGCTATTGGCACATATTAAAAAATGGCAGTATAGTGCCTCGGATTGGAAAATTCGTTATCTGCATGGAATCAAAGGTGGTTAGCTTGTAATAGTTGATGCGAGCCGTTTGAGACACCGTCCAGACGGCACTAAAACTCGTATTTGACGCAGCTGGCGTGTGCGACCGTACTATGGTCGTATCCTCTTGAGGGAAGTCCGTGGAAGTGGAACAGCCGAGGCACTAACAGCTTCAAGGCATGCAGTTGTTCACGTGGTTTTAGAAGCGTCGTTCAATGTTGCTAAGGGAGCGTTTATAGTCTCTTTAGGGCACTTTTCAGCTTTTTGGCGATCCAGTTCCTCCTGTTAGAGACTGACTACGAGAGAAAGCCTCCCCATGATTTTTTCTGCCACCATTATCTCGTATCCAAGTCCATTGAATCCGGTATTGTCAGAGTTGCCCGATGGGTTTCTAGAACAGTAGAAAGTAGTCTAAGCTACGGCACAATCGTCTAGACGGATTCAAGTCTCACCATCGCGGTGGTGCTACTTCGTAGACTGCTTGTCGATAGTGAGAGTCCAGGGCCTGGCTATTTTTGTGCCTTGTTCCTGGATAGCTTGACAAGGTAATGAAGTGTCTAATGTTGCTGTGAGAACCTCTTCTTCTCCTTTTTTTTTTCTCACCCGGTTTTCGCTATTCAAATGTGCAAGTCGGGAAGCACATGTAAACCTGGAAGCCCCGTAGAACAAACCAAAGAAGGCGATAGAGTGCTGTGGAAAACGCTCAATTGCCTACTAAGACGGCAGCTAAACTCAATGATTTAGAACATTACCTGTTGGTTGCCGGTTTAGACCGTGGTTAGATGGTGTTAGCGCCGATATGCGCTAGTACACCCTCTGTTCTGGAGCCTCTGGAGAGTCCGTACGGGTGTGAGAGTGCGAGCACAACAAGTCCGTAGTTGAAAGATGCAGGTGTCAAAGTCCTACAAGTTGCAATTCTGGAATCTGTACTTGTACTATGTGTAGCCTCATTGGATTGATGGTTCGGATGTTAGCTCCCCCGACTTATAGATGAGCCCAGGAAGAGGGACATGATAGCAGAGACGTTGTATTGATGGAGGGCTTATTAAGTGGGCATTTTGCGCTTCAAACCTGAGCAAAAGACACATGTTACATCCTGAAAAGAAACTCCTTAGACACCCTTGTCGTCTACCTCCGCTGGTGATGCTAGGAAACTCGTATCTCGGCACCCTAAAGCTAGAGCAGGTGGAAACTGGTATACGACCGAACGATCCAGAGGGGAGCAGACATTATGGCAAGTTTGCCAAAAGGGGTACAAAAATGGCTAACTATTCTCACACTATCGCTTTTTATTCATTACAAATTCATAAATGATCCAAAACAAGTCATTGTCCATCAGACTGGGTTGGATATGGACGGCACTAACTGGGCACACAATGCCACGCCCGAACACACTTCAAAGAGGTTTCACTGACTCCGAAAAGAGTATTGACCACAACTAGTACTTTGGTTGAGCACTAGACTTGTCTTGGATCGGTTCTCGAATCTTTGTCGCCTTCGTTTCTCACAACATGCTTGCAAAACGCCCTCACAAATGTCCAGAACCTTCTAGTGAGCTCCAATGGCCAATGTCCATGTCCGATTCCGTCGACCAATGCACAGGCATCTTGCCACTCGTTCTAACGACCAATATCCAAGCCCCTTGGTTCCCTTGGTTACCTTTAGAGCCTTATGATATCTTGTGTCCCTCACGGGTAACAGAATAGAACCCTGCGACAGAAAGGTACCTCATATTCAGGCAGAGAAGGAGACAGTGCCAGCGTTGAGCCCAAATTGATGAGCGCTTCAGGTTGAAAATGCAACCAAACAAGAGACACCGTGTCCGTCAATTGCGGGTCGAGATCAATCATCTCTAGGGCTGAACACCAAGACTGATGCGTTGCAAATTGCCATATTGGCTTGGGTCTAAACCAAAGCAATGCTAACAAGAGCCCCATTCGGTCACCCTAAACAAATGCGGACTTCCCCAATCAATTGTCCAACCAATTTTTTCAATCGATTTCCAATCAATTTTCATTTGTCGCCGTGCGCCTAGTGTTTGCAAAACTCTGGTAGTTAATCTTGTGCCTAAATCAAGAGAGTTGCACCTCGCCCGCCACAGGCACTCACGGCAGAATTGCTCTAGTGTGATCCAATCGCCAGAAGGGAGCCTTTGCGACTAAGGGAATGTGCACCTTGGCAGTTTGTTCGTCTAGCTTCCCAAAGCTACACAATGACCCTCCGCCTGGCGAGCTTCTGGACCCAGAGGGGGCTAAGAACATTGGTTCTAGATCTGCCAATTGGACGGAGGACACCAACCCCACGAGCAAACACCATGTGTTGATCCGGTTGTCCAAAAACATTATATAAGACGCGCCATCAGCACTCTCATATTCCTCACCAACACTCCAACTCGAATCCTCTTCACTCTCAAACAATGCGATATCTGAAGACTGTGGCCCTCTCTGCCGCCCTCGTGGCTGCCCACCCTGCTGCCTCCAACATGGAGGACTCTGCTGCCCTCAACAAGCGAGGTGGCTACTACCACCATGACTCCTGGCCTTACTACAGACCCCAGAAGGACAATTGTGACCCCAAGATCGTAACCCAGCTCGTTACCTCCTGGAAGGAGTCTCCTGTCGTCACCAAGACCAACACTGTCACCTCTTGGAAGGAGCCTGCTACCGTTACTGTTACTAAGACTGAGCAGGGCCAGGTGATCGTCAAGACTGTCTACCCCGACAACCCCAAGCCCACCCACTGGGACTGGGACCATAAGGACCCCGAGCACCACTGGGACCCCAAGGACCCTGTCGACCCCAAGGACCCCGAGCACCACTGGGACCCCAAGGACCCCGAGCACCACTGGGACCCCAAGGACCCTGTCGACCCCAAGGACCCCGAGCACCACTGGGACCCCAAGGACCCTGAGCACCACTGGGACCCCAAGGACCCCGAGCACCCCGTCCCCCCCATCGACCCCGCGCTGGTCGACCCCTCCGACGTGTCCATTAATGATGTATCCGATGGTCACGACGGAAACAACAACGGAGTAGGCAACGGAGACTACAACGGTAACGACGACGGTCAGAGCAACGGTGACCACGGTATCAACGGTAACGACAACGGTGACGGCGACGGTTACGAGAACGGTAACAACGACGGTAACGGCAATGGCGCCGGCGGTATCAACGGTAACGAGAACGGCGATGGTGACGGTTTGGACAACGGTAACACCGATGGAAACGGAAACGGTGACGGTGGTAACAACGGCAACGGCAACGGTGACGGTGATGGTGCCAACAACGGAAACGACGACGGAAACCGAAACGGTGAATTCGGAAAGGACGGCAACAACAACGGCGACGGTGACGGCTTCCAGAACGGAAATGACGACGGAAACGATAACGGCGAGTACGGCACCAACGGTAACGACAACGGTGACGGAGACGGTATCCTGAACGGTAACGGCGACGGTAACGAGAACGGCGCAGACGGTGTTAACGGAAACGACAACGGAAACGGAAACGGTGTCGCCAACGGAAACAACGACGGAAACGGCAACGGTCCTGCTGGCTACGATGGCAACAACAACGGCAACGGCAACGGTTACGATAACGGCAACAACAACGGTAACGGTAACGGAGCCGGAGGCTACAACGGTAACAACAACGGCAACGGCGGAGGCAAGCACAACGGCAACAACGACGGTAACAACAACGGCCCTGGCGGCAACTTTGGTAACAACAACAAGTGGGGAAGCGGATTCGGCAACAACAACAAGTGGGGAAGCGGATTCGGCAACAACAACAAGTGGGGAAGCGGATTCGGCAACAACAACAACAAATGGGGAAGCGGATTCGGCAACAACAACAAGTGGGGAAGCGGATCCGGCAACAACATGTGGGGTAGCGGTGGTCGATTTGGCCGATCTTAATTCGCCATATCTGCCAAACAGCTTCTTGTGATTCAGATTCTCCAGCCTTGATGGCAACCTTCGTTTATAACTCTTAAGACCAATGAATTAGTGTGACTGATCTTGTGAATGTAGCGTGTTCGACAGTAGTCTCAAACCATGCAATGCAACTCTGATAGCAAGAGGTACCATCGCGACTGTGCGAGTAGCCGTGGGAGGTCGAAAGTAGCCCATGTGGCCTGCGTGCTGTGACCAGTATCACAAAACGTAGTATAGCTTAGTGTCATTACTCGTGTTCCAAAGCACCTCGTATTGTCTCCCGGTGGATCGTACGCTGACGGGTGCCAGGCTGTCTGTTCAACGTGTCTAGGGATCGTCAGTGTCTGGTTTGACAACACCAACGAGCATTCACTCAGAAAGAAGCCTACCGGGTAGTGCACCGGAACTGGAGTCGCATGGCATCCAGCATCCGGCTGCGCCCAGGTCACAGGCGAAGAGCAGAATGAGGGCTTGTGCGTGTTTGGAGATAGTCAACGGTCTGTGCTATCTCGGTAGTCGGGACGTGACGAGGGTATCTGGTGGAATGACATCTGTGTAGTAATCCACGTTCTTACCGTGGAAGGGTCGTGGTGGCATGGTGCATCTCGTGGAAATCGGTATAGTAATCCACCGGCTCGTGGTGTTTCTATCTCGGAGCGGCCGACCGGGTGTCTGTTTCCACCCACAGGTTCGCGTGTTGCTCCAGGGTATCTGTGAGTGTGCACTGTAGGAAGAAAGAAGCTGTTGTGCAGGAAGGAGCCCTGTTGGGGGGCCCTAGACATACCCCTCCAGCGCCCCTCCAGCAGTCACATTAAGTTCGAAACGTGGTTCGGAATTTTAGTGAGTTTGAAAATAGGCTATAATAGTGGGGGAAAAAATGGCACTGGTAGACCAGCACCAGAAGAGATACTCACACGGAGTACACGAAAAGACCGGATAAGGGCCAAAAAGAATGGTCCCTAGCAGGATCGAACTGCTGATCTTCGCGTTGCAAAGAGGCTAATTTCTTATTAGCACGACGCCTTAACCAACTGGGCCAAGGGACCGATCTTGACAGATTTTAATTGTGGCCATGGTGAGCTGAAAGTGAAAGATAAGCTGTATGAATCATTAGAATAAAAAAAAAAAAAAATCGGTAATGAATCATTAGAAACAGAAAAAAAATGTAGATATATTTATCCGTTCAAGAGATGGAACAGAAAGAGTACATGAACAAGCAAACACGAATGTCATGCGCTCTTCTGAACAACCGCATCCGAATCAGATTTGCCGGTATAACAGTGTCTTCAGGCTCAAGTGGTTGGAATGTATTTATCTAGAATAAAAAAATAATAAAAAAAATTTAGAAAGAGTGATTTAAATAAAAAATTAGAAAAAATAGAAAAACATCAGTAAAGGATAGAAAAAAAAACCTCCAACTACATCTACACCCTCTTGTCAATCTAAAAATACATTGGTTACATCTACTCGACCCGCTGCTTGTTGGCTATGCCAAAATAGGCACCAGCAACGCCAGCAAGAACAATGTAGACCAACTGGATAGCTCCAAAGGTGACGAGCCAGCCGGTAGAGATCTTGTACACATAGTACATGTAGATGACGTACGAAACGTTGTTGATGGTGTCTGCGGCGAATTGGCCCAGCAGCTGCTCCTGCCAGCTCACAGGCGTCTCGTTAGAGTAGAACTTGTCCTTGGAAATGACGTACAAGTTGTCACGGAGCGACTGTCCAAATCTGTCCAGCTCGCTGATGAGGGAAATCCAGAACAGAGCCCATCCCAAACCGTTGCTCTTGCTGAGGGATTGCTCCACGCCATACGCCTCTTTGAAGAAGTCGATAGTGGCTACTCCCTTGGCTAGCGCTGTGAGTGTCAGAATCGTGCCCTGGACTCGTCGGTACGCCTCCATCGATTCGCCATCGTGTTGCTGGTCAGCTTCCGTTTCCACGGGCTCCATATGTTCGTTTTCCATGGTGTGAGTGATGACGGCGAAGTAGCAAGGTTCGAGTAGCGCATCTTCGTGCAGCACACCAAACGCTGCTTGTGAGACATGTCCCTGCCTGTATGGCAGAGAGCCTCTCCCCTCTGATCTTCATTAAATAAAATTAAATTAAACGCCTAATATACAAATCTATAACCGCAAAAACTAGTAATCCACAGGAGTGTCCCAGATGGGAATGTGGCCAAGCTCGGCAAACTCAATCGCCTCCTTCTTCTTGCCCTTTTTGTTCACCTCCTCAATCTTGTACCAAGCTCCCTTGTCGGTGGCATCCACCCCAGCAGCCTCAGTCTCCTCAACCTCCACGGTAGAGAGTCCATAGGGATCCTGCGCCATCCAGATGAGAGGACCAGGAGCAGATGTGGCAGGGTGCAGGAAGGCTGCCTTCTCCTGCTCAATGGTCAGAGGAGCAGCAGGCTCGTGGAAGTAGGGAGTCAGGAAAGTCTTCTGCAGATGTCGAGGAGCCAGCTGCTCGTAGGGACTGAGGAACTGCATGATGGTCGACTGGTGGGTGGGAGGTCGGTAGTGAGGATCCTCACCGCCGTCGTACGAGGTGTACGTGTTGGTGGTGGTAGCAATCTTCTCAGTATCGGTCTCAACGCCATCCTTCTCAGAAGACAGAATGGGGTGCTCCTGAGGAACACCCAGGTTGGCAGAATGTGTAGCCCTGATATTGCCTTGCTCATCGGGAAGGTAGGCATGGGCGTCAGAGAAGACGTCACCAGAGAGACGAGGAGGGGCATCAAGAAGACGCTGCTTCTCGGGGGCGCCGACAGCACACTCTCGCATCAGGTTGATGGGCACAGCGTCCAGCAGAGGGTTGAAGGCCTTGAGCATGGTCTTGTGGAAGAAGCAGGTGAAGACGAGGAAGATGACCTGCAGAGCAAGCGGTCCCCAAGACTTTGCCATAATGAACAGAGCCAGCATGAAAATCTGGCCAAAGTAAATGCCGAGCATGGTTTGTCGCAGAGCTCGAGAGTAGTAGATTCCTCGCCCATCAGCAGGCACCTCGCAGTATACCAGGTTGTTGAGGAAAACGAGGTAGATGAGAGCGAAACCAACGGCGGAAAAGACAAGGATGATGGGCGAGACACACGCGTAGGCGATTGAAACAACAATCAGGAACGTGTACATGGGGAAGACAGTTCCCCAGGAGGTAGAGCCAAGAATGTTGTATCGGGTCCACATCTTACGGGGAGTGTTGTCGAGCAGAGTGCCGAGCAGCTTGAAGAGAATCAGAGCGACAATCTGCAGCAGGGCACCACCAGGGAAAGACAGGGCCTGCAGCATGATGTAGGACACAAAGAAGTTAGACGACTTGGGCAAATTACCGGACAGCATCGTCATGACGGATCCTGGGTTGTCCTTGATGGCCTTGACGGTGGCAGCTGCAGAAGAGGCAAAGGTGGTGATGAGGAAGACGTTAACAAACTGGAAAGCAAAGTAGGCGTTCTGTGTGTAGTACTCGACCCGGGTAGTGGTGGGGCAACCAGCCTGTTTGGCACACTGTCGGATGATGATGGGAAGCAGCATCATGAGCACAGCCATAAGAATGGTGGGGAGCAGACCAGACACCAGACCCTGCAGCTGCGAGGGCAGGTTGTTGAGGAAGTCGAGGAAGGGAACAAGACCAGTCAGCGACTTGATGTTGGAGAAGGAACCAACCACAGCCACAGGGATGGCCCACAGCACAATCAGGGCGGTCAGGAAGGCCTTGACAACCATGGCCTTGGTGACTCGCTCCCACCACTTGACTCGCAGGTTGGACCAGATGACCTCGTCGGGAGAGATACCGGTGTATCGAGGGGCAGCGTGCAGAGCCTTGTGGTGGGCAAGCAGCTGGTAGGCGACCTGGGCGTCCTCCTGGGTGTTGAAGAGCACAAACGCGGAGTTTAGCTTGTCGTTCTGGTCTAGATGGGCCTGCATGTCTTCAATCTCTCGGTTCAGCTTGCCCACCTCGGTTCGGGCGTAGTTGATGGTATCAACCTTCTCTCCAATGAGGAACTTGAGTCGGTGAGTGGGTCGCTTCTTGTCGAGCACAAACGTGGACATATTTCCGTCCTGGAACGACAGATCCTTGGGGGTCTTGCCCTTGTTTTCGGCCTTAAGCTTGTTTTTGATAGCCATCTTGATCATTTTGTTTTCGGCTCCCTCCAGCTTGCCAGCTAGTTTTTCTCGCTCGGCAACCTTCTTCTCAATCTTCTTGAAGTTTCGCGACACGTAGACGGTGTGCACGCCTCGGAAGAGCTTTCGCAGCTCGGTCTCGTCCTGGTAGTCTTCGGGCAGCGAGGTGATGAGCACGACTCGCGACGAGAGTCGGGTGGAGTAGGCGGGGGAGGTCAGAACCGCCTGTCGGATGGAAATGAAGTAGACAAACTCTCGGTAGATCATAAACAGACAGAATCCAAAGAAGATCCAGCCAAGCAGAACGTGGGCGTAGAATCGGTTGGACTCGGAGGGCGACAGAATGTTTGTGAAGCCCAGCAGGTTGAGACCCCCGGCATCTCCCTTGCCAGTGGCATTGACGGGCAGCAGAATGGGGTACAGAAGCACAATGCCCACAACCACAATGATGAACGACAGTCGGATGTATCGCAGGAAGAAGTAGCCGTCGAGTCCGGCCTCCTCCAGAATTCGCGAGTCCTTCTTGTGCCACAGCTGCATCAGCCACGACACCGGGGACACGGCCTGCGGTTCGGTTCGCTCTCGCTCCGGCACCGTTGGCAGGAACGATCGGGGTTGGTAGATTCGCTTGAACTTGGGTCGCAGAATGAGAAAGGCAATGAAAAACACGCCGAGCGTCACTCCGTTGGAAATCAACGTCGTGACCATGTTGGACACCGAGGTGTCCTGGGTGTTGGCCTCTCCGTTGTCGGCAGCCATTTCGGAATCAGGTTTTGGTAGTGTCGAGGGGTCGGCTAAGTTGGACAATACAATTGGGCTTTTTTGCTACAGGGCCCACCCACGTATTAATATGTGAGGTACGCACATGGAGACGGGGGGCACAAACGGGCTCGTTACACAAACGGATTTAGGTTCAGGGGAACAATAGGAAGGTTTAAGTTTTGGAGAGTCCTGCAATGCAACGTTATGCATGCAACTGCTTGTTCGGTGGTGCTAGGAATGTGGTCTAGGAATGTGCAAACAATTTGGGGGGTGGTCAACGGGGGCGTTGGAGGTACGTTTTGGCAATTTTGAGATGTAAAATCGACTTCAACGCGTCAAAAGGGCCCATATGGCTACTTTGAACGCCAGATTACCGCCCCTACATCCACCCCCGCCCCCCGCTATACTTTTGAGTGCACTCTAAAAAGAAACACTGTGGAGCCCTCGTCACGAGAAGCTGTCAAACCCGGTAGGGGTCTAGTTTGCGCCGTAATAATCAGTCAGCGATACAAATAGGTCTGCTGGAACCGTCGCAACGAGAGGCATGCTGTGGACCCCCTATTCCCGTCCTGGCTCGTCTTGTCGGCCATTTGGACCCTTGCAAGACAGGTCCCTTCAAGGTTCCATTGTCATCTCCACCTACGATAATAGGCAGGCACAGTCGATCGACAGAGCCCAAAGATACGTGTTGGAAGAGCAGCTCGACACGTCCGAGAGGGGGTCCATTACACCCGTTGCTCTGCAAGTCCTGCTCCATTGCTCTTGCTCCCGTAGCTGCATACGATAAGACTACTTGTACGGTAGTGCGGTTTGGAGAACGACTTAGAGGCGTCCGCAAGCAGTCTAGGACCACGCTAGGGACGCTACCGACACTAGAGTGGAGTGGAGAATCGGGGTCTGGTGGGCCCATTTCGTTTGCCATCCTTGCTATTCTCAAAGTCGGAACAGACAAGACAAGGCAGACAAGACAGTAGTCGTCCTTGAATTACGCCATGCATCGAAAGAAAGAAGACTGGATGAGTAGCAAGGTGGCAGAGAAAAGTGTCTTTTTGTTCCCGAAAGTTGCGACAAGACCATGGAAGGTCTGGATTGTCAACTTTCCGTGTCCACATTTCCTCTATCGTACTTGTACTGTACTCCTACTCTACCTATACCATACTTGAACTGTACTGCCAACGCACTCTGCAGATGCCAATTTCCCAATCGGAAAGCAAGCCTGTACTTCAGTACTTTTTGTGCACATCTCCTGCCCTTTTGGACCCATGGCGCACGGCTGGAATCTGCAATCTTTTGTCTTTTATTGTGGCAAACGTCAAAACGTGTTTTAGTTGGTCGATCGGAGCAAGACTGCGAGCGAAGACTGAAGACTACGAAGACTGATAACTGAGCCGAGAGCTGTTGGCTGGTCATGTGATTCGAGGGAGAATCATATCGCCGACCCCCTAGAGACTGATTCCATGACGTGTTTTATTTTCTACAGTGTCTATAGCGGGAGTTCTTTCGCCATTTTTTATTTTTGTAGTTTTTTTGTTTTTTTTCAATTATTTTTTTCCTTTTCCTTTTTTCGTTTGCCGTTTGCCGATTGCAAAAATGAAATACAATTGTACATACAGTACATACATGGTTGTAGCAGGAATAAAAAAAAGAAATCAATAGCAAAAATCAGGAAACTAGCAAGAATTAGGAATCCAGAAAAATCAGAAAAAATCAGAAACAAGGCGATCCGAGCAGCTATATTCAGAAGCGCCGGTTTTCATGTAGTTTCGAGTGTTTTGGCGGTCTCTCTCATCATATCCACCTCCTCATACACCCCACCATCCCACCTTCAAGGCTACATTCCTGTGACAGCAGCCGACCGCGAACAAAGAACGTTTCACATGTCATGCATCACTGTCACGGGACATCCTGAGAAGATGACAGGCGACCGCAGGACCAAGATTGCTGCAATAGATGGAAACGAGCAGAGACAGGCGCAGCGCGACAACGCCTTTGTCTAGCAACAAACCTGTGTCTCTTTGCTGTATGTAATGGGTGGTCTGTGTGCTATGTTTGAACGTGTTTGTCGACAAGGTTTTTTGCACTCTTTTTTTAAAAATCCTTTTTTTTTATGCACAATGACGGTTCCTGAGACTGGAACCTCAACGTTAGTAACGAGAGACGAGGCTGTGTCTGTAGGGAAGGAGGCTGTGGCTGTGGAGAAGATTCGACATTGCTGTTGCACGTGACGTGCAAGTATGAGTGACTATGATGTCATGAAGTTGGACTAAGGAATTGATTACGTACGTAGACGGGACCAGCTTTTGGGTCTCGGTAAGAACCCATTGCTGAGGAGCGGTCTCAAGCTACTTGTAGTGGGAGAAAACCGACCATCGCACCGCGGTCGCTCGTTCTTGTACCCTTCTTTGACCGCTCACTTTGTCGCAGCATCGCACTAATGACATGTGCAGGCATGGAAGTCTGCGCAGAAGCAGCATGAGACAGTCCCACAGAGACAGCATTGTGTGGGTGAATACGGTTGGTTGAATGGCAGCAACTGGTGGAAAGAGTCCAAGTCCTGGCACTGGTCCATCATCCAATCTGCTCTGGTCTGATATCACGCTAGTAGAGCCCTGTGGTGGACCATGATAGCCTGAAAGGTCAACCGGGGTCTACAAGCCCAAACAGCTAACTTGGCGGTCATGATAAACAGACTGACCGTCCCAGACACACATGTAACCTCCACGATTCCACAACGCATCCCGTACCACCCATTACATCCCCATAGCTCCGTCCCCATAGCCCCGTCCCCATAGCTCCATCCCCATAGCATCCGTAGCCCCCGACGTAGCATTCCACATTCCCACCCCACCGCTCCCCCCGCCCGCTCGTCACGCGACTGCACAAAATCACGCTGCACACAATCACGCCGTCTCCTTATCGACCCCATCGGAAGTATCTTCAATCTTGTCAAGCAGCTCGTCGGCAAGTTGACCCTCGCCGCCGTCCTCGGGCTTGTTCACAACCGGCCGAATCTGTCCCAAGATCCACGCCTCCTTAAGCGAGCGGGTCACAAACAAAAGGTCTTCCAGAGACCGCACCATGGCCGAAGTCGACTCTTCTACCAGGTACGTTTCCATCGCCAGCGCGGATTTGTCCTTGGATGACACCTTGGCCGAGTTGACAATGTCCGTGAACTTGGAGTTCAGCTGCTCCGTGGCATTGTCCACCCGCTGAAGAAGAGTAATTGATCTGTTGCTCATGTTCGTGTCGACTGTGGTGGTGTGAAAAACATAGGGTGAAGTTATACTATTTTATGTAATCGTATGCATGAAACTTGGGGGGGGACGTACAATGAAGTGGAATGCGACTGTAGAGAGATATCAAGACTCTACACGGGAAAATGGAAAACGGCAATCAACTCCCCATGTCCGATTTAGCTACTGTGCAACTCTTTAGACCTTCAGAGACCATACATGATCAAAAACCCCGAGACCATTCAGGTTAAGAACCCCAAGGCCATACATGCTTAGTAACCCCGAGGCCATCCCACGGCACTAAGAACAATGTGAGTGTAGAAAGTTCTGCGTCAGCTGCTGGAAAAATAAATACTTTTTCCGAATCTCCGTTGTCGAGTTACCATGCACATCCATTTTCAGACCGCTAGCACCAGCCGGACATCTCATAGATCTCTTGTGAACATTCACAAGAAACACCAAACTCGTCAATCATCTCCCTCACCTGTAGCATCTCACTACATCTCACCAGGCCAAATATTAGGAGGATAATAGCCTCCTCTGTAGTATCACGTGACAGCATAAGATGTGTGTGTCTCTTCCTCCCCGCCGCCCTCTTATTAGCCGCTCATTTCGCTGGGGGCCTTCTCTCCTCCTCCTCCTCCTCTGTGCTTAGTAAGCAAACCTACTCCCAGCGCGTTGAGCGGTGTAATGCGAAGTAAATCACACTGCACGTCGCAGGAACGACACACCCACACCCGCTCGAAAATGACCTCGATCGAAGAGGCGATAGAGCTGCTGCACGAGTGCAAACACGTACCTGAGCCGCTGGTGCGACAAATCTGTGCCAAGGCGCAGGAGATTCTCGTGGAGGAGTCCAACGTGCAGCTGGTGGACACTCCGGTGGTCATTTGTGGAGACATTCACGGGCAGTTTCACGATCTGCTGACGCTGTTTGCGATTGGGGGTGGAGAGCCTCCGAATGCAGCTTATCTGTTTCTGGGCGATTTCGTCGATCGGGGCTTTTATTCTCTGGAATGCTTTCTGCTGCTCATTTGTCTCAAGGTACGATATCCCGACAAGATCACGTTGATCAGAGGCAACCACGAGAGTCGGCAGATCACCACGGTCTACGGCTTCTACGACGAGTGTCTGCGCAAGTACGGCTCGGCCTCTGTGTGGAGACTATGTTGTGGAGTGTTTGACTATCTGTCTCTCAGTGCCCTTGTGGGCGGTCCTGGAGGAGTGTTTTGTGTGCATGGAGGTCTGAGTCCGACAGTCAAGCAGCTGGATCACGTGCGACTGATCGATAGAAAGCAGGAGGTGCCTCACGACGGGCCTATGTGTGATTTGTTATGGAGCGATCCAGATGACAGTGTGGAGGATGCAGATGATGAGGCCATGGAGCTCGCTACATCCTGGGGAGTGTCGCCAAGAGGTGCAGGATACCTGTTTGGACCCAACCCCGTGCACGAGTTCAACCAGATCAACAATACGACTCTTATTGCCCGGGCTCATCAACTGGTCATGGAGGGATACAAGGAGATGTTTGACCAGTCGCTGGTCACGGTCTGGAGTGCACCAAATTACTGCTATCGGTGCGGAAACGTGGCGGCGGTGCTGGAAATCACAGATTCCATGGAACGCCAGTACAAGGTCTTCCATGCCAAGGATGCAGATGTGGGTGGAAATGAAGGTATGCCCATGAAAAAGCCTGTTGCGGAGTACTTTTTATGAAGAGACCCACAAATAACGGTCAGGAGTGCATGTCATGAGCGACTGGCCGATTTCACAAGGGTCAGAAATGATGTTCTGCTTCGTTTCATGCTCTTCCACCTCCGTGAAGTCTCTGGAGCATCTGAGGTGGCTCCTTTACCATCGCAGTCTCATCTCAAGCGAGTCAAGCGGGTATACAACATCCAACGTCGCCATCCAATAACTACACATCACTGAAGCGACCCATTGTCCCCGACGACCTCAGCATCAACTAACATGTCCGCAGACACCACATAATCATGTATTATAATGACGAATGATGAACCAATGATGTACAAGTTTTTACGCATTCCAGGATGAATTGTGGTAACTGAGTTCGGCATTGCAATAGATAGAATAGAATAAAATAAAATACATAGCTATGGAGATCCTTTGAGCTGGTCCATTAGTCATGAGTTTGACTCAACTTTGACACCTGACAAGTAGTCGTGATACTGTTAGTGGTCGTGGGCTTGGCTGGTTGATCGTGGCTGGTTGATCGTGGGCTTGGCTGTTTTCCGTTCGTGGTTGCTTCGCCATCCATAATCAGCAACCACTCTTTTGGGCACCGCTTAACCCGAGATCTTAGGCATCTCGTTCTGGTCCGTCAGCTTGGACAGATGGTCGTTGTAGTCCTGCACTCTTTCCTTGAACGGTTTCTGCTTCGTCATCTTTTCCATGAGCTGGGTTAGTATATTCTTACGGCGGTTAGACAGCCTGAAGTTACCTGGTAGGGAGGATCAGAAGAGTGTGTCGTCTGTCTGTCTGGAGAGATATCGGCGGACAACTGTAGGTCGGTAGTCAAGTAATAGAAGCTGGTCTTCCCATTAAAGCTGACCTTCAAAGCTGACCAAGATCATTGTAAACCACTTGTCGGTAGTCTGTCAACCAACATCGACTTCTGACAGTACACATTGCCACAACAGGAGGTTCAACAACGCAGAAATAAGACGATATTGACCCCACTTGATGCCGCTGAAAAATCCTGATCCAGACAGTCAACGCTCAAAATGATAGTGTTATTTGTTCGAGATCGAAATGCGGCCCTGCTGTTCTACTACTGTAGGCCTGAACAAACGCAGATAATGTGCGGTGAAAGCCGACCTTCGATCGGCCACCACATCCCCCCTGTCCGCTCACTTGCATACTCACTCTCTCTTTCTTGGCCTCCTCAAACTTCTTCTGGGCGTCAGTCAGATACGGCTCTTTAGGCGTTCGGGTGGTCTCCACTGGCGAGGTGCTCGCGGCAATCTTGGCCTTGTCCATTCGCTTGGAGGACGATCCCGGAATAGGGATCGCGCCCTTGGTCTCCACAGAAGGAGGAGTCTCCGAAATGGACTCTTTGGCATGCTCTGTATCGTGAGGAGACTTGGCGATATCCTTGGCTGAAGGCAGTGACATTGTTGGTGGTGATGAGGATGGTGCTGGTGCTGGAGAAGACGTCTTGGAGATCTTTTTCTTTTTCGACTTGGTTACTTTGCCCTTGTCGCCCTTGAGTTTCAACCGACCGCCCGGCTTAGTGTCGTAGAGGCCCATTATAAGGAAGCAGCGGGATCACGTGAATCTGACGTCACGATAGCAAGGAAGAGCGCCTGCGCCTTGTCTGGATCTCTGTGGGTTGGGGTTGGAGGTGTAACGGAGGTTGGGTTTGGTTTCAGATTGTGCTTACTAACCGTTCAGGGTACGGGTAGATCTCGTTGGTGTTGTTGCCGGGATTGTCGGTCGGAAAATCTCGGACTGGACGAGTGGGTCCACTGTGGCAGGTAAGAGGTGAAGTGAGGTGATGTTTTTGCTATCATGAAAATGGGGAAAAGGGGAAAATGGGGAAAATGGGGAAAATGGGGAAAATGGGGAAAATGGGAAAAATTGGGGAAAATGGGAAAAATTGGGGAAAATGGGAAAAGTTGGAAAAAAATGGGAAAAAATGGGAAAAACTTGCAAAAGTAATTCCCGATAACACAAAAAATTGTGGTTTTCTCGCAAATTTTACATGTATAAATCCTCGTCGCTTGTATAAATATCTTCTTTTTTTACATAAAATAACTGCCATTTGTTATTCTCCCAATCTAAATAAATTAATTAAACAGCAAGTTTAGAATGACAGCAATATCCAAGTGATGTTACCTGGAGCTACAAGTACGAGTACAATACGAGCACGAGTACTCGACGACCGTCTAAGACAGCTAAATCTCTGCCAAATACGGCGTGACTCATTAGGACACCAGATCACCAGCCTTCCTGACGCTCAAACTCCACCGCTACACTGCACGTTCTCTGCTGCTGCGTCCCGTTCTAGAAGTGGGAGTTCCCATTGTGGCAGTATAAGCTTATGTGATTGGCGGCACGGTGAGACGGGCGATGCGGGTATAATGATGGGACCTTGTTTATGGGGCGTGTTTGTGGGGGTCTATCAGAGTATGGGGAGGTTTAGGGCACCATGTAGACGGCGATATGGGCTAGGGGAGCGGTTCGGGGCCGTTGTTGTATTACTAAGCCGTCCGGTGGTCTTATCTGTGCTCCCTCCTCCTTCCCCCCGTCCAGATCCACGCCTTCCCCACCTGATCAGACTATGCATGTAGGCGCTATACATCCACCACGCAGTCCTGACATGACATACATTTGGACTCAAACTCAGCCAGTCCCACAACCGGAAAAGGAACATCAAAACGACCCTAGTCAGATCAAACGCCGTCGATTCGACCCTCCACGACACTCAGCAATACTCACACGGCCCGCCCAAGTTACACAAAGCCGCCGGCAACACACATCACAATGAAGGTAAGTGGTTGGAGACGGTACAGAGATTGTGTTCGATAAGCTGTTTGGCGAGGTCGGACGTCTTGGGGACGAAATGGGATACCGAGGGGGGTTTGTGGCGATTGATTTTTGCCCTTCAATCAGTCGAGGTTGGCGATGAAGGGGTGTTTCTTGAATGTTTATCCCTCAGACACCGGCTAACACGCGACGAAAATCACTCAGCGCGTGTTACCGGGGTGGTGTGGTGATAAGAAGAGGTTTCAGGATGTGCAAGTCGATTTTAGCAGACAGAGTTGTCGATACACACGAGGATAGACACACAGAGACATACAGAGAGGCACACAGAAAGGCGCACACAGCGACACACACAGAGAAACACGCAGAGGGTACACGCAAACATACCGTGCTCTCGACAAGCGACACAGACACAAGCCCAACCACAAACCCAGATGCGCATCTTAGTCTCTCTATCTGTGCCGTGATTGCTCTTCCCCCATCTCACAACCCATCAACTCACACTAACCCAGTTCATACAAGATCACACACTCGACGAGGTGGCATCAGCACTCAAATTCGACACACCCGAATGCCACGTTTCCGGCAACATTGACCTGTACACCACCAAACCCGCTTCCTCGGACAAGAAGCTGTACAAGGTGCTCGACAAGCAGCTGTCGTACCATCAAGACGCGCTCGACTCATTCACCTCCATCTCCACCCTCGGCACATCTTTCTCTCCCCCACAAGTGCTCACCTTTGACAACTACTACCAATACGGCAAATCGTTGGACAGCAGCGTCAGCAAGATGAGCAATCGAAGCCCCAAGGGCGTGAGCAAAGTGCCCAAGCAAAGAACCTATTCTTCCTCGAGAGCAGGCGTCTCTGTCGGCTCGCTATCGCCTCTACTCTCCTCTCCCTTTGGAGATATGAGCGAAACTGCCAGTAGGAAGGTGTTTGCTTATCTGATTGCGATTCTCAATGCGTCAGACCCTAATCACGACTTTTCCGTGCTACAGCCGGACGACTTTCAGCGCGAGCCGAGCGCATCGGCCGTGATTTCGTCCTTCAACAACGTGCTGTTCGGCCTGGGTATGCCGATCCCGCCCCGGATGTGGGACGTACTGGACAAGAGCATCGAGATGCACAACTGCACAATCTTTTCCTTCACGCCCGACGCCACGATTCTCGCCGACGAGCCTGGCGCCCTGTGGGCATTAAGCTGGTTCTTTTTCAATAAGAGAATGAAGCGAGTCGCATGTATTTCTCTCAACGCAAGGAGGCATTCTCTGTCGCCTACGCTGGGGCCCAAGATTATGAGGTCCGATGTGATCAACGGTGACGACGAAGAAGATTATGATCTCACGTATTCTTCCGACACTGACATGTACGACGAGATTGTCGGAGAACTTGATCTGGAGTAGTCCAGAGCACATTTTTATTTAACACAGCAGCACTCGGCCGAGAACACCACTCAGTTTAACAGTTCAACAATGTTCGAGCCTATGACGTTTGATTTTTCAACATATGAGTAATAAATGTATACCAGGTACGGTGGAGAGAGTAGATATGGCATTGGCGCTGCTGTGTATTCCCGCGAGTGCGCTGTGATTCGCTTCCCATCAGCTATACGCGGTCGGGGCTGGGTCAAACTATCCAATCATCTGTGTTGGACCAAGACATCGGCAATTCGCTCCCCGCCCCGTCAATGGCGTAATTGGCTGCCGAAGCGACATTGGTGATTGCGTATCGTGTCCAACGATATCCCCTGAGTCTATCGTGCATAGGCCTCGGTGTGCCTGATTGATAACTGGCTTCTATAGGTTCCATTACGGGGTGGAGGACGAGCACCGTGTGATGGACAGAGATATACAACGACTTGGGCTGGTTGCCGGGTTGTTTCTGGTGTTTCTATGTTTACAATTACCACAATATTTCTAGCCCATCTAGTCATTGTTGTGGTCTTGCTTTTGCGATGAGCGCATGCAAAATGTACCTGAAGTAAACAGATGTGTTCCCTGGCTCATGTGGGTGGGTGGTCCGAGACATTTACCGCTCCAAGACGAGATTGCGGCGCCCACACGGCTCCAGATGATAGGTCCGTTAATACTGTTTCCCGCACGTATACTTTTTCTTGCGACTTAACTACCCCCGACGCCACAACTACGCAATGGCTTATTTATTGCGTGTACCTGTGTCGTCCTCGGCTGTCCAGAGTGGCTTATCAGTCACTGTACGGCTTTTCGAGAAGCGCACCTAGTATTGCAACTCTAAGCCAAGATGCCAAGCCGTGGCGCTGTACCTGCGATGCCTTGGCATCTGACTGATCATTTTAGGGGCCACATACGAGCATGGATGTTGCTGAAACTAGCTGAAATGGACCACCACGGATTTTTGATACGGTAGTAGCCATATGGTACACTCATTCACCATCTATACCCCTGAATCATGTCAAACCCTTTTAGCTTGTTAGAATCTATTCAACCATGTAAAGTTCAATTAAAAGTTTCTCCACCTGAAAGATCTTCGTGCCGTTCGTCTCGGTGATAAGCCATTTCATGCGGGTGATGTTGATATATAATGTCAGCTCGATTCTGGGGTGAATTTACTGCTCTCATCAGCAATGAAGTTCTCCATCCTCGCTCTCACTACTCTCCTGGCTGCGGTGTCTGCTGGCAAAGTCATCCAACTAGACTTTGTTCGAACCACCAGCTCCAGCCCCATCCGACAGAAGAAGATCACTCTGCCCAAGGGTCTCAAGGTCGACCTGGCCATTCCTGTGGAAAATGATCTTGTTCTGTATTCTGCAAAGGTCCAGGTGGGTTCTCCTGAACAGGAGTTTGTGGTGCAGGTAGATACCGGTTCTTCTGATCTGTGGCTCTACGACTCGTCTGATCTGTGCATTGGCGGAGGCTGTAAGCAGTATGGACTGTTCAACACCAACGCCTCTTCTACTTTCAAAGATATTCTCCCAGGAAAGTTTGGCATCAGCTATGGCGACGGCTCTTACGCCAAGGGCGACTGGGCAGAAGACACCGTCACTATCCAGGGAGTCAAGATCCCCAAGCAGCAATTTGGCCTAGCCAAGAATACCACTGCCACTCCTGCCATTCTGGGAATCGGACTGACCGGTCTGGAGGCTGCGGAAAAGGAGTACAACAACGTGCCCAAGAGTCTGTATCTCAATGGAGACATCGGCTCGTACACTTATTCTCTCTATCTGGACGATCTTGAGGCCACCCAGGGCAGTATTCTGTTTGGTGGTATCGACAAGAGTCACTTTTCCGGTCCTCTCAAGACTGTCCCTCTGATTTCCTCCTACGCCTTCTGGGTGACTCTGTCAAGGCTGGATATCAAGAGCGAAACCAGAAACAAGACCGTCAACGCGCTAGACGTGCCCGGTCAGGTACTTCTCGACAGTGGAACTACTCTCACATACCTGCCTACCATCTCCTACGAGACCATTCTACAGGACTGGGGGATTGACATTGACCCCGACTACGGAGCCATTGTTCCGGAATACAAGCTGCAGAAGCTACAGGACGAGTATCTCGAGTACAATTTGCAGGGAGCAAAGATCAAGGTCTCGGCTGCTCAACTGTTCGCCCCGGCATACACTGGAGATGACCTCAACACGGTAGCTATTTACCCCAACGGCCAGAAGGCTTATGGATTCCTTGTTGCTCCTAACGGTAACTCCACCGAAGGCCTCATTCTGGGCGACTCTTTCCTGCGATCTGCCTACGTGGTTTACGACCTGCCCAACCTTCAAATCTCTCTTGCTCAAGCCGATTACTCCGGCGGAGCTCCTCAAATCGAGCCCATTGACCCGGGTCTCAACGCCGTGCCTGGTGCTACTCCCGTGAGAGACTGGGGGGCCGTCTACAGCAATGTTCCCATATCCACCTCCGTCAACTACACCCCCACCACCTATACTCTTTCTCCCCGGCCATACAACGGTTCTTCTACCGACTGACCGGCTATATACTCATTTATTTAATGATTTCCATACCAGAGAAATTGTAGGCGAAATGATATCTTAGAAGGATATAGCAACCATTCTAGTGATGTAGAGTGGGGAAAGACTCTCTCGTGAGCTGTGTGTCGGTTAATTTGGAAGTACAGGTACAATAATGACCAATTTCACGATCGTCGTTGTTCATTGCCAATTCCACTAAATACTGGATATAACTCCTTGTACCATATGTACTTTCCGTTCAACAACTATAACATCTCTTCAGATCACTGCTCACAAAAACCCTTCTACTTGTAGTGAACTCAGAAAACATACTGATTTTAAATAGTCAATATTCCCATTTAAACCCATTTACCACTTTCAACTCTCTTATCGGACTCAAAATCAAACGGAGGTTTTTTTTTTTTTATTCTTTCACAGCAAAGTTATAATTAAATGAATGTATATGCAGAAAAAAAAAAATATTCTAATGATTCACACAGTTATACACTTCTAAGTCGGGTTATTGGCGTCAATAAATCATAGAATTAGTATTCTTTCTTGTTTTAATTCTAGAGAAATACTTCTTTTTCTACTCAAATACTTTTTTTTTTAATTTTAATTTCTATGATTAGATAATCAGCATGATCTAAATGTAGCATAAAAATAAATGCGTGTTAATAGTGGGCATTCTGGCCGAGTGGTCTAAGGCGCCAGGTTCAGGTAGCTGAATCAATATCCTGGTCTCTCCGGAGGCGAGAGTTCGAATCTCTCGGATGTCATTATTTTTGCAGCTGGCGGAATTTTGTGGGCAGTTGTGGAGCGAATCTTGTGTTTTTTTTTGGTCTGGATTACAATAAAGGACACTTTCCCCGATGTAGGTATTTTTCTGAAGAAACGCTTGAAGATGTTCAACTACAAGTACACAGCATGAGTATGTACTAGCTACTTGCACGCACTTGTACGCACTTGAACTCGTACCTTGGAGATAATACTGTAGTTCCAGTCAATGATTTTCCTAATCTCAACACTTATCTCTACACTACAATTTGAATATCGGGTGGGACTCTTGGTTCATGATTTATTGACCCAAGAGGTTGGGATTTTCACCTACTTCTCGAATAGTGGGACTCGGCTCATGCTCTGGCTCTTGTCGGCAACTAGCTGGCCTCGGCTCTATGGCCTGCTCTATGGCCTGCTCTATGGCCTGCTCTATGGCCTGCTCCGCTCTGGCGTTTAGCTCTCACTGCATCTGTGGACTCATTGGCACTTGTCCAGGAGAATGGCTCTTATTGCTCTTTGGACTTAATTGCTCATAAATGATGACATGCTCTTATGGCCTTTCAGAACTTGTGGCTTCGGTGTTTGCCCTCATACGGCATAGCCTGATAGGACTTACTGGCTGTTGCTTGGAATGGTACTGGCTCTGGTATTTCTGCTGTGGTTCTGACCAGTGTGGCTCTCAATGCTCTTTGGGCGTAATGGCTCTACTCTTCGGCGGCTCTGGCATTCGCTCTGACGATGGTGTTTCAGCTTTGGTGACTGACGTAATAGCTCTGGCTCTTGTGTGGCTCTGAACGTGGGCTCATTGCTTCAGTGAGACTTACTTGGCCCTGACCATATCTATGGCGCCTACTCTCTTCATTAGAAATAGTGTGCATAGCGCGTCATTGCCTTCTCAACCGACACAAGAGATCCTGGAAGTTCACGGCATTGCCAAATGACAACTCTAGCGGACGACAAAAAAAATGAATGTCCTTGTTGTAGACAGATCTCGTCGTAGACAGATCTCTGTTAGTTGTGGTGTGGACAGGTGTGCTTTCAGCACCCAGCAGGCTATAAAAGGCACCTCCTGACCCCAGAATGGCTCAGAATAAACTAGTCTGACCCTGAGGAAAATATCGGAGTCTAGAGGGGTTTATATATATCCCCAGGCCGAGCTCATTTTAGTTCAGGAAACGCGCATAACCCATGCACAAACATGCACAACCTGCAAGCACTGGGAAAAAAGAGAAGCTGATCAAAGCAGAAGCAAACGTCTTTGGCCTATAAGGGTTTAAGACGATCCAAACTATTTATTGTCGCAATCATTGCTTGATGTTTTTCTGCTGAGAAGACCTCAGAAACCCTCATATTAGCGATTTCAATTTGCCATGCCAAGAATTTCACCCTGCATAAACAACTTCAAATTTTCCAACATTGAAAATTGCAAATTGATCCAGTGGAACGTAGAAGAAAGATGTATCGGCCTTCTGAGGCCGCACAATCCGGGTTTGCAGAACAGCAAAAACATGTGTGTGTTATACGATGGCAAAAAGCAGGAGATTCGCTCTTCAGCGGGTCCCTTTTGGATGTCCTGGATGTGGAAGCAGGTTGGAGACGGAACAGAAAAGTGGCAAAAGAATTGCAGCACCTAGGATTCTCGTATGGTCTCCCACTACAATACTAACTAGGCTCTCTGGTGCTTGACTATGGCTGATCGGACGGGAAGCCGTATTTTCACCAGGATATGGCCGCAACTGCAAACAAGTGTCGTTGAACAGCAACATCGGGCCAGATATGTCACGTGAGCAGATTCCGGGAAGGCTGCGTAGGGAAAAATAGGCATGGACTCCGAAATTTTTCTGGGTCTCAATATTTTCCTTCGCGAATACAGTAAGCTTGAAGTATGGCCATTATAGTCTCCAAATGTGAATGCAAGTTATCCAGCGATGACTACGTCAAACCTCATGTTCAGATTTCACTTGTAGTTGGACATTTGAGTCGGCATGTGTGCAAGTTTGACACTTACAGAGCTGTATTGATGGCGTTATACGAGGAAGTATCACCAACGTCTCTCTCAAGACATTGTTTGATATGGACAAGCCAGTTGTTTGCGACGGCTCCTTTTTGGAGTGGATCTTTGAGTACTCGCCCGAGATGTCTATGATCTGACCAAAAGCGGCCTCGAGGAGCTCCTCTCAACGCGAGACACTAGCACACCTTTATTCAGTATGTACATTGTCAGTAACGATAGAGGTAGAGAGGATAATCTCGAGTACGAATACGGGTATGTACTGTACAATACCGAGAGTCTCTTGATCCTGATGGAGACGACCCTGGGTACTTCAAGAACATGTACTGTTACTTTTTGTCAGGTATCGTTCCTGGCGGGTTTGAATTTCGGAAGCGAATCATCGTCACAATGGTATTACGAATCGACAACTCGAGCTTCCACGGCTAAGCGGTGATTGCCAGTCGAGCACTGTAGGGAGGTATCTCATGATCCAGAAACCCGATAAGAAATCGGAAAAGTGCATTCTGTTTGGAGTGACCACCTGATTGATGCTAATAGCCATTTACAGCTGCCGATAAGCTGCCGAACCACATCGTCTTCAGCATCTCAGTTCACCTCGCTAAACCTTGGGTCCATTAAACCCCCGAATATGGGGGTTTTCTCACTGGCGTTTGAAGCTCCGCACGCATCCGCGGAGTTAAATATGCCATGCCGGCTTATCAGGAGTGCGGCCACAGGTTAAGAGTGGCTCCAGTTTGGGCGATGGGAGCTCGGATATCATCTATCTCATCTCTGAATGTTCCTTTTGGTCTCCCTTCGTTCTCTCAGTTCTCCTCATCAAACAATGCCACTTGCGCCGAAACAAGATTGCTCACTCTACATATGGCGCATATCTCAGGCGGGGTGGTGCAGCACAATCTGACCAATCAGTCATGTCCCAAAATAAGCCTGTCTGACTCCATCATTTTTCACTTCTGCCAACGGTGTGGAAAAGTCGTGTGAAAACCATTCTGAAAATGTCAACCTCTGCCGATCTGCGATCCGTGGACCCCGTGCCCTCCAACTACGAAAAGGCCGCACAATTGAACAGCAGAAAGCCCGGCACCAACGAGCCCGCTACACCCAGCGCAGAGCCTAAGAAACCACTGCCCGCCAACAACAGCTGGCTGTACCACCTGTTGACAGGCACCCAAAAGTACTCGGCGTTCCTGTTCACCGCCTTCCTGGGCCTACATGCCACCACCGTGATTGTGGCGCCGCTTTTCGGCATGGACGCCGCCAACAAGACCTTGTCCTTCACAAGAGCCATCTACCATGCCCCCTACGCCGAAAGTATTCTGGTGTACGGAGCCATTGTGGCCCACCTGCTATCCGGATGGGGTCTGCGAATCCGAAAGATGGTCCACGACTACCAAAAGTACGGAGAGCTCAAGGCCTCCAAATACATCTCCAAGATTTCACTCACAGGCATGATGTTCACCCCCATCATTGCCGGACACATTGCCGTCACCCGACTGGTGCCACTCTACGTCTCCGGCGACTCGTCCTACGTGTCTCTGGACTACATTGGCCACCTGGCCGACCACCACAGACTGCTGGGCAACTTTGCACTGTTTGGCATTGCTACTATCACCGGTCTGCACGTGAGCGCCGGCCTCAAGAAGTTCCTCAACGTGAAGTCCACCTGGGCCAAGAACCTCTTTAAATACGGCCTGTACGCATACTTTGCTGCCACCGTGGGAGCCATCATTCAGTACAACAGAATGGGTCCCACCGTCGGGTTCGTCGGCGATCTCTACAACCAGTACATTGCCGTGTACATGCCTTTCTAGGCGCGGGGGGTGGCCGTACAGTATATAGAGGGTTGGTGTTACGACATCAGTAGCAATAACATAATTGAATACAGCATTTTGAGACCATGTCCTAAAGTATTCTTGTTCAACTATTGTCCATGTTACACGTGTGTCGATTGAACTTCTCCAGAAGAAACGCCAGAAGAATGGCAGGCATCCAATTGAATCCCCAGGTCTCAGACGATCAAAGTCATACAATTGATTGGACTTTTGGTCGCTCGACTCTCCTGTCGATCTTGGATCCTGCGTTTCGCTGAGTCAGGTTTGCTCCGAGGGCTGTGCGCTTTCAACAGCTTGGACGAGATTTTGGCGAGGCGTTGGCACGAGTTTCATGGTTCTTGACTTACGTGGTTCGGACGCGTGGACTTGGCAAGAGGGCGCCAGACTGCTTGTTTCGCCGACAAGACTCTGGATGACAAAAACAATCATCTTTACCTGCTGAAAGATCTCAAGATGGATGCTTCTCTGGACTGCAACGAGGTGCTTCAAATTGACAAGAGCGAGGGCGTGAGGATACGGCTCAAGGAGATCTCAGACGTGGAGGCGACAGAGGGTGCTGATTCTAACGGTATCGAACCAACCACTGGCTTAGAGAAACATGTGGCTGATGCTGACGATGAGGGTTGTACTGCCACGTCCCCCTTGGGAACCAGAGTCTGCAACGATAGGGGGTCTGTTAGAATCATGGGTAAGAACGAACAGCTGATTCACATGCTGTTTGAATCTTACGAGGGAAGGGCAGACTGTCTGTTCCACACAGACCCCTGCCACTAATCGAGCAACTACCCCCACAAGCAGACGCTATGCGACGTTATGCCAACAAGGAGGTATCCACATTCAGATTTGCACTCTACCGCCTAGCCTGACTTAGCGGGCAGCCTATTCAGACTTCGATATCAAGTTTTAAACCACAATGGCTATCTCTTCGTGGTTCTGGCTGGACGTCTATCGCGGCTCAGGGTCGATTTGGGGTATCGCAGCGAGTTGTTTGATAATCTGGAGGTTGACAATATGATGTGTGGGGTTGAAACCGCTGTCTAACGGTCTTGGACTGCTACTTTCCCGCCATTGGAAGCTCCAGGGTCGTCGTTAAGGAGGAACCCTGACGTTTCCGGATCCTGAAGCAACTGGTGAAGGTATGAACCGGTATGTGAGTGTTGGAGATATCACCAAGACTGGCCAGACGTGAGGAGAGGGTCAGAGACCTCATTGAGCACGTGTTAACACGTTCAACAATGTGAATCGACTGCTAGACATGAAGTACCCTTGGGAACAGACTGCGGAAGAGAGAAGAGGAGCAGCCGGAGATGAAGCAGGGAAGAGACTGAAGAGGGAAGAAATGAGACTGGAGACGATGACGACGCTTGCTAAGAACCAGTCATCTACGACAATCTTTTCTGGGAAATTCCTGCCCAACTCAACCATCCACGAAAAGGCAAACGACTGACTCTGAAGGCCAGAGAGAACGACCCGAGACGGGACTATCGGCATCTGTAATGTAAACACACAGCTTAGCTACATACAGTACACACTTCCGTACAAGCACCTAATTACTCATAAATCATAATATATACATCCTATCTACTCTGGTTCATCGTCTAAAGTTTCGCTGCTGGAGCTGGCCAAGCTCTCCTCGTTCCCGCGCGCCCTGCAGTGCAATCACGTCCTTGATCTTATGCAGAGCCTCGTCAAGTAGCTCCTTTCGCTCCTGAAGCTCAATGTGCCGCTTGATTTTGGGATCCTCCTTGGCAAACTTGTCAATCTGGTCCTTGGTCAAGTTCTGGCCAAACCGCATGTCTAGCTCCCGAGGAAAGTTGTGGTAAAAGTCATTGAGCAACTCCACGTTGAGGAACAACACGGCAGTCTGCGTCATCTTATCGGCCACCACGTTAAGGAAAATCTCGGGACAATTGTACTTGTTGTCCTTGTTCTTGCACTGGCGCGACTTGATGGCGGCCATTCGCATCTTGAGCACCTCAGTTCGGTCTTTCAGAAAGAGACCCTCCCGTCCCTTTTGCAACAGAGCAGCAGAGAAGCCGTATGCTTCGGTGCCCTCGGCTGGAGTAACGACAGAGTTGCCGTTCATTCGCTGCTCCCGAGTCTTGTCCACAAAAGTCATCACTTGCGACAACTTTCTGCTGCCAATGTTAGACTTGAGCGAAGACAGAGCCTGCTCGCACTGCCGAAGCTCCTCCTTAAGCAGCACGTAGGAGTGATCTCGAGCATGAGCCCACTCCCGGTCATCCATATCAATCTCGTACTTGAATGGCTTGATACAGTTCTCAACCTGCTCGGCGGTGCTGTAGTATCGCATGTTGAGCAGAGAAGAAGCCGCGTCGTGGATGGTTTGGTATGCAAAAGGATGGCCGGCAAACGACGTGTTCGAAGTCAGACGCTCCATGTCGCTCACCAGAGAGTTGATGACGAGGTTGGTGCTCAGACGGCCGATACCAAGCTTGGTGAGGGTGCTGGTAGAGGCGTCCAGCTTTCGTTGCCAGTGGGGATCGTCGTTGGAGGCCGTGGAGAGCTTGGAAAGAGGAACGTCCTGGGCAAAGTCGCCCACAGTCATATTTTGCAGCTCCACAATGGGCTTGTTCCAGTACCGCTGGGCCAGCAGATCCAGAACCCGCTGGTCCAGCTCGCATCGAAGCAGGTTCTTGACCTCATCTCGGTCAAACGATTTAGAAAAGTCCTTGAACGCCTGCTTGAACGCGTCCAGCGAAGATGCAAGGTAGGTAGAGGGAGTCAGCGACCGATCGTTGTATTCCACCTTGAACATATAAGTGGCCTCCTCGAGCTCCTGCTGCACAGCGTCAAAAGTGGGGATCAGCGACTTAGCAAGCGTCTTCTCAAGGGTGTACATGAGCTTTTCCTTGAGCAGATTGGTGCCGACCTCGCAGCCGTTGTACTCGGGCGCCTGGGAGAAGAAGGCAGATTCGTTAGCTGAAACAAGCTCTCCGACTCGAGAAGATCGTCGGAACAGACCTCCAGAGGGAGCTCGGGTGATAACTCCGACATAACCCATGCTCAGAGGGTACTCCTTGTTGTTGAGGACGTTGTATCCTCTAATAGGGTCGACGAGATCCATCTTTGTGATGACACCAATAGTTCGTTCGCCCTGAGGATCAACTCTTCGAGAAGCTCGGAGAGCCGAAGAGTTGGCAAGATCGACATCGGCGGCAGAAATGGCCAGAATGATGTTGGGAGGCTGAATGTACTTTTCACACAGTTTCTGGATCTTGGTCTTCAGAGCAATAGGCTGGTCGTGAGAAGACACCTGAATGTAACCGGGCAGATCAGTCAGATTCAGATCGGGTACATTGGGTGAGTAAATATGCAGCTGAATGGGGTCGTCGGAGATGCATTCCTTCTCAGGGACAGCTAAATTCAGCTCAGTAAGAGTTCTCTGAATCATGCTAAAGTCCGTGATCTTGCCCATGTTGAGAGCAGGGAACTCTCCGTACTCAGACGCCGAATCGGGTGTGTTGATGAGCGTCAGCTCAATAGGCCGTCGGGTCACCATGTTGGAACCCTTGGGCAAGAACTCGTGACCCACAATGGCTTCCAACACAGACGACTTTCCGGACGATTGGGAGCCAATGACAACGATGGAAGGCAGCTGGAGAGCCTCCGACTCCTGCACCCGCGACAAAATGGCCCGAATCTCAATCATCTTCTTGGTCAGAAGCATGATGGCCTCGTCGTTGGTTCTGGGAGCAACAATCTCCTCCTCGGAGTTGTCGTATGTGGCAGCTCCTACCGCGGCAGCCAGAGCAGCAGCATCTGTGGTGCCTCCGCCATTGGGACTGCCTCCAGAGCCTCCGGAGCCTCCTTCTCCCCCAGTAGCGCCCTCTCCTCCCGCTGCGTTCGCGTCTGCTCCTTCAGCAGCACTTTCGCTTCTGGCCTGGCTGAATTCCTTCATGAAGTCCTTCATACTGTTGACGGTGTTTTCTCCAAACCCGGAAATGCCGTCCACGGCGCCCTTGGCCCAGTCGGTCACGCCATTCAGCTTGTCGGACGCAAACCCGGTCGCTTCGTTCACCTTGTGGTTGACGTAGGCTGCTCCGCCGACCATGACGCCTCCCAGAGCCGCGGGAACCCGCACGGCCTTGCCGAGGATCGCAAAGAAGGACACGTGGCGCTTGTTGTCTCCCAGAGTCGTGGGAAGATGGTGCACATGACGGGGCAGGTGTGTGAGGTGCAGTTTTCGTGTGGGCAGCGTCTGAGCCCGCAAAAGAGGCGGCGAACCGGGCGCGGGCCATCGGCCGCGAACCTGTCTGATTCGAAGCATGTGGGTGGCGTTAGTTGTGGTGTAGAGGAGAAATGGTTGCCACTGAAGAGATATGGTGATACCGGCAAATATAAATATCGGATGTTGGAAGTTAAACCGCCAACCTTAATGCAGGGGACGGCTGAAAAGTTGCTAACCAGCTGTGGGGAGATAGGAGAGAGCTGGGAGAGAAATTCAAATATGGTGGAAGATGGATAAGGAATGAGCGACTTTATTCCCCTTTTCAGATTGCAAATCGGATGAGTATTCAGCAAAATAGCTCGTCTTTTTTTTTTCTGCATATACATTCATTAATTATAACTTTGCTGTGAAAGAATAACCTTTGAAATGAATGTACGCATACACGAATATTACTAATTAAACACGTTTAGTGTCATGGCACGTACCTTTTTCCAGTAAAAAAATCATAAAAAAACCTGGTTCAGTCCGTGTTGTATTTTGGTCCACCTAACTTCGCGTGTTTGTTCGTTCATCGGGAAAACGCCACTCCAGTCTCCAGTTCTCTAATCTCAATCCCTCCATTGCCCTCTTCGTTTGCATTGCCTTTGAAAACGTCTCCTTGTGGTTCTTCTTCGTCATTGGTTTGGTTCTGCGTCCCCTGTGGTGACTACGCGCCCTGCTACGCTGTTCTCTCGGTGGCCTCGGCCGCCTTTTACGCTTGCTACTGTCTCTACTCTCGCTCATCGTGAAGTGCTGGCGGTTGTCCATCGTAGAAACACATCTGGGCTTCCTTCAGGAATTGAAGCAAACCCTGTTGGACATGTCCCAGGGTGGCGTCGTCCCCTGAGTACCGGAGGGATCTCTCCATCTTCCAGATCCCATAAGCCAATTCCCGCAGATATTTGCGTGTCTTGACTTGTTGATGTTTCCGGGGGGCGTCACTGTTCACATGCCCTGGGAAAGAGGGGAGTACTCCACATTTCGACTCGGTAAAGATCCAGTCCTTTAGAGAGTCCACTGACGGAATCTTCATCTTGGTCAACATGGAAAGAAGAACTTCGCACTTGCAGAAGATATGCTCGTGCAGATCCTGAATGATGGCCTTATCACAGAGCCCGCATCCTGGATTCTTCTTGGTGAAAACGTGGTCGTCAGGGTATCTCCATTTCACGAGCCAGAGTCGTAACCTTAACTTGCTTCCAACTACCGAGTCAACTATGCCCACTATGGTTTTAACCAAAAAAAAAATTAAAAAAAAATATATAAAAAAAAGAGATAGTGGCAAAGTGGCAAAAACAAAACGACTAGTTTTATCCAATTCACTACAGTAGTTCTTAAACGTTAGTTGATAACTTATTAGGGTGCGACCAACATTACAGCCACCTACGCACGGACCTGAGTAGCGTGGAGAGCACTTTCAAACAAACATTATTCATTAACTAACCCTTTCGAGTCTGCTTCTTCTGGGCCTTTCGAGCCTCTTTTTCTCGGAGCTTCTGCTCGGCCTTTCGCTGGGCCTCGGGGGACAGAGAAGAGATGGCCTTGGTGTCGGCCTCCTTCTTGGCGGCAGCTCGCTTCTCAGCCTCCTCCTCAGCTCGCTCCTCATCAGCAACCTTCTGGATCTTCTTGATCTCGGTTTCTCGGGTGGCTCGGATCTTCTTGGCCACCTCGGGTCGCAGGTTCAGCTTGGTAGCGGTATCTACGAGGTTGATGGCGGTCTCCAGCAGCTGGGCGGTCTTGGCTAGATCGGTTGCGCCGGAGGGAATGTTCAGCTTGAGCACCACGGTCTTGGTGGCTCCAACCAGCGATTTCTCGTACTCGGAGGCCTTGTTGGGTCGCTCGGAGGGCAGGTCGGTGATGGCCAGGTACCGGAAGTAGGGAGCAGTCTCGGTGAGCAGCTCCTTGAGAGCAGGGTTGTAGAGCTTCTCGGTGAGCTCGGAGTTCTCGGACATGAAGACACAAGAGACGGGCAGCTTGTCCGAGTCCGAGGTCTTGGTCAGCGACAGGAAGTACTGGTCCTCTCGGGCCTTTCGCATGGCGTCCTTGTGCACAATGGCCCAGATTCCGTCGGGCACGCTGGCGTTCTTGTTGATCTTGAGGGTGATGGTCACCTCGTCGGTAGGCACGGGGACGGCGTCCATGAAGAAGGAGAAGACGTACTCGAACATGAGGGTCAGCAGATTCTGTCGGGTCTTGAGCTTGGCCTTGGCGGTCAGCGAATCAATGTTGATTCGGCCGGTAGCGTAGGTGGTGAAGTTGGAAGGGGTGTCGGCAACAAGAATCTTTCGGTCCTTGACTCCGACGGGGTTGGCACCCACCTGGTAGAACTGGCTGGCGAGAACGGCCTTGTTGGCGTCGACCCAGCCGTTGATCTTCTTCTTGTTGAGAGAAGAGCCCAGGTAGAAGAGACCCACGTAGAATACGATGAACGCGACAATGAAGGCCTCCTTGGACCAATCGTAGTGCAACAGTCGCTCCTTGATGGACAGCGCAGCCCACGCTTCGGGCGTGTACTCGGTCTGGTGCACGAAGATCTTGTTGATGAATGCCAGCACCTTTTCGGTCATGGTGCCGGTGCCCTCGGAAAATGCGGCCTTGGTCTCGCCAATCACAGCGTCCACCTTTTCCTTGGTGGCGTCAAACTCCTTGAACTCGGCGGCTACGGCCACGGATGCCAGCAGCAGCAGTTCAGACAACATTTTCAGATGGTTGAGTGGTGGTGGTGATGTGTCGATGATGTTAGTCGAGTGAAAAGTAACTTTATTGTGCGGGCTGCGAATACAAGTTGGCAGGAAAAAACGCCGTAACGGCAGTATTCATAGATAGAGGTCGAAAAGTGAGGCCGGAATAGAAAAATGTCGGTATTTTTGCGACTTTTCTGCTCTTTCCGACTCTCCATCTCGCCCCGCTCCTAACCACCCCGCTGTTGAGCAGTCTCCAGCTGTGTATGGATCCGCCATCACACCGTAACGCACGGGTAGAACGACTGTAGAGCCACTTCCAGTCAAAATCTTGGTTGCAGTCGGTGTCGTAACGGCGGAGTGAAACGACCACAAGTACCAGTACAAGAGGCCGTGCCCAAATAGCCCGCGTTTGGTCAAATTCGTTCAAAAATTGTACCTGCAAACAGCTACCTTTCCAGCTCTGCAATTTCAACGCAACTAATGTCTCGATATATCCTCTTACACACGCTTGTCGCTGACAATTACCATCAAAAAAATGACATTCTCATAGTACAGTAGATCAAGGCAAAACCCAATTTTGCTTTTCCCAAGCTCCACCAAATTTTCGAATCGACGCTGGAGATGTGGAAAGGCTTGCTGCAAAGTACCCGGGCGGCATGGCGGGGTCCGTGTGTTCGGGCCCCGCGGCTGCCCTTCTTTCGACGCTACTCTTTGTGTGTGGATCCCGAAATCGCGGCGCTTTCGGGTCCGGAGCTGGAGGCCCGAATCGCAGCCATCCCCATTGAACGGTACAGAAACTTCTCGATTGTGGCCCATGTGGATCATGGCAAGAGCACGCTATCCGACCGACTGCTGGAGCTGACGGGCGTGATTGCCGCAGGAGGGCAGAAACAGTTTCTGGACAAGCTGGACGTGGAACGAGAACGAGGAATCACCGTCAAGGCCCAGACTTGCACCATGCTGTACAAGCACAAAGGCGAGGACTACCTGCTGCATCTGGTGGACACCCCCGGCCACGTGGACTTTCGAGCGGAGGTGTCGCGGTCGTACGCGTCCTGTGGAGGAGCCCTACTTCTGGTTGATGCCAGTCAGGGTGTCCAGGCCCAGACCGTGGCCAACTTCTTTCTGGCCTTTTCTCTCAATCTCACGCTTCTGCCCGTCATCAACAAGATTGATCTGGAGGTGGCCGACATCCCGCGAAGCATGGATCAGATTGAATCGACCTTTGAACTGCCTACAGACAATGTTCTGCAAGTGAGTGCCAAAACCGGACTCAACGTGGACCAGATTCTGCCCAACGTGATAGAAAACATTCCCGGACCCGACGGAAAGCTCGAGGACCCGCTGAGAGCGCTCATTGTCGACTCGTGGTACGACAACTACCTGGGTGTTGTGCTGTTGACCTACGTTCGAGACGGAGTTGTTAGCAGAGGTACCAAGGTCATATCTCACCATACTGGACGAAAGTACGACGTCAAGGAGGTCGGAATCATGTACCCCGGTTCTGTCAAGACCAAGGAACTCAAGGCTGGTCAGGTCGGATACATGGCCCTGGGTATGAAGTCGTCCAGTGAAGCTCACACCGGAGATACTCTCATCAAGGTCAACTCCAACGCCGAGCCTCTACCTGGCTTCGCTGAGACCAAGCCAATGGTGTTTGTGGGTGTCTTCCCCGGCGAAGGAATGGACTTTGCGGATCTGGAAGAGTCTCTACAGCATCTCACTCTCAACGACCGATCCGTGACCATGACCAAGGCCACTTCCCAGGCTCTGGGCCAGGGTTGGCGAATGGGTTTCCTGGGAACCCTACACGCCTCTGTGTTTGAAGACCGACTTTTGCAGGAGCATGGAGCTCACGTGATTATTACTGCTCCTAGTGTGCCTTACAGAGTAGTCTACCACCCTAGAGGTAAGGAGACAGAGCCCACTATTGTGGAGATTGACAATCCTGCCAACTTCCCCGATTTGCAGCTTGAAAAGGCCCGGATTCAGTCTCTCGAAGAACCCATGGTCGCCTGCACCATGACTCTTCCTCAGGAGTACATTGGTTCGGTCATGTCTCTATGTGAGGCAAACCGGGGTGAACAGGTGGACATGAACTACCTCAACCAGACCCAGGTGCTGCTCAAGTATCGAATTCCGCTCAACCAGCTGGTCGAAGACTTCTTTGGCAAGCTCAAGGCTGCCTCTCAAGGCTTTGCGTCGCTGGACTACGAAGAAGACGGATACATGGCGTCCAAGCTCGTGCGTCTGGACATGTGTGTCAACGGCGAGGTGGTCGACGCTCTGTCGCAAGTCATGCACGTTTCCCAGGCCGAAACTCGGGCTCGAGACTGGGTCGAAAAGTTCAAAACATTCTTGAGATGGCACCAGTTTGATGTCATCATCCAGGCCAAAATCGGTAACAAGATCCTGGCTCGAGAGACCATCAAGGCCCGAAAGAAGGACGTGCTGGCCAAACTGCATGCCGCCGATCTGTCGCGAAAGGCCAAGCTGCTCAAGAACCAAAAGGCTGGAAAGAACCGTCTTCAGACCGCCGGCAGAGTCAACATCCCCAAGGAGGCCTTCTCTGGCTTCCTCAGTAAAACTTAGCGCTTGCAAGAACGAGTGCATGTACATATTAATATATATTAACGTATCTAGAGATGGCTACAAAGAGAAAGATACTCGTATTGTGCTTGAGAAGGCAAACACATACCAAGACATGGACGTCAAGCAAGTATGGAATCAGCGTGATATTCCGAGTCGATTGGTACAACTTTCACCCACAAGAGTTATAATTATCATTCGTATCAATTAGTTATAGAAACAGCTGAAGCGATAGTGTATCAATGGGTGGTTGGGACAGCTGTCTATCGTGATAGTTGAGCTCTCTAAAAGTTGTTGATCGTTCCTGGTCTTGGTTTGGTTCGGCCAGTCCCTTTCGTCATTGGTAGTTTACTCCTTCCGTCGCTTCTCCTCTCCATGCTCAGCCTGCTGCTCATTGATGGCGTTTCGCAGAAATTCCTGCAGACCGGCCTCGGGGTTGTCGCTCTTCATGATCTCCTCGATCTGCTTCTTCTTCTCGGGATCGGCCTCGGTGTCGGCCTCGTTTTCAAACGAGTACTTGACGTCGGGCATCTCTTTGTCGTCGGAAACAGCCGTGGGAGTGTCCAGAACAATGCCCTGCAGACCAGCAAGGTAGTGTATCAACTCCGGGAACTCGTCTTCTTCCTGCAGTTTCTCAAACGGCGTCTGGCCGTCCGAGTTCTTGGCCTTGAAGTCGGCCTTGAACTCTTCCACCAGCTTCTTGGCAACCTCCAGCTCCTCGACCGTGTGCAGAGCGGTATCGCCGTCCTCGTCGGTCACGTTGATGTCGCCCCCCTTGTCTATCAAGTACCGGAGCAGATCCATGTGGCCGTACGAGGCTGCTGCGTGCACGGGGGTGTATCCGTTTTCGTCTTTGGCGTTTGGCGACAGGCCGTCGTTCTCGATGAAGTTCTTGACCACGTCCAGCTGGCCGTCCGATGCTGCTACCCAGATGTTCATTGCGCTTGTGTTGTGTAAATGTGTGTTGTAGCCATGACAAAAAAATTGGAAGCTTATGCATATATAGGCAGTGGTGATGGTGGCGATCTGGAGGGCACTGTGAAGGCGAGGAGTGAAGAAGAGAGAGAGAAGGGATTCAAAGAAGTGAAGAAAGGCGTTTGGAGCATTCTAGGTGTTTCTGGAGGACGTTATTGCTCTTCTGTAATGATTTCGACTCGATTTAGAGCGCTTTTACGACTACAGCACGAGTATGTACTTGCACTAGGGATTCTGATGATTTTATCAACAGGGTGGATTTTGTCTCATTAAATTCCGAGATTACTTCTTTTCTCGGAGCAGAATATCACTGATATTTTCTTGTTGTCTTCTTTTCTGTCTTTTTTCTGGAGGTTTTTTTGTTTTTTATTGTTTTTGAAATTTAATTTTAATTTTAATTTAATTTTTTTTGAAATTTCACTACTTGTAGCCAATTTTTGCTGATAAATTACCACTCCCAACCTCTGATTACATAACCGCGGTGCATCTCTGCAAAGCCACTCCGTACTACAGATCCAGCACACAATGAGCGACAAGCCTACCGAGACCGTCAGCGTGAGCGAAAGCGTGGCTACTCCGGCTGTGGCCGCAACAGAGCCGGCACCATCTCTGCCCGTGGTCAATCCGTCGTCGCTACCCTCAGGATTCGAGTGGTGGCGACAGACCATGGCGTACAAGACGGGGTTCATGTCCGCTGAAGAGAGCGTGCAGTACGAGCAGGACCGTCTGATCAAGGAGCGATACGCCGAGTGTCTGAGCTGCGAGAAAAACAAGCAGTGGGTCATGGCATACTCGCCCACGGTGCGGTTCATGAAGGATCAGATTGAGAAGATTGGCGGCGACATTTCCAGTAACAACGTCTTCTGCGACCACTGCGACGACTTCAAGGCCGGTGGATTCCACCCCAAGTACGGCATTCTGGTGTGCCAGAACCACGTCAAGTCGCGATCCCATCTGGAGGACACCTTGGCCCACGAAATGGTGCACTACTACGACAACACCAAGTTCAAGGTGGACTGGATGAATCTCAAGCACCACGCGTGCTCCGAGATCCGGGCGTCAACGCTCTCGGGCGAGTGCCGAATGATGAACGAGCTCATGAAGGGCAAGCTGGCCCGGCTGACCCGTGGACACCAGGAGTGTGCCAAGCGACGAGCCATTCTGTCTGTCATGGCCAATCCGGGCTGCAAGGACGAGGCCCAGGCCACCCAGGTGGTCAATGAGGTCTGGGATTCGTGTTTCAACGATACCCGGCCGTTCGACACTATCTACAGATAGTGCATGTACATATGAATGAACCCAAGTACGTGAATCGTGCTTGAGTGTGGATGAGGGTTTGAACAGAACATTATTAGCACTTTTGCGACTCAAAGTATGCATCTACTCACTTGTAGCCCCAGAGATGTCTTGCGCATGTGCATGTACATATTGTAGACACAGCATACTCCCGTAGAGTCCCACCAAAGTCGGATCTGACTAACCATCTCTCAAGTCCGTTTAGAAGTTCCGAATCAACTAATTACTTCTCTTTCCCCCTTTTCTCTATCGTCTTATCATCTTTCGTCACCTTCTCAACAAATGTGGTTAAGGCTTTACCCATTTTAAAACTAACTCCAACATCTCTTGAACTTCACTTCAACTTTCGACACACGATCAATTGATACCAGACAGGCTGATTGTCGCCCATTCATCTTCTTGATACCTTACTTCCTTCCGCGATACTTGTCTTACAAACCCGCAATCAGCATGTGATTGTATTGTTCTCAAATGAAGTGATCTCCTGGAGTCACCGTCACACACTCGAGTCGCCACCTTCCTCGCTACGCCACCTCCATGAATGTTCTACAGTACACTGGGGAACTTTTGAAGTTGCCACGACATTGGTGCTGAGCTACAATACTACTGGTTATACAATTAATCATGTTATTGGTGTTTAGAAAGGTTCACTGGATTAAGCCAGAACGGCGAGCAGAGAAAGAAGAAGAGAGCCGGTAGTGGCTCGAGAAGCGCCGTTGGCCTGCTCAGGTCCAGACTTGACAGGGGTGTCGGGGATCCGGGAAGGAGCAACGGAAATGGGCAGCACAGTGCCGGGAGCTTGGGGGGCAGGAGCGGGAACCTCGGGGGTATCAACGGGGGTCTCGGAGGCGTCGACAGTGGTCTCGGAGGCGTCGGAAGGGGTCCCGGAGGCGTCGGAAGGGGTCTCGGAGGCGTCGGAAGGGGTCTCAGAGGCGGCATCTGGTGCATCTGGAGATTCGGGAGACTCGGGAGACTCGTGAGACACGAGTGTGGCAGCAGGAGCCTCGGGAGACTCGGGAGCATGAACAGGGGCTTCGGGAGACTCAGGAGGACCAGGTGCCTCAGGAGAAAGACTAGGTGCCTCAGGAGAAAGACCGGGGCCCTCGGAGGTAGCGATGGGAACCTCAGGACTCTCGGGGGTAGAGACAGGAGTTGGCTTAATCTCCTTGGTGGCTGTATCGTAAGGAACAACCAAGGTGACGGTCTTCTCTTCAACGGTCTGGGTGGTGATGATAGTGACGTAGGTGGTGGTGGTCTCGTCAGCGTTCACAGTGGCAGGCACAGGGACAGGCTCAGAAGTATGCTCGGCGATGGCAGAGGTGGTCTCGCAGGGAACTGTGATGGTGACTGTCTTGTCCTCGATGACGGTGACGACAGTGGCAGTGGTGTGCTGCTCGGGAACGACAGTGGTAACAGTCACGGTGGCCTCGCCACATTCGCCATAACCTGGTAGTCTCGTCGGGCACGGAAGTCACGGAGGCAGATAGGGTGGTGACAGACCCCTTGGGGATAAAGGAGGTCTCGGCAGGGATAGACTCGGTCACAAAGGATCCGGGAACAGGGGAGGACTCGGGAACAACAGCAGACTCAACAGAGGTTCTGGGGACAATTGGGGACTCGCTAGAGGACTCGGGGGCAGGAGCAGACGAAGTCTCTACGGCGGTTGTGGTGGGAGCCTCGGCGTCGATAGTAGGCTCAGGAGCAGAAGAAGTCCCGACGACGCCGGAAGACTCGACAGGGATGGACGTCTCAGAAATCAAAGTGGTGGAAGCCTCGGCCTCGATAATAGGGTCAGTGGAAGACGTCTCGACGATGTCAGAAGTCTCTTCAGCAGAAGAAGACTTGGTGCGAGTGTGGTGAGGATGAGTAGGATGAGGAGGACACTCCTTGGTGGTCTTTTTAATATTAGTAGGATGAGGAGGACACTCCTTGGTGGTCTTTTTAATATAAGTAGGGCGAGGAGGACGCTCCTTGGTGATCTTCTTAATGTAAGTAGGGCGAGGGGGGGTGATGCTTGGAGGAATTGGTATGCAGGGGGGGTTTCTCCCTCAGGCTCAACCACGGTAGAAGAAGTCTCGGGCTCCACTACAGCAGACGAGGAAGTTTTGGGCTTCCACTTTCCCACCACTTACCCTTTCCGCCGGGGGCACCGCTATCGCTGCTTCCACCCTCAAGACAGCTTTCCAGGGTAGACTTGTCGCCCTTTCGGCCACCTGAATTTCCAGGCTTGTCGAAGATCTCGAGCTGGAAGGAGTTGCAGTACTTGCTTTCCTTGGAGATAATCTGGGCACGGAACTGGAAGAAGAGAACGATATCCTTGGGGATCTTGCTGAAGACAATGTTATACATGTTCTCGAGCAGCTTGCCGGTGAAGCTGGTGTATTGATTGGACTCGAGGTTGGTCAGCTTCTTCAAAATGTTAGCCTTGTCGAAGAAGCCGAGGGTGTAATCGTCGTAGACGTACTGCAGCTTGGGGAAGAGCTGGCCCTTGGAGGTGGTCTTTGCCCTCGATTCGGTTGTAAGGGCTGTAGGGGTATCGGATAGCCCATCCGATCTCGTCGCCAATTCGTTTTCCGATCTTGAAGGGTTTTGTGAGATCAAAGTCGGTGAGCTTGACGGATTTGGACAGCTTGAAGTCAAAGAGATCGTGACCAAAGATTGAGATGTCCAGGCTCTCCTTCTTGGTAAAGGACCCATCGGTGTTGATGTAGGACTCGATGGAGAAGTCTCCCTTGAAGAAGTCGAAGTTGGTCACGTGGTCAGTGTAGGTACAGGTGAAGGTGTTCTTTCCGTCACTGACAACCTTGAAAAGTACCTTATTGGCGTCGTCAATCTCATCAGCAGCCAGCTCCTTGCCTCCAAAGTAGAGGGACTCATCGACGGTGAACTTGAAGTGATCTCCTGCCTCCACGAGAGTCTCCAGTGATTCTGTACTGGAACCACAGTTGAAAACCTAGATATCGGAGACGCTCCCGGTGTCGGAGTCAGGGGAGCTCTTGGGGAACAGTGAGAAGGAGTCAATGGGACTGGGAACTTCCTTGGTGGCTGCCAAAGCGGCCAGCATAAGGTTGAAGACAAGCATTGGGTGGTTGGTATGATCTGATCTGAAGAACCGCTTCTTTCAGGGAGTCGTGTGAGTATATATAAATCTTCGGGTGTCAATATGCATTCATTTCCGTCTCCCCTTGTTTCTGGAGCCCTTACGCCGTGTCTTTCAATTGGTTCCATTGTTCTCCGTCTGTTTAGTGCATCTTTACCCCAATACATGATTGTTGACCCCGTCTGCAAGGTGATAAACTTGTCTTGCCGGCTGTCATCCTGTTGTTAGTGTTCATTATCGGACAGATATGGCGCAATATTGCCGGAGATGTTGGGCGTGAGTGCTTGTCTTTTGTATTTCCCTTGCATTTCATTTCACAGAGATTAACAGCCAAACTCAATAGACGAGAATGATAGGGGGAAAAGTGGAGGGGAAAGAAGGAGAACTGGTTAATTTGGTTTGACAAATGAATTGAGTCTTTTAGTTTCTTTAGAGAGTGAGAAAGAGCTCAGTCACTTGGTTTTTTCATGCTCTTCCATCTGTAGTTACGAGTACAACACGAGGTCTGGAACAAATGTAGACTCTGAGCGTTGGTAAACAAATGTCTGCGGCTGTGTAATATCAGCAATATTTACGGCTTCTCCAGCTGCGGGAAGCCTTTTGTTTGCGGCTTTGGAATGCGTTGGAGCGAGAAAAGGGGAGATCCGCCGTCCTTCCGCCGTCCTTACGCCGTTGACAAAGACCCGTGCCTTGCCGCACGAGATGAATAAGCCCGTCCGTGTCAATTTTAGTGGATCAGCAATGCAAGTCTCTGTAAATATGTACCAATCCCCTATTTCTGGCGAGACGTGAATCTCGTTGGCTATTTTTAATTTCGGGAGGTTTTTTATTATGATTATTTTTCCATCCCTGAACCTTCGGCACTTCGCTTATGCATAAGCGTTTTAAAAACCAAACGGCGGCACGTGCCCAACTGTACAGTAAAGTGGAAAATCATGCTTGACTAATCGTCGCTTATTGGTGGAGGGAAAAACGTCTTGAGAAAAAAGTGTTTGAGGGACTCAAGAAACCGCCCAAAGACATCTCTGCAGTACATGATCGGGTGTTTTCCAATATTTGCGGATATATTATATTTTTCAAACACTCAGAGAGCAGCCCGACCTAGCCCACACTTTTTAGCATGTCTACCCCTAGTTGACAGGTGCACGGCTGGCACCACAGTGATTAGTGCCATCTGTGTGTCCTTTTTTTTTCTTCTTGATCTGGGCCGCAGATAGCAGCGCGGTATTCACCTTCTCGGAGCCACAAGACGTAATCAGTGTCGTGAAGGGCTCGGCCGTTCGAGTACAGTATGTACTTGTAGTGTTCATCCATAGAGACGGGTCTGGAAGCTACAAAAGTCCATGGGTGCGAATGTCAGCTCGGTCAAGTCGATTTAATCAGCTTACAGTTTGAAATAGCTTCAGGCACGTCAGAAAAAAGAAACAAAAATCGTTTAATTAGACGATGGATTGGGGGGCAAATAGAAGAGGAATGCTACCACAGTGCGACATGGAAAGTGACAGAACTCAACAGTGTGAGTCCCTACATCTAACCACTGTTCAACACCTGATTAAGTCCCACCCAAACCCCTCAAGTTCAGGGTCAGTGATTATAAATCCTACAACTACGAGTGCAGTGCAGTATGTAGTGCGCTTTGCAGGGGTACAGAGCACACTAATGTGGGCTGGAATCCGCAAGTCGCGAAACAATTAACGTGAGAAATTATCTCATGAAACGGCTAGACGGTCACTTATTCCACACCCCAGTGAAAATGTCCTTTTGTTGGGAACGTCACCGAGTGGAGGTGTGTATCGTAGATAGGAGCTCCAGCATGATGGATATACTATTTGCAAGTAGCATTATGCCGCTTGTTGGTGGGCCGATGAGAATATGTGGACCAAAAGTGAGCGGGAAGCCGTTGATTTCTTTATGCAGAAATACAGCTGGTTAATTGGGTTCTTTTTGGAACATCCACCGATGTATTATACATACTGTACATACTCGTTTAAGAAAGCCGGCTAAACTAGTGAACGAAAGGAAGTAGAGTAGATATTATCACATGTCAGCAAAATAACAGAAATAGGGGTCCCAGATGTCTCTCCATGCGTTCAAGTCCTCTCTGAGTTGGCCCTGAAATCCAAATACTCTTGCTGTGATGGTGCAATTGTGCAATCTTGTACACTTTGAGTATGGGTTTGACACCTCCGTGATGCAAGAGCAGGTCTTTTTGTAGTTGGTGGTGAAATGCGGTTGCAATGATACGATACGGCGCATTGATGGACTTGTTCGTAGCTGCCGCGGATCGGACCTATTCACCAAACTGGGCCATTGTAGCTATACACTGCATATCCACCCCTTGTGATTATGACGTATTGGTATTGCTGCAAGTACCACATTTGTTGTCGGAATATAGCACTGGTTCTATTGTCATTCACCAGAGAAAAGATCTTTAGACACTTTCACTCGTGAGCTGTGCGTACCCTCCAGTACATACATACTGTACAGTTCATACTGGTCGTTGTCAAGATCTCGAGGCCGTTGTCAAGATCTCGAGGCCGTTGTCAAGATCTCGAGACCATTGAAGCTTCCCTGGATAGTTGGCACCATTTCAACAAGTTCAGGAACACAAGTATTGTACATACTGTTACACTGCTCCGAATGTATCCAAAACAGCTGGAAAACAACAGTACACTCGGGTTCAAGTACCAACTTGACAACACCCATTCTTCTCTTCGTCTAACAGTTGCAGACCTGTAAGAGCTATCAAACCACATATCACGATACGCTTACTCAGACCTTCTGGTTCTTGTCCAATGCAACCTGGTCTGCCAGCTTACGTAATGTACCTCGGCCGAAAAAGCAACGAGCCGACGCCAAAGTTTGGTCCGTCCAGTTGGAATACGACGAATAACATGACAAAGCAGCACGTGACCTGGGAGTCGGATCCTCGAGCCAACTTTTTCTTGAGCTATTGTAAATTGCTTCATTGGTGGTAAGTCAGGGTGCCTCTACAAGTACTCCTAACGATATCACAATCTATACGTGTACAGTATCAACATGTCCCGATTGTTTCTCTCCTTGCTCGTACTACTTGTAGTACTGTATGTACTTCCAACAATGACGTCAATGTCGCATCTGCCGATGTCGGCCATTTCTTGTTTGTAGAGTGATTGCTGGTAAGAGTTACTCCGAGATATTCCGGTCCCGAAACCCCAGAGTTAGTCCGGACCACGGTGGGACGTGTCTGGACTGGAGTGAGTGGAATGTGTTTTTACGGTCACGTGACTGAACTGGAGCTTTTGGGCCACGTGACCTCCCGGCTTCACACGTGGTTGTTTGCCCCCCGCTTCTCTGAATCTGCCCCCACATTTTATCTCCGCTTTTGACTGTTTTTCTCCCCCCTTTCACACTCTGCTTTTGGCTACATAAACCCCGCACCGTTTGGAACTCTGTTGGTCCGGGGAAGCCGCCGTTAGGTGTGTCAGATGGAGAGCGCCAGACGAGCAGAACCGAGGGACAGCGGATCGGGGGAGGGCTGTCACGTGACGAAGGGCACTGTTGACGTGGTGAATGTCGCCCGTTCTCACGTGACCCGTCTCCTCTATATGTGTATCCGCCTCTTTGTTTGGTTTTTTTTCTGCTTCCCCCCCCCCCCCCCCACCCCAATCACATGCTCAGAAAGTAGACATCTGCATCGTCCTGCATGCCATCCCACAAGACGAACAAGTGATAGGCCGAGAGCCGAGGACGAGGTGGAGTGCACAAGGGGTAGGCGAATGGTACGATTCCGCCAAGTGAGACTGGCGATCGGGAGAAGGGTTGGTGGTCATGGGGGATAGAATTTGTACAAGTGGAAAAACCACTACGAGTAGCGGATTTGATACCACAAGTAGCAGAGATATACAGCAATGGTGGGAGTGCAAGTATCGGAATGTACTGTACCTCCTGTACTCGTACTCGTACGGCACTCGTAGAAACGGGGCAATACGGGGGAGAAGCGATCGCCCGTCTGTTCAATCGCCACAAGTCCGAGTAATGCTCGAGTATCGAAGTCTTGTACCTCCCTGTCAATCATGGCACCACTGGTCTTGACTTGTCTATTCATACTGGACAAGCGCCAGAGTTAAGCTTGTAGCGAATTTCGCCCTCGGACATCACCCCATACGACGGACACACATGCCCGACAAACAGCCTCTCTTATTGTAGCTGAAAGTATATTGAATGTGAACGTGTACAATATCAGGTACCAGCGGGAGGTTACGGCCAAGGTGATACCGGAATAACCCTGGCTTGGAGATGGTCGGTCCATTGTACTGAAGTGTCCGTGTCGTTTCCGTCACTGCCCCAATTGGACATGTTTGTTTTTCCGATCTTTCGGGCGCCCTCTCCTTGTCTCCTTGTCTGTCTCCTGGACTGTTGCTACCCCATTTCTTTGGCCTCCATTGGTTCCTCCCCGTCTTTCACGTCGTCTATGGTTGCATGGTTTCCCTTATACTTTTCCCCACAGTCACATGTTATGGAGGGGTCTAGATGGAGGCCTAATTTTGACGTGCAAGGGGCGAATTGGGGCGAGAAACACGTCGTGGACATGGTGCAAGGCCCGCAGGGTTGATTCGACGCTTTTCCGCGAAAAAAACAAGTCCAAATACCCCCGTTTATTCTCCCTCGGCTCTCGGTATTTCACATGAAAACTATAACCTAGACTACACGGGCAACCTTAACCCCAGAGTATACTTATATACCAAAGGGATGGGTCCTCAAAAATCACACAAGCAACGACGCCATGAACCCCAACAACACTGGCACCATTGAAATCAACGGTAAGGAGTACAACACCTTCACCGAGCCCCCCGTGGCCATGGCTCAGGAGCGAGCCAAGACCTCCTTCCCCGTGCGAGAGATGACCTACTTCCTCGACGGTGGCGAGAAGAACACCCTCAAAAACGAGCAGATCATGGAGGAGATTGAGCGAGACCCTCTTTTCAACAACGACAACTACTACGATCTCAACAAGGAGCAGATCCGAGAGCTCACCATGGAGCGAGTCGCCAAGCTGTCTCTGTTTGTGCGTGATCAGCCCGAGGACGACATCAAGAAGCGATTTGCTCTCATTGGTATCGCCGATATGGGAACCTACACCCGACTTGGTGTCCACTACGGCCTCTTCTTTGGCGCCGTCCGAGGTACCGGAACTGCCGAGCAGTTTGGCCACTGGATCTCCAAGGGAGCCGGAGACCTGCGAAAGTTCTACGGATGTTTCTCCATGACCGAGCTGGGCCATGGCTCCAACCTGGCTGGTCTCGAGACCACCGCCATCTACGATGAGGAGACCGACGAGTTCATCATCAACACCCCTCACATTGCCGCCACCAAGTGGTGGATTGGAGGAGCCGCCCACACCGCCACCCACACTGTCGTGTTCGCCCGACTCATTGTCAAGGGCAAGGACTACGGTGTCAAGACCTTTGTTGTCCAGCTGCGAAACATCAACGACCACAGCCTCAAGGTCGGTATCTCTATTGGTGATATCGGAAAGAAGATGGGCCGAGACGGTATCGATAACGGATGGATCCAGTTCACCAACGTGCGAATCCCCCGACAGAACCTGCTCATGAAGTACACAAAGGTCGACCGAGAGGGTAACGTGACCCAGCCTCCTCTGGCTCAGCTTACCTACGGTTCTCTTATCACTGGTCGAGTCTCCATGGCCTCTGATTCTCACCAGGTCGGAAAGCGATTCATCACCATTGCTCTGCGATACGCCTGCATTCGACGACAGTTCTCCACCACCCCCGGCCAGCCCGAGACCAAGATCATCGACTACCCCTACCATCAGCGACGACTTCTGCCTCTTCTGGCCTATGTCTATGCTCTTAAGATGACTGCCGATGAGGTTGGAGCTCTCTTCTCCCGAACCATGCTTAAGATGGACGACCTCAAGCCCGACGACAAGGCCGGCCTCAATGAGGTTGTTTCCGACGTCAAGGAGCTCTTCTCCGTCTCCGCCGGTCTCAAGGCCTTCTCCACCTGGGCTTGTGCCGACGTCATTGACAAGACCCGACAGGCTTGCGGTGGCCACGGTTACTCTGGATACAACGGTTTCGGCCAGGCCTACGCCGACTGGGTTGTCCAGTGCACCTGGGAGGGTGACAACAACATTCTCACCCTTTCTGCCGGCCGAGCTCTTATCCAGTCTGCCGTTGCTCTGCGAAAGGGCGAGCCTGTTGGTAACGCCGTTTCTTACCTGAAGCGATACAAGGATCTGGCCAACGCTAAGCTCAATGGCCGATCTCTCACCGACCCCAAGGTCCTCGTCGAGGCCTGGGAGGTTGCTGCCGGTAACATCATCAACCGAGCCACCGACCAGTACGAGAAGCTCATTGGCGAGGGTCTTAACGCCGACCAGGCCTTTGAGGTTCTGTCTCAGCAGCGATTCCAGGCCGCCAAGGTCCACACACGACGACACCTCATTGCCGCTTTCTTCTCCCGAATTGACACCGAGGCTGGCGAGGCCATCAAGCAGCCCCTGCTTAACCTGGCTCTGCTGTTTGCCCTGTGGTCCATCGAAGAGGACTCTGGTCTGTTCCTGCGAGAGGGCTTCCTCGAGCCCAAGGATATCGACACCGTCACCGAGCTCGTCAACAAGTACTGCACCACTGTGCGAGAGGAGGTCATTGGCTACACCGATGCCTTCAACCTGTCCGACTACTTCATCAACGCTCCTATTGGATGCTACGATGGTGACGCTTACCGACACTACTTCCAGAAGGTCAACGAGCAGAACCCTGCCCGAGACCCCCGACCTCCTTACTACGCCTCTACTCTCAAGCCCTTCCTTTTCCGAGAGGAGGAGGATGATGACATTTGCGAGCTTGATGAGGAATAGACAAGCGGGTATTTATTGTATGAATAAAGATTATGTATTGATTGCAAAAAAGTGCATTTGTAGATGTGGTTTATTGTAGAGAGTACGGTATGTACTGTACGAACATTAGGAGCTACTTCTACAAGTAGATTTTCTTAACAAGGGTGAAATTTACTAGGAAGTACATGCATATTTCGTTAGTAGAATCACAAAAGAAATGTACAAGCACGTACTACTTGTACTCCACAATGTGGAGTGGGAGCAAAAAAATTGGACGACACCGGAATCGAACCGGGGACCTCGCGCATGCTAAGCGCATGTGATAACCAACTACACCAGACGCCCAAGAACTTTCTTGGTGATTATGGAATACGTGGTCTGCTATATCTCAATTTTGCTGTAATGAATCATTAGAATTAAAAAAAAAACCCCATTTTTGTGTGATTGTCGGCCAAGAGATGGAACAGGAAGAATACGTGAACAAGCGAGCACGAATGCCATATGCTCTTCTGAACAACCGAGTCCGAATCCGATTTGTGGGTATCACATGTCTCAAGTAGCTGAAATGTATTTCGCTAGAATAAAATAAATGAGATTAAGAATTAAAAATATTGGAATATATTTTCCTAGAATAGAAACTTTGGATTTTTTTTCGGCTATTACAGTCTGAACTGGACAAACGGCTGACTATATATAAATATTATTGGGTCTGTTTTCTTGTTTATGTCGAAATTATCTGGGTTTTACTACTGTGTCGTCGAGTATAGAGTGGCCTGACTGGAGAAAATGCAGTAGTATGGACAGTAGGTACTGCCAGCCAGAGAAGTTTTTGGAATTGATACTTGAGTCATTTTTCCATTCCCCATTCCCCATTCCAACACAATCAACTGTTTCTGAACATTTTCCAAAACGCGGAGATGTATGTCACTTGGCACTGCAAGTCTCGATTCAAAATGCATCTCTTTCAGACCAAAGTGTCATCAGCTTTGTTTGGCCCCAAATTACCGCAAATACTTGTCGAAATTGAAGTGCAATACGGCCTCGTCTGCCATGAAACCTGCCTATTCTCTTCAAATTGGCGTCAGGTTTCACGTCCAGCATTCCTCGCCCAGACAGAGTTGCTATGGTTGAATCGTGTACTGTTAATATATGTATGTATTATACTCGTACTACGATATACTGTTCAATAGAGTCTCTTATAATCGTACGACGATTCTGGGCAGCCTAGACACCGCTTCGGGCCAAGTGGATCCTGACTAGGTGGATCCTGGCTCTACGACTGGTCGGGCATGTCGCGTACGAGACCCGTTTTCGATCAAGTTTCGAGCTTGGTGGGGCTTTCTGGGCTTATCTACGCAATATTACGACCCCGTACTGAGTGGACTAGTATACCTACGAGAATAACAGCAGTGCACTTACATTTGACTGGTTGATAGCACACATATAACAAGCTGATCATCCCAGTACAACATGTACCGCTCTTGAGCCTGTTGGTTGATGTCTGTGTATCGCTCGCATCGCTCTACAACGGTCTATCTCAGTCGTTTTCCTCGTAGCATGGCTCCAGACTCTTCTAGAATCCCATATTGAAACACTGCTTGTCACAGGTAGGGGAGATTAAATTGTCAGTTGGTACGAGTACGTACATACATACTGTAGTGTATCCATGCACGTCGCGAAAAATGACCCATTTGATCCGACAACAAAACTTATCCATCACCTGTCTCACCTGTGCGGCCCACGAGGCGCAACACCGAAGATTTACCCCCCTCGTCTCCGCAAATGTCGTGTTAGACTGGCATCTTTCAAGACACATGCGTATCTCGTCGTACCGTACCGTTCTCGTATCGTATTCGCATCGTACCTGTATTTCGATGGCAACCTAATCTGCAACCTCTTCCTCTCCTCTTCCTCTTTCTACTCCAACGGGATGTATTCGTGTTTGAGAAGCAACTACTTCCAGGCGGTCGTATGAAGCCCCAATTATTAAAAGCAAAACGCGCCGAAACCCCCCGGCTTTTGCACCCCTACATTCTGACTGGTATTACGTCCGGTCCGGCCGAAAATACATATTCACTTAAACTCCAGGCTAAGGTTGCCTAATCGGAACTCTAGCAGGCCCCTATTCCACCCCGGCCCACAGCCCCATCGCCTGTCTGACGACGAAATTGCCGGCTTTCTAGTACCCGTTCAAACCAACCGATTGGAATCTAGATTACCACGGACAGAGGAGAATTGGCCCGACCCCGCCACACTCCATCCACCCTTCTTTGCTGCACCACCAGCCGTTTAGAGTGTCGTATTCATGTGAGATAATGTCATGAAAAGACACCACCGAGAAGAACACAAGTGCAATCACATCAGTTGATGCGCCTGTCCCAAAATAGACATGTAACTGCGGTCTGATAGATCTGATATTGCTAGAAACATTCCTGGCGTTTGCCGAAGGTTGGGTTGTTATGTCTGCAACCTGGTGTGTACTGGCACCCTTGCGTCACTGTGTATTTTTCATCTTCACCCCAATCTGTCTACAAGTACTTAAACACCCCAAATTCCACATGAATATGAATACCCTCGTCACCCAACGCCATGATCCTACTCCCTACACTCGTTTTGGCCACTGTGGCTCTCGCCAAACAGGTGGCCTCCCCCATCGACGACTTCAAAATGTACGTCAAAGACACTGGATCCTCGGCGGGCGAGATGACAGACAAGTGGATGCTGGAGCTGCTGTTTGGTCTGCAGCCCTCTGCTGACGATGTCCAGCCTGAGGACTACTTCGCCTTTGACGTCGATGACAAGGTCGACCTCACTTCCACTCCCTTCGACTTCAACGTTGTCGATCCTGCCGGCGACACCATTATGCGGTGCACAAACGAGGACCATACCTTCACCTGCACCTACACCGACTACGTGGCTGACAAGTGCGAGGAGGTCACCGGTCAGATCTTCATTGAGACCTGGCTCGACAACTCTAACGCTGTCTTTGGTGAGAACTCCATTCAGGCCGCTGACCTGTCCGCAACCTTTGATGTTCTGAAAATGACTGTGTCCAACACCCCTCAGAAGGTCGGCCAGCGTGATGGTGGTATCATCTGGTGGACCATTGTGTTCCCCCCTACGCCCTGGGCCCGTCTCGAGTTCAAGGATATGCTTGACTCTGCCACTCTCTCCTTTATCAACAAAAACTCCGTCACCAACAACATGATTGTCGAGTTTGTTTCTAGTAGCGGCACCACCAAGTACACCGGCCACGCAGCCAATAGCAAGGTGAAAATTCAGAGTGTTAGTGGATCCACCGCCTCTGGCCATATCATCGGCGTTCCCCCTGGTGTCTCCGTCCATCTCACAATTCCTTCCAACATCATCGCTGAGTCCGACTGCTATGAGAACAAGGTCAAGTATGAATACTGGACCAAGGCTGGATCTTCAGGAAAGGCTGGCAAGAGCATTACTGGTACTCACTATGGCCTTGTTGACAACACGCCCCGCTTCGGCCTCGAAGGAAGTGGTCTTGGTGATGGTACTGCTTGTGTCGTGATCACCACCTCCTCTACGCCCGTTGAGACCACTGTCGAGCCCACCAGCACCTCTGACCCTGCTGAGACCTCCTCTAGCATCCCCGTGACGTCCGATCCTGTCGAGACCTCTTCCGAGCCTGTTCAGACTTCTTCCTCTGTCCCTGCCGAGTCTTCCTCCGACCCTGTTGAGACTTCCTCCGACCCTGTCGAGACTTCTTCAGAGCCTGTTGAGACTTCTTCTTCTGTCCCTGTCGAGACTTCCTCTGTCCCTGTCGAGACTTCCTCTGTCCCTATCGAGACTTCCTCTGTCCCTGTCGAGACTTCCTCAGAACCTGTTGAGACTTCTTCCTCTGTCCCTGTCGAGACTTCCTCCGAGCCTGTTGAGACTTCTTCCTCTATCCCTGCCGAGACTTCCTCAGAGACTGTTGAGACTTCCTCCGAGCCTGTCCCTGTTGAGACTTCTTCCACCCCCATTGAAACCTCCTCTGAGCCAACTGTCACTACAGAGACCTCCTCCATTTCTCAGTCTTCCCCTGCAGTCACATCCGAACCCGTTATTACCCAGACTATCACTGACTGTGATAACGGCTGTGAGCCTGCCACCTCCATCCCAGTTGTAACTGTGACTGTAACCGAGTGTGATGATGGTGGCTGTGTGGTTGTTACGAAGACCGTCACTGATTGTGATGACGACTGTGGACCTGCTACCCCCATCCCTGTTGCCACTCAGACCGAGACTGTTTGCGATGACGGCTGCGATACTGAGACCATTACATCCAATATCACCACCGTGGTTACCCAGACCGTCACTGTCTGCGAGATGGACACTTGCTCTGAGACCCCTGTGACTCTCACCACCGTTGTCCCCACTAACCATATCACCACCACTGTCGTCACTGTGATTGACAACAAGACTATTACCGTTGTTCTCCCTTGTGACCCCACCGATATTCCAGTCGAGTCTACTCCTAAGCCCCAGCCTAAGCCTACCACCCTGGTTACCAAGCCCCAGCCTTCTCCTGAGAAGCCCGTGGTTAAGCCCGAGCCCACTCCTGAGAAGCCCATCGTTAAGCCAGAGCCCACCTCTGAGAAGCCCATCGTTAAGCCCGAGCCCACTCCTGAGAAGCCCATCGTTAAGCCCGAGCCTACTCCCGAGACGCTTTCCAAGCCTGAGGAGCCTGTCGTTAAGCCTGAGCCTACTCCTGAGGTCCCCGTTACCCCTGGCCCTGAGCCCGAGACTCCTGCTCCCAGACCTGAAGAGCCTACTCCTGAGGCCCCCGTCACCCCCGGCCCTGAGCCCGAGACTCCTGCTCCCAGACCTGAAGAGCCTACTCCTGAGGTCCCCGTGACCCCCGGCCCTGAGCCCGAGACTCCTGCTCCTAGACCTGAAGAGCCTACTCCTGAGTCCCCTGTCACCCCCGGCCCTGAGCCTGAGACTCCCCAGGCCAACTCTGCTACTAAGATGAAGGTGGGTGCTCTGGTCCTTGCTCCTCTTTTGGCCATGCTGGTTTAGTTTACCTATGTATGTAATTTCCATCTATTTCATATGTGTTGGTGTGGTAGTTAGTTATTTCTCCAGGCAGGCGTTTTCGGCCAGCTTGAACGCCTTGAGTAGCACGTCTGTGTCCACATTCTTGTATTTGACCTCTTCTTCGTGAACCTGTACCTGGCCTGTCTTGTTGGGGTCGCAAAGCCAGGCGTGATGGGCACTTCCAATGGCACAAGCGTTTGCCATTTCCAGACCACATCTCCAAGCGCCCTTTGTTGGTTTTAAGATGGCAGACATTACGCTGCAGATAGCAGTGTTGACCGAGGCGCCTCCCACAAAATACACCTTTCCAATATCGCCATGCATCATGCGTTGGAGTCTCATTTTGATACTGAGGGCCTGGCTTTGAATGATGGCAGTGGCGTCCATTTGTGGCGGCCACGTGTCCTTGAGATTTTGAGCCTGCGGTTTGTGTTCGGTTGCCAGTGAGTCCTCTGGAGAAGCCATCTCTGTAAGCTGTTCACTTTGTCTGTTGTAGATGAAACGTCGTTCAAAGGGACCTGCTCGAGGAAGGATTTCTCGTAGTGGAAAGTAGATGCCAACATGGACATCGTCAGCAGACACTGTGTTGGTGGTCTCGGCCGCCTCATTAAACTCGTCCCAGCCTCCAAGCTCGTCTCGGATCTTCTCTCGTGCTAGACCTCCGTTGCAGTAGCACAGCATGCCCATGTATCCCTCCATGGGGTGGTTGAACACATGGTATCCGGGGTCGGGCATGTACTTGTTTGTTACGACGAGGGCGGTCGTAGATGTTCCCAAAGACACAATCACGTCATTGGCCTGTAAGGGGAGAGCCAGCATAGTGCCTGGGTTGTCGCCTGTGAACTGTGCCACCTGACAAGAGGGAGAGAAGCCCTTGGAGACGAAATAGGGCGAGATTTTGCCCAGTAGAGCCTTGGGGTCTGTTTCCACGTCTCCAAGGAGGGACTCGACCGAGTGGGTGTCATCGGTGATGAGATCTGTGAGTTTCTTGCACCACTGGCCATTCTGGATGTCCCACAGATTCATTCCACAGGCGTCAGCAAGATCAAAGGGGCACGCCTTGCCGGCAAACAGAGATGCTAGAAAGTTGGATATGAGCTGGACCCGTGACGTGGCCTTGAATACCTTGGGGTTGCGTTCCTTGACCTTGAGAATCTGGGGCCCGGTGAAACGAGTATGTGCTCGAGAGCCAGTGATCTCAGCCAGCTGCTCGGGACCGCCGACTGCAGCCTCAAACTGCGCACACTCCTTCTCCGTGCTTGCATCCTGCCAATTGGGGCTGACTTCGAGCGCCAGTAAGGATGACACTCCTGTAGACAAGTCTTTGTGTTTGTCCAGAGAACCCAGGCCCTCCTTGTAGCTGCTGTTGAGATAAACAGAGCCGTGTTGCTGGCACGAGCCCGACACAAACTTGATCGTGGAAAGGTCTATTTCCTTTGACAGACGCTCTATCAGCAAGTCCACAGCTGCCCCCCACATTGCCACAGGAGCATTGATTTCTCCGGCCACTGTAGAGCTGTGAAAGACGCCCTTTTCGGTGTTGAACTGCGGCAAGTCGTCCTCAAAGTCCACATGGACTTGTGTGACCGTGTCCAGCGTTTTTGTGTCCAGAATGATGCCCTTGAGCTGTTGAGTCGAAAGATCCAGTCCGAGATACATGCTGTAACGAGGTGATGAGAAAACAAGTACAAGTCCAAGGTTTGAGTGCGTTGCTATATATGCACGCGCGCAGACTTAATGCATGGGGTGTCGAATGCTGACGAACATTTCTGCAAGGGGAAATTTCCTAGTAACGGGGGAAAAACCAGAAAAATAAATTTGTAGTATTCAATGAGGTTCACTGGTGAGTATTGCTATCCTTTTGTTTTGTCTAACCCACCTCTACCAATAACTACAAGTAGGGATAGCAACCTATGTACAAGAACGAGGAGCTCTAACTACCTTGTCCTATCATAAGAAATGCATAAATTACTATTTACAAGTGAAAGCTTCCGTGTACTTTTTAGTGTACTCCTCCTTGAGCTTGCCGTCGAAGCGGGTGCTCAGTTCCACCCCAGTTCCCTCAGTTCGCAGGTCCTTGTCGAACGTGGTGTAGTTGTAAAACACAGAATGGCAGGGGATCTCTGCACCGGCGTAGAGACCGTCAAAAATGTTGGGGATCAGATACTCGCCCTTGGCGGAGATGTCGTCCAGACGAGCGGGATCAAAGTACGGCTGGAGATCGCAGCCGTACGTCTCGTGATGCAAGTGCTTGGCGACCCACAGCTTGTCGATGCAAATGTTTCCCCTGGAGATGTCTTCGACAAACTCCCGGTACTCCTTCTTGGCGTCTTCGGGGTCCATTTCCAGCAGCACTGTCTTTAGAGCCGACACGGAGATGCAAGAGGTGGCCACGGATCTCAGGTTCATGAGGAACCGGAACACCAAATAAGGGGCGATGCCGCTGTTGAGACTCGCCACCACAAACGCCTCTACTGACTCCACAGACATGTCTTGCAGAGTATTCTTCTGCCGAGTTTCGCATGCAAATTCAAACACCCGGTCCGGAGCGTACTTCATGAGCTCGGTGAGATACTCCAGGGGCACCTCACTGTTAACCAGAGCAAGAAGTTTAGGGACCATGGAGGTTGCAGTGGACGGATCGACTCGAGAAAGAGGCTCCGTGAGACAAACGAGACCTGAAAAGCCCAGAGAGTCGCGGAGGTTCTTGTAGTAGTCCACGGCGGTATTAGGGTTGGTAGTGTGCGACGTCAGCACCTGCAGGATCTCCAGAGATGTATCCTTGTTGTAGATGGGGATGCTCTCCTTCGTGACCTCGACTAGCAGATCAAAGATATCAATGTCTCCCGAGTTTTTCAGGATCATCTTCATGGTCTTCTCGTTGGGGAACTTGCCATAAGCAAACAGATTTTCAATACCGGTTCCAACATTGTCCCAGTCCTGCTGCTGGATGCTCCGCTGGATGAAGACGTCGTGCAATTCGGCTTGGTTGCTCAACTTGCGCTCACACGCCTTGCGGTACACCATGGTCACGTCCTCGTCAATGCAAGAGGACAGCACGGCGGACCAGGTGGCTCCGTCACAGGACGAAAAGTTGATGTTGGTGAACACCACGACTCCTCCGGGACGGTTGTAGTGCGCAGCAGCTCGAATGTAAGCCTCCGTTGCGAGCTGGTTGTACTTGTATTTGAACAACGGGTTTCGCACGCTCTCAATCATATCAGATGCTCGAGTAAATAAGTCGTTGAGAATCTTGCCCTGTTTAGCGTGAGTGGCGTCCTTGACAGTGGACTCTGCTCCAATTCGCGTCAACTCATTCATCATCAGGATAATACTGTCGAGAGTTTTGAGGGTGTTGAGACTTCCAGCAGGTTTTTCAAAGATGGAAACGTGTCGAGACTTGTACAGTTCCTCGTTGCCCTCAACCAGAAAGCTGCAGTCAACATCTGCAGCATTGGGACTCTCAAACAGATACGTCTGACGTCCGTCTCCAGCATAGGCATCTGCAGGGACAATACCAGACAGAGACAGGTACATTCTCCAGGCACTGAGAGAAGAGGCAAACAACGAGCCGTCGTTGAGAACCCGGCAAATGTCCTGTGCCAGCGAAATATCCACCACCATTTGTCTCCGGGCAATCTCCTTGGTCAGAGCAGTCAGTTTTCGAGCCAGCTTGACCCGCATTTGAGTCATGAGACGAGTAGAGAACTCGGCATTCTCCAGATCCTTGTCTGTCTGTCCCAGAACCGTCTTTTTCCGCAGATAATACAGCTGCTTGTCTTCCGCAGCAATTTGGCGTCGCAGATGGATGCTCAGCCGGGTCAATAGCATCATTTCAGTCATGACTTTGAAATCTGTGCCATCTAGAGTGTATCCGACGTAATCCTGGGACACAGAATGAGCCACTTTTCTGTACAATTTGAGAATCTCGGGGAAATGAGCCTTGAGAGCATGTTCGGGAAGCGAATTGATGTCTTCAAATATAACTCCGATGCGCTTGGGGTTCTCCCACGCCTTGTGTTTGCTGGTAAGTCTGCTAATGAGGTTGGAAAGCGGTTCAAACGTCACGTGTTTCCATTTCGTCGACTTGGAGTAGTGGGCATGCTCGGTTCGAGAAGGAGTTTTACAGAAGGCCTTGAACAGCGTCAGAGCAGTGTCAATGTTCTGTTTGGTCCAGTAGGAGGCGGCATCCAGCAGCGAATTCGGAGGGATCTCCAGAGAATGACGCTCCACAAGCGCCAAAAGAAGAGCTACCTGGTACTGCTGCCGAGTTCGAGACAGCGCTACACCGCAGAGATATGAGACGAGCTCAGTGTTGCTTTTTGCGTGGTTTTCAGCGGCCTTGATGGCGGCAGCAAAAAGACGTCCACTTTTGACAGTAGCAGACTTTTCGACAACCGAACACAAATACTCCAACGACTGAGGCCTGTCGACAGAAATGGGACCGGCCATGTTGTACAGCTTGTGCTGACTGAGTAGAAACGGCACGGGGTTAGAAATCAACAAGTGCTCATTCTTCTGACTCACCATTACCGCATGTGTATGCAGGCTTCTGTCCATCAGGGCCTTTATGAGTGTGCGCACAACCACGTGGCTGAAGTTGCTCTTTGCGTCCAGCTTTCCCTGCTTGTTCCATTCTCCAATCAGCTCCACCAGCCTGTCGAGAACCTGTTCTTTGCCGTACTTGTCGCACATCCAGAGGTACAGCTGATCGTGGTGATCCGCAGAAGCCACCCACCTGATTGGATCTTCACTTCCAGTCCACTCATCATGTTTGATGCCCAGAAAACTTCGCATGGTGTACAACACGGCGTTTCTCCTGGGTTCATCGACTCCGAGGTTCATGCACTCCTGTAGCATGCCGTACATGCCGCCCTTGGGATCAATTTCCATCGCCTGCTCCGCCAGCTCGCCCGACAATCCGTCCACGGTGGTCACATGTTCCTTCTCCCGCAAAAACGTCTCCTGAGACTTCACGTACTCGTATCGAGAATTGTACCGAGCCAGGCGCCACGAGTTCACATCTCCAGCGGCCACCTCGGTTACACGTGGCTCCAGTAGTCTGTATATGGCCCGCGCAGTGCTAGGGTCGATTCTGCTCTTGGACACAAACTGCAGCACCTGAGTTGCCCATGCAACATCTACCGAGTACGAAATGCCCGAAGTGGCCTCCAGCAGTTTGTAAATACCCTCGGGAAGCCTCATTTCCATGTATTGAGAGCCTCGCTGAGTCACCGTCTGAGCGACCTCCTTCTGACTCGACATTTCCTTGAGTTTAGACACCAGTTGATCTGTCTGGTGGGTATGGGGAGATCGCCTCAAACGCGGCATTTCAGCGCGTTTTGGCCGCTGTGGCGACGATGCTGCCTCTTCCTGGCGCGGTTTATCTGCCTTCTTCCCCTTGCCTGGCTTTGTCGCACGCTTTTTGGGTCGATTAGTCGGCTTCTTTTCTGTCTGTGTTGGAGGAAACAGTTTGGGAATCGTCGAAGAGCTGTAATTGGCGTGTAGGAGAGCCACATACCCGGCGCCGGCCCGCGATAGACCCGGTCGTGACGGTATCGCCCTTTGTAGTTTTGCCAGTCGCAGCATATTCACCGAAAAAAGCGTCCTTAGCTGTCTGTAATAGTTATGATCCAATATTTTAAACCTTTCTCGATAGGCCAGTGATTTTTCAACATAAGGTTGGTCACATGAAGTGTAGGGGGGATTGGAGGCCGTATAGAACGTTGGCCAGTATATATAGAGGTGGTTTGGCCTTGTTGATCTCACTGAAACGATCAAATCTGAATGTCGCAAAAACATCCGCCCTTTTTCGAGCCACTCAATTACCAATTGTGTCCTGCTGATTGGACCACCACCTTGCATACATACGCGAAGCTCTATGCAAATAGTGTGGGGACCATGTCGATGGGAATGATGAGTTCAACAGATATAATGGCATATGGTCAGGTGGTATATGTCTGGTAGACCTTTTGTACTCGTACTGTCCGACTCTACGAGAGTAATCCTTACCGGTACAAGTATCTGTACAAGTACAAGTATCTGTACAAGTACACTGCTGACTAATACATTGTCTATACGAACACAACTTTACAAGTATATGAACTGTGCCTTAGCATCATCAAACACAACCAATAAAGGTAATGCAGACAATCTGAGTAGATTACAAGTACTTGTACACCACCTCTTCAATATATACTCTTCCTCTGCATACCTCTCCAAAAAATAACAATCCTCGTTGTAGGAGAAAAAAGAATGGGCCCAACCGGGAATTGAACCCGGGACCTCTCGCAAATTGCCTAGGACACCCTAAGCGAGAATTATACCACTAAACCATCGGGCCGCGAAAGTTAAATTGTTAGGGATCAGCGGCTAAGAAATAGCCGCCTGATTAGTCTCTCGTGAACCGCTAGCGGAGACTACGACGAGGGGCCACCACGTGGGCCCTCAGTGGGATTACGCTATCATTAATATCGATATGCCAAGCCTGCTATCACGGACAAAGGGTTGCGCCGCAACCCTGGATAACATATAAACCCCTGTATTCCATGTATTCTAATACACCTTTCTTGAGAGTGACGGCAGTGACCATACCTTCGGTATGGCCACCCCGGCTGAGTCATCAGTCGGCTTAGTCACGGGGCCTGGGTTCTAACATAAATAGAAATGTGCCTGGAGCAATATGTTCTGAAGTCTGCGTAATCATCGTCGACGAAGCGTCGACAAAAAAGCCACGACAATGACATCAATTAGACGAAGCGTCGACAAACAACCGACAGCGCCCCGCAGCGCACATCGCAAAGATTCAGAAGAGTAAGATTTATTGAACGCCAATAACCCGGCTTACTACTTGTAGGTATATAGCTGTAATGAATCATTAGAATAAAAATAATTAGATTTTAAAACATTATTTGGAATTATGCCATTGTTTTAGTGGGTCGAATGAGAAAAAATAAATTAGGCACCAAAAATGAGCTGCAAATTGATAATAAATCGGTTACAAGTTGATTGTAGTGAATAAAAAGATAAATAAGTTGAATATATATAAAACTGTTAGTTACTGTTCTGTGCGTCTGTCACGCAGGGGTCGCCACAAAGACGCTGGTTGTAGAGGGAGGGGGCATACCAGGCTCCTGTTCTTCCTCCTTAACATCGTCATATGCCAAGGAAGCATCTGCTACGGAAGAGGTTGTACTTCGCATGGCAAGCAGCTCTTCGGGGGTGACGTTAGGCAGGTTGTGGATGAGTTTGAAGTGCCGCTTGAGAGAGTCTGAACGTGCAAACACTCTCTCGCAGTGCATGCACGAGTATCGGGCACTGGCATGCTGAGATTTGATGTGTCTGGTCTTTTCTGACCGAGAAGAGAAGCCCACAATGGACCATGCGCAATCTGGAAAGTCGCATTTGCACAGGCGGGTGAGATTGTTTTCGTCAAAGTGTGCAGCTAGTTCAGACAGCTTTCTGAAGCGGCCCAGATGGCTGGGACAGTGTGTGCACACGTAGACACCCTTTTTGACCTGAGTAGCCTGCGTCCACATGTCAGGGTTTGCCTTGAGGCGTTCCACGTTCGACATGCCACTAGTGGAGGGGGCCATTCCTCTTCCAAACGGCGAGTCTGTGGGCGAAGGGGATGTCGAGTGTTCCTTTTTGAGGAGTTCCACGTGGCCGGCAACCATTCCAACAGCCAGCTGTTTTCGGGTGGCCGGTTTCGTCTTTTTCACTCTGTATGGTTTGAATGCAATCTTCTTAGCCGGCGGACTTGCAAAGCTTGGTGCCGTGGTGGACACCGACGAAGAAGACGAGTCACTTTCGCTTCCTGGCGAGCCGGGACTCGTGGTATAGTTTGGCGAGTCTTCTGGAGCAACCTTGACCTTTGTTGCTGAGTTCTTCTCAAAGTCGCGCATGTTGAGCATGGGTTTTGTGATGGGGGGCAGTTTGTCGCTTCTGAAAAAGTCTGCCCGTGGCGACGGTTTCGGCGGAGGTAACACTTTGGAGGCGATATCACCATTCTGGCGGAACAGCCGTGTGGAAAAGAAGTTGTCCACGTCTTTGAGGTACTTGCTGCTCAGCTCGAAGGGGGCATTGAGGTCCAGAGGACAGTCGGAGTGTAAAGGGGTTTGGGGGTATCCAGCATGAAGCGGCGTTCGAGGGTAGGACGGCAGGCGTGCCGAAAGAGGCGTGTAAGCGGCGCCAAAGTCGCACGAAGGCGAAAACTGCTGTTTATATGCTGACATTGGCAGGCCTGATGTGAGGGGGGTGTAGGCCATGCCACTTGTTGGCGGGTGTAGTGGAGAGGGCATGCTGCCACACACTCCGTAGACATGGACCCTGAGATCGTGTCTTTTTTTTGCCGACATGACTGTGTTGTTTTCTCTTCTTTTGGCGATGGTCTTTTTTGTGTATCTTTTTTTGATATTGGTGTTACATTCCTCTTGTGAGGCTTGTCCAAGTTATATATACACCTACTCGCATCTGGGTGTGTATATATACATCTCGCGTCTACCCCAGGTGGAGATGCACATCTGCCTGTGTCCCAAAGAAAGAGAGAGAGAGAGAGAGCCCAAGAGCGAGCGAGGTGCAGACAAAGACGCCGCCGTTTTGTTGTCTTTGCGTGCTCTGTTTGCGGATGTGGCTGAGGAGACCAAGAACAAGAGAATCGGAGAGGCCGAGCAAACGCAGCTGAGCCCTAGAAAGCAACGATTGGGGCGACAACAATGGGGTCCGTGAGGCCTGCATATGTGGGCGGGAGGGGAAGCTCTCGAAGAGGGTATGTGGCATGGAGAAGCGGCAGCAGCAAATATAGGAGGTTTGGTGAGTAAGAAAAGTTGGACTAGGGCCGGCATGGGAGGGGGAATGGGAAACAACAGGGGGATTCGGCGGGAGGTTGGGCTCCTTCCGTCATGTGACCACAGACCCTGATACTGTGCAACGTGCCCCCTGCCTCGCGGTATGTGCGATGCCAGCATGTACAATACGATACGATACTCTCTCGCAAAACCAAAACATCCAGTGTGCACGGACGGCGTGTTTCACAACTCGTATTGTCACTTAAGCTTGTGGCAGAGCAGAGCAACAAGAATGGATGGAAGTGTAATGTATTGTTTTGGGGCTCCTTGTGTTGGATTCCTTGTCCGAGAGTTTTCATTTTTATTTTCTTCTTTTTATTTCGCCCTTCATTTTTTCATTTTTTTCTTCTTGTGTGCTAACAAAGCTCGCCACGAGGTCTCGACTCGACCTGACCATCGAAAACACTTGGTTTAGCGCCCCACAATACGAGAGCCAACGGCGCCACCGATCCGCTCGTGTGAGACAACTATGGACTATGGGCGATTATTGTCTCCACACCGTCCCAATCCGTCAGGGCTCACCTCCGGCCCATGCAGGTCATGCATCTTCACGTATTCAGATGCATACATGCACATGATTGGTCAGGTGGCATTGAGAGCCACCATTGAAATTACGGCCAGGATATTTTTTGAGGCCGTCTGCCGCGAGCGAGATTCATCTCCACCGCCGAAGTCGAAACGAGGGTTCCGATTGGCTTCGTTGGAAACAGACCAGCGCTATAGTACGATCACTCGTACAGTAGTCGGTCCAGATGGGGCTAAACGCTCGCTCGTATAACCTCATTTGTCTCGTTCTAAAACCCGTCTCCCAACAAGCCAAGCTCAACTCAGGGCCTTGTCTGCAAACCCAAATCCATCCGCACGCAGCATATCGTCGGAGATTAGGGGTAGGCGTCCACCCATGAGGTGGTTCACCGAGTGATAGAACGAGGCTCTGGATATGGAGCGCTGGCGGCGGCTATAGAGACATGTTATCCACGGCTCTTGGGGAGGTACAGGAACCAATACCCGCGGTTGGGGCCCCGTTTGGGCCGAGAATATGGGGCGGAAATGGGGTCGGAAATGGGGTCGGAAAACCGACAGAAAAGCCGACAAAAACAACTAACCGACAAAACAGAGAGATGGAGACAACACAGGCCATATGTGGTCTGTCGGCTGGCTGCGAACAAAGAGAGGTCAATTCAGGGCAAGAAACGACGACCGAACAAAGAAGATGAGGTGCTAGATGCGGCCGAGTCCAAGGTGGTTTGACTCATGGCAGGCATGGATCTGCTCACACCTACAGGACGAGTACGATACGACATCAGCTAATACCGGAAGCTCCAAGGGCCCATTTTTCCGATACGAGTAACCTTGACGACCTTGACGACATGGAGGAACAACCTTTGGCGGTTATGCAAAATGTCAGGTGGTAATAATAATGGAGAGGGGCGTGGTGATGAGACAGGTACGACCGCGGCACGTACGAGGGACAAGTGTTTGTACTGTACCTGTCAAACAAGAGACGCTCCAACGGCCGTGTGATCCGTCTATTGTGCGGTATTATTTACCATGTGGACAACGCCATGTGAAAAGAAGGTCCTTTCTCCTCCCCCTTCTCCTCCTTCTCCCCTCCTCCTCATCTGGCTGCCCACTTGTACTTGTTCTCTGTTCGGAACGGACGGGGGAACTGCACTTCGGGGGAGCACCGCTGCCTCACCGTGGCGTACAAGTATCCGCACAAGTAGCAAGAACAAGCACAAGCGGAAGTCAGGCCGTCCGTACATGTGGTGCGCGGAGGGTGAGGCAGACCTCAAACAAGCCAGGGTGCGTCTGGATGGCCATTTCCGGGGTCGGATTGCTTGAAAACAACAAGTAAGTCGTGACGTAATGAGAGACTTGGGCACCAGTGAGGTTACAGAAGGATGTGGAATGCGAGAATGAGTAAGATGCGATACTTTTACAATTCAGGACAACAGCTCCAGTCATTGTACGGTATGTACTGTACTCGTCTTGTATCAAGACCACGACAGCGACTGTCGTACTTGTACAGTATTACAAGTCACTTTGACCAGAATCAATCGTCTACGAGTGAGATGTACAGTATGAGTATGTACAGTACTTGTACCGCACGAGTACTTGTACCGCACTAGTACTTGTACCATACTCGTACCTCCAATCTCGAATGAGGGTGAAACGCCAAACAACCAGACCGACCCGTCAGGATACACAGTGTACGATACACTACACATTTGCCATACACACAGAAAACTCGGCAAAGACGCGCCTTGCTATGTCCTTGTGGAGTCGTATCCACGATATTTGCTCACTTGACGCAAACATTTACTCTCTGCACTCGACTAAAACGTCCAAACCTGCAACCTCTGCAACCCCAGCATCAAAAGTCACACCACCGGACGGATAGGGTTTCATTGTCGGAGGTGGAGAGCCTCGGAACGGAGATACGTCTGCTTACGTCACAGCCGACGGAGTTTACTGGAGATGGTGTCCTCTCAAGTATGCACCAATCCCTCTGAGCCGTCTACAAGTGCATGTGTTTGGTTGTATTGCACGAGTGTACGAGTAACGCTACAGCTACAGTACAACCTGTAAAGTAGTGGTTATGTACATACTCACCTTCATGACTCTCAGTGGAATTATGTCGACCTTCACGTGGGTTATTCGATATTAATCATCACCATGGTGATAATAATGACAGGAATGTCAATACAAGACCGTATAGACAAACCTCCGATCAGCTCATATGTACATCTCCCCAGCTTCGGAAAAATATTACTCCGGCTGCGAGAAATGTACGAAATTACGGTGGTGCACGAGTACAGGACTGATCCACTTGTGTTATTTTACTTGATTATTACTTGTATATATTATCATCAGCAATGACTGTCTGTACTGCAAGGACACAAGAAAACTTGCACAATTACTCGAAATATCAACAATCACGGACCACGCCATTCATTGAGAGCCACGTGCGGAAAGAGCCGTACCAACGGGGTATGAGCATTCCCTATTTCCCTTCATTATAGGGTTGATTTGGGGGTCGGAGCGTACACACGATGCCACCGTCAAAAGTGACCCTTTTTGTAACCAAAAAGGCACAAATCACATTTGGGTGCTACTCACGTGATTTACATACCTTCCAACTCCTTTTCAAAACCAATTTTCGTCCGTTCGAGCACTCTCTGGCGCTTTTCGAGCCACCCCACAGTACCGTTTTTCCGGACTTTATTTTAAAATATATCGTAAAAAGCTGGACCTATCGAAGTCCCCCCCAGTAATCAATGGGAAAATAAAGTTGCCTGAATAAACCACAATTGCCTATCTGGGCCTGCATGAATCCTCACAACACGCTGTTCTATTCCCCACCAACCACACGATGGAAGTGAGTATTTGCGCCAGACGGGCGTTTGCACCGACTACAAACACGACACACACACGTTGACGCGCCCCAACAGGCCCCAGGCGCGTTTCTACCGCCAAATTGACACTCTCCGCGATGGACTGCATGATGCCGGCGGCGTGGCGAACCTCACGACACAATGTGAGCCAAATCGAGCCAGTCGTCAAGATCAGTTGCCAGTGCCAGACCTGAATGCTGCAAAGATTTCGGTTGTGTGAGATACAGTTGAGCCAGCGTTTCTGATGGGATTGTGTCGCTAGTTGAAGTGGTGTTGTCAGTTGGTGGAGTATGATGCGGTCGGATACTAATTGTTATTGGTGGTCGTGTCGCTGGAAGCTGGCTCTATACGACCTGCTATATGATGCCACCTGTGCGACTGGCTGGCTCTATACCCTCATCTGAATTACTCAGTTGTCACTCTGACCATTCTCCTCCGTTCCGTACTAATCCAGCACCTTCGAAAACTCGACAGCCCCAACGTCCCATGGAGACAGATCATTGTGGGCACCGCCATTGGCGACTACCTGCTTGAGTCTTACCTTAACTACAGACAGTACCAGGTCTACAAGCGAACCGAGGTGCCTGCCAGCCTGCAGGGTATTGTCTCCCAGGAGAAGCTGACTGAATCCAACGACTACTCCATGGCCAAGATGCGGTTCTCCTTCGTCCACTCCACCTACTCCCTTGTCAATTTCCTTGCCACCATCCATTTCAACGTCATCCCCAAAATCTTCCATGTCACCAAGATGGGCTTCACAAAGAGAATCGCCCCCAAGCTTGCCGGTGCCACCTTCTTTGGTGCCAAGACCCTCCACAAGCTCGCCCTGTCAACCCCCGTTCACACCGCCTTTGCTTTCAACGTCTTTGGCCTCGTTAGCTCCCTGCTGGAGCTGCCTTTCTCTTACTACAAGAATTTTGTGCTGGAGAAGAAGTACGGCTTCAACAAGATGACCCCCAAGACCTTTGTTCTCGACTTCTTCAAGGAGCAGGCCCTCTCTTTTACCATCCAGGGTCTGTACATTGGCATCTTTGAGAAGATTCTGATCAAGTTTGGTCTGTCTTTCGTCCCCTACTTTACTGGCTTTGTTGTGGTTCTCCAGATTGTGCTTATGTACGCCGTTCCTACTCTGATCATGCCCATGTTCAACAAGTTTGAAAAGCTTGAGGACGGCGAGCTCAAGGACCGATCCGAGGCTCTTGCCAAGAAGCTGGACTTCCCTCTTTCCGACCTTTATGTCATTGACGGCTCTACCCGATCCGCTCACTCCAATGCCTTCTTCACCGGTTTGCCTTGGAAGAAGCAGATTGTCCTGTACGACACTCTGATCGAGCAATGCTCCACCGACGAGATTGAGGCCATTCTTGGCCACGAGCTCGGTCACTGGAAGATGAACCATATCCTGCAGACGCTGCTTGCCGGCAACGCAAACATTCTGACTCTGACTCTTGGATTCCTGGCGTTTGCTCACAACGACTCTTTTTACACCTCTCTCGGCTTCTTCAGCAACGACCGACCCGCCGCCTACCTGTTCAACACCCTTTATCTGCAGGTCATCAGCCCCATCCAGTACGGTGTCACCTTCCTGATGAACGGCATGTCTCGAAAGAACGAGTTTGAGGCCGACCAGTTCTCCAAGGACCTTGGCTATGGCGATGCTCTGGCCAAGAGTCTGATCACCATCCACCAGGAGAACCTCAGCAACTACGACGGCGATTGGCTGTACAACTCGTACCACCGATCCCATCCTCTGCTGCTGGAGCGACTTGAGGCGATTGGCTACAAGCCCAAGGCTCAATAAGTGCGCACTGTCGCACGGACTGAAGGAGATGTATAGTATGTAGTATAGTATAGTAAATAGTGATTCAACCGAATTATTGAAGAATGTAAAGTACAAGTAGTGGAGATTCTTTTAGGTCGACTCGACCGGAGGTTCTGGTATCCTCACATGTTTACTTCCTCTCATGGTTGTTCGGACGTTGTTCTCACTTCTTTTACAGCATGGTAGATAGAGTCGGAAACACTCGAACTACGTTCTCGTATTTCGTCCTGATGATAAATAGGCGCTAATGCATTTTCATTTTTATGTAAAGTACAACCACTAAACACTCTAGTTGACAAGAGCGGAAGCAGTGGCGGACTCGTACTTCCAGGTGGGGGGCAGAACACCAACAGACTTGTAGTATCGGGCAAGTCGGTGGATTCGAGACTCGATGAGAATGAGTCGGAACTTGGAGTCGGCGTCCTTTCGGTTCTTGTCGAGGTGCTTTCGCACAGACACAGCCTTCTTGATAAGGTGGTAGAGATCCTCGGGAATCTCGGGGGCAAGGCCTCTCTGTCAGCAGTGTTCAAAATGTGTAATTTCTCAAACAACCAATCAGAGGTTCTGGTTACCTGTGTGGAGACAAATGGTGTCGTCTGCAGTAATCACACTGTTTGACGAGTACTATGTTCTTCCACGATTCTACATGTTGTAGCGTTGACTAAAGTGAGTAGTATGAGTTGCACGAAAGAGACGTACAACACATCAAAACTTGCACTTTCGTTAAACGGAGTTAACTTGAAGAAGGTCTTTGACGAGCAGTAGCGGATGGTCATATCCATTTGAGCTCGGCAAAAACCATTCAACCCGTTTTGTTCCATTTCCAACAGGACCACAACCTCTGTGTTAATACCAATAACCATTAATACTCACCGTTGGACTTCAGGATTCGCAGAATCTTGTTACCAGTGGCAACCTTGACCTGGGAGACACCGTGGGAGTCTCGCAGGAGGACACCAATCTGAGAGGGGGTAAGACCCTTTCGAGCGTACTTGATGATCTGCTCAACGACAGCGTCGGGGGTGAGCTTGAACCAAGAAGGAGCGTTTCGAGAGTAGGGGATGGCGGAGGCGCTCATTCCCTTTCCTTTGCTGTGCATTCGACCCATTTTTGATTAGTTTGTTGTGGAGATGGTGAAAGTGAAAAGTTCAGCTGGGTTTTTACCACCGTGGTTGGGAGAGGTGTGAGTGGAAGAGTGTGACTGTCTTTCCCGATTGGGACAGTCATGTGAAAAGTTTATTGGTAGTATTGGGAGATGCACGTGAGCAGAGGAAAAAAGGGGATGACTAAAAAGCTTAATTTATACTATGTCATGAATATAATTCAGGAGATAAAAAATAAAATAAAAAAATCGTGTGAAAAGTCCAAGCCACAGGAGGAAGGGTAACAGATATGAGTGGTGGGAAATAAAAATGGGTGGTGATCTATGGTATAGTTGAGGACAAGTTACGAATGTTGCAAAAAAGTTGAGATCTTGGCCAACATCCAGATATGACTACAGGTGAAGAGTATATACTTCAACACATCCACAGAGATCGGTAGAGACTATAGTGTAGACAAGTCAGCAATGAGAACAATATATACGACAAGAGTAGGGGCACCTGTCACAAATACAGTATGTACTACAGTGTACTGTACATACTTGTAATATGTACACTATGATCCAGACTCTTGCATAAGCCTGTTCATACATGCATCGAACTGTAGCTACCAGACACCCCCGTACAAGTAATCTGTCCCTCAACATAGACAGTTGCAATAGTATCTTCTTATAGATACAATCACCACATCCTGTATGCTTTCACACTGCTGTTTTTAGCCCTTTTTAGAGTCTTTGGCAACTGTCTCACTTGTGGTTTATCTGAGACCCAAGATCGCGAAAACATTGGTCATAAGTACAGAAACAAAGAACGAGTGGAAACAGAATGGTAACAGGCATTACCTGTGTGTGAGAAGCACCCACCAAGAATCACTTACCTATGTTTGTCGCAATTCATATTTCCTTCTCCCCCGATTAGAGTTGCCGATATGCGAGATAACGAATTAGCTTGGTTAGCTTGGGGGGAGCTACGTTGTCGAGGTCAAAGAAGTATGTCATTAATACGTACGTAAAGTCGTCATATCAGATCCTTCACAGCTTGGATAGCTAGTTGATGGAAACCTCCTGGTCCTTCTCGATAGACTTGATGTTAGGGTCGGACTCAAAGGTGGAAACGTGGTCGGCGGGGATGTCGGCGCTGGGTTAGTATGAAAGCTAGGGCGTAGGTCCAAGTGGACAACAGGAAAAGGGAGGACAATCAATTCCAACATTTGCTGTGATGGTGGATGGTTTTTGGGACATGTGGCTTGCACGGTACCATAACAGCGACGACATCAATCGGAGAAGAGGCAACGTGGACAGCGAATCACGAAGTGCGAATATCTCCTCCGTCGTTCCACAGACATCACCACCTTCTATAGCACCCGAGCCTCATCACGCCCTCAATGGACACGCCTCAATGGACACGCCTCAATTGACGCGCACGGCTCCACGGTGGCGACCACAGTAAACATCACGGTGTCTCCACGTTGACTCAATGCACAAACATACACAGAATTCCCCTCATGGGCTCGTGACCCGTGTGGACGCGTGTCCTCACAACACCTCTTCGCCATGAATAACACAAAGCCTTGGACTTTGCGCCTCTCGTTGGTACTCACGCAAATCCGTTGATGAGGTCGTACTCGTGGGTCACCTTTCCTCCAATAGAGGAGACCTTGTCCTTGACGTCCTTGACCTTGGCGGCGTCGGAGTCGTCCTTGAGGAGAATGATGTATTTCTGGTCGGGCATTTTCAAATGGCGTGTTGTGGACAGAAGTCGCTTGTAGAGGAGAGAAGACATGTTGTGCTGCAGTGGCGTTATCGTTATCATTGCTGCATTAGAGTTTGGGTGGGGTTGCTGTTATGAGATGACGCACGACATGCTGTAGCCATTATGTGATAGTGGCGTTGGGGGACACGAGTGTCATGTAGATGCAGTGGGAGGGGGAAATGGAGTGTTTATATAGTGCAAGAAATGACACGAAACGAGTGACACAGAGCCAAACTTCCTACAAGTACAATATATCGGCATTTGATTCCTCTACCGTTAGCTAAGTAAAGCCCTGTCTGGGCACATTCAACTTCAATTGTCCCAATAGCCGCATCCAAATCATTAACAAAATCCAAGTAACTTAGTTGAATGATATGCACTATAGTTCATGAAAACGAGATGATATTGATGACGTTTATCTGACAATGTCTGACAATATGAGTCCAAAATCACAATAAATGACCCTCTCTGACTCCTATAAAACCGACCATAACACTCACCTTCTTCAGCAACCTCCTCGCATTCACGTCTCTGCTCTGCCTCCTTCACCCCTTCCACCCCGCCTCAGATCGTCGTGCAGGTCGAGCAGCCTTGGGAAAAAGCGCGCATTTTGAAGTTGGCGACTTGGGAGGCGAATACGAGACAAGCAACGGAAACCCGCGATATAATTGACCCGTCACGACGATGCCACGGTATCCATTCAGCTCGTTTCAGTCCACTGGTTGACACCCCACTTTCCAGATAGCGTTTTGAATGCTGCCTTAATTCGCGAATAAAAAAAAGCATCATGTTGGTGACTTTGGTCTGCAACATGTGGGGCGTCGGGTCACTGACACGGCCGTGGGCGAGACGTCTTATATAAAGAGCCAATGTCCAGCTTTATTTCCGCCTCAGAGACACCACCCGGGTCGGTCTTGTTCCACCAACACCTCATCTACGATACATAAAGTTCAAAACTAACCCTCATATCATATCGCCAGACGTGCTCCAGCAACTTACCCACCCTCTACTACCACCGCCCACACCCCACCATGAGCTTTGAATACAAAAACTCGGAGAAAGTCCTACGGGAACTCGTCGACATTGATGGCCACCTGACCCTCCAGGACCGAAAGGAGCTGGCCAGTGCCATTGGCCGGGCTGAAATGAACGCCCTGACGTTTGACTGGGGAGGAACCGTGGCCGCCTTCTCGGGGTTCATCTACCTCTACAAGTACAAGCCCCAGAAGTATCTCGGCACTCCCGGCAAAAAGATTGCCACCTACGGTACTCTGATCCTCGGAGGAATGCTCATCAGCGCCGGATCACACGTTTACTTTGCCTCCAACCTGGTGAAGCAGTTTGAAGGAAAAGAGTACCCCTACAAGGCCGCACAGCTCGTAGCCACCTCAAATCTGGCCCTGTGGTGGGCCTACTACAAGATGACCGCCGAGGAGCCCCAGAACTCGTTGTCCAACCCCAAGATGCTGCAAAACATGGAGGAGCGTCTCAACCTCAAGAAGGGCACCCTGACCTCTCTGCCCCCCACCCAGAACCAGATGGCGCTGCCCAAGACGGAACAGGACAAGCAGAACGACGAGTCCAAGGACGAGCGGCCGTGGAACAAGCTGGCCAGCGACTCTTTTGGCAACTCCAAGGACGACATCTGGGGAGAGGAGCCCGAGAAGGTCGAGGAGTCCGACACCCCTCTGACCAAGTCGTGGGACGATATCCGAAAGGATGCAGGCGTCAAGCAGGGCACCTGGAACAGACCCGCCGCTGCTCCCACTCCCAACAAGGACGCTGGTATTCCTCAGATTCCCATTTCCGAGAGACCCAACGCTTCTTCCGATAGCGATGGCCAGGGTCTTGGACTTGCCCAGGCTGAGTTTGACCGACAGCTCGATCTGGAGCGACAGGGATACAAGTCCACCGACGATTTCTCCGAGAGCGAGAAGAAGTGGAAGTAGTCCTTGGAACCAAACGACCATCGACATGTATATAATGAACTAGATCTGAAAAGAGAGAGAGAGAGAGAGAGAGAGAGAGAGAGAAGAGAGAGAAGAAAGCAGCCGGAGATGTAATCGTCCGTCGCTGGGTGTAAAATCATTGTTTTGCCATTGAGCTGACTTTAGTCACTCCACTCCCTTGTATCATTGATGTTCATATAATTAAATCATTACGTCTATAAATCATGTCTTATTTAGATGTGTGCCCGCTGCTGACGAACGACCACGGGCTTTCTAGAGGTTGTTGACATACTTCAAGTCCTCATTGTACTTGACATCCTCTTCGTCAAGTTTACCCTCAACCCTCTTGGCAGCCTTCTTGACCTGCTCAGTCTCCTCGGGGGTGAAAGGGAAACCCTTCTGGTTGAGCAGCACCAGCACGTGCAGAGATCGTTCCAGCGAGGGAATGTGGTCGTCGGTCTCGAGCTCCTTGACGAGGATATCGAACACCTGTCTCTTCTCCTCGGGCTTCATGAGGTCGGTCTCGGACTCCAGAATGCCTGTGAGAACTCCAAGGGTCTTGGACTTGACCTGGGCGGTCGCGTCGGGCTTGAGGTGGCCCACGACCTTCTTCAGACCGTCAGCAGACTCAAACAGCTTGTATGCGTCGTCGCAGTTTCGGATGGCAGACGCCAGAGCAAACAGCGACTTGACCACTACCTCGGGGTCGTCGTGGCTAGTCAGGTCGACCAGCTTCTTGATTCCGGCATCGCCTTGTTCAACAAGAGCCTCCTGCGATTTGGGGTTGTTCTGGGTCGCAGTAGCAACCACCCAGGCAGCCAGCTTCTGCAGAGAAGGGTGAGGAGAGCTCAATTGCGCCAGCAGAGGCTCCCACAGCTTTAGGTTCTTCATCATGTTGGCATTATCGAGGTTCTCCACCAGCATCTCAAAGTTGTCAAACGCCACCTCCTTGTCTTCCAGCTTGTTATCGGGCTGGGTGATGACCACCATGGCCTGCACCATGAGCTGGGCATCGTCGGGCGCCCCAAACAGCTGCGCCAGCAGCTTGGGGTCTGGTGGAGGCTCGTTGGTGCCCTCCTGTTGCTGCTTAACCGACCATGCTAGTAATTTGTCCATTTTTTGTCGTGTTGAGTATTTTCGTAACTTGTTGCGTTCCGGATCAAGATATTTTTCCTCTTCCTGCAGCTTTACTTATATCAGACATTGTCATAAAGTTAAAGGCACGAGGCGCCCCCAGAACCTTCCAGAAATGAATACAGGCCGGCGAGAAACAAATTCGTCATTAAATGAATAAAAAGGGAAGAAATACGATCAATTCACGTGAGAGAAATAGACATTTTTAGTCCACTGTGTAAAAAAAGACAAAAAAAAAACAGCAACCAAACTCAAGGTGATACCGTGTGCAATAGGTCCAACACAGTACTTTTACAGCACGCCTCGATCTTGTGCATCATCAAACATCAGGCATCAGATTACTGAGACGTCTGACATGTACCAATGTGTAAGGCAGAAGGCGTTAAACTAGTGCCCAATAGAGACAGTTATTGAAGTCTAGTGACCCGCTTCTCGACCAGATCTACTTTTAGCAAAATTGCAACATCTCTCGAGGTCGTTTGCTTAGTAAGAGTCTCATACACCGTTTCCAAGAAACACCATCACAATACCTATAGAACATCCGAAGGGTCCATTTTGAAGCTGAAGCCGTGGAGAGACTGGCTGTGGCATTTGATTTGTCAACAGGCCCTTGATACGGTCCCCAGACTTGCGCTGATCCTCCTTCCTCCTTGTCCCATCTCCATCCCCATCTTCGTTAATAAAAAATACAGTACTTACATGCCTATGCCTTGCTAGCTCGAGCTGGGCTCAAGACGTAATCCAGCAAGTAGTCCAGATTCAAACCCACCTCGCTCAATTGCGCAGCCTGCTGTCTAGTAATAGAGACACACTGTTGATACGTTTGAGTGTCGGGCTTCACTCCATACAGCTGTCGAGCAAACAGCAGCACAAATTCCTCCACCATGCTCTTGGCCCACTCGGCAATACTGGACGCCAAATGGTTGTCTGTGTAGCACTTTCGGAACACCTCGGCTGTGGATCGGATCAACCGGAAATACGTGACTGCCACCTGAGCAATATATCCAGGAATGTCGCCCAGCAACTCAACCTGACGAGTTCGCTTGTGAATGAGGTTTCTTCGAGTTTCCAGGTAGACTCCCCGGGCCTGGTCTCCGTGTCCTAAACGCACCAGCAGACCCAGAGCGTGTGTGACGGCAGTGTTGGATGTGTCTGTAGCCACATCATCAATGAGATGAGCCACCAACTCGTCCTGACGCTGATGCAGTTTGATGTCGAGCACCTGCTGTGTAATGTCGGTGCTCTCCTTGTCGTCCTTGATGTTTTCCAAAATGATGTCGGTGGCTTCGGCAAACCGCCTGTGTGCGATTTTCACGTCCAGATCGTTGACCAGGTCGTCAATCTCTCGCAGATTTTTCGTTCGGCCGGTGATGTCGACCGATGAAGACCTCGAGTGGCCCTTGGAGTTGCTGAGCCCCTGTAACAGCTCTTTGTGACCCCGAAGAGACGGGTTTCGAGCAGCATAGTACGTCATACTTTCTCTGAGCCGAATTTGCTGCTGGGTCTTGTTGGTGTCGTTCTTTCTGCCTTCGCCAGCCACCTTTTTGAAAGCCGAAACAACCTTGGCGTGCTGGGCGGGCTTTTCCGTCTGGTAGACGCAGGTGACTCCTCCGCAGACGACAGAAACTGCATTGGGGACCACGGGATGGGTTCCTCGGCGAGAAACGGAGAGATCCAGAAACTCAATGTCGCTGAGCGGCCAACACTGGTCCGCCACAAGAGTCTGGGTCTGCTGCATCTGCATGTTATCCTTTTTTCTGTTCTTGGCTGCAATCAGCAAATGGTCGTTCAGCAGAAACATGTGCACAGGTCGCAGGGGTTTCCAGGTGGCGGCGTTGAGCTGGTACCATGCGCCCGACTCGGCCACCACGTGTCTTCCAGGAATAGCAGGCAAGTACTTGACGGCTCCCTCTACATGTTTGAACAGCGACGCCAGTTCGTTGGCCCACATGTTTTCCAACATGACCATGGAGTTTCTGTTTCGGGCCGACGAGTCGGGCAGCGCCAGCGACGATTGCGACGATTCCTGCGACTTACTGGAGGTGGATTCCAGAGCGTCCTCCACCATGGCGGACACCGCAACGTTGAAGTTGCTGACGGCCTGGCCCAAGGACTTGACCTCGGAGTTGAGCGCCAGAATCTCTTTGTTTACGGTCAGAAACGAGTTGTAGTTTGTGTACATGGCCTCTCGCTGTTCGTCCACGAGCCTCGATTTGAGACTCTTGAGTTTCGACACGAACCGGTCGACCTCCTCAGCGTTGGAGGTGGCCAATTGCTGCGTGACAAACGTGTGCGCGTCCAGATCCTCCTTGAGCAGCATTCCTGAAGCGCCCGAGGCCACGGGGGCCGCCTTGGCCGGAGAAGTCATCGTTTTGCTTTTTGTCACCGGAACTCCTCCAGCAGCAACAGCGTCGTCAATCATGCTCCCAGCACCCACGGGCAAGCTCGGCGCCGCTGCCGCGTCATAGGGCACGCCCTGACCTGGGATACGGGCGCTGAACCGCCGCTTCACCATGTTTCCAACCCTTTCTCGGTCCTTATCGCCGACATTGGGCAGTTGGAGATGTGTGCTGTCTTGTATGTACGGCTTCTGCTTCTGGACCGCCGCGGCCATCACGTGCGGGTTGGCCGTCTGTCTGTGCGACCGTAGCGATTGGTTCGGAGGCTCCAGCGACATGGCGTGAGTCTTGTGTCGTGTACAAGTGCGGATGTTGGGTTGAGTGGAGGACGCAACTTGGACATGCGTGTTTAAGCACCTCGGAGTTATTAAACCTGGAGTGCTTAGTCAGACCCTAAGGGGTGGCTATGTGGATGACCTGAGTGTGGGAAAACAGACGGTTGGCGACGAGATCGAAATCTGCTGCAAAAAAAAAAGTGAAAACAAAAAAAAATAAAAAAAATCGTCACTCTCCACAAATAGCCCGCCCCTATGTCGTTTCATGTTTCACCGTGCACCCCGTTAAACCTTAGTTAAGAACGTTAGTTAGAGTTTTAAGTAATTGGAAGTTTTTGAAGAACGACCATTACCAGCCAGAAAGTTGATGTTGACGGTTGTGGGACATTTAGATGTCTTCTTTTCACCTGAAAAGGTTCCAAGCACCTTTTTCAACCTCTTCTAGTGACTGTAATGCCACGTATTACGACATGGTGTCACTCGACACCCTGAACTCTATACGCCGATGATCGTCGTGTATAACTCGGCCATTATTTACTTTGATGACGGCCACGAAGAGCTCAGTCGCTCCATTCCCGTCGACATAGATTTACCACAATTTTTAATTTGTCAATTCGTTTTTTTATCCATTTTACCCCGAATTTTCCCCAACCTCCTTCCCCATAAAACCCCAGCTGAAACAAGGTGAAACATGTCATTTGGATAGCTCGTGCTGTGATGGAGCTATGATCTTCGGACCAAGTTCAATCGATACCAAATGACGCAAATACTCAGTTTCTGGATCCGCAATCACCCAAAACACTCTCCATACCCAACTGAATGCTTCCTCGGAAAGACGAGTTGATCCGAGAGTATTTTCGCTACTTTGAAATAAGCTTCGCGCTCGTCTATTGTGATATTATGTGCAGAGTAATGGAAGGTGTCTTTGGCAGTGGAAGGAGAGGGTAAAATGGTAATGTTCGCATATCATTTTGTAACCATGGATCCAAGGAGCATTTGTAAACACTTTCCATGTCTTCCACTCTTCTACAGCGCATTTTACAAGTGTCGTCAAAATCCCCCCTCCCCCCCCAACCTCCCAACCTTAACGTTACAGTGCAACAAAACATCACCACTTTTAACATCACCACTTTGCCAGACCCCCCAAAACACCACTCATGTCAATCACATCGGACGAGCTAAACTACCTGGTGTGGCGGTATCTGCAGGAGGCGGGTTTCGAACATACAACATATGCGTTTCAGCGCGAGGCGGGCGTCCATCATTTGGACAAGCATTTCTCTAACCGCATTCCTCTGGGAGCGCTAGTCAATGTGGCACAGAAAGGAATCCAGTTCATGGAGGTGGAGGCCAGCGTCAAGGAGGATGGCACGATTGTGGACTCGGACGACAAGCCGTTTTCGCTGTTTGGGAACGACTACGTGCGCAGTGGGACGCCAGAGATTGAGGAGGAGCAGACTAACGCTTTGAAGGGCGCAGCCACGGCGTTGCTAGCTGCTCCGTCCGACATTACCGCAGGTGCAAATGTGGCCGTGACTAAAATCGATCCTGGATTGCCTACCACGGCTCCAACGTTAACAGCACCGGCAAACAACAACAACATAAAGAAGGTAGTGGCTGCTACCATGACAGACAGGGCAACCAATACACAAGATACACAGAATGCAACGTCGCAAAAAGACATGACGCGCGAGGAGGTGCCGATAATCTCGTTGACGCCGTCGGTGGATGTGGGTTCTGTGTCTCAATGCCAGTGGAGTCCGGTTGACAAGAATGTGTTATTAACGGGAGCGGCCGGACCAGTTGCTTCGTTACTGGTGCTCAACAAGGGAGGAGAAGAGGAGGAGGGAACGGCGGGGACTTTACTACCTACTCACGGCGACGAGATGGATGTGGATTCTGAGGATACCAACAGTACGAAAAAGATGGTCAAAATTGCGTCAACCACAAACCTCGCACATTCGCCGATTCCCCAAGGCGACAAGGATATTACTGCAGTGTCGTGGAACAGAATCGGAACGCTTTGTGTGACAGCTGCGTTTGATGGCCAACTACGATTATGGACTGCCCAAGGCAAGCTACGACACATTCTCAGTTTGCACAGAGCTCCGATTTTGTCTGTCAGATGGAATAAGACGGGCTCGTTGGTGCTGTCTATCGATTGCACAAACACGCTGGTTGTGTGGGATACCACTTCGGGCGAGGTGCGACATCATCTGAGCCTCACGGTGGCTCCTCCTCCTGCTTCGGCAGCTGTTTCGGCAGTGTCAGCGGTCGTGGGAGATATCCAAGCTGCTCTGGGGGGTAAGGACGAGAGCCACGAGTCTGCTGAGTCGATCACAACCGGGTTTGATGCTGACTGGATCGATGGATTGACATTCGTCATGACTGGAGAGAACCATTCGATTGTGGTTTGCAGGGTTGGTGAGAAGCTGCCTCTGCTAGTGTTCAAGGGCCACTCGGCAGGTATTAACGATATTCAGTTTGATCACGTGGGTTTACTTCTGGCATCGGCTTCAGATGACCACTCTGTGCGGTTATGGCAGGGTCGATCGGTCGCGTCTACAGCCACTCTTCTCGGACACACGGCCCCCGTCATGGTGGTACGATGGCTTCCGTTACTCAACGCGGCCAATCTTGTTGGAGGTGCCAACATTGGCACCATGAGTCTTGTGGTGAGTGCTTCTCTCGACGGAACGGCGCGTGTGTGGCTGCCTGAAAACGCTCGTTGCCTGGCGGTGTTGGCGCTGCATGAATCTGCTATTTTTGCCATGGAAATCTCGCCCGACCGCAAGTGGCTGGCGACAGGAGGCATGGATGGCGTGCTGGTCTTGTGGGACCTGGCAGGACTGGAGGACAATGAATGCACCGAGGAGGGCGCCGGAAGAGCTCTGGCGCGCCTGGAGATCGGGGCTCCCATTGATTGTATAGGCTGGAATCTCGAGAGTGACGTCATCTGTGTGGGAACCAGCGGCAAAAGTTATGTGGTGGAGTGGAACGAGGGCATGAGAGAAACCAAGGTGGTGGCATAGAAGGAGGGGATGGTAACGGGTTAATCAAGGGTCCCCGAAAACATAAGACACGGTATAATAATGTAAAATAGCTAACTGATGACAAGAATTGCACACAAGTGAATGTTTGAGACAGTCAAAAGTGGGGGGTTTAGTAATCAAAGTATACCAGAAATGGGATTGGTTACTAGCGGTGGTATTATTGTTCTTCAGCTGCATTTCTGTTGGGTTTTTTTCGGTTTATTGGCCAACTTTTCAAGATATCCGATTTTTTTAATTTCATTGAAAAACCTTAATTCCTCTCACAATATGGATACATATTGTACTGGTGCATTAATCTCAGTTTGAACACATTCTACAACATGAACCGGATACCTATTGAGATACAGAACGAGATTTTGAGACACTGTGATTTGTCAGCCGCTGTCAGCCTTCGAGACACGTGTATCACGTGGCGAGAACTGTGTTCTGAGTCGGTTCTGGCCAGCAAGGTGCAAAGTAGAGTGCCTTGGATGACTCCTGGAGAACATAATACGAGTCTGGACTCTTGGGCTCTTTGTGCAAAAGTTGTTTTGAGCCGTCGGAAAGCCATTGATGGCGGCAAGTATGACCATGTGGAGTTGCTGGACCGAATTCCAAACTTCAAGGCTGGCAAAGTTGAGTATTTGACAGCCGAGGAAGTGACGACTTTACCTCCAGGATACCAGTCTGTTTTCGATTCGGTTTATCTGCGGTCTGTTGCCGATGCAGAGCCGCAATTGTTGGCTCTTCGCGGCTCATCTTTGTACATCAATAACCGCCAAGCAATGTTGGATCTATATACACTGGATGTGAAGCCCACCAACGTGGATATAGCCAACGAGGGGGTTCTGGAGTTTGAAGAAACCGCCACCAATAACGTGTATGAGTGTCACGGATGCTCCATTGAGCTTCCTGAGGGGGCAGAAACTCTTCGTTTTTACTCTGGAAAGAAACAAATGGTGGTCTATTATGACATCGAATTGGAGGAGCGGGTATGTGTGATGGATAGGAAGCCCAGCATGAGCTACAAGGACGGGTTTGCGTTTGTGTTCAACGCGGAAACCATGAAGGTTCATGTTGCACGAGAGGCTGTGTTTTTGACCCAGGTTGAAGATCCCTATTTCTGCACCTATTGGCTTGATGTGGGAGCTCGAACCCGGGTTGTTGTGGCCAAGTCTGAGTTTGAGCAGCCCTACGACGAATGGACCTTGTGGTATGAAGATGTCTTCACCTACAATGGACTGTTATGGCACACTTTTGATGAGCATGTGGTTCCGTTGGTGGTGGACCTGGAACATCTGGACAAGACAGGATACAAGCCTCAGCATATTATCCAATGGTCGGATGGTGGAGAAACTCATCAGGGCAACGACGGCAGCGAAAGCTTCTTTGGAAGCAAAACCTCCACCACTCAAGCTACAGATATGGCTACTTACACAAATTATAGAGTCAAGGAGGACCGCAACTATGATATGGACGATGTCTTCTTTCCGGGGACAGTCGAGGGCCATTTTGGTTTCTGGAAATGGAGTGGAGACTATGCCGATCGAGTCATCAATGCAGCTATATCAAGTCTGAGAGAATGAATAAAACGATACAAGTTCCAGGCTACAGTCAGGGTGAACTTACACAGTGTGTAGACCCAGGGCTATAGAACGGGATGATTTTGTCTTGGGCGTGTCAGGGCGTCTTTCTGCCATCAAACACTGTGTCTTTGGAACAAAGTGGACTAAGAGAGTCATCTTAAAAAACTTTCAACGATACACGCTCCTGGATGGTATGATTCGCTGAGAGTCCCAGCTTTCACCTATGAAGCTCAGACAGTATCATGTTCTTACTTGTACCCAGGTGGAGAAACACGTCTGAGACGTACAATACTTGTACTGTATCTGAGACCTACTGAAGAATAATGGCTTAGTGAGAAGAATTTACTGCTCTGCCAAATATTCATGTGGTGTGCCCACATTTATAACCCCTTCCCCGACATCTGTCCACCCCGACGACCGAGGTAGAATTCTACTTGAAGTTGAGAGTGGGTGAGAATACCCAGGAGGTCTTTCTGAGCCCCTTGTCTGACTCCGCCACCAGCTGTCTTATGTGTTCCAAAGACAACCTGTGGTCTTTCCTGACTGACAACTGTACCGCCCCGCTCCTCGACTGGACACTGCCTGTACGCCCCACTCCTCGACAGGATACTACCCTGGCCGTCCTTTGGTCTCTTTCCTTTCATTCTGACGGGAGATATTACTTGACTATCCACTCCAGTCTCCATTCGAGAAAACTGAAGTCAGTTATGAAGCCGAGCATTTCAGCAGTGTCCATTGCTCCATTTTTGGGGAGCTACAAGTAATATTGGTGAGCCAAACTCATCTGTGCGCTCCAATGCGCCCTTCCTCTTCCCTAGTACGGGAAATTAGATGGACCGCATATTGTATACATGTGCATAATCAAGCACACTTGCACTTACAGTCAACCGCGTCTTGTACAGTATTCCTCATTGCTAATACGCAGGGTCCCATATCAGTGCATGCAAGATGCACGATAAGATGCACCTTCCAATGTCAAAAAAACATCTCTACATTATCTAGATTGGAACACAAACGCCTCCACCTGAAATTATAAAGTCATGATATGAGAACACACGCCAGTACATGCACTTTATTGACCTACTCCTACACATCGGTCTCTGTGCACACATGACGCGACTTATCACCAAACAGCTGCTGGAGCTGGAGGACCAAAAACACAAATGCCGCCAGGCCATGGTGATAATGGAGCAGCTGTTGCATGACTACCAGCTGGAGCTCAACTCTCTCCACGTGAGATCTACGGCTCTGAGAGCCAGCCTGTCCAGCACAAGAGAGAAACATCACTACTTGGCCCTCCAGACTGCTACCCGCGAGATGGCACCTCCCTACGAACAAGAGCAGCTGTCAATTGAGTTCGCAGACAAGACAGCATATGATATGTCACTCCCACATGACAATACAGCTTGTGATGGAACCCCTGCCGAGGTTGTGTCCCCCGCCCGCTCCGTCGAAAGTCTGGACACAAACAGCACCTCCCCTCCCGTCAACCCGCCAGGAACACACGTGCTGGTGTGTGGCAGAAGCGCAGCCAAACTCCGGCTCTACGGCATTGGAAAGAGAGATACAAAGATTGGTCCGATACCCATCAGGAGTGGTAACGGCGTCTCCTACCGCCTGGGGTTTCCGCCTGGTATGTTCCTTGACGTGGACTACTTTCCAGCTGGGGACCTGGAGGTGACCGACCAGAAGCTCACCGTGATATCCGGCTGTCCTCCTCTTGAAGGTCGAGTGCTCGACGAGATTGATCGTATCGACGCTGCCTTTCTGGTTCACGGAGGAGTCTACCTGTTGTTCAAAAACTGCAGCTGGGGCACCACCTACACCAAGGAAGTCCTCGACTTTCTCCCCTCGGGGATGGAGGTTGTTGATTTGAGAAATTGACTGAAACTATCGGTTCTACTACTTGGAGCAGTACAAGTGCTTGTACTCGTAGCAAATACATACGTGATTACCTATCTATTGATTAGACAAGAACGCCAGCCTGGGCGAGAGCCTTAGAGTCCTTGAGCTTGTGGAGTCGCGAAATGACCTCGTCCAGAGGAATGGAAGCGGCCTTGGCCTGCTTGCTCTGGTCGTCTCGGTCTCGGATGTTGACCGACTTGGCGGTCTTCTCCTCCTCTCCGACAATGAAGGTGAAGTTGTACTGCTTGAGCTGGGCCTCTCGGACCTTCTTCTGCAGGGTGTTGGGGCCGTTGTCGACGTCGGCAAAGAAACCGGCATCAACGAGCTCGTCACGCACCTCCTGGGCGTAGTCGTTGTACTTGGGGCCAACAGGGATGACAAGCACCTGTCGGGGCGACAGCCAGAAGGGCCACTTGCCGGCAAAATGCTCACACAGAATGGCGGTCATTCGCTCAAACGAGCCGTAGATGGCTCGGTGGATCATGACAGGTCGGGTGTACAAAGCAGCGGAGTCGGCCTCTCCCTCGCCCATGGCAGCCGAGTTCTTGAAGTTGAGGTCGAACCGGTTGGGCAGCTGGAAGTCGAGCTGGATGGTGGCGCACTGGTGCCATCGGTGGAGGGCATCGGAGATGACAATGTCAATCTTGGGGCCGTAGAAGGCACCGTCTCCGGGGTTGAGCTCCCAGTTGGCGCCCCACTTGTTGAGGGCCTCCTCGAGCTGCTTTTCGGCGTCGTTCCAGGTCTCGATCTCACCAACGTACTTGTCGGGTCGAGTGGACAGCTTCATCTTGAACTCAAAGCCAAAGATGGTGTAAATCTTCTTGAGGAAGTCGAAGATACCGGTGATCTCGGACTGGATCTGCGAGGGCATGCAGAAGATGTGGGCATCGTCCTGCTGGAACCGTCGGACTCGGGTGAGACCGGTGAGGGCACCGGAGGCCTCGTTTCGGTGGATGACACCAAAGTCGGCAACCCTCCATGGCAGCTCCTTGTAGGATCGGTCTCGGGCCTTGAACATGAGACAGTGGCCGGGACAGTTCATGGGCTTCAGACCAAACTTTTCCTTCTCAATCTCAAATGTGAACATATCGTCCTTGTAGTTTTGCCAGTGGCCAGAGGTCTCCCACAGCTTGGAGTTGTACATGTTGGGGGTGATGACCTCCTCGTAGCCTCGCTTTCGGTACTCCTTTCGCAGCAGGTCGGTGAGAGCAGAGTAGATTCGAGCGCCGTGAGGGAGCCAGAAACACGAGCCGGGAGACATGTCGTTGAACAGGAACAGCTCCTGCTCTCGGCCAATCTTTCGGTGGTCTCGCTTGGCAGCTTCCTCCAGGAACTTGAGGTGCTCGGTCATGAGCTTCTTGTCGGGGAACGAGATACCAAAGATTCGCTGCAGGGAGTCGTTGTCCTTGTCTCCGAGGAAGTAGGACGACGAGTTCTTGAGCAGCTTGAAGGCCTTGATCTTGCCGGTGTGGGGAATATGGGGGCCAACACACAAATCAATCAGAGGACCGCATCGGTAGACGGTGGTGGAGGTTCCGTCGGGGATCTTCTTCTGGATTAGCTCAACCTTGTACTTGTTGTAAGCAAACATCTTGAGGAGGTTTTCCTTGGAGAGCACCAGACGCTCAAACTTCTGCTTGTCCTTGATGGCGGACTTGGCCACGGTCTCCAGAGGATCGTAGTCACAGGCCTGGACGTGGGTGTCGCCGTTGTCAATTGACATTTCGTAGAAAAAACCGTCCTCGGTGGGGGGTCCGATGCAGAGGTGGGCACCGTAGTGTCGCTCGGTGGCCTCTCCCAGCACGTGGGCAGACGAGTGCCAGAAGACCCGCTTTCCCTCGTCGGAGTTGAAGTCCAAAAACTCCAGCTTGGCGTCGCCCTCCAGAGGTCGCTCCATGTCCCACAGCTCGCCATTGACCTTGGCAATCACGGTCTGATCGGGCAGCGACTTGGAAATGGTCTTGCAAATGTCCATGGGCGAGGTCTCCCAGGCAGTGGCCTCCTTGGGGGTGCCGTCCTTGAGAGTCACGACAATGGGCTTTCGCTCCTGAGCAGCCACAAACGCGTCATACTCCACCTTGAGCTCGTCAAACATCTTGATTCGCGAATCGAGGAACTCGGGCTTGGGATCCAGCTCCAGAGCTCGAGACGAGGCAGACTCTCCCTCCTTGGGGGCCTTGACCTTCTTCTGCTTGGCCTGTCCAAACTTGCTGGGGTCGGCGGCCTTCTTTTCCTTGGCGGGCTTGGCCTCCTTGGTCTCCTTAGGAGCCTCGGCAGCGGGCTTGTCGCCCAAAACCACCTCCTTCATCTTATCAACGAGTTCAGCCATTTTCGCGTGGTGAGAATCGAGTCCCAAGATTTTACTTTTTGGAAACGTCAGAATTTTGCAGTATGGGAGTTACTGGTCTCAGGGTTACGCAAGTGGGGTTAGGGGAAGACCCGGCAAAGTCGCGATATTTCTACTGTATGGCGTAGATTCGACCCGTTTTTGTACAAGTACTTTGGTTATGACTCATACGTGGAGAAACGACACTCTTGTCAAGCGGATGAAACATTATGAGTCAGACAACCCGCTGAGGGTTATGACTGACTGGCGTAAGAGGTGTTTAACACAAGGCAGAGAAGGGAAATATGGTAAGTAAAGAGAAGCTATGAGAGCTGTTAAGTGATTCCAATTGGCTTTGATAGACACCTTTATGGTCCTGTTCTTTCTCATCTCTCTTGAATTAAACAGCTACCATCAACATAACCCCTTGGTAAGAGTCTGAATCTTAGAGTAGGCGACTGGACAGGTACAAGTGCAAGTACGAGTACTACATCTGTGCGGTAGCTGGAGTTTTAACGGTATTTAATTGTCATGATTGTTCTTCCGACGAGCTCTCGTCTTTCTTTTGAGGGTGTTATTACGCTGCCATCCATACAGATACTTCTATAGCATCAGGCTTAGTAAGATGGTATGAGTGTTGCTGAACAGGAAAGGAGGAGGCGAGCTTCTCTGCTAAGAGCACTTGTTGGTTTATTGGTCGACTTTTCGGGCTCTGCATTTGTTCTTTTAGTTCTTCCGATGTAAACACGACATGTTTATATTCTTGCTGGATCTGGAGCTGAAGGATACCACCAGGCTGTTCTTTTTTACCGTACAATTGTACGAGGTGTTGATGAAGTACAGTATGTACTCATACGGGACTACTCATACGGGACTACTTGTACTCGTCTGTAGCTGATATCTTGCAGCACGGCTGTGAGATTGATCTGCTTCAATGGATGATGAACCAAGCAGCAATTTCCCAAAACGAGAAATCATCTTTCTTGTTACAGCTCATGCGAGCAGCACTATCTTTTTTACATCCAGACAATGAGTTCCTATCTACAGTAAACTGGACGAATACCTTTTGAGGGAATGCCATATCTGGTCGAATACCTCCACAGCCAGGAGGATCACTTTAACAGTTTTATTCTCTCGCCCGAACCTCGTTTTCCCTCCTTTCCCTCCTTCCCCTCCTTTCCCTCCTTCCCCTTTTTTCCTCGTTTCTATAGATTCTTTCCTCCATTGCAAAATAACCAGAGGTCAGCTCACGGCCCATTTTTCGGCTCGCTTTTTTGAAACGTGCATCTCTCGTGCATATTTCATGCATGGTGTGAGGTTAGTGCATACGCCACCTGGATCAGACCCGAAGAAATACCGGCGAATATGCGCCTGACGAAGACAGACTGTTAATAGCCGGGCGCGTCTTGCATATTAATTATGCAGGGCAAAAAATTGAGCAAAATCGGGCCGACAAAAACGCTTCGCAAAACTGGTCCTGGCACCAGGAGCACCTTCCATATCCAGCATTAATAATAGAGCTAAGCTTAACGATCTGGGGAAGAAAGTGGCAGTGTTGATGATGCCATGAAAAGAAATGTGGGGATATAAATGCACCATTTTTTTGGGTGAAATCAATACTTTCAGAGTCTCCCTTCAAATTTCTCTCTTCCTCTTTCGACTATGTCAACACCTCCGCCAACGCCACTCGCTCTTCCTCCCGCACACGTGCAAACTTTGATATGACTCGGTGATGCAGCAAGCTCACATAAAATTGGAGACGGTAGGAATCGCCACTTGCAACACTACTTATACTGGCGCTGGAGCTTTCCAAAGACGACAGACACTCATTCAACTGACACTAGACGAAACGATAACTACACAGAATGGGAAAACGAGGCGGAAAACGAGGGTCGTCACGCGGACGTGGTGGCTTCAATAACCGCGGAGGACGGAGCGGAAGAGGCGGCCGGGGAGGCCGGGGAGGCCGAGGAGGTGGACGAGGAGGAATCACCATGCCCACTGGATACCATAACTTTTGCGACGACGAATTGGACGAGTCCATCAACTTCAACTACAACCGCAAGCCGTCACAGCCCAAAGATTATGACGATGATTCGAGGACGTCTGGACGCACCACGCCCAAACGAGCCCGTGGAGGCCGGGGACGTGGATCCGGCGACCGAGGAGGTCGCGGCGGATCACGTGGACGAGGTGGAAACGGCGGATCGAGTCGAGGAGGTAAAAAGAATGGCTGGAGAGACGAGAAACCGTCGCTGCTGAGCTCCATTCTAAACTCTCGACAACACGCGTCGGAGAACCGAGAACACATGTTCAACAAGTCGCTTCGGGGCGCCGAGTTCATCACGTTCATCAAATCTGCCGAGGTCTATGATCCGTCCAAATTGCTCAAGGATGTCGGTGTTACAGTCGAGGAGGCCAACGTGGTCAATGAGGTGGAAGATATCCATATTATTGTGCCCGAGGTGATTCCTGAAGTGCAAGACGTGACCGGTGCAGATGCTCAACTCGAGGATCAAGAATCTGAAGATGAGGAAGTTGTGACTACCATCACCGAGACTTATGCAGATGATGGAGATAACCAAGAAGACGACGACGACGAAATGCTTGTTGACGGGAACGGACAGTTGGTTGACGATTACGACGATGACGAAGATGACGACGACGAAGACGACGAAATTGACGAGGAGGTTGATGACGATCTGATTGCCGACGAAAACGCCGTCGACGTGTCTACCCTGCAGGACGCCATAAACGAGGTTGCCAACGATACCATCAACGACGATCGGAAGGAAGAAGACCCCAGTGAGGGCTCCGAGGCTGACGACGAAGAAGATGAAGCAGCTGAGTTTGTCATGGATACAGAAGGAGACCCCGATATGGTGGACATGGAGTTTATGGAGACGGATTTCGCGTACCTCAACAAGAAGAAGCGGGCCGAAAAGTCGCGTACTCCCCTGACCAGCTCCACAGCCGTCATAAGTGATCGACCCGTCGCTTCCGTTTCTGCAGACACAACTCTTGTGGGGTCTGTCGCCTCCAAGAAACGACACAATGCCGATCCTCGAGCAGTGGATATTCCCGAGTACAACTCCGACATTGATCCGGAGGTGCTCAAGGACTACATCGAGAGTATCAAGAACGAAGATGAGGGCTCCGATGCTGAGAACATTGATTGGATCCGATCTGCTCTGGGCACTCAGCTTGGAGGAACTGAGCAATATTATGTTGACAGCGACGACTCTGAAAATGACGACTTTGACGATGATGACGAGGATGACGAGGAGGAGTACGAGTGGCCCGAAAATGGTACAGTCGGGTGCATCAGAAACATTGTTGCTACTCGAGCAGCCTCGCAGGGCTACCAGTTTATGGTTGAACACACTCTGGACGCTGATATGGAGGAGTGGTGGAACGAGGATCTCATTCGAGACTCGGTGGCAGAGCATCTTGGTGTTTCTGTCTCTGAGCTCCCCGATGAGGCGTACAGATGGTATGTGACTCGTCTTGGAGGCGATATCGAGGATCCTGATCTGTCTGAGGAAGGAATCAATTACAGCGACTACTATGACGATTCCGACGAAGATGAAAAGGCACGAGAAGCGTCTGAAATGGACTCGCTCATCCAGAGTTTGATTGACGACGAGGTGGACGACCGAAAGGCGCTCATGGACCACGGATACACTCCCCCCATGACCAAGTCTCGTGGCAAGAACCAGGTGCCAAACTTTGGCGTCAACGATCCCGAGCTGCAGGCTCAGCTGGAAAAGCACTGGGTCAATTCCCGAGCTGCCAAACGAGCCAAGCGAGAACAGCGACAGGCTATGCGAAAGCAGGGTATGTTCACCAAGGAATTCAAGCAGGGAGGTATCATCCCCTTGCATGCCAAGTACCCTATTTTGATGACTGTTGAGGAGGCCCGCAAGGAAATTGAGATATTCATCAACGCTCCTAACAAGCCCATGGTTCTGGATTTCCCGCCCATGGGAGCCGAGTTCCGAAGCGTGCTTAAAAAGCTGTCTGCATGCTACCACTTGAAGCCTGATATTCACGGCGTTCAGAAGAGCAAGCATGTCAGCATGCTGAGAACCTCCCGAACGTCGTGCCACAACAACAATTACATCCAAAAGTTTCACGATAAGTTCCCCAAGAAGTTCAAGCTGGTGATCCGAAACGCAAAGTACTCAACCGAGCAGTACCTGTATGAGACCAAGCACCAGAAGGGCTCCAAGCGGTCAGCTGTCCGTGTTCATAACCGAGAAGGTGAGATTGTGGGTCATGAGGCTCCTGCCATTGACGATTCCAACATTGGACGTCTGCTTCTTCAGAAGATGGGCTGGACCACGGGCGAGGGTCTCGGTGCTCAGAGCAGAGGTATTTCTGAGCCCATCATTGCCAAGGTCAAGATCAGCAAGCGGGGTATTGGAGCTTAGATGGGGAGGATAGAGGTACATCAATTGCATAATAGATGATGATATGGTAGATGAGGTGTAGTCACATTTTGCAAGCACGAAGTATGTGGCGTACATATATACATGCAAATACATGCATATATCAAGCAGGAGGATACGACATTCTTCATGTAGAAGAATCTGTTGGCGTATTGTTAAGTTGATTTTGATATTTAGTTGTGCTCTTTTTTTCATTATTTTGCTGTTTCTGCCATTTCCAAAATAAGCTCTCCATAATGTCCTCGCAGGTGGCTTGTGCATGTTGGATGCATATTTTATGTGGTTTACTGCAATTAAATGCAATTAAATGAATTAATAGTCAACGGTCGCTGGCCGCTCAATTTACGGGTACAGTGATTACTGTTGTGAATAATGCAGCTCAATTATGTTATGAATAAATAGGTCTCTGGGGAAAAGCTCAGGAAATATGATGGGGTTTTGTAGTTTGGGTCCAAAACAAGATGCTTATTTCAGGTTGGTGAAGTCAACCTCGCCCTCCATCAGACCGGCGTTCTCCTCGTTCTTTCGGGAGCAGGTGCACTGAGAGGCCTGTCGCATGCCGCAGGAGCAGGCGTCAGTGGGCTTGACGTTCTCGACGGCAGCCTTGGAGCAGTCGCAGTGCTGAGCGGGCATCTTACCACAAGAGCAGGTGGCTTCGATAGCACAGACACAGGAGTTGGACTTCTTGCAGCAGGTAGAGGCGGCCATTTTAATAGATGTTTGTGTTGGTTGGTTGGTTGGTTGGTCGATTGGTTGTTCGTGTCAGATGTGTAGCTTGGAGGCTTGATACTGAAACTATCGAGCGTGTGGAGAGGTCTTTATACTAGCCACACCATGTCATGCTCGTATACATGTTTTAGACTTCTCGCTAACCTTACGCCCCCGCTGACCTTTTCCGGCACTGTGATTGGCCGGTTGGTCCCATAACGCACGTGACCCATCAGTGGCGTGTCTCGCTGACCTTTGCTGGGGATTTGATTGGCTGACGAGGAGGGTGAATCACGTGATGATCTGAGAGGTGCACAGATATGCTGACCTTTGAAGCGCGTCTGATTGGCTGGGTCGTGACCAAGTCACGTGATCCCGAGAGTGGAACATTCCCACAACCTGTTTAATCATGGCGAATACACAGGGCTAAGGTGGCTGGTAAGGTGGCCAAAATAAGACGCAAAAAGTGAGGCTTGTGTGTGGGTTATCAGATTGTCTCTGGAGGGGCGAATACGTTGGGAAAAAAATGGAAAAACGGGAGGAATTGCTGAGTAATATTTATTTGGACCTTGTGACCGACCCGTGTCGCAGCAAACATAATCCTGGTTTTGATGGACGATGCCAGTATCGAGTATGTAGAAGAACAGTTTCAAGTAAGAGACGTGGTGTCCATAGAGCTGCCGATGATACTCACTGTAAAGGTACATACTACAGTAGTCCATAGTCTTGAACATTCAATGCGCTCCAATGTTGTGATGAATATTGCGTCTTACCATGAAGAGTGGTTGCAGAAGTTGTATCATTTGATTGGACATTTCACGCTGATTTGATTCGTATGGCAAAATCTTTTTCCTTACAGAACGTCGACTTTTTGTAGTTGTGCTGTGGTAAAATAATCGGACAATTTTGGCCGAAAGTGGCAGACTTTTGACGAGGTTTGATCGACGATCTATGAAAATTTTAATCAAAATCATAATTAAAAAATAAATAAATAAATAAATCAAATAAAAATCAAATAAAAATCAAATAAAAATCAAATAAAAAAATCAAATATATAAATAAAAAAAAAAAAATAAAAAACCATTGATCTTACTGTCGAATGTACGATACAGCACCACTCGCACTGTCTTATATGTACGTATGCTGTACTCTCGTATCAGCCTATTCCCAGAAGTGATAAAAAAGAACCGTCGCTGTTGATGTTGACGAAAACAGTCCAACATCCTATTCGTACAGTGCATACGACTACGGTACACGAACTTGTATCTCTCCTGTTCCGCTGTTGGTCGCACCATCGCTTACCGTCTAGTTGGTTAAACCTATTGTATGTACTGTACATACTCGTACTTGTAACTAATAACCACCGTTATCCACGCCGTTATCCGTTGTGCCATTGTTTACTTGTATCGTACTTCGGCTAATCGCCTGAGTGGTGTGAGTATAAAAAATGGCAGTCACACTTGTATTGCTGTACTGCGCCACACCTTAGCTGACCATACCTATGACGTTCCACGACGAGCACCGGTCCGGCACCCGACTCGTACTCGTCGTACTTGCAGCCTCATCCATACCCAGCAATGATGCCATGTTCCTATCCAGGGCACGGCCTCTTCATCACACCACCTGTGCTTCCGAGACTATATGTAAGCAAGTTGGGCAGTGTAAGTGGTGCAGGTCATGTGACCTTGTAAACAACAACCCGACTTTACAGTAACGCTTGGACACACTTGTTGGCCTGTTGAGTCAACCCGGGGCCAACCCAAGGCAACAAGGAGACCAAACCATCAATATATCGGACCAATATATCGGACCACGGTCGCCGCCGAATCGCCCCACATGGCGCTGGGCCGTTCCAGCTGAGCTGATGCCCCCCACGTCGCTCCCATCGTATATCCAAACCCTATCAGCATTTTTTCTGAAAAAGGCCGTTAAACGACATATACGACTTGGGAGTTGGATCAGTAGGCTGATGTTGATTTTTCAACCCATTTTACCAAACCAAAAAGCTAATCTAGCCGAGTCGATGGCGGATCGCGGACATGCTACTCTAGACCACGTTCCGGACGGCGGTTTCGACCGGCGAGGTTATGAGTACGTCAGAAGCAGACAGAAGAACAGATTGCGAGCACAAATCCGAGACCCACGGCCCCCTAAAACACGTCCAGGGCCCTAATCAGATGTGCCGTCGCGACGCCCCTGACGTGTTCACATGTTGAGTTTGGATGCAGAAGGTTCAGCATGTTTAGCCCGTTTGGGTTATCAGATGATTGCTTGCGGGGGTCGTTGGGGACCATTTCCACACGAATACACGGAAAAAAACCACACAGTCACACTCACCGTGTCAGTGCCATCATGTTGGTGCCCTTTACCCCCCAAATATCCCAGTTTACACATCTTGCAACCCCCCCGGGATACGACGCAAACGACAGGGTTAGGAGCAAAGGCTAATACTTTTCGTGTTTTATAGGCCCTCCCATCCCACCCTTTGGAGTCCCATATCTCACCTCGACACACCATGTCTTCGATTCTCGAGAGCATCAACTCCACCGTCACCCCCGCGGCCTCCTACATCGGCACCTACGCCAAGCTGTCCGACGCCCACGCCGACACCCTCAACATTGTCGAGCGGGTGTGGGCATCATACTTTGTGTGGTGGGGCAATGATCTCATTGCTTGCGGCATCTTCATTTTCCTGCTGCACGAGATTCTCTACTTTGGCCGGTGCGTGCCCTGGATGATCCTCGACCAGATCCCCTACTTTCACAAGTGGAAGATCCAGGGCGAGGCCAAGGTGCCCTCTGTGGCCGAGCAGTGGGAGTGCATGAAGTCCGTGCTCATCTCGCACTTTATGGTCGAGGCCATCCCCATCTGGGGCTTCTACCCCGTCTGCAAGTACGCCGGAATTTCCATCGACGTGCCCTTCCCCTCCTGGATGAAGATCTGTGCCCATCTCGCCCTATTTTTTGTGCTGGAGGATACCTGGCACTACTGGCTGCACCGAGGCCTTCACTACGGTCCCTTCTACAAGCACATCCACAAGCAGCACCACCGATACGCCGCTCCCTTTGGTTTGACTGCCGAGTACGCTCACCCCGTTGAGGTGGCTTTGCTTGGTGTCGGAACTGTGGGCATCCCCATTGCCTGGGTCATGCTAACCGGTGATCTCCATCTCTTCACCGTGTCTGTGTGGATCGCCCTGCGACTCTTCCAGGCCATCGACGCCCATTCTGGCTATGAGTTCCCCGTGTCTCTGCATCACTTCTTGCCCATCTGGGCCGGTGCCGACCACCACGATGACCACCATCGATACTTCACCGGCAACTACGCCTCGTCGTTCCGATGGTGGGACTTTGTGCTCGACACCGAGGCCGGTCCCGCCGCCAAGGCCGAGCGACAGCAGCGACTTGCCGCCAAGGCTGCTAAGAAGGCCAAGAAGCAGCAGTAAGCGACCCCGGCCACTCACTACGGTCGCGATACCCAATCCCGATCCAAAACTGACCCCAGTATATACATAAGTTATTTAATATGATACATTTCTCCTTACGACGAAGCGCCCAAAGCGCTACGCTCGAAGCTCTACGCTAGAAGCTCTACGCTAGAAGCTCTACGCTCGAAGCTCGACGCTCGATTAGCTCTCAGATCATGTACTTCAGATGCCCTCATCGTGTATAAATAGAAGCAGAAAAACAATTCCCTTTGGGGAAAGAGACAAAGAAAGGAAGGGTGAGGAAGCCCAAAAGAAGTAATGTGAAACTTTGCCGAAGTGACCCAACTTGGTGAACATGTTGTGATGGTGGAATAGGAGACATGTGGTTGATTGAAGGGAGGTTACAAGAGCCGGACTACATGATTTCAACAGTAGCAGCATTACCTTTACTGTACTATATATATATATTATTATTATGATTATTATTATGATTATTATTGTTTAAGTAGGTCTTACATAATTCGCATATATACGAGAGTGTCTCATGACTAGACCAACAGTACCTACACACTTGTGGTACAATGTATATCAGGAGAGTGATGGCGTTACATCGGTGTTTCTTTTTCCAAAACACATCTACATGCTCGTGTGATCCTCCTGGTCAGTGGCAATACAGCTGTTTATGATGGATCTAGGGCTAGATCAACATGAAGAGAAAGAATCAAGACGAAGGACAGAAGAGATATAGCATACACCGATATCGTCTCACAGAATCCCAGTTACCAGTGGTTACTGTACTCGTCCATACACCGTGGAATACCCTCAAGTATCGTAGGGACCAAAGAGCTGTCAGTGCCTCTGGCAGTCTTTCTACCACCTCTCCCTCCATCTACCAACTGTCGTTTATGTCCATTGTTCCATGCTATGGGTCTGTAAAGACCACTGTACCCGCATCGTGTCTACACTCAACTCGCTCCAGGCGCTCCGCGGAGGACCTACCGCTGCCATGGCCTTGGCCAGTCGCAGCCCCTCGCACTCGTCAGTCTATAAATATATAAATAATTACATGCGCTTTTCAATTGTCGCGTTAAACAGTGCCAGGTTCAAAGCGGCGTCATTGACCCCCATGGTGGGGTTACTTTCCTCCAACAAGTCAAATGACCGCACGGTCACCTCGGAAAAGGCGTCGTTGGCCGTGCTGTACAGCAACAGGTCTCTTGTAGGCCCAGCCTTTGAGGGGGCCGAATTGGCAGGCTCAGCCACTTCGGAAAGCTCGCTCTTGAGAGCTGTCCACGTGTCCTGCAGCGTGGCCTTGAGGTCCGGCGTGGTGGCCACAAACGGTGAATCCAACAACGCCTGCAGCCCCTCAACCACATGGTTGCGCAACATGGTCACCTCGGCGTCCTCCGAGGCCATGAGCGACTTTTCGTGGATCATGGCAATCTTAAGGAACATGGAAATGCCCTCTGCGAGTCCCGGGGGATGGGGCTCACGCACAGACGCCTCCACCAGTCGCTGCAGACCCGAAGACAGCGCAAAAGTCTGTGTTTTACACACGTCTTCAGTGACCGAGTCCGCCAGAGAATCTGCCAACTCGATCAGAAGCGACACGATATTGTCTTCGCCCACTCGCGGAAAGTTGGGCGACGTGAGAAACGTGGTTTCTGCCCGGGCCAAAATGCGGCCCTTGAGCTCGCCCGGCAGTTCGGAAAACAGATCTCCAAAGAACGGAGGCAGTTTGAGCAGACCGGGGTCGCTCAGCACTCGGAACAGCACAGAAACGTCCTCATCTGTAGTGTCCGTACTGGGCGTGGTGGAATTGATGGTGAGTTCCGGAGATGTGTCCATGGCAACAGGGTCCTTAGAAATACGGCCCCGATGCGCAAACAGTAGCCGCAGCTGTGTCTGAGCCAAAAACATGTTGAAGGGCGTCACATGTGTGATTAGTTGTTGCAGGTCGTCGGCAAGAGAAGTGCCTGTACCGAGATCGAGCTTCAGGAGGTGATTGAGCAGTTGTTGCAGAGAAGAGGCAGCCACAGCATTGTCGGGCTCAATCACAGGGTCCACAATGAGCTGCGAAAACAGCGCAGGGTGATGCACAGCCACCTCCTTGCAAAAGGTGTCAACATCGTCCAGCCACTGCGGATCCTGGAACACTTCTCGCTCGAATAAATATTGTGCCACGAGCCGTAGGTAGATGCGGGGATGCTGGTCGGCAAACAGCTTGCGCTGAAATTGCAGAGAAAACGCCTCGGTAGTGGAGAGAGAGTATTCCTGGGTCAAGTCACGTGCAATCAGCGAAAGCAGCAAGCGGGAACCTCCAGACATGTCTCTGAGATTGTGGATTTGAAGAAACAAATCGCCGACCTTTTCAATGCAGGTGCACTCGTACACCACGAGGAAGACGAGCGTCTGGAGCAGCTGTAGCGACACCTCCTGGTCTCTCAGCCACGTCATGAGTTGGTTGCTGAACTGTGAATCGTCCTTGTAGTTGGCCAGCATCTTGCACGAGGTTCGGACATCTGACGAGTGCAACAGCAGATCGTTGAGAGCCTGTGGTAGGTTCACATCTTTGGTGGCCTCAGAATCGGTTTGAGGAGTGACTTCGGAGATGGGCGATAGCTGAGGGGAAGAAGAGTTCTTCAACAGTGTCTCCAGCTCTGGTTTGAGCTCAGGCAGCTGCTGGGCCGAAAATTGGACCAAATCCCACAGCTCGCGTGATACCCGTACCTTGCGCAGACCCCGGTACTGGTGCATAAATACCTTGACTAGCGCAGGCATATCTGCAATGCAAGCAAACGCCTGCCACTGGTACCGGGTAGCGCTGGCCAAAAAATACAGCAGATGCGACTGGGTACATTTCGGTACAATGAGCTGGATAGAGGCACACATTAGTCGCCAGGCATGCAGATTTTCGAGAATGAGCTGGTACTGTGCAAACTCCTGAGTTGTAGGAACGTAGCCTCTTTCCACGGCTGCACATAGCGAAGTGTACAGGTTTTCAGCGACCACAATGCGGGTGTTTTGGGTGAATTCGGAGTATGGAATATTAGTCGAATCAGACAAAGAAGAAGAGGAAGAAGACATGTCCACATCTTCAGCCTGAGAATCGAAAACACCCGGAAGAAGCACTCGCAGAGCGTTGTTTGTGCGCTCAAGCAGTTCGTTTTCATTGTAGGAGGCGTACTTGGCCACCTTTCGAACCATATACCGAACCTGCACTTGACACGAGCTAGGAACAGCTACTAGTGGCAGGTTGCCCAAAATATCGAGCTGCACATTGGCCCATTCAGAAAGACGGGAAATGTACAGCACTCCTGACGAAATGAGGGATCTGACGTAATCTTGGGGTTGGAAAATGTCTAGGACACAGAGCTCTGTGACCAGAGCGTACAAATCGTCGATTCGCACGTCTAGATGCGATTTCACAGACAGTAGAAACTGTACAATGTGGCTGGGCACTGCGTCTCCGTCCACTCCTTCGGATAGCTGTGAAACCAGATGAGACGCAATAAAGACCCGCTCGACAGAAACACGCGAGTCTGAGACTGCCCATGCAAGAATGGTTTGTATGATTGTTCCAAAGTCAGCCCTTGTATCGACAATTTGGTTGAACAGTGTCTTGTCAAAGGGAGCTCTGGCAGCGTCCAGAATGGAAATGATGACTGCCTGTTTGTTTCTGGTTCGGCGAGTCTTTGGCGTATCGGAAATAACTAAAGCCTCATTTCGCACACGAGTGGATTCCGAGTCGGACACGATGGCCTCGAACGTGCTCCCAAGCTGCACCCATTTCGACGGCATGACAAAGGCGTCCGGTTGGGCGTCAAACAGGGCGTTAACGAGCGTCGAAAGCGCCTTGATTGTAGGCTGGTAGAAGGGCTTGTCCGAATGCGCGTCTGCTTCCAGCTTACTCAGCTCGGCCAGCAGGTTCTGGGCCAGCTTTTTGGCCAGGTTGGGGAAAGTGAGCAGTGGTTTCCAAAACGTTCTGATGATGAGAATAGCCACGGGAAGTTTTTCGACGCTGGAGAGCTTTGAAGTGGTGGAAGCGCCAGTACCAGGAGCCACACCACTTCCGGCCTTTGTATCTTTTGTGTTGTCATCGCTCAAAAGACCCACGACCCACTGGAGGAATGCATGTTAATCGACGATGTCTTCATAGTAGAGTTGCATGGCCAGACGGACCATGTATGCAAAATTTTGTTTGGCAGTCTGTCGGGCCTGGGGTTCGCCTTCGGCCCTGAGAAACGCTACCGACGACCGTTGCAGCACGTCCACCACGCACTCGGTCCATTCCTGAAGCCAGATGGCCTCGCTCATGTTGCCCATCTGGTGGTGACCTTTTCGTTTGAGACCACGCAGTTCGTTTGCGCCGACGCAGCGGGCGAACCACACTGCTCTTGACGGAGCGATTCGCTTGGCGCAGCACTGGTCCAGCAGGACCTTGTTTCTGATTCCATGTGGGATGGTACGGGACAGCTTTCTGAGCGGAACTGCCGGGTTTGCTAGGTCTTTGAGCCATGCCTCGCGTTTGTGGTCTGTAAGCGTGACTCTGGGTGGCGGTTTGAAGGTGCCTGGGGTTGTGATTCGGCACGTGTCGACTCTGATGTGCATGGCCGTGATGATGAAGCAGCTCAGCGCTGTCATGTTGGATTTGATGCGGAGGAGTGACGCTATGCTCTTTTTGGCGCTCTGCGACTCGTGCGGGACCGACGGCGGCTCTGCGTAGCCCTTTTGCAGGTTGTCGACCATGCGAGCATCTTCTTCGTCGGTCGACCGCTTCCATGGGTAGAAGTCTGGGTAGACGGAATCGCCGATCCGCGCCGGATCCACTAGCGGGTGAATGTCGTCGGGCGGACGAAGCACGTAGCGTTGCTGGGAAAGGTCGTCGCGCGAGTTGATACTCCGGTACAACCGGGATGAGGGCCCCGGACTGGGCGCCGACGAGCTGGGGGTTAGTCGGGGTTTTTGGGTCAAAAGTGGTGGAAAAGCGCCTGGAAAACGCCTGGAAGCAGACATCCGCGGGCGTGGAACACGTCTATCGCCTTGGCGTCCTCGCTGCGGGTGTCTGGGCTTCTGTAACTCGTTACTCACTTCATGTCAGTTTGTTGTGTTGGATAATCTCGAGTATCCTAGTTAAGTTTAGTTAGGTGGAAGTTAATCAGCAAAGCCAAAAAAGCGGTGTGGTGGTGCTGTGTGGTGGTGGTCTTGTCTGCACACTTTGTTACTTTGGCTTTTGGCGGAGGGCAAAGTTACCAACAGTAAATGCTATGTTTAATCGAGAGGGGGGACAGAAGTGTAGGGTGGTAGTGCGGAGAGTGAGAGAGAGGGGGGACGTTGGGGACCGCTGCGGGCTTGTACGACGCTCCCCTCCCAAAGGGTCGCCAACCAACGTGTTTTTGCTACCATTTACGCCCGGTCTCCGCCTCTCTATGACACATTGGCCCCGTGCGGTGGACACCTCGTGATTCCTGCATCCCGTGTAAATTGTGCAGTTGGCTCCAGAGTGTATTTCAAAAGAAGGCTCTCAAAAAAAAATTAACAAATAGAAAAATACAAAATTTGAAAAATGAAAAATACCAGCTGGAGGTTCTTCGCTACCGCCGAAAATCCGACGACGGGGGGACATGGCTGTTTATCGCACGAGAGGTTGCGGTAACAGGACAAAACAACACACAAGGGGAGCATCCAGTGTACAAGTACTGTACTGTACTTGCATTCCAAGCCGAATCTTCTCCGAAGGACGGCCAGGGCAACGAAGACCAAACTTGTCCGTGGTGCTAAATGACCCCTTCTTTTTTTATTTCTTTTATTTTTTTAATTTTTTTGGGTAAAATGTGTATAAGTACCGAAATCGCACCCGAACTACCAATTACCACAAACGCGGTAGCTTGAAGATAGCAACCATCTTGGACTCGCACCACTTGCATCGCCTGTCAGCCTTAAACATGAAATTGGTTGCCAAAAAGCCCAAACCCCTCACTCCGAAAACCCGACTGTGCACCCCTACTGTAAGCCGAGAAGTCCGATGACTGCACACAAAGTGACATGAAAAGACTCCGAGGCGTATCTAGTGATGATAATTGTGACAAGTATCTGAACCAAGGACAGTGCCAACACAGACTAGACAACTTGTACTCGTACTCGTACTCTTTCTCGCACTAGCGTCAGATCGATAGAACATGGATGACGGAGAATTCACCTAGCGCGACGATTCCGTTGACTCAGCAACAAGCAACCAACTTAGATGGATGGCTTGGATGAGCCCAATGTTATCGAAAAGCCCTCCACAACTGAGACAGCAGCTGACGATAAGTCGGGTGTATGCGGACATAAAACTTCATTCACTAAAAACGTGTACCTAATACGTACTGTTATACACGAAAAAACAACCTCGATAGTGGCCGCGGATCATCCTCCAGGTACGAGCATGGCTTGTACAGGCACGGTCACGGTCTGTGCTCGCTCTCGTTCCTTAGTACATATCTCCATAAATACCAATGGTGGAGATGATAAAACCAAAGCCGAAAATACCGGACACAGCAACGCCGACGGTGCCGAGATGGCTGATGCTCTGGGTGATGACCCGTCGGTGCAGCGTGTCCTCCACCCGCTCGCTCACGTCCTCCTTGGACTTGACCTTGGGCGACAGGCTCACGTTCTCGTAGACGGAGTTGTCCAGCTGTGAGGTTTCCGCCGTATCGGTGGACTCTGGAGTCGAGGCCTCGGACTCGGCGTCGGCATCGACATCTAGCACGGCTCGCACCAGAGGTCGGGCCTTGAAGTAGCCCACGGCGCACGCCACGGGCACCGACAGAGCGCTGTAGAGCAGATAGGGGTGTCTGGCGGACTTTGTGGCAAAGGCAAAGCTGACGCAGAGCGAGGCACAGGCGGTGATGCAGGCGGGGCCGACAATGCGGCCAAATCGCACCAGCAGGCGGTCCAGGTTTTCCTGGGCATCGCACACATCAGCCTTGGTGCCGGAGGAGTAGAGATGCTGGGAGATGGTGGGCAGAGAGAGGTAGGAGGCGGAGCCCACGGCGCCGGTGAGGAAGCCCAGCGCCACGGTTCCAATGACCTTGGAGAAGACCAGAACGGTGGCAGTCATTGTTTGTTCGGTGGCGATGATTTGATACTGGTACTGCGTCTGTATTGTATAGTTGAGTTTACATGTGCAATCTGGTCATGTGATGTTGGGACTTGGTACAGGCCGTTGATGCACCATCCATCCAGTATGTACAGGCGGCAGAAAACAAGTACATGTACTGTACTCGCAGATGTCCCCGGTTCGATACTTCACTGGGTTGTATACCCTTGTTATGTTACTAAATACACACAATGATACACCTCGTGCAGTATCTGGACGCTATCTAGGATTGTATCGACAAATATGAGCTCAAAGTTAGACTTGAGAGATTATGCGATTGCAGAGTTAGTTGTTGTAGACACTGGGGAACCCTTGTACGGCCGATTTGGGGGCGATAAGAGGTTGAGAGCAGCGGCAGGGGTTGGACACGTGTTTTGTCTGTGGAATAAACGACTTGAAACGTATATCACATGCCACATGTCGCAGCTACCCCTTCCTATCTGAACCTACCTACAAGAAAGTACAATAGTTACAGTCCACTAACTACATATGTACAGTACATACACTACTTGTAGGTTATTATATAAAATAAAAAGGGTTATGCTCAGATGTTATAAAAAATATAAAAAAATATAAAAAACATATTAAAATTATGAGTTAATATACAGTCTCATATTTAGCTCACCAGATAGTGACGGTTACGGCGACGGTAATCGCAGCCACCAGTCAATGAGGAGGCCATTTGCCAGACATTGTCGTTAGTTCAGATTAGTGCACGGCACCAACGATTGTCGAGGCAACAATATACGGCGAAAAACAGCTAATATTATGGTGGCAAATGCAACATGTCATCAACGGGTCGATACATACACTTGCACAGTCTGATTTATATTTAGTCACAATGAGATCAAGCATGTGTCAGGCACATAGCCGCTACAGACGATTGTAGTTGCGGTGGCAATTGCGGTGGTAGGACACGTATCGACGGAGTATGTATTGACGGAGTACGTATCGACGGAATATTGGCTGTGTTATCGGCCCACCTAAACACACCAATCTCATATCATGAAATGTCAATTGAAGCTTGAATTAGGCTGATTATAAGAACAATCGAAAATTTCTTGTCTTGTCTTGTCTGGTCCTAGCCGATCATTGCGATTACCCTACCGAAAATACGACTACCGTTACGCTCAACAGGGTTACCCTCCTGGCTCGTCGCAGCACGTGCCTGCATTTGCCTGCCGCTTGTAGTTTCGTTTTGGAGCGATTCGGAACCCATGCACCCGCCTCTGACTCACCAAAACCCATGTGACCACATCCCGGAACTTTGCGAAAGCAAGCAGAGACCCGAAACAGCCACGTGGCACGAGAGCGTGGCACGAGAGCATGTCACGTGACCGATACATCTGGCGCCCGCCCGTCACCCGAATCCACGTTTTTCTCTTTCCGCCGGTGCTCAGCAGCCACAGTGTGGATGGAGAGCGTGCTCAAACACTCTCGAGGCGATAACGTCAGAGCTCTCCAGATAGCGCAAGCTTGGGGGCGACAGCGTTTGATAGGGAAGGTTAAGTTGAAGCCAGGAGTTACCCGGGAGCAAAATCAATTGACAAGTGCAAGGTGCTAATCAGAGGCGTGAATCTGGGCGGTGAAGGGTGTGTAGAGCTGTGGAAATGGCGCCGGGAGATTGGCGGGACGTGTTGCGGTTCGCCGTATCACGTGACAGCTCTCCATCTGCTGGGATTTGTGCCGCCTTGTCCTCTGCTCCCCCTCCTCAACACATGTCTCCACACCTACCAGTGGCTGTTTAGGCAGAGTTAAAACAGTGTAACGGTCGGAGGAGAGCCAAAAGAGAGGTCAAACGACACTAAGGACGGGGTCTAGCACCAAAGTAGAAGGTGTCAAACACTGGCCAAGGGTGGTGGATTTGATTTCCATGTATGTTGGATGGCTTTTTGTCGTTTTTGAGCATTATCTGGTGTCTGGTTGGATTCAGCATCAACTCCATTGTACCTACAAGTAATTAGTATATATTATTATGCTGGTTGTACAGTATATATTTTGTTGTAAATATTGGATATACTGACTACAAAAAAACTGTACAATGTTGTATCTGATACATTACTCGTACTGACTCACGAATACACCAGACCCTTGAGTGGAACAAGAAAACTGTCACTGACAATTGCGCAACTGCGATGGGCCTGTTTCAGCTCGAACGGCGCTCGCGGTCCACACTCGATCGAAGTCGAGCAACATGGCTGTCTCCCCTCAACGGTGCAACAGGTCAGGCGTCCCAAAAGTCAGTCGCACCTTTTTTTTTGCATCCGGAAGCTTCTTTTTCAAGTGTGTGTCTGTTGTTGGTCCAACTCTATCGCGGCGTCTCCAGAGGAACCGAGACGGCAAGAGTAGTAGAGAGGCCACGTGGAGGAGTCGGCCCCAGCAGACGGAGACCCGGGGTCTACGGGGGCACTTTTCGAGGGGTTTTGCCGTCTCGGTAGCCCCCTCAACACGCCAATCCCAGCCCCCGTAACCTCCCGTATCCCCACCCACTTGTTGTGGGACCCCGCAGGACGACATGTACGCTGCAAGTTGCCACCGCCACGGTAGGTCTGGTCATGGAATTCCGCAGAAGAGCGTACAAGTCTAAAAGGCTAACTCTGAAACCTTGTTGGCACACAATCGAGTGACTTATCAGACAGTAGCCAAGCTTCCCCAAAAAGAAGACACACTGCACCACCCAGCACAACATCATACAAGTTACTCCCCCCACCCCCAAACCACCTCCAAAACCCCCAGGCTCACGCCCCAAGCCCACCAACCCTCCCTTCTTGAGCCCCTGCACCCCGTCACAAGCCGCGAGACTGTGTCTGTTCCCCCTGGAACATTTGGATAGGAATTCAGTAGATTGGCACAGTGAGGAACACCTGAAAAGCATCGACTGAGAGTAGTCACGAGAGAACCATTGGACACGACATCACGACGGCTAGGAGCCACTTACGACAACGAACATATTAACGACTTACCATTCCACAAAAACATTCGCATTTTCAAACCACCAAAACAAGAACCAGAACCAGAATCAATAACCGATAACCAAACAACCACACATCCACTTCTCACCCATCCTCTCAACCATTCTCAAACACATCTTCTCACATTCCACACATCTCATCCACCTACATTAGGCTACTTATGACATGGACACTTCTTCATACACAGAATACGATGCAGGAAAGCTCCTGAACAACCGATACCGCAAAGTCGCAGACCTCAACAAGGGCTCGTACGGACAGGTATCACTGGCCACAGACACCCACACGGATGAGCTCGTAGCCATCAAGTGTCTGGTCAATTCTCCAGACCCCACCGCCGCTCGTCCTAATGCCTCCAGAGCCTACTGCTCACGGGCCGAGATCGACCAGGAGATTGCCATCCACTCGGCGCTCAAGGGACACAAAAACGTGGCCCAGCTACTCGACCACTTCACCCTCGGTAACGTCAACTACCTCGTGGTCGAATACTGTGCCCAGGGCGATCTGTATGAGGCCATTTCCGGCGGCCGTGGCCCCAAGGAAAGTGGTTGCACCCGCGAGTTCATGCTCCAGCTGGTCGACGCCCTCATTTTCTGCCATTCTCGAGGCGTCTACCATCGGGACATTAAGCCCGAAAACATCCTCATCAGCAAGGCAGGTACCGTCAAGCTGGCTGACTGGGGTTTGGCCACGTTCGAGCTCCAGGCCCGCGACTTTGGCGTCGGCTCAGAACGATACATGGCTCCCGAGCTGTTTGACGGCGCATCCCTGGCCGACTACAACACCCAGCAGGCTGACATTTGGTCCGTCGGAATCTGTCTGCTGAATATTCTGTTCGGCCGTAACCCCTTCACCAAGGCCTCTAGCAAGGATAAGCTGTTTATGGACTTTGCCGCTAACCGGGAGGCGCTATTTGACATTTTCCCGGCCATGACACCCGACACGTTTGCTGTGCTGCGTCACTCGCTCACCATCGACCCCGCCAATCGGTCGCTGGAGGAGATGCGGTCAGCCATTCTGCTGGCAAACGCCTGGACTACCGACGAGGAGTTCGAAGAGTTTGCTGCCGTCGACGACATGTCTTGCTCGGTGCCCTACTACGATTCTGGCTTTAGCGAGACTCTGAGCGATAAGCGAGACCGAGACCAGAACGTGGTTTCGTCCGTTCCGTCGCATCAGTTTGTGCACTTCCAGGACTCATTTGACAACGATGGCGATGTCACTCCTACTCCTGATAACACCGACGTCGGTAATGCTGGCACCCCCGCCATTGCTATCTCTTTGGCCTCTCCGGTGCTTCTGGAGGAAGACGTTGTGACCACGTGTTCCTCTCGACTGCCCCTGAGAACCCCCACGGTGCTGTCTCCCAAGCAGCACCTGGTGTCCCAGTCCCCCTGGGACCGAACCATGCAGTTCACCCCCCCCGCTCACCGGTTCTCGTTGTCGTCCTACAAGCCCCGCAAGAAGGACAACACGAACGGCGGTGTCTCACACGCCCGGCACTCGCGGCTGAACCCTCGAAAGTGGACTGCCACGTCGGCCCACTCTATGGAGTCCTTGTCTGAAGAGAGCGACCCCGAGTCTTTGGGTGACGAGGATATGTTCCGAATGGACGACGAGGTGGTGCCCGACAAGCAGCTGAAGAAGCCGTTCAAGACGTCCATCAAGACCCCTCGAAACAATGGCTTTGCTCACCCCAAGCTGTCGCGATCGCCTCCCGATTCGGATCTCGACGTGCCTTCGCTGTCCAACACCTCGTCGGACTCGTCCAAGGCCTCCGTCTATGTGCCGCCCTCGCGACGACGAAACCACGAGAACAAGGGCGCTCTGTCGTCATCCGCCAAGAAGGCTGGGGGACTTTCTTCTGGCGTTTCGCCTGCCAAGAAGTCTAGTAACCTGTCTTCTTCGCACAACTTCAAGCCCGAGGGAGTGTACCGGCCTCCGTTCCTGCGCAAGTCGCAGGCTACTTCGGTGCCATCTGCCCCTCTGGCTGTTCCCAAGTCGAAAGCGTCCGTTTCTCTGGACTTTGCCTCGTCTTTCAATCTCGGCAAGTCCTGGAGCGATCTAGTGTCGGATGAGGAGGACGACTGGAATAACGGATACGCTCGGGACGAAGAGGATCATGTCAATGACCTCACCGACTACATGGGCTCTGTTAGTATCAACAACAAGTCCAAGACCGACCCCATGAAGATTCCTTTTCGAGAGAACTGGCAGAACTGGGTCGCCTGATTATATATAAACTCCACTTAGCATAACTATTTATTGATTACAGATTGGATTGTAGGTACCAGTATGTACTTGTAGATGACCATCAGCTGTGGGATTGATCTTGATAAGGCGTATGGAGGTTGATGGATACAACATGTCGTTGAGCAACTGCTGGTTTAAACGTTGAGAGCCGTGCTGTGAACTGGATCTGACTGAGACATGACCACCCTTGTACAAGTACAGTACTTGTATTTGTGGACTGTGAGCTCTGAAGTGTTTGAAAGGCACTTATACAAGTACGAGCACTCGTACAGTCAACAAGATCTCGTCCGAGAGACCTACAGGAGCTATACATACCAATACACAATACAAGTACATAGACGAGATGACACCCTAGACTATTGGTATTCGTTCTTTAGTGGCCTCACGCTTCTAATTTACTGGTACAAGTGCCGTACGCCGGCTGCTCCTCGTTCCTGTTCCTGAACTAAGACATAAGTAGTTGTGAGACAACATTGAGACAAGAGGCTAGAGCATGTACATACTGGGTGAGACAATGTCACTCCATCTGGGCTTGTGAGTTGAATGAGGAGTTCAAATGCAGATTGCTGTTGATAGAGAGGGTCAGAAGATCCAACTATTGGTGTAGTAACATGACTTTTTCATGTACTGGGTCCGGAATAAGTTGTGAAATGAAGACTGTTGGTACAGCAACTTGTGAGCTTCTCAGACAAGTATTCAAGAGTGAATTGACAAATCAACAGAAACAACTGAGATTTGGGACACTAGCGGTTCATAAATGTTCGAGATCCAGATCTTTTTGAACGATTCGAGGTATCTGTAGTCCCAGAAGTGGTATATACGAAAGTACTGCTTCGGACAGAGTCCGGTTCTATATGGAAATAAGTAAAGAATGCGATCTGTCTGATAGTGAATAAATGTTTCAAGTCTATGTCGAGTCGTGCCCATGTCTATTTTTGTACTTGTTGCTCAGGTAATTGGTGCGCCACGAGAGAACCGGGGAGTGTCCACCAAGGATGAAATTGTTCGTGTTATTCGTGTTTGATCGGTTGGTTGGTGTTTGGCCGCCGTGGTCCTCTCACTTACCACTCCATCTGTCTCCAGAAATAGCCTGCTTCTCTCACAGCCGTTTCGAACTGAGCATCGCTGTACGATTCGTTGAAGTCAACGAAGAACAGGTGCTCAATGATGACACCAGGGACCACCACACAGTCCTTGTACGTCTTTCCACAGACATGGATGGTGTCTTCGTTGGTGTAAGGACTGATGGTCTCGCCTGTAAGAGCCGCGAGGGGGTCTTTGACGGTGTGAAACGGGCCCTTGGGCACGTTCATGATCAGACAAGCCATGTGGGAGCCCTTATCGCACTCCGATAGAGCATGCATGAACAGACTTGTGTTATTGTCCACTGTGCTGGTTCTCCATTTGTCTTGGACTCCGGCGTGACCTGTTCCGCTTGGTGCATCCATCACAGACCACCAGGACGACTCGCCGTAGGGCACAGGCACGACTCCGTCGTCGCAGGGCTTTTCAGCAACGTAGACACCTCGTTTCAGCCACTCAGGAACACCGCAGTACCCATCATTGTCGATAATGTAAGGCATTACGCGGGCGTTGTAGACCACCGGGGTGTTGATGGACCCCTGGATGAACACGTCTTGAGCTTGCTGCTGTCTGACCGAGTAGAGCAACCAGCAGACGAATACTGTTGCGACGAAAGCCAACGCCAACACACCTCGTTGCCGAACAAGTCGCATTTTGAAGCTGATTATTGTTGTATGTATGCACTTATCGGTGTGTGCTACAGTTACTTCTACTTGTACAATCTACAGATGCACACTTGTGTCATTGGCTTCTTGCAATGTAGCTAAGGGATCACCTCACAAACAAATGTATTTAAAAATATAATTTGCAGCGAGTTTCTTATCTGAAACGTCAGAAGACGTTGTCGTCGTCGGTACAATATATTTCTCTATACGTCCAAAGTGTATACGTCCAATGTGTATACGTCCAAAGTCGTACGTCAATAGTTCCGATGCCGTAAACATGTCCAGTCAAGTTGATGCCAGAATGTTTTTTTAATGTTTTTTTAATGTTTTTTTATTTTAATTTTACTGTAACAATGAACTCTATATAACATGATGCAACAACGGTTTTGAGAACGTTCACCGAAAGGAAGTTGGAGGAAAAAAAACATGAAAACATAGTCCCATAGACAGAAACGTATGCCATGACAGCAACTTTTGGCCAGGAAAAACATACACATGGCAACATGTAGTACTTTACGAAACGGGGAGAAGTGAAAAGAAAATTTACATAGATTCAAACCGTTGTGACTTGTTGCAAGATAGGAAGTACGCACAAGTGTATCAAAAACAAAAAAACAAAAAACAAAAAAACAACACGACATTAGTCATTAGTCAAAATAATCCATCCCGATTACACTACAGGGATTGCAAACGAGGCTAATAGTCAGAAATGCTGATACAAAAAATGTCTAAAGGTCTCTGAATGGAACATTACTTGCATACGTACCTGTCACCAACTAATAAATGATAAATGTTTCCTAATCCTCGCAATCACAGTCGTACTCATCCCCATTCCCCACACGATCTCAACGTCCTGCGAGTCTGCATCAGAAGACTCAACCTGTACATACCTCCCCACCAACGCATCGTCAGCGTCAGTATTGGTGAGCGCAGTATCAGCTATGTCTGGAAGGGCGTCTACATTGCAGTAACCGCCCTACATTGAGATATCCAGCGCTTCACCATAGCCTGGTGTGTCATCCTTAATGTCTTTCAACAGTGCTGTATCTGGTCTGTCTGCCGAAGGTGCAAGTCTTATATCCCGTTTCGGACTTTTCCAGTTTGGCAGTCTGCACATCTCTGGATAGCACTTCTGGTACACAACCGGAACTGACAGAGGAAGTACGCAAGCGCCACTCGACTGTACGTGCTTTTCCTGTCGCAGAAGTAAGTTGTACAGCTTTTGAAAGTGCTGCTATGGAGTCGAGTTTTATTTATGACTCTTGTTTTTACTAAGTGTGGCATGGTTTTTGTTTTTCTTTGAACTTGAAGTTTTCTTCCTTGCTGCCAAGAACATAAAATTAGAATAAAAAAAGGCTTTCAGTAGAATTTTGTTCAATCCCAGTAGTCTATAAGGAGAGTATCTGAAAGCAGGAGAAACTGATCTGGGCTGGGTGAGGAGAGCCGGAGCCATGGCAGTGGAGCGAATATGAGGAGGTTAGTGGAGTTGGGGCATGTATGACAGAGCAAGAGGGACATTTAAAACACAACATTTTCAAGTTTTCCTGGACTAATCGCAAATCAAGATGAACCTTTTACAGTACATACTGTACATTAATCTCCAGGTTATTCTTCCCAAGTGAAGTTATAATTAATGAATGTATAATGCAGAAAAAAAACATTCGGGATTTTAGGGTACTGGGGGTTTGGGGGTTTGAGATTTAGGGGTATTGGGTTTTTTTTTCTTCTTTTTTCTTGTTCCCCTCCTGTTCAGTGTCGGTTATGGCCGTGTTTTTGTGTTATATTATTTTTTTTTTTTGTATTTTTGGGGTTTCAATCTGTTTTTGTAAAGTCTGTCCATGCATGCTGGTACATACCATGTTGACGATGCGCGATCGAAAATGCTGGGGAGTAGATTGTCATGAGGAGAGTCTACTAGTATTGAAGTCTGCAGTTAATTTATCACGTTTATGACGTTTATGACAATGGTCTCAAAGCGCCACGATACGGTCCAGAGCACTGCTCCAGAGCTTGCGCGTGGGGGATGTGTATAGATGTTGAGATGTTAACAAAAAGATGGGGGGGATGGTATCTAACCACTGGTCCAGCTCTTTCACACAGTGCTACCAATGACTTTTGGTATATCGATTGAATTAATTAGTGTATACAAACAGAAAGAGATGGGAAGGGAATGGAAAGAAGCTGTATCGAATCCACTACGAGTATTGTACCGTAGCGGTACTTGTCCACCCTCATTATCCATGGATATGAGTGGACCAATAGTTCACTCCACAGAGCGTAAAGACAACAAAGTACTGAAAGTGGGCCCACAGAAGTGTTCCTGTGATAGCCGAATTCACCATGTTAGACGAGTAGTTGCAATTGGGATTGTCCTGACCATCGCAGACCTTGAGTGAGTCCAGAGGCGGATCGGAAAGCACGTAGTCGATGTAAATTTCACCTCCGGGTTGCTGAAAAGGAGACCAGAAAGGAATCTGAGGCACCAAATCCCCTTTATGAGTTAGACGCCAGTATCTTCTACCACTGTCTTGTCTCAAGAAGTCAGGCTTGTCTCCAAAAAAGAGTCTATCATTGTAGTCTGCCAGCGCTTGGTTACCAACCAGCGGCTGGCCTGAAGCTACCACGTAGGGGTCATAGCCTCTGGTTTTCATGTTGATTCCGTGGATGAACGAGGCTGCTCCTCCCATAGAATGTCCAGTCACTTTGAGAGAGTAGTCCGGGTACTTTTTGAAAGTGTCAGTCATATTCTTCTCAAACTGAGCGTATGCCAAATTGTACGACTGCAAGAACCCAGCATGGGCCTGACAGTCGGAGCAGTTGGCGTGGTTAGGACCCCAGGCGTCAAACGGAAGAGTGTCCAATCTGACATCAGAAATGCCATCAGTGAGAGAAACGGTGCCTCTGAAGATATGCCAGATCTCCTTTCGGCTGTGGTCGACTGCAAAAAAGCCGGAGACGGAAAAATCAACCACATCTCGAGGCCCAAACTCCGCTATTAGCTCCATACCGGGGTAGTCAGCACAGAAAGACTCGCAAGTGAAGGGAGTTTGGATTCCTTGGAAACCAACACACGAGGCAAGTCCAGATAGATGGAGGGCGTAGTTCATCCAGTCCCAGGTCGCCTGCGTTGCCTGGACGACTCTATCAGAGTACTTTTTTTGTGGGGGAGCCGAACCGAGGAGAACGGCATTGGGATCAGCTGCAGAGAACCCTACAAGTAGGAGGGTGGTATAGAGTAGTAGAGTTGACAGTTTCATGGAGAATGCCGAATAAAACAATGCATCAAAGTAGTGGTCATCGCCAGTCTCTTATATAGAGCTCCATAGAGACGACAGTGGGGTATTATTACCGAGACATGTTTGATAAACACGAGCTGAGACAAGGAGCCGAGACCTCAGAGTCGGTTTTAGCGCCATAGCCCCGTTGGTGTTCACTTCATAAAGTAATTTGAAGCTCGGCGTCTCCAAAATGTGGGGTTGGTGGGGTGGTGGGATGGTGGGATGGTGGGGGTGTGAGACAAGAGTTATAGGTAGGGGGTGGTAATAGGTGGACTAGAGCACGTTGGCGAGATATGTAAAACGATAGGAGGGGTTTGCAAATTGCTCCAACAACTGTTCTATCTCCAGTGGATACTCGTATTAAAGATTTTCCCACTACTTTCATGTCCAGATCACCTATAACCAGAGATGTCTGTTATAACGTAATACGAGGCAACAGCTGAATGCTCTCAAAGCTCCCACACACTGGTAAAACATAGTGGGGGTTTACTAAATAGGCCATGGTGGGGCTCTAAGGGTTTTAGCGGTTTCAGATTGGCGCCTCTACGCAAGCACGTATAGTACACTGTACCTGCGTACACAGTACCTGCTTGGGTGGGCGTCTATCAGTAGAGTCTAAGCTGTCTTAGGACATCTTTGGGTCTGATTTACGAGGAGGGAGACCGGGACAGAGTCATCAGAAGACACTAATGGAGCTGGCGGGTGTCAGTCTCACATTATATCATCATTGGCGTCTCAGTCAAGTCGTGGTTCGTGATATCACCGAGGCGGTCAACCACGTCTGTAGACAGAACGGTTTACCTCCAGCACGCCATCATCACCCCGCATTCCCCTAAATAACAGCTCCAGGAACCCGGGCATCTAAGGGGGGCATGAGGGTGGGCGTATAATTGTCTCCCCGGAACTCCAAGGTTTGAAAATCCATCGGTGATCGACATCTCTAACGGCTACAGTGGGGAACTGGTCAGGCGACTCAAGTGGTGGTAGGGCGATGGAGGCGGAGATGAGAGCAGCTCCGAACTTCAGAAGCGTGGTGTGAAAACTTGATTGGAACAATAAAGTCACATCTATGACAATTTAGTCCTTCAGCAGGAGTCGATTTGCCATTTCGGGTCTCTGCTCACCGCCCAAAAGAGCTGTCTCAAACCCCACTTGGTCAGGTGTTCCTGGAGAGACATTTTAATGCCTAATGAGAGCGAAATAGACGCTGTTTCTCCGAGATGCAAGGTCGGAAGTGAAGGGCATCCACGGACTGGGTCTACTCCATCCAAGAGGTACCCAAACAAGTGGACAAAGACCTGTGTGCCGTGCACACTTGCACAAGAAATGCCGTACCTAGTGCTTGAACTACAAGTATTGTCAAGTGACAAACAACTAAGCTGTACAACCAAGCTGTACCGTAGCAGTAACCACCACCTCAGCGTCTACTAGGTGACGTCAGAGAGACCTGATTGACCCGGCTCAGTCTTGTGAGTAAACTGACACTCTTGTTGACATTTTTACCAAGCAAAACAACCATCCCTGCCCTCCGTGTAGGTTCGCAAGTCAAACATACTCGGGAGAGGGGATAGGTACTAGCACTCCTCGACAGAGCCCCACCACTGAAATGCGGCACCGAGAAGGGAGCGGGACCGTGGAAATTCAGTGCAAGTGGGAAAAAAAACGGTGGGGGAGAAGCCCGACAAAAAGTGATTTCTGGCAGGATCGAACTGCCGACGTTCTGCGTGTTAAGCAGATGCCATGACCAACTAGACCAAGAAACCCGTTTTTTTTAAAAAAAGACAAGTGGTTGTGCAATTGTGAACAATGATCAGTCAGCAAGAAAATTATTATTATTTTTTTCTTTAAAAACCACGATTTAAAAAAACGATTTAAAAAGAACGAATTAAAAAAACAACAACGAAATAGCTGAAATGTATTTCCCTCGAATAAAGAAATACCAAAAAGAGTAAAAAAGGTATATTTATTTCCCTGGAATGAGAAAAAAAAAAGAAAAAAAAAAGGTAATGGATCATCAGAATAATAAATAAGAATAAGAATAATAATAATAATAATTACAATAAGAATAAGAATAATAATAATAATAATTACAATAACAATAATAATAATAATAATAATAATAATAATAAAATCATCCCCTACTTCTGTATATGAAGTAGATATTTGAGCTGTGAGACTTGTCTTTGACATGACGGACACTAGACTTTGCCCACAGGTAGAAGAATCTATCTACACACTTGATAAAGAAGTTTCTGCTGAGAAAAGAGTGATTTCAACTACAAGTACTGTACCGGGAAAGGTGTTGTAGTCACAGTCTCTTTTGATAGCTTACAACGGTTCTTCTACGTCTCATGCTACCAAACCTGACTACTCTCCCAGTCTTTCAATCTTTCAACAGTTGTGTTTCTACACAAAGATATCTGCCGTTTTATCTCAACAAAAGGTCAACTATTCATAAATACACAGACTCAGTAGGAGAATATACAGTGGGGTACGACTAGGGACAGGGAACACCAGCTGTGGTGGAGTTTCTCCGGCTACAAGTCCATATCTCAGACCTATATAGCAATTTAAGCTGTTTTTTTTTTCTTTTTTTTTTTTTTCTTTTCCATTTTTTTTTTTTCACTTTAGTAACTGCTACAGGAGACTTGCGCTTGTATGATTATATCGACACGAATATTTATACCTTTGGTAACAGTATTAGAGATTGTATCCGTTCACACAACTCATGCCTATCCCTTTCCCTACTTCAAGTTTACAAAGTCCATAACAACATGTATCAAGTACTTGAACCTTTGAGACTATCAAGAGCTACTTCCAAGTACTACAAGTTCATCTCTTCTCTTGCACACTCTTTCCATACTATACTATTTCGCAGTACGATACACTCACGTTTTTGCAAAATGATCCCTCTATTAATGACGTCTATCTGCAGTTCGAGGCTTTGCTCTGATAATGTTATCCACCCGCAACAGCAGCTCGGCAGCCTCAGCGGCAGACGAGACCACCGCTCGCTTGAGCTTGTACGACTCCACAATGCCGAGATCCCGCATATCGGCGACAACGCCGTTGTTGAGATCCAGGCCGGAGGTGTGCAGGCCGTTGTAGATAGCAGACTTGAGTTTAGACACGAGCTCGGACGAGTCGAATCCGGCATTGTCAGCCAGAATGGTAGGAAGTTGACGCAGAGCTCGGGCAAACGCCTCGATGGCAAGCGACTGCTTACCGTCGACGCTCTGGGCAGCTCGCTCCACAGCCTGGGACATGACCATCTCGGCACAGCCGCCTCCCAAAGTGGTTCTGGTCTCGGCAGTGGTCTGAGAAAGCACAGCAAGAGCGTCATGGAGCGATCGCTCAGCCTCGTCGAGAATCTGGTTGGTTGCTCCTCTCAGAACCACGGTGCAGGCTTCTCCGGCAGCAACACCAGAGAACTTGGTCATGATATCTTCTCCCACAGTTACCTCCTCGATGGAATCGCAGTAGCCGAGCTTGACAAGTTCGGGGTGCTCAAAGGAGGAAACCACCTCACCGCCAGTGACCAGAGCCAGTCGCTCAACGCCCTCAAAGTCGGCATGCTCAATGGAGTTGACCTTGGCCTCGGTGAACAGAGCCTCGGGATAGTTGTAGATGAGCTGTCGGTTGACAAAACACGTGATACCGTGGTTCTTGATCTTCTCCACCTTGGCGCGCATCTTGTCCTTCTCGGCCTTCTCCAGCTCGGCCAGCTTCTGTGTGCTGTCCACCTTGAACTTGGCGCCAAACACCTTGACCTTGTCTGTGTCCATGGGTGTGTTGGCGATCATGATTTTGCAGTTGGTGATTTTCGACGGCTGGTTAGTGCCGAATCGCTTGTTGAGAATGAAACCCTCGTCCAGATAACTCTCGTGCAGCTGGCCGCCAAACTTCTTGATGATCTGGATGTGTTCGAGGTTGGTGGAGCCCTTGAGCCGCAGAACAGCGTCCACCGCAAGCTTGGCAAAATAGTCCTTGTCGCCAGAAAGCACCTTGGACGAAAGAGTGGTTCGGGCAATGGCCTCGAGGTCCTTTCGGAACAGCTCGGGGTTGGCGCCGTTGTTGACAGCGCTCTTCTCCAGAGCAGAAAGAGCAGCCTTGGTGGCAATTCGGAATCCCTCAATGATAACCTGGGGGTGGATCTTGAGATCAACCAGTTTCTCGGCCTCTCGCAGCAGCTCGGCAGCAAGAACGGTCACTGAAGTGGTGCCGTCTCCAACCTCATCGTCCTGGACCTTGGAGATGTTCACAAGAACCTTGGCGGCGGGGTTGTCAAAGGGAATCTGCTGCAGAATCGTGGCTCCATCGTTGGTCACCAGCGAGTTGCCGCTGCTGGCAGACTGGAGCAGCTTGTCCATGCCCTTGGGGCCCAGAGTGGTCTTGACTAGATCGCCAACGGCAATGGCGCCCACAAAGGCAGACAGTCGGGCATTCTCGCCTCGCTCCTCAACAACCTGGTCGGAAAAAATCGGTACTGACTGGGGTTAGATAAGTGTTTTTGGGGGTTGCGACAGACGTGATCTGTGAGACAATGGCGTGGGTAGGGTGTGATGACAACACATAGCAATGTTGCGACGACACATCAAACACGGGGACGTACCGACATTGCTACCGGTATGGCCACGACATTGTGATGGTGCAATACCCCTCGATGTCACCACGTCTCCAAGACTCTCTTGATTGATGATGCCTGCCAATTGCCTGTTACACTGCCACGACCTCGAACAAGACGGTCGACGAGGAGCCCACAAAGCCGCCCACGCCATTATCACCACATTGATGCTGCAACCGGCATTTCTCCCGGCTCATACCTCCTCTCATACTCACCATTGTTATCGTGTTTGATAGAGATGCACAACTCGATATATTTTCAGACGAAGCTAATTTGGAACCGCGAGGAACAGTGCAGAACGTCACGTGACAGGTGGCAAATGCGGGCGGCGGAGGGCCCAAAAGGACATTTTGAAGACACAAATGTGTTTGAAATGGCCGAGATACCCCGGATATTGCTTATTAATCAGTCTCCTGGTGTCCCCTGGTGCCCCACGGCGACTCCTTCTACGTGGTTCTACAGTTGAACGTGGCCTTGACTTTTTCTTGGACACGCCGCCTCCCAAACGTAAAAAAAGATTGGACCCAACTGAGACTCGAACTCAGGCAGCTTGGTGGCTTAGTAAGCAACCGGAGAGAAGCGCGGAGAGAGGGGCGGAGGGAGGGGGCACGAGGTGGGTGACGTTGGACGGAATGTGTCGTTTAGATCTCATCTAATTGGAGTTCAAAAAGAGACTTTTACGGAATTTTTCGGATCAGTCTTGAGGTTGAGGGTATTTCTCATGATAAAAAAATAAATTAAAATGGGGATTTTGATTTTAAAAAAAAGGGAAAAAAAGGACAAAAAAAAAAAAGGTGGTGGAAATTTTACATATTTCGCGGCCGCTAGAACCAATAATTACTATGGTGATATGTAGAGAAAATTACACCATTCAGCTCAGAATGTCTGCTGCTACCGACGGTACCGTTTTTGTTGCCGCCTATAACAGACATTTTTGTCGATACAATATGCACGCTTCCGGAATCTTTCTTGCAACATTGGTATGAGTAGACCCAGACCAGGAACTGTCAAACCGAAGTACAGTACCGGTGATTGTACATACTGTAGTATCATGAGGAGGAAAATGACAGTCTACACAACTGTACACTGGTACTTGCATTTATATCCGTCCTCTTACTCTTCTCCATGTGTATAGAGGAACCCCTCGGCATTTGATTCCCCTCTCTAACCGGCTAAGTTGCATTGTCTCCTCCACCTCGCGGCTAAACTGACACTGGAGTCAAGGCAGGTGACTGAAAAGTCTCGTGGTTAGCTCAGTCGTTATGGCTCAATGCACCGATAGTACTCGTGCTGGCCACAAGTAGCCCAACGAGGCATTAACGGTGTCCTAGTATGGTAAAACGCTCCGTTACCCTCCTCTCTACTGCACCTGCCTACTAGTCGACGATGAAGGTTGCGGGTCTGCGGAGGTGGAGATTGGGACGTAATTGGAGACAAGATGAGACACATTGCACAGAGACAAGACAAACAATGGGACCCCTCCAACCGCTTGCATACCGCCAGCGCGTGGTTCGCCCGCATTGTGCTGTTTGTAGCCGTATCCTACCGTCGCACAATGGTGCTGCGGTGTAACCCGGCTAACGAGTGACAGGTTCTAGATTAACGCATCGATGCAAGTGGGCTATCTACCAGTGTGCTGGTGCGATACTTGTCTGGAACGTAATCATAACTCGCACCGGCGCTAGGGCTGGCAGTCAGAAGCTGGAGAAACGGAATGCTGGATGGTGAATGGGAGGACTCTGTAGACCAAGGTGGTGGATCTGTCTCAGCCAATAAAGTTGGCTGGTCAAGACACGGGCTTGGTGGGCCGACTTGCCAGGCAGGGAAGGGCTGGTGGCATGGAAGACGGCCCGATCGATTGCTCGTGCCGAGAAGGTACAGAACCCTGACCTGGGTCGTAATAGCGACGTATGTACGATACCAGTACAGTAGTCCGATATGGATGCATCTATAGATGCAACAGAATGACAAGCAATGTTACAGAAGGAGCTGCCGATGATGACGCCAACGAAACGCCAGGCACCGAAGAGCAACACAAAAAGCAACCGCCGCTGAAGTCGCCACCTCTCCATCTCCAAGTAACGGACCACCCGCAAAAGTCGACGGAAATCAGCCGCACCGCCGGAATGCATCATGAACAATTGGTCACGTGCTGTTTGTTCCGCCAGATGGTCCCATACAGACCCACAGACCCGCTAGTGCATGTAACCTGTAGCCATCTGTGACGGGACGCACATGCATGCGTGCGTATATTTGGGCATGGCTACATGACAGCATGCATATTTGTAAGAGTGGTCTAGGGGCCGATTTGGGGACCGTGGTGGCTACGGGGGAGCTCTGGGTTGGCCACCAGGGTTCTTGGTACCGCATCCTTCCCGCCAATACCACCACAACCAATCATTAACGCTGCCACCGCAACAGTACCATCTCCTGAGAGGGTTAGGAACCCAAACCTTGTTGTCAACAAAGGTGACGAGGTGGGCGACCATTGTCGGGGATTACGTCAATCTTGTGTCAGGAGCGTTGGTGGGCTGTGTCGGGCGCCCGGAGACAGGCCAAAGGGGCCCACGGGTCGGGGCTGACAGCTTTGGCAAAGGTCTCCTTTGCGTTTCTGCGGATTTAGAGCTCTTTTCCGCGGACTTGGGGGGCTCGCTCCTGATATCCTGAGTTTGGCGGTTAGGGCTCCCATCTGCATCCGTCTAAATCCAAAAATGTAACGTTTGGTTTTGGAAGTTGGGACTTGGAACTTTTGGAAACCTGAAATTTGGCCTTGACCAACCAAACCCCGACCGGTCCGCTTGCACCCTTCCACGAGCGATCGAACGTCCCGAATCTCCGCGCCAGGCCATCTGAAGCCCGCCCGACGCCCGCCAGTTGCATTTCAATCGACGCAAGTGATTTTAATACCGCTTCCTACGACTTGCGCCGTCCCCCCCAAAAGTTTCGACTCACAAAAAGCGATTGTGGAGCTGCCCAGCCGACTGTGTTGCCACCACTAAATATCGCACCAGCTACGCCAGCTAATTCGACCCGACCGCCTTCAAAATTTCAGATTTTAACATGACCGCTACGCCAATAGACATTTCCTACCAGCAGAATTTCCATTCGCAACGATTCCGTCGAGAATCCATGGCCCACTCGCAGGGCATGGGTGGAATTTCCTGGGGAGGAATGTCTGTTGGCAGCTGGCTTAGAGACGAGTGAGTATGACCGACATGGATGGATTTGGATTGCCACCGTGGCGATGACACCGACAGTGTGGTGATTGTGTGGTGGTGTGTGGTGATGGGTGGCAATGTTACACAAATGTGTGTGTGTGTGTGTGTGTGCGTGTGCGTGTGCTGTTATGTGTTTGTGACCAGTGTTGGGGGTAGCGCGAGAGCAGATGTGTGTCCTCCGGGGCCCTAGACATGGCTGGGTTGTCAAGTCGCAGTTGAGTGCTTTTAAATGAGAGCATCTTTTCTCGCTCTCTCTCACAGACTGCACCTTCTCGTCCATTCCATATCATAGGCACCTCACGCCGGCTAGGCTATGCACTGACTACGATAATGTGTGGTATGCTATGCCCTAAAGATGTGCACGTCCAGTTCGGCCCTGGAACTCCGACTCCGACCCCGACTCCGACTCCGACACCCACACCCACACCAACACAAACATGCCGCAAGACATCGTAATCCCACAAACTCGCCCCTCACTTTTTTTTTGTCTGGTCGGTGTGCAATGTGCAATGTGCAATGTGCCCCATATTTCGCCCCTGAGGTGTTTCACCTTATGGTTGCTGGACTGCCACATCACAATCACAAAAGCCATGGTGTGACCCACCGAACCAAGCCTCACAAAGAGCTGGAGTGCTGCTTGTTACCGCAGAGCCTCTTTGAAGGTCTGAAGCTTGATGTCATCCGTTGCTTCTCTCACCTTAGTCCCCATCTTGTACCCGTTGCGATCGAAGCTTGCGACTGCATAGAGTTCACGATCGGAAGGCGATAAGATGACGATATAACTAGAGAGGAGTCTCCAGAGGTGCCGTCGACATCTCCAAGCAATACTAACCACAGAGTCATGACGCTAAACATGCCATCCACGACAACCATGGCCATGTCTCCAGGCATGGGCATCAACTCGTCGTCATACCTGCCCAACCTCGAGGCGCAGTACTGCAAGGACTACAGCTGCTGTGGCCAGACGTTGCCGACGCTGCACGACCTGCTGCGGCACTACGAGGAGTCGCACATTGCCCCATCGCCGCCCGTGGAGCAGCCTCACATGGCCCGCAACACCAACAACGTTATGGAGGTGGTGTCGACCAACGACGTGTTCATGAGCATGGGCGGTCCCGGAGGACCCCCCGGACAGCAGGGCGCCCAGGGCATGCAGCATCACCCCATGGCCCAAGGCCACCATCCCACGCATTTTCAGCAGCACCCACTGCCACCACAGGGCCACGCACCCCAGGGTACGCAGATGCCTCACGGGCAGCACAACCCGCAGATGATGCAGATGGGCCAACCACCGCAGCCCACGGGCACGTTTGACGAGGACGACGAAATGTGCATCGACGACCCGGCCCGCCATCTGTACGTGATGGAGCGGGGCGAGCACAAGCCGTTCAAGTGCCCGGTCATTGGGTGCGACAAGACGTACAAAAACCAGAATGGACTCAAGTACCATCGGATGCACGGCCATCAAAACCAGATGCTGCATCTCAACGACGACGGCACCTACAGTATAATCGACCCACTGTCCAACGCGCCGTATCCCAACGGCGTGGACATGGAAAAGGACAAGCCGTACCGGTGTGAGATTTGTGGCAAACGATACAAGAATCTTAACGGTCTAAAGTATCATCGTGGGCATTCCACTCACTAACAAGCTGGACGTTGAGCTTTTTGAGCGTTTTGGGCGTTTGAGCATGTGTTTGTTTGTGAGTGACAGTGACGGAGGTGTTATGTTTGGCATATGAGTGGTGAGGTGAGATCTTTGGGCGCCCAATATACTGCATCTGGTGTCCAGCTCTCTACGAGTATTTGTATCTCCATGTGCCCATTCGCCATGCGTCCATGCACCTCGGCCAGCTAGTCGCCTCGGATGTCAAGAGTATTTATCGGCCTTTTAGTTTCTGAGATGGTATTTATTAATAGAGTAGATTGAAAGAGTGAATAGTGGAGCTGTTGATGTTCCATGCCAGTGTTTAGCCGAGTTCAACGGTCATTGTTTGATAAGCGCATTTCAGTGAAATTTGATTTGGCCCAAAAATATATATATATCAAAAAGGTCCAAAAAAAAATAACAAAGGCCAAAAAATATATATAACAAAAAGACACCATGATCTACATTACGAGTTCTGGTTCGATAGATAGATAGCCAAGTATCCGAGCCGATAAGGGATAGATAAGGGACATATCTCAGTTGTCGCAGTATCCCCAAACCGTTTGGAGCAGAAGATGCCGAATTACCCCCGCCCTGTGCAGCGTAGGTCGCAAACCCCGCCTTGGTCAAACCGTATATAAGAGTCTATCAGACCACACTTATCTTGATTCCAACCCAACTAACTCACCGTTCGAAACTGCGATATTGACATTATTTGACACTGCGAACATGGCCTGTGGATGTGGAACCAACTGTGCATGCTCCAAGGGCACCAAGACGTGCAACTGCTCTGCCTGCGGCTGCAAAAAGTCCAACATGTAGTTGGCCAATGACTGGGGAGGGATATCGAGATGCGATAAGAGATAGTTGAATGATGAAATGCTCAGATTGTGAAGCCAAGATGTTGTACTAGTAGCAGGGGATGTGACGAGAGGGGAGAGAAGAGGGGATACAAGGGAAGGCAAGGGGGGATGAGGGCGAACAATTCCGTTTCGTAACAGCATCTTAACAAGAGCATATCAGCTCCAATGAAGTCATCGCGTGGATGATGATGCAGTCGAGTGGGGTACCGACCACAATGTATGACGTAGTTGGAACCCCCTCAAATCCGAAGCCAGCTGTATGCTAGGTTTGTGCGCTGGAGTGTGTCTCAGTGATGGTCACCATCCACATTGGTCGGTTGGACATACCCGATCGGAGTCGAGGTTGCTACTGTTCAAGGTCGACCTGACTTGTGTCTTTGTCTGTTTCGAAGAGCCGTCAGCGTCGGTCTTTTAACCGGAGGAATTGGACCGAGACATTGACTGTGGCTGTCTACGATCGGGAACGGAGGTGAGATAGCAGAAGAGGCGCTGTCCGTGTGATGGATCTTCTTGGCATCATTCATGGCACCGATTCGACTCAAGTAATAGTCAACTATAATACCAACTGGGTGTACTTGGTCGCAAAACTGAAAACTCGGACAGCTCAAAATATTCTATGTCAAGCAGTTCAGATCGCACAATATTTGTTAGTTAAACCACCACTACCAAAATAATGGTACCTTTTTTTCCCCCGTGGCAGCTCTCGAACCCCGAAATAGGACCCCCAGCAGAACTTTCCAACCAACAAAATCCCAACTAAACTCAATTAAATGGGAAACCTCTGAACGGCAAAGTGAAATGGTCACTTGCGAGGTATGGAAACACCTATTTTTCGGTTGACAAACGTCTTTGTGTACCAATAAGCCGAATTAGGCAGCATATATCGCACCTATGTACAGCCCTTTCGCTATACACCAACACGGCCTTCAATGATACTCCAGGCGCTAGTTTCTCAAGCTACCGGAGCGACTAAGACGCCAATGGTATGCAAGGGGGTCTAGACTCGCTGGAGACGCAATTAAAACGTCTCCTGGATACCAAAAGTGCAACCGTGCAATCTGACCAAGTCTTCACGTGCAGGCGGGGTATGTAACAGGGGTTGTAGGGTGGTAAGGGGCTGTCAGGGTGGTAAGGGGCTGTCAGGGTGGTAAGGGGCTGTCATGGTGGTAAGGGTGGTAAGGGTGATAGGGGTGATAGGGGAAGGGTGATGAGGGATGGTCAAGGAATTTTGAAAAGCTAGTTGGGAGAATACTCGGGGAAATAGTTGACATGCCCAGTTGATAGAATGAAGCGCTAGTCAGTCATCTGGACCCGGAACAAGTTTCGATCACGTGACGGACACATCGACGCGTGATTACCCCACTCCATCCCTTTATCCCTCTCCTTATTACAAGTACTTTTACCGGCTCTTGTACTTGTAATCAAAGGTAGTATAGTATCGGACCTCGGCTCTTTGTATAGACCAGTCAATGTGGTCAGTCGTCAGGACCAGTCAAGCTGACCAGTCAAATGTGACCCATCACGGGCACACGGTTCGAGCCCTGAGAACTCCTGTCTAAATGCATTCTTAATATTCCATCCACACAACTGTTCGGCTCATTTTAACCCCTTCACACCCCTCCGATCTGCTCATCTCACGCACGTCTCCACCGCAGTTGTTTCGTGCCTACACCCTGTCTACGCAACCTTAAGTTGAGTTCCCAACATGTGAAGTGTGGATAGTCCGTGTGTGGAGCAACAGGTGCCAGCAGAAGCATTTTCCGACAGGAAAAACGACAGAAAAACGACCGAGACACGTGACGTAACCGCTATCACGTGACGCGAACGCGCAACAAAAACAACCACACCGGGTCGACAGCCGACCTTTTACTCCTGCCAATTCCCAACTTGTACTCACGACACGTCCCACTGGTTTGCACTCACAACAACAAGTTTTTCAACACCCACATGACATGATAATCCTAGGATTACTGCTTACATACACGCCGCTGGGCCGGATGGTCAAAACCTGGTCGGCCAAACGGCTCTGGAGCATTCTGTACGTGCTTCTGTGGCTGCTGGGCATCCAGCTGACCCTCCTATTCGCAGCAATAGCCTACGTTGCGCTCTACCAGTTCTACATCCCCGTCAACTCGCTCTCTCTTCCCCTGGACTTTGATTTTTCGACCGAAGACGGCGCCTACGCGGTCGCCAAGCTTCATGGAGACGTGGTGTCGCTCAATTACGTCGAGCCCGCCACCCATGCGTTGTGGAAGTACGTGCCGTTTGTGTCCACCCCTTCGCCGGCTCCCGAGGCACCTCACAACCGGGTCACCACCTTTGGCCGTCCCCGCGACCGAATCAAAACGTTGCGGTTCATGAACATGCCCTATTCGGTCTATGTGAACCTGGATCTGCCCGAAACAGATCGCAATCTCGGCACCGGCAACTTTATGATCCGGGTGTCGTTTGCAGACGACCTGGAGGTGTTCAGATCGACCCACAGACTCACCAGAGACAACAGAAAACGGTGGCCTCTGACTCACAACGAAGAGTACGCCGTGAGACCGAACGTGGGGTCCATCAACAAGAGAGAAAAGAGAGACAGAGCAGAAAAACTACACAAGGAAGACAGGATAATAACCGACCACCAGCCTGAACATCACCCCCTTCCTGCTCTCTTTACAGCAACCCGCCCCGCCATTCTGGCATTCCAATCCGCAACCATGCGGGTCATGGACACGTTGCTGTTTGCTCCTCTGTATCTGACAGGCTGGAAAAAACAGGAACAGCGGCTGCACGTGTACATGGCTTCCAACTGGCACGTTCCCGCCGACGTTGAGGACCACGAGTTTGCCTATGCCATTGTGGAGCTTGACCGAACCGTGGATATCTACGGAGCCCAGATTGAGTGGCGAGTTGAGTGGACTGGACTCCGATACTTTATGTACCATCATAGGGCCCTTGCATTCTTACTGGGAACAGCCGTGCTGTGGTACCTGGAGATATTCTACTTGGCAATTGCCTACTGGAGTGGCAAGAAGATGATTCTGAAGCTCACTGGGGATACCACCAGGACGAGTCAGAGACCGCAAACTCGAATTGGTGGAGCAGGTGCCGGGGGACCTGGTGAGCATGGAAGACCAGGAAGTCGAACTGCTCGAATTGCAGACGACGCTGCTCTCGATGCCGATGATCCCGCTGAGGAAACAGACACTCCCGACCGTTCTGAGCTCCACACCCGGTCGTCCGAAATTCAGCAACTTCTGGAAGACAGCGAGACGACAGCAGGAGACTCTACGATTGGAGACACGACCGACAACGCTTCTGTGGCCTCTCAGGACGAATTTTCTGTCGAGGAAGACGAGCACGAAAGTGTTTCTCTTTCGGCTTCTGACTCCAACGTGGAAGGTTACAGCGAGCGGCAGTCGTCTCGCATTGAAATCTGTGCCGGTGACTCGGACGACAACTCCCAGACCATAAGGTACCCTGTCTCTTGGCCCACTCCTCCTCCCGAGGGTCCTTTAGCTCTGTCTCGCCAGGAACTCGAAAGCTTTACACGCTACAGATACGACCAGGAGACTCCGGAGATTCTGTCGCGTGAAAACACAGACTCTCTGTCTGAGTCAGACGAGTTTGATTTCGAAACGCAGCTGCAGATTGACCTACGGTCACTGGTAGCTCAAAACCGCCAGGAGCGTCAGGAGAGACTGGAGCGACTGGAGCGATTGGAAGAGCTCCAAGCGGGCCCTTCTGGTACCACCGGAAGACGTACACCGGACCAGCGACCGAATTCTGCACCGCAGAGATTCTCTCCTCGTCCTCCTCGGTCACCTGCTATTTCTGCACACAGTTCTCGGGGTTCTCTTCGGTCGTCACGGCTGAGCACTTCGACAACCACAGGTTCGAATCCAAGCTCCACCATTTCGCGCCAACGACACGTGACTCCGCTCACCACTCCCCTTCCTGCGCCTCCAGACGAGTCTCAGCGAGACGACGGGGACGACGAGTCGTTTGAGTAGAACGGGAACCGGGGCTTTTTGCTAACAAAATAACTTATTAATCAGTGATAATACAAGAAATTGATAAAATGGTTATTGGGTACTGTACACGTGTACGATTTTGAGAGGCGAACGGTACGAAGGGGTGCAAAACACACGTTTAAGAGCCACAAACAAGAACCAATAGCACCTGCCACCCCCAGCTATCCCTTCTCCGGTCCGCACGCGCTCAAAAACCCTTGTTTTATGCCAACAGACACAAACGCCCTAGTGTAGATAGGAGCGGTTCTGTGCCTCTCAGGTGCGAGACGACGCACCATTTCTGCACCTGGTCTCAATACAACCAAACTTGTCATCTCCATACACTACCTTCATTTACTGCATTTCGCTGTTCCTCCTCTCCGAGGCCAGACCATAAACTATCTACGATTATGCCCAAGGGTGCAGTGCCGGTGCACATGTTGTGTTTGTGTGCCGAGGGTCCCATACACTAAAGAGTGTTGCTTAATTGTAGGGCCGTCTGTTTATAACTTGGTTGAATCCAGGTTGTTGGCAAATAGTCGCTCGATTGCTTCACCATGTCCAACAAGCCGTTTTCGCTCAAGCCTCTGGAGTCCACGGACAACTCCCCCAACTACAACAATCTGGTGTCGTCTTTCCAATCCACCTTTCAGTACTACCAGTTTGGCAATGAGCCCTCCAAGGTCGAGACCATTGATCCCAAGCTCCAGGAGCAGCTCCCCAAGGAGGACATGCCCAAGGAGCACCAGTCGGTGGCGGTGCAAGACATTCCTTCCCACGATCCGTACGCCGCATACTCGTTTCGATACGTGCATCCTCCGAGCATCAACTACCATCACAACTGGCAGGGAAACTATGCGCTGAACATGACAACGCTTCTGAACCGAGCCCAGAACTGCCAGGAGGACTGCGACGCTATGGACATGGATCCTTCCTACTTCAACGGAATCAACCCCAGCATGCTCAACGCCCCCGGAGCCATGTCGCAGCATTACGCAACCATGGCTCACTACTCGCTGTCGCCAGCCTCGCCCACTTCGGTCATGTCAAACATCCCCAGCAGTCTATCAACTCCTCCCGAGGAGGCCAAGAAGGAGTATGAAGACCCCCTGCTGACCTTCACAACCGCAGGCTTCAAAATTCCCGACGACAAGTTCGATTATTCGTCTGTTCTGCATCTCGAAAACGCAGCCATGGCCCAGAGCCATATCGCCCGAGACTTTGAACTCATCCAGTTTGACACGGAGGAAACCAAACACGAGTTTCTCCGGCGGTGCGGGAACCCCTTCTCCAACCTGTCCGCCACAGCCCCTATTCCCGAGGCCGAGTACTGCGCCCAGCTCAACCCGGGAAAGGGAGGACGTCTCACGGTCTACGAGCCCATGTACAAGTCGTACATTTCGACCAAGGTCCTGGAAGACTACTTTTTGAACGGCACTGTCATCAAACCTCGACCAGGTAACCCCAAGTGTCTGTCCAAGGTCGACATTCACGGCCAGTGCCGGTACTGCGGCGAGTTTCTCGTCATGCGAAACCACTCGTACTCGTCGCACATGTACTCCAAGCACGGAATCAGCGCCACCACCAACAACGTGCTGCCTCTGCCCACCAAGATCTCGTCCATCGAGAACAAAAGAGGAGGCATCAAGCTACAGGGGTACTGTTCCATCTGTCGCACCAACGTGGATCTCAACGAACGGGCCAAGGAAAACGAGTGGATCTCGTGGTTCTACCACCAGCAGGCCCACAATGTGGTAGAGCGCAAGCAATAGACGGAGAGAGCAACAGTAGTGTATGTATATAGGCATAATTAATGAAGCATGTGACAAGACGAGCATGGGGTCGAATAGCTACAAGTCCAGCGACTTGTTGAGGGACAGCCGATCCGAACATAGTCTCATTACAAGTACAATGTTCAGTATGACAGCTGGAAACGAGGGAGGGGTCGGCGAGTACTGCTGTACAGTAGCACGTTGTGTTGGTATCTCGATTGAAATCACATGACTGTGCAAACCTGTCGGTATTGGGTGCTATAATGATGAGGAAAGGGATATGTAGCCTATGTAGCCTTTGGTCCAAGCCGCACCTCTTCGTCACATGGTCAGTTTGCTGTTTTGCCACCAGAGTGGCGATGAAGAGGAAGAGAGTCTCATGTCAGAAGTTTGGTTACAGGCAAAACTGTCTTGCTGTAGCCTATGGGAGGAGATGACTGGTGGAGAAGGTGAAATGGAGAGTGTTTTAAAACGATGTTTTTTTTCTTCCTTTTTTTCCCCCTACTGTTGAAGTTTTGTTAATTTTCCGAAAAATGGGAAACAATCATCGCATTTACTCAGATTCAAAGTATCTCATTCAAAGACCTTATCTAAATACTAACTAATTGTTTCCATTTACTTATCAAAATGCCTCTCCTCACTTAACCTCCAGTTGAACCCGACGTTGCATTAAACTTTGACAAGGTGCATCCATATGTCTAGATAATACGTATTACAGTATCTTGTCGTCACACTCTTCACCACTACTTTCCTCTAAACAAACGCAATGTCTTCGTTCTGGGGAAACTCGCAAGCCGGCGTGCCTCCGGAGACCGCCAACAACTCGTCGTGGTGGTCCAACATCCAAAACGGAATCCGACTGCCCACCACCGAGACGGAAACCATGGCTGAAAACGCCGGAGTGGACACCCAGATTGCCGAGCCCGAGTGGTTCAAGCTGTCGTGGTGGGACCGTATGATTGTGTTTGGCGTGTGTCTGGCCGGCGCCGTGGTTTGTTTTGCCATCTGCTTCCTCATCATGCCTGTGCTGGTGCTCAAGCCTCGAAAGTTTGCGGTTCTGTGGACTCTGGGCTCCCTTTTGTTTGTCATTTCCTTTGGCGTGCTGCAGGGCCCTGTTTCCTACGTCAAGCATCTGGTCAGCAAGGAGCGATTGCCGTTCACCGTTGCCTTCTTTGGCTCCATCTTCGCCACTCTCTACTTTTCGCTCGGCATGAAGAACACCCTGTTGACTATCATCGCTTGTGTAGTGCAGTTGGTCGCCGCCATTTGGTACGCGGTGTCGTACTTCCCCTTTGGACACCAGACGATGCGATTTGCAAGCAGAGTGGGTGCTAGACAGGTCACTGGGTGGATTAACAGCTGATCAGCGTGCAAAGTTACTTGAAAGGCAACTGATAACCAACCACCAGCTGCAATCTCGGCCACAACAATACCAGTCTCGTCTACACGAGACGCAAAACGAATGACTATGGTACGAGTATTAGTAACTGTGTGTCGACAACACCAACAAACGGGCGTCCGCAGCTACAACATTCAGACGTGAAAAGGTATACATAATGAATAATGACTATTGAAAGTGTACAGCACTGTCCGCTGAACTTCACAGCCATGGCCCCCACTCATGCCTAACCGTAGTTGACACTCTGACAAACGTACTTTTCATCGACATTGACGTTGAGCCGATCAGGTCGAAGGTCTCGGGTACAAATACTCGTGGGAGTGAGCACCCGGTTGGGCAGAGGCAGATCCTCCTTGTAGAATTGGTTGTCGGACTTGTCGGCCACGTCGCTCTTGGACACAATGGTCTTGCCAATCAGGTGGCTCCATTTCGCTTCTGGTGCTTCAGACATTTGGAATTGCAATCGTGAGTGTGTCGTAGGAGAAGAAGAGAGTCGTCAACTGGTAATGTGTGTGGTGATATTAGCAATCCGGGGTGCATATCAGATGCTACTTAACTTTGGGTGTATCTATATATATATATATGACGCCACTGGAAATATATTGTCTACGCTGCAATCAATTTTCTTTTTATTTCTAGTATACATCTATCTAGCACCGTTATTAACCTGTTCATATGCTCCCTTGTACGCGGGTCCTTTTGTAGTTAGTGTAGTTATCGATCCATGGGCTTCATCTGAGGGTGAGACAAGTCCCAGCCCATGCCCTCGCAAATGGCCTGCACCGCCAAATCGCTCTCGCCACACAAGCTGATGTCAAAGTAGAACCGCGCACTGGGTTCCCGGTTGATGTAGACTCGTGGCACGCCCAGAGGCACCTGTTTGGCAATGTCGCACGCCGGCGATACCTTGAGCGACGTTCCCAGACACAGAAACAGATCCACTTTGGGCGTGGGGCCTCCCATGATGATATCCGACCGCACCATGTGCCGGAACCGGTCTGGCAGAGCCTCTCCGAAGAAGACAATGTCTGGTTTGATGACTCCTTCGCAGCGCTTGCGTCGGCACATTGGGATCTCTCCGGCGACAATCTCCGGACGCAACGACTCGCATGTGACCTTGGCTCCACACTGGCGACAGGTGGCCATGTGGAAGGCGCCGTGGCACTGCACCATTTTGGACTCCTCGATGCCGGCAATGTGTTCCAGGTCGTCAATGTTCTGTGTGTAGATTCGCAGCAGCTTGCCCTTGTCCTGCAGCAGCTTGAGGAAAGCGTGGGTCGGTGAAATCAGCGCCTGAGTGGGCATCATCACCTTGGACGCCACCCGGTAGAAAGGCGTGGGGTCCTGGTCAAACACCTCCAGGTCAAACACCTCCTGGGGGTCCGACAGACCCAGCGACTCCAGATCGAGGCTTTTGTACAGACCGTCGGCGGACCGGAAGTCCGGGATGCCCAGCGATGTGGAGATGCCCGCGCCGCACAGCACCACAATGTTCTGCGCCGTTTCCAGCTCGCGCAGCAAGTCTCCAAACGTGTGGATCTTGGAGTGAGCCGCCAGACTCTCCACGTCTCCGGTGCCAAACCGGCTGAACGCCCCCTCGTCCTCCCCTTCGTCCGACGAGATGTACTCGATGTTGGCCTGCGCCGCCGCCTGTTGCATGATATCCGTGTCCGGCATAGCTTTGGTGGTGATGTTAGAGGTACGAGTACTTGTGCCTTGCGGTTTGCGGTTTGCTTCAGTGATACCTATCTACCAGACAGTATCAACCTTCTGTGCAGGGGAATAGAGTTGGCTAACCCGTTGGTCCCAAACAACAGAAAAGAATGGACCGCAAAAAGTGCTGATGCAGAGGTCAGAATGCCCAGCGTCGATGGTGCTATGTTGGGACCTTTTTCTTCACGTGAGCTGAGAAGAAGAAGTGTTTGAAAGCAAGAAAAATACCGGTGGAGAAGTGGGGGACCACCCGGGGGGAAACAGACGGTATTTATATATCTATCCGCTAGTTTTGGTGGCTCTAAAAAGCCCCCGACTCCTTGAACTCGTCCCTTTACAAGTGTGCGGCGTTGAGTGGTTGTCCGAAAACAGAAATCACGTGTATTGGCATGAGTGGGAGATATGTAAATTAAATAAAGGCAGAAAAAAAAGGCAGAAAAAAAGGCAGAAAAAAAAGAAGAAAAAAAAAAAAAGAAAAAAAAAGAAAAAAAAAGGAAAAAAAAAAGAACAAGGAGAAAAGGTATGAGTATACACAAGTATTTTTTAATGTGTGTGTGTCCATATTCTGGTCACGTGACGTTTCTCGAACATCAAACCCCCTCTCCCTTGTCTACTCGTACAACTCACTCGGCATCTACAATCACACATGTCTCCTGTGCATCCAATATGCAGCGGAAAGAGTGATGGGACGGGTTGCGAGTTGAAAAGTCGGCTTTTTGAAAGACCAGAGTCGACCGGGTTCATTTAATTGTCTTGCGAGTATCAACCGGTGGTATCTATTGTTTAGTAGAATGGTTGGTAGAGATACAGTATGTAGATATAGGCTACCTGTATTGTAGGAAGTCGAGTAAAACAAACGACTATACGAATACATAGGACCATCTGACCCAGTCGTAAGTGTACAGTACATACCGGTACGAGTAATTCTACTATACGAGTGTATATTCCCTATTCTGGACTGTACCAATAATGTCGATAGTCCAAACATGACCATATCTGGTGGTACAGTATGTCCAGTCTAGTGATGGACTTTAGGGCTAAGTACATACTGGTAGGATCTCTCCACTGCAGTAGTAAGAAGACAATCTCTACTCGTCCAGGTCAAACTCCACCGACTAAAATCACTCTGATTCCTCCTTTTGTACTCTATCAATCATATTCGTCTATGGGTTCTATCTGTCTACTGCCTGTCTACAACTTGGCCACGGCGGCAGACTCAAACTTGTTCTTGTTGGGGTTCTTTCGGACCCACAGGTTGATGGTGATGTCGTTCCACTTTTTGTTCTCGGCCACGAGCTCAAAGCCAACCTTCTGGGCCAGGCCCGACGATCGCTTGTTGGGCGGCTCAATGATGGCCAGCCAGTCGCTCTTGGTGATGTTGTGCTTCTCGTCCCACTCGACCAGACCGTAGAGCGCCTCCTTGCCAATGCCCTTGCCCTGGGCCGACGGCGCCATGGTCCACGACGCCTCGACAAACTGGGGGCTGTAAGGCGCGGCAATGGGCCGCTTGAAGTGGCTGATTCCAATCTCGCCGTAGAACTCGTTGGTCACCTTGTCGCGGATGGTGAAGCAGCCGTAGCCAAAGTAGTCCCAGTGGCCCTTCCGGTGCAGAATCTTGAGCCACACGTGCTCGGGATCCACAATCTCGCCGCCAATGTACTTCATCACATCAGCGTCGCCCATGAGCTTGCAGCAGTCATCGTAGTCGTCGATGTTGGTCGGACGGATGATGAGTCGATCGGTGATGATTTGCGGCTGGATGTCGGTCATGATGTCAAGATGTAATGGGTTCAACAAGCTACAAGAGTCCACCACGCGTCTTATATATGCTCACCGCCCGGTTATCATCCCACAATAACATTCGGGGCTCAGTGACCCGGTGCATCTGTCATGCTGGACAACCTACAAGTAGACGAGTCTAGAAAACGGCTTAACGTAGCCGCTACTTTCGTAGCAACCGCTCGAGAAAGTTGGATCGGCACTTTTTTCACCGTCCACGAGCCTGTCGTATGCGCCGGTCTGCATTTTTATGGATCACTAATCGGTAAAGGGCGCGAGCGACTCAGGTGGTAGGAGTCCTTGCGCTCACCAGGCGTTGCAGGTTAGTCGGGTTCGTCAGGGTTACTGTAGATCTCTACAAGCACGAGTACTTGTAGTACAGTACGGAGTGATACTCATTCTCGAAGAATAAAACAGATATCGGGCAGAACAAGAGAACCAAACCTCTCAGAAGACAATGAGTAGTGCTAGACAGACTAACAGAGAACTTTCGATAGACCATGTACATACTGTAGTCAAGAGTATTCCACTACAATACCTCTACAAGCATAATCCCTACGAGTGCCATACTCCTGTCCTACTCCTATCCTCCCCCACACCTACCCACATCCACACTACCCACATCCACACTACCCACATCCACACTACCCACATCCACACCTACCCACAGCCACACCTTCTCACAGCCACACCTACCATCCACTCCACATCATGGCCAGGTCAAGAATGCTTCTGAAACGCACCATCCAACGCTTCCTTTCTTCGGAAATTCTCTCAGCCTCTTTTGGCTCCTCTTTCTCGTGCACCTCACGTGTACAACCGAAATAGAAGGCCGAGACGAGCGGTGCTCGCAATCACAATCGCAATCGCAATCGCAGTTCTTCTATCTGTCTCGCACCTGCTCTGTGCTCACCTCCATTGTACCATGGTCCAAAAGAAGCAGCCATCTGACCCAAACGTACAACTCCTTTGTCCACAGAAACCAAGAGCCCTCAAGGAACTCAGCTGGCAACCCGAATGAACTCTCACTCGCCTCTTCCGGATCTATTCTGGTGCTGTTCCGGGCCGCGCATCGACAAACAGCCCGAACCGCGGCATACGATAGAGTTGAAGACATTGTCGGATGATGGAATTTATCCGGAGTTAAAAGAATCGTCTGGAATTGCCGTCGAGTTCCAAGCCTCACACTAAAATACAAGAGAAACTGTACCTACAATTCATGTGGCAAATCTCTACAAACTGCCCCAAAACCTCCATGCTTTTTTCCCATCAAATTCACTTGACAGCCTTGTTGGGAGTTTGTGGGTTACTTGGCAGCGCGGTTAATAAAGTTTCATTTTTAGGTGGCGATTAGAAAAAGAAATTAAAGAGCCGAAATCAAAAAAATAAATAAAGAAAATAAATAAATAAAACATAAATGAACCTTTTAGAATTAAATTCGAAAAAATTAGGAAAAATAATTAAAATGTCAAAAACGCCAGGCATGAGATACAACTACAACATACTCTTCAGTAGAATCAATTCATCTATAAATCCGTTAGTAGGCCTACCAGTAGACCATTAAATAAATACGCTGAATGCTCATGCTACATCTGTGTAGATCATGCTTTTTTCTCAGTCGGGGGATCCAGGCGCGGGATCCAGGCGCGGGAAAGCTCAGCACGCCGGAATTAGCAGGAGTCGCCACCAGCCTTCTCCTGCAGCTCGCCTCTCCAAGAGTACAGGTTGGACATGTTCACCTTGGAGCTCTTGCTGGTGTTCTCGTCGAAGATGGAACAGCCGTATTCGGCAGCCCAGGGAGGGGTGTAAAGATGCAGAGAGACAGCCACCTCGGTTTCGCTGGGGTTTTTGATTCGATGCAGGCCGATTTTGTCGGACATGTAGGCCACCTGCTGCTCGGATCGAACAGACTCCTTGATGACCTTCATGGGGCCCTCGACACCTTCCTCGGGCCACTCGTAGAGAGTCTCCACCAGGTTGCCCTTGAGGATCTTCATGATGCAGTGGGCGTCGGCGTGGTCATGGATGCACGAGCCCTTTCCGGGGTTCCAAACCAGCAGAAGCAGGTTGGCCTTGTTGTTGATGTTGTCCACTCCGTTTCGGGTGTATCCTCGAGTGGGTTCTTCCAGAGCAAAGTCCTTCCACTCGGACTCGATGGAGTGGTACCGGGTCATGATGTCCATGAGGTCTTCGACGTTGACGTCATCGGAATCAATGCCGGACGACGGGCCCAGAATTGTTCGGATGCCCTCCTGGAGCATTTCAAACCCCGTCTGTCGCTCGTCTTCGGAGGACGACACAGAAAGCTTTCTGAGAATCTGCTCCGAGCACGGCAGCGCAATGCCCGCAGGCAGTTGCTTTCGGCCCTTTTCCAGCCGAGACTGCTGCTGTCGAGGAGGCGACATTTTGTCCAACACATTGTTGGATGACATGGACAGAGTGGGGGGAGGAGCCATGATGATAGTAATTAAGAGCGATAGAAAATGATACGGGGGTTTTTCTTTTTAATCAGTGCTTGGATAATGCAGGGCTCGATGGTCTTAGCGCTGCTGTCTTTGTGTGTGTGTGCTTGTGTTTTTTTTTTTGGGTCTTGTTGGCTGGCGCTTTGTGATTTCGGGTCACGTGAAATGTTGCAATTCTGGAGCGTGAAATGACGTGCTCGCCCTCCCTACTTATACCCGCAGGCCTGGGGGATTTGTGTTTGTGTCGGACAAAGCAAAGGGGGGTAGTGTGGTGCAGCCAAACCTTAAAGACAGACTGCAGTGCGTTGGTTATGCAGAGTCCCGCCGAAAGAGAGCAATTTTAGAAAGTCTAAAAAAGCCACAGTTTGGATAGTATCAATGTAGTTGTGTGAGGAGAAATCACAAAACGGTACCAATGGCCCTTTGGTGCAGATGTGCCTGGCAGTTATATAATTTTAATCGTGGCTTTGTGGCGACTTGGTAGTCCATGTCGTGCTTGGGGGGATTCTGGGATGCTGGGCCGCTCGCGGGGCCCCTGTCAGGTGGAATGGAGCTTGCGGCATTTTCCGGCCACGACTTGCTACGGCGCTTCCCCAAGCGGCAAAACCCGTACCCTAAGTGGCTAGCTTTTTCACGTGGCTCAGCCCAGCCAATCGGATTCTTCAGCCACTGTGGCGAAGGTGGCTAAGGTTTGGTAGAGGTGGTTATGACTGAGCGAGACCGAGAGAGAGCGAGAGAAGGAAAAAACCCGAGAAAGACGGGCGAAAACCGAGATATCGGCGAAAGAACCGAGAATGAATTGGGAAAAGAGATAATCGGGTTGGCATGTTGGTGTACGCTCTTTGTTCGGGTGATAACAATGCTCGGATTGGTGTCGTTATCAAGAGCGCTGATATGTATGTACGGGAGCTAGCACCCCCTTTAACCCCTGAAAACTTCCTATAACAGACTTGCTGATCTGTTGTCCAATCTGCCAATGGAATGTGCAACCAGTACGGTACTTGCATCGTATACAATACGAGGACAGCCCCCCATTCATATCGGAAGCACCCGACAAAGAAAAGATGCACGATCGGAGATCTTCCAGGAGGTGGTTAGTAGTTATTGGTGGATGGTGGATGGTGGTTATTGGTTATTGGTGGTTATTGATTGACTCAGGTTTCAGGTGCGCCACAGAGGCTAGTGCTGAGACTACCGGTACGAGTGCCGGTACTGGTAATTGTACTAGTAGCGTCCGAGCTCGACACTTGTGCTCGTAGTGTCCTTGTACGCGTAGTGTCCTTGTGCTCGTGCCGCCAGTTCGTCATGCTCTAGTGTCGATTGCTTATTTTATTCTAGTCCATCCTTCTAATCTCAAAGATAAGGCTCCACCGTCTCAGACTCGGACTTCACCACCCCCCTCCGTCGCAGACTCAGACTCAGTAACTTCCATCTGTCACTGCTTCTGTCCCAAGCCCACCCTTGACATTGAACCATACCTTCCATGTCTCAGTCGATCTATCCATGCATAGACCGACCATGATGCTGCTGCTGTAGACAGCCGAGAATCACATTCCCCAATGACGACGGCCGCTCAGCTGGCTATCAGGGACGGCAACATCGCTTGCGCTCCTTCCCTACCCTCAGGTTCCTACGCAGGCGGCAAATAAGCACCCCACATGACCACCTGAAAGGTGATCCAGACGAAAATGTAGCGCACCACATAGTGCCCATTGTACCCCTGAGCCAGCTTGGCCATGTACCAGTACAGGGTCGGCAGACAGGTGGAGATACGGGTGATGATCTGAACATGCCACATGAAGACACACGCCAAACCCATGATGGCATGCACCGTGTAGAAAGGAACCAGCGACGGGTTGGTCGACATGGACTGGTACATGAGATAGAGCACTGGGGCGGCAAACAGAAAGTTGGGAATGTTGTTGGCCGTCCAGTATCTCAGGAAACCAACGTTCCAGTACCGCTGCTGAACATAGCCGTAGATGCTAGGAATGTAGTAGTTGCACCATTCGTCGCGCTCGGGACAGAAGATGGACCAGGGCAGGTACTGGGTGTACAGAAAGACCGCTCCAACCAGAGACCCGCCAATAACAACAGAAACTCCCCTGTTGAACTGGTTGTGCTTGATGGCAGAGGCCAGATCAAACAGAAAGGGGATTCCCCACAGCAGACCGTTGCCTCTTAGTAAGCAGGACGCTCCCAAAACTGCTCCTGCCAACGGGTACTGGCCCCGCTGTCTCAAGTACAAACCTGTGAACGACAGAAGCGCAAACAACGACTCGGTATATCCCGCCACCAGAAAAATGCCCGCCGGCGACAAGATGTACATGAGCGCGGTGGTTTCGGCAAACCGCTTGTTGTGGAAAACGGACTCGGTGAGTTTTCTGAGCATGAGGGCCGCCAGAAGATGACTCAGCGACGAGACGGCGATCGCCGTGTAGGCAATGGCGTCACGTGATCCGGCGAGTCCCAGAGCACGGGACCACATCCAGCTGAAGGCCCATTCGTGTTCGTACAGATGGGATCGCTCTGCGCTGGACACAAAAAACACAGAGTCCCAGATGACCAAACGCGACAGAAAACGGTTGTTGGGGAACAGCAAGGTCGAAGAGGTGTCATATTGCCGGGGGACCACGAGCGCAAGCGCTACCAAGTATGCCTTGATGGCCACAAACACCACAATGAGCGTTGTGAAATGTTTCATTAGTTGTGTCGAGGAGTCTGACAAGGTTCAGAGTTGAGAGTAAGATGCATCGGGGCATGTTGGGCAGGTGAAATGGGGGGAGTTTTTGTCTGTGAAGAGAATGGATGAGATGAGTGTGTTTGTGAGGATTGGACAAATACGATGGTTGTTTTGGATTCTCGATGCGATTTCCGTGGCGGGTTTTGGAGCAGTGTCTGAATGTGGATGCTATGCACTGAGCTGAGCTGAGAGGTGGGAGGAACAGAGTCGGAGGTGGGGATTTTTGTATGGGAAGTGGTTGAGATGTTGGTATCTTTGAACTCGCCAAGAGTGAAGAAATCCATTGAGATTAGTTTTGGAGTGCTGAGGGACTTGGATGTGCCGATATCAGTCCTTCTTATAGTGGTCTTATACAGAAACACGTGTTTTTTTTGGCGAGTTCTGGACAAAGCCATTGTGAGACAAAAACCGTCGATATATAGCTTGAAATGGGTCGGAAAATTGTCACACAGCCCTCGACTATCGTCTATGAGTGTCTGTATGTTTCTGAACACGTTTCAACCGACTCTCATTTGGATGTTATCTTTCTAACCAAATGTTAACTATAGGTTAGGAATACTTAACTAAATTAGACAGATTTGAATATCAAATACTGGTGGTAGGATGACAATTGAATAAACCCCCATTGGTACTGACCACCCAGAGAGAGCTTATGTAATCTAGCATGGAGAGAGGGCATTTATATTTATATTTATATTTATGTTTATTTATTAATTTATAATTTATTTATAATTTATAATTTATATTTATATTTATATTTATATTTATATTTATATTTATATTTATATTTATATTTTTATTTTTATTTTTATTTATTTTATTTATATATATTTTTAATTTATTTTTATTTTTGTTTTTATTTTTATTTTTATTTTTAATTCTTTTAAACATACCCTCTGACCAGCAACCAAGACAAGACAAGACAATCCACAAATACCAAACATCAATATCCAACCCGGGCCCATCTCTCCAATCTGACAAAATAAAACACCGAAATACCGGTTCGATTGTCATTTATCTCCGTCTGTTCCCCGATCAAAATCACTTTTTTCTGTCCTGCCTTTTTTGCACAATAATTTAAACTCGCAAGCACTCAGGCACCACAAATCACATGAATATGAGGCTACAAGAGTGTCTCTAAGAGCCGCCACGGTGTTTGAAACCACGCAAAAAGTGGAAAAATCGATTCAAACCGCCTCCCAGAATACCGCCACAGCCTCCCCCAACCGCAATTTCCCCCAATTCCTCCACAATCACCGCCCCAAATCTCGCCCATCTCCCCGCATAAGCAATCTGCAGACTCCTGCACAGCAATTGACGACTCATCATCAGCACCATCCAAGTAACTTCAACACATACACAAGTCCATCAACCATGTTCCGAACGCTTCAATCGCTGAAAACCGCCCGATTTCCGTCGGTCCAGATCCGCCAGATCACCGTGGGCACCGCCAACCCCCGCTACCACGTCCATCTGCTCGACAAAGACACCACGGATAAGTTCCGACAAAAGTTCAAGCATCTTCGAGACGTGGACTCTATCACCGCCACCGTGTCGCTTTCCCCGGACCCTCTGGCCGTCTTTTGCGCCTCCACGTCCATCTCTCCCATCAAGAAGACGCTTCTAGACCCCAAAGAATCGCCTCTAAGACACACCATCTATCGACCGGACGCCGATGAAGATCACACCCACAAGGAGACCCGAATCTACTCGCTCAAGGAGTTCCAGACCCTGTACGGCCAGGACTCCGTCACCGACGCCGATTGTCTCTCTAACCTGTACTGCGACCCCCGAGTGTTCGACAAAGGCAACTCCGACTTCCTCAAGGTGCTCAACGAGGTGCTCAAAAAGGACGCCTACAAGGACCCCCAGGTCAAGGACTTTGCTGCGGGCCAGGTCTTTTCTATTTTGCCTCCCCAGAAGCAAAAGAAGGGCTCTGCCCCCGGCGGAACCCTTTACATCCCCGTGTTTGACAACAGAAACCCCCCCATGCAGGCTCGAGTTCCCGACGTCCAGGACACCATGGGCATGATTGTGGTGGATTACGAGGGCAAGATCAACCCTGACACCTATGAGGAGAACTTCCAGTACAGAATCATCACTCCCGACGGACCCCCCCAGCTATCGGACTACATCTACCCCAAGGTGAAGAAGGTGTGCGAGGAGGCCAACTAACTGGCTGGACAGCAGTGAGAAGGGCCCCCTGACACCACAGAGCCCAATTGGCACGCATGTCTAAAACTACAACTACAACTATACAACTATAGACAGTTCATTACATTGACATAGAGGCAAAATCTCCAACAAGCGAACCTCAACCAACTGGTGGATGCTCAAGGATGAATCGCGTAGCCCAAACAACCATCAGATACATTTTCCTTGTTCAACACGACTATAGAAAGTAAGTGTAGGTCCTCCACTAGAAGATACCGTTGCGGGCAACTTGACGATATCGGAGAACAATATGATGGATATACAGCCACGGACCACTCTGATTGATTAGTAAGTCGAGAGATCAACCCGTTGCTCACCAAGTCGATACTGCCAGTTCTGGTTCTGATCTTCTGTTCTACAAGTAGCCAGCAGAAGAACCTGTCGAGTTTACCAGGAGTAGCATCGTCATCCACGTGCCCTTTATCTCTGAAATGTTGCCTAGCGGCTTGACCACAATTTCATCCTACCTCATGGCTGTTTTCTCCAGCCACAAGCAAACCACATTAATCATTACGTATAAAAATGCTCCTCCACAATCACCTGCTGCGAGTTCGGAAACGAAACGTACCATGGTTCCAGTGACTGGGTGAGACACTTCCGGGAAACCACCCCACCTTGTAGCAAGACAGTTCAAGGCCCTCCATCCCCGCCCTCCACGACATCATCGTCGCTACATAAAATCCCTCGTCACGTTCAAGAAACTCGCAGTGTCATTTCCACTCTCCCCCAACACCTTGATCATCTGCCGCGTATGCTGAACAATGCGCTTGAGAGGCGCCACGGGCGACCGTCCATGGGCAACCAGAATGGCCGACGACAGCTGCTCCCATAGCTCCTCCCGTGACTTGACTGTGTCGAGCTCCTCGTTCACCTGATCGGAATCGTAGGCAATCAGCGAAAAGGCGTGACGCAACAAATCCTGCACCTGTGGGCGGGGGTCGTTGGCGTACTCCATCTTGAGTTCCCGGCCATACTCCACAGCCTCAATCACCTCGTTGGCCTGCAGCAGCTCCACAAACTTACGGCACTTGAGTTGGAACAGCACCATATCCTGAGACTCAAACACGGTCGGGTAATGCTCCTCCACCAGAGCCATGGCGCCGTCAATGTCGCCCGACAGAATCAGACCGCGGATCTGGTGCCTGATGGTAATGTCTGGAGAAAGGTATGACGCTAGCGACTTGAGTCCCTCATCGGAAGGAGGCTCCATACTCACATCGCCTCCACCGGTCCCTTCGTCTTGCATATCCTGGTCTCTGCACACATCGCGGTACAGAGCCTCAGCCGTGTCCACGTAGCCCACATGCGTCAGGTACGACATGACTAGGTTGTTGATGAGCGGGTTGAGGTTTCCCTGGGCGAGCTGTTTTTCCTGGAATGCGTTTCGAGCCGCATGGGCAGGCACCTTTGTGCTGGACTCGATGCGTTTCTGCGTCTCGTGTTTCTGTTTGAGCACGTACTGCTTGATGTCAAACACAAACGGACCCGATCCCCCAAAGTTGGCCTTGATGCGTGCGCCGGGCGAGTTGGTGGACTTCTTCTTGACGCCAATGGCGGGGTAGAGGGGGTCTGAGGGGAGATCCGAAAACGCCTTGGTCAGCGGCATGCCATTCTTTGTGAAGAAGGCCTCGCGCTTCTTGAAGTTGATGCAGCAGCCCACCACGTCGCCTGGCTGGTTGAAAGACGGCCCATAGTCCTTGGAGGTGCCCTGGCAACACATGACGTTGCCGTAGTCGGAATGGTAGCCCCAGGACTCGGTTTCGAAGCCCGGCGGTTTGGTCAGCGGCGCACTCGTCTTGCAGAAACCCATGCACACGGCCGAGTCTTTGGAGGCCGACAGAATCTCCACCTCGTAGTAGTAGACGCCACAGCCTCGGGGGATAGGGGCGTCCGACTTGTACACCACGTTTTCGTCCTTGCCGTCGTCGTCGCCCGTTTCTGTGTCGATTTCCAGCTCGTCTCGGATGCAGTTGATGGAGTCCACCGCCGGGATCCACATGGTCGGCAATTTGGGCAGAGAGATGGGCTTGTGGTCCTGTTGCTGATGCAGTTCCAGCATGTTGGCCGACGAGACTGGGGCTGGACAAGAGGTGTCTGTGGCTTTAGCTCCTCCGTTGTCCGCGTTGTCCGCGTTACCCGCGTTGCCGTTGCTTGTGCTTGTGCTTGTGTTTGTGCTTGTGTTTCTGGTCTTGTGGGGTCCGTTCCAGCCTCGCAAAAAGGACAGGTCACCGGAAACAGACGCTGCCTGGGCCACGTCGTCCTCCGTGTAACCGTAGCGCTCGGAAAAGGCCGTTTCCAGCAGGTACTCGGGGATCCACTTGGGATTGTGCGGTTTGGCGTCGGTCATGGTGTGGGGCGTAGGTGGCAAGTCAAGCGACACTGATAGTTGACTATCTAACTAATATGCGAGATAGCTAAACCTTGTGGAGGTGATTACTAAGGGGCGTGGAAAGGAGAAAGAAAGGAGCAAATGTGATTAGAAGGAAGAAGAGGGATAGTCCGAGTTGTGCATCTGTGTTTTTTGTCTTGAAGTATTTCCAATATCGACTCTTGGCGGTAGATAATGATTGTGAAACTGCCATAGCAGACTAGATTCGAGCACATTTCGGGACATGAGAGATAATGGACGGATTCACGGGAAAAAGTGACGATTTTGTGGTATCATTGTGATCACCGGAGCTGTGCGATTCGAATGGTACTATTTTTCAACTATTTATGTTACAAACAGAGCATATGGTCTACAAATGTTCACATTATACAGAAGGGACTAACAATAGACTCGACCTGAGAGTAATATTGGTAATGATGGTGCTATAAAAATGGTATAGAAATGATCCTCTAATCGTGAGGATCATGATGAACGAATTTTCTCAGCTCTGGGAGTACTACAATGGCCTCAAATGTCTACAAAAAACCCGGGCTGACGACAAGTAGCAATATATTTGCAACACTTGAGTGGCCCCCTACTTGTCTCATCAGAATGATATAACAGTGTTCATTTTCTGGGCCAAATGTCGTTGATAAGCCACATTGAATCTTCATTGCTACAATCGTTTTTTCGGTATTTATTCCGGTATTTAAATCATAAATGAAATGAAATAAAATCATAAATGAAATAAAATATGAAATGAAATATGGAAAATCGTTGAAAACACAGCTTCAACCCGGAACCATCTCAGCTCCTAAATGCTTCCCTACTCCACTAAATTCCTGTCCTCCTCCTGATTTACAGTCGGCCAATTTGGAATGGTACTACCGATCATGAGCCAAGGGGTAATTTCCGGATAGTCGGAGCCCTCTGAATTATAATGTGGCGAGGGTCATAATGTGGCAAGGGAACGTCAAGTGAACTCTCTGGCTGGATCCCGCGTGTGTTTTGAGCAGGTGGATATCGTTTAATTGACTGAGCGACATTGTTGGTTGGTGTTTTGTTGATAGGCTGGAATTGTTAGTTGGTGTTTTGTTGATTGGTTGAAATTGTTAGTTGACGTTTTGTTGATATTACTAACGAAGCCGGTCTGAAATAGCCACGGAACAACGCTGGTGATCTGAAAGGGATAGACCAATTCACAAGTGCTGTGTCGCAGGTAGCAGCACTGATATTTGTCGAATAGAATAATGACTCTGTTCCAGGTTAGCGAAAACCATGTTAGCAGAGCTGTGAGACGTTCCTGGGGGCTTCTGGCCCCACAAAACTGCTTGCTCGTCTCAACGATAGAGTACGAACCGCCACAGTTGCACGAAATGTCCAATCGATTCAGCAGATCCGTTATCAGGTCAGACAGAGGTCGTTCTCGGGCCTCGTTAGCAGGCTCGAACTGGTCGTCGACCTTAGCCTGAATTCCTTGGTGAGTCAATGCTACACGTACTGGCTTGAACTCACTCTTGTCCCCGTTCTCGAAGGACTGAGGGGAAATGCCGACAGTTCTTGGCCTGGGTCTGTAGGTACAGGCTCCAGTGACTCGACGTTGTTCTGCTTGTCGGGCTCGGTGATTCGGGGGCTGACCCTCATTGTCTTGGTTGGCTCGCTCATATTCTGGAGCATTGCTCTCGGGGGTTCACCGGACCACTTTCGCTCAGCAAGAGTACCTCGCTCGAGGGAAGATCCACATCATTCGGGGCTTGAGACGTACTCGCAGTACTGCCTGGCAATGGGAATTGGAATGACTTGAGGTAACGATGGAGATTCAAAACAGAATCATGACTTCTGAAATGTCGACTTGAAGTGTCAGAAAGGTTTTCGGGAAATCTGAGTGTCAACTTGGGCTGAATGGTGGCCAGAGGGTGAGCTTCAGATCGTCACGTAAGTGGAGACCGTAGACCAAGTGACCAGGTCCATTGAACGGGTCTAATTGAGACACAGGACCACCAAGAACTCCAGTTACCGAACCGAGCACAATTTGAGCTACTCCAGAGGCGATTTCGGAGCGACTGCAATCGTGATCGTCTATTCGACTCGGGAAACGAGTATCGAATGATCGTAGGTACTTGGTACTTTTGGCAGATGGGGCCGAACATCAATGTGGCGTCATTGTGGGACTATTTTGCCACAAATTCGTCTTGTTGGCTCCGACAGCATTTCATTGTGGGTTATTTCATTTCTGCCACAGCTGTGTCAGTGATGTATTTGGACTTTTGGGGCTGTCACGAAGTTTGGAATTTGGGGCTGAAATAAAATATAAAGAGAATAAAATAAAATAAAGTAAAATAAATAAATAGAATAAAACATAAGAACAAATATATATAAATCAATAAATAAATAAATAAATAAATAAATAAATAAATAAATAAATAAATAAATAAATATATATATATAAATACAACAGGAAATGTTGGAACAGCTGGATGCTCACCGCAAATCGAATTCAACCAGTAAACACAACTTGTGGCCAAAAACAGCCGAAATGTCGTCGTCGTGTTTTTACCCCTATATAATGATTCTGTCTGATCTCTGGTCTTTCGTTTCTTGTCTGGTCTCTCATCTGTTTCAGCCCCAAAATGCCCGCGGACGAATATGTGTGAAGAGACGCAAGTGTGGATGAAAAATGGCCTGACAAGACCGTCGAAAGATATATATATATATATATATATATATATATATGGGTCGACTTCTCCCCAGATCTTTCCATCATCAGTTAACCCACTCACTACACCACAAGCACACCACGATGACCCGACTGAGATACGCCCGAAAAAACATCTTCCACTTCCGGGTGCTTGAGCACAAAAACAAGTCGCTGGCAGTGTGCTTTTCCGCCTCCGCCAATCTTCTTCCCGTTTCATATGTGGCTAACGATGAAGAGGTCGGGCTTTTTCTGGAGACTCATTTCAGCTTCTCCAAAGACACCACCGTGGTGATTGTTGACCGTGATACTGACAGAAAGTACTCGATCACGTCCAACCAGAAGCTGGTCAGCTCCCGACTGTCCCGAAACGTCCAATTGGTGGTCCCCTCGGTATTCCAATCCACCGGAGACAGCTACAAGAATCTCTCTTTTCCGTTTCAGGTTGCCCACAAGTACCTCCGGTCGGGCTATCCTCTCGCCAACGCCGTGGAGCATGGCCTTTGGGGCGCCAATTGCAAAAAGGCGTGGATTGGTATTGATCTAGACAACTTTGATGAGGAGCTGGACAGTATCCAAACCGCCTCTAAACCTCATCATTTTGTCCACCCGAACTACCACCCCACCCATTATCGATGTGACCACTACCACCCAGCAAACACCAAACTCGGGTTCCCTCCGGGTCTACATAAAGACACTCTGGAGTCTGCGTTTCTGACCCGGGAGGGCCAGGAGTACGAGTTCCGAACCGGCTGGGTGCCTGTCAAGGAGGTGGCCAGACTGGGTAAGCTCAGAGCGGGCTATTGAGTATGCCCACAGCCGGTTATTAGTGAAATAATCTCCTGGAGATTCTGCAGATCAAATCGGATGTACTGTACCCTAAAGTAGGACAAGTAGACGCAAACGGAATAAATTGAGCTCTAATCAAGTATTAAATCTCACTCTGTAGCCACTCAAACAACCTGATGAGCTCGTAGTATCTCTATATCGTCTCTGATATCCGTAACGAGCACTTCTGCGATAAGGAGGAGGAGAGATTGGTCAAAAGCAACCAAAGATGATTGGTCTCTAAGATTTAATGATATTTAGAGGAAAATATATACTATCGGTACCGGTAAATGATCGAGTCGCTGGGTTTTTTATAATGTCTAGGGGGTGCGTATGACACAATACCACTCAACTGGTGATTTCCCACTTCACAGCAGTCCCAGAAAGCGCAGAAACATATAAATGAGAGATATTTGATACCAAAATGATCGCATCGATGTAATTAATACGATGGTGAAGTATTCATATTTCTAGTTTGTATACTGCATGAGTATGATACAATAAAACATACTACTCCTATTACAATTATGACAGAACAATCCAATATGATGTCACATGGTAGTTATAGAAGCACAGATTGGCAGTATTGTTAGTCCTCCGGATTCTTCTCGTGATTTCCGTTAGTTGTCTCGATTTATGTCAGTTGTCTCGATTTATGTCAGTTGTCTCGTCCGCCAGTTGTCTCTTGATTTACTTCAGAACTGCTCGAATGTTCCTCAATTGTGGAAAACGAATTGATCAAGTTGATTATTTCGTAGCTGGTAAGTAATTGAGTAATATTTCCAAGTTTTTATTGTATTCTGAGGTGGTTTAGCTACAGCAGTTGGTACCACCCCATCATCAAATGGGACCATGAGTGAAGCAAGGGATAGAAGCAAGGGAAAGAAGCAGGGGAGTGAAACAGGCGTTTTGTGAAATGCCATAATCAATATTCTTGTAATTTCTGACTCTCTACTCTCATAACTCGACCGACTTGACTCCACTCCACTCCACTCCACTCCACTCTTGTTTTGCACCTCTGCGATCGACGAAGACCCTTGACAGCGACCAGGAATACAATCTAGCGAGTGTTACGCCGTCCTGAACCTCATCTAGGAAGACTTGACAAGACTATGGTGAACTAAACCAAGTCATTTGGGCTCTACTGCTATAACTACTCTCAATTATGGACACACAACTCACCAGATAGCCTCAGTAAAAGTCACACACAGAATCACACATGGTCAACTTATTTACATATATATAGTACCATTATACTCGGAAGATCAGGAGAAATCGAATGGTAGTAGTTTAAAGGCTCTATCATAACCGTGGCGTATGTTGTAACGAAAGCATGTCCCGAAAACATGTCCCCCACGTGCCCCCACCCGAGTTTCCGAGCCGCACGGTGGGGGAGGGGGAACAACTTTTGGATGATCTAGAGATGCGCAATTGTCAATCGATTTGCCAGCAATATCCAGAAATGACATGTCCTCATGTGTAAATGTCACGTGGTAAATATCCGTCACGTGAAGTACTCATGAGGCGAGTCTTGGCCAGGTCTATTCTCTATTCTGGTTGTCTCCTATGAGTGTTGAGGAGATCATTGTATCGCACGTACCTTGTGAGATTTGGTTTTACCGACGATGTGCAGTTATATCATCCAGTCTTTAAACGAGTGAGTTGAACTACATTGCAGTGTTCAGGTCTACGTTCAACTGAGGGCAGATGTCTTTTTATTCTCAATTGCGACTTGCTCTGTCTCAGGTACTCTGCCCAATCTCGCAACGCTCGATTGGTCTGTCGATGATATCATCAATTACTAACCCGTTGAGGGACTATATACTCTTAATAAATAATTAAGCTGGCACTAGCCAGATGCAGTTGATGCTTAAAGCGGGCTTAGAAGCAGACACTAGCGGTTAAGCGCTTAGTATCGGTAAATGTCGGCCTTGTAGGGACCCTCCTGGGCAATTCCCAGGTACTCGGCCTGAACGTCGGACAGCTTGGACAGCTTGACGCCAAGGTGGTCGAGATGAAGTCGGGCAACCTCCTCGTCGAGAATCTTGGGCAGCACGTGGACGCCGACCTCAAAGGGACCGGACTTGGCAAACTCAACGTGCTTCTTTCGGAACTCGTCATTCTTGGCGTTGAACAGAGCAATCTGGGCCAGAACCTGGTTAGTGAAAGAACAGGACATGACGAAAGAGGAGTGACCGGTGGCACAGCCAAGGTTGACCAGTCGGCCCTCAGCAAGGAGGATCACGTGTCGGCCGGAGGGCATCTCAAATCGGTCGACCTGGGGCTTGATGTTGACCACGTTCTTGGCGTTGGCCTTGAGCCAGGCAACGTCAATCTCGATATCGAAATGACCAATGTTGCACACAATGGCGTCGTTAGGCATCTGGGAGAAGTGCTCGCCAGTGATAATGTCTCGGCAACCGGTGGTGGTGACGAAGATCTGACCGACCTTGCAGGCCTCCTCCATGGGGAGAACCTGGTAGCCAGAAACAGAGGCCTGGAGGGCGTTGATGGGGTCAATCTCGGTAACAATGACTCGGGCACCGAAAGACTGAAGAGCCTGGGCGCAGCCCTTTCCGACATCTCCGAATCCGGCGACAACAGCGGTCTTACCGGCAATCATAACATCGGTGGCTCGCTTGATACCGTCGATCAGAGACTCTCGGCATCCGTACAGGTTATCAAACTTGGACTTGGTGACAGAGTCGTTGACGTTGATGGCGGGGACCTTGAGCTTGCCCTCCTTCATCATTCGGTAGAGATGGTGGACACCGGTGGTGGTCTCCTCGGACAGACCGAAACAGTCATCGAGCTGCTCGGGGTACTTCTCGTGAACCAGAGTGGTCAGATCTCCACCGTCGTCAAGAATCATGTTGAGCTTCTTGCCGTCCTTGAAGGCCTTGAGCTGCTGCTCAATGCACCAGTTGTACTCCTCCTCGGTCTCGCCCTTCCAGGCAAAGACGGGAACGCCGGCGGCGGCAATGGCGGCAGCGGCATGGTCCTGGGTGGAGAAAATGTTGCAGGAAGACCAGGTCACCTCGGCTCCAAGAGCAACCAGAGTCTCAATCAGAACGGCGGTCTGAATGGTCATGTGCAGACATCCGGCGATTCGGGCGCCCTTAAGAGGCTGGACAGCAGCATACTTCTCTCGAGTCTGCATCAGACCGGGCATTTCGTTCTCGGCGAGCTCGATCTCCTTTCGACCAAAAGCAGCAAGACCGATATCGGCAACCTTGTAGTTGGAGGCGGGGGCGGACATTTTCGGGGGGGTTGTAAAGTGGGGGTTTGTTGGGAAAATTCCTAAAGATCAAAAAGGAAAAAAATCAAAGAAAAAGAGAGCCCCAGCTGTCTATATATAATCTTTGGGATTTTAGTAGGTTTGAAAAAGTTTCAGACCGGGTAACCCACGTGGAGGAGCAGCGAAGCCGGCCCAAAATCGACGAGAAATGCTCCAATTGGAATTCCGGAAATTGGAATCGACTCCTGACACTGAATTGAATCCTTTTGTACGAAAAAATTGCAGAAAGAACATCACAAGCAGCCTTCTCCAACACCCCAACAAGTTCAGGACACGTTGATCTAATTCTCCACACAACTTTAATTGCACAGCTGATTTGGAACCGGGTGGAAGGTCACGGTGATCACGTGATGCAAAGGCGGAGGAGGGGGAATTTTTTTGTCCTATTGGGTCATATTACCGAAAAGGAGCGCAAAACCCGCCCAATTATTGAGTCACATGAGCCTGAATCAACAATCCCCCCAATTACCGCCCCCTTCCTCCCTCTCGTATGTCACATAGTTGCAGACGAGCTAAACGAGAATAACCAGACCCGGGTATGCACGTGCAAAAAAGGCGGGTTTGGGTAGGGTTGGGGGTTTTGTATTGGGATATTGAGGTTAGGGTATCCCGATTAGGACATTAAGGTTAGGGTAGCCCATTGGTGTTTCTGCAAAGATTGAGCCGCTTCTCTCCACAGAAAGCAGCCCGGGTTAGGGACCGGTTTTTACGATCACCGCTGGGTTAGGGTAAATCCGATGGGGAATTGAGTTTCTCGGTTTCCCATTAGAGTTTTGAACGGATGACTCAAATGAGTCATTTACCAACCAACCGACCTTGTGCGAATGAAGTAAGTTCGTCCAAGACTGGTTGTTTGGTGACTTGTTTTTGTGCGTCGCGTTTGTTGTGATTTTATCATTTTAGCTGGGTAATACTTGATCACGTGACTACATATGGCTAGTTCTGTTTTTTCCCATTGTTTTTTTGTCTTTTTTGACCGAGAAATGAGGGTTTTGGTATGGCACTAATCATCGTGTAATTGTAATTGATTATCGTGCAATTTGGAATTAGAGAATTTTTTTTGGCTTTGTGTTTGTGTTCCAATGTTTATAAAAGGTGGTGGTTTCCTCGGTTCCTTTTTTCGTCGTTTTCTCGTTCCACTTGTCCGCCATTCACCTGTTTTGTGGTTCTTTTGTGGTTGATTTGTGAGTTTTGTCCTTTGGTCCGTGGTTTTTTGAGACTCTTGGTTTGTGTTTTTGGAGTTGACAGGAGGTATTGAGAGGCATAGGAGGTGGTTAGGAGTTGGAGAAAAAATGGTTGAATTTTTCCACTTTGTTTCCACTTTTTTTTCACTTTTTTCCCACCTTTTATTTGATTTGATTTGATTTGATTTATTTTTTATCATTTTTTATTCATTTTATTTCCCTTTTCCCGGTCGCGGTAACCTTGACCTCCCTCCCACGGCCGGGTAAGTCGCGATAACCCGATCTGACCTTAAGACACATCTGCCGCCAAATCAAAGTTGCACTAGTCATTATCATGGGTCGACCGAGAGTGAGTATGGGCTAGGAGGCCGGCAAAGAGGTGTTTCGGGATGGCTCGGGGCTCCTTGGAACGGTTCGGGACGGCTTCAGAGGACAGGCTAGGAACGCCAGTGAGTGATGACCCATTTCAGATCAAGTCGGTTTTTGTGGTCCAAAGTCGCTCCCATTCTATCGGCGATAGTATCAACCGAAGCAGAATCGAGCTAGGAGCGCTGCGGGGTTGCGGCGGTCGTGTTGCGACGTTTTTGGCCGAGTTGCGGCGACTTTGTGATCAGGACGTTGCGATCTGGATGTGGTGGAGACGCCAGTGAGATGATGCACCAATGAGAAGCGGCTTATTGTTGTCGAACTTTTGCGACGATTTGCGGGCGACACTGAGTGCGATCACTTCTGTGTTTGTTCGCAGTTGTTGGGAATCGATCGCGATCGTTTCTGTCCATCTACTGTCACTACATTGCTGTCATTACTGCCATTACTCATTGACCTCGGTAACGCCTGAATCGTTGGCACAACTGTCCAACACGACATGGTGTCGGCCAACCGAACTAATTGGACGGCAGATCGGGTGTTGACAGATGCAGATTCTCGACGTCTCTTGTTCTGCCTACCGGAAAACCTCTGTTTGGGTCCTATTACCGAGGTGCTCGGGATGATGCATAAGTCATCGTCACATGCAGGCAGATGGTGTGAGGTTGTGGACACCGCGGTGAGGTGACCTAAATGCTTTGATGGTGATGGAAACTCATCGTGTTGTCATTACTATCGTCTATATTATCCTCTTGATCTGACAAAACTGTTGTTCTGGTCGTTTGAGACAAGAAACGATTATTCTGGCCATCTGTGTCACAACAGACGACTGTTCTGGTTTTATGTGACAAGAAACGATTGTTCCGACCACCTGTGCCATAAGGAGCGATAGTTCTGGCCATGTTATACTCTGATTTGATCTACTCTGGTCATCTGTATGGCACTCTGTCGACTTGATCCACTGTCCACGAACGTGACTTGTCACCGCGTCAACACATCACCGCATCACTTATCTATGACTGTCCCGGCACCTTTCGCTCCATATTCTAACCCAGCTTATCATCCTCATTCGACATGGAGAGTCGGAAGGCAATTGCGACAAGTCCGTCAACAGACACACATCCAACCACCGGATCAAGCTGACCGCCAACGGCGAGGAGCAGGCCCGGGACGCCGGCAAACGCCTCGCGGACATGGTCAATAAGGACGATACCCTTCTCTTCTACACATCGCCGTACCAACGGACCCGACAGACCACCCAGCTGATATGTGAGGGCATCGAGGAAAAGAACATCAGCTACAAGGTGCATGAAGAGCCGCGGTTGCGAGAGCAGGACTTCGGAAACTTCCAGGCGTCGGCGTCGGAGATGAACAAAATCTGGAACGACCGGTCCCAGTACGGTCACTTCTTCTACCGAATCCCCAACGGCGAGTCTGCTGCCGACGTGTATGACCGATGTGCTGGGTTCAACGAGACATTATTCCGCCAGTTCAACAGCGACAAGTTCCCCAGTGTGCTGGTGCTGGTGGCACACGGCATCTGGATCCGGGTGTTTCTCATGAAGTGGTACCGGTGGACGTACGAGAAGTTTGAGTCGCTGCGCAACCTGCGCCACTGCGAGTTCATCATAATGAAGCGCCCCGAACACACCCACAAGTTTGAGTTGCTCAACAAGATGGAGACGTGGCACGAGCTGGAGGCCGATGAGCGCAAGCAAGAGATTAAGAACTCGACCGAGGACTCCGAGGACGAGTGCATGCCCAACCCGGACGAAGACTGTCTGGTGTTGAAGGCTGTGCCGGAAAAGAGCGTCACCAGCCTAACCCAGCATGAGAAGGACATTCTCAAAAAGTACAAGGCTGCTCAACAGTTTCACAAGGAGGAATAATTGGTTGGGCGACACCTGTGCTTAAAGCTCGACCTGGCGGTGTCATCATGTACAGGTTAAACGGCGGAGACTAACGTTATATAGAAGGTATATGGCAGAATAGATTGATAAACGATGGGTATACGGCTGGTGAGAATGGCAAACGAATCAGGAGTCCGAGATCGATCCTGTGTCGTGGTCCATAACAATGGGCAAACGATGGGCGAGTAGTTGTAGGAAAGATGTGCTTGTAGTTGCTCATCATGCTCCAAGTACTGATGTAGTAGTCCAAATGGCTTTTTGCAGATGCTAAAGATGCAACAATTGCAGTGGACAGTCAACCCAGAATAGATTGATAAACGATGGGAAAACGGGATACTCTTGTGCTGCGGTTATTGGTTCGGAAAATGAAAAAAACTAGTCGTGGATGCTCTGTGAATATCGTGGCTATATCGGAACTCGAGAGGGCACTCTAGTAGATAGGTCTTTACTGATTTGGAGCGGATCTGGAAGAATATGAGCTATGGTGTGTTTTCAACTTGTAGATGACGTTTTGCTTGGATCTGGTGCCGTGCAGTCGGGCAAATTGAAGGTGTTCAGTTCTTGGAGTTGCCTTTTTAGGAGTACAGTATCTACAGTAGTGTCTGTCTAGTGTCTGGTGTCTACTGTAGTGAGTGCACTTTCAAGCCGTCTGTTTCAATTGAATGACATAGACCAGAGTCATGAGCATCAGAGATCGCTATATGGATATCTTTATTGGGTCGCTTCACATGTCTACGGTACTCTCCGCAGATGATTCAGTTACTCCCATTCCTATCCCCCATTCCTATCCCCCATCATTCGATTCACCCACCATGCCACCTCCGAGGTTATCCACTCTATACAGGGTTTGTTGAGACAGTCTGGGTCCGAGGTGGCTACACCTTCTTTGTACTGAGCCCAAGTGGAATTTTAGCCGCTATGTTTGCTCCGTTTGGTAGCTTGGTGATATTGTAATCGTTAGAGCCATATCCGAGTAACTGCAACTACTCGTACCGCACCCATTGCCGCCTGTTATCGCGAACTTCGTCTCCGACAAAATAACATTTGATTGGGGGTCGCTCTGGTCATATATTGCAGCTACACTGTTTCATATCAGCGCCGTTTCATGTCCTACAGTGGACCTCCACCGTACCGATAATCTTGCATAGCCGAGTAAATAGATCGACTTTCTGGATTGGTGGGGGGAGGGGGGTGCGGGTGGTGCGGGTGATGCGGGTGAAATGCAAGCGGCTCGAAAGGGGGGTAATTGGGGCCCGAAAGTCGCCCCAAAGGCGGCTTTTTTCTCGTCAATCGGCTTCGAAACCTTGGAGAGTCGTCGCCCCATCGTTAGGTGCATCCTTCTCCACTTGTCGGGGTGGGCGTTGCTCTATAGATGCATAGTGCACGTTGATTAGGTTGCGGTGATAAATCTGGGACGAAATTGGGGACGTATTTCGGATGTTTTTCGGACGGTTTTCGGGACGAATTTGCAGACGAATTTTGGTGAAAAACAATGTATACTCTAATCAAATTCGCTTGCAACTTCTCCCACATGTCTAGCCCCCTTAGATCCCATTCTACGAAGACCCTCTCCACCCCCCCCCCCCCCCTTAAGATATGCAGTTACACACTTCACACCTCTCAACTCTATCCAAGGGTTTATATACCCTCGGTTTGGGTCCCTGAAAACGGCCAGATTCGCCTCGTTTGCAATGAAAACCGCAGCCATTCTCTCCTGTCTCGGTCTGGTGGTCGCCTCGGCCATTCCGGACTTCACCACGTCGTCCCAGTTCCCCACAAAACGACTGTCTGCCCGATCGGTGCCCGGAGACCTCGGTCTGGACGATGTCCAGCAATACACCGGCTATCTGACCGCCAATGAGACCGGCGAACACTTTTTCTACTGGACCGTCGAGTCACGTAACGACCCGTCCAAAGACCCCGTCATTCTGTGGCTCCAGGGAGGCCCCGGATGCTCCTCAATGACGGGCTTGCTGTACGAGAACGGACCGTCGTTCATCGATAATGCCACCCTCACGCCCATCCACAACCCCCATTCGTGGAACAACAACGCCACCGTCGTCTATCTGGACCAGCCAGTGGACTCGGGCTTCTCCTGGGGCCAGACCAACAACACCGACACCTCGGCCAAGGGCGCCAAGGAGGTGTATGCGTTCCTCGAGCTCTTTTTCCAGCGATTCCCCCAGTATCCCAAGACTCTCCACGTTGCCGGCGAGTCCTACGCGGGCCACTACATTCCCTCTGTGGGCGCTGAGATTCTACGTCACCCAGAACGGTCTTTTGACCTCAAGTCTGTCGTCATTGGTAACGGACTGGTCGACGTGTTGCAACAGTACAAGGAATACCAACCAATGTTCTGCGGCGGCGGCGGAGTGCCCGCGGTCGTCGGTCCCGAGGTCTGTGATCATCTGGACGACACTCTGGCCGCCTGCAACAAGCTGGTGGAAACTTGCTACAACAACGTCACCAGCGCCAACTGCGTGCCTGTGGGCGGCGAGCTCTGCTCAAACCTGACTCTGCCGTTTTACAACGAGACCCTCAACATCAATCCCTACGACATTACCAAAAAGTGCGAGCCTGCGCTGGACAATGGCTGCTACAACGAATCGGACGGCATGACGCGATGGCTCGAGCTTCCGCGGGTGCTGACCGCCATTGGAGCCGAACATGCCTGGAACGGATGCTCCGACAATGTGTCCGACCTCTTTTACTCCACCGGAGACCCCTTCCGACCCGCCCAGCGAGATGTGACGTTTATGTTGCAGCACGGGCTCCCGGTGCTTATCTACGCCGGAGCCCACGACATTATCTGTAACTGGCTGGGCCAGCGGGCCTGGACTGACGCTCTTCCGTGGCACGGACACTTCAAGTTCCGACTCAAAAAGCTCCGGCCCTGGCATGTGGATGGCAAGGTCGCGGGAGCGGTCAAGAGTCACGCGGGATTCACGTTTCTGCGGATCGAAGACGCGGGTCATATGGTTCCTCATGATCAGCCCAAGCCGGCTTTGGAGATGATTAATCGGTGGATTAGTGGTGATTATTGGTTGGTTGGAGAGAAGCATTAATACGAGGGGTTGTAACTCTGAGCCGGTGTGGTTTGTACTTACTACGAACTCCTGACTCGAGTTGTGGGGTTTGAGAGCGTTTCAGCTTAACCACAAACTGCTTACTCACCACTCGCCAAATTGCTTACCCACCACTCGCCAATTGCTTACTCACCACCTGCCAATTGCTTACTCACCAACTACCGATTACTCACTCACCGACTACCAATTGCTTACTCACCACTCGCACCACCAACCACCAACTACTCCTTTCTATTCTCTTCTGTCAACCATCCTGGAGATGGACTTTGAACACGTTCAAATATTTACTTATTCTACTTTTCTATACTTCTCTACACTTCTACACTTTTTCGCTTCCTGAAGTACTTACTAATAAGTATTTGACCCTTTACTACGGAATGAAAATGACAAAGTACCTGTCTAGACCAGTGCTTGGTGACTGTATTTACAACTAATGTACTCACAACTGATTGTGTTCACAACTGATTGTGTGCCTGTCTATTACGAGTTGTAATGGTCCTTCAGCATAGAGGTCAAGTGTTTGTTAAAAGATGAAATGAACATTCAGTTACAAGTAGTTAAGTACGACTGTACGGGTCACTATTTCGATGATGAGACCAACTCTACCCATACAGTTGACGTGCTTGTCTTATTGCCACATTCAAGTATTCATGCCATCATAGTAATACAAACTCCAGCCATAAACAACTGGAACTGGTATCTTCCTTCATCTGATGGTATCGCTGAGATATCTCTGCTTAATAATCACATTCCAGCGCCCGGACACCACGTGACCGACTCCAACCATCACGTGACTTCAATATTCCAGCTGGGCCGGCATTGGATAGTTGCTTGCGTCGAAAAGTTGATTGCAACTGCATATGGAATGGTGATCCCCCTTTCCGAAGTACAATATTGTACAGAGTAACAGAGCGGAGTATGGACACGATAAACTCATCCGGCAGAAGCCCCATCAAGGGGTACCATCGAACCAATCTGATCTGGCACCATCGAACTGTCCAATCTAACCCTCAGACACTATCGAACTGCTCTTCCCCGAACTACCCTTCTTCCGAACTACCCTTCTTCCGAACTTCTCTTCCACCGAACTTCTCTTCCACCGAACTACTCTTCCACCGAACTACTCTTCCATCACCAAACCAACCTGGTCCATAACTGTTTGTTGATAATAGTTAGCTGGTAAGAAACCAGGGCATCTGATCACAGGCTCAGATCCTCATGTGTTAAAGCTCTCAAGACAAAACTGAGCAAGGTCTACGAGATGAAAGACTGGGTGAGGTGAAGAAATTTCTAAACATGCTTGTGGGGAGGGATGGCAAGAGTGGATCTTTTGCTCATGGTCCTCTCACTCGAGTACTGACGAAGAACTATGGGCTAGAAGAGTCTGCTGCCTTAAGATGGATGCGACTGAAGGTTGACTGTTCAGCAGAGCAGTTAAATGGCTGTATGCAGTTTCAGTATGTACTGTACTGTACTGTATATACTGTACGGTGTGGTACTAGGGCCAGAAGGACTTCGGACAGAGGAGTTCTTGAGCATGCGCTTCCAGGATGGGTAGTCGAGACGAAGTCATTAGGGGTTGTCCAGGATGAGCGACGGACATTACAAATGTCGTTGAGACTTGTCCTCGAGGGCTGTAAGTCGCAGTAATCTTTGCGCTCTCATCAGTAGAAGTGTAGATACCAGTACCATCATCTTTGAGCTTCATGTGGATCCACGAAGAGTGAGGCGCGGTTCTCTCTATTCGGCTCTAGTTATAAGGACCTCATGAAGGACATGATATGAGTGAACTCGAGAACATTATATATGGGGGTGGTAGCTTTGGTAATGGTATCTTTACGGTAACTCGTGATCACATATTGCATCGTTCTCACATTGTCCTAGACTATCTAGACTTTGATCACCAAACTCCTCGTATAACCGGAACAACAAATGTCCGGTTTCCCGTTGCCGCCGTCTCTTTTCAAACTGTTTTTTGCTGATCTTTGAGTAGTCCTGAGAGACCAACTTGCCAGGTTCCATGCTGGAGAACCAATGTAACCATGCCCACCTGGATAAGCCTGCCAATGTCAAGATAAGCCCACCAATGCCAAGAGTCGACGTCTGGCTTGGCGCACTAGGGCTGTTGGTCTGTCTTTGCGAGTGGGTATGTACAAGTGTGGTGCCGGTAGTGTCGATCCCTGGAGCGACGGACGGAAAGGGTGCGAGTAGTGAGACATGGTGATTGATGAGATTTAGTCAGGTATGATCGGAGAAGTCGGCACTCAAATTGATGGAATTAATGGAATTAATGTGATTTAGGGATTTGGAGATCGATCAACCCATGATATCGCCAATTGAATCCCAAATCGAATTCCAAATCGAATCACCAATATCAACTCGCCAATATCAACTCGCCACTGCCAATATCAACTCGCCACTGTCCACGTTCAATCGCTAGCCCGTTCTCTTGTCCCATCGGACTCCTACCATTAGACTCCGTTTCGGCGGCTTTTTTTTGATTGATAATTTTTAAACTCCTTTTTAAACTCAGGTTTAAAGTTCCACCTCCTACAGAAAATAAGGTTCTAGCGAGGTACAGGATTTTTGACTTTGTGTTTGACTTTTTGACTTTCCGACATTTTTGACTTTTTTCGTTTCTTTGGACGAATGCGATATTATAATGGATATTGTAGCAGTGCGAAAGAAGGGAAAGATACGGCTTGTAGACGATTTCTGAACGCGAAAGATGGAAAGACGGAAATTTGGGTTGCCATGAAAACAAGAGGGCGATCGGGCGGTCGGAAAATTCGGAGCAGCACAAATGTCGCGTCCTTTTGTCACCTTTTGGTCACCTTTTTTAGTCACCTTTTTCGTTAGTTCTCCACAAATTTCAGCCTTGTAGTTGAGGGTTCAATTAATAGGGTTACAGCAAGAATGGAGGAAAAACGGATGATGAAATGGATGTTAGAGTGGACGATAGAGTGGATGAAATGGATCGAAATTCATGCTGGAGATTTGAATGGAGTTTCTCAACATCTGTGCAAAATTAATGTCCAATCAGAGCAGTTTCAGACAGTTTTTGAATGACCCTCTTGAGCCGAGGCCAAACCTTGGACGAGTATAGTATGATGATATGATAACTGAAGATTTATGATAACTGGGGATTTATGATAGCTGGGGATTTATGATATTTGAGCTTGTGTCGCAGATGAGACGTGTGGTATTCTTGGACTGAATTCAAGTCTACTGGGTTCAGTAGGAGTACCGCTATCTGGGGGAGTTCTTGCAGCATTGGACCACTGGACCACTTGGAGTGCTTGAAGTGCTTGGACAACTGGACTACTGGACTACTTGCCCACTTCTTGTGCACTGGAGCAGTGGCTCACAACACTCACCCTACTCACACAGTATCATAAATTAATGTATTCATCGTAACTCGTAATTTTACTGTGATCTGAACCAGTCAGACCAATCTGTCTACACCGTCTATATAGTGCCTCCAACAGAGCTCACTCTCTTTACCATCCAAAGGCCTCCTCGTAATAGTCCACTCGGCCGTTAATAACGAGACCCATCTCGGCAGAAACCACTCCTCGCAGAGCGTCGACCATGGTGGCCGGACCGCAGCCCAGAACCGCCACGGAGCCCTCAGCCTCGGTGAAGGTGGCGGTGACCACCTCGGTGAGAACGGGTCGTTTGCCCATGTTGACCAGAGATGCGTAGAGAGGCATTTTGCCCTGAGAACCGGGCACAGGCACCTGCTTGGGGGGATGCTGAATGCCCTTCTCAAGCACCTCTTCGGCCAGGTCGGGGTTGTGTTGATGCAGATGGAGATGGTGGTCCTTTTTGGCCCGCATCACGTCCTTGTCGGCCTCGGCGTTACCCAGATCCTCCTGCGAGTTACCCGAATCGGACTCCTCCTCCTCAATCTTGTCGTTGAAAGAGCCCTTCTCCTCCACTGGAGACGACAGATAGGTAGTGTCTCCGTGGGTCTGCGACACGTAGAGCTCGAGCTGCACGTGTCCGTCCTCCACCAGCTTCTCCAGCCGGTCCGCCATGAGCTCCAGATGAGTAATGTCTCGCACGGTCCACATGAGCTTGACCTTGGCGGGGATGTTTCGGGCGACGATATCTTCGGCGTAGGGGATGACGGCAGTGATTCCAATGCCGCCAGCCACCAGCAGAACGTTGTCGTACAGATCCACGGGTTGGGTGTGGCCGTAGACTCCGTCAATCAGCATCTTCATGTTGGTGTTGCCCTTGGCGATACTCTTGGTGAGTCGTCGAGTCATGCCACCTCTAGCCCGGGCCATGAGCTGAAACGAGCCGTTCTCCGAGGTCATGACTGAAAAGGGATGCGACTCCAACAGACCCATTCGGAAAATGTGGATGAACACGTACTGACCGGGCTTGACAGTCCATCGGCAGGGGGTGTTGATGTCCATCTTGACAACGTCGGAGTCGACCAGCGACATCTGGGCCTCGGTCATAAACACGCTGGAGGACCGGAACCATCGGATGTTAATCCACAGCACCCGCAGTGCCCGAATGAGCCAGTCGGCGGCCCACAGGCCAAAGGCAACATAGACGGGCTCCATGTACTCCAGAGTGGACAGATGGTCGTAGGTGAAGTAGAGAGCGACAATGGCGGCTCCAATGTGGAAAAAGAGAAAGGCCTCGTACCACTTGTGTCGAAACAGACCCGACAGAATCAGACACGCCATGGCCACGGCGGCAACCACGCCTCCCTTGAAGTAGACCTTTACCCATAGATTGGGCCGGATTCCGCCGCTTTTGGCGCCGTCAAACATGTGGTAACACGAGGCGTGAACAATGATCTGAAGATAGGTCACTCGGGCAACCGCTCGATGGAAACACTGGTAGGTAGAGAAGGACCAGCCCGTCAACCACATGAGAAAGTTGTTTCTGAGCGCAAACAGCACGAGCATGGGCAATTGGACCGTGACCTGGATTCCCGCCCGGTCGGCAACGTACTTGAGCAGCTGTTGTCTCTGGGAGCCGAACCGGGCACTTTCGGGATGCACCACTTCGTATCGGGTTGCCAACAGAATGACGGAGCAGGCAAAGTAGAAGAAAATGACAATTGTTTCCCATCGGGTAGGGATGGACATTTCAATGCCGTAGAAGTTGATTCGCTGCATGTGTCTGAATCCGTAGAGAGCGGGCATTTCAATATGACGTTGGTAGGCCCGAACCAGAGCGTTGGGACGCTTCAAAACAGACCGGTTGGCCGATCGCTTCCAGGTGAACCATCGGAAGAGGTTGAGAACCATACAACCAAACGCCAAAAACAGCCAGTAGCCTGTCAGAAAGCCGCCGGTCCATAGACCCGTGTCCTTGTTCTGCATCGACACCTTGGACGACTTGTACATGTGCTGGTAGGCCTTGGGCATGAAGACGACGGGGTGCTCGATGGGCTTTTTAGGCTTGGCCTTGGTGGAGTCGAGCGGTTCGTCCGACTCAGTCACAGCCAGGGCCTTGCTGTAAGAAAGGACCTTGGCCTTCTTACATTTGGACACAATGAACTTGTCGTAGATCTCTTCTTTCCACTCGTCCCGCACGTTTTCGTCCACGGTGATGGCCACGGAGGCGGGGAAAAGCTCCTGCTTGCACGCGCATTTGAGATCTTCGCAGTCACCCCAGAGAGTGTAGCTCTTGAGAAGTCGCGACAGAGTCTCGACCTCCATATCCTTGGGCGACTTCATGGCCAGTGCCACTCCGGCGGCCAGAAGCAGTTTGGAGAGTTGCATTGGAGATTAGCGAGATTTGCGAGATTTGCCAATTGATAGATTGATTAGATGGCGGCAGATGGGTCCGATATATATACACATTGTGTTTCTGTGTGTGATTTACCGTGTCAAAAAGATATCTGAAAGATCTGAAAAAACAAGCCTTTTGCCTTTTTCTTTGTCTACATTCTTTGTATGCACTTTGCTGCACGGTGGGAGAAGGTTGGTGGAGACCCGACAATGCACTAAGAAAATGGTGGGTGGGGTGTTTTGGGGATTTTGGGGGGATTTTGGGGGGATTTTGGGAGGAGTTTAAGCCCGTGAGTTGTTGATTTCCCCCTTTTTATCACTTTCTTCCGCTTTTCTGCGACGTTTTGGGCCATGATTGGCTTTCGCAGCTCCAAGCCAGTCCGGGTCTTGGATTCGGTGGGTTCCACTTTGCCGTCTGCTTGGCAACGCGGGTGCGTTCGTTTTTTTTGTCTTTTGTTTCTCTGTGGTTTGTTAGTGGTTGGTCAGTCGCTTGTTAGTGGTTTCTCATCCTTTCAGTCACTGGTTTCTCACTGGTTTGGCACTAGTTTCTATCACCGGTTTCTCATTGATCTATCACTCCTAGTAACAGCTTTTCGGTCAATTTCTCGGTTCTCTCAGTCTCTCAGTCGGTCCAACCCAATTGAACATGCACGCCAAACTTTTCTCCCTCCAGCCCACTGATCCTTTTGATTTGGCGACGACGAGATTGATTGGCAAGATGTTGATTGATTAATTTGAGTTGAAACAAGCACCAAACCTTCGGCAAAAGGCAGATGAAAAAACGGAGCAGGGAATGGAGACAGACTGGCGTAGAGGTAAAAGGAGGCAGAAGAGGCAGAAGAGGCAGAAGAGGCAGAAGAGGCAGAAGAGGCAGAAGAGGCAGAAGAGGCAGAAGAGGCAGAAGAGACTCAAAAGGAGCAATAGCACACCATTGACATGGCGAAGCAACTCTTGTCTAGGGTTGGCGACAATCACGAAACAGTTCTCTCAACTCCTTAGCTCTATCACCAGCCACTATCGCCTGTCCCTCGCTCCCACACCACACGAAAACTTCTGACCTCTGACTTATTTGTAACATGTTTGCTTTTGCCAAACCTAGCGCCGTGACTCGCTGACGTTGCCGATTTGCAGAATAAAGACTGACTCAAAGACGCAAATAAGCGGTGTCGTGCGACCGTGAAAGGGTGACCCTGCCAACTCAAACCAAGGTAGGGGGTCGAGCTCGGAGACAAGAGTCGACGAGAATCGGGGGGCGAAAAAACCAGGGAAAACGGAACCCATAAAACCGGGGAAAACGCCACGGAATCCTCGCCGGGCTTGTGCAACCGCCAAATTGACCGCCGCCAAGAAAAGGGATCCGCATGCAGACCGAGACATGGGCATGGCGAACTTTGTAGTGGAACCAAGAAGAAGAAAAAACAACCAGCGGTGCATCAATCTTCTTTTTATCACATTGGTAGATCATAGAGTTGGGGTGTAGCAACCGGGAGATTGATTTGATTGTGGTGATAAAGGGATGTAGAAGATGTTGTGGGAGATGAAGTTGATCAAGTTGTGATTGATTATTTTAAAGACTGATTCTTTTGATTGGTTTTACCTTCAACTACAAGTCAACTGCAGCTCAACCACCATCTCCACAACCACCAACCTCCAACCCACGATGCAACATGCACGTACTAGGCCCGTACCGTGCCGTACCACTGGACATCGATCCACTTTTCGATTGGTGTCTCAGCTGGCAACCGTGACTAATGATTATTGGCAACACGATCCGAGGGTCTCACTCCGAAGGACGAATACGGCAGCCTAGTGATGTTAGTGACGTTAGTGACGTTAGTGACGTTCAGTGGCGTGACAAGATGTCAAATCAGAGAAACATGTGTCACTGACACAGATCCGGGTCGTGGCCGACCGTGGCCGACCGTGGCCGACGAAAAGCTTTCTAATCAATCGGCACATTCCATCAGATTGAGACCTGCAGAGACTGTATTGCTTCGTCCAGAACCCGGATAACGGCATGCGCCCTGGATAAAAAGACAAGCACCATGAGTCGGATATGTCGGAGGTCGGAGGTCGGATATTGACATGACATTGGTTCATTGGCATTGGCTCATTGGCTCATTGGCTCGGCTCGCTCTGACAGCCAGCCTCTCTACAGTGCTCTGACACCTTCCCAACGTCCAGCCTTACAATGCCATCAGATAAGCCCAAGACGACCAAACGAGTATCGCAGCCGGTTTTCGTTGGTTTTTTCTTTCGCAGACGCACCCCGGCCTCCTGAACAGTTGCATCAAAGCCCGCGCCCGCAACGCCCGTCCCTTGGTTGGCTGCATTGACTCGTGCCAAGATCCTACCAAGGAGGAGCTACTGTACGTGCACAAGTAGTGCATGTTCAGCCGTGCAATTGAAGAGCAACGTGGAGATGGAGTGATTTGATGGCGAAGGTGAGCTCTTCCGTCCTTTTTTTTCGTCCCATTTCACCAGGTACAAGTATTGTCTTGTATATCTCATACAAGTATTGTCTTGTAGATCTCACTTCGACTGTTTCTGGTCTTCTCTTTGCCTTTGGTGCCTTCTCAGCCAATATCAAAAAAGAAAATGTCACAAATGTCAAATGTTTCAGCAGATGAAGGACAAGCGTATCTCTTCTACACTATGTAGACTCGGCCAAGTACAAAAGTTGGTCAATCACTCGTGCCTCAATGGCTTATCTGCCCTTGCTGCAAACAAAGACTACAAACTACACTAAAAGTGCCAATCAGACCCGCCAAGAGGACCCAGGGGTCCATCCAAACGGACTCGTGCTTCCTTGTCCCCAGTACTCACACTCAGCTTAGTATTAGTTTTATTTTTTCTCTTGTGGTATCATTGTACCGTGAATGCCCAAGACTATACTCAAACGCTCAAACGCTGCAACGGATCGGCCTAGTAATCATACTCATCCTCCTCATCCTCGTAATCCTCCTCGTCAAAGTCGCCGTACGAAGAAGCCGTCTTCTTGACGGTCTTGTCCTCCACCTCCTCCTCAACCTCGGCCTCCTCTTCAGGCTCGGGGGTGGCAACAGGCTTCTCGTCCGTGCTGACGGTCACCACCCGAGTCTGGGTCTGAGTCATGGTGTATGTCGACGTCGAGCCCTCCTCCTCCTCCTCCCCCTCCTCTTCTTCAATGTCGTACTCCACAAACGGAGCCTTGGCCCGCTGCTTCTTCTCGGCAGCTGCCTCCTCGGCAATCTCTTCCGCCGTAGGCTCGTAGAACTCCACTCCCTCGGGAGTCTCATCGGATAAAGTCTCGCCCTTGGCCACCCGCTCCGAATCCTCCATTCGGTGCCGCTCCTGGAAGTAAAAGTCAGACTTGGACCGCAGGCCGTTGAGCGCCTGGGCAGCCTCTCGAGCAAGGTGGTTGGCGGTCTCCTGCACCTCCCGCAGGTATCCGTTGACGTCCTCCATGGGGATTTCACTCTTCTCCATCCGCTCCTTGGCGTCGATGATCGAGTCCTTGACCTGCTTGTATTCCTTCCAGTGCGAGAAGGACTCGGTGTTGACGACCGTCTTGGCTAGCTCCTTGAGCGCAAACTCGGCAAACTCGTCCAGCACCTCCAGAGTGTTGAGCCGCACTTTTTCGGTTCGATCAATGACAGTCTGGGCGAGCTCAGACGCGAGCTCACGCACGTCCATGGCGCCTTCTCGTAACAGATCAGCCTGAGTCTTGAAGGTGGCCTGAACGTCCGAGGGCTCTACTCGGATCTGGGTACCAACAATGTCCTCATCGTACTCATCCTCAATGCCCTCCTCCTCGGCAGCCTTTTTTCGCTCGGCAACGGGGCCGTACTTAGCATTGAACTCCTTGCGGAATCGGTGGGGGATGATATCGGCCACCACCTTGTCGATGGTAATGTAGGCGCTCTGGGCCACGTCAGACAGATGCTGCAGCTTCTCGGTGAACTGGGGCTCCAACAGCCGCAGCAGACGGGCCTTCTCGGCGTTGACCTCCTCGTTGAGAGACAGCTGGGCCTCCTCGAGCTGCTTGGTCACCTTCTTCTTCCAGTACTGAAGGGCAGACTCCGCGGGGTCCTTTTCCTCGGGAGCTCCGGGCCACTTGAACGGCGTGATCTTCTCCTCGTCAGCATCTTCCGTAGCGGTGGCAGTCTCCTCCAGCTCTTCGACGGGAGTGGCCAGAAGGGTATCAGCAGCAGAAGTCTCGGAGGTGGTGTCAACGGAGGTAGAAACGGAAGAAGACACCTCGGCGGCGGTATCGGTAGGGTTCTCGACGCCAATGATCACGGTTCCGGCGGTGGAAACAATGGTCTGGCTCTTGTGTCGGTACAGAGAGACTCGTTCTCGGATCTTGACCAGCTGAGGCTCCACGTTCTTGTCCCAAACCTCCTGAATCTTGGGCGTGATCACAGCGTAGCCCCGTGAAATGACGCTCTCAATGTGGTAGTAGAGCTGGAGCGAGTATGCCTTGGCTCGGGGACACACGTGCGAATGCAGATATCTGACTGCTCGATCACAATGGGGTTCCAACTTGACCAGCACGGGCTGAACGTGATTCATGTAGACGGTCAGGCTGATGATTCGCGCCCGTTCGTACTGCTGATTGGCATATTGCATCACATGGTTGTAGTGCTGGGTCACAACCTGATGGTGCTCCTTGGCATGAGTATCGTACAGCTCCTCGGCCTTTGCACAAGCCGTGTCGACGTGGGGAGCCAGGAACCGGTTGTACACTGCTCGCGCCGCACGTCCGACCCGCTGGCCAGCAGGCACCACGTAGTTGTTGTTGAGCTCGACGGTTTTTGTGCAATAGGGACGGGCCAGCATCACGTAGGGCTCGGCGTAGGTGTCATAGTAGGGCTTGACGACGGGCTCAATTCGCTGGATACCGCAATGCAGCGGGCCACAGAGCGCGGGGCTGTTTGTGTTGAGCTCGGAGCCGTAGGGGCACTTCCAGTAGAGCAGGAAGACGGCGTACCAGAAGAGCGCCCGCAGCGCCAGTCGAGTGGTTCTGCAGGGGGAGCATGTGGTTTTTGCGGCGGGTTTTCGCTTGCGTTGGGCGGTCTGGGACGATTGCGGCTCGGAGGCCGTTTCCCAGGGCTTTTCCACCTTGTCTGCGGATTTGGCCATTGTTTTAAAGTGGCAATATGATGGTGCAGGAACGAGGTGCGTCGAGAAAAGTGGTGATGGAGGGGTGGTGCCAATTAGGTTGGAGCTAGATACCGAGGGGGAGACGAGGGAAATGTGACTGAAAGTGGGTCGTTAGAGATTGGAAAAGAATTGTGAAATGACAAGATTGATCGGAGGAATAAGGAGAATATATATAGGTTTTGAACGGCCCAAAAATCCCCACTTTGACACCATTTCCACTTTAACAGCAATACTAACCACCTTGCAATTTACCTAATAAATAAAATAATGATAAAATATCTGACATGTGACTGAACATTTAGATGTATCCAGACACATGGTGGAGGACGGAAAAAAAGACCACGGATCACGTGATACACGTAAACCCAGAGTGGCGTGCGGTTTTGGGCGAGTCACGTGACCGATAATCTCTTCCCCCCGCTACTTCCCCGCAGCTGCCCACTCTGGTGAGGTGAAGTGCTTGCACTCACTCATAAATGTAGCGAGTATTTCGGCGTCGTCGTCATGTGACCACGCACGTGATCTGGCATATATATGACGAGTCACGTGACATTGCACATTACGCCGTGCTCACCTCCTCCTCATCTTCTTTTGCTCATAACCTGACTCGTACTCACTCGATCCGGTATCTCATCACCTGCCTGCTTCTGACAATTTCCATCACCCTAACCCTGAACAAAAAAACCATTCGGGTGGTCACGGGACCAGCCGTGCTGAAAATACGTATACTTAGTAAGCAGATTTCATGGGCCTCATGGAGCGTTTTGGGGGAGGTTTATGGGGGTGTTTATGGCCGGTTAAAGACGGCTAAAGACGGCTTTTTTACGCCCAAAAAGGAAACTGTTGCCTCCTCTTTCTCCACTCGTGACCTCTGGACCCTCCACTCGGGCTGTATTTCGATTTGTCGTCTCACAATGGCCATTAGTCACAAGCTCTTTGGCTGAACTTTTACTGGTACAGTAAGCATGATGAGCAAGCAAGATGAAAAAAGGTGCAGCATTGAGGTGGGCGGGTCACGTGAGCTGGGAAAAAATGAGGGCGGCGAGAAGGGTAATTGTTGGGGACACAAAGTAATTGAGCTTACTAAGCGGTCCTCCGCCTGCAATGGGGTTATAGGTGTTCAGTTTTGTTTGTTGGTGGGAGCAAATGACCGTTTGATCAAAGCCAGTTGAGACTGTCGATTGGTTGAATCCAACGCAGCAGTGGGGAACAATTGAGAGTGGGAGCGGCGGGGGCACGAGAGGAGGAACACAGATGTTTATATAGATGGGTGGGAAGTGACACAGAGCGGTGGGGTCCGGAAAACCCGGCGCCAAAACCGGCAATGTCGCTCGTTTTTTTGTTGACCTGGACTCAACCATGCCTGTCAGTAAACACTCCTTGTATAGAGTACCTCGATATATGAGTGCGTGCCAAAATATACGCAGGGCAAATCAGGCAACCCTTTTTCCACACAACCTTAGTTTAGGCACAGTCACAAAGCTACGGTTCCAGGTACTTACTTGTTGTTGCACAAGAGAACCATCCGCCGTACCGCAAGACAAAGTACACACTCTACTCACACTCCATCCCCACAACCATGTCATTCTGGCGTATGGGATCCGGCTTTTCGTCGGTCAGTGTGATTGACAAGATTCTGGACAACCCAGACCACACGTTGCACGAGCTTCTGGAGGAGCCCGACCTGCTCCAGGAGGTGCTCAACTCCAACGCCAAGCTCACCGAGTATCTGCGACGAGACGATATTCTGGAGGAGCTGGTTCAGCTGGTCAAGGGGTCTCCGGAGAGCTCAAAAGAGGAGGGTCAGGGCGAAGGTGAGGGCGAGAACGAGGGCTTCGACGACAAGAAGCCCAATTCTGAGGAAGATAAGGACAAGAAGGACGACTGTGATAACGACAATGACGTGGAAATGGCAGATTCGGACGACAAGGAGCAACCTAAGGAGGAGGAGGAACCGAAGCAGGGAGAGCAAGCGACCGACGCAGCAGACCCCGACAAAGACGACGAGGACTCGGACACGTCGTTCGATTCCACATCGTCAGACCCCTCCAAGTACAAGCTCGAGGAGGAGGACCAGCAGCACTACGCGTCGGTGGCCTCTGAAATCCTGTCTGCCGAGGTCTGGTCACTGACAGAGGCGCTCATGGAGCGGGAGGAGCTGGTGCAGCAGATCTGGGAGATCCTGGACTACCCGGCCCCGCTGTCCATGAACCAGGCACAGTTCTTCACGAAAATCTCGGAGCATCTGCTGGACAAAAAAACAGACGATATGATTGCATTCATCAAGCGGCAGTCCAACTTTGTCGAGCGATTCATGCGCCACATTGACGACCCGCCACTCATGGACTTTCTGCTCAAGGTCATTTCCACCGACAAGGCCGACAACTCCACGGGCATCATCGACTTCCTGCAGAAACAGCGCCTGATCCCGTCGCTCATTGCCTTTCTAGGGCCCGACGTGCCGTCCTACATCCAGTCTGCCGCGGGCGACTTTGTCAAAGCGTTTGTAACCATGTCGGCCAACTCAAACTCGGACAACTCCACTATTGGCCCCAACGAGCTGTCTAGAGAGCTTGTTTCAGAGCCTGTCGTGCGCGAGTTTGTGCGACTCATGCTGTTTGGAGGCACCGGCCTTGCTACCGGCGTGGGCATCATCATTGAGATCATCCGAAAGAATAACTCCGATTATGACTACATGCCTGTGTTGTTCATTACCATGAAAACACACCCTCCGGGACCTCGAGACCCCATCTATCTCGGCACGCTGGTGCGCATCTTTTCGCAGCACATTCCCGAGTTCCAGGCCATGCTCACCCGTCCCAGCAATAAGACGCTCAAGACCCCCATTGGCGACATTGAGCCACTGGGCTTTGAGCGGTTTAAGATCTGCGAGCTGGTGGCAGAGTTGCTGCACTGTTCTAACATGACACTGCTCAATGATCCCAAGGGCGAGACCATTGTTGCCGAGCGAGATGCCGAGCGAGAGCGAGTCAAACAGGTCATCGCCAAGGCAAACGAGGACGGTGGCGACATTGACTTTGCCCGTCTTTCAGTGTCCAACGAGGACGAGGAGAACGAGGAGCAAAACGAGGAGGAAGAAGGCGAGGCTGCCAAGGCTGACGCCGAAGAGGCCAAGGCTGATTCAGCCGAAACCAAGGCCGAGTCCGAGGCAGTCGAAACCGAAGACAAGGACGACTCGCTGGAGGCAATCGAGGCAGCCCTGCGCAAGGACCCCGTGGTGGGCGATCTGCTGAAAATCTCACTGGTGGACAACGACGTCATTGTCACGATTCTCAACATGTTCATGAAGTTCCCTTGGAACAACTTTCTGCATAACGTGGTGTTTGACATTGTGCAGCAGATTCTCAACGGCCCCATGGGTGACGGCTTCAATCGGTTCCTGGCCATCAATCTGTTTGATAAGGGCCAGCTAACCCAGCTCATTGTGGACGGCCAGCAGCGGTGCGACGAGTACGAGACCGAGCACGGTACCCGAATCGGTTACATGGGCCACTTGACGCTCATTTCCGAGGAGGTGGTCAAGTTCACGGCGGTGTTTACCCCCGAGTCTATCTCTCCGGTGGTGGCTGCCGCCGTCACGGTCCCTGAGTGGATCATGTACGTGGCCCACACGCTGGTCAAGACCCGGGAACAACACAATGCTCTGCTTGGCGGAGCTCGGCCGGACCACAACTCTGTGGCGCACAATCCCGACGCCATTATTCTTGGCGACGGAGCTGGCAACGAGCTCGGTGAAGAGGAGGCAGAGGACGACGAGCGAGATGGCGGAGTGGTGGACGTCGACGAGGACGCCAAGGAGGACAACCCCGACCAGTTTTCGCGATACATGAGTCAGCAGATCACTGGCGACATGCCCGACCGGTTCGGCTCATCCGACGAGGACGATGAGGACGACGTCTGGGAGGAACGCAAGTTCTCCAACGATCTCAAACCGTTCCACACCTCGAACAAGAAGGAGTCTTCGGACGAGGACTCCGATGTGTCTGAGGGTGAACCAGAGGTTGAGATTGAGCAGGAGGTCGAGGTCGAGGGAGCTGACAAGGACGCAGCATTACGTTCGAGCAAGGAGGATAGCCAAAAGTCTGACGGAGACGCAAATGAGGAACCTGAGAAATCGGAGGATGCATAAATAATGATGTAATGAGATTGGAAGTTTTGACAGATCCGAGCTCAGGGAGGGTCTGTACATTGTAGAAGATCGATGACAGATCCGAGAACCGCGAGGGTCTGTACATTAGAAGACTGATGACGCAGCGATGGTCTGATATTAGAAGACCGAAGTATGCGTATGTACTATTGAATCAAGAGACGGAGAGAGATTCAAAACTCCGATCTCCCCAATCTCCTGCGCTGTTAGTCTAAAAACATTAATTATACACTACATGGGCCAAGCGACACGGTTCACTTACGTCGACGTCCTCCGACCTTGGTGGCGGCCTTGGGCTTGGGCCTTTCCCGCTCCTCCTTGGCCTCTTTTTCTTGCTGGATCTTGGCCTCCTCGGCCTTCTCGGCGGCAGACTTGGGCTTGACAAGATTGAAGAGAGCCACGGGCAGAGTGACCCACAGAGAGTCCTTGATGCCGGGCATCTCCACCCCCTGGGAAGAGATGGGGTGCTCAATGTTGTTGTCAGTGTCCACCAGATGGATCTCACCGGTGTTGTAGTAGCAGTACTGCCGACCGTCTACAATCACGTCTGTGGTGGCAGGCAGTCGGACTCCGTTCTTTCGGCTGGCCTCCTTGCGCACCTCTCGCTCCACCCGTTCAATGGTAGACTTGATCTTCTTGGCGTTGAGGTACTTGACCACGTAGGAGCCCAGGCCGATCAAAAAGTAGAGCACAAAGAGCGCAAAGCCCACGCCGGGCTTGAATCGCTTGAACACAAACTCGCCGTTTTCGCCCTCCCGAGGGAATCCGTTCTTGAGGTAGAAGTCGTATCGTTTTCGCAGGTCCTTGTTGATGAGAATTTTGTACACCAGACCTAGCCGGGTGAATCGATCTGTGGCTCCAGGCACCTTTCGGTTCTTGTCGGGGTGCAATTGTCGCGACAGTTTTCGGTAGCTCTTGGTCACCTCGTCCACAGACGCCTTTCGCTCCGTGTCCAGCCACTGGTAGAAGCTGACCGGCTTGGAGTTGTCGGGGTTGAGGTCCTTCTGGACCGCCAGGTTGAGATCGAAAATCTCGCGGTCCTCCTTGGACCACTGGTTGCCGCCCTGGGCAAACACCAGTGCAAACAGTGTCACCAGGAAGATGATGGAGAACTTCATGGTCGGGATGATGGAGGTGATGTCAACCGCTTCACTAGGACACTCGTACTTTACTTTGCACACACCCTGTTACGTGGCTCATGCAAAGTTTATGCACCTGGGCCGGTGACACGTACAAGAACTGGCACTGTAAACACGACCAGTCGACACCGGAGTGCATAAGACGGAAGGAAAAAAAGAAGAGAAAAAACGGGACTCGACTTGTTTATATATTTTAGACATCCGTTTTGTGTCCCCACCACACCGCGCTGTATGTTGTGGGATACGCGGAACACGAACTTTTGACGGCGCCGAACGAGCTAAACTAGTCTGGTTGGAGACTGGATCGGCGTACACTGTAGTATTGCGGTGTTGACGGATTTATGTACTTGGACGAAGGAATCTGGGGCAAGAGGAGGACCATATTGGCAGTGTTTAGAACGATTGAGACGGTGTTTTTTCGTCGGTGAACTTTTTTGTCAGTTTTTTCTATCGGTTCTTTCTTGGCCTGTTTGATGGAAAGTGTCCTGTTTTTCATTCGTATGATTCATTGAAAGTGCCTATGTCGGAATGTGTTGAGTGGCCTTTCTGTCGAGTAAATGGCAAGACAGGTACGAGTATGAGCACTGGTGCGGTAGAATGGTCAGAAGAAAACAATCAACTCGGGTATTTCACGATATATAACGTATTTGTAGCTGTGTTACCGCACACACTGTACATACTTGTACATCATCATGAGAAACCCATTGGCGTCGGTTGAAGAACTCAAAAACACAATACTCGAGTAAAAATACAATACTCGAGTAAAAATACAATACTCGTAAGTAAAAATACAATACTCGTGAGTAAAAATACAATACCTGCAAGCAAAAATACAACACTTACGAGCAAAAAAATCATACTTGCGAGCCTTGTCTCGTGACTGACAATTGATTTTTCGCATCTCTCTCATCTCGCCTCAGTTCAATGATAGAAGCCAACTGTTCTAGATGCCTGCGATTACAAGTGCAGTATGCTCAATACGTCAAAGAACACAGCTTGAATACACAATTAATGGTGAGAAAAACTTGTGGAGTTGACAGATTCCATTCAAACTGTTGAAACTACTTGTTTGTTCACTCTTCAGCTCGATCAGACTCTGTTCTCCACTTTTTCTCGGCCCCTTCCCATAAACACCCAAAACAACCGTTCTAACAGAACAATAAATTACCAAATACAAGTGCAAGTACTTGTACAAGCACGAAACAACAAACGAATCTCGTGCTAGACCTTCTTTTCCACCTCGAGCACGTTGGACATGATGTCTGTGTTAACCGGGGTGGTGGGTGAGTCCAGACTGTCCAGGGCCTTGAACGAAGTCACCGACACTGTCACAGGTTCGCCCATGTTATCGAAAGGAAGAGTCTTATCTGAGGACTTGGAGAACCACGAGAACCGATTTCGACGGCGAGGTTTCTCTCGAAACAGCCTCTCGTCTGGGGGAGCGTATCTGTTGCGCGATCTGAGCTCAGCAACCCCGGGAATCTCCTCCTTCTGGAAGGTGAGTTTTCGGATGACAGAGGTGTACATTACGAGAGCGTCTTTTCCAGTCCCAAAGAAAATGAAGGTGAGCAGACTGATGGGCAGGTAGATCCACAACCACCAGGAAATCCGGTCGCTGTCGATGCGGTAGATTTCGTCGTCCCACAGCGACGTATGTCTGTAGTCGTATAGCGAGTATGGTTGCCAGATCATCTGGGTCAGGTCGATGACAAAGACGGTGAGATTGACGGGCAGCACTATCATGATCACTCCAATGGCATGAAGCAACAGCCGGGTGAACCGCGACGTATTCAGACCCGTGTTAGATGTTGCCAGAATGTCCCTAAAGTCCTTTCGCTTCTTGTAGACTCTGTAGATACACAGCGTGGCGTAGATGAAGGCAATGATCCCCAGAAGCGGTCTGCGCAGCTGGTAGATGATAAACATGACCCAGGATTCGCCAAACAGCGCAATGCAGCCCTGGTACTTGACTAGAGCGTATGGACCCACGTCAAGAAGGACGGTGAGGGCCATAAACAGGATGGGGAAGCCCCAGCAGATGAGAAGCTCGGCCGTGACCGTTTTCCAGCTCCGGACAGGGCCTCCACCGTCTCTCAGAATGAGACAGAGAGCCCTGATGGTGGCTATTGAGCAGCACATGATGATTGTATCAAGGGCACTGAGAACCCGCACGGCTAGCTGGCAGTAGCCCCAGCCGTCCCACACAGTTTCAAAGTCGTCTCCTCCCCACACCGAGGCGTTGATGAGCATCATGAGCTGGCCCACAAAGAGCGTGAAGAAGAGCGACAGAGCCATGTAGTTGCGTCGTTTGATGTGCCATGCCGTGGGGGCAATTTGGCAGAGAATTCCCAGAATATTGACCGCCTGAAGCGTTTTTTGCAGGCTCATTTGAGATATTTCACAGTCAGCGATTTCCGACTTTCAGCGAGTGGAATCGGTCTTTGAATCGTTCTTGAAACGCCTCCACCACGCTCCTGGTAGCCATATATACACCATGGTGTGGCAAAAGTGACATAATTAGATGCCAGATGGTCGTCTTCAGAATTGCCCCCTTTGGACACCATACATTGCTGGGGAGAGTGTAGATGTGAAATATTACTGTTTTAGGATACTATACAGACAAGCGCAACTATACCAGGTACGCGTCGGTACGTCGATACCCCTTGAGAGGTATCTTGTTTGTGGCTGGTCCTGGAGAGGAGCTTCTGGGGTCGAGGCGGTTTTCTCCACGACTTTCGGTATAGTGTCTCAGTTTTACTTGGCTTTACTGGAGCTTACTTGGTTTTACTGGAGCTTACTTGACTTTAGGGGAGTTTATGTGATTTTACTTGACTTTACGTGAATTTTACTTCACCTATTTGTTGATAATTTAATATAGGTTGACGTATTTCAGCATCTCTGCATCTCCGTCTCCACATCTCCGTCTCCGCATCTTCAGCCACAAGTTTGCATCTATTCTGTACATTACATATAGATCAAATACGATATTGAAATTAATTAATTCGAGTATCCAGTCTAGCAGTTATCTGATGTGTAACTAGTGGAGTCAGAAGGCCGACTGAAGAAAATAAAAGTGGGTTGTTGTACATCCTGTAGGTACGAATACATACTCATGCTACAAGTGCGTATTACTTATCCGGTGCTTGTACTGACCACATTGAACACTTGCCACAGTCTCACTCCCTTCTGTCGGTCACTCCCACAATGTTCATCCGAGAAAGAAACATAAGTAGATGACCAGATAAGTCCATTTCTCAACTCTCCATAACATAGTCAGACTATCACTTCATGAGAACCCGAAATGATGAATAGTCCAAAGTGCTAGTTAAAGTCCGTTTGTTTTCATTCAGGAACCCAGGGGAGGTGAAATGGCACTCAATTGAGTCGATCCAACCATCCTTCAACCATCTTCCACCTTCCCAACCCCCATTATCAACCCCCTGCTCCAAATCCATCCTCTCTCAATAAACTCTCGCACCAACTGCATGTCCCAACAAATCTCCAAACCTCCTACAAGTACAGTACATACTACAAGTAGCCAACTCCCCAGCATTCACACCGCCCTCTACGACAATGGCATCGGCTCTGGTAACCAAGTACCTCACGCTGTACAACAGCATTTCGACCTTTCTGTGGTTTGCCGTTCTGGCACGGCTTCTGATTCTGCTGCCTCTGGTGGGATACGATTACGTGTCTGGGGGTCTGCGGGACTTCCTCATTGGAGTCCAGACTCTGGCAGGCCTGGAGATCTTCCACTCGCTGTTCGGCCTGGTGCGATCGCCCCTGCAGACCACCGTGATGCAAATCTTCTCGCGATTTGCCCTCGTGTGGGGCGTGCTGTACCAGTACCCCCAGACCGGCACTGACATCTTCTTCACCTTCATGGTGATTGCGTGGTCCGTGACCGAGGTGATCCGATACTCCTTCTACGCGCTTAACCTAGCTGGCTGGGGCGTCCCCGACTGGCACCAGTGGATCCGATACAACTTCTTCCTGGTGCTGTACCCTCTGGGTGTGTCTGGCGAGATGAAGCTCATGTGGAACGCCATTGCCTACGCCCGAACCGAGCAGCCCTACTTTGCTCTCTTCCTCAAGGCCGCCATGGTCATCTGGCCCATTGGACTCTACATTCTCTATTCCCACATGCTCAAGCAGCGATCCAAGCATTACCGACAGGTTATCAAGAAGGACAGATAAGCTGAGATGGACTAGTGTGATTGGATATAGTCTGATATATTCTTCCTCTGCAAGTTGCACAAGTTGGTACGTGTCTTTGGTGCATCTTTCGTAGTTCAACCGGGCTCTCTTCACAGTTGTATAGCCCCTGAGAGCGGTAGTGCGTAAACATTGGTGATTCGACGGCAAATCGAATAGCTTGGAGGAAGTGCCTAAATGACTGTGACAATTATACCTCATTTCTTCAATAGTCTGAAAGAAAACGATTGCTTTCACCACTGGATTCGTTCCTTACCTCGGTCTGTCGTAATTGCTAGAACAATTCACCCTGAATATGTGTCAAACACACGCGAGACGAGTCGACTCTAAGAATCGCCATATACAAATTATCACACCGCCTTCTCTCTCTACTTGTAGCTCTCCTCGTTCCAAATGACCACTCCCCAAACCCACAAGTGCGATTACTAATCATGCAAAGTTTGATAATAATGCACATACTGTACCCCAGACTCTTCTTCTCTTACACACCCCGAGCTTTGAACCGACTAAAATGCTGCGACTAGTGCGATCTTCCCGAGCGTTCCACACCTCTCTCATCAGAGCCGGAACCCAGGCCAACATCAACCCTGTGGCCGGCAAGACCGCCGACGAGGTGGACGTGAAGATCGAGCCCATTCCCCGACACGGAGAGGAGACTGAGACCAAGCGAGCCCGTCTGCTGTACCAGAGCCGAAAGCGAGGCATTCTCGAAACCGACCTGCTGCTGTCGCGATACGCCAAGCTGTATCTCAAGGACATGACCCGGGAGGAGCTGGAGGAGTACGACAAGCTGCTGGATGAGCCCGACTGGGACATTTTCTACTGGGCCACCCGAAACGACAACATCAAGCCCTGTCCCGAGCGATGGGCCAAGAGCCCGGTCATGGAGAAGCTCCGAGAGCTGGCCGAGAACAAGGAGCGGGAGGTGCTGCGAATGCCCGATTTGTAATTTGTGTGATTGTGATCGAAACGAAACAATTTTGCAATTGCAGATGTGATCCTTGCAAAGAGCTTACTGAGGAAGGTTCCTTTCCCCCTTTCTGACCCATTAAAGAAGCTGTTGGTGTTTTCTGCGAGCGCCTGCCTTCTCTATATGATGACAAGTGTATATATGAATAAACCATTGATGAGTATGAGTATGAGGAGAAGGGGGTGGAAGGAGTTGAAGCTGCGGATCTCGAATTGAGACGGGTGAAACAAGTTCAAGAAACGGTCACACTTGGGTTCGTAGCTCGGGTAGCTCGGTTGGACGAGAAATTTGGTCTGGAAACGAAAAGGCGGTTTCACTCGTAGCAGGAGTTCAACAGGTAAGCTGTCTTCTCTACTGAACAGCTCAGAATGAAAGCCCCCGTAGTCTAACATACTTCGGTTTTCGGTGCCATTAGTATGTCTTTGGGGTGTTCCATCGTACATTCAAGGTCCTTTTCAACACCTGATATCAACCTGTCACCTCAATTGGTGTTTGAACACAACTCCCATATCATAGAAGATTCCAGACTCTCCAAATAGAAGAGGAATTGACTCAGAGACTTGATGTTCCTCATTTTCTCCATCCACTTACCCAATCTCTCCTCAGGTATGTACTATATTCGCGCCATAACGACCCTTCTGGTCAGGAACCATCGAAACTGCTGATCAATGGAGATAATGTGAACTTGCTGAGATATAAAAGCGTCGGAGCAAGTATCCCACGTTACCAGAGCCTCGTTTTATTCCACCAAATAAGTCATATCGTAATTGTGCTGTAATCGGGTTTCAACACTCTTTTGACCTCACACTTTGAAACCCCAACTACATCACACTCCTCTAAAGTAAAAGTCAACTGTACTCCCAACTATAGAATACGCCTTCTTTTCACTAAAACAAAAATATCTAGAAATATTAGTACTACAAAAGACACTTTTTTTTATATTTTTGTTTAAAATACACTGCCAATACATCCATTAACTCCCTTATAAGATCACTTGCGTTCACAGAACACTGAAATAGTTACCACCAGCACAACTCATCATTCAACTATCTCCCAACTAACGCCAAATAACCCCACTGGAAACACTTACTTGGAAGAGAACCTATTATCTCGTCAACTCCAACCAAACAGAACGACGATCTACTCTGAAGTACATACGCAGCAGACATTAAAGCACCTCCAATAGTCTCTAGCTGTAATAAAACCTCTTTTACACCCCAAAACTATGGTCTGAACCCTCTCAAGTCGCTCATTCTCACTCTCACCTGTAAACCATCGTCTAAATATACTCCATCTTCCAACCCCATCTACCATCGGCCTACTGAGTGAATATCAATCACATAAGCACTAATTCAACCCCTCTCATCTTCATGTCTCACATTACAACGGCTTCAACGTTTTTTTTCCCCTCCCCGTTTTCGCCATCGCTATTACCCCAACTCCTGGTAGCGTTTGCCTGCGGTGATATAACCACACCACTCTTGGAAGCTATAATCACTCATGCCCTCCAAATCCGCACTAATAGACAGGTCCGGACCAGAAAAAGAAATCATCAAATGCAACCAGTGAAGTCACATTGTAATCCCAAATTCCAAATCCCATCCCATCCAACGCCCACTACAGCCGCGGCAGTTAGCTGCTCGATCAATAACTTATCTAATACACTAGTTGTACGTCTAATACTCTTCCTCCTGCTTGACCACCACCTGGTCCGGCGATAGGTCATCCTTAATCCCCAATCTGGCCAGAGCCAGCTCTGCCGACGACGTCTCCAGCTTGGTCTCGGGAATGCCTAGCTGCCGCTCCAGAATGTTGAGCCGCTCATACATGTCGATTTCCCGCTGATTCTGCTCGTCGATGACCGTCTGCAGCTTCTTGATGTACTCAACACTCTTGATCAGAATGGTGCCCTTATTAGGACGTCCATCTTTGGTCCCAGGGGTCTGCGACGGCGGTGGCGAGCCCATAGGACCCAGCGACGGAGACCCGCCGATTATTGGCTCGTTGAGAAAGTTTTCGGGAATGAGTGTCGACAGCTCCTGGATGCGGTCGTTGATGTTGTCGCGTCGTCGGCGCTCGACGGCGTTATGGGACTCGCGCCGCTTACGCTTGCGCTCTGCCGCCGCAAGCAACTGCTGCTGCTTCTCGTCCAGCGACCTCGAAATGACGCCCTTGGACAGCGGCGAGCGCGCGTAAGGAGAGAGCGCGCGGTGCTCGAGCGACGAACCGTACGACGACGGCGAGCCAAACTGGTCGGCAAAATTGACCTGGCGACGTGACGCTCCCGAGGACGTGGGTACGGGGATGTTGGTGGGCGAGCCGTAGGGCGTAGTGTCGGGGGACAGCGACGAGCCCATCTGCTGCTGTTGCACGGGGACCATGCCCATATTGGAGATTCCCGCGGACGAGTTGCGGGAGTGGGACGCGGAAGTGGGGTAATACGACGCGTTAAGCTGTGGACTGTCGGTCAAATTAGTGTTGTTGTTGCTGTTGCCCATACTGACATCGTTGCTGTTATTGTTGTTGTTGTTGTTGTTGTTGACATTGAGATTGTTGTTGTTGTTGTTGTTCACATTCAGATTGTTGTTGTTGCTGGTATTGCTGCCTGTGTTGGAATTGGTATTTGGCCTCATCTGGGAAGGCAGCTGGATACCGTCCATGTTGTTGACATAGCGTCCAATCATATACTCGTCAAACGGGCTGGAGGACTCGGGAATGGGCGGCGTGATGCCGTATTGCAGCTGTGTCTCTGGCGGATACATGTTGTTGGAGCTGTTACCGGTCTGCGGAATGTACTGGCCGCGGTTGGACGACTCCGGCGACATGTCGTCTAGGTCCAGTAGGTCGTCCGGCACTGTTCCCATCTGTTCCAGGTCGTCGTAGTTGATTCCGCCCTGCAGCACTTGGCGCGATAGCAGCGAGCCGTACTCGGGCGAGCCCACCGTCTGCGAAAAGTGCAGCTCGTTGAGCGTGTCGTCTGTGTATTTGTCGTTGGGGTTCATAATCCCTCAGTGGCGGCGGTGGAGATAGCACTGGCGCGGGCGAGTGGGGAGAGTGTGGTGGCGAATTGGCCGGGTCGCGTGGTTTGTGGCGAGTGTGGGACTCCGTGGAGGATGTCGGCGAGGCGGATAGCAGACGCTCAATGACTCTAAAGGTGAACCGGGCTGCGAGTCGTGGAGAGAGAGAGAGAAGAGAGTTGTGCGTGTGCAAACTGAGTGTGGAGGATACAGTATCCGTACAGGTTGGAAGCACACTAATAAAAGTTAGAGTTGGTGGGGCCGAGAAATATATTAGTGGCGTTGCGGAGAAGAGCAAGACCAACAGGAAGAAGGAGCCCGTAAAGCCGTTACCTCCGGCTCAAGCAATACGGCTGGGCTGTCGGTGTGACAATGCCACAGACGTGGGTGGTGGAGGGGTATGGAGTTGATTGAGTGTGGTGAGAAAAAGCAAGATGCGAAAAACAATGCTTTAGGGGAGGTGAGGCATATATCTGTCTGTCGGTCTGAGTGTCGGTCTGAGTGTCGGTCAGTCAGTCAGTCAGTCAGTCAGTCAGTCAGTCAGTGTGTCTGTGTCTGTGCCTATGTTTGTCTGACAGAATTCCGCCTTGTCGTTGTTCAAAATAAAACCCTCTCTTTGAAGACCCTGCGTGGTGGATGCTCACTAAAATGGAAGTGACTCAGCCCAAAGGGGATGGATGGGCGGCGGAGTGAGTGGGTAGTGCGTGGGTGGTGGTGAGCACAGGGCGTTGGTGGTGAGTAATGGTGGTGAGTAGTGGTGGTGAGTAGATTTTTCAACGTGAAGTAACGTAGAATAGCTATAGATGATGTCTTAGCTATCTGTTGCTACGACGGTTATCTGACTAAGCAATCTGCAAATCCCCCGGAGATAGAGCTTTGTCTGGTGTCTAGGCGTCTAGGTGTCTAGGCGTCTAGGTGTCAAGGCAAGGTGTCAAGGCAAGGTGTCAAGGCAAGGTGTCAAGGCAAGGTGTCAAGGCAGGGTGTCAATAAGCCGGTGTTCGATATTCAATCACTCGTCAATCACTCTCAATGGTTTCCTGTGCCCAAATATTATCGAGCTGGACCCCTTAATATAATCAGACGAGAGAGGCGGGGTGCTCACATGGACCACAAGGTAATCTCCTTTTTTTCCCTCTCTTTGGCTCTTTTCCCGTCCCTAGCCTCTGCTTCTTCCTTCCCTCGCTCTTCCTTTTCTCTCTACCGGCCTTGTCCTCTTGTTAATGTCTTTATCCTGGTTTTCTTCTTTCGTTTTTTGTTTGTCGTTTTTTATATATACTTGTAGCTATATATTATATTAAAACAAGATATAAAATACAGTGTTGCGATATTGATTTTGCACCTGCTTCAGCCCTGCTCGAGGTCTTTGTTGGGGACAAATGGCCTCGATAGCAACAATAGCCGCAACAATAGCCGCAACAATAGCCGCAACAATAGCCGCAACAATAGCCGCAAAATAGTCGCAACAATCAGCAACAACCAGACACGCCATCGACGGCATATCTACGACGTATGATACTCGTAGACACTCATAGTACAATTGTCTGACACTCGTACCCCTGGCTTCAGATGAATGTGGTCTAAACAAAACACCAAACCATGTTTGGCCGTAGCCGCAAATAATATCACACGAGGGTGGTTCAAATAGCGGCGTTTTGCGTTTTTCGTTTGTTCATTTCTCCTGTTCATTGGCTCGTTCGTTCATTGTTCGTTTGTCCGTTTGTCCGTTTGTCCGGTTTGTCGATTCCGTTTTTCCGCCCTTTCCAGCTCTTGTCCGGTTAATCCGACGTTGCAAAAAACGCCAGCCAAAGACCATGTTGCCGTTGCAGTCAGCGAACGTTGACCCAAGGCAAATTGCGACCCTGTCCACAATCACCCTTTCACCGCCCCTGGACCCAGCCGTCTCCCGCAACCCGTAGATAGACCGATCCGGGATATGCCTTATCCATGCTATGCACACCGCTCAACTGTAGGGACCGTGTCTCCAAATCAGATGACAACTGGCTCATTACTCGACGGGTGGACAATGTGACCCTGGAGAGAGCGTCCTTCGGGTGGGCCGCAGAAACCGACGCTGAAAATAACCCCGAAAAACCCGTCAAAACCTGCTAAGCGCGCTGGCCACCTGCCTCCGACGCCCCCCCCAGTGACCCCCAGCTGCTATGAATCGGACATCCATCTATGGTCTAAGCGGTCATGCCAGCCCCTTGCTCATGAAGCAAGGTAATGGGATGCGCTAAAAATACGACTGAGAAATGAGCCGCACTGGGAGGGGGGTAGAGACAATGTCGGTGATGATATGGCGCCATGTGTGATATCGTGTATGTATTTGTGGATGGTGCGCATAGTTCATTCTTTTGGTGTGGTAGGCGGTTTTGGTGATATTAATCGGTTCTCTACCATCTGGGACAGGTTATATGTATATATATATATATATATTCTTTTTAGAACATTTACACTGTTTACAAGGTACGAGTACAACCACGTCCGCATAGGCGTACAGAAGTACATAATCCAAACAACGTACAAAATATACTGTATATATTTTTTTCAAAAAAACCCGATTCTGGTACACTTGTTCCATACAAGCCGGTTATGGGGAACAAAACATCGAAAAACATCGAAAAACATCGAAAAACATTGCAAAACATTGAAAAACATTGAAAAACATCGAAAAACATCGAAAAACATTGAAAAACATTGAAAAACATTGAAAAACATTGAAAAACATCGCAAAACATCGCAAAACACCGCAAAATCCCGTTCTTGCCTTCTGTTATACACACATTGCTGTGAACAGTACACCCTCCCAAAACCTGTTTTACTTCACACATTACTTGATCAATACTTAACACAGTTTGGGTTTGTTCCTCCTTGCATAGGACAAAACTGTGTGCAAATGGCTCATTCAACAATAAACGATGAAGCAAATGGACAAGCAGCATCATTTTTTCGACTCATAACAGCTCCAATAACTCATAATATTTCACCCTAAGCCCACAAACCTCGCGTGCCCTCCCCACAGTCGCCCCCTTCATTAACTCGCAACCTGAACACTTTTTTTTTCGGCATTTAGCCCCGGCGTTTAAGTTCACAGTTACCAACCATTGCAACAGCCCACCTGACCGCAGTTGCACAAGAGTCCCCGCCCCAGACAGCCCGCCAACGCCCTTCTCGTGACTCACATCCTCCACAATGGCCGCCGACGCGTACACCTTCATCTTCGCCATCCTCATCTCGCTAGTGAACCTCTTTCTGCAGGTTTTCTTCACAATCATGTACTCGGACCTGGAGTGTGATTACATCAACCCGATCGACCTGTGTAATCGGCTCAACAACTACGTGTTGCCCGAGGCCGCGGCGCACGCCGCCCTGACCATTGTGTTCCTGCTCACGGGCCATTGGATCGTGCTGCTGCTCAATGCGCCCATCTTTGCGTACAACGCCCACAAGATTTATACAAACACCCATCTCCTGGACGCCACCGAGATTTTCCGAACGCTCAAGAAACACAAGCAGGAGTCGTTCATCAAGCTCGCCTGCTACCTTGTCTTTTTCTTCCTCTATCTTTACTGCATGATTGCTGCTTTGGTGAGAGAGGACTAAGCACCACCATCATGAGGGAAGAGTGAGGAAATGAGACACTTGGGCGCTATCAATGGTGACCGACTAAGAGCTCTACAGTTTGCACCTGTGTCAATCAAGAAGAGGGTCCGATTGATACATTGGAAACGACGAGCAACAGCTCTTGGATGGAGGCTCAATACTACCAGTACTGTCATGGTACAATCAGTTGCCTCCATGGATAAGGACAAAAGCCTACGACAGGTAATGCATTTTTGTAACCACATGAGGCCACGCCCATGTATGAAAGTATCAAAATAAAAGAACTAATAAATATCCAACTGTAGCGTACGGTGAGGGGTTCTAGGAGGACAGCTTCTGACTGGCAAACTCCAACAGTCCATTGAGTTGACGGAGTTTACCCAATAACTGGGTCTGTTCCTCGATATGAGCTAGCTTATCAAACACGGAAGGCGTCATTATCACGCCAGAAGAGTGCACTCCTCGCAGACTGTTGTTGACGTCTTGCACATCATGCAAAAACTCGTTGACAAGCCGAGTATCGTCCCAGGTACGTTTTTTGGCGGCGTATTCACGACTCTTTCGATCAGTCTCCACCCGCGCACCATTGAGATTCTCGTTCACCTTGAGTAGAGCTTCCTGGGCGGTGTTTTTCGTCCGGATCAGCTTGGCCACACGAGCCCGTTGCATGTACACTGCATTGTTGATATCACAGAGCTCCAGGAACCTGCTATTGAGCTCGGCCTTGTACTTTTCAATCACCTCTCGTTGCTCCTCGTCCACGTCTTTGCCCAGCTCCTGGTCCAGCGTCTCCAGAACCATTTGACTGACAAAGTCCACCATGGTGACTCGGGGAGAGAATTCCGGCTCGTCCGTGTCAAGTTGCGTCACCTCCAGCGCAATTCCCTTGTTTCTCTTCTTTCTGGGCGGTCTCACGCTGCTTCTGTTTCTGGACGACGCCGGAGTCTCCTCCGGGGCCTCTTCAGCAGTGAATGTTTTGATTCGGTCCGCGTAGTTGCCTCTGGTGGCCTGAGATTGTCGAGGAGGACTGGGTGGACGCGGGTGCTCCAGTTCCACGTCAGAAACCACTGCAGGCACAAACTCCTCGTCGGAATCGCTCACGTCAAACTGCTCGTGATGTTGAACACTCAGATCAACTGCATCTTCGTCAACAGCTTCGGGTCCAGGCGGTGATTCTTCAAAGTCTTGAGTGAGATTGAATTCCGGTGGCGAAGTAGACACTGGTCGCACCGGCAGAGTGTACGGTATCGCTGGTTCCGTTTGAACTGTTCCAGCCAAATCTCCCTCTCCATCTCGTATGTCTTCCACCTCGCCAACCATGGGTAAGACATCCGTCTGACGCCTCCTCTGATTGCGCTCAAACGGAGTAGGTGTCTGGGCCTCCTTTTGTTGTTCTCGGAATCCTCCCGTAGCACTAGATCCACTGCCTGGCGTAGTTCCATGAATCACGAGCTTCACGGGCGCAACTTTTCGCGTTCTGTGTTAGTAAGCGGAACAGAGCGTATTCTCGTGTGTGAAACTCACCCCGCGCCCCGCATTCGGGCCTCTCGCGCCTCTCTGTTCATCCTGGCGTGGTTTTTTTTTTCTCTCGTGAAGTCGACGCGTTTCCACTTGTATGTAGAGCTGCATGGACGTGCATACTCCAAAAAGTGAACAAAAAAGCTCCCAAAAAGCCAACTAAATCCTAACCTACAAGTTGCTGTAGTGAACACTTGGTCCGTGTTTGCTTGGGCCAAAAATATGTTATTTTAAACAAATAAAAAGATAATAACAAAATAAAAATAATAATGAAATGTCGACATGGCAGCTGATATGACCCAAAAAATTGACGACATCCGCAGAATTCGAACCTACGCGGGGAAACCCCAAGTTTTTTTTAATAGAGATTTCTAATCTCTCACATTGCCCGCTGAGACTGGTTAGACTTTAGTTGAAGGTCAAGTAACAGGAAATCGAACTAAAGTCACGTGATATTTAAAAGAAGAAAAGCGGTCGATTGTGGGGGTTTTGTGGTGGTTATCGCGGCAAACGAAACATTACTTGTTTTGTTGAAGTTCTGAATATCTTTTGACACTGTTATACATTACACCCGCCTTGTTTTACCCGTTCTATTCGGTGTCTCATTTCTACTCTGGGAGAAAATTGGTGCCTTGACTTTACTCCAACATCTACGGTATAAATACTCTACAACTACAAGTACAACTACACGAGTCAACACACAAAACAACATGTGGTGGCCGTTCACGAGAAAAGAAAAGCCGATTTTGGAGACGCCCGCGGTCGATGACGTGATTCTGTCCATGGACAAGGATCTGCAGCAGTTCATGGCCAGCCAGATCCGGACCACCACCGGAGTGTACACGCCCATCGAGGCACCCGAGTACCAGGAGGAGAAATCGATATCTGCCAACATGGCCGAGACCGCGGGGGTTTCCAAGGCCGAGTCCAAGCAGATGGTGGCCAACGCCGTGTCTCTCAACTGTCTGGACTTCCAGGAGGCGTTCCAAAAGTGCGCCAAAGAAAAGTACGCTGTGCAGTGCAACGGTCTGCTCAAACAGTTCCATGATTGCCTCACGATCCAGACACAGACGTTCAACCAGCTCAACTACGCGCAGCAGTCACGCGAGGAGCAGAAGGAGATGCGCAAGAAGGTCGATAAGGCGTTCATGACCATGCGTCCGCAAACGGGCCAGGAGGGTGCTTACTTGACCGCTGTTGGGTTGTAAGATTGCCCCGGAAACATTACGGCCATGCATTGAGTGTATATAATGGTATCAAGGGTTGGTTTGTGCATCAGAGGAGATACCGTAGAGATGAAAGTCGATTGTAGCGTTCAATTGGGTGGTGATATAGTACCTGCACAGTCATTGAAAGTGCCATTCATCAACTTCTTTTCTACTTGCTCTCAATACACTGCTTGTCAATAAGATCTGTTAATTACATTCAACAGCTGGGTGGCAGCGCCTTTACCGCTCATCACCCGCTGTTGTCATTACTGAATAAGTTACTTTTGCAAGTTGTCCAGGGACATGTGGTCGTGGCGGTTGTTGTTATTGACCTGCAGCAATAAGGGACATTTTCCTCGACAAACTGCTGCGGCTCGTTGTGGCTTGCTCATTATCAAGTTGCTTACAACAGCAAAGCAACAGCTCCGGCAATGACACCGGCAGTCAGGTAATTGGCGCTGTTGGTTCCGGCACCAGACGCAGCCATAGTTCCAGAAGGAGATGCAGAGGCACTGGCAGAGGCACTGGCAGACGCGTCGGTGGAGTTCTCCAGAGTACCGTCGATCTGGATGGTCTGGTTGCCGTCAACCTGGCCCACGGCATACTTGCCCTGGGGCAGGTTGTTGAGGAAGTCGTCGTCGCTGGGGTCGTCGCATCCACAGGGGTTGTAGGCCTTGCAGAAGCACTGGATGTGGTAATCGGTTCCGTTGATGGTCTTGTAGTAGTTGTACTCGTAGACCTGGTCGTTTCGGTTGAAGCCGTGGTGCATGGCGGATCCCAGCAGCAGACCCGCTCCGGCTCCGAGAACCAGGCCGGGGAAGATGCCGCCCATGGATCGGGCGCCAGCAGGGAACGGCTGGGTGGCGCCTCCGGCGTATCGGTTGCCGTAGACGGGGGTGCTTCGCGAGGGCATCTGCGAGTAAGCGGGGGGAGCGCCGTTGGCGCCTCCTCGGTAGGGCGATCCTGCGGGGGCGGGAGCAACACCTCCTCGGGCAGAGCCCGCGGCGGCTCCGGGGGCGGCTCCAGAGTTACCGGACGAGCCAGACGAGCCGGAGTTTGGTCGAGATCCCGAGTTTGAAGAGCCGGAGCCGGAGGAGCCGGAGCCGGAGGAGCCAGAAGAACCGGAGGAGCCAGAAGAGCCAGAAGATCCAGACGAGCCAGAAGAACCCGAAGAGCCCGAAGAGCCCGAAGAGCCCGAAGAGCCTCGGGACCCGCCTCCACCTCCACCACCGCCCTTGGAGCCTCCTCCTCGTCGCTTCTCGAGGGTTCGCTTCTCAGGTCCAGGCAGCACGTTGTCGGGCACCTTGGGGACCCAGACGTTTTTGGGCTCGGGCTCGGCCACGGGGGCGGCGACCGACGCGGCCGACAGCGCGGAAATCAGTAGCACGTTTGAAAATTTCATCCTAGTCGGGTGATGTCGTTGGTGGTTAGTGTGATGGAGATGGTCAGAAAGGAAGCCCCCAAGCTTATGTATGGTGCCAATGTGTAGCTCATGTAAATAATGTGCATGAGTGCACTTTTAAGGTTTCACCCCCCATCCCCGGCAACCTTTTTTTTTGGGACAGGGTTTGGACCCATTTTAACTTGGGTGCATACGTCATCTGACGCGGGCTGAGCGGGAGGCGGAGTAGAGGCGGTGGGGGCTTCGAAAAGACGGTTTTGGGCGGTTTTGGGCGGCTCTAGACGGGTTTGAGGGTATAGAAACGATGTAGGAATGTATTCGAGCTGTTTTTGAGCAAAAAAATGCCCACAAACGCGGTCTAGACGGACTATTGTGAGGTGTGAGGTGGTTGTGCTGAATTGTAACAGTTGGGACTTGCATATACTGTAGTCGTAGTTTGGTTGGGAGTTCGAAACCAAGTAATGTTAATTAATTTCGACTAATTAAGCGAAAGTGTCCGCAAGCAAGTCAAGTGAGCTGAGGCGCACAACGTCAGACCTAGAAACGCTTAACGTGACGGTTTTGCGCTCTTTTTTTGACATTAATCCGATCATGGCGACCGGCAGAGTTGATTGCTCGAGCTTTTCAAGCGGAAAAATCCCCCCAACCGACCCAAACTCGCGTCCCTCAGCCTCCCCTCCACCCCCCAAGAAGCCCGCAGATACAGTTGATCGATGCGTCTTCTGAAGAAGCAAGGTTCTTTTTCGGACATGGCCCAAAGTCCGTCTCCAAGCAAAGTCGCTCCAGCCGCAATTAGGGCGCATGCTCAGACTCAAACTTCGGCCTCTAGCGCTGCAAAACACCCTAACGTCGCCAACCTTATAGGCAGGCGATGGGGGAAGAAAGTGCACCAAACGGACCAAAATCGCAAACAAATCGTATCGGGGACTTCACCAATCGTCTCTACGTACTCGATATACCCAGAAAGACAACTCTTCAACTTTGATGGTCCCCAAAACAACCCCCGAAGACCCTCCCCAGTTAGCCCCAGACTAGTAGCGAAAGAACCCTTACTGTAGACGCACAGCCCAAGCACTAGTCCCGAGGTGGCCGTAGTCCACGTTACTTTCTGACTAAGCACCGACAGAGACATATCTCGCTGTCTCACATCCCCCTTGTCGTATAACGGCCTGACACATGCCACTGTCGAGCTGATGGGGTTTTCAAACTCTCGACTGGCCAAAGTTAGCATTCAAAAAGCAATCATGATGATTATATAATCGATTAGTAATGGGTACGAGGAGAGGAGATGTTTTGCTATTAGATCCTTCAACACGCCCAGTACGCCCCCCGTAAGCTCCACTATTACCCATCCACATGGTCCATCTAATATTCAATAAATTTTATACTATGTTTACATAATTAATTATCAGGCTCCTCCACAGTGTAAGCGGGCTGATCATCATCATCATCATCATCATCATTATCCTTCTTGTCATCTCCCTCCTCTTCAGCAACAGTGTACTTGATCTCGTCGCCATCGACAAATCCTCCTCGCTCACAGAGCTTGTAAAACAAACTATCGTGGTTCTTGAGCAGGTTCTGGGGGGTATCAAACTCCTCCACCTGACCAGCACTAAGTACAATGATTCGATCACTGTCGAGAATGGTGTTGAGTCGATGAGCAATAGTCAGAATCGTCTTCTCCTTAAACTCGGTTCGAATTGTCTGCTGCAGAATCTTGTCTGTCTCAACATCGACGGCAGCAGTAGCCTCGTCGAGAATCAGAATAGGAGAGGGGTTGAGGAGAGCTCGACCAAGACACATGAGCTGTTTCTGACCTGCAGACAGGTTGGAACCGCCCTCGTTGATCTTCATGAGCAGCTCCTGGTGCTGACCGTCCGAATCAGTGGACGAACGCACAAACTCTGCCAAATGAGACAACTCTAGCACCTTCCAGATCTCCTCGTCGGTGTGAGCAGTTCCTGAAGGATCCAGGTTCTCTCGGATGGTTCCCTCGAAGATCTGAGAGTCCTGGGGGATGATCGAAAGCCGTTGACGCAGATCTCGAAGTCCCAGCTTGGAAATGTCAACTCCGTCAATGGAAATGTTGCCTCCAATGGCCTCAATGATTCGGAACAGAGACAAAGTAAGAGACGATTTGCCGGCTCCAGTTCGTCCAACAATACCAATCTTCTCCTTGTGCTTGATATCGAGAGAAATACCCTTGAGAACAGGATCCAGACCCTCTCTGTACCGCGTGGAGTAATCGTTGAAGGAGATGGAACCATTCTCAGGCCACGAGGGGGGAACACAACCTGGAATCTCGGTAATGGCTTCAGACTTTAACTCACAGTACTCCCACACTCGCTCCACAGACACAGAGTGGGTCTCGACGTTGATGGCCATACGAACCATGAGCACCAGCGTCCACGTCACGTTCAGCGCATATGTCATGACAATACCCATTATTCCGGGATTCATAAAGTTGTACCATCGGAGAGAAAGGATGGAAAACAGACCTGTGGCAAACACAACCAGGGCAGCAATAACTCGCAGGCGAAGAGACAACCATCGGTTGAGGTTCTGCTGAATAAAACGCACCTTGGCTGACACGTCGGTTCGAGCCTGGTTGATCTTCTCATAAGTAGCTTGACGGGCGTATCCTCGGATGGTAGACACACCGTTGAGTGTCTCCTGGAAATGAGCGTAAACAGGGGACCTGGAAGCAGTCACCAGTCGTCTCACTTCTCGAGAAGAGTGAATGTAGTACTTTTGGTATCGGTAAAAGAGAACCAGAAGGGGGATGATGAACAGCAAGGTCATGGGTGTCGCAAAAACAATCACCAGCAGAGAAGCCATGCCTGCAATGATGGCATTGAACAGGTACTCAATAGCCGAGGGCAGGTTGGCGTCAATCTTGTACAAGTCTCCTGAGAACCGGTTGGTGATTCGACCCAGAGGAGTAGTCTCAAAGAAGGACATTGGAGCTCGAAGCACACACGCAAGCATCTTGGCATGCATCTCAATACCAGCTTGGATGGCTCCACGCGCGTGCAGGAAGATGAGCTCCAAAACAAGCCAGATACCGGAAGCAATGCCCAGAATGAAGTACACGGTGAGATAGTAACCTGGGGAAGAGAGCTCTGAGTCGTCGGATCGCTCGGCCCAGTCCTTGAGCCAGTAGTTGGCAGCAACCTGAGACACAGATACCATGATGTTGCAGAGCAGGAACATTGCCAGGTTGCCCAGTCCCAGAGCCTTAGCGTATCGCACATAGACTGAAGACTTGATATCTCCTGAGGTGACGATTTCCTGGTTGACTCTGTCCGAGTCTCTCTCATCAGCATTCGACTTAGGACCCTTAGGAGCCACAAACTCGGCTGTGGAGGCTCGTCGCAACGTCAAGGTACGGTCGATTCCAAGCTCTTCAACAGTATCTTCTCCTTCAATGAGAACAGGGTCAGTTTCAACCATTGAAGTGGGGGTAGTGGGGCCAGAAACGAGATCAGAAGCAGAAGCAGAAGTGTCTGTCTTCTTTCCCTTGCGGCCAAAGTCCTTGATGAGCTTCGACAATTGGCCTTCGCCTCGAGAAACCTCCTCGAACGAACCCTTCTCCACAAACGTCTTGTCCTGAATCAAGTAGATCATGTTTGCGTGCTCCAAAGCATTGAGAGTGTTGGTAGCTAGCACCTTGGTTTTGGACTGCAACAGACCATTGGGACCAAGAACTTCCTGGATAATATGATGTTGCACATGCTCGTCAACGGCAGAAAGAGGATCGTCGAGAAGAATGATGTCGGCACGGGAATAAACGGCCCGCGCAAGTCCAAGACGAGCCTTCTGACCTCCTGAAAGAGCAATACCCTTCTCACCGACCTCGGTTTGGTCTCCATCCTTGAGAATAGCAAAATCAGACTTGAGAGCGCACGCATCAACAACCTTGGCGTAGAAATCAGCATCAAACTTGCTACCAAATACAATATTGTCCTTGATGGTAGCATTCATGATCCAGGGAGACTGAGCAACATAGGCAACTCGTCCAGCCACTGTGACTTGTCCGGCATGCTTGTATGTCTCTCCCAGAAGAGAGTGCAAAAAGGTGGTCTTTCCACTGCCAACCTTTCCTACAACACACACAATCTGACCCTTCTTGGCCTCAAAATTCATGTCCGTAAGAAGCAGCTTGTCCACATCCTTGGCAACATCTCGAGAATCCCAGCCAAAAGAACCGTTCTCCACGGTCACAGAAACCTGACCTGGAACTGTAGCAGCAGCTACATGGGTCACAGCATCGGGCTGAAGATCACGGGCTTTTAGGTACTTGGAGATTCGGCCAATAGAAATACCAGTCTCGAGCAGATGGGTGATGATGTAGGGAATTGACCCCAGAGGTTCCAGAAGAGCTCCGTATAGAGCCATGACGGGGAAGGCAACATCGGTGGTAAGAGGCTGTTTCATGCCAAGGGTGTAGACTGCAAAGGAGGCGGAAGTGGCGACAAACGTCGCGACACTCCAGGAGAATGCCTCGGCAATCTCGTAGTGCAGAATCTTCTTCTGTAACGCGAGTTCTCCTCCGTTTCGGATCTTGCACACCTTGTCGTAGAAAATCTTTTCCCATGAGTAAAACTTGAGCGACTTGATGTTGGTGAGAACCTCGGTAGTGACGGCGGTTCGCTTGTCTCGCACCGCCATGATCTGCTCGTAGAACTTGGTTTCCCAGTAGGCGAAAACGGCGTTGATGGGCAGGTTCATGGACATGACAAAGACACCGGCCCACATGGCTTTACCAATGAGGAAGTAGATGGAGGTCAGACACACAACGACTCCCAGAGGAGCTCCCCAGATGGTGTCCATGATATCTGCAGTTTGAGCAATCTGGGGTACATCTGTGGACATGAGGTTAACAATGTCCCCGGAGTTTGTATCGGCCTTTGCCTCTGGAGACACGGTAAGGGTCTTATTATGGATTGCGGCAGACAGGGCGCCGGTGACCTCAAGAACCATGTTGAAACAGCCAATAATGAACTTGTTGGATGACACAATCTGGACGAGAGAAAGGGCCAGCATGGCTGTGACAACCATGATGCCCTTGGTGATGAGTCCAGACTCGGAATCGGGGTCCAGAGGCTTGTTGAGTGATCTTGCCGCGTCTTCCTGGGCTCTGTAGTCTGTGACCACCAGAATCAGCTGCCTCAGCAGAAACGGCTGAATGAAAGGAACCAGGGTTTCTCCGAGGTTGTAGACGCACAGAAACAGATACTTTGGGCCGTAGACTGCTGTGATTGTCCACAATAGAGATGGGTTCTTCTTTCGCAACTGCTTTTGCCACGTCTGTTCAAAGGTGCCGTGGGTGACGGCAGTTTTGAGCCAGGTAGGGCAAGCTGGAATGTCATCGATGGTGAGCACCTTTGAGTATCCAGTTTTGAGCAGTGGTCCGAGCCATCCAAATGTCGATCTTGACGCAATATTGGCGTACTCGATGGGGTTGAGGTCCTCGTAGGCGGTTTGGTACATGTGAGGGAGCGATTTTCGGGGGTCGAAGACCCAGCATTCGAGAGAAAAGACCAGGGAGGCCACAAACGTGGTGCAAAGAGCGGTTCTTGGCTATGTTAGTATGAATCGGGGTCTTTTGTGTGTGTTTTTCGGTTGGATCACACTGTCGAATGTCGTGTTACTCACGTTGAGAGCTCTAACGGCGTCACCTATGGTTTCCAGAAGTCCTCCGATAGCCAGGGTGAACCAGAACCACAGTACGGCCGAGCTGGCAATCCGGCTTTTGGCGGCCTCGACGTGTTGCAGATAGATGATTTCTACGGTGGCCGCAACCAGAACCAGGGGGCTCCAGAAGAAGATGTCGGTGGGGTGGGCTCTGTGTCGCGAGGCGTCGTACAGCAGGCTGAGAATGAGCGCCACAGACGCAGACTGTTTGAGCCAGTAGTCCCATTGCCGGCGCACGATATGGGCGTTGTTGGGTTTGTTGGCAAACTGGACCACCTCTCGGGTGCCCCAGATCAGCGCTATTGCTGAGGGGAAAACGTGTGACAGCGCCTGGCACGTGCAGGGAGTCAGGTCATAAAGCAGCGATATGCCCCATTGTTCGGGGTGTGAGCAAAGGCCAACCATTGGGTGAAGGGGGAAAAAAGGAGAAGAGAAAAAGAGTCGGGCAATGTACTCACTTTTACGTGTATTTCGCTTTAGTGAGACACGTGCAGAAAAGATGCAAGTTGCTGCAACCATGACTACTGCATTGTCGACAAGGAGACTAAGACTCCGGAGGTGATCTGGAGCCGTGGTGGCGGAGGAAAAGAGCCGTGTGTGATCGTCGTGAGTCACGTACGCATTTGCAACTTTCCCCGCGCCAAAACAAGCCCGGCAACCCTCCCAAATGTGTGGTTCTGCTGCTGACTCCTCCCATAGGGGAGATGGGGGTACCACGCACGGCACCGCATAATCGGAGTCCGATAGATCCGCGAGATAACGCAGTTCAATTAGGACGTTTTGGAGGGGGGAAATGGCAGGCCATAACATCGCTCTTGCACGCTCAATCACATCTACGCTCCTCGCCATCGCCCAACCAGCTCCAAACTAGCGCCACAGAAGGCTTTTGGCTAAGTTTCACTAGACCAACCGTGGTAGAAGCATTTCACGATCAGCCAACCAACGGCTCTGGTTTTCTTGTCAGAGAGATCCACGACGCAAATGAAGATATATGGACGGTGTATGACAGATATTATGAGTCATAACTGGCGACTAGTCACATTTCCCGCTCTTGGAGAGTCGTATTATCGCTCAAAAGGCTTAGTCAGCCCTACGTTCAAATTTTTCAGAGCTAACCTAACGAGAACCTTTTAGATATCAACGGCCAATCTTGGCATTATTGAAGCCGAGTACATGCTACAATACAGTACAAACAAGAGTTAAGCGCTCAAGTGAGAGGATGACACGTGACCCTGACGTCGACGATTCCCACGAGATTCATCCTCTACAATTTCAATCGAGTCTACAACATGGTTGCCATCTACAAGATGATTGCCATTAAACACATCAGTATTACCAAAACTACCTCACCACAGCCCATCCAAATACCACCTGGCAGCGGATGGCTTGTTCTCCTCCTGGTCCATGTTAGCGTCCCCTACCTCATCCTAAGCGGTGGCCTTCTCCGGAGTCACATGCACACCTGGAGAGCCCGGAGTGGCTCCAGCAGTCTGGCTGACCCCACTGCCCTCTCGTCTGTGGCCAATGATGGGAATATGAATGCCGTGCTTTCGCTCCCGCTTCTTGGCCTTCTTGACCTGCGCCTCGGCCATGAGTTCCTCAAACACCTTGACCTCCTCCTGCTCGGCCTTGGATCGCTCCGTCTGCTTGAGAATGGAGCCCATGAGCACCAGGGCCTGGGCACGCTCCTGGCGCTTGGCCTGAGGCACCTTCTTGTCGTAGAGAATGTTCTCACACACCTCCCGGAGCACGTCAAGCACCTCTCCCTTGGCGCCGCTCCATGCGACCGCCAGGGTCTTTCCGATCAGCAGACGCTCCATGGCGGCCTTGGTCTCGTCGGTCCAGTCGTCTCCACCGGCCTCCTCGGCAGCAGCCATCTCCTTGGCGGTACCCTGGACCTCGATGGCGGCCGAAATGGTGTTCCAGGTCTCCTTGGCAGAAGTACCCTTCTCTCTGAGCTTGCCAAAGAAGCCGGGGATGAATCCAAACAGCTTCTGCGACTTGAGGTACATGGATCCCTTGGTCAGGTAGACCTGGCCAATGGCGTGTACGAGCTCCACGCCAAAGGACTCCATCTTGAGCTCGTTGGCCTCCAGACGGATCTTCTCCTGGAAAGACCGGGTGAGGTCGTCGGTCTTGTCGGTCTCGGTCCACACGGACATTCGCTCAATGAGCTTCTTCTCAAGCATCTTGATTCGCTCCTTTCGGGCCTCCTGACGCTCCTTTTCGAACTCGAGCCGCTTGGCCCGAGCAGCCTCGGTCTGGGCCCGTCTCTTCTTTCGCAGCTCCTTTTCTCGAGCCAGCGCCTCCGCCGCAGATCCGGGAGGATGGACGGGGCCGGTCTTGTCCTCGTGAGCATGCTCTGTCAGCGACGCAGTGGAGTGGTTGACTCCGCCGGGACTTGCAGAAGCCCCTGCAGCCGCGCCTCCAGCAGCCGCGCCTCCAGCACCAGCACCAGCACCAGCACCGGCTCCCTCGGCTCCCTCCTCGGTCTCGGCCTCCTCCTGCATCTCCATGCTCTTCTGTATGTCCTTGAGCAGAGACAGCTCGCCAATCCAGTCGTTGAACAGCTGGCCTCCGAAAATCATCGTGAAGAACTCGGCCGGGTCCGCAAAGCCCTCGGCCGGCACCGCGTAGTCCTTGCCGTGCTCGTTGTACTGCTGTCGTAGGTCCTTGTCCGACAGCACCTGGTACGCCTCGCCAATCGCCTGAAATCGCTCGTTGGCGGTCGGGTCGTCGGGGTTCTTGTCGGGATGGTGTCGAATCGCCATTTTTCGGTACGCCTTTTTGATTTCCGCGTCCGAGGCGTCCACCTGCACCTCCAGCAGGTCGTAGTAGGCTGTGTCTGCCACCTTCATCTTTGTGTCTCTGTCTGTGTCTGTGTCTTTGTCAATGTCACCGCGCAAGTGTGAAAGGGTGAGTGGGTGAGTGTGAGGTTGGTGGTGCCCCTGCCTTGCTTATATTTCTCTGCTTTTCTTTTCTCCCAAAACACCAGCCAAAATAGACTTAGGCTTAGACTCTAACGGGTGGTCATAAGGCTGAGGGATTTGGGGGAGGAGGGCGCACCAACCACGGCCGCTGGAGGAGCTGGGACGCGGCCGGGGCAGGTTTGACGGCGCAATCATGACTAAGCGTCGCACACAGTCCATTTGCACTTTTCAGATTTCCGATACTTGCTCTCAATCTGTTTTTACGGGGTCTTGTGGCCACCAGACTACGAGCGTGAGCATGAGCGTGAGCATGAGCATGAATATGAGTACAGTGTTCCAGTATTGTACTGTTAAATCCGAAACGCTGGATAACCGGAAATAGCGATCGAGCCGCGTTAACTCCGGATGCACACGAGACCGCGATCTACGGACTTTCTACAGAAATACGAGGCCAGCCGACGAGGTGTAAAGGGGCTAGGTGGTCAGCCGTGGCCGTTGAAACATGACATTTATTTTTAGCTAGGTGAAGAGAAGTCGAGTCGATGTAGTTGAGGCATGTAGTTGAGGCATGTAGTTGAGGCATGTAGTTGAGGCATGTAGTTGAGGTCATTCCATGTCGTCTCGTAGAGCCCAGTACAAATGGTCATTTGGACATACAAAGAACACGAAGACTCAACACTCCAACAATCCAAGACTCCAGGACTCGCACAGAGTCAGTGACTTCCGTCACAGTCAGACATGACCACCTTTCCTCAACTCACTCAAGACTCCAAAACTCGCACAGAGCAAAAGACTTCCTCCCTCACATTCAGTCTGCTCAACTCACTCATTGATTGCTACCCTCAACTACTCCACCGCCTTCATTTCTCCAACTCTGCTCAAAAACCCCGGGTGAACCGCTCCCACAACTGAGCAACCTCGGCAGTGTCCACCCGGTCCATCATCTCCTTCCAGTCATACTGACCGCCGCCCGAACCCTTCATCTTCGCAGCCTCCTCGTACAACTTGCGCGAGTAATCAAACCCCTGCTTGTACGTCTGGTAGTCGCCGTCCATAAACTGGTCCATCTTGCCAGCCCTCAGCGCCTGAATGTCGTCAATCGTGCCACCCACCCCTCGCACATAGACCCACCCAGCACCTCCAACCACCGCCAACAACACAAACATCCGCACAAACGTCGTGATCAGCCCCCAGAACGACCGCAGACTCTGCTTCAACACCAGCAAAGACACGTAGAAAATGACAAGCACCAGAAGAATGCCCATCAGATCGGGATGCGTGGAGAAAATCGACTGTAGCGGCGGCTGAATCGCCCCAACCACGTACGACAAGGTCATCATAGCCAACCGGCTAGCAATCGAAAGAACATTGACCATGGTTGTGTGTGTGTAACAGGAAATGTCTTGTTTTGTCTTGTTTTTTTGTTTTTATATCGGTTGTCCAGCTCAGATCAAATGTTGTGATCCCCAAACCTTATCATATTCACGTGCAGCTCCACCGAAAATTCAATCAGGTGGCAAATGGCTAAATCGGCCGCTAAATCTGGGGTCAAATCGCCACTGAAACGTGGCATAAACGGCTTACGTAATCGCGAAACTGACCATAAGAAGATAATAACGGCGACAAAAAAGTCACATGAACAAAAATGGAAAAAAAGGTCCTATTGAGGAACAAGTACAGTACGAGTACAATACTGCATGTACTATACTGAAGCTAAGTAATTGTCTCACAATAAGTGTAAACTCCCAAGTGCATTACTTGGCTTTGGTTGCAACCACCAATACTCTAAACGTGTTTAATTAGTAATATTCGTGTAAGCGTACATTCATTTCAAAGGTTATTCTTTCACAGCAAAGTTATAATTAAATGAATGTATATGCAGAAAAAAAAAAAATCTAGGTACAAGTACAACCACTACATCCTATTATATATACATCCTAATATTATCATGTCATTGCTATATGCTCAAACTCATACGTCTAGTTGTACAGGTCATCCTCCTGGTCAGCACCAAAAGCAGTGCCGGCACCAGCGTCGGCGGCGGCAGCCTCACCAGCAGCGTCCTCGCTGAACCGGAAACCAATGTTTCCTCGCGACGACTGGATCTGCTGGGCATAGGCCTCGTATCGACGCAGCTCACTGTCGCTGACAGATCGCTTGGCGGTCTTCATGGCCTCCTCAAAGTGGGCCCGGGTGATGTAAGGAACAGGGTCTTCCATCTCCACGTCCTCGTTGCCGGCAGCCTCAGCCTCCCGCTGGGCGGTGATGGCAGCCTCAATGGAGTCCTTGATGGCAAACTTGGCAGATCGCTGCACAATGTACGACAGATCGGCACCAGTGAAGCCATGGGTAGACTTGGCAAGCTCCTGCAGAGACAGACCGGGCTCGAGAGGGGTCTTTCGCAGCTGCGCCTTGAGAATGGACAGTCGGCCGGCCTCGTCGGGCAGAGGCACATAGATGAGCTGGTCCAGTCGGCCGGGTCGCAGCAGAGCAGGATCAATCTGGTCGGGCCGGTTGGTAGCTCCAATGACGAACACGTTCTTCTTGGCGTTCATACCGTCCATCTCGGTCAGCAGCTGGTTGACAACTCGGTCGGAAGCTCCACCGGCATCGCCAACAGAGCCACCTCGGGCCTTGGCAATGGAATCCAACTCATCGAGGAAGACAACACAAGGAGCGGCAGCTCGGGCCTTGTCGAAAATGTCTCGGATGTTGGACTCTGACTCTCCGAACCACATGGACAGCAGCTCGGGACCCTTGACGGAGATGAAGTTTGCAGACACCTCGGTGGCAACGGCCTTGGCAAGCAGAGTCTTACCGGTACCGGGGGGACCATAGAACAACACACCCTTGGAGGGAGACAGGCCAAACTTGGTGTACATCTCGGGGTGCAGAACGGGGTACTCGACGGTCTCCTTGAGCTCCTGCTTGATGCCGTCGAGACCTCCAATGTCCTCCCAGGTGACGTTGACGGACTGAACAACGGTCTCTCGGAGAGCAGAGGGGTTCGAGTTGCCGAGTGCGAATCGGAAGTTCTCCATGGTGACTCCAAGGGAGTCGAGCACCTCGGCGTCAATGGTCTCCTCTTCCAGATCAATCAGATCCATCTTCTCTCGGATCTGCTGCATGGCTGCCTCGGAACACAGAGAGGCAATATCGGAACCGACGTAACCGTGAGTCTCGGCGGCAATGGTCTCGAGATCAACGTCGTCGCCAAGCTTCATGTTCTTGGTGTGGATTCGCAGAATCTCAAGTCGACCGGTGGGGTCGGGAATACCAATGTCGACCTCTCGGTCGAATCGGCCGAATCGACGCAGAGCAGGGTCGATGGAGTTGGGCCGGTTGGTGGCGGCAATGACGACAATGTTGGCTCGGGCCTTCATTCCGTCCATGAGAGTCAGCAGCTGGGAAACCACTCGTCGCTCAACCTCACCGTTGGTCTTGTCTCGCTTGGGGGCGATAGAATCAATCTCATCAATGAAGATGATGGCAGGAGAGTTCTTCTCGGCCTCCTCGAAGGCCTTTCGCAGGTTGGACTCGGACTCACCGGCCATCTTGGACATGATCTCGGGACCGTTGATCAGGAAGAAGAAGGCTCCGGTCTCGTTGGCCACGGCTCGAGCCATCAGGGTCTTACCAGTACCGGGGGGACCGTACATGAGAATACCCTTGGGGGGCTTGATACCAATAGACTTGAACAGCTGGGGGTGCCGCAGAGGCAGCTCGACTAGCTCTCGGATCTGGGCCATCTGCTTTCGCACGCCTCCAATATCGTCGTAGCCGACCTCGTTGAGGTTGCCCTCCTCGTCCTCTCGCTCAATGGGATCGCCCTCGCAGTGGATGACGGTATCCTGGGCGACAATGGCGTACTCCGGGGGGTCGACGTCGACAACCTTGAACTCGACTTGTCGCATACCTCCTCGCACGGTGAACAGATCGCCCTTTCGCACGGGTCGGTAAGCCTCGACAAAGTAGGGCTTGAGGAAGACGTCGAACAGCGAGCCGGTCAGACCCTCAATGGTGTCGGAGATGGGCAGACACGAAATTCGGGTGGCGTACTTGATGTCGGGGCAGGGGTGGACCGAAACCACGTCTCCGAGCCGGACTCGCAGGTTGCCTCGGACGCATCGGTTGATTCGGCACACGCCGTCCTCGAGTTCCTCGTCGGCCAGCACAATGAGCACCGTGTCCTTTCGCTTCTTGCCCTTGACCAGCACTGTGTCGCCCCGGAACAGCTGGAGCAGATCCATGGTTGCTGGCGACATGCAGATGATGGAGTTGTCATCGTTGGTGGCATCGTCCACGACAAGAGCTATGTTAGTATGATTGATTGCTTGCTGGCTTGCTTGCGGTTTTCTCTGCTGGGGTCTCATGTTTCTGCGGGCAGACCACCACATAACCCACGTTGCCGCGCCACCCGAAATACTCACCATTGTCCTTCTTTTTCTTTCGCAGAATGGCGGTGGCCAGAGAGTCGTCGGCGTTCTCGGCAGCACCGGAATTGTCGATCAATCGCTTCGATTCTTCGGTATTGTCAGTCATGGTGATGTGTACAGTGCAGAGTTAAGACAAGTGCGTTTGCCACAGTTAAAAGTGCGAGTGCCAGGACCTACCAGTTAAGGTTCGGGGTAGACAAGTAGACAAGTGTGAGAGACGGAAGGGAGTAGGAAACACCCACGTAACTGGACCGTGGAGGAATGATCCATGAGAAAGAATATTACATGGCGACACACAGCCTTATATAGATTGGCTCTGTGCAATTTTCCGTCTCTAAAACCCCCAAATCATCCCGACAACGTGGCCTCTACTCAAGACCTTCCAGTACCTTCGTCAGAGCAATTGCCTAATCTACCGTGGTGAACTTTGTCCACCCAGCCTCAACAGATCTCATCCTGCCCAGACGGCCGGGCGTACTGGGAAATGGTGATTATATAAGCTTATAAGAACGGGATGGAAGGTGTCGTGGCGTTTGGGGGGCTCTCCGTCCTCCGATTAGTCAGCAACATGCCTCTCTAGGCCCATGTCTCTTGGGAGACCCTTTCGACCGCCCTCCTCCCCTCCCTCTCGTACTGTCGTCATAGTTGCAGCCGATAAGCCAACTAGGGTTCAAAATGACAGCTCACCATGGAGCTGCTTAATCAGCTTAGTCAGCTGTGGGGGGCGGCGGGGGTCTCGTGGAACATGTGGATTTGGAGGAATATAACCGAGTCCGGATTAGTCACGGTGGTCCAGGGTCATGACCAATTCTCCGACTCCTTGTCAGCTTGCCCAATCCACCTTATCACGTGATCTACAAGTAGCTCCCTGTGCGTACACCATGCATACATTGCCCATCCTACTTATTTACATCCCACCAGTGATCGGACCATTTCAATCGGGCAATTTTCTGATTTTTTCGCCGCATGACTTCTTTCTTTGTGTCCACGTTCAACTGTGGCAAGCTCACCCAGGACACGCAGTACTACCAGCATTTGTCCGCCGAGTTGGCAGGGATTGATGCGCCCCATGTCTTGTTGTTTGGGTATCAGGAGCTGTGTTCGATTCCCGATGGGTGTCTTGGATATGCGGTGGATCCGCTCAATGATCTGATTCAGCAGGTTCTCAAGGCGATCAGGGACCAGCCGTGGCTCGAACGATACGTGGTGGTTGGTCAACACACGTTTGGAGCCATGGGTCTGGTGGCAATAGCGTCGGCAGATGTGCTTGTCACCGACGTCAAGTTGTGCCACGTGGCGTGCGGCATGTTCTGGTCGTCGCTCAAGGGCGCCGTGGGTCTCCGACTCAATGTTGATGGCAATCCCGTTGTGTGTGTGGCTGCGCACCTGGCGGCCAATGAGGGCTTTTTGGAGCAGCGCAACGACGATTTCGCCACCATTGCCAAGGAAATGAAGTTCCTCGACCCACGCACAGGCATCTACGATGACGCCACGGTATTCTTTTTGGGTGATCTCAACTACCGAGCGTCGGAAAACGAGCAGGGACTCGCTGACTACAAGGTGGTAGACGAGCTGTTTTACGCCATGAGGTCGCTCGATGCCTTCTGGGACTTCCAGGAGGCCGAAATCGGATTCAAACCAACCTACAAGTTCCACACCGGAACGTCCGAATACAACACCAAGCGAATTCCGTCCTGGTGCGACCGAGTGCTGTATAGAGGAGCAGTGGTGCCCCGGAAATACGACTCGATCCCCGCCGTCATGTCTTCAGACCACAAGCCCGTGTACTTGTGGGCGTCGGTGAAACTGACCCAATCCACCGCTGTTGAGCAGGGCGATGTTCCTCCTCATATTCTGTCTGCTGCCCACGTTTCCGAACTCTTGCATATCCGAACGTCGATCATGGACTACATTATTGCGCTGGGACTGTTGGGTTTCACCACGAGAATGGGCTGGATTTCCATTGCGGGTTTCTTGTTGTTTGCGTGGGCGTTGTATAGGTAGTGTGAGCGAGTGTGAACGTGACCAACGTGAACTTGGCCAGCGTGAACTTGACCAACGTGAACTTGACCAGCGTGAACTTGAGCGAGCGCGAACCTGCGCCAGACACAACACTGTCTATTTCATCTATTTCATCTGCTCTGCTGTCACAGTTTACTCCACCCCACCCCACCCCAACTACAATAACTACAGGACTATGATTCAGCGACCGGCTGACAAAATATTTTATTTAATCATTACATTAACTGCACGCACGGCAGCGAGTGTATCAGGGCAGGGCGGTACTTGATGAGGCCACTTGGAGGTCTTGGAAATGCTTTGACAGATTTGAGAATCGACAGTTTATTGCGTCAACTGAGTCGATTGCTTCGACGAGAACTGTCCGCAAGTGCCAGCGACGAGATCTGGAACGGCTCGGCCCAGACCAGATTCGTAGGCAGTGCTGAGGATTACAAGGGATTAGAGGGAGAAGCACTCTGAAGAGCAGCTCTGAAGAGGAACAGCTTTGAAGAGGAACAGCTCTGGAGAGGGAACCAACAGAAGCCCCTCCTTCATCAGTAGATTAAAAAAATTGTTTGCTAACAATGTCTACTGCAGTTTTTACAGCCTTTACAACAGTCTTAACAGCAGCCAGTCCCTTCCCCTACTGAGTCAAACAGTAAGACATGTCACCGCTTAAAACGGCGATTCACGTGACCTTTTCCTTGGGAAGAGTTCTACTGACACGAAGGATCATGTGACTGTTTTGGAACAGTTCACTGAGTGGGGTTACGCACCCGTGAGTTTCTACATGGTGGTGGAACTACGACTCAGCTGGGTTTCGAACTTGCGATTAAACAAGGCAGGTTTTTTAAGCGCTAGGCCATAATTTTAGTTAGGATTAGTTAGGGTTAGTTGGAATTAGTTGGAACTAGTTGAGTTCGTATGGTTGGGGAATGGTTGAGGAATGGCTTCAACAGGAAGGGCTTCTAAAGATATCTTTTGGTATTACGACGACTTGAGTTATATGGTGTAACTAGTGTCTATAAGTACGTACTGAGCCCGGGACTAGTGTTGTTCTGGTTGTTCTGGTTGTTCTGGTTGTTCTGGTTGTTCTATATCCCAACTATCCGTAGTTGGCATTTAGTTGACCAAAGCTTGGATTGATCCATCCCACAACAATGAACCAATCAGAGGCTAGAGAGATGGCAGTCGCAATCAGATTGAATAGTTAGATTCACAAGCTTCAATTCAACACCTTTCGGCAATTTTACCATCTACTCCGATTTTTTTCCAATTTTTCCCCTTTCTTCATTATTTTTTCGGAATTTTCTCCCCACTGCAAAACACAGTTCACCAGACTCTCCATGCTACACGAGCTGGTGAAAATTCTGACGTTTCGAACCGTGCAACTGGAAGCGATAGAATCTGGGCGACTGCTACGACCGCGAGACCGACAAAAGTTTTCGCGAATAGTTTTCTCCATGCTCTCCAACCGACCGACCAAAAAGGCCAAGGCGTCGCGCGACGAGGCCGGGTTCAAAATGCGGGCCCAAAAGGTGAAGAATCTGGAGATCAACGGCGACGAGCAGGCCGATGGGGCCCAGTACGAGCTGAGCGACGGCCTGCGACGTGTCTCACCATACTACTACACCTATCTGACCTACTGCAAGCAGCGGTGGAGAGACCGCCAACTGCTGGACATTTTTGCCAACGAATTCAGAGACAGAGACGAAAGCTACTACCGATGGGCGATTGAGAACGGCCAGGTGCTGCTCAACGGCAAGGTGGCCCAGGTGGACTCGGTGGTTCGAAACGGCGACGCCATCCAGCACAGATCGCACAAGCACGAACCGCCAGTCACCGACCAGGAGATTGACATTGTGCACGAGGATGACGATTTGGTGGTGATTGACAAGCCGTCGGGGATGCCGGTTCATCCGGCGGGACGATACAGGTTCAACACCGCCGTCAACATCCTCAAGCACGTGAACGGACTCCATGTTCATCCTTGCAACCGGCTTGATCGACTCACCTCCGGCCTCATGTTCATGGCCAAAAACCCCAAGTCCGCTGACAAGTTTGGCGCCCAGCTGCGAGACCGCCAGGTGCAAAAACAATACGTGGCCCGGGTGGTGGGCAAGTTCCCCGACGGCGAAATCTCCGTCGACGAAAACTTGTGCACTCTGGACCCCAAAATCGGATTCAACATCGTCACCACAAAGGTGGACCGAGACCACCACCGGGCTCTGATGGACCGCGCCACCGAACGGGAAGCCAAAACCGTCTTCAAACGCATTTCCTACGACGGAGAAACGTCCATCGTGCTGTGCAAACCATACACCGGCCGAACCCACCAGATCCGCGTCCATCTGCAGTTTCTGGGCCACCCCATCGCCAACGACCCGCTCTACTCGTCGCCGACAATGTGGGGCGAATCCCTGGGCAAAGGTGGGCTTGAAAACTACGACGTGATGATGAAAATGATCGACGACGTGGGCAAGACCAAAACCGCCGAATCGTGGTTCTTTCCAGCAGACCCCAACAAACCCCTGGGAGAAGTGCTTTCGGGCTCCTGTGAAACGTGCAAAACGCCCCTATACACCGACCCGGGCCCCAACGATCTGTCTCTATGGCTTCATGCCTTCACCTACTCCTCCAAACCAGATGAAGACAACCCCAACGCCCCCAAGTGGTCCTACTCCACCAAACTGCCAGAATGGGCGTCGCAACCCCACAAAAAGTTCATGGACTTGGCGGTGGCCGAGGCAGACAAGTCCGAAGGAACCCCCTCCGCCTTCTGCGTGGGAGCCGTTCTAGTCAAGGACGGACAAGTGCTGGAAACAGGATTCTCCAGAGAACTGCCCGGGAACACCCACGCGGAACAATGCGCTCTGGAAAAGTATTTTGCTAAAAACAACGTGTCAGACGTACCGGAAAACACCGTCATCTACACCACCATGGAGCCCTGCTCCGAACGACTCTCCGGAAACCTGCCCTGCGTCGACCGAATCCTCAACTCGAGCATCAAGACCGTGTTTGTTGGCGTTCTGGAACCCGACGACTTCATCAAAGATAACACCTCGTTGGCAAAGCTGGAAAAGGCCGGAATCAGCTACATTCAGATTCCCGGCTACGAAGACGAGAGTATCAGAATCGCAAAGAAGGGCCATCCAAAGAACTAGATTGTATATAGAGAAAATGGTATTGGATATGGAGGCTGATTGGTCACGTGATAAAAAGAATCGGGGTTGTAATTGGTAACGTGACTTCAAAATGAGTTGTTGCGTCACATGACACCAATCCGACGTACATACTGTACTTAGTCAAGATCTGCTTTGGGCTTAAAATTTGTCGAACGGACCAGCTGGGTCACGTGGAAACCAATAATTAGTCACGTGACATCAATCTAAATTTGTAAATAAACACGTGACGTCACCCTGACGCTTACTCCTCTACTGTGAACGTTTCTCTCTCTCTCTCTCTCTCTCTCTCTCTCTCTCTCTCTCTCTCTCTCTCTCTCTCTCCTGCAGATGGGACTGAAGGAAATGATATTGGACACGTGACGTCAATTCGATTCCGTGTTATCACGTGACAACAAACCGACGTCTCCCAATGACTCACGTGACATGAATATGAATTACTTAGTTCGTCTTTCTCTCACTCCCACCTCTTCTACCTCCTCCTGCAAAAACATCATCTATTTCTTGTACAATCTAACAAAATTAACACACGAGACACTTTCTCGCGCACCACTTGTCCACAACGCCTCGCCTCGTCGGGACCTCGCTTTCCTAGTTGGGAAGAGGAACCTCCAGCTCGGGATACTGCTCCTTGGCCAGATCCTCCAGCTCCAGACCAAGCGAATTGGCAGCCCAAACTGCTAGAGCGGCAGCGGTGGCATTCTCCGAGACCAGACCCTTGAGCAATTCTCCAGCTAGCTCCTTGTAAGAGGGCACGGAAAAGGCCAGTCGAGCGGTGGCCACGGCATCGGACTCTGTCTCGTTGAACAGCTTGGGAAGCATCTTGAGAGTCATATCCTTGAGGTTCTGGGCGGTGCTATCATCGCCATTAAGCTGGGCCTCGGCGACCTTGGCCAGCACAGAGGCGTAGGGAGATGCGGCGTCGGAGGCCTTGAGCTTGTTGAGCGACTGAAGAGCAAGCATGTACTTGTTCTGTCGCAGATAAATCTCGGCCTGGAACACAAGCCCGAGGCTGTCGCCGACCTCGGCGAGCTTTTTCGCATGAACAAGGGCAGTTTCCAGCAGATCGACGTTCTTGACGAGCTTGAGACCCTCGGGATCGGCATCGTGTCGATGTTCGGGGGTAGGCAGACCGTTAGGGTTCTGTTTGGCCTCGGCAGAACCCTCGTTGGTCTTCTTCTTCTTCTTCTTCTTGACCGTGGTGGAGGCGTTGTAGTCGACCGCCTTAAGAGGGAAAGAGCCCGGAATCACTGCTCCACAGCCACAGTCGGGCTTGGTATCCCACAGCGCAATGTAAGTCTCAATGATACCCCGGGTGGACCGGATAAACTTCTTACTCTTGTACAGCTTGTCCTCCCACTGCAGCATGTCAATGTACGCGTTCATGGTTCCCTTTCGAAGCGCGTACAGATGGAAGTCCAGCTGCTCGTGTTCAAACTCGCTGAACACGTTGAGCGCGGCCTTGTGTCGCTTGAGAGCCAAGGGGCCGTCTCCGTTTCGTCGCTGTCGTCGGGCCAGCTCGGACAGGAACCAGTAGCCCTGCATATCGTGCAGGTCCTGAACGCCGGTACCGGAGGTGTCATTTCGCGTGAACATGGAGATGAGCTTGATGGCCTGCTCAATGTCGTCCGCGTTGTTGGCCCGCAAAGTGTACTTGGCGGCCTTGGTGTTGAGATAACGGTCCTGGAGATCGAGTTCCCGGGCGGCATTGGCGGCCTCAGCACCCTTGTTGACCGCGCCCATTCGCTTGAGAATTTTGGCTCGGGTCAGATGCAACTCCACCAGGGTTGGGGTGTGCTCAATGGCATTGTCAATGAACTTGAGGGCCTTGTTCTGGTCGCCGAGCTTGGAAAAGTGCTGGGCCAGAAAGCAGGCGGACCACAGAAAATCCGAGGCGCCAGAAAGATCTTCAGTGGCGCCATCAAAGATCCGTTGGGCAATGGCGCCGATAGAAAGAGCCTTGGCGGGGTTCTTGTACAGGTGCTTGACGTTCATGAAGGCCGAGGGGACCCGTCGATGGATGAGGGTGGACACGTAGGCGTCGGCAGCCTCGTCGAACGCCTGGCCCTCGAGGAACTCCAGAGGCATGGATCGAGGACAGTCGGACCGGGGGTATTTTTGAGCCAGCTTCTTGTACATGACAGACTTGAGCTGGTTGTTGTCCTGGATGCCGAGCACCTTCTCCAGCTGTCGGTAGAGAGCCCGGTCATGGGGGTTTCGTCGCAGCAGCACTCGGGTGAGTCTCTGGGCGTCCTTGGTTTTGCCCTGTCGGATGTAAATGTCGCATCGATGTTCGAGAATGGACTGCTGGTCGGGGATATGGCGCTTGGAGGTTTTATTTTCCAGCTCCTCGAGATCCTTGAGCGCCAAGTCGTATTCCTTGGCCTCGATCAGGCACTTGTTTCGGAACAGCGCCAGCTCGCAGTTTTCAATGTCGTCCGACTGGGTCTTGTCCTTGGGTTCCTTTTCGGGGGCGCTTTCCTCGTATGCCGCGAGGGTTCGTGCGGCGGTGGCGTAGTCGCCCTTGAGAAACAGCGCGACCGCCAGCCCGGTCCAATTGGCCCGGATCTCCGGCTTGTCGGTCAGTTGTTTCCGTCGGGTGATCACCAGCGGCTCGTACTCACGGGTCTGGATCTGCATCAACGACAGGTCCCGCAGCACGTTCTGGTTGGACGGGTCGATGGTCAGCGACTTTTGGTACGCCTTGAGGGCCGCGTGGTAGTTTTTTTCCGACCGCTCCAGAAGAGCCAGCACGTGCCAGATGATGTAGGACTCGGGGTCGTTCTTCATTCCGGCGTTGATCAGCGATCGGCCCTCCACGGGCGAGTCCTGATGGTACCGACACAGACCCTTGACCGCCAGAGTCTCGCCATGATCCGGCTTCTGAGTCAGAATGTGATCCGCCCGTTTGATGGCTTCGGCGTACTCCTTTTTTTCGTACAGAGTCAGACACTGCTTGAAGTCCGCCATCAGCATGTTGCTGAGCTTGCGGTTGGCAGGGGGCGCTCGCGCAGTCATTGTTGGAGCCGTAGTCGTATGTTACACAAACAGCCAGAGTGGGTTTGTGTCAGAGTGGTTTTGTGTTCTGGTGATTTGGAAATATGCGTGGAAAACTTTAATTTGGAGGTTGGATTTTATTTTTACTTTTATTTTTATTTTTATTTTTATTTTATTTTAAGAAGCGAAGGGATAATGGACAGATCGTGGGGACTGTTGCTAGGGTCCGTTTGGGGTCAAAATGTGTGTGGGAGGTATTTCGAACCTGGGGAATCCAAATCCGGTGTCAGATTTTCTCTACGGTTTCCGAATCCCATTCTGGAGACACCCTGTTCCCTGGTTCAACTACTCCGAAAAATAAGATGAGTGTATGTAGAGTAGTCCGGAGAGCACGTGACGGGGGATAAAGAGGGGTTTGGCTGGTTTGGACAGGTTTTCAGAATATAAGGTCATTATTGAGACGATTCTGAACATTTTTCAATTTTCCGATTTCCTCTACCATGTTTCTACGACTTCTCCAATTAATTTTAACTGCTTTTTCAAAAACTCAGCACTAATTCAAAATAATTCAGATTAAAAGAAAAATCATTAGAAGATGACCAACAGAATTTATTTTGAACACCAGGAACGTAATTAAGCCCCGGAGAAGGCGATAATCAACTCTTGGAAAGACTTAGCAGCTCGTTGAATCACTGAGAGACTCTACCGAACACTGTAAGCTATCTTCTACCAGTACCATCGGCAAACCAACCCAACCAATGTCTTCAGTGTAAATACCTGTTCATTTCCATCAAGTAAATCTGTTGGAGGCTTATCAAGTCTTTTCTTAGTCACCAATATTCATCCATGGTCATTGATAATCATCGGAACCAAGTACTTCAGACCATTGAGACGAGAGACGAAGTCACCGAGACTTGTGTTAAACTGTTAGTAATCCGATTCCTAGTAACCAAACCCCTCTTAGGAAACAAATATTCAAGTCTCGGCCGTCTCATAAGCCCAATTGAGCCTCTCTTAGACGACTCCTAGCTGACTAGTACCACCTGTGTGTATTCGTTATAGTAACCGAAACCATTCCAATTGCCAGTTTGACAAACAAGAGTTGACTAAAAGAACTAAAATGTAGTACTCTCAATGTTTATGACTTTTCAATAGTTTTTTTGTTCAATTCGGTAGTTTCGATGGTTTTTTGTTCGACTTCTCGTTGCTCTTTGTGTCTGCTCTTTGTATTGGTTCAGAGATCAACAATGACCGCCTTTGTGCTCGTACTCGTATCACCAAGGAGACGACAATGATGCTCATTGTCGATGCGGAACTAAAATCAAGCTCTCTGGCCTCTCCACGAGTATTGTTTTTTTTTGTTGGATTTTGTTGGATTTTTTTTGGATTTTTTGGTTTGCTCTCTGCGGGGTGCATACAAAGTTGAAATTTGACGGCCAAATTGGGTCGAAAAACGTCGGCGAAAGTTCCAATCTATTCTCCGCACTAATATATTCAATCTTACAAACATCTCCGGTCCATTGATCCTCTCCCAGGTGTTATAGCAATCGATGTTGACTCTCGGCTAATTTTGAAACTTTTCCCAAAAAGTTAATCGCAGGAGGGATAGGGTGATTTTCGAACTGAAACAGATTGCCCAAGCGAGATTAATTGGTTGCTGCGAGCTTCATTATGCGCATCTGTATGATGACATATTAGTCCTTGTGCAGCGGCTCTTTTCTTTTTCGATGAGGGTCAAATTTGTCAACCAATTTTGTCGTCAACTAAAAAAAATAAAAAAATCCCTTTTTTTTCTTTTTTTTACTCTAAGACTTGCGACCTGCTCGCGAGGACACAGAAATGCCCATCAAGTACCAGAAGAGGTAACATTGAACGACTGACTACCACCGGGTCTTGTTCTGGTTGCTCTAGACTGCCACAGTCCACAGAAAAGCACAGAAAAAGCACAGAAAAAGCACAGAAAAAGCACAGGAAAAAGCAGACATTTTTATGGCGGCTAAAAAAACAAAAGAATTACACAGAGAGTTCGCAAATTGAACTGCATTGATCATATATCGGTAGTATTGTATCAGACATCAGTTCGGGGATGGTGATTCAGTTAGAGATGTCCAGTCAGGATGAGAAGAGCAAAGATCCACCACAAATGGCCGTATATTCGATATACAAGAGCGGAGGACTTGATTCGCATGTTTTTACTGTTTTTCACTCACTTTTACTCCATTTTTCATCCATTTACCACTCCCATTAGTCGCCCTGAAAACCTCTATCCAGCTCTCTCTATCAAGACACGGCATTGGGTCCAAAATGGAAATAGATGCACAGAATCGACGCAGCATTGGAGTTTGTATCGGCTAATATGAATAAAATCATTTCGTCTTCCGTCACAATTAGCCGCCGCTCTCTCGATCTCGATCCCCCTACAGCTCCCACGCAAGCACTGCCACTCTACTGCATTGTTCAATTTTATTAGCCGACAATGAAGCAGAAGGTGTGAATGTTTGGTTTGTAGAGGAAATCTACGACGATTTTTAACAAAAAAAAAATGATCAAGCTTCAAATTCCAGTCAAATTCAGTCAAATTCAGTCAAATTCAGTCCAAATCACACAGAAGCTCGTCTCGGACAAGTTTATCGAAGTCTGGCGAGACAAAAGTGGACTTTTATGATTTGTGGAGTAATAAATTACCATTTATAGAATTCAAAAGTAATAGATGTTAAAGTGTTAGTGTAGGTAAAAGTTAAGGGGAATAAAACATAATAAAACAAAATAAAAAATAAAAAATAAAAAATAAAACACCTTGAGATAATTTGATTAAAAAAATAGAGACAAAAGTTGGATTATAAGGGCATCATAAAACAAGGGAGATCCTATTAGATACATTAAATTTCCGCAAAGCTCTGCTAGATCGAAATTGGAACCATTTTCAATCCCAGAATAAGTTGGGGTTTTACTGTGACAATATCGCAATTAGTAATTCAAATAAAATCGGAAAGATGATTTTGAAGTGATGAATAGATTTCTCTCGGTCATTATATCTCTTTAGATAGTTCATTCGCCGGTTTTCACCAATTTTCTTCAAAAATCCAACTAGTCATTCAACCCAGGTAAGTCCCCGTCCAGTTCTGGGGTAGTTTCGCAACAATAGTCCGTTGTTCCAATCAATAAAGAAGCAGTCGAGACCGATCTAACGATTCAACAAGTGTCACTAATCTTTCAGTGTCGGAAAATGATCTAAAATCGTCCAATATTTCCATATGAAGTTGTGCCCGGTACTAAAAATCACTACGAGCTCCAAAAGAAAGGTAGAGTTGTGATAATGGCACTTTAGGAATGATATAGCTATCTCCACCTTGCCTCGTCTTCTTTTACCTCCTCAAATTAACCAATAGAGACCACCATCACAATCAGACCTCGGTAACGTCAAAACTCCCTTTTTTTGTATATAATGATGGCAATTTTATACATTGTCGTCTCATCCACACTATCAGAATTCGTTTGGTACCTTTCTTTCATCTTCTGGCCCTCGTTAGTGTCTTCTTAGCTCTCCAGTATCCAATTGACAGGGGTAGTGGTATACGGTGAGTTCAGTAGAGCAGGCGAATCACCAAAAGAGTGGTTTTTGGTCCTAATGGACATTAGAAACGTATTTCTTCACGGCAGAATCCCCTTTGGCTAGTCAATATGACTCTGGAACAGGTACTTGTATCAATCTATGGTCATGTGGCTTGGCTAATACTAGTAATAGTAATAATAGAGAAGCTGCAGTCAAAATGGGCTACAAACATTCTATTTGAATTCTGAAAATTGTATTTAGCTCGTAGTCTCCCACTGATCATCTTGATACCATTTTTATTATCCGAATATTTACCCATTGGCCAGTTAGACCCCACCCCCTGATTATGACCTCATTCTGCATGACTTTTTTGGCTTCTCCCCGTTTCAACTAATTTCTCAACAAATTCCCAACCATCTAAAAAGAATCTCAACTAACCTTGATTTTCCGCAACCTAAAAATTCCCCCAGCAAACTTTTGATAACCGCTTTTATACCCTAACTTCATCTTAACATCTACATCATCACTGCGCCGGTATTGAACGCGATGGACAATTTAAAATCGCTGGGAAAAGGTCTTCCTGCGACCGCGGTGGACACGTCTCTGGCACTGGAGTTCCGCAACGCCGCCAACGCGGTCACCAAGCTCTACAAGGTGTCCAACGAAAAGGCCCAGGTGGCGCGCCACGAAGGGTACAAACAGTGCCTGTCGGACGTGCTGGGGTTTCTGCAACAACATCAACAACGTCACGTGGACGGTCTGCGACGCGAAAGCGAAAGCGAGGGCGAGTCCGGCGACCTGGCCCACGAGCTGTGGAAATGGGTCACAAAACAGGAGGAACGGTTGGACGAAGATGACACAAATACAATCACGAATACGACAACGACTGCGACGGCGACGGCGACTGCGAATACCAATACAGGAGGAAACGCAAATACAAACCCAAATGCCACGTCATCAACAACCGCCCCAAACCCCACGGCTGCCACAAACACAAACATAAACACAACCAGCTCCCAGGCTCCGCACGACACAGACGTGTTCCGAATGGGCTTCACGCCCTTCTCCTTCTCACAGGACCTTGTTTATCCAGGCTATGCCGCCGTCAAGAGAAAGGGACATGCGCATGGTCATGTGTATCATTGTGACGAGGACAGTGATGAGGACGAGGGAAGTAAGAGGATGCGGTTGGTATAATTCTGTATAAGACGAGCTCAGTGAGTCTTATATGTCGAGGGGATCTTCTAACAGTCGAGGAGATTCTATACAATCGAGGGGATCCTATACAGTCGAGGGGATCTTAGGATCTTAGGTCAGTCGAGGAGATCTTATATCAGTCGAGGAGATCTCGTGCTAGTCCATCCGGATGTCACTAGTCCAGCAGATCTCAGTTCCACAGGTCTGCGACACTCACATATTAAAGAAGGTGACTCGGAAGCCTCAGTCTCGTCCCCTCTCAGATTTGCTCTGAGTGGAAAACCCACAGCTTGTTTCATTACACCTCGTCACATCATCCTCGTTACAACATTCTCACACCACTACACTCACGCACTATCGCCGCACCAACACATGATGTTACACTCAGTGGCCCGTCTACACAACTAACTATAACTACCGCGTCAGTGGCTTTTGCTGACTGTCTGAGCAGTGCCTGGTCAACACAACTACCGCACCAGTGGCACTGCTGAGTGTTTGCGCGACGCTCTTTTCGACAGATGGCACGGTTGTGACGTACCCCGAACAACTCACCATATCCAACTTTCAGCATCTAGCATCAACATCAGCACCAGCATCAGCATCCATAGCATTAATAGCATGTCATTTTTTATGGGGAGAGACGATAGATAGGGCGACAGGAAGAGAGGGAGACGGGCAGTCGACTGATGTTCGTTTGTCGGTGGTTGCCACAACTGCAGTTGCCCGGGTGGGGCACTGTACACCTACAAGAGCCGGTACTCTTACTCTACCATTCCTGCAATCATGCGGCGTATACTTGTGGCAAGTGGGGAGGTGACAGGGGTTGTGGATGTCGCAGCCTGCAGCCCCGCTTGTCGTCGTTTTCCGTCGTTTGTCGTCGCTTGTCGTCGAATCTTTGTTATCGACTAAGTTGACTAAGTTGACTAAGTTCACTACAATGGTGAGTTTGAGAGCTTGTTTGGTGCGACCAGGCGCGGGACGTTATACATAGTCGTACGTACTTGTTCTTGTCTACCATGTCTCATGTCGATCGCGCATGTACGAGGACCAGAGAGGAAGTTTTTTGTTGGGCGGTTGGGTGGGCAGAGCCGAGTGAGTTGAGTTGGGCTGAGAGTTGGGTTTAGAGCGGAGTTTGAGGTTCAGTGAGGTACGGCACGGTGCTGTACGGTGCGGTTCGTCCGGTGGCCAACTTGTGGCTCTCTCTGCCTACACCAGTACAGTAGTCAAGTCCGCTGGGGGTTTCAGTGGTAGACTGATTTTGATTTTGAGGTTTCAGCGGTATACTGATTTTGGTTTTGATTTTCACGAGTCCGGGTTGGGGGGTGGCTTGGACCGGTCCAGACGAGGTTGACGGCGATCATCAGATAGTGAATGCATTACGGTGTATAATGGCACGGGTTCTAGTGTATATAGGCCGAGATTGTAGTTAGAAGAGTCTACATTTTTGTCCAAAAATCCTGTTAGAAATCTTTAGAAACCATTTTAAAAGTCCCCATACCGAGTAGACTTAATTTTGAAAAATTTGTGGAGATGTAAAGGTATGTCTAAAACGGAAGGTTTCCACGCAATCGACACGGGGACTTCGGTTTCGGAACCGGCTCGTCTCTGCGAGCATTTTGGTACCCTTTTTGGCGCTCCACGTCAAGTAGTGGAAAAGTTGGGTGGGCATTACGGTAGGTACATGGTACATATAGAGGAGTTTTCGGAGTAAATTGTGGCTCAATGGATACAGGTGGAGGGGTTGAGAAGTTGAGAAGTTGATGGAGACAGATATTGTGGTCAATTCCGTCAACTCCGCTTTCCATTTACGCGTTGCAATGCTATCGGAAGTGGTAGGCGTTGTCGTGAAAGTGTGTAGTTGGTGGGAGAATGCAGCCGAGATTGTTGCCAGAGCGTTTCAGAAAGTCGCCAGCTTTTCCAAGGGTTTGAGGGGGTCGTCTTTTTCGAGTCACGTGACTTTTTCGAATCACGTGGCTGTTCCAGCTCCGGGTTTGTGCTCCAGGTTTTGTCCCAGTCTTGTTAGGATGCCGTTTGGAGAGGTTGTAAGGGTTGCAATATGGGAGTGGGTCGGTGTTGGTCACGTGACGAGTTAAGTCATCACGTTGGTGATATGTTGGTGTCACGTTGGTGTCACGTTGGTGTCACGTGGGTTTTCCCGTGATTGGAACTCCCCGACTCCACCTCGCCCTTTCCTTCCCTTTGCCAGTTTGTTGATGGAGTTGCGTCGCTTTTGTACTGTTTGAAAACGGGTTTGGAACAGCGGAAAAAAGCGGAAAAAAGCAATAAAATCAAGGCGGTTCAACAGGGCATCGAGATAATATCTGTTTTGAACTCGCTTCTAGAAAACAAGTCTTCGTTATGGTTTTGATCCCCGTCTATACTCGCACTTGGTTGCAGTATGTACTTGTGCTTGGACCCGGTTGGGATGTAGTATTGGGCCGACATTTGGTGAATATAAACGAAGAAATCCATTCAGGCGTGTTTTTCATCGTCGATTTCACGTTCTCGCCAACTTTTTGCCACTTTTTTGCCGCCTTAGCTGCCGCTTCACCGGGTTCAGGGGCTTCCGTAGAGTTCTCGTATCAAACCGAACATTGTAGAATCAACTAGAAGTATTTTTTGGGAGGCAAAATGGGCCGTAAAACCGACTTGTTTTGTTCACATCAACCTCGAGATATCATTTATCGACTTTTTGTGTTTTTTCGTCTACATGACATCTCTCTGGTCCCGTTGCAAGTTCGGCTTTTTTTTTTTTTCTTCTTTTTTTTCTGTCTTTTTTTTTCGGGTATTTTTTTTTACGGTTTTTCCAATTTGACGCCGCACACAACCCGGGAAGAAAGGTGCAAGTTGGCCGAAATGATGCCCTGAGTACGCAAAAAGGCTTTAAATAGTCGTCTGAGGCATCTGAGTCGCCCGAGACTCTCGCAACCTTTTTCTCATCTTTTTTTCCTCGTCATTTGGCGATTTTCAGAGTCGTCGAATTCGACACTGTGAGTATTGGAACCGGGTTTAGGGGGTCGCAAAAGGGTCAAAGGAGGGACTCTAGAGAGACGAAACGTTGACAGAAACGATCTAGACGGTGATTGGACGGGTCTGAACAAGTCCAGCTTTTATTGTGTCGTGTTGGTGCTCTTCTAGACCATTTCTCCACCACTGGTCGTCCGCCCGATGCGAACTCAGAGCTAGATGCTGACAGAGCCCATCTAGAAGCATCTCTGGTGCTGTAGACATGTCTGGAAGGGTCTCAGAGGGACTTGGAGCGATTTCGTCGTGATTTTCGGTTGATTTGGCACGTTTCGGTTGATTTGGAGCTGGCATTCGGACGGAGTGGGCCAGTATGGATGTCGCTCATTATCTGCGCCAGAGACATGAGAAGTTGAACAGAGCTTTCATACTGCTGATACGAACAGACCGGTACTTCTTTCGGGGGCTCTCCTACATTTGATGACATGATACGAAGAGTGTGGTGCAAACCATGGGCTGGACTTGGTTTCGTCGGCAAAATTTGCAACAGAGATGTCAGAGACTAGAGGAGTTGATTAATGTGACCACAAAGTCTGTCTGGGTTGATTAAAACGTCTTATGAAGTTCTGGAAATATTCTCTTCACCACTTTTCACAACTTCTGTTGGAGGATTTCGAAATGTGACAAAATTCGCAGCAAAAAGGCCACCTACACGAGAAGTTAATCCAAACCTCCATCATATCCTTCTGAACCACCTACTCCTGTTCTTTGGACGATCCGAGTTCTCTACGAAAAACTGCGTCTTTTTCTCCCACCCTATATTTGCCATCACGGGTTGCCATAAATACGATGTTTGGAGACTCAAAACGATTCCAGGAGTTGCTCATATGACCCTGTATAGCTCTCTATATCCATAAATCGACTTAATCAGCCCCTGTTTTTCTCCTCTAAAAAGTTGGTCGTATTAGTAATCAGGTGAGATATCTCCCTTTTTTTTCATGCTGTGTGAAGGAGTTGTTTCTAAGCTACCAATCACGTGGCTACAAAATGTCCGTTACTCTGAATCTCTTCAATTAATCTGCGATATCCGTTTCTGTTTTGTTTTGGTTCATTTTCTTCTTCTTTTTTTTTTTTTCTGCAATTCGAGGACTCCATTTCCAACTCGATCTCCCCCGCCACTTTTGAACTTTCGACCAATTATATACAGCCTGATAGATCTGGGAGATGGACGCCAGAGTCTGGGAATTACATCAATTAGTGGGTTTGTGGGTTTTTTGGATTTTTGGATTATTGGATTTTTGGATTATTGGATTTTTGGATTATTGGATTATTGGATTATTTTCGGAATTTTGGATTATTTTCGGAATTTCGGAATAATTTCTATTTCATTTTATTTCATTTTATTTCATTTTATTTCATTTTATTTCATTTTATTGCTTCTTATTAGTCGCTATCTATGTATTTATTTATTACTATTTATTTCATCTTATCAATTTTTAAACATTATTTATTTATTTTATCTTTTAAACCCAAGACAGTCTAAAATGGACATTTCACTATCGTTTTCGATTGCTCTGGATCAAAACACCTATAAATCCATTTTATGATCACCCAGAGACTCTCCCCAGATTATTTTGTAGCACAAACGATTGATTGTGAATTAATTGAAAATAAAAAATACAAAGGTGCATTTAAATGGACAAAATCTAAATAAATTGGATAAATTGACAAAACGAAACAGTCTGGGAATATCAACAGATCTGACGCCCTAGATCGACAAGACTGTAAATACTTGTGTTTCAATGTGCCCACCAGCAAGTCGAGTGATTTCTTTTTGCGCTTTGCCTTTCCATGGTGATCAAAATGGAATCGGGTTAGGGTTAACACAGAAGAGGTCAAAATAGACTTTAATTTTCCCTGTGCGCTTTGTTTGCGGTGATTATCATACGTCTAGGGTTTGGGTTGGGTTTGAAATTAGTATTAGTGTTATCGTTAGGGTTAGGGTTGGTTTACACTTTTTGGATTTCTCATTAACCTGAATGAGACTCAACCCTAGTCTGTGTAGGCCTGATCTGGAAGCTTGACCTGCCGCTGGAGCGTGCCCTAATACATGGGCTATGTGCATTTGGACCCTGCCTTGTACGGGTGCGGGAGTGGGGGAGTGGGGGGAGGGTTCCCGAAGTGATCTGATCTGATTATTCAGCAACTGGTTGGAAAATTGGAGGAAATATCGGAGGAAAATGGGAGGGGAATTCGGAGGGGGAAATGGGCGGGAAATGGGCGGGAAACGGGAGGAAAAGTGAAAGAGAGAAACAAGACACAAATAATAGGGAAATCCCGTGATCCACACCACCTTTCCTTTCTCTTCGGTTACCATGACAACACTTGTTTTGTTTCTGTCTGACTGAAGTAAGGCTGACGGAGGTTTGTCGTTTGGGCGGGCGGTCTCGGCGGTGGTCTCAGCGGCGGTCTCAGCGGCGAAAATAATAAGCAGTGGAATGTGTGGGTGTTTGATGCCTCAGGAACGACGATATTCCTTTTTCCGCATTCCATCTCCAACAGGCCCGGAGCTAATCTGGATCTTGGGTTACCCTTGAGACATGTCTGAGAGGTTAAGTCGTTCCGTTTGGGGAGAGAATCAATGTGGTAGTGTCGGTAGTGCAGGTACGAGTGGTCAAACTGCAACTTTGCTGAGCCGAGATACGGAGTCGAGGTATACGGATACGAAGATATCATTAGTGGAGAGGAGGTGGGGTGATGCTGTTGTTGCTGTGGGGGTAGTGGTTGTGTTGTGGCATCGGTGATAAAGGTGACTCTTGTAGCATTGGTGATAATGGTGGCTCTTGTAGCGCTGTTGAATCCATCTTGTCTTCACTGATGGCTTCTGTAACCTTGATGGGCTGCTTTTGGGTCCGTATCTGGCTGCTCTGGCAGCAGGGACTTAGTTGTGACTAACTCTGACTCGAGTCGAGTTGCTAGCATTACTCGAATGAGTGCGGTGTTGGTACGAGCATGAGCATGTACAGGAGTATGGGAGCTAGACTTTGGTTTGGGCTTCGGCGACTTATTCCACCTTCACTGACTCTCTCGCTGCTCCAGATCGTCGCTGGTTGCTCCCGACGCTCCTGCAGCTGGTTGCTCCTGGTCGTTGCTTCTGTCTCCATTCCAAGCTGTCATCTATCATCTGCACTGTCGATAAATGTCGTCCAGAGTCTGTTTGAGTCTGTCGTGTCTCACATGTATGTTTCAACCGCGCTGGCCCTGCTACCTCTTTGGTTTGCGCAAACCCAGTTGGTCGAAGACGGTGGAAGGAACAGGAGGTGGTTGCGGTGGTCGAGGTGGTTGCGGTGGTCGAGGTGGGTGCGGTGGTCGAGGTGGGTGCGGTGGTCGCAGTGGTCGCAGTGGTCGCGGGGGTGGTGTAGTTGGTCCGAATTGGAGATTCAAACACAAACACAAATTTGCCACCGGATTTCAGAGGTCAAGTGGCAGTTTCACGAAACGACTTCGACGTGGTCAAACGAGGTCAAATGAGGTCACATGGACAGAGATGAATGGAGATCAAATGGGCACCTAGCGCTCGTCTGTCGTCGTTCGCCATCGTCCACCATCGTTGGTCATCGTTTGTCGTCTCTGCTAAGCTCAAAGAGGCACTGAGACAGCCCGTGAAGTGAAACTGACAATCTGTCAATCGCACGAATCTGGCACGGTTGGTGAGGAACACACCACTTTTGGAGCGTCCGAGTGCGTGGAGAGTCGGTGGTGGAGTACAAGTAGGTGACGGTGGTGGTGGAGTACAAGGTAGGTGGCGTTCAAGTGGGCGTTCTGAAACAACAGTTGAATGATGATTATGGAAAATGAGGTGGGCATGATATGGGCATGATATCAGCAATGTCAACAAACTGGGTCAACAAAAATGTCCGATTTAGTTTGACAAAACGCCCATGAGTGACAAAACGCCAATGAGTGACAAAACGCCAATGAGTGACAAAACCCCGATGAGTTCGACAAAAATGTCCGATTTAGTACGACAAGAACGCCCACTAATTCGAGTCACGCTACTGTACAGTGACTACGGCCATAGTAGATCTACATTGACATAACAGTCATGGACAGTTATAGACAGACCAGACCAACACATTCAATCTCCACCAGACCAACACATTCGTTCTCCTTCTCGGTAGTACAACACTCACTCACACTCACTCACTCACACATACCACGTGAAACCGTTTTCTCCGATTAACTCGACTCTCGCTTTGCTCTCGCCGCCTCTGTCGCTCCTCTGTCTCTGTCGGCTGGTCTTGCTCCACCGCTCGCTTTCACGTCATGTCTCGGTCTCAGCCATCTTGTTCACGTGATGTCTTGGTTGGTCGGGTCTCCACTGGCTCATCGATGGCCTACTCTCGGCCGGTGGGGATCTTGCCTCCTCCTACCCCTCCACGTGATGTCTCAGCTGACCGGATGAAGTGTCTTGGGTTCGGTTCCCCTCCCCGCGCCATTTAGCATGCAGACTAAAAACCAATATGGTTGGATACGAGGGGAACTCCAAGGGCCAATGAGGGGAGGGGGGAGGGAGGGGGAGAAAAGAACAAGGAGAGAGAGGACGAGGATATGGGGGGTTGTGGTGGTGGTGGAGTGGTGGTGGAGTGGTGGTGGAGTGGTGGTGGTGTTGCTGTTGCTGTTTGTGCTGGTGTTGGTGCTGATTTTGCTGGTGTTTGGTCTCGCTGACGCTGGTGCTGGTCTCGCTGACGCTGGTGCTGGTCTCGCCTCGCTGATTGTGCTTGTCTATTGTCTATTGTCTCATGTCTCAGTCTCTGGACTACCACTGGTGAATTCTCAGGTCACAAGAGGCAACTGGAGCGATTGGCGTCGATTGGCGTCGATTGGCGTCGATTGGAGTCGGTTGGTCGTCGACCGATTGTCGACTGGTCCTATTGTTAGCCTACTGAACACAAACAGGTGTCTCCCAGACCCCCGGACTTCTCTGGACCTCTGCAGACCCTCTGTGGATCCCCGCTTGAGACTCAAACTGTGACAGGTACAAGCATGCGACTAATGCACGATAACGTTGGTCTGGATGCGGCGATATTGCAGTTGTTCAGGTTCAGGGTCGATTCGAGGTTGATTTGTGGAGCAAAGTCGATTCAAAGTCGATTCAAAGTCGATTCAAAGTCGATTCAAAGTCGATTCAAAGTTGGTTCAAAGTCGACTCCGTTTCGATTCGACTCTTGCAATTCAGTTGACGGCATTCTTTCGTCAAACTCCAAGTTCGATTTAGTCGACGGCATTCCAAGTTCGATTCCCGCATCCACTGATTATGGCATGACGCTGCAACGATGATTTATGACACCCGATAACTGCGAGACGACGAACGCAATACGACAACAACAACAATAACAACAACAATAACAACAACAATAACAACAACAACAAGTTCCAATACCACAAATACTCGCACTGCTCTAACCCTTCACTCCCGATCCACTCTCCACTCGACCATGGTTCCACGGCCATACATAGAGTGCATTGGACGTGGAAAAAGCAACCAACAACGGCCGACAAGAGTGGCAAGACCTGCCGAAAATCAGGTCAGCCATGCACGTTTCCACGCCACCGACAATAAGCAATTGCACATCGGGATTTGGTGAAAGATGCGAAATTAGCGAAGCATTTCATAACAAATCAGAACCAAAAACATGGAAACGGTCAACTACAGTACGAACGGAGACTACAAATAGGCAACTCCAACAACCCTCACCCTAACCACTACCCCCCGATCCCCCAACCCCGATCCTAATCCCGATCTCCCTCTTTCAACTCACCCTAACCACCAACGCCATTTTATTTTTGTGCTTTGCAACTTCTCTCGCCTTTCGTTACTTTTATGTCTGCGCCACGTGATCACAGCCGTGGAATGGGCCGCTTGCATATCGATTAATGGGATCGATGTATGCGATCGATCGTCAGTTTTGTGGGCAAATTCGTGGGGGAAAAGGTCCAAAACAGAATCCACGGGGATCAGAGAGCTTCAGAGCTCATTTGGCGCCAGCAGAACCTCAGAGCTCCTTCGACACCCACAGAACTACAACTACTTTCACCTACAGCAATTTGAAAACACATAAAGTCTAGCTCGATAAATATATACAATAAATAGTCCTATCTGGAAACCTGTATGAGTGCAAATATAGGGTCAAAAGTGTAGACAGAGTGTGCCTCCCCTTAATTCATCTCCTTGAGACACTTCATGACATGGTCATCCAGCCACTTGTCTGCGCGGAACCGACGACCACAGTTGCAGGTGCCGTAATGGCTGAGCTTGGACTTGAGGTCGCGGAACCCACGTACCAGCTTGGCCTCGTCAAACTGGAAATGCGAGTGGAGCAGGTGCTTCTTGTAGTCGTAGGGCCGGTTGAACTGGCCCCGCTTGTGCGAGCATTGGTCCCGGGGGTAGGGACACACAAACCGCGCCACGCGCTGGTGGATGCGCAGATGGCGCGGCAGGTCCCGGCGAAAGTACTTTTTGCACACGGGGCAGTGGTACTTGCGGTACTTTGTCTGTTCGTCCTGCGACAGGTTTTTGAACAGCACGCCGTGGGCCGAGGGAGAGTCGTCCAGCGACAGTTCTTCCTCGTCGTCATCAGACTCGCACTCCGACGAGTCTGGCGAGGGGTTGTTGGAGGCGACATTGTGGGAGTGGCCAGCATTGTGGTTGTGGTTGTGGTTGTGGTTGTGGTTGTGGTTGTGGGAGTGGTGACCACCTGCGACGTGGTTGTGGGACTGCTGGGTATGATTGCCGTTGATCAGTGCGGGGGCAGGATCGTACGGAAGAGAGTAGGACTGCGAGCGGGAATGGACGGGGGTCGGTTGGCAGGCAATGGGGGACGTCTGGAGGGGAGACGTCTGGAGAGGAGACGTCTGGAGAGGAGACGTCTGGAGAGGAGACGTCTGGAGAGGAGACACATGGAGAGGCTGACGCAAAGACATTGGCATGAACGAGTCGAGCTCGAGATCCTTGTCTTTGGAGTTGTGGCTTTGGTTTTGTGTGACTCCGTGGTTCTGTGTCACTCCCCCACTTAGACTCTGTGTCACTCCACCTCCGGTCTGTGACTTGTCAAAGTCGTACGACTGATCGAACAGCGAGTCCGACGACATGAGCGTGGGCGACGTGCCCTCCGAAGACATGGACGGCGACAGCATGGCGGGAAACACCACGTCATCAATCGCCATGGCGGACGAGTCGTATGTGTAGTACGGAAAAAAGTCGGTGGAGGAGGTGGTGGTGGCGGAGGTAGGCACTGAGTCGGTGGCAACAGGAGCTGAGTCGAGGGCAACCGGAGCTGAGTCGAGAGATGTGACTCCAAACATGTTTGTGTCGTTCTCGTTTCTTCCTCTCTCTCTCACATCTGTGTCCAACAACCCGGCAAAGGTGTTGCCACCTATGGAGTCGGTGAGCTGCTCGGGAAAGGCGTTGGCCACGTTGGAATGGTCGTATCCCAGGTCCAAGTCGGACTCGGAAAACTCGGGGAGCACCAGAAAGTCGTACATGTTCTGGAGGCCAATTGGGCGATGAGCAATGAGCTGAGCAGTGGGTTGAGCAGTGAGCAATAAGCAGTGAGCAATGGGCAATTAGAGCACTACCTGGGTTCAGAAGAGTGAGTATGGGCTGATTGGCGATGGGCAAAGAGCGATTGCGATCGTGATGGGAAAATCACAGTCAACGGCAACAGGTGGTGTGGAGCATTTACATGGTGACAAGAGCCTACCTTTATAACCGCTTGCTATCTTGCATAACTCAAAGTTTCCCAAACAGACTATTTTACTTTTGTGGAGCGATGTTGCCCGCCGCTCTGCGACGTAGGTTGGAGGGTTCCAAAAATCGCAAAGCAAACGGAACAGAGCACCACCCAGAGACCAGACAAAGAGAACCGGAAACACAAAATGAATTAAAAGAACAAATCATTAAAAAATCGTTAATTAAAATGACCAGAAATTGATTCTGAGATGCCCATAAAAGGCCAGAAAATACCTACCATTATTCCAGACATAAAAAGGATTTTCAAAAACAGATCCATTTTTTTCTTGTATTTTAATTATTAATTTAATTAATTTCTTGTATTATTTCTTTATTTATTATTATTTAATCCAATTATCTAACCATTTTGCTCCATTTTCCTGGTTTGAGGTCAAAAACACCTCACATATACCGCTTTGGGAAACACACACAAAGCCAAAGTCCATTTGCTCTCGGCTGGGCCTCAGTCAGATCAAGCGGCGGACAAGCATGCTAGAAACATTGTATAAGGTTCAGCACAAAGTTTATCAATGGCCTACCATAAGCCTAATCCGGACAAAGAAAATGTACACCTGCGCATTTATGCAGATACCTTCGAGATCTGCAGCAAACTGTATTTCTTTGTTCAAAAAATGATATGGACTGTTTCAGAATGATTATATAGCCGATTTCAAATCGGATTTTTAAAAACATAATACTTAACAATTCAACAAGCTACTTCTTGAGTGGTATTTCCTACTCCATTGTCAAAACTTTAAATATCCCCTCCCCAAATTTCTGCAGGGTTTAAGATTAGGTTTTGGTATAAATCTTAATTTTATGGTGCGTCAAAAATGGGGTGATGAGTAAACTTTAACCTGACACATGTGACGTACTAGGTAAGACTAGATGAAACCAAACGGCTTAGTAAGTGGGACTGGACTAGAGAGAGGGGGAGGAGGGGAAGTGGCCGTTGCCATGGCAATAGGAGGGCTAAAAAACGGCGGGCTAAGGTCCAGCGTGGTCATGTGTGTATGTATTGGAAAAATTCTGAGTGCATACTAGCTGTGGCTGAAAATGTGGCGCATATGCGCCACAACGCGCGGTATTATAGCAGCAAATTTTCCTACGATGAGGGAGTTGGTTTTTTGGCGTTTTCGGGATATATTTGTGTATTTAGTTGTGTATTTAGTTTTGTATTTATTTGTCGCTTTTGATTATTCTAGTTATTTATTTTTTATTTCATTTATTTCATTTCATTTCATTTCATTTCATTTAAATTATTAATTCGTTAATTCACTTTCGGTATTCCAGAAGATTCGCTTGCTTGTAAACCTGCGGCAAGAGCCTGCGAGACTGCGTATCGAAACGAGGACGCATTGGAAGGCGATGTTGGCTTACTATTTATTCATTTATTTAAAAAAATAGATGTATTTATTTTATTTATTTATTCCCAAATACCGATTTGGAAATGCACTTTGGTTACGACATTAGGAAAAAGATCCATAGTCCTGGCAATGTGTATCAATGTCTCGCCATTATCTAGTGTTGATTTGGATTTTAGAAGTATCTTAAGCACTTTTATTGTTCTCTATCTATTTATTATTGATTCTTTATTGATTTATTTTTATTGATCTATTTTTATTGATTTTATTATTAAAAATGATTTTGGTACCTCTGAACTGCCGTAAAACTCGGAAATGAACTACGAAGACCTTTTTCAAGCGCTCCCAATCGAATGAATAAGTCGCCCCGTCTATTCATACTCGTCTGAGAACTTTTCAGTCCATATTTCTGCGTCTTTTTCACTCGCTCGTTTCTGAGACAAGGTAACACCTGTAGAATCGGAAACGGAAGCCCTGGAGCGGGGGAACTGCGGAAACGATCGAAGACAATGCCTGCTGTCGGGCAGGTAATCACCCTGGTTCGATTTGGAAAATAAAAGGGGCCGATTCGAGTCGTTTGCATGTTGAGAAATGTTGTCTTGAGCCGTCGGTCTAGGTTGTTATTTGTTGAGTAAATGCCGTCACTGAGTGGGGTGAGTGGTTTGAGTGGTTTGAGTGGATTGAGGTGGTTTTTCTTCACATTAATTGCGCCTTTTGGGGTCTTTGGCGTCTTTCGGCGCCTCTTTCAGCCCAATCATACCGACTTTTATCCGCCCTCTTTCCACCACTAAAGTCTTAGATTTCTGACTCCGGCGACCTCTGGATCCACTCCAATCAGGTGATATCATTAAACAGTTCGAATGTGATATTTTCATTTGATTGCGTCAATACACCACCGCTCTTAATGGTCTGAAACGGTCTGAATGGTCTGGAGATATCTGAGGGGACTGGAGATTAGTAAGGAAAGCTCCAGAGACTCAAAGCCGGATGAACATGGCAAATGTAATCCATAGAAACATTTTGAGCCCTGAAAATCGTCTATATTACCCTAAGGAGCTCAAAACTGGTCTATGGAGTTGGGCGTGTGTTCAGACTGCTGAAATGGACCCTACAGGGTACCCAGGGAGTTCAAGTGATCTCAAGAGACATCTGATTGTACTACAGAGCGTAACAAATGATGACTTGAAATGACAAATGATCCTCAGAAACTCATCTGGGGGTTCTAAAAGTGCTGAGATTACTCAAAAAGAGCCCTAGACATCTAAGACTAGTCGGAGGGCCAAAATGATATCGAGAGGGTCTGAGAGGTCCTTAAATGGCAGAAATACTATCTAGAGGGGTCTAAGAGGTATGAGAGCTCCAGATATGGTCATCATCAGTTCTAGAAACAATTCTCTGAGGACACTACAGACCTCCAAAAGAAATACTCATCGATCTGAGAGAGGTCCAGATCAACCGAATGAGTCCTTCATACGTTTTGGAATCTCCTCAGACGGTAAAAATGAACTCTGGAAAGCTCTGAGGGCTCTAGAGATCATCTGTGAGTACTACTCCATACCAGCCAAAAGGAATTAAAAGGCCCTGAATGAGTTAATGAGACGCTTAAAAGTCCACAAGTTGACTCTAATCTATTTCAGGAATGTTTGAATCAACTCAAAACTATTTCTTGTTACTCCTACAGTCCATAAACGTCTAGACAACGTTGGGGGAACCCTCAGTTGGTCGGTATAGTCTCCTCTCTCCGATTGAATTCGTTGGACTACTCTGAAACCATTTGCGGCATTCAAAACACACCTTTTAATTCGAGCTACCAACTCAACTCCATTAGCAAATATCAGTCTGCGTTTCAGCTTCTCTGCGTTGTCTGCCCGCAACTTTTTTCTCAACTTTTTTCCAAGAATCTGCCGCCGATCGGAGACTGCAAATGGGCTGCAAAAGGGCTGCAACAGAGCTGCGGAAGAGCTGTGAGATTCATATGAGGGTGTATTTACGCCGTATGAGGCCGTAGGAGACCGTATTCATGCCTCGAAGGCTCGTGTTCGTCTAAGCTGGTTGCCTGGAAGTTTCTGATGCAAAAAATGCAAATCTGCTCGTATCCGTATAGCCGGGAGCCGCCCGGTAGATAGCATGTGGGGGTTGGTTTGCGCTTGGATATGGGCTGGTGTTATTTTCGGGCTTTTTGATGATTTTTGCGGTGATTTAATTTTTGATGATTTTGGACACTTTTTTTTAAAAAAATAGATATATAGATAGTTATATATCTAAAATGTATCAAAACAACAGTTGACATTACTTTTTCGGGCTCCATCTCAGTTTATGAGTCGAGCATCAGTTAATATCTTTTAAAAAAAAAAACCCGCTCTATCGATTCAATCCAGTTCCCCCAATATTCTCTTCATTTTGCATCAATTGTTCCATCATAATTTCAGCAAAATCCCACAGAATCCCGAACCCGATCAACTCCACAAATTCCAACCAAAACACCTCAATGAACAATTACATATATATTCCAACCAGTTCAGTCGGTCCTCCCAGCTTCCTGTCTTGTTTTGTTTGTTTTTCTTCTATTTTTTCCGGTTTTATTTTTTTTCTTCTTTCCCTTTTTTCCCGTTTGGTCCTGTCTACATCGAATATACTCCACCTCTCATTGTACACCCATTCTATCCATTTTGCGCTTCTTAACTTTCCACTGATTTGGTAATTAGCCAGTTCTATCTTTCTTTTTATCTTTTTCTTTTTCTTTTCTTCTTCTGTTTCTTTTTTCGTTTTGCTCTTTTTAAAATTCGCGGCCTTGTCCACTTTGAGAACCAGAGATACTATTTAATATCTACGCTAGTTTAATATCTGAGGAATTCACAAAAGACGAAGAATAAAGCAAAAAGATGCAAAAGAAAATTCTAAAAAAATGCAAAAACAACTTGCAAAAAAATCAAAATCAAACAGAAAATACAACCCTAACCGCTCCCGGGCGTATCCTATCCCTGACGTCTTACACGACATCGCACTAAACCTGCCTCTTTCAATACACAGCAAAGAGCAAGCCATCTTTGGGGCCTCTGCATTGGCCCTTCGCCCCTCACCCTCAAGTCAATCTGGATGAACTTTAAGCGAGTTTGGTGGGAACTTTGTTTGAACTTTGCTTTGAACTTTAAGAAGAACTTAATTGCGAATCTTATTGGGATCCCAAAGTGAGTTTGCTCAAACCTTTGTCAAACCTTACTTAAACCCTCTTTAAACCCTCGTCAAACCCTATTTGAGTCCTCCAGTCATACCACAACAGTGTTGCCTGCAGGAACAATGCTCGTCGGAGTTTTCGGCGTTCGGTTAGAGTCACGTGACGTTCGGTGCAGCCGTGCGGGCTGTTTTTGGGTCCGTTTGGGGCTTTTAAG